TTTCTTTGTACGTTTTTTTCAGATAAAAAAAAAGTATTCATCTTTGCTACGTATACTACGTATAGTGTCGTATAGTTTTAGTATGTTCGCCACATAGTAGAGCTTCGGCCGGCCCCGATGAGGTCAGCTGTCATAGTCAGCGGCCGAGAGAAATTGTTTGGTTGAGCCACAGATCAGATCGTCAGGGTCCAATCTCATCTACGTTCGCGAACGACCTACTATTCTAGGTCGCCAAGCAAACAATGATGGCATTCTTTGCCTCCTTATTTTTTTTTTCTTCTACATCTCAAAGCCACATTCCATAGTTGCGCTGCCTTGCGAATCCGTGGCTATGGTTCAATGCGAGAACTATAGAGGGGGCGGTTACCGCTGCGCTGGGATTGAGGATTGAATGATCCCCGAACCCCGAGACCAACCCAACGCATCGACGTCGTATAATTACGTATAGAAAAGAAAGAAATACAATTGAAAAACTCTTCGCGAAACCCGATTTCATAAAATAATTGTACTTCTACATAACAATCGGTAACGAAGCAATTGAAGATCAACAGATCAACAGACGCGCGACTAGATCAGCCGACACGCACAGAGCGAAAGCGAGAAATCTGCAGCGGGGCATTCCTTCCCCATTGCATATAGTGTTGTAGATCAAAACAAACCCGTGTCTGGCACACCGACACTCGAATCTCAAATCAAATCTCAAACCCAAAACTAGAGTATCTCAAATCTTTGAATCTCGCATGGACTCCTAGCGGAGTTCCGGATCCCACCCCACCGGAAATAATAGCCAAGATCCCGCCACGAATCACCTTCTCCGCGGCAGGTCAAGATTTGTCATCGGGGGGGGCTTTTAGGATGACAGGTTAGTTCATGTGTGGATCCTCCTGCACATCGACCGATTGAGGGTTGAAACAAGGGGGTACAAGATCCTTTCAGTGACGGGCGATCTGCGATGAAAGGTCCGATCGGAGTTTGTATGCATGCATAAGTATACATCGACCAAGACTTTCCTTGGTCGGTTATTCCTGGTCGATAATAAAACACAAGGTTTACAGTACAAAGAATGATTTTCTCGATCAAGACACTAGGCAGCATAGATCGACCGAGTCACGACTGAAATTTGAAAGAACGGTGAGAGCCAAGCGTTCGGGCCAAGGCGCGCTAGTAGGGATGTGTTGGCCACATTGATCGAGATGCGAGATCAATGAAGTATTTGAAATCATATCTACGATGGGGCCCGGGATTTGCTGTCATTAGCACTACTCCAATTTTTTATCATCTCTATTATACAGTCGATGGGGCTCGGGATTTGCTGTCATTGGCATTACTCCAATTTACCCAATTTTACATTCAGTGTACGTGTTTGTTTGTGACTAGTAGAAACACGGGTAACAGACAAGCTGGATAGCCGCCAAAATAAACATAAATGATCGATCTACCTTGAAGCCAATTCATTAGTCTAATGCCGAACCTTGGGACTGTACTGGCGACCAGGAACCTACTGCATATCCCTGTGGAGATCTATCTACCGTAATAATACTAGTATTTGACTTTTAAAAATTACCATAGGACATGCACTCAGCTCAGATCCATGGATGAAACGAACTTTGTTATCCGTCCAAACCCCGATACATTTACAATTAGGCAGCGATTTCTAACAAAGAAATAATTGATGCCCATGTTCATTGACCTAAGTCAAGTGGACCCTTCTACGTACATGCAATAATTACGATTCCGATTCGATTGCGATTTCGATTCCGATTTCGATTCGATTCGATATCCGTCCGGTCCGTCCCCGTGTTTACCGTCGATTATTGGTTGGAAGGGGAAAAATACTCCGTGGGGCAAAGAAATACAGTTCAATGCCGAGATCCCTCTCATTCCGATCCTGGCCGAAACACGTTCTCAAGAATGATCATAAGGTTTCAATTTAGATTTGTAAGGATAAAAGGATAAAATTCATAAAAGCCAAATGAATAAAAAGTAAGAATGAAAACTATCCAAAAATAAAGAGGTGAGTCAAATCACTAGTTTCTTCACGGCGACTCCGTGGAAGACACTAAGAACGTGGGTCGTGGCAACGAAAACGGGGCGCATCAACAAAACAGAAAGTAGCCTCGTGTAATATAACTTCTTTTGCCATCTACAACTTCGTACTAGCTAGTACTCCGACATCTCCGTCCATCTCCGCACCGTTTATTTTAATTTTATCAGTGTCAGTGACTACTGCAGCTAAGTTTTAGAATTCCTAATGACAACTGTAGCTAAGTTTTAGCATGCTTATTTGCTGCCGAGTAAAGTCTGCATACGTAGGCAACGGGGCTTATTGGCTATTGAAGGTCAGGCCACCCATGGGCCTGTGCCGTGCGTGCAGCAAGCCTCAGATCGGTGCCCAAGACCCTATCTGAACTAGAGGGGAATCGGTGCCATAGATCGTACGTCAGATGCTAGGATTACCCCTGTTGAGCCGACCCACGTCACTGTATTGTATCCCTGAATAACTTACAATAGTAAATCAATATCTGGCATGATCTCATTTCCTTTAATATGATCTCATTTCCCCTACTCCGTAAACATGGAGCTTTTTTAGGATTGAACTCCGCTGAGACCATACGGGAAAGAGATTACAAGGGCTAGAAACGGTAGATCAACATTTGACCAAGCTCTCGGGCCTCGCGCTAAAGGCGATGGGGTTGGAAGGGTGGATCTGAAGCTTTTGGTTTTTGTGGTTCCAATGTTCTTCTAACCTTCTTTGCGTCACTGCAGGATTTCAACCTTTATCTTAATTGCCATTCCAAATCCTGATTTTTGGCCGGTTCTAGTGGAACGACTATCGACTATTAGACGCTGGGCTCGTGACAAGATCTCCACCGGTTTTACCCGCATAGGAGAGCGCGGCTACGTGAGAGCGGTCATCTACCGAGACGTTCATTGCTATACTTTACTACTCCATAGTCGGGAAAATAACTCCGTGTACGGAGTCACTCCCTCGGGAACACCGTGCACAAAAATCCACAGATCATGTGGATGCGTCTGTGTCTGTGTGCCACTATTGAGGTATAACGGGTGGATGGGGGATGGGGGGGCCTTGGGAAGGCCCGGGGAACCGTCCAGTCAATTCGCTTACATTGAAAGCTGATTCCCCGAGACATGACGGTTCCCGCGAAGTGGGCTGACAGGCTAGAGGACCGTGGGAATCAAAACCGGGTCAAAGTCTATCTGGTGGCCTGGGACAAGTGGCGTAATAGGTGGAGATGAAATCGAAGGTCCCGGACTGGTGGGTCGGACTATTGATTTGATTTTTTTGGTTTTCTATGGTCTCGGACTGTGCTATACACGCACTAATGTGGGTTTGAGCTGCCTGGGTGCCTGATTTACGATGCTATTTGTTATTGTTGCTTTTGATGCATGCGGGACTTTGATATGTTTCCTTGTATGGGTAGGTGTTACGTACAGGTACGCGTTTACTCTTTACAGACATGGATGAATTAGAAACAATCCACATCTACCCGGACCCCATATGCAAGATTCGATTCATGCTTATGCGGTGTAAAAGACTCCGAAATCGAGCGCCTTTGAGTAACCATGGCACGCATGAAACTCATGCATCGTGACCGATCATCCGAATTCCCTCCTCAAACAGACTTCCAAGTTACATGTATCTGCAAGGCCTTTCTTTTGCTTTTTCCTTTTCTTTCATCCTCAGCCGCGTCTCATTGACAAGTAAATCTGATCTTCACGCTGCATGAATCTAGTTGATCTTTACTCCATCAAGGGCTCCGCTAGCTGACGTGGGATCTTAGATCTTTTTGGCCGACCACGCGGGTTGCAGTTGCATAGCGGTGTGGGTTGTATTGTGAGTGCATTTGTATTTTATTGTATTCTTTATTGACTTATTTTGTTTTCGGTCTTGTCGTTTTCGTTTATTGTTGTCCACCCTCGTGTGCCTGTAGTGTAGGTGGGCTTCAGGCCACGTCACTAGCGCCATCGTGATCGATTTCTGCAAGTCAGACTTGTTCAAATCTAGCAGTAGCTGCAGACAAGGTTCCATCAGATTTGAAATTACTTAAGAGTTTCGATCCCTAGTCCAGCTAGCTCCCTCGGTAGAAAATGCCGCACCTATCAGGAGCTAACTTTATCAAGGAACGGTGACAGTAGCGTTACTTTTGGTCTTAGTTGAATGCACCAACTGTAACCACACAAATAGATTTTCGTCTCCACTCGATAAGCGCTCAAGACACTGGAAGCTAGATCCGTCGAATCACGGCTACCCACACACTCCGGAGCTACTAAATTTCTAACCGAATCGTTGGGACCTGCTAAGTTCCAAAAATTCAATGGTGGATGGAGGCACGGCACAGGACATTGCTGAACGACCCGTCGCGTTCCGTGGAACAGGGGGGAAGGTTGTGCGCGAACCCCACGCGAGATCTCGATCGGCATCGGCCGATCTGCGGTTTCTGCATGCCCAAGTCGGCAAACAGTCCTGCGACTAAGCGACGCAACTGGTGCAATCTGGTACACTAAAAGCACTAGGCAAAAGGCACTAGGTGATTTTGGAACTTCTACCTAATCAGTGTTAATTAAGGGCCGCTAGCGACGAGTTTCGGTATTTTATCCCCGTTAGAACTAGAATCGGTCCTAAGGCACCTTTTAGCTTAGTCCCCCGGCAAAGAAGGTTTTTAATATCGTAGTTAATATACCTAGAACAATTTCTACTATCTAGACTGCTTCTAGCGCTTTATAGATTGAAACTCACGCCCCGACCGTGGCCTTCTCTCGGACCCGTCGGATCCGAACCGCCTTACCCCATGGATTCGTCTCAGATTCCCACGTTGCGCTCGCGTGGCGGAATCGGAACATATGACTTCATTTATTTGTGACCGGCAAATGCGGATCCGATCTAGATTCATACACCGATAAATTCATCCACTATCGTAAGATTGTACGGAAATCTTGGGTACAGACAGGAGCCGGACTATCCCGCATGGATCTCCCGTCTACCGCCAGAAAGCCTCAGCCACCGAATTGAGATAATCAATTGGTTCCTTGCGCCATGTATCAGCCTCCATATGACTAGTCGTATTCGCATTGAGAAAGAGGTCGACCGGGCTATCCAGCCCGTACGCATCCCAATGAACAGAGGCGTTGACGGTCCCTGGATTCGGGTCCAAATCGTGGATGAACGAGGCCCACATACTCGTCATCATCGAACTCAGATCGTAGTACGACTGTGGAACCCCGGCGAACGGTTTCCCGTAATGATATCCTAGTCCGTCGATGTTATTGAATACAAACGCCACTTCTTCGAAATGAGTCGCTCCGGCAAGGAGCGGTGTGTCCGCGGAGTGTACGTTGAATCGATAGCAGTATGCCGGTGTGGAGGTCTCCGTCCAGGCTTCACACTGTCGGCGTCGATTCGCATGCATGGTGAAATCGCCTGCAAAGGCACTGGTCCGCCGCCATTCCCAGCCCTCAGATGGAACTCGCTCGTCACCCAGGAACTCGGGGATTCCTAGTGATGGGTTATCAGGATAAAGCTTGAGGATTTCATCGGCGATGAATGGTGGGGTTTGGAAATCGAAGCCTCCATCTAGTCACGGACGGAATTTGTTAGCCTGCATCGACACGAGACCAAAGGGGAATAGAATGATCATACCGGTCAGATACTCATACCACTGCTGGGTAGTGTTAATGCCCGTAGGACCAAACGCAGTCCCCTCATCTGTGTTAGTCCCAGCCAGAATTGGAACCTTGACAAATTCATGCTTGTTCAACTGCACACTACCCCAGTTCCGAAGCAAATCGCCATCCACCACCGGCCAGAAATTATAATCGGAGGATCCGTCAGTCCCATTCAAAACAGCGTTGAGAGTAGCAAAAGGGACTTCGCGCAGGCACTGCAACGTGTCGACCGTACCCGTGCAATTCACTAGAGACACGAGCTGGTCATAGGTAGACTGGAATCCAGTGTAATTTGACGGGATGGCTCCAATGGAACCACCAGACTCCATAATCCCAGCCCGAAAGAGCTTGTCGTCTCGTCCACCATACGCTGTGAGATGGTAACCAACTGACATGGCTCCTGCAGACTCGCCCCAGATAGTGACTTTCGTAGGATCACCACCGAATGCAGCGATATTCTCCTGGACCCAATGTAGGGCTAGTCTCTGGTCTCGCAATCCGAGGTTTGTGTTCCCGCTGCCCCAGACCTGGCTTGAACTTATCCAGCCCCAGGCCGAGAGTCTGTAATTAAGCGTGACTGCGATGAAAGGTTTACCTGCATGATATATAAGCCTACATCGTAGAATAAGGTATGGAGGGAATTACCGATATCGTACGAGTTCTCTAGAATTCTCGACATGTTGTACCGTTGATCCGATCCAGATCCCTCATAGAACCCACCACCGTGAATCCAGACTGCAACGGGGAGCTTAGAATCATCCGTTACAGACGAGCTTCGGATGACATTGATGGTAAGACAAGCTTCGGACTGGGGATACCAGATCGAGTCCGTCTAGTATGCAGTGTCAGGCAAAATCTCAACCAGGCAATAATGAAATTCCTACCCCATATCCGACACAAATGTCCGAGTATTCCTTTGCCTCGCGCGTTCCCTTCCAGCTTTCGTTCAATGAATGCGGAACGCTGAACCGTAGATTGCCCACTGGCTGTTGGGCATAGGGCATACCCAAGAACAAATCCTGGTTATATTGCGTGTTGTGTGTTCCCACATACGTTCCATTGAGGACCTTGACTGTAGGTGCTGATTTCGAAGTAGGAGCCGCATGAGCTGTCGCCCATACGAGAAAGCTGACCGCAAGCGCCAACATGGTCGTATATGGTATAAGAACCTCACAATCTTGGAATTTTCCCAAAGCAGGCCTTCTCGGCCTCTTTATTATGTACGCATGCTCGGAAAATTATGGGGTGCATAATTTGCGGGGAAGGGCAAGGGTGCCAGGCCCCACACCCAAACAGGCCATGATCAGCGCTCGCAGTGAAGAATGATGTCGTTCGGCACAATTCTTTCTGGAGTCTGGCAAATATGCCGACTAAGGTTTCATTTGAAGCATGCTCCGGCATCGCTAGGATGTGAAATGCGGAGAGAAGACGGGGGTAAAGGTGGGGGAGAATGGATGTGCCCAATCGTGTTGGTCGGCTAGCCTGACTTGCAAACGCCAATGCGGAGAAGTAATATCCAAGGTTTTAGAGTTTCCGGGCCCGGCCTTGTTCTGCACTAGGGTCTTGTCACCCGAAGTTTCGCCGGACGGGCTTTTGTTGTGGCATTTGAGACAAATAGTACGTACCGGTGAGTTGAACTGGGACTTTGTGGAGCATCAGGGATTGTGGTCTGGCAAGATTGAATCATGATCATCGATGTTGTCCAATCATGTTGGGGAGTACAGCTCTGATCAGCGACTTGTGAAGAAAACAATAGCAAGACGGGCGGTTGAAATGGCCTTGGCATTGACGTATGTGGATGAATAGCGGGTGGTAGGGAAGAGAGGAAGGAAGAAAGAGAACATGTACAACATTTGCAATTTGGCTTTTGTGCAAGTCTGTCATATGGCAGGATCTGATATCAAAATCCCGGAGAATATTCGAGGGCAGCATTGCATCCATGCTTTACTTTGTGAAGATCTCAGCTTCTCATGCTCGGAGGACTTCTGTGGTGGCTATGGTGGACCGGCTAGGGACCGAGAGAAACAATGATGAGCTGGTCGGGCTCTCCTCAGTGCTGCTTTAGACAACAATGATGGCCGTACTAACTTTAAATACCATCTTCCCCTTAACATGGACTTCGAAGTGCCTTAACAGCAGCTTCTTGCCCCTAATCGGGATTTCCGACCTGGCAAGTTCACCCCGAGCCTCCCTGACAGATGACCCAATTCTGTGGAGATTGTAGTCTGCTCGATGATACGAAGAGCGCTTTGAGGCGAGCTGTCTTCTGTCGAGGCTTTTGTGCCTTGTGGCCAGTGCCGACAGTAATGCGACGGACGCTTTTTGCGGACCCCCATTCTCCCAATCCTCCAGTATGACCACATCATTGGTACCACCAGTGTTGTCCACTTGTGTGCCTCCACGTAGCTCGACTCTATAGCCGCTACTTCTAGTTGAAGATCTGTCAATCAGTATGTGGACGGAGACCCAAGTTGAAAAAAATCCTAGCAGAGTCGGGGTTCATTTCCACCAGGAACAGCTCGTAAGCTTTCAAATTGACGTACGCTCTTCAGCGGTACGTTCACAAGAAACACCCCCTGTTCGTATTGATGTTTGTCTAGGTAATCGTGTCAATCAGTGTGTTAACAGAGACTGCAGTTGAAGCGATTCTGGTAGAATCGGGTTAAGTTCACCAGAGACAGCTTGCAAGTCTTCGATATGACATTCACTCGTCAACAGCATGTTCGCAACGGACACCTCTCGATCGTTTGCAATGTGCGTCTGGGTGACCTCTTGAATTCTTTCAGGCTCCTTCCCAACGAGACCAGCTTCTCTGGCGTAGCAAGCGACCATTCGTGAAGAAGTTTTGCGGCTAAACCTTCGCACAGTGTGAAGTTAGAATATTGATTCTGGTGTGATTAATGAGAATGGACGGTCGCCGTGACTGATCCAGTATGTTGCGAGTAGCCTTCACAGGACTGCGTCTTGTTGAAACTGACCTCGGCAAGCCGGTGATGATAGATCCTGTATCGAAATTAGCCGCCAAATTCAGCGCAGAGATTGGTCCTGACGAGAAAGACGCCGAATTATGCACCCGCTGGTCTTGGACGTGCTTTTCGCAAATGTTTCGTCACAGTAGAGCACATTGGCAACCGTCTGGCTAGAACAATTGGCGCACTTGCAGGCTTTACTTGTAATTGTCATGCCCCATCTTCTTGGAGGGGCCAGATCATAGAGATCGAGCGAGACGAGGTTTTAGATCTGCCTTTGTTTACGTCTTGTTAGCCTCTCGAACCGACCACTCGGCAAAGGCTACTTACTTCATCATTATCGTATTTAGACCATACTCCTTGGCCATAGTCTTTGTCAGGTCGATCGATAAGTCGTGACCGTCGCACAGGAATGTAAGAGTAGATCTTGTTGTGGGGCTGGTACTTCTGCAGCATGCGTCTTACCGGTGCGGCGGCGCGGTGGGCCCACAGCGGCGGAAGCACCCGAGTACCCGAGCAGCCCTGTAAATCGACTACGCACGTTGCAAATATATCATTGTGCAATGGTAATGCTCCAGCATATCCATGAATAACAGTAGTGCTTATTGAAATTTGTTTAAATTTGCGACAGGCGAGTCAAACATCAAAAATACTTGGGCCATTCAACGAAATATTAGGAATTGAGTGACCATATATAGCGTGGCTAGATATGCGTTTCACAGACATGGGAGTTGAATTTTGCCCGTGGGAACACCTCATATCCTAGGGTAGTTAATTAGTAGCGTAACCAAGCAGGTGCTTGGGTATGTACTCGACTGTGATATCAATATCAATAGTTCATACCCCGTTCTCAATACCATTATTGTGGTGCTCAATTAGCAAGGGCGCGCCGCGCCTAATCTTGTGGTACTAGATTGAGCTACATAGGCAAGAGGAAAAGGACTAATAGCACTGGGATTGGACGTATTGAGCAAAGGCTCAAACAAAAAGAAGGCGTAGCAAACATGTGTAGAAGAGAAGGTCCGAAATGGAGGAAGAAATCCGTCCAGGCAGATTGGGATGCGTGATCTCATAGTAACCCTTCGTGTTATTGGTCGATCCTGAATATAAAAGTTGATCCTGAGCAAGTGACCCTTCGTTTGATTGGCCGATTTAGGCGAGAGCGAGTGATCCTGGGGTACCCCAGAGTCTCCACGCAAAGGTATAAATTCCCCCAACTTGTCCACCTTCCCTCCTCTTTCTTCCTTCCTCAACCTCCATCTCTTCTAAGTTTTGACTTTCAACTTCCTCCTTCTACTTTAAACTTCGGACTTGCCTTTACAACTTCCAAGTTCCAACTTCATACTTCCTCTTATTTGAGCTTGCTTCCATCTTCTCCAAGTTGCAGCTTCATTCCTCTTGGACCCTGAACTTGCTTCATCACTTCCAACTTCCAAGTTCCATTTTTGAACTTCCACCATGCATCCATGCATCCATGCATCCAACCATCTTCCAACTCCACCCATGATGTCAATTCTCCTTGACACTTGATCCCACATTCTGATCAACAGACCCTCCCATCTCGCCTCTTCGAGCTTCAAGGTACTTTGCAATCATTGTTCTCATCTTCCAACTAACATTTTGTGTTGTTTTTTAGATTGCACCAATCCTCCTCCCAGATGCGCCCCCAAGTGCCTTTCTCGCAATTGCTTCCACCAATCGAGTCTTCTGAAAGGCCACTCTTCCCTCCCGAAGCTTCAACTCCTCGCATCTCGAGACACAATTCTTGGACTCGTCAATGGCATCTTGTTTCATTGTGGTGTGGAGGCACAAGCCACAGGTTTACAACGACATTGGGCATGCGGTGAAGAAGCACCGGCCAACAACATCATGCTGGGCCAGTCTTTTCTGAACAGGCGTCACTCAACTGCAAATTCCCATATTGAGTGTCAGTACAAATTCAGACTGGGCTTGAGCCACAACTACGATACGCGTTTGGGACACCGCATCAGAACACAAGCATTCCAACCACAACACACCAACCCACAACACATCGATCCACAGTTCATCATCACACAGTACATCAACACACAAGGAGGTGAAGAAGCACCCACCCAAACGATCTTGTTTCCTTGTGTTCGTGATTCGGATCTTAACTTGCAGAAGACTCAGCCTTTGTACATATTGCTTTTGTTCTCAGACAGTGGTCTTCAATCTTACTCTGTCAAACCAACCATTAACTTTGCACTTGTAAATATTCTTCACATGATTCCAAATTCGTACCTCCCTATCACTGCATCCCCATCTCCTCACCAGTAGGTCTCATACAAGAATCCGCCAGCCCAGTAATCTTCCACTCCCCATGAATCTTGTGCAACACAAAAAGCTCCACACCAACATGATCCACAACCCCATTGATCTTCGCCCGGAAAGGTGCCCAAACAGCCGCAAGATTGCCTCCTCCATGCACCTTGACCTCTGGATCCCAGATACGCTCATCAACGTCATCCTGTAAAGTTGCCATGTACTCGATGAACGAGCCAATTGTGCAGAAACGGAGTGCTGTAGATGTTGGCGGCGGAGGGGAGAGGGACATGCCACCAGCACGTACGCAGTGCCTTTCGAAGTCGAGTCGGGATTTGGTGTTCAGTGCTGAAAGGAAACCGTTTGTTACTGCTAATATGGCGTCGATTTCTTTGGAGGGCGAGGGCTCTGGGGTTGATACTTCCCAGCACATGATTGGGATTTCTTGGTATCAATTTGAGATTAGAGATTAGAATGATGAATATGGTGCGGTGGGACGAGATGTAAATCTCATCCTGGAAATTTATGGGGGGGGGTTTGATGCTTATTTTCTCTTGCTTAATGGGGCAGTTGTTGTAAGTTCTGATTATCGTGACGTTGCAATGTGGCTCGGTGGATTGCATGCTGTATAACCCTCGTCCCTACGAGTCCAGGATCCGAGTTTGCGTCGTACGGAATAGATCAATCTCGGCTCCCAGCAGCACAGTACCTTGGAAAGTGTGGAGTCAATATACGAGCGACAAAAGGCTGAAACGGACTAATAGTAATCAATTGGACCAAGAGGGCTGCCTCCGGCTGTTAATATGTGCAAATTCAAGTCATCGTCTAAAATGCAACTCAACCCCACACCCGGATATCTATCTACATTGACGGATGTAAGGGATTCTCTAATTCTTTTTGCCCCGAAGGAGCTCCCAGCCGACAGATCCGTTTCGGCCTTCATTGGTAGTCACCTCGTTGACGGCTTTGATAAGATCGTAGGTGATTTCCTCGGACACAACACTGTCCTGCTTATAGCTTGGGTGCTTGGCAACAAACTCGCGGATCCATCGGGCTCCCGTCCAAAGAGTACCGTCGGCGCGTTTGCGGATGAGATCCAGGTAGCTTGCAAGGAAGCAACGTGTTTCGACATCCACATTGACGCTGTTCAGGTAGGACTCCACAAGCGGGATGAGACCAGGGAACGAACCATCAGTGCATCCATTTACGATGTCAGAAATGGTCATTAGCTCATACTCGACCTCGACTGGGCCAAGAGGAGGGGACGGTGGTGGCGTGTTGATAGCTGACGACGTCGTAGAGGAAAATGTGCTGCCGTCTGAAGACTGCTGAGCGGGAACCTTAGGAGCTCGCGCCGAGAAAGGGTCTTTGCGGAAGTAGAACTTATGATCGAGAACAGCATTGCGAGCATGAGCAGTCTCCATGTTCTCCGTGGTGCGCTGGATGGGTATGTAGAAATTAAGGTCAAAGCTCAGGATAGCACGGGTGATCAGAACGATGAAGATGCTGAACGCCGCATTCTCAAAGTCGGTAATCTGGATCTCCATTGAGCGGAACTCGACTCGCCAGCCAATGTCGTCCTTGTCGGATGGTGGGGGCTTGAATCGCATGTGTTGCCAATTTGTGGACTGGAGATTTTCAAAATGATCACCCTTGCTCAAGTCGAGTTCCTCGAGATCCTCAGAGAAGATCACCAAGGGATCACGAATGAACAGATGGGCAAAATGCGTGGCGAGTAAGTCATCCATGCCTCCATCCATCAGGCGCTTTTTAATATCGTGGTCAACGACCAAATCTGGGTCAAGGTATTCCTTCCGCAGCCGAGGGTCTTCAGAGATATAAGTCGAGTTAGAAGCGTATCGGGACTTGGGAATCCTCCACCGGTCATTTTTAAGGGGCTATTTGAAAGCAGATTAGTACAAAATTCCAAGTCCGGTAAAAACTTGGGCGACAAGAACTTACAGCCTCTCCAAGCTCCTCGGGGGTCCTGTCATCCACGGCTCCGCTAATCTGATTCCACCGCACATCTGTATCCACAAGGAAACCCTTGTAGATCGGCGTGGCTGCCGTAAGAGCCAAAAGAATCGGACCAAGTGGGCTCAGCTGATCATACAGCCTCCTGCCTTCAGTCATGTTCTTTGCCTGGAAGGTGATCTGCAAGCAGCAGCTACCCATTCCAAAAGCCATGGCGTCCATATAGACATGGTCATCCTTGACAGCACCGTTGCGGACATCATCATCTTCCGGCCAAAGATGCAGATCATAGTTGACGGTGGGGTCTTTAAAGGGCGAGGGGGTGTTCTGATCCTTAAAGATAGGCACATTCAATTCAACCTTGCGCCCTCGCCGGGAACGAATGTTGGCGGCCAATGTTGGGAATCGGATATGTGGGTTGGCAATCTCATCGGGCACAAATTGTGAGCGAAGAGCCGGCCCTGATGGTGGATAATAAGGCTGGATATAATCATCCTTCGTGCCCAGCCGAGGGAAGGTTGTAAGAGTTATGGGCGACTCATTAGGTGCCATATGCGCCTTGGCAACCTCTCGTCTTGAGATAATCAGTACTGTTGCTCATAATCAATAGACGAACAACCTACCGCCACTTCATATTAGATTCCACCTTCAACAAATCCTTGAATCCAATACCCCACGGGCTTCCTGGAGTGGCCTCAAGCATGAACCGTCCAAATTCAGGATGGAAATGTGGGGGATCTTCGCCGGCGCTAACAAAGGGTCAAAATCTGCTCTTGCTCCGCAGATCAGCAATCAATGCTTACTGTTCCCCATTGGCGTCGTTCTCAGACGAGCCAGCTTGCCACAGAGCCTCATCACGAGCGAGAGACTTTAGAATTTCGGCCTGTGCCAAAGATAACCGGGCCTTCTTGGCTGCATCGTCGAGGGACACTACAAGATATTCGACCTAGTACACCGAGAACAAAATGTCAGCTTCGTCAGACTAGCATAGTTTGCTTGTTGATCGTACTTCGTCGCCCCACAGTAGAACATCCCGTTCCTTGCCTCGCGCTCGTCGCCAATTCGCCAGGAGTTGCTGCATAGCTAGTCAGATCATGTCATGTCACGGCAATCAACAGCCCCACTGAGCTGCCTCGGCAGTTATATGCTCATACCTCAATTCCCCACTCGCGCACCTGCTGGGCCCTCTTCTTTGCCTCTGGCCATTCGAGAGGAGTTCCAAGAGCACTACAGACAGGTTAGCAACCCTCCATGTGCTTCATTGAAGCAAGTATCACGCACAGCAGTCCCATTGTCGCTAGCCTTCCACTTTTGGTTTTGCAATTCACGTAATACCGATCAAAGCCAAAAGATGAATAGATAGGACGGCACTCTCGACCCACGGCAGGACCAAAGGCCAGGAAATGTAAGAGGTGAGAATGGAGGTATGGACGGAAGTGTCTAAAAGAACTTCAAGTCAAGCCGCGCATGGGCCCGTTCCGACCGGTTCTTTTAAATTCTTGCATTGAGGGGGAATTTTCGCCGTAACAGTTCCCGGCGGGGCAAGATCTCGGCGATAAGAACCTGGATTTCTAAGCAATCAGGTGATGCCGATTACTTTCATTATATGGTTTACTTGATATATTCATTACTCCAATAGACAGACTAATTTTATGAGCTTTCTGACCGATTTTGACGCTACTGGGTGTGTGGTGTGCGGTCTCTTTGAGTACATATACATGGATGAGCAATTCTCACCCTTGTCTAGTGAATGCCGGCTGACTTGATCTCTGCGGAGTAAGAGCGCCACACTATTGCTGACCCCGGCCATCTCACACCAATGTTCCAGTCGCATGTCTCGAGAAATATATCCCCTGCAGGGTATGGTAGGATCTGCAAGCCGCTACCAATGCACACAAGTGGCATCAGAAATGTGGCTGACAAATCCGTCACTACCGCTCGTGCCGCTCGTGAATTGCATCCTGATGCAACTATTATGCTTTGGTGTAGCTTCACTCCATATATTCACTCCGGTATTCGGAGGCGGAGTGGGTGCTGCTGTCAGCTTATGAAACAAGCAATTGACACATCAATCCAACCGCAATTTTATCGGGCATTCTTTACCCCAGAAATTGAAAAGGAAAAAAAAACAAGGTCCTTAACGCCATAAAAGGCAGTCCATGGGCACTCTCGAGATATCATATATGTACATAACCTGCTGCTTGGCCAGCAGCTCACACGGAAACACACAACGCAAAGTCGGCAAGCTCAGTTGCTGCGGGCACCATCCTTGGCAGCGCGCAGCTCGTCCATCTTGGCCACGCGCTTCTTGAACTCGTCGTACTGGCACTTCTCGTAGGTATGACGCTCGTTCTAGTGACGTAGAAAAGTTAGCCGGGATACACCGCAGATATGCGCCTGACCGAGGTGATTTATTCGGGGCGCAGGGTGAAGAACCATACCTCACACTTCCACGGAAGGTAGTACTCTGCTTGCCGGCACCGGTTCAGAGGAATCAAAAGGTGTGCACATGAGTCGCGGTATTGAATGGGGAGGCGGGCCTCGGACATCTCCTGGCGGGTGGCTGAATCGAGCATCATGTTAGCTTCATACGGGTTTGAGAAGTCTCAATGGACTGAATTTGTACCGGAGGTCTCCGCAAGGCCCACAGCGCTTTTGACCGACTCAGTAATAGACATTGTGGCAAGAGTTGGTGTGGTTGAGACGGTCGGGAGGAGGGGGGACAGGCACAAGTGGTGGAGAGGCAGGCTGGCCTTCACTTTGAGGTATCTCGTTTGCTCGCGGATACGGAGTCATGTGATATAGATATCACATGATTGGACGAGACCCCTGTGTCACGTGGCTTGGTTATAGTCAATTGATTATATATCACGTGATAATGAATGATCGAGTCTTAGATAATTCACTAATACGGTTAGCGCATAAAATCCACTTAACGCGGTACCAAACCGCGTCGCTGCGCGTATCTTGGATGGCACCCTAGACTCCACCCAGCAATTCTATCCCAACGCTCTCTGCGCAATTACAAGGTGCATGAAATGCATCAATCCTGACTTATTTGTGATATCAATTGCCTTTGTGAAATTCCTAAAAGTTTCTTGGGCGCTTAAGTGCGGGCCACATCGCCGCTCGGAAACTTGCTACATCACCAAATCTTACAGTGATTCACACCATAGCAAAGATGGATACTATTTACTCGGCCACCTACAGCAATGTTAGTTTATTTGTCTACTGATGCCTCTAGGCCACACAGCGAGCTTTGCAGGGCAAACATTGCGCTTTAGTCTCTCCCTGAATGGTGCTAATTCCCGTTCCTCCAGGTGCCGGTGTATGAATTCAAAATCGATGGCGACAGTATTATGCGACGGAGGTCAGACGATTGGGTGAATGCAACTCATGTCCTCAAGGCTGCTGGGTTTGACAAGCCCGCGAGAACTCGAATTCTGGAACGAGAGGTTCAGAAAGGAAATCATGAGAAAGTGCAAGGTGGATATGGAAAATACCAGGGTGGGTTGTGGTACCCGAAGATCGAGGAACGAAGCGTACAATTAAATGGACTTAGCTGACCTATGACAAAACAGGAACATGGATTCCCCTTCCAGAAGCTCGCATGTTGGCGGAGCGCAACAATGTCTTCGCCAAGTTGGCACCTATCTTCGATTACGTTGCTGGTGACCGCAGTCCCCCACCTGCACCCAAACACACCTCCGCAGCCTCAAAACCACGTGCACCACGCAAGTCGGCCAAAAATGCTGCGGCCGTCGCCACGGAGGCCTTCTCCGTGATTCAACCAACTCCAAATCGATCCATGGGCCCTCCAACCCTCACACACGAACAATACGAGATGAGCAACGGGTTTGATGACAACGAATCCATCGAACAGGCAAATCTCGAAACTTCCTCCATGATGGCAGATGAAGATATGCATTTGTCTATGTCTTTTGGGGGGCGAAAGCGCAAGCGCGGCATGAACGAAGCGCCCACTATGACCATTACTGAGCAGGAGCACATCATGTATGGTGACCAATTGCTGGATTACTTTATGACTGTAGGCGATGCACCCCAAGCGACACGCATCCAACCTCCAGTACCTCCCGCCCATTTCCAGATTGACCGGCAAATTGATGACTCGGGCAACACGGCATTGCACTGGGCTTGCGCCATGGGCGATCTGGAGATTGTTCAAGATCTACTTCATCGAGGAGCCAATGCCAAATCTCTGTCCATTCATGAAGAGACCCCGCTTGTTCGAGCTGTGTTGTTCACGAACAACTATGAAAAACGGACTTTCCCTACTCTGCTGGATATGTTGCTGGACACCATAACATTCAGAGACTGGTTTGGAGCCACAATTTTTCACCACGTTGCTGAGACCACTAGGAGCAAAGGGAAATGGAAGAGCTCAAAGTATTACTGCGACATCCTCCTCGATAAGCTGTGCAAGAATTTCTCTCATGATGAGGTCGACTTGTTGCTGGCCTGCCAGGACGACAATGGAGACACAGCTGCCCTTGTCGCTGCTCGCAACGGATCATTCCGCCTAGTGAAACTATTGACAGCTCATTGCCCTCGATCTGCCGACCTCGTAAACAAAAAAGGAGAAACGGCTTCCCAGATCCTCCAACGGTCCCAACTTGAGAATGACATCCCGCCTGCCCCATCATCCGTCACCATGGCCAATGATCACATGGATGGTGAGATGAGTGGTCTAATGCCTTCCGACCGCATGTCTATTGCACCACCACCCATCGACCCCGCTGCAAATCAGGACTTGCTTTCCAAGATCGGTGCGATCATGGCGGAGGCCAACAAGAAATTGACAGTTACATACAGCAACACCAAAGTCTCCTCACAGGACTCCACCGATGTTGCCAACCCCGAGGCACTCTATGAGCAACTCGAATCAGACCGCGAGAAGATTCAGAAGCAAGTTATTGCTCTGGGTGAAAAAGAGGCTATGTACGAACCCAGCGACAACCAACTTCGTCGTTATGAGAAGCTGCGCGGCACCTATGAGTCTCTCCTTGAGCGTGTGCAGTACGATCGTCTTGTGGAGAAATTATCATCAGCCAAGGCAATCGCCTCCCCGAATGCACCCTCTCTAAGCCCAGAAGAGCTTATCGCACAATACCAACTTGCACGCGAGCTCTGCGCTGCACAGAAGAAGCGACGCAACGCTGTACGGGACCTTGCTCAGCAGACCGCAGATGCGGGTGTGAGCACCAAGTTTGATGTGCACCGTAAGCTGGTGGCTTTAGCCACTGGCTTAAAGGAAGAGGAGCTTGACCCGATGGCGGCTGAGCTGGCTGAAACTCTAGAGTTTGACCGCTTGAATGGCAAGGGTACATCTCCCGAGCCAGGCCACCACCGACTGCCATCTCTGGTAGAATCTGCCCCGCTACCCTCAGGCCCTGTGGATAACTAGGTGCTCTCATGTGTACATGTAATGACTTTCATTTGTGCTTTTTCCATCCTCCTGGCTGGTTCCTCTCAACCTCACCAGCAGATACCCCGTGTTTCCTTTTCGTCCTGTGCCATGCTCATACTTCATCTTCTTGTTCTTAAATTTCGCCCCAATATTATTGTTATTAACTAGTTTATTACTATCTTAACTTTCTACTCTTTTGGACATTATGTATGCACTGCGGATTCTGGCCAGGCCATAATGTTTTCCACCCGCTCGGTGTTAGGCAGTCATTATAATCCATAGTGGTATTGATATCGAGTACATATCCAGTTAATTACTTAAACACACAAGGTGTGTCCGGAATGTGAAAGTGATGAAGCTACTGTCTGTCCTCGAACCTGATCCAAGGCTCATGAAGTACTACGGAGATCGCAGAGAACACGTTCGAGCACCAATTATCGGTACCATTTACTGTGCAAATTTGTCTCATTGCCTGTAAAGGAATTTGAGAGCAGAGTACATAGAAGTGGAGCAACGCTTTTGACGTGTCCACATATGTGTATCCCAATTCTGCAACAGCCACATGCGATCCAAGCTCCGTGTGCTCTGACGCGGAGCTTTGAAATCGGCTGACATCGATCGGCAACATGGGCGTAGATCATAATCACGCTAAGGCCCCCTCAATCTCCTCCCCAAAGCGAAAACAATCCCCATTCACAAACTTCCCACGGTGCCCACCGCACAAAGAGGAAGCTATGGCCCACATTGCCCATTCGATGCATGAAATAGTTAGCAAATCTTGCCACATCGAACCTCGGAAAGCCCCCGTAAGGCGTTTATGCTGCATCTATTGGCTGCAGGTTGGGGGCTTGGCACTGACGCCGGGCGGCTCCAGGGGCGATATGAGACGAAGAGGCGGACGTGTCGGTGGGCACTAGCGGCCCTGAGCCAATGAAACCTCAGAGGATGTGACGGGGGGCTCTGGGCTATGATGGGCTCGTCACCTTCCAGGCGTGTATTCGTTGGTGATTGGGTGTTGGACCCCAAATCGTTGATTCCTCCAGGGCGAGGGTTAGGGAGAAACCCTGATCTCAGCTGGATATGCAATAAAAACCATAATACCCTTCTATCTTGTGATTAGTTCCTAGATATATAGGGCTGTTCAAGACATTTTCTCCAAACTTGAACCGAGAGTCGCGATACTGCGTGCCTGAGGCACGAAACCCGTCCATTCCCCACATCCGCACCGTTCTTCTTCCACTTCTCTTCTTTCTTCCTCCCAACCATCCTTCTTTCTTTTCTTCTTCGCATTCTTTTATTCTCTGCGGCTCGCGTCGTTGATTGGGAACAAAAAATTCATAATACAAAAAAAAAGCCTTCTCTCAACTGCCAACTGAGTTCGTCCGATTCGTTCCGCCCCTGAAGAAAAAGCGCGAGATTCGTGAGATTCGATTCGATTGTCAATATTATTTTGCCCCGGACCACCCCCCCCCACGATATTCGCATCTCATATCTGCATCATTGTGCCTGGGGCCATTTTTGTTTCGTCCATTCTCGCCACCCTTCGAATCTCACCGTGGTGCCTTGCCAGCTGGTCGTGTTTCAGGATCTCTTCTCCCCCCGAGTCCGCCATAACCCGCGCCACCTCGCTTCATTTTCACTTCATCAGGGACTTGCAGAGCATCTCCCATACTTTTCTTCCGGTTCTCACTGAGAGAGATCTCTTTGACTTATTCGCCTAATTCACCTCCACCTTTTCGTCCGTTTCTGCGCTTCGAAACGATCCTCGGCTTCTGATCCCGAGTGTGAAAAAACAACAACCTTGTACAGCTTGATAATACTGGCATTGCGTTTTTGCTGTCTCCATTGAGCCTGTCATTCTACTGCATACCTTCACTTGTGGTCCGTGACCTTGTATTTCTGCTTGGCGAACATTCACTCTGACGGATTCCTTGATTCAAGAAATCACGTCCTTCACCCACGATTTCTCATCTCGCATCCGAAGCTTTGATTGCTCTCAGTTTCGGCATACCATTCTTGACATTAGACTTCCTAATCATCTAATCGCCCGTGAAAGCTTTGAGCTTAGTGGTTGATCCCAAGCTCTCGATACCCGTTACGGATACTTTGAACGCGACTCACCCTTCGCTCAGCCTTGCACATACCCTTCACCATCTCACTTCACGAACAATGAGTATGGACGCTGGCGGTCTTGCTCAAATGACCTACAACTCCTCCTTCAATAATGGCAGTTCCCTCGGGGTCCCCGGCTCCGGCTTCGCGTCCCGGGGGAAGGGCTCTCATATCAAGCGCCTGAGCGTGCCTCCACAGGTCGCAACCATCGACGAGTCTCAGACTCCTTCCATCGCAACTCCGCGCACCAGTCGATCTCACCTCTTGGCTGGGCTCCGAACTGCGCCCAAGTCCGCGACCATCCCTTCTCAGCAGCAGCGATATGCTATGGAGGGAGGTCGGATGCCTTCTAACCGAGGTGCCGATCGAGTCCCCCAAACCGCCACGGGAGCTGGATTCCCGCAGCACGCCTACACTTCCAATAACGGCATGAACTCCTACCATCACCAGCAGCAGAAGAACCGGGAACGAGAACGGGAGAGGGAGCGGGAACGCCTTATGTACACAATGCCGGAGCAGGTGCTTGCACCACCAATGATTGACATTGGTGGCGGCGAGATGATGGACGAAAACCTCTATGCAGAGCTCATGTCCACCAATTTATTCCTTGCCGCGCAACAACAGCGTCTCCAGCAGCAGTTGATCAGTGTCACCGCTGCAGCCCAGCAGTTTCAGGGACTGAACCTCGGGATGTCTCTTCAACAGCAGCAACAGCAGCAGCAGATGCAGCAGCAGATGCAGCAGCAGATGCAACAGCAGATGCAATCCTTTGTGCCCGGTATTGGACTCTACCAGCAACAGCTTCAGCAGGGTGTGCAGCCTATCGTGCAGCCGGTCCCCGGTCAGCCTGGTTTGTTTTCTGTTTACAACCCTCTGACTGGCCAGCAAAGCTACGTCATGGACAACAGCGCCCAGGAGGACCACTCCACATACCACGGAAATCAATCTGACTCGCAGGTTCCTCAATTTCGTGCTGAGATCTCCCCGCCTGCCGACCCTACTCCGTCGCAGATGTACTTCCCTCAGCCCGTGTCTCCTCCCAGTGGCACTCCTTCCCCACCCATCGAGTCATCTGCTAGTGCTTTCCGGCGCAATCACCGGAAGTCTCCATCTTTCAATCCTACGTTGAAGACCAATATCGACACGAACAAGGCCAATACTGCACCCGGCCCTCGGTCAGCTGTTTTCCCTCCTACCCCAGCCACTGGAACATTCGGGCCTGGCCAGGCACGTGCTGGTGAGCACCCAATCCGCCAACCTCGTGGTCCTCCCTCGCTTGAGGATCTCGTGGCCAAGCCAACCTCCAAGCATGAGGGAAGCAAGAACTTTGCTACCCGTCAGCGCCGCCGTGCCGTCCACAACCTGGTTCGCGCTGGGATTGAGCGCCGCGGTGACAGCCGTAGCTATGGGTACAACAGCAGCGGAGGCACCAACACTCCAGCGAGCGAAAAGGAGTTCACCTTCTCGGATGGTGATGACGCAACTGTGCGTAGTGGTAGCCTTTCCAGCAAGCCCAGCTTGGGTAGCCTGCGTGCGGCTGCCAACGGTGCCATTGGATCTGAGCGCAAGGAGAAGACCAGCCGAAGATCCCCTGAGAGTCCTTTCCACAGCGTTACCCCTACAAGCGAGGACGGATACTTCTCTGCCAAGTTTGCAGAAATTCGTGCGGAACAGGAATATTCCCCAACGAGCACTTCGGGAACATCGTCTCCATCCGTGGCAGCTGTCGTCGCGGGCCAAGGGCAAGCCGCTCAGGCACCGGAGCGCCGCAAGACTCCGATGCTTGTGTTGTCGAGCGCCGAAAAGCGCAAGACACCTCTCATGTAATGCCAATCATCATGTGACAGCGACGTATGACCTTCAATTTCTTTGTTGCGTGGGCCGTTTTTGCTTTTTATCTTAGTGCCCTTACCCTTTATGAGAGCCAATGGCTCTTGCCATTCATTCTCTGTTATTCTTTTATCACTGGCAACCTCGATCTTGCCTTGATGCGCGTTTGATGAAAGACTTGGATCAGTCTACAACGACTTCTTTTCTACTCCCTTCTCTTCTCCCGTTCCTTTCTACACTTTCTTTTCGAAGTGTCCATTTTCAGATTCCCTTCTTGACGCTATTCTGATCGGCTCCACTTGCGTCTTGCTGTTGATGGAACCTAATCTATCTTTAATCCCATGTCGAGGCCTTGAGCCTGACATCTGGATGGAAGCGATGGCTACAGCCATCCTTCATTTTTTTTCTCTGGTTCCTTTTTTGACGGGGTTCCGTTGTACATCCGGTTATGTGCAGACAGTTCTCCCTATAGGTCCCTTGTAGCATTAGGGCCTGTTAGTCCAATACATAGCTCTACAGCTGATGATTGATTCTTCCCGGTAGTCCATAAGCTATTGCCAGTAGTTTCATCTGGAATGCGTAGATACGTCCAATGTTCCTTGACATTTGAAAGTAGATATTGCCTCGCTGCCCAGGCGTATTCTGGGACTAGAAGAGCTTTGCAAATGTATATCAGAGATCAAGTGCCGTGCAAAGTACCCATACGAAACAAGTAGCCCAATGCGACCCACGTGGAATGAACGCTCAAGCTTCTGTGCCAACAATGCAGCCAGCGTGGCAAGTGCGTGTACTTCCCGCGAACCCTATAGGGGTCTACAGGGATGGAGGAGATCTGTCGGTTGGACGGCAGATGCGGAATTCCCGGACGAGGCGAGAGTCTGCTAGTAGTGATAATAGTCTTAGGTTACAGACCTCGGGACTCGTTGTTATCTGTGATTGGGACGAACCTGGTACCTAGCAGGTGCAAGACATAAGAGTGTCAGATCCCGAGCTTTGGAGGCCATATTCGTAGCCTTCTTTGGATCTTACATCAAATGTGATACTGTATACTTTATTCTAGGAATGCTTGTTCAATGCCTATGCCTTTCCTCCGAGGTTGATATCAGACTCATTCCTGATATATATTAATGGATACGAAATCACATTACCGGGCTCTGCAATTGCTCAATAGTCCACACGGACTCCTACCAAAAGGAACAATACATGAAAGCGAAGCCCAGGACCCTGTTACTAGGATGGCAAATCAAACTATCCCGGAGTTTATGGTAGGGTACCTAAACACCCCAAGCATTAAAGCTGAACCCACCATGCTAATCGAAGCCTCTTTCCAAATTGGGAATGATAGTTCCCTCATTGGGTTCTAGATTCAAATAATCTTATGGTTGCCCAACCGCTGCCTCTTCAAGCATCCGCAAGCCAGATTTAGAAAAAGAAGATTGTTTGGTAGCTCCCACCTGACACTGAAACCAACCCGGACTATAGATCTAGACTCGGGCCGAGAAACTCAAAGTATCAGGTTCCCAGTGGAGCTTAGGCTTCGACGAACATGATCCTCATATAAACTAAACTTTCCACTCACATTCCTCGCGGACCATTCATTGATGGTAAGGAAAAGAGATTGGCGTTACTAGTGCTCACTCTGTTGAATGTGAATGCGACACAAAACCAAGTTATCATGGATGCCTATGTTGGTTGGTGTTTGGGGATATTCGAGACAACTCGGACATTGCCAACTATTGTGACCCGTGGACCGTGGATGTTTATTTATTTTTATAGATCTCGGGTTCCGGAATAGGGAACAGTCATGAAGTGATCCACGGTTCGTGCAGAATAGAGTTCGTAGATCTATCGGAGGGAAAACAGTACTATCATTAATGAACCTTGTACCTGGGTTCCTTGATTAAAATAAAATAGATTATCAAGAACGTGATCTTATAGCAGATTTGTTCTTCCCCAACCCGGTCTATTGCAGAGTGCCAAGTAGGGAACCCGGCGTGGGACACTGCTTGTCACTATGACGGACGTTAGCTCACATATTAACAGTTGGTCCCTGCGTCCGTGTCGGACGGACAACCTCGGCAGGCTCACCGGAGGGGCTGTGCAACTTGGAGGGGGAAAGGGTGACACGGAGAAGTGGTGCGGTCGCATTGCTGCAGCGAGCACGAATGGGAAAAGGGGTGGAGTGGAGCTTTCCGTTTCGAGGTGGATAGATGTCTTGATCAAATATGATATGACTATTCTTAGAGGAATTCGCAATCCATAAGTAAAAAGCAAATCCCTTTGCCTTGCTTTCGGGATGCCGATCCAGGGGAACTTCGGCCTCGGCCCATGATCGTCGATGTAAGCGCTCATGTGCGAAGATCGCGGGCCCGTGGGGCCGTTAGCAGGGCCGGAGGGATCCAGGGCCACGGAAGCTTAATTGTCAGAGCTTCAGCCAGTTTTAGTGAGTCCTGGAATTAGCCCTTGCTGGGGCTGTGGGTGATACAATGACGCGCAACAAGGCTCTGTCTATGAGACACCGGCTGACATCATTATGGACACGCTCTTGTTTTGCGAAGGCATGCGCGCACGTACAAGAATTATTTGTACTATGTAAAAGCCCTAGATGTAGGTCATAGATCATACAGAGAGTGGCGGGAATAGTTAGTTCAGTGTCAAGTCATCACTTTTGAAGTTGTGATCATGAAGATTCTAGTTATTTCTGCATCGACCGTTTCTCGGGGCCTATGAACCAATCAGACATGCGGATTCCCGCATGCGTTGTTGATGATCTGGGTACAGCAGGATATGAAGGGCCAAGATTCCTTCCGATGGTGCAATCAAAAGTAATGGATCCATTGTACAGCTCCGGATAACTTGTGGAGCAATTGTCGATCAGGAACAGACATAATGCATACATTTCATGTCCTATATGCAAAGGGGTTGATCGAGACATATTTTAAATCGCCCCTCTATGCATTCAGGGCATACGCGTCCCTGACCGTTATCTATAGCTCTTGCAATATGCCAAATTGCACATTTGCCGCCCTCGCGTCGACTCCACTGTATTGCATCTACATGTGAATATTCGAATCCTTCAAACCTTCTCTGGACTACTGGATATCAATCTTAATTACATCTAGAGACTACAGAAGCTTATGCTTTTTTTTATTTTTTATTTTTATTTTTTAGGATTTTTATCTGTATTTTCAAATGATTTGGGCTTTGGGCCTTGTGGTACCTCATGGCCTCTGGTGGAACCGAGATTGTTCCTTTAGCATTGAGCTTGGACACCTTGCTGATGACCCGCTTTTTGATTTGATCAACTACAGCTCAGATCAGGGAATATTCGATAAGATACAATCCAGGTTGTCGATCTTACTCGTCTCGGAGCATACCCGGCAAAAGGAGGCGTTTGGGGAGGAGCTGGATGAAGTAAGAGTCGTGCGTTTGATCGTGTTTCGTAATTCTCAAACCATTCTTAGAGTCAGACCCCGGTGATTTATCATGGTGGCAAATAAGAAATCGATTAAAAAAATAAAATCATAGGGGAAGTCGGGAGGGGCATTCCCCCCTCCTGTAGACTTCATGTGGTCCCTAGGGCAGCACCCTTTTTAGGCTGTCTCTAGCCGCATAGTCCAACCGTGGATATCCGGCTTTCATCTTTAAACTCGTCCTGTTCACTTCCATAATCTTTGTTCGTTTGATGTCATAATTACCTTGAACTTAAGTCGCCTCATCTTTGATGATGTTGTTTGTGACATAATATCATTCCTGGAAGCGGTCCTTCCATCCAACAGTCCTGCCAAACCCCCGATCCCCCGGACGCCCTTGTGGCCACCAGTCATTTCGTCCCAAGCCAAGAAACAAGGTTGGAAGAGCTCTTGACGTTTACTAGTGGACTATCAATAGAAGCTCATGTGGGTTCACTGGAGATCTTTCCCTCTCCTTTTGGGTCTCACATAGCTGACCGTTGCCAGGTTACAATACTTGGCCCTACAAGATTACACCAAAAATCGAAAGTCGGAGAACCATTTTACTCAGGACTGATTTGAGCTGAGGTGGACTGTTTCATATTAAAAAAGACGATTGATATCACGAAAAGAGAATGGCGGGGGGCTACTTTGAGCTCCCAGTCTCCCGCCGCTCGAGTGTGTCTGATAACGGAGCAGGACCAAGCAAAATATCTTCAGTGTCACGTCAAGCATCATTGCCCCTGCCGAATGATGGGTTCCAGGGCCAGCAGACGTATCGGGATGAGAGGTCGAATGATGTTGGCGCACAGGGCAGGCATCGGAATGCCAGCCCTCTCAAAAGCACCAATCGTGTCAAGTTCACCGTGGAAGAGGCAGAGCTATTGCAACAAGACGGAGCTAGGGTTGACTCCCGACTGGACCGAAGGGGGACTGTGCTCCCTCAGAGACCCTTACCCACTGCCAACATTCCTTTCTTCCAGGCAACGGCACCTGTGGACCCTCCTGCAGACCCTCCTGCCTCACCCTCACTGGTGGAAGAAAGCCCCAGCGCGCCAGCCGATGTCACTGGCTTGACGATCAGCTACCAGACAAGCTCATCGGGTACCGGAAAGATAGAGGAGCTTGGACTCGGTACAAATGACAAAGGGCGGGCAGTATCTTATGCACAAGAACGAGCTCAACGACTAGCACCCCTTCTGAGCTCACAAAAATCTCCGAAGCCAAGTCCCCGCTCTAGCTTAGTATCTTCAATTGCATCTACTCCGACTGACGGTGTATTTCCAAACGAAGATGGGGATGAGATTCCTATGATCAGCTTCCGCGAGAAACAACAACTATTCGACGACCTAACAAACGAGAATGAATATACACCACGCACAGCCGAATCTTTTCATTGCGTGCGACAAATGTCCCGTCGTGAGTATCCTTTCTTGCCTCGCATTCGCCCTCCCTCTCCAGGACCTCACTCTGGCCATGTCACTCCCAGTGATGGCAGAGACTCAGAGACCTATGTCGAACGGCCAAAACAATACCGTGGAGGCATTCTATCCTCCATCCTGAAGCTATACGACCAGCAAACTGGAGGGCCTCCAGACTATAGCCCCAACCGAAGCCGGTGGGGTCGTCCCAGAAAGGGGAGTTCCGCAGAATTCAGTGAACATGAATTCTGTCCTGATCCTATCTGGAGACCACACCGGCCTAGGAAATGGTATGAAAAATCATCCAGCCGGTCGAGCAGTACTTTTGGGTCTGGCTCATCACAAAAGAGTACCTCTCCATTTGCTATGCTGAAGCGATCCCACAGCAGCGGTGCAGTGGGGGGTAAGGGACATCGATGGGCTAGGGCGGACCATCTCGCAGATGAAATCCGGATCACAGTTCACATCGCAGAGATTCTTACACGCCAACGATATCTCATGCGGCTTTGTCGTGCCCTGATGAAGTACGGTGCACCAACTCATCGACTAGAGGAGTATATGCGGATGACTGCCCGCGTGCTGGAAATAAATGGCCAGTTTCTGTATTTCCCCGGTTGCATGATTATCTCCTTTGACGACGCCTCCACGCACACGACGGAGGTTAAAGTCGTCCGGTCGAGCCAAGGAGTTGACCTTGGCCGACTGGCAGATGTACACGAGATCTACAAGGAGGTGATCCACGATGTGATCGGAGTGGAAGAGGCTATCCAGCGATTAGATGAAACAAAAGCAAGGCCTAACAAATACCATCTTGTACTCCAAGTTCTTGCCCACGGCTGCGCAAGTGCATGTGTTGGACCTTTCGCCTTCAACGCGCGACCAATCGACATGCCAATTGCTTTCTTACTAGGATGTCTCCTCGGCATCCTGCAGCTCGTTCTCTCCCCAAAATCGAGCCTGTACTCGAATGTCTTCGAGGTCTCAGCCGCCGTGTTGACTTCATTCCTGGCTCGCGCCTTCGGAAGTATACGATACCAAGGCGATCCACTATTTTGTTTCTCAGCACTGGCCCAATCATCCATTGCCCTCATCTTACCGGGATACACGGTTCTTTGCGCAAGCCTAGAGCTTCAATCCGGCAGCATCATTGCAGGTTCCGTGCGGATGGTCTACGCAATAATCTACTCCCTGTTCTTGGGATTCGGAATCACAATCGGCACAGCTGTATATGGCCTCCTAGATGCCCAGGCTTCAACGGAATACACATGCCCTGCTAGCCCTATCACGAACGAGTACCTCCAACGCTTTCCATTCGTGTTACTCTTCACTGTCTGTCTAGCCATCGTCAACCATTCCAAATTGAAGCAGATCCCTATCATGCTCGTTATCTCCTTCGCCGGCTACGTGGTCAGCTACTTCAGTGGGAAGCGCTTCTACTCTAATACACAAATCTCCAATGCCCTTGGCGCCTTCGTCATCGGTATCCTGGGCAACTTCTACAGTCGTCTTCGGCACGGCCTTGCTGCCGCCGCAATGCTGCCTGCTATCTGGGTGCTTGTTCCTTCTGGTCTGGCGGCTAGTGGATCTTTGATCTCGGGGATTACTGCAGCAGAAGAAATGACCCGCACTCGGTATGATGTTGTGAGCAATGGAACGCAGGGTTTTGTCGATGCGGCGAAGAACATGTCTACTTCTGAAGCTAGGGACCAGAGCACGGGCGTGGCCTTTGACATTGGCTACGGTATGGTTCAGGTTGCCATCGGGACGACTGTGGGTCTTTTCCTGGCTGCCCTTGTGGTCTATCCACTGGGTAAGAAGCGTAGCGGGTTATTCAGTTTCTGATAAAATCCCATCTGTCTGATCTTGCTGCCTCTCTCTCTCTCTCTCTCTCTCTCTCTCTCTCTCTGATTTTTCTTATGCATCTCCTTATATTCTGCCTTGATTTCCTTTCCTTTGTTCCTTCAGCGTCTTTCGATTAATTCGAGTCCTCTTGGAGATTTCGCATCCGTGAACCTCAACGATCAAACACGATCGATCGAAGTCCATGATATTGCCTTTACCCTCCAACAGCAACACAGGCGGGGGGCTTGCTTGCTGTTTTTTTTTTTATACTTGATTTCTCGCTCTGTCAATTGTTCTTAATTCCTCGGGCCAAAACAATCCCTATTTACGCCGGAGTCACAGCTGAGGCGGGAGTTTGGAAGCTCACTATACTTTACACATTCCCTTGCATCCTACCCTGCGCCTATAGCTACTCCATTCCTTTCCTTCTCTGTCTGCATCTTTCGTCCCCTCAACCGACAAAGTCTGTATCGACGCCTATCTGGACTTCCAGTCTGGACATACATAGAAGATACGATTCCACGAGTCACGACCAAAATCACCGAGGCCCCCATTCTACGTCTGAGTTTTTGCTATATTTGTTGTTTTTTTTTATCTTGTTTGGGTAATTAGGTGTCTGTTGCGCGGTTGTCCTATTTTGACGGACTTATTCTCGTGTTAGTATAATGAGTGACTTAGTTCTCAGGCTTTTTGATCATCGAAGTTTTTGTTGTAACCATGTAGCTGGTCGTAGCGCTGCGAGCTGCTCCGCCCCCTGCGAATGGGCCCAAACGATGCTTGGCCATTGAATCAAGTAAGAATTGAAACCCTCGAATGTGACCATTGCGCTTCTTCACCAATGATTTGACCGATGGTCTTATCATCTCTTGTTCCATGATGATTGAAATACGCGTCCTCGAGATAAAGCGGTCGGTTTTGGTGAGTTTGATAAGAGTCTCAATTCATGGCTGGTTGAATATCAATCTAGATCAAAAGTCGGCTTCTACAATGCACAGGGATTAAGCTTTAAAGGAATGTCATCCTGATAATTAGGACACTGGACAATAACGTAGAATTCATCAACGCTCAAAACTGTCGTCAGATGCTGGTCTCCTTCCAAGGAAGATTGCTGCAAGAACCCCGACAACCAAGGATAAGATTGCTGAAAAGCGTATTTAGCACATTTTTCGACGGTAGTATAGGCTATTAGAAAAGACGAAGGAAGACTCACCGACACTGTAGCTCATATATGGATATCCCAGGGTTCTTGTCATAAAGCCGGTCCAAACGGGCCCTAATAGTGTACCCAAAGTGAAACAGATTTTGCAAATGGAATACCCTGAAGAGAATTTACTATTGGAACCAAATCGACCCGGGCGCTGGTCCTCAAGCTCCTTCATTACATCTGAAGAAAATTAGCGAAGAGGCACAAACATTCCGAGTAGAGCTTCAACTTACGTGTGATTTCAATGATACCACAGCCAGCAGTCAATGTCCATCCAATGCCAATGCCAGCAATGGCCACCATGTAAATGACACGCCCTGTATACCCCATGCTATGATCCGGAATGCCAACCATAACGAGAAAGGCAGCGCTTGAGATGAAACCGAGAGCTGTAGGGGCCCTAGTGCCTACTCTATCCTTTAAGATACCAACAAAGGTACTAAAAACCAAGGAAGGTAGCTGGAGGATCAGGAACATAAGACTGACCTCTGCAGGGCCCCAACCAAACTCGGTGGTCACATGAAGCGGTAATGTAGTGTCGAAAGTGACTAGAATAAAAGCAGCAGTGAAGTGACAAAGTAAGCCGGTAACTGCGCGAGGATTGGTCAAAATGGCCTTGTAGAAGTTCTCAGCAAGGACTTCGTCGCTCTTGGGGCAGTCCTCCTGGGGTTGGGATGGGGAAATAAGAGCAGTCCGCTCATTAGCATCCTCATCCACTATCCTAGACTGTACATCTGCCGAAGCTTCGGTAGTCGCTTCCCCATTACTGTCCTTCGATTGGCTCTCGATCATGACTAGCCGCATGACGATATCAATAACCAGTACCGCAATGGCGACTATCCAGGTAGGCCAGTAACCAAACAGCTGCAGAAGTGTACCAGAGAGCATGGGGCCAAGGAGCAGTCCGGAGTTAAAAAATGAGGAAACGCCTCCGAGTACTTTGCCGGTATTTTCTTGTCCGACGGTATCGGCGACCGTCGCGAGCCCAACAATCCACGCTCCATTACCCCCAACAGCTTGTATAGATCGCCCGATGAGAAGTATAGGCACTTTAGTTCGAAAGATTAGCTTCTAGCTCTAGGAAACCAAAGGCTGAAATACCATTTGTTGCGATCATGACCAGAACCGTTCCTATGGCTTCTGCGATAAGAGCAGCCAGAAAAGAAGCTTGTCGACTTGGAATTTTGTCCGCAATATAACCGGTCGGAAGACCGGTGATAAGTCCCACAAAAGCATGGGCCGATAGGACGAGGGATGTGGTATATTGTGCCTGGGATTCATCGATATGAAGACGGTCCCTGATCATGACGGGGAGAATGGGAACAATATAGCTGTAAAGGAAGTTTGCTAATCATAGTCAGTGGCAGCTTCTAAATCCTGAAAGTGTTCGTACTTGAGAATAGCGCAATGGCGATGCAGGTAATAATGAACCATCGTGCGGACCGCCATGAGTAGCCCCATGAGCCCGCTCCTCCATTCCACGCCATTTTAGCAGTTTTGACTATGTTCAATGTTGAGAATAGTTGCAAATGGAGAGGCTAAGGTTATGAGTGGGATCTGTGATTAAGTAGCGGGCTGAAGGAGCTGAAACCAATACGATCTGATCTTGTGCCGGTAATCTTGGATTAGGATTGGCTGTCTTCCCCCCAGGCTTGCATGAGCAGTGCATGAACTATTCTCAATGTTTCACTAGGCTCGCAGATCAGTGCATGGGTTATTTCAAATCTTCATGTATCACTCCGTATCTGTGGGCTACGTGAAATTGATTAAAAGTCTAGGAAGAAATTGTCGATCCCTCGTTCCTGGAATCACCAGTTTGCTTCCACTCCGATCTGATACTGATGACTTTTCCTTTCTTCATGACTAAGGATCTTACCAGTACAGGCCTTACATATCACATACTTGGCAAGCTCATCCTAGTGCTGCTCTAGGGTCTGAGCGCCGAACGCCACACTGTCGCTGCAATTGAGCAAATCCAATGTATAATGAGTGGTCCTCTTTATAAGTTTCGCCTGAAACATGCCTTGATATGCTAGCGATTGGCGCATCCCTGCCATCAGTATTCCCCAAAATGATCATAGTTGAGATGGAGGACATGAGCGGCTTTCTAAATTTCGAATCAGATAACTTCAGAGATGCAAAAATCTACAAAAGAAAATCAATCTAACTAAAGACATCACGATCTCTTGAAAAGGAGTTGAAAGCCCGAAAAAAACAACACGTTGCTACCTAAGCAAATCCTCACAATCTAGCTTGTTCAACTGCCAAATGTTCGCGACAGAACTTCTGACTCTCCTCGCGAATATCATATCCACTAATCCACATTCTACCACCCGGGTCCACCGTGCTTTTAGAAGTCGGATCCGGCAATGGTCTCTCTCTGATAACCTTCTCTCTAACCTCTTCCAGTCCAAACTCAGCTAACTCCGCCTGCGCCCGCTGCATATCAAGAATCGCATTCCATTTCACATCACGCGCAATCTGCTCGTCACCATCTGGCAAAGTCATATCACTGGCATTCCCGTGGCTCATACCACGCAGATGCTCCACACGAGCCTGTCGGAACCGACTCCACGCGCTTAGCACCTTTGGCAGATCCTTCGGTAGATCCTCCCTCGACCACAAAGAGCTTACAAATTCCGCCAGACTCGCAGCATCTTCCATCGCCATCCCAGCCCCTTGTGCAGCATGCGGAAGTAGAGCATGTGCAGCATCCCCAACTAGCGCGACCCGTCCAGATGGACAAATGTAGCTTTGGATAGGACCGATTTCCCCAAGGGTCCATGCAACGCACTCCTCAGCCCGCACGTGAGAAGTCAATACTTGCGCTTCTTCGCACCAGTCGGAGGTAAGTGCCCGCATCCGCTCCACGTCAGCGGGCTCGTTCCAGGATCCAAGGGGCATTCCTTCACTTGGCCGTGGAACTATAATCGCTAGGTTGTAGAACTTGCCTGATGAAACGGTGTAACCCAGGATAAACACCCCAGGGCCCACCCACGACTTAGCCTCGGGCGAGGATATAAGCGGTGCAGTTAGCGGATGAGAGAGCATTCGCTCCCGTGGGATCATGGCACGATAGGCATGCTCCATAGATGGAGTAGGGATCACGTCCTTCGTCGTGGGCAAGCAACGTCTGGCCTTAGACCAGATCCCATCCGCGGCAATCGTAAGGTCCGCTTTGATCACCTCCCCACCGGCTGAATCAGTATACACAGCCCCCGTCTCGTGGTCTATTAACTTGACTGACTTGCTAAAGAGCACAGACACATTAGGCAGCTGCTGTACTCGCTCAAAGAGCGCTTGCTGTAGATCCGGGCGATAGACTTGCCATTGAGGCCAGCCGTAGAGCCATAAACTAGTTGGACTGTTCATGTTGCGCACCAATTCAGTGTTATCTTTCCAGCGACGGATAGACATGTGGGTAGCGGAGCAGGCGACCTTTTCCATGGACGGGGAGAGACCCCATTTGTGTAAGAGGCGGGTGCTATTGGCAAACAGTTGCAGTCCGGCACCGAATTCGCTGAGGGCCGGGTTGGCCTCGAGAATTGTGATTTGATGATTAGGATTGACATCGGAGAGGGCAATGGCTGATGAGAGACCGGCTATGCCGGCGCCAACGATGGTGATCTTCAATGGGAGTGGTTGATTGGACATGATCTGTGAGAGCTCAGCACGGAGCATAGAGAATAACCTCCAATCCGGGTACTTACTGCTTTGGTTGAGAAAAGTCAAGGGGAAGAGATATTGTGACTGCCCAATCTGCTGATACTTTATAACGGTGTTTCCCATGGGCAGCATTTAATACCCCAGCGAGCAGAGGGCTAAACAAGAATTATAATATAAACACGTGAATAGAAATCAAAACTAAATCCCCACCGAAACCCCGTTCTAGTCTTTCTGACCTGTATAGTCCATTGCGAGGGTCGGCTACCAGCACAGCGAAACCCCACCAAGAGACCAATCAGGAGGGTCACAAGAGACTACTATATCGGACAGTAGATCAGATCGGTAAAGCTCAGGTGGCACAGCATCCCCAAGGGGCTGGTCGCAGATCACTACCATCGTGCAGCTCGGAGCTTAGAAATGGCATCATATGATCTCTTGCCATTGATTGATACCAGCCGAAGTCATAAGGTAGGACCTCAATGTGGAGGCTTGGCTACTGGGGAGAAGTGTCGTTTCACGTAGCTATTTTTGCCATCCTTGTATCATCGAACGTACATTATATCACTTGTATGTCGCCCTTTTCCACTGCCGAGATGTTTCGACTGGGTAATCCCTTTAGCTTTCTGCAGAAATCTGGGCTGAGCTGAGTACTGGGCTGAGCTGAGTAAACTATGTTTGATTCAATGTCACCTGCATATGTCGCGATATGTCGAGCAGTAAGCTATTGACCTGCAATACTGTTCTCTGCAGGATCTTCTGCGCAAGAGGAAATGTTCCCGTAGGGGGAATTGAACATTGGGGTTGCTTCTCCCTGCACAGACCTTTCACCATCATGGCAAGATGTGTGCTTGGTACAGTTAGCTGTGTGATTGAGCTAAACAAAGGGGGACTGAGATCTACAATGCGTGGTGCTCATTTCGGGCCGAGGAGACCGGGCTAGTCAGGAAGCATGATCGGCAAAACCAAGATAAACAACACAAGTAGCTGAAGTAAAGACACTGCCTTGGGTCGTATATGCAGGTCCCACTGTAACACGGTGCACATTGCAGCCTATCACAAATATTACCCTGTTCCAATATAATCGCGTAAAGACGCGGATCAAGGGTCCCGAGTTATGACCTGTCGGCTGCAAGTATCAGCTCCACAGAGCACACGAAAGATGCGTGGTTCCCATCCAGGCTGCAATGAAGTCGGGAACATCTGGGGAGGTGCGAGATTGGTAAAATGCACAGACTTGATCTATCATCTAAGTGGGCCACAACTTCGTGTTTGAAATGACTCACGGTGACCCGCGGAAGCATCGTGGTATAAAACACTCTGCAATTGCTCGTAGAAATTCTTCGAAATACCATAATACCATTACCCTCAGCATACCATTTACCAATCTACAAAATGCCCACCCAAAACGACATCGCCAAACGCTTCCGCGCCCTCCACAACCCCCAAGACCCCATCATCCTCACAAACGCCTACGACGCCAGCACCGCCTCAGTCATTGCCTCCATCCCAACAACCCGCGCCCTCGCCACAGCCTCTTTCGCCATCGCAGCCTGCCTCGGCGTCGACGACAATGACCTCACAAAAGCCCAGAACCTAGCCGCTCTGAAGATCATCGTATCTGCCGCCCACCGTGTCAACCCTGGCCTACCAATTACAGTGGATCTACAAGATGGCTACGGCGAGGATCTCCCTAGCTTAGCGGCGACAATCAAAGAAGCCATCGCCCTAGGCGCGGTGGGCTGTAACTTGGAGGATATGGACAATGCGGCCGGTACCTTGCGGCCGCTGGACGAGGCTGTTGCGCGGGTGAGGACCGTGGTTGAAGCAGCGAAGGAGGCCGGGGTTCCTGATTTTGCGCTGAATGCACGGACGGATGTGTTGGCCCAGGAAGGGACGACGGTGGATGATGCCGTCGTGCGGGGAAAGGCGTTTTTGGAGGCGGGGGCTTGTACTGTTTTCGTTTGGGGTGGGCCTAAGGGGCGGGGTGTGTCGAAGGAGGAGGTGGAGATTCTAGTGAGGGAATTGAAGGGGATGGTGAATGTGAAGATGAATTTGAGGGAAGGGTTCTTGGGGATCCAGGAGATTAGGCAGTTGGGAGTTGCGAGGGTCAGTCTTGGGCCGGAGCTGTGGAAGTGTGCCATGAAGGCTGTTAAGGACCAGGCCGAGTTGTTGTTGGCGTAAATGTTTACTTTAGACAGAGTGTAGTGGATAGCTTATGGAAGAGTTGAACTACAGAAGAACAAGCTTTGGGTTATTGTATGTCCATACATTGAAATGATCATCTCATGGGCGATAATACAATGTGGATAAACCCCACGGCATCTGATCCGCGGGGAAACCCCGATTGACAGAACTGCCGAACTTTGGTACCATCGATGATCGACAGAGAGTGATCGACGTACACCAATAACCGAGACCAATTAATAAGAACTGCAACGCAGTGAAGAATATACCATGAACTTATTATACCACTCATTACCACCATGGGGAACACCAACGACATGATAAACATCACAACCCTCTCGACAGCTGTGATCCTGATCTACATTGTGTACATGAGATTCCTGCACCCATTAAGCAAATACCCCGGACCCCTCCTCGCAACTCTAACCAATGGCTACAAGGCATACTATGTCTACAACTTGCGATTACACGAGAAACTCCTCGAACTCCACATGCAATATGGTCCCGTTGTGCGCGTCGGACCCAATCACCTCCACCTCTGGGAAGGAGAAGCAATTGCACCAATCTACAAGGGTGGAAGAAAGATGGGGAAATCGGATTTCTACAACGCATTTACGGCCTTTAATCCGAATCTTTTCGGTGGTACGAACGAGGATGTGAGCAGACTTAGACTATGAATATGGACTGTGTATCAATCTAACAACTATTGCAGATTCACTCTCTCCGACGCAGACAATTATCCCATGGATTCTCGCAAGCATCAGTCCAGAAATTGGAACCTCTTATCGAAGGTCAGATGAAAGTTTTAATTGATAAACTGCGAGCATTTGAAAAGACAGGCGAAGTCTTCGATTTCAAAAGTGTCCTCTCCTTATACGTCCTCGACATCCTCGGTGAAGTGGCTTTCAGTAAGCCATTTGGTGTACAAGCTAAGGGAAAATCAGATGAGCTCCATGCCATTAATGATCACCTCTTGTTAGCCGGTGTTATTGGTGAACTACCCTTCCAAGACCTATGGAAAACACTCGCGAGAATGTCGCCTGTACCATGGATGAGACAGCTTGTCAAGAGCAGGAATAATCTGAAGGATATATGCTCTCGCTGTGTGAATTTTAAGATCAACAATCCATCTGAACGACCAGATCTATTGAAGAGTCTTGTTGAGGCTGTTGATCCGGAAAGTGGTTCCAGGTTGACGGAGCAAGAGATTAATTCTGAGGCTTTTGCTGTCCTGTAAGTTACATTTTGAGTCCAGTCCCTGTGACATTAAAGCTCACCATTCATGAAAAGTGTGGCTGGATCCCATTCCACATCAGGCACATTGACACTCCTCCTTTGGCATCTAACGCACAACCCCGATATACTCGTGACTGTAACGCAAGAACTTCATGAAAAGCTGCCGCCTTTACATAATGACCAAATCTCATACCCTATTGAAGGCCTGGAGGCGTCTCTAAGCTACACAATGGCCTGCGTCAGAGAGAACTTCCGCATTAACCCGGTATTCAACATGCCTCTATGGCGTCGAGTGGGTTACCCCGGCGGCATCGAAATCGCAGGTCACCATATCCCTGAGGGAGTAAGTCTTTTCCTTACCAACAGTTAATCGAAATTATGTTCATCAACTAATCGCAATTATATCAGACAAGTGTCTGTATATCCAACCATGTCCTACACCACAATCCCGACATATGGGGTGCGGATCATGAAGAGTATATTCCTGATCGCTGGCTCGATGAGAAGTATAACAAAGAGAAAGGCAAGTTCCTGATTCCTTTCAGTATTGGGCACCGGATGTGTATTGGGAGGAATCTGGCTATGACGAACGTTCTCAAAACTATTACTACTTTGCTTATGAGGTTTGACTTTGAGCCTGTCGGTAAGGAGAGGAGGGTTAATGTACTTAGCTCTGGGATTGGGGAGATGGAGGGTGAATTCTTATGTCGAGTTTCCTTGAAGTAGTTGTGATGAACAGAGTGATATGGTTCTTAATCTGGGTTTATATTATTGGATTACTTCCAGGAACGGATTGATGAGTGGATGCTCGTCTGCAGATACATTTACTCGACGAGTTCTCATGGTTACGGCTGCTTCCAACAAACAATCAAAGTGTATCCTACATTTTAGGCTAACCATCTACTAGTCCGTAATCAGTCACAGGTTCTTCAATGTCCGGCATTCATTCACTAATTTACTTCCAGCCTCCTCAGTCATGTTAAGGATATAGGTACAACAACCGTTGTAAAACAAAATAGAAAGAACATAAGATCCAATCCCCCACAGTATATTAGAAAACCGGAACTCCATGCTGGAACGAATGGCAATGCAAACCAACCAACCACAATGTGCACCCTACTCCTTCCGATCAAAAAAGACGCAGGTTCGTCAGGATCATAACCGTCACTCCAGACCCTGGAAAGGTAGGGTAGAAAACAAGACCGAAAAGCAAAGGACGCTGGAAAATTCAAAGGAATGAGTTGCTAGCTTATTACCGTCTCTCGACACGACTGAGTGCACCAAGAATAAGGCCTAGGTCTTCCCGTGGACGTTCCCGTAATTTTGGTGGACTGTCTTCTCCGCTGTCGCCTTCTATGGCGATACGCTGCCGGGCAACCAGTGCGTCGCGCTCTTCTAGCCGCTCTGCACAAATGCGAAGTATTCGTGATGAGACAGCGTCGGCGCTGGAACTATATAGCTCGATATCGTGGATCCCGGCTGCAAAGGCATCCAGTGTTGGGGCGAGGCCTGTTGTGATTTGGGAAAGGCGGTTTGAGATGGTAGATGGGGACATAGGTGGTAGGACTGTTGGAGGAGAGGTGTCGTCCTTCGCTTGTGACTCGGCGATTGGGACAGAGGAATGGAGAGATTTGAGGATGGCTTGTTGAGAGGGGTCGAGAAGAGAGGAGTCGATTTGAGGTTGGGTTTTCTTGGGGTAACGTTTGGAGGCTTGGGGAGAATCGGGTGTAGGAGCATTGACAGGTGGAATTGGTGCTTGTTTGAGAAGTGCATTTAGAGCATGTCTCTCTTTTTGAAGCCTGTGATATAATGTTAGCTTGAAGCCTTCGGTCGATGGTGCTGCTAGCCATACTTTTGTATATGCTCCTCCAATTCCTTGATCTTTTCTGTATTCTGTATGTTCCTTGGATTCGGCTTCTTCACTACCACAGTGGGTGGATTGACGTCTTCGCGACTAAACCAATTCGATAGTTCCGAGTTGGTGGAGAAATCTTTCAACAGCTCATCTTGGATCGCACGGGCTAATGCATGTCAGCTTCAATTCTCTTGCCGCCAAAAAGGAAGAATTACCTGCTAGGCGTGAACTCTGATCCTCCGAGCGCGAACCCGTGGGCTTGTCTCCAAGCGCTCGTGTTGCACACCAAATTAGAAGCTGCCGCATTCTGCGCGGTTCTGGGAGACCTTCATCCGCAATGTGTTTATAAAAATCAGCAGTGCCAACTTCTCGATGCGGTAATGCTAGAGCAAAACACAAGTTAGCTCATCTCCACCAAAATATCAAAACCGAATATTCCTTACCATTGGACGCCCCCGAGTCAATCAGAGAGCTGGCCCTTCGCCCCCGCATCCCCAGACTGCTTCGCCGTTGCCCCTTGCCAGATTTTGTACCACGTAATTCCTTGTTCCGCTGGATAACCGGAGTATCCGCTAATGGCAGAGCCACCTTCGTACCTGCTGAAGGTTCTGGTGATTTGAACCCGTTGGTATCGCTCGTCCTCGGACGTCCTGGCCGCCCTCTCTTGCCCTTTTTCTCCGTTGGCGCATTTGAAGGCGACTCGTGATTCCTTAATGAGCGTGTCGAGTTCACTGGCGGTTCCGGCTCCGAATTTCCCGTCTTAGCAACCTTCCTCGTCCCCCGTCTTGTCGGAAGTTCGGTAGTCTTCCCATTCGTCGGTACTGCACTGGCACTCTCATCCTCAGCTGGCCGTTTCTTGGGCGGTCGACCTCTGCGTGGCGTAGATTTCGGAGGCGCATTTTCCACATCTGACTGGGTACTCTCCGGAACAGGTTCTATGGACGGTCTATTTCTCTTCGTCGGTTTCCTTGAAAATCGAAATCCTTCTGAATCTTCTTCGTAATCTGCAAAAAGCGTGTGGTTAGTAACTTCACATTCCTCCCATTCTTCACGTCCCTCGCCCAATGCAGCCGAGCGCCCGATCTTCCAAGGAGTCAAGAAGACTCACCTGCTTTCCGTTTCGCCTCAGCGTGATTTGCAATTTCCTCCAAACCTTCTTGTGAAGTGCTCAGCCGTTTCGGCGGCCGACCTCGGCCAGAACGCGACTGCGCCTGTGTCGCGGCCATTGCAATCGTCCCCAGCGGTTCGCGGCGCTTTACTTTCGTGATAGGAGCCGCCAAGACCGCGATGGTCATGTCAAGCAGGTATCACGCGGGATCGTAGGTTGGGGTTTAGAGGGTCGTGACCCCTCAGCAGGTGAATTGGAATCACCGAGTTCCGCTATTTCGCGTTTGAAGTCTCTCGATGTCGGTAGCTTTTCCTTGGGTATCGATTAACTAGAGCCCCCCTGGTGGAATGTGGTCGCGACCAGGTTTTGATCCGAGTTGCTCGCGTTGGTGTTTGGAGTCGGGCCGATTTCTTGTCCGTCGCGGTCCCCTCAATTGGGGCTGATAGGCGCGTGAGATTGGAGGCGAGAATAATTACAAGGAGGTTCGAATGCGCAAGGTGTTGAGAGAGTCTTTATCATGCCCGCAATGAAGTGGCTGCGGGCGGCAAGGGAAGCGCAGAAGGTGGGTTGGAGGGATTCGGGCACGCGGTTGTTTTGGTCGGGGCGCGTGGGGCGCTAGTCCACTTTGGGAACCCCCTCAGAAAACGGTTTCTACATGCACTTGAACTACAGTTAAACCACCACGTCACTAGCGTTCAAGAATAGTATAGCAATTTTAGCATAGCTTGTTACCTATGATCATGCAATGTCATTTTGAAAAGCTGCCAAATTCATCAATTCCGAGAGGAAATTAACTGAGCAGATGCCACTAGATGAAATACGCTATGTAGACTAAACCCCCCGACGCCGGAATTGCACATGTAAAACACGTAATATGTTCAATGAAAAACAAAAAGCTCCCAGAATCTTGAGCGAACAGGAGTTGAGCCCGTGCCCTGTTATATAGTTGAAATATACAATGATCCCCAGGATCATTGCATGGCGTCATCCACCTGAGATGCGCCGCCTGGGGGTGGAGGTGCAAGGCTGCCTTCGATACGACGCTTGGCTTCTTGCATCTCCTCAGCAGTGATATTCTCTGCTTTCTTGGGCATGTCCGGTTCATACTGAGGGATATCAGGGCTGTGACCAACTGACATACCAACTCGAATCTATTTCAAAAAATATCAGTATCAACTAAGATGAAGTGGAGGGCACAGACGAGTTCTTACCAGTGTCTCCAATGGGCCCTTGGAGTTGTCCACTAGGTCACGGTCAAAGTTGATGACTCCTTCCTCAAACAAGACCAATAGCGTACTACCGCCGAACTTGAAGTATCCAAGCTCTTCTGCCCGGGAAACCTTTTCACCGGCTTTGCGAGTGATGACTGTGCTACCCACCATCATGGCGCCGACACAGACGACCATGACGCGACCATGGGCAACAGAGTCAATTGGGACCAACACTCGCACGTTCTCTCCATAAACATCCAAGGCAGAACGAATAGCCATCGGGTTCACCGTATAGTACTCGCCCTCAATAATTTTGGGCTCACCCATGATTCCATCTACTGGCACATGGAAACGATGGTAATCCTGAGGTGCTAAACGGAACACACCAAGTGCACCATTGCGGTACCGCGCGGCGTCTTCAGGATAGGCGTTACCCATTAACCTCTCCACGGAGAACTCTCGTCCCTTTACCCAGATTCCAGTGGCTTCGTTCATGCGATCAAAGACCACTGAGCGACAGTCGGCTGGGGACACGACAACCCTTGGATCGTCGGGGGCCGAGCACGGTCGGGCATCGGGCTTCAAGGCACGATAGAAGAACTCGTTGAAGTTTTTGAATTTCTCAATAGGCTGAAGCACCTCTGTCATGTCCAGCTGGTGGAAATTGATGAAATCCCGAATCTGGCTGACAGACGCCGGGTCATCATATTTTCGGCCTTGCTTAATACTGAGGGATTTCAGCACACGACGAACTATAGACCTCTTTGTTAGAATTGAGATACTTGGCACGAGTTGGCAAAAGACTTACTTCTCTTCGTCTCCATGTCCTTGCTCTTGAGACCCTTGTAAAGCAGTCGGATTCCAAGGCGGACATAAATACTCATACGCTCCTCATTAATCTGGCCGGTAATCCGGTCCTGGACGAGGATATTGGCCGAATTGGCTCCAAGTTTGTAGCCACCGTAGGAGATCTTGGTGATAACCTTGGAGTACCATTTGCGCTGAGCCTGGCTCGAGGTCACAAATCCACCCATGACCAGGTTGTCGACTTGCCGCCAGTCACGGCTGGCACATGTCGCAATATGAGTAATGATATCCGCATCAGATCGTTTACCAAGGCGAGGCTGGTGGCAAAGCGGGCATTCGCGGATTTCCACCACGTGCTCCTCACCGCGCTCATCCCCAAGATCATCAGGTCGGAGGTATTCGTCGTTCGAGCTGGGCTGATCCGCCTCGTCGCTAGAGAGTGTTGGGACTGCTGTTGAATCCGGGTTAGCATTGTGAGGCTTGGTGGTGCTGGATTCTACAGCGAGCTCATCGCCGCTAGATGGCTCCTCACTATCCTGACTGCCGAAGGATGACGGTGCAAGTGCTGGTCTCTGGGAATTGGCCGTGGCATTCTTCTTTTGCAAGTATTGTAGTGTATCTTCGAGACACATCACGGCCTGGTCGACGGTTAAGTCGGGTGTCGCACTGGCATCGTTCTCGCCGTTGAAACGCTCGAAGAAGGCGTCGACAGTCGATTCCTTGAGTGTGGATCCAAGAGTGTCGAGCATGGTAGTCATTTCAATCTTGTCAATGCGGCCGCTGTCATCCGCATCGTATTGCTTCAACATGAGTCTCCAGAATTGCTGTCGAAGGGCACTATATGGCAGGTACTTGGCTTTCAAGAATAATTCCGGTGTATGTTTGTCTTCCCATCGTTCTCGGTTTTTAAGCACCAGAGGAATAGTATAAGAACGCAAACCTTCCTCATCGGCTGGTGGAATATTCTCAGGCTCTGAAGTGACTGTAGATGTGACGGTGGGCACCTGTAGGTTGGAGCTGCTATCCACTGGACTGGATGATTCTGGCACGGATGTGGGACCGGCCTTGTTGGCAGCCTCAATTACAGAGTTGCTTGAAAGAGAAGTAGCTGAGTTACGTGACCTCATGGTGGGCCGCGACATCTTGGAAAGGCTGGATGACGATGCAGAGGAGCTAAGTGGAAGCCGAGTACTAGACTTTGCCGGCGGAACAATTTCATCCTCTTCAGACTCGACAAAGTGGTATAAACCCGTCTCAGGGTCTGCCTCCGGGGCAGCTTGGATCAAAGTTGGCAGAGGGAAACCGGCAGAGGCGACAAAGTCATTGCCTGAGAACTTGTCTCGGTCCATTACCGTGAAACCAATCGTGTAGTTCCTCTCATGCCGCATTACCTGAAAGACCATCTTCTCGTGATAAATGGGGTTCAGATTATGACGTATAACAGGAGTCCTGAGCGTTTTTCTTCCAAGAGAAGTCACGACAAAAGGATCCATGTCAAACGATGTCCGCGTCACTAAAGTATAACAGATCAACCATGTGCAGTGTGAGAATATGAATAGTAGCCCGTACCATTTTTTTCAGGAGGTAGATCGGTCACTTTGACGATCTCCATAAAGACAATACCCTGCACGCCGCTCCCGGCACCCGAAAATTGGTATGCGCGAGCAGCAAGAGACTTCTTTCTTAAGCGAGCCATACGAAGCCTTCGACGGCGTTTTTCAACAACCTCTGGCTTCGAAGGGTCGTCAGTTTCATCGGAAGTCTCCTCATCACGGTCCAAATCATCGAGGTCAACCGCCGGAATTTCAATTGGGTCGTCATCATCACCGGCGCATACGACCTTCTTAAATTTCCGGTATGTGTCTGATGGCGACGCATTTGGGCTCGCCGAGTCCGAAAGTGAGAATTGCAGCAGGATCTCGCCAGATACATTACTGTTTTTCTTGTTTTTCTTCTTGCGGTTCGATACCCGTTTCGACTTGAGGGTGTACCAAGTTGGCTACGCATATCAGAGTCAACCATTTGATCCTCAACCCCAGAATTCTGTGTGGACTGCGGGGTATCTCCTACCTCTTTCTTGATTTGCCCATCGACAAAGATATCTTCCAATGCAATATCAAACTCGCCCAGGTAGTCTTTGCCAAACCGGTCATGATCCCAGCAGATGCACTCCAACAACGGGACACCACCGATGGGCATTTCGAATGACACGTTCCATTCCGGGTTTAGTGATTTGAATATCGTTGGTGTCGACTGCCTTCCTTCTCCTAATGTCACAACCAAATACTGTATATCCCGCCTGTTAGCAACCAGAACCGGGAATCTTGGGGCTCAGGGAATTGCGATCAAGTCACTTACCGGATCGCTTGTGCCACCCCGATCCTTCGCTGCAAGATTTCGTCCCTATTCCAATGCAAGAAGACATAGGTTAGCCGATGTTCTTTTTTGTGGGGTCACAAGCTCGTATTGGCGGCTGCCTGGCAAGGGGGAGGTGAGATTGATTCAGCCTTACCCGAATGACCGTGACTTTGAGTAGCAAAGGTTTTGCGTCAGATGGTATGCGCATAGGGCTAGTACTCCTGCTCTGACCGGGTGTTGAGGTGGCGCTTCTCGTGGTAAGATGCGAGCTCAGTCGCTGCGGGAGCGGTAAACGGACCATGGCGGAATGCGCCTGCAGGCCGAAGTGGCGGTGGAGGAAGGAAGAAAGGTTTGGAGGGAGAGAAACTTGAAAAATGATCGAGGTTTGGCCCTAAGCCCCTAGTCGAATTTCCTGTCCTGGTAAGCGTGGCTTAGATTAAAGCACCCCCCAGAGTCCGATCCGCGTACGATCTGCTACGGGTCGATCCCAGCACGGTAGCCAAGACACGGTACCACCCACAGTTCCAAAACAAATCAAGGTCACTCCTTAAGGTCACGCCGGCAATTGGAATACGTGGCCTCGTGGGAAGATATTTAGTTAGATTAGAAGAAATTGGTGGGAAGTTAAAAGGGCAAGGCCCGGGAGCGAAAGGAGAGACAACCGTGGGGCTTTGTTGGGGGAGAGACGGAGGTTCTTGGTCTCGACGTCAGTTTCCCATTCTCCACTTTATCTCCACCACAACAAGAAAATGGATGCCTTGTCTATGGGGCTAAGAAACGTTTACTCCAATGATCCTAGTGCATTATTCATATCTTCATTCGGAATACTTGTGCTTGACAAGGCTATACAAGGAACCTACAAGGCTTTCTTGCAAGTCATACAGTGCATGATCCACCCCACCACGACATGCAGTACCCCGCACCCATTCAGCTGCGCGACTTTGGAATACAGGTCGGCTCCAGTGTCCGATTGCTTTGAATGGACTATACCTTCATTCGGATATAGAGTCTGGTGAGTTTGGATGGAACATTGGAATATGGTGGGTGTTGCTTCAAATATCCTGTCGTATACTTCCGCCCCGTGCCGAGGTAGACCTGCATTGGGTTTGCCTCCAAGACTGATGCTCTATTTTTGGCCTAGTCCTTGCAATACTTGGACTATATACGACAATCCACACAAGATTACAAATCTCCCAGGAAGAAATTAGTTTTGGAACCTTGCACTGTGAATTCGCTAAAGAAGAAACGTATTATCGGGCGACTGTGGCCTGAGGCCACGTTTATAAAGAATTTGTCAAAATTGGAAAATAGGGGCAAAGACCCACTATCCCCCGGCTATCAGTGTAACAGACGAGAGTGACAGGCCAAGTAAAAACCTTCACCGAAACTCTTCATCTAATAGAAGGAAGCGAATTGCGGAAGATTTATGCTTTCCCTCATCTAAGAGTCGCTACTATCAAACGCCTATTTTTGTGTAGGTGGATAAGTCACTTGCAAGTGTTCACCGCCCACGACTTATGAAAGCGTCTGAACTATGAGTATGGTATCGCTAAAATGTTGACGGACGCTCTAATGTGAGTTTCGATAAACCTATAAATTTTGTCGAGAATATATTTGACTTATCTTACGCCCCCACAAGAGGCTTGCTGACGCCGCCCTAATGGAAGCCTCTTCTATTTTGCAAACACCCATGCCCTAAACCCATCCAAGAAGTAACACCAGAAGAAGGGACACCCAGAAAGCACAGAAGAAAAAAATGACGCTTTCACGTCTCTGCAAGCCATAAGATTCAGACCAAAACACCAAATTCGAAAAGAAGGGAAGTGTCGCTTGTCGGATGCCGTAGCGTAGTTTCCGACGACCTCTGACTTCCCGTCTGACATCAAGCTCCGGCACCAGCTTCCAACCTTGTTCATCCTGAAGAGTGGGCGACACAGAATTGAGGCTTTGGGGCTTGAGGCAGCGCTTCATACAAGTGTGAGTTCACGTCTAGCATCGTGATCTGCATAAGGTCCAACGATCCGTCAAAAGTGAGACACAGGACCCACTGCGAAATTGACTAACGCTTGGACAACTATTCCGTTCCTTCATGTATGAAGGAGAGGTAAGGCTGGCTGACTTAGATGTAGGCGACGTAAGGCTGACCTAAGTTCTCCGTCCCATGGTATGCATGGTATGGTAGCATAGGAGCGTTGTAATAAAAGTCGTTTGAGTATGGCTGCATATTGCTGGTAGGACCCGAGATGTTGTGTATCGGTTCTATGGAGCTGCTCTGATATGCTGGAAGGATCTTGGAATATTCACGCTTCCTTTTCAAGCCTTGTGGAGCACCAGAAATAGGCATTGAAGAGTACTCTAAGCCCACTGGTGCATAGTAAACGGGGTCCGAGCCAGTTGGGCAATGGCTTTGCACCATAGCTGGCCTGACCGGAGGAGCAATATCGCAGGTAGATAATATCCTCTGCATCTGGCCATACTCTCGTGGTGTGAGTTCCTGTTTATCTTTCTCATACGAAACCAGAGTTGACTGCGTTTGGGATTCTTGATTGCCTGGGATCGCAATTTCGACCTGGGAGTCTGTTCATTGTCAAAATCAGTACCATGTGCAAGTATGATGGAAGATGACCTACAATTTGCCCCATCAAGAAATTTCTCTTCCTGTTCGCGAACTCGGTAGATTTCGTCCAGAATTCGGAGTTGCTCAGGTGGGGTTACCTGACCACGAATAGCCTCGTCGGCACCTCTTAGTTTCTTGGCAGTGATTTGATGGCTAGACCGTAGGTCGCATATGATAGAGACAAGAAGTCGGATACGTTCTGTTCATTTTAGTATCTTCCAGTCCAAATGATAAAGAATTGCCCGTACCGGCTTTCGTAAGGCGATCGGGTTCACGGTGGGTCACCCCAGATGGCCACCATGGCGGCTTAGTTGTCTCTGGATCTAGCTGTACTAGTCTGCCTGAGACAACCATTCGCCCATTATATGGATAATGTGTCCGCTTGTGTGGCTCTATGAGCTTTATGTAGCTTTTTGCAAGGGCTCGACAATTTGTTTGGTGGAATTTTTCCAACCCCTCTTCGTAATAAAGACGCAGTAATTCTGCATTGTCGATCGATATCGTAGTCCTAGTCGATTGGCTAGAAGCCTTAGATATGGCCGTTAACCAAGTTTCTCTGTCGCCTGCATTGAAGAAAGGAATGCCACTAGGGCCGCTAAGCACATTTGTTGTCGCTGGGTTCGCTGCCGCTGCCGCTGCCAGAAAGGTAGTAGTGACTTCAGGTGACAGGATCGACTGACTAGCATCCGCAACGGAAGGCGACAACTCATGGTGGAGGTTACCGTGTCGGTCGATATATACGAGGGCGTAATGGCGATAATTTAAAGTGACGTGCTGTTGCCGAAGAGCCATATCGCCATACCCGAACGGATACCAGCTTAGGAGGACCGTACTTTAAGAAGCGATACTCAGTGTGCACAGAGATTGGGGTTTAAAAACCCCCTTGCAAAAAGTTGGAAGCCTCCAATCATATATCTTTCCATCATTGGGAACCCCTGAATGTATTTAAGTTAATCTCCTTGCTGGACAAAGCCTGGATCCCGGTGGATTACGCAAATCTCGGCTACGTACCTCCTCTGGACCGCACTGGTTCCTTGATTCGGTTATCTCCGTTGGGGTGACTGTGCGGGGAAGGCAATTATGTACCCTGGATCTTTACCTGGAATGGGTATGTGTGGCTTGACTGAGCCACTAAGCTTTTAAATCAAAACATAGAAGGATGTTTGAACTTGCCTGCATATTCTCATAGGCTATCCAAGTCTAGACGGTGACTTCTCATTCATTGATGACGGGCAGCCTCAATCTTATAAGTTTTCGACCTCCCTGATGCTCTCATATATCTGTCAGATATCGGACATTTCATATTCAATGAAGACCGACGTAGGTGTACGTGGCGATGCCATGTTGAGATAGGCAACATGGCCGATAGAGCATATCTGGACCAATTTATTTGGCGGGCCCTCTCCCGGCAAATCTTGCCATATTATAGGAATACCCCATATAGCCTGTTTGACGTCGGTTCTAGCCGACATGATTCGCAGAGCAAGCCGGGCTTGTATATCCAATCGGTGTGGCAGGCCGAATCTGGTTAAGACGATCTAGTCGGAGATGTTCGAGCCGGTACTCCGCATGAATTATGCAGTCTTCAGCTTCAGTCACACGACATAGGTTATTGCACCCCTGAAGATCCCGTCATCCCCGCCGCGCTTACATGATAGTCTAGGAATAACAGGGCTCCGCAGGCCAAGACTGTGGTGGAAGCTACCATTCGGATGAAGCGTAATGATTCTGAAGCCGTGCACCACGAGGGAAGCATGAAGTCAACAACAGCTACTGTACTACGACAGGCGTTCGGAGAGGCACTTAGTTCGTCTTGGACGGGGTACATGACATACGTACGGTGTTGAATTTTATCTAGTTGGCCATAGTCTTCACATCACCCCGGTAGCTGAGGTTTTGAATTAAGGTACGAGGGTGATGATCGTTCTCTGAATGTGCGAGTAGAAGCATCTACTTGTAGTCGCATTATCTGCCTTTTGCCCGCGGTGTTGGTCTTAGAATAGTAGTTTCGTACACTAATTACATCTATACATCACGTAATTTAGGTTGCAACGCTGGAAGTCATAGGCGGGCCATCACAATTTTGTCTTATGTACCTATAAATGTAAACTATGGCACATTCTGGGGGATCTCAGAGTCTCCCCAAGGACACCCATCACCCGCTATGAGGCCACCACATAATCCAATTCGGCGCTAACCATCTTGCTGCTTGAGGCACTGCCCACCTGATTTTCATCTCGGGGCCTTCTGCCAGCCGCAACGGGCTATTAAACGCGTTGCCAGCTTCGTCTCCACCATAACCAACTGATTAGACAGGGATTGCTCAAGTCATGATGTCAGACTCATTACCCTTCACAATTGGATTTCCAATTGGCTTGAGTACATTGCTGTCATACTCACCAACCCAATTACCTGTTTCTATTAGTGTCCTACCGACATATTAAAGGGAACTGTGAACTTACCTGCAGGCCAATAATTGCACACAGTATACCACATTCCAAGAGATGAGGATGTACAGTCAACCGTACCGCAACCCACGCTAGTGCTATCCTTCCAGACAACCTGCGTAAAATGGCCGAATCCAGATCCACTCGGCTCAGCCTCACCATAAAGACCAGCATATAGCGGCATCTCACCATTGTACCAATAGTCAGATATGTGAACCGAGATACTGGCCGTGGGACTGCTGGCTGCCAAGTTTTGGCCATAGCCACCAGCAAGTAATGTTCTATAAACAAGAATAGGTAAGAACGTGTGTGTATACATTCCGGAGACAAAGGAGGCCTCACGTGTTATGAGCAAAGTCGCATTGATTTGCCCAGCTTGTTGCAGCATCCGCAAGTGTTTGATTCCATGACATGTTTGGGACAGTGTGGTTTAGACGGTGGATGTTATGGCTGTATAAGGCCTTCTCTTCGTAGGTCCCAGAGCTGGGAAAAGTCGGAATCGAGGAACTGGCCGCGCTGGTAGACGTCGAGGAGAGAACGGTTTTCGAAGAAGCAGCTACCGTTGCCGGCGAGCTAGCTGCGCCTGCACCAGAAGAGGTGAAAGACGGAGAGGAGGCAATTTGGATAGTCGGAGTTTGTATAGCGATAGCGGAATGGTTTGAGACACTGCTAGGTTCTTTGGAGGATCTATGTCCATGGCCACCCCTGTGTCCTTTCCCGTGAAAATACTCTAGTGCCTTTGGAGCATCGGTCGGGCCAACATGTAGGATTGAGGCTTCAGAGGTTTCGTAAACCGATTTCGTGACTGTAACGTAGGCCGTGCCACAGTCCTGCTGCGCGATCACTATACCAGTCAGGCAGCTAAGAGAAAAAAAGAGTGTCGGGAGATGCATGTTGAGTATCGGACCAGCGGTACTCTGTCAGTAGGGGAAAAGCAAATGCAAGGAATGTTCCGCTTTGGTGAGCTAGAAAAGAATGAGAATAGTGAAAAAAGAATGAAAAGAGTGGGACAGAATGAAAAGAATGGCAAGAACTCGCGTTGACCAGCAGGATGAGAATTCTCTATTTTTTTAGGGAACCGGAGATCTCATTCTTTTAAATAGTGTACTCTGCTGAAACAAGAAGGCCGCCCATGACATGTTAAATTTCATTTTTTCCCATATAGAGGATTGAAAGTGACGATCGCTATACTCATTCCGAAGTAATTAAACTTGCCAACATTTAGCAAGAGATCGTAGTATCATTTCTGTTTTCTGATCTCCACAAGGGTCCAGATCCGCGGCATGGCAGACATATGTCAGGTCCCGCATAGCCCTTTTTATGGTAACCATGAAGCCGGGATATTAAGCGTCTCGATTATATTAGACAAGCAGCCAGGTATTAGTCTGTTGGAGGCAATGTTTTAGTGGAGACAAATACAGAATTTGATCGGGTAATCCCAACGAAGATCTAGAGCACAAATCGCCAGTAATCAAGGTTCAACAATCCCGCCACTGTAGCTGAAGGGCGGTTGATGGTCAGGAATCGTGTTTCATGTAACCGCCTCAATCAATTTTACCTCTGACTGGTTACATTTGCTCAACAACAGTGTTTGAATGAATTGGTGTGATTTGCCATTCATGATAAGTTGATCAAGGTGCTTCTCAATAACGTAGCTTGTTTACCCATGTTGCAGTTGCACGTTGATTTTAAGGGTCATTTATGTTCTTATTCCCACCATTACACCCCAATTATAAGTTTGTGCATAAAACCGCTAGAAATCAATCTACGCAAGCCGAAAAGCATAAAGTGGCACTAAGATCGATGACTGAATCTTAGCTAGCGCATATACCTACTCCTTCGGGTATGTATTGCCGTCGATAACCCATCAGCTTCGGTGAAAACCTCAACTAGTACTCCACAATAGCAGATCCAAAAATGCCGGTCGGCACCTTGCATAGTGGACATTTAGTTTTTGATGTCAGATTTTTGCCACCAGATTGTAGAACCTAATGTGTCGTGTGATACGAGTCACATAGGCCAGTATATACGACGTTCTTAATTTCCGACACCTTAGTTCAACCTTGGAAATAAGTAACATTTTGGTTGCAAATACAGCGACACTTCGAGCTTGATCGGATAGTGACATGGGGCTACAAATTATCATCCCCAGCAGCAGGTAAGGTGGCGAGAGCGGTGCTCTAGACCCATCCAAAAGGGCATAGCTGTATATATTAGGGCACCTGCCTCATCACCCGTGGTCTGTCCAAATTTCTCTAGCCTGCATTTGATATTATAGTATAAGTAGTATAACGGAAAAATTTATGTAATTATCTATGAGATGAGCTTTGAAACGCAACCCTGGTTGTTCGACTTGTATGTCTAGAGTAACCCTCCTGTGGGTCTCTTCTGGTCTTGATGATATTGCTGATAGACTTTCAACGCCAAATCGTCCGGGTCATAGTGTCATCTGTGCCGCTGTCTTTCTCTGTTCTGCCAACATATGTACTTCACTTTTTCTCGCGCCTAATAATGTGAGACCACAGTTCATTCCCAACTATGACTGACATGGATTATTGATCTCTTATTGCCCATATGATCGGCATGATTGCTGCCTTCCTCTGGGGGTAACATGTAGCCGGTGCCGAAAGGCCTGGGTGGCCACAAAAGCCTCTGTTCCTTTTCCGTATCCTTTTCAGAGCTACTTTGATCGTCGAATTGTATCCTATACCGTTCGGATAACATTGCGAAGCCGATCATATATATTACTACGGAAATTGATGCATGCCCATATTTTCACTGTGGATGCCTTAGCTCTGGAGCGTAGACCGGCGGATCCAGCCTGGGGCTGCACCATTTCGGAGCTCAGATTTGATGTTCAGTTTGCCCTTGTGGCTACCTGCTGGTCTTTTTTTTTTGGAACTTATACTGGGTAAAAAGGGACTGAATACCAGCATCAATCTTCACGCTCTCAAATATTCAAGTGTGGTCCGATCGCAATTTCGAGGTACTTTACTGGTTCTGAGGATAACGAGGACTCTGAAGAATCTTGAGCTATTATGAGGCCAATGCCGACCTATAGCATCGTGACATACGATAAATCAACCCGTACCCAAGAGTTGTATGCTTTGGCTGAAAGCGAGTTCCATCTGCGATGAAAACGACTGCTGCTGCTGGTAAATGTTTCAGTAGGTCTTGGATTTGGCCTGGGTCATCGGTAATTTGGACAATTGCCTTGTCATTCAATGTAGTCAGAGGGTTGTCACGTGGGTCCGGAAAGCCTTGTTGATCGCAATGGCAGATGATCACGACTAGTGTTCGGGGTTTTGTCTTCAGACCATGTTTGCTTGGAGGCCTCGATAGAATTGGCTTTGGCTGGAAAAGTGGAGAGGAATTGGTCAATTTCAAAAGGTAAATATGAGCTCAGACTGTGTCAACATTCGATCTTCTGTTAGTAAAGATTAGTACATGAGATAACACAATCCGACAAATCTCAAGGAATTCAAGTGGCTTCCGTTGAAGGAAGAGAATTTTCTGACGGGTATGAATCAAAGAACCACCAAGTGTTGGTCGAGCTCTAAATTAGGCAACTTTGGACACCACTCAAAGAGCGGGATATGTGGAAGATAGCGTCTACGTAAACTGCTGTGTCATTCATTTTGCTGCATCAGCTGCCCTGACATCTAAGATGAGTTAAAAAGGCGACTTTGTGAGACCAATATCCAATCAGGTGTCCTTAAAGGCTATGATTGGACTGCGTTGTTGGCCTCGCAAAATGCTATCAACCTAAATGAGGTATGAATAGGTCTAAGCGATCTATAATAATCAAGTTTAGGGTCACTAAGTAATATTTAGCTTTGTATCTAGCACTCGGGTGAAATATGGATAGGTTGTACTTTAACGACGATTTGAATAGTTCTCAGAATAAGCCTTATTTGATGTGTCATTAGTCTAATCGCCTCTGATCCATACAGTCGTCAATCCAGATAAAGTCTTCTCTAGTCACTCGAAACATCCTCAGAATAGGATTGCCGTAATATCATGCACTTGCAGCCCACTCTGAGTTGTATGGAACATACGCCAATGGGCCGCTGTCTCTCACAAATGGTGAATCCAGACTCTGAAGCTCCAAAATGATTCGATAGTCGTCTTTCGGAGGTAAATAAGATTTACGATGGAACCTGTCCGAGCGCCGTAGGTGTGGAGCAAATCGATAAAAGTGCATTTTTTCGGATAGATGACGTTCCCCAATAAGCAGCGGGCCCGTTGTGTGATCAAACGATTGCGGGCTCCATTTATCACTTTCCCATTCACCCATCTTGATATGTAACGACCTAAGAGAAAGTAGATCGCCCTTAGAGTCTAATTCAAGGAAGTGAAGGAGTCGTAAGCACGCTGATTCATCAATGAAATTGATAGGAAAGATATCAGGCGTTGGCCTTATTTGGTTTGGATCTACACCTGGAAGATTGATTTCCAAGTGCTGGAGGTATTTCATTCTGCGTATATGAACCATCATGTCATATGGCTAATAGTGCTTTGGTTAGTCTTCAGATCGGTCAGTCTATTATAAAGGAAAGTTTAAACATACCCATTCCTCATTTTTCCAGTCAAGGTCAAGCCCTAGAGACTGAAGTTTTGGGAACTTGTTAGGTAGACTGACTAGATCCTCAATACTTGGAGGAAAAGGAAGCTGCGTGAGAGAATTGCGCTGACGATTGGTGCTGCGGAATCGTAAATGCCTTAGTGCATGATGGCTTGATAGGGTGTTGAGGATATATTGCGGAAGGTGATAGCTAGAAAAGGTCTCAAGGGAAGAGAATGATTCTAGAAGAAGACGAACTTGAGTCGCTCGTTCCCAGTAGATAGGTGGCGGCTCCAGAATTCCAGTGTGTGGGCGATAACGCCAATCAGTTAGTTTGGGATTGCAACGAGAGATCGACACCTCTAATGACTTGAGGTTTCTTAGACGGCCCGTGATAAGGGGAGCTAAGTTACTCCAATTACCATTAAGTAACGATAACGAGTTCAATAACTCCCACTGTAGACTTTCTGCCCATAGAAGACTTTGAGACCTATCAAAGTGCATATTTGAGAGATGTAGATATTTCAATGGTGGCAAGGTATCGCCCTTCTGTAATGAAATGATTCCTCTGTGGGTAGTCGGTGGTTCCGTGGTCTGAAACAGCTTCAAAGTCTCTAAATTTTGGCTGGCGCATATGATGTCTTTTAGGCGAGCTTGATAGCTTGTACTCGTGAAAGTTTTGGATAGCTCGTCCCACTCGCCATCCCAATGCGAGGAAAGATAGCGAAGGCACCGAAGGTGAGGGATGGACGGTTCAACGGGTTGATGTGGTCGTCTTCGCTGTGATAGACACACATTTCTTCCAGTGATATGCACAGGAACATGGGGGTAAAGCCGATTAATACTGTATAAGATGAAACCTGGCATGTATGATAAGTCTTTCCAGCTATAAGGGTGCCCAGGAGGACATGTGTTAGTAGTCCGCATAATGCAATAGGTCCTATAGTATAACGTACTAGAATTCTTGGAGACATTTTGCTGACTCGAGCATTTTCAATAAGTTAAAACTTAGCCAGTCTCCAACAAAGCCAACCCCAAATGCACCTGCCACGACAATTACTTTAACATAGCGCCATGGAACATTGCTATAATACTCCCACTTTTTAGGCACCCCTGACTTGATGGTCAGGCAGAAGAATCGGAATAAAATGGAAGCGGCAGTCTCATGTAACCGGCGGTCAACCAAAGCTACCATTTTCAATGACGATGGACTATCCCTGTGAAGCTTAAATGAGGTGAGTGACAGGTCAACCAACCGTGTATATCAACGTTTACGCACTAGTTTGATAATTTTGAGCCAGATCTCGGATGGTAAGGTTGACATCTTGCTTGTTGGTGAGGGCTTCATTGTGCGATGTGGTTTCTTTCAAAGGTTCGATAGGATGGTGGGTGAGCGTGAGCTCGGTATGTGGACGATTATGAATCTGTGACTTTCACGGACGATATGCGTAAGACTCAATGGTGATCAAGTAATCAAATACTCGAGTAACTAGCTAGATGAAACCCACTCAAGATGAAATTCTCCTTGTTAGCCGCAATTTGCAAGCTGGAACTGCAAAGCATGCTTAGGCGGCAAACTCTGAGAAATGGGTGGAAGGGTAATCGGTGGCTTGTGGACAATATCATGCCCGCTAATCTTCTCCGATGGCTAGACTTTGTAGAGTAATGTGCCCGTCTACCCATCCAAGGAAACAAACCGATAGTTTGAATCGCTTACTCGAAGAGACTCGGGAAACCGCATATTTGATTGTAGCGGGGCCGAGCGTTTTGTAACGTATTGTATTGTATGGTATTATAATGCGGATAATCATGGGACTCACGGCCGCGGAATGGCCCCGAGGCCGCGCGTTCAGGGTGCATAGTTTTACTGTATCTCCTTATAGTACGGATTTCTCCATATGTACTCCGTACGAAATACGAAATACTAATTAGCAAATCGAAAGGGTCCAAATTTTGGGTACCGGGTCGGACATGTAGGTTTGACAACCTTCAAGGTTGGAATCATTAATTTAAGCGCAAAGTTATCCATTAACTTCCACAGGTATCTACGAATAGGTACTATTAGTGGGTAGGTGGACTATCTCGCCTGACTACCTGAGATTTCAGACCTCTGGCGTAAAGACTCGTCTACAGCTTTGAAGTCTTTGAAACAATTATATGATTCTATTTCAAAGTTTTCCATGCATTGATTCTGTCTCTGTACAATGGCATATATATGTACATTTAAGGATACAGAGCGTCCTGAAAGAGTCCCGATCGATGGTACCTTAGCCGGGGTCACAAGGTTCCAATCAATTTGAATTTGGGACATTTCAATGAGCCAATATTCTGTAATCACCCGTTCCAAGCTCTAGAAGTTGGGCTGTTTCGGTCTATCCATCTCCGCGGGTGCTCTTTACCCCTACCTACTAGATACCAGACCGCAAAAGTGCCCCCAAGCTTGGAAGCTTAGAAACATGGTTCACGGTGTAGGCAGCTGCAATCAAGAAGTATTGACAGCAACACAGACATAGTCATCCACCCAGAGACTTGCACAGCTGCTTCCAACGGCAGGGTTCCAAGCGTAGAAGTCGTCGATAGTAATATCATAAGTAGATGCAATGGCAGCACAAGTGTCCCCGGATACTACCAGGTAAGATTGATCACAAGTAGATACCATGCCACTCTGGATTGGCAATGGAGTACTGATTCCATCGCTGGTGGTGGTCGTTGGCGACGCCTTTGAAGGAGAGGTGACAGTAGACACGCTGGACCCTGACCCAAATGGATGTTATTAGTGGAAAGAGATCACCGTCGTGATGAAAGCCATTCGATCGAACCACCTGCTGAGTTTGCCTCACACCATTGGCCGAGGCGATTGTTCGATTGATATGGATCGAATTGATTATATATACAAGACAAGCAAGTCGCGCTAGCCTCCATGTTTGTCTCCACTCTTCGACTCTCATCTCCTGACGATAAAGAACGTCAAATACGTATTACTTGGGGCTGAGGATTCTTATACAAAAACAACAACAATATGTATTCACCTGGACAGCAAACGGTCTCAACCTCGGGAAGTTCCATCCGAATTATATATTTGAGTGATGACAGGATCCAACATCAGGCCCGGAACATTCAAAACAAGTCTCATCCTATCTACGATATGCAGTAAGGTGTACGCTTGCTGTGAGAATTGGTGTACAATTTTGAATGTTTGTGCGGTCGTCGAAACAATGACTTGATATAATTAGGGTTAATCTACAATTCCACTTTTGACACCGCAACTTCCGAATTATGTGGCTAGCGTATTCATATGTCTCCACATATGCAGATTCATGGATTGGCGTTGAGAGTTTCTCAAATTTAGTAAAGATATTATAAATAAGTATACACGTCGAGGCTCGCGCATCACCTGCCCAGATGGGAATATGCACGTGAGCCCTGAAGATCACTATGGAACTCGGCATGCTGATCTAATCCCGGGGAGCGCTGGTCCACTGAATCCCGCTGGTTCGACGACCTCCGCATTTCCCCCCAACCACAGCAAAGACTCGCGCATTAAACCGAAGTCCCCTCCAATCCCCCCTATTTCTGCGCAATCGGACCTCCCTTTACCCTCGAATCGAATCATACCACCCCACGCTGACTAAGACCGCCTCCTTGACATCTTGACATCGCCAAAGCGGTATCCGAAGTCGCAGCTTGCCGCCTCCATATGGACAAAGTGCCATATGGGGAAGTGACGATCCAATGAGCCTGACAAACCCACCTTCCTCCGGCTCACTCTCCACCCGAACAAAAACAGTTGGCCCAAGCTTGAAAAGGAACCTGCAGGCCACAGTCGATGGTAATTATATCTTGGTTCCTTGCCTTGCCGCATGACCGCCTTCTGTGTCCACTTTATTTTCTTCTATAACGTGATCTTGACCTTGATCTTGAACTGTCGCGGCTTTCCTTCTGTTGCATCATGTTTGGAAAAGGATTCCCGTTTTCAAATTTAAATTCTGTTGGGGCTTTCTATCCTCGGGGTAATTTCTTTCCCCTTCAATACCAGGTTTCTTGGGTCTCGTTTCGGTGAACTGTCCTGGAGAAAGAGAGGGAATGGCATACATCTCTGGTTTGCGATCTTCATTACACCGGCAGGTTTCCTAAAGACGCGTGCATCCGTTGATCTGTCCCCTGTTTCTTTCCCTGCAAGACCGTGGCGATCTGTGCATACGCTGACTACCGTTCCTCGTGCAGAAACTGTCGATTCCCGAAAGACCACCGGTTACACCAGCAAAGTCCGAGTCCGGGATCGATATCATGTCGTGGGGTTCATTAGCAGTGGAACCTATGGAAGGGTGTACAAGGCTGTTGGCAAAAATGGCAAGAAGGGAGAATTTGCGATCAAAAAGTAAGCTTCCCGAAGAGTGCGTATCTGGCGAGAGATCTGACAGCATGCAACTAGGTTCAAACCGGATAAGGAAGGCGAATCGATCCAATATACTGGCTTGTCACAGTCCGCCATTCGAGAAATGTCTCTCTGTACCGAACTATCCCATGCAAATGTCGTCCAACTGGAGGAGATCATCCTAGAGGACAAATGTATCTTCATGGTGTTTGAATATACGGAGCATGACTTGCTGCAGATCATCCACCACCACACCCAGCCACAACGACACGCTATCCAAGCCCACATGGTTCGATCTATATTATTTCAGCTCCTCAACGGCTTATTATACCTTCACACCAACTGGGTCTTGCACCGAGATCTCAAACCAGCCAATATCCTCGTCACCTCCAGCGGCGCCATCCGCATCGGCGATTTGGGCTTAGCCCGACTATTTTACAAACCTCTCAACTCCCTTTTCTCCGGCGATAAAGTCGTCGTCACAATATGGTACCGAGCACCCGAGCTTCTCCTTGGAAGTCGACACTATACCCCAGCCGTTGACATGTGGGCTCTGGGTTGCATCTTCGCCGAACTACTTTCCCTGCGCCCGATTTTCAAGGGCGAGGAAGCCAAAATGGACAGTAAAAAGACGGTCCCATTCCAGCGGAACCAGATGATGAAGATCGTCGAGATCCTTGGTCTTCCTCGCAAAGAAACATGGCCGGGCCTTGTGTCCATGCCAGAATATACCCAGCTGCAGTCTCTTGTGATGCACCGACAACCTAACCATTACCACCGCGGCGCTAACTTAGAAGGCTGGTACCAGAGTTGCCTGAAGAATGGCGGGTATTCTGCCACATCAAGCGTGGGCACACCTGGCGCAGACGGTTTTGATTTACTGTCGAGGATGTTAGAGTATGATCCCACGAAGCGTATAACCGCTCAGGAGGCATTGGAACATCCGTATTTTGCGAATGGTGGTCCTATTAGCGCAAATTGCTTTGAGGGCATTGAGAGCAAGTATCCACATCGCCGAGTTACTCAGGAAGATAATGATATCCGAACTGGAAGTCTTCCTGGTACGAAGCGCAGTGGCTTGCCTGATGATTCATTGATGAGAGCTTCGAAACGTCTCAAGGAATGATTGATTCCGCGTTGCATCATTGGTCATTTTAGTTTTGCATGACATGAAACTCCGTGCTTTGGTGTTATGGTTTTTCATGGCCTGGCGTTGGGCAACAGGCCCTTTCGGTTTAAAGATACACCTTTTTCACAACTGTACATATTTCAATAGAATTTCATAAGATCACGATACGCCTGAAGACATTGTCCACGATTTCATTTCCCATCCCATCCCGTATCATCAAACCATACATCGAGAATAAGGGCCTGTGAAAAAGATACTGAAAATAATAGCTTCTGGCGAGAAGCGGCCGCCTTCCACCGGAGCTTGACCTCGGCTTGGAGAAAGAGACTGTAGAGACGTTCGGCCCAATAGCAGAAACCAGTATTCTTGCTCGACTTCAAGCCAACGCTGATGGTGTTCTCCACAGCGGTGTGTTCGACAGTAAAATTTGATCAGGCATAATAGGATATGGCGTCCGAAACCACTATCTCCCGCCGCAAGCTGTTACTTTCTTTCCTCCCAAGTTTTCCTCTCTTGTATCAAAACCACGTTCATAATGAATGGAAAACACTTTTTTTTTTCGTTTTCTCCTCGCATGTTGTCATATTTTCTATGGGTAGCTGATCTCTATAGATCGTTCGATCTGCGACCATCTCTCGTCGAGGTTCTCCTTTCTCGATCAGATGAACTTAGTCGGAAAAATTTGATGGAGCGGATTGAAGAGGCTGCGCCAGGGTATTTGGAGGCCGAAGAGGAAGGAGGTGGATTTGCTGGCGAGTATGATATTGTTCAGATTGAGTTTGAGCCATGATTGGTCTGGTGATTATATCCAGTTCGTGATCGAGTCAGATTTATGTCAAGAACTCGGCGTATAGCCAACTTTCGCATTATCATTATCATTTAAGTACATGCCAATATTTGCCACTCCATGCTGGACCAAGCGTGATCACTAAGTCTACGCCTGCGTTGGCATCTAATCAGTGAGACTAAGCCTGAGCGCCCTCCCCACACGAGAATAAAAGACCTCAAGCAAAAGACCCCAACCATTCGAAACTAGGACAGAACACCGAATGGCATCAATAGCCTGAAGAAAAAGTCAGTAATGCATCAATCCAGAAGCATACCAATATAAAACTCACCATTCTGTTCACGTCGACCATCCCCCTCATCGCCACCCCCATTCTCAGCCCGACTAGCCGCATCCTTAATCCCCTCTTCATCACCCCTCAATCGTTCAAAATAGCTCTTAACATCCTCCGCACTGACAGCCGTTCCACTCTCAGCAAAAGGCCGCAAAAAGTCCTTAACCTTATCACGGAGCTGGTTGTAAATCATTGCGCCCTCGATAGCGTGTACGCGGTCAACGGTGCTGAGTGCTGCTTCGCCGCGTTCAAGAATACTGCCTGTACCTGTACTTGCGGCGCCGTTTCCATCTCCATCTTCTGAGAGGGGTGGCTCGTAGGTTTCTTCTTCTTCGCGGAGTTGAGGGTGCGGTGCTAGATTTGGGTAGCATTCTGCGCAGCGGCAGAGGTTTGAGTGGAAGTCTTCGCGGAGGAAGAGGGAGAAGGATTCTGTTGGTGGGGAGGTGGGGAGGAAGGTGTGTTTTGGGGTTGATGTTGCTTCGAGTTTCACTTTTGGTTCTTCTTTAGGCTCTGTTGGTTGTTCTTCGGCGATGGTGGCGAGAGTAGAGGTTTCGGTTGGCTCTTGTTTGGGAGACTCTTCTTTGGCTCGCTTGATCGTCGGCTCTTCAGTGGAGGGATCATCATCCTCTGCTTTGCGCTTCTTGGGGTTCTCCGATTGTTGCTCCGATTCCTTTGGTGCTGAGTTCTTCAGGCCGCCATCTTTATATACTGGTGGTAGGAAGCCCTTGGATCCGGCGTAGCGCTTGAGCCAAGGGTTTGAATCGATGCATTTGTAGCAAATGAATTGATCGAAATCATTTTCAGCGGGGAATCTTGGAGGCAGTGGAGTTTCATCCTCATCGTCGGCGGCATCACCACCAAAACCCTCCTTTTTCATCGTCTTGTACCAATCCCGTGGCAGGCCGATGAGGCATTCTGGGTGCCACCAGTCCTCACCACAGCCACCAGTTTCAACCGAACCAAGACCCAGGCATTGGAACATGGTACCCTTCTCCTGGTGGGGATCGTACTTTTCCGCGCAGCCACAGAACCGATTGCGAAAGTTGTGGTTGTACTTGTTATCCTTGGCCGCCTCCTGAGAGTGCACGCCCTTGTGGCCCGTCTTGGGGTCTTCACGCAGAGTGCACGGTGATGTGGCGGGCATGCGAGTGGTTCCACAATCGCAGACAAAGTTGCGCTTGTTGAAAAGCTCGACCAGAGTGTGTTCACCGTGGCAGGCGATGGAGCAGGAGTAACAGACCGCTGCCGCGGTGGAGACATCGTCGTTACCATCGGAGGCGGGATTGCAGGTCAAACAGGCAAAGAGGCTTTGTCTCAATGGACCGAGAGCGTAAGTGCATGAGTCGAAGGACTAAGTCTGGTCAGTAGTGGATCAACAAGAGGTTTCTGATGCGCTCACGTAAGGAAGAATCTCGCGCGCATCGGCCTCAAGCCGCATCTGATCATCGATGAATCTTTTGCATAAATAAGCATCTGCGTTGATATAGTTTGGTTTGGGGCTATGACATACTCTCGGGCTGTCTGAGAGGCGTGGGATCCAAAGCTCTCGCGCCGGCCACTTTCGGACTTAGGCTGAGCAGTCAAGGGTTGTTCCATGTTGAGTCTTGGGGTTTTGAACACTGCAGAGTCAATGTTTGCTTAAGTGAATGATTCCAGGTAGGTTTCCCGGATGGAAAGTGTCAAGATTGATGTTTGAAGCAACACGATCTCTTGCAAGTCGGGACAGCTTGCTCCAGAATTGGATGTGTTCACAGCAAACAAGCCTTGTAACCAGCGACACGCCCGAAATAAATCCCACTCGAATCAGATCAGGGAGATGCGCTTTATTCTGATGTCGGCTGCGACTTTGCGATGGAAACTCTCAGATTGTATGACGGTTTGGAGACTGTGGCGGTGATCAGGACTCGAAGATATCTTGCTGTATGGCCCAAAATGTTATGAGAGCTGTCGCGGTATTGTTTGTGCTCGATCTCAGGTCAAACAATGGTACTTTGATCCAGGATGGCGAGTGACGATGCTGAGCTGATGCGGCGAACGGAACGCGAAACGCGATGTTTGTTTAGTTTGCACTTAAGTATAAGTACGATCAAATTTCTTCGCAACTTGACTCATAGAAGAAAATAGACAATCAATGGTATGTATCTGTCAGATTGGGTTACTAAAGCATGATTGAAGTAATTGTTCCCGCTGTTTCTATAATGACCTCTCTATTCATTGGCATTGGATTTACTCGAATCACGTGTTATCCCAATCGGGTAAAATTGAAAACGCGTCGCGTAGCAACGCGTTAGATCCAAATCCGAACCAATCTTCAGCTTGCGCACTCTATCCTCCCTTTCCTCCCTTTCTATCAACCACGCTTCGGGGTGTTCAACAAATTACACTACCCCATACTACCCTTTTTTCGTGTGGATTTTTTCTTTCTATCCCGGTTCACTACAATAAAATTGCTCATTGAGCACCACACAACATGGAGTGAGCTTGCGCCCGGTTTTTTCATTTTTTGCAGAACCCACGAAGCTAATATGCCATAGTCCCCTCCAGCCCAGTGACTCGGCCGCAAACCGCGGTCCGCGTTCAAACACTCGCAAGCGCTCAAGAGAGCCAGATGACATGTCCTCTCCCGCTGCATTGCCCCCCTCCAGTCGTACGTGATCCCCCTGAAGAAAATTGCGGGGCTTTGGCCAACTGACAATCTGCGCAGCCGCCGCCCTCGGTTCATCTCCTCCCCCAATGCCATTCGACGAGGATGATGACGACGATGAGGAAGCTGAGATGATCCCCGATATTGATGATATGGATGAGCTGGCGGAAGATGAGGAGGGCATTGACCTGTTCGGCGACGATTTCCAGCGTGATTATGAAGGTGGCCCGGACGAGTACGTCAATGAGGCATATATTGATGATGATGGAGAGCACCGGGAGCTCACCGCCGCTGAGCGCCGCCAGCTGGATTCTCGGTTGGACCAAAGAGATATGGCTCGCCGCCGCATGCCGGCTGCGTTCCTGCAGGATGACGACGACCAGGAACTGGATCTTGCGCGCCAACCACGACGTCGCCGACACCACTACGACGAGGACCATGAGGACATTGATATGGGAGAAGATGGCATGCAAGAGCTGACATTAGAGGAGTTGGCTGATGTGAAGGCCGCTAATATCACTGATTGGGTCACCCAGCCTCAAGTCCTTCGCTCTATTTACCGCGAGTTCAAGGCTTTCCTGACAGAGTTCATTGATGCCAGTGGTCAGTCAGTTTACGGTAACCGCATCAAAACTCTGGGTGAAGTCAACTCGGCTTCCCTGGAGGTGTCCTACGCCCATCTGAGTAGCAGCAAAGCGGCACTGTCATACTTCCTTGCCAACGAGCCTACTGAAATTCTCAAGGTCTTTGACCAGGCTGCGCTTGATGTCACCCTCTTCTACTACCCCCAGTACCACGATATTCACAACGAGATTCACGTGCGCATCACCGATATCCCCGTTATCTATACTCTCCGCCAGCTGCGTCAGTCTCATCTCAACTGTCTTGTCCGTGTTGGTGGTGTGGTCACTCGCCGTACCGGTGTCTTCCCACAATTGAAATTTGTCATGTTCCTCTGCCAGAAATGTGGTATCACTCTGGGTCCTTTCCAGCAAGAGTCTAGCTCGGAAGTGAAGATTTCCTTCTGTCAGAACTGCCAGTCCCGTGGTCCCTTCACGGTCAACAACGAGAAGACTGTCTACCGCAACTACCAGAAGTTGACTCTGCAGGAGTCTCCTGGTACCGTTCCTGCTGGTCGTCTGCCTCGTCAGCGCGAGGTCATCTTGTTGGCTGATTTGATTGATACCGCCAAGCCCGGTGATGAGATCGAGGTCACTGGTATCTACCGTAACAGCTACGATGCTCAGTTGAACAACAAGAACGGTTTCCCCGTTTTCTCTACCGTTATTGAAGCTAACCAGGTGGTCAAGTCTCATGATCAGCTGGCCGGTTTCCGTTTGACGGAGGATGATGAGCGTGAGATTCGCGCTCTGTCCCGCGAGCCTGACATCGTCGACAGAATTGTTCGGTCCATGGCGCCCAGTATCTACGGTCACCAAGATGTCAAGACTGCCGTGGCTCTTTCTCTCTTTGGTGGTGTCAGCAAGCAGGCCCAGGGTAAGATGTCCATCCGTGGTGACATCAACGTTCTGCTGCTTGGTGACCCCGGTACCGCCAAGTCCCAAGTGCTCAAGTATGTGGAGAAAACAGCGCACCGAGCTGTCTTCGCCACCGGTCAAGGTGCCAGTGCTGTCGGTTTGACGGCCAGCGTTCGCCGCGATCCGCTCACCAGCGAGTGGACCTTGGAAGGTGGTGCGCTTGTGCTCGCTGACCGTGGTACTTGTCTGATTGATGAGTTCGACAAGATGAACGACCAGGACCGCACATCTATCCACGAAGCCATGGAACAGCAGACCATTTCTATCTCCAAGGCCGGTATTGTGACCACTCTACAGGCTCGTTGTGCGGTCGTCGCCGCTGCCAACCCCCAGGGTGGCCGCTACAATGCTACCAAGCCTCTATCGGAGAATGTGGAGCTAACTGAGCCCATTCTGTCTCGTTTCGATATCTTGTGTGTGGTCCGCGATCTGGTCGAGCCCAGCGAGGACGAGCGCTTGGCCAACTTCGTGATCGAATCTCACCACCGCGCTAACCCCGCTCGACCCCTGCGTGACGACCAGAACAACCTGGTTGATACCGATGGCCACCTTATCAACGAGGAGGGTTACCGCGTCGATGAGCATGGCCGGATTCTCCCTCCCACACAAGAGGAGATTTCCCAGCGTGCAGCCGAGCAGAAGAAGCAGGAAGAAGAAAGAGAGGGCGAGATCCCACAAGAACTGCTACGCAAGTACATCCTCTACGCCCGTGAGCGATGCCACCCCAAACTGTACCAGATCGACCAGGACAAGGTCGCCCGTCTGTTCGCAGACATGCGTCGCGAGTCCCTGGCCACTGGTGCCTACCCGATTACAGTAAGCCCCCTTGACCCGAGCCTGATTTGTCCCTTATCTAACCCCGCCAGGTCCGTCACCTCGAAGCCATCATGCGTATTGCCGAGTCGTTCTGCAAGATGCGTCTGTCAGAGTACTGCTCTTCTCAGGACATCGACCGCGCCATCGCCGTTACCGTTGAATCCTTCGTTGGCAGCCAAAAGATCAGCTGCAAGAAGGCCTTGTCCCGTGCATTTGCCAAGTATGTTCACCATTCCGGTAATCTTCAACCTCGAATCGAATGCTAATGATGTCTCCAGATACACACTAGCCCGGCCCAAGCCGATGTCCAAGCGTCGTGCGGGTGTCGCTGTGCCTAACCCGCATTTGCCACGGAGTACGTCCGTCGCACAGTAAAGTATCCAATGGGAGGGTGTCTGCGGTTTCTTTCGAGTAAAATACCATCTTGTTTGCATGTGGTGTGAGGCGTTTTAATTGTCATTATTTAGTGTTTACTGCAGGACTTTACTAGGAGTCAGGCTATGATTTAATGAATTGAACAAATATTCACGATATCAAATATGCATTTATAGTAGGTCGAAATAAAGTAAATCAGCCTAAGCTTCACCTTCCGCTTCAGCTACACAAGATAGTGTGGGAGAACTTTTGTAATGTGACAGGAGACAAGGTTGGTCAGGCGCTTGACTAGTGTGGGGGTGCCCAAGCTATGTCATGGGGCTCGCCGCAGTTAAAGACTAATTGTTTCTTACCGATGCAAAAAGATGTTTAGGTAGGAATTGTAGATGGACTTAGCAAGAATGATAGATTCTACTATGGCAAAGCGGCTATTGATAGAAAGTACAAGCTCACATAGATATGCTGGGCACCAGGGCATGTTTCATGCTGCCTTGAAAGAAACACCTAAAAAAGCAGGAGCAAGTAAAGCATAACCAAATAAAAAGCAAAAGCAAATTCAGCCTACTCCCGTGAGATATCAACGCCATGTTGGGCGCCAGATGCTAGCGCTCAAGGGTATTACATAGAAAGTCATCAGTCCCCATGGCCCATGAGGATAAAAGCGAAGCCAGTAAAAGTGTGGGGAGCAGTAACAATTGATAACCCGTCCCAAAACCATTTCATTTTCTTAATCGCTGGTGCGGCGCTCCGGGCGCGGTTTGCGTAAACTCTTCATTCGGTTCAAGAATCCGCCGCCGCCCGCATTCAACTTCTGCTGGTCTTCATAGGCCCGATCACTGGTTGTCTTGCGTTCCAGTCCGGTTGGTTGCTTGGGGCTGCTCGATGAGCGAAGACGACCGTTACCCTCGAGACGTGCCTCTGCGATCCGTGAGCCCTTCTTGTCCCACTCCTCGTCGAGGTCATCTTGGAAGAACGGGTTCCGCTCGTTGGTTCGTGAAGATGCGGAGTGGCTCGAGCCTAGCTGTGGTGGAGATAGGGCGCCTTGCTCTGTGGGAGAACCGACACGGCCGGGGGACGCAAGACGGCCGGTACCGCTCTTCCCACGTAGGCGCTGTGCCAGACTCTTCTTCCGCTGTAGACCGCCGTTCTGGGCAAACTGCGCTTCATTTGCGCTTTCACGTCGTGCAATGGCCGAACGACTGGCCGGGGCGCCATCAAGGAAGGTGCTAGTTCCCAGGCCCATAGTCTGCGCACCGTGAACTGGTTCCAATGCGGTCTTAGCATCCATTTGAACAGTTTCGGGGTTGCGGTTGAGGCCGGAGTTGTAGTCGTTGAAGCCCTCCTCCGTTCTGCCGTGGAAGAGGTTTAGATCAATGTTAGGGTTGACCGGACCGGAGCCACCTAGAGCCATGTTTGTTGAGTTCTTGGGGAAAGCCTGCATGGGCGCCGTGCGCGCGCCCTTACGGTTGCGGTGGGGATTGCATGCATCAAAGGGACCATCGTGGTGGAACACTGTAGGTGAATTAGTATAGGACAAGATAAGCCACAAAAGATAAGTACGTACTTCCGGTACCATAGATGCTCGTCACGTCCAATTTGTCAATGATATCCAGTCGACGGTCCTTGCGAGATGAACGGGGCTTTCCATCGCGCTGACGCTCGCGCTCACGATGGCGGCGTTCACGTCGGCGTTTCTCATCGTCGTCATCAAACAGTTTCGAAGACCGCTCCATCACAGACGACTCCGAGTTCCGGCGGGGTCGACGGGAGCTGGAGCTCTTGCCAGCGCCCGAGCTAGAAGTCTTGGGGTCGGCAAAAATGTTGAATGGATCCTTTGAACGGGACGACTCTGTAGGTCGCCCGGATGGGGCTGGACGCTCCCGCGGAGGACGAGGGCGATTGGTTGATGGTTGCCGGGGAATGGCTTCGGGAACTGGGCGAGAGCTATTGGACTGGGCGGCAAAAGGTGAGGGAGCAGGCACCGCCGAGACTGTAGCGGTGGGCTTGATGGAGAGGTTCTCCTAAGGAGTATATTAGCTTGAGCGGTCTGGATTGCGGTCGGCGTCTGCACATACAAAAAGGTCACGGGTGTTGCTAGTCATATCGGGTCTTTCGGTCGGAGAGAACATATTGGCACCGGTCGACAAGCCAGGGGCGGATTGTGGTGACAGGGCGTCCGTGTCGTCTAAGAATGGGTTGGTCGATCGGGGACGTTCAGGACGAGCGTTGGTAGCTGAGCCAGGAACAGTCGAAGGCGAGAGAGCACGGTTGCGGAATGGGTTATTGGAGGCAAAATTGGCTGCTGTAGGTGAGACCTGGCTGCCTGGTTCTCAGAATTGCGTCACAAGTCAGTTTCACGATCCAGATATGCTGTGTCGCCGGGGGACCGAGTTGCTTTTAAGTGTTTCGAACAAAGGCCAGAATCACACGAAACAAGCAATCAAGGGGAGTCCACAAAGACTCTTTTGAGATTACGCACCTGGTGCCAGCGACACGCCGGGCGGATACCCGAGCGCTGGAGGGGCATTCATGGTGAGATGAAACGGAGGGAGTGGAGAGGTGATGGCGTGCGTCAATAGGGTGGTGAGGTGTCGCACGAGTACGCGGGTACGTAGTCGGGGGTGATGATAAGCGTGTGATGAAACAGACCAAGAGTATGAAGGACGAAGCAGATTTCAGGAAGGAAAGAGAAAGAGAAAAGGAAAAGACCGAGGAAAAGAGACGACGAAGCTCGGGGGGGCAAAGGGACACGGGACTCAGGAGTACGTAAATGAGCGATCGCCAATCCACTTTACGAGGAATTATTTTAAGGTGTACTGTATGGCGTACATAAATCTGTATTTTTGCACTTTAATTGTTCTACTTTAAACCGAAATTATAACCTTTTCTCCCCCAGTACTTCCGTCGAGTCGAGATCATAAAGTACCGTTGAGACTAACAAATCCAGGGGCAAAAGACGCTACGCGGACACTTTTCCCCTCGATCGACACTTCCCCACCCACACGTCGCAATTTGCCGCTTCACCAGATGGAATCACTGATTCTATCGACTTTTGCTATTGCCATCACTTATCAGAAATTCCTTTAGCCCCCCCCCCGGAATGACGTTCACATTCCTAATCCCCGGTTTATGTGGTTTATGTCATCTCAAAGCGGGAATGTGGATAAGTGTGGCTGGGAGTTAGTTCAGCAACACGCGAGGGTCTTTTTGCCTTTTTCCCCCTTTGCGTCCCTTGGTAACTGATCTGCGTCTCCTCTGCCCCTGATGTCAGGCACGCACGGTCCCTTCTTTATCAATACCGTCACCATTTTCCTAAAGACGCAATCGAGGGAGAAGAGACCTATCATGTAAAGAGGTCTTGGAGGATTACGAAGCATACGAAATGCTCTGATCCTACGCATGACGAAATCCGGAACAACACGGAGTACAATTCTATACCCCCGCGTTAGAGAGCTTAGTTTAGTTTTAAAATCATTAGAGAAAGTCAATCGGCATGACGTTTTTAGATAGGGCGAGACTTTCGTCAGCGGTTATAGTCTTATCCTTTAAATCCACCTTAAAGAACTACAATCGAGCGAGCTATACTGCGTTCAATCTAGCCTGCTAAAGAGACGATCATACGTTGTACTTTCTAGTCAGAGCCAGACATATACTCCTTATGGTTCATTATCCAGTTGGATAGTATATTTTAGATGATGTTAAGCCATCGATCCTGAAGTCCTCTGTAGCACCCACTGGATCTCTGCTGCTACTAGCTCTGGCTCCGTGAGCTGAATATTATGGCCACTCCGGGTCGTCGTAGAGAAGCGCGCCGTGCTCGACAGACGCAAGAGCTCCCGCTGGAAAGCCTCTTCGCTCTCCTCCCACCTTGCCAGATATTCCCTGAATTTGGCTCTCTGAGCTTCAGTACCTCCTCCTTGGGCCACACCGACCTGGTATAAGATTTCGTGATCACGTTTCGAGTTGCCCCGGAGTACACTGACCGGCTTCCCTTTTAACAAATCTCGACCAGGAAGTAACTGCTGCTTCTTTGCGAGTACACCCCGGCTAACCTGAAGATACGGGAGCTCCCGGACTGCTTGGTGAGCGTGCTTATCACTCGATTCCTCTGCCATAAGCTCCTTCCACTCTGACTCGGTCAACCGGTGATCCCGTGTCAACCCCACCACCTCCATATAGTCCAGTCCCTCTGTGACAGCCGCAATACTGGGGTCAGGCCACGACTCAAAGAGCATGCGTTCCTGCACTGGGTCAACCAAGACCAGACCACAGATATCTTCAATCGGTTGGGCAGCGATGAACTCGCGGGCGAGAATCCCGCCCCAGGAATGTCCCACTATGAGATAGGGGGGTTTAAGGTCCGCCGCTGCTAACAAACGAGATAGTTCGTCGACGATTGTTAGAGAGTCTGGTTCGTTGGGGGACTCTTCGCTGCGACCGTATCCGGAACGCTCGTAGAGTAGAATTGACGCCTTGTTCTCGATATACCGACAGACGGGGCTCCATTCTAGGGCGCTGCTCGTAATTCCGGTGAGTATAATAACCAGGGGGCTCCCAGGCTGCCTGGCAATGCCCCGCAGCGCATAGCTCAGCGAGTGGGTTCCGATATCAGCGGTGTGCTGAAAGTGTTCCATGGCAGCGAGACTTCGTGGCTTAGGAAAGAGGTATGCAAGATTTATATGATACGGTAGTTCACTAATTCATAAAAACGAATATCATGACACAGGAGATGTTTACATAGGATATTGTTTCTACAAAAAATACTAAGTAATTCCAGTACATGTGAGTCATGCCTGATCAGCTAGTCTACTAGTAGTTAGTTAAGTACTTGCGGTGGACTAAAACCCAAAGCGATCATCCTTGAATGAATTGAACATTGTGTAAAAACATTTGCTTTGAAGTGGACAACATCTGACGAGTTTCAAAATCCAAGGTCCGCTGGAAAGGCTGCAACAGCAGTACAACATGCGTCTTATCGCCCCCACACCCCTTGATATTATGCTATGTCGTCTGAGAGAAATGGCAAGCCCTAATTTCAGGCGGCGATCTCGCACGGTCCTTTCGAACACGACAGCGATCCGATCCACCTAGCCGAGGCCCCGAGACCGGTTTATCTCTGAGCAATGACGCTCATGTGACACATCTCGACCCAGAACTTCAATAGTTCATGAGCGCACTGGGCATGTGGAACGCGCCAAGTCCATGGACTAGTGAACTGAATGTGAACTAAAATGTTATGTTGATTTCTTTCGCGCCATTGTGTAACTGGTTCCATGAGTCAAGGATTGCTCGGTTCTTTTCCACGCTGCTACCCTTGATAAGAGGTCGGATTACGTCCGTCAAGGCAAGGGACGGTAATTGACATTTCTACTAGTCGAGTTGGCAATCTGAGCAGGTTAAATATGCATTAAAAACATGGAAATGGCACCGAGCCATGAAATTACTGCTGGAGTCCTGATCACCCTTCGGCGAGACACGGTGTCAGTTCCGTCCACCGGGGACATGCTGCTATCGGTTGCCCATAGAATGATGGGGTAGGATATATTGATTTGTGAGATAAGCCATGGAACCGACTAGAATTACGTTTGTGTTTGAGTGGACGACGAATTCTAGTCATTTGTAGCACAAGAGCTGGAATCTACCTATGACGGTTGCTTGATACAAACGCACTCAAAAAGTCATCTTATCTTCAAGTGGAAAGTTCCAGGCAAGCCTAACATAAAAGCTCATCATTTGCCTTCTTGATGTTTACCTCCTCCATATATCTCCAACTTACAACCCAGCTAATTATACTACCTTTCATAACCTTAAAATGCTATTCGGGGTTCTTTCTACTATACAATACCATTAAATTATGGCTACTTTATAGCTATCCTGCATAACTCGTTCAGATAATGAATATACCATGATGAGTCTGTTGCGAATTGTACGATTCTTCTTTCCAGAATTTCATCAATCTCCTGCTTGACGTGAAATTAACAATATTATCTTAACAGTTAGGCTAGCAAAACATCGCGAAGCGAGTGATCCATGTGAGCACACCGATGCTGCGAGCCCCGAGAGTGTATAAACAAAGCCGATAAGGAGACGGACAGCAAAAAGAGCAGAAATAGCCTCGATATTGTCGTCACGACATGTACAGAAAGACGTTATTGCTCGGGACTACTGAGCCCTTTATTGGGTCCCTACGCGAACACCATGGATCCACTGGAAATAGGGAGTCACAGCCATTCAATACAGCAATCATGCTTTACGGATCACCAGAATGAGGCACTTGAGCTCGTTGGACGACACGTGGCGTACGAGAGAAATGCCTTACGAGGCTACTAAAGTTCTGGATCAGGTGCCGTGGGAATTGCAAGTGGCCAGATAAAGCAGGGCTTGCTAGGTACGAGCCTCCGCTTGCTCCCTCCTACGATATGAACCTGACTAATCTGGTATGAGCAGGATGCCTAATCCCGGACCCAGGTTAAGTGCGCCACTGTGCTCCAACGTTTCTTTGCTGATTTCAACACGCTTTCTCCCTCCATTCTCCCCACGCCTTCCTACTATACCAGAATACATGAACACATATCTTTGAAGGACTGGCTGGGCCGAAGGCCACCGCAACGTTCTCACCAGAGCCCTAGGATGGTGTGTGTTCAATCCTTATAAAATTTCGAGGACCCTGGAGAATTTCATTGGTATGGCCTGCTTCCGAAGTCGGCGGTCTCCTTTGTCACTGCCTCTAGTGTTTCCGCTGCTTTAAGCAGCCCTTCTCAAGAAAATTCTCCAAGTTCCTCGGAATTCCATGGAATTGACCAGGCATCCTCTCTCTAGTGAGAACGATGTTGTTCCCGTTGAGTCTAATCAGTCTCTCGAAAAGATGCACACATGAATGGCAGCACAGTAGGATGTCTCGAACTCATTCAGAACTTCATTCCTGAACAGTCAACCAACGTCTCGGATCCACATCACTCTAATATCGCCTCAGCAAAGCAACTCAATTAGCGTGCAATTGCCAGTAATAATATTGCCGGAAAGCAGTGTCGCGTTGATATACATAATATATGTGCTTAGCTCAAAACTTGCTGAATCAAGATTCGGTTCTCACTGCAATAAAATAATACATGTGTACGACGGGCTCATATAGTATATGGTTCCCATTCTTAATCTTCCAACCACTAAGATCAAGATCTTTGTGATGCAGGAGGTCTTGAATCTCCTCGCCTGTCCGACAGCGTATAGTCGATACCAAACCGTCGAAAGCCGTAAGCAAAGGTAGCAAGGGAATGACATACGTAAAAAACAAGTGTTTAGGACTGTTTCTATACCGGGCAAGAGTATGCCAAAAGGGGTAGAGAAACATAACAGGAATATTCAACAACGAAGTGAAATTGCGCTGAGCCATTTCGCATATACTAGAGATCGTCAGCTTCAGCACGAGATTCTTTATCTTCAGGAAAACCCACATGAAAGAATCAGCCGACTCCATAGCCTTTCGTAGCGTCGTCGACGCAAGAGGGTCATCAAAATGATGAAAAGACAGATTAAAGATTCTGCATTCCTTCCTATCCCTTGGAGCGATTCTCTCGCAGCTCGTTGCATCTACCGGCTCAGCGATAAACGAGACATTCTCCTGTCGTTTGCTGATGGCAGTCCATTCTTCCACGCAGGGATAAAGATCCGTAAGGACAAACTGAGCGGGCCGCTTGCCTTCCGCTCGGAGTTTGGTATTCAGTATGGTTTCAATCTTGCCAGTTGGTCCGCCTGCTCCTGCACAGAGTTCAACAAAAGTGTAGGAGGATGCATCTGGTAGATTCTCTAGGATGAGATTGGCTGCCACGCCTGCTGGAGAGGTTTTGCTGAAGGGTGGGACGTGTAGATTCCAGACACTAGTTAGATATGATTGGATGTATGACCTCATCCACTCTGGACACCAGGACTGGTCCCCAATCTCAAATAGATGCCAACGTGGGAAGAGGATCATTGTGTCTTGGTGGATTTGGTTGAATGCCTGGGTTCTATCGGGGGTGATGGATCATGAACGGTCATATGGAATCGATGTCTGGCTGTGTTTGTTTTTGTTTGTGTTGGTGGATGATGAATGGCGGAGGTTGGATGTGGAGCCCCTGGCTGGATTGTTTATGCCTGAGGAGCAAGGCATCAAAGCAGGTACTACCACATTCAAAAAAGAGTTCTTGTGTTGGGTTGGGTACTAAATGAGAATTCATCGTGGATAGCACTTTACTTGGAAATATTTGAAAAACCGTGAAAAGCATATCATTCTAAATCCTTGTAGCTATAGAAGGCAGCACATAATGTACCACCAAGTCCTGAGATATCATAAATCGCAACGCTAAATAGAAAAAAGATTCGTTATTATATCGCCAATAGACGCTCTACCATTCCACCTGTCCGATAGCAACTAGCCCTAGACTGCAATTGCCTGAGCAAAGTTTCCGTGGAAAGAGTCCTGCATCTCGTTCTTCTCCACAGCCCAGCTGTCAAGAGCTGACTGAGGCGCAGCAGTCTCCTCTTGGACGGTAGCAGACTTTTGGTAGCGCTCAGCAGCAGGCCAGATCTCATGACCAGCTTCCCTCTCCTTCTTGTGGTGCTCCGTAACCACTTCGCGCACCGTCTTCTGAAAGTGAAGCGGACCAGCCTCCATCTCAGGGTGCAGCTCGCCGTTGACAAAGACACCAGCATTCAAGTTCTTCTGTGAGAGGATACAGAGGTACTTGTCTTCCGACATGATACGCTTGTACATATCACTGATAACTGTGAATGCTTCATCGGTAGCATCCTTATGACGGTAGACCTCGTACCGCATGACACACTTGGTAGGGCTGCTCGGAGTAAAGCGCTGCATGAAGAAGAAGTTGGGGCTGATGTTGAAAGAAGCGTTCGGCCAGAAATAAGTAGTAGCTATCCGGAAACCCTTTTCGATCTGATCTTCACGGGCAGCACCATAGTGCTGAATGTGTCCATCCTTCGTCTTGACATAGTATGAGTTCAGATCGGCGATAGTGGGGATATCCGGGTGGGCGACCAGACAGTGGTAGCACTCATTATAGTTATCTGCCAAAATCTTCCAGTTGAATTCACCCTCCATATCCCATGTGTGGTCAAACTTGTAATTCTCAAAATCGTAGTGGACGTATCGGGCTTGCTCATCCACACCGTCGAAGTCGTCTTTCCATGCTACCTCGGGAGTCTCGGATGCATCCATGTTCACCCAGATAAATCCATTTCGGTCGATGTGCAGGTGCACAGGGGCAAGATCGTCAGCGAGAACGGCACTGATGGTTCCCTGGTGGTCCTTGAGGATGATGAACTCGAAACCGGCGGCGTCGTATCGGACCGAGTCACCAGGGTTAGCGACACGGTGCTTGTGTGTAGTCAGGAGCCATTTGCGGGAGAAGATTGCTCGTCGTTCAAGCTCGTACATGTCCTGGGAGGTGTACCAGGAAGCAGGCAGGGCACGAACGGGAGTTTTCTCGTCCTTGGGCGCAACAGGCGTGTTGCTGGTGCCAAAGAAATTCCTCAAGAAGGACATTTTTGAATTTTGTATTCGAAGATGGGCTGCAAAGATGCTTTGAGACTGAGATCTGAACTCTTTGCTATTGTTACTATCTACCATTGAACCGGATGTCTGTCTCTTCTATATAGATAGCCATCACTACCAGGGTTCCACGGAACCCACGGAGTCAAACACCTTATCCGAGCTCTTTCACGGTGCTCCATTCTTTCACACCCGAGACCAAGTGTATGCTTAGGTGCTGTTCGCAGTCAGGTGGCCATTATCAACGGGCGATATAGCTCGGTACCGATCAGGTGATCGGTGGGAGGTTTCCCAACCGGGCCGAGTGGCTTGAACGTTATCGACAACTCCAGGATCTTCGTAAGACGGATGAAGCTTGTGGCAAGGGTACCAGCGAATAAAGTTCCTAGCTCTGAGCACCATTATCTTTCAAGTTTGATCTAGAGCCCCGTGGTCGATCCGTCACCGGTTCGGTCGTGCACCCGTTCCACACCGGGTCTTTTAACTTGCCTTAACTAGTAATGTTTGTCAGACTTCCCCAGATTTGTGGTCAAAGTACAGGATCAATTGTGGGGGATGAACTGGAGATGCCTCCGTCAGACTGAAGCAATGCTCAGATGATGACGAGGTGGGTCTGGCACGGCTGGGCCAAATAGTAGTCAGTGGAGCCGTACCAACCGTGGGAGGTTGCAGAACTTAGAATCCCTGAGCATTCGCAATACACTATTTTAGAACGGCTCATTCATCAATATTAGGTTTCAATGCTTTGGGGTCTTATCTCTAGAGCTGATTCTTCAATTTGAACAGGATTCAAGATAGAGGTTCTGGAAATTTGGATGAGCCAATCGATATCGTTCCGTCAGATTGGGCAGACCGGGCAGCAAAATAACAAAATGGCCCCTAGGCAGTAGAATTTTAGTCTGGATAACTTTACTCAGATGGTGTTAGGCCGGTAGGGATAAGCCAGTAAGGTGAATCAAATCAGCCTTTCTTCCGGGAACCGATCGCCACCGGAAGCCGGTGGGATATACCGTCTTCAATATGATACCTTGAAAGACCACAAGTAGTCAGTACTGGGAGCTTGATAGTCCTAGATATAGGCGTAGATGAGGTCAGACTCCTTTCGTTCATCAATGAACATACTCGAAGTCGAATTCTTTATAGACTTGGGGCACTAGAGTGTTCTAAAGTAAAATTGCCCGATAGAGAGTGCATAGTAGCTAATGTAAGGGGAGATAAGAAGATCGGAAGGGAACATGGCGATCAAACGAGCACCTGAACTCTCCGGCTATCTACTGTATACCTTATCTTGCAGTCACGCGACCGTCCAAGCACAATAAGAACCCCGTGACTCTATAGATAGATTCAATTACAATAGTCCTCATGAGTCGGGACGCCAATCTGGGTCCAATTTGCCTATTTCCGGTGTCTGAGGAACTTCAGTCAGCATCACAACATCATGACTCAAGCATGTGGGATTAGCACAAGGACAAAGCTTACGGTTATGAACGAGCGTAGTTGGGACCGAGTTGTCTTCGAAATTGGTCGTCACCATATACGTAGGCGTGTGACCACCCTCGTCCCAGCTGATGACTTGATAAGAGTAAGGAAGGAGTCGTGAAAGCCATGGTCGACTACCTTTGCGGGTGTGGAGCTGTTGAAATTGCCAGTCTGGTAAGGTCCGGCGAACACCACAAGCTTTCATACAGTCAGGTGTTCCAGTACAGTGTCTGGTAATCTGGTCAGTCTTTCCTTGGTAAAGGATACCGGGGGTGTGAATGACTCGTTCCGGGCCGGGGACCAGCAGAATCTGGCACTGGTCGGTCATGTTGATGCTCCTTTCCAACGCGGAGTAATTTGTAATTTGCCTGGTTGTGGTAGTCGACACTCGAGCCGGGGAACACAATTGAGTCTGACAAGCCATGCCTGTAGAAGAATTGCTCACTTTTCTAGAAGATATGCGTCAGATAAGCCTCATCCGCTTTCGCATGGGCAAGACCAAGGACATCTGTATTGGCAATGAATCCAGGGGTTAAGTCCTTTGTAGTAAAGTTTTTGAAGTCTAGAACGTCTTTCATGTACCCCGATCCCAGAGGCTTGTTACTGCCAAAAGAGGTTAATAAGATCTCAAATATATAATCTCCTAGCTTCTAAATGCTATTTTTTAAATACGAACTATTCGTCCTTGTCTTTGAGTCGATACTCGATAGCCAGATATGAGCTCCACAATAGATGATAATACATTCTGTTCCTCCTAGGCTAAATGGGCGAAATAAGATTTTCGTCATATTGAAAACACCACACATCATTTGTCGCGGGAGATTCGACTCCTTGAATTTTCGACTCCGTGAATACATAAATATTGCATCATCTCCTATAAGATTGCAAGGATGGCTAAGTCAAACGTATGTCGTCATACCTGCGGAGACCGGAAAACGGCGTCTTCAGTGTGTACTGAGTAGGGCATCAAGCCCCACTATTCCGCGTCAGCTCCGCTGATCTGCAGATCTAGTGAACAAAACTTTTCTGAACTCGATACGATCTCTGGTTCTACTACTGCATCAAATCGGTGTGAAACGCATCTTACAATGAAATCTGAATAGATGTCAATTAGTAGATTAGTGAAAATGTGCTGGATTGAAATAATTTCAATCTCCAAAGGGGTCAATAGACTGTGGCGTACACGTTCTCAATATTGAAAATGAATCATTGGGCAGGTCATCTGTGGCTGAGTACGTGAAAACCAAGAATTCATCTACGGGAAACCCGCACTGAGGCTTGCCTCTCTATAAGTGCGACACAACGACTAATGAGCGAATGTGGCTAAGTCAAAATTACCCGGATTAATACTTATCCGCTCAGGGTTCTTTCTAATTTTGTCCCTTAAAATGTGGCGCATGCGATCCGACGCGTAGGGCTGTGAACAAACCATGGATTCATGCTTGGCAGTGACGCACGCCGCAATTATATAAGAGTGCAACCCTAACCCGGAAAAAAAGTCTTCATCAAACCGACTCAAGAGAATTATACACATTTTAATCTCATCAACTGAACAAATCAATTTTTCGTGACTATTATCGCATCTCGTCTTTCGAATCTATAACAATGGGTGGTTGCTTCTCTTCTCCTCGCATGGGTGGTGACTTCGGCCCAGGACCTCGCCCGCATGGCGGTCCTGGCTTTGGCGGTGGCATGGGAATGGATATGGGTGGTGGATTTGGACAACACCATCATCACGGCGGGCCAGGGTTCGGAGGTGGAGGCTTTGGGGGTCCTGGAGGCGGCTTCGGAGGGCCTGGTGGGGGTGGTGGATTTGGACATCATGGAGGTGGCTTCGGAGGTCCTGGTGGTGGCTTTGGAGGCCCCGGCGGTGGTGGTGGTGGTGGCTTTGGTGGTGGTCCTGGTGGTGGACACGGCGGAGGTCCTGGTGGATGGTAAACAGGCTCCTTCATCAAAGGATGAACTCACACATTCTCTCATTTCAACACAGACTCCTGAACCCCATCAGGAAGCCCCCATCGAAGCAATGAAACAGCCAACAAATCGAGCCTTTGGTTTCATAAGGGAGGGCAACGACCACCAGTTGAACAGGACTCGTTCGTCAACTATGCCCTCTTTGGTACTCCGGTGTCGCTCTATACTACTTTCACCCCCCACACGGTCTATAGAGACTACCTGCATCAAGTCACCCACATCAGCCTGAGCCACGCCATTTTCCTCCGCAATTCCGGTGACACGAGCTCTCGGCTATAATGTCTTTAAATGCGCCACCTACTCAAGCTCCTACAAAGCTGTCAATTGTTACATTTCAGTCTGAGTACAGCACCCAGCAGGGCCATGTCCTAAGGTTGCCACGATCCATCCGTCACATCGTCCGCTTTCAACTGGCAATCAATCAACCTATCCAGGCAGCCAGGCAGCTTTATGTCCAACAACCCTTAGCGGGCCCACCAAAGCTGCTATCGGGTTCCACATTCTCAAAGACCATCTACAAGATCATTCATATTACGATTATATATGCACGTCATTCTAGATACCCAATCAAATTTATATAGTTCACACTAAATACTTCATAGTCTCATGGAATTTAAGGGCTACCGAATCCACGAGACCTTGTAGATACTCAAGTCTTCGCACATATTTTAATCAGCAGGTAACTGACTTTGTAGGAGTTCCAATGCATGAAGTGCACTGGCGCCCATATTTTAATTAGCCGAGCCAGGGATTAAATGCAGGCTTGACCGTCTGGGATTGCGAATGAGTGTCAAGGTAGATTAAGCTGACCTAGCCTGTCATATATTGAAAACATTATCAATGGAAGACAAAAATGAAATACTGAAAGTCTTGGAACCGGAGTCTACCATCAAATATTCCCGAACCATAAATACAAACATTTCACTATTTCCTCGACTTTTTTCTACCAACACGCGAAACTGATGAAGAACCTCTCTTATCACAACTGACGGTTCAAGTTCTCAAAGTAAGCGTTTTCTCCTCCTCATCCTTGATAAATACTTACCGTCTTTTCCCCAGATGGTCTTCCAAGTCCTGCTGAACAGAACCACTGGTCAAATGAGTTATACCAAAACCCTCACTTTCCCTAGCAGGCAATATGCAGATGAATTCTACAACCGCTGTATCACAATTCCGATCAGCAGGAACGAATCCAAAGATCCGCTCACCCAGATCGCGAGATACTCTCCTCAGTTCTGGTCTTTCAACTCCGACACTCCATTTCACCAAATCATTATGAATGGCCATTTGAAGGATCTCAGGCCGACGGCCATGCTCATACGAATTAGTGGCTACCAAAAGCCCGCTATCTACAGTAGTGGTGTCATGTCAATCAATGTGGGCGATGCCACAGCAGACGTGGAGTATCGATCCGGGGGTGCATACTATATCCGCACAAAGTCTACACCCCATCAGTACTGGTTCTGGGAGCAGGGGTATCAATTCGTCCAGCTTGGTGATGTCAGAAAGTCAAAGTTCCATATCACTCGACATGGTTCTCCTACTCCTGCCTCCAATACTGCAATTCCTGCCTCCACTGAGAAGCCTGGTGATTAGGATTTTGTTGTTGTGACCGCGCTGGGAGCGACTGAACACGGTGTTATTGGCCTCCACAATAGCCAGCTTTCAGCCCCTTCGATTATTTCAATTGCTTCGGGTCGCTCTGCCAGCTTTGCAACTCCTTTTGCATTCCCTTTTGGCAGTTTTTATGATGGAAACCTGGGTATGAACTGGAGTACTTTCCCGGGCTCCCGTATTCCATATCTGACATTCAGAGTTGGCTATGCTGGTGAGGAGTGGGAACTTGTATACTAGTATTCTGCCTGGATGCTTGGTGCGATTCACATGTTTCGGTCGGTCTCGTTATTTGACCCCTTGCCAAACAGAAATGGAATTCACAAATCTCAGTGACCATGATTGAAACCCTGTGCACTACGTCAGCCAGGGAGCAAATAATAGCAGCTGCAAAGTCTACCTGAGCGCAATTGAAATAAGCATAAATCAGGAAGTTTCAAGTTCTCAAGACTACCTATGTCACCAATTACCCACCAAGGTATGCTCTTCCAAACCTTTTTACATAGTGCATATGGAGCTAGCACCTATCAGCTGGGAGATAAAATCAATCTTCGCTGTATTGATTGACTACTATAGAGTGAATGAGAGAGCCTTGCAGTAGAAGTTGAAGTGGTATTTTCCTCATATAATCTTTAAAGGTTGTGATTAAGCGGTGTTTTGAGTACCACATGGTTAGAGTGATTAGGGCTTGGCGCTCCGTAATCTCAAGCTCCGCAAGCTTTCCTCTCCAAACATCTTCGAAGCTACCACTCAACACAATTCCCACCATGGAGCCCGCTGCCCAGCCCCCTCCAACTCTGACCAACCCTCGGTTCACTCTCGAGTTAGAATTCGTCTCCTCGCTCGCCAATCCGTATTACCTGTCGCACTTGGCAGTCACCTACCCGAACCTCCTGGGGATCTCTCAAGCCGACGAAGACGACGATTCTGCCTCCACCCCCGATGCGCAGGCATTCGCCGCATATCTTGCCTACCTCTACTCCTACTGGAAGACCCCCGAATACTCTCAGTTCCTCACCCACCCCGGCCCGACCCTGCGCGCCTTGCGCTTGCTGCAGGAAGACAGCTTCCGCCGTGACATTATCTTGCCCCAAGTGATTGAAGGATTGGCGGGGGTCAACGTCTTTGGCAATGCAGCAGCAGCTGAAGCCGAAGATGCAGGAGCCACAGAGAACCAGGAGGAACAGAATGGCTCGAAGACTTGAGGACGCGTGCTAAGCTTGGGACCTTCATTATTGGCCCTTCTTCTACCACCATCCCTCCCCCACCAGCAGTGCTTCGCATATCAGACTTGAGTGGAGGGTTACACGGCCCCTTCGATTGGAGATGGATCTCTTACCACCCACTCGGCACTTTATCTACAAGACCATGATTGCGGGGCCAGGCACTTCATGTGCGACCGAGGTATTGGACGAGATCGGCCGGAGTTTGTCGATCGAACAACAGGTACGAGGTTCATCCGAGTCCAAGGTTTCCGCCAGTCCCGGTATCCATATTCAACTGGTATTGCGGGGTTGGGAAAGGGACAAAGCGCCTGCAAAAATACTTAAGCGATTCCATAAAGAATGATTTAATATGCGCACCGCATGCGTCATGCGTCGCAAACTATTCGCTCTATGCCGCGGCAATTGATGAACCACCAATCGAATGAATGTGTCTTGTCTCAATTTCTAGTCAATTTGGAATCCGTAAAACTATGTAATTGACATAAGAGCTTGATACTTACATTGTCAGTATCTGACATGGACGTATCCGAGCTCATACCAACCTTCTTTTTTTGACTTTGATCTTCTCATTTAATTTCGCCTCCTTTTGTGCTCCCCTCCACTACAGTAATCTACGATTTTCTTCTTTATTTTCATTCCAATAGCACGTTTTTGGTGTTGTTTTCTACTTTCATTGGAAATTGCCGATTTTCTTGGTTCGAGGAGACAGCCCCCACCCCTGGTGATCGGCCTCCAACTACCTCATCGGACAGCCGTTCCCGTCCAACGTGGCTCTGAACGTTCGCCTCCATTGACAGCCCGCCTCCCCCATGGTCGTCCTCCAGTCCTAACACCCTACACCACCTTGAACCTACGGGCAATCATCGAAACCTCGCAAATCCTGTCCGCGGACCTCCCCCGGGGGGCCTATCATCAAAGCGCCCATGGAGTCCGTACGCCAATCCTGTCGGCCTAAACATCAGGTTTTGACGCTGAAATGCTATCCCCGATATCAAAAAGGCGTGGCGGAGGTCAAACCAAACCCGAGCGAACTTTCATACCTATTGTACTATGCGAGTACACGTCGCAGTAAGCTGACCAAGGTTGGCGGCTTCCTGGAGAAGAGGGTGGCCAAAGATGTCTGGCGACGCAGGTTAGGGTGAGTGACTTGCGATGAAAAAGACCGATGAAAAAGACATCATAGGCTTTCAGCCCAGGAATGCATAAACCTTGGAACTGACATTTGTTTGTGGCAGAAATGTCCAGGTCGCGCTTCACATTCTATCCGGACTCATCGAAAAAGTTCCTCGCGATCTTCCTATCTACGTGGGCTCTGTTCTAACCGTCATCGAAACCGTGTTACGATCAAATGAGATCTCCTTGGTGGAGGATTCTATCGCGACCTTCGAAACCTTCTGCCGGCACCAGGATGTCGCAATTATTTCGGCCGAACAGGGAATTGCCCAGAAATACCGAGAAGTCGTTCGTTTGTACGCAAGTTTCGCCGATCCGTCCTCCGAATTGTACTCCCCCGCAAAAGTTAGCCCCCCAGTCTCGATTCGTTGGAGGAATGCCGGACTCCGCGCGATCCGGAGCATCGTCAGCTCCGAGAGTCTTGCCGCCGACGGAGGAAACTCCCTTAAAATCATTCTACCCGTTATTTTGGAGAATCTGTACTCAGCCGACGAGGATGTGCTTATCCCATTGAAGGCCAGACTTCAAGAGAACAAGGAGCCTGAGCGCGATGGAGGTCGTGCTCCCCGACGGATGAGCGTTGCGACGGTACACACGGTGGATACCGTTGAGGCTGATCCAGCACTAGCAGCCCAGTCGACTGCAGATGTCGACCGACAGGCGGAAATGGATGCCCGGCTACTGGCACTGCGCTGCCTTGAGCGAATCACCGTCTCTGGGAGTAACCGTGGTCAGATGCGAATTGCGGCGTCCATCATCATGCATTTCATCTCGAGCAAACGTTTCCCTCGCACCAACTCGCAGGAGCAGTCATTTGATAAGCACCAAGATGGAAACTGGGCTACTTCTCTCATTGAACTGATTGCAAACTGGTGTCCCGTTCAGGTCCGATTTGTGATTTTGATGACGGCCATGGACACATTGTTCGAAACGAACCCTACGGAGAAGGCATTAGACTCTGCATTCACTATCCTTTCCGTGGTGGATTGGCTTCTGAAATCGTCGGTCAATATGATTGGCTTGAGCGTTATGGATATTTTGTCCGGTCTTATGCAGTACGCCTCGAGCATTCTGTCGCCTCAGGAAGGCATCGATGGTGAAAAGAAGGCAGACTTGCAAGCCGACAGCTCGATTCACATCTCTGGTCGGAGGAGAGGTCTGCTCATTCTTCTCGAACAGTGTATTGGAGACTTGGCCACTCATATCTACTACGGTGATCAGGTTGCAGATATGACGCGCGCCATTCTCCGGCGCTTCAAGCAATCCATGAACAACGATAGCACCGCACCATCTGCCCTGGCTACCGTCCATGAATCTACTGCGTCCCCAGTGGCCTTCACCCAGTCTGGCTCCGAGATCAATGGCGAGAAAGTGAACAGTGATGTCTATTCGCACGCTGCTGCGAGATCGACGGCTCTCCGAGCTGTCAAGGCCATCTTTGTCGTAGCAAACTCGAAAAAGTCTACTTCAACGTCCGAAACAAGAAACCCCGTTGGTATTCATGTTTGGGAAGGGACCCAAGGTCTTCTTCGGGATTCTGATCGTGAGGTCCGCTACGCCTATGCCGACGCCTTTTTGTCTTGGCTTTGTCTCGAAACCAACAATAATGACCTCAAAGTACGGAGTGATACCCCCGAAATTTGTCAAGCCCACATCAAAGGCTGAGCAGCTAGACAAGCCCAACCGGCGGAGCACCTCGGCTCCGGGTAACAATAGAGAGATTGTTGCCCAGGCTGCGCAATCTACTTTCCTCCGACTGTTGCACTTGGCGATCTATGATGCTGCTCTTGACTCTGCCTCCGTTGAATCCGAGATCCTCCTGCTGCATCTTCTTATGGTTAGTCTTGTTGATAACCTCGGTGTCAATGCTGTTCAATTTGGACTACCAATGGTCTTGAAACTTCAGGATGATCTTGCCACCTCAGTCGATCTAGGTTCATCTAAGGCCCGCGTCAACATCGCAAGCTTAGTTCATGGGTATCTTTTGGCAGTCTCGAACAAATTCAATCTTGAATCTTCCCATGCCGGTGTTGAGATCCGCAACGAAGTCGAAAGAAGACAGAGTAAGGGACAATGGCTTTCAGCTGTTCGACTGCCGCCCACTGGTCTCGATGCCATCACTGATAACGAGAAGGCTGTCAACGGTCATTCTGTTTCGTCCGATAGTCTGCCACCGTTCCGGAATGTTGAGGGGCTTGTGAGTGAAATTGATGAATCCTATAGCAAAGAGTTCTCGTCGCCACCACAGAGTCCTCCAACAGCACCAGCCCGGGGCTTCAATTTCCCAGTCTTGAGCCAACCTCCATCGTCACACCCACCGGTAGAGAGCGGTCTTCCATCGTCCGTCAGAGACCAGATGCTGTCTCCATGGTCTCGAGAGTCGTGCCTGGCTGCCGTCGAGAAGGAAAGTGTCAAGACACTATCTCTCAGTGGATCCCGTGCAGGCACTGCGCCTCGTAATAATGCCAATGGCACCGCACATGGCTCCCCTGCTGGCTCTGCTACGAACAGAAACCGTCGGATGAGTGTTCCCGAAATCTCACGGACACCAGAGCATAGTTCCAGTCGAGGCTCTCCTGTGCGTGTGACAGAGCTGCGGCGTGTGCTCTCTGTAACCAACGACAGCCAGCAAAGGAAACTCAGTCCTCTTCGCGGCCACGTCAATGCATCAAATATCAGCGTGATTTCCTCTGGCAGTGAAAGTATGGTCAGTGGCAATTACGCGATCTCCGAGATGGACGCAGAGGGCATTTCTATCCACCAACAGGAGGGACAGCAAACACCCGATGCAGAGGGCTCAGAGACTCCCCGCCCGGCATCAGCTATTGTTCTTTCCGACGACCAAACCCCGACAGAACAATTAGACAGCCAGAGCCAATTCAACTCTACAGAGATACCCCCTGTCCCGCCCATCCCTACAAACCTGCACATCCCAGGAGGTTACCCCAACGACTCTCAGCGGTCCTTGGTCATTGACCGTCCATCCACCGCCCCCGATGGTCAACCGTCTTTCCAAGGTACATCGGGGCAATCACAACAACACGCTCGCAACAAAAAGTCCTTGAACCGCAACAAGAGCCGCAGCAGCAACACCCTCGCTGGAGCTGATTTCCGGGACGCCAACGGCAGTTCTGATAATAGCCACCGAGACCAGCTGAAAATTCTTTTGGATGGATTCCTGGCGCCAGAGAACAGTCTTTTGGCTAATGGAGACAATTCAAACACCTCTTCCAAGGCCCCAGTAACTCGAAGCTACTCCAAACGCCGAGTCAGCGGCGGCGGCATCGGACGCCCTCCATACTGACATCTCATTCCCACTACGCTTTGCGCCTGTACAGTCGATTCCGGTAATTTTTCGGACATCTGATTCTCGTTTCTTCGCCTGCATTGTACATGTTATAATTTCTTTCTCTTTTTACTGCATGCTCTTGGTTGGCCCATTCTCAATAATTGGTATAGCAGCCTTCTGCATTCTCTCGTCTGTCGGTTTTCTTTTACTTTTTCTCTCTTCGTACTGCCCGATACTCTCTCTCTTGATCATATTTCCTTTTCGCATATGCTTATCTTCTTACCCTGCCGCGACCTTTCACCTTTTTTTCTTCTCTTTTCTCGCGACTGTTTTTGTGTGTCGGCGAGTGTCTTTCCGCGGTATTGTACCTACCTACGTTGTCGGTAGACACAAAATAGATGGTGCTTGTATCTACACGTAAGATGGATTTGGTTGTTCGTCGGGTAGCTGTTGGTCAAATATGATGGTGGTGATATTGATAGACAATGGTGATAATAAAGTCATACTCAATAACTCCTACCAATGACATAGTAGATACAACCGAGATATCATAAACAGCCACCTGGGCATTTCAACTTCACCCGAAACTAAACCATTCTGGGACTATTTCAACATATCGCATACATCCGGGTTCTGATCCAGGAACTTAAGCAGGCTGCGCAATCAAACCCGGAGACTCATCCTCGTGAGCAGGCATAACAACAGAGCTCACAGGACCGAAGAATTCCTTGAATGTCTTCTCAAGAACATCCTCAGAAAGTTGCATATGCTCACCAGGGATAGTCTTGAAATCCAACTTATTCTGCTGATCCAAAGCCTTCAGCCCAATCCAATCCTCCGTATAAATCTTTCTCTTCTGCAGCGGCGTAACAGTCCCATCCGTCCCATTCACATCCGCAAAATGCGCACTCTCCTTCGGCACAGCAACAGTATCATTCTCAAACATATACATAGCAAACCCATTCAGCGTCGAAAGCCTCTTCTTATAATCTTCCCGCTTCTCAGCCCGTTCATTATTAATATCAGCCAAGAAAGTACTGTGCTCAAGATAAGGCTCCAATTCCTCGGGGTCCCGGAAGTACTGCGCAGGGACAACATGCGACTGAACAAAATCCGCCCACGTTCCCGCGCGCAGCAGACTCTCAGCCGCATTGCAGAACCAGTCGCCCATTCCACATGACTGGAATTCGGATATACCGTTGTGTTGGCTGCCGAATGTGACTAGGTTGTGGACGGCGGGAGTGTTGCAGCGTTCGACGTAGCCGCGGAGAAATTGGCCGCCCTGGGAGAAGCCAAGTGCGTTTATCGCCGGTGCTGTGCTTAGAATTGGGTCTGAGGCTAGTTGAGCGCAGACGGTCTCGAGTTGGGCGCTGACGTTTCCGAAGAATGTGGCTTGGCGGTCGCCGGAGCCTGTTTCTTCTAGTCGGATTATGTGCACGTATGTTCCTGGGTTTGTGGTTTTGGCTAGGTCCGCTACGGAGTTTAGGCCGTCGCGTTCGAAGTCGTCGCCTAGGCCGTGCCAGATTACTAGAGGGAGTTGGGTTGGTTCGGCATTGCTGGAGGCTGATTTGATTGAGAGTGTGAGGGCGCTTGTAGCGAGTGATATGATGGGGATGAGACGCAGCATAGTTGCGCTGTTTGGAATGAGGGCTCGATGTTGGAGCGGAAGTTGAGGTTCTGGTGAGCTGGAGTGGATCCGGGGAATGCTACATCCGCTATCTGCACGTGATGTGCGACACCGTCCTAAGGCCGTAGTGCACAATCCATGGATGCCAGGTGTGGGACTGGAGGTGCCCAGAATTATCATGTATGTTCTCCACAGAGTCAGGTTTCTTCGTCCTAGATTCCATAGGTCTAGATGTAAGGCTGGTTACAGTTGGAAAACAGGGCCCGTCACTTGATCATAGTTGTGGCATTGGGTGAGCTTTTTATAGATATATATAGAAACACGTCAGACCAAATAGGTAACTAGTAGCACAGATTCAATGTTTCTTCAGATGACTGCCGCTCCAATACTACAATTGAACGACTTGTCCGAATATTTTCATTGACACGGGACATGCGGGGTTTTCTGTGAGCTCCAAGGATGGACTCGAAAACCTTGAGCAAGGCACCTCATCAACCGGAGATTGAAACAACTTTCTTTGATTGTGAAAAGGGCTGCGAGAATTAAGTGGACTGATAGGCTGTGAGATTCGTTTTGGCTGCGGAAGCCAGCTGGAGGCCATGGGTTCGAAAGAGGCGTCGGCCATGACTACGGTGGGTAACGGCGACGACGTCTGTCGAAGGCTACAAGTAGATCTAGGCCGAGAGTACCGAGGCGATTTCAATGTGGCATTGAGTCGTATTTGCTCTTGAAGCAGTTGATCATCAATGGTAAAGCGATGCCTTGGTAAAGGTGAGCCAGCTATATTCCCGGAAAATTTTGCTATGGATGTGTCTCTGTTTGTTTCCAACCGGGAGCAATATGGCGAGCTATTGGCAAGATTGAATTTTGAGGCCACATCTCGAAGAGGAGTGTAGTCAGCAGGATCGGAGTGTTCCACCATGTGAGTATTGATTGGGATATCTGGCTCTTCGAGACGCGGTGGCGCACGGTTGTGGCTTGGCTGGAGTGAAAGGCGTCCGGAAGAAAGCTTCCATGAAAAAACCGGGGAGGATCCTGGATTATCTGCTTGGAATAATGCAGGGGGTTCGGAGTCCAAGAGCATCGAATATGACGACGGATTGTTAGTGGGTAGTGCTTGAGTGTCATCCGAGGGAGAAGGAGAACCGGCAAGCCGGCCGTCAATGCGTATTTTGACCTGACCCAAGCCAAAGCTTTCAGAAGATGGGAGCCTTCTTTTGTAGAATTCAGGTAACGTGAGATCTCCATGAGCCGACAGGCGTTTACGGTCAACGTCTGTCAATTTCCGTCGCCTTGCAACTTGACCAACCTCCTCCATAGAAGGAAATTCTATTTCCAGTGGACGTGCAACAGATACAGCAGCCCAGTCTGGTTGTTGAAGGAGTCGACGCTTCAAGACACCCAGTCTGTCATTGGGCAGAACCTTGGCAGATCGAGGTTTGCCTGGCCCTGTGGCCCTGAAACTTGTTGAAGAGCCCGGGTCAGTATCGCGCCGACTGATCAACTGCCAGAAACAATGATAAAGCGATGCATAAATCCAGCTTTTGCACTGACTGGTTCGCCTCTGCTAGTTCTCCTGTGCCATCTCTTAAGCACCCGTCTGGAAACCTGCGAAATGGCGTTGGTTGAGCGGATGCTCTGCTGCTTGTCAGTTGACGAGACTTGGCAAAGTTTTGTCGCTGAGTTTTGGATAGAACACCCGGGCGAGCCGAGTGTCGACGCAATTGACCTCCTGTCCAATTCATCTCGGGACATGCACAATCGGATGGTGGATCCGTTGTCGATAGTCTAATCGGTAGTGAGTGGAGATCATCAGCAGCCCAAACACTATTCCCAAACTGGGCACCCAGCCAAACTGCACAAACAGGTCACATGACTCCACGCACAAAATTCGGTTTCATTTTTTTGCTTTTCTCTCTTTCTCCTTAATATGACCATGATTATGATTCATGATATAGCTCTCACCGACTAGGATGTGCGACAACTCACCAGATCCACAGGTAAGCCGTGTTCGCAATTTCCTTTGCCTTTCTATTTTTCCATCTTCCAATTTTCGTTTGCGAGGATCCGTGCTCTCCGAGTGCGGAAAAATCCCTCGACTGGTCTTCCTGATGAAGCAATATTTTAAAGCATAGTTCACCTGAAATCTTCGGATTGCTGAACGATAAAACTTATCCATCTTTCAACCTATCTGATACCATTTTCTCATTTCTGAAATTTGACATTCATGCGAATTTCGGACTTTTTTGCTGACAATTTGTCGACAGGTCCACTCAAAATAGTTTTATCTCGCGCCCAACGCTGCATTGCTACCCAACGTGGGTCTCGGCGGCGGGCCGCTCCCTCGGGAACCAGTGAAATAGACAATAATGCTAGCCCTCATTTGCCCTGTTTTCCAGTCTTTCGTTCCCCCTGGACCTGCGTTGTCCCTGTATTCTGTAACCCTCTGTGCGCTCGTGTTTGATGTCCTGTAGTATCCCCTCTTTTGCTGCATCTCAGCTGCTTCTTCCTGTTCCGTAACACTCCGACGTGGACGACTCTCCACCATACATGTTCCCGGCCCCATGTGCGCAGAACATCATCCTGCAGCGTCAGCCTTGGGATGCCACCAATCATACTAGTCTACGTACCCTGCCAAGCCATGGAGACGCTGGGCTAGTCTCACCGCTAGAACATCCCGTCCCTTCTATCCACTAAGGGGCGTCCACTTGCAAACCGAGTCTGCAGATGCCGTCACCGCCAGTCCTCAGCACTGGCCATCTACTGGCCCTCGATAGTGCCAACACTACGCTGCACGCTGCGAGTCTGCTCGCCTGGCACAAGCCATGTTTTGAGCTGGCCCCACCCCACTCCGAAGACCGGTGGTGTGCTTTTTCTAGTACTAAAAAGGCTGCTGATCCCCCTTTCCCTCGATTTCTTCTTCTTTCCTCTCTATAACTCTCTGGATACCCATCATCTGACGACCTGGTTTAATTTGACCATTGTGCTTTGTCCCTTCAATATATACCCCCTTTACCATATACCCTACGTCACCCAGTCTCTGGACCTTGGACGCCCCTTCTTGTTACTTCGCACAACATCTGCCTGGTTTATCTTGCCCTAAGGATTTTTTTTTATACTCTTGCCACATTGCCCTGGACAGGATTTGCTTTGTTGTTCCCCCAGGCTTTTCTTCAGCACACTCTCGTGTCTGAAACACATCAGGTAGTCCCCATCACATTTTCCTTGCATTTTCTACTTTGTGTTTCCCATGCGCTTTCTCTTATACTGGACCTGTACCATCGACACTGTATTCTCGACAACCTGCCTTCTACCTCCCATGGAAATCGCCAACTGCAGGCCATTGCAGAACCTTTCTTGACCCATGGACCATTGAATCTTGACCTTGACTGTGATTATCACTGGATACCCTACCAACCTGGTAGCCCAAAAAGAATGATGCTTCTTTTTCATGGATACTCCCTGGCACCGGTTGCCAGGTGAGTGGACTCTTTCGAGTGCTGTTTATGTTGCACACTTGATTGAAACTTCCGCTGGACTGCCTTTATGACCCTGGATTTGAAACTTGCCCTGGACTCCCGTCACCCAAGCCTGGTGTGATGTGGATGGATTTACTTTGCTCCCTGGATGACTGAATGGACCTTATCGCCTTTGCTTACCTATGACTACCTACTGGACAAATAATGAAATATCCCTGGAATGATTTTACCATGGCCTTCCTCGGCCATTACAAGGAGCCTTTCTACAAAACTATCCCAGGATTCTCTGAGCTTAATGTTGCTCTTCCAAATGGAATGATCTGCCTATTCTCAACACTTACCTTGGCCACTGACTTGATGGAACCCGGTCATGCAAGCCTAGCTGACCTGCCGTGAAATGATCACCTTGACTTGACTCCTGGATCCTGATTATGCTGCATGATACTTCGACTAGTAGCTCTGGCCTTGATGAACACCCGACTTATTCCCAAACAACAAATCTGGCAATAGAACTACCATATCCCTGGACTCGCTACACGACACAAACTTATCCTAGGACACCTTGACACCACCGGCTTGGACTTGCTTACTCTAATTGTGACTCTGGTGCGTCAAGCCGTCGACATCATCGCAATAACTTAAGCTAACAGATCATAGGCTTCCAACTTCTTCTGGACCTCGGAGCTCTCTTGTTTCTTTTTTGATTTTTGATTTTTCTTTTCTTTTTATGCAACTTTAGATGTGACGGTGTAGATAACTGACTTGATGATGCTTTTTCTTCACAGTGACTTTTACACAACCATACACAACACACAATGTCTCCCAGGACCAGCACAGACCCCGAGCGGGTTTCTCTTTCTCAGTCTAGACACTCCATGGTCCACGGAATGTCACATATGGCCTCAAGAACCCTCCAGGATGATGAAATGTCGAGCCAGGACAACTCGTCCTTGTGCTCAAGTATTGCCACAAACCATGGAAATTCCCAGGACATGAAAGAATGGAACATGAACACTACAGAGTCTCTCGATCAGGCCATTTCTTCCAAGGAATCTCCCCAGGTGCAAATGCTTTCTTTCTCGCTGTCTCATCAGCTCATGACCCCCACGGTCGGACCAAATGATGTGATGTACACAGGCGTTGACTTCCCAGCAGTCTCAGACCTGCATGATCATGATGGATTTTACTCCTTTGTGGACCTCTCTTCCATGGATAATGATGTTTGTGGCGCTCAGTCAAGCACACCGGATGATGCTCTTTCTGTTGCTCACAGCTCCCACACGGATGATGCACACTTCATGAGCCATGAGTCATGGAATGCTATGATGCCCGATGGCCACTACCCTGGAACAACCCTGGACCAACTCTCATCAAGTCTTTTCCAGACTGTCCCGGTTTCTCCGCCTCTGACGGAAGCCAGCAATGACATTCCCATCACATCTTCTTGCTCCCACCCTGGATTTCCTTCTTTCATGGCCCATGATGATACACTTCTCGGAGATTACACTGCCTCACCCATTGGCAACCACGGACTTAACCCAACGGAGCCGCTGTTCCCCAACACCACTCTCAACGAGAAGGACCCTGAAAGGTAGGTCCATAGTAATGAATATGGAAACAAGAAAGACGAATCGGGATTCTAATTCATACCCCCAACAGGACCATCAGACCTACTAAGCAATCTCGGCGATCAGCTTTGCCAGGCGCCTCTCAGCCCAACATTAAGGCCGAATCGGACTTCTTCCCCCCACTGCCTATGAGAGAGCCAGCCCGCCAGAGATCCAAGGATGGAGCCGAAGCTCGCAACCCGCGAGAGCACCACTACTATTCCCTTCCCACTCACAATGATGGAAAGTACTACTGCCCGTTCGCCAATGGAGACAAGCCTTGCAACCACCCACCCACGACGCAAAAATGCGCTTACCAGCAAGTTCTCCCAAAATGCTATGGATTCCGACGTATCATGAAGCTAACCGATTTCCCCTTATAGCAAGTACCTGGATTCCCACCTGAAGCCCTACCGGTGCAAGGTCCCAATCTGTATGGATGGCCAACTGCGTTTCTCTTCAAACGCCTGCCTGTTCCGCCACGAGCGCGAAGCCCACGGACTACATGGCCATGGAGACAACCCCCACCTTTGCCTGTGGGAGGGCTGCGAACGCTCCGTTCCCGGATATGGATTCCCACGTAGATGGAACTTGTACGACCACATGCGTCGTGTCCACGACTACGTCTCCTCCGAGCGCCACAGCTCGCCCGAGACTTCCCCGGTTGCCGTTCCAGCCAAGAAGAAGGAATCCCCTGCCTCTACTTCCGGCCGCAAGAGAAGAAGCGTCACAGGTCCCACTCCGGCCCCAACCATGAAGCGCACCCGCTCCATCCACTCCCACTCCGGTCCCGTCAAGGCTACCCAGACTTCCGCCCAGCATGGACAGCGCCTGCGCACAGCCGAGCACAACTACTACACCTGCCGCTCCCGCCTGGTCGAGGAACTTGCCAAGATCAACCCCCAGGATATTTCCATGCACGAGAAGGTCAACGCCAGCCTCCAGGAGCTGTTCACCCTCGGCCTGAACTTCCGTCAGATCGAGGCTAGCCAGGTCAACACCCACATGCCAAATGGAATGCCCGCTTGAATGATTTTTGTTTTTAGGCTCTGTAATCCATCCTTTCATTGTCTCAATGGATGAATGTTACACAGCAGCCATGATCGTTTTCAATCTTTGCGGAGGATTCTTTCCCTTGCTATCACCATACCCTGGACGAAACTGCTGCATTTTCGCGCTTGTTCGAACTCCGGAATGACCTGTTTAACCTACCTACCCTCGGGAGCGTACGCATTTTAAAATGCACTCACGCCGGAGCAATTGCTCCAGATCTGGATGCCTTAAGGCACCAAAGGGAATCATAACAGGAATCTGTATGTTGGAGCTGGGCACTCCAGCTACAAGTATTTCTTGGACATCCTATGCTCATTAGAATCTGTGGTTAGACCATGGAAGAGCACCAACCTTCACCGTACTGAAATGTGGTGTGAAGGAAATCAGGAGTATGGACAGGAACCATGCTACTACCAAAAAAAAAGAGAAAAATAAACGATGAGGATTGTGAGGAATTTTGATTATAGTTATATTCGACAGAAGGAGTTTAGTTTGACAATTTATTGATATACATGTGATACACTTCCTAGTAAACAAGAAAAGGTACCTCGTCTAAACATCAAGATGAGCTCGTAGCCCTGACGTGCAGTTCTTAACTTCACAGAAAATAGACAATCGAACTCAAATGCTTTTAATTTATTTTCGTAAATCATGAAATCTCCATCTATCTCTATGAAATTCACACCATCTATTTTCGAAAACCACCAGATCAAGTCTCATCATCACCCCCAAAACTCGAATTCAAAAACCTCACAAACGCATCCCCGATCTGCTCAGCCGTCAAGCCACCCTGTCCAGCCCCATGCCCCCTCCCAATATAAGTCCGATTCAAACTAATCCACTGCCTCCTCAGCCTCTGCAACCTAGGCAGCGCCAAAACACCACCCGGACCCGCAAGTTCATCAGTAGTACCAGTGGTAGCAACATGAGCCGGAACAACAATCTTTTCCTTCGCCTCAGGCACAGAAATCTCAATTGCCTTCCCATCTTTACTCTGCGCCAATGCCACCTCCGCCGAAGGCGTAGCCTGCGTAAACGCGCGGATGGCAGTAACAACTGCCGAGGTCTTCTTCTCCATAGCGTAGAGGGCACTGTGGTCCGTTTGTACAGCTTGAATTGTAGCTTGGTGAGGAACGATACGGGGTCTTGAGGATCCGCTTCCTCCTATTGCGGTTCCGCCACGCGTGAATGTTGTGCGCGTTGTTGTGACACTTGCGGCCGAGGAGAGAGAAGTTGAGTTTAGGGTTGTTGTTAGGTCGGAGATGGGTGTTATGGTCGGTTCTTGGGCTGAGGGGAGGATTACGCCACTCAGAGCGTGGAAGATGTCTGCTACTGGTGGTGTTTCGTCGGCCCAGGGGACTGTGAAGAGAGGTTTGTCCCAGCGGCTGTGGGTTGATGGTTCCTCATAGCGGAAGATAAGGTTGTTTAAAAGTTCGGGTGGGTATGGTTCTTCGTTGTCGGTTGATTTCGCAGGAACGTCTGTAGTGGGAGAGGGTTGGGAATCGTCTGCGGTCTTCTTTGAAGCTTGACGCTGCAGTCTGGCGTCGTTGTTCGCGACACATTGATCAACTGGTGTTCCGACGTGGACCTATCCCAAATAGTATGGTTAGCCTGGACCTCCCAGTATAGGTTGGAAAGTTCTATCATACCACACAGCATGTTGTCCCAGCAGCTTTAGCTTCACACCAAAGCTGATACCGCCATCCCTTGATATAGTTCATGCCATCCAAGATCACGATGCTGTCGCGTGTGAGCACGCGCTTGGCTCGGGCGTAGGCCACGCCTCGAGCCTCCTTTTCCGTCCGCGCATGATCGTATACGGTACGTGGGTGCGAGGTATCATGCGATGCGACGACGTGGACCTTGAATCGGGATTTTAGCGTGACGGGCGACGCGGACTCGGTGGCTGCGAAGAGTTCATCTTGCGCTGTCTCGAGGAGTGCCGCGAGCTGGTTTGCGCGGTAGGTGAGACCGGAGCAGGGATACCCGGTAAGAATGACGAGCTGGAATATTAGTGAAGATATTTTATGTGTTTTGGAGCGGTACTTACAGGCATTGTTGTAGTGTGGTGTTTGGTGCGGCGGAGATTTTTTTGCGCGGGGTTGGACATGTGACTGCGGGACAGCCGCTGATCGACAGTAGATATTGGTGGGATTTATTTGGAAATGAAGAAAGTTAGTATCATTTCCAATTACACAGATTGAATCTATGCTCTTGAACATGAGGCTACCTTCTGACATACCGAGTATTTGAGGGGCATCCACCCCATCGTCGATATACGTTACGATAGTAGTAATTCAAAACAACAGAGCCCCACCTGGCTAGAGCGAAGATACATATTCACTATCGCGACTTTTCCAAGGTCGTAACACATCATCCGTGGAGACTAGCTTGGAAGTACAGCCAGCAGGCGAGCCCGGCATATGGATATACCGTGGCTTTGTTGAAATCTCTTCGGTCAGTCAGGCGCTTGTCCCATCTGGCCTATTGGTGGGTGATTACGCGCCCCGATCTATTTACGTACCCTTCGCTCTCTGTGCTATGCTTCTTACACGTGACTCTCAACATGTCAGTGTGGCTGGCATAGAGCGTGAGCGCTGAAACCTTCATCGATAACAGGAAACTTCCATCCTGGCCAGGCACATGAGACACCATGGCGAGGACAGAACTTGTGAATGATATGAGATTGAACGCCGATATCCTCCCGGATGGCACTTCCCACTACACCTTTCAACCTGACTACTCCCAAGGGACCACTGACAGATGGCGGCCAAAGATAGAAACCTGGAAGCGAGGGAAGATACTGGGCTCAGGATCATTCGGGACAGTCTGGGTTGAGCAATGTGTTTCAAGTGAAGGTCCCGCTAGGCTGCGAGCTGTGAAGATGATCAAGAAGCTACCTCACTCTTCTCATCCAACCTACTGTGACCGAGAACTCGAGGCTATTGCGAAGTTTTCTCAACCAAAAGTATGTACTGCGCTTGACACAGTTCATTTCGTGGATGCTGATATCGATCAGTACTCGGCTTTGTTTGTAACATCCCTCGGATGGTTTGAGAACAAGGAATTTCTCTTCATTGCGATGGAGCATATTGGTTTGGGGAATCTTCAAGAGCATTTGACAGGCCCACTACCCGAAACCGAAGCCAGGCACATCTGTTTCCAAATTCTACAGGGTATCAAATGTCTGCACGACAATGATTTTGTCCATCGAGATCTCAAGCCAGAGGTATGTAGCTATGGGACTGACTGGGTGAGATTAGGATGCAAAGTTGCTGACTACATAAGAACATTTTTGTGCGTTCCAAAGGGCCCGAATGGTGGGTCAAAATAGGTGACTTTGGTTTCAGCAAACGGTACAACCAGAGTGCCGGTTTGCAGTCTACCGTGGGCACCGAGCTTTACCTCGCGCCCGAAGTACGTGGAATTTATCCTCCTGGTCTAAGTCCGCAAAACGTTTGCCTTTACACACATCGTGTTGATATATGGGCACTGGGCGTAATGTTGTTCTATCTCTTTTCCAACAATTACCCATTCTTGAATAATAACAGCCTCTTGTCGTACGTTCAGACTTCCGACTTCCCGTCCTTGGACCTGCTCCACTCCGTCACTCAGCAGGGCCAAAACTTTCTCAGGTGTCTTCTGGCTGCAAATGCGACAGTGCGGTTATCTGCTAAAGAAGCCCTCCAGGCGGGATGGTTGGAAGAACTTTCCTTTGATCCGACACCCGTTGTATCACGATTAGCAATTTCCGAACATTACAGGGCAGCAGAATGTCTACCAACACAGGCTTCAATTTCAATAGAAGTACCCTCATACGAAGCTTAGAAAGCCTGGGATGACGTGGATGCTCCTTCCGAAATATATTCCGTAATGGACGATGAGCAAAGAAGTCGATTTTCACAGGGGCCAGGGAGAGAATCGATAATTCCATTGCAGTCTCCACCCACGCAAAGGATTCCGACCACCAGTCTGCTCAACGACACGCATACAGCTTATGATAAGGGACTTTCGTTATTGAGCCAACGACAGTATGCAGACGCCAAGATATTGCTCCAGGAGGTTTTCGAATTGCGTAAACGCACTTTGGGCGCCTACCATGAAGCCACGCTGGCTTCTGTTAGCGCATTAGGTGATACTCTTTCTGGTCTTGAAAAGTATGGCGAAGCCGAAGCTGCATATCGAGAAGCCTGGATGGGAAGCAAATGGGCTCATGGAGAGAATGGCATACGGACTCTTGAATCACTAGCCTTGCTAGGCGGCGCTCTTTACCATCAAAAAAAGTATGCCGAAGCCGAAAGCGTGTACCAGGACCTCTGTGATGCCCAAAAGCAAATCTTTGGGAAAGAGCACGAACAAACGCTTTTATGTCTCCAAAGGCTAGGTGACGTGCTATTTTTCCAAGAAAAGTACGCCACAGCCGAGACAAGTTACCGAGACGCATGGGAGGGTCGCAAGCAAACCCTTTGGGCGGACCACGAAATTTCACTAGAGTCTCTTGATGGCTTGGGCTTGGTTCTCTACTTACAAGGAAAGTACACCCAAGCGGAAACAGCATACCGATATTTATGGGAAAGGCAGAGACGAGCGCTAGGATATGAGCATATAAAAGCCCTTTTGTCTCTCAGTCGGCTAGGTGACACACTCTTTTTTCAAGGACGGTACGCCCAAGCGGAAGCAACATACCGAGAGGTCTGGGAAGGGCGAAGGAGAACGCTGGGAGACGAAGACAAAGAAACACTTTCATCTCTCCATTGGCTAGGTGACGCTTTATGGGCTCAAAAAAAGTATCCACTAGCTGAGGCAACGTACCGAAATACATGGGAGGGTCGCAAGAAAACCCTTGGAAAAGTGCACGAGCAAACGCTTTTCTCTCTGCACTTTCTAGGTCGCGCTCTGTATTCTCAAGGAACATACATGCAAGCCGAATCAGCCTTTCGAGATGCCTGGGAAGGTCGTAAGCAAACTCTTGGAGAAGAACATGAGAAAACACTTTTCTCTCTCCATTGCCTGGGTCACGCTCTGCATTCTCAAGAAAAGTATGCAATATCCGAGGCGACGTACCGAGGCGCTTGGGAGGGTCGCAAACAAACTCTAGGGGAAAAGCACAGAGAAACGCTTTTGTCTCTTCATTGTGTAGCCAACGCTTTATATTCCCAAAAAAAGTATGCACTAGCCGAGGCGACGTACCGAGACGCCTGGGAAGGTCGTACACAGACTTTCGGGAAACATCACGAAAGAACACTCTTGTCTCTGCATTGTCTAGGCGGTGCTCTGTGGTCTCAAGAGATTTATACACTAGCTGAGGTAACGTGCCGAGACGCGTGGAAAGGTCGCAAGAAAACTCTTGGAGAACAGCACGAGCAAACGCTTTCCTCTCTCCATTGCCTGGGTCGCGCTCTGCATTCCCAAGAAAAATATGCACTATCCGAGGCGGCGTACCGAGGCGCTTGGGAGGGCCGCAAGCAAACTCTCGGAGAAAAGCACAAAGAAACGCTTTTGTCTCTCCATTGCGTAGGCGACGCTTTGTTTTCCCAAAGAAAGTACGCACTAGCCAAGACAACGTACCGAGACGCCTGGGAAGGTCGCAAACAGGCGCTTGGAGAATATCACAAAGATACACTGTGGTCTCATAAGAAGCTCCTCGATGCTCATAGTAAGTGCTCCACGCTCACGGATCTAAAGTTTTGGAAGCGACGGAAATTACAGTGGAGTGATTGAGCAATGTCGAAGTATTTCTCTACCAGCTGAATACATCCATAAGATTGTCTAAAAGACTGCTCCCATAGACCGATAGAAATTTTCACGTTCTAGGAGCTCAAAGTTCTACATTTGTGAGATCCTAGGTACTCCTCTTCTTTCTGATTTCGTTGAAGATACCTATCAAGAGACTACCTATATCTCAGAGGTGTATTGCAGATATTGAAAAAGTGGAAGGGAAATTAAACACCGGATGAGAACAATGTTTACGAGCCTTTGCTTGTTAGACTATGATCTCACTAAGTGAAAGAAGGATCTGTTTGACCGTTAGTATTGCTTTCTCTCAACTTATCAAAGCGAATGTATTGACAGTACCTTCTCAATATATTTGACCCCAATTAAAATGCCGTCATCATCCTCAAACTCGGTCTCATCGCCAAAATCTTTGTTTGTCTTGTCCATGCAAGATAAACAGTTGACAACTAACTCCGTATATCTCTCACCCATCCTGACCGGTAGCTCTACCTTTGCTAAAGTCGTAAAGTGGTCCTTAAGCGTGCTGTTTCTGATGGAGGCAGAAGGATCACGGTTGAATTCTGCCAATGAAATATTGGTTTGTTTCTCGCTGCTCACGAATGAACTCCAAAGCCCGATCTCGAGTAGGCATACTCCGAGACTGTATATATCATGCTGCATGACATAGTCTGTATCAGGGTTGCTTCCTTGTCTATCAGGATGTTGGTATATATTTTCCGACCAAATAGAGTTTCCCAGTCGTAGTGTTTTGTTATCAGCCAAGCGGAATGCTCTGAACCCCAGCAGATACAATGGACCAAGATGAGACCCATTGCTCTCGAAAATCAGAATCGTCTCTGGGCGAATATTCTTGTGCACAAAGTCAAGGACATGAATATAGTTGATGGACGTAGCAAGTTGCTTTGCAAGTCTAATTTTATTACCGAGAGAATGGGTTGCTCTGGAGAGAAGATGGCTCCGAAGACTCTGGGGTGCAGAACACGCTTCTGGAAAGTTGAAGATAAAGTCGAATGAGAGGAGCTGCTTAGTGTTTGGGTCCGTTATGCGAGCTACACCGTGGCATTTAAGGAGATGAAATCCATTCGCATCGACCTGATGAAGCCTCATAGCCAAGTGCCGAACATTCTTGGCAAACGTGGAAGCGTCTTTTCTAGACGAACAGTCTGCAGAATCCAGTATGAACGTACCCACGCCCGTGATCTCGATGACCTTTGATGTTGAGTTTAGAATTTCAGACTGTCTAGCAGAGTGAATCTTGCTTTCGGATAGGAAAAGTGAAGCCGCTTGGCGAGGCTCTGGCTTCAGCGCATCTCGTACATGCCTAGCAGTAGATAGCTTTTCGGTCCCGATGCGCTTGACCAACGCATCATCAATGAAACGATCGGCTATCAGTAGAACCAAGTACCACGTCGTGTCGAACTCATGTTGGCATGCTTGAAGGTCCCGGATTGCCCTATCGAGTGATTCCTTTTTCAATAAAGCATATTTCGCTGCCTTTGACCTGTCTGACAGCCCTCCACTCTTAGCTGCAAGTCTGTCCAGGCTACTGATTTGGATAACGGCAGCTTCTAGCTTTTTCTCGAATGCGCGAAGAAGGCGACCTTGCAAATCCCGGTAATCGTCGCTCAAATTGTCCCACACACGACGTAAGAAGGCCAATTGTTCTGAAGTTTTGGCCCAAGAAGCTTCGATGGCAAGTTTTCGTTCTTCGATCCCTTCACCGGCATATTTGAAGTCTTTGTATGTGGCCACAATGTTCTTTCCGTATCTGGAAAATGTTAACATAAGATAATGAGCGATACCCTTTACACGAACTTGAACATAAATCAATGACACCGGGCAAAGCAAGAGCAATATCTAAGCCACTCATGATGCACCGACTATGACGTTTAGTCTGTGAAGTTTTTGGCATTCATCTTCAAGGGTTGAATCAATGGAATTTATAAAGAGGGGAGAGTAATCTGCCTGAGCTGCATACGCTTAGAAGTCGAGAGTGACGTGGCAATAGACTTACATATAGCCGCATGAGTATCCACCAATACGCAGCACATACCCAGCTGATATGGTATGAAATTATTTTGAGGATGAACCTCTTATATGACTATATCATGAGATTTCTTCGTGACCGTCAAAATAATTCAAAAAAAAATAAAAAGGACATCGCAGTTTGAGACTGCTTCGTCCAATGGTAGAAGATTAGATGTTTGGCCAAGGAAATGCCAAGATTACCGTTCCCCATATGGCGAACTAGGTGGCATCGGGTAAAAGCATATATCGGACAAAAGCCGGGAAAAGGTGTGCCTCGCTTAGATATAATCAAGGATAGACAGCTTGCTCCAATGGGATGATGCGAATTCGACATCATAGGGGTATCTTTACCACCAGTCGCGGAGTACAAGCGCCCCGCTGTCTAAAATTTGAGTTTGGGGAAATGGATTGCTTTGCAGATCTAAAAATGGGGAAGACATCATTAGGCAAGGATACGAGGTAAGATGCGGGGAGGATTACAACATAATTGCACTGTATGCATATTTAAACTTGGCCTTGGGAATGTTTTAATATTACATAATTTACCTTTAGTCGACATGGTACATCATAGGTGAGTATTGATTCAGACGGAAAACTTCACTGCGAGTCTCTATAAGTGTCGTGCATAGGTTCAAGCAGATAGACGATGCTTGTCGCGGCAGGGAAGGAAATCCATTCGAAACGGGCCAAAACCCCGTTTATACATTTGCATCAACATGGTGGCGGCCAATAGGAATAGTAACCAAGAAGGTGAACTTTGTCTGGTAATCGTTCTTCCCCCCTTCTATACACATGTCGCTGACTCCGGCCGAGGCAACTTACCGTTTTACCGTAATTTGCCACCTTAACCGTGTGGAGATGCGTGGAGATACCGTCACATTACCGCGCGGGTAATCATCGGCATCGACTGGAAAGTCATAAAATCTATCACGGAATCTTCTCCCTTTCTCCAATCAAAGCCAAACTCTTCTCCTTTCCTCCTTCTTATTACTGTTCACCATCTCCCAGACCGTCACTCACTAAGCGACCTGGGGTTCGTACGCCCTCCCGCAACCATCTACCGTCGTCGATTTCTTCCACCCGGATCCATTGCCAGTGGTGCCGTCATTGGGGGCTACGACGCTACAACGGAACGCTACACTCTATTCGTCTGAACGAATCTGCCTCGCCCACTTCACAGATTCAAAGTCTTCGGTCCTTTTGATCCTACATTCCACGCTACCATCCGATCGATCGATCCACCACAGCTACGTCCTTAGCATAAAGTAGTTGCCCCGCATGGATCCTGGACGATCAGCCCATCCCCCCAAAGCCCCCGCTTCTACCTCCTTATTCGCACCCATGCAATCCTTCACTCCTGCCACCGATCTGGCCAGCGCAGTCTCCCAACAGTCAAACCCTTTTACCATGGCCTCAAAACCCGCCCCGCAACCCTTCGCTGCTCCCCCGCTGCAGTCTACGTCCGTCGGCGCCGCGCCCACCATCTCTCAAAATCAACCCTTTGCCCAGGCCCTGAACGCTTCCAGCGCTTCTGGGTTCCCAGTTGCTTCACAGGGTATCGATTCCGAGTCAATCCCACGATCGGAAACTATGCCCGCTACCCAGCCCGCCACCGATGTCTACCCTCACCAGGTTAACGGCCTCGGTGGTCCGACAGCGACTGCACCGTTCTTACAAGACTTTAGTCTTGTGGCCGAGGCGGCTAAGCGGGCACAGATGGGAATTGTCATGCGCGATTTGGAGAGCGTGACTTTATAATTGTGTTCAGGGATGCAGGGGGCGGGGGGCAGGTCCTCCCGGCGGGGTTATACACGATAAAACAGCAATGCAAGAGCATTCGCATCCCCAGCCAGCGTGAACGGGTTTTCATGCTCTACATTTTACACCTTACACCTACACTTTGATTGGCTTTCTTATATTTGGGCGTCGATCGCGGATTGGGGAAATAATGGTTGGCTTGTGGATCTCTCTTGATGAGATGATACGCCAGGTGGCTTTGGATTTGCTATCCTGGTTTGATTCCTTTCTCTTTGTTCTTTGCGCCTTTTGGCGTTTTTACCATGGCGTTTCATTGGCTCACATCTACCTTATACCATCTATATACTCGATACATCAATACCTATCACCTCTCTTCGTTTCAAAAACTTTCATTGAGTAATACTCTTGCTAACAATCTATAAGAAGCAAACAGCTCATTCGGAGCCTTAAATTCGAATTTATTACTACCTTTAGTACTAGCATTTCCCCTGGATCAACTTCAGCTCTTGGTCCTGCTGCCCCTGCACAGTGAGTATAGACCACAACTCTGACGAAACAGACCATGCGCAAGCCTATATTTCGACCCAGTCAGATGTCTCAATCAAGCAATGGATATTGATTTATCATTAACCTTCTGCACATACTACGCGAAGTCCGCATACAAGCTTAGCCTCCTCAAAACCCGAGAAAGGAAATTTACGTACAGATACTAGCCCTACGTGTCAAATAACCCAGTGATGCTCCGTTAAGCCGGTGTCCACTCCCAGCTGTCGCAATCCTCGTTTGCTGCTTACTTAAATGATAATTGATGCGCCAGAGAGTATATCGGTGGTTTTCTGGGGCCAATTGACCAATCGGAAATGGGAGATATGCAGACCTATATGATGTCATATTGATGTTGAACATATAGACTACTGGAATTCAGACATGAGATACGATGTTTGCAAATGGAATCCATTCAAACATGAATAAACACATCTTCCGTTGTTGCTGGGCATGCTGGGTGTAGACTTCAATGCAGTTGCGGGATTCTCTAAAGTTTGGCGACTGCCTTGGAGGTCCTTGTACTTCAAATTCACCAAGGAACAATGGCATACGAAAGAGATCACTAACCAAAGACCAGCAATCAGAAATATACGAATCAGAGGGTCTCTGGAGTCACGTCGCACTCTGAACCAGTCCCACGACCCCGCTTCCAAATAAGGAAAGGTCATGGACCCCACGTAATTAATAAAAGCCCTAAAGCCAGACTGAGTTCTTTGCTTCTTTCCTTCCTTTCCCTGATCTACTTGTCTTCTTTAACTCACACAATTGCACCTGACCAAGTCTCATCATGGCTGACCTCGATGTCAACGAAGACGTAAAGCGAAATGCTTTCACAGTCAAGAATTACCGAGATAATTATCCTGCCATTGACCCTACTCGAGCAGAGCTTGCTCAAACCGGAAAGGTGGTCGTGATCACTGGCGGAAGTCGTGGTCTAGGACGCTTGGTAAGAGCACTACTGTCCAATTGAAATGCGTACGTTCCTCACATATACTATAGGCATTTGCAGCCTCATTTGCTCGAGCTGGAGCAGCAGTCATTGCACTCATAGGCCGCTCTGCGAGTGGCCTGGAGGAAACAGAGAAGTTGATCAAGAAAATTAATACCAGCACCAAAGTCCTTCGCTTTGCACTCGATATCACGGACCAGACTGCCGTGGAAATCGCGTTCAAGGAAATCACTACACAGGCCGGTGCTCCACAAGTTCTGATTAATAACGCGGGCAATCTCTCTCCGCTTGAGAGCACCTTTGACTCCACGCTGGATTCATGGTGGGAATGTCAGGTAGGATTTCCAGCTTTCAATTAAAAATGTCGATATGGTCTAAACAATCTATACACAGGAAATCAACATCAAAGGAACCTACAACGTCACCAAAGCCTTCCTAAAAGAAACAGGAGCTACGCCGGCGAGACCAACCACGATAATTACAATCACATCTCTCGCTGCCCATGGAACTGCACCCGGTATGGGAGGATACTCCCTCGCAAAGCTAGCCTTAACAAAACTCACGGCCTACATTGCCTCCGAACATCCGACCATTACATCGGTCAGTCTCGATCCGGGTATCGTGCCAACGGATATGGGTTGTAGCGTGCCATTCCTTGCACCATTTATGCTCGATTCTCCTGAGTTGGTGGGAGGTGCTGCTGTGTGGTTGTCGAGTGGCGATAAGAACTTCCTTTCGGGGCGGTATGTCTCTTCTAATTGGGATGTTGAGGAGATTGAGAAGCGGAAGGGGGAGATTGTGGATGAGGATCAATTAAAATTCAAGATCAAGGCTAATTTTGCGGCGAATGCGACCGTTGAGATATCAAAGTGACCTAGTGTTTCGAGGTTTTCTTATATAGACTTATAGCGAGAAGATATTCTCATCACCAATTACTTGACCTGCATCAAATAGCACTTCTTGGGCAGGTGAAAAATAGCATACTTCTTCCCGATGGTACCTACGCATAGCCCCAAGTTTTAAAATTGACCTACAATTATAGAAGCCTAAAGAGAAGACACTGGAGCTTTCTCATTCAATCCCATTAAAATCTTGCAGCGGCTATGTCTCACTGCCCACTTTTTTGTAGATCTTATTCATAGTACGAAGTGGGGGTACTCTTGGCTTGCATTAAGCTCACCAGGTGGCAGTCTTGGTGGATTTATCACGGTAATCATAGAACAGGTCGCAACAATACTTAACATGAACCCGATGATTTACACAAGAATCATCCCAAACGAAAACCACGTATCCCAAGACGGGAAAAGCTAAATAGGGAAGGGAAGGGAAGGAAAGAAAGGGTCGTCATATGCGAAGAAGAACCAACACCCAGGCCAGCCGCAGGAGCATTTATTGTAGTGGCCAATGGCCTTTCCAAGCATTATAGGCGGTTGTCAACCTTTTATCAAACCACGCAGCGGCGAAAACCTCAAGATTTTGCAAATCATACTTATTGTGGACCCAAAATCAAAAAATTGCCAGAAGTTTTCCTATTGTGGGAAACGCATAATTTCAAACGATGATTGACATTCACCTCATGCGTATAAGCATTTGTAGTGTGTGAGATTCAGTCTCTGCAACAACGGGAAAAGCTATAGGTGGTCTGTAGAGTCTTGGAGAGTGATCGTAGAAAGTCATAACAGCTGGAGTGCTATCGATCGGGGGGCTACAGATACATTATCAAACCACTTCCAATGAACTTATACTAGCACCGCAATGTATGACCAAATGTCAGAGATCGGAGATCTCTGGGAAACCTGCTGGAGGGTAAAACCCTGGCCTTCCGTCCCACCTTTATGATTGGTGTTGTTTCTTGTTTTTGTACTATTTCATGCACATCCCTTGCTGATATGCGAGAGCAAGTATGCAAATTATGCTTACTTTTTCTTCACGAATTTGCACTAGTTGGTATGCTTGAAAAGTCTATTTTCAAAGCCCAGTTTTCTCAGCCGAACAGTTCGAGTCTCATGCATTTCTACATCTCCATCCTTGGAATCGTGAACATGTAATATCACTGCACTATTATGATGCTTTTTTCATAACAATATAATCAAAACAATGACAGCCCTGCCGGAATAATGAGGCGGTAAGCCAAAGAAGTTAGAGTCATGCGAAGTTGGGGTCCAGTAATCAATGAGTAAGAATGTGGCGGTATAGCTGAATTCGAGAACTACAGTGCGGTTTCTTTGTCTCTCCTTCTAGATTCACTGACCTAGTGCTAATCCTGCAGATCCCAAGCCCAACGATAAGATCGCTTCACCCTATCAGTCGATCCTCAGGTGCATTCCATCGATCGAACAGTGACAGCCGGCATTACTGAAATTTTGTACATTGGAATTTGGGCAACAATCTTGGGACCCAGACACTCCAACTGTTTCGTTTACGCAATGCCTTCGGCAAAGCTCACCAAAATTTATCTCTCTCAACCCTTACGTCGTACAAAGAAAGCTTCGTAAGACCTTAGATCTCACACGTCTCATACACCCATAGTAGTCGGCGGAATATATAGCCTAAAAGACCCACATACGGCACGCAAGGCACCAACCAATTCCACATATTGCAACGGACACATCACGTCCCAGCCTCCGTTGACGAATACACCCACAATTCTCCCCAGCCCACAAAAAGCTTGTTTCACAATAGTGGATTTACTCCGTCTCTGACGAGTGCGACCTCCACCAAGTGCGCAAAAGACTCTCGACATGGATACGGATAAGCTTCTGTCAAGCGAACGGTGGTGTGATTCACTAAGCCACCAGGGCCGAGCCAGTGGGAATACACTTGGTGGGGATGTTAGTAGAGCGGGTAACGGAGGAGAGCCGTTGATCTACAATAGTAAAACATAAATAGCATGAACACAGACGTGTTTGAGTTTGGCTTACGTTTAGAGTTGGAGATCGCTGGGTGTTCGTGTATGCTTCGTACCCGACAGTCTAACTTATTGTTGCGTGGTAACATCATGTATACACTAGTAACAAAAGTCCCAATCTAATCGAGGTGCATACAAGCGAGGAGCGGTTCGATACTAGTGCTTCCGGACTTAAGACAAGCCACAAGCCACGATGCGAACTACCGGAGAAATAAGTACTTCCAAGTATAACGTAAATCCCCCTCACTGCCGTAGATCATAGGAAAAAATTTTCTAGGTTCTTTATTTTTAGGCGAGGCGTTTGCTGACGCACTTCGGTCCACACCCGCTGCGGCGGGCGGCGTTCGTGGCGCACGCTTGTCATGTCCGATGACCGACTTTTTGAGACATTATGCATGTAACCATGTGAAGAACCTACACTTTATTGAAATTCATGATCTTAGTGACTATTGTAAATTGACATCGGCCCTGACATGCATCATGTAGGGAAGCGTCGACTAGGTTGTTTCTGGAAGGACCCGCCCGCAGGTACTACTAATTTCAGCTACTATATAGAACTATTGAGATCTATTGAAGTAAACATTAAATTTTGTAAAGAATTCATTCCCAAACACCAAGCTATGCGCAAACCGAATCAATGGCAAATAAATACAGTTTTCCCAGGACAGAAAATATTAGCTGGAAATCAAATCGAAACCAAGTTTCTGAGTGTAGTCAAAAACAAGGAAAGGAAAAAAGCAAGAACGATTTAGAATCGAAAAGCAAAAAACCCCCATCCAAACCATGGATATAATGACAATAAAGAAGACTCCACCCGGAATTAAGCCAAACACCGATTTTCCCATGTGCGGATTGCATGTGTATGTCTTATCGACATGTATGTAAAATGATCGTCGCTGCAAGAAGCAGCAGCATAGAGCCGATCTATCGGCATCGTCTCTTTTTTCTCTCCCAATATTCCCCAGGAATTTTCATGATTCTTCGAGCTCGGTTCCAGTGGTTGTGTTCCGAGGTCGGTAATTTTGGCTCATTAATCATGCCATGGATCCACTTGACCCGACCGCTCCGCTCCGTTCAACACCCCATTGATCAATGTCTATATTGGTCTCAGAAACCAATATAAACACCAACCTTGGGAGTTTTTCTCTCCACATTTTCCGAGGCTAGTTCATAGCCGAAGAACCGATCAAATTCGGTGTAGAAATACTAGCTGTAGAAGGACGTTCAAGACCCTTCCGACCACCGAAAATGGAAAGTCTCCGCGAAAGTCTGCGACTCAAGCCTCGCTCTGGCGCAGCGGACATAATTGACATCCGTCGCGAGGTAGGTGGGCCATGGCAGTCTGCTGTTTCGGGGCGGGGAGCTGTGCCGAGAGAACCGTCTAGCAGAAAAGTGGAGCGACGCTTGAGCTTTGCGGCTGTGCTGGATGGATCGCCGATTTGGTAGGCGAAGTCTTCTTTGATATCGTCCAAGGCATGGGAAACACGGCGGAGGAGTTTTGGCTTTTCGATGATTGAGAGGGGCCGTTGCTCGAGGCCGTAGAGTTGGATAGGTGTTGAGTCTCCGTCGTCAACGGGAGAGGAGTAGAAGCGGCGGTATTTCATCGGGGCTCGGCGAGGTTGAGAGCCTAGGGAGACGGTTGATGTTGGTTGAGGATGTTGGTAGGGAAGGTGAGGGTCTGAGGAGGAGACGCTGGAGGAGTAGGAGCTGTTTGTAGCGGAGGATGCCCACATGTTTGCGGTATGTGATATCAGGTGTTTAAAGGAGCAAGGGTGGGAGGGGTGGGGTTAGGTATATAAAAGGGAGGAAAAGAGGGAGAAAGGAATAGTTAACATAGAACCTTGGAAGCGGAAATGTCTACAGAGTCGGAGAAAGGTGCCATTTGATCCTAAAAAAGCAGAGAGACTCCATTCGGAAAAAGACTAAAAGAACTAAAAGTGGATCAAAGACATTGAGCATTTTAGTTCACGAGCTACGAGGCGCCATCCCGTGTAACACATAGATGACTGTAATTTTGTTTCATTTCTATTTTCTGGTATACTTCCGCCCCTATCCGTGGAGATAGTCGTGAACAAGAATACTATACGGCTATTGTCGAAGGATTGCATAATTGTGACGGTAAAACGAAGATCACTACGAGCGAATTCCCGAGAAATGGGGAAATAGGCCTTTTTTCTTTTTTTTTACGGACCCGCTAAGCCTAGGCGGAGTTAGCCCGTATCAGATCATCCCATCCACACAGTGTCTTGGAATCTGACACATCATTGTCTACGTGACGCGGCAGTTAAAAGCGCCTCGGGTCCTTTTAACTTTGGTCCCGAGATCTCCAAGCCACACACCGAAACGTAAAACGTAGACGCCAACGTGGGCGTTCCAAACTTCGAAGATCTTGGAGAAAGCAAATGCGAGAAGCGGACCGTGGGTACAATTTCACCCACGGTCCCACTGGGATCTTCTGCCGCTATAATTTAAATTGGATCGATTCCCGCTCAGGGGAATCGTGCAATACTGCAGCCACTGGGTTGGTGCCGAGCGAAGTGAAAAGACTGGAGAATACTTCCCGTGTGAGAAATTGAACGGCTGATGTTTTTGACTAGCAATTCCCTCTTTGAGAAGGAGTAAAAAGGGTTCGGTGTACTCCAGCGTTCGAGGACGAGAGTTCCTTATGTGGGTCGGTATGGGGCCGAGGGAAGACCTGGCAAACCACAGCGATGCACGGAGAACACACGAGGGCCAAGGAGGGGTTCTGAATCGTGGTCATTGGTAATTTCAGTTATCCACCGTAATCCCCGCAAGAGGATCATTTCTGGGTCAAAGAGAGGAGATTGGTGAGGACAAATCCTACCCCCCCTTATGCACCGACATATAATTGCAGAAGAAAACTGGGATGACGGAATTCCTACGGAGTTCTTACGGAGTACGGAATAAATAAAAGGGCCGTGACATCGTTGCTCATTTCTTTGAAACCTGTAATCTACATAACAAAGCGCAAATTGACATCTATCTCAAAGTCAGCCAGGTTCGCTTTCATGGTAATACAGAAACTTACCGAGAGGATGACTGCAGCTCAGCTGCGGCTTTTGAGTATACTTGCCGTCGAGCTCCGCCCGAATGGAATTCAACAGCTGCAGATAAGATTGCTGCGGCCACTGTTTCAAAGATTTAATGAACGCCCAACTGAGCGCCCCACGCGCCTGTCCGTCCTGGAAAGTATCGGCCCTGCAGAGAAGAAAAGGGGTTAGTCAGGGTCAAATCAAAAGCCACTTCCCCGCACTTACGAGGTCTGTGTATCTTTAGATCCGGAGAACATAACCACATCGGCCGGCGATGTCTTGGTTTGCAAAGTACGTTGACGCGCTTGCCCTCCGTTGGCCGCCTTCTTGAAGAATCCAATGGCCGTGTTGGCCATGCTAGACAGGTCACCCTGTCCGTAGGAAGTAATCGCGCTAAAGAGATCTTGGGCGGCCTCCTTGGCCAGATTGGGCTCCTTGAGGATACCCTGGGTCGAGTAGATGTACGGTAGGTCCAATGCAGTGCCCGAGTGGCATGAGTCGAAAATGGCTGTCAATCGCACACCGGGTCGGAGCGGTTTAACCATGATGTCATGCATGTCATCGTCTACGATATGGCCGGCTGTGCGGTAGTCGACTGGATAGATGACATCGTCATATCCGTCGTCTTCGTCGCCGTCCAAGTCCGGTGTACGACCACCATGTCCAGAGAAGTGAATAAACAGTGAATCATGGGGCTGAGCATCCTTGACGAGCCACTGCATCGCGCGAAGAATATTTTGCTTGTTCGGGATGCTCATCGGGTTCTTCTGGTCATCAGTGAGAATGACCATGTCCTCGCGACGATACCCGAATCGCTCATGCAAGAAAGTGGACATGTTGGTCACGTCATTGATACAACCACGCAAAGAGTTCGGCTGACCGGTATAATTGATTCCGATCAAAAGAGCCTTGCGACGTCCGGTACAAGCCGAGTACTGGAACTGGTAATTGGACGGCGCGCCTGATCCGAAGTGTTGGAGACTCTGCGGAGGCGGGGGTGCCACGTTCGGTGAAGATGAGCGGCCAGGTTCTGCCCGAGTCAGTCAATCTGTCGCTGAAGCTGGCAATACATTATTATAAACCTACCATTGCGGGAACTACTTAGACTATGCTGATGGGACGGGTAGGGCTGAGATGTAGGTCGGTAGCCATACGGTTGTGGCGATGGCTGTGGAGATGGCGTATGGTACCCGTAAGACCCCGAGTTGTGCGGCGAATGACTGTAAGGTCGTGGAGGGGGTTGCGGCGAATGGCTGTAAGGCCTGGGTGGAGGGCCTTGGGGAGGGTAATAACCATGGTGTTGGTGTTGCGGCGGTCCGTGATGGCCGTAGGGCTGACCTCCAGGCGGGGCCCACTGACCTGGGGGAGGTTGATGATAACCCCACGGCGGAGGCCCGTTAGGTGGAGGGGGTCCTGGTGGAGGATAATACATTATATGACAAAGGCCAGGAACCAGGAACCCGAAATCAAAGAAAGTGGGATATCTAAAGGAAGAAGTTTTTTTTGTCGGGGAGTTTTTGGCTGGCTGACTTGGGTGGGTCGCGCAGATCGGAGTTAATGACTCTTTGGAAACACGGCAATGTTTGCCGGACAGAATATAGAGAAGAAGGGGAAAAGAAGGCCGAATGAGGCAACGGATAGACAAGGAAAAAACTACACAGGGCGCAACCAACGATACTCTACACCCGGCGCCTCTTCGGCTTCAATGTTCCATGGAACTTTCAGCCCTACGAGTCTGCAGGCAACAATGTTTATGCGGAACTCCATGGTCTTGGCAATGATATCAGTGATGAGTCACGTGGTCGGGATGTTCGGCTACAAACATTATTAGCGTGTGTCTAGTGGAAGCCTAAAGGTAAACAAAGGAGACTAGTATCGATTATTTAGTTCCATGAATGACTCAAGACCTTCTCCAGAACCTCATGGTAAGTTAGACAATCCCAACAATCTTAGGTAATCTTAGGTAAGATCCCCCATCAGTCATCGTGAAGTTGACTGCCTGAGGCGTGCGTGATGACGCCTCTAAAAATAGCTTACGTAGTCGTAACTTGGTTACGTGACCAGCTTCCGATTCTTCTACAGTCTGGTATAAGCAAGGCTGCCCATCCCTGCAAGACAAGACAGAAGAGAAATGATGCGGGGTTGTATCACGCAGTCACACCGCGCCATCCGAGCCTGAAACTTTCAAGAGGCCACAGCGTCCGTACCCTGGAACTCAGTTGACAATCACACGAGTCTCTCACATGTGGTGTAGCTCCACTCCTGCATGAAGATCATACAGTGGGGGAGGACAGAATGAAACCATTTGCGCGAAAGAGCCTCATTTTAATATGGTCATGACGACTAAGAATGATTACATCGGAGTTCCTTCGTATTCCCGCCCCTTGCCGGTTCGGAGGCTGATCTCATCATCCAATCATAAGCCCGAGACAGCAGTTGAGCCGCAACAATTTCCCAATATTCTGGAGCACCAGGCTAAATAACCCAATTTATATCATATGCACTAAATTCTAATCTGGTCAAAACCTTGGACTAAATTGCGCGAGTGCCGATCCCGGCTTAGTGGCTGTGCGCTACTCCGTGCTGTGTGGATTATCTACGGAATCTCTCCTAAATTTGCCCCCTCAATGCATGAGGCTCAAATGCAAACTAGCATTCCCTTAAGTCCCACCGTCTTTCCTTGTTAGGTCCCAACCACCCAAACCTTCCTTCCTCTCATCATTATACTTTCTTCTTTCAGCATGTATTCATGTTAATTGTTTTCTCTGCTCTCTCATTTCACAGCCATGCCGGCTGCGAGGAGTCTTGACTCCCTTCCCTTTGACATCTTTTATGAAATCGCTACATCGCTGGACGACCGTGATTTTATCAATCTGAGTCGTACCAACCGTGCCCTTCGTGATCTTGCCCAGAGTGACCTCGTCGCCCGGAAAACTGTAGAGGTAAGCAAAGGAAAATATTTCCCCGCCCGGAACGAAGGCTGACTGCTTCACAGAACGTTCTCCTTTTCAGCAAAGAGGGACAATCAGCCTTGAATCAGGCTGGTTATACCTATCGCAAGGCTGTTGGGCATCGGTTTGACATTCATGAAGCGGTCGCTACAGCTGCGCCGTATTCTGTTTCAGTCTTAGCCTATGGGGCCGACTTTCTCTACAATCAAGGGATCCTATGCTACCGAGTGGGGCACGATATCCGTCTGCTGGACGTGCATGCTGGGGGTAAGCAGGAACGTGTCTTGAACTTATTAGTCCTTTTTCGCCGCTTGACTGAACCGCTGGGCGCGGATGCAGTGGATCGGGTATCGTTGCTGCGATATGCAGATGAAATCCTCGTATTTCGGGTTGATACCGACGATGATCAGGATGACTTATTGTTAGCCATCGATATGACCGCCCGTCTTCATAACCCCAGAAAGGGCCGCCTGCTACTCAGGAAGTGGATCCCTGCAGGGGCGCGGGTCTTTGTTCGGCACAGCCGCACCTATATTTGGTACGGCCTATTTACAGCCGTTGGTGGCTCAGATGGCGTATGGACCGTCTACGGGGTAGATATGACTTCCAACACTTCCGACCCTATTAAACCTACTCTTACGCAAGTCGGCGATGGCGATCTTGGCCAATCTGTCTGTTTTGAGATGTACAATGAGCATCTCTATGCGGTATCTACCCAAGTCACTTCAGACGAGGATGAAAGATACTCCTCGTTCTATCATTGGTCCTGCTATGCTCCGCGCCACAATCGTCGTAAGTGGAGTGGACGTATATGGCGTCGCGAGCACTGCGAAGGTCCTATTAATGAGCTTTGGACCGATCTTTCAATCTGCACCGACGAAGCAACCGGCCGACCGGTCATCTTAGAATGCCGACGCGAGTATGCCGACGGCAAAAGTGAAAATCACCGTACCTACTATACTACACCTCTCCGAACACCAGAACAATATCTCGCAATGCACGGCGAGGGGGACATAACATCACCTCCACGATCAGACGACTCGGACTCGGACTCGACCCCTGAATGTCAAGAATCAACCCGTGACCATAACGAGCACCGACCCGAAAAGCGTTTACGCCGCGACTACCATGCTGAGTACGAATCCACGCACGACGCAACAGAAAGACAAGAATTCATCGCCGCACGCACAAAGCACCGCAGTTACAACCTCGCCGCATCCACCTTCATCGACCTCGTTAACGATCCAGCCCTACAATCGGACGGCTTCCGATCCCAAGACCGGCTCCGCCTCCGCACCGTGTCCCGAAAACGCAAATGTCCCATCGACGAAGAAGGCACAGGACTCCTACACCGACCCACACAATATAATGAAGACGGCACACCAGTCGAAGGCTCAGAAGAACGATACGTGTCTCGCGGAGTCTACATGTGGCCTCCAGATGACGCACCAGCTGAACTACGCCGCCTCCTCTGCCCAGATTCACGAATAAACGCATTTCGCGCGATCTCGGACGAGCGCTCTCTTATCTACTCTGTACGGTGTGCAGATGTGCCAGCTGGAAACCAGGCTTTGATATTGATAAGTTTTGATCCACAAATTCACTTCCCCATGTTGTCGTCATTGCGTACTATGAAGGCGCCCGTACCCGATAAAATATTCTCTGTTGAGGCGCAGGCTGAAGTGCCGAGTGCGTCGCTGGTTCGAAAAGATAAGCCTCTTTATGAGGCTATCAAATGGGGATATTGGCTACGATAGGGCCGCTAACACTATGGCTTTCAAGCTTTATGTGCTATGAAGCACGATAAGAGGGATAATAGCAGGTCTTAGCCTTTAGGTAGTACCCATGCATAATCTAGAAACAAATATTTCAATACACACACATCCATATCAATTCCGGCAGTTTTCCCAGTTTGATATGCCGAAACCAAGGACATCAACTATGTAGAATGAGGCTCGTATCGAATAACATGTCTATGCGGCATTATTGTCCACCCCGGTCATGACCAGTGGGCCAAAGCGGAGGAACAGCCCAATGGGAGAGATCAGGGGCTAGAACAACGAACTCTGGCCCCAACCGAGATTTCTAGGCTCCGATATCTAGATGACGCGTCTTACCCCCAAAATCTATTCGGCCCCAAATGATAATCCGTCCCAACAAAGCAATGATCCGGTCAATGTCCTATATCGTGGGATGTGTATCGTGTCATGCGATGACCTGCACCCGCATGTCGCCACGAAGGGCAATACTGTTGGCAAGATCCGGAAGGAAAGAAATACTAAACTGGAAACTCCCCATATAAAGGCCCTCCTCACATGTGAAGCAAGGCTAAGACATCGAAATCCATGAGCACTTTCCCGACAGCATTCGCGAGAAGTTGCCGAGGAGAATGAGCGATTTGAAATCAAGAAAAAAAAGCCTCCGATAATTCTACGATTGGCTCGATGTGTCCTTTGATCAATATAAATAATTTCCTCCGAGCTGGATTATCTCAGCAGTCGAGTCATTCTCTTGGCTAATGAAGCTTCGTTTTCTCAGCCTTCCTGCGCTCTACCAATCATCATTCACAGGCTATTTGATGTAGCCATAGGGAATATACCGAGTGACAGCAGTCACGGTTTAGCAACAAGACTTCCAGAAATTTTATCATTGAATCATGCGACGTAAATTGAGATTTGCCTCAATCTTCTGCAGGCTTGTGAGATTGAAGACCTGGACTTCTTCGTCAAGCGTGGGGTAAAAGTAGTAGGTGCGGCTCAGCGATTTGTCCGATACATTTGCTATTGGGTAAATCGATGCGGAGAAGACACTCGCCGAGAAAAATAGTCCAGATAAAGAAAATAGTGAAAAGCAAAATGCCCATAATGGTATATATATTACTTTTGTTTATACTTATCTCAGCTTAATCAAGATGTTTACTATCATTTTACCCGATAAAAAGGTCGATCTTTATTGACAACCGTATAAACGCTCTCAGCCGACAAGATGGCTCAAGTATCCCTATAGAAGTTGACTTTTGACCTCTCTCATGAGACTCGAATGCAGCTTTTCGGGCAGTGGCTTAGCTACGAATCGTGATGAATCGTAATAAGTCGCGTTGTATCGATTGCTACTGCAAGGCAGATAAAGTGATAAAGATTGGACGAAAGACTCGATTCATGAAATATCATTAGTCACGTTGGCGCCACCCCGTGGCGCTATGTACCAAGTACATAATCGGTTGCTTTCATGCAGGACAAGTCACAGCACACCTGTCACAGCAAAAGTAGATCGCCTAAGCCATGCCCTATGCGCCTAATTGCACAGCCTCGTTTCAAAACTTCTGACTTCTCCCACCTTGCCAGATAAATTCGAACCTTCGGGCCTACCACACACGCAAGCCAACATGGGGGTTTTCTCGACTGCCAAAGATCGCTTATTGCGAAAACACAGAAAAAAAGGAGATCCAAGAGTAGCAGACAGTGACGATGTTTCAGTTTCGGCTTCAACAGCGCCGGATACCAATCTCGCTGGCTCCTCAACTTCACACTCCACTCCCGATTTACCGTCCTCTGCTTCGCTTTCTGATCAACCCATGCCGGTAGACGCGCCGCCAATGGAAACAAGAAAAAGTCAAGGGAACCGAAACGATCTCTGGTCCGAAGCCTTTGTCATTTTTCAGGAGAGAGATACAGACCAGGAGCTGCTCACAGCCTATACAAATTATCTGGCCTCTTTACAGGGTCAAGGCGCATCTGCCAGCATAGATTTCTCAAGTCCAGAATCTGTGGAAGGGGTTGTCAGAACGCTATTGGCAGATCGAGAGCAAAAGCAGTGGAAGTTCCATATTCGGAACCACAGTATCAGCGTGCGAGAGCAAATTGAGAAGTTGGGGAGATTTCTCCTCTGGTCTGATTCCGTCGTGCAGACTGCTGTCAGTACCCAGCCACTTGCAGCACTGGCATGGTCTGGCGTCTCCTTGATTCTCCCAGTAAGTCGCCTTTCTCATGGCTTCCAGGATATAAGCTGAACAAATAGCTCATTTTGAGCGGTACTACAGAGAAAGAGGATATGGCGAACGGATTGGAAGGTATCGGGGAGCTTCAAATGTTCTGGCACATCTTCGAGACAGAGTATCTCGAAACCGATCGTCGAGAGCATTATGAGAACCTCATCCATCCTTTAGCAAAACTCTATTCGTATTTCATTGAATACAAGGCTCGAGTCATCTTCCATCTTACGAGTCCCCAGCACTCCCGCGCATGGCAGGATGTGCAAGGATCAAACGCGTGGACAGAGATGATGGAAAAGATTAGCAAGAGCAATGAATCCTGCCGCAACTTGCTCCAAATCACGGTAAAATCCAAAATTCAGGATAATCGAAATCATATTTTGCAAGAGATTCGAACATCGCGTGCCACCCAAGAAAAAACCCTCCAGCATCTAGAGGAGATTCAGAAAGACCACAGGGAACAGGAATTGCTGCATGCGTTGGCCAAAGCTGCAAATAACTACGAGGAAAACATGCGTCGGAACCCACTTAGAGTCCGCGGAACCTGCGAGTGGATTTTGGAGAATGAGGAGTTTGGCCAGTGGCGCGAGAGCAGCTCAGGCGTGCTCTGGGTCTCAGCAGGCCCTGGCCGTGGCAAGTCAGTTTTGTCGAGATCGCTGATAGACGAGAAACATCTGGATATTAGCACGATAACCATCACGTCCGCTAATGTTCTGACCAGCCCACCATCCGTTGTTGCCTACTTCTTTTTCAAAGAGGGTGCTGGTGGCGATATGGATGGTGCCCAGGCGCTGTGTGCAATACTTTGGCAGATCTTCTGGTCTCCTTCCACCCTTGAATCGACCACATTGATTAAACATGCGTTGCCAAGGTACAAGGCAAGAGGCGACTCCCTTGTCACAAACTTTTTCGAGTTATGGCAAATTCTGGTGGCGTGTGCCACTGACCCGGGTGCCGGTGAATTAGTATGTGTCATGGATGCGTTAGACGAATGTGAAAAGGAAAGCGCACACCAGATCATTGAAACTCTTTATGACTTCTACAGCTCAGACCAGGCGTTAGCAGGATCTAAACTCAAATTCCTTATCACAAGTCGTCCGCTTCAAGACCTGCAAGATCGCTTTGATGGTTTATCAACCACCAAAAGGTATCTTCAGCTTGACGGCGAAAGCCAATCTGAGCAAATTCGGCTTGAGATTGATCTAGTCATTGACGAAAAGGTTGAGGGCATCACAAAGGGCTTCACCGAAAGCGATCGAGAAAAGATTAAGACTCGTTTGAAAGGCATGCAGAGTCGCACATACCTCTGACTTCACCTGATACTCAAAATTATCACCAACGATCGCATGGCATACAGCAGGTGCTCAGATCTGGAAACACTTCTGGATGACGTACCGAAGGAAGTCTCTCAAGTATACGAACGGATGCTAAACCAAAGCAAGAACAAGTCACGATTGAAGACTCTTCTTGAGCTTGTGCTCGCTTCCCGACGGCCCCTCACCCTTGAAGAAGCAAACATCGCTATGACACTGGCTGTCCAAGGCCAAAAGAAGCAAGTATTCAAATCGCACGAAGATCTGATGGCCGCGGGATGGCCAAGCGGTCAGTTTCGAGGCTACATCATGGATCTCTGCGGTCTTTTCATCAGTGTCAACGAAGGAAAGCTTTCGTTCATTCATCAGACAGCAAGAGAATTTTTGATAGTAACATGTAAGCAAGAAAAGGAGGAGGGGTTTTGGAAAGGTGCCTCCAGCTCGCCTCACTCGCACGGCACAATATCACGACAATGTATGCAGTACTTGAAGCTGCCCGACCTCAATTACACAACTGAAGAGGATTGGTCTTTTGACGATTACAGCAAATCCGATGGTATCAGAGATCAAAAATACCCTTTTCTTGCGTATTCTGCGAAATATTGGGCTCTGCATTTCACCAACCAGGAGGCTTCGCTTGCTGACCGATGCACGGAAGATGCGCGTATTCTCTGTGACGTAACAAAGCCTCATATCAGCACTTGGGCTCCAGTGTATAATAAGTATAGTTTCCTGAATATTTCAGTCCTGACAAGTCTTCTTGTTGCCAGCTACTTTGGAATACCGCATGTCGTCCAAGTATTGCTAGACGAAGGTGCCGAGGTGAACATTCAGGATCAATGGTCCTTGACCGCTCTACAAGCAGCATCGTTGAGCGGATCCCAGCAGGTTGTCCTGATGCTACTAGACAATGGCGCCGATATCAATGCCCAATTTGGACTATACAATACAGCACTCCAGGCAGCATCAACTCAAGGCCATCAGAACATCGCCGAGATACTACTCAAACGGGGGGCAGACGTCAACATTCAAGGCGGACACTACAATACAGCACTCCAAATAGCATCAGCTGGAGGTCACCAGAATATTGTCGAGATGTTACTTGAACGGGGGGCAGGCGTAAATATCCAAGGAGGAGATGACAGTACAGCACTCCAAGCAGCATCAGCTAGAGGCCACCAGCAGATCGTCGAGATGCTACTCTGCCATGGAGCAAACGTCAATATCCAAGGTGGATACTACAATACAGCACTCCAAGCAGCATCAGTTGACGGCAAGCAACAGATCGTCGAGATGCTACTCAACCGGGGAGCAGACGTCAATATCCAAGGTGGATACCACAATACAGCACTCCAAGCAGCATCAGCTAGAGGCCACCAGCAGATCGTCGAGATGCTACTCTGCCATGGAGCAAACGTCAATATCCAAGGTGGATACTACAATACAGCACTCCAAGCAGCATCAGTTGACGGCAAGCAACAGATCGTCGAGATGCTACTCAACCGGGGAGCAGACGTCAATATCCAAGGTGGATACCACAATACAGCACTCCAAGCAGCATCACGTCGAGGCCACCAAAAGATCGTCGAGATACTACTCTGCCAGGGAGCAAACGTTGATTCACAAGGTGGATACGACAATACAGCTCTTCAAGCAGCATCAACTAGAGGTCACCAACAGATCGTCGAGATGTTACTCAACCAGAGGGCAAAAGTCAATATCCAAGGTGGATACTACCATACAGCGCTCCAGGCAGCATCAGCTAAAGGCCACCAAAAGATCGTCGAGATACTACTCAATCAGGGGGCCGACGTTGATTCCCAAGGTGGATGCTACAATACAGCGCTTCAAGCAGCACAAGCTAGAGGCCACCAACAGATCATCGAGATATTAGAGTAGGGCGCTAGGGCTGACAATTCCCATTAGGGTGAAGCATGTGAGCTTGCAGTGTGAAATCAGAAGATACGGGTATTTAAATGTACGCGAAGAACAGACTTACATATACATTCTATGTGAGAGACCGAGGAATCATTGCACAGGATATGATTGCCGCGCCTGCGCCATTTACCTCAGCACCATTTCTGTCCATTCAAGCATACAGAACCACAGACTGATGGATAACCTTGATGGAGGCCAAAGACGAAGTGAAATATGCATTGTTAGAAAAGCTAGATCATTGGTATTCAATATAGCATCTGAAAAACAAATAACAGAAATCGTTCGCAACTCTGATGGGAAGCTAGAATTACTCACAGTTACACTCGAACCAGCGCAATGAATCTTATCTCCCGGCACACAGAGCTCCGACCAAACTGGGCCGTTTCTCTGGAAGCTATGATTATAGCTATGATTGTGAGCTGTTTTGAGAAATGATACTATAATTCTTTCATAGAAGGATGAAGTAAAGAAATGTCCTTCATTTCCCTGTCCTGCGTTTATAGAAACCCATGGATTGACCGTCCGGTGAAGAGATCGCCAGTGATTACGTGATTACGTGATTTCGCGACGCCAATAAACCTTGATGTAAAATTTCGTTTGTAAATCTTGTCAAGCTCGTATCGCCCGCAATTTAGCCAAAGAAAAGTTTTCATCCCTGAAATTTTTGCTTTACAGCTTAGCAGATCATCATGTCTCTCGACGCTGCTGCGGCCCCTGAGGCAGCCAAGAACAGCCAAGACATCCAAGACATTCAAGAAAACGAAGATGATCGCGAATTGTTGAAGCTGGGTTACCGCGCTGTTTTAGCGCGAGGATGGGGCTCTTACGACAACTTTGCTTGCTCATTCTCTGCTCTTTATCCAATTGGCGGCATTCGTCTGCTCTTCTATATCGCAATCAGCGGAGGTGGTCCTGCTGCTATGTAAGTACATCCGAGCCACCCGGGCAGCTTTCGCCGCCAACCAGTCCCGTCTGACAAGATTTATAGGTGGAGCTCCTGGATTTCAGGTAGCATTCTCTCGATTATTACCGCCGCCTGCCTTGCTGAAGCTTGTTCCAGCTACCCCGCCGCGGGGTCGATCTACTACTGGGCATTCCGTTCTTGGGGCGGTGGACGGGTGGGAAGGTTCATAAGTTTCTTGGTCGCAGCATGGACACTAGTTGCATGGACGGCATTCCTGGCAAGTGACTGCTTCGGTGTCGCCAATTATCTTGTGTCAGAAGTGGTTGTGTTCAACCCAGACACGAGCTTCCCCTACGACACCTCTGATGTCCGTGCACGAGCCATCGCCTGGGCCATCTCGTTGTTCTTCCTGGGAGTGGCTACCAGCTTGAACTTCCTCCCGTCGCATATGTACTCCTGGGTGTTCCGCACAGGTGTCATTGTGATCGCCTTCGATATGCTGCTGAACTTCATCTGGCTCCCAATTGGTGTATCGCAAACTTATGGCTTCCAATCAGCTGAGTACGTGTTCACTTCGACCTACAATGGTGGAGATGTCACTCCCAGCCTCAACTGGGTCCTTTCTTGGTTTATGACTGCTAGTTGTCTAGTGGGCGAAGACGCATCAGGCCATGTCGCAGAGGAGACCGTCTCGGCTAAGAAGGCCGCTGCTAAGGGCGTCTTTTGGGCAACGGTCGCTTCAGCACTTTGCGGTTTCCCGATCATCATCTTGTTCCTGTTCTGCATGCCATCTATTGAGACTTTCTACAACACCAGCGCTCCCCAGCCATTTACCAACATGTACGCCTTGGCCCTCGGTCCACACGCCCATGTGGTCATGACTATCGTCTCAATGATTGGTGGTATTCTCAACACTTCTATCTCGCTGGTTGCCGCGTCTCGATTGGTGTTTGCCGTGGCACGCGATGGAATCTTCCCATACAGTCATGTATTGGCTCGTGTGTCGAAGTCAAAGCAGCCTCACAACGCAGTGATTTTCATTTCGACCATTGCTGCTCTTCTGCTTTGCACCCAGCTGCCGTCTCAAGTCGCCTTTTCTAGCTTGATCTCAACTTCGGCTGCCGGCTCCATCGCGGCCTACGGTCTTGTCGGCATTGGTCGCACCTTCATCACCCGCAAGACTTTCCGCCCCGGATTCTGGGACATGGGCCGGTTCGGTGTGGTGGCAGCTGTCGTCACGTTCGTTTGGAATGGCTTTGCGTTTGCTGTTCTCTGTGCACCAGAGTATTCCAACAGCCAGATTGATAAGGACTCGAGTCTTTTCAACTACGCGATTGTCATCATGGGCGGTGTCACTATCCTCGCCCTCGCAGAGTGGTGGCGCAAGTCGAAGGATGAATGGTTCCAGCACCTTGAGCCTGTTGACACAGCATCGGAGACCGATACCTCCATTCAGCGTGAGACACATGGGTCTATGTTGGCCGACTCCAAAGAAGTTTGATGTGTCAAGTCGGACATGAACTTCGCGGGATGGCAATGTCAGATTGCATCAGGTACGTTAGATTGAAAGATCGCTTGGCGATTATTGGCTTGGATGACGGGTAAGTATAGCCTTCACAGGCAGCACAGCAGGCATGACGGGTGTTCGAGACTTTGCTTAGCAAGGTCTCGTTCTGAGACATTACCGTTAGAACTTGATCTGGACAATACCAGCGAAAGGACATGCATGCTTCATCTACCTCTCTCTCCCTTGGTGTCTTGGTTCTCAGACCCAGTCTGAGGACAGATGCTACTAACTCTGTTTCTGTAAACAGGTTTGCCGCTGGAAGTGTTTCTGGCAGCATCAGCACGGACTATGCGAGGATCTGCATCGGTGTTCACTCGGGCACCAGAAGTACCAAGTGGAGATGCTGCATGTTATCGATGACCACTTTGGCAAGGTGCCCTCTCGCATATCGACTTGAGGGAATCCTCCTAGGCATCATGGGACACGATTCGACTGGATGGGATATCCCGGCCCCTGTCCACGCCGTTGCGCCCTTGCACCCTCGCATACCGGCTCCCGAATTGCTGGCCTAACACTCGGAGACACGCGGCAAATCAAGGCTTGTAGTTTTGTAGTGTATCCGTAGGCTCGGTACCCATAGGTAGTTTCGATTGGTTATGTTGTACACCGGACTGCATAGCCTAACCCCATCGCGCCACAAGAGCCCTAGCGTCAAGTATCCTGCCATATTCCACTCAATATGAAAGAAGATGAAGGTAAGATGTGATCAAGCTTGAGCATCAATGTGCTGGTTCTAATTACGATTCAACACTCGAACCTCTTCTTTATATGACCCGAAGATTGATGCGATTTTTACGACTTAGTCGACTTACTGTAGAGGTATCACTTGGATTGCTTGGCCATGCTCAAGATTGATGAATAGATCCACTAAAAGTCGCCATATCGCCACGCAAGATAGACGCGCTATCTGATAAGACAAGCAATGCAAATCTAGACTTTCCCATGGGTCGTCTACTGGCTAGACCACGGGCCTTGAAGAAGTCTATCCAAACCTAATCCATTATACTTAAAGTACCGAATGCTGGTATCCTTCTTTACCATACCAATAATCCATGTGCGTATCACATAGCTTTTCTGCCATTTCCTGGGGATGAAGACTTCTGGTAGCCTAGTATGTCAGGCATGATTTTTGCTGCTCCACCCCCACCGCCCCCACGTTACATGGGTCAGCCCCTTCCAAACACCAACTTTTGGCCAGATTCGCGTCCATTGCAATTTAATTAGATTTCAACGCGTAGTCCGCGCAACACAGTCCTTTCGCGCAACTCAGTCCTTCTTTTGCATCATCAAAGAGACCAATTCCTCAAGTTCAAATTTCTGCTGACGTGTCCAGTAGCCCGTCGCATTCCCTTCGCTTCATGCTATTTTGAATTTCCAAATCACAGACCTGCCGTCTCCATCATCGCCCCTGGTTTTTTGCAAAATCAAGCGCTCATCTCGTACCAAACCACCCTACGCGAACAACAATTTTCTTACCCCGTCATCCTGTGGGATAGCCTACCTCAAGTCTCTCGTTTTGTACCTTTCGATCGCACAACGCAACCACAATGTCGAACAAGAAGAACGAGGATATCGAGTTGAGTGGGATGGGTGAGGAGCGCGACGAGCGAGAGAACCTGCTGGAGCCTGCGCTCCACCACCGGGCTCGCGCCGATAGTGGGAAGGATAGCATTTTCTCCCAACTCGAGAACAATCCTGGCGCTGCTGTTCTGGCCTATTGCTTCTCCTCGATCAGCATGACGGTCGTGAACAAGTATGTCGTTTCGGGTTCGTCCTGGAACTTGAACTTTCTTTATCTGGCTATTCAGGTATGCGCTGCGACACACTGGCACCGCATTAAGACATTGAAGCTGACAGCTATACGATAGGCCGTTATTTGCTTTGCTGCAATCCTGGTCTTGAAACAGATGGGTTTTATTCCTAACCTCGCTGCCTTGGAAAGCAGCAAGGCCAAGAGGTGTATGTCTGCAACAGCCAACTGACGCTTTTGCAATCCCAGCCATGCTAACACCGAGTCAGGGCTTCCCGTGTCTGTGTTCTTCGTCGGTATGATCTACACCAGCACCAAGTCTCTTCAATTTCTATCTGTGCCGGTATACACTATTTTCAAGAACTTGACCATTATCGTCATCGCCTATGGTGAGATTCTATGGTTCGGCGGCAATGTCACCCCGCTGCTTCTGTTGTCGTTTGGTTTTATGGTGCTCAGCTCCATTGTAGCTGCGTGGGCTGATATCCAGGCCGCTGTCAATGGCGTTGGGCACTCAGTTGAGTCTGCCACCGCTATCTCAACCTTGAACGCCGGGTACGCGTGGATGGGGCTCAACGTCTTCTGCACTGCCTCTTACGTCCTGGGAACACGCAAGTTCATCACCTCGTTGAACTTCAAGGACTGGGACAGTAAGTTCTCAATCAACTACCAGGCTTTGCAACTCAAACTGACTAGAATTGACCAGCTATGTTCTATAACAACCTGATCTCCCTCCCTATCATGATCATCTGCTCCCTGGTCACCGAGGACTGGTCGTCGGCCAACTTGGCTAAGAACTTCCCTGCCGAGACGCGCAACAGCCTCATGATCGGCATGCTCTATTCTGGCCTGGGTGCCATCTTCATCTCGTACTCATCGGCCTGGTGCATCCGTAAGACATCGTCTACTACTTATTCGTTCGTCGGATATCTGAATAAGCTCCCGCTCGCTATTAGCGGCATCGTCTTTTTCGATGCTCCTGTCACATTTGGTAGCATCACGGCTATTCTCCTGGGATTCTTCAGTGGCCTTATCTATGGTTATGGCAAGATGAAGCAGAAGCAGCAACCCAAGGAGGTCCTCCCCACCTCCCAACCTCCCATGAGTGCTAGCTCCCAGCGCCAGAAGGACGCATATAAATTATAAGCCGGTACTGGCGAGGCTACTCGAGAGTGACCAGAAAGGTCGTGAAGTTGTGAGGAGGCCAGAAGTCCTCACCAGGGCTTATCGAATGGCTACCAGGATCTCCGCTGGAGAACCACCATCTTACTATACACTGAACATTGCGATCACCAAACGCGTTCAGGAAGACTATTCAAGTCGTCCACGAACAAATATTGGGGGCAGGCAACAGAGGCTGTGGAATAGCCACCACCACCACCGCAGGTGGATGAGACGTATCTACTCTGGTACTAGTAATTCTCCAAAGCCTGGTTTGGAGATCGAAGGACCGGTAGACGAAGTTCTCCCAGGAGCATGTAAAATAGAATATAATACTAATTGAACGATCAACTAGCAGGCTCTGTTGTTGTGCAATCAGTTGTAGCAGGTAAACGGATGAATGCTCACGATGAAGCCAGTGCTTTTTTGAAGAGGCAATAGACCAGTTTGGGTCGGGTTATACGCTCAATCTCAGTGGCTGATGAGGCTTGACCTTCCATACATCTTTTTTCTTGCAGCACTTCACGATACTACGTACCGAATTTCCTTTGAGAATTTCTGGCTACCTTTTCCGTATTGGTGCTGATCCTCCCGCCCCTTTTGCTCACCAAGTAGACTTAAGTACTGCCTTAGTAGTGATCGCATCACTGCGCCTCACGTAAGCTCATGCAAGAGCTAACTCAATAAAATGCAGTCCACTACTTCGCGCGAAAGCCCCATTTGCTCAAATAAGTGTCCACTGTCCCATCCCAAAACAAGAATAGCCTATTCCACATGAACAAGCAAGGTCATAATCTAGCAATAGTAATATGGACTAAAAGAGTATTTTGGTGTCCTTGGCCTAAGCTAGCACTTTGCTTTTAGGAAATCACGAACCGGCTCACTTGTTCTCGGCGACCTGTCAAGGATCATTTGCGTTAATCTTTACGAACGCTCCTAGAATGTACTTCGCTAAAGCGTGCTTGGTCTTCACATAAGGTCCTGGGAATCGAGAATCAAGCGCAATGAAAACTACAACTGAGACTTGCGACGCATTAGTCCCGGGCGCTAGCTTGTGCAGCCTCTATCATCCCCATCCTCACACTTACTACTGCATAATTATAAAGAAGCCCACAGCCAGGGCAGTCCAAGTCTTCCCCTCTCTAAGGCTTGGCCTTTCCTTCATCCTCAGTATCGGTGTCCATAGCGTCGGCGCTTGCGATAGCAGCATCCAATTCCACGCACAAATCATCGCCAGCTATTGCCAATGTTTCACCATCCATGGTATTCAGGTAGTAACCTCCGTTCTCGGGGCTTAGAATTGTTTCGGGATTGGCGCGGACTATGTCGTTGAGGCTCTGTCTGTCTTGCACAACAACAGCCCCAGCTGGCGGGTCGGTTATGTACCGGGTAACACCTTCTGCCATTGCAACTGTGCAAATAGTTACGAAGGTGGTGCAGTTGATAACGTTCAGGGAGTGACTCAAACGCCCCTATGTATTAATCTCAAGGAACCCCCACAGGCGAACGAAGAGAGGGAGAGAGAGGGGAGCTTTTAGTTTTCACAGGTGTTCTATATTTAAAAGATTTCTGGCTTCTAGGCAGCACTATTTGAACAATCTGGGCGATATAACGATGCAACGCTGGCAGGGTCGAAGATTGGGGCTAGTTATGATACAGTTGTAAATGGCGTCGGAGCTCCGCCGGCACTACAATTTACAGGGATTAGTTACTAGTACACTTGCCAAATTATCTTGAGAATGATGGTTTATAATTCCGAATAGTGTTGGTAATAAGACCTAGCAGGGATGTAGCGCTAATCAAGCCTAACTTTCGCATGAAATTTTGCTATTCGGCATGCCTTCTCGTCGTTCCGATGCCCAATTAGGCCTTACACTTCCCCTCACGGGCCGGAGTGTCCTGTTGACTTGTGGAATCCGTTATCGTTCCCGAAATAGCGGCCCAATACGCCGTTAGATAATCTCTCCCTTCATGGCCCTGACATAAGAGACACGCTATTAATTCCCTAAGGACAAAAGTTACCAATAATTAAGCAGCTAAAACAGTCAAAGAATCAATTGATCAATTAATCAATCAACCTCTTAAGGACAGTTCAGGTTCCAGGAGGAGTAAGCTTATATACATTATCAGACTCAGCTATCGTGCGCTATCAGGAACACATAGTATTAGCCTCTTACATCAGTTTTAATAAAGGCAAGCTTAGGTAGTACTGTAGCAGCCATTTTCAAAAAGAGTAGAAAATATTCCACATTCCACTACAATCTTTACCCTTCAACTTGGGTATAAATAATTACCTATAAGTACCTAGTAAGGAACTCATCTCTACCAGCCATCCCTGCACAAGCAGTATCACTCAGGCTTCTCCGAACAGCAAATCCATCTACTCGTCGTCGTTGATATCGACAACCGTCTGCTTCCATTTGCGAGCCGGAACATGACGCTTGAACAGAATGTCGATCTCACGGAAAGACCTGTGCTTCATCTCTGGAACCCAGAGCCAAGCCATGGTAGTGCAGACAAAGGCTGTACCAGCCCAGATGTAGCCACTCTTGCCGCCGAGGTTCCACTTATCAGTGTTGAGCATGTAGCTGGAGAGGAAGATGCAAGGAATGTTGACCAAGTAGTAGGCACCTCGTCCAATACCAGTTGTCAGTGGCCTGAGACGAACGGAAGATGTCTCGCCGATGATGACCCATGAGGCAGGGGCGGGTCCCAAGCAGAACAGGACGGAGACGATCAAGCCAAGTGATGCTTGCGCATTGCTGGCCGCCGTACTCATGCCAACTGAAGCCGCAATACCGAGTGCGATCAAGAATGCACAATTGATGAATTGACCATAGACATAGACGGTGCGTCGGCCGAGGTATGTGGTGAGGACCCAAGAGAGCATGACCATAATCCACTGGAGGGCAGAAGTGATGAGGCCAAGTGCAAATGCGGTGTTGTCTGCCATGCCGGCCTCTGATCTGGTGTTAGTCTGGAATGAGGTTGCAGGAAATAGCTGGACTTACGTTTGAAAAAGTAAACCGCTTGGTTAGCAATCAAATTGCCCGTCAAATTCTGAGATGCGTACACACCGCACACAATCAATGTGCGGTAGCGATCGGTGCCCTTCCACAGTTCAATAAGACTGGGCTTCTTCTCAGTTTTCTCGAGTTCGATCGTGCGACGCATCATGGCGACTGCGTCAGCGGGATTATCAGTTGCACTCGCGCGTCCAAGGCGTTTGACAGACTTCTCTGCCTCAGCCAGGCGGCCCTTTCGTACGAGCCACCAGGGCGATTCAGGCGCAAGGAAGAGTAGGATAGCGAGGGGAGTAGGGAACATCCACTGGAGTGCAATGGGAACTCTGGGGTGGCTATTAGTACAGTGCTCCTCGATGGCATCTATGGGAGTGGACGAACCTGTACGCCGACGGGTCATCCTTGGATTGGTAGTGGTAAGTGATACCGCCGACAATGATTGACCCAACCGCCCAGAACATCTGCAACATCTGCGTTGCAGGAGCTCTCAATCTCATTGGCACAATTTCGGCACAGTAGGCGGGTGCGTTGGCGATAAAAATGCCCCACGGGATGCCTTCCAGGATCTGGGCCGCGAAAAACATTCCTTGGCTGTTGCCGAAATAGAAGATAAAGATGAAGCCGTTCAAGCACATGAGACCGCCAATGGTTGCCCATCGATATCCAATCCAACTGGTAATGGGACCTGCGAGGAATACACCGATGAAGGCACCGAGTGGCCCGCTACACTGGAATGCTGATTGCCATGAAGCTTCGATAATATACTCGCCCGTCACGTCGCTTTTAACACCAAAATCCTTGGCGAATCTCGCTGTGGCTATGAACTGTCCCATTAAGAAAACACAGTAGGACTCCATGATCTATCGCAACGTCAGAGAAAATGATCTCCCTATCATGAGCAAGAGCTTACAATGGTGCATGACATCACGAATGCCCACCAGCTGGCAGCTGGATAGGCCTTGACAGCCTGGAGTACAGTCATATTGTGTTCGTTCTGCTCGGCCTCGATGGCGCCCGCTCTGTCGTAGTCGACCTTCTCGCCGGCATCGTAAACAGGTCCGCCAGTGGAAGAGGGCTGCGCCTCGACCTCCTCCGCCGTGGTCTGCTTCTCTGTGAGGTCGCTATTCATGTTGACGATTTCTGAAAGAAACGGGTGAACGAAAGAGAGGCAGGCACGACTGGGGGTTTCAGATCTAAATACTTGTGACAATACGCTCGTGATGGTGAGCCCGATCTAAGCGCAATGGGGAAAAGCTTGCTCCGGACCTTGACCTCCTGAAATTAACAACGCCACTCAAGAGGGTCATTTTTCCGAGCACTACGGTAGCAGCGTCACTTGATTATGGTAGGCTCTTGTCGAGCAAACTAGTCTGAAAGGTATCGGGAGGAAATGTACCGGTTCCTTTGCGGGGTCAGCTGAACTGACAGGGTGTGGTGGTGTGCGTCTAGATGTGGCGTTCTTTCCGCCGGACAATTCCCTGCTTTGGCCCTTGAGTGCTAGGAGAGAGTTTACGATCCTCCTTCCTTCGGCTAGTTCGAGTCATGCCCGTGTCCCGTCCCAGGTTTTCTCTTGTTATGCATTCTGAAATCTGATCCTCCTGATTCCCTGTCAAGGTGGTTCAACTCCATTGAGCCTATCATAATGAGCAACTAAAATTAACCGAGGAGTTGGGAGAGGATAAGCGCTCATTCTTACTTAGCGATGTGCTTGACTCCAGGTCCTGAGTAACACGGACAAATAAATGTTCAGCAAACCTGACCCATTCAAAAAGTCCTCCAACGCTGGCCTCCGAACATGAAGTAGGATGCTCATGATGCTTGATCTCTCCATCTCTATAAAAGACCATACTCAGGGCCAATGGGACGTGCAGGGTCCCAGATGAAAAACTTTCCATGAAAGAACCCGACGAATCCCAGAATCGGACACGGCTCGGAGTCTCACCTCATCCGGGGACTATGGGCTCGGCCAGTTTTACCCCGGACGGTCACTACCCCGGTCACTACCCCGCGCCGTGACCCCAGATGGTCATTACCCCGCGCCATGACCCCGGACGGACCCTGAATTCTCTCCACCAGAGAAATGGAGAAATGCCGATATTGGATAGTATAAAATCTAAAAATGCATGAAAAGGTGCCCTAAGCGCGGCCAGAGTTCAAAAAATAAAGAAAAGTTAACTATTCCTAATTTAGATATATAACCCTACTAGGTAATTTATTCTATGTAATTACTGGTTTTTTTAGCCCATTCTTATTTTGAGTTTAGTGGAAATTCCCTAGTGGCCAGACTGACACAGCGGATGGCCTTGGCACAGATCCAGCGACCAAAGTAATTGGCACGGTTAGTTACATCGGTTCCTTCTCCTTTACCCGTGATTGCTTACTGTTCGGCTATGACCACTTGACGCCTCCATTGGGCCTGAGCGTCCATGGCTCGTGAATATAGGAGGAAAGCTCTTCCACATCTGTCTTTTCGAATTCCTCCAATGATCTCAACGCCATGGGACAGGGGGGTATGGGCCGCATGGCGAGTCCTACAGAGGCGCTTTGGGGGAGGCGCTCGGGGGCGCTATGACTCCCTCGGCTAGAATTTTGACTTCCGCATGCCAATATCGCACGAATGGACACTTGGGATTGGGGGTTAAGCCTCATGCACGGTGTAGCCCAGGATAGTCCTGTGACAATTCGAGGCCCTTCCACGCAACTAAGCTATTGTGGACGCCGCTTGATTGGCCATGTCCTGGGCCAAGACCAGCATATGGTCCGGTCAGGAGGAATGCCTGATCGTGCTCTGGGCGCTCATATGCGCTGGGGAACTAGATATGACTGCGGTCAGGGAAGCTCAGAGTCTTTTCCAAGCATGGGTCAAGCAGTAGAGCCCGGACCCTTGCCTGCCCCAGATTACTGGTATCGGTAACCACTCAGAGCGTAGGGGGTTGAGGGTCGAAGCATGTACATGAACAAGCGCTCCATTGAGCAAGGCCCAAGACGCAGAATACATGGTACAGCTTTACTGATCATTGGACTATATCAAATATTGGGGACCATAATCCATGAATTCAATGAATCCGGCTCGGGAAGTGCATGCGTGAATGATTATTAGAGTTGCAGTTAAGATTGAATGCACATTGGGAAGACCTGGCGAAAGGTTGTGGACGGAGTCTTTCTAATTCTTTATGACTACGGAATGTCGAGTGCGGCGATTTCGGTTCTCGCTTTTGTTCCTTTTTCACGACTAGTATTCATCTAGAATCGGCTCGCCTATACCATGGCCTACCCCTTTATGGGTACAGAACTAGTCTCCGGCTATTTAATTTATTAACTTTTGAACGAACCAAGCGTCTAGCCACTTTCAGACGAGAGTGCCATTAAGGTGGAGCAACCATCTAAGCAGATAAAGCTACCCAAGCCAGTATGCCCTAGCTAATGTAAGGATTCCTCAAAAGTCGTCAAAATCCAACCACGGTGAATATGGAACGCAGATCACTGCCTGTAATGAAGATATCGCCCCTCCGGCAACAACGAATCATATCAATTGTCTCGTACTTCACCCCCCTGCCTAACGCCGGTAATTTAGTGATCTACCAGAAATACCTGAACTACACTAAAGAAACATGGTGGAATATTCCCCTGACCAGATTAGGTTTAGCGCGATCTAATTAGGGCACTAGGAAAGGAACGGTGAGTGTCTTAAGGGGTTATGCTGTTTCGGATTCTCGTATACTGGCTCGCAACTTCCAACGTATACGCATGGGGTTTACGCCAGGAAGTAATGGGATTATCAAGCACCACAGCAGGCTTCAAGCTTACGTCATTGCGCTATATTGTCAAGAGAAGAGACGTAGCATAGGATTCAGCACCTCGGGAAGTGGAGACAGTGTGGCAATTGAGGGCCATCAAAACACTGATGGGTCACTAGTCAATGTGGGCAACCGATGCCGCTTCGGGGATGGCCAGTACTGTAGATTGGTCAATGAATGCATGTGACTAATCAATGGGTGTCAGTGAACAGCCAATCATGGTCACTGACTACTCACTGGTCGATCATGTGATTATGAAGAGCTGCTCCGTGAGCTTAAGTCTAAGAGCCCTCATTTACTTGTGCTTTGCTGTCCTTGCATTTCTGCTCCCGCACTAGGTATGCCTGTCGGATGCCAGCTTTAGGGCATCACTTGAAATATTCGATGCATGCCAACTGTATTATCAAAGGTCTTTGAACATGGGATTTCCCGTGGGGCCAAAGTAGCAGTTGGAACAAGAGAAGAATTTGATATCAGATCCCTGTGGTTCCACAGAAGCTAGAGAATTTGACTAAACGAGTATAGCGACATGACAATTGTGATCACGAGGGTACAAACAATCCAAATGCATAACCCACGCGAATGGTTGACGTCAGTTGTTCCCATCCCTGCATGGTCGGGAAGATCACCGATCATTGCCTGAACCGTCATGTTTCTCCGCATTTTGAGGGGTCGTCGATTTTGGCAGGACCAAAGCTACACAAACTTATTGCATTTCCCTAATTCCCGTTCTTGGATTGACCCTATCACCAATCACAGTGTGATCTGCAAAGAACATGGCATTCGCTCGTCGCCTTGCCATTTTACCCGGCGGCTTAGGTAGGGATAAAGGCTGACCCGCCTAAGATAGCAACAATGCTAACACCACACCAGGTGGCCTGGGATCAAGTATCGGCCAAAAGCTAAGGCAACAAGGTGCCCGCCTTGCAATTCTATACGCGCCCTTTGAGGCCGCACGTCGCGACCAGCTCCTCGAGACAGGATATGGAAGCAGCACAGACCTGGATGACATCCGCACTTATGAGTGCGACATCACGTCCCCCGAGTCCGTGCAGTCTGCGTTCAACGCACTAGAGAAAGATTCAGTGTCACCAGACACCTCATCTCAGACTGAGAGAGCCTTCCCCAGTATCCTGATCAATACGGCTGGATATGTCTCTCTTAGCGATATGGAGCTCACACCACCCGAAGAAACAATGAAGCATCTGACCACCAATATCTTTGGACCAATGCTTTGCTCCCAGGCTTTTGCCCATTTGTATTTCGCTGCGTCGAAGGCAGCGGAGTCTTCAACTAGTCCTCCGCCACCGGGTCGGATCGTTAGTATTTCGTCGCAAGCTGCACATGCTGCTTTGCATCAACATGGAGCTTACTGTGCTTCGAAGGCTGGCTTGCTAGGTTTGACGCGTAGTATGGCTTCTGAGTGGGGACCTAAAGGGATCACTTCAAACAGTGTATCTCCGACCGTAGCTTGGACTGCTCTTGGGCAGAAGGCTTGGGGAGAAACGTCTGTGAGGGAGGCTTTCTTGAAGAATATCCCGACCGGAAAATTTGCATTGCCTGAAGAAGTTGCGGATTCGGTCGTCTTCCTTTGCCAAGTAAGTGAACTCCGGGAAATGTCTATATGGTTTTCTCTAACTTTGTGACAGGACTCTAGTGGAATGATCAACGGTGCAGATCTTCGGGTCGATGGTGGATTCACGGTTCGGTAATCTCAATAGCGCACTAGACTATGATCATTTCTCTTTCTCAGTACAAGCAATGAAACAATACTGTAAAATTTGTCCATTCACAGCCTTCAGTTTAAGGATGCCACATCATTCCAGCCAGACGGAACACCCCAAACCCACTATTGGCTGTCGCGTATTTCCGCAAATCGATATCGAAATGCACCGTTTCCTTGAATTCGAGTTTATCAAAGAAAGGTATAGAAGGAGCTTCAGCACAAACAGCCAGTGGAATTCCCTCGGCCTTGGCTCGATCAAAGCCCAGCTGGACTAACGTGGAGCCAACACCACGTCTCTGAACAGAAGGTTTCACACACATATATATCACATCTACTCAAAACATTAATGCCACCCTAGAGAATATCATGCGACAAACAAACTTACCGAAGCGATGTGTCCCCTCAACCTCCATTGCGATCCGTCTCGTCGCATTGCTAACCTCGGCGAGAAGTGGTGGGTTCACTCCACCTGGAATGCTACCCTCGGCTTCGACTTCCCGATCAGTATTTTCCGATTCTTCGGGCTGTTTACGCTCCAGGACAATGTAGCCGATTATCTCTTTGGTCACATTGTCGACCGCTTTAAAACATTCAGCTGCTGGATTAGCATATCCGCTTTGCACGGCTTGGTAGTAGCTCTCGCTCTGGAGTTTCTCATTTGGCCAGTCAAGGAAGATGAGGCGGTTGATGCTCAGAGAGAGTTTGGCGGAGTGAATAAACTTCCCGAGGGCGGGAAGGTCACTTGAAACAACAGGGTGGATGGAATAATCAAGGGTCATGTTGTTTCAGCCGAAGATTATACTGGCGCGTCTCTGTTGCTTCTAGTTTCGATATGGCAAAGCTTTATATAACGACGCAAAATAGGCAACTTGATTCCGATAGCGCTATCGCGATAGTAGGAGGCTGCCTGGCTAGGCGTTCACATACTGATGACTGGGGGCTATAGAAGGCATCAGCAATTTCCCCCTCGCGGTTCTTGGATTTCTTCTCTCCCTCTAGTAAGCGTCAACTGTCTTATCTGAAAATGCATGGTCTATCCTACGTTAGCACGTAGTGTCATGACTTAATATGCATAACAAAGAAAAGTAATCAACTGAGTCTATAATGAGCTCGAGAGCTTATCTAACCAGCATCATATCATGTGATGGCTACCTGCTGAAGGCTGGGGCCAAATCGTTGCTTGTTTCGATCTTTCGCCTCGACGACCATTACATGCCTTGCACGCACTTTTCATTTCGAGTCTCATCCGGCCCAACCAATTCCTGATCTTAACTTGCTGCCATGGTGCACATGGAAGCCCGAGTCTCGAAGGAGACTCTCACAGCATTACAGACGGACCTCACTTTACGATGCTTTCTCACTGCCCGTTTTAAACGCGATTTGTCCCGACACTCCGAAAATGTCATTCCCTGGGCACATTCACGCGCCGAGGAAGTCAGTACTACATTACTACGCGATATTGGACTACCGACCACCGAATTCAATATACAGATGAATATAATCCAAATGCTCCGCTCTTCGACGAGGGTCTACATCTGTTACGATATCTTCCTCGCCGAGTGCGATAAGCAGCTTCGGGACGAGATCCACAAGAGCTTCATACCCAAGCGACCAATACACCAGGTAGTCAAGAGTGGAAATGTCTACCACATAGCGATGAAGAAGGGGATGGAGCAAATAGTGGCCGAACAGTACTTGGGGATGCGAAGTTCCGATTCAGGGCCACTGCCACTCTTCTCTGATTTACAAAATCCGCCATTATATATAGATGGTCGTCGTGTTGAAGACTGGGGACAACAGGAAGAAGAACATAGCCCAGAGCGAGCCAGTGAAGAGGTCGAACTGAATAGCCTAGCTAATCTTGGCGATGGCGGGACGGAACACCGGCTAGCTGATGAAGACAATGCAACTAAGGCTATTAACTGTGCTTCTCATGATAAGACTAGCGGCTAGCGAGATATAAAAGCAAACCCAGCGCAACGTCAGAAGCAATTCCTCACCAAGAGGCATTACCAGAGATGGTCGGATCACAAAAGGTTAGGCGTCTCAAAGCTACTGTCTCCGCTAGGCCTAACTTATACCATTTATTCCTTCCTAGCTACTAATTGATCTATACATGTCTGTGGTTTGTCCTGGAACCCGGACTTCTGATTGGTCTGGACCCACTCCCCCAACACCGGGGCCAGCTTGCCTGCTTTACGATTGATCCTCTCTCTTTCCCTTACGTATAGTGTGCCATTCTAGTGAGGTAGTATTCGACTAGCAAAAATAGAACCGATAAAGCGCCGTTCAAGTGCCGAAGCTAATTGCCCACCCGTGATTAAAGGGGCGATGATGGACCTAAACGAAAACGAACCGACGACTTTCCTGATTAAGCTTAACCCCGAAACCCGATCTCCCGAATTGCTGCAGTGTTGCATCGTGCAAACCAAGCATTTGACCCCGCGTTTGAGGGAAATGAAGCAAGCCATGTGCACTAAATGATGACGCCCCTCTTTGATTGGGGGCCTCTTCGCACCCCGTACCTGAAGATGTTTTACTCGTGGCTGCGAGGTTACAATGGCTGATGTTATAAAGAGTCCCTGATTTCCATAGCTTGATCTAATCCACTGAACAATCTATAAGCCATTCTTCCACATCACAGACAAGTAGCTCGAGCTATTCTTCAAGATGCACACTGTTGTGTCTCTTCTCAGCTTGGCTGCCGTCAGCTACGCATTAGAAAAGAGAGCCTCGGCATCGGCTTACAGCTCTAACTCCGCTGGAAACTACAAACTTTCCTCAATCACCGCGCCGGTCCAAGGTGCAGGTGATCCAGGCTCAACCTCGACATGGCAGCTAACTGTCGACGACACGAGCTCTGGTCACAAGCAAACCATCGTGGGCTTTGGTGGAGCTGTGACTGACGCGACTGTCACGTCCTTCAACACCCTGTCCAGCTCAGACCTCCAGGACCTTCTCGATACCCTCATGACAGACTCAGGTGCCAATTTTGCTTTGATGAGGCACACTATCGGCGCTTCTGATCTCTCCGGAGACCCAGCCTACACCTATGACGACAACGGTGGCTCTGCGGACACATCGCTCTCGGGATTCAGCCTCGGAGATCGTGGAACAGCTATGGCCAATATGCTGGCCTCTATGAAATCCATCCAGTCAGCTTTGACCATCTTTGGATCTCCCTGGAGCGCTCCTGGGTGGATGAAGATGAACGGTGTCATCGATGGGTCCACAACGGACAACAATTTGAACGATGGATATTTGAATGGGGGAACCGCGAACTCCGGGTATGCTAGTCAATTTGCCGACTACTTTGTCAAGTATATCCAGGCATACAAGGATCTCGATGTGTCTATCGACGCCATCACCATCCAGAATGAGCCTTTGAACAGCCAGTCCGGATATCCTACGATGTATGTCTACGCAGAGGAGTCCGCTGAGCTGATCCAAAACTACGTCGGCCCTGCTCTTGCTGACGCTGGCCTGGACACGGCTGTCTGGGCCTACGATCACAACACCGGTAAGTTCACTAGCTCCTCCGAACAAGTCTCCATACTAATGAATGCCAAGATGTCCCCAGTTACCCTCAGACCGTCATTGACGGTGCCAGCAAGTACGTTGATTCGGTCGCCTGGCACTGTTATGCTACCGATGTAGACTGGACAGTTCTCACCACATTCCACGAGAGCAATCCAGACGTGAAGCAATACATGACCGAATGCTGGACCCCATCCACCGGATCCTGGAACCAGGCCGCCGACTTCACGATGGGCCCCCTTCAAAACTGGGCTTCTGGCGTGACAGCATGGACGCTCGGCACCAATTCCGACGATGGCCCACATCTGTCCAGCGGCGGGTGTGCCACTTGCACTGGTCTGGTCACTGTCAATGATGATGGAAGCTATACATTTGAGACAGCATACTACATGATCGCTCAATTCAGCAAATTCATTCCTACCGGCGCTATCATCCTGAATGGAACGGGAAGCTACACTTACTCAACTGGAGGGGGTGTGCAGTCTGTGGCCTCGTTGAACCCTGATGGAACGCGCTCTGTTGTTATTGAGAATACTTTTGATAACGACGTTTATGTGACTCTCAGTACCGAGAGCGGCGAGGAGTGGTCGGGTGATATTCCCAGTGAGTCTGTCACCACTTGGGTGCTTCCGGCTTCATCTTAGGATAGTTGGTATTCTTGGAAGAATTTGTGTACATGTTATAGTCGAGATATTTCAATTCCTGCTAGTCTAAAATACATGACTAATTATACACATTGTGACTCCGTAAGCGGGTATTATCGGTGCGGAATCCGACCGCCATCATCTCACCATGCGCACGCACTTCCAAGGGTTTCAACTTGTTTAAAATGTCTAGTGCAGGTCACAGATGTTCTACCTGCAAGCGAACCTTTTCCAGTCGGAGCCATCTCAAACGGCACGAGGCATCATCACGTAAGTGGGAACAGAAATCAAATACACGCGCGGAAACTGACCATCTAGACAACCCACGGACACAAGTGACGTGCGAGTTTTGCGGGAGCATATATTCCAGACAGTATGATATTTCAATTATCTTCAGTGCTAAATTGGCATTAATGGAATTATTAGAGATGCGCTTCGCCGCCATTATAAAAGCTGTAAGATTGGGCGGCAGCCTTTGCCCAAGAAGGCCGGACGCCATCGGAAATCATGTGACACCTGCGCAAAGAACAGGAGCACCTGCGATGCCAACTACCCTTGTTCTTCCTGCGAGAGCCAAAGCGTTAATTGCACATATCAGCGGCTTGAAGGTCGCACAGATGAGCCGCTCGGGGCAATCTCCAATACTCGGGTGTCAACTAGAAGTCAACACAGACAAGCGACCGCGATATCAGACCAACGACGACATGGGCAATTATCAGTTCCGTTTTTGTTGAATTACTCTGCGCCGGGTAACCAAAGTAATCCTGGGGATGTCAACCATGCTCTTTCTCTGCTGTCGACCACCGAGTCGAATGATCCAGAGTTAGATTCTGCACTCCCGAGTCTGGAAGTCGAAGCTGACAGAAGCGATCTTTTCTTTGAGGATTCCTGGGCTCTTTTCTTTGGGTCGGTCACACATGATAGGCAGTGTCGAAATTCACCATTGCCGGAAGGACTCGACGATCCGCAACAAAGACTGTTGGCAGCTGAGAAAATGATCGATTGCCTATCCAGCGTATACACCTCTCATAGCCATGCCTTCGGGGAGCTCAATCTCGACCCTGAACGCACATTCTTCAACGAGAGAAATGTTGGCGATTTTATCAATGCCTACTTTGATCATACCGTTCGTCCTCGATCCCGTATCGTCTTGAAATCCTCGTTCAATCTCGAAAGTACTTCGGGGCCCCTTCTTCTCGCGATCTTCTTGTTGGGTGCGAGTTGCGGGCTGTCAGACCACGCGAAGTCACAAGCTACGAATTACGTCGATATGGCGGAACAAGTCGTGTTTGAAGATCCTAATTTTCTTCGACTCGTATACAACCAGCAATTTCGAGACGCTGACAGTTTGAATCAGTCTGAGATTGAAAGCATCCAAGCAGCGATTATCATCATTCTCAACCAATTAGCTAGCCCCAAGCCAGAAGCTCGGCGTCGGGTGCGAATACAACGATACCCCGCTCTGGTATCTATTGCTCGGGCGACATCCATGACACGAATCAAGAACCAATGGCATGATTCAAACGTACCCTTGAGTCATGCGAAATTCACCAGAAATGAGACTTGCATCAGGTGAATTCTGTTCCTACTATACATTGTTGCACAATACTAACGGCATGCAGACTGATGGCATCTATAACCATGCTTGACTGCCACAATATTATGTTTTTCAACACACCTCCCCAATTCACGGCATCCGAATTTGGGTTCGATCTCCCAGCTGAGGAAAGGGGTATTGATATTCGAGACAGCGCTACGTGGGAGATATGGGCACACAACGAACGAAAACATCAACGCCCTTCACTGTTGAGTAAATTCGTACAGGAACTGCTATCTGATGACTGGCCCGGGCTTGATGATCCAAGATACAGCAATCTCAACGTATTTGCTCTTTTCATTGTTGTCTCCGGTAAGTACTCCATGATAACTATCTCTGGCGCGCTGAAAACTGAAAAGCATGTGCCCAAAGCATTCCAACCAATAATATTCGGGTTAAGGTCAAGCCTCTGCAATATGTCCGACGCCACACGCCAGCTCGAAAGGGCACTGTCTAGATGGATGAGTCTATGGGAACGACTCAAATCACGATTAAGCCAGCAGGAGATTTACCGAGCAGGAATCACCTACCATGCACCCGATCTATGCGTCTTCGCAAGACTGGTACTGCAAAAGCCATTATCCGAAACGGGCGAAGTTGCAAAGGATTCTATGGCTCAAATTCATCAACTTCTAAAAGGGCCTTCCTGATAAATGGGAATTTTATCTGTGATTCCGCGATGCCCAAAGATCAATAATGCATGGTAGCTATTGAACATCCTCCTCGTCTCCGGGGTTGTACAAAGCCAGTCCCAAGGAGGCACTCATAGAACAAACCAAAACAGCCCATGACGCTCTTGTGTTTTGTTTCTTTCCCAATAGACGACCCGTATCCCACACCAATTGTTTCAATCCATTGAAAGCGTGGTATGTGAAAGGCATTGATACCCCAAACTTGACACCAGTTTTCACTGCAGTCGGTAGCGCCCCAAATGCATCGACCATAGTTGTCGAATCGAGGTGAAAGCCCAAATTTGAGGAAAGAAGATACAGTGGCCCAAAGGCGTAAAGGCTTCCTGAGAGTAGTATCCCGGTGATTCGATGAAGAATTGATGCCGAGGAAACAAATTGCCATTTGTATATGCTGATGTGGGGGGAGACTGGTCGGTTCAAGCGTTGTGCGGCGAGGCGGTGATGGGGGGATTCGGTGGGTATGTTTTGAGTTGAGACGTTTCTCCTGGTAATTCATTAGAAGGTATCATGGAAATATTGATTCACGCACCGAAAGCTGACTCCATTGACTCTGTAAAGTCGGGCTGTTGTTGAGATGTGGCGTGACGCGCGTAACAGCATCTTGAAGCGGGCAGCGGATTGATAATGCAGCGAATGTTTCAAATAATGGCCAGACCTCAAGTAAATGTCTTTCGGATTTTGTCTGTGACGAATGGTGGAACATAGACCAGGAATAAAAAAGGCTGTTTATACTGTCTGGAGAATACCCACCTGTGGGTATTTTCCGATCAGCGGCCCCACAAATTATGGCCGGTCTTCAAGATCCACTTATTCAATCAAGACCCATCGATTTCTTTTATGTTTGGCTTGATGTTTATTACAACTAGATGAAATATTCTTTGAATAGAATAGCTCTACCTGAATCAAATCTCACTCTCAAAATTAGCATGGGCCCTGAGCAGCTCAATGGATGCAGACACCCAAAGCATGATCGCGGGCCAAAAAGCCATGGAGTGATTCGAATATGCCATGTACGGTTTACGTGCCAGTCCAAAATAATTACTTTGATCATACCATCTCAATAGCCTCGCGATCTAGCAGGCACAGTACAACCTGGGTCCCTTGTCGTTAAAGGGCTAGAGGTCTGCACATATCATCTCCTGGTTCCTCGTAATTTACCGCAAATTCACTGCCAATCTGCTCCGATCGGCATTAGAGGTTGTAGACTTTGAAGTCTGTAAGACCTGGCACCAGAAAATTCCTTTCCGCCAGTGATCCAGGGTTCCATCATCGGAGTAGCGGGTTGGGTTGTCGAGGTGGCAATCACGACTGATAAAGATCGATATATATATATGACTTGGAATAGCGGAGCGGACAAATCTTCCAAGGTTGTTGGGAGATGTCCGATCCAAAATAACTGTGGTAATTGGGAGAATTGAATTCAGACAAAACCCATGGACGTTGCCTTGATTTCCGGGAGTTCAAAAATAAGCACCTCGCTTGATCCAAGTCAATATCGAAGTTTAGAAGTTAGGTCGAAAGGTGTAGCCAAAGAAATGAAAAGAAACGCAACATTTTCATTATCTCTACTCCGTCAGACACGATTCGGAGTTCAAAGTCATACTCTTATTAAATACATACTCAAGTTCCTACTTGGCTCACATACCCTGGATTAAGTATGGCCAAGAAGTGACAATGAGTGGTCGCCTGTTTAGATGGGAAACGAATACTAGTGCAACTTGCCTCGAATGAAGCATCATTTATATATTGACCTACGCCGTGTCCGGCAAACAGGAAGTACAATCTTGAATCCAATACTCGTTGCATAGCACTAATTTTAAGACTGGAAATGTTCTACATCATTTTCCAAGCTTATACCCATGGATGGGTGTTGCAACAGACCTGATCTATAGTATTTACCCGATCATGTGATCTTAACCACCGCCTGGCAGAATTACATCACGACATATCGCACGCCATTCAAACTTCCTGATTTGGGGCAAGAACAGGACCCGCCACAGCTGCACTCCAGATGACACCATCGCAGATCATTATGTACTTTACAAGTTCCATTAAGCTTCTCGAATAGTGCTAACATCATTATTAGGCAATTATGCTAGACCCTGAGAAACGGGGCTGACGTTGTGGATTAATCAGCCCCAGATCTGGGAAGAACCGGAGTTTGAGAGGTTTCCACGAGCTTCGGAGCTCCGCGGGAATGATTGCTCAGCACTGGGCATACCCTCTAACCAGATTGGAGGTTCCTGCTGGATTATTAAAAGCATAATGGGGTGAAAACCGGACTTGTCCCCCAGACTTGACTCTTTTGAGTGGGTACGGGAGACCACAAGGACCAGAAATGCCGAGAATGCAAGCACGCAATCACGCAATTTCAGGCACCAAGGCACCAACAAGCACGCCATCGAATTTTCAAGGACCCACTCGAGACCCCGATGTCGTGCTCAAATGAAATGGCGGCTAGGGAAATCGGAAGTATGTCAGGCACGCTGAAAAATCACATCATTGCCTCATAGCCTATATTATTCGGAGCCTGGCCTTTGCTTCTTCTTCCCATTATCATCTCCATATCCGTTTTCGGTGCTTCAATTCCCTGTTGTGTATAGTTAAACACCTTACCCTAGGCGTTTATACTTCTATTCCTTTTACACATTACTCTTTGTGCACGCTTTCAAAATGCCGGCCAAGATGCCTGTCCAGTACCCCTCCGATGGAGAGGGCATTGACTCTCGTGACAACATGACCGAGTCTGGCTATGTCAGCGGTGGCTCTTCTAGTGAAGAATACATCCCAGAGATTGTCTTCACCAAGCCTCATCTTCAGTTCTTGAACCGCCAGTTGCAGTTCCTTGAGCCCCAAGGTATGTTATCCGGAACCCCGCTATAACAAAGGTCCCAATGTATGGTTTCTGACTCTTACCCCTCTATAGATATCTTGAGATGGTGCATTACATCACTCCCTCATCTCTTTCAGACTACTGCCTTTGGTCTTACTGGCCTGGTAACTCTGGATATGTTGTCCAAACTGGAAGTTCCCCGCCCCCAGATGGTGGATCTTATCTTCCTCGATACGCTGCACCACTTCTCCGAGACCCTTAACCTGGTCGACCGGGTCCGCAAGCGTTACCCGTTGAACAATGTCCACGTGTACAAGCCTGCCGGTGCCGAGACTGCTGCCGAATTCGAATCTAAGTATGGCGCCCGTCTGTGGGAGGTCGATGACCAGCTCTACGATTGGGTTGCCAAGGTTGAGCCTGCCCAGCGTGCCTACCGCGAATTGAATGTCCACGCCGTTCTGACTGGTCGTCGCCGCAGCCAGGGTGGCAAGCGTGGTGATCTCGACGTTATTGAAGTTGACGAGGCTGGCCTTATCAAGATCAACCCCATGGCCAACTGGTCCTTTGACCAGGTCAAGCAGTACGCTCGTGACAACAACGTCCCCTACAACGAGCTCCTCGACCGTGGCTACAAGAGTGTCGGTGACTGGCACTCCACCCAGCCCGTTGCTGAGAACGAGGATGAGCGCTCTGGTCGCTGGAAGGGTCAGCAGAAGACCGAGTGTGGTATTCACAACCCCCGCTCCAAGTATGCTCAGTACCTGATGGAGATGGAGCGCAAGCGCCAAGAGGAAGCTTTGACATCCGCATTGAACGCTCAGCTTTCTGCTGCTCAATGATCCTGTCGCTCCTTTTTTGTGCCTCGCATACTCCATCGCATACTCCATGGCGTTATAATGATACCTCCTCGGCTCTTCTTTTATTTTGTGTCCCGTTTGAGCGGTGCGAATCGGCTCTTCAAAGACCGACGCACATTCATGATTTCTTATGTTATCGGGATTCTATTCCCAAAAAGATAAAACAACCCACTCCCCCCTTGTATATAGGGAGTTTGGTTTCCGCTCGCGGCCCTTATTGGGACCGTTGAGACATGATAATGACCTTCGCATATACAAAAGCGCAATTTGTGTCTTCAATAAACATTTACTTTTTCTATAAATCATGATAATTTCAAGTAGTTCTGAACATTGTAATTTTTTTATTTTTCATATTCATCCAGTGTTTTTCTTCAAAATGCCCTTGGGAGGAGATCTCACGTGCAGCCCACCAACCCTAAGTTTGGTCCCATGAACTGCTGCGAGGGAGTCACCGGTATTAAGCAATCAGGCTTTTAGGTGCGATTATCATTTAACGCCCCGCAGCTTAACACCCAAAGTGGGGCTTTACTCGCCTCCATTCAAAGTACGCGTAGAATATTTTACTGGTGAGATAACCCAGGCTACGTAGGTGACATCGTACCCCCATCTAGCATACTAAGTAGTCATTCTGGAAGGCTTCCTGCCAAATCAAATTCTTCAAAAGCACAAGGTGAACCTTTGAATTCAACCGAACATACTCCAAGTCGTTTTTCCACTTCAAAGTTTTATTGTGATCGACGATCCAATCTGCTTACGACATGCCGTTACTGGCATGAAGTCTTTGGTTGCAACCAGTCATTTTGATAGCGAGAATACACTGTTCCCAATCACACAGCTAACAATTCTCTCGCATTATCAGTGATGCGAATAATTATTCTCCAAATCAATACTTTGGACGGTTTGATTAGAAATGACGCAAGCCGCAGCGGAACCCCACCAACTGGCCACGTGACGGATCACGATCGACAATGTTTTCTCAAGAAAGCGATCGTTTAAATCCCAAGTTTAGCCCCATCCAGTCCAACATCTCTCTAAACACTCCAGTGAAAGGCCATGGTCGACCAAACCACCTCCCGCCAGCGGCCCTCGCTTGGCCAAATGCGCAGCAGCTCATTCCTCCAAGACCACCAACAATATAAGCCCCCGCTCTCCGTCAGCCAGAACATCGGCGAGGTCCTAGGCACCCAACTCACCGAAACCCTATCAATCAACCCTATCAACCCAGACCCCGAACGGGTCCATGACAGCGGTGTCACCTACAGCATCTTCAACCACCAGGCTAATCCCCTGGAGACCGGCACCCCGCGCATCGTCGCAACAATCTTCTACAAATCCTCAAAACCCGTTCACCCCCACTTCCACCCCGATTCTTCGCCCAAGCCGGCTGCGGGCGAGCAGCTGCCTTTACCCCATGTTCCTGAAGGCTCCGCCCCCACTGAAGATATGGACAAGTTCCCCCGCGAACCGCCTGCTCCGGAACCGGAACCGCTGGATCACATCTACGGACCTTATGTGTCGCAGTTGTGTTTGACCAACTTCCTGCAGATTCTTGAGTCTCTGCCAACGCCTTACCAGCGTATGAACACTTCGCACCGCTGCCTGGACCGTGACGCTCAACCCCGCGTTGTGGAGGTTACATTCTCTCCCCCTCCGGACCCTAAGTACCTCTCTTTTGAGGACCTGCGCAAGCACGAGAGCATCTGGCGCTTTGAGCGCGAGTGGAACGTTGAGGTTGTGCTGCAGCAGGAGAGTGTCTTCCGCCGACACAAGCGATTGGCTGTGTTTGACATGGACAGCACACTTATCGAGAATGAGGTGATCGACGAGATCGCCAAGTTCATTGGTGTGGAGAAGGAGGTTTCTGTACGTCGACATTACCCTCACAGTTCAAGCCGTTGAGTAAAACTAACCCTGTATAGGAAATCACCGAGCGCGCGATGAACGGCGAACTGGACTTCGCGGCATCGCTCAAGGAGCGTGTTAGCCTCCTCAAGGGTGTCCCCGCTGATGTCTTCGACAAGCTCAAGTCCGTCATCACCATCGCAAAGGGTGCCCGCGAGCTTTGCGCCGCTTTGAAGATGATGGGATACAAGATGGCTGTTCTGAGCGGTGGCTTCCAGCCTCTTGCGGAATGGTTAGCCGGCCAGCTTGGACTCGACTATGCAGTCGCCAACCACGTAAACACCCCCATTCACCCTCTACTGTACTGCTAATAGATCGTTCAAACTAATCCGATATCTAGCTCGAAATCGACAATGAAACTCAGACCTTGACCGGTAGACTGGTCGAGTCGAAGCCCATCATCGATGCTGCTCAGAAGCGCTCCCTTCTCAAATCCATCGCTGCTGAGAACAACATTCCCATCTCCCAGACACTGGCTGTCGGTGATGGTGCAAATGATCTTCTCATGCTTCACGAGGCTGGCCTTGGTGTCGCCTGGCGCGCCAAGTCCAAGGTCCAGCTCGAGGCACCAACCCGTATTAACGGAGAGAGCCTGGTCGATATTCTCCACCTTTTCGGTCTCGAGAAGGAGGATATCGTCGAGCTCACCAGCAAGGCCCAATAAGTGGCTTAGGCTAAGTTGAGCCCTTTTTCACCCAGGTGGATCGTTTTGCATCTTGGAACGCAATACCCATTTATATCCGCTTTTTTATTGGATGCGAGACAGGTGACGTTGGCTTACAAGCTATCTGTTTCACCATTTATGATGCTCTATCATTTATTTTTTTTCGACAAACAGTTTCGAGTTACCCTTGAGTCAGAGGAAGAGGAGGATTAGGATGAAGGGGAAGGGCCTCTTGCAGTGCGGTACATAGCCGGTCTAGCTGTATCCTTGCTATTTCCTTGGACGTAGGTGGTATAGGTGAACTGAACCTAGGACTCGTACGGACGTACAGCTTACTTCTCGACCGACACGTAGTCTAATGAGAAATACATGAATGAGAAGAATTCTTTGGAAGTAAAATCTAGAGATTTGATTGATGTAATTGCTTCTAAGAAACTCCATGCAAGCGCCTGGAATATAGACAGGATAGAAACCGTTGATGGTGATACAAGACAATGTTGAAATGGAATGTCGAAAATAGTAAAGAAATCCCAACCCCAAACCGAAGCCAAACCTGATGCAATCTCGGCGCCGAGTGGATGGTGAACGAGCCGCGTTTTATCGGACAGCGGTCATGAACCATGCATATTATTTTGTTGAATAAAGGAAGGAAGAAGAACCGGAACTAGCGGGTCGCCTCATCGGCCTGAGCAACAGGCTGCTCGGCAGTCTGTCCAGTTGCGGCTCCAGCTCCACCACGACGCTTCTTCAGGACGTTCTCAATGAACGCCTCACCAGCCTTGTAACTGCTGCGAACCAGGGGTCCAGAAGCACAGTACAGGAAGCCCATATCCAGCGCACGCTGGCGCCAAGCCTCGAACCGATCAGGAGTAACATACTCGTGAACAGCCATATGACGCTTGGTAGGACGCATGTACTGACCAAAGGTAACAACATCAACATCCACAGCACGCAACTGACGCAGCGCATCCCAAAGCTGCTCGTCGGTCTCACCAAGGCCAAGCATAAGACTGGTCTTAGTAATGAGATCAGGCTTAGCCTCCTTAGCAGCCTTCAACACACGAATGGACTGCTGGAAAGTAGCGCGACGATCACGCACGAAAGGAGTCAGAGCCTCAACGGTCTCAACATTATGCGCATAAACATCCAATCCACTCCGAGCAACCACCTGCGCCATCTCAAGGTCTCCGCGGTAATCACCAGTCAAACACTCAACCAAAATATTCGGAGCCTTGGACTTGATCTTGATGACCGTCTCGGCGAAGTGGTGCGCACCTCCATCAGCCAGATCGTCACGGTCAACACTGGTCAAAACCACATATCCAAGTCCCCATCGCGAGATAGCCTCGGCGGTGTTCTCTGGCTCGTGAGGGTCGAGTGGTGCGGGTGTACGACTGGTCTTCACACTGCAGAATCGGCATCCACGGGTACAGGTATCACCCATGAGCATGATAGTAGCGGTAGCAGCGGCCTTATCACCTCCACCCCAGCAATCGGAAATGTTAGGGCATCGCGCCTCCTCGCAGACGGTATGGAGGTTCAATCCGCGGAGATCCTTCTTCAAGCGCTGGTAGTTCTTTGAGTCCGGAATAGGAGTCTTAAGCCACTCGGGGAGCCGGGTCATTTCCTTCTTGCGGCCGGCTGGGCCGACCATGGCGGTCTTAAGGGCGTAGGCCTCTGCGGGATCGAGAGCTTCTTCTGCACCACCGGAGACAAAGTCGGAGAAGGAGGGACCGGCATTTAGTTTGTCTTGGAATTGGGTCTTTCGCCGACGGGTGATCCCCGGTGTGTTGGTGGCGGAGCCGCTGTCGGTCGTGGCATAGGTGCGGTAGTGGAGGAGGGAGACGGTTGATGTAGGGGCGGATGAAAGGGATGTCCTTACGGACGATAGGTGCCGTAAGCTTCGTGCTGGAGCGGCCATTGTGGTGTGTGTATGTCAAGGGTTGAGGTCTAGTACGCAATCTGCAGAGAAAGATAGCTGGGCTTTCCCGCGGGATTCTCGGATGACTCAGCAGTGGAGATGGTGGCGGCTCAATCATCCAAGGTGCTTCCCGAGGTCCCGTCCGTCACCGATGTATGGTTATGGCCAGTGGTAGAGTAATGGCTTAGCTAATGGAAAATAGAGAGTGAGGTTATAGCAATGGCTATTATGATTATGCTTTACTATAGTACTATGATACTAATTGTACATGTGACACAAGCTCAAGAACAATTCGAGGGAACGAATCGCGATGACAGGGTATGAATATAATAAGGAAAGAAGACGGTCGGACAAGCGATGGAGATAATTGTTGCTCTGAATGAAAGAGAGCCATGCAGGATGGTGATGTGTGAGGGAATAGGAAATCGAAACCAAAGAGAGGAGGTGTATAGAGATACAAGGAAAGCGGGAAAGATAGGGAAAGAGTGAGGTTTAGGGGGCATTGACTTCCAGGACCTGGGCGAGAACTTCAATCGCAGATTTAAGCACTTCATCTGATCGACCACAGATGGCGAATAGTAGATTGTCGATAATTCCCTCGACCTGCCGGCGCAGTTCTGAACTGCGGGACCCAAGGACTCGGTCCTTGGTGCGGCCGGGGGACCCAGATGGGAGCTGGATGCCCAGTGTGCTGTATGCTTTTGTGGGGATGGCATCGATGCCATATGTGTCGTTTCGCGCCAGTAAGGAAGGTTTGTGGCGGTGAATAGTAGATAAGGAAAGGAGGTAGTTGCGGGCAATGAGCGCTGCACAGAGACAATCTAGCAAGTTCTCTGTGACTTCAGGAAATATTGTTCGAAACGGGCGGAGGAAATTCTTGTCGTCGCTTTTCCTTACATGCAGGATTGCAGGTGATGTGAGTCGAAGCATGTGACGAGGAAAGTCCTTCACAGAATGTTCAAGTTCGTCGAGGGTCCATTGATGATCATCCAGGGTCCACTCATGGTCAGCGTCATCCCACGGTGTTGCTTCATCTGATTCTTCTTGAATAGATTTTGTAGACCTCCGGCTTGGAGAATGTTCAGTCTGTGGTGTTGCCTCTGGGCTTACACTTCCAGACCGAATTTCTGGCTGAGTGAAAGTGTCGCGCTCTCCCTGCGCGGTGCCAGGTCGATCGCCAATCACAGTAGATGTAACACTGTCGGAGGTCAATGACCCTGGGTCAGTGTATACATCGTCATCTTTACCGTCCTCATAGGTGCTCAGAGAGTAACCAGACTCCCGCGTGCCATAGCCACTATCCGACATGTCCAGCGGAGTTTCAAGTGGTGTATCTGGACTGAATGCAGATACTTCCTCTTGCCGCTGATCTGGCGTCATTGGAAGAGGGTGTGGTATTAATGATGGTGGAGGTGGCATCGGGGAGGACTGCCGAGCAATATCAACCAATCTTGGTTTATTTTTGGGCTTGCTTGCAACAGCAAATCTCTGTGACAGTATTAGAATGGCTGGATGTTGATCATCTGTAGTCTGGGAGAGCTGATGACTTACCAAGGGTTCGTCGAGAGACTTCATCCCCGGGATGAAATCTATCTTCGGCATTGGAAGTGGTGGATCCTGTTCAACAATCTGGACCTTTCGACGGTTGGATTCTCTGATGTTTTCATCTTTTCCAGAAAGCGGATCAAAGGGAACGCCTTTCAGCCATGTCTCGCAATACGCCAGATTACTGGGTATCCAACTAGCTTCACTTGAGACGGTGGCGGTCCTCGGCCGTTGAGGTCTCGGCGAGCTGCCTGGAACATGACAGTAGGTGGGCCCTGGAGGTGATGTAATAGGACTTGAAAGGCCATCATGGCTCTTGGCGGTGTTTCTTAACTCATTGCCTTCGCACTGCCGGATGAGATTCGAATGTGCTTCGTGGACACTAGTAACCTCCGTCCACCTTTGTTCTTGGGGTTGTTCGTGGCGTTCTTCGATCCAGTCAGGCGGGCGGTAGGCTTTGTAGTTAATCCTTTCTGTGTCGCTGTCCTCCAATCCTCCGCTCAGCTCAACCGGCTCCTCCAGTTCGGGCAAGCTTGGCTCTTTCTGTAAGTCCTCATTGATAATGTCCGCCTCTTTTGGTTCATCTTTGCACTCAAAATATGATGTATTAGCCCCCGCACTTACAGCCCTAGATTCTGATATTGGGGGACTGGGCAAAAGACCAAAAGCTGACATGCTAGCAGAACCCAAATTTTGATCAGAGCGCCATGTCCGTAGTGTACGAACACCTGGTATTTTAGATTCTCTGGTTGATTTCGGGCGGAATGTTGGTGCACTGTCGCATGACGCCGGCGACGATGGGAGCATCAGCTGGAAGGGTTCCTTCATTCTGCGTACAGAGCGAAAAGGTGAGATGATGGGAGGCCCTCTGCTCGCGGGCCGCCGGCAGAGAGAGTTTGTAGAAGAATCATGAACCTCCGAACGAGGTAATGTGGGTGACGGCACGAATGACAATGTCGGATATTGTCTGCTCCTCCTTCGGGGCTGATATGTGGGAGACCATCGGCGTGGCGAGGGAATGGGGTCAGGAATTGCCATGGCATCGTGGCTCGGCGCGGATGAGTATGAGTCTTGGTTCTTAATGTGAGTTTGAATCGGGGCCGGGAAACATGCATTGTTAGGCCTTTTAGTAACACCGCAATCCATAGTGGACATATTGCGCCTTTCAGATGAGGTGGTTTTAGTCCCAACTCAAATGCTGAAAAAGCAACATGCGGTCGCACAAGAGTTACCCGGATGAGAATGAAATGCAGTCGTGGGAGCGATGGAACCTCCGCACGATGCAGGGGCACAGTATGGACTTATACAGTCAGAGTGACGCTAGTTTTGACTTCCAAGGACGATAGGGTCACCAGGTATACAAGGTAGGACATCCCTTGACAAGGAACTCAACACCCTGCCATGAAGAAACTCGAGTATGTTCAGATGAAGTTTGGCCCCTTCAAGGTTTTTGGGTTTCCCTCTTGCACGAAACTAGCTCAGCTCTCAGGCACGGGCCATCATAATAATAGTTGAGAATGAGAGTCAAGTCATCCTTGCATGCCCGAGAAAGGTGAGATCTAAGCAGGCGGTGGGGGGATGATAGGCCCTAGATTGCTATTCATGGTCTGCAGGACGCTGTCAACGTGGATAGACCCTTTGCGGGTCGCCTATAATCGTCATAGTTCGAGACGAAGAATGAGACAAATGGGATGCAGAGAGGGGGATTAGCGAATCACAGCCCTTGAGAAGGGCAATAAGATCGACCACAGGGTGTGTTGCACTGTACCAGAGCGGGTCTTCATTGGCTGCAGTGTCTCGTTGCAATAGCAATGGGAGAACCCCCCTTCATGGGGTTGCCATCCCTTGCGTCGGAGTCACCCATGCCTGACCAGACTCTGAAACTTGAAATATAAATGATAACATGCTTCGTCATGGCGTGCATACTGAAAGTGCCATTTTCTTTTCCCTCCCAGCTGTGTGAGTGGCTCTGAACATGCCTTGTAAAATGCCATGAATTTTCATCGCCAAATCCGATACATCTTCATAGTGATTGCCCCCATATCTGCTGAGCCACTTTAATTTCGCGGATACCGTCGCCATTCCCGGGGATTGACAGGTTCCATTGGGAGCCCCGCTTATCCTCAAACACGGCTGTTGTAGATGATAGATGTCAATTCGACGGTCCTATTAAATTAGCTGAATTAAAGTAATCGCGTACACGGGTCAGATCTGATCGGATGAGGAGAAAGTTTAGGATTGATCACATCTTCATAGTTGCATTTCCTGGTACGCGGTGGGGCCACAAACAGTGCAAACTGCCTTATCGATTGGACTTATCGCGTAGCTTTTTTTTTCTTTCGGTTGGAATGATCTTCTAGTCTCCCCCATATTTCATGCAAGCGCCCCATTCCCCATGATTTCCGAATCGTTCATAGCGGCGACGCTGTCATCCGCTAAAATCCCGACCGCCACTCTCCGCGATGTCGGCATTTGCGTGCATGAATTCCAGCCTGCCCCCCAGCTGCGATCCACTTTCAAGAAGAGCTCGACCACACCCAATTGCTTGGCCGTGAGCCCGTCGCATATTTTCGCAGCACAGGCTGATAAGGCAGTTGTTCATGTCTACAGTCGGGAAAAGGGGAACCAGGAGGCTTTAGTGCCATTTCCGGAGCGTATCCGCAGCATTGCTGTCGTCGGAGCCAAGCATGGTGATGTGCTGGTCCTTGGCACGGAGGGAGGCCGGTTGATTCTGTGGGAGGTATGATATGTCAATTGCGCTTATCTTTGGATATGTCAGAGAATTAGTGGATTCAGACTAACTCGCGCCGCGTGTTTCAGACATGCACAGGACGTCAAGTGGCTACCACGGCTTCACACCTGCAGCCGGTCACCTCGCTTGTCGTCGACCCCACTTCCAACTTCATTCTGTCAGGCTCCGCTGATGCCAGTATACACGTCTGGTCTCTTCCTGGCATCCTCTCCTTTTCTAAGCCCGCTCAAAGTCAAGACCGACAGCCACCAAACTCACCCATTCGGACCTTCTCCAACCACCGTGCCGCCATTACATCTCTGGCTGTCGGACACAGCAATGGACGAAACAACATCGCAGTCTCGACCGCGAAAGATAATACCGCTATTGTTTGGGACTATAACACTGGACATGTTCTGCGAACGTACCTGCTCCCATTCTCGGCGACCTGTCTAGCATTGGATCCGGTGGATCGAGCTGGCTACGTTGGTTATGAAGACGGCAGCGTGCAATCCATCGACTTTTACCGCAGCGGCTCAGTAAAGCACACTCTCCACGACATCTCTCTACAATCCACCCCTGCCCAGGTGTCCGCCGAGGACCGATGGCTTCCTCCATCTGCCGAGTCCGGTGCTACCCGGGCACTAATTCTCTCATATGATGGTACCACACTATTGTCCGCGCACGATAGCGGCAAGGTTCTATCATGGAATATTGCGCGCCGAAAGTTCGCAACCACTGTCTCTGACTACACACACCCTGTGACCAACCTGGTTCCCTTGCCGCTAAATGGCCTTTCAAACTCCTCGCAGGAGCCAACCCGCAGCATTCACACGATTGTCAAGCCTCGCCATGACGGTGCGCTCTCAGACCCCTCTCATGCTCCGGGTGCTGTCCCAGCAGCATACACTTTCCACACACACCTGACAGCCCCCTCACGTCTCCGATCTCGCCAAACATCCCAATTCTCTCAAGCCCTCACCCATGCAGCCTTCCCCACCTCCATGATTGAGGAGGGCCTCGCCGAGCTGGCTGCTTTCAGACAGCCGGGCGCTGAAGTCTCCCGTGTCTCGTACACAGCTCCCGCTGTTCCAGATGCCTCGGTTGACGTTGCCGCTCATGACGATCGCATTGCTGAGTTGGAAGCCGAAATTGCTTTGCTGAAGAAAAAGGACGCAGTCAACGACAAGACTCGACACTCTACCACAGACGAGGTTGTGCAGCTGCGCTCGGACCTTGTCCATCTGCAAGATTACATCAACGAGATGCATGAGAAGCAGGAGGCCGCTCAGCGTGACAAGGTGCAGCGGCAAGCAAGGAAGGAAGCTCGTGAGGCAAAAAAACGGGAAGCATGGTTTGCTGCCGAAGGTAAAGGGCGCAATGGCGATGCAGTGATGAAAAAAATGGACATTGATGGCGGTATGCTGACCAGCGACTCGGATGATCAGAGCGATGAGTAAAGTCTCTCAATATGGTGATTAATATCGGCCTTTGGTCTACTCAAAATGGGAATGGCGCCTGGTTAAACATTTGCATATACTTTACGATATTTATTCAAAGAATATTCAGACAGATATGAACTTCGATATTCACAATTGTAGATCATCCCCATTATTAATGTCCGACAATCATGTATCTTCTGACAGTTCGCTTTAATTCCTGTAGCTGATACATTGACTAAAGAAAGCACCCACTTAGCTACTTCCACGCGAGCATCTCACACTGCAACGCCGCATACCAAGCGTCCTCCGTCTCAGCCCACTTCTTCGAGGCCCGCAGCGTCTCGTCTATTTCTTCTTGAGCAATACCAGCCTCGAGCCAGCTCCGGTGCAAAGGATCGCCGGACTGTAGCTGGCTCTGTGCACGCTTAGCTAGCCACTGTCGAGTGTCTGGACCCGAGAAGACTGAGCTTCCAGTGCCAATACGAACCTTGCCCCCATCAGCGTCAAACCCCGCAAGACGAAACAATGCCGGCATAACGGCCGGCGAAAGGTCTGCTTCAGTGTCCCCTTTGAGCACCGCTCGACGGAAATTTCCTACCCAAAGCCGGTCAAGGTCCACACTCCGTGGGTAAAAGTGCTGGTCCACTGTATCGCGCGTGGCCAAGATCCCCCCAGGCTTTAGGAGCCGTCGCATTTCGGTAAGTGCCTTAACAGGCATGTCTGGTGGCGGCATATACCCAAAGGTATGAGCGCAGAATATGATGTCGAATGTATTATCTGCGTAGGCGAGCCCTTCCAGGATATTACCTTCCTCGAAAGCAATGGAGCCTGGTCCGTCTTCAGCAATTCCGAGATCATTGGCCACTATTCTGGCCCTTGCTAAGACATTTGCTGAGATATCAATGCCGAGCGTTCTTCCTTCACTGGCATATTTGACGAACCCCGCAGTAATGGTACCAGGACCACAACCGACATCGAGAATCAAGTGTGTCTTTTTGATATATGGCAGTAAGAAGGCGGCCTCTGACTCAACTGTGCGAGTTTGTTGGGTCGAGACAGTCTGGCTGGAATAGCCTTGCTTGTAATTTCCCGCTTGGCTAGTACTCGTCATCGCTGTTCTGGAAAGTAATCAAGAGTCAGCATATCCTTCCACTGTAAAGCCGCAAAAACCTAGTGAACGTTCTACTGCATAGATTGTGGAAGCGAATAACGCATGGGTTTGCCAGATATGATGTGGTGGGGGAAGGAAGAAGATCTAGCCACGAGAATCATGGAGATATAAACGTGTGAGCTATGCGAGTCATACAGTGAACTGTACCTTGACAAGGCTTCAATTCTGGGCCATTGAAGTGTGTACTTGGTGTGAGACAAGACTTTCAATGAGGGGCAATTTATTGATTGTAAGCTGACAAGGATGCCGGTCCCGCGATTCCATACTGTGGACGGTGTATTCACAGCGGCTTGACCGGGCCGAGACCGGCATTCCTAAGAAGAAACATATCCGTTTATCTCTGAAATCAAATCGCCCTGCGATATGGGCTCAAAATCATTTTTGGAACTTGATCGCTTTGGGGTGCGGGCATAATGGAACGGGATTAATTTATACCTCTCCGCTTTTTAACAATGTGACGCAACCATCCGCTAAGGCCCAACCAGATTCCTGCCCATACAAGGTGGGTAACTTATTCTTTTGACATCAGCGAATTTTTTCTTCCTCTACTCGTCTGTGAAATTCCAGATCTCGTTCCTAAACGGTAATAGTTGGGATATGGGGTTGACAGATAGCAGTGCTAAAGCGGTGGTGAAATTCAACCAGGCTGCGTCGTTCACCTTCTTGAGCGCACTAAACGCCTTCGTTAAAAAGGCATAATCTAATTCTGAGAAGTACCTCGGGTCATAGAATATTTTGAATTAATAGGAAGAAAATGATGGAAAACAAACATGGAACTTAAGAGGGCATCAGGGGCTCTCAATATGACCCCTGTACAATCCACATTAACCATTCATCCACCTATGTGGTACTCCACGCCAGCAGCATGTGCTAACCTCTCACTGGATCCCACTCAAGCCATCTAGCCAGGGCCACTTTGCCCCCACTAGTCAAAAAAGCCACTGCGGGGCTAAAAGGCAAATGAAATCATAAGTTCGCCACATGAATGCATAAATATAGAGAAAGCTAGGAAGAACATTTCTTGCATCAAGAATACGAATTAACGATATTTGCATCGAACGAGACGCAGCAAAGCCTTTGTATTTTAAACTATTTGAAGCCACAAGTTATTCCAGCCACAAGTTATTCCAACATGGCCGACTCTTATACCAGTTCTTCCTATTACTACAGCTCCAGTTCTTCGACCAGCACGGGCGAAGGCACAGCCACTGCTACCGGGCACCGATACTCTACTTCCTCGCACACTGATCCTGATGGAACGACTGTCGTACGTACGGCGCACCAAGACCTGGGAGAGGCTCCGGTCATTGAGGAGCGGCGCTATGATAGTACAGGCCAGGAACAGTTAGCTCTCCCTGGTCCGGCGGGGTCGTCTGCTGGTGGTGTGAGACGCATTACGGATCTTGATGAGTAGCATAGGCTTTGGGTACCTTTGTACATGTACTTTGAATGTTAAGAACTGTTTGAAGCCCAACTATATATTTCCAACTTGACATACTGTACTATTCTCTCACGCCTAGTCTGCTTAAATACGTAATCACCAAGGCCTCCAGAACAAAATCTTGGAAATGTAGAGAAACACTATACAAATCTAGGCCTCCTACCTTTCCACTACACCGCCGGTCACGTTGCATGATGTCTTTAATCCTGATAAGGCGGTCAATGGGTTCATGGTTATTATTAGTTATGGTGTCGACAGTCCTGATTTGCCGATACAATACCACACAACCTGCTTCCAATGGAACTCAATATGATTCGACTATTTTCACCTGGGCCGGTGACTTGTAAATGTCCACGTATACTAGCTGTTGTAGAAGAAGAAAGACATAGGCGACCCGCCAAGACAATCCAGCGGGCCCAATCAAATTAGACACTGCCAGCTTATTGAGGCATGAAATTTATCGAGCGCTACAAGGAACTGAAAATGGAAAATGCCCCCAGATGTTACGTATGTGCATAACTGGGCAGTGACCTGAGCTCGTATGGACTGAAAAGGCTGGGTAATGATTGTTGATTATTGGTGCACAATTTTGGAAGCTGGAGCTCAGGCGTCCCAAACTCATAACGAAAAACTCGAAAAACCGTCCAGATAGAAGTATAAATGTATCTTCAGAGCGCAGATATTCGATTCAGTTCATCAAGAAAATTCACTTCACACCCATCACATTTGAAGCTCGCCTGCAATCTCAGAATAAACATCATTTACCCTGGGGCCATCAACAACCATGAAGCTTTCTACCTTCGCTCCCTTGGCTCTCAGCCTGGCATCCTCAGCATTTGCATGGATCGTGATCGACTACGCCGAGGTGACGGACTGCAACATCATCAATACGGACGCATACTTCCGGGAATACGACGGGACTGATTCCAACGCATGCCACAACTTTGGCGCTGGAGAGTCCGGCTCTACTTGTTCTCAGCATAGCGGGCTAGGCGATGTAGCTAGCTGCACGGACGATCTGGTTGTTTCTGGGAGTGTCCTTGTTCGAGACTCGTCCCAGTGCGAGTTCTTCACCGCCAGTGACTGTGCAGGATCTTCTCGTATTGTTGCAGATGGATATTGTGTGCCTGGGGCATACTCTTCTTTCTCTTGCGTAAGTGAATTGATACTTCAGTGAGAGTATGAATTGATGAGCTGATTTTACATGTAGCCGGAAATTTAAGCTCTTAGTAAGAACTAGGAATAGGCAACTTGTGGAGATTCGAAGTTGCTTTGGAAGCTGACTGGGTGTCCGGGTAGTGGAAGGAATGTTTACGTTGCTGGCTCTGATTTAGTTCAATTTGGAAATGCCTGGGCATGTCTAGTGGTAAATACTCGACTGACAAATGATTGCTTGCATCCATGGATCCAGAGATCAGTTGCTTGTAAATACATGTGTAGGCACGTGACCATGTAGTGACGTTTTGGTGTGGCAAGTTGTATTACATAATATACGCTAAACTACTTTCGGAATGATGGTCTAAATGAGAATTGGGCGGTTGGGAGGAAGAAGGGCTCTAATAAGAAGAAATCTTGCATTTTATTCAAAGAGCAGTCTCGCAGAGTAGTGCTAGAGACACAAATAAAGCAAGAAGCAGTCTAGAGGTGACGTTGGACCCGGAATCTGGGGATCGGCCGCCCCTCACCGGTAGGACCGAACGAGGTTTTAGCGTGGGTTAAGCGAGCGACCGGAATCGGCGAGGAAACACTCACCGGTTCATTCTCTAGCGTGTAGGACCCAAATCGCTCTCACTCAATCTATCTGCGCATCACTAGAACGCGGAGGCCCGTTCCCCATAGCGCGATATATAAACTCATCTAAAATAAACCTACCTAGACAGGCTTTTGCGCTTCTCCTTTCCTTTCCCAGGTCCGCATCCACCCCCTATCTCCGTCAGTTCCGTCCCGCACCATGCCCGCTGAGGCCTTTAAACTGCGGACCTTAGGATCCTATATCGGACTTAGTCCAACGGGACTGGGCTGATCCTAAGCCCGGACCTCGTGCAATTCTTGTCCCGGCTTAGAAATGCCTCACGCTGGTTATTACGTGCTCTCGGACGCTATTCCCGCTTAAATTACATTTGAAAAATCTGCTCGGAATTGCGATTTTTTCCTCCCAAGCCAACTAGCTAAATCGACGAGCATAATTTCTATTCATTTTGAACTCGAAAGTCTTCTCTTTTTTGACACTCGGACGAGACCCGGACTTTGTGAAAGTTGCAAACTTTCCCCTCTCTTTCTCCGTTCGCATCCGGAGAGAACAACGCCTCTCGGGGAAACACTATTTTTTTCTTTGGAAACACGCCACTCATTCATTACCCCTCCCTGGGGACCTTGTTCCTGGGTCATTTTGCTAGATCAACATTCATTCTTTGAACATATTTCTCTTGAAAATAGAGACAAATTCTCAGAGACCTTGCTGGTTTAGTCTCTGTTGCGTGACCTCGGACCACGTCTCAAGCCGGAGATCTACGGGAGTCAACCCGCATGGACATTGCCTGAGTTCAGGCTACAGATCCACACGTGCTCCTCTTCCAATCCTGTATAGCTTCTTCCTTTCATTTCATTTCCCATCATAATGTTGCCCCCGGTACCTTCGCCGCTGGACTACGGCATCTCTCCGGAGAATGGCTTCTTGTCACCAGAGCCTCCGCTGGAAGTTCTGCCAGATGCATACTATGCCAAGTGGGAGGCGATTGCTGCAAACTTGCAGCCTTTGCTCCTCAGTAAAAGAGTCCGGGGTATCGTGGACAGATTACCTTTGCTTTCAACCGAGTACCTGCGTACAGATGCCGAGTGGCGTCGGGCATATGTCGTCCTGGTATTTATCTTGCACGGCTATGTATGGGGTGGTGACCGTCCTGCCGAGGTAAGCACTCCTTCCCATTTACCAGCAACAACATTCAATCCTAACAACCACCAACAGAAAATCCCTCCTCAGTTGACCGTGCCCCTGTTCAAGGTCTGTGACCGACTTGAAGTTCCCCCAGTAGCCACATACGCCGGCGTATGCCTATGGAACTACAAGCCCATTTTCCCGGACGAGCCCACCGATGACCTTGACAACCTCGCCTGTCTGCAGACTTTCACCGGATCCCTAGATGAACAATGGTTTTACCTCATCTCGGTAGCCATCGAAGCCCGCGGTGCCCCCTCAATCCCTCTCATGCTGCAAGCTATTGCCGCAGCTCGACGCGGCGAAGCCCGCGTAGTAACTGAGTGCCTGCAGCGGCTTGCTGAAATTATAGATGAGGTCAACTCTCTCTTGCAACGCATGTACGACAACTGCGACCCATACATCTTTTACAACCGCATTCGCCCCTACCTCGCCGGTAGCAAGAACATGGCCGACGCAGGCCTACCAAACGGCCTACTGTATGACGATGGTAAAAATGAACCCAAGTACAGACAATACGGCGGCGGCAGTAACGCCCAGAGCTCTCTGATTCAGTTCTTCGATATCGTGCTGGGCGTGGAGCACCGGCCAACAGGCGTGTCTCGCCCAGAACAACGCGATAACACGTCTGAAGATAGCCCCAAGTCCCGGAACGGCTTTATCCATGAGATGCGCGCCTATATGCCCGGCCCGCACAGACGGTTCCTGGAGCATGTCGATACAATCGCCAATATCCGGTCCTTCGTTGAAGCTCGACGTACAGACCCTGCTCTACGGCTGGCGTACGATGCCTGCCTAGGCATGCTGCGTGCAATGCGTGACAAGCACATTCAAATCGTGTCCCGCTATGTCATTCTCCAGGCGCGCGGAGCCCGTCGCGAGTCACAGGCCGCTAAGCCCAGCCAGCCTGCACCCCAGAATCTGGCTACTGCCGCCCCGGCCGATAGCAAGAAGCTACGAGGAACGGGTGGTACAGCACTCATTCCGTTCCTTAAGCAGGCACGTGACGAGACCGGTGAACCGGCCATCGATGCATGGGCACGACGACTTCTCAGCAATGGACCTGCGGTTGTGGGCTCGGCTGCACTGAGTAAAGTCGGTGAGCATCCTGATGGGCATCTTGAGGTTGTTGGCCTCTGCGGTTCATGGACGGCGGACGATAGTGAAGGTGGAATCTGCCACTGGTGATCAAAATTATTTTCTACTTACTGATTTATGAGCGTTCATATCTGCATTGGATCTCCATGTTCATTCCTGCGTATGGCAGTGACTAGCGGGTTATTAGGCGTTTATATTGTTATCTTATCTTCTGGGTCCTCATCTCAACATTCCCGACCCTTGTCATTCTTAGCATCTAGATTCTAGATTACATTATCTTGTGACGGTTATGGCACAATTCAGACATGATTATTGCTCTACTCAGAAAATAAATCCCTTGTTATTCCATAACTTTTGTGCAAACGAGTAAAAGTGAGTAGCTTATAGTGAACCGTCAATACCTCAATTGAATAGGTTCAAGGTTTCGATGAATGCAAATCTATGAACACAATGCTGGACCTCATGTTTGGATACACGAGCACGTCTGTTTGGGGTCAGATGTCATCATTTCTCTGGTGGGCACACTGCCACTGTCCAGTCTCTTCAGTTATGTGACCAAGCTATCTCTGAGGGTCCTCGGAGCAGTGTCTTATGCTCGTTCTTTTAGACCTTCGCCGTGGCCTTCTGATAAGTGATTCCAGTAGCCCTGCAACATGTTGCCGCTCTTTTACCATGCAAATTTGGCTTTGGAATGTCGCCGAGTTGATCAAGGGTGGAACCACTCCAATTACGCAATGGGGTACTGTTTGATCTCCATATAGATTCGAGAATATGGATAGGCTGGATTAAGAGTCCCACCTGGTGGTGCACGCCAACTTTGATGATGTGAGTCAAGGCACTATTGCTGACATCAGGATGGTTACTCTGAAACCTATGGTTGTTGAGACATATTAGGATTTTTCACATTTTGGCCGAGTTATTATTCGTGATTTGGGGCAGAAATTGGGAAGTGTGTCACTGGATCTGTGAAAAAGTCATAGTATACTATGTACTTGATAATTTGATATGTACTTAAGTAATTTGTTCTAACACCTATGCTATACTATTTGAATTTCAGATATCTGAATGACTAAGAAACAATTTCAGACTTACTCTATCAGCTACCTAGTACAGGTAAGTCAATATTGCGATAACGCAGGCGGACTAGGCAACAGAAATAGATCAGGATTCATATGCAAAGCGCAGCTCTATACCTTATCAAGACTCAAGAGTCAAGACTGACCTGTAAAGAATCAGAGGACTGAAATATGATATCAGTTTCATCATCGACATCCAGTCACAATCTCTAAGCTTCGCACAATTGTATTCTGGATGGCTCCATTGTAGTCTGTGGAACCTTCTTTGTCCCGTGCCTGGCGCTTTATGACGCATTTTCCTCTTTGGTGGTGTGTGGGATGTCACGTGAATGACATCAGTGGGTGACGTCATCTATCACGGAGTTGATGAGTTACGTAGTGGCTGATTGATGCCAAGAAAAGTAGAGTAGCTGGAAGCACTATATAAAGAAAGGAAACACCGAGAGAGTTTGGTTCATCAACAAAAACAAACAAACAACAACACACAAACACAACTACTTTCACACAACTTTCTTCCACAACTCTTCCATCAACTTCATCACAATCAACCACAATGTCTGACAACAACAACTCTTCTACCATCGGCTCCTACGTGAACCAGGCCACCGGTGCCGCCCAGCGCGCCATGGGCTCCATCACTGGCAACTCCTCCACTCAGGTAAATTAATTTCCCTCAACTGCTCCCCATCAAAACATCAACTAACAACCCCTAGGCCAAAGGCGAACTAGCCCAAGAGCAGGGCAAGGAGCAACACGAGAACTCCCACACAACAGCCAAGCTAGGCCCCGTTACTGCCGACCCCCACACTGGCGCAACAGCCACCGACGACCCCAACCGCGCCAACGGTTCCTGGGACCAGACTGTCGGCTCAGCCAAGGAGTCTCTGGGTAACATGATCGGCAACGAGAGCCTGCGCCGGGCTGGTGTTGAGCAGAACGCCGCCGGCAAGGAGCAGGAGGCTAAGGGACAGCTTAAGGACTGGGGCGAGGGCATGCAGAACCGCGCCCAGGGTGCTGTTGGTGGCGTTGCTGCTGCTGTTACTGGTGATCGGGCCGACGAGAAGAAGTACCAGGATATGCACGATGAGGGCAAGGTCAGACAGCGCGGAGCTGAGGCTGATATGTCCAAGCGTCAGGGTCTTTAAGTTACCTACTTTCCTCTTGCCTAAACTGAAGGGTTGAGTCCAGTTGAGCCGAGGCTTGACTTGACTTGATCTCAGGGTTTTGCTTCTGCAGACTGGCCTGTATTATTCCGGCTCCTTTAGCCTTTACGATTTTTATGATTCAAGATATCCAATTTGATATTGATTTTACTTGATTTTGTTCATTCCAAGTATGAGGGTAGTAGAGCATTAGTAGATTGCTTTGTTGTTATACATGGGTTTTGTATATTCTTCTCGCTCCTGCAGCCCTACTGGATCGACTGCCGATCAAATACAAATCAGCACTGGCGCAACTTTTGACAGCGTTTTAAAGTTGATCTTCAAAAAATATAACTGTTGCTAGAATTTGGGCTCTGGGGGAATCTTCACCAAGCCACTATGAAAGTCCTTGAAGAGCAAGACACGCCGACATGGTGACGCGGGGGCCAGCGAGAATCTGCAAATTAACCTCGTAGCCCAGTATGAAGTATCCTTCTTCAAAGTCGTAGGCCTTGGGGTTGATTGGGGTTGATATTTGTCATTAGATATGGACGCACATCCCTTCTATTTTTCAATACTATTATGCTAGGTCATGTGCGTAAGCTAATCGTCTCTACCACACATATCCACTGATCTTGATTGTTCGATGTTTTCAATTCAAACCCCCGATCGTTTTCAAGATGTGTAAAACCGTTGATTTCGTATGCTATCGTTAATTACAAAAATACCATTTCATTTCTTAAAGTGAGCCAAGAAGAGATCCAAGTAGTTTCGAGACATCCTCAATAAGCTATACGGATATTAGTCGGTTGTCCAACAGAAAACAGTAGACGTAGTCACATACCGGTGTAGCATCCCCGATCAAAGTAGTAGTGTTATCCACGAAGTCCTTAGTCAACAACGAGCCAGCGTTGGTCAAGATAGTCTGTAGTGTGTTGGTATTGTCATCCGAAAGAACCTTAGCGGCGTTGGTGATGATAGTTTGGAGGTTGCTAATATTCTCGTCGCTGAGTAGGCCTTCGAGGTCGGAAAGTGTGCTGAGGAGGCCGGTACTGGCAGGAGCAGGAGCCGCGACGGGGTTGGGCTCTGGGGCAGCGACAGCCAGAGCCACGGGAGCCGCAAGGAGAGGGAGGAAGATGTGTGTGAACCGCATTTTGCTCTTATAAGAAATTTGTTCAAGATTCTGGTAGATCAGCACAGCTGGAAGCTTTGGAAGGAGAAAGAAAAATAGATGTTGATGTTCTACGAAATAAGAAGAAAAGAAAGCCTAGTCATAGACAGGAATAAAAAGCAACCTCCAAGACTTGACCGAACGTATACATGGATACAATCCACCCCACATGCACTCTAGACCACTTGAGCATGTCTTAGATTGGATTTTCCTATCGGAGGCGAGGCCAAGCAAAGTATAACAGAGCAAAAAGACAGGACGAAATTCCCCGAGACTCCAACCAGGCCAATGCGCATCGAGGGATTCACCACAGCTACTAAGGCTCAAGCCGGATTAGCATCGGATCTCTCCGTCAAGAAGTCAAACACAGAATAGGATCAATGGCCGAGGTCGATCGAACCGACACCGAAAAACGGGCTGCCATGTGAAGGCTCTATTACGACAAAGCACCACGAACCGAACCTAGAATCTACTACAAATCCAACAGTTACTACTCAATTGGGTCTAGCACCAAATGTAACCCAGACTCTCACTCATTTCCCGCAGTACGAGCTCAGCTAGTTGCATCCCCGCATCCAAGTTCTCACCCCAGACTACCGGCGTAGGGAAAGGATCAACAAATAAGGGCGATCAGACCCCCTTTAAGTGGAGCTGTTGACACTAGTGGAATGCTAACCCCTCTTCGGACCGAGTGCCCATGTGATCTCCACTCCACGGAGCACGAGTTGGCTTCGGTAGGGATCGGCACGAGGTGATACTATCGTGAATTCCAATCCAGTAGAGAATTAGTTATTAAATACAATCCACAATGATCCAGATTTGATTCTCGATATTAAAAACCTGCAGGATGATGTTTGTAGTTACAAGTATGGGACGCCGAGGAATCGGAATAAGCATGTGCGTTCCCACAAAAAGGGGTTGCGCCACCAATGGTTCGGCGGTTTCTGTCCCTGGAACCAGGTACGAGAACCAGAGAGCCACACCAGAGGTCAACAGAAGAAATTGGTTGATGTCATGCACCTCATCACTTCGTCTATGCACGTAAATACAATGGACTCGTGGGTCCCGTATCATGCTAGATAAGAAAACCCACGAGATACATCAAAAGCAAAATAAATCAAAGATTCCAGCTCGTCAAAGTATGCACGGTGATCATGCATCCCAGCTGCAGGACCGGCAGCCACTTTCCCAAAAGATCATAGTGACAATCCCCGCATTAGCTCGCCCCACAGTCTCACAACGCTATGACCAACCCAATAACACTCAACCCGATCATCACGGTAAATACCGTCGGCCGCGCTGCCACACCACTAGATGTAGAAGTTGACGTAGTCGCCGAGCCGGTCGATGTTGCCGTCGCTGCCGTAGCACCAGCTCCAGTGGTAGCCGTAGTCTGGTATCCCAGCCCAGTAGTAGCAGTCAAAGCGCCATCCTTAATCTGTAATCGGACAACAGACATGTAGCTCTTCACGTCAACAGGGAGACTGGAGTACCAAGCTGGTGTAGTTCCAGCCTTGAATTGACTAGCGAGGGAACTGCGGGATTGCGCGTCGATTAATTCTCCGACTACTGTTAGGGGAACGACCGAAAGGATCTCGGGGATGAGCGCTTTGGGTGGTGGAGAGATGTTTGCGAAATTCCCTGTTGTTGTTGCGCTTGCGAGGTTGGCTCTGGAATCAGCATTGTTAGTTGTGCATCAATTAATCTAGAGTCGAGTTCTAGGGACTAACAAGGCACTGGATAAGGATGCAAGGTTGAAGCCATCCTCTGTTGTTGCTGGGACGGTGGTTGCATCTCGCTTCTGTGGTTCAGCCCAGGCTGTTGCCGTTAGGAAGAATAAGACTGTGTTCAATTTCATATTGAATTGTACAGATGTGAATTATGGTGGTCTTGGTGGTCTTGGATCGCAGCTGGGAGCAGAAGACTATATCAAATGCTTGACCCCTCTTGGCCCATCTGTACGGAATGTCTTACGATTGGGTCTCCATGTTCCAACCATGGAAAGTATACTGAAGTAGGTGATTCACCTGTACTGAGAACTGACCTATAGGCGCTTGCATGCAAGCAGGTTTTCTAGACCGGTCGGTTGCATCTGTTCCGAGGCTCACTTACATGACCTAGACACCCCATGTCAGATGTCACGACTGTGAATGCGGGGCTCAAGAAGTCTATGCATTTCCTTTCAACTTGAAAATGCCCATTCCTGTGAGAAAGCGTCAAATTTTCACCAACGTTGATATACCTGTGATCGCCTGTCGATCTCGATGATAGAGACAAGATTTGATCTAAAATTGATCTTCCATCGTTTAGTGAAATAACCTAAAGGACGAAAAATCAAGTAAGAGTGGGCCTGCGCGACTCTAACTCTTGCATATGAAACGTAAACTTGAAAACGTGAACACCGAGGACGAACTGAGATCTGAATCCAGGGCGATGAAAGTTTGCTTCGAGGTTGATTTGGTCTAAAAGCACAAAGTCTTCATACTAAGAGTTCTCGAGAAAAGAAGGACTGATCGTAGCACGTAGCGTATATTAAAGAAAGGGTATATACAAAAGAAATTAAAACATAACCATCACCTAGACCACGTTCAACTTCTCACGCAGACGATCCTGGTAGTATCGCAGCGGATAAGCCCGCATCTTATTAGGCATAGCAGGGTAAACAGCCACCGAGAATCCCATCCAAGTACGGTAGAGCAATCTCGTTCCAGCAGTAGATTTCAACCCATATGCATCCCGCAACTTCGGCGGCAACATCTCAATAGTAACCACCCGCAAGAAAGGCTTAATGCGCTGCACCCACTTAGGCATATCCTTACTCTCATGCAACTCCTTCGCAAACTTGGCAGCATCATCTGAAACAGTCAACCGTCCAACCTGGTCATCCCAGAAAGACCAAAAAGCCTGTCGAGACTCCGGCCAAGTACCCGCAGGCATACCGAGACAGTTCATCAGCATAGTAAACTCGGCATATCCGCGCTGAGCAGTGTCGTAGTCAACGCGACCATACACGCGCTGATAGAAGTCTGTTGCGGTTGCATAGAGTGTTGCAGCCATCCAGCGTTGCAGGGATGGGTGGTGGGCGAAACGGTTGTTATGTCCGCCGCCTAGACCGGGTGCTTCACCTCGTTGAAGTAGGTTCAGCAGGGTCTTGCGCTCTGCGTTTGTGCCGAACACTAAGATTGAAATGTAGCTTAGGTGGGCTTGAAGAGCGTCGAGAAGTTCTGTTGCAAGGTCTTTGGAACTTTCTTTGATTTCTTCTTCGCGGATTGCTGGCATGGCTGCTTGGAGGAGTAGTGCGGCTCCGGAGCCGGCAAATAAGATACCCTCGTTAAGGATTTGAGGGAGAATTTCTAGTTGTTCCAGGGCGTGCAAGCGACCGGAGTCTGTAGTCGGGTTGGGACCTTCATTCTCCAGTTGGAACTCATGTAGAGCTCCGGGCTTTTCGTCGTCCAACGGAGATGGTGGTGAAGAGGCACGCGACATTATTGATTTTTGGATATAGAAGTGTTGGTAATGATAAGTTTTATTCAAGGATTAATCTAGGCAGACATTTTGAATAAAAGACACAAGCCCTCCCCGCATAATGAAAATACCCACTAAAACCATAAGTGAGGGCGCCGTCATCAATAGTGGGCTCGGCCCATGTGAACCCCCTTTTTTGCGAGTTAGTGCGCCACTACGCCAAAAATACGAAAGGCCGCGGTTCGCAGTAGATCACCATCTCCTCCGCTGATCCCTGCTCTATCCAGCTGCGTGTGCTCGTGAATCCTATCTCAGACAGGGAATGGTGCTCCGACGCACCGTGACCTTAATCCACTTTTTTTTGTTTTTTGGGTTTATTTTTTTTTTTTTCAAAGTCCCTCGTCTCCACCCAGATCCTCACTGGGTCAGGCCGAACAATGGAACGTCCGGGGGGTCTCCATACGGAGGCGACAGGGAAAATTGAAAGGGCTTATTTCGCTTGTTCTCCATAGGTCATCAGGCGATCCCCGGTTTCTTCTTTCGCCCGGACCGTCTCGATACATATAGGCGACCGCGTCCCGCTTCTAGTCCCTTCCCCACGGAGAGCGACAGTCACAAAGGCCCCCAGAACTCATTCCTACAGCCGTCACAATGGGAAAGACAATTGACGACCGGCCAGCCTACTTGAGCTCCGATGACGCCAAATACTCCCTTGGTGTTCATCGTGGGCCACTGGCCACCGCGGTCGACGACCCTAAGCTGGAGAAAGTCGAGACGGCCGGTGGCCTCTCGCTGGCTACCACTCAAACGCGAAAAGCAAAGTTCGCGCGCCATTGGAAGCGATTCTGGTGCTGCTACCTGATTGGAAATGTCATTTTCCTGGCTATTTTCTTACCGGTCTTGTAAGTTTGCGCTATAGATTACTGCCTACCATTGAATTGCGCGCTAATGTGATTGGCCCCAAAATAGCTTCCTGGTCGCTATTCCAGCCATCTCACAGCTTGTCGTTGACAAGTCGGACTTGGTACTGGTCAGTGCGGCCGTTATGCAGCCTCAGCCGAACACCATGCAGCTTACTTTGCTATCGGCGCTGGATTTGAAAATCGCGCTGCCCGTTCGGATTGACCCTATTACTTTGAATTTGTTTGTTCGCGATAATGGCGCAGCCAATCCTTGGGGTCAGGCCAACTTGACCGGCATGACCATTCGTGGAAATTCCACATTGGGTGTGACTGACAAGTATACACCGATCCTGAATTCGACTACCTGGACCGATTATGTTCGAGACGTTGTTTTCCAAAAGGAGACTGCACTGTCAGTCAAGGGCACGACCGATTCATTTCTGGGCGTGTTGAAGTCGAAGGTTACCATGAACAAGGATGTGGTATCTCCGAGTAAGCTTACCTTAGCTCCTGCCACAAACCGAATGGTCTGAAACAGCATGCTAATAATGACTGCAGCACTTGACAAATTCGCTGGCTTCAGCATCACCGATACCTCGCTTGTTCCCACCCGCAGCGATGGCACTAATCTCGTTGGAAACGTCACCCTGCCAAATCCATCCATCTTGACTCTTGAGATTGGCACCATCGTACTCGACGTCAAGAGCGGCGATTTGCTGATCGGTAATGCGACTGTCGAGAATTTAACCCTCAAACCCGGAAACCATGCGAACCCCATGACCGGCATTCTGGATCTCGGGGTCATCCTCAAGAACATCGGAACCGTCCTGAAGGATCAGGCCTCATCCATAAAAAATGGCAGCCTCAGTCTCACTTCTACCACCCGTGAGGTAACCTACAATGGTACTCGCGTCCCATACTACTCTGAGGTCATGTCCGAACTCCCTCTCACAGCGGACGTTTCCATCGGTGCTACCTTGAAAAACACTATCAAAAGCTTCCTCGGTAGTGGCTCCGGCATGAACCTCACCGAGATCATCGCCAACCTCAAGAACCATACCTCCACTACGAGCGGTAGTGACCTCCTCGCAGACCTGAAGGAAGGCCTCCAGTCCCTCGAAAGCAGGGACTTCGTTGCCGACGAGGAAATTGACGATGGCGCAGACACCGCCAAATCCCTCGCCAAGGCTTTGAAGCGGAATATCCACGTCCGCGATATTTTCCAAGATGAACATTCCATCAAGCGCGACGCGATGATCGACTCGTTAGTCGGATGGCTTGGTAATCAACAGTGAGAAATTTTCTAGACATAGAACTGTTTAGAAGCTTAGAGCTTAGAGCTTAGACTAGACATTTGTCTTTCGTGCAGTTCTGTTTGACTCTTCCGTTTATACGGCGTTTTTCTTTTCTTCTAGAAGATGCCGCCACGTCCCGCGACGTTGACGCAGACATGATTTGATTTTTGATTTTTTGATGTTTTGTTTTTGATTTTGATTCCCCGGACTTGATGGACAATTCACGGATGAATGGAGTTACGGCCTCGGCTATGTATATCGATTGATGTGCTTCACTGTCGATATGAATAATTAATATGATGAATACCCACTTGAACTTCCTCAGCAACTTAATAAGACCAAGATTAATTCGACCAATGACTCATATCCTGTCGATCTTCATTAGCTGATCTTCCTTGAGTTACATCAACGGACACCAACTTTCTCCCGACACTTTAACCGAGCCGCCTCGTGACGACACAATATCGAACGCGCCGATCATCAGGCTCGCCAAATCATGGCCAAGAAACTCGGTAGCTAACGATATCTAATCTGGAATATGCAGCCGAGAAACTCAATCGTATCGATCGCATAGCCTCCCCGGGACTCATGTGATAAACTCTGTCCGGTTGTTACATCACCCCACAAGAGCCGTTAGCGATCATGTCCGAAGGTGGAACAACTATGGACCTTGGGTGAAGTTTATGAAACTAGAATTCATTTCAATCGTTTCGAATTTCAATTCTCTTTTTACGCTATAAATATTTCATTACTTGATAAAATGATGTATACGTAGTCTCTGGCTGTGGAATGTGCACTTGAATCATGGGATCAGCTTTGGGGTAGTCAAAGATGCACTGAATTACTCAGTTTATGAAACAGTTTCAAGAAGTCACCAGTCTGTGTTCGAGTTCAATGGCTGCACTCCAAAATGCTGACACATTTCCTCCAGCCCCTGCTGGAGAAACCCCAAGTGGCTGCATATATCTAGCCCTTTTCCCTTGATAAAGTGGTTGATTTGGAGATTCTCATTAGCAAGATCGATACCAAAGATCTCTGCCATAAGTGAGTGATACTCACGCACAGCAACAGAGTCCAGCTCGAAAAATCGCGCGGCTTTCAGTATCACGAGGATAAGGTAAAGCCTGGTGCAAGCAGCCATTGCATCAATATCCTTGCTCGCTTCATCCACTGACATAGCTTTAAGTTAGTGTCTGGCAGCATTGTGAGTCATAGTGCTGTGTTCTCACTTTCTGATAATTCCTTCAATTCTTTGCCTTTCTCCATGGACCTTTTCCCACAATAGACAAGCGCCGCGCCGGCGCCTATCGCAAGTGGCCAAGCAAAAGCCACAAGTGAAACACATGCCACTCCTGACATAATTCCCCAAGTCTGGTAACGGCCCTTTTCTTCGTATATTTCGTTCATAACGACCCCTAGAGCTCCACGGAAAGGCACAAGGCATGCTTTGACCTGAACAAGAGCTTTTGATAGCTGTTTTATCTCACTGTCGGGAAGGCAGCCGTCATCTGCGTATCAACAGCACAGAATTCAGTTGAAATACGAGTAGTAGCTCCCCAAGAGGACTTCATCTTACCTATCATCCGAAGAATAACTTCAAACTCTTTCCCTGATGTCAGGACAGGCTTGAATGACCATTGGATAAGCTGAATCTTCTCTCGAATGTCGAACTTCCTCAGAGCTTCTTTGCAAGACTTCAGGTACCTCAGTCAGAATTGGATCCCTAGTCTTCAACCAAGTAAGAGCTCGGACAGTACTACCTTCATGTCCTTTTCGGATTTATTCCTGCAAGCCTCGAGCATTTTAAGGAGCAGTTCCCCCAGTGATTGCATCAAGGGTTTATCAAAGAGTCCACTGAGCTTAAGAATATTCAGGATTTCCTCATTTGTCAAAAACTCTGAAAAGTTACTGTATCCATCTGAAAAAGCTCCAAGCGCCTCGAAAACATACTTCCTACTTGATGGTCATCAAAAGATAATGTCGTACAGTCGTAATTTTGACTCACATCCAGTCATTTTCCGAACTCCTCCAGTCATCACCTCTAGGTTGATGCTGTCCGTTGTAGAATTCCTTCAGATGCATCAATAAGAGGCTACTGCCGAATGCCTTGTCCACTTTATTTATATGCCCTCGCACATGCGCCGGAAGTATTCGAAAGGTAAGTCCATCAACTCGGTGTATACCGACTGATTTGGCGGAGAGCACTCGGAGAGCAAGCTCCCGAAGTGGACTCTCGTGCGGAATACTACTGTTATGGAGGACTACCTATAGATGAATGTCCCGTTAGAACCGTCTTCTACCCGAGTACAGGCATCCCTGTTTGACTAACCTGGAAAGCATTCCTGGCAGGACCGTTATGCCGGTTAAGCTTCACTGCATAAGTGAACGACCACTCGCTTTCGCCCTCTCCAAACTGCTCTTTTAGGAACGCATCGATGACTGCAGCAGTCGGTGTGAATTCCGCGTGTTGACTGATGAAGGTGGTGTTCACCGTCAATGGCGCTAGATATGGCTCCAAGAATAGACCGTACAATATCGTGAGCAGACTAGATAAGCTGAAGTTGCCTGTACTGGTAAAAACAGCACCGAAGGTAACCAAAGCATCCATCTTGGATGTATGTCTCTGATGAGGGTCGTGGGAAATTGGACGCTGGTCAAAAGAAGACAGCCGGTAGACTCGGCAGCAGGGTTTGTGGAGGGGCACCTGGGCAGCAGGCTCGAAGATTTTCGATTATCCACCCCCCTAAAAGCCCCCACCGGTGAGCAGGTACCTAGTATGCGGCTGGTACTCCAGGGCTGAGAGTCACGGGATGAGAACTCCTCACCTCATGATCTGTGACCAATCGCTAGCAACGATGGAGAATGCCACAACCAATTCATCGATTCGCACACTAAGTCCGGATCGGCCCGACCCAGTAAAAACTAATTCTTGGTAGGTTATACCAAGGTTGGTCATTGTCGCGTCCTTATTATTCAAGGTTGCGAATAAATATATGAGAAACATAGTTCATTATGGTTGTACCCACGCTTTGTTTAGCATTATATATTGATATTCGATAGGTTTTAGGTAAAAGATCACGCGTATTTTGGATAGAACGCAATCAATTAAGAATATAACCTCTAGTCGTAAGATTCGGAGTTGTTTTTCCAGACACCAAGTGTAAGGAATGAGGAGTCAGATTGACTTAGTTTCGAAAATTACTATAGAGCGGGACAGGTATATGGTTGCCGTTTCTTATGGGTCCCTCAAGGTTCTTGCCCAATTTTGCAACATGCTCTAAGTATTTATTGAAAGCGAGAGATAACTCAGATTGTCCATCGCCATTTTCCATCCGCGATGTACTCGTGTTTGAACAGGCAACTCTAGCAAAAGGCAATCCATTAGATCGGCACAACAATCTTAGTGCCACTAACACCACTCTTAAGCTTGTCCAGAGCTGCGTGCACTCCGCCCAGACCACCGCCCTCGACCTGGATAGTGGGACTGGGTATTACTTCACCAGACTGCAGACCAGCCTTCAGCCATCCATGGAAGACATCTTTGATGTGCTCTCCTCTCGCAGCTTCGTCCATAGGTGGTGAATTGAACGTGATCTGGGTGTTCTCAAGGGTAGGGTGACCTTCTGGGAGAAGGCGCGAGTGTGCAACCTTAGCGTGTGCATCGCCTTTGGTCTCCCTGAGGATATCTAGTGTTGGCTGCAGAGCTCCATCAACAACGCAGTGTGCACTGTGCAGCTTGACGCCATCGTTCTTCACAGCGCTGACGATCTGGGAGACGACGTCGCTTTCCTTGTAATCGAAAACCGCATGCGCTCCCAGCTTCTTGATAAGGTCATGGTGCTTCGGACTGGCAGTGGCGTAGACAGTATAGCCGAGCGTCTTAGCCGATTGAACGGCGAGAGTACCTACACTGCTAGATGCGCCCCAGATCAAGACTGCTTGATTGTCTGCAGGAGTGTATCTAGTATCGAGCGGAATGCCGATTGTGGTCCAGGCAGTCAAGGCTGTCAAGACGGCCATGGGTAAGATCGCACCTTCCTCGAAAGACAGATTGTCTGGAAGTGAGGTGACAGCTTCGGATTGTGCCAAAGTGTACTTTTGGAAGGCACCGTGGTTAGGAGAGCCATTTTGGTAGAATGAAGAGGCAAAGGCAATCACTCGACTTCCTGGACCTGGCACAGTCGTAACATTCGAGCCTAGCTTGGCAACAATACCAGCAATATCAGATCCAATGATAGCGGGGTATATAGGCACGGGGGGCATGCCGTAGTCACGCTGGTAATGATCGCAGGGGTTCAAGGCAACGGCTTTGACTTCGATGAGAACATCGTTCGGACCGGGTTCTGGGGTTAGGCGCTTGCCAAGGGCGAAGGGACCACCCTTCTGAGGGAGAATCGCGGCTTCGTGCTCTCCAGCCATAATGGACATTTGACGATTTGATGCTGTGATTACTGATATAGGTGTCAGTCTGCTGAAGAGATCATGCAATCTGTGCAGGCGAAGCATGTAGAAGGGAAGATGGTTAAGAGGTTGAAGGGTGAATAAAATGGGGGATTTTATATTAAAGAACCTAATGATATATTTACACATGAATCTTCACCTGACTTTTAAACCCGATACCTCCCTAAAGCCCGATTTCGAGAGAGTGTCATTCGTTTGGTCTTGTTGACACGTCATTGAAGCTTCCTATGATTGAGAGGTACGAGTACCCATTGACAACCACGATCGCCGAATCAGAATGGTGAAGGTACGAGCCGTGGTTAGTATTCGTGGTCAAGTAGTATCATGAGTGGCGACGAATACGAAAGGTGGTTAGCGTCTTTCGTTAGTGTGGACTCACTGTCCAATAAGATGCAAGATGCATTCTAAACGGCCAAAGGCTCGGATGCCTTCAATAATTGGCATATATGGGGCAAAAAAGGTTCTCTCCTCAGTCTTGGACATATTCTGCCGGGTCGCATACTTGTGAATATGAGCCCTGGTAGTGACTAAGTGTTAAATACCTCGGGGAGCCAGTAGCGTTAAGTAGCCTGACTTTGGCCTTGTCACATCTAATGACGTCTAACAGGCGTTTTGTTCCTACGGAGCTACCGCATCTCGTACAATGCCTTTCTAGGAACCCGAGATATAATTCGTGGGAGCAGTAAACATAATGTACATTTTTGTAGAATGTCTTTAAGGCAATCAGAGGTTCGCTGAGTCATTGAGTAGGCATCGATTAGCTTCGCATACCGTACGTCTACTCTCTTGGCGTTGCAGCCTGCAGGCAGAAGATTATCAGCCACCGAATGAGAGAGGGATTTGTGTATGGAAATCTTGATTTTACTGTTCTGTCTCCGTTTCGGTCGGGTGTTGAGATATGATACAGGCATACACATCCAGTGCATATTATTTCCTCCATCAATTAAAGAGCCCATTTATCTAAGCAGGCGACATACTATTGACACTTAACTATCTAGCTCCAGTACTTCTCTGTATCTCTCACCCAGACACGGTATGAGTAAAAGCTTTTGAAACCCATCCAGTCGTCTCGAGACTTTTCCCTCCTGCCAACCCTTTGTAAAATCACCATAGAGTACAGTTTCAGATCGCAATTGATCTGATTCTGCAAGCCATGAAGCACTGGTACTAAGATCCCATAAAGTAGTTTCGGATGTGAAAGGCAGTATACTCATTGCCTTGACATTCGGACAACTCCCAGTTTTCAGTGTCAAATACACGCCCTCGATCATCATAGCAAAGATTATCGTTCTTCGAGCGCTTTCTGCAAGTATCCAGTCTTGCCATTTGAGCGGAGGGGTCAGCTCTCCGGCTCGTATTTGTAATTTAAAGGTCCAAATCCGCAATGTATCCATATGTTGTTCTGCTAGTGAGCGCTGTCGAATATCACCATCGAAGAGTTGAATGATTTGAAACAGCATCAGTGCGTGCACTGCGGCGAGGACCTGTGGCATGGTACTTGTGTGATGGTCTTGCGCCACGAGGTTGGTAGTCTTGCTCTCCAGTATACGGAAAATCAAGTCTTCTGTTTCTGACGTCTTGGTACCATAAGCTGCCAAAGCTGTAAAAGCATCTTGAATAGTATCGGGCAAGTATGCATCGTAGAGGCGGGAATGAATGAATGGTGTTTTTCGAGAATTAACGAACATCTGCGGGTAGCGTTTGATATTATGTAAAAGTTGATTGGTCGACCATTTATCTAGGATGGTGGTTTCTGGGTAAAATTCAGCTGGAGGAAGTGATGGTATGAGCAGAGAGGGCATCGAATTAAGCCATGACGTAGTGAAACTCGTATCGTCGGATGAAGAGTCGTTCAACGGCCAAAATGATAGAGCCTCATCGGAAACAGGGGATGTTTCTGGCCACACTTCCGAAAAGTTTGATGATTCCAACTGTCTCGATATGTTCTGGCGCTTTTGTGGAGACCATGCACTCAGGTAGGTACATTCCAGCCCCTGGGCAAGACACCGTGAGCACTGCGGGGTTTGACGATTGCAACGCCGCTTCCCCTCGGCGCAAGAGATGCATGACTTCTGCCGCGAGCGCGCATATGGCGACCTGTTAGACATGGTCTGTATACTTCCGAGAAAATAAGAAAAATGCCCACAGAGGGGCAGCCCCGCTGGAATTCAAGCCTGTGATGACAAAGCTCCGCAGAACTCCGCAAACTCCGCAAACTCCCAGAACTCCGCAACGCTTCACAGCACGAATTACTAAGTGCAAATTTCAAAATACGTAATTAAGAGTCTGGTGAATATGTTACTATTGTGTAGAATAAACTGTATATAAAGGAGGTGGACGAATATTTTGGACCTTCTATCCATACTACTATTGAAAAATAAGTTTAACATTCTTCCTTTGCAATGGCCTTCACCGAGCTTGTTTTTCCATGTGTCAAACCCGACCCAGCTACACTTGAGACTCTTGAACGAGACTGGCCTAAGTTGAGCAAGGGGCTGACCGATCCTAATCCCGGCTTGCTCAGCGCATTTCGTGGCTGGGTTCTGACAGAAGATGGATTGGATGTAAGAAAGGACTACAAAGAGTTCCTTCTTCTTGGTAAGTTCGCCCAGTGCGTCGAATTTGGGTATATCTGATCTGGCATAGAGTGGAACTCAGCCGACTCTTTCAATGCCTTCGTCGGCTCGGAACAGTATGCCGCTTTTGCTGGCTCAATCAAGCATCTGTTGACTGGGCCGCCTACTTTACAATTTTTTGAAACAAAGTTGTCCCCAAAGGATGCAGCTTCAGCTTCCATGGTTGAGATAATTCGGGTGACGCTCCCCAACTCTGAGGATGTCGAGGAAGGCCTTCAAGTGTGGGAGAAGGCATGCCGTCATCTAGCCAGCAATGGAGAGAGCACGGCTTCTGTCACGTATGGCAAGAGCAAGAACCTTGATAAGGATGTTGTTGTGGGAATAATAGGGTGGCAAACCTCGAAGGTGAATTTGAGACTCCAAACTGCCATTAATGCCATGCTGACCATTAACAGGAACAGCAAGACATGTCCCAGGACGAGGTTTGGTCGGGAACGCTGGAGTCTCTCAAGTCGCTGGGTAAAGTGTCACAGATAATTGTGGACATCGATGTAATGGACCTCTGACAGGCTGAATGTGTAATGTGATGTCGATCACTTGCTTCTTGAATGATATTATACAGGTACTTCTCCGCTTTAAAAAATCTTTTAAAATTTCGCTTTTGGCTCCTTTTTCAATCATACAGACCAAACAGGACATAAAGATTGGAATAGTATCTCTGTGCAAACATGGAAGCTGGGTTGGATATTGCTGTATCGCTCAAACTCGTGGTCATGGCTTGGAGGAACCGCCTATCTGTGTATCTCAAATATACATCTTCACAACTAGATCTGGCACTGTAGTCAGGCTGAGTCTCCCACTATGCACTCATATCCTATACTCGAAAGCTGTACGTTTGACAAACACCCAAAATCTCCCGTGATACTCTTAGATGCGTAGAGCTTCATTGTTCATCCACTCCTAGTTAAGGTAAGCGAAAAGAAACATTGCCCATCTAGGCGCATTGCTCATCCTCAGCCCTCTCCAAATTTCTGCCTTGCTTTTAGACCTCTGCTTGAGGCTCACTCTAAAGCAAATCTGGTACTGTAGCAGTTGGGACCCTAAATTTGGACCCGCCAAGGCGCCAAAGGAGGGTCGACCTCCCCAGGGAGGGTCTACAGTGGCTCGGGTGGGGCAAATACGAACCCCCTACGGATATGCTAATTTTCTCTCGGCTTTCACTTGCGCGATCAATCAAAGTCGAACGCACTCCTTCAACCCCTTGCTCATTCTAGCACTCAATATCAAAATCACCAATATGGGATGGGCGATATTTTGTGCCATATGTGGTGGTCCCTTCTCCAGCGAAGTGGATATAGACCCTGAGAATACGGACGAGTGTTATCGCGACGAAGTTCTGAGGGATTTCGACCTGGGATGGTTGGACGATCTCTGTGCTCTGGATATCAACCCTGGCGCGCTTGGGAATGATAAGTCTGTCATTTATCTCCTAATAAAACTGAAAGAATATATTTTAATTGTTTGCTAGATCTTTTCTCACTGGTATCGGTGACGCTCAGGACTATGTAAGGTTCTTTCTAGCCCGTTCTACAAAATAGTAAGAGCTAATATCTGTGATTTAGGGAATTGTTGAGGTTGCCATGGGAGAAGGTGAGTTTTCCACTGACTTTTCAAGGGGTTATATCAGCTCGACTAAACTGGCTTATCCGGCTATAAGATCCGAACTTTCCCATACAGAATAATGCCCCTATGATTGCGTATGTTCCCTCACATTTTCACCACCCGTTTCTAATACTTACAGCTATCATGACCATGCCGGCATTGGTGACTCTCGCGAGCCTCATGTTTTTCCTTTCCATCCAATTTGCTACAAGGATATCCTCCAGAGATGCATCCGCCAGGAAGATTCCAAGCAGATTAGGAGGGACGTCCTGTTTGATGTCTTTGAAGGGTTGAATGGGGGGCAGTACGTCAGGTTGCAGCTTAATTATGGCGAACCAGAGCCTCCCGCAGAGCAAATTTGGTATAGTAATAAAGGCCAAGAAGTAAGTTTATTAATATATTCAGCTTAGTGAAGGAATAACACGCCTAAACTGATCAAATTTTGGTAGCCAATCCAGTTGAAATTCCCCAGCTGGATGTCGATTTTGATATCATCATGAAGTCCCAAGACAAAAAGGCAGGACAGGTTCAGAATCCCCAAGGCAAAGACGTTTTCAATAGGCTCCCAACTGAGTTGCGGCATGAGGTTTTCAAACTCCTTCCAGCTGGATGTATTCTTGCTCTGAAGGCCGCCTCGTGGGTGATGCATACTACTACCTTGTCACACGAGTTTTGGAAGCACAGATTAAGAAGTGAAATGCCGTGGCTTTGGGAACTTCATGATTTCGACGTCTTCGAATCTCAAGAATTAGAAGCTAAAGCTTCCAAGCTACTTCTCGACATTCCGGTGAAAAGTCAGTACACATCCAAGAATGATGATTATATTTTGGGACTTGCCAACAGGAGGAGGATTTGGGGCATCTGCGAGCAGATTCAAAGTTTGTACTTTGAGAAACTCAAGGATGTTCCCAATGCAGACAGCTAGGACTCTCAGACTTAATGGATTAGCAGCCCGAACATGCGACATGTTTTCTACTCGATCGCTCTCAGTGATTACTGGAAGGATGCTTGGAACTAGACTGAATGTCATTAAAATATCTAATATATAAACATGGATCTCATCTCCTTAAAGCTCCCGAGGTCTCATGCCGTCGTCTCGCCTGTGTATTCCACATGCTCTGCCTCCACGGGCTGACCTATCACCTTATTCTTGGCAGTCCTCCGAACCTCCTCATCCTCATGCTCAATATATTTCTGAGGTCGGGCTCTGCAAATGGCATCGGGATCTCTGGTAACAATCAAAGATGGGTTGGAACGGTAATAGGTATCGATATCCTCGAGGCTTCGGTTGGCTGTACAAGGCATTAGTCAAACTCTCCAGGTTAATTTATCATGGGACTGACCTGTTTCTGGATAGAAGAAGTAGAGAATGGGTAGAAAGCAGGCGTTTGTCACTGTCCAAACGATCCCTGTCTTTTGTTAGCACTAAAAAATCACTCATTATGTCGACAGATGACTTACAGAACTTCCAGCCAATGCTCTGAATTCCGATGGGAGTGATTTCGACAATCGCAAAATTGGTGATCCAGTCGGTAGCGGTCGCAAGGGCTGCTCCCTTGGTTCTCATAGGTAGAGAGTTGATCTCGGTGGGATATAGCCAAGGGATTCCCAGCATACCAATGCCAAAAGCACCGTGGAACTGCATTTCACAGGAAAGTCAGCCTTGTGATAAGTTGAGGAGCTGCAAAATACAATTACGCAGATTGCTTACCAAGAAGAAAAATGCCACAGAGGCCGACCCGTATTTCTTGCTCTCATCGCCAGTAGTATTCTCTGAGTATCGCAAGAGAATAGTAATGATGAGGAAGCACATAAATTGGCCAAACGTTGAAAGAAGCATCAAGCCACGACGACCCATCCGCTCAATCAGAAGAACCGCGAGACCCGAGAAAATCATGTAGGAGATGGCATTGCATGCAGTCAACAGGCGGGCCATACTTTCTCCCATACCGACAGCTTGCTCCAGAACGGTAGGAAGGTAGTAAGACATGATGTTGATGCCACCAAATTGCTGCATGAACTGACTACCAGCTCCGAGCAACAACCGGCGAAGTGTCTTGGTGTCATTATCGTTTTTCTTGAGAAGGTCTCGCCACCGAACAGCATTGTCACGCTCATAGCGGATTGTGTATTCAATCTCGTTACGTTGCGCGATGATGAAGGGGTCGTCAATGGGCTTGGCCTCGAGGCAACTAATGACTTCGACGGCTTCCTCTTCTCTACCGTGCATGAGAAGCCATCTTAGGGTTGTTAGAGATATCCACAGACACTTTAGAGGGGTACTGACCTGGGAGACTCCGGTAGCCACGGAACAGTAGACCAAAGAACAATTAGGAATACAGCCTGTAGTGCGATTGGGAGTCGCCAAGCGATAGCACCTCCGACAAAGGACAATCCATAGTTGATCCAATTGACCGTAGCATATCCAGCAATATTCATCATCATCTCAAATGTTACCAAGCGGCCACGCCAGCGTGACTGCGAGGTCTCGGACTGCCAAATTGGAGCGCAGGCAGTATTAATACCATTTCCAATACTATTGGCCCGGTGTGTTAGAAAGAACTCTCCTTCTTGTTTGATCATAATGACTCACCCGGAAACGACACGGCCAACGAAAATTTGGGGCAGACTAAAGGACGAGGCCTGTAGAACTGTGCCAATGGCCATGATTGTGGTTCCCCACAGAATAGACTTCTTCCGTCCAAAGCGCTCGCCAAGTGTGAATGCCAAGATAGCACCTAAGAAACACCCAACATCGTAAATGGCTGTCACCGTTGATAAAGTCGTGGTCTTGGTTGGTCCCTCGAGATTGTGAATTTGAAGGAAGTCCTTGGTAATTACGACACCACCTGAAAAAGAGTCAGTTGGGATCCATTACTCTTCGCAGGGACGGGCTTCTTACTGAAAACACCCTGATCATAACCAAACAGAGACATGTCCGTTGCACAAGCAATCTTACCCAGGTCAATAGAAGTCGCAAGTAGGATTGTGTTTTTGGAGAGCATACCGTAACCCACACAGTGAGCCATCCTCCTGTTAGCCCGAAGTAGGGCTTCTTCTCCTTTACCACCGTCATTGTTAAGGGAAAGGCAAAATCTATCAGAAATAGGGAGTATGAAGAAAGAGGAGTTGTATCAAGAGGGCTCCCTCACAATCCGCGGCACAAATGGAGGAAGAACGCGGAATATAAATTCGGGGGTTTCCCGGCCGCTTTTATACACGCCGCCGCGTCTCCCATTGCTACCACCCATCCGAGTCACGATAAACATCTTTCCGGCTAAATGATTTTGGATTCGGTTTTCCCCCGAAGTCTGGGGTGCCCCAGGGTGGGGGATCTGCGTGGGGGATACTGGTATTGGCGAATTAAGTGATCCTGCTGAGTATCCTTGCATTTCCTTGTTGAACAGCAATATATCATTGGTCGGTATTCACCCCCGACAACAAAGGATTGGTCGCGCTAGACGAGCTGACTACGTATCCCCGGGCCAGTATTGTAGCGGAGTTGGCTGGTCATTCACCAGGCTTTGGGCGAACGTGACATTGCGTCATAGTGTGGAGTCGCCCAATGTGGGGAGTGGATTCAGGGGAATCCGGGGTGGCCCAGCATGGTTTCTCTCGAGTTCATTAATTGAAAAAAATTTATCAGTTTCAGAGCCAAGATAACGTAGAGATAAAGATCGTCCAGTGTGCTCAAAAAGCCACTGTGGCTGCCGCCTTGGGTCGCCCCTGGATCGAAGCCAAGAAAGTTTCCCGAGTCATGAAAGAACCTCTTGTCACCTGACTGGCGCTGTCCCCCGATTCGAAACCTGGAAAGCCTCATCATACGATCATTGCACGTGTCCACTTTGGCGTTACGACTCAGATGGGGCGATTTCAAATTACGTCATCGCTCACACTGATTCACGCCTACCCAAAGAAGCCTGCGCGCGTGAAAACAAATGCTCTGAAAGAGCCAAATATCACGTGCGCCGTCGGCCCTGTTTGTTCAGTTCCCACTTAGATCTCTGTTGACATTACGCCTCAAGAATTAATCAAAGGCTTTTGATAGAGAATTTTGATTTGCGAAGACCCTGTTTCACAATTGTTCGTACTACAGGTCAACGTGTCACGAAGTAGACGCACCGTCGTACAACAACGAGTATCATTAGCCTTAAAATGCATGTTTGACCTGGTCATCCATGAACGGGAAACGCGGTCGGAGATCATTATGTCCTTTAAATCATTCATCATCGTATCACGCTGTTGTATGGAAGTTATCAATTCCTGCTTATCATAGAGAGATAGTTCTTATTTCTTGGCATGCACGGTGAGTAGAAATCTTGTTCTCCACCTGTCCCACGTTGTGAAAAGACATTCCATATCCCTGGTGAATGAGCCGTAAACGCTAATATTAAAGTCAGTACCCGGTGTTCTCTCTGACACATTAATCAGGGGCATGGTTGTCAAAGCTTGATAGGACCGCAACAATGCCGAGTTTCGATAAAGCCTAAACAGAAATATCAGGTGTCCGAAGTTGCTTACCTTTTCTTCTCTGGATTACAAGTCCCAGAAACACAGAGAATCTCTTGCCTTCCTGACAAAGCTGTCTGCATAGATAACCTCCTCATGGCGTGTGATAATCTCGATGAAATCAGGATCTACCCTCCGAGCCATCCAGATTGTAAGCTGCTTTGAAAGGATCGACCATCTCTTGCTAGCATCGTTCAGGTATGTAGGGCGTGGTATGGTCTGGGAAATGAGAGCCTTCAGCCCAACGGAATCCAGGACTTGGGCGACAGTTTCAATCCATTCCTCGAAGAAGTCGGGCTCTGACAGCACCCAGTCGAACCTGAGTTTGCTTAAGTTAACATTCTCAGGCGCCGGGAGGTCAACAGACTGATCCTCTAGAGGCTCGCGGTTCCATGCTTCCCAGTCAGTGATGACCCTTGGAGCAGAATTCTGCATGATTCGTGTGGGTGGGTGTGAACGGTTCGTGTGGAGGTCGGTTTTCATGAATTGTAGAAATATTTGGGTGGTACTGTTGATGGTAATATGATAGAGTAACGTTTGCTTATCGTGAGCGGAAGCAGCCAGAAATGAACAAGTGATATTTAAGGCTTTGAATATTTCTAAAAGCAAACGGAGCTTCACTGGATTGATCACGTCCTATCCAAGTTTCGCTCCTCTTCTTCATCATTAAAGTCATTTCTTTTTCTCTCAAGCGCCCCTCTAACGCCATTCTGGGATCTCCAAGATGAATCAACGTACGCAAATGCTCCGGGTATCTCAAACACACTGACTAATATTTTTTGACAGCAGCCCCGAATGTGTTGATCGAAATGAAGGAGGCAGGACACAAAGGTCTAGGCATGTTTGCAAAAGTCGACATACCTCGTGGCACACGTGTCATTGCTGAAACACCTCTCCTCAACACTCAGCTAAACGATGACGGAGACCCAGAATCTAAGCAAATCTTGCAGGGTTTTGAGCTTCTTACACCTCCCCAGCGAGATTCATTCTTAGGGCTCAGCGGATACGCGAGTACAATATTCAAAATGTCAGTTACGGATGAGTTCAAACAAGCTTGGGAAGACATCCCAGAGTTGCACCGTACAGTGCTCTCCATTTTCAAAGCAAATGCCTTCGGTGGCATGATATTCTTGACAGGCTCTCGCATCAATCACTCATGCATTCCAAATCTGAACTATGCGTACAATAACGTGCTCGAAAAAGGGACATTCCATGCTGTACGTGACATTTCGGCAGGGGAAGAGCTTACTGTTATGTACATCGACGGGGCCAATCGCCCCAGGACAAGACGCCAGTCCGAGCTACTGCAGTGGGGATTCTTGTGCGTTTGCCCAGCATGCGAGCACACCCCAGAGGGCGACTTGAAGGAGAAAAGGCGCCTGGAGTTATTTTTGATTGACCAGGTACTCACCATTAATGAGCTTAGTGGTGCCCAAGAGTCTGCTCGAGGAGCTCTTCAACTTGCGCAAAAGATGGCAGGCATCCAAAAATCCGAAGGCCTAGTGAACAGGGCCCTGACAGCTTCGTGAGTGGCCTCTTACTTATATAGTTACCATGCTTATACATTTCCAGCTATCGCGACGCTACCATGTACTCCCTCAGATTGGGTAATCCACAAATGGCACTCCTGTGGGCCGAGAAAGGGCTGGAGGTCGAACTTTACTGTGTGGGGGAGGATCATCCAGACTACCAGCAGATGCTTGACACCGTGGGGGTGTTGCAAGGTTTCAACGCCATTCCAGAGCCCCTGCTTACGGTTCTAGCCGGTCTCATCATGTACATGTAAAGGCGCTCCCCAGTGGTCATTGACGGATATTCTATCCCTGAATAAATTGCCAAAGACTTGCGACTGCTGGGAGAAGAGGAGTGCATTGGAGCAAGAAGAAAGAAACCATTACGCCGTTGAATTCCTGATACAAGGAAGCATCTTTGTCTGACTTATTGTACTGGCCGCTGCAACTGGATACAAAATGAGTACTGGAAGTAGCTACATACCCCTGAAAGCACGGAACAACACCTGGCAGTAATCACTTTTCTGAGTGCCTATCATCTCTAAGATATAAATCCTTTGCGTGACATAGTTAATTCTCATTCTTGATCAGTGAGCCAGAGCAAACTGGATCGCCTTAGGCTATCTGGCCTCTCTGATGAAGGCTGCGGAACCTATCCATACAGCCTAGTCAACCACGACTGTGATTGCGAATGACAACATACTAAATAGAAGTCGGTGCTCCCTGAGCACTAAAATGCAGATCCTGGCCCGTCTTGGACTAGGGGTATGGCTCTTGTCGAGGGAGAAGGGGACAGAGCGCAGGGGTTGATTATATTCAGAGGCTGGCGTAGGAAAGGCTCCAGTGAAGATCATACGTGCGCAGTAGCATTATTGACAAATTAGGAAGTTAACGGCGGATAAAATGGGTTGCGATCATCACTGCAGATCAGCAAAGAAGCTTGAGTCAAAGACTGCTCAGGAGCAAAATTCAGGCTCGTCTCCACTCAGTCATTATATATGGACCCACTTCAGCGAGTTGACTTGAGGTAAGAGTGAATAAGGTACCACTCTTTGCAAACTTCTTTGTGTTGCCCAAAGGAGATAAAAAGCTGCCACATTGTACCTCTTATCCGTTGCCGAGGTATGATGCATGGGGAGGGAGCTTGAGAGCTACCGTCGCGATGTAGGTAGAGCCTACGATCGATACCTGCCCATAAGATTATACTTCACAACTACCAGGCCGAAGCTCCACCATGTAAACTCAATTTCCCCTTTTCGTGATCAACTGCCATAATGTGGAAACATCCATGGGGTTGCGCAAAACTCTCGAACATCATTTGCAGGATCATACAATATTTGCATAGTCATACTGAAGCGGATCCTCTTATCCATTACTGAGCCATGTAGGTGGATTGGTACTATACAAACCGACTGCTCTACTCTTTGAATATAGGATAGTTTGGTTGATTAATATTGTCGTTATGGAATAGCCCATGGCCGAGTGGTCCTAATAAGTATCTGGACAGGTTTTCCGCTTACGGTGAAATATGGACCTCTGTCTTATCTCCAACGCGGCACAGAGAGCAGGGTAGGCTTAGAAGGTCAAAACTCTAAGACTCTATATGCTCATCTTTGTTGACACTAGGGTACTAGTTTCAGCACTAACATTGACCACGAAGTAAATCGGTACCCCTTTCGAACTGAAGACGAAGTTGGTCTTTCGCCCAGCTCCTCCTTCGCGTATATCAAGTCGGCCCAATCCCTGTGTGTTTTCAATCTCTTGCAGCCTCCGAACTTCAAATAATTACGCATATACTAAGCCCACTTCCTCAATATACGATCATCATGCGTTTCTCTACTATCTTAACTACTGTCCTCGCCGCTGGCACTGCAGTTGCCACCCACTCCCATCCCGCCAAGCGCAATATTGAGGTCGACCTATCCGGCGTCTCCATCTTGGACATTGTCAGCGCTCTGGTCGACAAGCTTCCCATCGATGGCGCTGTTAACGATATCACCGGTGGCCTTCTGGATCTTACCCAGGTTGACGTTCAAGCTGTTCTCAACTGCGTCACTGATGAGCTGCCCCTATCTGCCAGCGTGAATCTCTTCCCTATGCCAACCACCAGCGCTGGAAAGACCTTCACCATTACTCGCACCCACACCGTCTACGTTGCCCCTACCGAGACACCCAGTGTTCAGAAGCGCGATATCATCGACCTGTCCAACATTCCTATCCTCAGCCTTATCTCTGCCCTTGTTGATAAGCTCCCAATCGATGCCAGCATCAGTGTCCTCCCCGGTGGTCTCTCGGACCTTACCGACCTCACTGACATCAGTTTGTTGAGCATCGTCACCTGCATTCTGAAGAACCTTGGCATCAACCTCTGATCTCCTTGTAGTTCGCAGTGGGGGATTACGCCCATTTGGAGAGGCATGAACTGGCTATAAGGGTTATACCGTTGCAATTTAGAATATCCTGTTCATAATCATAATACCAAAAGTCCTGCGCTAACTGGCACTGAGCTAGTGTTCAGTGGTGCAAGCTAAATCTGTAATCAAACTATCCCTCCGTATCCCCATTCTGTAAATTATTCAGACAGAATCTTGAACTCGACTTGAGGGTCAATTCTTTGACTCAATGCTGCAGAGCATCAACTCATGGCATTCAGATGCTGAGAATAATGAGGGTGTCAAGCCACATGGTTCAAGCTCGACCCACTGACGTCTTTGGCGTTCTTGGCCTAGCGCCTCTTCAAAGGGGGAGCATGTGGGACCACACACCACCAATGATCGGAGATGTCACTCACCCAGGAAAGTGGGGCCTGGCGGTCTGCTCCATGTAATCTCCGAGAAGGCGTTTCATGCGTTATGTATTGGTGGACATTTGTTTCTATATTTCGCATGAGTGGAACCTCCGAGGTTTCCTCATAGAGGTCTGGACCTCAAGATAATTGCCTAAGACATGTCTTCAGAGAGCTTCCCGAACTGAAGGACACCCAAAGACCCTTGACGCTTGTTTGAATTAGCAAATTGGATAAATGGGCTCGAAGCATAATGGTACATAGCCCGTATATTGCATGAACTTCCCCGCGATTCTCATTCTTCACGGCTGATATCCGCGAAGCTTACATTTACCTCTACCGTCCATTTTAGCCGTGGCGTCATTGGAGCCTATTTAGAGACTAGTTTGTTTATACATTTACTTCTCCTTGTCTCTTTTGGATTTTCTAAGCCCAAAGTAGCCTCGGGCGAGGCTTCACGCCGTTGCTTGAAACCGCGTTTCAGACAGACGATTTGTGGAACTTCTACTGACAGAAAGTTCCACCACAAGACACCTTAGGTCCACGGGTACCGTCCTTTGAATAGAATAGGCTACCGGTTAAATATGTCAGCAGGGTATCGTCTCAAGGATGTCTCAAGCTATATTGCACGCAAGAACGATCGACAAGTATAAGAACCTTGGAACACCTCGCTCCTCTTTCGTTCGCAGCTATCCCTACCACACGGAGAATACGCATCGCCTCAACCTACTATACTTTATTTACCACTGCCACCCTTCACAATGAAATCCATTACTACGTTTCTTGTGGCTTCCGCGACCGTGATGGGCGCGATGGCTGTGCCTGGTGAATACCACAAGCGACATGATAAACGCCAAACCATCACCTCCAGCACGACCGGAACTAGCGGTGGATACTACTATGAATTCTGGACCAATGGTGGTGGTACCGTTGATTATACCAACGGCGATTCGGGCGAGTACAGCGTCACCTGGGAGGACTGTGGTGACTTCACCTCCGGCAAGGGATGGGAAACTGGTAGCGACCGGTAAGAACAATCTTCCTCGCATCGTCGCATATTACTCACATGTTCTCTCTCCAGCGATATCACCTTCGAAGGTACTTTCAGTCCTTCCGGAAACGCATACTTGTCCGTCTATGGATGGACTACCAGCCCACTCGTCGAGTACTATATCCTCGAGAACTACGGCGATTATAACCCCGGTAGTGCCATGACCTACAAGGGAACTGTTACCAGTGATGGCTCCGTTTACGATATCTACGAGCACCAGCAGGTCGATCAGCCCTCTGTTAGTGGTACTGCGACCTTCAACCAATACTGGTCGATTCGCCAGGATACCCGGTCTAGTGGTACTGTTACCACTGCCAATCACTTTAATGCTTGGGCCGATCTTGGAATGGATATTGGTACTACCTTCAACTACCAGATTGTTTCTACTGAGGGTTATGAGAGCAGCGGATCGTCCACCATTACTGTTTCTTGAATATGATCCACTGGTTGGGGAAATAGACCATGTTGGACTTTAGTATTAGGAAAAGACTTCTTGGTATATGAAGAGGGGGTTTTGAGTCGTGACTCTGGAAATCATGAAAGTTATCATAGGCATTGAATACTCGAGAAAGAAACATGCGGCACGTCCCGATCCCGAAAATTCTTGTTCTAAGATACTTGAGATCAGTCGTCGTAGGAACTAAAGACTAAGGTAGATACACCCCGATAATCTGTGAATGATTTAAGCGTAACTTGGACCCTCCTATAGTTCTCTTTGCCATGGTCGCTTGGAGACAAATGTAACCCTGCCGGTTGTGGGGGAGATTTGGAATGCGGGGCCCCGCACACGTGAAGTGGACCCGAAAGTTGAACTTGTGGGTACAATTCTCCTCTCCAGGTCCTAAGCGATGCAATTTCGCCTTATCCGACGCTTTGCCTTTGAACCGGATTTGCCGATCTGTCATTACCTGAATTTTACTCGGACGTATCTGTACCGGACACCGAGATGCAGAATGCGGAGAACCCGGGGTTCTGAGCATCAAGGCTGACAAGCTGACTGCCTCCACCAAGTTGTGGGGGATACTCAGTCCAATCTTAGGAAACCTGATCCCTACAGTTCTTCAGTATCTTAGGTTCTTGCAAATGTGAATGCGATGCAGAACTTGATGGACCTAAAGCTATCCAGCCTACCACTGAAATGGCCAGCCGAAACGCGCATGTTGTTCTCAGGAGCCTCAGTACAATTTGGACCTGGTTGCTTTGAAAGGAGGTTTTATCCCAGAAGTTCATCTGTGGCTTACCCCCGCTGCGAGTTAATAGTCATATTCTGCATATTAGGTACTCTCAATGAAAGATATGACTCGTCTACAAGAGATCTCATGGCACGGTAAGTTCAAGTGGCAGTAAAGCCCCACATCTTCGGCTTAGTATTACCCCGTGTAGGGCTGCTCAGAGCTTCTCCGCTACGCATAGAGCTTAGTATAAAGTGATTCTAAGTAACAGTAATAGAAGTCTTTTCTTTTTCTCAAGACAGCTGGACAGGAGTTCGCAACATCATTATACATGCGGGCTCTCTCATTATTCACTTTGGCCACTTTGGCTGTGCCAGGAGTACTTTCAATCGGCACAAATGACCAAGTGGGTCCCAATCTTGATTATGGAACATTTCAAGACCCATCCTCGGCTGTGAGGCCCCGCTTTCGGTACTGGGTGAACGATGCCTCGATGAATCTGAGTGTTCTCGCAGAAGATGTGAGATCCATTGGAAAAGCAGGTGCGGGAGGAATTGAACTTCTTGGTTACTACCTGTATGGTGATAGTTCGGCTTATGGTGGAGGAAATGCTGCGCCATTACAAACCGACTGGACTGTTTATGGGTTTGGTGGTGCTCCCTGGAGTAAGATTGACCCACTTTCAACCGGAACTTGAACCTAGTCTGACCATAATAGAGGAAATGGTGGATACTATCCTTGAAGTTGCGAAGGAGGATAAACTGGTCATTGATTTTGCCAACGGGCCGAACCAAGGAGCAGGTGTTCCGGCGCCTTATAACAGTGATGGTCTTCTGTGGGATCTCGCTGCATACAACTCAACATTTTCGAGCACTAAAGGCTTCAAAGGCACCTTACCTGGGTGGGGATCCGGTCGCTTCATTGCAGCTACGACAGGTACTGTAAAGTCGAGCACTGCATCAGAAGCGGTGCTTTATGAAAGCTCTCTACAAGATGTTACGAGCAAGGTGTCATCGGATGGAAGCCTGAAAATAAAGGCAACTAGCAAATCTGAAGGGACTGAGAGCCTTGTCTTTGCGTACTATCTCATTCACTCCCGTTATCGTGAGGCTCCAGACCCCACCGATCCATCAATTGCGACAGCCGTTCCACAATCCCCGGTCACAACCTACTCTCAGAACGGTTCATGGGTTGTCGATCACTGGTCCGCTGCCGGAGCACAGACCGTGGCCAATTTCTGGAAGGAGTCCATATTGGATAGTGAGATTGGACAGCTCCTTCGAGAGGTTGGAAACTATCTTTGGGAGGATAGCCAGGAGTACAGTGTTGCTACTTTCTGGACACCTGGTCTACAGAAGAAATTTCTTTCCAACCGAGGATATAGTATTAACAAATATATACCACTCGTTGTGGGCTCTGGAGGAACCACGTCCAACATCACATACGTCACAGACGAGAGCGATGCGGGTGCTAGCCATATCGTGGACTACCAGCAAACAGTTCGTCTCTTACTTCACTCCCCAGTTGAAAGGATATGCTGACTCGTGGACTTTAATAGCTTACGGAGCTGAACGCCGAATACCTCGACGCCTTAACCGAATGGAGCAATAACCTAGGAGTCCAATTCTCAGCACAGGTTGTCTACAATCTCCCCATGGACATGCTCGCCAATGTTCCGCATGTGAATGCCCCCGAATGCGAAACGCTCGGTTTCAGTGAGAACATCGATGGGTACAGGCAATTTAGTGGGCCTGCAAACCTCGCCGGCAAACGCGTGATCTCTAGCGAGGCTGGTGCAATCTTTGGCGAGGCCTATCAGGAACCAATATCCGAGATCCTTTGGGCATTCAAGCGCTCGTTTGCTGGATCCGTCAATAATTTCATTATTCACGGGTTTCCAAACTCCGGCAATTATCCAAACACATCCTGGCCTGGCTTTACGACTTTTATGTATGAATTTTCGGCTATGCATGGACCACGTCAGCCTGCTTTTGCTTTCTACTCGGATTTCCTGAACTGGGTCTCTCGAAATCAATTCATTCTGCAGACCGGTATTCCAAAGGTTGATGTTGCATTCTGGTCAAAGTCGACAACTTACAAGACTATCTCGACTAGTTATGCACCAATGGATTTGCAAGAAGCAGGTGAGGATACCCATTCGCTCCTTTAGGAATCCACATTCTTCTTATTTCTTATGCTGACCAATATCGCTCAGGGTACACTTACGAGTATCTCAGCCCAGACAACTTTGCGCTCCCAGAAGCTTACGTATCTGATGCCACTTTTGCCCCGAATCGACAGGCATTCAAGGCGCTAGTTGTTAGGTCTAACGAGACTCTTACGGCCTTGGGTGTCGAAAAACTTGTTCAGTATGCCCATGCCGGTCTTCCAATCATTTTCCCAGGAGGACTGCCATCGAACTTCAGTGGATACGCTCCAGCTGCTGCGACCAAGGCTGTCCAGTCATTAAACGGCATTAAGTCTCTGAAGAATGTTCACTTAGTCAAAGCAGATGGCCTTGCGGATACCCTTGATTCTCTCAACATCCTACCACGAAGTTCTGTTTCGGCCAACGGCACATGGTATACGTTGTGGAGAGAGGATGCCACCAATGCGAAGTCCTATATCTACGTATACAATGACGCTACAGGTCTCTCCTTCGAGGAAGGCATGACATCTGGGACCGTATCGTTCGAAAATACAGGTGTTCCATTCTTTTATGACGCATGGTCGGGAGAAGTGACTCCAATTTTTTCCTATACTCAGTCCAAGACGCATACAATAATCCCTCTCCAGTTAGCTGGTAACCAAACGGTCATCATCGGCTTCGAGAAGAATGTCAGGTCAAATGTTCACATTCAAGACATGACGATCCCTGTTCTGCCTACGACAAGTGACTCCAACTCTCTCACTGTCCTCAGATCCTTTGATCAAAAGTCACGAGAAATCACTCTCTCAACTGGAAAGAAAGTATCACTGTCACCAATGTCCACCAAGCCCTTCACTCTGGATGATTGGGATTTGGAGATCGAGTCCTGGACACCACTACCAGATTTTTATGACGCGGAAGGCGCAACTCGCACTAACCAAACATTCCACATCCCAAGCCTTATCCCGTGGAACCAGATCTCCCACACTTTGGTTAATGTCTCAGGAATTGGATACTATACCACTACATTCACGTGGCCACCGGCATCCTCATCCAGCGTATCGGGTGCTTTCATTGATCTTGGCTCAATTACCCATACGGCTCGTGTCATGATCAATGGGCACCAAGTGCCGACGCTAGACATTTCCTGGGCTAAAGCCGATATCGGATCCTTCCTTCAGCACGGAAAGAACACCCTGGAGGTTGTTGTCAGCACGACGTTGGGTAATGTGCTGCGGACGTATTGGGATAAGCTTGAAACGAGTGGGAAGCTTGCATCAGTCGTTTTTGCTGACCCACCAGCGGAGGAGGATTATGGTCTGATTTATCCTGTGCAGGTTATACCCTATCGCGAAGACAAGGTCTTGTAATCTGTACACAAGAAGTGTGATGTCCTAATGATGAATTTCACGTTCCGTCTGAAAAGAATGAATAAAATAGAGAAGCAGGGTATTCAGAAACAACCAGAGCGCCAACTCAGCTAATTAAAGTCGTGAATGAAAGCGGAAATATCATCACAAAAGTCATCTTCTTCAGGTGGGGTAAACTCCTCAATACCCATGACAGGGAAAGCTGCAACCGGGGCTGGTGAAGGGATTCGCCCTTTGGTGGTATCGATGATTTTTGGAGGAACATGACCTTGAGTAGCATCGATAATCGCATTGCGAAGAGTGATCTGTTGTCTTCTGTGCAAGGCCTGCTGACGGAAGAACAATACCTCCTTGATACTTCTCGTCGACTTAAGTCAGCTCAGTTCTACTTGACAAATAGTGGAAACTTACACTGCGGTTTTCCAGGCCTCGATATTGACTTCAGCGTTATCAAAACGCCAGTCGAATTGTAAGTCTACTACCGGCTCATCCGTGGGGTCGTGGTACGTTGCCACATAAGGATGCGAGAGTGCAACCTCTGCACTGATACGCTCGTCAACGTCGAAAGAAAGCATTTTTTCGAGTATATCGAGGGCTGTATCTATAAGTTACTGACTTATCATTTGGAACTCCTTGGATGCATACCTTCACGATCCATATCAGGGAATGTTTCTGTCAATGGCCGTCGCTCGCACTTTGGTAAAGACTGGACGAAAGCCCTCGTCTTGAAGACCGCATTCTTGTCAGTGGGTTCCAAGCCAGGCACGTAGATAGACGTACATTATTATTCTTAATTTTGTCCACAATATGTTCTGACGGGTTTCCTAGAAGGTTAACGAAAAGGGCGAATTGATCGGGATGGCTGTTAGCTGGAAACAACGGAGTTCCTCTCAGCATCTCTGCCAAAATGCATGCGGCGCCCCAGATATCCATCTTTTCGGAATATTCTTGCCAATTTAGCATGATCTCTGGAGCGCGGTAATATCGCGTTGCAACGTATCCGGTCATTTTGAAGTCTTGAAGTCGAGCATGGCCGAAATCGCATATTCTCAAGTCGCAGTTCTCATCAATGAGTATACTATGTGGCTTCAGATCACGGTGGATGATGCCGGCCGAGTGAACATATTTTAATCCACGCTATTTTCGTTAACTGTTATTCAAGATCTGTGCAGTGAGCATGAATTTCAATTACCAGGATTTGATATAAAAAACATTTGGCAAAGTCGCCATGGAGGGGGCCTTTTGCGATGAGGACTTGTAAGTTGGTCCACATTAGGTCCGTCACAATATACCTGTGATCATTTAGTAAGCCGAACTACCATCAATCTTGAAGGGATTTTCATCACATACAAGTCTTCTTGCGGAGAGATAAAGACGTCGGCAAGACCGATTATCTGCCAGTATATCAGCCACGTGGCTTTGGGCATCACATGCTTCTATGGCGGAGACTTACATTTTCATGTCGCATATATCGAAGAAGCTTCACTTCACGAAGCGCGCTCTTCGCGAGCATAGAAGAACCAAACGGTCTAGTGATTTTCTTCACAGCGACCAGTTTGTTTAGAATGCGATCTTTTGCAGAGCTAGGGAAGTTGGTCAGTCATAAGACTATTGCGAATTCATTGACACAGGCTTACCATATCAGCCCAAAGGCGTCTAGCTCAACAGGCAATGGATCCGAATAGCTATGAACAGATTAGCTTTAGCCTCGGCGGGTCAGTGATCACGGCTCCGAATTACCGTGAGGTGAGCTCGAACTTGACGCCCATGATGGGCGTGCATACAAATTCCGACATTCTTGCGCAACTTTGAGCCGACCGGGGCTGCAACGACAGCAACAGCTGTTATAAAGGAAGGGGGTGATCAGATGCACGCGGATGCGGACGAGGGGAGCTAGAGGTGCAGGAGCTACGAGCGTAGATCAGTCTTGAACTGGACTCCCGGGTTGAACTTGTTCTTTGGATCGCCCTATACCTAAACGGTCCCAGGCCCAGACCCGTTCCATGTTTCATAAAGATTTACCAATGAAAGGCCGCGGAAAAGCTCCCCCAGGGTCCAGCCACAGTAGAGACGGAAAGTGTCTGGACCCAGATGGCGCAGCGTGATTGGCTGGTCTGCAGTGCCGACCAGAAACTTGGAACTTGAATGACATCCTGTTTTGTGTCACGCTAGTCCCACCCCGGCCTAGCGTTTCATCTATACATCGCCAGCTCGTGACGGTTCCTTGGTTACGTCTTTCCCCCTCCTTGATTTTGCCCTTGTTTCATGTGCCGATCAGCTTAGTATGCTCTCCCCACTCGCCACAATGTGGATCACGGAATCAATACCGATACCGAATTGCCCCTGCTGCGCCACAGCTTCCAAAGATCTGATTGCTTCTTGCCCTTCCGCCAATCACAGACCCCAGGTTATCATTCTCCGCAGAGATCATCTTATGTTCACATCTCATGTGGAATCCCCGCTATGGATCGCGATCGACTACAATCGTTTTTCTTTCCTCTCCACCTCTCTGCTTTTTTACGTTGAGGACCTTTAAAAGCGGCTACCATTCATATTACAGTACACTACAGCGCTTATGGATCGATCAAGTGCGTCTAACCGCTGCACGATAACATACAGCCCTTATCCGAAAGTACGACGCTAGGCCGAGGTCTTGGCAACAACCCGAGTGCCCCGTTCTGGCTGACTCGGTTAAAAAGACCGACTATGTCATCTCCCTTGACTAGGGCCGAAGACCACAGTGCTGGGCGACGAGCGAGGGAGGTTTATCGCTATTTCCGCCCGGAGCGTCTCTGTCCTATCGATGAAAACTCGGCACCCGGCAGTGACAATGGCTCGATTCAGGATCTTCTTCACACTTCAACTGCATCGGCCGCTCGAGGTCGTTCGCCATGCAGTCCATCACAATCCCCACGGTCCCCGAAATCATTATCCCCGGAGCCGGTAGCGATTCCTCCAAGTCCTATATCTGAATCCCTCATCCTTGGCGGTGCAAACACCACTCTAAATTCCTTCGCACAGCTGGCTGCACTGCGACTGGATGTAGACCGCGCCTTCATCAGGTAAGAGTTTACGTCTCCAAGTTTCGAGTTCATCATGTGTCCTAATATTAACGAAATTCATACCTCTAGTGTATCTGACAGGGACTCACAGTACATCATCGCACAGGGTGGTCAGACTGTGGAAAATACAAACCAGTATGACCTGATCGGAGAAGGCGTATATGCAGGCTGTTCGACGCTTGATGTGTCCACCTGGAATATGTGTCAGGTAAATCGCGCCCTGAACCATCAATTCAACTCACTCTGGAACCGCTTGACTAACTTTCGACACAGGACACCGTCGCATTGCCCCGATCAGATCGAAGGCAAGCAGAATACAGTTTTGTTGTCTCGAATGATATGGCTCAGGACGAACGCTATCAAAATCTGCCCCTAGTAAAGGAGAAACCAAACTTTCGATTCTATGCCGGCACACCCTTGACCACAGATAGCAATATCAACGTCGGATGTCTCTTTGTTCTCGACACAAAGCCCCACTCGGAATTTTCTGACAAAGACAGAGTCACCATGGGTCAAATGGCAATATTGATCATGGACTTCCTGAAAGTCAGTCGCCAGGCCACAGAAGGCCGGCGCGCGGCTCGCTTATTGCGAGGAGTTAACAGTTTCGTTGAGGGTCGGTCAAGCCTCGTTGATGATACAGGGAGCACCGAAAGTTCAAACTCAGAGTCTGTGGGTGCATCTAGGAGCAGAAAGAGAAGTCGTCATCGGAGGAATAGCAGTGTATCTTCCCTTTGCTCTCGCTCCAGCAGTAGCAGTGCAAATTCATTATCCGATTCCGAACCCTCTGGACCGTCTTCCTCCTCAAGTTACAGTTCAGCAAATCCGAGCGCACCAGGGAATACGCAAAATTCAACGGACAACAAAATGGGAAATTCGTGGACATTTCGACGTGCCGCAAACCTCATACGCGAGAGCCTCGAGCTCGGCGGTGACAGTGGTGTGGCCTTCTTTGAAGCCGGTAATGATTTCATGCTAGATCGCAATAGCGATAGTGAATCTTCTTCCAGCTCTATTGAGAATGGCAAGGTTGCTTCCATTCTTGGTCTCTCCACGGCGAACTGTTTGCACGGTCCGCTTGAAGGATCGGCTTCGTCCTATCCCGTCACAAATATGGACGAGGAATTCTTGCACCGTCTTCTGAACAGATATCATAAGGGCAGGATTTGGTCTCTTCATCGCGACGGCCAACTTTCTAGCTCTGACAGCGAGGATGGATCTCGGAAACAGTCTATTTCGGGAAGGAACTCCCCTCGATCAATGCCTCTCGGAAGTTCAAAGCGGCGGAAACTCAAAGAGAACAACATGCTAAATCAGTACTTTCCTGGTGCTACTCAAGTCATGTTCGTACCATTGTGGAATGCCGCTAACTCGCAATGGTTTGGTGGCTTTTTCTGCTGGAACAACGTGGAGAGCGATGTTTTCGACCCTTCAGTAGAACTTGGTTCTCTGTTGAGTTTTGGATCATCCATCATGTCTGAATGTAGTCGAATCGAATCTCTGATTTCAGACCGCCAAAAGGCCGATTTCCTTGGCAGCATATCGTAAGTCAACCTGAACGAATTCAATATATACCCCAGGCACCTAATTCTGTTACCTAGGCACGAACTGCGAAGTCCTCTTCATGGAGTTCTAGCGGCGGCAGAAATTCTGCAGAGCACTGACCTAAGTCAGTACCAGAGCTCTTTAATGGATACCGTCAACGCATGCGGTCGGACCTTGCTGGATACCATGAACCAAGTCTTGGATTACAGCAAGATCTTATCTCTGGAAAAACGATTTCGACATCTAGATCGACGAAGGATTTCAAGCTTGGAACTCAAGAGAATGCATCGGTCTGCAGCACACCTGGACAAATATACCGCAACAGACCTATCCGTCTTAGCTGAGGAGGTGGTGGATGGAGTCTGTCTGGGTCATAATCATATCCAGAAGTCCTCCTCCTCTTCCCATGTTCTGACGTCTGAAACAAAGCACGGCACGGCTAGTGAGAATTCATCAGCCCCAAAACTCGACATTACAATCGACATATCCCCCAACAACTGGGTTTACAACATCCCCCCGGGGGCGATTCGTCGCATCATCATGAACATCTTCAGCAATGCGATCAAATATACAGAGGCAGGCCAAGTGTCATTACGATTGGAAGCTGACAGCTCGTCCTCACGACACAATACTCAAGAAGACATGATCACCTTGACCGTGGCTGATACTGGCAAGGGTATCTCGGAAGAATTTCTACGATCTAATCTTTTCGTTCCCTTCATTCAAGAAGATTCTCTCGCCAGTGGCTCTGGACTGGGCCTTTCTATTGTTCGCAGCTTGCTCAAACCCCTCGGCGGAAACATCAGCTTCCAAAGTAAGCCAGGTGCCGGAACGACCGTGAAGGTTACTCTGCCTCTGGTCCGTCCAGAGCACGAGTTCGAAGCTTATTTCGGATCCTCACCACCACCCACAAACGAACGACCAACCGTATCAACTGCTGCCCATCTTCTACGAGAGAAATATGCGGGACGAACCATCGCCTTTGTCAATGCAAACTCCAAGGATGCCTCCAATAAACCATCCGAGTCACCCTATCTAACCGACTGGTTTGGTTTCAAGATGGCATCAGCTTCATATAAAAAGCCCGTCGATCTTGTTTTCCTTGACTCATTACCATCCAAAGGGGATACTAGCAGCATATTTTCCGACCAGAACTCATCTCTCCTTGTGTTGAGCAACGATTATGTTGGCCACGACTCTATACAAGTTGAGACCGCATTTGGGCCTCGCGATATACATATAATCAGCCGTCCATGCGGTCCGCACAAGCTTGCTCGAATAGTGAAGGGATGTCTAGATAGAGAGCTACCCAAAACAACGGCGAAACCGATCAGTCTCCCCGAAAGATCTTCAGAACGACCCAAAAATGAAGATACGACAAACGAGAACGACATTTCGGATAAGGAAACTCAAACTCCAGACACAGCTCCGACAGGGACGGCCGAGCCTTTAACAAACTCCACCTCCGACAAACCTGAACCCTCAACGGAAAAGCAAGGCCCTCGGATTTTGGTAGTCGAAGACAACAAAATCAACCTTAACCTGATGCTCGCTTTCCTAAAGAGACGCGGTCTAGCCGCCTTGGACTCAGCTGAGAACGGCAAGCTAGCCGTATCTGCCGTGAAAGAAGAGCAGCAGGGGTACGATATCATCTTCATGGGTAAGTTTTTATCTCTCAAACTACCAATTCAACATTCATACTAAACAATCACCAGATATATCAATGCCCGTCATGAACGGCTTCGAGGCCGCACGAACAATACGTGCATTTGAAAAGTCACGAGGTGAGGGGTGGAAGCGATCGAAGATCGTCGCCCTCACGGGACTCAGCAGTGTAGCTGATGAGACGGAAGCCCTTGAATCTGGAATTAACTTGTTCCTCACGAAACCCGTTGCGTTTAAGGAGGTCAAGAAGATATTGGATCGTTGGGATCAGGGGGAAAGCGATGCTAAAGAAGAGGCTGGAGCGTCTGAGTGAGACTTTGGAGTCCAGAGTCGAAATCTCGACGATGTATAACGACTTTAACGAATCTTATGACTTACGACAACTGTACATACATCTTCCATGATCAATGTTTGCTTTCTTCAAGGGCCTGTTTCAGACTCTTGAGATCGGGGGCTTTTTAAATTGAAATGGAGTTTTGGATGAACCCTCCATCAGACCATCTGCATATGGAATGCAGTGATTGTAGCCCAGAAATAATTCTAATGACTAAACAGAGTGTGGAAGTATAAAGTCGTGGGGCTAAGGGGAAGGTTAGGAAATTTCGGTGAACAGTGGCCGATTTATCACTGCGATATATGGTTAGGCTTCTTGGCATATAAAAACCTGATGGTGATATCATTCACTGGCCCATTCGACGTGTAGTTCGTGTTTATTGGCGCCGTGCAATCTGCTCCACAGACAGATTGTTTTTCCTAAACGAGGGGTATTCAAGTCCACTTACGTGCATTCCAAAGCTTGTACAACTTCAAAATCGCTTTTCGAGAAATCGTTGCATTCTTTGACATTATCATACAGCATAAATAGTCCAAGCGGTCCCAGAATCCCGAGGTTTCAACTTAAACAGAACATCCTCCTTCCAATTCCCTTACCCGCCTAGCAGAAAACGCTGCCTTCATACCCGGCGAATGTCCGACTGTCAAATTCTGCAGCAAATCTTTGTAATCGAACGCAGACAAACCATTGTGATCTTTTTCTTCGGCATCAACTTTGTCAGAAGCAAGAAGCAAACTAGTCACACCAGGACTATCATGCATAAAGGCAACATGAAGCGGTGTTCTCCCGGAAGCATCTTTTGCATTAACAACTACCTTATCGGACTCAAGCATGCACCTGATAAAGGGTACATTCCCGCTCGATGACGCATAATGTAGTGGAGTCTCCCCATCGTAGTCGCGGGCATTTGCGTCGACTTGATCGTAGCTCAGAAGGAGCTTCGTCATTTCTTCGTCCCCGTATTGCGCGACTGCGTGCATGACGGTCCATCTATTGATGTTCAGGAGGCGACCGTTGACCTTGAAGGGGGGGTCAATCTGGCCAGAGTCTATGAGGACTTTTAGGGTGGCTGAATTTCTGCTTTTAACGGCTTGGTGAATGGGCGTTATCATCTCTTTGTCCTCTTTGTCTGCATCGGTGTGATTCAATTGGAGCAAAATCTGGGTGATTTCACCTGTTTTGTCGTATTTGGCAGCTAAGTGGAAAGCGGTTTGGCCGTCCCGATTCTTGGTGTTGGTTTTGACTTTGCCTGAATTGAGGAGGACCTTTGCGATGGCATTGTTGCCAATGCTGATAGCTTTGTGAAGGGGCGTTGCTCCATGCATGTCGTCTTTCTCATCAAGTAATGTCGATGGGAATGTGAGAAGAAGGCGTGCGATAGGGTCAGTATCCATCGAATCAAGGGCCATGTGTAATGGTGCTCGGCCAAAGTCGTCCTTGGCATTGAGATTAGTGCGTGTAGATTTGATGAGAATCTCGGCGACTGAGTTGTTTTTCCTCTGGATTGCAACATGAAGAGCATATCGTCTGTCCTTGCTGGGTATGTTGGCGTCTACAGTGTTTGTACCGAGAAGATGTGTCACGATGGCTTCGTGTCCGGAAGCAGCAGCGAGGAAGAGGGGAGTTTGCCCAGATTGGTCGGTTGAATTTGGATTGATTTCGCCGGTTTGTAGGAGTACCTTCACGATCGATTCAATGCCTTTTTCTGCGGCAAGGAGCAATAGCGTGTGACCATCGTCAGTATTGGTGTCTAGCATATTGCCCCCAAGCAACCGAAGTAATGAATCAATGCTCTCTGGAGCCTTTGCTTGTTCCAGTTTGCAGACGGCGTGGTATAGGCAGTTGGACTTTGCGTAGGATAAAAACGAAAACCTCTGGTCAGCTACAGATTGATGCCCGGGACGAAGCTGTTCCAGGGTTTTGCCCAAGTCAAATCCTGGAGTTTTTCTGAGTTTCAAAAGGCTCATTGCCAGATCCCGAACAACATTCGGTACTTCAAAGACAGATTCCACAATTTTTGCAGGCGCGGAATCAACATGCAGTGGTGTCTTCACTCGAGTCGATATTTGCGTCTCAAAGACGCCGTAGTTGAGATAGGTTATTACTATGTCAGCCATCTTGCGTTGTGCTTCCTCAAGCGTGAATCTTGATGGAACCATAGGCTCTGAATCCACGGCTTCTGACCCAATCAAGAACTGTCTGACACTGCTATGGACAAGCCGCACGGTATTCTCTTCTTCGTCAATTGTGAGTAAACCTCCGCAGCATGTCAAAATACCGAATATATCATTGACAAGCTTCGACGGGTTCCAGGTAGTATTACCAGGTTCCACACTGAGGGCCTCCCGCAGTTCTCCGGGATTCAGTGGATGTCGAGCTGCGACAATTATCTCCAGTATTGATTTCTGATGAGCTCTGGCTAGGTTCGAGTCAAACCTTCGGAGGATGCGATTAAATGTTTCGGAGAGGGTACGTGGGAGATCGACTAGTGCTTGACGAATAGCTTCATCTGTGCACATCGTGCAAAGATTATCTATTTGGAGAGCCACCCAAAGGAACATCCCTTGGGATCCTTTCAGTAGAGCGTCTTGTATCTCCAAGATGAGGAGTGGATTTCCGATCGTCAACTTTCCTGATCTGATGCAGAGTTCCAACTCCGTCTCAATGAACACTTCGATATCGCTGGCATTGTCTGGAGTTGCAACAATTTCAGCAGACTCCAATCTCTCCCACGCCAGGTCAATTCCATACAGATCTCGAGGTTCTTTCCGAACGGAAGCACAGACCAGAAGCGAGATCCTTTGTTGAAGCCATCGTAGTTCTTCGATCACAATCTGTCTGTCCGCGGTTTCGCACTCGTCTAGACCATCGATCACAAGATAAGCCTTCAGCTCCGGAGGAAGACAAGTTTCAATCAGGCGTCTTATTGTTCTAAATTCATCAGGCTCTCCTTTAAGGTCAAGATTCCTGACTTTGTCTGCCATCCCTGGTGTTGACCAAAGCAGCTGTCGTGCTATCGAACCAATAATGTTTCGAGGCTTCAGACTCTCTGGGAGATCATGCCTGCTGAAGAAAAAAGCCACGATGACGTTCTGCCCTTGGATTTTCAGGTTTAGGTCATCAACCATATTGGCCAACAAGACCGACTTCCCGGAGCCCAGTCTACCCGTAAGAATCACAGAGCATGATGAGGCTCGCTCCCGCCAGTCAATATATTGTGGGCATTGGCAGAACAGGTTCGTGTTACCAAGTCTTCGCGCTTGCTTCCACGGTGCCATGTAGTCGTAAGTGGAACAAAACTCCAGTGCTGCAAGATATGCTTTCATCTGACGCTGATGCGTGATTTCTTTTGAGTATTTCCTTGACCAGAGCTGGGTGGTAAAGCTGGCTTGTTCCTCAATTCTCTGGGCCATGAGGTAGTTCACCTCATCTTTGATGTCCCTGGCTCGCGACTCCAGCTGTGTTCGAAAATTAGTCAGATAAGAGTCATCTAGTGTGGCACTTAATTGTCCCAGGGTCGATTTTCGAGTAAACTTTAGGATGCGATGGCAAAGCAGAACCACTATTGTGAAATAATCAAGCAGCAGCGATTGTAATTCCTTGGACCGAGGATACAGAACAGCAAGCTTCTCGTAACGCGGTGCTGAGCGACCAATGATCATAAAAAGATTGGATATCTTCTCAAAATATGACGAGAAGTTAAGTACCAGCTACGAGATATGTGAGCAATTGCCTTCCGCTTCTGGTAGAGAATGCATATTTCAGTGAGCAATCGGGGTGTACAAACCGTCAAAGATGTCCTTACTAATGCCCATACTCCACTGGCCACCAGATTCTGCGTTCCTCCAACAATTATGTCGCCCAAAGAGACAAATTGCTGCACGGATTGCAGAAAGCTGGTCGTTCTGGTTCCTAGGCAGCGACCACGTACTTTATTGGATAATCGTTCATCAATATCCGCAGTGAGCTGCATCACGTCTTGAATCGATGGCGGCTCCTCACATGCGCGAGATCTGTAGCGATTGAACGCCTCCTTTTGGTCTCGGGTAAGGTCCGCCTCATACTCGGACACCGCTTGTGCCAGGCGGATGGCAGGCTTCAAGCGTGGAGCAGATATCAGCCCCTGTGGCATACTAACCATTCTGTAGGACAGTCACCCAGCATGAGAATTGATGGTGCATTAGTGTCGTCGCGGAGTGAACAGCTTCGCAGTTGGAATGAGTCTAATCGACGGGTGGGGTATTCGTCAGGAACGGGGCCAATTGTCGGGGGCGAAATGCTACGTTCACCGCCCGTGTGCAGGAAAAAGCGCATCCATGAAGCGCAAGGGGGTAGAGATCACATTAAAGGTTCCCTTGTCTGTGAGAAGATAGGTCACCTGATCCTGCACACTGCCTGTGCAAAGTCGCAAATGGGGAACCGATCGCTGCGTACATCCCGTTATTGCACAGCCACATACTTCATGCAGGCACTGGTGTTCTTTTTATAGAAGCTTATGCCGGTACATAGCATATTATCAGCCACATGAAGTTCCTTGATAGCCTACAAATCTCAAATCAAGTCAGCATTCAATTCAAACTGGAGTGAAGAGCGAAGCAAAGGGAAACGAGGATTTTGTTTACTTGCTTCAACCATGGGTCATACCCGCTATATAGTGGACACCCCCAAGCATCTGTCCAATCAACTCTGGCCCACCCCATACGCATCGATCACATTGGGGGTCACTCCCGCTCTCTCCTCTCTTTCTCCTCCGTCTCCGCCCTCAACTTCGCCGCCTCTTCTTCTCGCGCCTTCTTTTTCTCCTCCTGCTTGCGCTCTCTTTCTTCCCGGAGCCACTCCTCCAACTCCCGGGTCTTGATCCCCCAATGCTGGACCTTTTTCGGGTCCTCGAGGCACAACATCACGAGCTCGCGGGTCGCCAGCGTGTCCTCCAGGGCACAGTGTCCAAGCTTGCTTCCTTGGATGCCGTATCCAAGGAGCTCTCTAGTCAGGGTCTTCAGGCCCCAGATTCTCGGGACGGACTTTCCGACAGGGTGGTCTGGAAACACTGCGTCACAGGTGAGGATTGACGAGTCGACAATGCGTAGGTGAATGAAGCGCAGAACATTCAGATCATTGTAGAGGGCGTGCCCGATGAGCACGGTATCAAAGTCGGCGAAGCTGCGCAACCGATCTCTAGCCTCTTCCCACCGAAGTCCTTTGCCCGTACGCATGGCCTCATTCATTGCCTGACGAGTCACACCGCTATATCGGGTATTCCAGCTGATCACTTCTCCTCTTGGCTGCACGTAGTGATTGATAAGTATTTCACCAGTCAGGAAGTCGAGAGCGGTCAGAAAGGCGAGTTCCATACGGCCTCCGGATAGCGACACCATCTCACAGTCCATAACGATGGCCTCTCGCTTTGGGTGCGCTCGAGATGGTATGGGGAGGGTGTCTAACTCTCTTAGCGGTATCGATTTGTCTGTTGTGTTCCTCCTTTTTGCTGCTCCGTTGCATGGAATGGTAAACCGATGCGCAAGAAGGACACTTGCTGGATGACATTTCGATATTAAGTCGTTCAAGAGGACCTGATTCCTGGCAGAAAGTGAGGCAGGCTTGATGGCAGGGCCTGAAGGGTATGTAATGGAGCCTAAGATTAACACACAGCTTTAGTATAGACGTACGCGCAAAAAATGGAAGACCTATCACTTACTTAAGAGGTTTGTTGATGTGTTGGGTGCATGCTGCATGACAAGGGCCGCGCTCCCCGAGGGCACAGGTGTTGACGTGCTAGATTCTGACAAGTCAACCCATAGATCAGGGTTAGACTGAGTTACACATCGATCTGGCTCATTTCTCCAAGTATCGGGGCCAGTATCGGGGCCAGCTACCCAGGGATCAGCGTCATTTGTTGTTGTGTCAACACCTCGCTTCTTGATATCACGACGTCTTCGAGCGGCCTTCTTGTTGGAGAGCATGCCATGCAGCCGCGGCGAGGCGTTAGATACTCTATCTGACAATATGAGACAAAAGGCGCAGAGGCGAAAGTTATCTTGAGATCCACAAAGATGCAAAGGTTCAAGGTCTGTTTGCTGGTTAAACAGCACGTAACTCTGAAGGGAGAGATACACAAGATGTTGAAAGAACGAGGCTGTTGATCTACGCTAGCCCAATATGGAGTATGGAAGCTTTGCGCCTTCTGTCAGTAAATTTCAGAATGTCCACGTGGTCCAAGCAGTAAGGTGATTCTAGAACTCACTATCTAGTTGTTACTAGAACTAGTTACACAGCAGGTCACTCATGACTGCGCCCGTATTCTGGAATACCAGCCTTCACTCAATTTCCTTCAGTCTCATTGATGAGTCATAACAATATCATAGTCAATTGAGCTTCCACAATACCGATCATTTTATGTCTTCAAAGCACTGAGATCCCATTCTCATCGTCACGTTTGCTTACAGTCAACCGTTGAACAGACCTGCAAATTTCGTATCACAAATTCATACATGTCGAGAAGAGGATGTGAACAAACATCTCAAGTAGATACTTTCTCGTCCTTCGTGGCCTTAGCATCCCACATCAACAACCCACAACCAACACAATTAACCGAATGGATGATGGTCTGAGGCCATGTTCGTGGGATCCGCATACGTCTCGCTAAAGCAATACTGGTTTCCTCGTTGGATAAACCGGGATCAAGACCCATGTAGGTAATTTGATCAGCAGCAGGGTGAATCTTTCGCTCGTAGGCCCATACACATCCCTTGCAACAGTAGTGTGGAGTGGGGTCCACATGAGGGCGCTCCACATGTGGGAACCACGAGGCGATTGCGCCGATCATAGGGTTGAAATGCTCATACAACGGTCGACGTGGGTATGGAGCTTGCAAAGGATCAGTACCGAATGGGAGCAGGACAGAACGGAGGAACCGAAACAGCTCGGCATCCATAATCTCAAACGAGGTTGCATCGGGGTGACGGTCTGGCGATCGGAGATCGCCTTGGCGCTGCATCTTCGCAACTGTCCCCCAACGCCTGACACCGGCCTCAAAAGCGCACTTAGCGGGAACCATGTACTCGATGTATGTCAGCCTAGCGGGGTAGACTGTAGAACGGTATGATTGTGGCTTTATGCGAATGATAGGGATGCGTCGGAGGTCAGATATGTCGATAGCAAATGCTGTTGTAGCGTCCTCCACCGTGATGCACCAGTAATCCTTGTTGAGATCACAGCAGTTGGGGCAAATGCGTTCACATGTCGGTAGAAAGACGTAAGATCCACTTCCGCCGCATGATCTGCAGTAAGGGTACTGCAGCTCGTTCCTAAAGTTGCCGAGACTGTTCCAGTAGCCTAGTCCCGTGGCTGTGAGGGTCTGGCAAATATGAGAGGCATGCTCCATCACCATCTTGTAGCTTGGGTGGTGATTGACTGCAATGCGAGCAAAACGGCAGGTGCCGGAGAATCGTGCAATAGTTATGAGATCCATGTGGTTGATGATCTCATGCATCACCTCCAGTGACAAGTAGCCGATGAGTCCCAGATTCATGGTATTAGCAGACTCATGCTCGTCGATGTTTGGGAGAGGCTTGAAGGCGCCAAACATTTGGTTGTCGACTTTGTCGTCGAAGGCAATCAAGTTCTTCAGGGTTTCCTCGTCCCAGGTAAGTGGATCCGAATATTGCCGCCATTTGGTATGGGCAAGGTGCGCTGTGATTTTGGGATTACTCATGGCAATGATGCCAGCCGGAATCCTTTGCGCAAACGGTATTCCGAATAGTGGGAAAGGGAGAGGACCCGCCAGGTTCATGATGCCGGTAAATTCACGAGTTTTAAGAGTTTCTGGAGTAGTCGAATGACTGGGGATGCGTTGGGGATGTGTACACAATTTTCCAATTAGGAAGAAATGTGTCAACAGCAAGGATGTTGAGGTGGTATTGGTGTGTGATAAAGAGGAAAGAGAATGGAAAACGAAAAGTGAATGTCGAGAGTTAATGGTAAAGTAAACAAACCGAATCGGGCTCGTGTGATGATTTCCAATTGGGGGTTGGCTAAAGGCATAAACCTTGCACGATGATTGTATAAGCACATAATGTTCATGTTAAGTAGATAAATTATATACATGGCCAAACCGGCGCTGAACGTAATTTCCGAAGCGATAGCTTCAATCAAGAATCGTTTACTCCACCTCTTCCATGGGGTTTGCGAGATGGTCAGTTCGGACGATATAATCCTCATCATCATTTAGCGCACCACCTTGCATATCGTGCTCGTCGTCTTCAACCGAAGCATCAGAATCTGCACCGCTTGGGCTCTTGCCCTTCCTTCCAGCCACGCTCTTGCCTTTGCCTTTGCTGCTCGTTGTGGACTGACCACTGGCACTGCGTACCATTCCACCGGGCCATTGCTTCAATCCTTTGATGCGACCATGAATGCTTCCTGGGTACGAGCCATCCCCGTTGCTGATCGCGATCTCATTCGGAGACTCAGCGCCTCCAAGATTGAATGCTTCCATGGCTTCGGCAATGGTCTGGGGGGCGGCTGCTGCCGGGTCCTGCTTCTGCTTGTCGACTGACTCGAAACTTTGCCGAATTCGCTCAAAATGTTCGAGTTCCTTGGCACTGTTCACAATATTAGTACTAATCTTGAATATACTTCTTTTAGATCCATAAGAGACTTACCTAACAGAAGGAACAAGCTCTCCTTGCGCCGCCACAAAGTCTTCTTCAGTGACATTGACACTCACATCCTCCGGAGTCGCAAGATGGTCGAAGAAGTACGCCGTAGTGACTGGACCGCCAGGAAGTTGCTTGATCTTGTCGTCCACAGCGGTGGACTTTCTTGTGATTGCTTTCAGCATGGCATCAGAGCAAAGAGCATACAAATCTGCACCAGTGTAGGTCAGAGGAAGCTGCTCCGCAACTCGATCTAAAGACACATCGGGATTGAGGGCAAACTTTCGGGTAAGCGCCTCAAGAATTGTAGCTTGCTTCCTGTGCGTATCTGACACGCCCAGGTAAAGCATCTTGTCGAATCGACCAGGCCGGAGAAGAGCAGTGTCGAGCAGATCGGGTCGGTTAGTAGCTCCGATGACGAAAACGCCGCCACTGTTCTCCTCGCCGCCGTTCATCCCATCCAGTTCAGCGAGCAGCTGACTGACAATGCGGTCCATGACACCGCCACTGTCACCCTGGTTACCACGCTTAGGAGCAACCGAGTCCAACTCGTCGAAGAACACGACACAGGGGCGGGCATCTCGGGCGCGCTGGAAAACTCGTCGGACGTTGGCTTCGGACTCACCGATATACATGTTGAGCAACTCTGGACCCTTGACAGAGAAGAAGTTGAGGGAGAATTCGGTAGCAATGGCCTTGGCCAGCAGAGTCTTTCCAGTACCAGGAGGTCCGTAGAACAGTATACCACTCCGCTTCTTCATACCCTTGGCGAACAATTCGGGCCGCTCGAGTGGCAGCTGGATAGTTTCAACTAAGGCATCCTTCACGTTGCTTAGTCCACCAACGTCATCCCAGCTGACGTTGGGGATCTTGGGTGCACCAATGGAGTCGGCGAAGTTCTTCCGAGCAGCCTCAACTGCAGCATCGAAGTCGGCCTTGGTGACACCTCGGGCCCCGTCTCCACCAGAGAGCAATACATCCCGGACACAGACTTGTGATCCGGTGAGTTGTTTGCTTGCAGCCTCTGCAAGACCCTCTAGACGGGCAGTCCTAGCTGTGGCAGCTCGTTCCACAACATCAACCAAGTCTCCAGCAACCAGCGCTGCGGTCTTCAAAGCAACAGTTCCCAGCTCTACATCAGAAGATAGTTTGATGCCACGTTCTGCAACTACGTTCCGAAGAATGCCCTCACGCTCCTTCTCTTCGGGTGCTCCCATCTCGAATTCATGGGTGAACATGCTGCGGATTCCTTCCGGAATTTCTTCGACATCGGTAGTTGTGGCGATGATAACTCTAGCTTCATTCGCGATATCAGTCATGGCAGTGACCATTCGATCTGCTGTCAAAACCTCAATGTGCCTGATAAGCAAGGCGGTGCAATTTGATCCGCAGTGGAAAGCCCGTTCCGCCCGTGCTTTGAGATATGCCTCTGTCTTCACATCGCCGCCGTTTGCACCACCCTCGGTAAGAATATCATAAGAATCAATGGGGAAAGTATGGAGTCCAATATCGGCGCATGCTCGGGTAGCAATTGTCGCTTTACCGATGTGTCTCTGTTGAGAACTCAAAAGAATAATAACGGGCTTCATACCCAATTGGATTGCACGCGGGCTTGTGGCTGCCGCCATCAAGTCACGGATTCGTTGCTGCAAAGGAGGGATAAATGCCTGGGGAAGGTCTGTGACAATTCCATGAGCTGCTGGGGCCTGGTCCACAGATTTCGGGACGGCCTTGACACCAAGCCAGTACTCCCATCCATTGCCCAGAATTCCAGGGACACGGCTGACATCGCTGCCAGCCTGAACCATCCGAGTACTCGAAGGGTCGATGACTGCAACACCACCCCACTGGTCTTCGTCGGTCTCTTCGAATTCTTCAACTGCAGTCGGCGTTACTTGTCCGACCCGGAACCAAGCAACACCAACCTTCCGAGCCGCAGAATTATCATGATTTGAGCCCTGGCCTAATCTAGAGGTAATATCATCCTCCTGATTTGCCGTGTCACCTCCCGCAGTTCCAGAAAAGACAGCTCTGCCTAATCCTTCATCGACGCTGATACCAACCAGATCACCGCTCTTCAAAATCCGTCTGCGAGATTCGAAGTATTGCTTCAGTCCAGCAAACAGCGCCGGTTGCAAAACCCGATCCATGGAAAGTGGAGTGGAAACTTTGAGTAGGGTGACTTCCTTGGCCAAAGGTGGGTTCTTCGCGGCTGTATTCTTCATGTGGTGCAGAAGACCAGGCTTCGCAGCACTGACGACGGGGAATGTCATGGGGGAGATGCGCAAATACTTTGGGTTGTCGATATTGCCCAACAGCAAAGGCGGCACAAAAATTGAAGGAGTTAAGCGTGTCTGGGGACGCTGTGAGAAGCTTGATCGACGATCTCCGGAGTGATTAATGGCATACCGAGGCTTCGATGATGGAAGTCCTGGTAGGCCAAACACCTTAACTGGGCGCCAGTCACCAGAATCCTCCGGAGACTCATTAAAGCTCCCGAATTTAAGCGAGGCAAACATATTAAGCTGAGGTTCCTCTGTGGCCTCAATTCGCACCCAGTCTCCAGAGAAACAACCAATCTTGGCTAATGTGTTGATATCAACGAACACAAAAGAGTCGACATCTTCGTCATCACGAGGGCGTGGGTGCAAAACTTCATTGGGAACTTGCTGCAAGAGTCCTTCGACCTTGAAGACCTTTCCACCGCCGCGACCAGGTCGCATAGTCGCTGATGTGAAATTAGAAGCAACCGACCCGGGAGTATGTATGCCATCGGTTCGGCGCCCTCCCGCACGAGGAGTCGCAGATGTCATTGCAGACATCACACCTGATGGAGGCTGTGGCAGCTCCGGGGCAGATAGGGATATCATATCTTCCAGAGAATCATCAGAAGAATCGCTGAGGGACCCAGCAGAGCCTTCAGTTTCGGATTCTTCGGCGGCAGAAGTGGTTTCCATGTCCGTCGCACTTTCTCCGGGCTTATCCTCAGCGGCTGAGTAAAATTGTTCATTGGAAGTATCATCGGCTTCGTCCTCCGCGACCTGTTTCAACAGAGCCGATCTCGGGGGCATTATCTGCTGGCTGCGATTTGCCTGCGAGCGAGCGTGAACAAGCACAATCTTTGTCGCAGGCATCAAAAGTCCTTGTGAGACTGGCTCGCAAAAGGATATACGGGCGGGTGGAGCGGGCGCATAAGTGATAGGATGCGCTGGCAGAGGGAGAGGTAAGACATCCCCGGTATGGACAATGCGCTGCGTAGCTAATGCCTCGCGCACAGCCGCAGTCAATCGTTGCTCCGCATCGGCCGCCTCTTTCTTTGAATATCTCTTGTTCTCCGGTCCTTTCCCATTCTTTGGCCGCAACCCAGTCGGCCCAGAAATCTGGAAACCACCGCCGAACTTGTTTTGGACATCGTCATGATTTCGCAGCAGATGTCGCTCCACGGTAACAAATACCGTATCCAGGTGCAATGGGGCAACATCGAGGATCCGGATTTCTACACTGCGGTGGGTCTGCAGCGATTGACGTGCAGAGTCGAGCTTCCCAAGAGCCAGAAGGAAAGACTGGAGCGAATCGGCCGATTCAGGGAAAAGTATAGTCGACTGAGATGTCGGCGCCTGTGACCTTGCTGGTTGGATGCGAACGGGGAGAATCGTCCATGTCGAGTCCTCGACAGAGATATAAGTAGGCGTGTGCGGGGAAACTGCAACATACAGAACTCCGTCTCCGGTCGCGGAATCTACCAGTCGTAATCCATCCAGTTAGTTCAATCTGCGATGACTGACCATATCAATTGACCTAATACTACTTACCCAAAAGGGACTGGTGAGAGAACAGGTCATTTGCTATGTCCTCCGATATGACACCAACATTTCCACGGAGCTTGGGGTCGAGAGCTAGACGAGCAGGAATAGGAGGCTTGTTATTCTGTCGCCTTTTTCCCACTCTCTTGCGCCTTTGCTTGGGCTGCTGAGAGCTTTGCCCGAAGTGATCGTAATCCATAGCGGTCCGGGGCGGGCTCCGGGCTCCGATTGCGGTCGGGAAAGGTGCAGAGCGGTTCAGATAAGAGTACTGAAGGGGGTATTTGATGCGATCTATCGGTTCTATCAGGCTGCAGAAATCAGAAAGCAAGGAGCCCGCAAAAAGGAGACGTAGACGCGGAGAGGACGTAGCGGGACTCAGAATCCGGGGGAAACCACCACGCGGGCAACTCGGCACCGCCCGCTATTCTGCCAGTCCCGAAGCCGAGGTCCAATGCGACCCAAATGGGATTAGATCAGGGACATGCCGACAACCAAAAACGCTTGCGAGAATCATTGTGCAGTCTTCACTTACCTTTATTTTGGAGTGGTTAAGAGCTAACGTATTCAATTGCTGATGCTAAGAACATGAAAACCCATTCGTGACCTGCACGGGATTTGAGGCCTAGGGCTTTGTTGTGGTGATGGATACATATACATATATACTCGGCTTGTGACCGGAGTTGTACTCGGTCCACAAAGACACCATACTAACTACCTGCGCCATAGAAATACTGGTCCTGCAGCCACAACCGTGGAGATGCCCACAACAGATCTTTACCTTCCAATGCACTTCAGCTGTTGCTGCCTTGATTATTCCAAGCTTACTGCATGTCGGTCATCTCTTGCCGAATCTAGTGTGTCTTCCAGTATGTGGAGCCCATGTCATCCATGGTAGAGGTTGATTGAAAGATCTCGAGTTGCCCCTCTCTTTTGTCTAATAGAATAACGATTACGGATTTTCACGAATTCAAATAGATTGATATGATATCAGATGGTCTACGAAAGGTTTGAACTGTTGGTGCATATCAGACTTAGATATTAATTACCAAGATGAACATATCAGGTAGTATGAACATCAACATCGAAAGCCAAGCGTTATGAACATGGACGCAAAGCAACATGAACCAGATTTCTTTTTGGAACAGTGTTTCTTCACTGCTGCCACATACCCCAAGCCCTAGTACATAGCAGACTAGTTGGGGCAAGATGCTTCGGGTGGGTGCTTCTTCATCGCCATGCCTCCCCTATGATTGCAGTTATGACCCTTGTAGCCACTCTTCCGGGCACACATTGTCGACTTAGGTGACGAGTTCAAGAAGTCTGTTTTGAAATGCCAGTACTGGAATCCGCAGGAGAGAAGAGTGTGGCCTGTCAGCAGATTCGATTGGCGGAAGCACATGGTGGCGGTATCTGGGAGGGAGGTTAGCACGACCTGAAAGGTAATATAAAATTTGAGTGGGAAGATGGGAAATAATGATTGCAGAAATACATTGAAGTTCTACGAAGTAAACTGGGAGGGGTTGCTGATCAGAGTGTGTGATCAATATGTCAAGAAGGATGGATATGATGTATCAATCCGAAAAGCAGTCGGATGCATAGATTCATGGTGGAAGTCCAAAGTAGTAGAAGCAAGAAGCAGGCTCCAAGGAAGAAAGCTCAAAGTTGGGTTCAGGATTTGGACGAGATGGGAGGTGGATGAGAAAGGGACAAAAACGGAGAGAGAAGGTGAAAAAGTTGAGGCTTTTTATACCTTTGGCTAGAAACCTGGGGTACACCGGGATCGCTGCCTCTCGCTACATCGACCAATAAGAAGCTTTAGAAGCTTGCTCAAGATCGCCATACAGTCCCAACTTTCGTATTTTGGAGATCTGTGATTTTGGTGATCTTGATGATCTGCTTATTGCGATAGGCAGGACTCATGTGTTCCTTTCATGCTATATAGTAAACCCAATGAGCCCTCTTAGGACACTTGTAACTACACTATATGCCTTTCCCAGAATATGTGAAAATAATAGCTACCTACCCGTGGAATTCAGTCTAGATATTACGCAACCTTCAGGGCTACATTGCGAGACTGCGAGCCAAGACACATTGCGCCTGATGAAAGACCTCCAGTACCGTTTCTAGCTTTTTAAACTATCTGGGCTACCTGCAAATCATAAGCTGAATTCTTCAGAGCTCAAAGAGTAGCGTTCTCAATCTCTGTGGCTTTTTCGTTTTCAGCCCTCCAACCCAGGGCTCCACTCCCCACAACTTCCCGATTCGGAAGTTTACACTCGAAAGCTTGGCATTCTCATGGACCACTAATAATCGTTAGACTTTAAGAAATTATATAAAAATGACGGCCACCTTGTGGATACTTTACAACTTTTACCAATCTGAAGCTACACGACAATTATGCGGAGAATGATTATGAAGCAGCTTGACTTGGACTATCCGCATTGGGAAGCCAAGGGTAGAGTGGCCGCGAAGGCTTAGAAATTTCGTTCTTGTATCGGTCTTTCATTATAAAATAAGCACTAGTGTCTGTCATGGCTATTCAATTTGTTTCTAGAGATTCCAGTCTACTTGTGGACTTTTACCATGTCGTCGATCCCGGGCCAAGCGGCTTCTACGCCTGAGATGTCCAAGATGGCAACTCGCTCAGAGCCGACCGGCATACACACAAATGAGCCTGATCTAGAGAAGTTAGGCAGAGATCGCCCTTCTCATTTCTCTAGTCAATGGTCGGAGCTTGCTTTTTGCTTCTCCATTGTCATGTCCCAGATCTTAGCAGTGCGTCACCTCCATGCCCACAGCATCACCACAATCCTAACACCTTTTAGGAATTTTACATCACAGGATCGAACCTCCTCCTACCAACACTTATCACAGAGCTGGATATCCCCGAAGCCTCCACCATATGGCCGACTACAGCCCTCTCCCTCGTGGTGTGTGCCACGCTCCTTATCTTCGGTCGCTTGACAGACATGTACGGAGGATACCTCCTTTATAATGCCGGAGCCATCTGGCTCACAATTTCCTCGATTCTAGCCGGTGTATCTACAACCTCACTCATGTTAATCATTTGCCGTGCACTACAGGGCTTGGCTCTGGGAGCTCTCCTCCCATCCGGAATGATGATCCTTGGTAGCACATATCGTCCAGGCCCTCGGAAGAATCTCGTCTTCAGTGTATATGGGGCCTGTGCAGCCCTGGGATTTTTTGCCGGCTTCTTTGTTTCTGGAATATGTGGCCAATTCCTTACTTGGAGGTGGTATTTCTATATCGGCGCAATTCTGTCCGCTGTCATGGCCGCGTCGTCGATTTTCTCTATTCCCCGGGACTACTATGAGAAGAAAGAGCTCGGGGTCCGTATGGACTGGGCTGGATTGGTACTCTCTATCACAGGCACTACACTCTTTGTTTTTGCACTTGCAGATAGCTCATACGCACCGCAAGGATGGAAGACACCATATATCATTGTCTTCTTTGTACTGGGTATTTTATTCATGGGAGGGATGGCTTATATCGAAGGCTGGATTGTTCAAAATCCTCTTCTTCCAGGTGACATCTTCCATGTGAAGCACATGGCAGCTCTTGTCATTGCTTTATTATTCCTTTATGGAAGCTTGGGAATCTTCCTGCTCTATGGGGTTCTTTAGTGAGTCCCTTACCTTGTGCATTGGAAATTTCCACTGACTCGATGACAGCATGTCCGATTTCATGGGCGGATCGCCCCTTCAAATCGTTGCCTGGACTGTGCCCATGGCCGTCGGTGGCTTGATTCTCTCAGCAACGGGTGGCTTCATTCTGCACAAAGTATCCGGAACCCTTCTGATGCTCATCTCTTGTCTCGGCTATGTGGGCTCAGGACTGCTTTTTGCCGTGATCCCGATCGGCGGGAATTATTGGGCATACATCTTCCCAGCTATGATATGTGGTACCGTTGCAATCGACATAAGCTTCAACCTTGCAAACATCTTCATCACGACCAGCTTGCCCAGGGCAAGACAAGGACTCGCTGGTGCCATCATTTACTGCACTATGCACCTAGGAATAGCCGTTATGCTTGGCTTTGCGGATATTGTCCAGACTCAGACGAAGCACCTTGGTATTCGAGAGAGTTATAAAGTCGTCTTTTGGTTTCAGACAGGGCTGGCTGTTACCGGATTGCTTATTGTTCTGTTGTTTGTAAGGATAAGACATGCGAAGAGTGAGTTGACGGCGGATGAGATACAAGCTCTGCAGACTCGAGAAAGCATGACCAGGGAAGTTTGACTAGTCAACATTCAGTCAGCCAGATAGTTCTCTATCTTTGCCAATCAGTCCAATACTCGTCGTCCAATTACTGTGACGGTTTGGGCAATGTAGTAATGAGACATTGTATGGAATTGAGTCAAAAATCGCTCGGGTCCAAACTCCAATCTAATCGGAGACATGCCCGATGATCCAAGCCAACAAGTGATAAGCCTCAAATGAATTGAGAGGCCTACGAGAAGGCCGAGACTATTCGAGATTGACACTTCAGGCAGAAATATTTTTATGCCTTCGCAACGATGTATGAGCGATTTGGCCAGAACCTAATTGGGCAACGGGAACATACCCGCGGAATGCTCATTCTGCCGCGTAATCCCCGAACCCTTCTACCTGGTAACTGTGAACCGAAAAGGTTTCATGATCCTCAGTACTCAGGGTGAAGAAACTTTGGAGCCTTGATAATTGACGTTTGAATCAGAACTATAGGATACATCTGTTGGGTTTTGTAAAAATATCCCGAGGTTCATGATGTGCAGGTAAGAGTGTCAAGACTTCTGCAAAGTTCAAACCAAGGTCATGTATCTCCCAGTCTCAGCATTTGAGCACAGCAGCTCTGTTTTCTTTTCACGGTGTCTTCTCAGCTGTTGAAGAGGCAAGCTTTCGGGATTGAGATGCCACTTGGCAGCCGGGCGCACCGGCCGGGAATATCAGGCAGCAATTGAAATACGTGGCCGAGCCATCCGAGAGGCTCACATTTCACGTGCATAGAAGCCCCACCGTACCAACGGATTTCCATTCTTGTACGGAGTACTCCGTATGGAGTGGATACTAAGTGGGTCGGAGGAACCAGTTCCCTTTTTCTTTTTCTTTTCTTTTCAAGGGGCCCTCGGGCCCCGATACTATTTTTGAACTGGGAAATTGGGATGGCATGACGGTCGTAGATAGTGATATGCAACAGGAAAAGAAAATCGGATTAAGAATACAAGATCCGTGCATCTTCGTCAGCATAATTGATTGTGAATGGTAGGCAGACGGATTTTCCAGTGCTGACATGGACAACAGATCGGATGAATTTATTGAGCCGCAACACAGGAATGGACCCCGTTGATGTTTCCATTTTGGGAGTCCGAGGGAGGGATCCTGCACATTACGGGTAACTTACGTTGGTACAGGGGAATGGGGCCATTTTCCCACCAAACTTCCCCGTGATATTCAACAATACAAGGCTGAGCTTGGTATTTCTGTAACGGGGGCTCGACCAATCGATGCTCGTATTACATGCTCAGCCATCCACACTATACCCGACCAGGTCTAGCGGGCTTCGTCTATCAGGCAGACACTCATCCGTCATCCTCCTTCACGCCAAAGATCTCTTTCCCCCGGGACCCATCTTTCTCCAGTCTCCCTTACCTTTGATCTTTTTTTTCACTCCACCTATACTCGTTATCTCGTATATCTGGCACTTGTACTCATCTTTCTTTTACATATATCAGCACTGCCACAAATATTGGCTCGGTGTTCCGACTTGTCTCTCATATCATCTCTACGCTCATCTTGAGGGCTCCACCGTCATCGCTTGCGATCGAGTATCGAATCCAGTAGATCTGGCACCTTACTCGGCCTCTAAACAAACGAGCGACCCAACCCTGTCACAGTACCGCCGCATCTCTTATCGTCGGCATCGTGTTGTCCTGTTGAAGAGGGGCGCGCAATCGACCTTAATATAGAGTCTTTAGCCCCGCACGCGCTCAACTTCGTGACTCGTACGCTAGTAATAGCCTCGTATCAGCTGGATCCGTCTCTGTGAGTCATACCCACCTGGCCAATCATCAAGGCCTCCGTGCTGCACTGCAACCTTGAGACCTGTGCTAACGAGAAACAAGTCATCGACTAGCCCATCATGTCGAAGCCCCAGGCTGAAAATGCCCGTGTTCATCCGCGTCGCCGGCCTGTTTTAAACGCGGACCTTCCTTCTCTAGTCACCGAGTCAGCTGAATCCTCCAAGATGGGTTTGAAGAAAGGAGAAACTTTCCATACTCCAACCTCTCCTCCATCGAATGATCGTGACCCGGTCTTGAACATTCGATCTTTGCCTCGTCGTTGTCCAACTTCGCTTGAGGCCATCGCTGCCAGCGAAGAGCGCATGACGTCGATCCTAAACCGGTTGACCTTGGACTCCCCCGAAGACAGTGGGGAAGAACCATCTGATAGTACTGAACGTGCTTCGAAAGCTGCCACTGGACCAGCATCTTCTTCCAGTAGATCACGTCGATCTTCCGTTGGCGATGATTCGAAAGAGAAAGCCCAAAGCCAGGAGCATGGTCACGAATCAGATAGTGGTCTGGGCACATCCGTTAGTAGTAATGAGGAGCTGGCAGCAGAAACAACAGGTAACACATCCTTTCCATATTCGAGCATCCCCGTGAATGACGGCCACTTGGATACGTTAATCTGTTGACGTGAAGTTATTGTCATCGTTGGCCTTGATTTCATTCACGCGTCCGCGGTTGCCTTAGAAAACGACGCTAACGCCTCAAAAAGGAAATGAAACACCACAGTCCCCGATCACCAGCCCGATATCTACTTTTGAAGTCGGCACCACGGCTAAGCGACAACTCTCCTTGACCGCTTGCAAACAAATCGAACGTTACATACTTGTTCCCATACTCAAGGACCCGAAGCTCAAACCTTTCCACCCATTAGTGAAGTCAATTCCGTCGCGCATTCTGAATCGGCATATATTGTGCCTAAGGGATGTGGAGAAGTCGTTGCTTTGGCTTGCTCCTGTAAGTCAATCACTTTTTTTGCCCCCCTACATTTGTGAACTTGTGCATTCTGTGAATATTTCCCATTATCGTGAATTCGTCCTATCATCGTGAATGACTCGATTTTACTGTGAATGCCGTAGTCGTGAAAACTGTTCGGAGTTTATATTTTGTGACAGAGGTTCTCCAACTCTCGACACCAATATCTCAACTTCGCCGAATTTACGATTCAGTGCTTGCACACGTCAGCTGCTCATCTTAACGATCGCGACCAGCGGCTACCTACCGATCGACCATACACTAACGGATACTTCCTCGACCTTGTTTCACAGGTTCGACGATACGCAGCCATGATACGTGCCAACCGTGAGCGAGCCGAACAGGCTCAGCCCCAAACCACAGCTTCCGACAAGGAGAATAAGATTTCGCTTGTTCCCAGCGCCGCTCTGGAGGGTGGTCTCTCCAAGAATGGCAAACCCGCTGAGCTTGTTGTGATGCAAGATGGCAAGGCCATCTCCATGCGTACCGGCCTACCATTCGTTGCTGAAGACACTCCTGCTACTTTCAAACGTACCATCAGCTTCGACGAAAGAGCTGATGAGGGTGTCCAGCGTTCTATGGCTCGGCGCAAGAAGAATGCCCCGCCCATGGATATCAATCAAAAGTGCAGCCACTGCGACAAGGTCTTCAAGCGCCCGTGCGACTTGACCAAACATGAAAAGACTCACTCCCGTCCGTGGAAGTGCTCCGATTCGACTTGCAAATACTATCAGATTGGCTGGCCAACTGAGAAGGAACGCGATCGCCACGTCAACGACAAGCACTCCGACACGCCTGCACTGTACAAGTGCAATTTCCAGCCTTGCACCTACGCTTCGAAACGTGAGAGCAACTGCAAGCAGCACATGGAAAAAGCTCATGGTTGGGTATACCTTCGATCCAAGAACAATGCCCGTGGGGACAGCAAACGTGCATCCTCCAACCAGGCCTCTCGCACTCCTAGTGTGTCTACTCCAGCTTCGAAATCCGTCGATTTCCCTACTCCGATGACTGGCCCCAGCCCCTCTCCTGGCCCGAGTTCGTCTATGTTCCCTGATTCGCTTCCTTTCAATTTCAATGATCCTCCTATCGCCCACAGCGATGACTACCCACGCCTGTTTGAGACTTCGCCCTATCCCAGCTCTTCCGCCGGCATGAGCAACGATATCAGCTTCCCAACCTCCGTCAACCTCGACTCCTTCCAAACCCAATTCGAGTCGGGCGATCCTCACGGACTGATTCCTTCTCTGGAAATGCACCGTCAGTCGATGAACTCGATCTCGGTGCCTTCTGCCGAGTCTGTCCCTGATCTCATGGGTATGTCTGGTTACGATGGCTCTCCTATGGCCGCTACAGACAACAGTCTCAACTTTGACTTTGAGTGGGGTAACCTGGACTACTCCGAAGTGGATGCGGATTATACTTCCCTCAACATGCAGCTGCAGACTCCTGCCCAGTCCGAGCATATCTACAAGGGATATTCGGGGCAAATGGCGACAGGTCCATCTCACCTGTCCATGACTGCTCCCCACAAGATGGCTGGTCTTTCTCCCAATGCGCAGGGTAACCCTATGCTGTACTCCCCTGGCTCCGAGCACTATGAGTACAGTGCCCAGCATCAGAATGGCAACGACTTCATGCTCTATGGCGAGCATGCTGGTATGCAGATGGCCCAGATGATCCCTTCCATGACCCAGCACCAGGCCACTCGTCAGTATGCCCAGGCTCAGACCATGTTTCCCCCTCTCACTGAGCAGGATGCCGTTCTCCAGGGCCTGCAGTCCTGGGCTACTGAGCCTCGCCAGGGAAATAAGCCCGAGTCCTACATGCACCACGATATGGAGCTTGAATTCATGAAGTAGGCAGTTTATTTTGATACGCCAAATTCTTGCCGTTTTTTATTCTTAAGCGAGGTTCAGCAAGCGTTATGAGTCACATTTCCCCCCCATGTTGCCTGGATTTCCTTGTACAGCCCAGATGTGGCTTTAATCTAAGACATTACTTTTATCCGATCGATCTAGATAGTGATGAATGACTTTTATCCTATTTGCTCTTTTGAATTTTATTATGAATTTCTTGTGCCTCAACCTCTCTGTAAAGTAGGTGTAGCCCTTACGAATAAGTCGTGCAACTACCGGTCATGTACCTAGCACTGAAGTCTTGCGCATTACAAACGGCACATGAATTCGCTGAGAAGTTCTTGCCGCATGACATTCAGCCCTGTGCCCCACCCTTTGTATGCCAATCTTCGGGGCCACCTATGGACTAATCCGGAATAGTTAGAGGAGGCCGCGTCAGGGACGCCACCTGCCATATCTGGTAGGATATGACAACATTCATAGCCAAGATTGAACTTGAAGAACGCCTCTTGGCGCCTTGGTAGACCAGGCAGAAACCCACCCACCTGAGCATGTTAATTGCTTGTGATACAATACATAGTTGCGTGTCATGATTTATTGCACGGTGATTAGATTCTCACCATAGCCCTGGAGCCAGACTACATAGAGCATGACAACTCAGCGTCGTACCACTTACACAAACCACTTATAATTAGTACAAGCCCATAAGCAAATCGCGTTATTTGAAACAAAACTCCAAAGGACAGATGTTTCGAATTCTCATTTTTCCGTAGAAATACGCCTCATAGCGCATTGATCGACGGTCCTCGGGGCGGCCAAGCTAAACACCTTTAATACTGCCAAAGCAGGTGACGACATCATCTCCCCGCTTAATACTCAACTCCTTTTTTTTTTCTTCATACATTTCTGTCCTTCAATAGAATAATCAGCAATCATCAATTTCTTTGTTGCCCCTACTTTGTGATCGCCACAAACAGTCAGATTTGTCGTGAAAGCTGACGGGGCTGTGGTCGGCCACTATTGAATCTCGGCGTCAACCCAAGCAGGCAGACGAATTCTGCTACATTTCTCCATCCCGACCCCGGTCTCTTTCAGAAAGTTGGGAGCGGCAAATCGTTCCCATTCACTAATTTCAAATCACGCGACAATGCTGGAATCTCAGTCCACATTGCCTAACGGCGATCAAGCCGGAAAAGTGTCTGGTCAGAATGCGGCCCCGCCATCAGGACAGATCCTGACAGGCAAGCAGGAGCACTGTGAGATATCCCCCCCCCTTTTCGTCTTTTGGATGTTTCTGCGCACATTCAGATACACTGGTTTTCATTGCTCCATTGCTAATTCCAGCTCCGATCTCCAGATCTCAAGCGCGAACTCATTGCCCGCCAAGTACACGGAGAAATCTCCGAGCTCAACTCCCCAACAGCACTCCAGCGCTTCGGTGCCCCGTTTCGATCAGAGTTCGGCGAAGTAGCCCCCGTTGATTCCGAGCTCCCTATCCTCCGTTATATCTTTGTGCACCATGTTCGCAATTTCCCCTTTCTCAACCAGGCGGAGGAGAAGCAATTCTGGCAAGATAAGCTGCAAATAGTGGGTCTCACTCGTGTGCGCAATCAACACAGCAACACAGAACGAGTATTGACGGTCGCTTTTGATTTTAGTTCCTCGAATCATTTGCGAACAAGCATGTCTCATCGTCGGAAGATCGTTTGGAGGAAACAAAGCGCCGGAAATTGGCACGCAAGTGCGAGAAGCTCGTGGAGCTGATGATGGTCTCCGGTGTGCCGACAGCGTCGGGATACGAAGAGCGCATTCAGTTTTCGGAGATGGAGGTTGTCGAGCGCGGAGCTAATGAAAAGGGACTGCTAGTTAATATGCCCGAGGGTAATTCGATTAACACCTGGGACGTGAACGTGGCTGCGGTTCGGGTCACTTCTGTTAAGCGGACAGTCCGATACCACCCCCACGCAGTAAGTTGAATTTTCGAGCATCTAAATTGGTTGCGCTTACTGATAGCCCAATAGGAATTCCTTATCCGAGTCCGTCGAGACGACAAGGAAGAGTTCCACATCGGCAGAAGATACGGCGAATTCGTCAACCTCCACAAAAGACTGCGCACTGAGTTCCCCGGCAAGCATTTGCCACCTCTTCCTCGCAAGAACAAGACATCAACAACATCTAGCTGGTTCGGCTCAGCAGCAGATGATGATGCTTCTTCCGTATCTTCTTTTTCCTCCACCCAAGATGCCAGTCTCCCTGATGACTCAGGACCCTCGGGTCGCACTTTGGCACCCGTATCAACTCATACGCGGTCAACTTCACGGGGATCTTTCCTATCTACAAAGTCTCCTCGCGCATCCAGTGATGTCTCAAGAGATACTGTTCTCTATCGCGAGGAGCAGCGGGTGTCTTTGCGTGCCTTCCTCCGTACTCTTTTGCAGAATAACCGCATTGCGGAGTCAAAATCCATGGAGGAGTTCTTGACTGCGCGACCCATTAAACTTAATGAAGAGGAATTACTCGATGTCCAAAAACGGAAGAACATGGACGCTGTTAGAATTGAAGAGCAAAAGCGATTCTATGAGATCGCAAGGCAGCGAGCCGCGGAGTTGGATGTTTATATGGAGAATTTCCGGAGGGATATTGTGGAGAGCAGTAAGTCTACTGATATGAGCGCTGATGCGATAGTTGCTAATCTGTTACAGATGGCTTAACGAAACTGTTCGCCGAGATTCGGGAGAAACCCACCATTGCCGACCTTAGCCCACAATATCAGAAGTTCGCGGAGTGGCTTCGCATCGAGTACGTTTAAAGGCAATTCCGGTTGCTTCATTGACTGACCGAAACTAGGGTTGCCGCAACTGTGTACCACTTGTTCCTTGCAGAAGATAATTCGCCTGAATTGTTTGCGCAGGCGAAGAGAATTCATGGCCTTGTCCCGTATACATTGTTGAAGAATGTGATTCGTATCGCCAACCCTGCTGCCGTCATGTCGGGTGTTCTCGATCTTTTCTTGGCTCAACCATTTGGCTCGCGGTCGCTGCTACAGCGCATTTTCTCCTTGACTCTTAATGACAGCATCAAGGCCTTCCAGAAGGGCATTGCTTCCTTGACTGCCAAGGTTGAGGACCCGGTGCTCGCTCAAAAGCTGAAGAGCTTTGTAGATGCTGAAGAGGACATCAAGAATATCATACGCAATGAAGCCGAGTCTGAAGATGTTGACCTCATTGTGGCCATTCTTCGTTCAGAGATACTGTCGCCTGAGCTCACCGCACAGCAGATCGAGAAGGTATTCAATGGCTGGGTCGCTTGGAACTATGCCGTTGACAATGTCGATCTCGAAATGCAGCAGGGTGCCCAATGGTTTGCTAACATGAAACAACTACTCAAGCTATATACCCGCCAGCGTGATAAGGCCATGATGCTCAGCATCGTCGAGGAGCCTACCACTCTTCAACTCTTCCGCGACTTATTTACTATCTTCTATGAACCCCTTGTTCGAGTATACAAGTCTGCCAATGTATACAGCAGTATTACAGACTTTGCTCAATTCGCCGATGACGCGATTGCTGTTATTGAGAGTGCCCAGCGCCAAGATGCCTCTGCCGACCCCAACCAGACAGTCCAGTCCTTTATTGACCTTTGTGCTCGCCATCAAGATAACTTCTACAAGTTTATTCATGAGGTGCACCAGCACGATAATGGACTTTTCCAGTCTCTCATGTCCTGGATTGAGGAGATCCTTGATTTCCTGCGCAAGGGGCCGACGGGCGGTAAACTGGACATGAACGCCATGTTCCAGGGAGCTGCTGGCGCCGGTCAGGTCGACAAGGACGTTGCACTAGCCGAAATTAATGCCTTGATCAAGTGGCACGAAGATCGCAAGCGTTGGCATCTAAACAAGACTCGCCAGAAGATGGCTGCTGAAGGCACATCTGAAACCATTCCGGGGTCTACGACCTTCAAAGGCAGTGACTTCGGCCTTGATGAGGTATGTTTTATTCCACGTCTCACTATACTTTGATATATCTAACGTTTCTAATAGGGTGATCTGGAGGATCTGACTATCTCTGACGAGGCGTCTGATTCTGAGGATGAAGGAACTGAGGACGATGAAGAGGATGACCCCATTGCTTCCGAACGCCGTCGGCGGATCAAGAAGCAAGACCAGCTCCGTCGCACTGCGGGAGAGCCGGCGAAGCCTGAAATTACTGAAATTCTCAAGCTTACTGATCCTTTCGTGGTCATGCTACGCCATGTGCTGGCTGATTAGATGCTCGCTATTAATAGATTTAATACACTGCTCCGTTATGCTAGTTCATATATTTGATAGTAGAACCTCCATTCTTATAGTGCACCCCTCCACATGCTTCCGCTTTACATCGCAGTGGTAAAGTCAGTAGCAGTGCAACTCCAGGGCTTTCGATATCAATACAATGCCCGGCATATTACTATATACTTTCCAATCTCTTACATACAAGCGGATACTCATGATCCCTGGCTATATCCAACGGCGTTCTCCCCTCCATATCCTCTAAAGTAGCATCAATCCCCCCAGCTTCCAACAGAGCATTAACATTCTCCAAGAATCCCATAGCGGCAGCCTTATACAACGCCGTCTCCCCATTCTGATCCCTAGCATTCGGATTTGCCCCCCGTGGCCCCGTCACCAAACTATTAATCACGCCTCCATTTCTCTCCATCGTCGCAGCCTCACTCAAAGGCGTAGTCCCATGAACATCCGCCAACTCCAACTCCACCCGCTCACTTTGAACCAAAACATCCACAACCCCAACCCGGCCCTGCTTAGCCGCCACAAAAAGCGGCGTCTGATGCTGCCACCCATCTCTTAAATTTGGATCCGTCTTCTCCCACCCCAATAAGAACCGCACAACCTCAATCTGCTCCCGATCCACAGCTATAGAGAATGCTCCACGTCCATACCCATGATCACCACCATTAGGATCAAGCTTCTCCCCAAAAAACTGTACAAGATACTGCACAATCTCCAATTGACCCATAATAGCCGCATAGAAGAACACATGTTGGATATGAGCTTCCTCAGTATTCCCATCAAGAATAAGTCTCAAATGCGTAGCGAATAAGAGATCCACGTCGCCTTCCGCCTCCCGATCACGACTAGCTTTCGATAAGGCCGTTGCACCCTGTCGGTTTCGTAATCTTGGATCTGCACGCCCACTTCCTACAAGTAATGAAACGGTCTCCCAGTCCGAGATGTTAGCTGCTGTCAGCAGTGCCGTGTCCCCATTCTTGTCTTCCAGATTAACGTCCACGCGCTCGTCTCTCAGTAGCGCACGGACAATATGTCGATGGCCCTGTTTCACGGCCCAGGAAATTGGTGGCCGGAGATATTTCCTATCTCGCGCGTTTGGGTTGAAGTTTATATCGTCGTTTTCTAGCAGGAGAGATAAGACGCCCTCGCTACCGTAGTAGGCTGCTAAAAGTAGTGGGGTGCAGCCTTTAACGTTCTTGTCGAAGTCCGAAATGAGTTGTGGATCTGCGCCAGCGGAGAGACATTTCTTCGTTGTTGAGGGTTGATTATACTTTGCGGACCAGTGGAGGGCAATGCTGGTTTGGTGGATATCCAGGCGATAGAGGATTTTGGTGAGCAGGTCATGGAATATGCTATTTGTTCGACAGAGAGCGTTGAGGTCTGAGGTTTTTGATAGGAATGATGATATATGGATTAGGAGTTCCTTTGGGAGATTCATGAGAGATCGTTCATCTTGTTGGATCATGTTGCCGATTGTTTATAGGGGTCATTGATTGGGTCGCATTGGGTGGTCTCTTTGCTGGTCTCATGAAGGCTTATAATTGCGAATTTGGGGCTTCGTGGGTTTTATAGCTGTGCAGTTTGTGTGGGGTTAAAGCGCTATGTGTGGGTATTCAGCCTCTTTTGACGAGAGGATTTTTGTATGACGACATTGGAGCTGGGGGACGGTTTTATTCCACCTATGTCACGTACTAAAAGGTGGTGGCTTGTGGCTGTGGTTTCAGACTAAGACTCCAAGCGTAAGCTTCTTTAAATTAGCGAACCTATAAAAAGATTCATGTCATTTTTAGGGCGTAACGTCTTAAAAAGAAGGCAATAATGCGGGGCGTGTCTTACCTGGCGATAGGGCGATAAGCCGATAAGACACGATAAGATACGATAAGAGTTTCCATGGCGACGATCATTGGATTTGTACCTTTCATTCCTGCGCCTGCGCTTCACATCTTCACTGCACAGTTGAGCCCTTCAAGATGTCGTCTCCATATAGAAGAGACTTCAAGTCCCCCAAATCGCCTAGATCTGTGGCCCGCTTGAACGGTCTCTACAAAGAGAGCGCGTGGTACTGCAACTGCAGCCCAGACCGAGAGCCAGCCATCAGGTTCCAGGTGAAGAAAGAAGGGCCAAATAGAGGACGATGGTGTAAGTACAACCAGTCCTACTATCGTTTCAATAGCTAACATTACCGGATCTAGTTTACACATGTCAAAAACCGCAGGGCCAGCGCTGCACGTTCTTTCTCTGGAACGAAGACGCCGAGATCCGCGAGAAACACGTCGTGATGGCGAATTCCGACTCTGAACAAGACCTCCGGGTCCAGTCTAATTCCAACTTACCTCAAACTCCAACCAAGAGCACCCAGCGCTCTAACGGGCTCTTCACACCTCAAACTGATCGCAGAATCATAGACATCCCGCCCCGCCAATCCGCCTCCAAACCCGCGAAAACCTCCATGACCCCCAAAGCCCGCATGATGGCCGAAGATACTGACGAGTTCGGCTGGGATCTCGACTCAGAAGACAACGCTGAGTTAACGCAAGCAAGCCAAACCGCTGAGGAATCCTTCGTGTCACAACCGAATTTCCATTCTGGTTCCCCGCCATCCAAAGCACCCCGCACCCCGCGAAATGACTCTCCAGGCAAGCGCAAGCTATCAGACTACGCATACAATCAAGCAAATACCACCGAATCTTCTCCTTACTATGGGACACCAGGCTCAGCGCTCTCTTCCTCATTCCGACCTCCGCCTGCCTCAGCTGAGCTATGCATGACGCCCACGCCGAAGCGATACCGGGATTCCGATGTACTCAACGTGGACTCGCGATGTGACGAATCAGACTTTGCAAAGGAACTCATGGCGATATTCAAGAAACACGAGGTTGTTATTCCGAATGAGGCGAGGGATGAGTTCGTGTCGCGACTTAATCTTGAGGATTCGAGATATAAGGGTGCGCTGAGGGCGAGGGATATGTTGAGGGAAGCTATGAAGAAAAAGGATAAGGAGATTTTGGAGCTAAAGGAGAAGAATACGAACTTGAAGGCCCAGGCTGAAATGGTTCAGAATATGGTCAATTCGTTTCACGAATGATGTTGGTTGTCAGGTTTTTGTTGTTTCTTAGCGGGGCTCAAATTTTGCGCAAGGATTCTTTTGACTGTTTCACGATATTATGATCTTGTTTTTTGCCTATTTTTCAGCGGCTTTGGAACCATATGCTAGATTGGCGTGTCGTTCTGTGTTATTTCCTTAGGGTTAGTAGGTAAAAACCACATTTCTGTCAATGAGCATCAATTAAATAATGAGACATGACTTTGATATTCAAAGTTAGCCAGTAATTCAGCCTTTCGAAAGCTAATCGAGGCTAGAACACACCTTAAATATTGGTTGTACACCTTAAAGACGCGAACCAATCACCGTCCTCGTCCAACAGCCGCACCTCACGTGCCCGATAAGGAAATAAATCCATTATCGACGCCCGATATAATTTCACAGCACGCACCGATTCTCCAATTGTGCACAGGCCACCTCCTTTCAATGGAGTCTTCCAACGACGAGCGCCAGCAGGTTTCCAACAACCTCCCCGATATGTTCCGACCACCCGTCAACCGCGCGATGCGCACCCTCGACCGGTCGTTCTTCCGCAAGACCGTGCCGATCGCCGCTGCCAAGGTCTTCAAGAACTCGGAGATCTCGAAAGTGCGCCAGGAGCTTCATAAGGTGCGGGACTTGTTGGCTGTTCCGCGGTTGAGCTGCGTTCGCGATTTGCAGGAGGAGGATGGGGTTAAGAAGGCGCTTTTGCTGCGGGGGGATTTGAGGCCCGATGGTGGGTAGTTTCTTGTGATTGATTGATCGGCTGGGGAGCTGCGATCTGGGTTTTGATGGTGATGCTTATGCTGACGTTGGCTTTGGTTACAGACAAGACGACATGGTCTCCCACTATTAATGCGCTTGTTGAGAAGGGGACTGTTGATGTGATGCCTTATGACTTGGTTTTGAATTATGATTACTGGTCCTACGGTATGCAATTCTACTTGTGATACCTGCGCATGGTGATGTTCGCAGTCTAACGGGAAACGTCTTCTAGCTGAGATTATTGGCGCTATTCTGCCTGAGAAGGAGATGCAGGAGGTTCCTCAAGGGTTCACACAGGTGGGGCATGTTGGTAGGTTTCTGCCCGATGCGCCAAATGCGATTCTTCGATACTAACGGGACCAGCACACCTCAACCTCCGCGAACAATTTTTCCCGTATAAATTCCTTATTGCCGAGATCCTGAGAGATAAAAACCCCTCCATTCGCACCGTCATCAACAAGATTGAAGATGTTGGTTCTCAGAGCCAATTCCGTACATTCCCATTCGAGGTTCTTATTGGTGAAAACGATTTGAACGTTGTTCAACATGAGCAGGACTGCGAGTTCCGATTCGATTACGCCCGTGTGTACTGGAACAGTCGCTTGGAGACAGAGCACCGACGACTTGTTGACAAGTTCAAGCCGGGCCAGATGGTCTGCGACGTTATGGCCGGTGTTGGGCCGTTCGCCGTTCCTGCGGGCAAGAGGAAGATCTTTGTGTGGGGCAATGATTTGAACCCGCATGGATACGAGGTCATGCAGGATGCTATTGTGCGGAACAAGGTCTCTGACTTTGTGACGCCTTTTAACTCAGATGGTCGGGAGTTCATCAAGACGTCGGCTAAGTCTCTGTTGGAAGCCGAACCAGTTACTGTCACTATTAAGCCCAAGGTTAAGAGCCGCAGTGATAAGAAACGCAAGATTGAGGAGGGTAAGGAGGTGGTTGAGCCCCCAGCCGAGGTGTATACTCGTCCGTCCATTGTGGACCACTACGTCATGAACCTGCCTGCCACTGCCATTGATTTTGTCGATGCCTTCCAGGGTGTCTACGCTGGCCATGAGGAGCTTTTCGCACCGAACACTGCTCAACTTCTGCCCATGGTCCATGTCTACTGTTTCTCGGGTCATTCTGATAACGAGGTGGACGATCACATCGATATCTGCCAGCGGCTGTCTGAGCGCATCGGGTACACCATCACCCACGAAGACCGAGTTGGAGGCAGTGGTAACGAAGCCATTGAACTAGCGATCCATAATGTTCGACTGGTGAGCCCGAACAAGCAGATGTTCTGTGCTAGTTTCCGTCTGCCGGCAGAGGTTGCGTTCCGGAAGGTATAGAGTTGGACATTTCACGGCGTTTTGAGAGATGTAAAAAGGATAGACAAAAGAATCCATAGATACCCTACTCACTTACGAGCTGGTATGATCTTCGTAGTTATTCAAGCATATACCTGATTGGGAGCATTGCATTGTTTGGCGCGGTGAGTCTTTCTCTCACCGCCTTTGAACTGCCGGCAAGAAACTTGCACAGTTTCGTCGCGCTCAGATCTGAGAAGATGAATAGCTTCAACATCTAACGCCTATCTCACCTTCATTTACCAACACCCAATCTACTGTGCGCAATCTACGATATACCTCATCTTCTTTCATCTTATCATCATGAGCGTCCAACTACCCCCTGCCACTCACCGCCAGCGCGTGCTGCCCCAAGGCGAACTTGAAGCCGCATCGACCCTGAAGCTGGGAGCCGATCAACACACCCACACTCTCTCCCTATCCGAGGCCCGACTTGTCATCCACAAGGTGTTAGAAAACAAGCGCCGTGGTGGAAATAAGTACGAGGAGCCGGAGTATGTGCACACCTCCGAAGCTCGGACTCAAGAACGGAATTGCTGATGCGGGGTGGATCTAGGAACCTGACCAAGACCCTGGACTATCTGGATGTGTTTGCCCGCTTCAAGGACGAGGAGAACATCAAGGCTGTGGAGCGATTGCTGAACTCGCACACAGAGCTGGAGATGTTCGAACGATCGCAGCTGGGTAAGTTTTGGTGACTACCGTGCATATATACCGATTTAGGCTAAACGGTTATTGCTTCATTAGGTAGTTTGTGTTGTGACAATGCTGAAGAAGCCAAGTCACTTATTCCCAGTCTCCAGAACAAGATTTCCGATGCCGACCTCCAGGAATTGCTGGATGAGTTGACCAAGCTGCGCAACTTCACGGAGTAAGATGCGCAGCACAGATGCAGATCCGGATGCAAGGGTTTACTATTAGGTAAGAGATCGGAGGACAGTTGACCGTTTACAAATCCCCAAATTTGGGTAGCATGGATTTAGGCGTTAAGGGCGTTGGAGGATTTCCGGGCTCTGTAATAGACTTTTGAGCATTTTCCGAAGAATTCCCATTAGCAATTGCCACCCGGATCAGTGTTTTAGAGCAAGTGCTCACATGCCCGGGGATTACTTAAATGACTCCGTTGTGGGGCATAAGTTAAACTCACCTAATTGTAATCAAGGCAGTGGCAGTTCACAAAGCCGTGTGCACCCCACACAGATCTCGAACCGAGCTGATTGGTTCCAATCTTGGCCGTTATCATGAGGCTATGATTGGTGGGTGGCCTAGCTGCTTAAACCACGGCAAATGATTCGTAGTTCTGGGTGATCTGGGGCAAATTCCAGGAGAACGCTTGCCATCCTCCTGATTTCCCCAGATAATTAATCCCTGAAGGCCTGCACCTATGAGCATCAAGTAAAAAAACGCCGTGAATCATACGGTTTTAAGGGGACCGCAGCTGAGCAAGGAGGATTAATCAGTACGTAATAAGGATGGAGGCTCGTTTGGGTGACCCAATCAGCGAAGCGGGTCTTATCTGTGACAATTTGAAAGTCATAATTAGGATTAAAATGGACTTTCTGTTACGAGAGCAAAAAGGCGATCGTCTGGGTCAAGTCGGGAAGAGTCCATACAAGTGCTCTCTATATCGATGTCATCATGTTCCCGAATTCCTTTACTTTTCTTCTAATTCTCTTTCACACTACTCTTGGATGTGCTCTTGAATCTTTGGACTATTTCCGATAGGAATGACGGAGCGTACAATCCGGCATCTTATCCTACTACAGTCTCTGGCGGGTTCATCTGCTTGAATACTATAGGCCCTCAGGAGCTATATAGGTTGACCGTCGGAGATAACGCTTTTTTTTTTTGAACTGGTTGATAAGAACATTATCACTATCTCGTATGTCTCCCCTTCCTCACCTTATCTATAGGAAATACCTACCTAAACGAATAACAACTAATCATTTGCAATTCTAGTTCCCAATCATAATACCCCATCAATTTATACTCGGATCTCCGGTCCAGATTGCGGAGGCCCCAGACTTATCCCTTTACGTGACGATACTCACGCGCTATCTACTTTTTATCTCGTACTATCTTCCGCCCACTTTTTCCTTTATCTCCCCGGGTTCTCCCTTTCCCCATAATGGCCACCGTCATTACCATTCAGCCTTCAACAGCTAGCCCGGCTGCTTCGCCCTATACCCAAAGCCACCATTCCCCGGACCTTCGGCGCCGACCCCAATCGATCTCCACTCCCAACCTTTCCCCTTCGCCCATTTCTGTCAATTCTTCTCTACCCCGGGTCCGGGATGGAGCCAGTTGTGACGCTTGTCTCCGTAGAAAGAGTCGTTGCGCTATGAATGATATGGTCAACAAATGCTATTCGTGCGACTTTCATCGCCAGGATTGCACTTTTACCTTAACGGCGGGGGACGGCCCCACCAAAAAGAGAAAGCTGTCCGAGTCGGCTCGGGACGATTCTGCCAAACGGTATGCCGAAGTCCAGTCGAGTCATAGTGGAGGTGGAACTGACTCAAGTCATAATAGACCTTCTACTGTTCAGTCCACATCCACTGAGGAAGTTGCTCGCCCCGGCCATTGTCACGCCATGATTCGTCCAGGCTTCTTTAACCAGTCAACCCAACATATTGGCATGACCACAGAATTGGAACCGGCACTATTGGAATTTTTGCCACTGGATGAATACGACGAGTTCTCAGTTTCATCGTCTCGCATTCGGAGATGCGCAGACGACCGCACCTTCATGCGTGTCGTCAATACCGTTCCCGTTGGTGACTCGCAGGCCGTGTCACTAGATGCCATTGAGAGCCTGGTTGCTCCATATGGATCTACATTGATCGAGAAGTTTTTCGAGCACGTGCACCCTTCTTTTCCGATTTTGATGGAGGATGCATTCCGTCAGTCATATCGTGAGCGTCGTCAGCTATCACCATTGCTATTGGCAGCGGTGTATGTATTGACCTTGAAGTTTGTGGATGTCGGTGCTACTTCGCAGAGACGACCGGATTCTGCTCGGTTGGAGAGTGCAGCATTGAAATTGCTCCTCGACTCATTGCCCTTTCCTAGTATCTCGACGATTCAGGCGGGTTTGTTGTTGACACAGAAGTCGACACTGGCCACTGCATCGCTGAATGGCCAGCTAGTGACCGCCGGATTTGAGCTTGGTCTGCACCAAGACTGCACCAACTGGCGAATGAAGACATGGGAAAAGGGTCTGCGCAAACGACTTGCTTGGGCTCTATACATGCAAGACAAGTGGTCCGCACTTGTGCATGGCCGCCCCTCACACATCTTTGCCTTCAACTGGACTGTCAAGGATCTTGTGGAGCAGGACTTCTCAGATGCCTTCCTGTCCGGTACCCACTCCGCACACGACGAGGCCGCAGTCGGACATGGACCCCTTCTCTTCTGCCACATGGTAGCCCTGACGACCATTTTATCCGACATCCTTGACCGATTCTACACCCTACAAGCAGCAGAAGATTTCCACGCCGCAGGAAACCAGCGCACACGAATTATCTTGGAAAAAGCCAAACCAGCCCAGATTCGACTGAAGGATTGGTTCTCTTCACTCCCAGCAGCACTGAAAATGGAAACCGGCAGCGGCGAACTAGTCGAAACAATCACAGACGAACACGCCCGAAACGGCGCCCTCCACCTCGCATACTTCGCTACTGAAATCACCCTCCACCGTTGCATCGTCCGTTCCCTCGCCACAGACGGAACAGACTCCTACCTCGCACACATCTGTCGCTCTGCAGCAAAGACCCGACTGATCTCAGCCATGGACTTCGTCAACCGTCTTCGCCCTGCACACTTGCGCTCTTTCTGGCCCGCATCAGCACGCACGAACTTCTCTCTCATCGGCTCTTTCGGTATGTTACTACGTATCACCGCGCCAACAACCGAGGAATCGGAGTTCTACCGTGTCCGGCTATGCGAGTACCGGTGGACATTGAGTGTTAGCCACAAGAACGCCGAGTTCATGGGCTTTGCGTTGGAAAGTCTGGATAATGCTACTGCTCTCGACAAGCATGTTCCAGCAAAGCCGACTATCGATGAGCTTATGGCTTCGAGTAAGCAGGCTACATCGAGGATGCCGCCTATGCATGCTGCCACATACGATGAGGCTATGGGTGATCCTGATAATATCCCTGGTGGAACGGGTGCTTCCTCGTCAGTTATCTCTGGCTTGGCTTCGCCTGCTACTTCTGTCAGTGATATGGATGAGCACGAAACTTCTATGATGTGACTTTGATTTTCTACCGCCTACCTTCTACCTCTTCTCTACCTCTTCTCGACATACACACACACCTACGCACCTCTTTCTCACGACATATTCCCCGGCGTTCTAGGAAAGGAATCTCAGTTCGATGAAGCGCATGACTGATATTGTTTGACATTGATTTGATTTTAATTGATTTTACTTGCATGTACGCCCCACAAAAGGCATTGACATGATGGATACGGACACGTTGGATTTTCTCGCTTGGAACTACCCTATTCGCTGGACTGGATTGCTGGATTTGAATTCCTAGCACGGAACGGATTGGAACTGGAAGGATTGATCTAGTGTTTATAGACTATCCGGCTGAAATGCATAGATCGGATGAAATGAATAATGATTGGATATATTAAACCCGCTTTCCTTGTATACATACATTATAACCACAAAACCTTTTAACCACAACTAGAAAAGCGAAAACTCTTGTCCGCCAAACGCGAAATCCTCCAATATAGACGGATCAACCAAATTGGCCAACATCTCCGCCCTTGTCCGATCAGACTGCTGCTGATCCTGGCTAAACAGCGAGAAAAAGAAATTCTCGTCTTCAGGCTGGAGTCCTGATCCCTGTGCTTGTGCTTGTCCTTGTCCCTGCTCAGATAAAAGCCCCGAAGCACTTTCAAAAGAGATCTGCGGCATGTTAACACCCGCAAACCCATCCGCAAGCGAGACAGGCACGAGGCTCGATCCCTGATTACCATCCAACGGCGAGTACCGCGGCAATTTTGTTTGAGATTGCGTTTGAGACTTTCTACGCGCAAGACAAGTCCTTGCGACCTCGAGAACTTCGCGGAGCATCTCCGCACAGCGTCGTGCTACGATTATATTGTCCATGGAAGAGAATATCTCGAGGGATTTCTCGACGTCTTCGAGGAGTTCTTCGTCTGGTAATCCGGGGAAATTTGAGAGGATTAGGTGGAGGAGGATCATTGAGCCGTATAGGGCGTAGGTTGTGTTGTACCACCTTTTTGGTATCAGTATCGTTGATATTCATTTAAATGTGGTTGCCTTTGTGTATGTGTAGGTATGGGTATAGATGTACTTACCAAGTCCGAATATAGATACGATGCATAAAAGACTCATACTGCATTTTTATACTCACACGTGCTGCTTCAAGACAAATATGCAGATGTTGCCTAAACTCGCATGACTCAGCGTTTGTAGTTGATGCGACGAGGAATGGTTTGTGGATTAGTATTTGGGTATTATAGTATCCTGGTATTGTTAGATTTTCTCTATCAGGTAGAGGGGGAGGGGGCTCTAACTGAGTCTTAGTACGAGCTTTTGTTTGAAAGCCCATTCTGGATCGCTGAGTGTATGTGCGTCTAGGTTCAGGAATGCCGGAATATTGGATTTCCACTCCTGGAGTCGTGCGTCGAGGGACATTGCTAGACGAGATTTCTCGCTGAGAGAACGTTGTGTCGAATGATAGAGTTGGTGAGATGCTTCGGACATGATCTGGGCCAGGGATACCATGACTGGGATCATGGCTACGTCGTTGTCTTCGGCGTCGGGATCAAGGTCTCCGTAGTGGATCTGATTCCTGTTAGTATTTTCTAGTATGACAATTGATAATGGTGATTCTTGCCTTGAGCTTGGGCAGGGAGGCTTGGTAGTAGGTTAACTCTTTCATGCTGTCCAGACGGCCTGATGAGCAGCACATTTCTCTGCGTTGGGTTAGAATGATATGAGACACGCAAGGTCATGAATACTTACACTTCATGCGAATAGATGCACCTTTTCATGATTAGCGCTTGTAGAACAGCTCAGGACAGCTTTACTTACCACCATGTGCGCTTTGCCTCTCGCCGCCGACTGGGAGGTAATGAGGACATGCTTGAAGCGAGTCCAATCGCCGCAGCCGTCCGGACAGCCATGCCACTATACATATAGCAACTATGAGGCTGCAAGGAATTTTGACGGAAGACACTCTGGAATGAATTAGCGCTGTAGCTGCTGTTTTAGGGAGAGACATACCAAAAGCAATAAGGCCTGAGCAGTCTCAAGGGAACTACTCTCAAACAAATCACCCAGAGCCACCTTCGCAATTCCAAAATAGAATTTAGCAAAGTCCAAAGCCGAGAACTGGGGCGTTGGTGCTGCGCTCTCTGGGTCTGTAGATTGCTGGCAAAAATGATCCAGCAAAGCGGTCTCGTTCGGGCTGGCATTGATAGCACCCAGTGCAACCACTGCAAAATACAGACCTGCAAATTTAGTGGTACTCCGGAAAAGTCCGGCCCTCCGGGAGATGGGCCATGCTTCGCGCTCGCAGCGTCGCATGAAAGCACCTTTTGATAACATCGGGTGAATGTAGTGCTTATTCGTGAAGTAACTGCCGATGAAGATTTTCTCAATTTCCATCTGTGCTCCGTCGGTGATCTGCGTAAATAACGCAGGAAGACCACCGCTTTCTTGGGCTATTTGTTTGATGTTAGATATTTGATCTGGAGAAATTCGCTGCAAAACTCACAATTGTTGATAAGGCCCGCCGCACTCTTTGGCACATTTGCATAGGAAGGACTTTTGTGTGAGCTACCTTCTGTGCTGTTATGAGATTGTGGCGACGGGTGGCCTGTGTAGTCGGCATTGTAGAGCAAGTTCACAATTGAAAGCTGTGATTTGCCAGGTGTAGATCCATTTTCAGGTGAGGACAGCCGTGGTCTGTTCGCCGTGGTCTTCGCTGCAACATCCTGATTACCGCCTGGGTCACGCCCTTCGGATTGGTTCTGGGCTCTTGCGAAGAGGTTTCCAAGAAATGCTAGATTTGATGAGTTTCCATAGAACTCCGTTCCCTTGGTATGGAGGTTCACTCCGCTGAGACCATCTCTGCCTGCGGCGTCGCCAATTTCTGAAGATGCTAAGCGGGATGTCAGCTCTGAATTCATGTCTAGTAAAGATAATATCTTACAGGATTCATCATCATCATCATCATCAGTGGCTGTTTTAGGAGTCTCAGGAGTCGATCCTAGAGGTCCAATTGGGTGAAAAGTCCGTGGAGGCTCTCTTCTTAGTGAGGTGGGCGCATTGATTGTCCCAGTGGTTGTTTGAACCAGATTTCGGTTCTCATACTCAAAAGCACTTGAAGCAGTATTATTTTGGGCCAATGCCAATGGCCAAGGTGAAGGGTGTTTCACATTATCACGGCTGTGTGACTGTCAGAAAAACCCTTCGGATAATCCAATTCGATCTGGAAATGCCCCTCAACATAATAGCGGAGTCTAAGATGCTTACCTTTCCTGTGGGGTTCTAGCGGTCCGTTTTCTTTGAGCATGGGGTGCCCTTGCAGTTCCCCTGCCTCCAGATGTACGGTAGACACAGTTAAATGAGTGATCTTAACTCGTCAGTTTACTTCAACCCACTGCAAGCGGGGCCAGCAAGAAACTTACATGCGCAATATGAGCATGGTTGAGCTTGATCGCACTGCGACAATCGTTAGTTAAACGTAAACCAACGCGAAGGAGATAAAAATTGGCATCGAACAATTACATGAGGTGGGGAGTGGGGTGGAAACAAGGACGCATACCTTGGTCTTACGAGACCGGCAAGTTTCGCAGGCACGCGACGCTCGCGGCAAACGACGTTGCGAGGGCAATCGTGGCTTAGCCTCGGAAGGGTCCATAGCGCAGCTCGGGATCCACGGGGCTTTGTATTAGGAACTTTGGCCAATCCCAATCTCCATCATGCGATGTTGTAGGAGAAAATGTTGCGGCGGACAATAAGCGCAGAAAACCATTGAACGCGTGGGCCGAACCACCCGCCCCTTAAACCTTGAACTTGTATTCATCGCGGGGATCCTGGGGTCTGGAGATATCCATGGCTAGCCGGAGCTTGGGGTTATTCTCAATTACCTCTATTTGATCTTCTCACTCAAGCTTTGGAATTGGCTATCGTCGATTCGGGATGCCGAGACTTCGGGATCTACTTCTACTTAAATTCTATGTGACTGGGAATAATTCACTTATTGACGTACTCATCGCTCAGAATTATATCTATATCCGGTTTAAATGCTAATACGTATACTAAAGTGAGTATTGACAGATTACAAGGGGTGTTTCTTGTGAGTTGAGGGTGACAGCTATGACATAGTACGTTGCCGCCAACTTCCGACGGAAAACGGAACATCCGTCGGATCACCTGCAAGTCCACTCTACATGCATACTCGACCTTTAAGACTACTTCTTGTCTAGTTCATGAGACAATTCCGGGGCATATGGGGCGCGGGGAAGATACAAGTCATTTAGATTAATCCTATTGGTACTTAACTAGTTCACCATTAGTAGACTGAAAATAGATATAAATTGGTAACATATTCCTCAACAATTGAAAGAAAGACATCTTGACATCAGGTCTTGGAATCCATTGGCACATCAATCAAAGCTGAAATTATGTCGGAACTATCCTCAAACGACGTTAGTGCTGGTGGCCTCAATGGTATCAGCGATCGCACGAGGGCCAAATGGGCAGCAGGCTCCCCGGAAGATATCGCTGCCCGACTACCTCCAATGCTCGACTTGACCATCGAGAACATTACTGAGAATGTGATGCAGATCAACTCGATGTGCGACAACCCTCGGATGATGTATCTCATCACGAAGCTAGTCAAAGCCTCGCATGACTATGTGCGAGACGTCAATCTGCAATTCGATGAGTGGGAGCAAGCTTGGCAGTTCCTCACGCGCGTAAGTGAAGCTTCCAAGATCACGCGAATTAATACTAAAACCCAAATAGGTCGGTCAGATATCAACTGATGTCCGCCATGAGTTCGTTCTGCTGTCCGATATTTTGGGTATCTCGGCCCTGGTGGACGCGCTATCATACCCTGCAGTCCCAGGCGCGACCGAGTCCTCTGTTTTGGGCCCATTCCACGATGAAGAAGCGCATTGTTTCGAATACGGAGAATCAATCACTTCCGATGGAACTCCAGGTGAGCCCACTATTGTCCGTGGTGCTGTTCGCGACATCGAGGGCAACTGCGTTCCAAAGGCCTTGATTGATGTTTGGGAGACCGATGGCAACGGAGTGTATGATCTCGAATACGACGGTAGCCAAGACCCGAACTGCCGTGGCAAGATCTTCACGGATTCCCGTGGCCAGTACCTTTTCAAGTGTGTCAAGCCGGTTGCATACCCCATCTCCAATGATGGCCCCGTCGGAGAGCTCCTGCGCAAGCTAAAGAGACACTGGTACCGCCCAGCGCATATGGTTAGTCTCTGTGTTCTGAGGTTCTTTATATTGAATACTAATTTCCCATATAGCACTTCATGGTCATGCACCCTGAGTACACCAAGCTAATCACGGCCCTGTATTCCCGCGACAGTGACTATGTCGAAAGCGATACTGTCTTCGGCGTCAAGAAAAGTTTGATTGTCGACTATAAATGGTCTGAGGATCTGGAAATCGCTAAGCAGCATAATCTGGTTCCCATGAAGAAAACCATTGATGGCAAGGAGTCTACGGGCTTTTGGCTGTTGGACCAAGACTTTGTATTGGTGAAGAAGAGTCTTCCTCCTCCTCGTAAAGTTAGGGATGACTAGGGCCTGATATGAGTGCAGCAATAGATATATTGAATTTCCATGATATAAACAGTCATGTTCTACCCGTATTGCCACTTAAGATTATAAGAAAGATATGAGTACTTGTCAATCAGGCTCAAAAGGGCGATAGATTGTGGGGAAGAAGAGATCAAACAAAAGGAGAGTTCTTTGTTAGAAGAATAGCAAAATCATTGCGCAGTGTTCTTGAAGACCTGGAGGACAAGTGAGAGCTTGCTAAATTACATGTTCGTGCAGACTAGGAAAGGAATCCGATGGAAATAAATACGCTGTGGTGGGTGGGATGGAAAAGTGAGAGCCGAAGGGAATGATGAGAGTTTGGTGGTCACTTTGGCCGCGCTGCACATCGGATTATGGAAACAGTATGCTAGCTCAAATGCGACTCATATTGTGAGGAGCTCCTGTTCCCTGCGAGAAAGTCACTCTGATGAAGGCAGAAACGCGCGTAGACCAGCATCATCTTTAAAAGAAGAGCGAACTCCGAGTCACGTAAAAGGTGCTTCAAGAATGGAATTCCCATCCTTCTAGAGACCGCAATCTACCAAGTCGATATGCTAATGCAGACCTGGGTCATCTTACAAAGATTCGTGACTCTCCAAAATTAGAGACACAGTCTTCGTCATATTAGAATGATTTCAAATCCTCAAGTCTCGAACCATTTATATAATATGAGAAGTGATATAGAAAGAAGGAGACTGTAAAGCAGATTGGATCTCAAGAGAACCTAGGGGAGATGCATGATATTGTTTGAGCTAACCACGCTCAATATTTTATCAAAAATCGTGTTCAAAGTTACATTGAAAGTGTTATTGAACTTCAGTCAAACATCTCGCGAATGTTGATTGAGCAAGCAGCATAAAAACCATATGATATCATCTATGGCTTCATTTGAAAATCGTTCCATATGAACTAAAGAAATTCAAAAACCCAAGCTCGGAAGTATTAGATTGAGTAGTAACTCAGATCTACGGTGTTAAAATGCATAGGGACTACTTCCTGGCAGACCTCGGCGAATCGACGGCGATACGGCACATCCGGCAGACAAAGAGTTCATGAAATTCCCGACGGATCTGAATCCTATTGGTTTGCGCCATAAATCCCGCCACGCTTCAACATAGCCCCAACTATTGGCTTTTAGATTGGTAATGGAAACCAGCTTATGGTACGTTCCCCGCATCTATTCTTGACCTCTTTCATCATTGAGGTAATCCGATAATCTTATCGGCGCCTCCGACGGATCCCCGATAACGGATAATCACGGCGATAACGAGATCGGTTATCGGGGGGTTATACAAGTCAGACTTGATATAAAAGAATGTAGTTATCTGCGATGCTTTGTTTATGCTTGAAATCCATGAGAAGAACCTCAGTATCTATTCAACTTTACGTTATACTCTGAACCTCAATACAATACTCTGAACCTTGGAACCAACCTGAACGGATTCTATTATGACTGAACACTGGGACCAAAATGCGCTACGGGCGCGCTTCTGTCATGCTCTCTCTGAGATGTACAAAAGCGAAGTCCCTCTTTACGGTGATCTTGTTGATGTGGTCTGGGAAGCAGATGCAAAAGCTATTCAGTCCAGTCAAAGCTTAGAAGGTAAAGTCATCGACCCCGATGATATCTTGCCCTCGCGACATCGTGTAGAGAGACACGGCGCTATTCGACTAGGAACACCCCAGGAACTGAGCACAATCCGACGGATGTTTGCTGTCATGGGAATGTACCCAGTGGGATACTATGACTTAAGCCTGGCTGGATTTCCCATGCATGCCACCGCATTCCGACCAAAGACACACGATGCTCTCGCCGAGCATCCATTCCGCGTGTTCACAACAGTATTGAGAATGGACCTCCTGACAGAAAGGACACAAGAGCTGGCACAACAAGCGCTGAAGCGAAGGAACATTTTCACGCCGAGACTTCTATCCCTCTTGGATCTTGTCGATACAAAAGGATCCTTATCTTCGACAGAGTGCTCTGAATTCATAAAGAACGGCCTTGAGACATTCAGATGGCATTCGAAAGCAACAGTCTCCCTAGATGAATACCAGATACTCAAAGCTGAGCACCCTCTTATCGCCGATGTTGTCTCTTTCCCCAGCTCTCATATCAATCACTTGACTCCCCGCACTATCGATATCGATCTAGTGCAGAAGCTCATGGTGGACCGTGGAATGCCTGCCAAGGAACGAATCGAAGGACCTCCCAAACGAGTCTGTCCTATTCTTCTTCGGCAGACGAGCTTCAAGGCCCTGGAAGAGACTGTCTACTTCCATGACACATCGGCCGAGTACGTGAAAGGATCGCACACTGCCCGGTTTGGCGAGGTGGAGCAACGAGGTTACGCATTGACTCGAGAGGGACGTCAGCTTTACGACCAGATCTTGGACCGTGTCAATGCAGAGGCAGCGAAGAATAAGATCAAAGGCAACGATTACGAAATACTTCTGGAAAACCGGTTCAAAGAATTCCCGGATACGTTGCAAGCTTTGCGTGAGCATAATTTAGCATACTTTTGCTATCGGGTGACCCCGAAGGGCAAGAAACTGTCGGAAGATGGCGTCATTCTTTCCAAATCTGGAAGCTCCTCTGTGCCGCTGCAAGAACTTCTAGACCAAGGTGTTTTGTATTATGAGCCTCTCACCTATGAAGACTTTTTGCCGTTGTCGGCCGGTGGGATTTTTAATTCCAATCTCGGCAGTCCCTCGCAGTCAAAACAACTTATTATGAGTGCCGAGCCTGATCTTGATGGCTTTCAGCGCTCCCTAGGGTGCCTTATCGCAGATGAGTTTCACCTATATGCTGAAATGGAGGCTAGTTCCTTGGAGGTTTGCAGGGGGCAACTCGGATTAGAAAGAATTGAGGCTTAACGGTATATGCCTGGCTGCTGGTCATGACCAATTTCCTATTTCATCAAGCGTTTTATCTGGCTACTATTTGCGTGATCATACCATCAATAACTCAATCTGAACTTTTCATAAACCTAATTTTTCACACACAATGACGTACGGAAAGGATATAAATAAAACTGATTGTGGGAGTACCTATGGTGATCAGACGATATTTTACGTCCTATACATAGAAAGCATCATAGATTCGTTTCGGCAGGAAAAGAAAAGATCCGCAAGAAAATCAACGGGGCAGTGGAGACTGACATGCTTAGCGCATCTTCCCCGGATTTTTCGACTCAACTACTCCTTACTACGAACTACATCTACAATCTACTAATCACCTCTCTTCAAAATCTTCAATTCCATTCCGTAGCCGAAAGATAAAAGTTATGCTGAAGAGCCAAAAAAAAAATCAGCTCCCCTTTGCCCCCCTGCCTCCGCACGGCTTAACCATCGGCACTTCACCAAACATACCGAGCCTTTGATAGGTCGCCACACCTGAAACCCGATCATAGTCCCCGAGACCCCTGTCGCAAGCAACCGCACAATTACTCTTTACGTATAAAAGACAGGAGAATACAGCCGCCAGGTCTCGAAGCAAATATCGGAAGCGCCCGATAATGCGGCAGCCCGAGCCGTATACGCCCGTATACGCTATACGATGACGGCAGCACCCGGTCCGGCCGAATGAACGCCGCGTACCAAGGAAATGGGGGAGGCTAAGCAACCAAGATGTGGCTCAACTGATCTATGAAATTCTAACCGCGTCAGATCCTACCCGGTTAACCTTGTTTATTTTTTCAAGGTTGTATATAAGTCCTGGGTCTTAGCGAGATGAATTATGGATCCAAAGCCAAGATTATCGTTCATGCAGGGTTCTGATCTCGACCCGCATGGATTCAAATCAGAATTCAGAGGTTAATTCTACCTGGCATATCTATGTGGGAACAATTGCTACTGTTGTCCCTGCTACCATTGCGGTTGCTTTGAGATTTACTGCGAGACATGTCTCAGGTGCTGGGTTCTGGTGGGATGATTATACTATCGCGATGTCATTAGTGAGTTTTTATCTCTGTTTTTGTCCTATGGTATTATCATATTTGCTAACATTTTTCAAGGTCGTTAACTGGGCTATGGCAGCTCTACGATGGGCACAAATTTTGCTGCATTATTATGGTCCTGACGGTAATGTCCTACCTCCAGAGAAAGTCCATGGATTCGGAAAGGTACGAATATTTATCCTATTGTCGGTCTTCCTATCTCTAATCAATTATTAAATAGATCTTCATGGCGATTCAATTGGTATACACCCTCAATGCCGTCCTCACCAAAACTTCTCTCCTTCTTCTATATTACCGTATCTTTGGAGTAGTTCGATACTTCCGCTGGGCTCTTTGGGTGGCTGGAGCTGTGGTGATCGCTTGGTGTATTGCGAGCACCCTTGGTATCTTTTTTGGATGTTCGCCTATTGCCAAAATCTGGGATCCTAGTCTACCAGGGAAATGCATTAACATTGGGGCCTTCGGACGCTGGACCGGCGTGGCCAACCTCCTCATTGATGTCTTGATTCTTTGCCTTCCTTATCCAATGGCCTGGAGATTGCAGACTAGCGTGCGGCAAAAGGTCACTCTGAGTGGTATGTTTCTTTTGGGAACCTTGTAAGTCTACTCTCAGTTTTCAACCCTAGCGAGTGTATTCGATTCTAACTCTTGGCAGTGTCTGCATCATTTCTATTCTCCGGGTGACAAGTTTTAAGTACGACTCACTCGAATATAGTTCCTATAAGAACATTGAGCCAGCGACTTGGTCTTCTGTTGAGCAATCGGTGGGCATTATCTGTGCTTGTCTGCCTACTTTACGTCCCCTTTTCAGGTGGCTTTCTGGTAGTTTAAGAAAGGATACAAAGAGTAGAGACAGTGCTTTGTCGGATTTCCCAAAGCGAGCTCCTTTGTCTCGCCGTGTGGCTATCGTGGATGAAGAAAACGCATGGGGACTTGAAGATCCTCCCGTGCAAGAGGAGATTGAGCAGATCGTTGAGAACCGAAACGAACAGGATAGACCATTGTCACAGCAAACAGTGGAGACCACTATTTCTCAAGACTCTATACAGGGTCAGCCTGAAGCTCGACCTGAGTCTTTTGCATAGCTATTTTTCTGTACATAACGATAACGAATTCATGATAACACGATTAGAGACAATTTTTGTTTTAAATCACATTGAGGTATAAAAATTTGTCAGGAATTCGAATAAATTTTGTTAAGATTCAAAGAAAAGATTGATATAAAATACAATGCATGCAAAGGATCAGCCGAATTCCATCTATCTGTACAAATATGCTGCAAAGATGTCATTGCAACACATCTCAGCAGGACAAGTCACCAAGCTATTGGCAAGCACCTGCACGACCTCATGACCGGGCCTCAATCTGAGGAGAGTCCGCCGCATCCTCAATCACCACAGCACCCTCCTTCAACAGCTCTTCGGGGCTCTTCACCCGCACATCCATAACCCGCATAGTAGTGTACCGGTGCTTGCTCCGAGCCTGCTTTGTGTGTCTCTGTCTCCGCTTGGTCTTCTCCTTAATACGCAACGGCTCCGACTCCACACCGATAACACGGACTCGGCACTCGAACAATCGCTCGTCGATGTGGGGTGAGCCCTTCAAGGTGAAATCGCGAGATCCAAGCGCAGAGGCCCGATTGAACCGCAAGATATCACCGGTCTTCACCTTGGGCATGAGGAACGGCAGACGGATGTGATCACCCGCCGTTAAGAGGAAGGGCCGGGCGTGGATCTCGGCGGTAACGTAGTGAGGTGTCTGGCCAACAAGGTGAGGAAGCTGTGCCATAAGGGACTTGGTCACCTCGAGGGGCGAGGTGAATGTCGGAGCAACGGGCTGCTTGGCGAGGGGAATATCATCGCGTGTTTGGGGAATAATGTTGTGGATGGAGGCCTCGGGGATGGAATCTTGCGCGCGTGGGGTAGCAGACAAAGGTGTTTCGGGATTAAGAGATGAGGATTGGGTCTGAGATTGTTGTTGCGCGTTCCGGAGAGATGCCGTTTGGTGAAGGCAAGCTCGTTGCGGCAGAGAAACCGTGGAGATCGAGGGCGCTGACAAGCGCAGATCGGAGGTGAGACTCCGCAATACTGAGCGGGAGAACATGGTGATCAATTCCTTCCCGGTGAAAGACGAATTGCGGGAGAAATTGGAATCTTGGTGGTCTGGGTTGCTAGAGCGGCTTCCTATTTCGAGAAAATCAGATGCTGCGCTTGTGGCCGCTTCGTCACCCGTATGATCACGTGCGCCGCCATCTCATTCCATGTATACTGAGATTATGATTTACCAGATTTCTTTTTCTCTTGAAGGATGTACGGTATCCTATGATAGTGAATTGGAACTTTTTCATTACTCTCTTCAAATTCATAATACCCCGGTTAAATTGTAGTTGATCGCACTTCTTAGTCCTTCGAACCTGATCTAGCCCAGTGTTGATAAGGAAGTCACGTGGGTCGCTATCTTTGCCGCAGAAACAACTTTTTCGGCTGCGATTAGATCTTGCAGTCCAAACCACATCTAACACCCCACCCTCTGTGCTCATTTTGTATTCATCATGGTACGTCTTCACATCACAAATTACATGCTCATTGTTATTTTCAAGTCAACTAACCGATTTCTCCCACCTACAGCCTCAGAACGAGTCCGTACCCTCCCCGCCAACCACCCGATAAAACTCACAGCTAACCCACATAAAACAGGTACATCGAGCGCTGGCAGAAGCAGCACGGTAAGCGTCTCGATCACGATGAGCGCGTCCGCAAGCGTCAGGCTCGTGAGGGCCACAAGGCCTCCTACGATGCCCAGAACCTCACTGGTCTGAGAGCCAAGCTGTACCAGCAGAAGCGTCACAAGGAGAAGATTCAGATGAAGAAGCGCATCAAGGCACAGGAGGAGAAGAACGTCAAGTCTGCTGCTCCCGACGAGCCTTCCAAGACTCCTCTGCCCCAGTACCTGCTCGACCGTTCGCAGGCTACCAATGCCAAGGCTTTGTCCAGTGCTATCAAGGATAAGCGTTCGGAGAAGGCTGCTAAGTTCGCTGTTCCCCTGCCTAAGGTTAAGGGTATCAGTGAGGAGGAGATGTTCAAGGTTATCAACACCGGAAAGAAGACCCACAAGAAGTCGTGGAAGCGTATGATTACCAAGCCTACCTTTGTCGGTAACGACTTCACTCGTCGGCCCGTCAAGTACGAGCGATTCATCCGGCCTATGGGTCTGCGTTACAAGAAGGCCAATGTCACTCAGTATGTTTTTTTCTCCATTGGCAGCTTTTGGTGTTGTCAGGTTTTGGTGGAAATCATTCTAACAATGACTTTTCCAGCCCCGAATTGGGTGTCACTGTCCAGCTTCCCATCCTTTCGGTCAAGAAGAACCCCTCCAACCCCTTATATACCCAACTTGGTGTCCTGACCAAGGGTACCATTATCGAGGTCAACGTCTCCGAGTTGGGTCTCGTCACCACCTCCGGTAAGGTTGTCTGGGGTAAATGGGCCCAGATTACCAATGTGTAAGTTCCTCCTCTGCACGATACATGCACTTTTAAATGCATACTAACAAACGCCCATCTACAGTCCCGAGAATGACGGCTGTGTCAATGCGTAAGTGATATTCAACTCTACTAAACTTCAAACCTTGTGCTAACTACCCCATCAGTGTTCTTCTTGTCTAAAATTGTCGCTCTAACGAGACCGGCATTCCTTTGTTCATCACTCCTGGCAGACAACTGTCTGTCTTCGATACCATCGTGTCCTGGACACTACTATTGATTCTTGAGGTTCATACGGTTGATGTAGACCATGCTATTACTCTGGTGTTTCTGGCGCATTTTCTAAATATCTGGTCTTTGAACGAAAAGTATCTTGCATGCCTTGGTTTTCCGTGGATTAGGTTGACCAATTAGTTACACATTCATGCAATTTTTTCATGACAAGAGAGACACCAAGTCTTACAATATCTCAACGTACGCAATGTCACCATGGAGGTTTTCTTAGAGAACAGATTGGAGACTACTAGTATACCCGTACACCAATGACGGATGAAAAGGAAATTGAGAGTGTTGTCAATTAAGCGTCGTAACCAAATTGGAGTCCAAGCATGAACTCCAAGGTCCAATAAGCCGATATCCAGAGTCGGCATCCAATGCAATAGAAAAGTATCCAAAATCATGTACAGAAGTAAAGATCCACAGGACTCGCTGAATCGCGTAAACTGACGTGGTAATAATAATGAAAAACGGATGTAGGAAAAAACAAAAAAGCAGATTGACAGGATAGATCAGCCGAATCAGCCGCATCTTTATTGAAACAAAGAGTAAAAGAGAATGTCTCATCAAACACCAGTCATAAAGTCGTTCTAAAAAAAAAACAAAAGGTATGAAGCCCACCACAGATAATGAAAACATAGGAAAAGGTACCAGTCAGGTGTGTCAAGGATTTTCTTCTTCCAAGGCTGCTTTGATTTTCGCAAAGAATCCGGCGGGCCATTGAGCAAGTTCTTCCTCTTTGGGAATGCCACGCGCTTTGCAGTGGTGTACAACGTTGGCGAGGATGCGTCCAAGCATATCTTGAGTCACAGGAACGGCACCCTCAAGCTGAGCATCGGGGTGCAAGAATTGGTCTCGGGGACCGAGCATCTCTTCGATAGTTGGTCGTAGGGTTTGGTCACGCTGCAGACAGCGCTTCAAAGTCCGAATCAGTCCAGGAGGCACAGGGACACCACCGATAGCATGAGCAGGGAATTCGATTTGTACACGAGGGTTGGGAATTGCCATGATACGCTCATAATACTTGGCGATCTTGGCAAATGGTGGGTGGCCGTAAACCATTTTGTACAAAATGCAGCCAAGACTCCAAACATCACTAGGCTTACCCAATTTCATCACCTTGCCAACGCTTGCAGGGAGCCCAAGGGATGCGTTGGAGTCAACCAAGGCCTCCGGGGACATGTAGTTGGGTGTTCCAACTTGTTGTTCTCGGTGAACGTTCACGGTGTGGTCTTGAATGGCGTTGGCAATACCAAAGTCGATCAACTTTAGGCGTCCCTGAACCATAAGGAAATTGGCCGGTTTCAAATCGGAGTGGACAATGTTATGTTCGTGGACAGCCTGGACACACTCGAGCATCTCCTTCCAGTAGAAACGGGTGAAGTTGATATCGAAGACAGCATCTTCCGCATTGAGGCGATGCACGAGAATCTTCTCTAGATCGGATTCACCAATTTCCATGAGTACGCTGAGCGAATGTTTGTCCATATTGAGTTCCCAGTCAAACAGACGCACCACACGCTCGACATTTTCCAATTTCTTCAACAGATCAATTTCACCCTTGTAGCCAGTGAGCGTGAGCGGGTCGAGATCTTCCAGATTTACTCGCTTCAACGCGAAAATCTTGTAGTTTTCAGCCATCACACGATAGACACGAGAACTACCTCCACGGCCAATGCAGTCGAGTCGAGTGAAATGCTTTTGATTGATGGTTACTTGAGTTCGCTTTTTTCGTGACTGTGATGTCGATGCTCCACCAGTTGCGGTTGCAGTCTCCAAAACGGACATTTTCGGGGGTGGCGGCGCCGGTCGATGAGGGGTGTTACTACTTCTGGTAGCAAGAATCTTGCGTGGTGAGTTTCCTGCTGGTGTTTCGGCAACTTGTTTCTTTTCGGTTTCGTACATAGATGATAACTTGTCGGGTTTGTCCAGCACATTCAAGCCCTGTGGCTTTGTCCGTCTGAAAGTTGGCGGCGGATCATTCTCCTGGTCCCTTGCTGAGGGTAGATGAGGTAAAGATGGAACTTTAAAAGCGGGCTGTTCTCTTGCGCTGGATGACCTTGAAGACTGGTCGGATGACGCAGGAGTGGACTTGGATTGGGATCCATAAGACCTGGGCGAAGATGGTCTCGAGAACGGACCGTCATTCCGCACTGTGCTTGCAGGTCGTTCAGATCGTCGCCATTCACTGTCCTGGGGTGGGCTCGGGTCTGCCCATGAAACCTTCGGTGATGATGGCTTTTCAATATCTCGAGGTTGAGACTCAATATTGTCATAGTTGGATTCTCCGTTCTCCCTTAAACCGTCATTCAGATAGTTATCTTCATGGTTCTCTTCACTCTGGCGGCGCAACACTCCTCTTCGAGCAGGTCCATTGAGGAAAGTTCCAGTAAGTCGCCCAACCCGCTTAACTCGCAAAGAGCTCTGTGGGCCAAACTCATCCAAGTTGCGACTCCGTAAGACCGAAGCAGTGCCGATTCGTGCCACAGGATCATCTTCGTAATGCGACTTCCGGTCGCTATCAGACCGATCAGCGCTGCCGTACTCATCACCGGAGTTTCGTTCAGAAGACCGGTTCAGAGACGGCGACTGGGATGACGGCGATCTTGTATCGCTGCGCGACGCATTGATGCGTACACTGCGTGGTCGTGGCGCAGGAGTCTTGAAGTCATCAGGATGCCTTTGCGCTTCCGGCTCGGCAATATGGCTGTTGGAAAGTGGAGAGCCTTCACGCGAGTACCTGGAGGCACCACCGATGCGAACGACCCGCGGTGCTGGGCTCCCTGTAGAATTGTCGTGAGGCGATGAATTGCGTGGTGATTGGCTGCCATGTCTAGAACCCAATGCGGCGGCCCGTCGCTCATATGCTGCATGTCCTTTCTGGAGGCTGGGAGAAGACCCTAAGCCATCTGCGTCCAAAAGCGCTTTGACGGAGGCGCTAAATTTCGGTTCCGGGACTTCATCATCAGAGCTGTCGCCAGAGTAGTGTCGGGAGAGGGATGTTTTCGACCCCGCGTGCTGGAGGGCTGGGGAGACCCGTCTGGATCCGGGACGTGAAACCGCGGATCGGGCCACCGGTCGGGATGATTGTTGATACAGGTTGCTGTTGTATGCGGATGAAAGGGAATTCGGGGAGGCCATGGCGACTAGCGCACTACATTGAAGTCGGGAATCAATGTAGCCCTCAGCGACCCGAGGTTGTCGAATGTCGAATGTCGGATGTTTGTTGATCTCAAAACGGGAAAGTCCAATTAATCTGATGTTCCACCGCGAGTGGGCGCGCTATATGGTCACGTGTTGTGTGGTTGCCATGGCGATCGCCACAACAAAGAATGTCTAAATGGAAGGGCTGCCTCTTATCGCGACTACCAGAGTTCAGTTATGGATGATATGAGCGAGATAATGGTAAAACTATCTCACTGTATGCTTTGTAGTCAAAAGTGTCAATTCTGAGGCTATACAATTTCAACTTTGACGTTGAACAGTAAAGCACGATTACGTAGCGATCTACTTCATGCAAGTTCCCTTTCAGTTTGTCAAGTATTGCTACTGATCGGTTCGAGAAAAATTCAGCCTTCTTGCAATGATGATACCTGGAAGCGTAAATTTTCAAGGTTCTATTAGTTTTGTTATAGAACTATACATAGTCCGTTTGTTCAACTTTGTAAAGGTTACGGATGATTCCGATGTTCTAATGCCAAGGTGAATATGCATAGTGGGACGGATATATATTTCTCACCTACCAACAACATAGATTATCCACTGGGCAGGTGCATCATCATCCTCCAGGGCTTACCGAAGATGTTTACGAATGAAAAATCTCCATTGATAACATTTATTGCCCGAATATTTGGAAGCCTTAAAAGATCCTTGAAAATCCCCTATACCACCTGGTAAAGATCTTGGATTTGAGAGTTCTGTATAGACAAAGGCATAGTTGTACAGCTACAGTGTTCTAATGGATAACATCTCAATTTACAACATTTTAAGCCCGAGTAAAAAGCTTGGTAGGAACCGGGAGATTGCATTCACATACTACCTGGTAAAGACTCCGAGTCCACGAGTTCTGGACAATGGCATGGTTGCATCGTTACAGGGTTTACGATGAAGAATGGGGGGGTTAATTTATTTTATGTACACCTAAGTACAAAGCCTATAATCCTGGAACCGCAATTATGATTGCCTAGTAAATATCGCGAGCTTGAAGGCTCTAAACAGCGACATGGTTGCATAGTTCTTGAGTTTTCCATATTTTGTGACATGCACGCCCCAATTTAGAGCCGAGTATGTATCTACACCTATGGAGTAATAAGGCAGCATTGGAAACAATAAATTTGGAATCATTCTCCACGTCCGCCTAAAAAAAACAAAAACAAAATATCGGTGAAGTCGAAGCTCAAATCTTATCACCCCTTTGTTGGGGGTTCATGTCCAAACTCAAATATAGATCGCGTCCAGCCCTGTGGGACAGCGGTCGCAGCTGTCAACAACGTGAACGGAGCCGAAAGCCTAACGCTGGACCGTGGAAGCACCAACATTAGAGCTATCGAATCCGACTCTGAAGATTGACGATTGTATTTACGCATGCTGTTTTAAAAAAGACCAATATAAATCCTTTAATCTTACTGACTCACCTGTCAAAGATCAGGACGCGTATTTGTGTGCATGGGACGATGCAGATGCAAGATCAAGACTTCGCCACTCTCTCCAAGGCCGCATTCTGCTTCCTGCATACAGTTCCCATAGTTGGCTTTGCGCCATGTAAGCAACAAGGGGCAATGCCTTTGGGGTGGCGCCGAGGCATCGATTCCATTGGGCAACAACCGGGTTCCTGCATGGATTCGAGTCCCCCCCAAGTGCTAGAAGGACTGAATGTTTCTTTGTCAGTGAGAAAAGAAATGGCAATATTATCGCGCATGTGTATGGCCTTTTTGATTTGCCATGTGGGATGCAATGCAATGCGATCCACAAACGAAGCCCGGCAACATTAGGCGAGGTTCACATGTGATGTCGGTTGATCGATCGAATTTGATTAATTGTCTCGGTTGAATGTTCCGTTTCCAGTGAAAGTTTCTGATCAGTGAGAAGCTAGAAAACAGGATCTGATAGTTGGTTGAAATAAAAAATAAAAATTGGAACGAACGAACGGCCGATGTCCCAAGCTGGGCATAAGTCCTTTTTTCCCCCAGTGGTTCGAGGGTTCGGATAGGGCGTTTCATAGTACCTAAATTCGAGGTTAATATGTAGAACCAGTGGAAGCAAAATCAATAGATCAAGAATGTGCTCCAGTTTAGATTACCGGTGGCTTGCTTCTATGAATGCCATGGAAGTAAAAATCGAAGAAAAACAATTGGTATGGTGGATGCCTGATCGCTTCCGCCGGTTACCGACCGTAGGAAGCAGCCGGATCACCTACATGTACATACCAAATCTCAATCGGAGAAGATCACCTGTCCCACTACGTTTCATTGCAAATCTGACTTATTGCAATTTGAAGCAAGAGCCACTGGAACAACCGTTCACACAATTGAGCAGTTGCTGGCTCACAAACCTTAAACCTGGTGGGCTGAGACATGTTCGAACAAGATACTATATCTCACACCCATATGTCTCTCAACAGACGCCTCAAAAGCCTAAAAAGCTTTTCTTAGAAGCATCAGAACCACGGTTGATGATGAAACCGCGATCGCTTCATAGAATCAGGATCAGGGTCGACGAACCGGTTCCCCATTCCGAAATGTGGTGATGGCGTAGCACTAAGGGCTAGCGTTGTTTGAGAGCATTAGTTTGTGGAGCCTAAGCTGCATACAAGCTTAAACGCTAGCAAACACAGCAGAATGCCCCACTCAGGCTAAACATTTCCCCTGCTCGAGTAGTACTATGCCGGATTGAGTTAAGCCTAACCCTCCCCGAGGCGTGTGGGACGTCGGGAAACCCCTGGATCTTGGCATTTGTTTTGTATTCCACGCTAGTGTGAAGGACGCCAATTTTAGGAACAGCCTCAAACCCTCAGCTTTTTTACCCCTTCCCACTTCCGAGCCATGGGTCTCTTTCAAGTCTGCGACACGGTCTCATGGTTCCGAGCTTTGGTAAGTGGGGACTTTCAACTGCAGGAGACCTTCACTATTGTTGCGATCCCGGCCGTGGCGTGCATTAGTGCTGGCAACAGCCTTGGAAACAACCCTGTTCCTGGATTTTGAGAGGATTTTGGGTCGACCCGTCTAGACAGCCTCGGAAGTCGACCGTGGAGATGGTCCCTGGGGGTGGGTTGCTAGCTCATGCAGACTGCAATCTACAGTACCTCGCCACTGCCTATCCATTCGGGATGGCGCCGCACCTGCATTAACCATGGCATAACATCTGGCAGGTCATCACACGGGGTGAAAAAAGAGATTAAAGATCATCGCAGGCAACGAGTCACCGTACGCAAACACGGTAAAACTACGGAGTACATACGTCAACGGTCCTATAAATACATCAATTGTTTGAAAAAAACCGCACAAGTAATCCATGAACGGATAATTGGTCACCCATTTGGTAATCTCAACCGATGTCAATGGTGCAATGGTTGTGCACTGGTACTTCTGGTGTATTACTGCTCGATAGGTCGCTTTCAGGTTTCCAAGTGGAATTGACACAACAAAACAGTGAGTGAATCCACATATTGCCAAAAAGCGTATAGACCGTGCAGTATCCTAGTCTTAAACCCCCGGGGTTGCAAGCCATATTGGGCGGATCCATAATCAGCCACTCGGAACCCTTTCGCACCGAGCTTACCCCTGCAGAGGTTCAATCCAGGTACCAAAAAAAGAAGCAAAAAAGGTCTGTGACAGACCAGACTTTGAGTTGATACTCCCGGAAAAAAAAGGGGAGTTGAAAATGGTCACATAGAAATTAATTCTTCGGGTTATGGGTCAACCGTTGGTGGGTCTATGACGATCTTTTCCCCTGGCTATGGTCGATGACCGAATGTTTGACTAGGATATTCATTCTGTTTACCTCGTTGAGAGATTTTGCCCACCTCGCCCTCGTGCCTTGGTGGATGTGCTGGATAATTCCTTCCAGCTTACTGGGAAGATCTGTATAACTTGGCAACGTGTGGTGCCGTGATGGGCCGGGTAGGCCCTAATGAATATGTGGGCCACTACAGTCGGTATGCAAATCGAAGATGATCCGTAATCTGACACCTTTTCTAACGACCTCGCCACAGGTAGACGGCACGGGCTTTTGTCTCCAGTCTGGCCGGTGGATCCTCATGGATCCACACCTTGCCCTGGAAGATCCAGGTCTACCCCCCCGTATCCGAGAGCCTAAGGGGTTAGTTAGCTCGAAATGTGGACTAGGGCTTCGAGACCGGGGTAGCCCTCTTGGTACAGCGTGGATCAAATTGTCTCCTGCCCAGGCCGATTTATCCTGCTCTCAAGAGAGACCAGGGGTATATAAAGATCGAGGATCGTCACCTCGATTGTTATTGCTTCATCAGTTTGTTTTTCATTTTCAATCTTTTCAGTCTATCGTTAATACCTTTGCAGACGGCTTTGTTAGACCGTCTTGCTATTCTTCCTTTCTTGTCTCTTTTTTTTCGACATTTTTGTATAAAACTTTCGCTACTGCACCTACACACACATTCGTTATCATCACACGAGGAAGATGCGTTATTCTCTTGCTATGCTCGCCGGTCTGGCGGGCTCGTCCCTAGCCTACCCGGCTGAACTCACCAACGAGCGCCGTACTTTCGGCCTTGTTGCCGGTATCCTCGGTAATGTCGGTTCCGAGGTTGGTACCATCCTCGACACTGTTCTGGGTGGTCACGGCCACGCCAGTGCCTCTGCCTCTGTCAGTGGCTCCGTTAGCTTGCTCGCTGGTCTGAGCGCTCGCGGTGCTGCTGCTCTTGAGGGTGGAGCTCTTGGATGCAGCCACTCCACCATCCATGCTTCTGCTCGTAGTGAGTTGAAGACCTGGTTGCACAGCCAGACCCACATCACTGGATCTCTGAAGACCTCGCTCCTGCACTGGTGTGAGGGCTCCATCGCCACTCTCGATGCTGGTGTCATTGCCGGTCTCGCTGTCTACATCCCCACCTGTGCCGACCTCGCTGCCAAGGAGTCCCTTTATGTTACTATTGAGGGTATCTTCTCGGCCTCCGAGCTTGAGGCTACCCTCGTTCTCAGCGCCTCTGCTCAGACTTCTCTCACTGCTTTCATCTCCGCTCACGTCGACCTGGATGTCGATGTTAAGGCCGGTCTCCACCTCTGTGCTGGTGGTGGTATTGTCGGTGGCTTGAGTGCCGACATCAAGGCTTCCCTTCTCGCCTGGGTTCAGGGCGGCGACTGTGCTCTCAGCGCTACCCTGAAGGCTTCCGTTCTTGCTTGGATTAAGGGCGAGGCTGGTGCTGATCTCGTTGCCGTTGGCTCTGTTTCTACCGATGCTCTTACTTCTATCTCCGTCGGTGCCTCCGTTGAGGTTCTCGTCGAGGAGTCTGGTGTTCTCTCTACCGCTGCCCTTGCCTCCATCGCTGCTTTCCTCGAGGCTGATGTCTCGGCTGAGATTGATGTTGACGTCCGTGCTGGTCTTAAGGCCTGTGCCGAGGGCAAGCTTGCTACTGGTATCAGCGCTGATCTCCGTACTTCCCTGGCTGTCTGGCTTTCCGGCTCTGACTGCACTCTCGGTGTTGAACTCAAGGCCGTTATCCTGCTCTGGTTGTCCGTTGCCGTTACTGCTGAGGCTTCCGTCGATGTTGTCACTGGTCTCGTCACTGATATCACCTCTTTCCTGACTGAGGAGGTTATTGCTGTTCTGAGCGTCAACCTCCGTGGTGCCCTTGCCCTCCTCGAGGCTGGCGAGAGCCTGACTCTGCTTTCCTGGGAGGCCCGTTCTGAGCTCGCTGCCTTCCTCGGTGGCTGCACCAGCGTTGACATCAGCGTTTCCATTGAGGTCATCATCACTGAGTGGTTCACTGGCTGCAGCGTCTCCGGCTCCGGCTCCGGCTCTTCTCCCTCTGGCTCTGCCTCGGTGCCCAGCATTCCTTCCGCCACTGTCTCCATCCTGCCCAGCAGCCCCGCCGGCTCTGGCTCCGTTCCCTCCGGCGCTGCTCCCTCCGGCGCTGCTCCCTCCGGTGCTGCTCCCTCCGGTGCTGCTCCCTCCGGTGCTGCTCCCTCCGGTGCTGCTCCCTCCGGTGCTGCTCCCTCCGGTGCTTCGCCCACTGGCTCTGGTGCTGCTCCCTCTGGTGCTGCTCCCTCCGGCTCTGCTCCCTCTGGCGCTGCTCCCTCCGGCTCTGCTCCCTCCGGCTCTGCTCCCTCTGGCGCTGCTCCCTCTGGCGCTGCTCCCTCCGGCTCTGCTCCCTCTGGCGCTGCTCCCTCTGGTGCTTCGCCCACTGGCTCTGGTGCTGCTCCCTCTGGTGCTGCTCCCTCCGGCTCTGCTCCCTCCGGCTCTGCTCCCTCCGGCTCTGCTCCCTCCGGCTCTGCTCCCTCCGGTGCTGCTCCCTCTGGCGCTGCTCCCTCCGGTGCTGCTCCCTCCGGCTCTGCTCCCTCTGGCGCTGCTCCCTCCGGTGCTGCTCCTTCCGGTGCTTCGCCCACTGGCTCTGGTGCTGCTCCTTCCGGTGCTGCTCCCTCCGGCTCTGCTCCCTCTGGCGCTGCTCCCTCCGGTGCTGCTCCCTCCGGCTCTCCTAGCTCTGGCTCTGGATCTACCGGTACTGGCTCCACTGGCTCCGGCTCTGGATCTACTAGCTCTGGCTCCGGCTCTACTGGCTCTGGCTCTACTGGCTCTGGCTCCACTGGCTCTGGCTCCGGCTCTACTGGCTCCGGCTCCACTGGCTCCGGCTCTACTGGCTCTGGCTCCACTGGCTCCGGCTCTACTGGCTCTGGCTCCACTGGCTCCGGCTCTACTGGCTCTGGCTCCACTGGCTCCGGCTCTACTGGCTCTGGCTCCACTGGCTCCGGCTCCACTGGCTCTGGCTCTGGATCTACTGGCTCCGGCTCCGGCTCCGGCTCTATCCCCTCCGGCTCTGCCTCTGGCTCTGTGCCCTCTGGCGCTGCCGCCACTGGCTCCGCTGGCACTGGTACCGTCCCTGCCGGTCCCGCCCCGACTGAGACTGCTGCTATGAGCACCCCCTGCGCTGGCGGAGCCGGTGCTGGTGAGACTGAGACCATCAGCTACAGCACTGCCTTCACCGAGACCATCCTCGGCACTGGCAGCGTTGGTTACACCGAGACCATTTACTACAGCACTGCCTACACTGAGACCATCCACTACACCGAGACCGTCTCTGCTCCTGCCGTCACTGCTGCTCCCTCCGGCGTCTCCCCCGTGGGCTCCGGTGCCATCACCACTGTGTACGTTACTCAGACCGCCACCGTCTGCGGATGCGAGTAAATAATCACTCACCCATTCATCCCATCATACATTCACGACGCCCGCCGTCTACCCATTTTCCTTTTCCCTCATGACAAGATGACCATATCCCCTTGAAGTGGTGTGGCCTGCAGATCTGTTCAAACTCTCTCAGGCCATGGTCAATATTCCTCCACCCTGCTCACCTACGCGGTGATTTGTTTCCTTGCCTCTGTCCTGCCTGTAGATATCTAATTTTAATACTAATCTGCTTTGGGAGATTTGGTCTACACTGTTGGATAGACTCTTGGCGGATCGCGGCTCTGTATTTTTCGCAGAGCGAAAATCATTTGTTATTATTCTGAGATCAAGATATCATACCTATTCCCATCAATGGAGTACATTCCTTAGCCTCTTGCAATTTTGTGCATTACTTTTCTGATTTTTCCGCTTTTATATCTCGAGTTGACTTTACGAAGAAAAAGTTGAATCTTATACAGCAAACGAAGAAATTAGAGATGCCTTTCAAATAAACAATCCTCTTTCCAATCTGGCTTACTCATACTGCGATTTGCTCCCAGCTTTCAAGATAATGTTTTCAGATTTAGTGTGCAGAGATATACCCAGCCTGCCAGATGTGTTCCATGTTATAATATAAGAATCAGGTGTGGTACCCAGAAAAGAGCCGACTCAACGAAATAAAGCCCGAAACAGTGACAAAAAGTCTACCAGATATTACTCCTTCTTTCAAGCTTCTACAGCACCCATCTGCATACTATTAGTCTCTTCCACTGCCACCTTCTCGTCAACCTCGCTCGCAACAACAACCTCTGGCACAGCTTCTGGTCCAGGGTAGAAGTCAATCTTTCCGTCCTCTTTAATAACCCTAGTGCGATCCAAAAGACTACGAGCACGCACATAGGGATCAAGCCGCCAATAGTTGTCCGACAACTGCTGGATCACCACATCACGACGGCTGTTTAAGGAATCACCCCCAGGACCTGTGATCCACTCCGCATTCATACTGAACAACTTATCGCCAAGCGTTTTCCTCTCTTCAAGAATTGCATCTCGGGTCGCCGTATCACGGAGCCTCTCGTTTTCATTAAGCGTGGGCTCGATGTACTTGACTTCCCAGTCTTCCGGGCCACCAAGCTCTTTGATAATATGCTGTGCAGGGACGAGATCCTCCAGCTCTGTAGCACCAGTGACAAAGTGGACCTTCGAAGCGACAACCGGGTCTAGTAGACCATTGATGATTTTCCAGAACCCTGCGAAGCTCAACATGTTAGCTGAGCAATAATATCGGATAGGCGATGTGGATAGATTCGGAACATACCGGAAAAGATCCAAGGGGCATTATAGAAGATCATAGCGCCCAATGATTCAGGATAATATTCTTGAAAAGAATCAATAATAAACTTTACGGGAGCCAGTTCCTGTCAAACGTCAGCTTCTATATAGTTCAAAGTCTAAATCAAATGGTTCATCCCCATACCCAGTTCGAAATGGAGAAAGAATTCAAATCAAAAACAATAGCCTACAATTGAAATCCATGGTTAGTATCCACCGAACTAATGAAGTCTAAACTTAAGCGATCATTCCAGAAACTTGGAAACGAAGATCCGGGGTGGAACGGAACGTGTCATGCCGTACGTACCATCGACTCCACAGGAGGGACCATTAGCAGCCGCACGAGCTCAATTAAATGCACAATATAGTCATTCAACCCCTTAGTCGTCTGAGTGCCCGGCTGATGAGCCCGAACCCGAACAATACAAATAGGGCGGCCCTCCAGATCAATTCCGTGCAGATGTCCTTTGCCTGTATACAACTGCAGCAAGAATCCCTCACCATCTTTCTTCGCGGTGGAGTCACCCTCCAATCTGGAATTGATAAATGCATATTCTTCGCCTTTCTCCAGAATCTCCTCGTCGACCTTATAATCGTTCACGCGCCAGTTGAGTGCGCGTATGAATTTGATCCAAGCTTTAGGGACATCCCATTTCTCTGCGCGTAGGAAGCGTAGACATAGTGCATCGGGATGGTCTTGCTTGAGCATCGACAAGAACGCGATGCGGATTCTGTCACCGGGCAGCTGGATAAGCAGGGATTGAACAGCTCGGAGCTCGTTTGCGCCTGCACCTAGACGTTTCAAAGATGCGAGTAGATTCGGCGGGATTGAAGATAATTCTTCATCAGATGGTTCGGTTGATGAGCGACTGAAGGAGAAGAATCGTCGACGACTTGATGGATTTGTATTGGAGTTTGCTACTGAGGTTGTACCGTCGGCACTGGATAATGTGGGATCCCATGATTGCTGGATCACTTTCCAGAACTGTTGTAGTTTTTCTTGTTGGACTGGGGTGAGGTTCCCCACATAGCCTTCTGGGATAGGGATCGGGTCAGGCATTGGGGGCTGGAATGAGTGATTTTCACGGTACACGAAATGCTGTCCTTTTCAACAGGGTTGAGGGATCGAGCTAGGTACTTATGTGCTTATTCGGCAAATGATTTGCTTTTGCGATAGCTTGGACCCCATATCCAATGGTAATTCCTTGTCCCCCACTCCATGTGATCTTAGATGCATTAGCCCCGCACGGAGAAGCCGAGGGAAATCTCCTTGACGAAAAGCTAGGGTTCGATCTGCAGGTCCTGACGTTGGTGACAAGTAGGAGCCGGTGTAATAATCCAAACTTGGCAGTGATGAACGACTGGGCTCGTGATCGAGTTCATCAGAGTAGCATGACTTGACTTATTGTGTCTTAGCGGGGGCCCCAGTTTCAAGGCTGTTTAAGGACTAGCATAGTGAAGAACAGGAATTTCGGGTATGGTTTTATTTCTAGGAATGAACGTCGCTGTAGGCATGTTGCCTAGAACGAGTACCTATCTCTTCATTAAAAATACATCGTTTCAGTCGAGACATTATGAGCCTGGATCCACGTCAATACGGATGTGTGGATATTCCATTAGATGTTCAAGATCTCAAGCGCTCTGCGAGTGAGGAACTTATCCACCTCACTCAGCATCCTTCATCTCCTGATCCTCCGCCTTGGGTTTCATCTCGATTGGGTTGGGAGTGGGTGGATCTTCCGGCTGATCAGCATTCTTTGGTTGTTTTTTGTCAGATGTAGATACAGATGGGTCACGTTTTCTGTGAGCAGCTGGATTGTATCGCTCCAAAGAGCGGCGCCGTTCATGCTCTCTGCGAGGGCTGCGGCTGCGGCTGCGGCTGCGGCGTCGTCCATATCCACGGCCACGAGTCTGTTCATCGTTGAATCGGGAAGTATCGGGTTCATATCGTCCTCTACCTCTCTCACGAGAACGAGAACGTGGGCGATAGCGAGGGAGATCGTTCGAGCCAGAGTTCTTCCGGTCTTGGTGCCGAGAGGATGGGCTCACGCTGCGGGAGAACGAGCGGTGTCCTGGTTCATCTCTGGGAATTGGTGAGCGTGAATTATTCTGGTCAATGGATCTGTGTCGATCACCGTAGTCTGGGCTGCGCCTAGTTCCTTCGCGTTTGCGCGAGTTGGGGGAGATGGATCGGCTGTAGGTTCGGCGGCGGCCTGGAGACCGGGCACGACCAGCATGACGCGGTTCCCGAATGGACGAGCGAGGAGGGGAATGGGGGGAACGAGATCGAGAAGGGGAGCGAGAGTGGCGGCCTTGGTTCGAGCTAGACGGGACGTAAGAATCAAAATTACGGCGAGGTGGGGGTTCACGGTATCGGTCCCGGCTTCTGTTGCGACGGGGAGGGGATCGCGATCGTCGGCGTTCGAAATTGCTATCGAAAGCACGGTTGCGACCAGGGCCCCTCTGTCCTCGTTCGCGATCTCCACGGGCTCCACGTTCTCTGTTCCTGATATCACCCAGTTCGCGCTCCCGGGCCATATCTTGCTCGCGCTGTCGTCGAGCGGATTCGGCGGCCCTTTCGGCTTCAGCCTGCGATAAAATGCATTAGCGACGGGCTTGGAAAAGGATCTGCTCGGAGTCGCGGGCAAGGGATCACCTTTTCTTGAATGAGCTCCAGCTTCTTCGCTTCAAGAAGCTCCTTTGGTACACCCTGGGGGTTCTCTTGGCCGCTCAGGCACAGTAGCCAAAGATCCTTGCAGAACTTGGGGGTATCTTTGTCAAGGAATCCTGTAAGTTGGATTTGAATTGCCTTGATATCAGGCTAATTGATCCACAAATACTGTCAGTTGGGCGCCAGCAAAGACCAGACGACACCGCGGGAAACATACGTAGCGGGTGCCTTCAATTAGGCCGAAGCAAAGCTCGATGACCACATCATCTTCATTGCCTAGAATCTCAGAAATCCGGCCTGCGATCCATCTGCATTTGAGTACGGAGATTAGCATGGCGCCTTCACGATCAAAATCCGGGGAAGGGTGGACGAACTTCTTCATCACCTCAATGTTGACTTTTTGCATATCAACCTTGCGGCTAAACTCAGGAGGAAACTTGGTCTTCCGAAGAAGCTTCGCATCCACCGGAGCGGCCATGATGGGAGTTGTGGGGTTGGGCGAGCAGTGGTTGAAAGGTGAGCAAGAGGCGCGTGGTGGAGAAAGATGCGCGGATTCGAAGGCGGTCTAGGAAACTGCCATACCTGAGTTCACCGCTTCAAGGTTCGTTGTCGCCTGAGAGATCGGGCTTCAGTATCTGCTCCAACCCTAACCGAAGTATGTACTTCGATCCAGCCCCATGCCACATACACAACCAAAGATGTCGCCAAGAGAAAGTCGCTCACAACAGAACGGAAGAAGGGCAGTTGTGTGCCACAGATTCTATATAAGCCCCATCTCGTACCTATAACAAAGATGCAGCGGCCTCCGGCATACTCTGGAACAATGTCAACTCAACGTTGATGATTCTTGTGCTCTCTGGAACAACTCCTTCACAGCATGGGATTATTGAGTCCTCTTTTGAAAGCCCCAAGCCAGAGCAACAAGGGTCAACATCATTTATAGGGTGCTGCAAGCCAGGACAACATGGCCCATCCACTGCATCCCATGGTTTGGCTGGTTCTTCAGGCTCTGCGGGTACCTTGTCTTCATATCGTTGTTCGGACCTTGGAACCAAAGGAGATAGATGTTTCAAATACAACCCATGATGAAATGCAAGCAGATCATAGTGGAGACCGAACTGCTTCGGCAACGATACCTGCATGGCAATATCTTGAGCCGTGGGCTGAGTCGAGCGTTGCATGATGGTTGTGCTAGACAGCTATGCAAGTGCAGGAGAATTATGATGAGTTGGAAAGGGGTGATGAGAAATATGAAGTGAGAGACGGTTGTCAGTGAGGTTTAGGATAAAAAGTAAACGAAAATCACATGCCGTTCAACTCGAAGTTACGTGACTCGGCATACAATGCTTATTGAGCTCGACCCACCCCTCCAGATAATTAGCCATAAGCTGCTTCCTGGTTTACTTCTACTTAATTGGTGCCCTTCTCATTCCATCTCCAGAACCATCTACTATGTGGCTCTATAGTGCGGACGACTGACAGCGTTCAATTATCTCTAAATACCTATATAAAGGTCTGAGTAGCTAGATACTAAATTTCACACTACTGAACTGAGACCATTGTCTATGTAGATAACAAGAATAAAAACCAGATAACTCCCCGAGACCAGGGAGACCTTGATATTACCATTATTTTTACTAATTCCAACGGATTGAGGGGACTTGATGACTCTACAGACATATGTATACTCTCAAGGCCAGAAAATAAATATGTCATAACAGGATAGATAGACGTAGATGATAGCAGATGAATAGGCGTTTGCTAAGTATGAAGGCATCTTTTTACTGGCTATACCGGACCCAGCCTTAGTCTCTTCCTGTTTTGACACTTGCCCACTCCTGATATGATCACAGTGAAAAGACATCATAGTTCAGGATCATAATGCTTCGAATTCCGAGAACTATGCGGGTAATAGACACGAACGTGAAGTCGGTTGTGCCCCGGTATTTAGAGTCGTGAATTATGAGACGGGAATGCAAGCCAGAGAAAAGGAGAAGCCTTACTGATGTTGTTTAAACACTTACATTATCAGAAGAGATTACTAAGCTTTCATATCAGGTGGCCCTATGGCCTTCCACCTTTTGATGCTCGTCTGATCTTATTGACTGAGACCAGAAGGCCTCCGCTCGGGAATATACAGCGTAAAGACCAACTGTCCAAATAACGCGATCTAGACTTTGCAAGTAGTGCAGAGGAAGCCTTCATGATGCAATTAGAAGTAATAAAAGCACAGTATTTCATCCCGTCTCTCCAACTTCGCAGACCGCAACGCCAAGGGCCCATTCTGACCTCAAAACCTCTGCTGCAGTGATCCTCGACTCCGAGTCGGGATGTAGCATCGCGTAAACCACATTTCGACAACGCTGTTCCGGGATGTCAGAGAATATGCTCATGCTCAGGTTTACATACAAAAGCGACGAATGTAACTCACCAGTTGAAGCGACTGTATGGGACCGTAACCGTCATCGGTCAGACGATAGTTCAGATAATTAGCAAAGGGCTTTCCAGGATGAATCCTCTGCGCCCTGTGCCAAAGGAGCTTGCCTGATATCAGAGCCATGTAGATCATACCACATGCCCATACATCTCCCGCTCTGATATCAAAGCCTTGATGATGTGCATAGCTTTGATGAAAAGAGCCACGTCGACCAGAAAACCTCTCTGGCGGAAGATAGGGAACGCTTGCCTCCGATAGCTTCCTCCGAATGCACATCTTGGGCTTATAGTTAGAAGCCGGAGTCATGTTTGAACTGGCTCCCGACTCAGAATAGCATGAAGTGCGATTATTGCCATGCAATAATTCCGCCAGTTCTCGGACTGCATCTTCGTCTTCCCCAAAGCCACTTACCTTTACTGCGCCTTGGGTTGTAAAAAGGATATGTTCTGGTCTCAGATCGCCATGGACAATATCTTTATCGTGAAGGAATGCAACTGCGCGAATGATTTGAATAATCCAGCAGTTTAACTCTTCTTTCGTGATTCTGTCCTTTCGTGGTCCGTCTGGGAAAAGAAAGGACTTTAAATTGCCACCGCCGCAGTAGGGCATGACGAGGCAGAGATGCTTTTGTTCATTGTAAAGTATGTCGATAATTGGGATAATGTTAGGATGGTATAGTGAGAAAGAAGGAGTTTGCTTTCCGTACGGGAGTGGTGTGGTTGTTTGGGCAGAGTGAAACATTTTGACTGCATAGAGTTCTCTTATTGTCTTGTTGATTAAGGAAGCCCGCCTCAATTTTGTCACCACAGGGCTGGATGGAGTTCTTCCTGGTGATTTGATCTGGTCAACCGATGATTTCTTTTCGTATAATTGCACCGTATTTGAGTCATCATAATGAAGAACTCTATGAAATTTTCCATAATCTTTTGCGAATGATGTGGGTGATTCTGCCTTTGCCTCGTAATTTGTGGCTGGCATGCTTTGCGCCCGGTCTGACTCAACAGAAGGCACGTTCGTAGAATCTCGACGAGAAAGGACTTTCCACGATTCTGAACGGGCTTCACGTTCAGAAGACAGCCATCCCCAGCCAGACAAAATGTTGGTTAGTCCATCGAAGATGCGAGGGGCTTCAAAGTCTTTCGTTTCTCTGCCATCGTCCCTTACTGTATGATGACGATGAGATGCCAAGGGACGAGTAGGTAGTTCGACTTCCTCAAAGGGATCGTGGAAATAGGTAGGGCTTTGAGGAATCTCCTTATTCATTCTCTATTCCCGCGTCCACGGGTTCTGTGAACGATCTCCGTGTAATGGGTGTATTGATCTCGAGAATTTCCGACAAAAGACCCCGGGCTGGAAGAAGCCTATTAAGCGTTCCAGAAAGACTGTCGTGAAGTTAGTTTTAGGTGATGGATGACGAAATGATAAATCATGGCACCTGACTTGAGACGCGCAACCTTGGTTCTGATGTTGAGTACCACCAATGACTGGTTCCCGCTCGCCGAGTACCACAGCCACAACATGTATATTGCGCACTAAATATTGGAGACAAGTGAATGATGTTAAACAATTGCTGTATCAAATTATCAAAATTATTCATGCTAAAGAATGCTTCAAAAATATCAAAAAAACCACTGGTGCCGCTATGAGATACATCAATGTCTGACCTAGGGATGTTTTAATTAATCTACAGTCGCGTAAAACGATTCATCATTGCTTTCAAGCTGGACCGACCATTGACTGAACAGCACACGGTCGCACGATCTTTTGAAGTCGCCACAAATCCCGCTTCCCAATGTCTTGGTGGATAAGAACCATCATACTAAGCAAGTTCAATAATTCCGGGTCCGTACAAAGTTGCAGCAGCAACGTCACTAGCATCTGAAAATGGTCCAACACTATTAGTGACAGCGGCAATGGTCAATCCGCCCATCACATATTCCTGGTAGGGGAACGGTGAGGTGAAATGAACATAATCATCAACAAGGCTGTTATTCACATTATCAGTCTGAATTCCTTATAAAAAAACACTTTATATCGGTCAACAAACTTACTGGACATTAGAAAGCTTTTCAACCACTGGAGTATTCTGCCCGTTGATGTATACCAGGCTCAGGCCCTCAGTACTGACAGTTGTCTCATTCGTATAGAAACTGAACTCCAGCTCCTGTGTCTGTGCCTTGGGATAGCTTGTGTCGACATTCAAAGCCCCAAAAACGGGAATGGGTAGACTATCAGGGCAAGAGCCAGGCACTATGACCGTTTGATACAGCGCAGATAGCAAGAAAGGGCCCGATGACGCGGTGAGTAATGGCTGAGTGGACGGTGGCAAGGCGGACTTGTCAACGGTTCGATAAAAGCCATTCTGTTCACCTTCTTGGCCAATGACAGAGCCAACCAACCCAAGGAATACTGCATCCCCATCAGACCCAAAGACTTTTAAAGCCTCTTGAAGAGTTCCAAGGACAATATCGGTAAAGACTGATGCGAAATTGATGGCGGAATCGAGATTGTCGACGGGAAATATATATTCGCAGGGACTGATTGGGTCACGTCCAGCCGCCTGGAGAATGCCATTTGCTCCGAGCGCATGCACTTCTTCCTGTGCTCTGACTGCTTCTAATGCGGTAGTGATAACATTCCGTGCAGCAGGGCTGGCAAGTTCATATCCAGAAATGCCGTCCGTGATGTTGTCAATGAGATTGCTAAAGTATGCTACTTCAAAAAGCTCATTGAAGGCAATTAGCTGCCATACGGCAACTGAGTTGTCTGCGATTTCGGCAGGTGATGCTCCATTGGGCAGTGTGCCATGTGCTTGTTTCTCGATTTCTGTCAGAGCATCCGAGTCTTGAGCGATATTGGGAAAGCCGTTTGCGAGTGGGAATGAGAATGGCTTTTGACCTCCCACTGAAGTGGACTTCTTCACTACCTGCGGCGCATGAGGCATTGCATTCACCCCCAGGGAGAGGGCGACAAGAGCAAATAGACAGAAACGCATTTTTGATATCGTGTCTTATGATAAGTTCAGAAAGAATAGAGTAACGTGAAAAAAAATGGAGATAGCGAAGTTGGAGAAGACCGAAGTTGGAGAAGACCGATTTCCTATCAAATCAATATGTCTTTGCCAGATATAGTAGGTTGGGATTGAATGATGATCGTGTCTTTTGCTGGAGAGAGAGGTCAGTTTTATACATTTGAATATGACATAAGACCTAGCAAATGGCCCCAAATACTGCAACCGAATTAGATTAATTTGTTCAAACTCAAATGTAAATAAAGCTGGGCAGTACCTAGAGGCTTGAAAAGCCTTACCATTCATTTGCCTAAATTGGATCCAACTTTGGGCAGAGCATTTTGACTGGGCGAAAAGTAGATGATGAGCGTGAATAATGCATGATGACAAGCCTACATAGGCCAGAAATGGTATTTGCGCGGATAAGTTTGGCGATTAGCGATATTTCGGGGTGGGGCTGGGTAGGGCTGGTGCTGACGTGAAGAACAGGGGCTATGCAACACGAGGTCAGTTGGTTTGGCCCTCGTAAGGCTCTCGAAAGTTAAAACCCCACCACTGCCACGTCAGCTATTTCAGGATGCGAAAGCGAGACCGACTCAAAATCTGATGGCGCGACCTGGAACCCGCGAACCTTTCCTTTTCCGCCCGACAATATATCATTCTCGCGCAGCGGAGTCGCATAGTGCAATATCGCTCGTCGAAACTGGTCATCTAGCATGGAAATGCTCGCGTTTGCTTCAGGCTATAAATAATATATACCCACTGTCACCGTGGGCATACGAATACAAAGCTCGCCGGGGATATCTAGGTCCGAAATTATCAGGTGGCTGTCGTCGATGAGCCTGAAAATTATGAGCGGAGGTGTTTGCTGGGAATAGGTGAGTGACACATTAGGTCAGCGCGACTTTGCCAAAAAGGGTAGACGTACTTGGCATCAATATTGGGAATCAATCCCCCACGTCTGATCCCGCAGCACCATTTTCGGAAACGCAAACATCGGCGAGACGCAACATTTTCCCGTCACACCTCAACCTTGCGCGAGGGTCAAGCCATTAGTGAGAAGCTCAGGAGAGTGAGATTGACAAGCGGTGCGATGGTGGCGGGGGATGTGGAAAGCGCATCTAGCGACGTGATCTGGCGCATTTTAGTAGGACACATCCTATGAAGGGGCATCGCTTACGATAAGGCCTTGGGTGAGCCTCGATGACGAGTGAATCTTGGGCTATAATGTTATGATGCGTTAAATCAAAAGTCTTGGGAAAGCTCGTTGATGCACTGCTTAAGAGCCGCGCTCCAGAAGTCGTCCGAGCGGACATCAGATTATCCAAGCTGATTCACAGATTCAGGCACAGGTCTGAAACCCGATAATGGCATTTAGTTAAACCATTTATATCTTTATGACCTTTCTAAAATACTATCCCGATGTACAAAGCACCAATCACGTTTAATTTGGTGCCTGAAATCCTTTGCCCAGTGAAGATGATACGGATCCCCCAATTCTGTGAAGAGCTTACCGAAAGCTCCTGGTCGTCAATGTTTTCCGAATGTTTGAACGGCGAATACATGCACCGCTTCTGAATATCAGGAAGTTTCTTGTCCCATTTCCGGTCAATGGCATACCGTGCCACTGATACAGCCTTATGATCTGTTGCATATGCTTGTGGGGCCCCGCGGATGATATTGCGGGGTACTTGGTCCAGCAACAAATTCAGGGCCAATGCGCCTTCACCCTCCCCGGCGCGGATCCAGGCATAGAGATAACCATTTTTGGCGGCTTGGTATGTCTCACTTAGGTTTTCACGTACGTAGGCGTCGTCTGCAGGGCTGCCGTACCAGAATGACTTTTGCCGCAGGTAATCCCGGGATGATTTGGAACCGAACCAGAAATCGAGTATATTCTCGTATGTCTTTTTCGACGTGAATTCGATTCATGAAATTTGAATTGACTGAGTACTTTATGATAGACCGCCAGGCTGCAGAGAGCTAGGACAGGCAAGTACCTGTGAGAATAGAAGAAAAATGTACAAACTCGACTTTGTTCCATGAGGGATGTTATACATTTAGGTCATCTACTTTGACTCAGGCTGTAGATCCCCCACACTTACATGATCCAAGTATCAGGTCCACAGAAGGGATTCCTGCTGGAAATTTGGGACAGCAGGTAATACTCGCTTGGAGATAATATGCTTTTTTTTTTTTTTTTTTTTTTTTTTTTTTTTGGCAAGGAGGCTGGAGCAGGAAATGCCAGATCACATGGCACTGTCTGTTGTTGACAGCCTGCAGGATGCGGCTCAAAGGATATTCCTCACAGGGTGAAGCATAGAACTCAAGGCATGGTCCTTGCACTCGTCGCCAACATCAAAAGTAAAAGCAAAACAAAAACCGAAAAACAGAAATCCGGTTGCTGTCTTCAACCTGGCTCGAAAGTTTGGAAATGCTTGGCATGTCTTTTCTGATACAAACTCATAAAATTAGTTGTTCCATCTCCATCTTTCACTTCACAGTAAATACTTAGACCTGCAAGGTCTCGATGAGGTTAAAGCGCCGACAGACTCGATAGCTGATTACGAGGATCATAGATACACATTTAGACACCTGCATGATAGTATTGAAATGCCAGAATTATATTAACTCCGATCCCAGGCAAGCCCAGACTACTAGCCCGGAGTGTACTCCCCTTTGTGGAGATCGCGGCGGGAGTTTTGCTTAATCGGCGCCACCCGCCGATTCAAGTACGCGGAAGTGGAGTCTCGTCCACAAGGAAACGTGAGCAAAGTCAATAGTGTCGGGCACGTTAAGGCCGCGTTCCAAGACATACCAACCCAAAATTTCACTAGTCAAAGTATGTTTAATCTACTTCATATCAGTTTTGTTGATCAAAAGCGGATCAACTGCCAAAATAATCTAGAAAATGAAGGAGCGGCCCGAAACGAGCTTCCGGTGGGGCTTTAGACGTTAGTGGAATCCTGGGGGCTTAGCCATGCGCCTAAACCCGCTTGGCGGAAAGCATTGAATCCTCAGACCATAGTGGCCACAGCGTACATGTACCCACTTAATGAAGGCCAACCATTCGGTAGGTTTGTCAGAGATGCTACTGATTTGACTGCGGGATGTGTACCCCTGCTAGGTACTTCGTTGAACCTTTAGCGGCGGAAATAGACTCCTTGAGTTGATTAAAGTGGGCGTTTAAATCCCCACTAACTATTTTTAGTATTTTCTCAACTCCCTGACTGGCAAACATTAAATCAGTTAACCTTTCCTAAACTCCTCTGCATGGGTAGCTAGATGTTGGATTCTGGTTGGGAATCCAATCGCAAGATATGGCTAGTGTAGACGCTGTCTTCGGTCAGGCGCCCTCGGACATGGACTTGTCGGAGAGCCAAGCTCACACAATTACAGGGGCCATTAGTGCAATGCTGGCTCTCTCGATTATCTGTGTTTCCTTGCGCATCTATTCAAGACTTGCGGTCAAAAAGGTTGGATTGGGAATTGATGATTGGACGATAATTGCTGCTCAGGTTTGTGAAACCATAGGCATATTCAGCCAAGTCGCGAGGGTTTTAACAGACTTTATGCAGATTCTTGTCGTGGGATTATTTGCAGCGACTATTTTAGGTAAGGCGCACTGCTAGTATTATTGTCGCGGACTATCCTGATGAAACAAAAGCCGAAGATTCTGGGGCTGGGAAGCACATATGGGCTGGAACAATGGATGATGTGGTGCAATTACAGAGGGTTCGTACATCCGACTACCCACTGTTTCAGGTGTATTGACTTGCAATTGGAATAGAATCTGTGGGCTTACGCCTTCGTCTATATTGCCTGTCTTGTTCTTGTGAAGTCCTCGATCATATCCTTCTACCGCCGCATTTTCAGCATGAACTGGGCCACGTGGGCATGTCTCTTCATCGTTATCGGATGGGGGATCGGAAGTCTCATCACGCTACTGGTCGCCTGTCGGCCAATTTCATACTTCTGGAATCGGTATACCGACCCAGATGGAGGGAAATGTCTCTTCGATCTTTATTCTTTCTATATTGGGAATGCGGCGACAAACGTGGCGGCCGACGGCCTCATCTTCATGATTCCAATGCCGATTATCTGGAAGTTGCAAATGCAGAATTTCCAAAAGCTTCTAGTCTGTGGGATATTCTTCCTGGGTGGATTGTGTGTAGAAGACCGTTCAATTTTCCAAACTTCCAAGCGATAGCTAATTCGTTCCTTCTCTTTGTTCCAGTGCCATCTTTGTCAGTATCATCCGCATATCTTCCATAATCAATCTTAAAACCTCTCTCGACGTGTCATGGGTCATGGGCGACGTATACATGTGGTCTCAGATTGAACTTTCCGTGGCTGTGATTTGCGCATGTGTGCCAACTTTGCAACCGATTATTTGCATGTGGGCAACAAATCTGACATTTTCGAAAGGGTCAAAGCCGTTTGGAGAGATTTCACTATTTCAGCAATTATCCAGGAAGAAAGGAAGCACCAGGAACCGAACCGTTAATTTTCGGCCGGATTGTGATGAGGCTATGTTGACTTGCAGTTCTGTTCGAGTGGAAATGGATCCCCTCCCCAAGGATCGTGATAGCGACCTTGAAAATAATACCAATGTGATGAGTATCAAGGTACAGCGGGAATTTCATATGAGGGAAGATTCATGTGGTTGAAAGTACTCTGTTTGAAATGTATAATATTGATGGCATACGGCCCACTCTTAACTTTTAATTTGAAACAAACTAAAAATGGACGTGTTCCTCGGATGGAGAGATGCTTCGATGTAGATTGCAGCCGACAATTCTCATTGGGCCGTCCGCTCCTCTGTTCAGCTGCATGCAAGGGGCATAAAAACAAATCAAAGCATTCGGCCAATCAAAGACTCTGATTACTACAACGAGATAATAATGTGTGGTACGTCACACCAGATTACTTTTTTTGTTTTCAATAGCCTTGCATCACGCTCATTTGCTTTTTTCTTTGTCCAAAGAATGCTCTTTTAAAGGCAATCTTGCCTCTCCGTTATATCGTGCTTACAACAAAGAGCTAGAGACATCGGTCTCTTTCGTCCAAGATATGTGGAAAAGCAAGAGTTACCTGGATCGTGGTTACGGGTCGGCATTGACAATCAGCCTCAATGATCCTTGTCATGAGATATACTACGGGGAAGAACAGCCTTTGACCAGATTCCCCACTGCATCTTCCGACCTGGAGAAAGAGGAAGAAGTGAGTGGGAGAAATGTTACGAGACTCTTATTTGCTATCGTCTCTTTTACTTGTGTCGGCATGGCTTTGGCCATATTCTGCGCGATAATCGCAACACATCCTCGCACCAGTCAAGCGGCGTGATTTCACGTGTTATGGATTCAGGTAAGCTCCAGCTATTTGCAGATGTCTTCTTCATATTGCGAAGCTAAGACTTTCTCTTCTGAAGGTATTTGACTGATTGTATCTCTTTCTGCGAAGAGTTTATAAAACCCGGCCGACGAATTCTGTTAGCGTTTTGAATACACTTTGAGGATTTTCATGACAAATTGTCACCTTTGACACACCTTGGCTATATCACGCTGTGTTATATAGGTTTATTACAAGTGGGTACAACAATTCTCTCGATGGTGACCCTCCATAACCACTGACTGCAAAAGTAGAACCCTTACCAAGCGCTGGGTGTCTTCAAGATCGATGATTGGGACTCCATCTCAAAGCCAGATTTGACTGCCCAGGAACCCAAAGATTCACATGGCTGGAAGTTGGCGAGATGGAGATTCCCGTGGAAGATGTGGACAGATATTGATGGATTCCCTCGGTTGATCGGGGTCGCGAAACGAATGGGAGAGATGGTACTCGTCTTTGATCTCCTCTTATTCAATCTCTGGGCTCTCCATAATCTTAATCTGGTCATGAGTGCGCTCCCCCCGGAACGTGGCTTCTACAAAGAGCTGATAGAAAAACTGGAGGATAGCACCATTGATGTATTTTGTCGACCTCGGAACAATCACACAGCAAATCAGATCCAAATTTTACTTCGAAGGACTGACGAGCTTGACGTTTCTTCTGATCAATACCCACAGGCTCAATCCTCACTGCAAAGCTTAGCGAATCGGTCCATACCTGGTCGGGTAGTATTTGTTCATGAATACAAGGTTGTATAACCTGAAAGTACCACAAAGCCGTGAAACAATATAAGAGACCCATTTAAAGCGACGAAGTCTCGTAATCCAGCTCAAATTTACCATAGCATTTCAAAGAATCATCGGTGAATTCACCAGAAGCGATGTCATATTCACGAAACATCTTATTCTTCACCAACAGCGAGCTGGGTCAAGCCAACGTGGCCCTCGCAGTAGTAGAAGAATTCCTCCAACGCAACGAATTTTCAGTCCACATCGCCTCCTTCAGCCATGTAGCACCACTGGTAACAGAATTAAACAAGAAGGTCCCCTGTCCCGAGCCAGCGAAATTTCACGAAATATACGGGCCATGTATGGAAGACCTTGCGATCCGCACTAATGTCGGCTTGATACACCATAAGCCGGGGATTGCGGGCACAGTGGACGGCTTCCAGAAAGTCCGGACAATAATGTCTAGCTGGACGTCTTCCGAATACGGAAGGGCATACCGGAGCTGCGTTGATATTTTGAATGAGCTTAAACCTGCAGTGGTGGTTGTTGATCCGATACTGCATGTTGGCTTGAATGCGTGTCGGAGCGTTGGGTCTCGTGTTGCTGTTTTGTGGCCCGTCCCACTTAAGGACGTTGTGATCTTGAATCAGCCCAATGCGGAATTCTTATGGAAATATCCTATGTAAGGCGAGAATCCTGGGACTGGTTTGCGTGGAGATGATCGGGATTTGCTGATTGAGTGGACTATAGGACTGGGTCGGGGTATTCATATCCATTATCATGGAGGTTGATACTTCCGAATATGTATCTCGTGCTCCGTGCAGCTATGGCTATGACCACGAGAAACCCTTCGTCAGAGACTGAAGAATTAGGGAAAGACCACCAGGGGATGAGTCCGTTTCCCTTGACGAATGCCTATCAAAGGGACTCACTGCATTTGACACCAGCATTTAGGGAAATGGATTTCCCCTTGCATGTACCACATAATGTTGTTAGTTGCGGGCCGATACTCCGTTTCCATCAGTCACTTTTGGAAAAGGATCCTGAGATGGCGACATGGCTTATAAAGCCGACTATTCTCATAAGCCTCGGGTCACATGTTAAGCCCACAGAGGATGTTGCTATTCAAATGGCAAAGGCCATCCAAACCATACTCGACGATCACGCTGACCATCAAGTATTGTGGAAACTACGATACGAATGGAAGACTTCAGACGCATTTCAAAAGGTTCTTGAGACATTCATTGATTCGGGATCTGTGAGACTAGTGCCTTGGATCCAGGCGGATATCATTGCTGTCCTCGAAACTGGCAAGATCGCGGCATATGTTCATCATGGAGGCGCAAATTCATACTTTGAAGCATGCAAGTGTGTAGCTCCCTTTCCCAGATATAACCTGTTGCTGATATCGTGTGTGATATTCAGGGTGGGTGCCCCCCAAGTCATTATTCCGCAGTGGCTCGACACATACGACTGTGCAACGCGAGTCGAGTGGCTAGGTATAGGAGTCCACGGAAGTCGAAAGGCAGCTCCCGGGATCGACGCAGAGGAGTTTTCGCACGCGCTAGAGACAGTATTGGGCGACAAGAATATTCATGCCAAAGCTGCTGCTATGCGGGATATTTGTAAGACGACGGAGGGACGGGTCCTGGCGCACGATAGGATTGCGGATTTCGCTCTTTGAAAGGTTTCTGGTATTTATTTGGATATTGCAAGGTTCACTCTAGCTCGCTCAGGACCAGCTCCACATCCTCGCGTGCCTTTCGTAATGCATCATCCACCTCACCGTTGGAGTGTCTTGATTTGAATTCGTAATGCAGCTTGACCAGTTCTTTGGCTCGTTGCAAATCTTCATGTTTTTTGTTGGGTTGGGTTCCGGGCGCTTCATCGGAGAGATTTACGACTGGGCTATTTGTAGCGGTATCGCTTGTTCCGGTGACGGATTTGTGTGCATTCACTAGGGAGAGGGCTTCGTTCTGGCCCTGGGCAGTGTTAGCCTTTAGGTGGCTCGAGCTGACAAGGGATCGGCGCGTGGAGGGGCAATCCCTTGTGGAATCAGGGGAGATCTCATCAGCCTTGGAGAACAAGAGACTTACGCAAACCCGTAGTGACGTGATATCAGATAGTATTTCTGCTACCTGCATTGTAAATGGGGATCTAGTCTGCTTGATGTTTGATCGAGAAGTTGTGATGTTGAAGTTGGGATCCCATGACGTTCGGGAGGAATAAGGAATGTCTTGGCGGGGAGATACGAGGCGATCACTGATCAGCTTCTGCTTGTGAAACCATCCAACGCTCCACTTCAACCTTGGGATATTTTATAGCAGGCACACTGTTCTGAAGCAATTGATTGTAACTGAACTTTAGTAAAATGTACGCGGCTAGTCCTGAAATTGAGAGCCCACATAATATAGATTTTCGATGTTCCACGTGTTCTAGACCCTCAAGATTTAATCTGTCCATATACGTAGCCCAAGAGCATAGACAGATCCAAACATGGACGTAAAAATTCAAGACTTTGATTCCCTGATTTTAGTATTTCAATTGACGTCAAATACATTATAAACCAAAATCCTTCAAAGCATCTCAAAGAAGTATCCTCTATAGGCGACGACTTGTCGGACGTGCATCGGTGAGCGGTGAAACTCAGAGCGTGGGGTAAACAGAAACATCCCGCCACCTTCAAGATTTCTCCCTTTTTTAATCATATTAATTACCACCCATAATGTCCACCTCAACATCTTCACTCGAGGCTAATCTCGCCTACGAGCCTCAAATCCTCAAATTCGGCACCAGTGGTCGACGTGGCTTGATCGTCGATTTAACCCAACTGGAGATTTACATCAACGTTCTTGGTGAAATTCGCTACCTTCAAGCCATTTCCCCATCTGAGGGTGGCATTGAGCGTGGCGATGACTTCTACTATGCCTACGACTTGCGCCCCAGCTCAATCAACTACGTTGAGCCGAACCGCGGCGGTCTTTGCCAGGCCGTTGAGAAGGCCCTGAAGGATGCGGGTATGCGGCCTATCAGCCTAGGCGCTATCCCTACACCCGCTCTCACTCTCTTCGCTTTGCAAAGAGGAAAGGGAAGTATCATGGTTACTGGTAGCCATATTCCCTTCGATCGCAATGGCTACAAGCTCAACACCTCCAAGGGTGAGCTGCTGAAGAAGGATGAGCAACCTATCAACGAGTCTGTTGAGGTTGCCCGGAAAGAGCTTCTTGCACAGCCATTTGAGCAGTCCCTTTTCAACGAGCAGGGCATGCTCCGTGCTGCCACTTCGACCCTCGAGACTCCCATCCCCGAGGGCAAGAGCGAGTACATTCAACGGTACCTTGATTTCTTCAAGGGTGATACCCTGCAGGGCATGAAGCTACTGGTCTACCAGCACTCTGCTGTCGGACGCGATCTCATTGTTGAGCTGCTTGAGCTTCTTGGTGCTGAGGTTGTCCCTGCAGGCCGCAGCGAGACCTTCGTCCCTATCGACACCGAGGCCATTGACCAGGCTCAACTCGACACTGTCCAAGCTCTTTCCGACAGCACCGGACAAACCTTCGATGCGGTCATCTCCACAGATGGCGATAGTGATCGTCCCCTCCTCCTGTCGCCCGAGGATGGCAAACTCCGCTTCTTCAGCGGAGATCTCCTAGGCATGGTTGTTGCCGAGTTCCTCGGTGCCGACGCTGTCGTGGTCCCCATCAGCACCAACGATGCCATTGACCGTGGTCCTCTTGCCAAGGCCCTGCTGCCCAAGACCAGAATCGGCAGCCCCTACGTGATTGCTGGCATGCAGAACGCTGCCCAGCAAGGACGCAGCCGTGTTCTAGGCTGGGAAGCCAACGGTGGTTTCCTCACCGGCTCCGATATTGAGCTTGATGGCCGAAAGCTTCCTGCTCTCCCTACACGCGATGCAGTCCTGCCACTCCTATGCGTCCTATTCGCAGCCCGCAAGCGTCAGACCAACGTGCCGACTCTTTTCAAATCGCTGCCAGCCCGATCCAGCAAGGCTGCGGTGATTCGCAACTTCCCTCGCCCAACGAGCGCAAAAATTGTCGAACGCTTTTCTCCTCTTAACAAGGAGGATCATGAAATTGTGTTCTCTGAGGGGGGCATGCAGAATCTCAATTCCAATGGCCAGCACGTTAACAGCGTTACTGAGGAAGGTGGTCGCCATATCTCCCAGATTCGCCGCGAGCTTGAACAGGTATTCTCTGCTGAAGCTGGCTTCACTCCGGTGAAAAAGACAAACTACACCGATGGTGTCCGTATCACGTTCGAAAATGGCGATGTCGCTCACATTCGGCCTTCCGGTAATGCCGACGAGCTTCGGATTTACTCTGTTAGCGATACCCAGGCTCGTGCGGACCAGATTTGCAGCCAAGGTATTGAGGAGCCCAATGGCTTGTTGAGACAGTTGGCAAGCATGGTCTAAAATAGGGTTCGGCAACATAATAATCATCTAGAAAATGTTAGACAATGGCCTCGAGACGAACAGCCACCTTTCAAGACTGAAGTTCTGCTCCTTTGGCGTCGTGAAGATAGAACTGTCAGCCGGTAGACTTAACAAGGTTCAAGAAATTACCCTTTCATACTTAATCATACCCAGCACGTAAACTGTGATTGAACTCTGCTTCCTACAAAACTCCATATATAGCACTTACCCCCAAGCCCCATGGTGTCCAGTCGAATAATCTTGTCCCAAACCTAGGTAGTCTACTGACCAACAAGGCCGAGGCAAACATATTGGACACGGAAAGGGCGACGATGACCCTGATGCGCGGAAAACAATTGGCGGAGTAAACGAGTGGAGTGGTATAAAGGCCTTTCGCCCTGCAGACGAAGGCCTCGGGATGAGCACAAAAGACGCATGTGATTTGTGAATAGACAGAGAGATATACAGGCTACCGTCCTCAATATTTACAGTGCGCATTTTGCAGAATAGGTGCGTGCAGATCATATCATGGCCACCGGGGCGTCAGGGATGGAGAAGATCGGTGCGGGCCGGGTGGAGGCTCAGATCCTTGACTGGGCGTGGGGGCTGAATTTCAATGGATCTGATTGGCGGTTAACATCAATTAATTTGCTCGTCGTGCCGTTCAATTTGGGGGCGAATTCCGGACGATTTTTTTGGTGATTTGAGCCATTGGAAGAGACATTGTCTGCCGGCTTAGCGAGTCGCTACTGTATAAACGGGTCCAAATTGCTAGACCCCATTATTTGCTTCTAGAAAACGAGGTGTTTTTGATAACTTTCATGTGGTCATATCTTTAAACTCAAACTCAAATTCAATCTATGATCCAGTCCTGAAGTTGATTTCACTATTTCTTCGCTGGATCAGAATAATTTGCCAATTATTATCTTTTTACGATGATCGTGGTATCGTTTCAAGTGACATCCAGCCTAGTGCAAGAAATGGAGTGTTTAATCCACTCCCCCAGGCCACCGTTCCTTTACATCCCCACTCAGATTTACCGCCCCCATTGACCCCATCTTTCCGCTCTTATGAGCTCATATCCACCAGAGTATTTTATTGCAAACCTCTTCAATTCTGACAGCCGTCATCATGTCAACCGAGAACTTTACAATTACCGAGCATGTCGTTCCTGGATGTCACATTCGGGAATATCCTGGAAGCACCGTGAATCAGGAAGACGTGTTAGAGCTTCATGTTAAGCAGTATACCCCTAAGAACCAAAAATTGCCCCTTCCCTCTGATGCCATTACCCTGATTGCTGCTCATGGAGTTGCGCTACCAAAAGTGAGCCCCAACCATTCATCTCCAAATCAAATACTGATCTCGTCCCGATACAGGAACTGTACGAGCCTCTATGGGATGAGTTGTTGGAGAAAGGCACCGGCTTTCGAATCCGCAGCATTTGGGTAGCCGACTGCGCGAGCATGAACATGAGCGGAGTCCGAAATGAGGATAAGCTTAGCATGGACTGTATGCTTGCACCATTTGCTCCAAAAGATTTCTTTCAATTCCACTGACCCGTCCCAGGTTCTTGGATGGACCACCCACGGGATCTTTTCCTAATGATCAACCACTTCCGTGACCAGATGCCTCGCCCGATCGTAGGTCTTGGCCACAGCTTCGGAGGAAATATCATGTTCATCTATCCTGCACCTACCAAAAGGAAATTCATGACTGATATTATCTCTCAGCACCAATCTGGCCTACCTCCACCCACGTCTCTTCACAACCGTCCTGTTAATTGATCCTGTCATCCAACTCAACCCACCAGAAATGGGCTTCGGCACCGATGCCCCTGGCGTAATCAACTATACCCTTAGACGAGGCGACATCTGGCCCAACCGTGAGACCGCACTGCGCGCAAACCGCGCTCTTACAAAGGGTTGGGATCAACGCTGCATTGACCGCATGGCCCAATACGGGTTCCGCGAGCTCCCAACCCGTCTTTACCCCGACGTGGATGCTGTTAAAGCACGTTTCAACTCAACAGAAACACCCGTTACTTCGACAACAAGTAAGTATCAAGACCTGCTTGGTCAAATTCGGGAGAACTTTGGTGCCCGGGACCCAGTTACAGGTCGGATTGTGATCGATCGCGCGACACACGCGGACTTGGATCCGCTTGCAGCTTTTATTCCTATGTATCGCCCCGAGCCACGGAGTACCTTCTTGCGATTACCGAGTCTGCGTCCTTCTTGTGTGTGGATCCTTGGTGGTTCATCCTATTTGAGGCTGGATGAGATCCGAGAGGGTATCAAGGTTTGTGGGACTGGGGTTGGCGGTAGTGGAGGATTGCCAGAGGGGAGAGTTCGGGAGGTGACGTTGGCGGGTTTGGGGCATTTGATGCCTTTTCAGGAGGTGGTGAAGGTGATCGAGCCATGCGTTGCGTGGCTTGAAGAAGAGATGGACCGGTTTCGGAAGGCTGAGAAGCAGTGGGAGGAGGAACGTAAGGGTGTGGATCATTTGGAGGTGAGCGAGGCTTGGTACAAGGTTTTGAAGCCTATTGGCGGCGGCCGGGCTAGTGAAAAGGATCGAGGGAAGGAGAAGCTGTAAGCTGTAAGATACAAGTGGATTTATGTAGATACCTGAGTACTATACCATGGCATAGAAATGTGATATAGTAGTACTCAAGCAGCAGGAGTCTTCAAATCTTTTGCTTTGCCGGTATATGGTTTTACAAGCGAATAAAACATATCGCACACCTGACGTTATTGCCATGAGTAAGGCAACTATAACAAAGTGGTCCCGTGAGATTATATCTCTCGCCGTGTTCGGAACTCCATCACTGGGCCCTCTTTCCCTACAATGAAATTATCCTTCATCTTATACTCGCCATTCTTTCCCACACCAAGACCCTCACTCCCGGGAGATAGTCGCACATCATAAAGCCATAGGGCCCGGGCCACACCAATCTCCAACTCAGCCATGGCCACACCACGGCCAATGCACGACCGTGGGCCAATACTGAACGGCACAAAAGCAGCGCGCTGGCGGGCCATCACATCAGCCGACACGCCTTCCGTGCCCACGGCTGCATCACTCCCACGTACTAGCCAGCGGCTGGGATCATAGTCGAGCGGTCGGTCAAAGTGATCAGGCGAGTGGTGCAGCGCGTACGTGGGCACGCCCACTACCGTCCCAGCAGGAAGCTCCCAGTTCAGGACCCGTAGACCTCCCGGCAGAACCTCACGCGGCAGATCCATGGGAATTGGGGGACAAAGCCGCATGCTTTCCTCGATGATAGCGCGCAAATATCCCATCTTGCCACTGGACAGCACGGGGCCCGAGACGATGGATTCCAGAGTGGGGAAGGTTGATCGGATCAGAGATGTAAGGCGATTGCGAATGCTGTCATGCTGGCCGAGGAAATACCAAGTTCCCGCCAGTGCAGTATTGGCAGTATCCGCTCCTATTGAGGCTCAAGATTAGCAATAATGTATATCTTGTTTGGAAGGAGAGTTTCGCACCAGCACCCAACAACAACGTAACCTCGCTGATCAACTCCTGTACTGAATACCCTTTCCCTGTATCAGGATCTCGCGCAAGCTGTAGATAATACACAATATCACGGCGTTGTGTAGGATTGGCAGCCAATCGCGCTGCAAGCTGTTTCCTCGAGAAGGCAATCTGTCGATCACGATTTGCAGCAGTGCCGTAACGCATGTACTTTTCAAAGCCAAAGCGACGCAGTATCGGCATTTGACCACAGATATTCATGATACGCACACTCAGTGCCATAAGCGGGAAAAAGAAAGTGTTCTCATCACTAATTGAAGTATTGAAAGTCTTTCCAAAGCAGATCTCGCCTAGAGCGTCGAAGATGAGACAAGCGCTCCAGTGCACCATATTCTTAGGTCGCGACCAGCCATCTTTCTGCTTGATATCTTGGCTAGGGTACTTATCGCCGAGGGCCAGACACCAGTCGCGAATGGCAGATAGAATATGCGGCTCCATTCCTCTTACAGCTTCAGTTGAGAAGGCCTGTGACATGACGCGACGCTTGCGGGCATGTTCGTCACGATCAATCGCGTTGAAGATACTGACGCTGTAGAAACTGTGGTACCATTGTGATTTCTTGACGTTGGCTTGGTGGCCGTAGATTGGCTCTAGAGCTTCAGCATCTAGGATTGTCACGCGGTTGGGGCCGATTCGTACGATGCGACCGTAGCGTTGGTGAAGCTGGTAGAGGTCCTCGTGGCGGTCGCCACGCAGTGCGTGTACCACTGAGTACAGGTCGGTCAATTTGGCAAAGAATGGCCCGGGATAAGCAGCTAATGGATGAAACCACGCTTGATAGATTACATAGCTTGTGGTCTGAAAGGTGTTAATTGGAGGTTCTGGGGAGTAACTTGGGAACACGAACCACCACACAGATGAGGTTGAGGACCAGCCCCCAGAAGGAGGTGAGGCTTAAGACCGCCTGGACTGCATTCTCTAGCATTGTGACCGCTGAACAAAAATTGACTCAGAAGCGCAGCGCGAAGTGCAATGGAAATCTAGACTGCGCTAATTTATCGTTCGTTCAACTCTATGGTTAATTAATTATGCCCGACATAGTCCGACTTGATGCTACCCCGGTTTGATTTTGGGGGCTTCTTTCCCCAGACCCCTGCTAACTAGTCTATAGCCATTGGCTTGATGGCGGCGACCGAAAAAAAAAGCGCCCCATGCACTAATTATGTAGCTAGCTATTTTCCCGTCGAGTTAGCCCTGCTACCCCACCTTTCGGGCACTGAGACGTAATGCCAGAATGATTTACAACCGCCACGTAGTAGTGGAACAGGGAAGTTTGTATATCAGGTAGGCACCGTGCTCCTTATCATTAGCACTTGTCCTCCTACCATCGGGAGGGCCAGCTCTGTATGCTTCTGTCAATCTTAATCTTAAACTGCAATTTCTGGGCTGATTGTGTAACCCGGAAATCATTCTTTTTCTGACAATTTGATATAGACAAGTCAATCAGCCCTCGTACATAAACCATCTCCCTTCACAAGCCCGATGCCTTTCACTTTAGTTTAGGGAACTACCGCATCAAGTACTGAATTCCAATCAACTCTTTCGCTGCTGTTGATCAATCGCTTCAAGACAAGCTTGACGTTTCTGACTTTGAAGACGCGCATATTCAATCCATTTGACCGCAAAAAGGCTTGCTGACACCCACCACAAACTCAGTCATTGGTTTCCAAATGGATCTTCATGTGTCGACTACAGTCATTCTTGCTAGTGAAAGTCTTCTGACAGAATTCACACACGAAAGGTCGACTCCCCTGATGGACTTGCATATGTGAACGGAGACTGTGTATTTCATTGAACCTCCGGGAACAAATTGTACATATGAAAATCTTCGATTGGGTTTCGATCGGTGGAAGCGGTTGAACTTTTGGTGGCTCCGGGTTAAAGAATGGAGAATTTTGTGACTCTGGAATAATCGCTGCGTCAGAAGCTGGACGCTCTGTCCTGCTGATAAGTCTTGGACCCATTTTCAAATATCGCCACTCATCCACAGCACGCCGCAGAAGGTCTCGCTTCCCCTGCAATACTGGATTTAGTTTGGCTAATGCCCAGCCAAATCTGTTCCATTCATCTTCATACACGTCGCGAGCCTCGCGAGCCTGTTGTTTTTCTGGGTTCATAATGGCAGCACTGGCGGGAGGGTAAACATAATTTTTCTCTTTGAAGTCTGAGCTCAGAATGTCAAGGTTGATTGTTTCTATATCCGTGCGGATCTCATACTCCATGTTCATTCCATCACGGGTATATTTGAAGGTGATCCAATCCTCCATGGAATTATTTGCTGAATATGACATAGTTGAATTGACTGTCAGTTGTCGATCCACATCGAGTGGTCGGTCCTTGTGGGTGTATTCAGACGCCGGGGTCGAGAGATCTGATATGCAAGGCTCGAACTGTTGCATGACCTCCGCCGTATTTTGGCCTCCTTCGGGCATGAGCTTTGTACTTGGACCCGCGTCTGCAAATGCAGAAGATCTCGAGCTCTGGGGACTTTCGCTGTTTCCAGATACAAAACGAAATGGCTCTCGAAGCACGTCGTCAAGTCCATTTGCAACCATATTTGGAAGATCCTTCGATATAGATCGAATCGCTTCTGTTAGCCTCTCCATACTAATATGCCCGTCTTCAGAGGCAAATGCACTTGGACTCGGCATTTCCAGGAGTGGAGGTGAAGAAGAGAGGGAGTCAAACTCTTCCTCGTCCTTATCCTGATCGGATCGTGGCAAAGCAAAAAGCGCTAGTTCTTCCAGATGCCGCCCAAGATGCTTTTCCAGCGACCTTCTAGGAGGGCTTGGAGATTGACAGAGAGGGCAACTGACCTCCGCACTGGTTTCAGCCGTCATTGAGTGCTGGTATTGTAAGTGCTCGAACCATTCTCGACGGCTACGGTAAAGACGATGCGGTGGCAGGCAAATTGGGGCTATGCAAACATAAGGCATGAGATCGTTGAAGATATGGCGATACCAATCAAAGCTAGTCGATGTAGATATTACAACAAAGCAATAAGGACATTCGAACGGAGCCCCATTATCAGATCCTTCTGGTGGAGCTGGCACCCCTATTCCGTGATTTCCTTGAACCATGGACTGCGCATAGGATGTCTGAGATCTTATTGACCGAGTTTCATATTCAGATGTCTCACGCTCGGGTGACTCCAAGAATTCAGTCGCGACAGTTTCCGACATTAAATTCGACATCGTATCAGGCAGATCATTGAAGACACGATCATTGCCCTGCGCGAGCTTCATGCGGTGGCGTTTGCGATATCGGAAAATAGCGCGGCGCTCAGAAATCGCCAGTCCTAGGCGTCTCAATATTGTCGCGTCTGCAGATGGAAATTTATTGAAAACATGGTCACGATCAAAGGGCTCAAACATGACCGCGTCGGACCTTTTGGTTCCAACGAGGCGATCATATTGCGCCGGTCGCCTTATCACCATCGACACTTGGAATAAACTGCTGATAGTGTCACGCAGATCATAATAAGTTGATTGGACCTCTGGTTGTTCACAATCTGCCTCCGAATCTGAGAAGTCCAATATAGAGTCCTCTTCAGTGACCTTGGAACCGTCCAGGATATCTTGAAGGTCTTCAATAGCTCTTTGGAGTCGTTCTAGAACCCGCATCAGTGTTCTTCGAGCGCTTGATGAATCTCGAAGTCTAAAATCTAGAGAGGATTGCCCTGTTTGATGAGCACCAATGTTGGCAGCCCAGACACGTAGTCGCCCGAGCTCATCCGCCCATAGCCCTGGTGAAACTTCGGACTTATGCTGATTTAGTCCTTCTGACTGAGCAAGTTGATTCAGCTGCTTCAGGCACTTTGTCACGAAGACTGATATTGTGGTGACCATGATGGAGATGCGGCCTGCTTCAGACCACTCGACGCGGAGAATGAGACGAGAATTCGGCAAAAATCAAGCTCCAGCGAAGGCAGCTACTACCCAGTGAAGTGTGTGATTAAAGTACAAGTGATATGAGCATGCTAATATCTGCTCTGGCATGCGAAACTGCCGATGGCTCGCCATCTGACAGGCGGGGTAGATGAGGCTGAGGCGGGGTTGAAACAGGTACATAGACAAACCTCACCCCCCGGCAGTCTCAGGCCTGACTCACGCCTTGCAGTTTGAGACTGGCCAAAAGGCAGCCTTCTTCGTAGCAAGAACAAAATGGAAGGAGTTGGTCTTGCTCTTGCCATCCTTCCGCTACTTTTAAACCAACTTGACAACTACGTGCAGGGTCTTCAGACTCTGAAGAGCTTCCGCGCAAAGGACCATCGAAGGGAGCTCGATGGGTACCTCTCCGAGCTTGAAATCCAGAAGGCAATTCTTGTCAACACGCTGGAGTGGTCACTCGATGGTGCAGTCGAATATGAAGATGGCATCGAAGGGCCTGTGAACGACCACCTGGTGAATCTCTGGACGAACCCAGACGTACAAAAAAGTCTTCAAGTAAAGCTGGGAAGAGATTACGCCGCATTCACTATGACTGTGATGAGACTTTCGGAGATATTGGACGATTTGAACCGCAAATTGGGATGGAATAAAAACCCGCCTCCAACAGTGAGTTAAACCGACATCTGTCATGACTTAAATTTGCTGATACACCATCCCCTTGCTTGAAGCCATCTTCTAGCAACCGGTCTACTTTCAAAAAAGAGCTGAAGAAGTTCAAGGAAATCTTTTCAAAAAGCATATACGCTGACCTATTGAATCGAATTCGCATGGCCAACAGCTTTTTGAAGGATCTGTCAGAACAATCAGACCGCCGAATTATGATGAAGAAGCAAAACAGAGTCAAGGGTCCATTGCTGAAGCATAGGAAAAACCGAAGATCAGCACTTAGTCTGCATCGCTCAATCATTCATGGCAATTGTTAGAAGAGAACTTGCAAAGACAACCATCATGTTGGTTTTCTGCTGAGCTCACCATGGCTTCCAGAGCCGGAAAGGGCAAGCAAAAGCTCATCATATCCCAGATTCCGCATGATAATCACTTCGGAGATAGCTACCGATCTTCAACCTTGTATTCAAAATTTCGAGATCGAAGCCGAGTCAAGATATTTGGAGTCGAATATTGAAAGCCCACCAACTCCTCCACGTCAGTTACAAGACAGCTCTCTCTTTAGAAAGGAAGCTAGAGTCAAATTTGCCGTCGATAAAGGCCGAGAGGATGATCATGGTTCGACTCCATCTGAGGGCAGTTTCCCGGTGCCTGAAATCGCGGATATATGCTTCGCCCTGTCCTCGACATCGAATCCAAAACAATGTGCCGTTCTTCTTGGTTATCTCCCAGACGAGAGCCACAGACACGACTTGTATCGTGTGCGGAGCATTGCTCAGAATTTCAATTCTCAATCACTCGAAGAGGTAATCTTAAAATCATTTGGAGCGACGAGCCTCCGATCGACCAATGGTTTTTTGTTCAGTCAAAGACACCGTCTTCGATTGGCTGCTAGCCTCGCATGCAGTGTTCTGGAGGTTCATGGGAGTTGGCTGAGAAACCACTGGAGAGCTCGCGATATCAAAGTCTGCACAGAACCGTCGAACGACCTCGACTGCCCATTCATTCTATGGGATATGAAGAGCGAAGTCGGTATGGCGAATATGAATATCTGCCGAGATAAACACAGCAATGCGCTGATCAGAAGTGAAATACTTTTCCCTCTTGGTCTTGTCCTGGTAGAGCTGTCATTATGTCAAACAATCAAGTCCTTACAGATATCAGAAGACAACGATGCGATAAAGTCATATGCAGATCTTAAAACAGCTGCTCGCGTCTTGACTAAGGTGGAAATGCAGAGTGGACTCGACTATGCCACTGTTGTTGATAAATGCCTTTTTTGGCCTGGCACTAAATCATCGACGATGGATGATGAAAAGATGCAGGGCGAGATGTATCAAGAAATTGTTGTGCCTTTGGTCGAAAATTTGAGGAGGTTTGAGGGTATAGCATGATCGCGGCTCTTTAGTTCAAGAATTCAACACCATACCTACTGAGACTATAGCCGCCATACACTACGTTCCTAGAGCTTCGAGGGTCATTCAATTGTAGATGTAAGGGACACAGCCTGTTGCTGAAATGGAACTATTTCTTTTGTCCATTCTAATGTGACAGCCGTGGAATACTGCATGGAGGCGCGCAGGCTTGAATAGCAAGATGAGTGTTCAATGTAAGATATTCTGACAGTTTTGAGGTCTCCTCTGCTTTCTTTGCATATTTGTTCAATTCTCTCGGTATATAGCAACTTTTTAGCGAGCCATATTGGAAACAATCAGGAATAGTCCACGTTGGAAGCAATTAGTAAGGCCAGTTGAAGTTTTAATATATGAAGCAAGTACACACTCAGTGTCACTTCGTCGTCTCAGCTGAAATTTGCAAGCAAGTTCCAATTGCCAGCGAAACCAACTTGCAGTCCTATGAACTGCATATTAGCAATTATACCAAACGTCCATCCAGAATCAGTTCTAACTTACGTCAAGTCCTGCTTGAATAGCAGAAATCTCCTTATTTGAAACCAGACTGCAAGTTTCTGACAATTGTCCGTATTTGTCTGGCTCTTCTGGCGACCCAACCCATCCTGACGAATGGTGTTCCAAGGTTTTCTTTGAAGTGGATTTGACTCCTGAGGTACATACTCGAATGGCATGAATTCCTTCTCGACCAATGGAAATTTCAAATCCGCGCAACTGCTCCCGTGATCCGATATCAATGATACACTTTTTGCCAGGAATCTGGTATCCGAAACATTTGTTCGGTGCATTACTGTCGGTGATGAATTCCATGCCGGCAATGAAAGCTCTATTTGGAGTTTGAAAAACCCAGAACCCAATCTGAGAATAGGCCTTAGGAAGGATGACATACTCCGTAGTTGGACATTCCAGAGGTTGTTTGGGGATCCAATCCCTTGGCCCTGCCGCAAGTCGTCGATTCGCTGTATGCCAACAAGCATCAGTGACAACTTTCTGTTCTTCTTCAGACAGAGGTGTATGTGATATTTTCCTCTTCAAATAAGTTTCGCTGACCCAGCTTATCCTCAGCCAGAACCAGTATTTAGCTAGAATACGCTGGCAAGAGCTCCGACCATTATACCTCAACATTCTGGTGGGTTGGGTTTTGTAGTATATTTTATGCCAATCTTCCTTGCTCGAGTAGCCCTTGCTTCTATCCTCCTCCACAAGAGAGTTCAAAAACCCTCTTTCCATGTGAATGTTGAATCTGTGGCGCCAGAAGCTCTGGGTGTGGAACAAAGTTGCCATGACTCGTGAGGCAAGCCGAAGATTGAGATAATCCACCATATCAGTGCATTTCGCTATTTCTTTCATGATTTCTGCGGGCAAAGAGGAAAATGGATCGGTGGGGTTCGCATGTATGACGGCGTTCGAATCAACAATGACCACTTGTCTGGCGCATCTGGGTAAAGGCGCACCCATATAGGTGAAACCTGTGGTAAAGGGATGCCACGGCCCATTATCTAATGCAACCCTAAGTATAAATCCACTTTAACAGAATGATGGCATCACTCACGTTTATAGAGGCGCGTATAAGCCGGTGGCATATTACTGATGATCTCAAACAGCTTGTTTAGATCGAGATGGTCATCGTTGAAGTGGCATGTGAAGACTTCCCAGCAACTGCTATGAATCAAATGTGCAACCTGTGAACCTTTGGAAGCTGGACCATTGATGTATTTCCACCTATCGTCCGAAAGGTCGACATCCGATAGGTGAGCCTGGCCATTCAATAAAGATACTGTATTGAAATCTTAGTTGGTGTATGAAGCACTATTCCATTGCGGTACTTACTTGCGCGCGCACTTTTCATCCAGGGACGGGAAGATGATGATTTGATCTCCCATTCGCAAAAACGACATAGCCAATCAGATGACAGACTAGTCATGACTAACTAGAGTGGGAGAATTGTTAGCTCATTTATGTTATAATTGTACGTTGGTCAAAGACCTTTGATTTTCTAACTGCTTCGCGGGGTTGCCCTGTATACTGGTCACTATTACATCAACCGGCCATCCATCAGGAAAGAAAAGCAAGGGCACATAAGCAATATATTGAGGAACCCCTTTCACTACGTATTGACTGACGAGATATTCTTACATACTGCTGGTTTATATTAGGGCGCTTTATTTCAATACGCTGGCACGCCGGTACGTCGGTATAGCATATATGGCAGTCCGAGATACATAGTAGTATTGAATAATGCACTTCCAAAAACAAAGTTCTACACCTCTCTAACGCTAATTCTTTCCCGGCTGTCTTCACGATATTCTATTCCACCAAATAGTTGTGGTCGCTGTCGGTGTGAGTTTGCCATGGTCAAATTGGCCACATCTTATAGAGTGGTGCCGTCGAGCGATCCCTCCTTTAACAGCCTGATGATAATTTAAGTATATTTGTTTTGGACAGCATGCGTCAGGGTAGGAACTTCTTTTTCCTCATTCCCCTTATGTTCTAATTGCTGGTATGACAGCTAAACGCTCGGTAATAGGGATAAAAATTTCAAAGAGTTGCCCTGCCTTTCCTCTCCTTTTCTCCCTTAGCCTACAGACCTCCCTTCTACAAATCATCATTCTGCTACTACACTTAATTCCCAATTTGGCTACTTTAAGCTCTAAATACCAAATATAACCAAATGTTGTAGTACATTTTCTATCATGATCACCAATTAACATATCCCACTTTCACAGATTGAACGTTTTGTGGTCGCTTACTTACCTAGCGGGTGGCTCTATGCTCAACATTGAAGGAAACAAGTCGTGGGTGCTAACTACACTTTGCATTCAAGGAAATATAAAGCTGATTTACTTACGAGAATCATGCCAAATTTCAAAAAGGGGCATTGACTAGGAATAACACCATTGGAAAGGACAGTTCCTACATGATGGAATGTATGAGAAGCAAAGATGAAAGAATGGAATCTGATAATGAAGTAACCAAATAGGGACTCGGAAAACTGCATCTGCAACTGTAAGAAGACATGATCGCAAAGATTGTATGAAACAGGTTGTGGGTTTTCGAAATAGGTCTACTTCCTAGGCTTCTGCTCCCTCTACCTCATGAGGGGAACGCAAGGTGAGGCTCCAGAGACCCCTGGTACAGGAGCTCAAGGCGCAGGCGGACCCCCAACTGGATATATGCCTGCCGGGACAGCAGGCATAGGAACACCAGGAGGAGGAATATACGGCCCTGCAGGCCCAGGTCCCCAAAGTGGGGTTAAGGAAGCCGGCACACCTACAGGCATTGGCTCAGGTACAGGAACAAGAGGCCCAGGAGGCAAGGCAGCTGGAAGTGGCATAAGCATGGCTGCTGGAGCTGCAGGGGCGACCGGAGGAACTCCAGCCACCCCGGGTGTCGCAATCAGCTGCACCGGAACCACAGGTGGGGCAAAGAAGCCCGCACCGTAGGCCATGCCTACTCGAGGAACTCTGGCCACGTTGAGTGCTGGTAATGCCATACTTTTGCATGTTGAAAAAATCACCTGGCGACTGAGATTGTTGTCTGGCGCAGAGCCGATGAATAAAAGAGACCGCAGCCACGGTCCATCAAGCCGATGATCCGTACCGCCCGGTTTATAGACGCCAGAATTCACGCTAGCCTGCACTCTCGTCCATGGAATGATCCGTTGGCGGTTCGCGTCTAGCAAGGTTATTTCCAATTCGACTACTGATACTGCTGGAGCAAGAATTCCTCCTACGCCGGCCATGATAATTGAGCCAATGCTGGGAACCGCGTTCCAACGGCCCGGAACAGTACCAAGCAGGTCACCAGCATTGGCTCCCATAATAGTGTTAAGATCACTTTGATATATGTTCATCATGCATGCTCCAGTATCCCACAAGAAATCGAGCTCTGCCCATGCTTGCAAACCTGGTATACGGACAGCCAACCTGATCTAGATGTTGAAAGATACTCAGAAAGATGGAAGTAAATGGGAGATTGATAGAGGATGAACTGGACTCTTACCGTGTTGAAATATGGATTAGCCGGTTGTCTTTGGCTCGTCACTGAAAGATACTGTGGCGCAGGTCCGGGTGTCATGAGCTAAAGTCAACAGTATCAGTAGTGTCTACGTGGATGGATGAGAGCAGAGAAAAGAAATTATTTACCCCTTCCACCCAGAAACTCCAGATATCACCATTTTCACGTTGTACTGCTTCGTATTCATCCCAATCAAATGGTCTTGGTTGACATAGCTGCCGCCCTTTCTGCCAATACGTGATGAGTCCAGGGGTCCACTCGAGCTTTTTGGTATTATATGCATCCAAAAGAGCCATGATCGTGACTAGTTTCTCTTGAGGGTCCCGCTGACTGTAAAGCGATTTACCAATCAATCTAAGATGCTGTATCCGCTTGATAACATCCCAACTGAGACCTTCGGCTTCCCTCTCAGCTGTCTTACTGTAAAATATTAGCCAGGGAACATGTAGATTTGTATCACTTAGAAACCTCGCTTACACCCGTCTGTCCAGTTCGAGTTCCAGCCCCTGCAAGCGTGCCTCAAAAATGTGTGGCAAAATGTTATCTGTGATTCTCTCCTTGCATCGCTCGATCTGACCTTCCAGGTCCCTGTACGCTGTCAATAGATGGTCTTTAGTCCACTAAATTCAGGTAAAGGAATAACATACTCGGCGTCTAAATCATCATCATATGCGCTCCAGTCATCAGGCACCAAGTTATAGTCCGTGAGTGGCTCAGGGCCATGATGCTGCCATCTCTTCTTTGCAGGCTTCTCTGGAACCGTATCCTGCCCCTCCACCAGCGGTGCCAATTCTCCTCCCACATAAGTCCAATCAAGGTCCAAACGTTTGACATTAAGCCTTCTACGAGGTGTTGGGTCTTTGACGCTTCCATATGCAATCCTTTCATATTCCTTGTCCGCTTCGCCCTTCTTCGTCCTCTTGCCGGGTCTTGCTGGTGCATTTCCCTTCCTCTTTGAGGGAACAGCCGGACTTTTTGTCGATTCGTCGTCGGTCATCTTCGCGGAAATGCTATGGCCTAGTTGCTTCGATAGTATTTGGTCACTGAGATAAAGGTACGATCACCAAAGAGTTTGCAGAGGGCCACACCAAACTTATAGACCTTTCTTCCCTAGGATCAGAATGAAGGCCCGTCGCAACAAAGATGGTTCAACCGACCAAGCCATTGCGTGGAGAGATTCGTTGATGATCTCGACATCGCAGAAACCAGGCTATTGCCTTTGGACAGAACCTCTTTTCTTTCAATCTCAACACGCCCAGTGTTGGCGCAGAATCCCTAAATAGAGAATTTGCAAGGCTGTGAAAGAAATATGTCAACAGAGGCAGATCGCAGTCAAAGAGCCATATTAAAAATTCTCTGGATGAAAGGGAAACTTGTTGTTTCTTAAATTATTAAAAGCTCTTTTCCCACAGCCGGTCCAGAGTCAAAGAGATAATATGAAAGAAAGCCCCGGAAAGGGAGGGAAAAAAAGGAACCGAGATCTGGAAAATCGGTTAAGAGTATTGGCACGGTATGAATGAAATTAACAAAGCAAGTATCCCATGATCTATAGTATCCACTTGAATACCAAGAACATTGCAAAATGATTCACTACAGGAAAGAAGCATAAGCCTTTCTCAATCTCGAGACTTTACCCCTGCATACTTTCGAACCTCCATGTCACATAATGAATACAGCTGAAAAAATTCGAAGCCGCGCTTTGTCTCTCTTCGATGCCTTCTTATCGCCGCGTTGCAGTGCAAATATGATCTCAATCACCGTGTTTTGCGGGCATCACCTATGAGTGTGGCACCTAAAATCCGCCGAATTTCGCTACATCCTTTCTATCACGATTGACTAGATTTGTGGGTCCAATCGCTTTCACTGGTATTCTTGGTTCTTCGAATTTCGAGCTTCTGTTCGGGTCAAATAGCCGATCACAATTAGTAGCATGACCATCCCAACATATCTCCTCGTATATTTATGCAAAGTTTCTCTTATCTCATAACCATGGAGGCCAGGCTGGTGCTGGCTGTATGCGTTGGGAGAGAAAGATGGATTGCTTCTAATTGAGTGGCTCCCACTTGGGGATTGCTAATCTTGATAAACCAGTAGGCTATTCTCTCTGCAATCATTGGTATTCACCTCGTTTGTATGGACGGTGTCCGCAATCCGCTTTCCTGCCGCTGCTTGTTCCCGACTCTGGGTATACTGAGAGAGTGTGAAGCTGTTCCTTTTTCCTACATTTTGATCCAGAAGATAGATGTTAAAAGGATAGGATATTAAGACCACTGAAACTAGTAGTACGAGTCAAAAAGGTCGATATCATCCTCGCGTCCAAGAATTTGAGGGTAGGTGCGCCGCGGAGCAGTTCCGTTGGCTAATGTGACAGTCGCCACTAGACAAAATGCTGGGAAATTGTTTCCGAGGGTTAATTGGTTACAGTACAGGTCCCGGCATTGATCAAAGCAATCTAGAGTTTGCTGAAACTTTGATATGCTAGATTTAATACAGAGATAGAATGCCTTAATAAAATGAGATTGTGACAAGCTATGGTCATTAAGATAGGAAGTCAAAAATCGCATTCACTTACATGCTACTCACCGAGCTCATCGTCATGTGGCTTTTGATATTCGCGAACGATCCCCATTTGCGAAGAAAATGATGGAGCACACAAAACAGCGCCGTTTATCTCGATTTTCTACCGACGAGAAGAGAGCAAGTTAAGATCATCGATTGGAGGGAATTCATGAACCAACTGCGTGATAAGCCTTTACAAGTTTTGGATCACGTACTGCGCATGCAATAGCACATGTATAACAAAATGAGCATTTTACACATATAATACAAAGTCTGACTCTGAGGGTTCTAATATGGCATTTAAGGCCTCCGATGCAACGGGAAAATGGACAGTCCTGTCTCAGACGCCAGTTGGCTGTATGAAAGCTCGACAGGACCGAAAGCTGTGGACTTACGTCCAGAGATATAGGCACTGGAGCCCAAGTCGCCCGCCTTAAATGTTTGTCCCCAAAGCCACGCCCCTGCCACCACAACAACCACTGTTCAGACCATGTAGCATCTCAATAACCCTTCAACTCCTCCTCAGTCCATTCCCACAATCGCTTCGCCAACGAATCATCTTTAGCTGTCGTAGCCAGCGACTCCTGTGACAATTTCCCAATAGGTTGGTAGTAGGACCCATTCTCAATTTTCTCACGGGCGGCCGTAGCAGCCCAAACCTGGTTTAAAGCACCCTCTTCGGGCTTGAGGATGTTTCCAAACTGCGAAGCGTGGATGAAAGCCTTTCGAAAAATCGTCTGGCCGCCTACCAAATCGGTCGCAACCACGCCGGGATGAACTGCAACGGACGTGATTCCGGGATAGCGACGGGATAGCTCGCGCGCATAGAGGAGATTGGCGAGCTTGCTCTGTCCATACCGGCGCCATGAACCAATGGCCCAGAAATTGTCCTGGACGGTTTTGAGTTCGTCGAAGACGATTCCGCCCTTGGGGTGGAGCATGAAGCCTTGAGATGTGAGGCTGACGATGCGGGCATCGCCACCTTCGCTGGATCGTTTCTCTAGGAGCGGAAGCAGCTTTTTAATGAGAAGTGCGTGACCCAAGTGATTTGTACCGAATTGCAGCTCATATCCATCTGTTGTGAGAGCGGGCGGCTTGGCCATGATTCCGGCATTGCACATTAGGATGTCGAGTTGGGGTGCGCTGGACACAAACTCTTCGGCAGCCTTTTTTACCGATGCGAGTGATGCGAGGTCACATTCGATGAATGTGGTCTCAGTGTTGGAGCCGCTGTCACGGATCTGCTGAATGACTTTCTCGGCGGCGTTCGAATTGCGTCCGCTAATATAGATGTGGGCTGGGTTGTGTTTAGCGAGGTGGACTGCAGATTGTGCGCCCAAGCCATTGGTTCCTGCATATAGTTAGATATGATATGAGTTGAGATAACAATAGCCGTGTTCTGCGTTCTCAAGGTTGATTTGAGATGAGGGATATACTGACCACCTGTGATGAAGATGGACTTGCCGGCGAGGTCAGGGATGTCTTTGTCGGGGTTGAAGTTAAAGGTAGGCATGATGCAAACGTTAGGCTAGGATCGATTCAATTATCTTGGAAAGTATTAAAAAATAAAGTACATTTCATGCGAGTCCTATCAAAAAATACAGCAATCATAGTACATTCTTGACGGCTCGTATCTTGTGCCATTCGGCTCAATGTTGCGCCGGTCGGTTCGATGTTGCGCCGGCCGGTTCGATTTTGCACCGCGCACGTTCAAAGCAGCCAATCTTTACCAAAATGGGGGAAAATATGCTGTCACTATTCTCGGTTTCGATGGTTATACCATACACCTCTCATTACCTAACGGCCCTCAATTTACAATGGGTCAATTAAAGTTCTACGCTAAGACCTTGGCAGTGAGTCCCGAGAAAACAAAAGCAGTCTGTAGGGAGCAAGCTGATTTCGCTAGTGGCTGTAGTATGAAAGTAGAAACAACAAATTTACGTTCCACACTTCATTAACTGCCAAAATTAAAGCACGGTGTAGATATGATAGCATAAGTAATGCTATTACGCTGCAATATGTCGGAATAGATCATTCTGTTACCAAAACTAACTACTGTTTTCTTTTCGTCAGAGCAATTATGTATCAAGTTCGGCTCGTTCGGCTGAGCTTGAGGTAGGCTGACGTCACTGTGCATATTTTGCGTATGAAAGATCTTCACTGATAGGTCGACCTCATTCGCATATGTATGCAAAGCCAGCTCAGAACCTTATTCGAGTCTGTACGGATAACGCTGGTCGCCGACAATCCTTGTGGGAGATCAACTGCAATGACACTCACTCACATTCAATCGCTCATAAAACTTTCTAACCCCTCTTTCAGAAGAGCGCACGAGATAAAGGACCGGTGCAACCAGTCAGATCATCTGATCGAACATTCATGCGCAAATTAGATCGTAGTAAGATAAGTTGGGAGCTTGTTTGGGGCGACGTAGGGATAATCTATGAATGACGGTGTGTACGAATCCAATAAAAGTCGAGCCGATAGACAGTCTTATTCAAAGTCTCCATGTTATACCAGGGACTTCATCTGAGTATCCACGGCCAGTTGGCCAGCTTGATGAAAATATAACAAAATAATGTTTGGGCTATCTTTGCCATCTTCGAGTGCTAAAGTAGCTAAGCTAAAAATTCAGACACAACAGCATTTGTGGAAACTCGGAATACATGCGAGAGAACGATCACATCCTGCGCATACACAGATAGTACAAAGGATTTGAAAACAGATACTGTAACCTCCTTAGACACACACGCTTTCTTCCCCTGAGACCCACTAGAGAGGTCGCCGGGTCTAACGACTGTGAGACCAACCATACCACTGCACGCGCCACAGAAGCGCCTTCCTCCGCCTAATTACATCGTAGCGCGATCGTAATGGGAGGCCGCTAGAAGAGAAAGTATGTATCTGGGGGTCGTCTGTTTTCGAGATCCTCTATATTTGATATCACAGGTCATCATGGGATTGTGATACCTGCAAGGGGGCCACGTCTAAATGGTGACTAGGAACCCTCTTGTCAAATCCCGATGGATCCACATAAAGTAAAAAATGCGACTGAAATCCCAACAAACTGTGGATACAAAGTTCCTGTAAAATGGCATAACGCTCCTTTGCTGCTGCCGGGCCTTTTTTCTAGACCAATCTTTAGCGATAGGGGCTCTTTTGATGTTAAGAGGTCGTGATCGTCACGCGAAACTCATCCCAAAGAAAAATAGCCGTCTCCTCGAGGCAGAGGCCCGGGTTTTCGATAGGTGATCGCAGAGTGAGTTAAACAATGCCGGTTTTATGGTTGGTGTCGGACCTATGCGACTTAGGGATGGACAGTCTGTCTGTGGTCTCGAGCCAAATGGCTTTGAGTATATGACAGCCCGCATGGCGACTTGGTCTAGATTATCCTACAATTCGCTGCACTTCAAACACCGAAATGTGATGATCAAACCTAATTTTTCCCTGATCCGCTTCAATGATTCCTAAATGATAAAATATGAATCAAGGATATTTCAAAAAAGGCACCCGATACGAATATCCCAAACGTGCCTGAAGCTCCCCCTCCGTGCAATAATACCGCAAAAAGACCCAGTCTCATCGAAGCCCCGAGGCTTCATGGCTATTATTCCCGCACTCCTCCTCCTCCTCCTCCACCTCGGAATCAGTCAAGTCCTCCGCGGTTATAGGCTGAAGAATAACAAACCGATGCTGTCTCGTTCCATCCGGTAACAGGACCGACCCATCCTCAGACTGGTGCGCAAGCGCATAATCCTGCTTCGCGAAATATTCCTCCTCGGAAAGGATGCAAAGAACGATATGCTCAAGCCACGGCCAATCATACGTCTCCTGTCTCAGCCAGTGAACAATACGACGACGGTAGAGGTTGTTATCCAGACCAGCAAGGAAGGGGCCAATGTGGTCAATGTCGTTGTTTGGCCGGATTGCACGCATTCGAATACGGTATAGTTTTGCTCCTTCAAAGTAGAGTTCAAGGGGACGACCATTCTGTTTCATTCGTGATTTCAAGTTGGCTTCAATCTCGGCATTGGTGAGAGCTTCTTCTTGTTCCTCTTGTTTGACGAATGGGTGTGTGGATGCAGATTGACGTGTAGTTTGCTGGTATTGAGCTGCGTCAGTCATGGTAGTATTTTCTTGGGGTTCAGTTTTGATTCTGGTCTCTCGCGTTTTGTTTGCAGCTGCCCTTTCTTTGAGCTGCCCCAGAAGAAGACCGATTGCACTAATGCAGTTGATCATTGCGTCGCTCTTTTCATCAGTGGCCTTTGTGTATTTATTCACTGCCTTCAGGGTGCGTTTGAACTGGCGTTGGAGCTTGCGTAGCTCAAGAGACTGGTCATCTTCAGCTGAATTCATGTTGGCTGTCATGAGCGAGCTCATTATGCCGATGAGGTCTTTCAAACTTTCACATAGATAGTCGTTGACCTCTTCGGCTTCGTTGACTGTTCTTTTTGTCTGAAGGAGGCGCTCGGTCAAGATTTGGTTTGTGCGGCGAAGTTCGTAATTCCAGAGGAGATGGACAGGTTTCAGACGAGAATCACGTTCAGAAGGTGGAGTGGCCTCCATTATCGTAGTTCAGCGTGAATCTGTGAGAGTTAGTGAGGTGAGTAGGGACGTGTCCAAAGAGATGCATTCGGGAAAGTGAGGAGATGAAAGATTGGAGAAGGAGCTTTGGGGGTAGTTAATTAGAGATCAATCCAGAATTGCAGTGAATGAATGAGATGAGAACGACAAACGGTTGATGAAGAGGAAGAAAGACGCAACCTTGGTCAGATAGAATATGTTACAGTCACAGACTCAGTGTAGTATTACTTGAAAATTATCCGTAGGAAACAAGTCACATTTTGGCCCGATCTATTGATTAAGTACGGTAGTAGAGACATTCTTAACCAACCTGAGCGAGCTAGATACAGGGGAAAACGGAGGAAGAATGCGGAAAAAATAAGAAAGCCGTGATAGCAAAAAAAGTACGAGCATATCACATCTCCGTTAATTGCAGGGGACATAGGAAACCATAGCAGTGGCGCCGATGGCGGCCCGCGTCCATCAAGTCTTCATATAGATAGGCTCCAGCCAATCCATCGAGCCACCGCGCAGCGGGAATGTTTCAAACACAGAAAGCCACTTTTTACGCAGGTTCTGCGATCATAATCCGCATCAAGACATCAAGGGGAAGAGTTAAGGTGTTTAGATGAGGTCAGCAACGTTCATGGGCATCTCCTCAACCTGGGTGCTGTAGAACTGCTCGATCTCGCGGAGCATGCGAACATCGTCAGCGGTGACGAAGTTGATGGCAACACCCTTACGACCGAAACGACCACCACGACCGATACGGTGAATGTAGTTCTCACGGTTGGCGGGGAGATCGTAGTTGATGACCAGGGAAACCTGCTGGACATCGATACCACGGGCCAAAAGGTCAGTGGCGATCAGGACACGGGAGGAACCGGAACGGAACTCCTTCATGATAACATCACGCTGGCCCTGCTCCATGTCACCGTGCATGGCGGAGACGGTGAAGTCACGGGCAGTGAGCTTGTCGGTGAGCCAGTCGACCTTTCGGCGGGTGTTGCAGAAGATAACGGCCTGGGTGATGGTGACGGTCTCGTAGAGATCGGACAGGGTGTCGAGCTTCCAGTCCTCCTTCTCAACAGCGATGTAGAACTGCTTAATACCCTCAAGGGTAAGCTCCTGCTTCTTGACGAGGATACGGATGGGGTCACGCATGAACTTGGTGGTGACCTCAAGGACATCCTGGGGCATGGTAGCGGACAGCAGGTTGACCTGGGTGGACTGGGGAAGGAGCTGGAAGATGTCGTAGATCTGCTCAGTGAAACCACGGGACAGCATCTCATCGGCCTCGTCGAGAATGAAGAGCTTCATGGTGGAGGTGTTGAGAACACGGCGCTGGATCATGTCGTGGACACGACCGGGGGTACCGACAACGACCTGGGGACCGTCACGGAGAGCGGTCATATCCTCACGGACGGGGGTACCACCGATACAGGCGTGGCAGGTGAGGTTCATGAAGTCACCAATGGCAACAACGACCTTCTGGATCTGCTGGGCCAACTCACGGGTAGGGGCGAGGATCAGAGCCTGGCAACCCTTGATCTCGGGGTCGATCTTCTGCAGGGCGGAGATAGAGAAGGTGGCGGTCTTTCCGGTACCGGACTGAGCCTGAGCGATAACATCGTTACCTGCGGGGAATTAGACTGATATCGCAAAAATAATATTTTGAACGGAGGAAAACTCACCCTTGATGATGGGCATGATGGCGCGCTGCTGGATAGCAGAGGGGCGCTCGAAACCGTAGGCGTAGATACCTGAAATGGGGCCCGTCAGTAAATTTTCTTCGTGTCCCGCCGCCCACGAGGGAAGGGCCAAAAAGTCGGAAATTTCATCACATACCGCGGAGCAGCTCAGGCTTGAGGTCCATAGCATCGAAGGAGTCGGTGATCTCATCGTAGTTGGACTCGATCATTCCTGTTGGGTGAAAGCCGAGTTAGTCTTGTCGTCCCTTTCTTCATCGTCTCGTCGCCACCTCAAACTCTTCCAGAGAGTGAAAACCCCAAAAGAGAATCGGCGAACTTTCAAAAAAGGAATATGAGGATAGAAGCGTCACATACCCTCGGGAAGATCCTCCAAACCCTTATCGTTCGACATATTGGGTGGTTGTTGAGGTGGTGATCACAAGCGTGTTGCTGTGATCTGGATGGTGGGGTGAGAGACTTTTAGCGAACGTGCCCTGTGGGGTAGTTCGCGAGTTTTGTAGAAGCTAGTATCTGAACTCTTCAAATAGAAGAGTTGACAGGATACTAGAGGTAAAAGTTGTATGGGTGGTGGAAAGTGAAAGTCGTAAAGACTGAAGTGGGAAGAAAAAGGAAGTGAAAAAATCGACCAGCGGATCTGCCCATTTGCTGCGACGCTTTTTTTTTTTTCACCCACGGTCGGGACACCCTCACCGCTTGCCCAATGTGGGGCCTCCCGCTTTACTCCAAGCGAGTACAACGCTGGTGATCGTTCCAAGGTTACTTTCTATTGTATTGTTCCTGATTTTTCCTTGTTCTGCCGCGTGGCGCTACGTCTTCCCTTGATTCGTTTTTCTTTACTTCTTTAATTCCTAGCTTACATTTATTGTCGGGCTTCCCGGTTGGGCTCTATAGTCGCTCTTACTATTGGGTTGTTGAAGGAGCGCTCGGACGGGCAGAAAAAAAAATCTTGAAGCCCTAAAGTGATCCCCGTGGACCATGCCTGACATCACAACGTTGCCGAGTTATCCACTACCCCAAGATGAGGATCTGGGCGTTGAGGTTATTCCCAGCCATCCGCTAGGCGTCAAGCCCAGTGGCAATGCACTATTAGCCACATCGAACCTTCGCTCGGCAATCGGCACATGGCAACTCCTACCCGACGAATTGATCCTGATGCTGTTGGAATGCCTGGATGGGGCCAGTCTACTGGCATTTGGAAGGACATGTAAAGCTTTTTACGCATTCACCCGTGCAGAGGAGCTGTGGAAGTCTCTGTTCATTCGGTAAGTTTGAGCTAACTCACAGCCTCTGGTGAACAGTGTAGATCTTTTGATCTATATATCTTGGCTGATTTTTGCCAAGATCCACTGAGGCAACAGAGCCCGGTGAATATTTAACAAATCAACAAACCCAAGGCTAATGACACTAATAGCTGTTCTCCTGAATCATTTACATGGCGAGGAACATGGCGATCAACATATTTGAATCTGCCTGCCAGCAAAGTCCCCGTAGTGGATTGTTCTAACCTCTACTCGGATGTTCTATACCGACCTTTCAACTGCGCGCACATCGTTATGGATTCATATGTCACTAAGATCCCTAAGCGCAATCAAATTCCACGTCTACCCGACTTGTCACCGGAAGAGTTCCACGAAAAATGGGCTGACCGCCCATTCATTCTGACCGAGCCCATCAAAGACTGGCCAGTCTACAAGAACTGGACGGTTGGTCATCTGCTTTCAAAATACGGACAGGAGAAGTTCCGCGCAGAAGCAGTTGACTGGGTCCTCCGTACATACGGCGATTACATGGCCGACAATGTGGACGAAAGTCCGCTGTATCTATTCGATCGGAACTTCGTCTCCAAGATGGGACTAGCAGTTGGTCCGCCCAGTGAGACCCCTGATGCAGCCTACTGGCCGCCATCGTGCTTCGCTGAAGACTTTTTCTCGGTGCTGGGGGATGAACGTCCGGATCGACGGTGGTTGATCGTGGGACCAGAGCGGTCGGGCAGTAAATTCCATAAAGACCCGAACGCCACCAGTGCTTGGAATGCTGTGCTCAGGGGGCCCAAGTATTGGATTATGTTCCCGTCTGGCGATAAGCAGAATTCCCCACCAGGAGTTTTCGTCTCGGATGACCAGAGCGAGGTTACCTCACCGCTCAGTATCGCCGAATGGCTATTGACTTTCCACGCTGAGGCGCGACGGACGGCAGGCTGCATGGAGGGAATTTGCGGCGAAGGCGAGATTTTACATGTGCCGTCTGGATGGTGGCATTTGGTTGTGAATCTTGAACCGTCGGTCGCCATTACCCAAAATTTCATGCCCCGGGCACATCTCTGTGCTGCGCTGGATTTCCTATCCAACAAATCCGACCAAGTCTCCGGGTTCAAGAAGACAGTTCAAAATCCATACCAAAAGTTTATTGATGGTATGCAAGACGCACACCCGGAACTCTTACAACAGGCTCAAGAAGAGCTGCAGAGGAAAGCAGAAGGGAAGAAGCGCAAGTGGGACGATATTGTCCATGGCAAGACACAAGATGCAGAAGAACAAGATGCTGGTGGATTCAGCTTTGGATTTGGAGATGATGGGAGTGATGTTGAAGTCCCATGAAGCAATTATACTGAGCCGGAGAGGACACAGTCCCACGATAACAACAATATATCAACGAGATACTCAACTCCTTCATAGCAGATGCAATACAAAATTACGAAGTCATGCTCAATGGTTCAAGTCTCCGCCACGCATCTTCAGCACTGAGATAAGCCCAGTCCTTAGTGACAAGCAACCGACTTGGCAGCAGGGGTACCTTCAGCGAAAGCGAGATATCCTACAAAGGCACCGACAGCAACAGCAATCATAACTGCGCCATTGTATGTCATGAAAAGAAGCCTGCAACAGCAAAAAGGAATCAGTAGCCATAAGAAAAGCCAGAACAAGGGGACAACTCACATGATGAAGAAGCTATAGAAAACCTGAATGGCATACAACGCAGCCATAGTTAACTTCCCCTGGCGCACGACGGCAGCCCTATTATCCCTTCCTACAAGCAGTGGTGAGCGTTCGTCGTTATTGATAGGAAGACCCGCATTCTCGGAGACGACGTTGGCGAGGGATGGGTTGGTGATACCACCATCTGAAGAGCAAGACATCAATGAGAGCTCGCTCAAGCAGGAGTGGTAAGGGTTTTAATTATAATCAAACACGCAATCTCAACCTCAATCTCAACCACCGATGCCAACGCCATATAGTCCAGTAGACAACAACAAAGTGTGTATGTTTGGGCTCGCAACTGAAAACCTACCTCCTGTGGACGACACTGCCGTAAAGGCATTTAAGCGTCGTGCATGTGCAATCTCATATTTGCGAGTAATTTGGCGTACCCCTTCGTAACCCGCTGTGAGGAGGACGATAAGGACGAGCGAAAGAAGGAAGGAGATCGGGCCTGTGATGCGCCACCAGCGGAAGATGATGCAAAGGTTCTCGGAAGACCATGTGAAGACCATCTAGCAGAGCGAAGGCTTAGTTAGAACCCATGTTATAAGAAAAGTAGATAGTCAATCACGTACGTTCATGTTGCACTGGCCACCCATATCCATATCGCCATGGCCGTGATCCATACCTGGCATACCATGATCCATATGCATCGAGTGATCCATGATGAGTACTAGATATTATCGGATAAATCAAACAACAAAATTCAAAGACGAAGGAGCAAGAAAGTCCTCTACTCGAGTAGCACACGTCTGACTGCGTAATCGAAAGTAAACATAATGCGGGACGTGAGGTGATACCATCACAGATGCAAACAAGGCAAACACCACCGATAAGCTCTCGGGTCCGAACCGCCTCAACTCTCCAATCCAATCCAATCCCGCATTGGTCGCCGTTCCCCGTCTCGAGCCAGCTTCCGCTTTTTTTCGCTTGTATGCTACGCGCTGGTGAATAACTTCTTAGCGACTGCTATTTAATCTGCCTCCCACACCATTATGGCGGACACTGCCTCCGCCCCGACAGCAGCACCCGCGACCGCCGCGCCTGCGACGCCAGCAGGCGGCGCAACAGCAGGGGCTCCAAATGCGCCTAATGACCAGAATGCCGCGAGTCGCGGATTACCATACTACGAGAAGTTGCGCCGGGAGCTCAGGGACACATTGTCCAAGAAGCGATTGATGGACAGGAGCATGGTGAGTGTCGAACCTCCAGCAGCGCGTCATTCTTGCATCGTTCCTTTAGTGGCTGCGAGCTTTGCAATAGCTCTCAAAAGACAGCACAGAAGGATACGGAACTTCTCGGCCTGCTCTTCTTTGGTCATGAGAGAAAGCTCGTTCATGAACTGATTCCTCCAATCTCCACAGGCCGCACTCGAAGACCAAATTTTCCGCTTTGAACAATCCTATCTCGAGGAGACGACCGCCGGCAACATTATCAAGGGCTTCGACAATTACATCAAAGGATCGGCTAATGCATCAAGTCTCGGCGCTTCGGGTCTGAGTCTTGGATCAGGCGTTGGCGGGCGTCGTAAAGCGCAAGTCACAGATTCAGATCGGGTTTTCTCAAGGAGTTCTGCAAGCTACATGATGGTATGTAGAAGATCCGAGGACTTAATGGCTACAATTCTGATGTATCAACCGCTAATGACTTTCTTATATAGGACTCGCCTGGCCCTTCTTCCGCACAAACTACACCGTCGCACGCGGCTACGCCTACTTCCATAGCTGGTGGCAACGCACCTTCAATGAAGAGCAACGGAGGCGATGCGTCAGCGTCTGCGAAGAACGCATCAGTCTCTTCGAAGAATAAGAAGAAATCCGGTGGTGGGTCGAAGAATACCAAGGGGAAAAACCAGACGGATGATCTGTCTGATGAAGACAAACCGCCCGTCAAGCGGTTGAAGATTAGCTACGGACGGGACTAGAATTTGATCTCCGTGTCGAAGGTCGCTATTGTTTGAATTTTTTTAGGTATGGAGTTTGGGAGGCGTTAATCTGCGATCGTTCAAATGGGCGAAGAGAGCCTATGGCGCAGGGCAAAAAGGTCGCTTCTATTGCGCATCATGTACATCACGACCGATTAAGACTACAGTGTTTTGAATACCAGATATTGATTGTCAGATCATTGACTTGAAACTTGGCAGAGATTCATAGCAAATTATGTCAGCGAGTCCAATCAGCAGTAAAAGGAACAGGCATCAATGCCTAGCCATCACAGCTGCAATCGGAAAGTAGCGATCTCGAATGCCCGTAGCGTAAAGCCCACCTCAACGCTATCAACCATCTGCACGAAATCCATTTCTTCCTCATCGTCCTCGAGGACATTGCATTTCCAGACTCGCTTGACAGGGAAAGTACTCTTGATAGCTCCAAGAGCTTTACCACCAAGCGACTCATAAACACGAATAATGACACTCCTTCCACTACGAGCAGCGATCTCCCCAGTGGAAACATCCTCATCATCTTCACCTCGCTTGAAGGCATCCAAGATCACGGAAGGTGCGCCCTCGATCGAAACGCCACTGAAGTCAACGTGGTTTACCGCATGGGAACTGACCTTCTCAACAACAAGCGGCTGGTTGAAGTTGTAACCGGCACGAATGGTACGCTCGTCGAGCGGACCAGCGTGTGGAAGGATGGCGTAGCGGATGCGATGGCGGCCCATATCTGCATGGGCGTCTGGAGCCTTGGGAGCACGGAGTAGCGAGAGACGCATGAGGTTGCCGCATGTTGCGAACCCGTACTTCGAGTCATTGAGAACCGAAACACCGTATCCGTTCTCAGAAAGATCTGCCCATTTGTGGCAGCAGACTTCGAACTTGGCCATGTCCCAGCTATGGTATGTTAGTATCGAAGTGATCAAATCATTATCCGGGGGGTTGCGTACCTTGTGTTGTAGTGGGTCGGGCGACGAATGATACCATATTGAGTCTCATAGGAGGCTTCAGTGTTGGTAATATCAACGGGGAACTCAACCTTGAGGAACTTCATGGTCTCCCGCCACTCAACCTCGCTTTCAAATTCAATATATGAGGGCTCGGAGGATACCGAGGCCGACAAACTGATGGTGGTTCTGATCCAGCTCTTATCACTGATCTTGGTCTCCGTCACCAAGCTTACTCGGTGGGGATCGTTCTCTGCAATGACAGTCTTGCCTCGAGGAAGCTCCTTTCGTGATTCTAGGTGGAAGACCTCGACATCCCAAGCTTGCCAATACAGAGGCTTGTCATCAAAGATCACTAGTTGACCAGCCTTGCCGCCTTTTGCGATGATTTGCCTTTGGGCCTCGACATCAAACAATGAAGTAATGACTCCATCTTGGACATCAACCCTGAGCTTGCCGTTATCAAGACGGAAAACTCCAGGTTGAGTTTCTGCTATGGTCACCGAGCTGGTGGTCTGGAAATTAACGTCTTGGCATGACACCACACCCATCTTACCGTCGATAAGTGCGTACTTAGAACCAGAAGCCGTGTTAATAGACTCAGGGATCTTGACCACTTCCGACCGAGACCAAGGCAAGGTGTTGATAGCCGCTAGGGCTTCATTTCGTAGGGTACTAGTGATTCCCAAGGCCGCCAGAGCATCCTGGCGCAATTTGGTCCCAGTTTTAAAAACCTCAGCATAGAGTTTGTCGGAGTCATCATAGCACATCTCGATTGAGCTACCGGGCAGACAGTCATGAAATTGGCAAAGAAGAGTGTTCTCCCACATCCCATCAATCTCCTTCTTTGGGTACCGGTAATCCTCATCATTGCCACGAATGGTAGCCAATGTAGCCAAAAGCTCGATCTCTCGAAGCAAAAACTCGGACTTTCTATTGTTGCGCTTATTGTTGGCCTGGGTAGTGTATGTACCTCGGTGGAGCTCGAAGTAGAGCTCACCATACCATGTGGCAAACTGGGTATCACCTGCAGCGGCTGCTTCCAGCTTGTCAAAGAAGTCGTCAACTGACTCGCCCATCTTGACTCGGGGAAGAGTACCGATCTTGTCACTAAGGCCACGACAGCGACGAAGCTTCTCAAGGTGTTCAAAGGTGGGCCCACCGCCACCATCTCCTTTGCCAAAGACTAGCAAGGAAGACTTGTCGGCATCCAATGATTTATGCTGTGTGACACTGCGCTTAAGATCACCAAAGTGAGCTTCAGCAGTATATGTCTCTGCAGGAGCCATGTGGCACAGCACTTGGCTACCGTCCAACGAAACCCACTGGAAAGTGGTGTGAGGGAAAGTGTTGATGTTATTCCAACTTAACTTCTGAGTAAAAAAGCGACTCATTCCGGCGAGGCGGCAAATCTGGGGGATTTGAGTGGAGTAACCAAACGTATCTGGCAACCAGAAAGTCGAGCATCGCTTGCCAAAATGACTCTCGAAGAATCTTTGACCGTAGAGGAACTGTCTGACCAAAGACTCTCCACTTGGCATATTGGTATCATGCTCGACCCAACTACCACCAATTGGCTGGAAGTGGCCTTTTCGCACCCACCGCTTCACACGATCAAACACTGACGGATAGTATTGCTGAAGCCACTTGAATTGCTGAGCCTGTGAGCAAGTGAATCGGTGCTCTGGGTACCTATCCATCAAATCGCATTGGTTCGACCAGGAGCGCGCGACCTTCCGCTTAGTCTCTGCCCAGGGCCACAGCCAGCAAGTATCAATGTGGCAATGGCCAATGGCAAACACAAATGGATTCGTGTCTGCCTTATAGACATCCGAAGAATCCACCTTGTCACCAAGATACTTTTGAGCGATTTTTCTGCCCTCAAGGATGGACTCTTGGCTTCCATTGCCTGCAGTGAAAGCATCGATGATAGCATTTCCGACCACATTCGCCTCATGTGCCTCCCAAGAGTCACCAGGGAACTCGCGAGCAGCATCACCGATAATCCAGAAATCGTAAAAGAGTGCGCGTGCGGCCAGATTCACAGCGGTAATTCGTGCTGTCGTGAGTTGGTACGACTTGTCCGGCTTCGGCGGTTGGATCGAGTCGCCCCCGGGAGCATTTCCGAACATGCCATTGCAAGCCATTTCGATGTAAAATGTGTGTTCCTTTCCATCGCGCCATGCATCAGGGATAATCCATTCGATTCGTTCGCCGCCACCGGTAAGACCTTGCAATGGATGACCGTCCTCTGTCCATACTAGTCCCTCATTGTGAGCGTCCCAGTGAAACTCGAGTCGTTCTTTTTGTCGCATATCCTCAGGGACGGTCAATTTGATGCGAAACCAATGCGTAGACCAGCTGGGTCCGAATGATTCTCCGACATGCGTAGGTGTGAATTCGTGGGACGTTGCTTCTTCGAACGTCGGCCGTTCCAGGTTGGGGACCGAATACACTGATAGCTTGACATGGTCTTCGTCGGAGTTGGTTGCTTCAAAGAATTTGGAGACGAGATTTTGACCTGCATATTGGCCTTTTTCTGTGAACTGCTTCAGTCGGTCGGTGTAGATCTTCGTGATGCGCTGACCGACCGGGCGCTCGGATAGTACTGGGAGGGTCTTGGTAGCCAGGATGGGGGTGACATGAGCTTCTCCACCCATGTTGACGGTAAGTTTTTTTTAATTTAATGATTTATTTCCTGATACGCGTTAAGTGTGACAAAGAGGGGGAGAATAGCTGTGCAGTGTGAAACTCAAGGGAGGAGCTGAGTTCCAAATGCGGAGGCATGACGGAATGCGGAGTCAGGGCGGGGATCAGCCGAGTCACATCCACTTGGCATCCACAACCCAGTATCCATGGATTCTCTATTTAGATCTATGATCTCTTGTTGACATGAGCTTAGCTATCCAATATATGTAGCATATATTCCAGGTTCCTCATCGGCCCCCAATTGCTCCAATCTTCATCACGATGGCAAATTGCAACAGCCATTTCTCCTTGACGGCAGGGTCCTTGAGTTTATTGCCAGATATTTAAGAGTTTCTAGTGCGATTAGCGAGAAGTTCACATAACTCATGTTGAATCTGCAGGTGGCAGAGCCGATTTTTCAGTCATATTTCCGGGAGAATCCTTGATCATCTGTTCGTCTAGCACAGGACCGGGGGTGTAGTTGTCACCCAGCAGCGGAAGTTTTTTTGGTTCGATCCATGTTCCCAATGGAGACTTTCTTTTCAGTGAACTGAGTTCCATGGCAGGCTTTTGACATCCAGCTAATAACACTGTCTTGCCCAGTCAGGTCCATGACACTATGCTGCCCGGCAATGGTAAGGATGAGACCACCGGTGATGAAATTGGCTTGGACGGCAAAGACTGGGGCTGACTCCGCTGCCAACCCGACAGTACTTCCCGGAAGATTGATGGTCAAGCATTGACATGGGGAAGTTGTATTCTCGTAAAGATTTCACGATGGGCGCACATGCATCTTGTCGGAGATCTTTGACGACAAGGGGGATCGTTCCTGAAGGAACAATCTGGGTTACGTAACCCCTATGTTACTGGCACTGGAACCCTCGCTGACGACCTCTCCTGCAGGCATAGAATGGCCTGTGTCAAACGATCAAGCCCGCCTCTCAAAGATCTGACAATGGTATCATGGGTGGATGGACTAAATACTAAGTAGATACTGCATATCTGGGTGTACAGCCTATAAAAGTCTGGCTGTTGGCCTAGCACGTCAAGGGCCATGCTTGCCATTGCCTTCTCTGCCATTGTGTCAAATTTGAATGAACTGCCTTTCCGCGGCGATACATACGTCTCTTTATGGGCAGCAGAGATAAGGCTACTGTAGGTAAGCATTGCCAGAACGGGTGGGTCTTGAGTGGGTCGGACCCACTTAGCGTTAGTCGACATGAGCCATGTGAATAGTATTACGTGGTCCCAATTGATCATCTTGCTTTCTACTGTAGGCTTTTCAGAGTTTAGTTACGTGACCCAGTGTTCAAAAGTTTGAAGTGCAAAGCATAAGAGGCTGGGAGCTACTGCGTGGTAGTTTGGAAACAGCTCGACCATCCGTGTATAGGTTTGTTCAGATTGAATATATATTCCATCTACCAATGACACAAAGTTCAACACTCGCTAACTTGATTTCTCTTGGAACCAGAGCTCTCACTATCAGCAAAGTGACACTGAAATCCCCGAAATTAGAGGCACTCTTTGGAGTGACAGAGAGCTTGATCATAAAGGAGTCGGATACTCTACACTCTTAGGATTAGATAAATGGCATCCTATGCTTATCAAAGGCGTGCCCCCACATGCGTTCAAAACAGTATGTTGAAAGTAGGCACTGAATCATGCGATTCAAGTCAACAACGAGGTGGCCGTGAGACACGTCCTGGCTTGAGCCTTCTGAAGAAACCCTGGAGAAGAAAAATTGAATCCTTCCCTTAGTCGTTGACACTCACAAATTGAGAATCTTTGGAACACATCACTTCTGCGGGATAGCAGCAACCCGTCCAGGTGCACGTGCCGTCTGGGTTGCATTCCCTACACACCAGCAATTCCCAGGGAGCTGAACTAATGTATCTTGATCATAAAAGGTGCTCCCAATATCATCCCGCTGTTGAATAGCATTCATCGAGTCACACACATACAAACAATCATGCAATGTCATGTTAGGTAGCAACATCAAAATAGATTTGTCACCCATGAAGTCGTAGTCACAATGAATGAGATATTTCTGTGCGTTCATTATTTGTATGGAGTTGTCTGCAGATGGGCAGGAGATTGGGGTTGTGGAGTTCAACGTGTCAGCCCAGATATTCTTGCGGCTATCTGTGGGACTAGTTGTGGAACTATTCGATGAGCTGTTTGTATAGCTGTTGTTTGATGAGGCCCAGGATGGTGTTGATGGATGACCTATAATTCGTCAATTAGTGAGAGCTTCTATATAAGAATGAAATATCTGTACCATTCTGATGTGTCAGGCCCATAGCCAACCCAATTGCAATAGCAAACACCAGAATCGTCATTAATAAAATGCACATTGTGAGCCAAAAAGTGACCCTTCGTAGACCGCAGACAGTACGCTTAGGTGGCGGGTCAGCCTTAACCAAAGGGGTATCACCTAGATAGTAAACTGCATGGCGGTGGTCAACCTCTAGAGGAGCTTGGACAACTTCCATTCCAACAGAAGTTCTGACTTGTTTGGAAGTATCAGAGAGCGACATGATGATAATGGATCTTGGAACTCAATCCTTTCCCCAAAATACTGGGCATGGAGGGATTTTAAATCAATTAAGATGGCAACAGACCAGGATTTGCCAGTGGTATCATAACTCATATATCTTCAGAGCTATTCATCATCCCACATACGAATGCCTGTCATCCAATAATATCGTTAAGGCATATTGCGCCACTCAATAGAGCGACGATCCATGCAGGGGCGCACGGTGCGCTATGTAGGCGGGTTAGAAGAATGAATACTTCCATTCTTCTACGGTCGCATTTAGGCCTCCCGTGTCCGCATTCTCTTTCCTAACCACCCGAATAGATCCATAAAAGAAGCGATTTAAAAGGACAAGAAATCATTTATTGGTCGGCAAGATGTCATCTCGCAGTCCATAATGACTACGTGTTGGTGGCGGGCCGCAAGTTCAAAGTATGTGAATATTTAGGGCATAATTGGTAATCTCTCTCAATTTGATAATCCACCGTACGTAATCAATAATAACAAATCCAACGCATCTTAGATACACGGCTCAAAGAAAAAACTCAATCAAATTCATCCACGAGAAAGCACTTTCCTTCCAGCCTCCAACCCTTCAATCTCCGCCTGTAGCTGCCTGCGCTTGCGCCGGATCTTCATGTCTTCGCCAGCAATTTCTTCGAGCTCCTCAGTGGAGAGACCATCAACCCACAAAGCAGAAAACAGGCTCATGGGAGCCTCAGGTCCGGTCACCAGGCGGTAGTCCGCTGCTTGCATGCAAACACAGTCCACGAACCTTCTCCAAGCCACCGTGTAGTATGATTGCAAAATGTCATGGATGTCTTGGGCAGTTTTTCTGTCATTACTTTGGGGGCTTTTTGCGGTAAGATCCGTTAGTCGAACAATCATTCCCCATTTCGAATGAGTGGACAGGGAGGCCAGGTTAGACTGGACACGGTCCTGTCGACTGCAGCTCTATATGTTAGCTACCACATAAAGGACTAGATGGGCTGTAAGGGGTACATATATACTTACCACTGTTGGAGACTGTCGCTGAGGTAGCTGTTTTGAGTCATTGGCGTTCCCTCACGCTCAATCTTCAACAGGAAATTGACTTGTGAGATTGACTCCCGATACTTGCTCATGAGGTCGTCCATTAACAGTGACATGATATTCGACGGGATGTGCTTGTCTACTGAGACAGCTCCAAGGACTGTTTCTATGAAATTGTGAATAATAATAATGATATCACTGATGTATCCGTTGGCTATCATTGGCCATTTGCTGCTTTGACGCTTCATGAGGGTGGTAAGAAGCGTATGGTTGAAAGTGCCAATCTCAAATCCTTTTGCACCGTGATGGATGGTTTCAATCCAACTTTCAATGCCCGAAGTTGAAGGACATTCGATCTCCGAGTTCTCACACAGGAGTTCATTTAGCTGTTCCAAGTCGGGAAATTTGCGGCTTTCCATAAGTCCTGGACTGTTGCTCTCTTTGATATCAGAACTGTCACTGTGATTTGGAGAATTTTCCTCTGCGATCGGAGCTGGAGATTCGCCTTGAGCCAGAGCTGGGCACTCCGTTTTGAATGCATATTCATGCCCGAAATCTGACATGTCATAGGAAAATTGGGCGTTCCTATTTGCGATTAACGTCGCAAGCCTTGCCTCTTGCTTATCAAAGATGTCATAGGCACCGTAGTTCGTGCAAAGCGCATGCTGTGTGACCTTTTGAAACTCCGAGACGATGTCAATGAGCAATCTTCTTTGCTGTTCCGGTGTTTCCCTTTCAAATCCAAGAAGCCTCAGGGCATCCCTCGACTCCTTGAGCCTTTTGGATACCTCAGAGCGTACGTCAGGGAAGACTCGGCGAACCGTTGAGGTGAGAATATCCCGAAGACGAGTTCTCAAGGACCTGATGCCATAATTCTCATTCGAAACATGGTTCCATGGCACTTGTCGGTGGAATAGCTCCTCTTCGTTGTCTCGGTCAACTATGCCATCATCAAGTTGTTTTTGCCCCAGGTTGCGAACAAGAACCCATCCAAGTTGCCCTTGCGAATTTCCCTCCTCGATAAGAGCGACGATCTTACTCTCAGCCCCCTTGTCAACAAGATCGGGCTTTGTGAGGATTCTTAAGGTTCGGTCTCCAGTTGAATCGACCTCGCGAGCCATCTCGATTATTTCCTGGGTAGCAATGTCGACATTCGCTGGAACGACAGTGAGCATTATGGATCGAGGGTTTCGCATATACTGGTCCACCATGTTTCGCACAAGGTCAATATCGCTCTTCGTGGTACGGCCGGATGTGGTGTTTTTGAAAATTCCAGGAACATCAATAACACTTAGATGATTTTCTTGAGGTCCACAGATCTCAAGGCAAAGAATGTTCCTTGAAAATGTTGCCTTTCCATCGTCGATGGAGGTGGAGAGATCCATAACGTGATGAACCTGAGTCGGTCAACCTTCATAATCAAACATGATAATTCAGTCTTGTCTTACCTCTTTCATCATTCCGGAAAATCCATCTTTTGAAAGGGTTTGAACTCCCTCTGCCTTCCATGACCTCAGTTTTTGTTTTTGTTGCGAGTCAATACCAGGTTCCGGGATTATAGATGCAGAGATAACCCGATCGTCTAGACTGGCATTTCTTCGGAAGATGATCTGAGTCGCAAACCGAGTGCAGAGACCACTATCACGAGGGAAGCTCAATTTGGTCAAGCCTTCGAGGACAGAACTTTTCCCACTGGACTGGTCCCCGACAACCACAAGATGGGGGAGACTAACATACTTCCCCACATTGCAGGCAAAAAGTTTGTCGATCTTTTCTAACAGTATGGGGTCAGCTAGCATGGGGCTCGATGCGTTTGTATCTTCCGTCTTCATCTTGTCGTAGGTGAGCAATGCCAGTCAGAGGAAGAATTTTGAAGTGAAGATAGCGGGATGAGTGAAGATGGCGGGATTATGGTAAAGAAGGTGATGAAAGGTTTCGTGAGAGATGGAGAATGGAAGGGAAATCAAGGGAGAAGCTGAGTTCATAACAAACACTGACACGGGTCATTCACTGCCTGAAGGAGATCCAGGGATTGATGTGAGCATGTACGTTAGATACACCAATAAAAATGGTATTAATGTTTACTGAAGCTGTCATAGCTCAATGCCCCGACAAGGCCAAGTATAGAATGATGCACAGTCAGCCAACCATACTTTGAATGGACTTACATTTACTATTCTGTTTGGGAATTCTTGTTAAATTTGAATTTTGCCTACAGCCTGCTTCATACTCGCTTTCATATTAACAAAGCATTTGGAGGCTCGGAGAAAAGGACTTCATGCATTTCAGATTGTGAGCCGAATCGCAAAATTGAGTGTTATTGCTCATACATGAGCTATGCATCAATCTTACCACCCTGGAACTGACTTTGGTTGGAATCGTTATCCAGCTGCTCGACCGAGGCCACCATGATGAAAAAATGATTCAATCCGTGATACATGCCTCCGCCTCATTAGAAAGGCCAGACTAGTGGCACATGACATGCCACTGCACACCCATGGTCTGGGATTGCTCCCTTCCTATTTCATTTGACTCTGACCCACCAACGCATAATTTTCATGATAGATCATCATAACCCCCTAAGCATAACCGGGGCTGTTCCAATGACAAGACTTGTGCGCTAGGATCCCTGCTAGCCATGGTAAAGCCTCATATGTCGTTCGGTACCAAAGCATGGAACCCGAATGCCTGGCCATTGATCGGCAAAGGCCTACAACCAGAATAGAGTCAGCATTAATAAACTTTCTCTAAGGACGTTGTCTTCAATTCTCCACATACCTACACGCTTTCTCAAAGCAAGATCATTTCTACGACCCATGCGGTACCTTCGACTCATAGGAAGGGAGCACGTCTGCTTTGCGCACGATAGGTGTGGTTCTCTGTTGAGAACCAAGGATAGATACTCATCACGAAGCGTTTTAGCGGCTCCAGAACGCAAGAGCGTTTGAGGGGTTCGTAAGAGAATGCTGTGCCAGTACTTCAAAGACTTAGAAGAATTGTCCGAAAGTGAAAAAGATAAGGAATCTCTCCGTGCGATTCAAGTCCACCGTAACCGATGGATTGGCCTTTGAAACCGGACATTCATCACGCAGTCTGTCAAATCGCAAAGTCACCAACTTGTTCTCGCTTGACCGCTCCCAGAATTGAGTCCAAGATCCTGAAACTTGCGATTTGATAGAACAGCAAGAAAACAGTCAAACTTGTCGGTGATTGTGAGGGGAAGTAGTGTCTGTTTGTTTGGTTTCAAGAGGCCTACGTCAGTATAAATTTGCACAACATCGCAAAGCGCAACGTCGTTCGGTATTGTCATAGGGTATTTACTTTGTGATGATGTTGGTGCTTTCATTGCTGGTCCCCTGTTCTGCCTCTGTGAGGCTTCTAAAAGTATCGCCGTATTTAGGCATAATTGCCTGCAAAAGTCAGCACCGGTAAATGAGCTTTGAACCCACTTTCCTCTCAAGTATACTCACCAACATTGTTTCGTGAAGGAGCTTCTAGTCGTTTTTTTTTCTCAAAAGCTCAAGACAGGTCGTGAGGACGAAAGGTGAAAAACTTTGAAAAGGAGTCGTGAAGAGACGACGCCTGATAAATCATCTCGGATCAGGAAGAAAAGGACCTCAGATCATTCCGAACCTCTAGTACACCCATAACAGCACTTTACCAGCCCAAGGTAGACACTTGGTCGGTGCGTGGTGGCTTCGGAGCCTCCAGGGGTCTCTGTGATCAGATTCAGTTCTCACTTTATGTGAGGACTTCATTTGGTGTGGTGGAAGAAGAAGAAGAAGAGAAGAAGATGAGGAAAAAGAGGAATTTATAGTCGTTGCTGCCTAAACGGTTTGTTTGGTCAAAGCTACGGGATAGGATTTAAGTTCTTGATTCATATATGAGTACAACCTTCAATGTAGTCTTAATGCGTAGTTGGGTGTTTAACCTTGAGCTTTCTGATATTGGAGCGTTATATTGGTAATTCCAAGCGCAAGCAAATGAGTGTATACATAGTAAGAGATCAATATCCTTTCTTTCAGAATTGCGATTCATCATTCATGACACATCGTTGGACAGTATAATACCCAGACTCTCATCGCTCATATAGCCTCCGGTTATACATAGCCGCAAATATCCAAACTTGGGGATGAAATCTAGACGTCATTATTTGATCTCTCTTCTACACAGAATTCTCAGCCCTCAAACGTCATATTATCATCTCCAAGCCCCTAAGGTAAGTCAATATTAATAGAAATCGATGCTATCAATTTGGAAATAGAATTATCTTTCAAAGAATACTAAGCTCCGGGTGGCAAACCCCAAACGAAATCTCCTAACATGCACATGCATACAAAGTTTAATCAGCTGGGTCCTGCATCTATATTTAATCGAGTTTCCATCTGCAAGCAAGCACAGAGCCTCTCATGCAGCTAGGGTACCTTATGATCAGAATCCACTGTATAAGCGGTGTCAGAGCTATGAATCCACTAAACCCAAGATAGCAGGATAGCGCACAAATGCCACGAGGCTGTGGATTTGGCTCCAAAAACTGACATGAATCAAATCTGACTGGTTGAGCATCCAGTAATGGAGTGAGGCAGTTTACAAATCAGGTAAGATGTTCCAATCTGGCATAGCCCAAGCAAGAGCATAAGCTCATAGGATGCCGAATCGGGTAAGGGCCCTTATGTCATGATGTTCTATTTTTAGGGCCCCACGTGGAATGAGCCTTCGAGCTTTGTACCATATTACCTTAAACTCAAACAAACAGCCCCAACGTTTTGTTTCCAGGGGCGAGGATTCAGAGCTTCTGCCGATCTGAGGCTCGTGGGCTAGGTACTTGGCTGTACTTGGCATTGGGTTAGTAGAGGAGTGAATGAATCGTAGATCCTGTTCCCCGCGTTATGATGCGGCTCCTGTCTCGAGGTAAATCCCGAACGAGTTGATTATCCGATAACCAAGAGTTGTCATGCAGGTATGCAAATATGTACCTCGAATCTCAATCTCAAATTGAGCAGCTGATCCTCAACGCCGACCGATGTCAAGACCAACTCCATCAAGTATCTTGAGGTGGCAAACATCACCCACCCCCCACAATCTCGACATTTCGGGAAATCCATTACCGGCCCCCAAGAAGGATCTCAATGGACCAATTTCCACATTAGTGGATGCAGCGTTTCGAAACAGACGGCGGGAAGCGAAGGATTTTTAGTTTGTTACATATGTGGTGAGATTCTTTTTCTCCCTTATTGGATCAAAGGGGCGTAAATGCTGCGTAGGTGGCTGCATCTTTAATTGAGCTAGCGCCGATAAATGTAATCTGCGTGAGGCAGGGGGCTGCAAGTCGTGTGGGGGGATCCCTGTCTAGTGGTCAGTGTCTGAATTTTGGTAAAGTCGCGTCGGGTTGACGCAATTGATTTATCGGTAGAGTAGCTGATAGATGAAATATGCTGAGATAAAGGCGAGGGGTTGAGGCAATAAAGACATAATATATTGATCAAAATGATGAAGAAAATAACTAAATTCTATATTTCGTATACCTGCTAGGATCCAGCCATAGCTGCGGGCATGACAAACAAAGACCAAAAAGCCAATCCAGCACAAAAATAGGAGAAAATGAGGTGCTGCGGAATTTTGACAAATAACGTCACAAGAGAGAAGAAGAAAAGAAATGGATGCATAAGTAACTCCAAGTGGAGAAGCATGGTCGGTCATGGTAATAGCTCATGTGGTAATCGGTATAAATCGCTAAATCAACAAGAAGAAAAAGGTAGACAAATGAAATGTGATCATGGAGACCAAGGATCAGGCTGCGGCGCACACAAGTGCGGATTAACAGCCCCGACAAATTTAATCTTGGATTTCAATAGTTCGCGACGACGGTCATCTGGTGTTTCGGTCATTCGCTTCTTCGCGTCATCAAAGGAAGTTTGCAACGCAGCCAAAGTCTGGCGCTTGGGTTGTTGGTTGGCTTTGGGTAGTGTTGGTGTAGGTGGTGGCAGGTTTGCATGAGCAAAATACTCCGGCGAGGTTGTAGCTCTGTGTAGCCTCTTAAGCATGCCACGCTTCTTTTCTTTCGGCGCAAGAGGTGATGAACGTGGTTGTTCGAAGATGTTAGCTCGGCTGGAGCTAGCTGTCGATGTAGCGACCAACTGAGCGTGGAACTCGTCCATCTCCAACTCCTCGTCGAAATCTTCGTCGTCTCCCATGATGGATGGCGGGTGTGCGCTGAGCGGGCCCATGGGTGCGGTGAAACGGCGTGAAGGAGGGGCTCGTCGAGCACTGACTGGTCTATCCCTCTCTTCAGCCTCATCACGGGTCAATGTTTTGTTGACATATGATTTAATCGAGTCCCGAACAGCAGGCTTCCAGCTCGATGAATGCATAGAATACCATTTCGGTGTCTTGGCAGAAACGTTTAAGCGACCTTCCCTGCCCGTCCGAGTAGAAGCGGGGCTCTGGCGGCCGCTAGTTTGGCGAGTAGAGGGGGTCGCGAGCTCGGGGAAAAAATCCCAGGTCTTTTCTCGGAAGTAGTGGTTGGAATCTATTCTGCGAGTCCAATCCACCGGACGACCGTAATGTGCAGATGTGCCTAGGATAATAGAGGAAGCGTCGATGTCGATGGGACTGGCGTCCGTGCGCTCCTCCGGGTGATGGAGATCAAGTGGGGACGGCACCGCTACTGGTTGTTCCATATCGTGTGCGGGGGTGGGATCGAAATTGGTGAAGTCATCCGAGTTGGATCGGACAAAGATAGGGAAATCTCGTTCTCGTGAGTAGCTTGAGGAGACACTGGGACTTTGTAGGCTTTCATCAAGGGTGCTTTCTGTGTCGCTGTCCGAGTCGCTGTACATAGCAGAGTACTCGCCCTCGGTCGGAGAATCCAGCATCATGATGGGTACCGGTCGCCCAGGGAGGGGTTTGTTGATGAGAATCTCAGAGCGGTGGGGTGTGAAGTACATCATCTTTGGTGGAACCACCTGTTCCATACCTTCTAGCGAGTGAGACGAATAGAGTGGAGGCGCAGTACGCCGTGAAGGGTTGGTGGACATCATGGTGGGTAGGGAGGCTTGGACACAAAGAAAATGCTGGAAGGTGTGAAGATATTAAGCCTCTTTTCTTTGTGAAGACACCGAGTCAAAGGACAGGGAGAAAAGAGGAGTCAGCTCGTTTATTATCTAGCAGCGTTCGTGCACGGACAACGCGAGGGGCCGCAAGGGATACTTGAATACAAGACAGGAATAGTTCTAGATCTCCATCAGGAATTAAATCACATTAATTATGCTGACGGTATGCATTTATTTCTGGAGTATTTTTTTCCCCGAAATTTCTGTTTCCAGAAAGAACTCCCAAGTGGCCCACTAGGCCTAAAATGATGCGTTGTCAAACCAACGATCGACGATCTATGTAGGAACATGATGACGCCAAGAATGACCGCCCCCAATCCTCCCAGTAAGGAACTAATCCAACTCTAGTAATCGGTCAAATCATTTCCTGGCCTAATAAGGGACTTCTATCTTTGCAATGCTAACTAAGTTTGGCTGCCCTCTCCATTGTCTCACGAGTCAATTGATCAGACCGTCTACGAACTGCACTGAGACGACCCAGACGCCTTAATTTGGCGATCATGGCCTCGTCGCCAAAGTGACTGTTATGCTCGAATTCTGGCTCCTGGTCATAAGCCACGCGTGCGGCATCCACAATGATGCGGGCTGTCATGCCGAACACGCGATAGCGCTGGACCTGTCCATCCGGATCCGCCGCTAGTTCAACATTCCCCTCCCTGTGGGGCTTTGGCGTGACCACCCGGGTATTGGCGCGAACAAAGAACTGGTGCACTAGTGTCGAAAGCCTGGTCAGTCGTCCATTTGAATTGTTTTCTTGTATTTTTGTTGAGCGCAATAAGCAAATAGAGCGATAACACGAACAGCTCAGAAAAACAAATGACGTTCGTGTTACCGGATCCACTTGGAAAACATGGTTCGGTACGACCGGTTTCTCCTTCTAGACTCAAGCCTTGAACCATAGAGAGTGGGTCCGGTTTGACAGGGCCCCTTGCCATGTGTGATAACGGGAAATTAAAAACAAGGGCGTTGAAGGAAGGGGCTCGGTAATCATAACCCAAATTGTAATGCAAGCGAGCAGGCAAACGAAAAAAGGGGAGAGAATACGTACTGCGCCAGTTGGAATTGTGCCACAAGCTCCACGATCCGCGATACCAATCCCCCAGATCATTATCATAGCCCTTAGCGTCCGCGCCCAACGAACCCTGATCAGCCCGAGCTGAATCCACACTTGAATCCGCACTTTCATTCTGCTCCAGATTCGAATTCGAAGCCAATTCCTCTCCTTCCCTCATACGTAAAAAACTGTGAAACGGCGCCGTAAAAACAGCAGCCACCTCCCTCGCATCTAGCTTAGGAATGAGCGAGATCTCGGGATCCGCATTCTCACCCGTCTTTGCATCGTACGAATGTAATAGAGCCACGCAGGGCCGAACCACTACTTCTGTTTTGGCAAGATTTGCCGGTAACTCGCAGAGGTGTTCGACTGTGAAGGGGTGGGGAAGGGGTTGGTCAATTCCCGGCAGCCCGATCTCTTCCCATGCTTCGCGACGTGCGGTCTCGAACGGCGTCTCCGATGGCGCATCTGCTCGACCTGAATTATTTGTTAGCGAGGGTCCACCTGATCCACTCCACCGTTGGGCTTTTGTTTGCGTTCTTTTCTTCTTCCGCAGACTGGATGAATGTCTTCTTTTTCTATTTAGGGAAATTGTGCCTGTTGATCCTTCTTTCTTTTGTCTTTGCCCATTGTTGGTTTTTCTTTCTCGTGGCCATGGGCTACACACCCCTTGTAGTATACTATATAATTAACTCACCTCCTGGTAAAGCTGCATCTCCTGCATCTAGAATGCAGCCCGACGAAATAGGGGGCATAAGTTAGCGCAGTCCGCATGTCATGCAGCATCGGCGGAGGGTAGCCCTGTTTTCAGGGCTAGTCTAGTTGCAAGGGGAAGGGAGTTGCGTACATGAACTCAATGTCTTGGCCCGCATCGTAATCACGACTCTCAAGTCTCCTTTAGCATCGGCGTACAGCAGCAGCAATACTGCCGCCCGCCTGGTCACCGGGACATCCTCGTACGCTGTGGGCGGAGGAACATAGTTTCGGAATCGGTGAATGGCTTCCTGTTGTCATCTATCATATTAGCCTAGACATTCCATCAATCTTGTTTTTTGGTTCTTGCTATCGTTCTGTGGCGTTTTTCTTGTCTTTCTTCTTTGCCACGCGACTTTGGGTTGGGTTTAAGACATCCATTCTTAGGCGGGATGTCCATCCACGGGTGCCGTCAAAGCCAATCTTCTTGAAGAAATGTGACACACCCCGATGAAAAGCCTGTGAGACTTGAAAGGTGGAACTCAAATATGCGGGTACGGAGAAAACAAAACAAGACTGGAATGAAATCGTGACGACATAGTATCCACGAGATAAGACAGTGGTCATCTTGGTCGCATAGATCTCATGCGGAAAATAGGATAGTGTTGATGGAATGGGTCACTGGGGTCCGAGTGTATAGGTACACACGCAGACCACGGATAGGCACAGGTAGATGCATAGTTAGGTCGAGCATGGAAGTACTAATCCCAAAGCGTAGAAATACAGCATTTGTGGCTTTCGGTGCATCTCAAAGCTTGCACATAACGTGACTTACCAAGGAAGTCTGGTTCAGCGGCGCCATACTGGAAGAAGCGCGGCAACTCTCTGCCTGATACAAATAGAGACCGTGGAAGCGACCTGGATGTGGATTGGTAGGTATCGGGAACTTGCGACTGATAGTTCGGATTAAAGGACGTGGATGTCTCCGCATAGCACTCTGGGTATGTGCTGGAGGATAGAAGTTCGGGGGATATGAAAATGGAGAATATACAAAAGTAGTCAACAGGAAGTAAATGTAAAGTACCCGGAGATTAAAATGTTTAGTTCACTAGTGCAGCGGGGGTACCCCCGTCTCTTTGGGCGTAAGGATGAGTGATGCGGTTCGCTGCACGTGATCTGGGATGTACTGGATGAATCCATTCTACGTCGTGACCTAAGAAAGAAAATAGACAACAACCAGTTTCTTGTCAACAACGATGAATATATTTCTCGATGTCTCTAATACTAACGAGTTATCTCAAAAGGTTCTGATGTGGACGTGGGCATTCCCCTCGCCTGTTCGATCCGCCTATTTTGGCCAGCTTCATAGTGGCCCTCGGATAAGGCCGATTGCTTGGTTGCGGGGGAAAGGGTTCGGTTCCCATTCGAACAGTAGTTTTGCCGAGGTTGGGTGTTGTTCCGGCTAACGATGCCATTCAAGGTTGCCGATTATTAATCTTGAACTCATACTTTGTGAGGTGTTTGAAATCAAATTAGATGCATCATGTGGATTTGTTCTATCAATACATGGCTTTTCGCTCTGAACTTCATATCAATGGCTGAGATTCTTGCCACATATCCGGCCACTTGGGCAGAGATTCCGGTCTTGCCCATGTGAGGGCACCGCGACAACTCACACCGACTGCCTTGCACACCGCAAGATTGCAAAATGAGACACAGCGAACAGGGTGGGATTCAAAAGAGCGTATCAGGCAAAGATCCAGAGATCAGAGCAAAAAAGTAAAAGGAATAGTAGAAGGGGGAATGAGAGGGAGAGAAGAGTCGGAGAGAGAAGGGGGTCTATAACGACATAGCGGAGAAGTAACACAAGGGGAGAACAGAAGGGGTCAAAAAAGAAGAGAGACAATAAACAAAAATCTATATGTTATCCAATAAAACAATCCCCGGAAAGAAAACGCAAGTGCAAACCGAGCCATTCATGAAATTTACGAGCTATCGCTCTTCCTGGTCTGCTCAACCTTGGCACCCTCGGCACCCTCGGCCATGGCTTCATTAGCTTCAGCGGACTGCTTCTCAGTGCCGTTGGAGGATGCCTCGATGCGGGCCTCCTCCTTCTCGTCGATATCTTCGATATCCTTGGGCGCGGGAGCGTGCTCGTCGTTTCCACTGTTCTGCACGCTCTCCTCCTCAATGAGTTCCTCCTGCTCCTTGATGACCTCCAGACGCTGCTTGTTGGTGGCAGCACCCTCGGCGTTGTGAACCTCAAGCTCAATCTCGTGGAACAGCTCCTCGGGAATGCTAGAGAGAACCGACTTCAGAGCATCAATCTGGGAGGCCATGTCGGACTCCTTACCACCCTGGGTGTACATGTAGGCATTGCTCAGAACCAAAAGAGTGGATGGGACACCCTGCTGAAGACGGAGGTCGAGCCACATGGTAAGGTCCTCACGGAGACGAGCGGGGGAGACACCGTGTGTACGGATACCGCGAGAGGCGCTAGCCATCTGCAGCTCAGGAACGGACAGCGAGTCAACGCCCTCGTAGTTGATGGCGCGGTCATCACGCTTGATCTGGCGCATACGGTGACGAATGTTGTAACGGAGCATAGCGTCAGTGCCGAAGGTGTTCAGGTTCATGTAACGGCAGATAGCCACCAACTGGGGGCGGGACAAGTTGTCCAGAGTAAGATCATCCTTGAAGATCTTGCAGACCTTAACAACATCTTCGGTGGAGGGAGACTCGCCAGTCGTGCGGATCTTGCGGAAGAAGTCTGCGAACTCCTCGTTCTTCACAGTCGCAGCGGTTAAGGGCAAACCAGTCTCGCGCAATGTGTTGCGCAAGAAGCTAGAAACTTCTTTGCGGGTGGAGCTCAGGTTCGTGGCCTTCTTCTCACGAGCGGATTTGCCCTCGTAGGTGCTAGGCAGCAAGTTGGGGAAGATCTTCAGCGCGACGGGGAGCAGCAGTTCGGCGAAGGGAACGATAAGGAAGACAGAGAAAGGAACCAACCGACCCAAGTCCTTGGTGGTACGTTGAAGCTATTACATTCAAATCCAAATTAGTCAAATGATCCAACTCGATCACGGCGATCGGAGCCTTGACCTACCTGACGGTGCTCTCTCCGGCTGAGCTCGTAGCCAGCTGCCATCTTCACAGCTAACCGGGTGCTAATCTTGACCTCTGTGGCCAACAGCTTTGTGCCATCCCAGTAGTGCTGCAGCTCCTTCTTGACCTTCTGTCCTATTGTCAACTTCTTGACCTCCTTCTCCTCGACCAAGTTCTTCTGAGAGTCCACTGCAGCCTTGCTGGAGGCCACCTTGGCATCCTTGGTGGCAGGCTTATCAGCCTTGGCAACTGTTTGTGACGATTGCGCTTGCTCTTGGGGGAGAGGCTTCTTTGCTTGCTCGGCATTGAATCCAGGAGGAGGGTATGACTGGGAGGAGTTGGATGTGGTGGATTGCTCAGTGGCATAGGCACGCTGTTGGGGAATCAAAATAGCAAGGGCAGACACATGCGATGGAAGACCGCGCCCATTTCGGAGGAAACTGTTCGCCGCAGCGATGGAAGCTGGGCCGAGAGCACCAGCACGAGTGCGAGCTATTCAGCAGGGGTAGAAACGTCAGTCAACCGGTTCCTCGGTCTTCAAGATTTAACAGAATGACATACCAGCCAGGGTTGACCGCAATGCAGATGTATTGCGCACCAGTTGAGCAGACCTCATTGTGGCGGACATTTGCGGAAAATGTTGGGGCGAGAAGAGAAAGGGCCCGATCAATCGAGCAGGGGGTCGCGGAGGGCGCAACAACGATTAGACTGCCTTAAATGAAGACAATTCCGAGATGAAAAAGATGATTCAAACAAAATACGGATGGTATGGATTTGTGTAGGTTGAAGAGAATCCGGAAGATGTAGGTGACGCTGCCGGTCATCACGTTGATCCACGTGACCTAGAGCGGCTTCGGAGGTGTCGACGGAGATAAAATCAACCGATTTTCTATTGGCGCTGTATTTTCACTCATGCAGCCTCGGCAGTCTTGTGTTAAAAATATGCAAAGAAACTTCTGTCATCAAACGTATATACGTGTTGCTTTAAAAGTGTCACATCGTATCAATCTGGATTTGAACAAGGAATGATCGTCTCTTATCTAATCGGGTCTGAAGCGTATTCCACCAGCTCAATGGAATCTGAAAACAATGCAGCATGAAAACACCATATATCAAGAGAGTAAACGCTATATTTGCAAGGATAAAAATCATCTACGCCAAGGGGTATCATGGACGGTTAAAGAAAGTAAGAAACCCCAGGAATTAGGTTCTCTCGCGAACAGTGGAATCGGTGTCCCGGGCAGCATCACGGAAGGCAGTCGAGGCAGCCAGGTTGGCATCCAACAAAGGAATCCTGTCAACACTGCCTCGCTTCTCGAGAGGAGCATGAGTCCGGGATGCATCGGCGGCGACAGTAGCGGGAGTCTCCGGGAAGATGAACGGGCTAGCTGCTCCATCGGGAGAACTTTGCCACCGAGCAACATCCATCTTCAGCTGGTCCAGCTCCTTCTGGAATCGCTTACCAAACACATCGATATAGTAGGTAGCGCCGTTGTGGATACTCCACACGAATAAGGCGAAAATGTAAATACCGCTTGCATTCCGGTACCAGAACCAGATGGGAGATGGGATCATGGTCGAAAGCGCAAAGACGTATTGGATCAGCATAAAGGCCGGTTCTTGCAGTGCCTCCGGAAGGCTCAGGACAAACCGTCCAATCCAGGCCTTGGAGTATGACTTGCGAAGCCAGGTAAAGCTCGTGGGGCGTCCCGCCGCAATCTTGTCCGCACGGCGCACGGAGATCATGAAATGGTATGCCAACTGCCAAACCAAGTATGGAATAGTAGACCAGATAATCATGGCCCATAGCGAGTAATGCTCAGGGTCACCCGGCTTGCTGAACTTGATGGCATAGACTGCGGGGAATCGCTCTTTGAGCATCTCGACTGGAGTCAAGTGAACAAGGCAGTGCAACGTGACCGGTGGCATGATGTGAATAAATAGACTGGAAGCAAGAGATTAGTTTACAAGAAGATGCTCGAGTCAAGGCGGAGAGTACATACCTGACGACTTTGTCCATACTATGGAAAACCAGCGAGTTCCGCCACATGGCGATGGCCGCCGCGTTGTTTCCAAACGTCAAACAAAACGTACCCAAGAACAGCCGTTTCGAGCCAGGGAAAACCCACAGACTCAGCATACAGAGCATGTTCACGAAGTAGCACAGATCGGCGAGGAAGTAGTGGTAGCCCTTGGCATGGTAGGTATAATACCGGATGGGCATGAAGTACGCCAGCTGGGCGGTAAACCAGAGATAGAAGTATTGGGGGCAAGCACCGATCAGGTAGCCACTAATAAAGATGTTGAGCACACCCGCGATGAAGGAGGCTTTCTCTCGAAGAGTGACAGTGGCGGTCTTGCTCCACTGTTTACCCAGGCGCTCCACCCCGGCCTTCATGCGCTTTCGGTATCTATCGAGTCGCTCGTCCGCGGTCGGAACTCGACGCTTCCACTCTCCCACAACCCGCTGTCTGGCGTTCTGCCCGGTCGATCGGAGCTTCTCACGCTGCTTGCGCACCTTCTCTTTCTGCAGATTGATTGTATGTTGCCATTTTTCCAGACGCTGCGTAAGCTGGAAGTTGTCGAGAAGATCGAATATAGTCAACTTGTCCAGAGGCGGGAATGTTTCCCAATCTTCTTGGTACGAGCTGCTGTTTGAGAAGGAACCGTTACGCGAAAGCTTGCCTGGGGAAGGAGGAGGGGAGTAGAATTCATCCCCGTCAGCGAACTCCTCCAAGAAAGGGTTATCCAAGTCATAAGCCCCCGGTGTCGACGCCACCGACTCTGGCGCGACTGCCGAGTCGGATTTCCGACGTTGGTGGGCGCTTGATTCCTCCATCAGGAACTGTTGTTGGAAGGAGAAGAGGGTGGGACCGTCCCGGAGGTGAGGGTAAGGCCGGCTAAGGAAACGACCAAACGTTAGCATCCCCATGGTGGCTCGAGCGCGTGTTTTGCAAAGTCACCGCCATGTGCAGCTTCGACCCTTCTTATCTTCACATACATTGAGGGGCAAAAACCAAGAGGCGCGACACCTACCTTATCGGAGTGGAGGGGCGGATCACGACCACGGTTCACGCGGAGAACAGCGGAGACCAGGGGGAATTGTGGTTGGTAAGACGTACCCCAACGTACAGAGGCAAAGTCGCGAAAACAGAAGGTTGACTTTGGATGAAAGTACCGTCAAGGGTGCAATCGACCAGCAAGAAGGTGATGACGGAGCGTGTGCTGTTGACTTGACCGCTGGTTGGTTTATCTGGGTCCCGGTCCAGTCTGCGGGTTAGTCCAATCACGCAGCTCCACAGGGTCACGCCGATCAGGGCCCGCGTTTATTGTTGGTTCCAGACTGTGTCTCCATCTGGTCGGATCCCGATCTGCGTTACTGAAAACGGTATCGGAATCCTTAATATCTCGATCCTTTGATAACCTCTACGAGTCTCTGCCAATGATTATTGGGTGGCTAATCACGTACTTCGAGGGGTGAAGAAACCAATTTATATCTCGGGTCACCGTCTATTCACTGCTTTGATGACCTAGGTATCTTCTGTTGAGCGCTCAGGCGTGACTATGGCCCCGGGTGGCGGTCACCAGAAACAATCGGTCGCAGTCATGTTTGCTATACCGTAGGCAGAGTCAGATCATGCCTGAGTCATCTTCAAAATACACTCAGATGAGGCTTAACACGTACGCCACGTAGGTCATGTTTTGCGCCTCGTCTTGCGCTCTCTCTCACTTGTCTGCTCGTGTGACTTTGGAGCCACTTGATCAATGGTATGAAAAGCGCCATCTGAGTTGAACCGGGCCACAGGCACAACGCCAGTACCCTATGCCTTGGGCTGAATACGTTCCACAAAGGTTTCGAAAGGTCTGTACGGGATCTTTCTCCGATTTATCGTAGGGGCGTTAGTAGGAGCTCGAGCAGCCATTGGTTCATCAAGCATCTTGAGAAATTCTGTTGTAAAATGGCCCTCATAAAGGTGTATGAATTCCTTATCCTGCCCATTCGTCACAAGAAGGCGTGCCTTCAATAAATCAGTCAGTAGAGTGACAATACCAAAGGAAAGCCAGTTCAACCATAGCACGTACCTTTTGACTTGCCGGCTGTGAGCCTTCCTTGGTAATTTTTTGAAATTGCGCAATAGATATCAAGATACATAGCAAATATGGGTCCTCGGTCCATTCCTGAGGGGTGGCTCGCGCTACTCTGATATCAGAAATGCGTTGACAGACATCATTAGTTCTGTCTTTGTCCGGATGTGGGTGAGGTGTAAGCCTCTTCCTACGAGACGAATTAATTTGCATGTAGTCGATATAGCCGACCAGTGGACGAAAGTCTTGCGAAGGAGACTGGGCTGTCTGCATACGGCGACAGAACATAATATAAGATGGCTGGTGAACAGCTTTCCCCGCGAAGAACAGATCCGCACCTTTTCTAATTAGAAGCTGGTATTAGTGACATGATATTAAGGTTCTCGACCGGTGCTTTGCTGTGGCCCTCACTGGTACTTATTGAATATGCTTCTTTCGGTTAATAGAAGACGTAATAAGAAGCGGACCCTCTTATTGGGCAACACAGTAGTGGAAAACGATTCCACTTCCTCCATCTCCTTTTCAAGCTCAGGATTTGGTGTATCAGATGTCCTTTGCCTTGTGATCTGGTCGATATCAGCGTCCTCGACCGGGACATAGTCAATGTGCTGGAAACGGCATCTCAACGCGTTCAGCTGACTAGAAGTCCAAAATAGTGGATTTACGAGGAGCTCCCGATTATGGCGTATGACTCTAGAGAGTGACACCAAATTAGACTCGTTTTTCATGTTGACACTTGAGGTGCTCGCTTAAGCCCGATCACGCACATATGCCATGTTGCCGCGTCTTGACCGCCTTCGAGGTATACAGCGATTTTATATTTTAATCAGGTGAAACTGCTCACCATTGATCATCGCCATTTTCTAGTATCATAGTAGCTTTTTAGCTGGCAAGACTCCTTGTGAAGACACCTAGAGTTACCATCAAAGGTCATCATCAGAACCCTGAGTTTATAGGGGGTAAGAAACACTCCGTATTTATTGATTATATATATTCAGTAAAGTACACCGGTTATGAAAACTGGAAAAAAGGCTGTCAATTTTGAGCGTGTCCATAGCTATCAACGAATGAAAAGAAGAAGAAAAAAAAAGGAATTTTGAATTTCAAGCAACTTCAGGTTGTTACCTCTTTTGGAAGTCAAAGGCTGTGGAACCCTTTACGGGTCCAGAACTCGATGAAACTCCGTACCAGTTGAGAAGTAAGTTGTACATAAAAAATGTCGTCACGGCTCCTGATTGCTTTCAAAGTATTTGGGCACTCATAAACCGGAGAATACTTGCTTGTTTGTAGACGCGTAGAATCACGTAGAACAGGCTCTGCAAGTAAGGGCATCAAAGACAGTAACGGGCTCGATTCCAACTGGCTCCAGGTTTCTAGCTTTTGCAGCCAATCTGGATATGGGATTTGTTCAAGGGGGAAGCCAGCCTCATTGATAAGTGTACACAACTTTTCCATGTGCGTAGTGAGATCTGGATTTGGTGCAGTCAAGCTATAAGCATGGCCGATGTTGCGACTGTCTGAGGATATATGCAGAATTGAATCGCATACATAGTCGACTGTGACATATTCCATATTTTGTGATGGTAGATGCGGCCAATATCCCAGTTGAATGCACCCAACAATCATTCGACTAAAGAAATCGTCTGGGTTACCTGCCCCTGTCTTGCTATCGCCAACAACGAAGCCAGGGCGATAAATGGTCACCGGCAGGCCTCGGTCACGCATCCTCTGCACCATCTCATCTGCTACCCATTGGCTTTGGGCATAGCCTGTGTCGAAAGGGAGGGAAGCAAGATGCACCTTGAGTGAGCCGTCCTCGGACACAACTTCTGTTCCCAGAATGAGTCCAGTGACCGCCCAAACATCGATGCTGGAAATGTAATGAAAAACCTTTCTTCGTCCTTCGACTGCGACACGAAGAACATTCTTGGTGCCCAGCACGTTTGGTGCATAATGACTGCTGTAAGGCTCACACCAGTTGACCTTGGCAGCAGCGTGAAATACTGCTGGCGCCCAACCGACAAGCCATTCATAATCGCTGTGTGAAAGCCCGAGGCGATCCTGTGTTATATCACCGTCTATGAAGATGATCTTCTTCATTTTCTCGCGCATATTTTCTTCCCACAGATCGTACTTCTCGAATGTATTTTGAACTCGGTCCATAGGCGAGTGATTTTCATTGCCTCGGACAAGGCACGCAATCTCTTTCATGGACGGCATGGAGAGCCAGCGATGCAGGAGATTAATTCCGATGAATCCGGTGGCACCTGTCAGGAATACGCGACCCTCGGAGAACCAATTCGGGAGTAGCTCAATTTCGTCGGCAAGTTGGCTGTCAGCTTCAAATTGCAGGATCTCAGATGGCCCATAATTGACTTTTTCAGGTTGGCCAAGGAGCTGTGCTAGTGATTCAATTGTTGGGTTGATATAGAGGTCCTTAATTGACAGCGACCTTCCAACCTTTTGCTTGATCGAACCAAGGAACCGAGCAACTTGTAATGACGATAGGCCAAGAGAGAAAACGTTCTCATGGGGACTGGGAGTGGAGATACTGAGAATACCTTTCAGAATCTCGGAAATCATCTCGACGCCGCCTATTTCTCCACCTTCACCGTTGCGGGAGGACTCCTCCTGGTGGGATTCCGCATTCCTCTCAGCCAGTGTAGCACGATCCACCTTGCCGCGGGAATTCAAAGGCATCTCTGAGATAACTTGGACTTGATCAGGCACCATGTAGTAAGGGTGTTGATCTTGGATGTTCTCGATTATACTTTGTGGATCGATTGGGCTATCGCTTTCCGGAACAACGAAAGCCACAAGTCGGTCGGATCCAGCACCATCGCTAGATTTTTCATGCAAGCAGGCCACTTCCTTGATGTTTCCCTGTGCGGCGATCGTACGCTCAACTTCCTCAAGTTCAACACGAAAGCCTTGATGTTTGACCTGAAGGTCTAGGCGCCCAACGAAATGGAGAGTTTTCGGTTCCCCTTTCCAGACACCAACATCCCCAGTCCGGTATACCCGAATTTTCTCCAGCTGATCAGATGCTTCGGGACTTGGAGCCTCGATTTCAATGAACTTTTCAGCGTTTTTTTTGGGGCGATTCAAGTAACCGGCCGATAATCCTGGACCCCCGATGCAAATTTCACCCTCGACTTCCTCACCGAAAATTGGCTTCTTGTCCTCGTCAAGAAGGTAGAGCACAGTATCTCCAAACGGTTTTCCTGCACTGATTTCTCCACTTCGGGTGTCTTCAAGAGTCACCTGCCGCAGAGTCGAGAAGCATGTCGTCTCCGTAGGTCCGTAAGCATTCCACAAGTTTGCAGGGGGGCCGTCGCTGCCAAGTACATTTTCCATTGAATTTGGATTCGGTGACTCGCCAGCGGTTACAACGTGGTGAAGGTTTTGAAACGCGGAAGGGGCACTGGTGGCCACTATGTTAAATAGAGCGGTAGGAATGATAGCATTCGTAATGCTTTCATCTTTCAAAAAAGTGGCAAAGGATAGCGGGTCCTTGATGGCGGACTTTGGCACGTGTACTACCGTAGCTCCGGAAAGTAAAGTAACCCATATCTCGAACAAAGACAGGTCAAAGCCTGGGTTGTTCAACTGTCCAACTCGATCACCAGGCTTGATGTCAATCGGGGATGAGGTAGCCAGATGAATCAAGGCGGCGGAAGAAACTTGAACAGCTTTAGGCTTTCCCGATGAACCTGACGTATGAAGAAGATGGCTTCTGTGATCTTCAGGCATGTCAGATCTCACTGTAATTTCTCCTTGTATGTCCACTTTTTGATCAGACTCCAAAAGGGACTCAATTGACAGTACCTCAAACTGAGACACCCTGGCCGAAAGATCAGTGGTTGTAAGGACAAATCGCACATCCAAGTCGGACAGCATGGCCCTGAGTTGGATGTCAGGCACAGATGGATCAATGGGAGTACAACTTCCAGCTGCTCTCAAGACTGCGACTTGGGAGACAACTTGTTGCCAACCTGGGCCAAGGACAATTCCCACCGGCTCTTGAATGCCCAGTCCTTTCTCAGCCAATTTCTCAGCTATGATGTCGGCAACAGAGATGAGATTGCAAAACGATAATCGCTGGTCTCCATCGATAATAGCTAGAGAGTCGCGGGCTTCATTGGCTCGGTTGCACAATAGACGTTCCATCTTGACTTGGTCACAATATGTTCTGGATCTTCTTGATAATGGAGTAGAACAGTCGATACTGTTTGATTGTGAAGTAGAGATAGTGAGTTATTCAATGCAACAAGGAGTCGTTCTTGCGGTTATTTATAAGATTGGTCAGTAGCGCAAGGACCTCAGATATGTTGGCGTCATTAGACATGCTGGGAAGAGGGCCATCTGCAGCACGACTAAAGAATATCACAAATCGACAAAAGACTACAGCCTTCCTGATAAAAACAAGTTTGAGGGTCATCTATGACCTGAAATGCTTCCGACCTAGAGGCTGAAGGGTATGTGATTTGTTCGCATTCTACGCGACCCTCCACCAGTTCGTTGCCCTTTCTATATGCGGACATTTGCCTTCGATCTCGTAAACTTCTAATATAGTTCGTCTAGAACGGGTATATATTCTCCGATCTCCTATGCAGACCTCTTAATAAAGCAAGAGTGATCGCCGGATGACAGGTTATGGGATCAGACAAAGGTTATTAGTAATACTATACGAGACTTTCAGTTAGCGCATCTGGCGCATCTGTGATTATTGTTTCAGGCAAGCACGAAATGGAATTATACTTTTCGGAAATCAGGGCACAAGTATGTTTCCTGGCCGAAGGGTGATAAAAGGTGCTTCCTGAGGTTTAAGGTCAACCTGCAAAGGTAATAGTGGGGACTATCCGAAAAAAATCTGTGATATTTGGAAATTATGTAAATTTTGAGCTTATGGTTAGAAAAATAATATCTCGGCTATATACTACACGAGAAAATGTACAGCTAGAGTACGTCGAGCATACGTAGTAGCCTTGATCATTCGTTCACGAACATGATGATTCGGCTGCGTCCGACAATCCTCTCAGAGTTCCATTTTAGGAGCCGTGCAGCGCCAATTCGTCAGACAGCTGTGACCTTGGACTGTCAGATAAGGATTTGCACGGAGGCATCTTGGCTGAGAAGATGATTGCGTCAGAATCACGGACCTATATACTCTTCTGGCGTGGGAAGGGGGGTGGTAAAATTCCATCCATATGGTTGTCCAGAGCGTATGCGGCACATGAGATTGAGATAATTGAAGATACTCAAAGCATTTCAAAGCCTGTTTCTCAGGTAAAAGAGCTTGGCCGACTCTTTGTTTCCTTGGTTTGAGGCTAGAAAATGCATGTAAAATGATAGCCCTCCCTGACGCGACATTTGATTTCACTGTGGTTTTCCGGTACTCCTACTCTGAATCTCATTCGGAGACCATGCATTCACAGATGATGTCGGTTATGCTGTTCTAAAATTTGTTCTTTAAAGGTGAAACCAACCGCAAATTGGCATCAGAACGAGTTTTCAAACTATAGCTACACAGTTATGGGTTAATTTGTGCTTCTGCTCTATGTGCGGACTTGACCTACAGCCACTGCAGGACCACTCAGATGTACATCATCTTAATATCTAGAGACGCAGAGAGTCAACGCATAATCATATCACGGCATTTATGGCGCTACAGTAAATGAAAGTTCGGCCTTCTTGAAATTTAACCCTTTCACTGCTTCTTAGTGTTTGTTCGGGTACCAGTCTATTGTTACCTTAATCTGAAGAACCTAAGCTCCCTTCATCTTTACCTCTTCCTATCACTCTTACCTCTTCCTATTACCCTGTTACCGGCCGTAGAATCAATTTTAGTCTAAATAGCTGAAGGCTTATGATATAATAACAATTCAGGTGTCTTCCAAGGCTGCAAAAGAATGTTGAGGACTTGGGTAACACAATGTTAGGCGTTCTTCACTCCGTTCACGGACTGCGCGGTCCGTCCCGGGAGCCCCGCATGCCCGACACTCTGCGTCTAGCTAGCAATCACTATCATGAAACTGAGAAGGGAGAGGGAGGGGGGGCAGACCTTGAATTCTCAAAGCTAATGGACATGCTAATGTTACACAGTGTGCTAGCTGTGATGCAGAAAATGCTACGACCAGGTTTGTCCCCAGCCACTAGGAATCTCTTCCGCACCACACCTACACCGCTGTGTACATACGTCTGCAGTACCACCATTGTGACGTGTTTGGCGGTGTATTTATCTGGTTGGTTGATGAACAGTGCCTTTTTCCTTGCCCACCAGGCTTGCTAATTTCAGCGAGAAGTGAACAGTGAACAAGCCCCCTGCATTCTCTTGAATCTTACCCCACAACCACAAAGTCCAACTGAAAAGCCAAGAAAACGGCAGTCAGGTAGAAATTTTCGACATGAGCTTTTGAGAGGCATTTGGAAACGTTTTCGTCGCAAAATCAGGAAGTCGCAGAATGTAGAAGCCCAATTCAGCCCACAACCAAGTCAAACCCAAGCTCATACAGAACGCATGTTTGTTACCCCAGCATCATCAGCCCTGGCTATCCAGACTAGCATATGCCAGTCTCATGCCACCGAGTCAAACCAATATCCGCAACTAGCACCCTTTGGGCCAACATGGCCAAATTAGAAGAATCGTCGTGCGGGGGTAATAGGAACAGTTTCCGGGCGAGCTTGTCTGTCAATGTAAGCTCAAAAAGGAGTATGGCATAATATGCGTATATGGGCTTATACTACCAAGGCGAGCCAATAATATACGAACAACGCTGGTTGGTCCAAAAAGTGATAAGGAACGTGGTGAACAGATAGCAAGTCACATTTTCTCTGCCTAGATCTTCCGATAACCAGATGAAAGGAGCGAGCATGGGCAAATTACTTGGAGTCAACTGGTCTATTCGGAGCGATCTGCATTGTAGCCAAAAACCCCCACCAAAAGGGTACCTGGCATGATTGCCAGTCACGCCGAGATCGCCGAGATCGCCGAGTCACTCATACAGCCACCTGAATGCATACTGTGCGGATGATGGCGATGCGCCGCGTCTAGCTCGAGTTTATCACAAAGTTGTGTCACATAACTAACCCTCATTAAGTAGCTCTTCCTCCCAGTACCTAATAAATAAACGAACGTCAGTACGCTTGGCCTATTGTCTACCGTCAGAGATTACAGATCTCTAGGGATCCTGCAGCAACCAGGTTTCCGGTCCTAAATCTCGGGTTTTCGGTCCTTTCTCTCGGTGTTTAGATCCTTTCTCGGGTTTCCGGTCCTATCTTTCGGGCTACTTGTTTTTACCTCGCTTCCGGACAATCCTGAGCATATCTTACTGGTACACGAGAACAAGTAAGCCGATTTTATCAATCAATTGTCGATCAATTATACTTGCCTGCCTGTAAATCCTGTATCTAAAGGTCTAATTCTTTGGCTAAGTTGTATAAGCCTGTTACCTTTTTACTTCTCTATTTATTGATGATCTAATCTCCTAAGAAGCCCCTTCTTCTTGAAGTAAATCTTACTTGTTTTATACATCGCCTTCGGATGCGTAGGGATCTTTCGGAGCATATCTCTCTTATATTCCTAATCTGATTGGGCAAAATACATTGGGTGGACATGCATAATCTTGGCGTGAGGCTATCTACGTATACAATAGTAGCTATAGGCCATGGCTATGGTATTTTTGGAGGCTCCCTGGGTTCCGATCTGACTCGACGCTTGAAGTGAAAACACCAAGCTTATCTAAGGCGTGCTAATTTAAGGCGTGCTATACAAGGGCCACGCAATCCGCCCTATACATTCAGTGTGGTTTAAGGCGCCCTGTCTGAGTTCTACGTAATGCGCCTTATTATTAGCTCAGTATGAGTAAATAAGAAAGACACAAGATATTAAATCAAGAAGAATAGTGATGAGTGAATGGAACATAAATGGCGAGCACAGCCAAGAAAAGAAGGAATGGAAAGTGTGCTATTCTCGGAATTCCACGATTATTCACCCCCAAACTTCGGAAGCTCAAAGATTATTTTGCCATATTGGCCTTTATTCAGACATCGAATACCACGGCAGCGGTGCTTTGCCTTCAAAATGGAGGCCAAGAAGCCATTTAGCTTCGTGTATGGACCTATTTCCGTTTTTTTAACCGTCCAGCACTAACCCGCGCAGGCAAAAGTCCATCTCTGCTGTTCTAGCAGAAACGTCAATAACCAAAGCGCTACTCGGAGACAACTTAACAGCGCACTGTGGCATTGCACTTACATCTTTCTCCACTCGTCTATACTACTTGAGCGTCGTGCCTGAACAGTTCAAGTCTCTGTTTCCAGATATGGTCCTCGCAATAATCGCGTTCGCCTATACATTCGACATAGCAAATCAAGCCTTTTCCGTTGATGAGGACTTGATCAACAAACCGCACAGGCCCATCCCATCAGGTCAAATGAGCCAAGAGGGCGCATACATCCGTTGGGCACTAAGTTGGTTACTGTTTCCCACCATAATATATGTGAATGTTGGCCCTATCGCTGCGACATCACTGCTCTCATGGGAGGCATGGACGTTCCTATTCTACGTGTGGCCGAAATTTGACAACTGGATTGCTCGGAATGCCTTTACAGCTGTTGGAGCTGTCATCCAGCTGCGTCTTATAGATGCTGTGCTCGCTCATCATGTGCCCACTTTCGCAAATAGTAGCTCTTTGGGCTATGTGATCTTCTCTTGGCTATTTATGACCATTCATGTCCAGGAGTTCCATGATATCGAGGGCGATAGAAAGGCAGGGCGCCAGACATTGCCGCTGCTTCTAAGTTCTCGTGGACAAATTTGGCTACGAGTCGGGACGGCCATCGTGATGATTACGGCTGCACTGGCGAGGGTCACTTTGACTGGGCACCATTGCTCATCGATGCATTCGGTGTGTTTTCTTGGACTCTGCCTTCTACTCTCGACGTCGGTTTTGTCTGTGCGACTAGTTGGGCTCCGTCATAAGGAAGCCGATAAGATCACTTACAAATACTTTTATTTCCTAGCAACATATCTCATGTTGTTTTTCCATGCACATGTTGAAGCGAGGAGTGGCTGAGTCCAATTGGGGTTTACAACTCATGGCCTCCAAATTATCTGTACTTTGCCGGTCCGTGATCTCAGCACTGAGGAGCCGAGAAAACAAAATAATGTAAATCCTGTATAGGCTGAAAGTGCCGTTTCAAATTTTATCAATTCCATTCCATCTGCCAAAGAACAAAAGCCCCTCTAATAACGTCATGTCATTTACATTATACTAAGTGTACGGAAGACCCGAATTCACCATCTCTCCACCAAATCACGAAAGCAAGCTACAAAGCACCAGCATTGGTCTGGATTAGCCGACCGGCGTGACCCACATCCAACGAGCAGTCGCGGCCCGCGATAAATCAGCGATAAGAACAGAATAGATTGATGTGGGGCGGAGTATGCTTGTCCCGCCATTGTCATTGAGAATCTCTCCCCTTCTTAACCAACGCATTTCCGCCATTGACAGAAAGCCCAGCTAGAAGTTTGGTTCCTCAAGCTCTTGTGCCACAAAAGCTGTATTCTACTGAGATACAGACGTTGCGGAACAGCTTCAGCACCTCGTCATGGCAAACACGGCAACAGAGACGCCAAAGCGTCCTAACTTCCTATTCATGCTTGCAGATGACCTTGTACATTCAATTCCTCTTCCAAACGCTATCAACACAATTTACTGACCATGTGTACTTTAGGGCTTCTCCGATATTGGATGCTTTGGTAGTGAAATCCAAACACCAAACATTGATCGTCTAGCCGCAGATGGAATCCGCATGCTGAACCACCACACTGCGGCCGCGTGCTCGCCTACCCGCGCTATGCTTATGAGTGGGACAGACGCACACCTTGGTGGCCTTGGCTGCCTAATTGAATCCCGGGCCAGTCCCAAGGGTGGAAAGCGGTGGAATGGTAAGGCGGGGTATGAAGGATATCTGAATAACGATGTTGCAACTCTGCCTGAGATTCTTGGGGATAATGGGTACTTCACGGCCATCTCTGGAAAGGTATGACACCACTTACGGATTTGGTTCAAGAGCTCAATTGAGTGGATGCTAATAGAACATAGTGGCATCTGGGTCTGCGGGCTAGTCAGGGCCCCTCGGAACGTGGTTTCCAGAAGGCGTTTGCTATGCTTCCAGGATGCTGTAGTCATTATGCGTGGGAGCCTGTTCAGGAACGGTTCCCGATGGGTGGGTCGCCGGTCCACACTGAGGGTGGTGTCAAGTTTGATGTGTGAGTAAAATCAAGAAGCTCGTTCTTCATATTGGGGTTCTAACGAAAATCAGGCCACCAAACACAAATGAAGACCCGGAAGGGTTCTACTCGTCTGATTTTTACACTGACCGGCTGATTGAATATCTCGATACCCGATCTGAGGCCGATGAATCGAAGCCTTTTTTCGCTTTCCTGCCGTATACAGCTCCACACTGGCCGTTGCAGTGCTCCAAAGCCCAGCGTGACAAGTACGGTTCACCCCCGAATACTTGATAAGCTCTTTGAGACTAACTCTTGCTTAGATACAAGGGCATGTATGACGATGGCCCATATGCGCTCCGCGAGCGCCGGCTTAAAAAGCTTGCTGAGATTGGCATTATCGATGAGTCTGTTATTCCCCATAGGATGGAGACTACGACACAAGGCTCAAGCGAGTGGGAGGAGTTTACACCAGAAGAGAAGAGGTGCTCTAGTCGGTCTATGGAAGCTTACGCTGGTATGGTGGACTCGATGGATTACAACGTCGGCAAGGTTATTGCGCATTTGAAGAAGGCTGGGGAGTACGATAACACTTTTATTGTGTTCATGAGTGATAATGGAGCAGAGGGTGCAGCGTATGCGTCTCCCATCTGATTGTTGAGTATATTTGCTAACGGATTACTATAGATTGGAAGCAAGACGTGAGTCAAGACAGCATTAACACCCAGATCCTCAGACTAATCATTTGCAGCTGTTATGGGCGATAACATCAAGGCCGCCATTCACAAGTATTACGATAACTCATACGAGAACATCGGTAATTACAACTCATTCACCTGGTACGTACGCATCTCCCAGAGAAACCAACACACAAATCTAACCTGACCAGGCTCGGACCTCTCTGGGCTCAGGCCTCAACCGCTCCATCACGCCTATTCAAAGGATTCCCCTCCCAAGGCGGAATTCTAGTCCCCTGCGTCGTGAAGCCACCAAAAGACACCTTCCTCCCATACACCCCAGGTTCCTTCAACCGCTCCTTCAGCACAGTGATGGACTGGTCCCCAACATTCCTCGAGCTTGCAGGCATTAACCTCCCGCCATCCTTCTCAAAAGAAAAGCTAAGAGGCCACGAAAAGACAACAGTGGTCCAAAAGATGACCAAGTTCCGCGGCAAGGACGTCCACGCCATTCGAGGAAAATCTTGGGTCCCATTCTTCGCTCGAGGACAGAAAGCCGAAGACGAGGAATTGTGGCATATTCATTCATCTTCTGAACCTATCGGGTGGGAACTATTCGCCCGCGCAGCTATGCGCAAGGGCGATTGGAAGATTGTTCATATTGCAAAGGCAAATGGTGGTGTTGGGAAGGATAATGGTGATGGGTGGGAATTGTTTAATGTTGTTGAGGATCCTGGTGAGACTAAGGACCTAGCTGCGGCTCATCCCGAGAAATATGCGGAGCTTTTGGCTTGTTGGGAGGAGTATGTGAATGAGTGTGGGATTGTGTGGGGTGAGAATGCTATGGATCCTGGGTTGTCAATTGAGGATGCGCCTGAGCTTTGGGAGGATGAGGTGGAGTTGCAGAAGTGTTGGCTTGGTGCTAAGGCTGGAGAGCGTGTAGAGTAGATTTTCTCAGGTTTGAGAATATTCATTTTGTGAAAATCTGAACAATATTCCATGGTCTCATGATATCAATTCTATACAGTTTTGGGAGCCATGGTCTGGTGGTGGCTATGGGTATCAAGTATTCGACCTTCCACTTCATCGGTATTGGACAAGCGGGTGACCCTAGATTCCAGGGGGCGCGTGAGATGACATATTCAAGAGCGCTTGACATGCGACTCAAATTGCATGCAAATACCGGATCGATCTCTGCGTCAGTTGGCCTGACTCGTAGATTCAGGCATCCGCAAGTCAGCCTGCGCCTCACTGAGTACAACAGGACATAGCGGCATTTTGTTGGCCTTTGGCGCATCCAGGTGTTCAAATGTCGCGACCGGTAGTTGAATGCGAATAATCGCGTTTTCGACTTTGCACGAATCGCTTTGGACTTTGGTGGTCATTCAGTAGGTTTCTTGAGTCGTTGTCGATATCCGATGGCATCATGATCAACATGATCGGCGATCCAGATAACGGGTATCGTGTTGATATCAGTGTTGCGGAATCGCCCATCACACATAAGCTCTAACATCCTTGCAAGATACAAGACTCAGCAACTGAGTTGCGACGAACAGTGAAAGGCCCAGAAGATAGCACACAAGACCGATCTGAAAGACGACTCTTTGAGCCTTGGTAAACTTGGAATATTGGCGCAAGCCTATACCGAAGTAGACAAGGCCGGTACCCACGACAGCCACAGTGGGTGCCATTTCCTTCCAGACAATGTCCAGCATGTTGGCGAGCGATGAAGTCAAGAAAAATGAGCTACTTCGATATGAGCATGGGAGTTTGCCGGGTTGTCCGGGTTCGGTTGAATCCTACCGTTGTAAGTGGGGCGTAGGGCGGATGGGGCCACTGAAGATCGTTGAAGATCACGATCAACAATAAAAACGCGTGAAGACTGGGGTTTTGTAGATGAAATGCAATAGAAAGCAAATACGGAGTAGATTGAAGAGAAACAGATTGAAAAGAAGAGAAGAAATTACCGCCGGGTGAAAGAGCTTTAGTATGAACGACCGCGTATGCCAGTGGGGCTTCCACGTGTACCGCATCCCGTCATCCCGTTCGTCAGTTCCCGAAGGTTAAGTTATGGTTAGTAGTACCGACCAACAAACCAATACTTAAGCATAAGACTCCCGTTAAGACCCTGATCTGATTAACGTCCCGTCTGTTCAGGGGTAAAACTAAATCTAAATTGAATCTACTCAATCTTGGAAAAGCACATAATTAATTGAAATGAATTTAAAAAATGTATAGACCTCGGGAACTGCTTATATTTGCCCAAAATATCATATCCGTGTTCGCCGCGCTCGTAGCTTCAAAATATTTTCTCAAGAAATTAAGAGCCTCAAGCTCTGGAGTCAAACTAATCATTTCAATATCCATATTGTGTCATCGAGTGAGGCACACTGGGCCAGTACGCCGTGTTCTTCTCTGTAGGCGCAAATGGCTGTGCATAATATCCAGACATGGGATGAGGGTGAGCATGAGGATCCGGCATCTGTTGTTTGATGACTGGCGATTCATGCGGGATCATGTTTGGTGCCATGCCGATGGGGTAGGCGCCGTACCCTGTAGTCGGGCTGTGGGGTCCACTTGACTCGCTGCAGCTGGTTGCGGGAGATAATGGGACGACTTGATGGCTTGGGAGGGTGTACTGGTCGGCGGTCTCCAGTAGAGGACCCTGGTCTTCGTCATCTTGCTCATCATCTTCTGTGTCGAATGATGTGCTAGGGGCGGAGTGAACGCGAGCTGCGGGGTCGGTCGCTTGGTAGTTTGCTTCGGGGAGGTGAGTGTGAATCACTTGGACTAGTGTGCTTGCATCTGGGGAGGGTTAATTGAGGTGGCTCTTGATGACTTTGAAGATTTAGAGACGTACCGATCTTCCCGTCGAGGTATCGCTCTTCCATCTGTCGCACGAAATAAATCTCATCGAGAACCTGTAGGCGGTTTGCTGGGCTGATTTGGCGTCGCACGTCCTGGCCTGCTTCTCGCAACTTCTCTGCTGTGACTCCGTGGCTGTCTTTAAGTTCACAAAGAATGTGAACCAGGAGCTTGAGTCGGTCTGGTTTTTTGTTAGTATGAAATTACTACTGTGTAACATTCGGATAGGTTGATCTTTACCTCGCTTCAACAGGTGATCCGGCTCTTTGTGCTGTACGTCCTGGGGCCACCACCCAGGCTTAGTGAGTTCAGGGTTAACGCGCTGCGATACGCCTGCAATGACCTTCCGTCCATTGTATGGGAAATGAACCTGTTTCCGAGGTTCCACGAGTTTAATGTACGACTTGGCGATAGCCCGGCAGTTTAATTGTTGAAAGTCCTCAAATGCCTTCTCATAGTACCGTCGCAAAAGATCCGCATTGTCGACACGGAGTACACTTCGTCCGGGTGGGGGCGTTGGTGGTGGTGTCGCAGATTTGGGTCGAGGTCGGACCATGCCAATCCGTTTCATGTCTCGTCGTTTCCGTCGGCTTTGCTGTGATTGCCATTCACAGGGTATTTTTTCAGGAGATCCGGTGTGGCTGGGTAACCCCCATTGTAAGTCTGATTGCATACCCCACGGCGAGTGAGGAAGTGATGCCTGGTCTAAATGTTCCAAAGGTTAATTGAGGTGATTTCCTAGCGGGCTGATTTGGGTCTTCTACTTACTAGGATACTGCAGGGATTGGCTAATTGGGGATGTCATCTCCATGAAGCGGTTTTTTACGTCCGGTGTGAATATAGCTCCCCCACAGCCCGCAATTGAGGGGGACGCCATGACTTGAGGGTTGCCATCCTGGTCAAGGAAGATAACGGCGAAGTGTTTGTGCGGGAGTTCCACGTTGTTCGACATGCTAGAGACAGCCTAAGCATGATATGAGTCAAAAAATCCAATCACTTGCGCAAGGGCGATTCAATTACCATATGGGAGTGTGATACCGATGTGTCGGAATGCCTGCGTTCAAGGGCTTCCCCAACCCCTAGATGTGACCGACTCATATCCATAGCATAAATAGGAGGATGTGTCACAGTAGATCGTTTTCTTTAACCAAAAAGTAATCCTTGAGTCCAGACACAAAAGCAGAGTCAAGACCGATGTGAAGGATAGAAATGGAATACGTGGGACTCGGTCCTGAGGTAAATGAAATTTACTAGCAAACCTGCAGCAGATGAAATAAAGAACACGGCCAGCTGCTTGACGGATATAGAATCCTGGACCACTAGGAAAGGCAGCCGACGGCAATAGATATAGACATCGGTGTTCCCTGAAGATACGTCAGCACCAAGCTGCAAGGAAAAAGGAATATCTGCGGAGCTGAACCGGTGGCAATGGAGCGTTCCATTCGATCTCTGTGGTCCTGCAGCTCACGATCGGATCATCGGTGCACAGGGCCCTTCAGATGGGTCCAGTGGGTTCCAGGCCGAGCGCACAGACGCCTTAGTAGGGCTGTTTTATGAAGGAGTTCATTGGTCGCGTCTAACACCCGATTACATGGCTTGAAAGTCAACAACTCAACTGAGTATCCACCCTTGTTGATCTTCTACGCTTGGGGCCACTAGCCACAGAGAAAGTCGAAAGGTAAAGTATAGTTTTGAAGTATGGTTTTGAACTATAGTTTTTGCACTTTTTCCTTTCTTTGTGCGACAATTGAATTAGACCTTTCGCGAGAAGCTTTCAGGGGGCATCTGGTTTGACAGAAGCAAGTTCATGCCGAAAATCGGCGATTACCCTATCATCGTGCGAGAAAAAGGTCAGCCTCATCGGTGGACGAATGATACGGCATGATCGGCGATCAGACCCTAGGCCAAAGCTTTCAGCCACACTTTCTGGATCCCAAAAGGCAGCGGGTCGGGACGCCATTGAAGTCATCGTCTGCAAAGTTATGTGGAAGCGCTGACAGAGCATCCTGGCTTACACAGTACCCATAGTAGACCCGGGAAGATCTTCCCTCTTCCGATCGTGATGCATTTTACAGCGCATCTAGCCACTCTATTTTCCTCTCTATTGTGGACCTAATATTTGAATCGAAGCCAGAGGAAAGCGCTACGAGCCTCGGTCCAATTCAAGGGGTCCAAGCGATTACGAATTAGACCACCCATTGGCGATGTAAACAGACCATCGAATCTTGAGCTTATTCAGACTCCCGGGAGAGCACTTCCGGTCTCTATGACCTTGGGTTTAACGCGCAATGCGAATTACACTTTGCGATCATTGATTCCTGGGACTTTTGTCTGCTCCAGGTCATGCCCATCTATTTTCTTTTTTTTTTTTTTTTTCACTATCATGCCATTGTGACAAATGACAAATATGTCGAAGCACTACTGTACGTTCACATTTGCATCTCTCTTTCCAAAGTAGGTAATGACTTTCGCCTTGTGGGCCAGTTGACATGGAATGGGATCTCGAGCCCGAGCAAAGGCCGACACTAACTGCATCGGCGGAAGACTAGTAGCGAATTTGCCCATTTAAATCAATTCCATATCTCCGGATCGACATCGTTTAGTCCATCGTAAATCGGCCAACGAATTCCAGGTTAGGTGCCATCGGCGATGTACTCCACCATGCCCAAACACTTGTCAACACCTGTGGCCACTCAACCACGGCGGCTTGCAGTAGTGGCAGCGTCTCCTGTATAAACCCGGCCTCCCCCAACATATTTCTTTTTTTCTATTGTTTTTCTTATTCGTAGTTCCTTGTTTCATACACGAAACTATCCCCCGCTAGACTAGTTTCGTGAAACTCCGGAGAAAGCACCCGTGGGGCCTATGATTGGTTCGTTTAACCCAGTTGGGAACGCGACTATTGCTTTTTTCCTTTACGATCAGACCGCTCGTATTAACGCTAAAAAGGATAAATTGATATCGAATCTGCGTAATGAAAGCCCCACACTCTGGCTGTAATATTGTGGACCGATAAATCCAGGGCTAGATTAGAAAACCAAATTAACTTCCGGGGAACTGTGAACAGTAGATCGATAAACCCAACAACCCTTGGCGTGAACTTAGAAACACCACTAGGCACTTTTTCTCAAGGTCTCCTGATCTTCGAGCCGCATTGACCTCAACAAATCTTCGAATGAGTGGCGTATGCGCTGCCCCCTTGCCTCTGCTATGTTCTTTGTACAACACCTGACGCTGTAATTGGGATCGGACCATACATGTACCGCTCACGCCATTGCATGAATGCATTATCACCGCCGTTAGAAATTTAATTAACAAGTACAGTAAGTCCAGCAAGTACAGGACAAAAGTACCGTTCCGACTCGCTAATGCGTAAACCCCGTCCAGTGCATTGTGTTACCTCTGTTAACTTCGTGCAGGACAAATTCCTGTTACCAGGTTATTGATGCATTAGCCCGGCATTGGGGCGCTCCACATTGCAGATGGCTTGGGCTTTGCAAGGCGTTAATACCTTAGTTTGGAAGTAATCCTGCCATTATATCCTCGCTTCCAAATGTCGGATTGTCGTGACTCGTGAGGCTGAAGCGGTGACGCTGGAATGCAGCGGCTCTGCACATTGTAAAGAGGGGGGGGAAAAAATTGAAATTGCAATTGCATTAGAAGTCATGCTGCGGCATTTTTGGTTTCCCATCAATTCTCTTCCCATTTCCATTTGGATTGTCTAAACTCGAATAGAAACTATATGCATTGGATAAGTTGAGAAGATCAATGGCGATCATTCAATATCATGATTGCCTAAAATCCTTCATCCCTTCACGAGCCGAGACTACTGCAGGTTCCACACTTCTCTATATTTGGCGTCAACGCAGACTCGCAAAGCCCGGCTGCAAATCCCGGCCATAGGATGATCAGCAATTACTCGAACAATCCCTACATTCCCATCAGCCAAAAGTTCCAAATTCCTAACTTGTATGGACACAGATCGTTCCTGCCCTGATTTCCCTCGCCAAAATAGGCCCCAAATCTGACCTTACCCCCTCGGCGGATCGGACCCACTACAGGTTCAAGATAGCACCGCTCGAATATGGAAGCTTAAGCTCCACTACCCCCGAATTGGCATCCACAGACACCGTCTCACCCACTGTGATATTGCTCAAACGTACGGGCGCACCGCCCTTCAACTCGTAATTGTATGACCAGCCATCCCAGGATATGCCGGTGATCGCGTCACTTCCATTGGCCATGAGTCGGTGGACAGTCAAAGATTTAGCGGAGATGTCGGGCAAATGGAACGAATAGCTCGCCGTAGGGCGGGTTGCCGAGGCTGAAGCTCCTGTATAATTGTACTCCTGCATGTTCAGTACGGCGATCCGGGCGACCTTTCCACCGATATAGGTGGCATAGGCGGCTTCGGTGTCCTTTGGTAGAGGAAGATTCACGACTCGGATATCGTCCGAGTTGTCATGATCGCCGTCGCCACCTAACATTGCGGCAACCATTATGTTTCCGTAGTATGGTGCTTTGGTACCGATCGTTGTCTTGTTGGTGGCAATTGGTTGCCATGATGCATATCGATAGTCTGTCCCTTGGTGCATGTGTGTTCGTCGGATACTCTGTGATGCACAATAGAGATTGAAGTCGACGCCCCAAAGGGCTGCGCCGAATGAGTTGGATAATCCGGGCTTGCCCTCATTATAGAGGGAGTTCATCTCACCCAGGATGTAAGGAATATCCTTGGCTAGGCCGTCTTCACTGAGAGTCTTTGATAGATCCACATGTTGCTGGACGCTGTTGACCGTTGACGTATGGTTCATCAGAGTTCGTTGGAGCGTAACCCCTGGCTGGGTAGCGCCACCAATGTAGCTAGATCAAGGTCAGAAGACATGTCAGAAGTTTTTTAATAGTAAAACCTACTTATGCATAGAGTTCAACTTGATATCACGATCCGTGTCTAGTCCCTCCTGCCATGTCTTCACGGGGTCAAGACTATTTCCTATTCCAGCAAATGACGGTGCGATATACTGATACTCTGTATCCTTCGCCATATCAGGGCAAGCCTTCGCAATCTGGCGCTTGACAAGTCGGGTCTTGGATAGCCACTCCGTCACGTAATCACTTTCTGTCCAGTTTGCCGGCCGCTTAGTATCCGGTGCACTTGTCTTGAACAGATCAGGCTCATTGCCCATTTCCCAGTAGGCCAGCTTTCCGTCTTTGAGAGCCTTGCATGCTAGTGGAGCAGTAGCCAGCAGCGTCTCCATTCCTTCTGTGCCGTTTTTGCCCATGTCAAAGCCGAAACTGAATTTGGTGTCCGGCCATGTTGCATATGACTCAAAATAGGACGGTCCAATATACACGATAGATGGGTAGTCGGTAGAGATAGCGGGAACGACCGTACCATTGATTCCAGTTTTCAGGTTGGGGTCATATAAAGCAAAGTCTCTATGGCGGCGATTAGATAACCCGGGTAAGTTCATGAATAGATTAACTTACTGCGTGTTTCCGCCGACTCGAATATAAGGCTTGAAACCTTGGAGGTCGGCAAGATTATCTAGTAGCTGATTCGAGAACTTGTTTGGCAACGATAAGTTGCCTGGTGAGTAGCAGCTTAGCTTTTTATCTTCTGAGAAGTGCCACGATGTACATACCGGCAAAGTCCGGAAAGGATGCAAATTCAATCGAGAACGAGACAAATGGGCGCAGGACTGCGGCACCAGCATCCTTGGGTGCATTCTGGCTAATTGTCACAGCGGATGAGTTACCTCTCGCAACAGTAGTCGGGCTAGCGGCGACTACTGCAGCCCCAAAAAGCAGAGACACAAACATAGTGGTATGTATTTGTTATCGTCGTCTCGCTAAACTCAAGGACTTCAAATGATTGATTTGGTTTCCATCGGGTCTTGTCTGGGTTTATTTGTACTAATCACCCATTGCCGATGTCAACATGGGTAGATTAATGGTATTTAGCCGGCAGAAATCTTCAAAAGCCGCTTGTAACAGTAACAAGCTTTGGGCAGGGGGATATGACGTTAATTAAGGGGTTCATTGAGGGGTTCATTGGTGGGGAATTACCGGGGGAAACTCTTCAAGCGCATGTACCGGCTTGACAATGCGGGGGTTACATCTGGGGTAGTGGAGAGGACGATCGTTACTTCGTTCCTGCCAAAGTCGGCTTTTGACAGGATATTCATGCTTGAATGGTAAAGTGGTATATGATTGACAAATACTACAATGTTCAAAGTGTTGGGAATTGAAATAAAGGTCCGTAATTTCCACATAGAAAACTGGTATCAGTCAACGACTAGCTCATGAGCAATGAACACCTTCGCCAGCTAATCACCTAATAATAGTAAAGCCGGCATAAAATAATCTACACAAACGAAGAAAAAGCAACCAGATCATCGTAAAAGTCCTTCTTGATCCTCTGTCGAGGAATCAGGTGTATTTGCGGAGCTAGGAGAAACAAAAATTAGCTTCATTTTCAAGCTGGTCAAAGGGTGAAAAAGGAAACTCACATCAAGAGTTAGGGATTTACTGCTGTTCTCCACTTGATCTCTGTAGATTCCGACCAGTGCCTCACTGTTTTGGAAGAGTCCGGTCTTCAAACTGATAACGATGAATTGCATGCCAGGCGCAGCGTGGTCATGGATATAGTTGGCAATGCGGGCAACGTTGGTGTTGTCCAGAGCCGCGTCAACTTCGTCCAGCACGAAGAAAGGCGAGGGTTGGTATGAGTGAATCGCAAACAGCAGAGCAAGTGCGGCCATGGTCTTCTCACCACCAGACAAATGCTCCATATCACGGAAACGCTTCAGTGGAGGCATAGCATGGTATTTGATGCCATCGAGATATGGCTCATCCGAGTCCTCGATATCAAGATATCTGTAACAGAATCAGTCGGATTGAACAAGGAAAAGGATGAGTAAGACGGAACTTACGCTTGTCCGCCCAGCGGATAGTTGGCACTGCGTGTCAATTCACGGTAGATGGGGCCGATTTGCTCGGAAATGTGCGCAAAGGCCTTGTTAAAGAGGTCGGAACGCTTCTTCATCACTGCCTCAAACCCATCCTTCGCCTTTCGGGCCTGCTTGCGCGCATCCTCAAAGTCCTGCTCGGTGCTACGAAGCTTGTTCTCGACGGTCTCGAGGCGCTCCATGGCGCGGGTATTCGGTGCCATTTTGTCGAGCTCGTTGTTGAGAAGGCGAACCTTTTCTAGCAACTCTTCCTCGAGCTTATCATCGGCCTCCTGCAGATGGAATTAGCATGTAATCTCGTAGTGGTTTCAAGCCTGCACATACCTCTTTAAGTGTTTCTCCAAGAGAGTCAAAGTCGACCTCAATTCCGTAGTCCTGCACCGCCGGCGTTTCATCAAGTTCATCAGCGTCATCTACATCCATGGCATCTGGATCGGCAGCCTGCACCAATTCGTCGATGGGAAGTTTGTCGAAGGAGTTGGAAGAGTCGGTCAACGGAACGTCGATGTCCTCGAGCTTGCATCGGCGCAGGAGGGCATAACGACCGGACGAATTGCGCTGGATCTCAGCTTCAAGTGCATTAATATTTTTGAGCGCCGCTTCGACGTGCTTGCTGCGCTTCTGAAGTTCTCTTCGCTGCTCAGTCAGGTTCTCTGCTGACTGTGCGTAGATTTCCTTTTGCTTCTCGAGGTTCTCCCGCAATAGCTCAAGCTCGGCACCGAACTCATCCAGCCTGTTGCGGATCTCCTCCTGTTGACTCTTGAGCTCCTCAATCAGACTCATGTCACGCTCATACTGAGCCTGAAGACCGCTAACCCGATCCTCTGTCGCTTGAATTCGCTGCATTTCAAAGCTGAGCTGGTTCTCGATACGACTCTTCTGAGTAGTGAATTCGAGTTTCTTCTGTGCAGCTTCTTCCTGCAACGAACCTTGCTGCGCCTCATACTCACGGATATTGGCATATCCAAGACGGTTGCAGAAATTGCCGTAGATCTCATCTTCGACTTGACTAACTGAGGATTGAGAAACCTCAATAGTCTGGTCCAGCTCATCGAGATTCTCCTTCCGCTCAGTATATTTGGGACGCAGGTCTTCTAATTGGCGCTTGACAAAGTCCAGTTCGCTGCGCTTGCTCTTGATGTTTCTCTCAAGTGCCTTCAACTCTTCACGAGAATAGTTGAGTCGCTGCTCAAGACCAACAAGCTCGCCCTGCAGAGTCTCCTCTTCTGAGCCGCGGTGATGGCTCTTAGGGAGATTGCCAAGGTCGCCCATCAGCTTATCCTTTAGCTTATAAAGATTCTCCACTTCTGAGTCCTCCCAGCGTTTTGAATTCTGCTGGGGCCCTCGTCCACCGGTCATGAGACCGCCCTTATGAATGACGGTGCCATCCAAAGTGACAGCCTTGGCATCAACATTCCTCTCGTAGCAAAGATATTTGGCTGTTTCCAGATCGTCACAAACAATAGAGTTTCCACACGCATAGCTGATAGCACGAGAAACCCAGTCCTCGTAATCGATGGTCTCAATGGCTGGGCGCATATTCCGGTGCATTCCCTTCAAGTTAGAGTTAATAGGCTTCACCTGGATGGTTTCCAATGGCAGGAAAGTTGCTAGGCCAGCACGCTGGTCGCGAAGATGCTGGATGCATTCTTTGGCAGTTTTCTCATTGTCCACCACAATAGCATCAAAATGGCGGCCAAGCACGGTACTAACCGCCTCGGCATATTTACGCTGCTTAGGCTTGCAAAGGTCACTGACGCGCCCCTTGACACCGGGAAAGATACGCTTGAGAGTTGAGATCATCTCTTTGGCGCGCAGCTCACGCTCGTTCTGCTTCTTTCCATTGTCGGCTTCGAGCAACTTTCTCAGCACAACCTGCAGCTTTTCTTCAAGCTCTGTTCTCATTTGCGAGACTTTCAAGCGCTCAGATGTCAAAGTGTTGAGCTCCTTTTTCTTGCGGTCGATATCCTTGGACGTGGTCTTGTTTGTTTCAGTAAGAGATGCCTTGCGCTCATTCATATTCTGAGCATCCGACTCCAGGCTCTGAAGTTGCCACTCGGTGTTCTCGAATTTGCCTTTCAGGCTGTTGACAGCTTCAGCCTCTGTCTTTCTCTGTCTCTGCAGGTTGTCGAGATTCAGTTGGTCGGCGGACGAGCGTTTGCTGACCTCTTCGCGGAGCTTGTGGTATTCTTGCTGATCAGCTTCACTGAGCTGTACGCCCTGTTTGTTGGTTGTCTTTTTCCACTCAACCTCCCATTGAGCCTGGGCTTTCTCCACGAGCTTCAAGTCCTTCTCAAGCTTTTTTGCGCCGTTGGAGTAGGTCTCACGCTCCTTACGGATCTCATCGATTTTCGAAGCATACCGCTCAACCTTTTTCTGTGTGATATCAACCTTCTCATCGACAGGTACCAAGGAGTTATTGAGTTCCTCAATTTCCTTCTCCTTCTTCAGGATGCTCTTCTCGGCCTTGCCAACATCCCTACCAACACGGGCGTGCTCCTTCTTGGCATCCTCAACATTCGTCTCATACTTCTCGACGCCACGGCGGTATTCCTTAAGTTCATCCTGGTACTTCTGGATGTCGGCACTCGAATCGTCGATCAAGCGCTGGAAGTGGAAAAGCTTCCACAGAATGTGGGTAATAATGGCTTGGTCACGCTCCTCGGCCTTCCGGGCGTAATTTTCGGCTTCCCGCTTCTGCTCTTGGTACTGCTTGACCTCCGAATTGATGCCTCGTCGACGATTGAGTTGAACAGTCTGCTGATCAGCTGCTTCCTCCGCCTCCGCCTTCAACTTTTCGTAATCCGCCTTGTACTCCAAGCTGCCGGAAATTTGTTCAATCAGTCGGGTAAGGTCTCGTGGCGACTGGGATGCAATAGCCTCAACATCTCCCTGGAAGACGAGGAAGTTTCGCGCGCGAATCAAGATGTTCTCCTCCTCCAGAGCCTCGTTGTATTGCTGAGCAGTCACGATTTTGTTGTTGATGCGGTACTCGCTGGTGCCTTGACTTGTAATGGAGCGACGCCATTGCTGTTCTTCACCAGCATCGTCCTCGTAGCAAGCCATGACCCAGGCCGTCTTGGGGTCGTTCGGACCACCTGCATCCTGCGATGCATCCATGTCCTCGTCTTCCTCCTCCGCCTCGCCGTTCTCTCCGTTGGCGGGGGGCTCTCCATCGACCTTCGATGTGCGCAAAACGCGCCCACGGTAGACAAGGTCACGGAGGTTGGTGGATCGCAGGTGGGAAGACTTAATTCCTAGAACAAACGAGATGGCATCCATCCTGCTGCGGGTCAGCTAATTCCTCCGGGGGAAAAAAAAGTGGTAATGTAATTGCATACGAATTCGACTTACCGGACCCATTGGGTCCGATAATTGACGTGAAGTACGCATCTCCGAACAGCAGCGTATGATGTCCTTTGTAAGACTTGAAATCTGAAAGCAAAGTTAGCCGATCTGCGCGATACACCCTTTTGAGGCCGTACATACTGAAAAGCTCGAGGCGAATAAGTTTGCCCATGGTGCAAAGCAGCCGCTTCCTGAGGAAGCCACGCGCTTAGAATACTCAGGCGAATGTGGTGTGGTTGATGTCAAATCGCGGGACTGACTGGACACAAATGAGTGGGAGGGGCGCGATATGGGGAATCGCGCGTCAACCCCGACGCGCCGGTTTAGTCACGTGGCTTGTGTTCACTTTCTGCCCTTATCTACAGGTCGTCGCAGACATGTTTTATGGACATCTAAAGCTAAATTTAAAGCCTTTTGAAGACGACTAGACTTGGTTCTTATAACCAAAAGATTTCATAATCGAATCCAAAGCACATGGTGGTCTATGTATAGCTAATTTCCAATGGAATCATCGCATACCCGAACTATATATCGTAAGTGATCTGGGTACCCGCAATTGATACCTCAGGAGGTACTACAATAGGACATTGAAATTTTGAAGTATACAGTAACATAAGATGTTACTTTATTCATATAAACACAGATATGCAAAGATACGTAGGCACGAAAAGCAACACAGATGAACTGAATAGTCAGTTGTATGGTGATTGGTGTTACAGGGTGTATATGTACACTATGAAATTGTTCCCAACATCGAGGGACAAGCAACCAAGATAGGCTTAAATGCAAACATTGCAGAGGAGCCGAGTATTAAGACATGACAAGAAAAAAGAGCACTATGTTACCGCGAGCTCAAGACCTCTTGAACTGCACTGGGTTACCCAGAGCCATGAAATCATTTGACACAAACCCATTGGAATCCACCCGGAACGTTTGCTTGCGGCCCTCAACCTTCATGAGGATAAAATCTTCACCAGTGAAGATCTGGCGCATAGACATAAACATCTTCCAGATGCCAACACTCATGGTCTGAACGGGAGCTTTGAAGAAACCCGGCTGCGGATCCTGTGCCGAACCAATCTTCTTGCTATCCCCCTCAAACCGCTGTTTCGAATCCTGCGAGATTACTAACCGCCGGGAAATGGAAACTTCCGATGGCAAAACCTCAATTTGGTAAGGCTTTGTGAATGGAACCATGCGCCGCACCGAAAAACGAATATAAGTCTGGTTGTTAGACTTGACGGCGGTGATACTCCGAACTAAATGGCCCGTTCTGACGAGGAACAGTGTACCCATGACACTCATTGTCACACAAATACCACCAAACAGTCCTTTCTGCCACACAGGGCGCTCGATTTGAGCATCGCGAAAAACGTCGTTGGAGTTGAACAGTGCGTACGCGAAACAGAATGCCGAGAGACCGTATGCGCTCATGACATAGGTGCGGTGAGAAGGTGCCTTGAAGAGAACAACATCGCCTTCTCTTGCGACCTTAAGCGCAAGTCGTCCTATTGATCCAACTGGAACACTCGAGCCTGGGACGACGTTTCGTGAGGATGGTTTTGCTTGTCCGCGAGCTGATCGCGGAGCGCTCGTCACGAATGAGCGCCATGTAGGGGCAAAGTCTGCCTGGCAACTGTTTCGAGCTGAAGGCCCGGCAAACCTGTGCCAAAATAACCGGAAGGTAGGAGGTCTAGCGGCCATTATTGCGCGGAATCTGTTGATGCCAAGATCAGTACAACGCTTTCGTTAAGTAGCCATTTTCGTATAAGATAGCCGTATGACAAAAACCAATTCAATGGCAGTTCAACCAAGCCCGAATGGACCTCATTAAGCGAAGCAATCTTAGAAAAGATAGAGCACTTACCAAAAGATCGATCAGTCCACCGTTGTTCTCCTCGGAAAGCACCCGCGAGTCGAAAACAGCCGCTGCGGCAGAAAAATGTTCCCGACCCGGCCGCCGGTGAAGCTCCCAACGGCCTCAACACCGGCTTCATTTCCTTTCAATCCCTAAGCTCAACCTCTTAGACCAAACGAACCACATTATTTATTACGGGAATCAACGCGGCTAGACGCGCTGGTGGACTTTCGGTCGATTCTGTCCTTCTTCGTCGACATTCCAGCTCCTCCGGAGAGTTGCGACCTTGCTTGAACCATCTCCGACAGTCCAAGTAACGAAACGACCTCCCAAAGTCACCGCAACTCCTATCAAAATGTCCGCTCGAATTCCCGTCACCAAGGCCTCGGCCATGTTCGCCCGCCGCCAGCCACAGGTTATCCAAATCACCAAGCGTAAGTCCTTGCTCCAGGCCCAATGCGATCCGGAGCTCCGCAAAAGCAGAATATCCTTATCGGAGTTCAATTGCTCAAGAGCGCAGCTCTCACGCACCGGAAAATTGACATAACTGACCATGATAATGTTTATAGGCATGCAATCTACCTCCGCCCCTCAATTCCACAATCCCGCCTACCCTCTCTACCCCTCCGTCAGCCAGCTCCTGCACCAGAAGAACATCCCCGAGTCAGAAGTCTCCAAGATCCCCGCTTCCGGACCTAAGGGCCGTCTCCTGAAGGGTGATGTCCTCGCCTACATCGGTCAGATCGCCGCCGAGTACCCAGCCGCTCAAGCCGCCTCACTCGCCAAGCTGGCCCACCTCGACCTGAGCAACATCAAGATCGCTGCGCCGGTCTCTTCCCCCGCCGCGCAGGCCGCAGAGCAAGTCAAGGAGGAACCGGTTGTCGCTAAGCCCCCGCCCATGACCTCAATCGCAATCTCAGTTTCCCTTGCGGCCGTCCTGTCTGCTCAGAAGAAGATCCAGGATAACCTAGGGGTCACTGTCCCCCTCTCCAGATTCCTGGCTGTGGCTACTGATCTCGCCAACGATGATTTGCCTCGCGCGAAGAACTACACTCCCTCTGCTGATGAGCTGTTTGAGGAGGTCCTTGGTGCCGAGCCCGTTACTATCTCGCGTGGTGACTACATCCCTGAGTTGAATGCTTATGAGGCTGCTGAGGCATACCGCCCGTCAGCTCCTGTTGCGGAGGATATCATTGATATCCTGAGTGCCAAGCCTGGCAAGAAGAATTCTTCTGTGGCGCCTTCCGTTGAGGGCTCTGCTGGTGCTTCCAATGTCTTCAGCTTAGTTGTTCCGGTTGGTGAGGAGGTGCGCGCCAAGGCGTTCCTGGAGCGGATTAAGACCCTCCTGCAGGTCGAGCCTGCACGTCTAGTGCTTTAAAATGTGCTTTGATTGATATCACATCTCTTTGATCTTTAAGAGATTTTATATTTTATGTTTAACATCTCCATTGCGTTCTGGAGGACCCAAGGCTCTTGTATTTAGTATAGCATAGGTAATTTGATACCGCCTGGGTCAGATTTTAGTGAGTGGATTTCTACGTCTAGATATTGAATAGATTGGGTTCATTTACATTACACATGATCTACAAGTATACTCAGAAGTTGGGTCAATTCAATAATCAAGGTATAAAACCTTCATGATATTTCATCCTAAAATGGCAGAACCCCTGCGCCGGACCGATGGTATGGCATAACATTAGATCAAATCAAGAGTAAAGCTGAAAGGTGAATCTGTCGGGAAAAAGAAAAAGAGGAAAAACAGTGAGAAAGAAGGGGACATGTCATCATCAAAGGGCAAGTTGCAATAAGAAACAACCATCCTCCCTGACGCCAATGCCGGATACCGGCGACCTAGTTGAAACACCATGAGCGCCACCGCTTGGACTGATAAGGGAAAAAAGTTGCGCCGGAGAGAAAGAAACCGCAAGAAAGAATAGTGACCGGGGAGATGATGAAACGCCGTAAGAATGGATTCAGTGGGAACGAAAAGCTTGCCCACCGAGAAATCAGGATGAAGGATTCTTGCAAACCCCACCGATGAGAGAAGTTTTGGCCATAATGTGATAGAGGCCGATGCAGAAAATGTCCATGATCGAGATCAAATTTCCTTGATACCATGCAATGATGATCCCTAAGAATCAATGCCCAAGACCCAGAACTCCATGTCGCATGCAGATGAAAATGGAAAGGCAAGATTGAGAATACTAACGGATGGAGCCCCATTCCGATAGCTTGCTACCCTCGCGCCGCGAGTCTCTGGTAGCTCGTTTGTCGAAAATCTTCCAGAACCTGAGTGTCTCATCGCCAGCACCAGTCACGACTGTCTGACCGTCTGGGCTCATGGCAAGGTATAACACACGGAAAGTGTGACCCGTTAATGAGACAATTTGCTCCATGCGCGGATACTTCCAGATCACAATCTGATTCTGGCTGTATCCATGGGTGCTGATAATCTCGTCTGAGTTCTTGGACCAGGAAAGGTTACAGACCTGACTTCCAGTATCCATTTCCTTGATCAAAGAGCCGGTTGACGTGTTCCAGAATTTGATCGTGCGATCCGCTGTACCTCCACCCGATGCAAGTAGGTGGTGTTGATGAGGCGACCATGCAATGGCCTTCACAGCTGCACAGTGATCCGAAAATCGATAGAGCGGGGTCTCACTCAGCTTGTCCCACACCATCAATTTGTTGTCATTGCCACCAGATGCTAATTGGCCATCTTCGGTGTTCCACTTCAACCCGCAAACCTCCTGCTTGTGGCCAGACAAGCGCTTGATCCACTGATCGGGGGAGCGAACATCACGATGGTAGATAAGACGATCACGAGATCCTGAGGTGAGAATATGGTCATTCCATGCCAAAGCGCCGACCCGGTTGGTATGGCCAACCATCGTCCGTAATCGCCGGCAATGGTCAGCATCCCAGATCTGAACTAGGCCCTTGCCAGTACCAATGGCGAGATGAGTGCCCTGTAGGGAGTTATTGTTAGCCACGGCACATTACGAGATTATGGAGTTGAAATGCATATACACACCCTTTGGATCCAGTTAACACTGGTGACAGTGTCGTCCTTGAGCTCACAAAGTTTGGTCACACGGCCAGATTGAGAGTTCCACATGTACACCGAATTGGCGAGTCCAACTCCAAGAACATTACTGCTGCCCCAATCTACCAAATTCAGGTAAAAGTCGTCCTGTAAATCGGGCGCATCTAGGACCTTGTAGGGAACCTTATTCACATAACGAGGCTGCTTGCGCGGGGTCTCAAGGATCCGCTGGCTATCATATCGTATAGGTGATAGGCTATACAGATCAGAGCGGACATTAAGATTCGGTGCATGCGCACTTCGAGGAGTTTTTGAGGGTGTGGGGTGATTAGAGCCCGGGCGACTGGGACCGTAGTTGAAAAGGTTCTTGTGTGGAGTTGAAGGAGTCATGCTGGCGGGTGGGAGATTAGAGACAAGAGAAGGTGGTGTATGGGATCGAGTTTTGTCATTAATGCCGGCGTTAAATCCCATTAATGGATCTGGCGAGGCTGAGTTGAGGTCAGGTTGTGGAACGGTATTTCCAAATAGTTCACTGCGCAAGACCCGGGAGAAAGTCCGATTTGCTTCTTCCGCTACATGAATGTTAGTGCACACTTCTCAATCTACCAAGACAGAATCACAAACTCTTTTGAAAGTGAAGCTCTGAGTGAGGGGCACGTCTCTTCGACTTCGATGGAGTTGAAGGACATCCGTCCTCATGGAGCAGACTGTATGTGGCCTGGAGGTCTTGTCCCTCACGATTTGGAATAAAGCTTGGATAACAGTCAGTTCACTGTCATCTTTTGCGTCGTTCGCAATGAGTGCATTCTCTCGATGCCCTTGGCGCTTAACTTACCGATCTCCATAGACCCGTTGTCTCTTTCGACATGGACTAGCTCCTGGTGTTCTTTCTCTTCCAATTCCGCCCTCATCAAAATCTTTAAGTGCCTTGGCCAGCGCATTCGCATCCACTGGCTCTGATCCGTCCTGCGCTCGTGGCCCGCCGATGTTGTCTGGATACAATATCGTTCTTTTTACTGGCATAGAAGGCGGTGTTTTTGACCCGGGAGGAGAAACAATATTTGCAGCTCGAGCGTTTGAGGCTTGCGATCGGGTGTTGCCTGTTGTTGTTTTCCCAGCCCTCAGACCTGCGTCTGTATCCTGAGATCGGTCCCCCATAGTGGCGGCTGATCCACAGGCCCCAGGTTCAGATCGCGCTGAATGTTGACGGTGCTGATTATTCGCATGCGATGAAAGTATGATATTGCTGATTGATTGGAGTTCAAGAATGTGATGGGCGATGTTGCTATTTGAGGTGCGCTGGTTGCCGGGGCTTTGTGTTGATTTGTGATGAGGAAGCCAGATCCAGCCACTGAAATGGGCGCTTCGACACAGGAATCAACTTATTACCTTTGGACGACTTCAAACGAAACACAAAGATTCAAGTGTCAAAGGCCATCTAGACAAAGAGAATGGCATCCAAAGAAAGGGACTGGGATAAGCGTTGGAACGTATCCAAGGGCGAGTTCACTTCATCCCTCTCCCGGTCACGCGTCGGGAACGCTATACCCGATTGGGATGGTCTTGGAATTCGAGTTTGTTACATCGATTTATTAGTTGGAAATGGGAAACTATGTTTTAGCCCTTCTTTTATAGATCTAATCCTTTCATTCCATGGCTCCACTCAGATCGACGGTTACTTAGATTCAAATGTATGATCTACAAAGGTTCTATACAGATGATTTCAGTTTGGTCGGGAACAGGGTGTTGACTCAAACACGTTCCAGCCCCTCTTTCTGCACATCTGCACAGTCTCAGACTTGTTTACATTTACGCGTGTGATGGTGGATTCATTGGACTATGTCATAGGTTGAGAGTGGGGGGTTGAGGAGGATCAGACGCGAACCCGTGAAACCCATCAACGCGCTCCCACGCGCATCGGACGCGCTAGAGCAGTAAGCCACAGTAGGAGCTTACTCTACCAATCATTTGGTTCACCGGAGAATTAAGAGTCAAATCAATACATTCTTCAGCTCAAGTGGGTCGATCTGAATAACTAGATTTACTTATGAGTTACAAATTGTGTGTGCACTGTCTACATACTTCAATTGAGGTCTTATCTATCCCCGCAACATATGGTTCACCTGTCACCGCCAGCGGGAAAACCTTGCCCGCAGTTGGCACATCCCCACCACATCAACTCGAACTCGACTATGCGCTCCTCTGTCCTCCCTATTTTGAGTCGTAATATCCGATCTATTTCCACCATGGCTCAGATTTCCAAGGTTCCTGCCCAGCAGTTCCTGGACTTTGTCAATGCTTCTCCTACTCGTATGCTTTTCCTATTGAACCCTTAATGGTCGATCGTGGAGTTAACCGGGTCTAGCCTTCCACGCGGTGCAATCTGCCAAGGACCTTCTGGCCAAGGCTGGTTTCCAGGAAATCAAGGTACTCCATGTTCCCCACTGATCCAATCTATATAGTGGAATCACCGTTGAGACATGTGCGCTAATCCTGTCTATAGGAAAAAGATTCCTGGGCCTCTACTTGCAAGCCTGGCGGTCGCTACTACCTAACCCGTAACACCACCACTCTCATCGCTTTTGCGATCGGCCAGAAATGGAAGGTTTGTGTCAGAGTGCTCAGAGCATTGCGAATATAGCTAATGAGGACAATGTGAAAATAGCCGGGTAACTCGATCGCTATGATTGGTGCCCACACTGACTCCCCTGTCCTGAAGGTCAAGCCTGTCAGCAAGAAGCAAGGTGAAGGTTATATTCAAGTTGGTGTTGAGTGCTATGGTGGTGGCATCTGGCACACCTGTATGTATAATTCATTGATCTGCTGGGAAATTTGCTGACGATTGTAGGGTTCGACCGTGACTTGGGTGTGGCTGGTCGGGTCATGGTCCGCGACAGCAATGGATCCATTGTGCAGAAGCTGGTCAAGGTTGACCGTCCCAGTATGTACTATCAATCCAGGCATTGGGCGTTGGCTAATTTTTGGCAGTTCTTCGCATTCCCACTCTGGCTATTCATCTCGACCGCCAGGAGAATTTCTCTTTCAACAAGGAGACTCAGTTATTCCCCATTGCTGGCCTAATTGCGAAGGAGCTCAACCAGACCAGCGAATCCAATGCTGCTGAAACTAAGGAGGATGAGTACGCCCCCTTGAAGGCTGTGACCCAGCGTCACCACTCCCAGTTTGTCGAGCTCATCGCGGCCGAGGCTGGAGTCACCCCCGAGGACATTTTGGACTTTGAGATCACTCTCTTCGATACCCAGAAGTCCTGCCTGGGTGGCATGAGCGAGGAATTCATCTTCTCTCCCCGCTTGGACAACCTGAACAGCACTTACTGTGCTACTGCCGCTATCACCGAGTCAGCTCCCTCTGAGAAGGCACTTGAGAACGAGGAGGCCATCCGCCTGATTGCTCTGTTCGACCACGAGGAAATCGGTAGCCGCACTGCTCAGGGTGCGGACTCGAACATCCTCCCCTCTATCATTCGCCGTCTGTCGGTTCTTCCTTCTGCTACCTCCTCATCTGAAGATATCTCTACCGCTTACGAGCAGACTCTCGCCACTTCCTTCCTAGTCTCTGCCGACATGGCCCACGCCATCAACCCCAACTACGCTCAAAAGTACGAGTCTGACCACAAGCCCGAAATTAACAAGGGATGTGTGATCAAGATTAACGCCAATGCTCGCTATGCGACCAACTCCCCCGGTATCGTCCTTCTTCAGGAGATTGCCCGCAAGAAGGGTGAGCAGGACAGCCTGCCCGTTCCTCTGCAGCTGTTTGTCGTCCGCAACGACTCTAGCTGCGGTAGCACTATTGGCCCTATGCTGTCTGCTGCTCTGGGCGCCCGTACTCTGGATTTGGGTAACCCTCAGCTGAGCATGCACAGCATTCGCGAGACTGGTGGTACTTTCGATGTTGACCACGCCATTCGTCTCTTCACTGGATTCTTCGAGCATTATTCGGAGTTGGCCCCCAAGATTTTCGTGGACTAAGCTTTTAGTCTGCAAGAATAGCTTGAAATAAAGCCCGTAGATAATATGCATATGAAGCGAATGAAATGAAGTATATTCTTCAATCAACCACAAAATAAATTATCCTGCATACAAAGATGTACTTTAGCACGCCTGATGACACGAGGCTGTATACTTGTAGTTGAAAGCACGTGGTGGTCGGCCCGGGATAACTCCGCTTCTCCCTAAATCGACTCCACACCTTATCAACTACAGCACTGGACCCGATTGCAAAGCAGTGTCCATGCCCCCATGACCCTCTATGACAGACGTCGATGTCTTCCGCGATGCAGAGTACATCGCTGACGTGTCAAGAGTACCCCTCTTCGATGACGCGGAAAGCGATTCACCAGCCGGAACTGGTCCGCCCAGCGCCCAGGATCGCAGTCGCGTAAGGAAAGCCCAGTCTACGGCAAAGATCGCTTTCATCGACCGGTTACTTCGGGACCTGGACATTCTCATTTACTGCCAATTGTCAGCGCTGTATTATATGGAGTAAGTTAAGCCTCTGACCCCATTTGATGGCTGGGTGGGGTGGGATCGATCGCGATTCAGTCCCGGGAGCTGCCTAGCTAGCTATTACCCCAGCTTTCGTCCTGAAACCCCACATTAACGAGGAACTTTCTAACGCGCTTTGTAATTTTCCAGCTGCTCTGTTATTTTGTTTGCCATTCGTGCCTTTGTCCAACTTATCTTCTTCACACCTAAAGCCGCGCCCTTCGAACCTACCCGCAATCAACCGTTCGTGTCTGCTATTATCGGCAGCAACTTGCTCTGCATCCTCTTTCATGCCTTCATTATAAACCCCGAAGCTGGAGAAGCTACTCGCGGCTACCTACATGGCGGAGTGTTCATCGACTTCATTGGACAGAAGCCCGTTCCTGCATTCCGACTCATATCCTTCGATATTCTCATCTTCCTTGTCGACTTCCTCATGTTGGGATTGATTATTGAGCGAGTAAAGACGGCCGCCCTGAACCCCTCTTCAACAACTACAACCACGACCACTGCTTCAACGAATGCCGAGGCGGGGGAAGCCGGAGAGTCTGGCCAGACGGAGGGGCAAGATCACGACGCAGAGGAGCGAGGAGTTGTACGCGGAACCGAAGAAGCTGATGCCGATATATCCACAACCCCACCCGTTATTGAAATTGATGATGATGTGAATGATGAACGGACGACACTCCTCGCGGATCCCGATGATAATGCTGCAAGTCGGGACGGTCACCCCCTTGACTCGTTCTCTTCGGGTGTGGCCGTGATAATGGAAATGGGATTCTTTACTACAATACGAAACCAATGGGTATACTCGACTAGACCGCAGCGACCAACGGGTTATGTACCATCATCGGAGACGGCTACATTCCTTCGACAGCGTTTCGGGCTGCAAGTTGGGACGGATGGCCGAATTGTTCGAGTGAATGCATCGACCTGATTATACGAATGTATTTTAGTCTTCATTGAAAGATCTATAATGCGGATTTGCCATATGCCTACCTCGGTGCTGGCTACCGAGTATGAATGAAAGACAAAGACACAGATCCAGATTAAGATCTCGGAAAACGGATCTTTCCTGTGCATAAATAGTAGAAAAATGGTGTAGAAACATGAGTAGTCATGATATTGTACAATTGCCCAAAAGAAAAGAAAACAATCCCCTCAACCTGGGAACACTTGAGAAATGAAAAGCACAGACCGGGTATTTAGCTCTCACAGACTATCCAAGTGGTATAAGCTCTTATCCAAGCAATTAAACTATACTCACTTCTCCTCTGGCTTAACACGACGATCCAAAATCTCATCAATAATGCCAAGGTCCTTCGCCTCCTCGGCACCCATGAAATAATCTCGCTCCATCAGCTTCTCAATGTCATCAAGCTCAAGCTTCTTGGGACCATTCAAATGGCGCTTATAAATATTGTTAAGCTGTGCCCGAATGCGCAGGATCTCCTTCGCATGAATAGCGATATCAGTCGCTTGACCGTGGTATCCGCCGGAAGGCTGGTGCACCATGATAGACGAGTGGGGGAGACAGAAGCGCTTGCCGGGTGCACCACCAGCAAGAAGGAGGGAGCCCATGGATGCGGCTTGGCCGACGCAGATTGTGCTCACGGGAGCGGCGATGTAAGTCATTGTATCGTAGATTGCCAGACCTGGAGGTATGTAGGTTAGAAACGGGACTGAGACATGGAAGCTGAGTGGTGTTTGTGTGTGGGAGGTATCACATACCAGCTGTCACGGAGCCACCGGGGGAGTTGATGTAGAGATGGATGGGCTTTTTCGGGTTATCAGCTTCGAGGAAGAGGAGTTGGGCGACGATTGATGCTGATGCTACGTCGTTGACTTCTCCGTTTAGGCAGACAATGCGCTCCTTGAGGAGCTTGGAGAAGATATCGTCTAAATCGTGTATCAATGTATTAGCCAGGCCAGTCCGGGCTAGACTTGGGAATGGGATTGGTGAAAGTGGGGTCTTGATCCGACGTACAGGTGTGCCAGCCACCGGCCTATATAGCATAAAAATGAGCGAAAGAATTAGCAATGAATGGAAGAGTGGACATACGACAGTCTCGGTGACAATGGGCATTGGGGTCCAACTCCGCGGGGGTGAGTAGTCCATCGAGGACCCAGAGCTTGAGAAGGCTCGGGCGCCGGCAACACGCGTAAGCGCGGGGATAGAGGAGACAGAGACCTGGCGGCCTAGTCGCTGGAAGATGGGAAGACCGGTACGCATCATTGTGCCGGATCGTGCGGAGTAGATGCAGAGGTGTGGGAGTTGGAGAAGGTGAAATGAGATGGCGGAGCTGTCGATAAAGTTGATAACGATAAGCTCCAGCCACCATTGGCTCCACTATTAGCTATACTGTAGTTAGGCCGACTGCTCTGTATAAATTCCGAGGTCACTATATAACTTTCAAATGTACGTTTCATGCCGCAAGCTCTGCGTAAACTAACTAAGTCGACTGATATCAGACCCAGGATTCGCCTTACTATAGTAAAGCTAACCAGATATCAGTCAGATCCATCGTGGCATACCTGCCTGAGACTTGAGGCCTCCAGCGTGAAACGCCCTGCACGGTGCATGTCTCTTAGCAATGGCGTCTATACAATATTAGCTCTAAATATCGTAAGAGCTTCATTGACATAACCGAGACGATGTTTGCTCATTCAACTACTCAAATCGCTATTGATTGTCTCCGAAGCGACTCCGCAAATGGCGAGCTCTGATTGGCACAATCCCAACGGGTAATGGGAACGCCGCAACAAAAGTTGACCTCCTCCTTACACAACCATCAACATGAATTGCCCCAGCCACCGAATCCCGCTTGGGGTATTGCGTCTCCGTATATTTCACCAGCTTCTATCCACATTTCAGCGATCCCAAACTCATCGCTCCTTTTCATCGAAGACGCGCCAGAGCCAGTCCCAAGATGAGGCCTCAATTCCCCCATCACAACGACTACCACAATCGCCTCTCCTCACCCGTTTACGCCCAGAATTAAACCACAAGTCCGACCCGAAAAGTGTCCCTAAAAAGGCCGGCCTCGAACCTCTCGCCAAAAATCCTTGGGCGCTAGCTCTAGCGTCGCCGATGAGAACATGTTCTCTATCGGGAGCAAGGATGCCACGCGCCCTGATGGGAGAATGGGGCCTAGTGCGAAAGCCCAACACGGAGAATATGTATCTCTTACCGGTGGACTTGCTCAAAGATTCACTTGAAGGAAAAGCAAGACCCACGGGCCAAAGCCAGAGTCAAGACGCAAATGCAGCTACAGACAACAGTCCCATGAAGGCCCGGAACGAAAACTTTGGTCGCCAGCTAGTGTTCCTGATGACAAATTTCATGTCATCTCTACGAGCTATATCCAAGCCACTCGGGAAAACTGGTGGCAAGAAGCCGGCTGTTTCGAGACTTATACCCTATCGATGGAAGCATCCGCAAGGGCCTATTACAGCGCGCGAAGAAAGGCAACTGGTCTGGATGGATAACATGCCAGACTACATGCTGCGGCATATGAGAAGTAAGGTCGTTAAGCAGCTTGTGGCAGCTTGTCTAAAATCAAACCACCTTGGTGCTGCCAATCGAGTTTGGAGTGCAATCGAGATGCAGGGTTACTCGGACTCGGCTCTTTCGGAGGCTCTAAACCGACTAGAGCCCATGGAACAAATGGAATCCGGCGCGGTGCTTCTTCTTGGAGGCCAGACTGAGGCCGATGGAAATGAAAATAGCAGTGGGTCTTTCCCAGAGTCTGTTATCCTTCCTCAGAATCAGAGAGGTGTCCCTGTTTTTGACCTGTCGATCCTGTTATCGGACTCGGACTTGGCGAAGCTCAAAGAGGCTGTCCCGCACTTCTACCAGTCAGCATTGTTTTTCAGACCGAATAACAAGGCCGTGAATGATTTGATGTTATCGCTGTGGAAATTGAAGCAATTTCTTGCAAATGACAAGGGACTCGAGGCAATTTGAGATAATATGAACCAATAACTTTATCACACAAATATACTTACCATCTCGCTCCTATTCATCTATCTTCAATCGAGACTGCCTCTGGATACTGCAGGCAAATATAATGTTAAACAATCATATAAGCATTGAGCTAAAGCTTATGAAGATATTAGCTATTGGCAACAGTCAATCACTTTCACCCATCACAAGCCATAAAGTTCCGCAAAAGGATCCAGATTAGGATCCTTCCACCGCGAGTACTCTATTCTGTCTGCAACATCTTTCGCTGTTTCCGCGCTAAAGGCCGCCTCAATCCAAGCAAGCGTAACATCAATTCCAGCACTAACACCCGAAGAAGTCCAGATGTTACCATCGACAACCCATCTCGCATGCGGCTGCCACTTCACCAATTTACTCAACGCCGTAGTATCATGCCACGCCCGTTTGTTAGTCGTCGCGCGTCGCCCATCCAGAACCCCAGCGCACGCTGCAAGTCCAGATCCAGTGCAGACAGTAATCAGGTACTTGAGAGACGGATAGACATCCCGGATGAACGTGACGACTTCCTCTATTAACGGGCCAGGCTCACGTGCACCGACACCACCCGGAACGAGCAGGACGTCAAGTTCCGGTGGAGCTGCATAGGTATGCGTTGGTACAACGCTTTGGCCAATTGCGTTTGGAAATTGAGGTGATGATGTTGAGACTGGCTCCAAAGATGACGATAGGAGAGCCAGAGTAAAATTCTCATCTTTAGACAGTGTATTCAGGCAGTCCAATGGGCCGAATACATCCAGAGCTTGAAATCCTGGATATAAAGCCACTCCGATACGGAGCGGAGTTGATTGATCTGTTTCGCGCTTAGTAGTTTGTTTTCCTTGGAAGCCGTCATTGGAGTGGCAACGGGACAGGAGAACTTACCTGCCATAGTAGAATGCAGTCGAAGGTCTTTGGCAGTGTTGTATGAAGAAGGCGAGAAAGCCATCGAGGACGAGGGGGAGAGTTGATTTGTGATCCCATTCTGAGTCCTCATTGGCTCCGGGGTTATCCGTGCTGACGCTCCCGGGGACAAGGAGCGGTTTGATTTATAATTGGAAGACACATCGACGGTGTTAGGTAAGGCTAAGTGCCCGTTTCTAAAATAGTAATATCATCAAGTGCATACCAAGTACCTACATATTCACAATATCCTACACTGGAATGGGAAGGTGAGTAAATGGTCACTAGCTATACTTGCCGCCGGGTATATCCGTGTCGATCAACCCCATTGACATGCTCCACTCTGCTTGCAAAGCAAAGTTGGATCATTGAGTTTTTATCCAAGACTTTGTGACATTCGATCACTTCCATTTGAGATTATTTTAGACTCTAAATTTCATATTTCTCAAAATAATCATTGAACAAAGGAATTGACTGGAGAAGAAATTTGGAAAATGCTTTCTATGATAGAATACGGGTGTGGAAGTGAAACATGCCTGCCTTAATAAAAGGAAGAATCACTGCGTCAAGTCAATCTAAAGACTCCTAATCTAGATTTATATACCAGGCAAATAAGACTCGCTCTTGTGTGACGGGCTGTCTATACGATTTGATATTGATAGTAGGGACGTCTTCATAAAAGTCTGTGTTCTGATAGCACTTACTAATAGCCGGTAGTACTATATACTGAAACATCTTCCGATTCAAAACCACTGCACTACTAACTGTCCCAGAGTCCTCACACGTAGTACAAGATTCACGTATATCCATCCTTTCTAGTCATGAATGACAAGCACACTAGAGTGAATGAAATGTATTGGTAGTCAATATTAAGTCGAGGACCATAGTATCTGTGTATTGGCCCGGACATCCGTACAGGTCCTGGAGATTTCAAGAAAAGCGTTAACTCTAAGGTGGGCTCCCCGTTATATCTATTTGAGGGTATAAGAAATCAGCTGGAGGTTCATCTTCCACTGGCAAACATTATACTTGGAGGACTCTTTACCTTAAGTGGCTTCAATTACAAGGTTGTTTTCTGTTGGGTTCTCAAAAATATTCGTAATGTACAGGGAACAGTCGAGATTTCAAGCTTGTAGTTTCTAATGGTAGAAGATCACCCTTGGCTTCTAACCCATGCATGGACTGAGTAGGAGACTTTCCAGTTTTCCTCAAAACCCCGGTCTATGTAGAACAAACGACAAAGCAATATCTTCTCAGAATCTGCGACAGATCTGATCATAAATTACTTCTGGGCTTTCGAGAGGTATAAGGTGCTTCACATTCCTGGCGCCACACGCACTGACGATCTCAACTCCACACTTCTCCAGGAAAGGAACAACTTCACCCATCACTCGCTCCTGTGGCTCAACAGGATCGTTCTCACCATAAATCACGACTGCCTTGAGTGGTGAGTTGCCATGTCGCACTTGTCCCAGCGCACCCCTCACAGCCTCAGAAACATCCTCCTGCATCGCATAAGCAGGCCAAGACTTTTTGGCCAAAGGATGTCCCCTCAAGCTACCTCGAACTACCAAGTCAGCGTCAGAGGGCGATAGCATGCCCTTCTGGGCGAGGTCATGCGCCATAGCACCCCGAACAGATGCTTCGCAGTCGTACGCAGTCTGTCGTAGCTCAATAATCTCGCGGGGCAAAATCATTGGCGTCACTGGTGCTGGTGCAATGAGGACAAATCCCTTTAGCTCAGGGAGAAGCTGGTTCAGGTCATTGGCAGTCGTGAGAGCAACTTTCGCTCCCATGGAATGTCCAACTAGAACGAAGCCGTGGTCGAACATATCCTTCGTGTCCGCATCGGATCTCATCTTCTGCAAGATCATGCTCACATCTGAGGCCATTGATTTGATTGAAAAAGGTTGGAAGGAATTCTCTATGCTGGACGGCTGGTCACTCGACTCTCCCCAGCCACGGAGATCGATCGCAACGGTGGGATAGACGGCGCTAAGCGATGTCGGTGAGTCCCGATCAGTGAGTCTATGCCATGTTTCTGTTGAGCCACCCCAATAGTGGAGGAGGACCAGCATAGGCTTGCGATCTGTACCTGAACAGGGCCAGATGCGGGTATTGATCCAGCATTCGGGAGCTGTTTCAAACTTCTTTGAGAAATCCATTGCGGTTGAAAATGAGATTAGAGCCTTGAGAACTGTGAATCAGGAGACGTATTGGTATAAGAAATGTTTCCTATGGGTGTTTGTCGGAAAGTGGTAGCTCTTTATACTTTGCAAGTTCAATGATCTTAGAGAAGAGCCAAACTCCGCGGAGTTTCACGCAAAGTCCGACGCTGTTATCATTATGCCACTCGGACGTCAACTTCCGATAATTGATGAGATCCTATTCTAAGAAGTAACTTTGAATATATATTTGGAGTCTGGTAAAATTGGTAATCTAGAGACCATTCTACGCCTCGTTGCATGTCCCTGTACTGACTGTACACCCACTGCCGTATTTTGGCTGCCGCTTTAGTGAGGGCGCTGAGGCTCAGGCTCACTTAGTTTGCCCCGGTCAATATTTGGTCATTTTTTATTATTTATTACTCCGAACACCTTTTTGACTAAGGTATGAGTACGATAGAAAATCAGTAGCAGAAGGACTATCATTGTTATTAGTGAGATACTATTGATTTGGGTAGTATTTCATGGTTCTGGAACAGGATATGCCATGCGCCAGTGAGTTCGCGTCAAAGCCCTTGCAATTTCCAAATCACTATTTCCCGTTCCACGTGGAACAAGAGATAGAAGCCAATCGATTCTGACACGCCGAGATTCCAAGGTTTTCAAGAAAATTTTCACTATCTCAACTCTCTCCCCTAGAATGGCCCATCCAAGTGGAATTCCGTACTTAGAAGGCGGTTTTTGATATCCGTGGGAGCCCATGAGGGGGTCAGCACCATGCGCAAGTAAGGTTCGTACCATTCGTGTCTTCCCATTTTCAGCAGCATGAAATAAAGCAGAATTCGTTGTGTCGGCTGAAACACCGCGCTCGAGCAATAAATCCACCGTATTAGCCACATGGAATCTCGATTGAGCGGCCAGGCAGAGTAGTGGCATGTCCCCCTCCCCATATTTCATGTCTGCAGCGAAACCATTGTTGAGAAACCATTCGACCGTTTGGTTTCGACAATTACAAACAGCTAAAGCAAACAGCTTTAGGCATGTCTTGTTCGTCGGTCTTAAATCCATGTCTGGTCTAGCGAGGAGCGAGAAAAGGCTCTTAGACGGACACCCATAAAGAGCATATTCGAAGAGAGTCTCGAGTCGGATTTCTGGCGAATGTTTGAGACTTCGATGACGCCTGTCCTTATAATAACGCCAGTGATCCGTGCGGTAATGTCCTGGTTCAGATGAGGAATCCAAACACAAGCCAAATTGAGGCAGGACTTGCAACCAGATTTGGAAACTAGCCCTGCTTCCATGGATACATATCCATTGGAATGTGTTTTTGACTTCTTCTTTGGTGAGGTATTGAAGGAATCCCAGGTTTATGAAGGCTTGCAGTACATCCCCTCTTGTTGAATATAACTTGAATAACTGCATCCAGGCTTTTTTGAATACAGCTGCTTGGTTGGTGGGGTTTTGAGCTGGCTCCGGAAAGCAGCCAGCTCCGCTATTCTGAGCGTTTGTAGTCTCCAATGTGATACCTGGCGCATGAAAAAGAATTTCGGTTTTCTCATAGAAGTATTTCAAAACAAAGGCATTGCCATATGGCTCTTGGTTACAAGGCACCCAGTATATAGCGCCATGTAAAGTGTGAGGCAAAAACAATCGCAATTTGTGCAAGTCAATGGAAGCCATCAATAAGTCAGCTTCTTGAATATAGCCATTTCTTACTAGTGGCTCTAGTAAGTAACCACTGCCAGATATGGCTTTGCGTATGGCCGCTGAATGACTTCCTTGAAATAAACGTGTCATGAACTCTTTCTTGCCACTTTCAATGGCGAATCTCACGAGGTCATTTGACATCCTCGGTACGTTTGGGATCGGTGGAATCAACTGATTTGAAGGTTTGAAGCGTCAGAGCATCAATATCAAGCTTTTCAATCAGGAGCTCTGTCATTCTGTTCTTGCAACCTGTTAAGATTCTCCACGCATTACATCCGATTTTCTGTAGATCTGGATGTGCGCTTGATTCTAACAAGAAGATCACAACTTTGGGTTTATTAGCTATTGCAGCTGCGAAGAGAGCCGGCACGGGATCAGATCGGATGCTTGTATCAGCACCAAGGTTTAGAAGGTACTTGACGATGTCCAATCGGCCCTTGTAAGCAGCAACCCACAATGGAGTACGTGGAGCAAAATGAACCTCAGCGACGAAAGTGTACCCTAAGTCACTTGTGAGGGCTGTTTTGGAGTCAATAGGACAATTCAAGACCTCAATGGCATGTCGGAACTTGGATAGCGATCCTTCATCCAGGGCATCAAAAATGTGCCTGTTTTCGGGTCGTGGGTCGAGACAACCTCGAGAAGTTAAGAACCTGTTGATTTTTGAATGGTGGTATCTCACCGCGATTTTGGTGAGAGACATCCCCTGATAAGTTTGTGTCAGGCAAGACGGGTAATTGTCGACAACAAGCCTAACAATATCCAAGTAACCGCGTTTCACGGCAAAGGTCGAGATAAATCCAACAATGTTTTCATCTTGTGGAAGCTTGATAGTTGACGTCAAAAGACGGTGCAACTTATCAACATCGCGTTTCGTCAGGACATGCTTCAACAACACAAGATAATGGCTTGACTGAGGGTCTGTTGGCTTTCGGGGTGCCAAGATATGATCCGCAATAGAATGGAGATCTTTGCAGGTTTGTGATAAAGCGAAAATGTCGGAATCATAGTCTAGGAAAGTGGCTATCTGATGAAGGATTTCATTTGGAATATTCGATATGTTCATCTTGTGCTTTGAAGGATCAGGCGTAGCTGGCAGGTTAAAGTAGTCATCCATGGTGAGTCAGGTGTGAGGCCGTGCAGGTTTCCACATCGGAGATCAGAGGGCTAGCGCACGCGTCTTTTCTGCCAGTAAGTTGAATACATTTATAAGTCTGTAACTGGCGATTATTACTGCATATCATGTGCATAGCGGAGATGTTTAATGCAAGTAATCTGAGGAATTGAAGATAGCCCAAGGCAGTGCCCTATCACTACAAAGGCTCATTTGAAGCTATTGAATGGCAAGAAATGCACAATACATTGTTAAGCGGTGTATAAGGCGGCAATGAAAATTGTCTAAATGCGGTTTAGCGGATGTTCGGCTACCAATACTAGGCCAATTATCAGTTCCAGTCTGGATATCATCGTACACAGCTCAGGCACATCTCACGTTCTTCATTTGTATCTACCTTGTACCAGGAAACCCCAAGGAATTGCTCTAACACCAACTTCTGCTTGTCACGTTCTCTCTGAAACCAACATTCATTTACGATCATGATTTCTAAGCACCACCGGCTGTTGCCTCCATGAACAGTCTCTCCCGCTGAAAGATGGGGTTGTAAGTCAATGTTCGGGTTCAGGGATAGGAGCGAGAGAAATACCTTCAAGAAGATAGATAAGAGAACACCAAGTCCACCAGCAACGATCAAAAGGGTATAGCTGGAAGGAAAGTCAGTGGGGTTCCAGAATCGTGAATGATCGATGACCTAGTGATCCGTGATTTGTAGTGAAATGAAACTTACACATCATCAATGGCATCAACAATGATTTCAAGAGCAGCAGTCTGTTGAGACTGTGTCAAACTCTCGAAAAATCCACTACTAGTTCCCGCGATGACGTTTTTAACGTCAGTGGGGTCGGCATCAGGGAGCAAATGTAAAAGATTATTTGTTCCAACGTTGACGAATATGGCACCTGCAACACCCAAGCCTAATACAATGCCTCCTAGTTGGGCTATTGCTCCGAGTTAGCTTAACAGCCGCCACAAAATGCGGTGAAATCACTTACAAACCATCATGAAGCCCAGGGCCCATGGAATCTCAGCCCTGGGCACTTTTGCCTGTACTACACTGTAGCCTGCCTGATTGAAGGAACCAACGCCCAAGGCCATGAGAGATGTGTATCCATAGATCGCAGAGGCGGAAGTATCCGGCTTGACAAGATCTAATATATCCGACCCTTCTTAGATGGTGCGCGCTGTCATCGTAATTCTGGGGAACTCACACATCAAAACAGCGGCAGCAAGCTCACAGGCGGAGCCAAAAAGATACCACGGGAAATAGTAGCCAAATCTAGTCATCATGTGGCCATTTGCAATGATGATAAAGATCAGAACCATCACAAAAGGCAAAATGCGTAGTGATGAGTAGAGTGCAGTATCACCCTGTTTTATAGATTAGAATCCAAGTTTCTGGCATCGATGTGGGAAAGAGATTCATACCTGAGTGAACTGGAAATACAATGGAATATAGTAAACCGAGATAAACAGTCCACTGCTGGCACATGCTGATCACAAAACAAGGGTAATTAGCAGCAAGGAACCCAAAAGGCAATACTGTGACGGAGATAACTCACTGTTGAGAATGAACAACAGTACCAAAGAGCGTCTTTTGATGAAGTGGATCGGAAAGAGTCGGTTCTGCTCATTACAGAAGATGTAGAAGGTCTGTTGTACTCCGAACAAAATAAAGAGTATGCCAGATACGACAAAGAGTGCAATTGACGAGCCGCTGCCCCAAGCCCACTCCACACCTCCAAAGTCAATGCCCATAATCAAAGAAGCCAAAGAGCCAATGAAGAGGATGCTGCCAACCCAGTCAATGTTCCGCGCCTTCTCCTTCTGGGAGGCGTTTGGAAGGGGGTTGATTGAAGGAAGAAGGAGGATATAGACTGGAGCGAAAACTGCACCAATGACGAGGTTAATATAGAATGCCTGGAATCGGTGAATTAGACTCTGTTCAGTTGTTCTTGGTTTATCGAACACATACCCAACGCCAAGTGGCGGAGCTCTCGGCGAATGCTCCTCCAATTGCTGGACCAATGACCGTTCCAATACCCCATGAGACAGCGCTGTGGAGTTTTGATTAGTAGGGAGATGAGTTAGCACTTTGGGCTAAACTTACGTCAGTCCAATATAGAAAGGACGCTCAGGTACGGTTGTGTTCATGGACAGTTGAGTTAAAACCCCAAAATACATGCCACTGCCCTGCAAAGTTGTTAGTGTTTATCAGAGATCGAAGTCATAATGACCCACTCCAGCACCGGCTATGGCTCTGCCGACAATCATGGCGTTCATGTTGGGAGCAGCTCCACACAAAGCAGAGCCTGCCATGAAGATAACGACGCACTATTGAAAATTGATTAGACATTCCCCTTTCATCACTGAATTTCTTGTCGAAATCTTCAACTCACGCTGATATACAGCCATTTTATGTTGTATGTTGCGTAGGCCTTAGACCAGGGAAGACACAAAGCACACGAACAGAGAGTGAAGCTAGCGAGGCGAGAGGCATTGTCATGTCAGTAAACTGATTCATCAATGAAGAAGCCGGAACTTACCCAACAGAGAGCCATGAGATCTGCTCAGCATCGTCAAATTCCATGAGAATAGCCTTTGAACCGAGTTAGCGCGAAATCTCGCTTTCAAAAACTGCATGGGAAGAACCAACAGCCTGGATGTTGGCCACAATAGTGTTGTCGAGGGCAAAGAGCAAATGGCTAGACAAGATGGCAATCACAACCAATATCCACTAAAGTTGGGATATTAGAAAAGCCATGACAAGCCAGAGCAATTAAATGTACCTTGACCCCATCAATGGTTCTCTCCCCCTGCTCACTTTCATGGGAGATGCTATCACATTTTTCACTGAATTGGGAGCCTGAGCTAGGGATCTGGGACTCATCAGTTACAGGGTGAAGGCCAGATTCACCCCCATCTACATTCATGAGTGCAGCCATAGTAAACGGAATAGGGTGATATGGGATGCAGAGGCTGATGGCTCTGTAAATAAAGTCGAATTGCGATTGCGAATTTTATGGACATGATTTGGATCTTATAAAAGGAGAGCTGGTCGGCTAGAATTGACCTGCGCTAGAAAAAAGACTCATGATCTATAATATTGCTAACCAATCAGGGGATTAAGGTGGTACCTTTAGTTTACAATCTGGGATGGCGATGGGATCTCGATGGGATACCGGCCGAAACGCCACAATGGGATCCCGATGGGATAGCAACGGGCCGGACCGGGCAAGGGCCACGGAACTCAACGCACTTAACCTCTTCGATACCCAGCATACGAACACATCAAATCAGTTTCAGGCCAATGAGATTGTCTGACTGCTAGTAAGCAATCATGTTCCAGCAACGAAGAGTGGAAGCTTGGTGGAAGCCCACAAATGAAGGAGCTAGGGGTCCATCTACCTATTAGTTACCCTTGGAACATCTTTTGGGGCTAGCACGTTCCAAGGACTTGACGGTATACCTGAGGTTTCACTGGAAGCCACATATCAGCCCCACGGGGCTTTGTCGCGGCTATTGACCCTGCGTTGGTATAGGTTTTCCCTATTGGACTAGATTTCCTTATATCTCGATGTGAAGGCATGTACTATTCTATCTCACGAGCACGATGCAGCACTTGAGTTGCCAGGATAAATAATAAACAATCGGGATATTCTAGTCATCCATGTCATTTCTTGGGACATATGGGACATATGTAGTCCAAGAGTCTATTCATCGAGTCTTTACATGTATATCAATAATCCGATTCTAGTAGATCGGACAGCTTATCCAAGTATGCATGAGGCCGAACGGGACCAGACACAAAGTCATCCTTCGAGCTCACACCGGTCAAAACACCAAGGGTTCCACCAAGCTTACCCTCCAAACCGAACCGAATATCCGTGTTGGCACGATCTCCAACCATACAGGCGCGGCTACGATCGAACTGGAACTTGCCTTCGATAGCATCCATCATCGCCTGACTCGGTTTACCAAGCGCAGTAGGTTCCTGACCGAGCATCATGATAAGCGGCGCACTCATCGAACCCGCACCGGGGAACAGAGCACCAGAGCTCGGCAGTGTCGAATCGATGTTGGTGGCGAGGAAGATTGCACCACGCTTAACATAGTGGTAAGCCAGCGCATGCTTCAGGTAGTTAATGTGGAAATCCAGGCCAACGAGCACAACGCCAACCTCCGGGTCAATGATGGATTCGTCACCCGCAGCAACGAGCTTGTAATCCTCCGGTGTGATCTCACGGCGGTATGCGGGATCTGTGCCGCCGATGAAAGGCACGTTCTCGGAGCGCAGCTCCTGCTCAATACCGGATTCACCGATGACAAAGACTTTGCGCTTATTCTCCGGAAGTTGTAGGATGCGCGAGATGTAGATGGAGGAGCTGTACGACGAGGAAAAGATCTCTTCCTGTTCGAGGTGTGAGTCATCCTGCTAGGTATGTCTCGGGGTGGGTGTTGTTCCAACTGACCACATTGCTTGGGATTCCGAGAGCTTCTAACTTCTTGCGGTAGTCTGCGCGGGACTTGGTGCTGTTGTTGGTCACGAATACCACTTGCTTGCCTGCAACGGGCGTTAACCTCCGCTGCATGGTGACTAGACAGTGTACCAACCATTCTTTCGTAGTAATTCGAGGGTCTCCACTGTTCCAGGGAAGCAGTGATCGCCGGACCAGAGTACACCTAAATTGCCATTTGAGTCTCAGTCATTGTTGCGACGAGCAGTCGAGCGGGTTGCGCGTGGGGAATCAAGGGCGGGGAGAAGGCCGGGTTCGAAGGGGAGGAACGTACCATCGCAGTCGAAGAGGAAGACCTATTGAAACAATGTATCAGTCAATTGAGTTCCATGGAGACTCTCTGCATAGGATCAAAATAGGGTACTCACATCGAACTTGTCGAGGAACTCGCGGAGACCGGCCTTGTCCCCGGTCAAATGGCGGGGTTCTGTAGACAACGAGTGCGACATGGTTGTGAAAATGCAAGCAAAAGAATCACACAAAAGAGATGCACAAGTGTAAAAGAGGAGAAGCTTGGAGAAACGAAAGGGAGAGTCTGACTAAATTCGCGATCGTGTACGACCCGAACCGACTCGCCGGTGACTCGCCGATCGCGGGGCAACCGTGGGGCTAATGGTCTTCCTACTGTATATACATCAGACGTCATTCTCAATGTGGGCAGTCTCTACTTTGTCTCCATCCTCTTGAGCCTCAAACTGCTGCTTTCCAATCTCCGCCAAACTGACACCCTCCGCACGCAACTGCTCCAGGCGCAATGACGCCTCGGCTTCTTCGTCGCGTTCCTCTTGCGACATCTCCGGGCCCCAAAACAGGAAAAACATCATAAAAGCCCACACTGCACCCATGAAGATAGCAATCACCTTCCCATAATCAAATCGCTTATTACCATCTGGACCGGCTGGCAGCGGAAACCGCTCACCGATAATAGACTGAATAGTCGCCGAGGCAGACGAGCCTAAGTTACCCAGCTGATAGGTCAAACCAACCATCAACGAGCGCAATGCAATGGGTGAAAGTTCCAATAAGTGAATAGGCATCGGACCCCAAACACCACCAACAAAGAACTGCTCGAAGAAGGCACTGGCAATCAGCGAATCGGTGCGAACAAGGATATACGCGGGAATGAGAGCGCCCCCAAATATGCACGATACCATCATGGTTAGCCGGCGACCGAAGAACGTGCTGATATACCCCATCGTGCATCCCCCAATCAAGGCTCCAATCTGGCCTACCACCGTAATGACTGTCGTGTCCGTCGCATCCATCCCGACTTGATCTTTGAGGAAAGTCGGATAAAAATCCTGACTGCCATGCGAACAGGAATTGAAACCCGTCATCAAGACAACGAGGTAGACGAAAAGAACCCAGTTAGCGCGAAGAGCACGCCCAGCGTCTCGGATGAAGATCCGGAACCCCATTGCAGATGCATGGCCATCTACAGCGTTGGCACGCGCTTCCCGCTCAGCTTTCATTACTTGGAAATGGTTGGTCTCTGGTAACCACCACCGGAACAGAATAATTAACACAGGCGGGCCAGCTCCAAACCAGAAAAGGCTTCGCCAGCCATGCGAAGTAGTGGGGACGAGCGCACGGTAAAAAGCCGCAGCGAGTAGGTATCCGGTCGCATAGCCCATCTCAAATAATCCAGAGAGTAGCCCGCGAGCTTCATATGGAAGATCCTCGAGAGCAGTAGCTGCTGCAGGACCAAATAAGCCTAAAAAAGATCAATGATATGCTCGAACGTTGGAAATCCTTACACTTACCTCCCATAGCAATCCCATATAGAGATCGCACACCCAGGAATTGGGGCAGGGTATTACAAAACCCAGAACAAAGTTCCAGGACAATGAACAGCGTCAAGTTGAAGATCATCGGCCACTTGCGACCATATCTATCCGCAAGGATGCCGAAAATAATCGCGCCCACCGATCTAAGCATAAGAGTAACCGTCATACCCTGACATGGTCAGCTACTGAACACAATCGATGTACCTATACAAGGCGAGACTCACCCAAGAGACATCTGAGTATGAAACACCAAAGGTTTCCGAGATCTCAGTGATAGTCATAGAAACCGTAAAGAAGTCAAATGAATCCCAAGTCCAGCCCAGAAACCCCGCTGCGAACATTAGCCATTGGTGCGCTGTGAGCTCGCGCAGGATGGCATAAGGGTTTCTGAGTTCATTCTGAGACCATAAATCAGTCTCACGTAGTAATGCATGACTTTTTGCTTACTGGGCCTACCTTGGGTGGCTTGAGACTGGACACGCGTGTAGCAAAGTATCTGGTGATTTGGCTGGGGGAATAAAACCACCCGGCAGCCATATGGTTTCGCATGATGAATTTTGGTAAGAATAATTTGCACTGTGCTACATGAATATGGGGCTACCGGATTTATAGATAGGATTCATTATTAAATTTCACTTCAGTAGCATCGCTATGTTCATCTGTTGATTTATGTATGCGCCAAGAGCTCGTATACCCCTCTTGTGGCTGCTTAAACAATCAACTTCTTTAGTATATGTTTTCCCCGCACATACATGTGGGGCGGCACGGGTGCTAGAGCTTAATTCTGAAGTCAAAGTAGAAAACAAGAATACGCAGTGGCGTGGCGCTTTGGAAGGTGAGGTCCGAGAGTTGTGCGAGTACGACTTGATATACCTAGTGAGGCTGGACCTGTCACTTGTGAGAAATGGGCTTATACTATCTAGCAAGATTGTCCAACACTGAATAGTTCCTAGTTCCTTGCTGATTGTCATTGAAACTTTCGCCACAGCAAATATGGAATAAAAGTATTCAATGTGAAGCCATGTTAAGGGGGTGGAGGGGAAACTTGTACTGTAGTTCCCCGCTCGTATTCTTCGTCAGCCAAGCCTCAAAAGCGACCTGCTGTCCATATATAGAAATCTATGTGTTTATCTCGGGGTATCTCCGGCTTGGCTTTTAGGGTCCTCTATGATCTTTAGTGTTACGCCGCACGGGGATCTGGGGAAGCTGAAAGGCGGGGTATGTGATTTACTGCTACATACTTGCATGTATGATATGCTTTATGATTTGGGTATTATGCCTTCGTGGGCTACATATCTGGATACTTCGTTGGGAAACAGTAGCCAGGATATTATGTCCTACCTAGAACAAGAACAATCACAAAGGACAAAATAGGAAAACAAAGTCAGATCCAAAGTTGGAGAAAAGTCGATCTCTTCATTCCAAAAGCTCCTGAAATGGTAGAAATGTCTATTGATCATCTTAAGACGGAGACCAATTAGGTGGTCCTTTCTCAGCCCATTCTCGGTTGATGATTTTGACCCTCAGCAAAATTTAGGGTGCCTGGACCATAGTGAAACTCAGACATTCTTAAAGTTCTTTACAAATTATGAACCAAATACAGAAATCTTGGATAAATCTAATCCTGCCTTCACAATGGACTCTATAGTGGGAAACCAAGGGTTCGGCGTTCCGTAGAAAAAGAATCGAGCCGAGGTCTGTAGCTTTGGGTATTTAAAGAAAACTATTTGAAGGCAGTGGAAATCAGGATTGCTGTCATGAGGGATGAGCTTTGTACAACATGTTCTACATGTCTGAACTTGATTATTAAGAATTGTACCATCCTTGATAGCAGCATGTACTATACTATTTACCAGGTAGGTAGTTCGTAGCTAACTTGGTAATGGGGTAGGAGAGGAGAAGTTGATGGAAGGTAATTGGGGTATATGGAACTCATTGTCAAGGTATTCAAAACAGGAAGAAGAAGAATAACTTGGTTTCATTGTTTTCGTGATAGATGGATGCGAATTATCGCATGTTGAGTACAAATTTCGAACTGGTAGTCATAGTAAAACGGGCGATAAGAAGATGCTGCATGTATTGCATGTTGGATGCAATCCCTCATAAAAGTTCCAAGCCACTAGAGGTCCTTAACAGAAAAATATCATCATACCCATAAGCCTTCACGGTAACAAATGACTTAGCGGCACCATTTCTGCCACAAACATCCTTGTCGAACAGCATAGCAGTGAGGGCATCCATTGTTTCCACGACAATTGGCAATCGTTCCGCAGAACTGGTAGCACCGAGAGGCTCGCTTGTCGAAAGCGGTTGCATCCCTGGCTAAGAGAGTCTCGCCGCGTGGGCAGGAGGCCGAACTCCTTTTCTCCACAGCCGAGTCGTCAACAGTCTCATTAGAGTCGGTGGCTGGCTGAAGAACCTCTTGAGCGCGCTCATTCTCCTGGGCAAAGTACTGGTTTGCAGTGTCACTTGGAGCAAAAGATTCGGAAAGTGCAAGATCGTTGGATGGATGCTCGTAGACGTCGATCTTAACTTGGCTGTTTTCGAGGTACATGTCCATGAAGTGGGTATCCTGCAGAGCTGACAAGAAGGCATCGTAGCGGTCAAGCTCATCTTCGTGGATGGCGGACCGAGGGGAGAGGGACATGGCGCATGCTGCGAAAGACATGGCGATGAGGAGTGTACTGAGAAGAGTGTGGAACAACATTGGTGGTTTATGGACGTGGTGTCATGTGATTGTGTTTATGTACCACGGCTGAAGTGAAAGGCTGAGTGCTTTCAAGATTGTTCCTATGTAATTTTTGATTTTAAGAACTGATGAGACAAGGTTCTGGATGTACTCATGGCATTTATACCTCAATTCGAAGAACTCAGACCATGAACCTTTCAGAGTTTGTCGGCTTGCTCGACCCCTGCTGTTACACCGCATGAAGCCTTCTGGTGTGGTAGTCCTCATAAGTACTGTCTTTCTGCATGCTAGCTTATATCACGTAAGTTCTACAGCTGACGAACGACACTGTTTATATTCAGTAGGTTAATGGCTAAAGTTATGACAATCTCGGGAGGCAGTTTTGTGGACATAGCCTTTCTCCGATACCTAGAATACACACATAAAGTACAGACATTCATATTTTCAAAACAATAGATATAATGCAGGTGCTCAACGACTCGGAAGATCTCTGAATAGTTTGGAGCACAAGCATCGGGGGCCGAAATCAGCCCAGGGTCGTGACTAGCAGACAAAGAAGGCAATGTCATCAAAATAGAGCGGAAAACGACAAGGATCTGATTTTACTTTCTCATAATGCAACATCAACCTGTAGTCTGACATGCTCTTACCTTGCCCCTAGGCTTGGAGAACCCAGCAGATCTGATATTACTCAATGGTGACGTGAATTGGGGTCCGTCAAACAGGTAACTCAGCAGTAAGAATCGAAATGAATCTGAGACAAACAGTAGACTCGACGAGACTGTAGTCATATACCGTGGTTTTCATATTCAATCGTATGATTGATGTAACCTTAACTTTGCTCGTTAGGCTGCAGCAATTGACCTTCACCCTATTTCTTCTCCAGCCACAAAAGTTAAAGCTGCATAAGAAACTCAACCTACACCGAGAGTAATGAACCTTCTGATTCTAGATGGAAAGGTGGAAGCCCCGGTGATAACCGCTCCAAGATAAAACTTTGAACACTAGGAAGGTGGGAGATAGAAATGGCTTTTTTCATTCATAACGCTCAGTGTTGAATGCAGGTAATCATTCATGACATGAAAATAACAATTGACAATCAACATGGTGGGTATTTTGGCATTAATATACATGGAAATAAACAACAAATAAATCATTCCGCTTTTCATATCATTCAATAATCAGTGTATTTGTTCTTGATCAAATCCGACGCCTTCTCAGCCACAGCATAAAGAGTACTTGTCAAGTGGCCACAAAGCTGGAACGGCAAGACTGACGCATCGACAACGCGGACGTTTTTTGTTCCATAAACTTTGAGCTGGGGGTCGACAACGCCACCCTTTGCTCGTGGAAGCATACTGGCGGTGCCGACGGGGTGGAAGTTTGACCGATCTAGAAGGGTGTAAGCAAAATGTCTCAGCACTCACGAAGGGTGGAGGAGAAATGGAAGAAAGAGGTTGCTTACAGGTTCCCTTGATCCAGTCGGACCAATCGTTCTCAGACGCATTGTTAGGTAGCAGATCCATCCCAGGCTCATACTCCTCTGTCACAAGATCACTCAAAGGTGCAGTATTGAATGCGTTCCGAATGTACCAAGCAATTTCAGCTTGAGCAATCATATCTTTGTCAAACATGAAGTAGTTCGGGTTGATAGAAGCCGGCTTCGATGGATCGGACGACGTGATATGAATATTTCCCCGCGAAAACGGTAGAAGGGACCAGTACTCAGTCGCGAATACAGAACCGACTGGCAACCAGACAATCTCTGTGTAAGGAACTTGCTTTTGAAAGATCAAGTCATGCTGAAGTTGGAAAGCAGCAAGAACATTGGCCTCTTGGACAGCGCCGTTCGAGAAGTTGGCTACGGCCTTAGCGTAATCGGCGAGACTGGCGTTGACGGTATTGGCGATGGATTCGACCTTGTCACCATATATCTGCTCGGCGGATGGTAGGGCGGAGAAGGCTGGGAGACCGCTCCACCTTTCTCGGCTTCCGTATGTGAGTCCGTTGTTGGTTTGGTCTTGTAGGTTTTCGCCGACGGTGGAAATGTTGACTTTGACGGGGATGTCGTATTTCTTGAGGATATCGGGGTTTCCGATACCGGATAGTTCTAGAATAACGGGTGATTTGAGAGAACCAGCAGATAAAATTACCTCCTTGGACGCATGGACTGTTAAAACGCCATCTGGGCCTGTAACCTCAACACCAGTTGCAACTGCTTCGTGGGAATCATTGGACCAAATGATCTTGTTTGCGTATGTGTTCGTGATGATTTTGAGGTTCGGTCGTTGTTGATAGGGCCAGTAGTAAGCTCTGGCAGCATCTTGTCGAACATTCGCTTCTCGGTCGACGGTATCGGGATGAACTGTTAGTCCAACCATGTTTCCGCCGTTGACATCACGGTTATAAGAGACGCGGATTTGGCTAAGGGTTTCGTCGAGTACTGGAAGCACACTGCTGTTGGCCATTCCGTAAGGCCAGCCGGTCTTGACTGGACCATTTTGTCCATGGTAGGTTATATAATAGTCTGCGCCATTAGCAACTTGATCTGGAGTGGGAATTTGGAAACCTTCGGATTTCTTGTAGTATGGGAGAAGACTCTTCCAGTTCCATCCTTTGTTTCCAACCGATTCCCAGGCGTCAATTTGTGCATTTTGTGCTCGTGTATATGACATTCCTGCAGTAAGCAACATCAGTACAAGTCCTAGATTATCGCGGTCCTGGTGGAAGAACGTACCGTTAATCGTGCTCGTTCCACCAATTGCCTTCCCAGCGCGCATAGTCTGCTTTTTTCCTCCGGCATATTCTTGGTCTTCTGTCTGGTAGGCCCAGTCGATTGGTGTATCAAAGGCCCTGCCGTAACCATAAGGAGTAGAAACGTTGAAATTGTTGAGGACCGACTCGCCCGCTTCGATAACTGCCACAGTAAAATCTTTCTCCGTAAGCCTGTTAGCAACAACTAACCCGCTCGTTCCTCCTCCAACAATAACAAAGTCGTATGATGCAAGTAATGTATCATGTTTCTTCGCAAAGACTGCTCCTAGCCATATACTCCCCAAAACAAGAGTCGAAACGATCATTTTCGCTGGAAGCGATAGAGGACGTCTGATATGATTTAGGGTACTCGTGGTAAAGAGAAGATCTTTGACAAAAAAATGTTTGAGGGGCTCTGGAATACTTAACAAGGCCTAACGCTTGGCTCCCGACAGTGGTTGCTGGGAGGCCAACGGTGGAATGCTGGCGTCATTCTGTATAACCGCCAACATACCACGTTCTCACCGGCAGGAATAGCCGATAATATGTTGCACAACAGTTCTTAGGGTATCATAGTCATTTCATTCAAATGATGATCAAATCAAATCAAAGTAAATACAGAACGCCTCGGCATGTTTTCAAAAATGCATCCCGAACTCCTTCAACTTGGCCAGCCCATTCGACCGAAAACCTTGTCACTCTTTTTTGGTAATAGTAAATGGATCAACTGCTCCGTAGGATCCCGGCAATGCGCAGAGTCAAGTCGAGAACCGACAAATGCTCGTCCGCACCATCAACAAGTCGCTTATCCATTTCCGAGAAGGCCATGACAATCTTGTTCTTCTGGACATCAGGGATCGCTTCATTGAAGATGACTCGTCGGTATAGCTAAGTAAAGGATTAGAAAAATGCAAACTGGGATGGAAGAAATGGGCTACACAAACCTGGCCAACAACCTGAGTCGCACTCCACCCATCAGCCACAAGGTTCGTAATAACCTTGGACACAGCCTCATATGCCGACCCCGAGCTCTTCGGCTGCATAGCCTGCACAATCTCATCCAGTATGCCTTCGGGAACAACTCCAGCAATCTCTTCGATACTGCGAATAGTAATAAGTCCCGGCTCCGGGGCCCCAGCATCCGTCATCTCTTCATCCTCATCGGTCTTGGCTGGCAACGCCTTGGTAGCACTGACCAACCTAGCCGCACTCTGCAAATAAGTAATAGCACGACGCAAATCACCCTCACCGCACCGAATGAGAGTATCAATAACACCATCCTGAAGATTCAGGCCCTCAGCCTTCGCAATATTTTCTATCCGCACTCCCGCCGCAGAATTATCCAGAGATTTGAAACGGAACTTGCTGCAACGACTGGCCAATGGTTCGATAATGCGGGTGACATAGTTACACACGAGACAAAACCGTGTGATACGACTGTACTGCTCCATCGTGCGGCGCAGAGCTGATTGCGCATCTTGGGTCATACTATCCGCCTCATCCAGGATAATAATCTTGAACGGTGGGCAAGGGTACTGTGCGCGGTATTCAGCATCGAGGCCGGTTGGCTGGGAGAGTTGGGCGCGGGCGAAGTTCTTGATCTTGACGCGGACAATGTTGATGCCGCGCTCGTCTGAGGCGTTCAATTCGAGAATACGGGAGCGGTAGAGGGCGGGGCCGAAAAGGGATTTGGCGAGAGCAAGGATTGTAGATGTTTTGCCGGTTCCCGGGGGTCCGTAGAAGAGCATGTGAGGGAGCTTTGATTCATTGAATTAGCATTGGCTGTAAAGAGGGGTTGATGAGGTGAATGTGTACGTTGGAAGCTTGCAATGTGCGCTGGAGGACTTTAGTGGTGTGATCTTGCGCGGCGACATCATCCAAGGTTTTGGGTCGACTATTTGCAGTTAGATATCAGCAGGCATAGCTTGCTCAGATTGGTTAAAGCGTACTATTTCTCTACCCAGGGTTGCAACCGGGTTGAATCTTCCTTGTTGTCAGTCGCCTTCGCCTTGGAGCTGCTGGATGCTGCTGCTGCTGCTGCGCGGGCCTTGTTGTTGAAGAATGTGGAGGCCATGATTGCTTCTTTGCTTGTCAAAGGAAGCAAAGACGTTCTCGAGATACGAACGGCGATTGCTTTTTGTGACGAAATTGATTGAACCTGCGAACACCATGCGCGCCGCGGATAGGAACGCGTCTGCACGTGACACGCGAAGCACTTACACGTCGGCCAATCAGAATGTACAATTCGTACTTAAACATTCAATAGGCCTGGGCTGCTACAGAGCTGATATATGACTTCTCTACCATGCTGACTGTTTTCACTACAGCGAAAACGCTTCGATAGTCTCTCACATACATTGATATCATTAGAGTGCCCCTTTATGGTCTATAGTTCATCCCTTAGCACATCTCGTTCTCCTTCCATCATCCTCTTTTTAGGATTCCGAGGGTGATCTTCTTGGCGGTGCCTTTCCTCAGCCAGTATTTCATCGAGACTCATGTCTTTCTGCTCTTGTCCCTCCTCAACCATCTCCCCGATCTTGTCAATGAGTCGATCTTCCTCTTCTTGTAAAGCCTGATCGTTGTTCTCTGGCACGGCGCCACCTGTGAAAGATGCAGCAGCCTCTTGCATAGTAGCAGAGATATCAGCAGCAATCGAGTTAGATGAAGGCTGCAGAGACTTTGTACTTGTGAGGCCAATCACACCAAATATGGCGAATACGAAGCGCATAATGAATTGGAACGGCAGCCAGACTAGCCACCAGAGAGGTCCGTAGAAAATCCGTCGGAAGACTAACCACGAGATTGTCGCGATAAGAATATAAAAAGCAGTTTCAAGGTACCAAGTATCTGATTTCTGGGAGCGGAGAAGAGAGTTGGCGAGGGTACGAGATGAAGCCAGGAGGGTGTCAAGACTAGTGTAAGATTCAGACAAAGATGATATAGCGGCGGTTGATTGTTCTTTTGATATGTCAGCATATTGATCAAATCGTGATCGTCAAGCTTATCACTGACCGAGAGTCTCTTGAGCAAATTGGCTTCGGGAAAGTTCAGTTTGCATCAGTTGATGTGTTCTGCGTAGAGCAGCAGTAACATCATTTGATGCATTCAGCGCTAAATCATCCTGTGTGAGATGTTCTGATGGCTTATTCTGACGCTCCGAAGCCGATTGCGATCGGGACAACAGCAGCTCGCGCTCCTTCCGCTTAGCAAGCTCCATTTGGCGCTTAGATTGTAATTGGGCATTCCGAAAGTCTCCTCGAGTCCTGTTTTCATCATAAGTATGGAATATTCTTGAATGAAACAACGCAAGGCGCAACACACTTCTTAAGGTCCTCCGCCAACCGCCCCGCCATTGTCACGACACGCTCTTTCTCTGCCTCTTTCTCACCGGTCGCCACTGACTGTCTTCTCCTAGTATCAGAGCTTGAGTCTATAGCTTCTACCTCAATCCGCAGCAGCTCAAGTCCGTCCTCGGCATCTTTAAGGCCCGCATGAATCTCCGCTCCGAGCTCCAAGCGAGCTTCATCACCATTCTCGGTGGGTGTGAAATTCCGGAGTTGGTCAATCAGAGGCTGGATCTGACCTATCGTAGCCGACAGCGCCTTCAAGCGGGCTTGAAGAGCAGCTGTGGGGGACATGTTTGGTGTACCGCGCGGAGGGGACTTGTTTGTGGCACGAGGGGTAATCTGACTGGCCAAATCGTAGGGAAGAAGGCGTGAATTTCTATTGGATTGTGGGTTGAGGCTCGATCCAGTACCTCACAAATTAGACTTGGTCTCAAAAAAGCTGTAGAATGGGAGTAAAGTTGGTCGTCGCAAGGTGGCAGTTGCGTCGTTGTATTGATGTGTTTGCACTTTCGGCAAACACCGGACTTCCCTCGAATTCGCTCCTCCATATCATTCATTTGCTCAACTCTGCCAATTGCCCGCCTCTCCAGCTCAAGAAATACCCGGCTCTGCTTTTCTGTTTCCCGCGCCTATTCTGCCAATCCGAATAAGCAGAACGTATCCTTTGCGCGCCTTCTTGGTCAGAATCGCACCCCGAAAAAAAACTTCCGGAACAACCCCAGATCCAACCCGATCAGGTATGTCTGGCATTCTGCAACAGCAGAACCAATTACGGCCTGTACTGCATGATATTTGAAGGGCTGACTTTGTTGATAGTGGATAATCCATAAGGCTGCTCTCCCAAAACCTCCGAACTACTCTCGTCAGAAGTCTGCGACTACCAACCACCACCATGCCTATCCCAATCAGTGTGATCACCACCTTCCGCACTACCTTCAACCCCTTCTCCCAGGCTTCTCGGCCCTGCCGCCTCTTCCTGTCTCTCCTCCGCACCCCCAACACCGTCCCCGGTGGCGCGAGCTTCATCGACATCAAGGTCAATCAGCTGCCGCGCAACTCTACACAGGAACCTACTATGACTATAGGCTTCAAGGGTGGAAAGGAACTGACCCTGGAGGTTGGTAAGCGTGGACTGAAGATCGGTGATGTGGTGGAGGAAGTGTCGCGAGTTGGTCGCCAGTTGGAGCGCGAGGCCAGTCTGAAGGGCTAGACCATTCAATTTGGATTTTTGAATCGCTCATTTTATTCATGTACTATAGCATTTGTTTGGGTTGTTTTACTACTGGCGCTGTTATGAGTGTTGGATATCTATAATACCAGAGTAGATACCTTGCATATTATACCTGATCTACAGAAATATTGATGGATATTCGCTCAATGACTTTTTCTCTGTTCTTCTCAGCTAATCGGATTAGGATTGTACCCAGCAAGAGTCCATTGCTGCAAAAACAAAGAGAAGAAACATGAACAAGAATAGAGAGAGATGCTTCAAATATACACATCATCGTGACGACGGTGGGTATACAACAGGTTTAATTTTGATTCATTTTAAAACAGCAACAGACGCTTAGACAGCGGCACCGGAGATGAAGAACCACTTGTCAATGGAGCCATCAATGGGAGCGGGGGCAAGCTCCTGGTTGGCAGGGATAGCAGCGAGCTGAGCGGCGTCAGCACGGTGAGCATCGCCCTCGGGAGCCTCAGTGTTGCCGAGGTTGATGTCACCGGGGGTGGTCTTGCCGGAGATGAGCTTCTCCCAGGCATCGGCACACTCGTGGATGACCTCCTCGGCGTACTTCTTGTTCTTGCACTCGCCGGAGAAGGCGAACTGGTTCTCGGGCTTTCCGTCGGGGATCTTGTAAATGCGGAACCACTCGTTGGTGGCACGCAGGAGACCGGGAAGGTGACGCTCGACATCCTCAATGTCGTGCAGCTTAGCGGCGAGAGGGTCGTTGACATCGATGACAATGATCTTCCAGTCAGTCTCCTCCTCGTCGATCAGGGCCATGACACCGAGAACCTTGACCTGCTTGACCTGACCGGGGTAGCCGACAAGCTCACCGATCTCGCAAACGTCGAGCGGGTCGTCGTCACCCTTGGCCTTGGTCTCGGGGTGGACAGAGTTGGGGTCCTCCCAGGTCTGCAAAAGTGGGTTGATTAGTCTTGCGATATTCCTGTTTACCCCGCCATGTATGACTCGATGGACGAAGGTGGGGGTGTATGTAAACGATCAAACTTACGCGGGGGAAGGCACCGTAGTTCCAGAGGTAACCCTTGTGGGGGAAGCAGTTGCGGACGAAGCGCAGCTTGCCCTTCTTGGTGTCCTGCTTGATGGGGTTGAGGAACTCCTCCTTGGAGATCTGGAAATCAATTGAATCGCAATCAGTATGGACGATCGATGAGACGCTGTATAGGCGTAATGCGTACCTCCTGCTTGGCGTTGGTCCAGCGAGGAATCTCAACGACCATGTTCAGGACAGTCTGCTCCTTGTTGGCGTAGAGGGGAATGTCGTGGAAGGGAGAGACGGGGACGCCATCCTTCTCGATGTAGACACGGTGCTCCAGCGTGTAAGGCTGAGCGATCTTGCGGATAGTGTAAGACATTTTGGGAGATGATGAGGAGAAATGCCGGGAGATGAGAGCAGCTCGAGAGAGAGGAGGGGAAGAAAAGGAGGGAGGGGCTTTCCAAGTGTGGGGCGCCTGTGTCGCTGATGTGCGCCAAACACCTCGGGAGGCGGTGGAGGCACAGAATCCTAGTCGGGCCAAGGGAGGACCGGCCTGTGCCATTGGGCAGTTTGGAGATCAGGGAATCAAGCAAATTTGACAAAAATTATAATATACAAGCGTGGTTTTTCGCCAAATGACGGTAATGATCTGCGGTTGGTGCACCAAGAACACTCAATGCCTGGTATAATGGTGGTTTGCGTGGCCTGAAATTGGTGTTTCCAGGGGTCAAACTGGGTCCGGTGTGATGTGTTGGCCTGTTGTTTGGCTGTTCCGTGTATTAGTGTCGGCAATGGACCGGGCCCGATACCGAAAGGATTATGATCCCGACTTAATTGATCGTGACGCTATTGCTTCGAAGTAGGTTAAAAGGGTACAGTGTTAGATCTACAGAACATTGATCAATTAACAATATGTGAGGGGTCTCGTGCCCTTGCACTTCCGCCATGTGCTCTGCATGTACTCCAGTGTTCCCGTGACAGCTGCGAGAGCTAGCCGATATCGGCATAGTCTAAGAATATGCTTAAAATGTAGCATTCCGAATCATAGCGTAGAAGATACTAAGTGCACAGAATATCTGCATAGTTTGGTTCATCCATTTCACATTACCCTAATTCAAAATTCAGAATCTGGCCGGTGGCGAAACCAAGGGCAAGAAAGACAAAGTCTTGGCAGGCACGTAATTGTTTAGTTTAAGGAGGGGCAATATTGCCCGAGAAATAAGGCAGTAAAGGAAAAGTCTAATCTCTTTTATCTCCACGTGATCGTCAATAGAACTGGCCAGGCGGAGTTGACCGATACCAAACCCCAGAAAAAAAAATATCGCCCTCGATCTTTAACCCCACCTCAGCATGCTATGAACAGACTCATCCGATCTCTCCGATCCACCATGGCCTCCCTCTCCACAACCTCTCCAGCACAGGCACCCCGTGTCCCCATCCCAGCAAATGGCGTCGACTACCGCGGCACAGTTGTGCTCGCCCCAATGGTTCGCTCCGGCGAATTGCCTTCGCGCCTGCTGGCCCTCAAATACGGCGCAGACCTCGTCTGGGGCCCAGAGACAATCGACAAAGCACTAATCGGCTGCGTTCGACGTGTCAATCCTCGCAACGGCACCATCGAATTCACTCGTCTCCCCTCCAACGGCGGCCGTACAGACACACCAGCCAAGGAATCTGTCATCAGCCGCATCGACACAGCGCGTGAGAAAGGACGCCTCATTTTCCAATTGGGTACTGCAGACCCAGATCTCGCAGTTCAGGCAGCCCGCATGGTGGCCGGTGACGTCGCTGGCGTCGACGTCAACTCAGGCTGTCCCAAGCCATTCAGTACCAGCGGCGGCATGGGAGCCGCGCTACTGCGCACACCGGATAAACTCGTTTCTATTCTTGAGGCACTGGTCCGCGAAGTCGGTGAGCCGTTCAAGATCGGTATCTCGGTTAAGATTCGCATTCTTAGTGATCCTGAAATGACGAAGAGCCTTGTCTCGCGACTCGTGCGCACTGGTATCACTGGTTTGACTGTTCACTGCCGTACGACGCCCATGCGGCCTCGTGAGCGTGCGATCAGAGATCAGCTTCGTATGATTGCGGATATCTGCCACGAGGCTGGTGTGGCGTGTGTTATGAACGGTGATGTTGAGAATCGCGATCAGGCGCTGAAAATGATGGAGGAGTATGGTGTCGATGGTGCTATGATTGCTACATCTGCTGAGGCGAACTCGTCATGCTTTCGCTCTGAGGCGGATGGCGGTCTTGCACCGTGGCGCGAGGTCGTTTACAACTACGTCAAGTTCTCTATTGAGAGCGAGAACCGCTTTGGAAACACCAAGTACCTGCTCAACATGCTCATCCCCGGCAAGAACAAGGAATTCGCCCAGGCGAAGGCGTCTAAGACTTACACTGATGTCTGCCGGAACATGCAATTCGACGATCTCATCCCTAGTGCGATTTGTCTCGACGAGATTCTTCAATTGACAGAGAAGTGGGAGGCAGCTCCTGCTGAGGAGGAAAAGGCCCGGTCTAAGGCCGTTCAGAATGCCATTGAGAATAACGAGTCGGCTCGTGCGGCTGGTGGCCATGCTGCTCGGTCCAAGTCTACTTCTGCCCCTTCCCACGCCGGTGGTCCTATTCGTACTCTAGGAATCCCAGAGTCCTCGGCAATGGCCAAGGCTGAGCCCGAGATTTCTGTAGATTCCTCTATTCCTGCGACAGAGGTGGCCCAGAAGCAGTTGACAGTGTAAATCGCTGTCTAGAGTGTATTCACTCCTACTCAGTCTTTCTTGTTCCACTCGGCCACTTCTCTTTCTTCTTGTTTCTGCATAGCCTGGTTACCTGGATTTGGTACTGCATTTTGAGGTGTCGCGTCTCCTCTCCTCTTCATAGATTCCCCAAAACATACATCAATAATATACAAGATATGGATTACATATTCATTTTCCTGCTGCATGTGATTGATCACTCGCAAATGGTCTCCAAACAAATAGAATGTAAAGACCTGCCAACCTTAGAAGTGGGACATGAATCCAGATGTCGGAACTGTTGTGCTGTTTGCCTGGACACCAAGGCATATACCCCTAGGCACTTCTCAACGTCAAAAGGTTGCGCCTTCAACCTTGGAAACTTTCCTTTTTTTTTTCCCTCTCTCTTGCAAGCCTCCATCCACATCACAGACATTGACAGAATGGCGTCGGCCACAAATTCCTCCAAACGGCCGTCAGCTTGGCTCCCCACAGAAATCTGGCTTCGGATCCTGAAAATAGTATGTTTTCCAGATGGAGATATACCCACAAGCATTGACTCACATTCAACTTAGCTGAATCGGGATGACCGTTCCTCTCTTAAACGCGTTGCCATGACCAGTCATCAACTGTACGAATTGGCAACTCCCATCCTTTTTGAAATTCTTAAACTAGACTTCGGATTGACCCCACGAGTCCAAAGATTTCGTTCTATCAAAGCCAGGCCCCGTCCTACTCGATTCTGTCGACATGTGAGATCTATTATCGTAATGGGCCCGGATTGGCTGAAATATGGTCCAGGCGATCCCTTTCGTGAACTTTCTGAATGGGATGTCGACTTGATCTGCAATCTGTTTGAATTAGCCGAAAGACTTGATGATTTCTAGTATGTGACTGCCTCTTACATGTTTCCAGGGTTGGCGTGAGATAAACTGACACAAGAGCCAGCTGGTGGCATGAGAAATACATGCCCGGGATAATACTGTATCGGCTTTACAAACATCGTCCCCAGGTGAAAGTTCATATTGCCAGCTCCAAGATCGTGATATGTCAGAAGATCCACCCAAAGCACACATCAGCCCCTCAATTCTCTCTCATACGGTCTGTCTCGGCTCGTTGGAACCTTGGAGAATATGACAGCCCGATCAAGCCAGACTCAGCTGCGAATTACCCAGCCCACTTGAAAGATATCATCTGCCGGTGCCCGAATCTCGAAACCTTAAGATTGATCAAGGAACTAGAATGGCGACGAGGATTCAGTGGAATTCACCCTTTCCAGGCGAGAGTAGAGGAGGAAGGGGAGAGGAACGACAGAGGGCTGATCACTCTCAAAGAAGGAGATGTTCTGCCTCGAATCAAAAACCTCCATTTTCAATCTATGAGATTTGGACCATCGCAGAGCGTGCTATGGGCCACGCAGCTGCAGTGGCAGAGTCTTAGATCTCTATCGCTGATAGGGATAGATTGGACTCACCTGCTGCCTAAGATCACTGGCTGCTTTCGTGATCTAGATTGTTTGGAAATCAGCGTACCTGATCCTTCTTTGCGGTACCGCATAAGGAATCAGGATCTTCCCCCTGCATATTTCGAGCAGATGGATCAGCTTCAAAGTTTCTTAGGAGCACTTCCACCTTTGACAACGTTCATAGGCTATGGCCTACCGCAGGCATCGTTAGCAGTGTTAGCAGGTCATTCTGCCGGATCCTTACAACACCTCCGGTTTAGAGTCCCATTGAATGTCGCCGAGTTTTGGGGACCGGAAATATTGACCATTGAACGTTCATTTTCCGCCAGTATCGAAGACCTTGTTGATTTACCCAATAAATTTCCAAAATTGCAATCCCTTGGCCTGAGCATTTACTGGACCAACGATGAGTGGTTGTGGATGAAGCCCAACTTTAAGGGATTGATATTGGTAAGTCTACAAAAGTCAGCATCTCAGACCATACAATTAACAACACTCCTCTGACTCTGTAGCCACATGATCTCCTTATCATCATTTCTCGCCTAAGCAACATCAAGCATCTTGAATTAAATCACCGGGACATTTACTGGAGTACTGATAATACCACTCCTTGGCCCTATACTAACCTCACTGAAGCCAGTTGCCGTACCCTTATTCAATCCCTCGACGCTATGGACACTGAGCTCCTCTCATTGGATATAGTGATAGGCGACTGGTATCCCTTTGGGTGCTTTGGGAGGTGTTGCTGGGACGGCCTTGAGTCGTTCATTACTGGGGAACGCGACCAGGCGGGATGCATGCAATTTACCAAGTTCCGCCAGTTCGAGCCAGAGGATGAACTCATTTACGTTGGTGAAACCCCTCCGCGGGTATCGCCGCGATCTTTGAAAGGGGAATGGTCAGATGATTTGCGGCTTAACATCGAGAGCAGAAAGATTCGTTTTTGGTATGAGAGGTTCAAGGAATGATGTGAAGCAGAATAGGCATCAGATGTTCAGTGATCCTGATTGAAACATGATATGCTAGCTTTTGTGACAGAAGAATGTGAGTAATTTTTTTGCCAAGCAGGCATTTAGCTTCGCAGCCACTAGGTTAACTTGCTTTGTATCAACCGAAAGCTTCTTTTGCGGCTGTTTGCTCGATACGAGTACGAAGGATCCTAATTATACACTACGTAGCTTCGGAGAGCCGACCCTTTTATGGCCTAATCAACTCCGAATACTCCGGGGCTAAGGGTTCAAGGGCACATACAACCGAGCCTCTACAGGTCTCCGCCCGGGGATTGGTGCGGCTACAGCCAGCCCCGCAAAGCTAAGATCTATGGAGGAAAGCTTGGCTGATGGACCGGTGGCTGTATAGCGCCACCAAATTACCCTTGGGGGTCAATGAAAAGCTTGGGATTAACTGGCAATATTCCCCTGCATTTTCGATTATATTAATCAGGCCCGGATCTTCGGCGATTTTGCATTTAATGCTCCGAAGCCCCATTACTAGAATTCAAAGAAATTCTCCTACCCAAAAGGAGCAAGATGCGTGGTTTTCAAACGGTGTCAGTCGTGCTTTCCAGTACCGGCCTAGTGCTTGCAGATGCTTCGACGTTCAATTTTCGACCCGACAACGTGACTTTGAGCGAACTTTACCGTTGGGTAGGATCGTGAGTCAATTCCCCAACCCTGAATGCGAAATAAATTCTGATCACCCACAGGTACTACAATGGAACCACGTATCTTGAATTTAATCCTTATGCTGGACTAGCATCTTCCGAAACAGAATACTGTCCAATTCTTCGCAACAAAACGATCACAAGGAACTACACAACGGTGCTATGTCTTACAGAGCCAGCCTCCTACAACGCACCCGATGACCCAGTGAATGCCTTCTTGACTCTCTGGCCTCATAATTTTGACTTCAGCTCAATACCTTTCGATGGTGATATCGATGAGGTATCTTCTCTGGAATATGGACTATTCTCATCCATGTGAGTCTACACAATCTCTCAAGGCCAAACACTAGAACTAAAACTTCCTAGCCCCTTGTATGGAAATTACTCAATGTACGGCAGTGAGAATTTTAACTGGTCCCTTGAAACAACCCAAGGCCCGCCGTACAATCTTTCCAGTACACTCACTAAATATGCGGGATTTAATTACTGGGACATCAACAGCACAATAATATGCGGTCAATCCACAGTCTCAAGCTGGACATTTGTACCAGTGACCTTCAATTTTAGTCTGAACGGGACAAACTTCCCAGACCCTGTCGTTAATCTTCAGTTTGATGGTACGACCGCAAATATGACTATGAAGGGATACTTTGTGGCGGTTGCCAATTTGGTAACCGGGCAGGATGTGGATTCATGGTACGGGAATGTCTTTGGTGGTACATTTGTTATGAGCTTTGAGGGCGTTATTGATAAATACCATTCCGATGTTCTGAGGAACGACACTGATACTCCGACTTGGCTTCGTACTGTTGGCTATCAGAATAACTCCTTGAATGTTGGTTATTCGGGGGGTAATCAAGTGACAAGATCTTGCCCATTGGCTATGTTGCTGCTTTTGCAGGTGCTTGTATTTTTATCTTGATATCACAGCACATATATTTTCTTCTTGAATCCAGAATACCCATCTACTAAGGCATGTTATCCCACGAGTATATACGGAGAGATGAATGAAGTTAAAGAAAGGCAGCTATCTCTCAGATATTACATTAAAGCAAGAAGAAAGTGATTCGAAGGCAAACTTGCCAGTGATGATCTATTAGCTGCCGTCAGTAGCCGGCTCAGATATCTTTAATAGGCCCAGCCCCACGCTGTGCATATGAAACAAAAACATAAAACTCCCCAAAGGAAATACAAATCTCATACACCGGCGCCGAAGCACCGCACCCCTACTCTTTCGCCTTCTCCATATCCGCTACCAACATGGACTCCACCGCCTTGATGCCCGCTTCCTCTCCCTTAGCAGAGCCTCCGTCATCGTCACCAGCGACGGCATGATCGAGGGCGAGCTTAGTCTGCCCAAGGGCATAGATCTGCTCTTCGATCGTGCCACTAGTGACGAATCGGAAGATCTCCACGTCACGGGTCTGTCCAACACGGTGCGCACGGTTCTCGGCCTGGACATCCTCCTGTGGATTGAAGGAGGAGTCGAAGATGACGACCTTGTTGGCACAGGCCAAGTTGATACCGGCACCACCGGCCTTGGTGGACAGAAGGAAAACGGGAATCTCCACTCTCTCATAGAAAGCGTCCAGAATGGACTGCCGGTCCTCGACATTGGTCCGGCCGTCCAAACGGACGAATTCAATCCGCAGCGTCTCCAAGACGTGCTCGAGAATATCCATGACCAGCGTGAACTGCGAGAAGATGAGGGTTCGGTCACCGTTCTCGATAAACTTGAGGAGAAGTTCACGGAGCTGTTCGACTTTGCCCGAGTCCATCCACTCGTCATTCTGCAGTTTGAACTTTCCTAGGTGTTTGGGGTTGTCCACGCAGAGACGATGGCACTCGAAGTCGTTATAGCTTTTCAGTTCGGTAAAGATGGTCTCGGGGTCGGACATTTCCCACTGGGGGTCCTTGAGACAGGCCTTGGAAATTTTGCGGATTCGCTCGTCGTTGAAGTGGCGACGGGCGAGGAGAGGGTGGATGGCGGCTTGGCGGAGTTTCATGAGGATGTTGGCCGATTTGGATCCGGTCTTTTTGCCTGCGGCACGGTCTTCCAGGAGCTGGCGGACTTGATCTTTCTCGTGCTCGTAGATCTCGACTTGGGATGGCTTCATCTGGCAGTACTTGACGTGCGAGGTTTTCGCCGGAAGATCGATGACCTGGTGCTTCTTGCGGCGTAGTACAAAAGGCTTCAGCATGGACTTGGCCCGCTCGATGCGCTGGGCCGACAGCAAAGTGGCATGAGACTCATCAGAAGTCTTGGCCTTGTTGGAGAAGACCGAGTTCATATCGTCTTTGTGCTCCCGGAATACATCAGGAAGGATGAAACCCAGGAGGGATGCCAACTCCTGAAGGTTGTTCTGGAGAGGGGTACCGGTGAGGAGAAGTTTAAACCGAGCCGGAATGCGAACAAGTTTGTCGTACAGCTGAGACTGATGGTTTTTGAGCATGTGTCCTTCATCGTAGACACAGACACTGAAGTCCTGGTCTCTGAGGAACTTCGCGTCAACCTTGGCCCTGGCGATGGTGTAAGTGGTAATGACAACATTTATCTCATCACGGTTGTCTTCAATCTGTTCCCGAAGATTTGCACGTTCGGCCTGCCCGGCATAGTAGGGGATGACCGAGAGAGTTGGGCAGAACTTTTGAAACTCCCGCAGCCAGTTTTCGATCGTAGACGATGGAACGACAACGAGATGGGGGCCTTTCACGCCCTGCTCAAACAAATGCGCAAGGAAAGCAATGACTTGGCAAGTCTTACCGAGACCCATGTCATCGGCAAGGATGCAGCTCAGCTTCTTCTCAAACAGCAGCGACAGCCAGTTGATTCCGACAATTTGGTAGTCCTTCATCACCAAGCTTTCAGCCATGATCGAGGGTTGTGGAATGAAATTGGACTGTGACTTGGACTTTCGGACCACAGCCACTGGGCCGTCATCATCAGAGTCATTGGGTGACTGGCGATTGGACGAGGGGGTAGCAATTCCGGAATCATGCGCGTTGCCGTTGGTCATCGAAGTCAGTTCAAAATCACCATCACGCTTTCCAAAGATGTCAACACCCCATTTCTTCATCTCTGCAGCGACTGGTTTACCCAGTGCTTCACACTCAGCCACAAGGGAGTCGATGGCGAGATAGCCAGTCCACATCTCGATACATTTGTCAACGAGCTTGTCGCCAATAGGCTTGGGGGCTTTGCGCGGCTTTGCCTTCTTGGCTTTGCTCGGGTCAACGGGGGCTTCGACAGCGCGAACATCATCAAGCGAGTTGAAAGGACGGTGGGTAGTGACGTGACTGGCGGTATCCTCGGGGATGGAGGCAATGTCGGCCAGATCACGGACGCTGCAAGTATTGAAGAATTTCAGGACCTTCGAATTCAAACCGCCAGCGGTGGAATCTTGCATTTGCACATCTTCATCTTCAGAATCGGTCATGTCAGCCTCGACAGACTCCACAGAGGGCTCTCGGCGGCGGCCTTTCTGGAGACGACCACCAGCCTTTGGCTTGGGTGGACTTTCATCGGAGTCGATGGTGATTGCATTCGCGGAGGGGGAGTCACGGCTTCGAGGGCCGCGAATCAGACGACCTCGAGGCTTTGCATCCTCAATCGCGCTTTGATCCCGAGAAGTCTTCAAATTTCGGGAGGCCCATTTGTCGTGGATGGTACCTCGGGCCTTGATCTGCTGCTTGGCCATTGGCAGCGGAGCCACTGTGGGCAACGCAGTCAACTCGTCATCAGACGAATTAATGACAATAGCCTTGTCGCCATTGATACCAGCGAGGCGATCCAGCGCTTCGTCGTAGTTGCCGTTGGACTTCATGAGAGCCTCCACACAGTCGTGAACGGATTTTCCAGGCATGACTTTCAAAATGCGCTCCACCTTGACCCGAACTCGGTAGTCTTCAATTGCCTGCAAAGAAGATTGTTGATTGATAATGGGCATGGCGCGAGAGGGGGCATTCTGTCGGGCTTTTTTCATGGCGACATCGTCGATTCCGGTAGGGCTCATTTGGGAAGCAGAGCGCTTGACACCGTTGGTCGAGGGGTCGTAGACTGCAGCAGAGGTAATCTCCTTGAAACGGTCCATTGGACCGTTTGTACGAACGGGCGACTCCGCAACCTTCTCCGGACTGCGAGTTTTTTCGAACATCGCAGGTTTTATATCGGTGGAGCGGATGGTGTGGTTTTCTTCGTCTTCAGACGAGCCTCCTCGGTAGGTGGGACCGTCGTCAATATCAATTGTGGAAGGTCGTTTGGCAGGGCGGACTGTAGTTGCTGGAGAGCGAAAGTGTGTTCCAGAAGGCGCCATGAGGGAGGATAATATACCACCACTGCGGCGAGGAGGTGAATGGGCCGGGGCAGTGGGTGAAGAAGCAGCCACTTGAACAACAGATCCACGTGAATGTGAATGAGGCATTTGGACAAGTTGGGTTGGCTGGGTCATTCGTTGCGAGGGTGTCAGTGAATGCGCCCCGACTGGGACCGTGGCAATAGTCTCGTAGTCTTCCTCGGGCGTTTGTTTCCTGTCCCGATTGGGAGTATCTGGTATAGTGTCGTTCATGATGAATGCCCCTTCCCTTTTTGGAATGTCTATATGAGGTCCACCTCCCTGTCTGCAAAGGGATTCAGGAACCGATAGCAAATCGCTTTCCTTTTTTTCTGCCGGCGGAGAACGCGATACCAACGCGCCACAGTCACGTGTCGCCCGATAGCGCGCATGTGACTGTCACTTTATTCATTGTACATTGTGCAGACAATTTGGGGAAGAAAGAGATGTAAAATAAAGAAAGAAAAGGCCATATAACGTAATCTTGCAAACATGAGTGAATTGACCAAAAAGTTAATAGTGGAGTTTTGGACGTTTCATTGTTCTCTCCGCCATGTGACCGGGCGCTTGGACGATCTCCGCAATATAGCTTCATCACTCCTCAGCGTCATTATCAACAAGATCAAGTGGAAGGTTGATCAACTTCGCCTTGCTGAAACACATTGCATCCTTCAAACCCAACCCTCAATCAATTCAAAATGTCCGCCCGCCGTCCTCACGGGCAGAGCTATGCCGATGTTGCGGCCAAGTCTCCTCAAGAAGAAAGCAGCTCTGACGTGACCCCTGCAGTCCCAGCGTATGTACATAGGTAGACCCTGAGAATTTAGTTTCCTTGCTCATTCTGACTCTCATATACAGTGATGTCATCTACAAGCTGCTGGGCTTCACATTTGCCATGGTGTTTGCTCCCATTGGCATGTACTTTTTGACCGTGAAGTCGATCTTTAGTGGTATGGTCTAACCCATTTTTGATTTTAATGAAGGTTCAAACTGCTAACATCCATCAAGGCAATGCCATATACTCTGGAATTACAGCAGCCATCACGGCGAACGTGGTCTTGTTCGCTTACATCTACGTCGCCTGGAAGGAAGACCAAGAAGACCAGCAAGCAGCCAAATCAAAGAAAGGCCAGTGATAATAGAAAGCTCTAAGCCTTGTACTTGTGCCTCCACTTTTCATTTCTGGCGTTGCAGGTGTATTAATACGGATGAACTCAATTCTCGGCAATTTATGCAGTCCATTTGATATTCAGCTTAGACAGAGGATTGTGACAAAAATTTACGAGATTTCTCGAGTGTTATTTGGATATCATAGGACAAAAAGAAATTCCCACAGGCCTGATCCCTGATCTCTAGCCATTCGGCGATCCCACCCCATTTTAGACAAATGTTAAAAGAAGCCAGCCCATGTTGAAGGGACCCCCACTCCGAAGAAAATAAAATCACAACGCATAATGCCCGAATTATTTATACGGAGACGCCGGTATGCTTTGCAGCCATTAAGGATGCCACCCGAACCTCAAGACCCAAGATCAATGGGTCGTTCAAGGTCGTCGCTTCACAAACTCCTCCAGATCGGCCTTTGTAGCAACGCCAAGCACAAACTTGCGTGCTGCATCGGTCACCACGGCAAATGGGTGCTTCTCCCGCTTGTCACCATTGGCACCGGTCTCGCTCTCGAAGAACTCCTCCAGCTCCTCTAAGGGTGTCTCCATGGTGATCACCTTGTAGATGCCTCGCTTTCGGTTGAAACGTTGCATAGCGGCAGAGACTGGGTCGGAATCCTTGACGGCACCGCTCTGGATCAGCTCCTTCAGTCGGGGGATGCTCAGGTAACCGAGGAGAGATCGCTGGGCAGAAATGACGGTGAGGTGGGTGTAGTCGCGCTCGTAAGCGGCCATGAGTGCGGCGGAGATGGGGCTATCGGGGGAGACGGAAAGTGCCTGGGGCGGGTCGAGGTCTTCAATGGTGGCCTGTAATTAAAATATGAGCTGCTGTTTCGGTTTCCTGGAGCTTGGGGTATAAACTAACCCCGCGGTACTTGTCAGCCCAAGCTGCTTGGGGTGCGGAGTCCATCTGTTGGTGTTCACGAGTGAAGGCCTCGCTGCCGGTCATGTAGGAGGTCATTGTGTAGCTTGTGGATATCGAGAGGGTTGGAGGATGGAGGGGCTCGGGGAGTGCGACAAGAGTGGGGAACTTCGGGGTCGAAAAAGGCGTCACAGAAGTACGATATTATGAATTGGTAAAGCTGGAGAAGAAAAACCAGTCGCAATGGTTCTTCTGGTGTGAAAATAAGATAATAGCAGCAGCAAGGGACTAATGCACGAGCTTTGACCGATCAAAGCGGACTTTGATCAAACTCGGCGCTTTTCATCTTTTTCCCGCGCCAAGACCCCTCAACTTCTACGTCATCTCTTACGGACATGATCCCTCAGCCTTATCGCCTTTGTATCATATGACGTTTATCCTTCCAGTCTCCCTGTGAGTCACTTTGAACTTCATTTCAACTGACCAACTCTCCTCAATCACCCTAAAAGTCCTATATTAGCAGGTTCGTTGTTGACTTGAAAGTGGAGCCCCCGCCATTCCCCATCCAGCAAGATCGCTGCATTCGGACGTCTGGTGCTCCACTCTGGTTACCCACATTAATACTTCATAGTAAACAGACCACCATGATTCCTACGGACTCGATTGTGAGAATCCTAGCTACTCACCATCCCCTAGGCGGACTGGGAGGCCAGCAATCGCACACGGAGCAATCCGGAAATATAACCCCACGACGTGAACCTTTCCCTGCCTGGAGTGTTGTCGACGAGGTGAAAAAGACAGCGGTCCATGAATATGAGACCGCTAGTCAGACAGCGCAGAATAAGGCGGGCAAGATTGAACTTTGGTCTCCCAAGTACTACGCCGCCTGTACTTTTGGTGGACTTCTTGCTTGTGTCAGTGACCCGACAATAATATATTACTATGGGTTTTAACGGTCTTTCCTAACCTTGTAATCTTAGGGTCTTACCCACACGGCTGTCACGCCCTTGGATCTGATCAAATGTCGCCGTCAAGTTGATCCTAAGCTCTATAAGAGCAACGTACAGGCGTACACCACAATTCGTGCAGCCGAAGGCATGCGCGGCGTGTTCACTGGTTGGCGTCCAACGTTTTTCGGCTACAGTGTAAGCAAGCCCCATAACTAAAGAAAAAATGCTGACTCACAACTTTCTAGGCCCAAGGTGCATTCAAGTACGGCGGATATGAATACTTCAAAAAGTTTTACAGTGATCTTGTCGGCCAAGAACGTGCCACCAAATACAAGACCTCGCTGTACCTTGTCGCTAGTGCCTCAGCTGAGTTGATCGCCGATGTAGCGCTCTGTCCATTTGAATCCGTCAAAGTGCGGATGCAAACTACCATTCCGCCAGACATCAAAGGGACCTTTAGCGGTATCTCCGGCGTGGTAGCCAAGGAAGGAGTTGCCGGGTCAGTCTGAAACGCATGGAAGTAATGTTCACATCTAGGATACTAACAATCCCCCCAGGCTGTATAAGGGTCTCTACCCACTCTGGGGTCGGCAGATCCCCTATACTATGATGAAGTTTGCTTCGTTCGAGACCATTGTGGAGATGATTTACCGTAGTCTGCCTGGACACAAGTCCGATTACAACAAGGGTGCCCAAACCGCTGTTGCTTTCAGCGCTGGTTACTTGGCGGGTATTCTCTGTGCTGTGGTCTCGCACCCTGCTGACGTGATGGTGAGCAAGCTGAATGCTAACCGCCAGGCTGGGGAGGCATTTGGTGCTGCGATGAGCCGTATCTACGGTGACATTGGCTTCCGGGGTCTGTGGAATGGTCTACCCGTCCGTATCGTTATGATTGGTACCCTGGTGAGTAGTCTGGCTACGAACAGCCGTGAATCCATGCTAATGAAACCTACAGACCGGTCTCCAGTGGATGATGTATGACTTTATTTCTGCGATAGATGTGGAATAGTGCTGACCGCTTTTTAGTTACGATTCTTTCAAGATATTCATGGGTCTTCCGACCACCGGTGGAGGCGGCGAGCAGAAAAAAGTTCAGTAAGCGAGACGATGTCTGCCTTATCCCTGTCCAATTCTCTTTTTATCATGCAAGCTCAGACTCAGTCGAAACCAAGAAATTGTCAAACGAAACTTCTGAATACCTGCGTCAATTATCTTGCCAATTTTAAGATTTTGAATCTATGTTCTGATAATAGTCATGAGCTATAGAAGCCAGAAAAGGGCACTGCGTACTGCGTAGCAGAAGAAGAATCTACCCTCGGATAAGAAGAAAAGCACCATCTACATGTTCATTTTATGACACAGCTATCACCATGCCAGGAACAGTAGCACTTCTCTAGGATGGATAATGTCAATTATCCCTCGACTGATCGAGAACTTCTGATGAACGGAAAGAGAAAGTTCCAGGTATACATTCCCGAGGTCTCCGGTGGGTTGTCTTCCACGGTTCCTGGGGCGCCTGACAGCGGGATCTGCGGAGTCTATGGCTGGCGACAACTAAAACTTGGGAGTTCTGCCAGTCTGCGTGGCAATCCTTTAAGACCCAGGCCATGCCATGTCTTTGAGTGTTTTCAAATCTTGAATCCAGCACATATGGAACAATGCTCAGTTCTGGCCCACTGGGGAGCGGGCCGTCTTTGTGGATCCCGTGATACGAGACCGGGTTACTGGAAAGAGAACTCAAAGCTTCTTCTTGATCCGGAATGTTTTAGGGCGAGACCAAATCTATGAAACCGACTTTCTCTGCTTTCCCTGGATCTGACAGGCATGTTTGGTGTCATTTTGCTTTGTGCGCAAGCTGTACGTAAGCTTTTGAGGTTGGCGTGGGTGAGCCGGGGGGTTGGAGGTTGCGTGCCATGGACCAGGCCGAGAAAGCATCGCAAACAACCATTTTACTCTAAATTCCCGAACGTTCCAGATCTGCTTTTCTTTGGCAGGACCGACTTCCTAGAATGAGGAATATTATAAATTTTTCAGATACTAGGTCTTGTGATATTTTGTCATTTGATCTAATGTATTTTAGATTCATGAACTCAACACTACGCGGTGTGCAGTGCTGGGCATTCCAAAATAGAGCAACGAATGCGGCATCAGACCAGCAATTGAGTATTCGAGCGGTAAAGGCCATGTTAATGACATCTCTGATACCCTCTTCCTCAACTTTATAAATACCTAGTTCAGTCAGCCTGGACATTAGACTGCAGTAACATCTCATAATTATCTAACTGGTAGTAGATTTCACCGGCAACAACTCGTGAATATCATCATTTGAGATTCACAATAGTAGCTATGGCAACAATCCATCTTCCCCCCGGCTTCAAGATCGATCATACCCAAATCGGCAGGAAGCAAAGGGTACCAGACACACAACCAGCACCGCTTGGTGTCCTAGCAAAGCTCAGTGGAAGCTTCAACGGGACCGGATTAAACACAATCTTTCGCCCCAACAGCGGACCACCACCACTAGGAACATCATTCCCAGATTCTGTCAATCCGGTTCCCCCAACCTTTCCTAGCGACAATGTCTTGGAGCTAAATTTAACAACTGAGACCATAACCTTTACTCAGCCCCTATCCAAAATAGCCAACCGGGGATTTGGATCGCAGGCCGACATTTTTCTGAATGGCGTGGCTTATATGCAGACCGTCAACGACGTGGCAAACATTGAGAATGGAGGACGTGATGGTACTCCCGTTGGTATTCATTTCGAGACGGGAATGTGGTTGAATATCCCATCCACAGACAATACTCCTGTCCTGGCCGATTCTCTTGTACGAATGGCATCTATTCCACATGGCACAACCATCAATGCTCAATGCTTTCAATGCTTAGCACCTGTAAGCACAACCCAAGGTCCACCACAGATCTCACCAGTGAACCTGAAACCCTTCGGCGTGGGTGAAATAAACCCAAAAATCAATCTTAACGCCCTAGACGTTTCCAATGCGGATACTCCTAGGATTCCACAGGATCTCTCGAAATTCGTCACGGCAGGCACAATCACCCAAGCAATCTTAGATGATCCAAACACGGTCTTACGTGATGCAATCCAAGGACAGAACATCACCCAGACAATCGTTTTCACCGTGTCTACGAGCCCTCCGGCTCCAGAATTCGGTGGTGGAACGGCGAATATCGCTTTCTTACTCGGCAACCCTGCAGCACAGATGCCCAATTCCAATGCGTTACAGATGGACGCTACCTTCTGGATTGAGACGGTGGAATATTCTCTTGTTGTTCCTGCCTATAAACCTGGACAGGCACCGATGGAAATTCCTGCCCCGGCTTTAGCATCTGGCCAGCCTGGTCCGGTGTTCCTTGTTCATCCGCCATATGAAATCACTTCGCCTAAGAATATCACGGTCACTTCGATACAAATTCAGTATACTCAGGTGGTGTTTATGAACTTCGATAAAATTACCTGGCCACATATTTCGGTTTCCACACTTGTTCCGGCCGTGCCGGTGCCAGTGCCAGATTCTGTCTGGGATTTACGAGAGAATGAGGTTGCGACTGGAAAACTGTAGTTGCGGTTGACAATTTGTATGATGGCGTTTTACGAAACTTTCCACTTCGTGATTCCTTGCCTTGCCAGTGACTCTCGTCGCTGTTATTGATATGTGACAATACGCACAGTGAATGACTTTCTTCATATCTACTCTGAAGTGTTGTCAACTGTCAAGATGTAGATTGATGGACCCCTAATCCAGCCATAATATCTCTCTAGCCTCCATGTTTTGTACGCCAATATTAAATAGTAATGACCGCCAAGAGCGCTATCAGCAAATGGTTAGTCACACATCCACCAATCGCCGCCACTTATCTTATCGCATAATCGACGTCACCAATCGTATTCAACAAAGAAAAAGAAAGCATCAATAGCAAAACAAGATAGAATAGAAGCCTCGCACTTGGCACCAGACGCCGTCAAATTTACTCAATGTTAGCTCGTAAGGGAACGGGATATACCAGCCTAGCTTACTTACATGGCCGATGCCGTGATCTTAGTAACCAGTAGTTAAGTAGGACAGATCAGCCCGGTTGATTCTCGTGCTCATTAATTTTATTTATCTTCCTCCTTAGTCCTTTCTTCCACCTGTCAGGCCTACTGAACATACCGCGTAACTCTAACGTCAAGATCCGGTACCTGCGTCTTATCGTGAGTGCCACTAACAAGGTTCCCTAGTCCCGATCTGTGCGATAAGACTTACGTCTTTCCTCTTCGCGAACCTGTCCTGCACCCTTGCGCTTGCATCTCTCACAGCCTTCCATTTTGCAGTAAAGCGCTATCAATATGCCTGACGAATCTCCTATCGTCTCACACGGTCGTGGTGGTATGTACTACATTCTGGCTCGTCCGCTTCCCCGCGATGGAACCACCGGCTAATCTATCGCAATCGGCAGGCCAGGGAAATATCGGCCATGATCCTACGCAGTATGCAAACCCCATTCTAGTCTGGTTCCTGTTCCTGTTCCTGTATCTGTCCCGATCGCAAGCGTCAACCCAATAGACCCGCGCATTGCATACCCTACCTTTACCCCGCCACTCCACTCCACTCCGCACGAATACCACATGATCTCTCTCGGGTCGGTAGCTTACAATCAACCAGGTACATTGACGGCGAAATCGTCCGTGAAGGTGTCTACGGCGACCAAGGTGATGGCGCATACTCTGCCGGCGTAAGCACCTCCCCTCCCTCTCCACCTCCTACCCCACCATACGCACGAGCCTAGGCTTGGCTTAGTCGCTCTACCAAACACGCAATACCCACCCAATCATCATAGCTATGAAGACCTACTAACATTGATACAGCGCGGCGGCGCAGGAAACATCGGCTCCCCACGCGTGCGCCCAACCTCCAAAGTCCCCCACGACGCGGAGATGATCCCGGAACTGGCGGTTCGCAATTCCAGCGACGAGACGTTCCATGTTGGGGTATGCAGATCACTTTTTCCCCTCTATTCTCTTCTCTGTCACTATATATTCCAATTCAGGGATGCGCGGTTGGGTGGACTTCTTGCTAACTTTTATTGTAGCGCGGTGGCCAGGGCAATGTTCATCTCGACGAGGCGGCGAAGAAGGAGAAGGATAAGAAGCACGTTGCACACGAAGGGTTGGCGGATCGGTTGAAGAATAAGTTGTTGGGGAAGAAGTAGGTTCATACATTGCATGAGCTGCAAGGTGTGATCTACGGTGGATCCCATTGCGGGTGGTGGATGCCGGTGGGGATGATGTGAAGCTTGATTTGGTTTTAGTTTTGATTCCCATTCTTTATTTGATTTAGAGGTTATTTAGTTTCTGCGAGTTATAAGGGATAATCCATCGAAATGCTTACTCCATACCTACTCCGTATATGCTGAAGGTTGAGGTTAAGCTACTAATGAAGATTCGAGGTGCTATGAATTTTTGTGAGATTGAAACTCAGATCTGGTTGCTATACATAACATTTGAACATAAAACATATCCATGCCTCGCTGAGATCGGGTTCGCACAGATCAAATCAAACAAAGCAGCTGACCGCGCAAAAACAAAGATATCGTACGCGTAAAGAAATAATGAAAACACCTCGAGCATGAACCATAACCCATAGACTCTCACCCATGTATCATAACGACATTAAACATGACCCGAAGCAAATGGTCAAGAACGGAGATATCAAACTGTGCAGGGAAGTAAATGAGGAAAAGCAGAAAAGGACGAAAAAGAGAACTCAACGCCGATGGTGGATGGTGGTACATCTTCCAAGAGGAATTGCGGTTGCGTATGCATCAGTGAAGTGGAAGAGAACAAGTCGAATCAATCTAGTCTTTGCTGAATCGTCGCTTGAACCAGCTCTTCCGCTTATCATTCGCAGCCGTGGGCTTTTTAACAGCGTTCATACCACCCTGTGACGGGACGAAAGTAGAGCTCGCAGCTGGCGCAGGGGAGGGTCTGCCGTTGATGTTCTGGCCTTGGTATCCGTATTCGGCTGGGGAGCCATCTTGGCGTTGCTGTAACTGGTCCACGGAACTATTGAGAGAGCTGGGGTCAGTCGATTGACCATATGAATCGGTACCAGACGCTGATCCCGACATGGCAGTAACATTATCGTAAGAGCGCTGGTTTTGATATTGTGGGGCTCCATACTGATTACCGTTTCCATAGACGCCTTGATCCGTAGACTGACGCGTCGGGTATCGAGGTCGACGCTGCTGACCATTCTGGTTGTAGGGGTATGAGCTCTCCGGTGCCTGGCTCGAGCCTGCGTAGTCGATCACGCTGCCAGGGTGTGATTGGCCATTGCGACCGTACGGTTGGTTGTTCGATCCTGGTTCATCCCGATCAGCGGCCATTGGTGGATGCGCGAGTGCGACGGGCTTTGGTAACTCACCATAGTAGCTTGTTCGTCGGCTGAAGTCTCCCATTTGTGAGGCGGCATCTTCTGTTGGCGAGTAATCCTGGTCAGTCCGGAGTCCCAAGGTGGGAATAGAGCACAACGAACCTGTGCGGGCGTAGGAATCCCGGCGCTTGGTACCGTAGGTTCCATTTATGGCAGCCTCAAACGATCGAATGGTATCCAGGGGACGCTCAAAACGTGGACGGGTGGGGTTCGACCAGTCGGGATCGGCTATGAAGAACGCAGGGGTCAGTAAAAATGAGCGATTGACATGTCAAAAACATGGATGAAATCTCTCCGATAAGAGGATTTTGCCTTGGACAGGGAGACGAACTGATCGGGTCACCAAATTGATCCTTGTGCTGGGTTTCTCTCAATGAAGCCAAGTTGGACTTCTCCAGGGCCACCAAATCTGTATAGAGCATCAGTATGGCACGAATGCGACCGCGCAGGTCAAACCGCGCGTTGGGCACGATAAGGACATACTCGGCTGTAATTCGGTCATTGCGACCAATGGATCGGCTTTGGTGTGTAAATTGCGACGGGCTTTTTCCTCGGAGGATTCGGAGAGTTGACTCTTGTGACCGGAATTGCGAGAATTGTCGGATTTGACGCTGAATCCACGACTCCGTTGAGGAGCGTGGGTCGGTTGTTGGGGGCCTTCCATTTTATTTAGGGTCGGGGCACCGTTTCTTGTTTAGCGTCCGAGATTCAAGGCAACTGGGGGGTAAGCTGAAACAGGGTGTGATCTGCTCAAGCTACGGGCGTGGTGGAGCGCGCGATATGAAGGTGGAAACTGCCAAGACAGTACACAGGCCAGTTGAAGGGCCGGCGCGAGTTCGTTGCGCGCGAAAGAAGAACTAAAGCAAGCTTTTGCGACACTAGTGCCGTATGGGAGTTCGGTAGATAGGATTCGGGTTACCTGGCTGGGTGGAGAAAGGCAGTAGACGGTGAAGTGAGTTGGGGAGAAAGATCGGGAGTGGAGTTGCACCGTTATCGATGGAGGCGGGAATCTTGGGGAGTCACCAGCCTTAAATACAAAAGTGGAAGAGAGTTTTTTTCTATGGTTGACGACAGACGCCACGCAATGGAGGGTACAACGGAGCCGAAAGTATCTCGAGCCCGTGGCGCCTGGTGAAGCGGAGCCTAGTTGTTCGTCGAGGCCGCGCAAGCCCTTTTCTTTTTTCTTTTACTTGTGATATCTGGCTTGGAGTGGGTCAATTCGTGCATGCATCAACCATGACTGAAAAAGTAATTATAAATTAGACTCAGATACTCAATTTCACACAGACCTAGCTATCCAGCTAGGTTCACAGGACCTCCTAGTCGGCGCATATTTTTCATTTGTTTCCACACAGTACCTGACGTTCCGTGGTACACAGCCCGGGAGTCGCGTGCATGCGATTGGCGAGGTTCTTCCTTAGCGTCCCAGTGATGAAAAGACGCCAGGGACCGAGCTACCTGACTGAGAGGGGTTAGGCGTTTTTGCCGAGCAAATCTCGTTCTTTCTGATTTGATCTTTGCGGCTACAATTTGATCTATATCCACATTTATACATAATCCGCTTTAGCTCATTCATCATTTGACTTCCACCCCCAGCGATCACGGCTGGAAAAACTCAAAATTCCAGAACACACTCGAAATACTCAGAATCTGCTGATCTGTTTCACTTCGAGAGAATGTTGAAAATCTTGCTTGGAGCGTGATGCATGGGCTCCCGGCTTGTTCCAATTGGCTACGCGGATAAGGCTTTGTGCCTCGGTCCCACTTTCAGTCATGATTATTTTTAGATTCATGCCCATTTGTGCGTCTTTATATTTAATCTTATCCCCAGTGTAGCTTCTAGACTAATATACCAGACTAAGATACCACGGATGCGGATCAGCGAGAAGCAGACCGGATCACGGAATTGATCTTTGCCGAGATGCGTGACTGGCCCGACAAGACGAGACGATGGGAATTTTAATCAATAATCAAGTTTACATGGATACGTACGACTAACTGCATCCTATGGGGGATAGATCAGACCTTGCAAGTTGAGACTCTCCGCCAATCTCCACAGAATTGTTCACCAGAACAAATCAGATGAAATTTTGTCAATGGCGACAAACTGGACGGGATTTGTTGATCAGGCCCCACTGTTGATCATCAGGCATCCATATTCAAGCCACAGAGTCTATCTGCCGGTTATCAGAGGACAGTTGAAGTCATGATCGTCTGGAGTTGGAATCCCAATGAACTTGGACACAAAATACACCTGGACAATAATTCAAGAATTCTGGCTGTCACACAATGTTGGCAGCTGAAATTACAAGATTTTTGGTTCTGGTATGGAAGTACACGAACGCAATGACAAATAAACTACCGCGCCAAGCAAAAGGGACCACCTGGGCTGATGGTTTCGTAATCTTATTTGAGATTAAAGTGAGTTTATATTAAGCATTATTCGGTGGCTATGCATTCACGGGTAGACGTAATATGCATTCGAGATTTTATATAACGAAACTTCCGAGTAAGGACACCTTGGATGAAAAGATATATTTTGACGAGCCACCCGAACTGAGGAAGATCTTATATATGTTTCACTTCAAACCTCGGGGCTTTCTTTTGACTTTGAAACGCAGAACTCCAAGATATATATACAGTAGTAGAAACTCTCGACTGGATAGTATGAGCATTGCCCAACCATATATATGTTCCAACGTTGGTTACCTAGTACTGAGTTATTGTTATTCCACCCAAGGTTATCCATGTTTTGTTGTTGTTGCATTTATCAAAGTCCAAGGAGGCAAGGCAGATTTCCCCAGAGATCTCCCATGGGGTATAGGGACGTGCTAAGCAATGGAATTGTGTACAAATTGTGCAACCGTAGAACCAGATCAAGCCAAGCGGCCGATTTTGACCAGTTGATGAGGCGCGTTCCTGACATATGGAACGGATCACATGTGGGTTCACATGTGGGCAAGATCCCCGGGCCTATATATATCCATTGAGGTGGACTTTCTAAGGGTATATGCCGTTCCAAGCTATACATACATGGGAGCTCATGTTCAATGGTCACTTCCGAGGTTCAGATGAGACTGATTAGCCAGGGTCGAAATCCACAGAAATCATGTCACACAGGCGCCTGAGATACACAGGCAACTTTGTAACGTCATGGTCAGCCCTACAATCTACATACTGCCGAGGTCCCGGTCTAGACCACTACAAGTGGGCATAATCAGTCGCAATGGGTGGATATATTTTGGTTCCTAAAGACATGCCATGGTGGAGTAGCCAAAGCAGGCAAGACTGCAATTCTTCTAACACCAAGACGAGGCCCACGAGGAAAGATATCGAACTCGATTGACCGGTCTGTTGAAAATGGTATGGAATTTGGTGTGTATGAGTCAGATACACAGTGGGAGAGTGACGCCGCATGACCAGACAGATATCATGCATGCGCCAGTGCCAGTAAAAACAAGGAGAAATCACAGAGACGCCCCCAATTCCTTTTTGAGGGAATGACAAGAAGCATCTCTTTCCCGGCTGGGAACCGACACAAGTGAAACGGAAAAAAGGTAATTTTTTGATTCATAGGGCTTTGGATATGGGCCCTGTCTTCTCCCACGAATAGAACGTTATCAAACCGCCAACTCCATCACCTCATATCAACAACATCGGCTCGTTCCGTCGACGTTTCCTTGCCTGACCGACCGTCTGCGCGAAGAAAGGGAATCGCCACTAGATACAGGTTTTGCCGTTTAGATGTTGGAGGGGTAGAGCATGACGCGGACGGTGGCACCGAAGGTCTTGGGGGGAGGTTGTTGCGGAACTTGGCGCGCACAACACCGGAGTTGCCTGGGACATCGTTAGAATTTCCACTTTAGAGGATACCTGAAGATTTGTAACGTACCGTGAGGGCGGGTGACCTTGCCCCAGATCACCCGGATGTTGGAGCCACGGACCTCACGCTTGGCCCGGTAGACGAAAGCGACCTTCTTGCCAAGGTAGAACTGAGCAGCCTTGGAGTCCTCGACACCCTCAATCTTAACCAAGCTGTATAACACAATCAGATTCCATTCTTCCATTCGATCATTTCGTTGTGCGTGGGGGGTATGTACCTGGTGTTGGGGTTGGTGGTGTGCTTGGCGCGCTGGTAGCTCAGGTGGCGACCCCTAAAAAAAATTCCGTATTAATCTTCCATTCATATCGTGTGTCGTTTGTGTGCAATGCGTGTGGTGAATATTGGGTGGTAAGTGTTGTGTGGTCGCAGTGTTCCAAGTCCATCCGAATTCCATATTCCTTGCTGATCGAACCACTTTCGAACTGGTGCATGCATGTCTAACGTGATGGCGAAAAGGTGATTAACTTACTTAACGTAAACTAGAAAGAGAAAAGGGGTTAGCATAACATGTTCATTTGGATCGGATCGCCGTCCATCTTGATGCGCTCGGTTGTTGAAGGGGTTCTTCGAGACAGATAACGGAGTTCATAGGGGCGCACTCACGGCGGTGACCTTGTTCCGAAGGCATGTTGACGGCTTTTTCTCTGAGCAGCGGGCGAGGAGGAGAAGTCGAAGAAATGACCCGCAAGAGATCAGAAGTCGTTGCCGGTTGTCGTGGATGTCGTCGCTTCGATAGAGTCGAGCGCACAATCAATTTGCAAGGTGTGGTGGCTGACTTTCGCCCTAGTCCCAATTAGGATCTTAGCGACAGGGTAAGCGAGATCCCGTGACTCCACACACTAGGCTAGAGCTGGATCCATGGATTCCTCAGGAACCCACGCAACATCAGTATCTCCGAGCTCCGTGGCTACGCTTGATCACATCAGCAAATCTACCAGATATCACATGACCTTCATCTTATCACCTGACTCCAGATCCTACCTGATCCCACTTGATCTCATCAGAGCATCCCACCGCTTTACAGCTATTCTGCCATCGGGCTACAGTAGTCCGGCCCGGCTTGTCCAAGTCGGGGCTGGATGCATATCGCTGACAAACTTCACCATGACGACACTATACGTTAACCTAGTTTTGAGCTCCAGGGCCGGTGGGAGACGGTTAATAAGATGATTCTTTCGGCTTATGAAAAAAGTTGACAAGCAAATTAGTTGATTTTATGTGTCAATTCCAGTGCATTGGTGTTCACCTCATCTATAGTAACGGATATCATTACTCCGGCGTGCCACAGACCGAAAGCACTGATTGGGAAAACCAGAACCATCCCCCATTTTGCCCCACCATTCTAGCTGGTAGATTCTCATCTTTCGTGCGAGTCTCTCATTACGGTAAGATGGTTGTCATAAAACGGTACCCCTTGTACCGAATTTGGCTCTTATACATCCCAGGCTAGGGCCACGGTTAATATGCTCCGAATCCGGCGTTCACTGGACCGAGCGTAGATCGGGTCGATGCCCCGGAGTTACTGCGACTCACGGGAAAATAGAATCCGTCTGGTATGAGAGATGACAAATGCGCCGATCTCCCTCACTCCACGATTTGGGTCACCGGGGAGCTTATCAGGATACCGTACGTTTACTTTCTTTACCAGGTATGAAATACATTACTGTAGAAAGAAATGCAAGGAATATAATCAAAGATTTTAAATCAACGAGGCAAATGCTGTATAATCATTTTTGACGGCAATTGATCAAAAATCCGTGATTAATAAACTCTGTGGAGCTATGATACACTCCAGGGTTCCCTGCAACATTCCATACACTTGTCTGATAGGGTGGTTTCTGTGTACCAACCTTAGAGTCGCAGCCACAAGAACGAAAAAAAAATCTCCACTGATGAGTGCATCGCTGACCGCATCATTCTGTGATAGCCACTTTTCAGATTACATGTATCATAGGCTTCCGCCATGATCAGGGCCACGTACTCCACCATGAATTCAGGCTGTTTGGAACCGTGTCCAACGGTGGGAAATCAGTAACTAAAAATCACGTCACCGTATGTATGGCTTATCAGATGACCGGTCTCTTTCCTTTTTTTCCATGCAGTCTTGGCTTCTAGAAAATCCATTTGGATTAGATTCATGAAGGATACTATGGTTGTACATAGCTTTCAGCCCCCAGTAAGCTCGGTGCAGCTTGAAGTTTGCAGGGTCGAGGTAACAAGAGGAAAGAAGGTTAAGAAGTAGAGGAGAATTGGGGTCGTGTCATCTTTTATGTAGTCCCAAAAAGTATAGGGTTAATGGCCGGCGAGACGGAGCCGGAGTTAAGGTATCTGCAATATAGCCTCGCTAGGAGGTAATCTCATGAACCTACTGCTTATATAGGCAAAAGGAGGGCGAAAGCACCGTCTTAGCCCCGAAGTCCATGACCAAAGCAGTAATGTTAATACCTGCAGGTCATTGAAACATAAAATACCCAAACACTCAAAACCGCCCCACCGAAAGCTCATGGTCGACGCATTGAAAAGTACCTGCTCCGCCGGAACCTGTTGGATCTGTTCCCTCCCAACAACTTTCCAATTTTAATTTTCCTCCTTTCCATACCACTCTCTGTGTCGTTATTTCCTTCCCTTTGATTCATTTTACTTATACCCAGTTGTGTTGTGTGGAAAGATGGCCAGTTCGATCAACCAGACCGATGAGCGCCAGAGTGCTGGGTGAGTGCCGCTCCTGACTCTGACATCACCTTTCCCCCTCTCTCTCCGGCAGCGGAAGCGTGCCGGCTACACCTCAACCTCACCCCTACCCAAGAATTGTCGCTCTCTGAACGAGCGCACGCTGCTATCTTCTCTCGACTTTTTTTTCTTTGCTTTTCTTGCTTTGTTCGCTTCTCAACCAGATCGCCTCGTCTCACTCCAATCTCACCCCCGCTTAAACCCCTCCACCGGCTGTTATCCACTGCAAATTTTGCGCTCGTCAAGCTGGATCGTTTCCGACTGACAATGGCTTCCCAACGCAGCACCATCGAATTGAAAGATGACACCATTATTGTGGTGCTCGGTGCCTCGGGCGATCTCGCAAAAAAGAAGACGGTTTGTGTCTCTTCGAAACCCCCAGCTTGGGTGACTCAGGACTAACTCGGTTGACAGTTCCCCGCACTATTCGGTCTCGTATGTGCTCGATAAGCAGAAATTCGCCAATTTCGGAGCTCAACTAACGTACTTAATCTTAGTTCCGCAACAAGTTCCTCCCCAAGGATATTAAAATCGTCGGATATGCGCGGACAAAGATGGACCACGAAGAATACCTGAAGCGCGTGCGCTCGTACATCAAGATTCCCACAAAGGAGATTGAGGAGCAATTAGATCAGTTCTGCAAGCTGTGCACCTACGTTTCTGGCCAGTACGACCAGGATGATTCGTTCATCGAGCTTAACAAGCACCTCGAGGAGGTTGAGAAGGGCCGACAGAGCAAGGAGCAGAACCGTGTCTTCTACATGGCTCTGCCCCCCAGTGTCTTCACTACCGTTTCCGAGCAATTGAAGCGCAACTGCTACCCCAAGACTGGTCTTGCCCGCATCATTGTGAGTTTTGAGAGATTGCTTTTTTACCGAGGCACAGGTTAGCCCAGCTTGGCAGTAGGTGCTAATACCCCACTCTCACTATAGGTCGAGAAGCCCTTCGGTAAGGATCTGCAGAGCTCGCGCGACCTCCAGAAGGCCCTGGAGCCTAACTGGAAGGAGGAGGAGATCTTCCGTATCGACCACTACCTGGGTAAGGAGATGGTCAAGAACATTCTCATCCTGCGGTTCGGAAACGAGTTCTTCAACGCTACATGGAACCGTCACCACATCGACAATGTTCAGGTATGTGCCGAGATGGAAGAAACCTTGTTCAATTAGGAATTTACACTAATCCCTTCACAGATCACATTTAAGGAGCCTTTCGGAACCGAAGGCCGTGGAGGTTACTTCGACGAGTTCGGCATCATCCGTGATGTTATGCAGAACCGTATGTCACCATGAGTCTTGATGCCAACACTATGATACTAACAAATTTCAGACCTCTTGCAGGTTCTCACTCTCCTTGCCATGGAGCGCCCCATTTCCTTCTCCTCCGAGGACATCCGTGACGAGAAGGTCCGCGTCCTCCGTGCCATGGATGCTATTGAGCCTAAGAACGTCATTATTGGCCAGTACGGCCGCTCTCTCGACGGCAGCAAGCCCGGATACCTGGAGGACGACACTGTGCCCAAGGAGTCGCGTTGCCCAACCTTCTGTGCCATGGTTGCCTATATTAAGAACGAGCGTTGGGACGGTGTTCCCTTCATCCTGAAGGCCGGTAAAGGTATGTATCGACTTGCAGATGCCCACCCTATCAGCAAAAGTACTGATCCCTCTCTAGCCCTTAACGAGCAGAAGACCGAGGTCCGCATTCAGTTCAAGGATGTCACTTCCGGCATCTTCAAGGATATTCCTCGTAACGAGCTTGTCATCCGTGTCCAGCCCAACGAGTCCGTCTACATTAAGATGAACTCCAAGCTGCCCGGTCTGTCCATGCAGACAGTAGTGACCGAGCTGGACTTGACCTACCGCCGCCGCTTCTCTGACCTCAAGATTCCTGAGGCCTACGAGTCCTTGATCTTGGACGCCTTCAAGGGTGACCACTCTAACTTTGTTCGTGACGATGAGCTGGATGCCAGCTGGCGCATGTTCACCCCGCTCCTGCACTACCTGGATGACAACAAGGAGATCATTCCCATGGAGTACCCATACGGTATGTTTGAAGAATCAGTTAATCATCGACACCATTTGCTAATAATTGACCTCTAGGCTCTCGCGGTCCTGCCGTCCTTGACGACTTCACTGCTTCCTATGGCTATAAGTTCAGTGATGCCGCTGGTTACCAGTGGCCGGTGACCAACACCACCCCCAACCGTCTGTAGATGGTGGTTAATGTAGCAGTTTACGACGATACGGGTGGGCTATGAAGACGAACAAAATCCAATTATTTGATTTCCCCTCACTTCTGTTAGCTGGCCGGCCGGGCTGGCGGGAGTCGCATCGTGATCTTGGGTTACCAAGCTCCATGATGCTAGAAATGGAGGCTCAGCAATGAAACAAAGTTACGCAAACATCTCGAAGCTTTTTTATGTATTTCCTGCTATCGTTATCTAAGGTGTTTGCATGTAATCTCGGGATAAAGACCTTGAATTTTTCTCTGATACTTCGTACTCCGGTGCTTCCGCTATCTCCTTTCCTCGTCATAACATGGGTATAACTTATCCACTCAATCTCCAAGCCCCGGCAAGTCCACGCAATTTTGTTCTATAAATGGCTCCATTACTCAGCAAATGCGCCAATCACGTATCTCCATTATTCGTCAAGCTACAAACACCTGCAAAACTACAACTTTAATAACGAACAAGCCATGCTATAGAGCTGATCACCGCTGGCTCTAACCAACAAGCAATATACAATACCTCGGTTTGTCACCTGTCATGATACCCAAAACGGTAATCAGTTGTCGCAAGCCCCTGGCGGGTCTAGCTGGCGCGATAAGACCGGGGGCCCGCATAAGCAGCGCTCAGGCCAAGTCCTTTTTTCTCCTGCCGCTTCGCTTGCGCCCCAGGAAATACGAAACACTCGCCAGAACCCAATTCCTACCTTTCACCTCCGTACATCCCAATTGAACACCTCATTCGCATATTCACCTAATCCTTCTACATCCATAACGCCTCCGGATCCGGGAACACCACGCAACAACCCAGCCCAACCCGCGCGAAGTTACCTCCCCCTCGGCAGCCTCAACAAGTCTCGTGCCTGCACCACAAGCCAGTAATTGAAACCGCATCGGAGACACACGAAATATATCGGTCAATCATACCGCATAGAAGATAGGCAAACCGAGTTCCACATCGAAACCTACGGCGCTCCGCGTACAGTTCCGTCAATCCACTACCCGCATCGGGCACGCCAACGCGCCAACCAGTCCTAATCCAAATCCCCGGACTTTTTCGCCTAATATACTCGGTCAGGCTACATTGAAAGCTGCGCACTCGACGCCGCGCCACAAACTGTATACTTCGCACTACGATCGGATTGGGTCCGTCCCGCGCAGGAGCTGAGCACATGCTAGTGCGCGCATAGGAAGATGCCGCAGGCTGCACGATGGGCGGGGACTCCCTTCATCAAGGGAAAGTCAGAGTCGACGCGTATGATGCTGTTGACGTTCAGCTTGGTGGGATTACAGTACGTTTTCGGCCCTGCGATTTGAGTTTTGGTTTAGGAGATCGGTCTGTGAATTTGGTGTTATGATCTGTGGCTGACTGGGTTTATGACAGGTTTACTTGGGGTACTGAAATGACCTGTAAGTAAAGACGAGGCCCAGATCGAATATCCCGTGACTGAATGGGGCTTGGACTAATGCGCCTGTTACTTTAGATTGCACGCCCTACCTTCTTCAACTCGGTTTGACAAAGTCGAAAACATCGTTGGTGTGGATTGCTGGGCCGCTCTCTGGATTGATTATTCAACCTCTCATTGGTGTCATTGCGGATCGGTCACGGTCGAAATGGGGCCGACGGAGACCTTTTATGGTATTTGGGTCTTTTGTGGTGGCGTTTTGTCTCATTGTGCTGGGATGGACAGCAGAAATTGTGGGGTTATTTGTTACGGATCCCGAAAAGGTATTTACGCTATGCGACAGATTAAATTGTGGGGCTTAAGACTAATTGGTTTGATTGCAGGCTAAGAATGTTACTATCGCGCTAGCGGTTTCAAGTATCTATGCTGTGGATTTCTCTATCAACGTTGGTCAGTATTTGCAGACCTGATTTGAGGCCACCGCTAATCCGCTCTCAGTACAAGCATGTTGCCGCAGTCTTATTGTGGATACATTACCGATTCCATTGCAACAAGCTGGATCTGCCTGGGGTATGTTTCGATCTTGTTATATGGACTCGGGTTGGGTGCTAACGCTCTATAGCGGGCCGGATGTGTGCTATTGGACAACTAATTAGTTATGTGATCGGCTCAATTAACACTGTCAGCATTTTTGGAAGTCTCTTTGGAGATACGCAGTTCAAGCAGATGACCGTTATAGCCGCAATTTCGTTAATCGCTGCTGTAGCGGTGACTTCATATTCGGTGAAAGAGCGTGTTCTGATTTCCGCGAGGTAAGATGCCTCTCCATGCTGAAGTATTGCAGCACTAACATCTGTTAACTAGGGATTCTGAAGGGTCAGTTGGTGCAATCCAAGTGATCTCGCAGCTTTATCAGACCACAATGGAACTGCCACCGCGCATCCAGGCCATCTGTTGGGCCCAATTCTGGGCTTGGATCGGTATGTTGCAAAATTGCAAGTTACGATGTTCCTTGCTAACAAAATCAGGATGGTTCCCTTTCCTCTTCTATAGTACCACCTGGGTAGGCGAGACCTACTTCCGGTACGAAGTACCAAAAGATGAAATTACCAAGTCGACCGATATGCTTGGCGAAGTTGGTCGTGTGGGCAGTCTCTCACTCGTCGTCTTCTCATCCATCACCTTCATCAGCTCTGTCCTACTCCCATTCTGCGTACAGTCCCCGGACAGCAAACGCTCTCGCTTCACCCCCCGCCCCCCACCAGGCATGGCCGCCGTACTTAAAACCTTCACCGCAGTCCGACCAGATCTTCAAACTGCCTGGTTCATTTCCCAGATCATGTTCGCCGTAACAATGATCTTCGCTCCACTAGCCCACTCCCGCGCCTTCGCCACCACTCTGGTCGCAGTATGCGGTATCCCCTGGGCAATCAGCGCCTGGGCCCCTTTCGCATTCATGGGCGTTGAAATCAACAAACTAACCATGAATGGTGCCAGCGCACCAGGCATCGCAGCATCGTCCACCCGCGCCGGCGTGACGATGATCACATCAGCCAGTCTACGTGCCAACGCAGCAGATACCGAGTTGGAAGTCCTTCGACTAAACCACCGAGATACGGACAGTGACACTGACGAAGAAGATCCTTCCTCTTTACACTCGAATATCCCGTCAACGGGCGAGTTAACGGGTATCTACCTTGGTGTACTGAATGTGTACACTACACTCCCCCAATTCGTTGGCACATTCATCAGCTGGATTGTCTTTACTATCCTTGAGCCTAGCGCAACGGAGACTCCAAAGGATGGCGATGCGTCCGATACTCAATGGATGAATTTGGACAAAGACAAGCCTAATGCGATCTCTATTTGTCTTTTTATTGGGGCGTTGAGTGCGCTTGTTGCTGCTGAGGCAACGAGACGGTTACGATACGTGTCATAAGCCCTACAGTGTAATAATAGATGCGTGGACATGACATAATTCTGAGTATGTATGAGATACAAAGAAAAACAAAAACAGCTTTATACCCGCCCATCAATCCTGTCAATTTGAGCCTGTCATATACATAATAAAATCTTGAATGCTGCTTATTGATCATCAACTTTAAACTGAATTAGTATTTAAGGAAGGCCTGGGCCGGGGTGACCGATTTACGTCGAAGATGGCGCACTTTGAGGTGTTTCCCGGGCATGTTGGGAGAGGTTATGGTCTATGGATCATTGTGGAAGTATCCGTGCATATGAGACCTACCTAGACAATCAGTACCGACTGTAATTATAAATGACTATCCATTTTTCAGCAGCGCATTTGGTCTCAATACTGCAAGATTTTAAGGTTGATCTCGCAACAATTGGTCAAGCAACGCCAAAATATATATTAAAACCTTAACACACTTGGGACTTTACAATAAGCACCCACCAAGTCTTCAAACCTTGGGAAATAACCTTGGCAAATAGGATATCCAAAACCTAGAACAAACCCCTGATGTCTGCACTAACCCTAAACCACTAAACAATCGACCACAAGCACATGTTGATTGATAATCAACGATCCGCAGGGAAAAGTGGGGCAGTGACGAAATAATGAAAGGTAGAACTTCTTCACGAGCTTAAATTCAGTCCCTACCCCCTCTCAAGCTTAAAACCTAACTCCTCAATCCTCAATCTCTAAAAAAATCGCAATAAGATCAATTATGGCTCCCAACGTCCTCGTCGTTCTTACCTCCCACGACCAGATCCCTGGCGTCGGTCCTACGGGTTGGTATTTGGTATGTGCAGCTACCCCGCCATAGCTCCGACTACGTCAACAGCTTAACAAAACCACCACAAATCGAATTGAATGCTGATTTTTATTTCTTTAAGCCTGAGTTCGCTCACCCCTGGGAAGTCCTGCACAAGAAGACTTCTTTGACTATCGCCTCCCCTAAGGGTGGAAAGGCCCCACTTGACCAGGGCTCCGTGAAGATGTTCGAGTCGGACCCTGTTTCTAAGTCTTTCCTTGATAACCAGGAGGCGCTCTGGACCAACACCGAGAAGCTGGCTGATATGGTTCCTCGCGCTGGCGAGTTTGATGCTATTTTCTATGTTGGTGGACATGGCCGTAAGTACCACACCGCTCATTCAATCCACATCAATCTACATTCATGATGCAAAGGAAAAGTTACAATGGCATGCAACTAATCCATGTCTGAACAGCCATGTTCGACCTCACAACCGACCCCACCTCCATCAAGCTCATCGAGACTTTCGCCGCGGCCAAGAAGCCCGTTGCTGCTGTCTGCCACGGACCCTGCGTCTTCCTCAACACTAAGAATTCCTCCGGCGAGCCTCTTATTAAAGGTGCCGAGGTGACTGGATTCTCCAACTTGGAGGAGGACCAGGTGCAGCTTTCTTCTGCCATGCCTTTCATGCTCGAGACTGAGTTGCAGGCTAAGGGTGGTAAGTATGTTAAGGCTGATGAGCCTTGGGGAGTTAAGGTTGTCACTGATAAGACCAATGGAATTGGTGGTGTTTTGATTACTGGTCAGAACCCTGCTTCTGCTACTGGGGTTGGTGAGGCTATTCTCAAGGCTTTGGGAGTTTAAATTAATATATGATTCCCTCTGCCACTTGGCGTGCCTGATACGTCCCAAGTTCCCCAGCAAACATATCACTCTTATATCAAACCCATATTATATCCATCATATTCTGCGCTTATCAAAGTAAACGAACTGTACGACCCACTTTCAATGGGAAGAAAGAAGAGAACAAGGTAGTAAGCGACCTGAGCATAGGAAAAGGAAGAAAATTTGTTTAGTTACCCACAGGGGGAAAGAAAGTGTCTAATAGAAAGTAATCGGCCAACGAAGAGTTCAACTCTAAGCTGGGATCAAGGCTAGGTCACTATCAATTTGTCTGTTGTTCCATTGATCTTCCAGGAGCACTATGCCTTTAGCCTCTCAGAGTTAGATGCTGTCTTCACTGCGACATGCGTGGGAAGCTTACTCGCGATGACCATATCTATCGTTCAAGCCAACTTGGCGTCGCGCCGCAAAGGGTGGAACTCAGTTCCGGAACAGAGACTATACTTCAGTTGTCTGCAAAGCACCCTGCTTCCAATTGGGCTCTTCCTCTTTGGATGGACATCGCAATTCTACGTTCATTGGATTGTGCCGGCTATTGCTGTGGCTATCTCGACTATGGGTATCCTCTCCATAAATTTTTCAATCACCTTGCTGATACCTATCACCGTTACGCCGGTTCGGCACTTGCTGCGCAAAGCTTCTGTCGGAACATGATGGGTGGGGTATCTCCCCTGGTTTCTAAGCAACTTTTCACGTATTTGAGATTTAGCCCAGCTGCAAGTTTCTTAGGTGGTATTGGGGTGGCCTTGACGCTAGTCTCTTGGTTACTTGTATTCTGTGGACCTAAGATTCGACGTGCTAGCAAGTTTGCCAGTGAAGTGATGGATTAAGATGACGTTCCAATTGTGCGCGAGATCTGCGAAATCTAGACAGGTTTTTCTATCTGGACATGGAATGATAATTCATGACATCCAGGTGGAAGATAAGTTCAAGTCAATAACATCTGGATTGACTAAGAACAAACTAAATTTTAAGACTAGATAATATTGGACTTTAACAGAACAAAGCGATTCGTAGGTATTGAAGAGCAATCTGAATCAGCTTGGGGAATTCAGTAGCGAAAGGGGAATAGAGCAAAACAAAAGGGCAGATCGGATCAGCCCAGGGGAATAAAGGTGACAAAGTTAAAGGAAATAGGAAATAGAAACCAGATATCTGTCCAGCCGTATCGGGTCTGGAATATGAGGGTAGGGGCAAGAGAACTAAAACAGGTAAATCACAGCCAAAAGATCCCGTCAGGCGTATCGTATCGCAGAATTTCTCGTCGGACTTGTCCGCTTTGGAACCGTGAGATGGGAGGGACATGAATCTTACAGTCGTGAGACGTGGTCGGATAAGATAGCAGACATAAAGAACAGACGGAAGTCTAGTCGAGAGGGACGCGAATGACGAGCAAAGAGACAATCAGACACTAGGTCTGGCCCCTGGCGAAGGTGGAAGGTAGGTTGAATGTAAAGGTGACAGAAATGAACAGTCTCTATTAGAGTAGGGCTCAATTTATCGGGCGGCTTCCATGTCGCCGGTGAGTTCGGCGACACGGGCCTTGATGCGGGCGACACGGGATTCGATGGCTGGGTAAGAAGGTCAGTAGGGAAACTAGATGATAGAATCACAGCAAAACTTACTCTCTTCACCACTGGTGTCTCCCTCGTCTGTGCGCTCCGATTGGCTGGTGCGAGTATCGGGCTCCTCAGTCGGGAAAGCAGTCCGCTGGGCAGCGTTCTCGCGAATCTGCTTCCACCGGTCCTCGGATGCGTTCAGGGGGCTGACAGCCTCGATCTTCTCCTCGTGACCATTGGTCGGGGTCTGGGGAAGTTCAGGATCAGCTGCCTTGTTGGGAGTGACGGGATCATCATCCTCGGGAAGGAATGCGGGCTGCTCAACCAGAGGACCCTGGTCGAATTTGGAGAACTCCTGGTCAGCTGCATCGCGCTCGTTGGTGTCGACACGGGACAAAGCGTCGTATTCAATAGCGCGGCGGGTCTGGGGCGGGCTACCGGAGCCGACAACCTGAGCCTGCTGCTTAGCCACGGGCTCGGGCTGCTGAGGTGTAGAGGGCTTAATGGGCTCCGCAGCAGGGGCTTCTGTCACAGCAGACTGTTGACCGGCAACGGGCTTCTTCTTGAGGACAGCTTTAGGGGGAGACTCCTTGACAGGGGCCTCCTGGGCAGCCTTGGCCTTGGCCTCGAGAGCGGCACGAGCAGCTGCCACGGCCGAGCTAGTGTCACTGACACCGACCTTCACAGGGGGCAAGTCAGTCTTCTTCTTGCTAACAAACATGCTCTTGAAGCCACCAGTGTTACCGGCCTTCTTCTTGAGCTTCTTGCTTTCATCGGCGGCAGCCTGGGTCTCAGACTCGGCGCTCTGCTCAGCAACAACAGCCTGCGAATCCTTGTCATTATCCTTGTTCTCCTCAGGAAAGGTCACGGCTTTAGCCAAAGACTTCTTAGCAGGCTCAGGCGAGGGTGGAAGCGGGGTGGCCACGGCAGCGGTATCCTTGGGAGGCGGCGGGGGTCCAGATTTCGATGTGCTGGGTGGAAGAGGAGCTGAAGGTGTCTTGGGCTTATCTTCCATTTGCTCGGGGATCTGCTCCTCAGCTTCCCCAGACACGGTACCGGTTCCGGCGCGGCTGTTGTTAAGATAGGCAGCACGGAAAGTGTTCTTATCGTAGTTGCTGGCCCACTTCATGGCCGATGAAGCCTCGTTCACAATGCCCGGCTGAAGAGTCAGGACTGAGTTAGTCTTGGTCGAGTAAGCGTCAGAACGCGATTGACGCCCGGCATCCTTTGCCTCGGCCTCTTGCTCACGGTTCTTTTTCTGTAGAGCTGCAGCCGCGGCCTGAATTCGCTTGTGCTGATCAGGACCAATGCTAGTCTTGCTCTGTGGGGCTTGGTTGTTGGCCCGCTTGTAGGAGTCCTCCACCGAGTCCACCTTCCTAGCGGAAGACTTTCGGCGACCGAGCTTATTTCCCTTCCGACTGCCGAAGCTGAAGAAACTTTTCTTCTCAACGATTTGTGCGCCTGCCTCCGGTTCAGGGGCAGCACCCTTGATCTGCTCCTCGAGAATCAGCCATTTGGTTTCCCGAATGACCGTCTCAAGAAGGGCACAGCGACCAAACACTGCCTTACGCGAAGACGGCTCATCACCAGACAGACTGGTGATCCAGACCCACCAAAACGAGTCATCTAAATCCAAAGTGGTGATGCTGGCCAGCTCAGCTGGCTCGAGGGCTGGTTCGGGGGCCAAAGCGCGCCTGTGCGATTGAGAGCTCTGGCCACGAGTAGCCGCGATCGGGGGTAGGACCTTGTCTGGCGGCAAGAGGAGACCAACCGGGGCCTTCAGTGGGCTATCATCCGAGAAGCCGGACGACATAAAGTCTGCCCAAGATGGGGTAGTGGGTCGTCCCAGATCACCACCCTGCGACCGAGGCGCAGTATTAATGCTAGCGGCAGGATCAGCCTTTGGGGCCGGAGCCTGCTTCTCCTCATCCTCGTCCGACTCAATGGAACCGCCAAATCCAATGTCCTCAAAACGAGACCATGACGCATCCCGCAAGCTGGTTGACTGCTTCGAGCTCGAAACACTCGACTCATTAGTTGATGAAATACATCTCAACACACGTAGACACTCGTCGGTCAGAGCTTTGATCGGATCCTCGAAGTTGGCAAATTCCTGCAAGTGCCAGTGGTCGTCGCGGTATTCGAAGTTCTTTGCGCGGCGCAACAAAGAAAAAGGTGTGGGAGAAACCGTATCAACAATCATGACAACCTTAGTGGTTGTCACTTGTAGGAGTGTCGGCGTCTCTGGGGGGTATTCGGTGGCCTCGACGAGCGATTGGAGGGAGATAGGTAGCGAAGAAATACCAGTCACACCACGAGGCATTTCGGGGGTAAGCGAGCGTAAGTAGGCAAAGAACAAGTGGCTTGTTGCATCGGCGGCACTATATCAACCAAAGTCAGGTTTATCCAAAAAGTAGAGTGATGGCGTTCATACGCAGCCCAGTTTTTATAGGAGGCTTCAAAGCCTTTTCCAGTATCATGATGCTCAAAAGCCCACCATCCAGCGTAACGAGACAGCTTGCGGCCACCAAGACCATTTGATTTGCCATGCGCCGCGATCGATGCGAGAAGGTCGAAGAAATCGAAGATAATTTTGGCGCGAGCATCAGTGTCGACGCTGATAGGAATGAAAGTCGCAAAAGCATCGCGGGCCCAATCCGAATCTATGGGATTTTTAGCGGATTTGTTACCCACCAAATTGTAGTTGATGCACGTACCTTGTTCGCCAACCTTAAACAGCTCATAAGCTTCCCAAGTAACGACACCGCCAGGCAATCTGCTCCAACACCATTTCAAAACACTGCAAAGAACCTGCGCCGTGAGTTAGTGACCGCCCTGCTGCTATCCCCAGGATACAGTTCTTACCATCGGCTCATTGAGCCGCAGCTCCTGCATCAAGGCATCTCCGCTGACCGGGGCACCCTGCTCAAAGGACTGATTGAAGTAATTTCGGATGAATGTACGGGCCGCACTAGGGTCGGAACTGGGACGGAAGGGGAGGAGCAGGAATGGGGTGTCGAGAGCTAAATTGAACGAATGATCAGCAATCCGAAGTATGCGCGTGGCAGCCGTGACACCACCACATGGTTGAAATAAAAATGTCGACCCACCTCGCGCCTTCAATTCCTGTGCACAGCCTCGAATGAGGTCTTGAACTTCCTCGGGGGCGACCTCTGTCCGCTGCCAGGCGTCGGTCCATTTTGGCTTCGCGGGGACCGTGTTCGCGGTGGTAGCTGGTTTAGCCTGCTTCTTCGTCGCGGTGGAGTCTTTGCTCCGGAAGACGCGAGAAAAGAACGGCATTTCGAAGATTCACGCGACCGCTTGGAGGAAGCTCGAAGGGAGGTGTGCTCGGGCACGCGTGTCGGGTAGCTCCGTTAATTTTTTTTTCTTGATCTGCGTCAACAAATAAACATTAGCGGGGGCATTTCAAAAGGGAACTGCAGAAGACCGACAGGTAATTCAACGATTGGAAGAAGTGAAGAGAAGAAATTAAGAGATAAACCCAGCCGGGATGTCCTGCAGCCCCGGGACAGGCTTTAGGCAAAAAAAAAAAAAAAAAAAAAGAAGGTAACGATCTCCTTAGGACGGAGTCTGTGCTCTCTCTGCTGGAGAGTAGGTCAGGGCAAAAGTGATCAACCAGTGAATCGAGATCAAAAGGAGAGAATAGCGAAGGAAATATGGATCATTGACGAGAAACGTCAAGACGCGAGATGTTGGTGACTTCAGGGGTAAAAACGGGATTGAATCACACTAACCGTTGGGTCTCGACCGCCCCCCTCTTTGTTGGGTTTTGGCAGTGTTTTGGTCCCTGTTTTTTTAGCTTTTTAGCTTTTTGATTCGTATAAGAAATTATCCTGGAAGAATAAGAAACTGCCTGCGAACCAAAGAAGGAATAAAGCGAAGACGAGTACAATGTGCGACCTATACACATGTGAAGCCTAAAACAATGTGCGGAGTGGATGATACCGATGGCGATCATCATCTCCAAAATTGACTTTCAGGATCCAGGGTTTAGGGGGTGTTTCATTGTTGTCTACGGAGTACGAAGTGCAGTAATTGGAATTGTTGATGGCGACGAAGCTATCATATGTACCAATGACCTGTAGCCATCTACTCGGTACTATATGGGTCAAATGGAGAGAATCAGATTGTACAGGTCTATTGGTGAAGCGGGAACCAATCACAAGGTTGAACCCCAAATTTGGCTGGATTGCTTTGTCATTGGATCTTGGCTTTCAAGGCTAGAAATAGTAATGGCTAATCTATAACTACCAATCTATATATTTTTATCTATATGCATCTATGCACTAATACTAAATGTTTTTATGATCCTACCCGCAGTACTACTGGGTATGAATGGAAGGTGGAACGTGGGAAACATTTAAGTTTCAGAACGGGCCACTGAATATCTTCCGGTTTATACTTCTTATGCTTAGACATTCAACGGCAAGATTTCAACCTGGGTCGGGAGCTTAGGCCAAGCCCCATGTGGCCCCAGTGATATCAGAACCGATTCAGCACTGACATTCTCCTGCTGGATATAGTTTTTTTAGGCGCGAAACCCTGATCGGGTGCTGTGTCGACCAATCACCGGGGCATCACGGGGTCCACTGTGATGGACATACATGAGTTACATAAGCCAGTTATTAATAGCCCCTCAGCCTCAGGCCAACACATGGCTTACCTCATCCCCTCCTTTCCTTTTTCTTTCCCTCGATAATGAATGATTCTATCTTTAGAATCAACCTTTCTGCATCGTCAATCAGCCCCCCCCATCAAGCTGGTACTCCACGGTCTCGCATCCGTGGTTCCCTTTGAACCCTTTTATCCCCACCATACTTCATTCCTTCCTTTGTTTCCGTTTCAACGGTTATCTACCACGAGTCTTAGACATTGCCCTCGAACATTCTGAAACCTGCATCGCGCAATACTTCACACACAGCTCTGCTACATGTCCATGTTGCGCTGTGGCATATAGACCTTTATTCTCGAGTAATTTTTGAGTCGCCTGTGCTGGTTGTAAAACTTGCCGTCCCCGACGAGGCGACTCCTTTTCCTATTCTATCACGCGCGTTTGGGGAATAGATCAAAATGGGTCGCAGAAAGATCGAGATCAAAGCCATCAAGGATGATCGCAATCGCTCAGTGTAAGCCGAGGATGCGTTATTATGTCTGATAAATGCTAATGTCTGTCGCAGCACATTTCTGAAGCGAAAGGGTGGCCTGTTCAAGAAGGCGCATGAGTTGGCTGTTCTTTGTTCCGTCGACGTCGCGGTCATTATCTTTGGGCATAATAAGAAGCTTTATGAATACTCCTCATGCGACATGCACGAGGCCCTCGGGCGGTACCAATATGTACGTGATACCCTCATGAATCAGTGGCAAGAGGCAATTGCTAACCGGTGTTACAGTTCGGTGGCCCACATGAGCACAAAGGCCCAGATGATTTCTCCGGCAAGCGCGACGATGACGACGAGGAAGACGAGGACCATACACCGGCTCCTGAGGATATGCAAATTCAACAAACTCACACGGCCGTTCCCCCTCATCTCCAGCAGCCCGGTTTCCAACATGTCAACCATGCGCCCTCTGCGTCTCCTCCCATTCCGAACGGTCTCCCGACGCGACATGGCACCCCGAATTCCCAAATCTCCCGCCCCTCGTCTAGAAATACCCAGAATACACATGTTCGTCGCGTTAGCTCAAACCTCGGCCCCCATCACGGTACGCCGCCGCCACCCGCGGCGCAGAATGGCTATTATATGGCCAATCCGTCTATGTACAACCCGAACGTCCACTCTGCCATGAACCAGCCACGCCCCGCCCAGTACGCTCAGTATGCTCATCCTCCAGGACCTCAAGGAACACCACCTCAAGGAATGCCTCACCCACACGGTCTACCTCAGCAAATGCCTCAGCAACATTTCCAGCACGCACATGCCGTTGCCTCACAGCAGATGGGAATGCCACCTGGATCACATGCGCCGGTACAGCAAGTCACGCAGGCCTATATGACGGATCAGGGGCGGGGCTCAATGCCTCCATCTTTTGCACCTGAAACCCAGAAGCGCAACATGCCCGAAATCCCCGAGCGTCCAGATAATCCGTCGGGTGGCCTGAAGCCGGATAGCCAATCACCGCCGCAGCCGAAATTTTTGTCCAAGTCTCGCAGCATTTTCACGCCCATTGACGACGGAGGATCCGTGCTAGCCCGGCATTTCGGAGCGGGTCCATCGATGTACGAATCACCCCGTGTGAACCAGAATATCAAGCCTGATACGTCACATGAGGCCTCAGGCCCTAAGCCAGAGTCTGGGAATGCTGTTTCAGAGCCTCCGCGTACACAGTCCATCTCCTCATCAGTTTCGGATATCAAGCCTATTCAGCGAATGAACAGTGGCCAGCTCCCTTCCAAACGTCCGCAATTGAAGGTTCAGATCCCAGATGAATGCTCTGATCGGGGTAGTGCAACGGCCGACTCCTCTTCACGAGATTCTGCTGGCAATAAAACAACACCTGCTCGAGGAAATGGCGATAACCCCACGCCGGGTGGTGTGGTCCTGCCGCCGCCTTCACCTTCGGCCGGGGCAATTCTCAGTGCGGGCGCCCAAGGCCCGCCGAACCCGTTCGCTCGTCCGCCACCACCAGTGACCCAGCCACACAACAACGCATTTGGCAATTCTATAAACAATGGCAATAACTCAAATAACATCGAGACGCCAATCTCCGCTCTTCCAAGTCGCTTTGTCTCGGATGCCCTCCTCCCGTCACCGTCCAGTTTCTTCCCGGAATGGGGTTTTGGCCGTTCGGGACCAGACTCAAGCCTTCTGCCTAGTCCCCTCAACTTCCCGACGCCCGCATTGCAAAGTGGACCAAGCTTTGCAAGGGAAGATGAACAGGACAAGAAGCGCAAGAGTCCAGACAGCGGGTCACAAGACGATGGCGCGAGTAAAAAACCAAAAACCTAGGGAACCCATTACTTCCTTTCAGCTCACCTCCCTTTACCCTATCCGATAACCATCTTCCTTACTCCGATATCCCGGTCGATATCATTTCCTCCCATCGTACACCTCTTTCATTCTTTCTTGATTCCATTTTTTCCTGATTTGGTTTGAGTCCAGGATCTTTATGCTCTTATACCCCGGCTTTATACCTCTTCTTTTCCAGTGCTACTCCATTTCTCATATTCTTTCTTTGATGGTTTCTGTTTCATGATTTTGATTCGATATATCTCATTTCTCTCATTGATTATTTACTGAAATTTCTCCGCCTATGAACCTTCCTGTTATGAATTTGTCTTCGTCGTGCTCGGTCGTCGGAAGTCGGCGTTTATCTGTTTCGCGTGCGTACGGATGATGTATATACAATTTGATCAGGATAGCAATGAATGTTCATCCAAAAACAGCTTATACCGGTGGACGTAGTTTGTATGACAAGCAAAGCTCCAAGGGCCCATTTCCCCACCCAATTGACCACATGGGCATCTAGAGTCTCCCAACAATTCCAAAATGAAAGTGTAACCCTAGAGGCCCTGTCCTTGCAATCACCGAATCAAATGCAGATCCCAACCATCTGTTTTCAACACCGAACTGGTCCTCGGCGATTGAAGGTGGGGGGTACGGATCAAACCCCGAACGCCGAGGACCATGAAGTATAAAACGTCGTCATTAACGAGTGAACCCCCGCTTCTCTTCTGCATCTTTGATTCCCACAAGGTACTCGCCAAACAACCTTAATTACTTTACTTCTTTACTACTATACAAAATGACTCTCACTGGTAGCTGCATGTGTGATGCTATCCACTACACCGCTGAAGGTTTGTGACCATGTGCAATCTACCATCACTAGGGTAAATAACTAACTAGACTCTTTGCAGTGGACAAGTACACCGCTGCCCTTTGCCACTGCACCGATTGCCAGAAGGTACCTTCAAACACAATTTCATGATTGAAATACTATACAAACACTATTCTAACAAACATAGTGGTCCGGAGGCGCATTCACCTCTAACGCCGTCGTTCCCCGCAGCAGTCTCAAAGTGACAAAGGGTGAGTCCAAATACCATAAATCCCCTCAATTCATCAACTCAGCAGTTACGCACACCCAAAGATCCCCGAACACTCTAACTCGACGTCTACAGGAACCCCAAACTCTTATGACGCCATCGGTGACAGCGGAAAAATCAACAAGCACTTCTTCTGCTCAAACTGCGGCTCAAGCCTCTATACCGAGCTAGAGATCATGCCAGAAATGACCTGCATTAAGGCTGGTGGTCTGGATAACAAGGAGGCCCACATGAACGGCAAGATTGACGTTGAGTTTTATGTTAAGGATCGGCCTAGTTATCTTGCTGCTGTTGAGGGTGCGAAACAGGAGCCCATGCTTGGCTAGATATCGAAGAGTTTATTGTATAAAATTCCAAGGAATTTGAGTTGGCAGGGAATTGGGGTTGTTCGGAGTAGCTTGATGGTCCGGTGTTTGATTGTGGGGTTCTGCAGTGATAAGATTGTGGATTGCGGATTGCAATGTGGGGGTGGGGTGAGTGGATCAAAGGCCGGATTTAGTCACTTGGTTGATAACGATAGCCAAAGGAATTGATATCAGATTCTATGAATAGACCCTGGTCAGCCATAATGCATGCTTCAAACATTGATTTTCATGTAGCTGTCATTAATATTTCGTCAAATCCGACCTGTCGCAAACGATCGCCTTCATTCACCGGCTTAGACCTCAGATGCTGCCGACTATCACCGACCAAAGACAAAAGAACGAGCGGAGAGTAACCCTTTCTCATCGAGTCTGTCCAAATATCTCCCGATACAGGTGATTTCCGCCTTATACCCGACTTCATCCATTTTGAATATTTGATACGCCACCTTGAGCGGGAAGAAGGTAGACGATGGACCAAAGAGTTCCATCTCATCTTGTAACAGGTAATCCATGCTCAAATGAATTTGTCTTGCGAGTACTACCATAAGCAGATCATTCTCAGCGAGACTTAAATGCAGCCGTCCTGGAGATAATGATTCTTTTGGCGATTCACGGGGGAGATAAGTGGATAGCCGCTTCATCTCGGCCATGTAGATGATTTTCAAAGCCCATAGATATGTAAATGCATTTGCCAGGGTGATGTTGGGATACCAGAAAGGGAGGGGTGCATATTTGGCATCGCCATGAGGCCAATAGGGTGGACACCCGTCAGCGCACAGTACTGTTTCAAAATTATCCAGGCGTGAAGCAAAGTTAATGAATATATCCAGTATTTGTTCAATACGATCAGGATGGCTGCTGATTTCCGGATTTTCAACCACCATATCAGCCTGATGCAGCAATGAAGGAAGCATGACAGCCTCATTAAGAAGCTGCTGCATAAGCGAAGGATCGAATCTAGAGAACGGTGTATCAATCCAAGCTGGTAAAGCTAGAAAGACTGGTTGGCGTTGTTGAATGGCTTGCATTGTCTGAAAATAATAATTAGTACAAGTATAATATCGTGTGAGTCAAGGGTACGTAAGAGGCACAAACCAGAAGAGGACGGAACCCAGCGAAAAGTTTATGACCGAATCCCTCTTTACATGCATCGGGCCCATAGGCTTGAAATAATAGTCCAGCAGCCTTGATATGCTCCGCTATAGCCGCAGCCGAATCTGGAATCATCATCTTGGAAAGTCAGCACCTGCAGATACTGGCCCTTAGCCTAAACACTTACCTCCGCCAAGGCGAGACACATGACCGTCGGTATTAATTCAAATTTCACACTATTACCATCCACACCGAAACTTTTCCGGAGTGTATGGATAGCTTCGTGGTAGGTATTGGAGTAATCTTTGTTTGCCATGTTTGGCCGCGATAGTATTGAAGCTGACAGTGCTTTGACGGCTCTTGTAAGAACTAAGCTGCCAGTATTTAGGCATGGAAGAATGGATAGCACCTCCACCCAGGACCCACAAATTCTAGGTTCCGAGTAATCTGAATTGTATACATTTGGTGATCTTTCGCTTCCCGGCACGAAACTTTGCACAATCAATGCCGAGAGGTGACTTGCATTTGGCTGGTCCGGATTTTGCCTGGGTAGTAAAGGAGCTTTGGCCAATATTGCAACTGACTGTTGACTGGTCACTGGTGTTGTTGTTGGTTCTACTGGATCTAATGCTTGGACTTTTTTCCGTCTTGGCATCGAAGTGTTTTGGGGCATAAATGTCCAGTCTGTTGGGTAGCCGTCACATTTGAGTCCTGAGAATGCACATTGGCCGCATCCAGGACTTTTTCCATCGCACTGGATAAACATAAGGTTAGAGTGTTGCTTATGTTTCGGGATTCGTGGTCCCTACCCCCAACTTTCGCTTCCTACAAGTCTGGCAGACGTTTCTGTGCTTGACCTTCATATTGACTTTGATGAATAGTTGCAAGTGCAGATGAGATCACATTGTCCGCTGTAGAGGTCTGTGCTAATCAGCAAAGAGGGGAAAAATCCACGTCTGCTTACGGTGAAAAATGGCTGAAGTGATATGTGATTACGTCATGTTAGAAGTCTTGGCGGATTTTCTAAAGTGAAGACTGAAGTATATAATGAAACTCTACTCAATCCCAAAACTAATCTCATTGTGTGTAGATCATCAAACCATAGAAGACAAATGTATTTAAGTTGTATTTAAGTCCGCTATCTCTACATTTGAGCTTGTTCTACGGAATCCGCAAATGCAACAGGAAGATAAACTTTTGGAAGGTTGAATAAATACTTCACATGAATTTTCACTGCGGACTATAAGTTGTGTAGCATGAGAAAAAGAGTTTTTTTAAATTGTTTGTCATCTTAGCCATCTTGGTGGTTCTTCAAACGTAACCTCATCACCCTCCAAAGCCAGACAGTACGCTCCGCTATCCTTCAAAACCATCCATCTCTCTTACAATCATGACTTCATCAACTTCTAAGGGTCACCTCAATATCACCCACATCGGTACAGCAACAGCCATCTTCGAGATTGACGGTGTGAGCTTTTTATCAGACCCTTCCTTCCCTCTCGCTCATATGTGAGGGATAGGAACACGGTCATGACAATGAAATCAACGTCCCTTGGACCCGAAGGTTTTTCCCTAACAGACGCCATCCTTCTCAGCCATACAAATCACTTAGATGAACGTGGCTGCCAGCTCTTTCATGACCGATACGTCTTCACCACCGTCGATGATGCGACTAAGCTCTCACTCCGCCCCGCTGTCTGTGGCACGAAGCCATGTATGACGGTCTGGGTCTGCCTTCAAGGCGAGACTATCGGAATCACGGCTATACCGAGACAGCACTCCCGCAGTGGTGAATACACCGTTTCATTTTGATGAAGGAAAGTTTCGGCAAGCATACTGATGGTTGCTTCAACTAGATATACTTTTTGGGTGGTGCGTCCATATGGAGGAGCTTGCCCAAGTCACTGAAAGATTGCAAACTGCCAATTACGGAGTGATTTAATAACGTATTCCATTAGCGAGTCAGGCAACCCGGTCGGCCCGGAGACTTCAGAACATATAGTAAACATGGATTCCAAAAAGGTTTATATCTCGGTGACCATGAATATAAAATGTATCAAAAGTTGAATCCACTTCCTTTATTACGAGTTTAAAATTATATATTTGGTGTGGGCAATTGAACCCAAACTTTCCTGACGTTACTATAATTTGAGTACGGGCCCACCGGGTGTCCATTCGCTAGTGAGATACGCTGGGGTGATTACAGTCTACCCAGTAGACTACAGCAAAATTAATTACTTTGATCTATTGATACCTATATCGGTTACTCTAAGTGGAACCTGTCGGCTAACCTAGGTCATATTCGAGAGAGATAAAGCGAATATGATTCGGCGTCAAAATAATGCGTTTTGACCCATCCCGACGTACAATGACGCCTCCATAGCGCGCGCTTAAGAACCAAAACGGCTAGTCAGTTAGGCATCATTTTAGGCAGCAAAGTCAGTTAGCTGGCCGCCTAGATTGCCCGCCGAGCCTCAGGGTAAGTTGATTGTTCCCTTGAGACACCTAGCGTATGAGTTCTGACTACAATATTGATCAAACGCGATCCAGCTGAAAAATGGAAGGCCTTTTGTCTAACGATAACAGTCCTGAGGAGGTGATGGCTCCCACTCAGCTTCAGCGAAATTTCCTTTCCAAAATCACGTCTGTGTTACGAAGGCCTAATAGCGTAAGTCATAATATCAAAAAGCTCGAAACGTACCTAAGAAATCCCTTACTTGACATCAATTTTGAATTACTGGGCATCTCACCGCTGTCAAAGGCGACAGCGAAATGTATAGTGCTTGAAAGGCTCTTGCAGCATGAAGCAATCGACTTGAACTTTTGCAACTCTGACGGCCGAACAAGCCTTTTCTTCGCTGTGAAAAACCCGCAAACCGATTCTTTAAGGCTTTTGATAGATAAAGGGGCTCTCATTGACCAAAAGGACAATGAAGGCCGTACTCCCTTATCACTAGCGGCAGAGCTTGGGTGCTTCGACCACGTCAAAATCCTCGTTGAGTCTAATGCGGATATCAATTCGGCGGATGGGAAAGGCTGGACGCCACTACACTGGGCATTTTCGATGTGTAATCATGAGACAGCGGAATACCTCTTTTCGAATCAAGACGTGAATAACGACCATCAAGATGTCAGCGGTCGGACACATTTGGTAATTGCTGCGGAGGCTGGAATTGGCGAAATGATAAGATACCTGCTTGCTGCTAAAGCGACGAAGCAAAAGCGATTTATTGGGATTGAACGCAACCTTCTGATATGGGCAATCTTTCAACAGGATGTCGCAGCTGTTCAGCTTTTGCTTGAAACCGACGAGAGCCTGATCAATCATCGTGTTAAAGGTCGCACTCCACTCTCGATGGCAACAGAGATTGGAGATTCTGAGATAGCAGAGCTCCTCGTTAGTGCAAGGGCGGATGTGCATGCATTAGATGAAGCCAAGTGGCCCCCGTTGAGCGAGTGGCTATTCAAAACTTATCTCCCACCTGATGATATTTTGCTCCAAGTTGAGCACTTTTCTGCCAATAATCATCCAACAAAGCAGCCAATCTTATTACTCGCAGCAGAGTTGGGGCGTATCGAAATTCTGAAACTGTTGCTCAATGCAAACGTCAACGTGAACTCGGTTGATGCAAAGCGGCGAACAGCGCTAGCATGGGCAGTTGAAAAAGGACATGATGCGACAGTCGAGATCTTACTAAGTATCCCGGGAATCTGTGTCGACTCTCGAGATGCGACAGGTCAAACACCCCTGATTATGGCAGCAAGACTTGACAGAACCAATATCATGAACCAGTTACTCATATCAAATGCAGCCATCAACTCAGAGGACGAACAGAAGTGGACACCATTATGCTGGGCTGTTGCAAATGGACATGTGCGGGCAGTGAAGCTTTTACTAAGAGCATTGGGAAGTTGTGTGGGCCACCAAGATGGACAAGGTCGTACTCCTTTTTCGCTGGCTGCAGAGCGTGGATTCATCCAGATCATGCATTTGCTCATCGAAAATGGATCGGATCCCCATGTTCCAGATAACGAAGGTCATACGGGGTTTTGGTGGTTTCTCAGAGCAAGGCATGATTTGTACATCAGCTCTCCAAATAATTTGCTCCGGCCACGGCATGGTGGGGTTGTGAATCCGGTCATTCTCGCGGCTCTGATCCGGGCTTTACCAACTCCAAATAAGAAAGATCAAAGCGGTCGTAGCTGGCTCTCATGGGCGGCTGAATATGGTGACGACGAAGTGGCGAGGCACTTTCTAAAAGATGAGCACAAGTCAGACAAAGTGGACATAAATATTTGTGATGGAACCGAAGACCTCTTTTCCCGAACTCCATTGATTTGGGCACTGGAGAGCGGCAACAAGGCTTTGATTGATATGTTGAAAGACCGTGACACAATCACTTTGCATTTGTTGGTTGAAGGTGTCAGTTCAATCGAAAAAGAGAATGTTTTGGGATTGGTGATGACCCTTCATAAGGCAGAGTATGATTTCAACCAGACTGACCAGGAAGGAAGAACCCCCCTGCACCTTGCATGCCTCAACGAAAGCCAGGAGCTTGTTTCAGCTTTGATCAAGGGCGGGGCAGATATAAATTCCACAGATTACACTGGCGAGACCCCTTTGCAATGTGCTCTGAAAGTGCGAAGCAAAGCTCTCGTAGATCTACTGCTTGACGCTACATCAACAGACCTCCAGCCCGTGCAGTCCCATGAATGGTTTAACATGAGAAACAGGAAGCCTTTGTGGGTTCAAATAACTAGGAGGTTTCGAGGCCGCAACCATGAGTTGGAATTAATCGACCATGATAAATGCGACTGGTTGCCTAGAGCAAAGGAAGAAAGATTAAGGTGAGTGACATTCCTGTTCATGAATCACCGCTCTTATAACTGAGATCTAAGCCTTTGCGAGACATCGTCAAAATGGTCAGACTTACCGCAGACGCTTGGTGTTCATAACAGACTCCACACCTTGAGTTGTTACTGGAGCTCTGCTCATAAAGATTACGGCCATCGGTCCATAAACTATATCTCGCTAGCCTTTCCTGGTGGGGTTCCGTGGGGAATAGCCTGGATTAGGAGGAGGACAGCGGAAGGCTATGCCTACGGATTTATCAGCACGCTTTCTAGTGGCTGGGTTCCTAGAGTTCCATTAGAGTTTTTCAAACTGTTCCTTATAGATTTACAGCAGCAATGGAAAGCAAGCTGCGCTGTCGCCAATGAGAGGGTTGAGTTACTGGTTTGTTATTTACACTTTTATTGGGCTCAAACGGGGTGAACCATGAAGCTAACCCATGAGGGTCTATCTGCTAGAGACATGATCAAATCAAGAGACGTGGGAGGAGCCACGGCTTCATTGATGAGCTCGCCAAGAATGCACTGGGGCGTGCAGATCTACGGCAATGCCTGAAATCGCACATTGAAGGACTCAATAGATTGGTTGACACTAACGTTCCATTTAAGCCGGACTCACAGATCAGAGCACTCATGGACGGAATTGACCAGAAAGTGACGGCAAATCTTGACACAATGGAACAGGCGGTACGAGATCTGTTGCAAATTGTGCGTAAACTCACCAAAGCCTCTCTTCTTCCCGGTACTAAAATCAACCTAATAGGAGCTCGCATGGATTTCTACAAACGAGGCGGCAAGTTTTAAGCGTCTCAGCTGGATAACTGTAAGTAAAGTCTTACAATGACTCGTGGGGCTATTCAATTAAAGAATTCCGATAGTTCATTTTTCTGCCATTGATGTTTGTTTCGGTAAGTCGTCTGGTATATTCTCATAATCTTCTTATCCGATATCTTTGGCTAATTGGAATAATAGAGCCTCTTTGGTATGAATATAAATCTGCTTCAAGATAATCCGGATTGGAGGTGGTATTTACTTTTTGGTGGTTTGACGCTTGTTATTACTGCCGCTATATGGTTGATCTCCAAGTGTATTCCTGTGGGTATTCTAGCTCAAGCTATGTCATAGCAAGAACTGACATCTATCTCTTTTTAGCAAGTAGTACAAGGTATTGCAACTTGGAAACTGGGTGTGTTCTTGCGCGAGAGAAGAAACAAGAGGAGTTCAAATTCTTCAGTATGACTCCAACGAGCTTTCTGGCTTCGAGTATATTAAGCGATATCCCAATGCAGTGGCTCATTGTGATATCCGTGTTGTTCATATATAGGCTACAGCTGGTCCTTGATTATGCTTATCCTTCCATTTTATATTATTGATAATTGCTGTTTCAAGTCTATCTTTATAACCATAATGGTTGAGAATTTTAATAGAGAAGCGGTTCAGTCCAGATTAGACAGGACTTTCTTCGACAGCGGACGAATCAGGATTCTGGATTCTCTTATCCTTCCAACTTGTATGTCACAGGCAAACTCGGACAGATTTTTAAGATAACCTTTGTAGAGCTCGTACTAGCCCAGGCCACTTCAATACTCTAGACGGCGTTTTTAGGAAAGAGGAAGCTGACGCCGTAGCTCAGCGATTGTTTCTTCCGTGCCTTGTCAATAGCAGTTTCATCAGACAATCGAATGAGGAAGGCGAAGTCAACACAGCAGGCATTTTGCTGTCTGACACGGCGGAAGGAATAAGGGGGAGCGCGACAAGGGTGTTTACCAGCTTACTCACTGATACACCCCTCGTGACTCCACCTTAGCGTCCAGGGCATCATTACCTTTGACCGAGGCGGAAAGATGAAGTCCAGCCTTGGCATCGTTTCGGCCCCCAACCTCATGCAGTCTCTGCGCAGCGATGATACATCGGCTTCCACCCTGGGTGATTTTGCCTTTGTTGCCGACTTCATTTCCTAAGAGCCTAGCTTGAAGCTCACGATGTTACCTCTCAACTTGCCAAGTGAGATATTAGTGGCTATCGCAGATCATCTCGATTCGCTGGCGGAAATCAATGCCTTTGCCCGAACAAATCGCCGTTGCTACGGTGCCCTGAATCGGCATCTCTATCGTTCAGCTGACCCTTATTTTGAACCCATTTGGGCCGTTGAGCATGGGCGAGTGGCAACATTGAGACATTTCATCGATGCGGGGTGTATTGCTTCCGCTTATTTCGCCGAGAGCCTTCTCAGGGCTAGCGCATCCCAGGGACATGTCGAACTCGTCAAGCTTTTTATCTGTTATGGTGAGAAATTTCGCGGTGATCCGGATTTTCACTGCCAGAATGCGCTAAGTGCAGCGATCCAAGGGGATCACTTTGAGGTGGTGGAGCTTTTGCTCGGCAATGGAGCGGACCTGGACGGTCCATTTGAGGAAGGGAATAAGCCATTTGATCTTGCAATTCAAAGCGACAGTGGACCAAAGATCGGGTTCCTTTCTCGCATTGGTGTCGATTTCTTTCAACTTGGTCCTAATAAATTCACTGCTTTGCATATCGCCATCAAGAGTCGGAAGCTGAATTCCGTGGAAGCATTGTTGCAGTGTGGCCTCAATCCGAATGCGGTTGACGGGTACGGGAACGCACCCATCCATGGTCAGGGCTACTTTGGTTATCCGGGTTATAAGAAAACGTTGAGTCAAGTCTTATTGGAACATGGCGCCGATCCTTACTTGAAGGATGAGAATGGTTTCATGCCTCTATGGCTTGCCTCATATAAGGGATTGGAACGCGAAGTTGAAAGCCTCTTAGAACACGGAGTCGACCCCAATGGGTTAGATCGTGAGGGTAACCCACAGGTTCCCATTCCACTCGGAGACCTCGAACGAAACAAAAGTCAAAATCGAATAGTATCCGCCCTTAAACGAGGTGCAGACGGCGGAAGAAATTGCTGCATACCACTGTGTATTGCTGCTTATAATGGCAGTTACGGTGTACTTAAGGTATTGCTGGAATATGGAGCCAATCCAAACCGAATGGACCCTACAGGAGCGTTGCCACTCCAACTGGCTGTGTTATCAAAGGAGCACAGCTTGGTAAAGCTGCTTACTGAATATGACGCTTCTCTGGATGCCCAGGATTGTCATGGTAAGACTGCACTTGAATGGGCTTTAGTAGAGGGCGGCCATGAAATGCTGGATATTCTCTTCAAAGCGGGCGCCAGTATCGACAGCGCAGGCTCAGGGAGCATTGATCCAATACTCCGTGCGTTGGAGTATGGCAACTCTAGATCTGGATGGAGTGCGTTTCTTCCATCAGGTATCGTTGATACGGCAGACGAAAGAACTACTTTTTCCAATCGAAAAAGCGGGAACTTTTCCGGGTGTACGTGTTCCTGGTGTACAGATTGCCTGGATGGCGGCAAACCTCACGAGTGCGAGCGCGTGATAAAACTATTTCTTCAACATGGATCTAAATTGGATTCTCGAGACAATCAGGGTCGCAGTATACTGCATCAAGCATCATTCCAGATGTGTGTAGGTGCAGTCAAATTTTTGCTTGAGCAAGGGGCCGATCCTATGTCGAAGGACTCGTTCGGTCAAACACCCCTTCATATGGCGTGCGCTGTCGGACCGGGAGAGGACTCAAAGGTATTTGAGATGCTACTTAAGGCGAGTTCTGATCCCAATCACAAAGACGTGAATGGTGATACCCCTCTCCACATGGCGGCTCGAAGTGGTTTTTCCAATGGGATCTATTTACTCAGACTGGATGGCCGGATCGATTTCGCAGCTAGAAATAGCCGTGGCAATACCCCTTTGCATGAAGCAGTCGATCCTGAGAACTGTGTCACTTCTGATGAAGTTATCATTGAGCTACGCAAAGGTGGTGCTGATCTCACTTTGGTGAATTACAAAGGTCAGGCTGTTTGGGATCTAGCACAGGAAGACGATGTCAATCGTGCTTTATCCTGCGAGTTATCAGAAGACGAATCTGAATTTGAATCCAACGTTGACTCTGATGGACATTCGGAGTCTATTTCAGTCTGAAGAAATATTAAATAGAGTCTTAATAGCTTGAATCTTTACATCTCTGTTTGTCTACGGGGTAAGCTGACCAGTGTTCTCTCCCGTCATAATCTTACCCCAGGTCAAGGCTCGGCAATTTTTCGAGTTCAAACCCCACAATTGATGAGATGCAGGGGCAATTACGAGCTTCTTTGGGTCACCAAAGGTGTACTGACGATACAAAACCAATCATGAGATACATGAAAAGTACCAATCTTCAGTCATTCAGACTAAAATATAATGAGACCCAAAAGTATAGTCAAAGGTCCCTATGGATTCTTTACATCACGGGATCCAATCTTAGAAGGAGCTAGAAATAATAGTATTTATACATCAAGACAAGTGTCCTGGGGTGCGTGTCAAGCTTGTTTCCAATGTACAAAACAGTCGACCTACAGGGGTGGGGTGATTAGCGCTTGGAACCCATACATTCAGTAACATACAAGCCCACTTGGACACTTGTACGACATGTGTACAGTAATTACAGAGTGACCTTAAAAGTAGAGATGCAGGTCTGTAACAACTGACTGTTCCATTCAAGCTTGGGTAGGTGGATACCTGCCAGGATTGGATAAATGGAAGATCTGCTGGCCCCCACTGAATCTGAACCCCACACGCAACAAAGCTGCCCATTCTGCCAGATTGAGTCAAATGCATCTTTCCTTTACTTTGCCATAACCCAGATCGCTCTCACATTGAAATTCCAGCACAAGATGGACTTTCAGGACCCCGAGGACTTGGTATCCGCAGCTCAGATGATCCGGGATGCATACCTCGAAATCGCGTATAGTGCACCTCTGTCAGTCAAACAACAAGCAACCATCCGGAATGATCCCGCCATTGGCTCCCTTTGGGTCAGCAAATGTTCTCTTCCCAGCCCCAAAAATGATACCTCCCGCGATGCTCTTGACCCACTTTTACTATATGCTCAACAAATGCCCAGAGAGCGTAGTCTGCGTTTTATGTTCGTCTACATGCTTTGTTGAGCATTATTTCAAGGTCTCTACAAAGTATTAAACATACGTCAATGTAGCATTATTCGCTCTGCGTCTGCCCTTACCTCAAACATGTCCTCGTACATAACATGCTACCAATCACAATTCAGTCTGACACCTAACTGCTTTACGATAATTTCAGGGTTCATCTATAACCAAAATGCAGTATTCATAAGCAATCAACCAAATTCTCGGTGTTTGACATTTCTGGTCCTTCACTGGAGGTCTGATTAAAGTGGAATTCGACCCCACATTTCGGCCTTTGATGGAGCCGATAGCAGCCGAAGCATGACATCAATTCTCAGAGCCAGGCAAACCAACATTTCGAAACACCTATGTGCAGATTTGACAAAAATCTGCTCCTATCCCGATTTTTGCTCTCATTTGCAACCCACGGTCCATCAGAACCAGCAGGATGTCACATCAAGAAAGCATAGACTCCCACATCTCCCGCCGAGCCCAAACCGCCGCGGAAGATTCAGCCAAGAACATGATGTGGGACATAATGAACGACACTTGGAACCCAACTATTAGCCCCAATGGCTACGTCAACGTCGGAGTAGCCGAGAATGGTCTCATGCACGACGAGCTCCTAAAATTCATCAACACCAACCTAGAGCTTCCGGCAAGGTTCCTCACCTACAATGACGGAGGAGGCGGATCAAACAGATTGAAAATCGCCATGTCCAAATTCCTCAATAGACACTTCAATCCTGTCATACCGCTTAATCAGAATCATTTCGTCATCACGAACGGCGTTTCACCAGCAATCGAGCATGTCTCTTGGGTTTTCGCGGATCCCGGTGAAGGAATCCTACTAGGACGACCTTATTATGGTACTTTCATTCCTGATATCAGTCAGCGGCCCGGAACGACAGTCGTACCTGTTAGTTTTGGGGAATGTGATCCTTTTAGCTTGGAAGCCGTGGAAAAGTACGAGGAAGCGCTGAAGTACTTCCAAAGACGCACCGGCAACAGAGTAAAAGGCCTGATGCTTTGTCACCCGCATAACCCGCTTGGGCGCTGCTATTCACGTCCGGTACTCATCGAGTTGATGCGTCTTTGCCAAAAGTACCAGGTACATTTGATTAGCGATGAAATTTATGCGCTGTCTGTTTGGGAAAATACGGTCGATGAGTCTCCGGCGCCGGTGGAATTCGAATCCGTTTTGTCCATTAATTTGGACGGCATTATCGATCCTCAATTGGTACATGTGCTTTGGGGTATGAGTAAGGACTTTGGCGCGAATGGGATTCGTCTAGGAGCTATCATTTCTCAGGCGAATCGGGACCTTCACGAGGCGTTGAAGGGCGTTTCTTTGTATTCTTATACTTCTGGCATTGCTGATCATTTGACTTCGTTGCTTTTGGAAGATGAAGACTTTACGGAGACTTATGTTAAAGAGAACCAGAAGAGATTGTCGGTGGCTTATGCGTTTACCGCGGAGTTTTTGAAGAGGAATGAGATTGAGTATGCGCCTGGGGGCAATGCTGCTTTCTTTTTATGGGTCAATTTGGGGAAGAGATATAGAGAGCTTCGACCTGAGATATCGGGGAATGATGAAGTAGGGGAAGTGGTTATGCAGCGTTTGTTAGAGTATAAGGTGTTTCTGGCTAGCGGTGGGTTGTTTGGTTCGGAAAATGATGGATGGTTTAGGATTGTCTTTTCACATCCTCGGGATTACTTGGAGGAGGCTCTTGGTAGGATTGTCAGTGCTTTGCAGAAATAGTCACTGAACCGCTTGATTAATATGAACATAAACTTGGAATCTAGTGTCTAAATTTCTAATATCTATTATCTATTATAATGTGCCAACAAAGAAACACACCTTCCTGCCACATACCCATCCAAAGCCCAATTTCTCGAGCACTTCCCCAAAATCATCATACATGCCAACAAAGACTAGACCTCAGTAGGTCACATCTCAACCTCAAACTTTGACCTCAACCTCATTCGTAACAGCATACTTACTCCACCTCCGAATAACAGGTCCAAACTTATAGAAAACATAAGGCACAGGCACCATAATAGCACTAATGCACCCAAGGATTGTTAAAGTCCAATGAACCCCCATATTCTTGTAGAACGGCATTCCAACAACCGTCATTCCGCCAGCAGCACAGTACCGTGAAACAGTCATGAATCCCAGCGCCGACGCCGCATAGATGTCATAAGAATCAATGACATACATATACGAACTGATAAACACACAGATCGTACCAAGGCCGAAGCATGACGAAGCAATGATGGGCGACCAAATCGAGATAGAAGAGAAATCCGTCCAACCCATCCAAAACAACGAGATAGGAATGAACGGCGCTCCAAACATGGCGAAAAGAAGTCTGATTTCAGGGTCCGTGTGCACGCCATCCAAGGCATGTGGATCAACAGAGGGATCGGAGCCAGTTACAACTTCCGCAGCAGCTGTAAAATCCTTCTTCGTATGCACGTAGATGATCGGGACGAGGATCGCGCAGAGGAGAATACCGACGTACATCGCGGCCCAGATGATGTTCGTCAAGCCTTGCGAGATACCATATGTATCGGTGAAGATATAAGTGTACCCATCAAAGAAAGTGAAGAGCACGATATACAACACAGTCATATAGAGCGAGATAAGAAGGATGATTGGCTCATGAATCGTGATGAGGAACTGTCTCTTCATAGCCCCGCCAATGCGGCTGAACAAAGCCACTTTCTCCAGATCCATTTCTGAGCGGAAGCGTTTATCTCCCGTGATCTTGCGTAGCTGTTTGCTCTTCCAGTGCAGAAGCAATGGGGCATATGTCTCGGGTTGGAACAGGATAATGAGTACCATGACTAGACCTGACCCGATGAGGATGATCCATCCACTCCAGCGCCAGGAGAGGACTCCTGTTTGCCCGACATAGTTTGCTAGGACAGGACCGAGGACCGGACCTCCGAATGAGAGAACGGCGTACATAGGGAAGTAAATTGTCTTCTCAAGCGGGTTCCATAGATCTGCAATCGTACCGCCTGCACATGTCAGTGGTGGACAACCGAAGACACCAGCTAAGAAGCGGAACGCAAGCTGGGCGCCGATGTTAGGTGCGAGGGCAGATCCCATGACGAAGATCATGAATAGGGTTAAGGAGCCAATGTAGACCAGGTTGCGACCTAGGATCTCGGAGAGCGGGCCACTGAATAGAGAACCGAAAGCAAAACCTAGTAGGTAGAGGCCTGGATTATGTTAGTGAAAAATTCGTTGGTATAGTATGGGACTAGGTGTTTACCATCTACCAGCGAGCCTACTACATCGCTGATACCAAATGCCGCATTGTTCTGTGGTAGAACGCCTGAATTGATTGAAGATGCTGCACCAACAATAAAACCCAACGCAGACACGATCAACGTGGCAGTCAGACGGCGGGCAAGACTGTAGTTTCGTGGGTGTTGGGGATCATTGACACCATCCCAACCAACGACAAAGACGCGACTCGGCCGATCGGAGGAGTCGTCGACATGAGAACGGACCTCAATGCCTGGAAGGTGGTACGCGATGGCAGTTTTTTCGGAGTTACGAGTATGGCTTTTACCGAGAGCGTCGTGCGAGGGAATATCGTTATCCTCCTCGATCTGGTCTGAGTTCACACTGGCATTTTCAGCTGCAGTGCTAGCTTCAGAATCGCTCGGAGTCGAATCGGTCTGTTTTTCGCTCGCATTCGCGTTCGCGTTCGCACTTGCGATCACATTCTCGGCTTCTTTATCGTTCACGCCCTTCTGTTGCTGCTGAAGCGGAAAGTCCGCCAGTTGTTTTCGGACCGCATTGCCTAAGCGACGATACTGCAGATAGGACTGCATTTTCACACCTCCGGATTAGACTGATTTTTGAAAATCTGTGAGTTGTGTTCTCACCGGTTGTGCAAGCCAATCTGCAGGGTTAGTATCCCTACAACGATTGGCCTTGTAGTGTCGTTCTCGCCCGAGTATAAAATGGGTGGGTCAGAGGAAAATAGAGGAACGGAAAAGAAAGGCGCGCTCGGCCTTTTAAGAATTCATGGTTCCAGTGCTGAGAAATCGAGTTTGTCTGGCCGGAGACATTTCATTTCAGGATCTGCACGGTTGTGGGTCTCTTGCGTTGCGTTTTCTCGGGCCGATCAGTGACTCAATATTGTCGGAAAGCGTAATTTTCGCCGTTGTTGTGAGGTGGTGGCTTCGTTACCGGGTTGGCGAGATGAAATCATTGATAAAGGTGACTCGAGCTAGATAAATCTGATTTTTGCGTCTTTTGGCTATGAAACTGGAGTAAGAATGCGGTATCAAATGGTTCAAAATTCCAATGGCTAAATTTCGGGGCGAAATGCTTGAGTCCAAGTGGATCTTGGATTTGCGTTCGGCGGGTTGTCCGACCGAGACTATCGGGGAGAAGGGGGATCTCCGAACCATTGTGATAAAGTCTTATCATCCCTTGATTTGTAAAATATCATATATGTTCGGGATACCGATAGTAAGAACAAACGTGAGATCATGCCGAAGCAATGTAGATTTTAAATTAAATACAATGAATAAGATATGTGCAACTTGATCATATAACCGAAGTTGCTATGCATTCAACCGTGACATCATGCAAGTGTAGAAAACCATCAAACACCGCAAATGATAGACCATCGATCGCACCCGTATACCGCCAGCGGTCAAAGGTAGACCTGATATTATACAATAAAATGTAAGGGGAGTTATCCAAGAAATAATGCATATTTAAGCCTCCTCCTCGGGCTTGCCCTGAGCCTTGCGCTGCATGTCAATCAGATCCTGTCGGTTGCGCTCCTGCTGATCAAGACCAGTCTTTTGGACAGTGTGAGACTTGCTCAGCACCTTCGGGCGGATGAGAAGGGACAGGAAAAAGCCAATGCCTCCGACGCAGGTGTATAGGATCCACATGCGGCTTAGAGCGAAGGTGAACGCCTCGAGCACGACTTCGCGCTGGGAGTCGGTCAGACTCTCAATGAGAGACTTGGAAGAGCCAGAGAATGAGGATGAGATTGTCGCGGCCTTCTCAGCTCCAACGGCAGCGATCAGCTTAGCTGATTGCTGACCCATGACGTTCTGGTAGACGACCGTGCCGAGGACGACGGAAATAGAGGTAGAAAGTTGGCGGACAAAGCCGAAGGTTGCAGTTGCAATGGCCATATCGGCGGGGCGGACGTTAGCCTGGAATGCGACCAGTGGAGCCTGGAAGTTGGGTCCAATACCGATACCGCCGATAAGCTGGAAGATGATGATGCGAGACCATGATGCGTATGACTTGAGGTCGATGAACAGGCCAAAGCCGAGAGTCATCAAGAAGAGACCTCCTGAGATAAGTTCACGGTACCGACCGGTCTTCTTCATAACGACACCAGTTGCTGCGGAGCCAATTGATAGTGCGAGAACCAAGGGCAGGACGTAGACACCACTCATGATGGGGGATGCCATGAGGACTGTTTGGAAGTATAGTGGAAGGTAGTAGGTTCCAGAGATGAAAACGAATCCGTGACAGAAGCAGACCAGGAGAATCAGGACGTTGTACCATTCGCCGAAGAGACGGGTAGGGATGATGGGGTACTTGGCGATTTTCCACTCGGCGAGGAAAGCCAGGACCCAGACCACGATACCAAAAACGATCAAGCAGATGACGGTGGCAGAGGCCCAAGGGTAGTTGACACCGCCGAATTCAAGACCGAAGAGGAACATAAGGGTACCTCCAATAATGGTGAAAGTACCAATCCAGTCAACGGTACGCAAACCAGCCAACAACGGGGTCTTGGGGGATTCAATGTGAAGGAAGAAAAACAGGATGACAAGCGAAACACCACCGATGGGCACTAGAAGCTCATGTTAGTAAACTGCAGAGAAAGAATAGATCGGAGCTGCTTACAGTTCACGTAGAAGCACCATCTCCAAGTGACATCGGTCGTAAAAGCACCACCAACGATAGGACCCAGTGCACCCGCAATAGCCCACGTAGCACCGAAAATGCCATAGTACATAGGCCGATCACGCATACTGAACAAATCAGAAACACTGATATTGGCCAGAATGATAATGCCACCACCACCAATACCCTGAACCGCACGACCAGCAATGATCATAGGCAAGTTCTTCGCCAAGGCGCAGATCAAACTGCCGACCAGGAACAAGACGTTAGCCATCAAGATGATCGGCTTGCGACCCCAAATATCAGAAATCTTGCCCCACAAGGGAATACAGGCGGCATTGGCGAGAAGGTAGGACGCGGCGATCCATGAGTATCCACTTTCGGTAGCATGGAAATTGTCTGCGATCGTGACTAACGCGGTTGAAATGATAGTCTGCAAAGAAATTAGCCAATATTCTTAGTCATTTGGGATATGGCAAAAGTAAGCATACCATATCTAAAGCGGCGAGAAATAGTGCCATCTGAAATATGAAAAATTAGCTTTCGGATATGCATGAAATCCCCCGCGCGAAACACGCGGGTTCGGATATTTCTTACACAAAGTGCTACCATCACCAGAATGATCTTCTTGTTGCCCATTTTTTGCGCAGACGAAGGAGTGCGATCGAGAGGAGCTCCAGACTGAGCATTTTCTTTTGGCGCATCAATGGATGTCGGCGAGTCAGGTTCAAGTGCAGCTTCGGCTTTCTCCTCCACATTCTCATGGTTTTGCTCCGGCGCCACAGCCTCCAAAGAACGTTTCTCATTCAACTCATGAGAAACAACGGTGTCGCCAGTCGAGGCATTGCTCGGCGCAGCTTGCGCTTCGGTCGTCATGGTGTCTGAGGTGAGGACCAGAAAGAAAAAAATCAAGCGGGGGAATAAATGGTGGATATGTAGGCGCAATGCGTCAAGTGACCTGTTCCGGATCGATTGTCCCGACGCTCGGACGGTGAGTTCGTTGGATGTTCACTTTTGTGAAAATTTTCGATATACCGTTAAAGCGACATGGCCCCTTTTTTATAAAGCTGGGAAATTTGGTGTTCAAAGGAAAAAAAATAGCAGAAAAAGCCTATCGGGTTAATTATGGGTCTGGACCTCCACTTGAGGAAAAGGGTGCCTGCGGGAGTTTGGGTTGGCCGAACGGCCGAGCTCCGTTGAGTCCGAACTGATTTGTCCGAGCTTATGCGAAAGCGAATCGAGATCACCGTGCCACGGTTACCCTTGCAAAGTGTAGCGGTCAGTTTTCTAAGCTTGTTCCAAGATCCTGATGAACCGGGGCTCGAACATTCGGCCAAGCCTGGACGTGTATACTTCCTTGACGTAAGGGGGTGTGGGTCGAATCTGTAACGGGACAAAACTCCACTCGAGTGCTTGATTTCGGCCTTTACATTTGTTCGCTTTTCTCGATTGAGCACCGCCGCTTGTAGTTGAATTTGTATCTGAGGTTTACAAAAGTGAGGTGAAGTTGATGATCGATTGATATGCCAAATGATTTTATAGTTGTGCAGCATATTGTGTGACAGCAACTTGTCGGGAAGTGGAGACTATCATGTCATTGAGACCCTCCATGGCAAATTATAGTCGTACGTATGCTTAGAAGTCATGTGAAAGTAAATAGAAGAAATGAAAATCAAGATTCCATATTTGATTATTTGAAACAGATATAATCCCAAATCGAACACCTCTATGATTCCGGACGCCAGAAACGTGGATCAATTTGGGTGAGTCTACTATCACCATATATACATACGTATGGACGACACGTGTTGATGGAGATACAACTGACGAAGCCTCAGATCAAGTGAAACAGCCGTACTCGGGTGAATGCCAGTATTGCTCGATCTCATCGGCATCACTCAGTGGAGACTCTATCAGAGAACTAGATGAAGGGTGGGGGTATAGAAGGGAGAAAAAAATGCATAAACCACCAATGATCAAAACAATGATGAAGTAGGGTGAAAGAAACGGGAAAAGAAGACGAGTCAAAAGATTAATCCTGGAGTTGAAGAATTTCTACAATATTGTCAGCCCGGGCTCCTGATTAACAACACAGGAAGTATTTGGTAACCTACCAGTCAAGAATTCCTCAAAGCTCACGGTAATGTAACCGTCGCGGTCGTCATCGTAGCGCTTGAACACATCCGTCATGCGCTTCAAGCTGATACACGCCTGCACGAAGAGATCGAAGCTCATACCATGATGCTGAGGGCTCCGCGGCGCCGCATTCAGCTGTCGCGTCTTGCTCTCAAAGATCGAGAAGAGTACGGAAATAAACTTTGGGCTTAGACGGTATCCAAACGCGACCAGCGCCTTCTCAAACTCCGGTAGGCTAATGCGCCCGCTGCGATCTTCGTCAAACCGATCAAACAGTTCCCGCCAAGCAGCGAGATACCGCCACAGAGAAACGAATTCGTCAAAGCTGATGATGCCGTTGCCTTCACGGTCGAACATGCGAATCATCATCTTGACGGTGCGCGGGTGGAAGGAGGTGTAGTCTCCGTTCACGAGAGCAGAGCCGAGCTCATGCTCGGTCAAGGAACCGGAGTGTGACGAGTTCGCCGCACGGAAGAGGGGATATAGCTGTTGAGGATCATCGCTAGGGACTGCCAGTGGTGGGGGAGCGGGTGATTGAGGAGGACGAGATGAAGGTGGGGGTCGGGGGCGGTTTGCTTGCGATGGAGGCGGACCAAAACCATAATTTTGGGGTGGTGGTGAGGGGTGCAAAGGATGCGGCCTGGGTTGACCTGATGGGGTATATTGGTTTGGTTGGACAGCTCCGGGTGAAGGGCGACCGTTGTAGGATTGTGGTGCCTGGAGCTCTGGGCGCGGGGCAGGCGAGCTATACGGATTGTGCTGCGGGGGAGCGCTGGAGACGGGTACGCGAGGGGGCACGCCTCCGCTAGGGACGCTCTGAACTGGTGGACGAGTTGGTAGTGGTTTCTGTGCTGCTGCTGGTCTCCCTCCCATTTGCATGGACCCGATCATCTGCGCGACCTAAGGGATGGTTTAGCAGGAGCATTGAATGCTGTCATGGCCTGGAAAAAGCTACCTGTTCTGGCTCAGCATGCCTGTATCAATCCACCAAGTCAGCGACCAGGAAACTTTCCAAATTATCCAGTCATTTGCACTTACGCTGGCAGCGCATCGGGGTTGTAACTCTTGTTGTAGGCCATGGTGACGCAATTAGGCTGCAAGAAAGGACGCGTGTCAAAGGGCGAGCAATTCTCGCCCTGACGAGGAATTGAGGATAAGGATGAAGGAACGTAGTCTTCACCTGGCGAAAGGAGTGAATGGGAGAAAAGAAATTACAAAGTTCGCTGGGAAAGGAATGCGAAGTTGAACGGTTCTTGTTAAAGCGGAGCCGTGGGGCAGTGGTTTTCAGTTTGGGCCTAACGTAGATAAACCCGAAGCCAAGCCAAGAAAAAAAAATCAGTGGTCGCACTACGTTTCTTCCCCACTATATGGGACCGAATTGTGGCTTTAGAGCAATATCCCACTTTAAGAACCTGCAGATTCAGCCCTATATATGAAGTCAGTGGTGTGTGGCCCAATTGGCGATTCCTGGTTTATAGTCGCTATGATCCTTGTGTTTTCTAGAACACTCAAATTCTTCATGGCGAGCTAAACTTTCTCCCCTGAACCATGTTCAAATTTATTATGGCTCCACTATGGTTATTAGCATAGCCCTATTAAATTGGCTTTATATTAGGATATTAGTACCATACGAATACGACCCTCAAACATGGCTCATCCCCGACCCTCGATAATACCGCGCACTTCTGCCTGGCTTTCTAGCAACTCCACGATTTCATTCCACGCTTTGTCCTGGAACTCCTTTCCTTGGGGTCCAGTTGTGAGGGCTTTGGATTCACTGGATGCGGTCAGCAGATGATATAATAAAAGAGAACTAAATATAGACTCAGCCATACTCCAAATAACCATCACTGCGCCAGCATTTGCCCTGCGACTCGACGCCCTGAAATGTCGCGCTTACTAAAGACCGACTACCTTGTTCGGTCGTTCGGGCAAAGAGCCGGTATGCCAGCCACGACAGCCATCGCTCATAAAATCGCCGACGGTATTGCCGTGTGAGGGACGATTGGCACAAGCCAGGACTGATCGTGTTTACGATAATGGGCACTGTGCCATCCTCATTGCGAACAAGATCCGCGACAGTTTTCACAACGTATTCGAGCAGCAATTTGGAAATCCCGTACTGCTTCGGTCCCTGATACCTATCCTGGGAATTTAGATGTTCCAACAAGGATCCCTCTATTGTGAGGCTCTCAGCCTTGGCACGAACGAATTGCTGACTTGAAACCACGCTAAGGTGGGTAGGCTCGGCGCCTGAGGATTCACGGAGTTTGGGAAGAAGTAGCAAAGCCAAAAGTGATGTTGAGAGAGTATTCACTTGTAATGTCTCTTCCCAGCCCTCGGGCGATAGGAGATATTCACGGTTCCAGAGACCGGCATTCAACAGCGCGATATCGACCCGGGGAAGCTCCTTGTTGACCCGACTGGCGAAATCCTTGACACTTTGAAAATTGTTCATCTCAAGCTCCCAGACCTGTACCACACCTGGGCGACTGGTGACTTTTTCAAGCTCGGACTTAGTGCGGTTTCCGCGCTCTAGATTGCGACTTCCAATCACTAATGAATCGACTCCCAGATTGAGGAATTTAATGGCGGCTTCATAGCCAAGACCCGAGGTTGCACCCGTTAACAGGACTGTTTTGCCGGCAAGAGAAATCCCCCGAGGGTCTGTCGGGGGAGTGTATTGCATTTTGAGGAGGCGGAACAAGCCCGCCATGTTGTTGGTAAATAATATTACTTATTGAGCAGGCAATGTTGAACTTGTGAATATGGAGCTTCTCCAAAGCTTCGAATGGATCAAAATAGATGACATCAGCATGCTTAGTCATATTCTACAAACATCTTGCGGGAGCCAATCAACGTCAAGTGAAATGAGTAGTTACAACCATTGCTGTTGCAGAATAAGTCTCAGATTTATTGAAGTTGAAAGATGGCATTTATTTAGTAAGAAATCTGTGGATTGTAACTGGACAACCGTCGAGTGGATCCGTAAAAGTAACCTCAGGCTTAGCTAACCGAGGCATCTTCAGTCCTTGTAGAGTGTATCCTACCTGTTGGAGAAGGTCGGCTCCAAAGGTGGGGTAGTCTCTGGTCTCCTGGGCGAACTTGTGGTTCTCGTAACAAAGGTAGCCTGTCACTGCCGCCATAGCCAGAAGGCGTCGGATTTCGTGGCCTTGAGGCAGAAAAGTCGCTGAAACTATATGCTGAGAGATGACAGAGAAGGTGTCAACTTCTCCAAGTTGGTTTTTCTCGGGACTTGGATTGTCGATCATAACTCTCTTCAAGTACTGAGATATTTCAGATTCCATTGTCCTCACATTGCACATGTCTGCAAACCGCGCCAACTCTATGGCTGCTGAAATCTGATGTTCGGGCTCTCTCAAATCAAACTCGATCTTGTGCAGGTATATCCATTGTAGGAAAGCCTCAAGACTTTGTACTGAAATGACCCCTTCAATTTCTTCCAAGATTGCTGTCTGCTCCTGTCCCTCTTTAAATTTGCCCTCGAACATTGCTGAGAAATAAGTAGATTCTCTGCAGATGATTTCTTTCGAGACTTTGTATTCGCGGTCACTGGATTCGATTCGAATTGTAACAAAGGAACCATGATAGAGTGGAAGAGTCCTAGATCAGTGGTTAAATAGGATCAATCTTGAATTAGAATACACATTACATACGACCTAGCAAAGGATTTGTCACTTCCTTCAGACATGTCGGTCATCGCTTGAAGTTACAAAGGCAAAGTCTTGACGATGATGAGCAAGACAGTTAAAACATTTGAGTAGAACTCAAAGCCAGCAGAGAAGCACAACAAGAGCGCAGTATGCAGTACTTGTCCTGTGCCCTGGGGAGTGGCAAGGAAGAAGAAAGATCTAACCCAGATGAAGCCAAAGTATAAGAAGGAAGGGCAACTAGTCCTAAAATGGACGTCAAACAAACTTAATACTCTAGGGATGGTTGATATGATTGATGGATAGTTGCTACTTAATCTAAGTACTGTATGGCCGTGGGTCATCCCAGTAAATATGTTTGCCTGAAGTTGAAAATTGCAATTAAGATTACGACGTGTTCATTAACAAAAATATTCCATGAAAAACACTGAAGGCCCCCGGCTTATTTCAGCGCGATCAAGGTGCACATAAGTGTAGACCCAATCTAGGAGGTCAACGGAGTAGATACAATGTTGACAGTAGTACTACTTGCAAGAGATCCAGTAACAGAGACCGACACTGGCTCGACCCTCTGATACCAATTGTTGTTCAACGGATCCATCACGCCCCCAGTCACCGGAACTTTATACCAGCGTTGGGCAGTGGTTGTATACACCTTAGGAGGAATCTTACCGATTTGAACGATCAAAGTCGCCGTATAAGAGCATTGCGGAGGCGCATTGACAGTCTGCGCGATTGACAGATCAAGGGTCGTCGTTTCACTGGTCTCCTTGGTAGTGCTTTCCGTGTAGGAATAGCTCAGCTCTATCGCCCAAGTCGTCGAGGCCGATGCTATCCCAGGGTCACCTGCGGTCTCCTCCATCGTCTGTGTTGACTTGAGTCCTGTCACCTGCTCATCCATTGTTGTGACAGTCAGCGTCTGGGCGTCTGTTTTGGTGAGTGTTACAGTGACTGGTTGCGCCAGGGTACTGTTGTTGGTCCCGGAGACAGCAGCTGTGAGCCCAGAGGAGGTTGACCCGCCGCTGAGGACTATATTGAAGGGTGCGATGATTTCCAGGGCTGGGACGATTCCGTCCCAACGGAAGGAACTCATTTGGTCGTTGAAAGAGGCGTCATCTCCTAAATCGGCGGATTCTTTGTTGTTACCCCATCCCTTGATGTTAGGGAAATTGTCTCCAGAGCCATCCGAGTTGTCAGCCAACACAGCGGCCTGGCGGTCATTTAGGGACTTCCAGCGGACCGAAGAGACCGCGTCAGTTATCCACCAGTCGCCGATCGAGTAGGTGACTCCAGAGTCCCATTCGCTTAGGAATATCGTATTACGTCCACCATTGAAGTCGGCATCTTGGAACAACTCGATGGCTCCCATGTTGAGATCGATTTCTCGAAATGAAAATGAGGAGACACAGTCGTTCATGTTGACGGACTGAAGATCGACTGATTCTGTGTTACCGGTGCCGACCAGATCGACACATCGGCCACAACCGCTGAGGTCGGCCGCCAGCTTTCCGGCAGGCACTGGCTGGACGTTATCCATCAAGGTCACTACTGTGCCAATTGGCAAGTTGAATGCGACATAGGTGGCGTTATCGAGCGCAGAACGTTTGATGGTCGGGCGATCTCCAGAAGAGAAGTCATTCATGTTCAAGTCAAGCCTTTGGCTATCCCAGTTGTCGTCCGCAAAGAGGGACACAATGCCACTTGCCAGTGATGGCGGGGCACTAGGGGGTGCTGGCAACTTTGTGAGGAGCTTGACCTGGGTAGCAGGAGTATTGTCAGCCATTTTAAATGCCTTTGAATTGAGTATTCTTCTGCTTCGAAAAAGATATTTAAAGTTTCTCCGTGGATTGTGTCAACAAGACTTATATCTCATCTGTCGTTCCAGGTGGCCGTTCTTATAGAGCTGAAGACTATTCCCTGAAACCTGGAGAAGAGCAACATCAGACCTGTTTGGCAATATTTGCCGATCCTCATGAAATAGCACTGGATATGAATGACCCATGACGGGGCTGAAGCAAACGGTACATAACTCTAATGGCGAGCTCAATGAATGAGACTGACCTAGAAGAAGGCGCTGTCGGCATTTAACTCCCAAGCATTTATGACAAGTTACGCCCTCTCGTAGGTCTCGTATTGCGATAGATTGTTTTTGACGATGGCTTTCCCAGTGGAAACTTCAGAGAAGAAGCTGTCAGATGTCACATTGTATTAAAGTTTAGCACGTTTTGGTGGCTAATGAGCAGGGTCCAAGAAAACGGGGCAAAACACAACCTAAAGGGCTATTATTGCATGAGATCAGAGGCCAAGTCCCTCAAAGATCTCCGAGCTGAAGATGCTGGAACTAATCAGACTGCTCTAAATTCGGCAAGATAAGCCAGGCAATGTCGAGTTTGGGTCCAAGCACAGATACTTCTTCTAGTAGCTTGATTTTACTATCAACAGCTGAATAGACTGGCGTCCCATCTTCCAATGTTCAGCACGGCTACCCCGCCTTGCTCGTATTCCACTCTTTGATCGGTGAGAAATACCTCAAATATCATTTTTCACTCCAATAGGAACCAAGTGACTTGGTGTATACTAGGCAACTGACAACCCGGCGGCGAGTCGGTTCCTAAGTACTCCATGAGCTCGTAACGACCTCGTTCATATCCTCCGGGGGCTTCATTTTGTCGAATGAAAGAGTCCAAATAGATTGTTACCTTTTAGTGCTGACGATGATGTGTTTATCAAACTCGCCAGCTCATTCAAAAGGACGTCAACAAGTGTACTACAGTAGACAACTTGACAATTCCCAGCTTAAAGCATTGCAGATTTGATGCGTAGTAATATATAGTCCAGACCCACGATAAATTGACGGAAATTTGTCACGGATAACGAACTTAACTGTGCTAGTAAAAGTGGGAAGAAATCCAGACTCTTAATAAATTGAGTTGACATTACGTGGTTGAGACGAAGGGCCTATTGCTGTGGTGCAACGGGTTGTCGATTGCCAGTCTACCCTAACACTGAGAGAGAGTAATGGGTACATATTGAGAATGAAAAACAGTTAAAATTCTTCAAATAGAAGAAGAACGGATCTTCTGATCGGTGTCACATTACTTGCAGTTTAAAACTTAAGCATGATGTTTCTCCATCTGTTATGCTTGTTTTAGCTAAGCTCACTGTCCACTTGGCACTAAGCGACTCCCCCGTCATCTTTCAAGTAGTCCATATGTTGAAATATCACATCGATAATCATTAAGGTAATTGAGAACGCTCGCCCTCTAGTCAATTTCTACCCTCTTTGATTTTGATAAACATGCTACAGCTTAGTAAATCAATTCAAATGTCAGAGTTGGATCATATTCTAGTAGTACGGCGAACGAAGACAAACACTGCAAACAAATGGGGACACGATTTCCCACACCGACTGCGCGGATGTATATGATCACAAATCACAACCATTCAACAAGAATTGCATAGACCATTGTGTTTCTGTATTGTTTGCACTACATTGCCAACCAATTTTAATCAGTGGACAGTCTCGTACCCACTGCTTCGCCCATATTCGTCCCATTGAAAACTGTCTTGGTGGCTGGCTGAATATGGCCGCTAGTTTGCAAGGCCACCAGGTACATCCTGAGGGTCGTACATGGAAAACACACTTTCCAAAAGGCGACCTCTGGGTATTCGGATACGGGTGAGCAACATACCCTCCAATTTCCTTGCTTTCCTTTGCATGCTTGAGTCATGCAAAACTAACAAATCTTCAGGAGTCTAATCTGGAAACCACCCCCACATTATGGTGCGTGAAACCACCCTATGACCAAGTCCACCATTTCGGACCACAATCAAACCCCTTACAAGGCCCCAAAGTAGCTATTTAATGCGAACTGACCATGCCACGTAGACCAACGAGTCCCAGGCTACATCAGTGGATATGTCCGCCGCTTTTGGCAGGTAAGAGCCCCATGATGGTCTGACCGAAAAAACAGTGGAGACATTACAAAGATACCTAAAGAGACAAAGTACCGCAACAGTCTAGAGCGATCCAAAGCTGACATTCGCGCGCGTGGCGTTCTATTTTCAGGCTAGGTATGTCTCTCGGGACGGGCCAAGCCCAAAAGGAACATCTTATTCCTTACATTGGCTCTAACGACATTTTTTTGTCTGAATTTAGTACCGACCACCGTGGGACACCCGAACAGCCGGGTCGGGTTGTTACCGTGATTGAACGAAAGTTCTGGGAGACGCTGGATGACCCGGTAATTCACCTGCCCTTTTAGTTATTCCAAGGTTATCACTTGGCAATTCTTGGCCCCACCTTGGCATTGGACTTTGCAGCTAATCAAGCTAATTTTGTCTACAGCTGGCAAGACTAGAATCCCAGTCCGAATCTACCGGTAAGGTGTGGGGCGCCGCATACCATATCCCCGCTTCACATGCTGAAGAAGTTCATGATTACCTTGATGAGCGTGAGATAGATGGTTATAGTGCTCATTTCACGCCTTTCTATCCTGTCTCTGGAGAGGAATCATCATCTACTGATGCAACTGGGAAATATTCAATTTGCATGGTTTATATTGGCCAGCCAACGAATCCGCAGTTCTTGCGTGAGCGAGCTCAGCGTGAGCCGCAGAATGTGGCGCAGGTGATCAGTGCGGGGCATGGGCTTAGTGGGAAGAATTCGGAGTATCTTTTCCTGTTGGAGAAGGCGTTAGACGGGATTGGACTGGGATCGGCAGATGTTCATGTTACCGATTTGGTGAAGAGGGTTAAGGCTATTGAGGTGGAGGGTGAGGGCGATAGAGAGGAGCTGGAGGCAGAGCGGGAAGTGAAGCTTTCATTGGCTTCTCATGAGGAAGTGGCACGTGGAGATAATATCGAATGAGTCACATTGCTCATCGATTTCAAATCCTGTCAATCTAGATTGCATAGATTGCTTGTTGCATAGACATTTGCAAGATCAGGGCATGAAAAATGGCTGAAAAATATCTAACTGTTTTGGTGGAATATGCGCATTCCTGTATGGATTTCTTCCAGAGTAATGAAGTAGAATTGATGCCGAATTGAGATGATATACCGTGATCGCATTGATTGTGACGTTTTCGTTTCACATACAAAGTTTATCCTACAATCCCAAGTTTCTGGTACAGTAAAACACCCCATAAACCAACGCAAAGACAAAAGACGTCATATATAGGACATGATCAAGGCAAATTAGTGTCCCCACGCGGATTTGGTCTACCTGGGAAGGTATAACCACAAGCGAAAGTCGATTATAAAATCATTGCATAAGTCCACCAGCCAGCTACGTACCGTACCGCATTGCATCAAACCTCAATTTCCGACGGATTTTGTGAGCCCTGTTTCTGAAAAGCAGACAAAAAAGATTTTGCAAGTACCAAGAAAGACGACAATGGGGTATCGTGAAAAGATCTGGAGCCTTAGTTGCCCTCTGGGTTTTGGGATTGGGAGGGACGCCAGCCTGTCACTATGTTAGAACACCAAGGCATACCTACAACCTCGGGATCTCCAAAGACATGAAATCAAACGTACCAGCACCACCATTACCACCATTACCACCACCTACAGATGATGTTAGTGCGTATGAACGTCAAACCACTAACAGGTTATGAGACTCACCATAGCCGCCGGGGTTGTATCCAGCGGTATAACCGCCGCCATTACCATATTGGTTGTTGTAGCCACCATAACCTCCGCGGTTACCACCTTGCTGGTAGCCACCACCACCACCCTGATAACCGCCACCGCCGCCACCAGGCTGGTAACTTTGACCGGGCTGCTGGTTATATCCGCCGCGACCCTGGAAACCGCCGTCCGGGCGCTGGGGACGGTCAAATGCCTTGTCGACGCGAATAGTCCGACCGTCGAATCTGCGAAGAAGTATGAGCTTAAGGTTACTGAATTATGGATTGAGAATATGATTGCTCCGGATTCTTACTCCACGTTGTTCATCTCGTTCATTGCCGCATCAGCCTCGGCATCAGTGGCGAAGCGAACAAAACCAAATCCACGACTGCGCAATGTTGCGCGATCCTTGACGACGATCTGAAATGACTTGAGTAAGAATGCATGCTTCAGGAATGCGTTGAGATGGACTGGGCCAGCACTGACAGCTTCCTGGATCTCGCCAAACTTCTGGAATCCCTCACGAAGGGTCTCATCATTTGTATGCCATGAAAGGCCGCTTTAGTTCATTTCATATATAGTGAGCTCACTACTCTAGCCCCCACGATGAAGAGGAAAACCCCCGGGCCTTAAATGGGTCAGAAAAGTGAAAGCAGAGGAACATACTGCACGAAGAGCTTAGACATAATAGCTTTGCGAAACGTCGGGAAGAGGCCAAAGAACTTGGGAACCAGATTAGTCTAGGTGGAAAGAAGCGACTGGAGATGAAAAAGAAAATGAAAGGGTTGTGCCCGGTGCAGAGTGGCAGGGAGATCCTAGTGGTTCGGAAACGAGTCAGCCGTCAAACCCGTGTAACAATCACACTGCCTTAGGGCTTTCACATTCTCGAGATTTACCATCGGTCTAGAACCAATAGATGTTGTAAATCAATAGGATATAATGCTTACTGAGTACTTTGAATTTGGGTTTGGCTTTCCTATTATTTTTCTGTCTTCCTTGTTTTCTTTGGCGGGTTGTGGCCAGTAATAAGGAGTGGTCGGGCAACAGGGAAATAGTGACAGGACAAGGTGGGGGGGGAAGCGAACCAGAAGTAGTAGCGCTGCATAGAGCGAGATAACCCCCGCCTAAACCTTGAACAGTGATTTGATTCGGGAACCGGCGGCCTGACTGCCCTTTTCCCGCTCCATCAATCAGATGTTACCCGAGGCTGGATCTTGGAAGATGGGGGACGCTAGTCAAAACGGCTGATTACCACGGCAGGTGTTTCTCCCCCCTTGTCTCATCAATGGATGTGAGACGATCAAGACCGCATCTAAAACGGTTGGAACCACATAGTTACTCAAGCCACAACATATCCATATCGGGATTGGGGAGACCAAAAGAGCGCGTGGTCCGCAACGAAGAACCCTGGGAGCGATTCGTTGGCCTGGGCGGGGTTCTCCACGCAATTTGGGATCTGTGGAACGTGCACCTGTGTCACTTAAGTTAGGTACGGTACCTCACAGTTTTCATGCAGTTGCGATGTGTATGCAATCCTGACCCGTGGCCCTATCCGGGTTCCTGTGCCCAGAATGGTCTGGCCCCCAAATACTGCCGGCTGCAGAATGGCTGAAGCAACCTGGCCTTGTCAAACCAATTGGAGCCCCAATCCCGGCCTTGTTCATCCACATCCAATCCAAGCTGTGCGTGGGTGGAGGGGCACAGGACCCACATACCGCTAAGGCCGTACCTCGGATTGACTCCGAAGGGAAGGAAAGATCAGCGCATGGATTAGCTTGGCAGGGCGTTCGAACCTTGAATGTCTGAAGATAACCTCAAATTAGCTGGTATGTTTCGGGGAGTTAGGGGAATGAGACCGTCAGGTTTTCAAAAATTCCCTTGTAGCTTGAAGCAAGATGATCATCAAAACAAAATACCCTGTCCACGAGCTTGCAGTCATTGGACGAAAAGAGGAGAGCGCAGCAGTATGGAACGTTGGTGAGGTGGTGGCCCTGGTGGGGTGAAGCGGGTAAGGATCGTGACTTCCATCAACAGAATGTACTCGGCTGAGTCGATTCCGGAACCCGCGACCTTTCATGTATTCAATAACCTCGTGTCGATATTTTGTCAGTCCGGTCGATGAAGATGGATCTCAAGTCAATACATCGGTGGCTTTCAAAAGTTCCAGATGCTCATTCTGCTGGCAATGCTACGGGTATAGTTCCACTATTATGTGGATACTGGTGTCACCAGATTACTGACACCAAACAACAGACGACCCGAGTCAACTTGGTCTAGCGGTTGCGGATACATCGCTCATTTCGCCCAATATTGTCGACAGCACCCGCAAACATGTACAAGTAGAAGATGATTCCTTGGGGCAAGGTCAAATCCAATCAGAGAAAGCTGGCCACGAACTACAGCCCAGTTTTGACCGCAAGCCGCGCCACAAGACTCGGGAAGATCGATACGAATATAAGGGCGCTAGCACTATCAGACCACAGTCTACATCGTACAAAGACAATAAGAAACGAAGGCTAAGCAGGAAGCACACCATGAACGACGTGTTTCGTGCACCCAATGTTGCGCGTGAGAGGCTGACGGTAAAGACAAGTGCTTGATACCTATCCGTCACTGCGCTAACTTCTGATGAAAGCTCCGCGGCAATCTAAATGTTGGAATTTTCAACAAAGGCAAGGCATCATCGCCAATGAAGCTGGGTCATGGTGAGCAGAATCGGATCTCCAAGATGGCAGAAGATGGCAGCGCTGATGACATCAACAAGTTCCCAATTCTGCATTCTCCGAACGAAGATTTCTTACCAAAAAGCACCCACAGTCTCCATCAAAGTCTCCAAGAACGGAAAAGAGGCGCAAGGTGGGTCACAAGCCTCCAAAGAATGGGACTAGTCGACAACAGAAGCGGCCTGTATACATATTCTCAGAGCTGGTAAAGGAACTGGAAACCGAATGGAACAACACAGAGCAACTCAGTTCCCAGGCCGGGAAATTCGAACAGCCAAATGAGGAACCCAGGATCGATCAAGGGCATTGCGTGGGCAGAACTTCGGACCTTGATGTTCAGAGAGAGCATTCAATTTTGACACATCCAGTCAAAAAGATTGCGAGTTGGTCCCAATCTGATACACCATACACCTGGTCTGAAACAAACCCCGGCAATTTGCAACCCGAGCTTGCTTTGGAGATTGAGTTGTTAAAACTTCTTCACGTGGGTCTTTTGCCCACCCAAAGAGACGATTGGGCTAGAACATCAAATCAAAATCACACATACTACAGTCTCGACGAATTGAAAGACATCTTAAACAGCCGGCAAGAATACTGGGCATCGGAGTCTAGTCAAACTCGCCAGATCGTTGCCACATCGCCTGATGCTGAATTCCACAAGACTTGTGAAAGCTTGAGAAAAGAAAATTCGATGGAATCAGTGCATGCCCAAGCAAGGAATTCAATTACAGAGAAATTATCTCATGATAAGATTATTTCACGTGGGCCCCGTCAAATTTCTTCTAGACCGATCAGTCAAGTTCACAACAAGAAAAAGGTCGACTCTATTTCACAGCCGGAGAGCCTGGAAAAAATGAGGCTCAACATCAATGATACTCAGGAAGCCCAGAAAAATCAACCGGATGACCTTTTCTTTAACAATCTAGATGCAGCGTTTTGGGCGATTGTGGATCCCAAAACCCAGAACAAGATGGACTCTTTGGTGATGATGGGAGTACAACAAAGCTTACCAACCTTTGACTTTGAAGACATCATGACAACAGCCGAGCTCGTTGGCGCAGGGGTGTCCAAAGTTCCTTCACAGGGCTTGTTATCACATGCCCAGGTCGGGGTCGAAACACTGTATCCTCTCCCTCCCGCTGCTCATGACTATTTTGACCCTAATAATCGTGTCACGCATCCTGAGAATGACCAAGGCGATGCTATGATGCTCCAAAGCCCCCAACAGGGATTTTCAAGTCGCATGAAAAGGCCAAGGCAGCCACGCCTATATCCAAGTATCACCCATGAATCAAGCGATGACCAAGTTCCTCCTGGGTTCTGGCGCCAGAATAGGTTGTATTGATCTGCGGCTTCTCGGCAGATCTTCACAGTCATGACGAAGAATACAGTGTATATCAAATGATTGGCGTTTCAATTGGTAGTTTCTTTTCGAAAACAGACTGCATGGACTGCATAACGAGCCGCATGTATCAGAGGAGTGTTGTTTATTCTTAGTCACCAACTGATATCAATAAATTCTGCGTTCTTCAACATATATTTCCAAACCACCTGCACTAATGTTCAATTGCATCGGAGTATCTTCCATCTTCGAGTTCCAACATCAAACTCCAACCGCTATCAACTTTTCCACGGGTATGATAGGCGGGTTGTACATGGTTCCCGGCTCATGCGTTTCCTAGCCAGTGATGTTTATGATAATCATACTGCATTAGCGCCCGCAAATAGCGTCGTGAAACAAGGAAAAAGAAAAGGAGCGCCCAATCAAATCCTTAACATTGAACCGGCCTTTATTAGTAGCCAATTTCCACTTAATTCGGTGTTTCCAAAAATCCCTTGACTCATTTTACGAAACCGCGATTATGGCTAACGGAAAGCCCACCATTCTCCTCATTCCCGGTTCTTGTAACCAAGGCATCATCTATGAGCCTGTTGCAGCGATACTTCGGTCTCAAGGATATCCTGTCGAGCCTATCACCCTCCCTTCTCAGGGTGGACCATCATCAAGCACCATGTATGATGTTTCGGAGTACATCCGACAGAACTACCTAAAGAGCCTTGTCGCCCAAGGCAAAGAGGTTGTCATTGTCATGCATTCATACAGTGGATTACCCGGCACAGAGTGTATCAAGGGCTTCGCCCGCAAAGACTGCTTGGCACAAGACCTTAATGGTGGTATCGTTGCTCTGCTCTACATATCAAGTTTGGTGGTGCTGGCGGGGAACAGCATCGTCGATTTGAATCCAATGTTGGAGTCCCAGGCGACTATCGATGTAGGTTTAAGTTGACTCAATAACCGATGGGAAAACACAAGAAAAGATGAAACTAACGGCACAAGCCGCAGGGCAATGAGCTGTGGCCCAAGAACGCTAGAGATATGTTTTTCAATGACCTTGACGATGACGCAGCTGAGAAGTATCTCGCTAAGATCGTCTACCAAGCTGTTCCCAGTTTTCAAACTCCTCTTACATATGAAGGGTATCGTAGTGTGCCTACCAGCTACCTTGTATGTACGAAAGATGCCACAGTCCTCCCCGTGCACCAGCTGGCTCAAACTGCCATGCTCGGGGAGGGTGGCATTCGTACTTATTCTGTCGATGCGGGGCACTTCCCCATGCTGAGCAAGCCGCAGGCTGTGGCAGATGTTATTCATGATGTTGCATCACGAGAAGGCACCGCGTAGGTACGTCATTTATGATGTGGAACAAAACATCCATCAATCTAGCTCCGGGAAATTGTGGATTTTGATTTGGATTGTTTGGGTATAGAGCAATCTAGGGGGCAAAGCACTATTAACAGGATGTACCGCGGGAAAGTTCTCGCGTCTATCCGATGCTTCAGTAGATGGCTTGCCAGACAAAGGAACCTAACATGGCTTTTATCTGACCATCTAAATGAACAAGGACCATTCTTTTCAACGCCAATAATGCGAACACAAGAAACATAGGACAAAAGGACAAAGGAAGGTATGGTATTAAAGGGTTGCAGCGGCCTCGATAGCTCCGGCGACTTTGAACATTCCCGGACTCCGCACTACAACCTCGACCGGGTACTTCCATGTCATGAATCGCGTCCAGCCTGCAAATCACTGATATTAGCAATGCGTACCCCAAATCCTGCAAGACAGATGACCTACTCCAGTATGCGCATTTCCGGCCCATGTATTTGCCAATAAATGGCACAAGCACCATTGTCAAAAGCAGCTCTAATTGCTCGATGCTTTCCCGCCACTCAGCCTCGGCATCGGAGTAGTCATCGGAGAGGGTTTCCAGGTCAGATTCTGTGGTAGATTCCGATGGCAGTGAAGCAACCTCGTCGTCGGAGTCGTACGAGTGCTGGTTGGAGGGGATCATGTATGAGGACATGGAGAACGAGGGATTGGACGAGGGAGGAGAGGAAGACATGTTGGCGGTGATTCTGAGAGATATTGGAAGGGTAGGAATGATTGAGGAAGAGCAGTGGCCTGCCTACTGCCCTGTGTATGATCAAAGCATTTGTTCCGTGAGCTGGACGGTGTTGATCCCGGTGTTGAGGGTTGTAGGTAGACGCCGCGGGTAGTACACTTATTACATAAGCGCCGGCGAGCTTGCTGAGTCATGTGGGGCTTCATGATGATCTATACATGGATTTTAGGTATATCATTGTACAAACGAAGGTAATCAGACGTGAGAAATCCTTTATGAGCAAATCTTCCTAGAAATTCTCAAGAATGGTCATCGTCATCTAAAGTACATAACACGAGGCATATAGAATCTCAGCTTTATTATATGGGACGTAGGCCAGCGAAGTACCACTGATTGACTTGTCAAACGACCTTTATGTTTAAAATCTTAAAAATTAAGCGAGTAATGATTTTGGACACATGTATCTTCATATCTTACTTGCTACGTGCTCACGATGTTGGGAATGTTGGACAATATCTATACAATGTGGCTACACGTGACTTCTATCAATGAGTCAGGTCACGTGCTGTCCCGCGATAACAGACACTCGCCTCTCGAACATTGAGATATCAGACCCAGCATCAAATTCGTCATTGTCGACATCGCCGTCTCTCCGACCTCCCCGCAACTCCTATACTCCTCAAAAATACCTCGGTGGTCAAGCGAAGCAAATCCTGCAACCACCCAGCATGGCGGACGCCGTATGTCACACCCAGTTTCTTTTTTACCGCACCCACATTTTCTTTCGGGCGTGCACAATACCCCTCGATCGACACCCACGCTAGTCGCGCAAGCCACTTGCTTTCTAGCTGGACTCCGAGACCTATTTCGCCTCAGAAAGGCCATTCCATGAACTTTTTTGCTTTGACAATCTATTTTTTTACACATCACTAATTTGTGGCGGGGCCCGAACAGGACACTAAGCAGCGCAAGTCCGTTGCATTCAGCGAAGGATCGGTCATTATGGACACCAACGGTCAAGTCACAGAGTCTTCCGAGACTGAGAAGCCTGCCGGTACGACACAATAGCTACCCTTTCTGATTCGGGTTCCACCTGTCTGAACCCCGGACCCGCTAACGGATATATTTAAAATCCTAGACAAGGAAGTCGACGAGGTCACCGACATGTTCAAGGGTCTTGCCAAGAAGAAGAAGTCCAAGAAATCCAAGGACACTGAGGGCGAGGGTGAGGAGGCTGCTGGCGACGAGTTCGACCCCTCCGTCTTGAAAAAGAAGAAGAAGTCCAAGTCCAAGAAGGCCGACACTGGTGACTTCGAGGCCAAGCTTGCTGAGGCCGGTGTCTCCGAGGAGGCTGGTGAGCAGGCTGAGGAGGAGGAAGTCCTGCCCGAGGGTGATCTTGAGGCCGGCACCGGCATCTGGGCCCACGATGCCACCCAAACCATCCCCTACTCTCTTCTCGTCTCTCGGTTCTTCTCCCTCATCCAGAGCCACCACCCCGACCTCCTGTCCAGCGGAACCAAGTCCTACAAGATTCCTCCTCCCCAGTGCTTGCGTGAGGGTAACCGTCGTACCGTTTTCGCCAACATTGCCGATATCTGCAAGCGCATGAAGCGATCCGACGACCACGTCATGCAGTTCCTGTTCGCTGAATTGGGAACCAGCGGCAGTGTCGACGGTAGCCGTCGCCTGATCATTAAGGGTCGTTTCGTCCAGAGACAAATTGAGTCTGTTTTGAGGTCATATATCGGTATGTTCCGCCTTTCTATTTTCGCGACATTGATCATAGGATTCGAAGCTCTAACACATTTACAGTGGAGTATGTTACTTGCAAGACCTGCCGCAGCCCCGACACCGAGCTCAACAAGGGTGAGAACCGTCTGTACTTCATTACCTGCAACTCTTGCGGATCCCGTCGTTCCGTCGCCGCTATCAAGACCGGTTTCCGTGGACAAGTCGGCCGCCGGAAGCGTACTGGTTAAGCGGGATAAGCTTTGGATTTGGCATTTGTGGGAGAGGCAATTTCCTATTGTCTCTTCTTTATGGCGTGTCACGTACTGGGATTGGTGGATGGTGAAAATGAGACCCCGGCATTGTATCTTTCTACCGTTGGGGGTTTGAGATGAGGAAACGATTTGAAAGATAGAAATAGTTCGCCATGAAATGGATTGATATGACCACCTACTTTCAAGTTTGAATTGACTAATTGACTTGGTTTATTCATTTCTGGGTACAGCTTCAATGGCTAACAACCTTTGATATTCGACTAAGTCATAATTAAATTTGCATCCTACCCTCAACCTTCGCATAAAGTACTTCCTACAACTGACGTATGGCAGTTTCAAGGGGCTTTGTTCCCTAGTGTGGTGCCGGGTGACCTGTGAGCCAGTAAGCACAATCTATTGAAGGATTCATACTCCAGTAGTAAATTCATGGATATTCTTTCCAAAGTACAGTAGTTTTCGAAATCAGTTATACAGCCATACTTGGAGGTGACTCTTCGAGGTGTCAGTACGGCCTTTGTTGCTGGGTACTCCTAATGGGGAAATGCTACCCACTCAAATCTCAGGGTATCTAGCCCCTGGTAACCCACTTCGAGATATGGCGGGATTTGATGCTGGAGAACGCTCTCGACTTTGAGCAAGTCTACAGGGACCAGGGGCCTAGTTTCTTTACATTCAGAGAGCAATTAAGATAGGCATCTCTCGATGTTTCGTAAGAGGGTAGTGGGAAATGGATTCAAACCGAGAAGAAAGCGATACTTATCATTGAAGCTCTTGAATCCACACATATTTTCATTGAGGCGTCATTGCACTATCTGGCAGTGATGAAGTTCAGGTCTTAATGCAAACAATTGGCTCCTCACTATGGTCATACATAGCCCACCGCGTCTCATTCCTCGCTTAGTACGTATAGATATTGAGAGTCGCCGAAGGTGTCAAAATGATAGAGAATTCTTTGCAAGAGAAACATAGTATCTTGCAAAATACCTGACCGCCATCCATCCACTCATGAGAGACTAGTCCCAATCCCCATGATTTAGAGCGACATCTTTCCGAACCTGATCCATGTCTAAATGTTCTAGCCAGCTACTGTACCAGTCCAGAAACTCAACGATGGAGTCGAATATTGGATTTTTCCCATATACCTCGATGTGGTCTCTATAAGTGCCGACTTCAGAAATGACCACTCGCCACGCCCAGTCTTTGTGGCTCTGATCAGAGTCTTCCGGGTCCCGTCGACAGTAGAGATACATGCTGTACCATTCATCATGCCCGCTCTGTTTGTCTTTGATGCCGTTCCCGGTTTGGAAGCCAGCTCGCACTTCTAAGTCTTGATGCGCATAGGCTTGGAACCAGGATTCTTCGCAAAGATAATAGCGATGTATATGTCTAATCAGATCTTCTCGGTCTTTGGAGATATCAAAGGTCTCTTTCACGAGACTTCCAGGTGGATCGAAAGAAGCCATGCCTGCGTAGCGAAAGTCCGGATCTTGGACCCCACTAGCGTACTTGAGAAAGAGGGCCAGATCATAGCAGGGCGGGACTTCGAAATCGTTGTCCTCTTCACTTCGAAAGGCCACCTCATTACACACAGTCTGAACGGTGTTCAAATACATCTGGCGCCACTCATCTGTCCACCCATTTGGCGGTTCGACACCATCCATATGCCGATGGTATAGCGATTTGACATCACTCAATCGGTCAACGTTTGCCTCTTCGTGCAACTGACGGACCACTTCTGGTGGTTGGGTAGCCATCCAACGAATGTCGTTCCTGGCTTTCAGGCCAGGCCAATAGGTGCGCATCTCGAGTAATTTTTCCTCTTCGGTTGAGAGATTCATAGCTTCTATCTCATCCATTCGATCTTGAAGAAACTGCCGATTGGAGGCCTCCATCTTGGTGCGAAATCGTTCCACCGCCAGGCGCATATTCTCTTCCGCGTCGGCGGGTGGCTCTGCGGTGCTCTCCATCCCAAGTGGTAATGAAGAGCCGAGCAAGCTGTGCAATAGTGAATTAGGCTAAAAAGATTAAGTTCAATGAGTCGAAAAAAAGCAGAGCCTCATCACCATAAATACAGTAAATACGATTTCCGGGACCGTATGCCTTGGCACGTTTCGGCAAGTATGGTCTGCCAATGCCGAAAATTGTGACTACTGTGAATCTGTTAACCTACCAGGTATATTTTAAAAAAGGAAGAGGAAAAAGCTGATTGGGGCTTTGCCTGACGAATTCCAGTTTAATGTATTTTGGGTAGGGCGTTGGGGAAGAAAGCGTGAGTAGGGGCTATTTTTCAATTCTACTGTCAGTGCGCCACAGAAAGTCTTTGTTTCTCGACTATGACAGGCAACCTTGATAGGGTCCTGGTTGCCGATGGCCCCGTATTTCGATATGTCTAAACAACTATAGAGTTTTGAAGGCTCAGTCTCGCCACGCAGTACGTTTCTTTAATTCCTGGAACCCTGGCCTTGTATATCATAAACTAAAAAAGTAATGGTTCGGAACTACACCAATGAGTTCTTTGATGAATAGAACTACATCTCACATCACTACTGTAAAAATGAAAAAGCAGCAGCTCGTTTCGACATTCTTACAGGGACGAAGTTTCGGGGAATTGCCTTATCGTTAGCAACAAGCAACAACTACTTGAATAGCCATACACTAGGGATATATCCTTCTTCCACGAATATTCATTATACCATTTGCTTCACATTCAAACCCAAACATAACCCTTGCAAAGAAGCCAGGCAATCATCTAGTCCTTGCACAAGATTCAGGGTGTCGTTGCTTCGTCATATGGTGGTGGCGGGTCCTCATTTACCTCCGGAAGTATTATCTCCGGATTATCTCTTATTGTTGTAATCATGTTCTGAAGTATTTCAAATCCTTGCCTAGAAACAGAATGTTAGTGATAGACCCTATTGAAAGCACGATCCAGGTGATACTTACTTAAATAGCTTGAACTCACGGACGAATTGGGCTGGTGATAAATCTTTACTGGCTTGCCAATGCCCCACCATGTAGCGGAGGGCATTGTTCTTGAGAAACTTTAACATCTCTTCTGCAGAGACCCTATGGTAGCACTCATCTGTACTTCCGGGCTGTGGTGGCATTGTAAAGATTGAGGTATTGAGGGGAGAGTAAAATAATTGCAAGTGTGATGTTTACTGCAGGACTTTTCTTTTTGGAAAATATCTTTATAGCCTTCCGAATATGAATGGGGAAGCGGGTGGCTTCAAATGTCCTATACTTAGCTCAGTTCGGAGACTAAAACCTTATTCCCAGCCATGATGCGAGCTCGAGTCCGTAATCCAGATGTATGTACTCAAAAATTGCAGTGGTGTATATTGCAGCTGTATACAGTACGATACGAAAACCAAACGACACTAACAAATTGATGTCCATCTTACATCCCATCCTAACACCATCAAAACAAAAATCACCCACTCGCCGTACTCATTTTCATCTGCATAGCAAAGGTATTCAAGTTCCTAGTCTGGAAATAAACTGTTCCAGGACCCTTAAACTTGCAAGCAAGACCCTCATGAGAAGAATAGGCAGACAAAATTCCACCTGACGCAACGCGTTCAAGTGTGTAATCGCAATTCCACGCAACAAGATAACCATTGTCAACGTAGTATTTCTCACCCTCCACAAGCTGTAGTATATTAGCACATAGAACACATAAAACTGGTAAGTTGCAACGTACCTCTTTCTTGACGATTGCGCCGAAACTTTGGATCCAAAGTAGCCCGGTTCCTGAGATCTTGTACACGAACAAACCCTCTCCGGAGAACATTGCCTTCGTTAGACCCTGAGTCACATATTCGTGGCTGACAGCAGATGAATGCGCTAGGAAGGCGTCTCTTCCGATCATCCATTCCTTTTCTGGGCGGATGGGCAGCACCATTAGGTCGCCTAGGACAGAGGGGGCTAAGAGGAGTTCTCCGGGTCCTGTGAAGGTAGACATGCCCATTTTGCCTCCGGCTAGCAGTTTCTTCATTGTGAAATGGACTTCACCTCGAAGGGTCATCGTGGGGGACATTGCAAGCATGGCACCTAGAAAGACCGTTAAGTATTTGAAATCATCACATACTTCAGGATATGTTTCTTACCTGGTTTAACAATCAATGGCGCACCCATGGCTAGCTGGATTGTCAAGAGAGAGTTCGAATCACGATGACTGATTCTGTAACTTCCTCCGTTGAATGTACCGACATTGTCGTCGTGTGTTGCGGTTGTTCCTTTGAAGTCTCCATATGAGGGGGCTCCTCCGGGGATCTTTTCCATTCGGTTCAATGAGGACGATTGAGACTCAGATCTGCTGATACTGGCAGCAGCTGGTTGCTGGAACGCAGAAGCGCTCGGCTGGTTGTAGGAAGGTGTCTTATCCTGGGGGTATTGACTCTCCGGTGGTGGGCTCTGGATTGGAGGGCTAACAGACGGGGGTGGTCCCGGGTATACGTTGTTGGTTGGTTGGGACCTGGGTGGAGGAGGGTAACTAAAATTATGTGGGGGTGCATTTGCAAAGGAGCCATGTAAAGCAGGCGATGGTTGCGAGGGTGGGGGAGAGGCCTGGGGAGGCGGAGGGAATGCCTGCGGGGGTGGAGGAAAGGCTTGCTGGGGTGGGGGAAAGGTTTGTTGGGGAGGTAGAGAAAATGCTATATAGAGCATGTCAGAATGTGCTCATACTCAATCATGGAGGGTTATTTACTTGTCTGGTGAGCCGGGGCTGTGTAATGACCATTAGCGCAATAGTAAACACATCTTTTCCATCAATAGCTTACCAGACATCGGCGGAGGGGGATAGTGGGCTTGCGGCTGCGACATTTTCTTGTTGAAAAAGGACGGCATCGATGTATGCAATAGACGAAGTCCAATTGAACTTCAAATAAACTCCTGTTCAATCATTAGAGTCGATCACCCCAGGTTGTATTTCAACGTACAGATCCCACTTGTGGTGTGCGGGGTAACAAATCTACTTCGGCCTCGCTTTGCTGATCAACAGCAGGGAATGCAATAAGAATCGAGGAGGACTGCTAACTTCAATGACAGTTGAGAGCCTGCTCAAAATGCAAGTAAAGGAGAACTTCGCCAGGAATGCACGAAAGAAATGAAAGCTCTGGCTGAACTCCTGGGAGCTCCAAACCTATTATTAGGTCCGAAGGTCTTGGAGACAATTGAGTGCCATTTAGATTGGCAGCCGAATCACACTTCACTACTGCATGATCATCCCAGCCGGGCGCTTACAAGGTCCATCTGCGCAATCTGATGGGCTGGTGCATTCAGTAGTAAAGTGGATCTTCAAGCGTGATTGGTGGTTCACGAAGGCGCCAAGCAGAATACGGAAGTTTAAAGTGGGACACGACAGGGTCGACGGTGATAGATGTGAATATTTTACCGCTCGGACAGAATGCCCAGAGTACTAGTAACGCGTCCTGGCCCTGCTGACCTGGCAGCCAAGTCGCGGGGTTAGACCTTGGCTCCTTGCCAATCAGGTGACACTAGGTTATATTTACAACAAAGCGTACTGGGAATGATCATCGCAAAGAATAGGGGACAAAGTTGAGCTTGAAGCAAATCACAGGTGCATTCATCTACCCATTTTCCTGAGGCATAGCAATGTGGAACGATAGCACTCTAAATACAAAATAGCAGCATATGGTTTGGAGAAGATCACTGATCTGCTCTGTAAGCCATCTGTCCAAGCTAACTAAGCCATTATCCACCAACGCCTTTCAATGATTTAAGAGGATATATGAAATCATGGGAGTATCCCAGCAAAATTAAACGAGTGCCGCATAAACAGATCCGAATGGTACCGCAAGCCTAGAAGATGCTGTTCACGATATTGGATCCAACAGTAGCACCGGCACCGAAGATTGCTGCTCATAGTTAGCTCACTGACTTATTATCATCTTGGGATGCGACACATACCAGCGTTACCCAGCTTCTTGCCGAACTTCTTGCCGCCTTGCTCGAACTTGCTCTTCTCCTTCGGGTCGTTGGACTCAGGAGCTGAAGGTCCTCCTTGACTGACCTCCAAAGGCATGTTACCATAGTTGGTAGGCGGAGGACCACCGCCAACCTTCTCATTTAAGACATTGACATAGCTGCGAGGGAATATACCCTCCATACCAGTGCGCTCGTTGCGACCACGCCACCCTGTCATAAACATTAGTACATTTTAAAATCCATTCGTCTTGGAGGGAACATACAGTCATCATTCATGTGCTCAATAACTTGAACACGGTCGTTCGGCTGCAAGGCAAGATCACCCGCATCGGTGGGAGTGTATGCATATAGCGCCGAGGCGAGAGACAGAATGGGTGGAACTTGAGGGTAGGCCGGCGGAGCCATCTGAGGAGGCGGTGAAGCATATTGGTTGTGCATCTGGGCTTTCTCGTTCAACGAAGTATCGTGCATTTGGGACACGGGAGGGGAATAGGGAGCTGGAGCGGGCTGTGCCTGCACAGGTTCCGGTAGGGGTGAAGGTGTGGGCATCACGGGCGTAGCCTCGCGGTGTCGGGGCGCGGAACGAGCATCGGACTCGTCGGGCAGTTGTGAGAGGATAGAGTTCAGCTGTTGACGTGAGATCACAGATGAATCTGCTAGGAATTCCAGCTCCTGGGTTTGTTCGTCAGTGGCTGTTACTTTCAGGTACTGTGGGGAAGACATACGGTTCGGACCATGCGGAGCGACCGGGTGGTCATGGCAGAGGCAAAATTGTTTGCCATGACGGCTATGGAAACTCGGGCGATTGTAGGATTCAATATGTAGGAATTAATCGCTTGCTGAAAAGTGACGGCAATCGAAGATAGGGGAGATATGGGTTGAGGGAGAGAGCTGAAAGAATAGCGGAGGTTGAGACCGGACTCCTCTGCCAAGTGGGTTGTCTCGTCTGCCTGGCGGGCCAAGACTTCAGGAACACCAGGGGTAATCTCTCTTCAACCATGCCATGTTCATTGATGAGATATGAACTGTGCTATGAGAACATTTCTGTTTAAGTATTGATTGTACTTTTCCACAAGATGGATTCTATGTGTTTTGTTGTTATACAGCTCAGCATTTGAAGGGATGTAGCCTCTCTGCACAACTAGCATGACTGGCCCCATCCTTGTCTGTGTTTGTATTTAGAGCCGAGTCTCCCGGTATCAATTTTTATCAAAATCATTCACTTAAAAGAGATCACTGTGGTTCTCAGTTTAGCAAAAAATAATGACTCGATTGCTGGATAAAGCAACATATCGGAACCGCTAGACTAGATCTACGGTATATCTGGTCTTTGCATCACCTGTTTGACCCTAAACAAAACCTAGTCTGATTCCAGGTAAGCTATGGCGTCCAGCCATAGCTATTAGCTTTATGATGAAAATAGACAGTGGAGCAGATTATCATTCCAAGTTATCATTCAGTCTCATCGCCTACAACACGAGTGACCGTAATACCGTCCTGTTCAACAGTTAACATCTTACTTAAACACTCAATGAAGCAAACATACCAGCCCAAAATCAGTATCAAACTCCGCAAGAATAGTATCATATACCAAGTTAGGATTAGGCGTAACAGCTCCGATTCCAGCCCCTTTAACCATCTCCCGCTTCTGCTTCGTAGTAGCCTCCACCCATTTGCGATACTGAGGCGCACCAGGAAAGATCACATTATCTGCAACAACTACCGAAACATCCACTTTTAGTAAATCCATCTGCTCAAGAAGCCATAAATCAGGCAGATACAGATCCTGCCAATGATCCAGGAAAATAAGTTCAACCTGCGTAAGCTCTTTCTCTTTAACCAGTTCTTGCAGGACTTCATCGCTAGATCCAACGATAATCTGCACGAAATCGCGTAACCCGGCCAGATCTACCAACTGGCTGGCTATAGCACCCATTTCAGGGTTCTTTTCGATACCGATGTATTGCTTTCCGCCATGCGATCGTACGGCACCTCCGAATAATATGGCGCTGTACCCAACATAGACACCGAGTTCGATCATGGATGATGGTTTGCATTCGCTGATCAGGTCAACGATGTGCTGGCCCTTCTTGGCTCCGACATTGGTGAGAATCTCGAATTCTTTGTGGTATTCATCGATTGCGGAGAGTACTTTCTGTGGATTTCCGTTGAGCTCTTTGATATCGGGGCGCGCGTATATATAATGGAGGAGGTCTACTTCGCGGCCATCCTGGTCATTCTTAGAATTGCATCTACATAATACCAAGGTTGAGACTTTACTCACAAAAGCATGTTTAGTCGCTCGAGGTGCGTGCAGCTTGTTTGACATGCTTCTATGCAACAGAATATAACTTGAAGCACTTGGGATATTTCGGGTTCCAAGGTCTCGCTTCAGATTCAAGCAAGCAATTCCGGATTATTGTTTCTGGGCATTCAATTTGTTGAGCTAGCTAATACTTGAAACCTGGGGAGTAGCATTTATAATAAATCATGTCGCACCTTTTCCAGCCGGGATTTATGATGTTCATGGGAGTTCCGAGGTCAGGAGTTAAGGAACTCAGAAAGGAAATATCCGAATGCTTCGGAGATTCTGACCGTCCGAGGCCTTGGCCTGCAGTCATGCGTCGCGGTAGCGGTAATGGAGTTCACGTGGTGTCTTCTAATATCAACTGGGGACGTCTGGATCTTGGATATTTGCGGTCATTTTCAATTCTCAGATCTATAATCTTCAGTATATCTTAAAACCGGTGTTGTATATTTCCGAGGTTTGAGACGCCACGACGGTGGCAAGGTAGGTGAAAAAAGGAAGGCATAGTGCAAGGTGGTGAACAACACTTTGAAAAATTTGCCAAATTTTTATCATCTAGAGAGTGGTACCTGACTTAAGTAGAAACTGCTTGTACTGTATACCTACAGACGCTTTGAGGCTCAGTGTTGTACTTGGTGGGGTAAGTCGGGGTCCGTAAGAGGAAAAAAGGCTGCGCCTCAAGCGCTGCAACAATTACTATTCTTCATTAATGAGTCAACCAATTGATATGTGAATATACGACGACAAAATGACTGATTTCTTTTTTAATAGCCGTCTGTAGTGTGCGGTGAGATCAAAGCCCCAGCATGGACCGAGTATCTATGACATCAAGTGGGTCGAATACATCATAGTGTTATAACAACACATTAATAAACAATGGGAATGTGTGATCGAGAATGAGGACATAGCAATGACACTTAGATATATTCCAAATAATAAGCTCAATACTGGACTATATAGAAGATTAGGCCCAAGCGACTGGATTCATGAAAGACGGTGATGGTGGCAACATCATCGTGGCCCCACTTAAATGATGTCTGTAGCCTCATTTTGCACTCAACAACCAAATGAAAAATGGCGACAAATACTCAATTGCCAAATGCACTCAATGATAAATCCATAGAATCAATTGCTAAGCAACAATCTAGAATGTACCCATGGCAAGCGGAGTTAGGCGCATGACAATATCCGCGACAATAACCCCCACTAAACCCTAAAGGGTTTAGCGCGTGACTCCCCTCTCTCCCACTCTCGAGAAGCTTCTGTGCAGTATAAATCCCATCAAACCCAACCTCACGCGAGCCTCCGTCATAATCCACCCTTCTCCCTCCACAATCAACCCACACCACTCAACTTCCAAACACCACCTACAACCGCAAAAATGGATGACTGGACCTCCACCACCAAGATCGGCAGCAAGCACCGTGGCGCCGGTATGGCCCCCCGCGAGACTGTCGTTAAGGGCAAGAGTGCCCTGAACGCCGCTCAGCGCCAGGGTGGTATTCTCGCCACCGAGAAGAAGTACACCACTGGTAATATCGTACGTTCACACCCCATCTTATGAGTGCCCAAACACATGAATCAAACACTAACCCGAATCCAATCCACAGTCTGCTAAGTCTGGTGCCCCCGAAGGCCAGCACCTCACAAAGGTCGACCGCAGCGACGACATCATCAAGCCCAAGACCGTTGGCCTCGATGTCGCAGATGCTATCAAGAAGCGCCGTACCGACGAGGGTTACAAGATGACACAGAAGGAGCTCGCCACCAAGTGCAACACCACCGTCACCGTCATTCAGGACTTCGAGCGTGGATCCGCCGCCCCGGATCAGAAGGTTCTCTCTGCCATGGAGCGCGTGCTTAACGTTAAGCTCCGTGGTAGTGACATCGGTAAAGAAAAGTTCCCCAAGAAGAAATAAATAAACTCAGTCCTCGGCTGAGGCTTTTCATTTCTTGGGGATGAGACGCATTTTCTTTCCTCTTACTTGTTTTCTTTGTGATGAACGTCATGCCTTTCCCCTTCTTCTCTGATATGATGTCTACTTTTTACCTCTTTGGGGGGTTCTTTTCTGCTGGTCGGATTAGCGCTGGCCTTGCATGGAATGGGCTTAGAGAAAATTCGGATAAAAATGTATAAATGAGATACCTCAATGATTGTGATCTATTCCACGAGTTCTTCTGTCTCTAATAAAACGTAGATCCGTGGTTCTGGATAAGTTAATACTTCATTTTGAAGTTAGATCGGACAGGTGGTCGCATGCGTTATATCCTTGCCATAGTCCCGACCTCAACCCAACTAAGTTCTTTAAGCCGAGGAGCTGATCATGTCTGATTAGACCTGCCAGCTAAGTATCATATATTTGTTCTGAACTGATTGAATTTTGCAAGGCTTCTGTATTGTCTATTTTGTGATATGTACGTCCCCTGGAAGTTCGAGCCGTGTATCCACACGCTCTCCCCAGCAAGATAGACATATAACTCGAGAACTGAAAATGAAGCATGCCGTCTTTTATTAAACAAAAAACAAAAGCAAAAGGGTACCAACTCCGGTTGATCATGTAGGAATCAAGAAATGAGAAAACCGTGCCTCGAAAGGTCATCATCTCATCCCATATGCCGGACTCGAGGGCAAAATTAAAACAAACGTCCCGAGTCTAGTTCGCATCGTAAACACATACACACAACTCTCCTCGACTCGAATCACCTATACTTTTTCGTAGCGTAGCGTTTCATCCCTTACTTCCGCAGCTGCTCCCGCTCAACCTCGTACATGAAATCGAAGTAGGGCTTATCGAAGTGGTGGATACGGACGTAACCGTCCTCACCACCGGAGGCGTATGAGGTACCGGCGGGGTGAACGTCGATGGTGTTGAGGGGACCGAAGTGGCCACGGACACGGCCGATCTCGTCTTCGAAGACCTTGTGGTAGAAGCGGGCCTCGAATTTACCCTGGCGAGCGGAGGTGGTGGTGACATCCATGGCGGCCTGACCACCACCCAAAATCACGTAGTCCTTCTTGTTGGTGATGGAGGCGGAGTTGAGGGGAGTATCGGCGGGGTAGGTCTTGAGGATGGCGAGGTTGCGAGCGGAGATGAGCTGGAAAGGGTTAGCCAGGTCGTTCTGATTTGATATCGGTTTATATGCCTACCTTGGCAGTCTTGTCTTTGGAGGCGGTGATGAAGTGGGTGCGGTCAGCGGAAAATTGGATGTCGTTGATCTGGTGGTCGAACTCGTGGGCTTGGATGTTCTCCAGCTGATCACCGGTCTGAGAAAAAAGATGTCAGTATTTCAAGTCTGGCATTGGATTCAAAACGAAATCTCAGCGGCCATACCTTGGGGTCATATTGGCTGACGGAGCCATCCTCGTGTGCAGCAATAATGTACTTGGCCATGTAGCTCCATCCGGCAACAGTAGCCTTGCTCTCAGCGCAAGTGATGCGCAAGCTTGGCTCCTCTGCCTGAACATCCAGGTTGTTGCCCTCACCATCACCGTAGGCAATATCGAGAACAGCGATCGAACCGAGGAAACCCATACGCTTCTCTGTCACTGCCAGCAGCTTGCTTCCATCCGGGGAGAATGCCACGCGCTTCACAGCTGTGGGGAACTCCCACACCTTGATGCAGTCGCCAGTCTTGATGTTCCATAGCCGGACGGTGTTGTCGGCTGATCCAGTCGCAAGGATCACAGTGTTGGGGCTCACGTCGACAGTCCAGATAGCACCCTGGTGACCGGCGTACGTTCCGAGACGCTCGCCGTTGGCAGTCCACCATGCGCACACATTCTTATCCTTTGACACCGAGAAGAGGAGGTCGCCGTCCTTGTTGTAACGAATCTGGTTGAGGGACCGCTCCTATAAGTTGATTGCGGTTAGTTTTCACTGTGGACCCGAGCTTTTAAGAAGAATCCCACGCACATGTCCTGACAGCAAAATAGGTCTCATCTTGGCGGATGCGACAGGAAAGGACCGAAAATAGATGCACTGAGCTGATCGTCTCAGTGAGGTGGATGTATGGCGGGTATATCGGAGGAGGGGGGTCAATCTCGTCAACCGTCACTTTCTTTCACTAGTGAATTTCATCGCACACTCCTCCAGCGCCAAGACTGACAAACCGTATCGAATCGCGCTTTTCCGGCCGAACCATTGATCCGGTATCTACACGTGATGTACTGCCCCTCAGCCCTAAGCCCTATCCGGCCTAATCAGGAGCCCATTTCTACGGATTAACTAATGCTTCACCGGATCAATTTAGTTACTGTAGACCGTGACTCATCAACCGTTATCTTCGGAGCACAGTATCTTTGATGCCTTAGGCACCATTTCCCGTCTTGACTTGTGTTCTCCCTTTCGGATCCCGAAGTATCACAGCAACGAGAAAGGGCATTGCAGGAGAGACGGATATAAGGGGAAAAGATATTACATCTGAGAAGACATAAACTCTAGCGAAGATCTCCATTGATGCCGAGTTTTTTCTCTACCATTAAGAGTGAAATGTTAAGCTTCCCCGTGATCCCGAACCGATAATCAGCTCCGAGGGTTCTCGCCCCTAAAGAAGCAATAATATTCATGCTGTTCCCCGCCGTACCCCGCGGTCCTCTTTCCCTCCAGGCGCGAGCGACTAATTTTTATCTCCGCACCTCTCTGTGCTTGTCTTCATACCATACCATATCCTCCGCACGAGGGGTAAGAGGTTCTGTCTTGTCAACCTTTACGACTTCGTCCCAACAGTCTGCTTTTTTAAAACCCTTGGCCGCTGCTTCGAATCGCACGTTTTGCAGCTCCGCAACCATGGCCGCTAAGATTGATGGCACGGCAATTGCCAAAGCCATTCGCCAGGGCCTCAAGACTGAGATTGAGGAGACTCAGCTTGCCAACCCCCGGTTCAAGCCTAACCTGATCATTTTCCAGGGTAAGCATCTTGTTCCATTCCCAAACGGAAAACTAGAAGCATGTGATTGACTAACACCACTTTGTGATTTACAGTCGGCAACCGATCGGATTCCAGTTAGTTTCAAACCAAGGACGTATCGACGAATGAACGCATAGAGCTAATTATAACCTAGGCACCTATGTGCGCATGAAGCTGAAGGCCGCCCAAGAGGTAGATTTGACCCAATGCCAAAAATCAAGATAGGATGGCCGCTGACTCACTTTCAGGCCAATATCCTCTGCACTCTGATCAACATCCCCGAGACCAGCACCGAGTTGGAGCTCCTCCAGGAGATCACTAAGGCCAACAATGACCCCACCGTTCACGGTATCCTGGTTCAGTTGCCCATCCCCGACCACATGTCCGAACACACCATCACCTCTGCCGTCTCTGATGAGAAGGACGTGGATGGATTCGGTGCTGTCAACATTGGTGAGCTGGCCAAGCGTGGTGGTCGCCCAAATTTCACCCCGTGCACCCCGCTTGCAGTGATGGAGCTGCTCAAGGCCAGTGGTGTGGACCCCTCAGGCAAGCAGGCTGTTGTTCTGGGACGTAGCGACATTGTTGGCAGCCCAGTCAGCTTCTTGCTCCGTAATGCTCACGCCACCGTCACCGTCTGCCACTCTAAGAGTGCCGACATCCCAAATATCGTGAAGAACGCTGACATTGTCGTCGCCGCTATTGGAAAGACCGAGTATGTGAAGGGAGAATGGTTGAAGCCAGGTTGCGTTGTGATCGATGTCGGTATCAACTACAAGCCTGATGCGACCAGGAAGTCTGGTGAGCGCCTGGTCGGAGATGTGGAGTTTGAGTCTGCCTCACAGGTGGCCTCACAAATCACTCCTGTACCCGGTGGTGTTGGCCCCATGACCGTTGCCATGCTGCTGAAGAATGTGGTTAACGCTGCCAAATCATACTTCGAGAAGCAGAAGGACCGTCACATTACTCCCCTGCCTATTCGTCTGCAGACTCCAGTCCCGTCCGATATCGCTATTTCTCGCGCTCAATACCCCAAGCCCATTACTCAGGTTGCTGCTGAGGTTGGCGTTGCGCCTCACGAGCTGGAGCCCTACGGCCACACTAAGGCCAAGGTTGGACTTGAGGTCTTGGATCGTCTCTCTCACCGTCGCAATGGACGTTACGTTCTCGTTGCTGGTATCACTCCTACCCCTCTGGGTGAGGGCAAGTCCACCACTACTCTTGGTCTTACCCAGGCTCTTGGAGCTCATTTGGGCCGCGTCACCTTTGCCAACGTCCGTCAGCCTAGTCAAGGCCCGACCTTTGGTATCAAGGGTGGTGCTGCTGGAGGTGGCTACAGTCAGGTCATCCCTATGGATGAGTTCAATCTACACTTGACAGGTGACATTCACGCTATCACTGCCGCTAACAACCTTCTTGCTGCGGCCATTGAGACCCGTATGTTCCATGAGAGCACGCAGAAGGACGGTCCTCTCTACAGCCGTCTAGTGCCCGCCAAGAAGGGCAAGCGCGAGTTCCAGCCTATTATGTTCCGTCGCCTGAAGAAGTTGGGTATCGAGAAGACCAACCCCGATGACCTTACCGAGGATGAGATTCGCCGCTTTGCCCGTCTGGACATCGACCCTGAGACTATCACCTGGCGTCGTGTTCTTGATGTCAACGACCGCCACCTGCGTGGCATTACCGTTGGCCAGGCCCCCACTGAGAAGGGTCTTTCCCGCGAGACTGGCTTCGACATCTCCGTCGCTAGTGAGTGTATGGCTATCCTTGCTCTGAGCAACAGCTTGGCAGACATGCGTGAGCGCCTGGGCCGTATGGTGGTCGCTACCTCCCGCAGCGGTGACCCCGTCACCTGTGATGACATTGGCGCCGGCGGTGCTCTTGCTGCTTTAATGAAGGATGCCATCAAGCCCAACCTCATGCAGAGCTTGGAGGGAACTCCCGTTTTGGTCCATGCTGGTCCCTTCGCAAACATCAGTATCGGTGCTAGCTCCGTCATTGCCGATAAATTGGCCTTGAAGCTGGCCGGTACCGAGCCCGACGAGGATCACAATGCTAAGACTGGTTTCGTGGTGACTGAGGCTGGTTTCGACTTCACCATGGGCGGTGAGCGCTTCTTCAACATTAAGTGCCGATCATCGGGTCTTTCTCCCGATACCGTTGTAATTGTGGCCACCGTTCGCGCTTTGAAGGTGCACGGCGGCGGTCCTGATATTAAGCCCGGCGCTGCTCTGCACGAGGTTTACCGTACTGAGAACGTTGACATCCTCCGTAAGGGTTGTGTGAACCTGCGCAAGCACATTTCCAATGCCCGCAAGTACGGTGTGCCCGTGGTCGTTGCCATCAACAAGTTTGAGACTGACACCGAGGCTGAAATTGCTGTCATCCGGGAGGAGGCGATCGCAGCGGGTGCCGAGGACGCCATCCCCGCCAACCACTGGGCTGAGGGTGGAGCCGGCGCCGTTGACCTGGCTAAGGGCGTTCTGGCCGCCAGCTCCAAGCCAAAGGACTTCAAGCTGCTTTACGACCTGAATGGCAGCATCCAGGAGCGCATTGAGCGCATTGGCAAGGAAATGTACGGTGCCGAGAAGGTGGAGTTCAGCGAGCTCGCACAGAAGAAGGTTGATACCTACACCCAGCAAGGATTTGCCAATCTGCCTATCTGTATTGCCAAGACACAGTACTCTCTCAGTCACGACCCTGCCCTGAAGGGCGCACCAACCGGATTCACTGTGCCGATTCGAGATGTCAGACTGGCCGTGGGCGCTGGATACCTGTAAGCTTCTCTCCCCATTCCTTTTTCCACTACGTCTATCCCCACAATGACCCGCTTTTTTGTTCCCCTTCCATTCTACCATGTTGGATGCAAATTCTAATTTGACTCACAGCTACGCTCTGGCTGCCGACATCCAGACCATCCCTGGTCTGCCTACTGCACCCGGCTACCTTAATGTAGACATTGACCCGGAGACTGGTGAGATCGACGGTCTGTTCTAGATCGTGCATGAAACTTTGTTTTAAGGTTCGGATTGAATAGAAAATGACTGGGTGTATATAACCGTGCATTGAGCACGGCTTGGGACTTTTTTTCAACACATACCACTTACAACGATAATCTGGCGTCCCATGGGTATATTTAGAGCGGAGAATTTCAACACCAGGTTCAATTAGCAGATGAATCACTCATACTATTTCAGGAAGTTATGAACAATATTTTCTTTTCACTCTCTCTTCAACCATAATCAAGGAAGTTAGCATCCAAGGTTCTTGTACCTGTAGATCGTGCTATTCGGGTGATCGTTCTCCGGTGCAAAAGTGGGTCCAGCACCTTCCTCGGTGAGCGCGGAGTAGTGCTCCGAGCTCCGGAGAACGCTACGTTTTGACTTCTTCCCCCAACCGTGTAGCGGGTCGGTGGATAGAGCTATGAGCCCGGTGACTCGATGAATGGAACATAAAAAGGGCTAGGACCAGGGGATTTAAAAGAAAGAAGCCAGACCTCCTCCATTTCTTACCTTTTAATTTCTAGTAGCATCCATCTGGTCCTCCATCAAGTGGTTTCTTCTAAAGTAAGTCTCGTGACTGTCCGGCTTCGGCGCTTCTTGTAGCGGCAAACGGTTAGAAGAGGAGAGAACATTGGCTCATCCATTTGTTCCTTGCAGCAGAGTTTCCCCCCCCGGACAAGGCTTTTTCCTCTTTTCCCTTTCGACCTTGCCATCACTCTACTCTCCGGTAATTCCCCCAATCCCCATTTGCCTTGCTGGACCCAGTTGCCCAATTACCCGGCCACTCCCGTTTTCCCCCGGGCTTTCGCTCCCCCAGACATTGCTCCCGGCAACTTTAGCTAGTGACGTTGCGATCGGGTATAGGACTACTCCGACCCCACTGCCGCTTTTCCCTTCTGCCGAATATCGTTCCCTCGGTTGTTCTACACGGCGAACCCGCAAAACTGCCCCCCCGATACTGCCTCCGAACCAAACAGAAAGAGAGAAAGTCGCGCTGACGCTTTTCCGAGCATAGGCCCCAATTCTTGCCTGATTCCCACACCATGAACGCTCTTCGGTCTGGTTCCGCTTTCGCGCGCCGGTCCCTTGCGACCCCTCCTGTTGCCCCTCTCTCTTCTTCTTCTCGTCTTCTCTCTTCCTCCTTTACTTCCTTCTCTACTTCCCAGAGATCTCTTTCTTCTGCCTCCCTTCCTCGCACTCACAGAATCTCTGCGTCTTCCCGCTGGACCGGATCGACTCCTTCGTTGTACCTTACCCAAACCCGCACTATGGCTTCCGAAAGCAAGATCAAGGTTGTGAACCCGGTGGTGGAGCTGGATGGTGATGAGGTATGGAGCGAATCCCTTTCCTTTTATAATTTAGTCCCCGAACTTTCCCTCGCGCGGGGTGTGTCACAAGCTTGCAATGTCTCATGCTTTGAGCGGTGCATTTTCGTCTTGTCAGTCATTGAACGCGGGGAAATACGGGGGAGCTAGTCTCGATACATGTGTCATTGGGCCATCCCGATGCCAATGGACCGACCCGAGGCTTGTTCGGCACCAATTGTGAACTTTGCTAACAGAGGATCTTCAATAGATGACCCGTATTATCTGGCAAGACATCCGTAACAAGGTAAGCCTCGGAACAACCTCATTGCCCCTCTACCCCTCATGCCGGCTCAACCTGCATGATCGGCTCCCGGCTGCAGACAGCTGCATGCAGTTGATGCATCAGACCGCCCCAAAAGTCTAGACCAAGGCTGACATTACTTTTCTTTTAGTTGATTCTGCCGTAAGTGCTAAACCTAGACGCGGTGATCGTTTCGTCCGTTTTACTAAACTCATTTTTCAGTTACCTCGACATTGACCTCAAGTACTACGACTTGGTAAGCTTCTTAGCCGACCTATTAAGTTGTGACGCAGTCCCGCTAACCAATTGATCAGGGTCTTGAGTACCGTGACCAGACCGATGACCAGGTCACCCATGACGCCGCTGAGGCTATCAAGAAGTACGGTGTCGGTGTCAAGTGTGCCACCATCACCCCCGATGAGGCCCGTGTTGAGGAGTTCAAGCTGAAGAAGAGTACGTCGTGGTCTTCCCTCAATTATATCCTTTCGTTGACTAACATTTGTGACCTAGTGTGGCTGTCCCCCAACGGTACTATCCGTAACATCCTTGGCGGTACCGTTTTCCGTGAGCCCATCATCATTGAGAAGATCCCCCGTCTCGTGCCCGGCTGGAACAAGCCCATTGTCATTGGCCGTCACGCCTTCGGTGACCAGTACCGTGCTACCGACCGTGTCATCCCCGGCCCCGGTAAGCTCGAGCTGGTTTACACCCCCGCTGGTGGTGGTGAGCCCGAGGTTGCCCAGGTCTACGATTTCCAGGCTGGTGGTGTCGCCCAGGTTCAGTACAACACTGACGACTCCATCCGTGGATTCGCTCATGCCTCTTTCAAGATGGCCCTCCTCAAGGGTCTCCCTCTGTACATGAGCACCAAGAACACCATCCTCAAGCGCTACGACGGCCGCTTCAAGGACATCTTCCAGGAGATCTTCGACAAGGAGTACAAGGCTGAGTTTGACGCCAAGAAGATCTGGTACGAGCACCGTCTCATTGACGACATGGTTGCCCAGATGATCAAGTCTGAGGGTGGCTTCGTCATGGCCCTGAAGAACTACGACGGTGATGTCCAGTCCGACATCGTCGCCCAGGGCTTCGGTTCCCTCGGTCTCATGACCTCCACTCTCGTCACCCCCGACGGCCAGTCTTTCGAGGCCGAGGCTGCCCACGGTACTGTCACCCGTCACTACCGCGAGCACCAGAAGGGTAACGAGACCTCCACCAACCCCATTGCCTCCATCTTCGCCTGGACCCGTGGTCTTATCCAGCGTGGTCAGCTCGACAACACCCCCGACGTTGTCAAGTTCGCTGAGGAGCTCGAGCGTGCCTGTATCGAGGTTGTCAACGACGATGGTATCATGACCAAGGATCTTGCCCTTGCCACTGGCCGCAAGGACCGTGAGGCCTGGGTCACCACCTCCGAGTACATGGCCGCCGTTGAGCGCAAGCTCAAGGCCAACCTCAAGGCTCGCCTGTAGATCTTTTTCCCTTTTTATGATGCCCATTTCTGCCTGCGCAATCTTTCTATATGATATCTTTTCCCCAAATAGATCTCGGGGGATTTTGATCTAGCTTCTGACATGTATAGTCGTCGGACAAATTAAAATCGAGTCGCTCTGCATGAACAATTTTTTCTACCTTTCCATAATAGTAAAATGTATTATCAATGACACTAGAGTCCTTCATCCCCGTCCTGCACTGGAGATGTCGTTTCTGTGCGTGCAATGGGAGCATTATAGCAACGCAAAGTCATTGATTTGTAATTTGTAAGTCAAGCACGCAGTGGTGCCTGAGGCCATTATCAGGGTCCAGTTGTCATTGGAATCCACCCTATCACGTTTTGAGGGGGTGTGGAGCCTTACCCCAAGCTTCCGAAGTACGTAAATAACAGACATGGTTCCATGGGTTAAATTACCTGTGGACAAGTGTTGCATAACTCATAATCTGCAAAATTCTGCAAAAAGAGTCGGGATCATTGTGAACATTCATAGGGGTTTTTAACTCCATTTTTGCTACTTGTGATAGACTTGAATGAATTTGAGGCCTTGTACAAGGAGAGGCGTTTAAGCACTGTTGTTGGCGATTTGTCTTAGGCTTATGACATTGTGCCTTCTCAAATAGGCTCCGTGAACGATGTGCTCGATTAGGCAGTATGTTGCTCCTTCTCATTTAGTATCACGGACATTCAGTATTTAGGAAGGCGCGAAATAGTAGACAAAACTCCCAACATCAGCAGCAATAGTTCCGTCCTTCTTCCTCTCCCCATATCTTTGCTTTCGTATTTACAACTCATACACCATCGTTTGGAACAATACGTTCATTATCTCACACTCATTGTGCCGTCCCAACTACTTCGTTTACTGTCACTCACTCTTTTTTGACTCGACTACCGTCACCATGCAGTTCCAACCTGTGTGTCCTGTCCATTTCATTCGCCCCCAGCAGCTGCATCCCCGATTTTGCATTTTCCGTCCCGGTGGTGTCCCCACACCCCTCATCGCCATTGATGAGCTCCCATCATGGCTTCAAATTTCCAGTCCCTCTCCCGATACGTACATCGGTTTGCAACCCGTCTCCCCAAGCTATATACCACGGGAAGGTGAATACGAGGTGACATGCATCAACTGCTCGAGCAGTGTGTCTTCCGTCAACCAAAGCATGTCGGATCGCAATGAAGACGTTCAGTCTCCTCAGTCTGCGGTCAGCGCCAACAAGAATTGCAGTGGTACACCTTGCAACGGCATGGGGGAGAATGCGGCGGCGGTTACCATCCCCAAGTTTCCAATCGGGTTCAGTATTGGAAACCCATCTTTTGATGCAACGCAACAGAGCCCTGTTATTGGACTTTATAGTACCAATGGGTCGCCACTGGCTCCTCAGAGCATTCCTTTGCCCGCGTCAACTGTGTCGACTGCGTCGCAGCCATCGAGCTTTGGAGAATCGATCTTGGGTTCTGAAGCAGAACCGAGCAAGTCCGACAGTTCAGATACCCCGACGACACCTACGGACTCATCCAAGGGAACAAGCATCGATTCTATCCGATCCCTCACTGGTGCTGTCGACCAGCTCAGGGAAAAGAAAAGACCGAAGGGATCGTCTGCGGACTCCTCAAATGGAACAAGTATCGCCTCTACCCGGTCCCTTACTGCCGCTGTCGAACGGCTTAGGCAAAAGATAAAGCTGAAGGGTTCATCTTGCCAAGCCAGCTTCCATCGCAAAGTTCACAAAGTAGTCCCGGCCGATTTCGACGCAGTTTGGCAAAAAAGCCCCAATTACCACAGATTGGAAACTGAATCCCAACGAACGGTCAAACTCTCCCGCCGTCGTCGGACCAGACTCAAGCAGTCTGAGTCGAAGCTCCCAGGCTCTGTCGGTGACATGAAAGAAGAAGACCCAAAGCTAGACGGTTGGCACAAAAATCCCAAATCCCACAGAGTGCACTCTAAATCCCAGCGAAATGTCAAACTCCCTCGGATCAAACTCCAGGGAAGGAAGTCGACGCTTTCGAATTTTGTCGAGACCAATTCGTCTACCAAGCGACGTGCTCGTCGTGAACGCCTGGCCAAGAGACTGCTTCATCAGCATGACGTGGACCGCAAGAGCCGCTACTGGCACATGGCCAAGATTTCAAAGTGATACATGATTTGAACTGTACAGAAATGACAGGAACTTCGCTGTTTGCTATTGAATTTTGTTCTGCTTTGTTGATATTCCGTGCTTACTTTGTATCTCTGTGCTTGACGTTCATTTTGAGGTTCTGTCCATTGGCACTTGTGCTTGTCCCTCATCGTCAATGTACATTCTTGCTTTATATAGTTATACCGGGTTAGCGTTGGAATACACTTTCCTTGACCAGTGTCATCAATTTGTTCGTTTGACATAAATCGTGCCGTTAAAATGGAGTTGTTCGCGAGGGTCGTTACCATTTCCTTGCTAGAACCAAACGGGCAACTCGCCTCCCCCGCACCCTTATCTCCCGGCTCTACTCCGTTTCGAGACACTCACAACATAATGGCAAGCATCAAGAAGCCCCGAGGAATCCGACACGATCGACATTGCCACCGCTGTCGAGTCAAGGGCATCAAATGTGATCTAAATCGCCCTCGTTGTCAACCCTGTCAGCAGAATGGATTGGCTTGTAGTTATCCCCAAAGAGTTGTCTGGATGGGTGACAAGAAAGCCACCTCAGAAAATACACAACCAAAGTCAGCATCGATAATGGAAACAGAGAGTGGAGAGTCAAGGTCAACTCAACCACAAAGCAACAATATGCCTGTTAATCTATATGGGTTCATCGACCTTCTGTCGCACTTCTATCAAGATATTCAAGCCACGAAAGAGGAACTACCAGAGGAAGCTGTCAAACTCATTGCCCACACTCTGAGCTTCGCTCGCTCGCGTCTCCAGGGATCAAACAACAAGCAATCGATTCAGACGCATCTCGGCGCACTGACAAACTTGAGCAAAGTTATTGATTCCGGACACCCGATTGCACTATTTGGGATTGCAACTTTCGCCATCTTTGAAGTATGCTGTGGCTCGTTTGGCAAATGGCATCGTCATTTGCAAGGTGCACGCTCTCTTCTTGACCTTCACTGTCAGAACAAGGCCGAGCTCGATGGCCTTGCTGCTCGGGTTCCTGGCCTTGGAGATGTCTTAGCCTACCTAGTATGGTTCGATGTTACAGGTGCACTGGTTCGAGGTGGAGACTTGTTATTCGACGATTGGCACCGCGGAATCCTATGCTCGAATTTCTTCGACTCAGTGGGTTGCCCACCGGACACATTTGAGCTCTTCGCACATCTGGCAAAACGGAACATCAGTCCCGGAATTTTGGATTTAAGTTCCAGGGCGATGAATCAGATATTAAATGTAGATGATAGCGATACGACAGACCGGGGACTGGCGGCCGCGGTGTACAGATGCACGGGCGCGATAGTGGCATTTGGTCGCGCGGGAGAAAATGGGAATAACGAAGGCGTTGATATCTCGAATCCATATTCGGACGCTTTTCTAAAGATGGTCGACCGCGCATGCGATGTTATCTCCAGGATCCCCACATCATCAAGATTCTACGTGCACCTAGCCAGTCCAGCCTATTTAACCGGTATGCACGCGACCACCACAAAACAATGTGAGATTCTGCGGGCCTATTGGAGGAATTGCCAGCTATGCGACTTTCCGCGTTATCCGGATGCACAAGAACAATGCGAGGAAAGATGGAGGCGGAAAATGATCTGAATACGAGTGGTAGATAGCCTTCCTAATGCGGAAACCTATCTATCCGGTCCCCGCATCTCTTATCTCACATACATCCAGCCATAAATGCCTTCATTTCCTTTCTCTATGCGTAGAAATTGATTTCATTCATTGTAATCGCAGAATGGCAACCGACACACCAACTCCATCCTATCAAGAGCTCGCTGCGCAAAAGCGCGAGCGCCAGCTCGATCTGATCCCTCCCGAGTGGCGCTTGGAACCAGTTCCCTCGGTAGACTCCGCACCCAACGCCCTGGTGTATATTCGTCAGATACTCAGTCCTACCGAGCTTGCACTTACGGAGGAAATTGACATCACGGTCTTACTGCGCAAGCTTTCTTCCGGAGAACTTTCATCTCTCGAGCTCACGCAGGCATTCGCTAAGCGCGCAGCGCTGGCACATCAATTAACGACATGTTGCACGGAAATATTTTTTGATGAGGCTTTCGCAGTAGCCAAGCAGATGGATGAACATCTCGCTAATACAGGGAAGACCATGGGCCCTCTACACGGACTCCCGGTCTCAATTAAAGATCTGTTCTCCGTCAAGGGCGTGGATACATCCATCGGTATGTTCCATTGCATTTGTACCTTTTGAACCCGGTCATATACTTACCGTTCTCAGGATGGGTCGGGCTCACAAATAACCCAGCCCAAAACGATAAGTCTGTCGCCAGAACACTTCGCCGACTAGGTGCTGTTCTCTACGTGAAGACCAATTTACCCCAATCAATGATGATGTCGGACTCATACAACCATGTCTGGGGCCAATGCGTTAACCCTTTCAATCGGAATTTGATCTCGGGTGGTAGTTCCGGGGGTGAGGGATCTATTGTTGCGGCTAGGGGAAGTCCACTTGGTATCGGTACCGATCTTGGCGGATCGATTCGTATTCCTGCTGGTCTTTGTGGACTATATGGACTTTCGCCTAGCCCGGGGAGACATCCTTATGAGAGGGGAAAGTAAGTAATGTCTCCTCCTTTTTTGATGTTTGCGAATTCAAACGAAGGATATCAACTAAAAAATAGGTTTCAATAGTCCCGGTCAGGATATTGTTCGCTCGGTCGCTGGGCCGATGAGTGTCAGCCTTGCCACTATTGAGCGGTATATGGAAGCTGTTCCGTATGCTTCGCCTTGGGAGTTGGATCAGCATGTTGCTCCTGTGCCGTGGAGGAGGAGTCTTGCTTCGCTGCGGCCTAAGCGGTTAAAGATCGGGTTTCTAGTTGATGATGGTGTTGTTAAATGCCAACCTCCTGCTGAACGTAGTGTTCGGGATGTTATTGAAGCTTTGAAAGCGGCTGGACACGAGGGTGAGTTATTAGTGGCTTGACATGGTGAATCGTGCTAAATTTCGGTACAGTGTTCGAATGGGACGCCTCATCTCATGCATATGCATACGAGCTATGGGAAAAAGCTATCCTCTCTGATGGTGGTGAAGGATGCCGTCGGATGATTGAGATGACAGGTGAACCTCTGATTGAGGGTATGCTTGTCGGGAAAGAGCACAACATCTTGACGACTTCGGAAACACACCAGGTATGATTGATATCTCCAGCCTGACTCAAGCCCCTCATGGTGACCGGTACATTTAATAATCTTTCACAGCTGAACGCCGCCAAATATAAATACGAAACTTCGTACCTCGAGCGCTGGATCTCATCTGGCATTGATGCTTTGATCATGCCCAATGCGCCTTGGGTCGGATATAAGCCCTGGACCTGGGTTAAGTCTAACAACTATGTTGGATACACTAGTATCTGGAACTTAGTCGGATACGCAGCTTTGACCGTTCCTGTTACTACAGTCTCTAGAGACAAGGATGTGCCGAGTCAGGACTGGCTGGATCATGTCCCTAGGAATCCAGGTGACAAGTTCAACAAGGAACAATGTGAGTTTGCCATCCCATCTGCGTATGTGCGACTAATACTGATGATCATAGATGATATTGACCTGGTTGATGGTATGCCGGTCGGTGTGCAGGTTGTAGGAGGCAGATTCGGAGAGGAGAAATGCGTTGCTGTAGCTAAAGCGATAGAGCAGGCGATGAGGTGGAAGGATCTAGCTCGGCCGAGTCTTTGATAGACATTGAAAACGCAATGTAGCCCAGGTGGCGCATGAAATTTAGCACCCGTGGACAGCAAATATGAATAGTTCTCATGATCATAATAGCGTGTCGTGTATTTCCCTTAAGTAGATGCTATATATACGCCATGCCATCCAACATATAATATACAGGGATCCAAAGTGCCACCTGGGCACTAGATAGGAGCATTCATCCTCTCCTTATAATCCGGGAACTCGAAATCCCCCAAATCCCACTCGATACTAGGGTTCCAAGTCCCTTGGCCAGCGCCAGCACCAGCACCAGTACCTGCAGATCCAGACCCAGACGCCGACGCAGAAATCTCACCCAACTCAATATCCCTCTCAGCATCAGCCGCCAAAAGTCTCGGACTAAGCTTTGGGCTAGGCATAACCGAATCCGAAACCATTCTCAACTCTCTCACAACCCTAATTCCTTCCTGACCCTCACACTCATTCCCCTTCTCATCCTTCTCACTATCTGCCAGCTTCGAGATACTAGCCGTATACCCACCAGGGCCCGCATAGAAGAAATCATTCGAGAAGATCCCGCCTTCCGAACTGAGTCCGTGGTCGTATATAGATCGCTTCCGGGAGTCAGCGACACATGTCGCGTTCGAGTGTGTTTTTGACCAGGGCGTTGAGTGGAGTGGTTGAGGACGGAAGAAGTAGGAGAAGATGCCTGAGATGAAAGGGTGGAGGGGGGCCATGCAGGCGCAAATTATTGAGACGTTTGATTCGAGACTGGACCAGACGGCTGCTGCGGCATTTGTCTTTGTGAAGTCGCGGCCGTTTACCATGGTACTTAGCTCGTAGAGGCGGGCGGAGCTTGTCGCTATTACACTGATAGAGATAATTTGTTAGCTTGATACTTCTTGTAAAGTCGAAAGGGAGAGCAAGGGAGAAGACGTACAAAACCCCAACGCCAAATACCAACATGATCCCAATCTTCTGTGGCCGTGGTAATTGCAGTTTATACAATAGCGGCATAGGAAGAATGAGGATCACGACATCAGAAAAGATCTGCATCGCGGCGTTGGAATACCAGACTGGTCCCTTTGGTAGACAGTGCTTGACGGCAACTGGTGGTGGAGCCCGCCAGAAATCTGAAACTGGGATGCAGAAGACGAAGCCGCTTATTACCATCCACAGGCCTGCTATGACGAGAAAGCCCATGAGGGCGTATGTGACGAGGATGAAGGGTTTTAGGCGGAAGATGCGGAGAAAGAGGAATAGGGCGGAGAGTTTGGAAAGGATTAGGGATAGATTGTAGAATGGGACTGAGAACCACAGGTACTGTTGAGGCCTGTTAGTGACGGTTTCTTTCTGATTTTATGGATGATTGGAGCTTGGCGGGGTGGGTTGAACTCACGTGCATCTGGTTTTCGACAACATCATCTGATAATTGATGTCTGGAGACTCCAAGGCCATAGTGTCGCTCTGTGTTGTTGTTAGTTTCTAATGCAGCATTATATACCCAGGGTGGATTGACATACCGGCTAGCATGAATCCGTAGAATGCAAATGAACATAGCTATAATCAATCCATATTAGCACATCTGCATCGTGGGAGTAACAAAATTGTCAAAGATTGCAGTACATACCAAAGCTGCAAAGATAAATAGATCATCCAGCCCAGGACTTCGCACCAGCTTGAATCGTGTCCAAAGCCGGATCGAGACAAAGAGAGCCGCAAGAATGGTAAAGATAGTAGTAATAGCGAGGACGCGCATCTTCACCGTGCTTCACGTTATAATATTTTCAAAGCCATCGGACGACCTTGATTGTGTAAATGTTGGCAATTTTCAACACAAGCACATATCACTTCATCTGGATGGCAAAGTAGCTTCTGAACCCAATCTGAACGAAGGTTGACAGGGAATGAATAAAGCTCGAATAGAATTATCAATGATAGACAAGAAAGTATTTCGCAATAATGTCGAATTCATGTGTTCAATGTTCAACGGTGTGTTAAAGTGGGAAGAATCCAATATATATCAAACCCTGGGGTGATCGACCATAGCCCTAGCGTGTGAACCTACGTTATCTTCAAAAACCAATTCTGCAGAAAGCCTCGCCGTCCATTTCCTCGTCACAATTAAACTCACGTCCGCCAAACCAGAGTTTTATTTCGTGGTTCGTTGATCAATTGGTGGATCCGCCGTTCGACGTGCCGCATTAGGCAAAGCCCGCATCGCGATTGCGTCGACGACATCATGCATCTAGACTAGACTTGTACATCGGTCTTATATGATTGGATAATTGAATTTCTTTGTGGGGTCTGTCAATTGAGCGACATCTCCCCGACAAGTCTCCAATGCTTGGATCTTTACTTCGTGCGAGTCGGGGGTGACCGGCGGCCGAGTCTGATCTGACTCGGAGATCTAGAGATCGCGACCGTTGTTGACTCTAGTGCTTCGTGGTTATTTTCTCGCGAGGTTGAGAAAGAGCGTTTGACTGGGGGACTTGGGAGTTTAGCTCTGCTGGCTAATTCCCTTTTAACCTTTTCAACCCCGATCACCATACTCTATTTCTATTGTCCATGAAGATCCGGGCAAAAGACCCAGTGAAACTCAACTCTAACAGAGCCTAACCAAAAGTCTGGACTGCAAATCTTCGCTCGGAAAATCCGACAGTTGAAGATCATTTTTCCCTGTCTGTGCGGTTAAAGTCTCCGAGTGTGATGAGTGGCGGACTGACAATGCAACATTCTTGTTTTCGGACATCGCCGTAGTCTAGAGTGATTTTAGGTTTGCAAATCAACGGGTCGTGGGGGGAATTAAAACTATAATTCTGCCGGGGAGGAAGTGGATCTTGCAGATACAGCCTCAAGGTGGGACATATTCCTCCCCGTACATAGAGTACCAATATTTGGATCTGGACTGACAAAGATATCACAAATAGGAGAGTGGGTTTGTCAAATCCCTTATCCGGTGCTAAAACTTGAATATGCAGACTATCGCCACCAAATGTACTCAAAATTGCGACAGAAGATAGGGAACGCTAGAGCTGATATCCGAAAGGGACTAACGGAGCGAGTCCAGCATCGCTTCGTTGCCCGGGTATTGGAAAGTAAATGCTAGAAAGCGATGCGCCGAATGAGTAAGTCAATCTCCTCCCCTTGTAGGACGCTGGATCCAATTTTCCTCCTCTGGGTATTCTAAATCCCGCCAATATCATGATTTGCCTTTATCTTTTTCTTTTGTTTCTAGTTGTAGAGAGCGTATGTAGATTTTTGGCATACTTTTCGTGCCGTCCTGGTCACCCGCGGTTCGTAGGCAACTCAGGAACCGACATACCACACCTCAACCCCTAGAATGTCGAACTTAATGCCCTCATCAGACAATGGCTCGTTCCCGAATGTCTGGCTAGGCGCGCTGACGCCCTTTTCCAGACCAGAGTCAACCCAGAGGCCATAGTGTCCGTCACTGTATTACTTGTCAGTCCCTGGGTAAATCAATGCCACACAAGCAAGTATAATAACTCACCCGCCACCGAGACTCAAAAATCCAGTCTCGCAGAACATCATATAGTCATTCACACCGCTGTACGGGAATGCCTTGAACCGAATGCGCTCGGGGGTACTTGCCCCACTCCGAGTCGTATTAATCGACGATGGCGACGGGGGCGCAAGAGCTCCTCCACTCGCAGCAGCAATGCTAGTCTTGAGACTAAGGTTTAGATTATGCGCAGGAGACTCCGATCTCGATTTCGGTTCGTTGCGCAGCGTGCTCCATCGACCGGCGTGAGTGGTGTCAGCAGAGGGGGGAGGTGGCAGACCAGCGCGTTCGAGTGCTTCCTCAGACTGGGGACCTTCACTGGGAAACGTAAGACCCAAGCTCGATGGCGGAGGCAGTACACTGGCGCGCCAGAGGAAGCACTCGCCAGTGCCGAAGAACTGGGAGTTAGGGTGCGGCGCGTCGGTCATGTAGGCGCCGAATACAGCGCTTGTCGGGGAAGAGTCGCGAATGACGAGGATGTAGCCCGCCCGCGGGCTACGGTGGGAGAATTCTTCACAGTTGTCGTAGAGGGTGGCCAAGGAGGCACCATCGCGATCGAGACTGTAAGCGAGACGCCAGTTCTCGACGAGTTGGAGGCGCGGTGGAACGAGGAGGCGGATCTCCTCGGCCAGTACGCGGGTGAGAAGTTGCTGCTGGAGGAGGTCGGCGCTTTTGGGAATTGTGAGGGTGAGAGGGGTCAGAGGTGGTGGTTGGAAGGGTGAGGCGGTTCGGCGGGGGGTGAAAACGTCGGGGGGACGACCATGGGGATGTGGATGGCATGGCGGGGGCAGCGATGCTGGGGTCGGTCAAGCGTCGGTAGAGACCTGTAACGACGTGGCTGACTGGGTAAGAGAAGTAGGAGGCGGCAGATTGGTAGGAATTGGAGTTGGCTGGATTTTGGGGCGTGTGAGATCCGGACCTGGAGGAGCTGGTCGGGGTGTCGGAGGGGCGATCCCCCTTAGATGAGAACGACATACAGGCACGAGTCAATTGTGGGGAGAGAACCCGGGGAAAGTTGGCGGAGAGATGTAGGACAAGATAGACCTCAGTCGAGGAGGGGTGGAGATGAAACAAACTTATCGCTTATCAAGTAGCGGTAGCTGCGCTCGTACACCATAAGCTTCCGAGCTTCAAAGTTAAATAGATTTGAAGGTTACAGTGATAAACAAAGTTTATATTCCTGCGAAATTACTAACACGCTTGCAAGTTTATTTGCGTCGTCATCTCTAGGTATTTCTAGGTGCATTGCAGTCTAAACTTCATGGGGTATAGATTAGCCCATACTGTGGCATGACATCCACGATCATCCAAATAGAAGGTAGGAGGAATCTTCAAAATATATATCATCTTAGTCTCGGCTTTGAACTCAAAAAGGGAATAGAATTCATTAAGAAAATAAACAAAAAGTAAACTCCAAGTTTAAATATGTTCTCTTATACCCCACAAAAGGAATACTGCATTGGCGAACGACGTAGCCTAGTGGCGTGGGTGCAATGCAATACCTCTTAGTCAATTGGAATCAATGGAGGGTACCCCACTAGGTTAAAGTATTACTGACTACATTTTTATAAGCGCCGTATCGAATTCTGATGCGTTATACCATCCAACCCCTTTTTTTTCGTTTTTTTTTCTTTCCCTTTTTCCAATATTTATACGATAAACGATAACCGAAGTAATAAGGCTAGGCGTGGCTCTTCCCGCACGGCAGGGTCACACGACCTTCACCTTCATCTCGATGCCGTGCCAACGACCACCTGGCTAGTGCCATCTTCTTTGATTTAAGTCCTGGGAGCACGCCTCCGATTTGCCTCTATGACGGAAGAGTGGCGGATAGAAAAAATATAAAACCCACACGCTCCAATGTGCTACTATGAAAACACGGCTTGCAACCCTCATTATCAAAATAGTTCCCATTTATAATTTTCATCTATCAAACAAACCTGCACCGCGATAATGGCTACCAGGTTCCCTCCATCCGACAGTTACCACGATGAAATCATCAATATGGAGGTGGACAAGTACGGTGCTCATCACCACCACCGTATCACCCACAATGAACCAGCATGGAATGATGTAAGTATAAGAGTTATGATTCGAGCAGTACCAGGCTCAGTATGGGTCGATTGTATGGTCTGCTAGGTAGACGGTGGACAATGCCTGATGCAGACTATAGGGCCCTACGAGGGTTCCCCACCGGGACGGAGTTCGTCGCTCACCCACACCGTCGAATTACGCGAAGGAGAGTGGAGGTTCGGCGGCCATAAGAATGACCCGGGCGAACGGTGCTAAATCGCATGCCCATAAGCACCCACACCCATAAGAATCTGACGTGGCAAAGGGGGTTTGGGGTTTGTGGAGTACATAGCGACCATCAGAGCATAGGTCACCCAAAAGTTGTTATGGAAACTACAGATTGGAGACCGATTTAGAGCCTTCGCTGTTGTAGTGTAAGACCGAGGGTATCATATTCAGTTGAATAACATAAACTAGAAACAAGTGTTCAATTACGCGCATCTTTGGGGCGTAGGTCCACAGTCTCGTACTCTAGGCCGTTGACCTCAACGACATGACCGGGCCGCAATGCACCCGTGTATATGTTCTCTTGAGCATGCGGATGAAACAATCCCTTCTGAGTGCAATTGAGAACCGTCTTCAGACCAGGAGGATCGGTGAGTCGAAACACACCCCAGTCCGGATTCTTGCTGGGCGCACAGACAATCGCAATACTTTCCGGGAGCATCACTTGATACCCGGAATGAGTGTGCAAGTCGCGCGAGCTCATAAAGCATGTCTGAGAGGGGTGAGTATGAATCCAACCCAGCATAATTAAGTCTTCAGAGTCGCAATACTCGAAAATTGCTGATTCATTGGTAGTCTCGCAGGTGTCGGAGGTGGATATTTGTTCTGGAATCACAAGCCTGGATATGAAAAGCGCGTTCGAAACTAGTGTACCACAGAGTATACCACAGGTTTCCAAGTTCCGGCGGGTACTTGGAGCGGCCAGAGATAAGAATCGATCCCGAAGACTGGAGGGAAGAAATACAGAGCGCAGTGGACTACCGTTTTCCAGGTACGCGGAGGGCTTGAAGGTGTAACTTGCCGGGTTAAGGCTCGATGGCGTAGAGGCACCACCATCCAAGGATTGCAGTTTCTCAGGCAGGGCTGGAGCTGCTGAAATCTTTGATGGAAGCGGCGGAGGCTCCACTGCAGATGCTCCATCGATGAAAGATGCTCTGTGTGGCTCAGCATGTTCCTTCGGTGGTAGAATCGGGGGTGGCTGCCTTTCCGCATTCTTGTCACGGATGGCAATTTGGCCAGAGGAGATGGGTGGTCCTAAAGCCTGCTGACGAGGTACGGTAGGATAGTTATATGCCATCGTGGCGGAGGGAGTTTCGCGTAGTATCGGTTTCTGCCCACGTTGGGTCTGGCTGACAGGCTGCGTATGATCGATGTTGGACCTAATATCCTGAATACGTTGACTCAAGTCTTTGTCGGCGGACCGCTTGTCCGTTTTGAATGCACTTTCCCAATCACCCCATACGCCCGCCGCTCGCCGATTATCATCTTCGGTTCTGCGGACAGTAGCTCTGCGACTGAGTTCTGATTGCGCCAGTCGAACAGCGAGATCTTGGTTCTCTCCAGCTTCCAGAGGTTTTGCAACACCGCTCAATGCGGGATCTACAGGTCGTTCGCCTTGTTCCGGAGCCATGTTGAACTCTAGAGACAGCTTTCTGGAGTCGCGCTCACGCATCAACTGCATGTACCGCTCGTATCGTTTGTTGATTCTGGGCTTGAGAACTTCCAATTTGGCCAAATTTTTCTGCACCTCCTTCTCAGCAGCCACCAGAGCCTTGCGATCTTTCTCATCTTTGGCGGCATCTGGGTGTTTTGACAGGTTTACCAGGACCAGCTGGGCATGTCGAAAAAGGAGTAGGTAGGCTTGCTCGTCGTGCCCTTCGCGCTCGTAAATTTGGGCCTATTAAGAAGATCATGTTAATCAAAATTGAAACGCGCAACTAGATCAGCGGTGATTGACCAACCTCTCTCATCAGTGTGGCCGCGGTCCGGAGCCAGTATTTGAGTGGGACGGCTGCGTTGTACTGATAATCTTGGGCAATCTTGGTAATCTTGTTTACAGCCTGGGGAGGACTGCCTCCCGCACTAGGGCCTGAAATGTGGGAAGCCATGGCGTGGTGTGTTAGGTGAAGTTTGAGAATCGAAGAAGGTTGATTGAGATCACGAGCCCCTCTTTCACGCAGACCGGATCTGAATGGGCATTCTTAACATAAGTAGGGAGCGATCTCCAACAGCTGGCGCGAGGACCAAAGACACTCGGTGCATAGGCAACCGCATTCAGGCGGTCCACGTTGAGCGCCGAACAGATATGAGACGAGGAAGAAGGATGCCTGAGATGTTGTGATGCCTAGTGGGGGGAGATGCGGAACCCGCGAGGTCTCCGCTTCCAGAAAATTAATCACAATTCTTCTCCAACTCCCACTCCGACTGCAGCTCCAATCCACCACCACCCGACAATGCTTTCAATATAACACGCATGAAAAGAACAGTAACTGGATTGGAAGCTTTGCTCAGCATTGAGCATTGAAAATGACAACCGCGGCGACATGGGAGGTGAGCGCGCGTTTCCCGATCACTCTGAGCCTCCGCGACCACTTCGTGAAAAAGGCCAGCCGGAAAAGGGCTGCTACGGCAGGCTATATAAGCGAAAAGCTATGTGGTATGCTGATGAGATCACTCGTAACTTTCAGTAACCCGGACTAATGTGTCGATTGGCTTAGATGATATGATCCACCGCTTGTCTCCCTACCTTCAACGAAATGCGCCCGTTGACATCCTTGACCTATGGCCTGGCTCTGGGGTATGGTCATCCAAAATGAACGACTTTCTTCGTCCCCGTCGTCATGTTCTGGTCGAGCCAAATATAAAGGTATTCGGATCATACCTCAAGGAATTGGCCAAAAGTAAACCGTGTTACAAGCTCGCATCTGGGGATATCTATGGAACCAACTGGAGTACAGTCTACAAAAAATACCTACCGGAACAGATTCGTCCCATGGATGTAGTGCCTGGCACTTTGCCGAAGAACGACACTCTCTTGGTCCTTGCGAACCCACCAGAAACGGAATCGAAGAAAAACCATATGACTCCGGCACGGTGGTGGGCCTCGTTGATGGAAGACTGCATGAACCAAACTGGGCTCCATGCTTATGGCAGCGTGCGCATCCTGGCTGGGTTTTCTGTCACGGAATTGCAAGTAGTGCTCCCCCGCAGCATTCACGAACGCCGGCGACCAGCGATGTTGACGGAAAACGTGGCATTGCATCACTTTGAAATTGCCAGTGGATACGATCTAGAGCCGTGGTATACACTCAAAACTTGGGACTCTATTCAGCGCAATAAACAGCGAGTTGCTGAGAGATCCGCCGCGCTAGGTGTGATCACTCCACCCGGGCGTGAGCCCCTGCCTATGCAGATGGCCCCGGAAAATCCAACACCCGGGAGAGGGGGGGGCAAAAGCCAAGCAAGAGGTAGTGTATCATCCCCGTGCTCGATCAGAAGGTCACCACCGATTTGAGAGATCCATCCGGAGGGGAGAGAATCTGGCTAAAACCAAAGGCCGTGACTTGACGGCCCAGGAGGAAGCGGAAATTAGAAAGGAAGCACGGACAGCTCGGGCCGCCTTGAACTTTGATAACCGCTGTGCCTGGGCTCGAGCGGACATTAGCAAGGATATGTCTGCAATCGATGCTCGTTCACGAGATTTGTCGCGTGCGGCCGCGGATCCTAAGGTGACTGCAGCCTCACTAGAGGAGATCGATCGAGATATCGAGGCCAAAAAAGTGGCCTTAAGCCAGAAAATGGCCGACCTTCATTTCCGCCTCATTCGCGGCTGGGAACGGGCCCTTGACGATATACGCATTGAAACATCCTCGAACAATCTGGATGACTCTGTCCTACTATGGGACCGGCGCCCATTCGAGCCAATGCTCATGGAGGCCGATGAGATCTTCCCTCGCGCCCATCAAACCCTGGTCTATTTCGAAGCGGACGAACATGCCATTTCAGCCCAACAACTCAGCAGGGTCCCTTCCGAAGACCGTGAAGCAGTGATGCAGCTATTTGAAGCCATGACTCTCAGCTTCAGCAGCGGCAATCACATGAGCATCGCTGAGCTGGCCGATCGCTTCTTCCCTGGTCAAGCGGCTAATGACGTTGTCAAAAGCATCCCTAGTCTGGCTAAATATGTGGGGAAACGGCTCAAGCCGAACTGTGGTCCTATGCCGCTGGCCGATGACACATTGGACCCGAATGAGTGCTTCCAGGAGAATATCGATTATGACCTAAGCGAGACTCGGGTGATATCCCTGCCGATCCGAGTTATCTGGGATATTCTGTTAGAATATCATAAGAACGCGCAGGACCTGTCGCCGCTGCAGATAAACCGGCTTCTCGGCGGCACTATGACGTCCTACCGGACCGGCGAGTACCGATTGGATACCGCAGCGAAGAAGCTGCATTAATACCCCGGATTGTATATCATTTACACTACGTCAGTGCTTGAATGTGAATAGAAATGAAAGCATTAGAAACATAGATGGGGCCACGGGGCCAAGGGATTGGTCAGGAGTTCAAAGGGTTCAACGGCGTTTAATTGGATGGAAATATTAATTCTAACTTTTATATCTTTTTCAGGGTTTTTCTGACTTTCCTGAGTCATCTGCCGTGTGGAGATCATGCATTCGTAGTCGTTTGCTAATGTGCTTTGCGCCCCGGATTCATCTGAATCCTTCCCTTATCACAAACAATTGGCCCCAATCACAATCTCGTTTCTGCACTTGATAGACCATCGGAGTTTCCCCGAAATTTCCCGGTTCGTAAGCTAATCTAAGTAATTTCCCAACACCCGCGCTAAACCATTATACTCCGAAGCTACCACAGCAATTCCACGGTTACTACCGTCGTATCGAACTGGTTTGTCGATCTAGCCAATTTGCGACCTTGACACTTATCGGGTGAGGTTCGAGACCATGTATCGCCCTGTGGAACTGGGCCCTTTTTTCCTTTTTTTTGGTTTAATTAGCACTGACCCCCATGACCCCCAATTCTTTTATGACTCTTTGTCCCTGTGACTGTGAAAATATAAACATCAAATCTTTTCTCTCTCTTTTGATTCCTACGAGTACGCCGTCTATTTTCGCGCCGTTTTCGCATCGTTCGCATTCTGCATTCGTCACATTTTTGCCACCACGTCATACCCGTGCCCTAACCCGTGGATGATGCGCCTGGTATCACGCCGATTCTAGATTATTTTGCCGGTGGCGCCGAGTGCAAAGCCTCTTTATCTGGCGTCAGCCTCTTCTCGCGACATCTGCTACACATTTTCACTTCTATCGTCGAAGAAGTCGAGCTTGGAGAGTATACCGAATTACCCGCTGGGAAAAATGGTCGCAAATCGCGCCCCCGCCCCAACTACATTATCGCTGCAAACGAATCACGATGGGAAAGGACTCGGAATTCAAACCCCGACCCCGACATCGTCGTCTCTCACACCCCCAGTGACTCCGATCGGGAAAGATGGCGAGCACTCAATCCCTCCATTGGGCGCCACCCCCGCAGAAACAGCTCAGCTGCGCCATATCTCATCGCCGCTGCGCTTTACCGACGACCTAAAGGTAGATTACGTCGAGGATCGACCTGTTGAATTCGGTCGCGGTGCTTGGAGTATCGTCTACAAGGCGCGCTCAATACCAAGTGCACCAATACCTATTCATACTCCGCCCAGTTCACCTATCGCCACAACCCGTGTCTACGCTGTTAAGGCTCCCCTGCGCAAAGATGCACGTCCAGTCTTGCAGGCTGAAGGGCTGACATTGACGCGCCTGAATCTGACACCTGGGTACGAGCGGTACATCATTCCGTTTCACGGGTACCACTCCGATACCGAGGCACTGGTTATGACTGCCGTCCCACTGGCATTATCAACATACATCGAAGATCAAGCCGACCTTATCCGGAAACAAGGGCCTTCAACGGCAACTATGTTTGATCCAGTACAAGGTCCGGATTCATGGCGTGATCTTGCCCGTAAGCTTATTGGTGGTTTGGAATGGTTACACAAGAGCGCTGGTATTATTCACGGGGATATCAAGCCGCATAATCTGCTTTTGCGACCCATTCCGGATGAAGGCTCGGAAGGCGCCGGTGCCTTTCCATATGAACCGCTTTTTGCCGACTTTTCCTCTGCACTGGATCTTTCGTTATGCGGTAATGCACAAGATGCGAGTCAAAGTTCCATGTCGGCGTTCACGCCGCCGTTTACCGCGCCGGAGCTTCTTTCGCTTAAGGCTTTGAAATCGGGGGAGGCTGTGTCTTCGCCCGCTTCGGATGTTTTCTCCCTTGCTGCAACGCTTGTTGCTGCTGCGACTGGTGACTTATTGTTGTATCCCGGTTCAAGTAGTATGCAGCGGTTAGCGATGGCAAGGGATGGACATCGGATTTTGGAGTTCACGAGGTGTGGTACGAATGGTTCGCGTGTTCCAAGGGGTGGGTTCGTGGAGAAGTTGCTGTTGCCTGCCGTTGCCAAGGACCCGATGGAACGGATCGACACTTCTGACTGGGTGAAGATGGCACATGCTTGATTACGATCGGCATTTACCTTGATTGAGGTTGTTTTTATTAGGATTTCTTTCTTGTTCGGTTTGTTTGCGATATAGTTGCATTATGGGCTCGGCGCATTTTTTTCTTTTCTTTCGGTTGGTTTGGTTCAACACTGGCCTGGCATAAATAGGATACCCGGTTAGATGGAATGGGAAGCATCAGCATCAATACAATATGGGATGAATTACATCCTCAATCAAATGAAGCTTTTCAATTTGGAACAGATATGCATCACATTATACTTTCGCATTTCAATATCGCAGACTCGGTAAGGTAATCAAAAAGTCCCCCAATCACCAACCTACTGGCTCTCTTCGACGAATCTCTTCAAATCCTGAACCCACAACTCAAAGTTCGCCTCCAATCTCTTCCCATACATCCACTTAACAGCATAAACAAGCCACCCAATCTGATTCTCCCAATTCCTGACCTCACATCCCCCCTCCACTTCCTTAATCTCATGCTCTCTTTCCGCAGTGAGCAAACTAGGCGAGAACCCGCCCGGCGCCTCAGAGTCCGAAACCCAAACGATCCGACCAGGTGTATTCGTCTCAGGATTCGGCGCCTCAAGCTCGGTAACCATGAGCTGTGTATCATTTGCTTTTTGAGGTTTGTCAGAGGTGGGGTCCATGCGGACGTGGAAGGTCATTTTGGTGCCCTTATGTAGGATGGGTGAGAGCTCGGTGGTCGAGTCGTCCTTGGCTGGTTGGGAAGTAACGGTTACTCGGGGGATGAACTCATTCCAGGAGGGCCAAGTCGAGGTGTCTGTTAGGGCGGCCCAGACTGCTGTTGAGGGGGCGGCGATGAAGATTGAGCTGCCTATGTGGAGAGTTGCCTTTGCGGCTTCGATTGTTGGGGTTGCGCGATCGGCATTTTGGGGGTCTGAGAGGGGTGTGGACATTTTTGCGATGATATCCCTAGTCCAGATTTTACTTTTGATGAGGCGTGCTGTAATATAGATGTTTGGTGTTTGGTTGTTGTTATGCGGAGAAAGCTGGGGGTTGGGTGATGACGGTGACTATTTTATCTCCGTGTGGAGTGATAACGGTCCGATAAGGTGGGCTGTTTACCCACTTATCATTGGCTATCATGATCCACATTGAAGATGTTGTACAGTAGCGCGTAGCGCATTGAGGAAAAGTCATTTTCGATTCCTCTTTTCTTGGGAGATTGACTCCTCATTCGCCGACTTATTCAAGGTTGCATAGACATGTAGATTAAGCATTATCAATATGACATGTGCAAGGAAATTTCATCCACAAGAGCTAAAAGCATGTCGAAAATCAGGTTCGAAACATCATCGCAAGACAAATAACCTGAATCCCCTTCATTAAACCTTGACAAGCCCCAATTTCATGAGACTCTCTCCTGTGGCAACAACAGCTTCGACATTGGACCGGGGTGCCCATCCCAGCAAACTGGTAGCCTTCTCATTGGATGCTACAAAGGTTTGGCTCAGCTGAGGAACCACCATGGCAATAGCCGGGTCGAATAGTCCCAGTAGCTTCATAATGATATTTGGGATACCTCGCGTCGGGCACTTCTTCGCTTTGTCCCCCAAGCTCTCCCGCAGAGCCATTGACATATCCTTAATGCTCATTGCAGGTGGTGCCATGCACAGGAAACGTTCACTGTTGGCCTTGGGGTGCTCCATTGCGAGAATATGCAGGTCAGCAACATCTCGAACATCCACAACGCCCAAACTCAGGTTGGGACAGCCTGGGACTGCGCCATTCATCAGGCGGCTGATAACTTCAATGGACGTAGACGTGTCTGGAGCAAGAACAGGTCCCATGACCAGAACAGGGTTGACAACGGACAACTGGAGGCCCTCGCCCTCGCCACGAATAAAGGTCCACGCAGCCTCCTCAGCTAAAGTTTTGCTCTTCTCGTAGGCATTGACCCCAGGTGCGTCGACATCGGTCCAGTCTTTCTCGGTGAAGACTTTGTTTGCGCCTGCCTTTGTCTGACCTGCATGGATGGCTGCGACTGAGGATGTGATGACGATGCGGAGGACCTTTGCGTCTCGGGCGGCGCGCAGCACGCGTAAGGTACCATCACGGGCGGGCTCTATCAGTTCATTCTCGTCCTTGGGTGTCGCAGCAGGGAATGGTGACGCGACGTGGAGGACATAAGTGCAATCACTGACGGCTTCGGCCCAGCCATCGTCTTTGTTGAGGTCGGCTTCGACGAATGACAGATCCTCGAGGTTGACTGCGTTCGCGGCGCGAAGTGTAGCCCGCACTTCCTCTTCCCGTGTCAGGGAGCGAACAGTCGTTCTGACCCGGTAGCCAGCTGCGAGGCATTTGAGGATGCAGTGACCTCCGATAAATCCAGATCCACCGGTGACGAGAACCAAATGCTTGGTGGTAGACATGATATCAAACTGAGGTGATAGATGAGAGATGAGAGATCAGATATTTGCACGGTTGTGTTGTTTTGCCTAATAAGGGGGAGGGTCAAGCTGTATGATGGAAGCTGAAACAGAACAAGTGAACTATCCACAGAATTTATTTTTGATTTCAAGCTGTGATCCTATGAAAGGCTTGAGCAAAATAACATAAACGACACAAACGACGCAAATTCTACATGTCAGCACTATTCCCGAATTGGCGACACGAAAGCGCAACCCACTAATATCAAGTCTCGGATTTCTGATATTTTACAGCAACAACATTTGGGTAAGAGCTGAATCTGATGATTAGATTCACGTCAGTAACAGACATCTAGGGTAGTACAATCGCTGCACCTCTGGTTGGACACCAAAACCCGGAAGGGGACCCACAGGCGGTACACAGGCTGTGCCTAGTGGTGCGAGTTTCGGCAAGTCAAGGAACAATTGCCGGCCAATTGAGGCATCGCGCGAATCAATGTAGTTGTCCAGCCCCCAAATATATATGTGTGCATCCCCAGACATGTACTTGGGCAGCACTCTCTACAAAATAATGCACATAACTACCTCGTGTTCTCTAGGCACTACGTAGTCCAGCGGCGTCGATCTTCGCATTATTTCCACCAATGAGTTGTGGAGCCCCATCCGCCGAAATAAAAGTCCATCCACATACAACACTTTACCAGCATTCTTCTCCGCATTGTGGGGAACAGTACTCTCTTTACTCTGGGGTATGGGGAATCTACCTTTCAATAAACCCGAGTTCATTGCAAGGGCCGAGCGCATTCTAGTACTATAAAAGGATGGCGTGTATCTGGGTTTCTATTATCATTTTATCGAATAAAGTAGACTTTCATAATGTTATTTACAAGGATATCGATATGCCTATGTTTATCCTCCCTTGCATTGGGTGCTCTTAGCTCCAAACGCTCCACCGAACGCCCACATCGCTGCGTGATCCCTTCCTCCAATGGCACAGCCAATGATTCCCCAGCCGTCGCTCAAGCATTTGCCAAATGCGCTTCAGATTCTGTTATCGTCTTTCAAGATGGTGTCGATTACAACATCTTCACTCCCATTGCTGCCACAAACCTCAGCAATGTCGAGATTAAGATGAGCGGAAACCTACACCTGCCTCAAAATATTACAGAGGTCCAACGCATCGTCAATGGAACAAGCAGTAGCCTTTACGTAGATGGCTCATACTGGTTCAAGCTCAAGGGTCCCAATATCGATTACACCGGCTCGGCCAATGTGAACCATGGATGGATCAACTCCTACGGACAGGCCTGGTGGGATGCAAACCCAGTCAACGGAACGGGCATCGACTCTCGTCCCCATCTCATGAGCTTCCAGACTACGGATGGTTCTCTCAAGTACTTCAAATCTCGCAAGCCAATTGCCTGGAACGTTCAGTTGCAGGGAGACAATATCACCGTCAGCCATGCCTTTATCGACGCCGAGTCGACAGGGTCATTCCCCTTCAACACCGATGGATTCGATGTCACAGCCACCAATGTCCACATCTCAGACAGTGTCATCTACAACGGAGACGACGCCATTGCTGTCCAGTCCGGATCCCACAACGTGGTCTTCGAAAGAAATACCATTGGATACCAAAGCCACGGCATGAGCATCGGATCGCTAGGCCAAACCCAGTCCGAATTCGCCAACGTCTCCAATATTCACTTTGAAGATGTCACAGTCATTGATGCTGTCTATGGATCTCGTTTTAAGTCCTGGATGGGTGGCCAGGGCATCGCAAAGAACATTACCTGGAAGAACATCCGCGTGTACAATGTCACTTTCCCAATTTTCGTCACCCAGAGCTATACCAACCAGGGCTCTTCGCAGACGCAGCTTGGAAACGGTGTGACTTCTGGACGTGTGAACAATGCCTCCGTCATGATGGAAGACTTCGTTTGGTCTGACTTTACTGGCACCGTTAACTCATGGCGCCCAGGTGATGGATCTTGTGTGACTGATCCTTGCTGGTATGATGTTGGCCTGCCGGATTTCAAGCACACTGAAGCTGTTATTATCGAGTGCAATACGAACTCGTCGTGCAAGAACTTTGAGTTGAAGAATATTGAGATTATTCCGCAGACTATGGCTGAGCCGACAGTTGTCTGTATCAATGCGACGGCGACATTGAATCCGGACCTTGGATTTGACTGTCGGAATGGTACATTCAGTCCCAACTGATCTCCTGAAGGATCGATATTTTGATTTTTAGATGGGTTAAAGCGTGTACCATGATGGTACAATGATCCAGTATATATTTGTTTATCGTGATGATAGAACTGCAATTGAGACGTTCCAAGGTTTGAAGCATTGTATTCTCGATGCTGATTTTCCCTTTCGAACATTGCCAATAAAGATGTGTCATTCATATAGTCTTATCTGCCTCGCATGGACCCTAGATAACCAGACTTATCGACGCCGCTTTCTCCAACTCTATGCCTCCGTGCGGGGTCCACGGGTTGCCCGACGGCCAAAACTCCGCCATCAATAGGATACCCATGATCATGAATTGCCCAAGAAAGATCAATTCTACACTGCAAACCACAGATTTTAAAACAAAGTTTGTTCTGGCCTAGCACCGCCATAATGAATTTAGCCTCTTCTCCATCCAACGCTACAGTGCAAGCCAAACTCAACACCCTCATCCAAAATTATGAACAAAGCCACCAGAAATCCAAGAAGGCATTCGAAAGAGCCCAAAAAGTGCTCCCAGCTGGAAGCACACGATCCGTTCTCGTCTCCTCTCCTTTTCCTATGATAGTGCAATCTGCACAAGGCGCCACATTCACAACAGTCGACGGCGTGACATTTGAGGATTTCGTGTCAGACTATTCAGCAGGCATATACGGCCACTCTCACCCAGTCATTTACGATGCAGTTCAGCAAGCTTTATCGACCGGCTTCAGCTTAGGCGGTATCACAGAAAAAGAAGCCGAGCTAGCAGAGATCCTGATTGACAGATTTCCTTCGCTGGATAAAGTTCGATTCTGCAATTCTGGCACCGAGGCGAATACATTTGCTATTGCTACTGCCATGGCATATACACAACGAAAAAAGGTATGACATCTTTCTTTGTCAATGAAGAGCTTGATTTTAATTCGATTCCAGATCATGGTATTCGATAACGGATACCACGGGGGCACCCTGAGCTTTTCTGCGAAGGATAATCCTATGAACCTGCCCCATGAGTTCGTGATGGGTACATACAACAACATCGACGCGACGCAGCCTCTCATCAAAGACCTCGCAGCTATCCTGGTTGAGCCCCTCCAAGCAGCTGGCGGTATGCGTCCCGCAACACCAGAATTCTTATCTTTCCTCCGCGAAGCAGCAAGTCAAACCGGTACCGTCCTAATCTTCGACGAGGTTGTCACCTCACGACTTGACTACCACGGTCTACAGGGCAAATGGAATATCATTCCAGATATGACGACGGTTGGGAAATATCTCGGCGGTGGATTCCCATTCGGTGCCTTTGGTGGCTCAGCAGAGATTATGGACCGCTTTGATTCGAGCGATAAATCAATTGCACTTCATCATTCGGGGACGTTCAATAACAATATCTTTACGATGTGTGCTGCTGTTGCTGCGGCGGATTTGATCACGCAGGAGGAACTGCAGCGGTTGAATGGGATGGGAGATCGGTTTCGGGAACAGGCAACTTTGCTTATCGAAAGATCCGGGTTCAAAGACATGAATTTTAGTGGATATGGGAGTGCGATTGGAGTCCATTTCACGGGGTCTGCTTCCGTGGCTTTGAGGGAGTTTTTCTACTTTATGCTTCTTCTTGAAGGGATTTCTATTGGGAGACGGGGTTTTATGTCTCTGAATCTTATGCATACAGAGACTTCCATTGATCGCCTTTTGGAGGCTGTGTCTGCTTTTCTTGGCAGTATTGCTCGGTAACCCTAGATCAGAAGGTTTCTCCTAGATAAATGAATTTATATCCCTGCTCCATGCCAGCCGTTCATCCATTCAATGACCTAGGGTGTAGCAAGATTATGCCTTTTGCTCATCATATGCCAAGCCAAAGACCAGGTATCGCGAAGGACTGGCCGGGAATAGTCCAGAGTGACAAATTTCGTCAGGCGTTGGACTGGATACAAAACGCAGGTGGCACAACAACATAAGACTGAGCTTGACCCGGCTTAAATGTGATTTGCTAAGATAGTTGCAGTCTATAACAATCAGAACATGCTCAAGGCTCTCAATGAATTCAAAATTGCCAATGATAGGGCTTGTATAGAGCTGAACCGCGCTGCAACAGCATACAAAGCAAGGTTTGATACTGATGTCATACTTGTGGACTGGTGGGGTCGTTTCTTCAAGCAGAGAAAAGATGGTATGTTAATGACTGGCTAGAATTCCGTCTACTGCGATAGACTAAGTGTGCACTCGATAGAGCAATGACCCAGAGGCCAGTATTGACTATAATACTTGGGTTCAAAACACTCGTAATTGACTGGACGACCTCACAAGCCTCTTCGTTGGAATGTGCGTCGATGATCTCCATCTCGACGAACTTAGCTAGTAGGCAGAACGATTTCCTCTACAGCCTACTTTAGAACAGCCACCATTGCTTCATGTACGTACGCTTACGCTTAATCAAGCTAATAAACTGACTTTTGGGAATCAACAATGCTTTTTCTTTCTTCCTTTTTTTTTTTTTTTTTTTTTTTGATTTCTTATAGTAACTACCACTTTGAAGACAGACTAATCAGTTTGCCTCTCCTTGGTGATGGATTGGACGTGCTCATTATACTGAGACTCGGTGAGACTTTCTTCCTTCGGATAGTCACGGTAGCATGAAGCGAAGAAGAGATTATAATGGGATGAACAAAGGAAGACCTCCTCTTTCTCAACTACTGAGCAATGTCCGTCTGTATAGATCGCCCAACCAGGGCGTTCCATCCCCCAGTCTCCCCATGTCTGCTCTCCGGTATCGTGACTTGCACAAGACAAAGCGAACATGAACAGCCAATTCAGACAGACTCTGACCGATCCATCATAGTGTTCTGAACATTCGTTATCGGGATCAGTAGGATCATACTCAAAGGTGCAGTCAATCACGTTGACGTATCCGACCATGCCAGGTTTATCTGGCTCCGTGCTTGCCAGAATCGACCGTATACAGCGGGCATCCAACGCAATGCAATAGTCAACCCGAGGAGTGCCGCATCCAACAAAAAACCCCCGCTCTTTGTCCCACTGAATGTGTCGTTTGCGGATAACGTCTGCTGAGGCCCCTTCCAAGCTAGAGTCCTGAACAATGACATTCCGATAACCCTCATGGACGACTTCACAGATATTAGGTTGGAATTCAAATTTCTGCAAGTCTTTCCAACGGTCTATTGAGGTGGAACAGTATCGATCAAGTATCTCGATCGCAGCCGCCCAGTCTTGATCAGATGTCTCTGTAAATGTCGTCCGATATATGACATAGCCCCACGGCCAACTTTTAGACGATCCAGCTTGCGTTCTGAAGAATCTAGGAACCCAATCGTTCCAACCATTTGACCATCCTGGCTTTTTGTTGAATCGCTGCCGTCTCTCTTGCGGAGTCTCTTCTGGTGGAAACTCGGATGATCGCCATGGTTCACCCCATGATTCGTCGTGGAATAGATCCGTCTCTTCAGGCATTGTTATCCGAATGGTTGCAAAATGCAAAGGAGTGTACAGGTATGTGCCACCTCGCTTAATATACTTTGGTCAGATGTGACTGTCTCAGTTGTAAAATCGCGCTACTTCACTGGCGTCTTGGCGAGTGCGTCCTGGCGACACTTGCCAAGCATCTGTCGGGCATGCAACAAAATCCGTGAGATAGATTACCGAAACAGACCTGTATCACTCCCTGCCCTTCAACATTTGGGGGAAAGAATGATTCAAAGTAAAGTAACAAGATATATGATGGCTAGGGCCTGGACTTGAAGGGTACCACATCAAAATTCCCTCGTTCTGAGAGGTGGAATTCCTTCCTTGGAACATTCCATACATTTTCCGCTCGACGATGAGAGTCGGAATCTTTGTTTTCTATATTGATGCCTGAGAAACGGGGAGCTGGCACGTGATCCGGTCCCGAGGTCACGGATGAAGTCAGAATCGGCATAGTGTAAGGAGATACATATACACACTACATAGAATCAGTTTATACCCTCATTCTGCTCAGGTAATACACGTATCAACCCGGTTGGTCGTGTGGATCTATCTTACAAGTGCTGTTTTGGGCATTTTACCCTTGCCTCTTCCATCCGCCTGTTCCGAGCAGCTCATGCACCCCTCTCCACTAGAGGTACTGCTCCTTTATGACGTCCCCACGAGCAGAAGAGATCAATAAAAATTTGATTCGAGAGGAGCAACAAAAAGAAAGAAATTTGAGCCAGATATGGCGCAAGGGATTGGCTGGAGGGTCGGCAGGATGTGCTGTAAGTATTCGGAATGCCCCAGCAAAGATTCGCAAACATTGACATCAACGCAGGCTAAAACAGTTGTCGCACCTCTAGAGCGGGTAAAAATTCTGTTTCAGACGGCGCATTTCGGGTACGTGCGGCATACAACGCACTGGCTCGGCTTTGTTCATGCCATTCAAGCAATCAGGCAGAATCATGGGAACCAAGCACTATTCCAAGGCCACTCGGTCACATTGCTACGGATCTTCCCGTACGCTGCCATAAATTTCCTCGCCTATGACCAGATTCGAGCCACTCTAATCACATCTCCTAATCATGAGACTCCCTTTCGTCGCTTGATCTCTGGCAGTCTAGCCGGTGCTATATCGACATCATGCACATATCCTTTTGAACTTATCCGAGTGCATTTGGCCGTCCAGACAAAAGACATATCGCTGATTGCAACCTGCCGAGAAATCTACCATGATGGTGGATTTGCCAGCTTTTACCGGGGGTATGCTCCCACATTGTTAGGGATCTTGCCTTACGCTGGCACTTCCTTTTTCACCCACGATGTCATTGGCGACTGGCTCCGTTCCCCAAAGCTGGCCCCATATACGGCCCTTGACCCATCCAAACAGACACAGAGCGGGAAGAAGCGTCTTCAGTTGACTGCAGTTGCAGAGCTGACTTCTGGAGCTCTGGCTGGCTTGGTGGCGCAGACAGTCTCTTATCCTTTGGAGATCATACGTCGACGCATGCAGGTAAACAGGAGGGACATGCAAAGCGGTCGTCGAGCAAGCATTTTTCAGACAGCTCGGACTATATACTTGGAAAGAGGCATGCGAGGCTTCTACCTGGGCCTGACGATTGGCTATATCAAGATTATGCCTATGGTAGCGACAAGCTTTTTTGTTTACGACCGCATGAAAGCATACCTGGGCGTGTACTAGTACAGATGCATTTGACATAATCCAGTCTTTTTTTCCCAGGCCTGCATCATAATATTGGAAGAATCGGGCAAACAATGCTACGTCGAAAGCCGTGGATTCCGTTGCATACATTCCATGTTGTGCTTGCAAAAACTCCTTCTAGAGGAGAAATCAAAGATGAACCTTGAATCTACTAGTTTCGGCTGAGTGCAACATGCATTCATGTTGTGGTGATAAGGATTCAATATCCCATTTGCTCTCCTTTTAGGTAAAGATCAAGGCCCATAACTATGTGTGATATACACTGATGAAACTCTTAAAGAGAAAATGGCAGTCACTGATATATGGAATTCTTGAAATTTCTGGGTTATCTTCTTGTCGGATTGCCAGGCGCAATCAGCAAGTTAATTAATCAAGCTATTTCTAAGCGCACTTGACGGGTGCTTTGCCTTGTATCTCCACCATGGGCGTTATAGCGACCGTGCTTACTCATGCGAAAATATCTGTATATGGAACGTGTCTCCCAGAGCGCTTTCGCCTGACCTATCGGGCCTTTGAGCGCCTTATCGTCATCCAGTGCTCCTAGTTCGTCTTCCTCTAGCATAAAAGCCATCACCTGCGGTAGATGCGCCATGGAACGGTTATATTACTGTTTGCTGCTTGAGGACTGGCTTGAGTACCCACACGTTTGTCGATATCAATTTGATACCGGGCTGGATGGAATTTTGAGAGTGAATACTGATTATCGGATCCACTTACCCTGTGTCTCTTCACGGTGGGGCTAAAGAAGGAAGCTTTCTAACTGACTGCGAACACGCTTTTATCACACAGTACACAACGTTGAGAGAGAAATGAGAAAAAAAGTGAGAAATAGGTCATTCATAGATGCCCAGCTATCTGAAACTCAAGGCATGTTGCACTTACTTAGAACAGGAATCTAGGGAAGAGAAAGAGGGGATATATGCCCAGGTGGTAGATACATATGTGACAGGTAGTCATTATCCTTGAGGTATTACTGATATTACAGGTCATTTTCATCCTCAACATCTTCATAATCTTCATCACAATCCTCATTCTTACCCTCATCCTGAGAGTCAGAGTCAAAGTCAGGGTCACTGTCGGTGTCAGTGCCCGCCAGAGCAACCAAATCACGGTCCATGATTATTCCACCAAACACGTCCCCGTGTGCTTCCTCCATGTGCTGATAAATTGAAGCCTTGTCATAGGCTTGTCCACAGAAGTAGCACCAATCAATCCCACATCCACCCACAGTGCAGTGCAAATGGCCACATTCGAAGGGCCGCTGGGTTAGAATCCCACAGCCAGGGCAGGGCTTGATACCCATTGTCCCATCCTCAATTGACTCAAACACACGGCCTTGGTGTTCCTTTGCCTTCAACTGCTTCACGTAGTCGCCGGACAGCTGTGCTTGCGTGATTGCATCTGCGGCCCATCGGATTTCAGCGATCTCCAGCTCGGGCTTTCTGAGAATGTCGCAGTCCATGCATACCCATTCGGGAAATAGCTTGAAGTCATCACGTGAACAACTGCGTTCGACGAGGGGTCGAGGCTCTTGACACTTGCAGCACCATGCATACATGATATCGTAATCATAAGATGTGTCGGCCAGATATCTCACAGCGTTTGCTGCATCATTGCCGTATTTGTAGATTGCGTTGCTAGTTGGAACGCATGAGCAATATGGGCAGCAGAGTCGTCGAGTGCTGATCACATTTCCGGGGGAATTGAATGCGTACCATTTACGGCCACAACTTGCGCACATGGTTGCAGGGCAATCACCGCATGCTGGGATAAAGTCGGATGATTGGACGCTATCATAGCAGATGAGGCATTCCTTGAAGTCATCATTGTCTCTTGAAGGCTCGTTCGGTGATGGCGGGTTCTTGTGGTCGGAAGACATGGTGTATTTCGTTAGAGTGTAGCGCACACGTGATGGGAGGGACACGGAGGTAAGAGCTTGAGTCCGAAGAGTGGAATAACTGCAAAAAGAATGCCTCACTTTGGCTGACCCCATATTAGGACTAGTGGTAGCTTTCTATCCTAAACTCAGGCTTCCGTTTCCGTAGATCCTCTTCTTCTTCCCTACCGCACTTCCACAATAATATATACTACGTACCCATGTTCCTCGTGTTTCAAGTGCCCTTGCATCTCTGCTGGTAGGATGTCGATTATATGACTTGGAAAATACTGGGAGAAATTAAACGCGGAATGAAAGTCACTCCACTTACTACTACTACTATTTAGAGATTGAACACTAGAAAGGAGGGTATATCAACCAGGCTAACAAATTGTTTCTATCAATAGTTCTAGCTATAATACATTATCTGTGAAGTTGCGAGTGCATAAAAACGTGGCAAGCAACGCGTGCAAGCAGGTTGAAATTCTAAAGTTTCTTTCTGGAACTCAAAACAAAAACTTCGGAGAACGTATGATATGAGACTTTATGGAAGTTTATGGGATTGATATCTGTACTAAACAGCAAGCAGCCTCCCAGCCTTCCAAAGCAAAACGAAACAACTCACATTCCCCCACCACCAACATAAGCCCCTCAATTGACTCCACTTCGGATGTTCAATTAGAATATACACCGCTCCATAACAGATTCTCGCAATAGTGTAAGACAATCCAGCCGCATTAATAATCTTCGCCGAAACACCGGCATGACTAGCAAAAAGTAAACCCGCGACCAAGAGCGGGAAGTTCTCCACTGAGTTCGCATGGGCGGACTCATTCCGCTTCAGCATATCGAGTTGTTTGCGTGTGATTTTTCCCTCGCGCACGGCTGTCTCGCCGTACTTTGTGAGATCTTCGCGCGGTGAGGCGTTGTGGTCGATGCCGTACCATTGTTTCAGGGTTCGAGAGGAGAGGACACCGTAGGCGTAGAGAAAGTGGAAGCCTACGAATGCGGGGGCGTAATTTGGGATGGCCGTGGCGGAGGCGCCCCGGAGACCGATGGTTGTGAGTAAAGAACTCATCTTGGGGAACTTTCAAGGGACAGTTATCCAGGAGACTTAAAATTTCAAAGTGAGGCTCTTCCTTGAAGTCCAGTTGGACGTTTGGGCCCCCACTTGGAGCTAAACCTTTCATGACCGGACTCTACGGAACCCCCTCTTGAGAAGACCAAGATGATAAAACTGTCTGCCATGGATATCTTCAAATTGGTAAGCAGCAGCCAAGAGGATCATCGCCCAGCCCTTGCGATTCTGGGGCTGTTCAGAGTTGAAATGCCTTGCCGCGTCAGCAATTGACATCGGTGCTTGCGAGCGTTGTCAAGGCTATTATTGTGCGCATCATGTGTGTCCACTAGATCATTTATGTGAGTTAGAACTGTCGAGACGTCAAATACCTTAAAATCTGAATCTTGAATAGAGAAGCCCACTTGACAACGATTCCTGGGCTGACGCTCGGACCAAAGAGGTGACGGCTCTTCGGCATACGGCCCATGACAAAGCTTCATGACAAATATCGCTACGCGTCCGCGGAGGCATTCAATGTAAAAAGAATAGTCTGATTGCCTTGGAAAGCCTCTCATGGGAGGCATCCAGGTCTATCTGCGCACCTGATTCGCCGACTGCAAAGTGCATCCCTCGCAATGTAAAGAAAAAAAATGATAGTCTATTCCTAAAGATTACAATATTCGAATCATCGAAAACGAATGTGCGGCTCTGAAATGTGTTCAGGTGTTGAATACATGGCTATGGTCTCAGGAATGAGAGTAATGAGGTTGGGAATTGACGAGCTTCCTAGGACACCGCTCATAGTAGAGTTTCCATTGGAGGAGCAATGAGCCATGGTGTACAACCAATGAGCTGATCTCCTGAACATTCAGAAAAACGAAAGATTTACTCAGCTCTCGCGGAGAACTATCTTGAGATTATCGCCGATGGTCTACAGACACTGATTATATCTCTGTCAAACCCGAGATTCAAAGGACTTCAAATTAGCCGGAATATCGATTTCTTTATTTCTCCTATTCCTCCATCTGGGTCATCTCTACATCTGTGAACAAATTTTCGGTAGGCCATGAGAATAAAAGAAATTGGGCGAATTCAATGGGACTGTTGCTATGATCTCGAGCTCGCACGGATGTGGGGGCATTCCGAGCCAATGGGGTCTCTACCCTTCCCAGTCATTCCGACTTTGGGTATTCAATTGGGGTAAGAAAGCTCTATGCGCCTCATCGTGGCCTTCTTCATTGCCGTCCTCTTCGTCCTGCACTACCGGGTGTGAGATTCGCTGGTAATCAGGCCTCGTGTTGCCAGATTGCGTGCTCATCCAACTCGTTCGCTGGGCGAGAATCTGAGCAAAAGCGATCTGTACCCAGTGATATGATATTAGCCATTACACCATAAGCCTCAGGGTGATAGTAAACCCACCTTGGCCACCAAAACAAAGATGGCTGCAGCAAATACCATCCAAGATGTCTGCTGCTGGTGCTCTCTCCAAGGAGCAAAACAGCTTCTTTGATATCCGAGCTGCAACTCGCACGCGTTGTCCCCGTGGTTTCGGTCTTTGAAGGGCCATGCCCTGTCATGAATACTTCTGAGACCACAGCATCGGAACTCATCTTGGATTGAGCGGATAGCTTGCGAATCCTTGGAACGAAAAAAATCCTGCCATTGTTGATCTAGGTTGCAGGAGAGAATTCTGTCCGGGAAGAGGTAGGCAAGTGCTACTGTGGCCACGATGGTCAATATAACAGTTTGAATCTGGTTGAGTATGTTGGATATCGTGCTCCATCGACTGTTCTGAGGCGCTTCCTTGTTTGAATGTCGAAAGAAGTATCGTGTGGCTATCATTGTGAGTATTGTGATCGGTGATATGAGCGTCACGGTTGCTGGAACCCATGTTGGCAGAGGCAGAAACACTGCGGCCGTACGAGCCCAGGAAAATCTGGTCCACGAAAAAAGAGTTAATTGCTATTTTCGTCAAAGAAGCTCTAGGTGGAGATATCAAGAAGAGTTACTCACGCTCCAAGGACCAAGGATATCAGTCCTCCCTAATGGCGAAGTTCGTCAACTAAAGTATCACTATGCGGGATCTTTAGCATCTTACCAAAATAAAGACAACATAGAGGGCAGCGGTATTAATATTGACGGGCATCTTCTTTTTCTGAAAGCCAGCTCTTTTCAAAAGATGAAGTTGTTGAAAAAGCTTGTTGGAAAAGCACGAATACTGGATTCGTGAAGGTGATAGCATTGTTAGGCGCTTAGTCGGTCTGTATTAGAACTTAGCGGGGTTGCATCTCTTGGCGCTATTACACGTAGATTGGACGTGGTGTGTTGATTATCGCGTTACGGTATGCATTATGTCACCATAGTAGCATCTTTTGAGTCCAGATAACTACTGTTGATAATTATCTGCCTCATATGTAGGCAAACATGCAAATTCCGACCATATTTTAGGTGGTGAATAGTCTCTGGCCAGCTTGTGCCTACTTTGACAGAGCTTCGGCTTTTTGTTTTTTTTTTTGCGGTGCGGGGAAACTTTACATACCTTTGTCGTGAATCTATCTTTCCAGTCCCACAGTTTGGCCGCTATCCATTGGTTAATCGGATACCAATTGACCAGCCAAGTAATTTGGGGGCCAAATGTGCCGGATGATCCCAAATCCACTTAACCGTGAAATCAGCCAGTCGCATTTTGTACGTCGAGTATTTGATTGGTCACACTAAGCTTAGCCCTCTTGAGACCTAAGGTATTGCCCTGGGTTTTCGTTCTCTTTGTTTGAGCTCGCGCAGGCTACTGCAGGCCCACCACAGGACCCGAGCACTTGACCCCTACCTCTACGTCACATTGTGACAAGAGGGGCCCAGCTCACAATTAGACTTAAAACATGTCAGCGACCCCTGAAAACACGGCTGGCGAATTTCTTCTTTTCTCAGTCTGCCTCACCAATTGATTTCTGCCGCCGTGGTACACCATGGCCATTCTTAATACGCTGGTCAAGTTGGCCATACCCCCAATATTGACAGCTCTCGGCTATGGGTTGCATTGTGCCTATCAACATCGTTGCAAGATCAATGAGCTACGCAAACAAGGTGTAGTAAGTGAACCGCCAATTTTCCTCACACGTGAATGACACTTGACTTACCTGCTCTTTCTAGCCAATGCCAAAATGGAATTGGTTCACCGGTCATCTTCTCGTCCTCCAAGAATATGTTGAGCGATTACCACCCGACGCAAATGTCCAACTGGCCATGCAAACTCTGGCCTTGGAAAAATGGGGACATACAGAAGTCTTTCTGATGGACTTTTGGCCCGTTTACCCTACATTTTACATGGTCTTTGACCCGCAGACGGCGTATCAGGTCTCGAACAAATACAACCTGCCCAAGCTTCCCCTGCATCTCAAATTCATGCATCCGATCGTGGGAGGGCCAAGTCTGCACGGCATGAACCATGATGAGTGGAAATATTGGCGATCCATTTTCAATCCCGGGTTTAGTGGCGGCAGTATGATGGATCTGGTGCCCGCAGTGGTTGATTCAGTCCAGGTCTTCTGCGATATTCTAAAGGAGAAAGCTGGGTCGAAGGAACCGATTCAGCTGAGCCTTTTAACAACTCGATTGACAATGGAGATCATTATGAAAGTCACTTTGTGAGTCTGGTTTCCTCATTTACCAAAAGGCAACAACACCTAACCATTATGTTACAGGGACATGGATTCCAATAACCAGCGCGTCGAGCATCCGGTCTCAATTTCTCTACAGAAGATTTTAGCTTGGCACTCCTTTTGGGATCCGCGGATCTTGATCAATCCCCTTCGACCATTCATCCAAAAGTATCATAGCAATCTCATTAATACCTCTATCAGGAAAGAGCTCGAGAAAAGATTCATTGAAATGAAACAAAGCGAGGGACAGGAGAAGCCGCAGACGGGATCTAAAAGAGGAAAATCTGTTATTGCGCTTGCCCTCGAGGCTTATCTGGCTAATCCCGATCTTGGCGAGGAGAAGGCCGTCAGCGAGACAGCTGTGCTGGATGAGCATTTTGCGCAATATGCTTCGTACCAGATCCGCCTCTTCTTATTTGCAGGAAGCGACACAACTTCAAGCACCATAACCTATGTCTACCATCTCCTCTTCAAGCATCCTGAGATCCTGAAACAAGTACGAGAGGAGCACGATCGCGTTTTTGGAAGCGACCCCTCTGACGCAGGCCAACTTATCAAGTCCGACCCGGCTCTCCTGAATAGCTGTCCCCTGACACTCGCGGTAATCAAAGAGACCCTACGGATTTTCCCTCCCGCTTCAACTAGCCGGGGAGAGTTGGCAGGCACGCACGAGGCTCTAACTGACCGACATGGCAATTTATACCCCATTGACTATGTGGGTGCCAATATTCTTCACCAAGCTTGCCACTTCAATCCTCGTGTATGGCCGCGAGCGGAGGAATTCCTCCCGGAACGTTGGCTAGTCGAAGAAGGGCACGAACTTTACCCAGTACCAGGTGCTTGGCGTCCATTTGAGCAGGGTCCGCGAAACTGTATCGGTCAGACGCTTGTCTACAATGAGATACGCGTGCTTCTCGCGATGAGCTTGAGATCTTTTGACATCTCGCCGGCATATGACGAGTGGGATGCGCTCAAATTACAGAATGAAGGCTTGGTCAGTAGGTTGACTCGGCGGTTTGGCAAGGCGGTACCTAATACCGTCAATGGAGAGAGAGCCTACCAAACCGAGAAAGCCGCCTACCCAGTAGATGATTACCCATGTCGTGTAAAAGTTCGGGAATAGTTGGTTGATCCAAGTGCATTGAAATGTTATGGAGACAATTTATCGAACGAAGAACGCCAGGTTCGTCGTCACTGAATAGACGGGATGCTAGTGTCATGTAAGGATGTGGACAGATTTAGACAATTGAGGGCATCATATGCCAAGCATCAATATTATCACAATTTGATATATAACCAACCACTGTACATAAGTTCACCCTAACTCTCTTGAAACGACTACACAGGTGGAGGCTGAGACCCTCCTTATTTTCGGCCACATGCAGGTTGTGATGGCCCCAGAAAACCCCCTGTCGTCGAGCTAGCCTACATCAACTATGAGACAGACAATTGTCTATGACCTTTCAAATGTTCCTCTGGGGTATCAGTGCTCCACATGGTGTGCATAAAATGTCCACCGCTTTTTGTGTACCATCGAGATCGGAGCGGGCCGTTTTTTTGGAGACGTGGGTCTGGACCATGTGGGGGCCATGTATTACCTTTTACAAGTCTGTGTAACGTAGATAACACAGAGCGCTTGCAAGGATCAATTGAGTAAAGGCGCCTGCCGATCAATCAGATCGGCATTATCTAGGCTAAAGTGAGAAAGACCTGGCCCCCACTGCTGAGGCCTCCTATGTGTAAGCCCCGAGCACTGATACCTACTATGTAGGTGGCTTGTCGTTTCGATATGACGTATCGAACGGCCACTTTTCGTGTTTCCAAGTGGCCAGTGCATCCATGCAGGAAGTTAAAAGTACAAGGTACATGGCTGACGAGAAACAAAAATAGAATTACAAGGATTCTTGTCCAGTTGGCTATTTATCTTGTCGCCACGCAGTCGTCAATGTTGGTTCAATTGGTACTGCGTGCTGATTAACTTTTCCTTAGCCCGAAGGCCCCACTGTGAGCCTATCTGTGCGCTAGTACTGGGTGAAAAAAGGCGGAGCAAGAGTGCAAGTTCTTACTTATTGAAACCTTAACATGAATCCCGGACATATTGCCCCCACCAAGAAATCCAGCTTACTAGGCCCTTGCGACGACCCTTGCCCAATGGTATTGATAATTGTCATCTGGTATCTAAATGCTTAGCTGAATATGATACGGACCCCAATTTGTGGGAAAGTCTGTGGCAAGATCTTGGAATAATCGACTTGCGCCAGAAAAGTTCGACATCTGGAGTCGGACTTGCGTTATACTTCTAATACTCCCAATTTTCTTTTACCCGAAGCCACGCGTCAGCGTGATCGGAATAGATACGATGCACAACACTGCCTGATTATCACAAGGAAAAACGCATGCACCCTGAATATTATGTACTGGTGGCAAGGGTTGTCGACCTCATTTTGGTACCATAATCTAATTGACTAGCTTCAACGAGCGATTTATCACTGATTTCAGCTCATTAGCTAACACTAAAACGATTCTATTCAGGATAGCTTTATGGAAGCATGCCAAGGTCAAATGCTGTGGTAACCTTCATAATATTATATGCAATATGAAGTTTCAAACTGGGATGTGCTGGGTTTCTTAGAAAGTGACCAGGGAAGAGAAAGTGAAGTAAAGTCTGGTGAACCATCAAAATGTGACCACCATCTCCCCATCAATGATAATACATGTTGCAGACGATAATTGGACGCGTCTAATCTTCTATGCCGTTCATTTAAAAGCGACAAAATTCGCGCGAAAATCCCATTATCAATGTGAGCGCTGGGAATATTGATTCGGGCTATAGGCTGTGGTTGAAGAGCCCATCGACTGCATCATTTCCCGAGAGGCCGGGGACTTGGAGCTGGCTACGGTTGCCACGGGCGGTGGAGACTTCAAGAAAGCGTGATAATCTGAGAATTCGTCGTCGAGCGAAGCTGTGGTAGGGAGAGTGGCACCATGAGTGCTCCTAAGCCCAAATCGTGTTTTGAGGCCTGAAAAGGTTGCCAACCCTCGAGGAAGACGGGGTAATCCGAAAAACCCACTTTGAGAGGGGGCGTTCTCTGGAGCTTTATCCGTTGTTCCCTCTGCTGTGCTTCGCTTGAGGGATCTCTTGAACTTTTCCACGTATGCTTGGAATCGACCAGAAACCTCATTAGATCCAATCAGGGTCGATCGGTAGGCAGTGATGGAACCCATCAGCACTGCAATGCACGCTTCAATGTGGAGCCAGAAATTTTGCCACGGGTAGTCAAGAGATCCGTGATAATATGTCCCTGCAGCACGAGTGATTGCACAGGCTGACATGAAGACGGACAGGCATACGAAGCAGCCAATGCCGATTTTGGTCATGGCATCCAACTGTACACGCCGAAGGAGAAGTATAGGAATACTGACAACTAGGAACAGTCAGCATTGTTTGGCGAGAGAAGGGGTAAGGTAATCAAGCACTCACTGATGATATCCACCATCACATCGAGGACAGGCCAAAACCAAAACGTGACCATTAATGAGGTATGCGAAGCCGGCAAAGTTGGAAAGCACTTCTCTAGAATTCACTTAGAATCATATGAAGATCAAAGGATTATGGTATCAACACGTACCACCCGCCTCTGCACCCAGATATGGGCACGTAATGAGCTGTTCGGCAACACAGATCGTAATCCAGCAAGCGACCGAAAGGAAAATACCGACACGGTAGTACCATGTGAACCGGGTGGACATATTTCGAAGCAATGGGTAGAAGAATGCGAAGTAACACCATTTGACGGCGAAAATAGCTGTCCAGCACAGAACCAGCCATGCGACCTCCCAGGTATTCTGCGCAACAAGGTTTCCCATATCTTCATAAGCAAGCGAATAAGCGGACTTGAGCCCACTCAACACAGCAAACTCAAGATACACAACTCGCAACCGCTTGAACATGATGCCGCTAGCACCACATAGACAAGCGAAGGCGAAAAAGAGCAATCCATCGTCAAGGTATAGCCGGCGGCGTGTAATAAGACGCAGGGAGATACGTGCAATGAAACTTGCACAAGCAAGAGCGAACACGACTCCAAGTGCAATCTGTTATGCTATGTTAGATTGATTCTCGAAAGATTTGGTGGGGAATCCTGCCTTGAACTGCTCATAAGTGATAAGTCCAGTGTGGTCAATCTCTTGTATAATGGCTGCACGCTCACTGGAGGTCAAATTCAGATTGATACCCGATGCCTCAAGCGCTGCTGCGTCCATGGTGAATGAGGTTATGTAATGGGCTGGTCGGACCTAAAATGCTTCAATTCCTCCAGAGGTGAAGAGTGGGCCTGAGAGGGAAAACAATTGTTTTAAGCGTGTGGGGTTAAAAAGTAGACTCCACCCAAGATAAGTCACTTCTTCTGTGAAGGATACGATTGGGGAATCAATTTGTCCCGCGATCATGCAGGAAAAACGTCATGCACGCTTTGGAGGATCTGGTGGCTTGTAATTCCACGGTATTTTATCTTTCTACAAACCCATATTCTTTCCGATGTTCGTTAACAGATGGTGGGGGGCCAAACTCTTCTATTGTGGGAACGTGGCCAATCAAACTGTATCTGCATGGCGGCCCCCAATGTTCAGGCAGTGACTATACCTCGTATGGGCTGCCATACAGGACAACGTACCGATGTGTGTTCAATAAGGCTATTTCTCCGGCGGCTTGGGATCGCTTGGGAGCGAAAAGCTAATAGGTCCCGTCTGGCTGGATCAAACTATCATCAATACCACAGATGATATCTCAAAGAGTGAAGTATGAGGCGCCTTGACTTTGGCTCTCATTGGGGCCCCGGGGTATATATGTGGAGACAAGAACGCTTTTAGATACACTGAGGATGTCAGCCATATGAAAATATAAAACTCGACGGAAAAGCCCGGATTCTCAAGCTACGTATTGCAAACATTGGAATAAGTTTCATTCTTGATTTCAACGGACTTCAACATGTTGTCTGAAGTTTTGTCACGCCTGACGGCTTCTCTCGAAGACTTGAGTCCATGGAAAAGTCTGGCTTGTTCAGTTGGACTCTTATTAATATTTCTCTCCATTTTCCAATATGCGGTCGCTGCCGCTCGCTTCCCTTTATATGTCGATGCACCAGGTCAAGAGAAAAAGCCCCCGCTCGTGCCACACATCGCTCCATTTCTGGGTACCTTGCCTTTGACGTTCCTATGGAATCCAATGCAATTTGTCATCTCGTCAAAGTAAGTAGGCCATAGAAAAGAAACATCAAAGAGAATGGAAGACGAAGAAGACTAATAATTTCTGTTCAAGAACGCTTTTTTGGAGTCCTCATCCAGTCCGAGTAAAGTTCATGGGCCTAGAATGCTATATCGTATCAGGCGCCGCAAACATCAAGTCTCTTTTCAAAGCCCCCTCGGTAACTGCCTTTGGCTTCCATGGATCTTTCCTTCGAAAGGCATTCGGAATGTCCGAAAAAGCAGCAGTACGATATAGTGAAGATGACTCGGGTGAAAACCCAGAGCCTGCACCAAATAGCAACGTGGAACCCAAGAACCGTATGAATTATTTGACCCATGAGTTCTTCAAGCGGTTCTTGAGTGGGCCTACCCTTCAGACTCTAGAGAAAGGACTAGAGAACCATCTCACGAGGCATCTCCTGTCTCTTAATGTGGCCACGGACAGCGGATGGACCCACATACACGACTTTATGAGTATTTTCAAAAATCAAGTTACCTCTGCTGTGGTGGACACTATATGTGGACCAAACCTGATCAGACAAAACCCTGGGTTTCCAGATGATCTTTGGACTGTCGATTGCGGAGTTGGAAAGCTTATGAGTGGGTTGCCCTCCTTTCTGGTTTCCAAGCCTCGAAGTTGTCGAGCGCGTGCAATCCAATCAATCAAACGCTGGCGCGCTTGGGCAGAGGAAAACTCCGACCCTGCACAAGTCGGTCCTGGTGGTGAAAGTCCCTATTGGGGAACGGAGATGTTCCACTCGTTATTGGAGATATACAGTAATATGGATGGATTTGACGATGAGAGTGTTGCAACTGAGGTTTTGGCATTTATTTGGGCGTAAGTCCAATCATCTTCTTTCCAAATCAAGGAGCAACGGCTAATCCCTCATCACAGCACTACTACAAATTCGGTTCCTTCAGCTTTCTGGGCATGCATGGATGTGTTTCGTGATCCTGAATTGCTTGCACAAGTTCGAAGTGAAGTTGAATCCTGCTTGATTAGACAAAGATCACCAACAGATGAGATCCGGTTCGATACTGAGCGCCTGACTCGCCTGCCTACATTGCAAGCTGTGTTTGCAGAAACTCTCCGTTTGCGAGTTCACGGCTTTCTTATGCGCTTCCCATCAAAGGAGAATGTGATCATCAATCATGACTGGAGCATTCCAAGGGATAGTATGATCTTGATGAGTTCAACTCCTGGCCATATGAACCCGGAAGTCTGGGCCAGCGGATCGTGCGAATCTCATCCTGTTGATCAGTTCCATCCCGGACGTTTTTTGCAATACTCCGAAAAGACTAATTCACTGACATTCTCCATGGCTAGGGCTAAAGGCCATTGGACACCTTTTGGTGGAGGTCACCACCCTTGTCCAGGTCGACACTTTTCCAGGCTGGAGATTTTGTTGACCATTGCTCTGCTCGTAACGAGCTACGACTGTGAGATACTCGCGAGTGAGAAGAGCATGGCCATGAGTTCCCAAAACTTTGGATTTGGAGTATTAGATCCATGTGGTGAGATCCCAGTCAGGATCCGTCGCCGGAGTATGGTATAGCTTACTTTTTGTAAACACTCGAGTGTTTTCATTTCTTTCTTGTCTTTTTTTTTTTTTCAACCCTGTTTTTATGAGTCCATGCTTATTCCCTCTTTCCATGCCTTCGGTTTCATGTAGATATAGATGCTTAAGAATTAATTGCATATCGCTCTACATTGCTTCTATTCTAAATGTCTATCTACTCGGAGGAGAATTAGTATGGTATACATGGCATGGGAATAGAGCTGTTCTGAGGAATATTCCCAGGATCAATAGCAGTGCATGATACATAGCCACCATCCGGATGCTTGCTACGCGCCCAGGTAGTATGCCCGTGTGAGAAAGCTTATGACCAACGAGTAATATCGGGTGACGGCCAAAATGATAATCTCGAGTTCGTCTTCGTGCTATCAGTGGGGGCTGAAAATGGGGGCCAGAGTTCTAGAGTAATGGCGTTGGCCACGTTGACCAGTGGCGCAAGGGGCGTTCCACGAAGCTTTCCACCTCGATTTAATGACTATCTTTTGACCCCATTTCTTAGCCCCAAGTGCGGTAGGAGGATTAAGAAAGCTAGATCTGAGATCCGTAAACGTTGACCATACTGTACTGGTACGTACACATCATCGTGGGGCCAAAATCAACGCCACGGGAGCCACAAAGTGAGCGATCTGCAAAGACAGCACTCGGGCCCATATTTTGTCATGAAATACAGACTTCAAGCTGACGCCCTCGAGGCTTATTTTAGATCCGTATCTCAGACCCCGCACGTTGACGCCCAATAATTCCAGCTATATGCAGAATGAGCATAGCAGTAACCGAACACTTGAATAAATCCCTCAAAACGGCCCCTGCAGATTGCATGGGGTTTGAGCGGTGGACCTACCTGACTTGGCGGGAGGCCAGATGACAGCCGAATGACAGTCTGGTGCAGTATGACGTACATCGCGGCAAATAAAAGTAAATCAATACACTTAGATATGGGAATATCTCGGTACCAGACAAGGCTCTCGCGCCAACGATCACATATAATACTGCACTATTTTCCCGTCTACCTCCAACTTCTCACCCGTTCTTCAAGGTACATACACCTTCAGATTTGATATTGGCAAAACTTTCCAACATTCAAAGTCCTCTTTTGCTCTGTCATCTACATACTTCCTCTCGGAACAAACAACATCATGGAGCCGCCCAAGTCAATCAGTCGTAAGTGTGAAGCGCTGTTAAATATAACCTCCGGGCATATCGCAAAATCTAACATTGACAACGTAGAAACCTCAGTGGCTCAGAGTGCTCCCCCTCCCATGCGATCCCGACGCCCCAGTGAAAGTCCTGGTGGCTTTGCCCAATTCCTCTTGATGATCATGGGATACGAAGTTCTGCTTCAGCATCGCTCTATGGGCTCGGGGATGGCTGGGAAGGAAGAGTAATGACACGACTACCACAGTTGACATCGGGATTCGGTTTGGTGATTTGACTTTCAATTTTTGGATATCTGGGTTCGACTGAGCAATAGACTCTGGAGGCAATCTGTCCATATGGGAAGATATTGGAGTGTTTAAGGCGTTCTACATTATCACGATACACGAATGAATCAAATATTCTACGTCATGCCTTGATGTTTTTCATAGTTTACAGCTCTAGGATGGAGTTTCCAATATTAGCTCGATCGCAACGTTCTCATCTGATACTCGAGGAGGTAGATTTCGCAAGGCTCAAATGCTTTGGGTTCGAAATTGGTTTCTGTATTTGTTGAAGGCTAGCTACACTACCTAGAGAAATGCCAAACTCAAGCTTGCACGGCCCAAGAAACATACCCGCGGTGAAAAGAAAAAACTGTTGGTAGCAAAGCTCATCTGATCGATCTCTGAGGAAAGAAAGCGATTTGAAACCAAAAGAAAGGGGAAAAAAACATCAACAACAGGGGGTATGGGTAATGGTACAAAGCAAGGGAAAAAGAGGAAAATTAAAGCAGGGATGACCGGCAAGAGGAGGATAAAGGGGCAGCGCGAATTTACTAATAAGGGGAGTTCACAATGTCGTTGCGGCCGAGGTGGCTGCTAAATCTCCCCTTTCGAGCACGACTGGGGGTAACGGGTCCGGCAATACTCTCACGAGAGACCTTCTGGAAGGTACGCTTGGCGACCATGTTGACCTCGTTGGGAAGAGCAACAATAACGTTCTTGTCAGAGTCAAAGCGGAAATTGTCAGCCATGACATCCTCAGCGTAACGCTTGATGGTGTACGGATCCTTGCGGCCGGCGATAATCTTCTTCAGAGACCAAGTGATAATAAATGGACCGGTAGCGGTGATGATAGAAGTTTCCTCCTTATCGACACCAGTGTTGAAACGAGCAGTCGTGAATGAAAGTGGCTGCTTAGTCTCGTGCTGGAATTGGGCGACGTGTGCAGGTTGCAAGCCCAGACGACGGGGCTGGGGCTTTGAGTCCTTGGCGAATGCCTTCTCGAAGCCAAGCTTGCCCTCGTTCTTACCTTCCTTTTGTAAGGAGTCAATCAAAAGGAGATAGGTACGGCATGTAGCAAGTACCCAGCGTCCATCAGCCGACACATCAAGACCGATGATGGGTTCACCAAGAGCTGGGATGTGGGTCTTAGCATTGATGCCCAATCGGTCGAACATGCGAATGTCACCCTTGTTGGACGCAACGGCAAGGTAGCCCTTTTCGGTGGTGGCCATTGCTGAGAAATCGTTCTTGCTAGCATACTGCTTCAAGTCGGAATCGACAAGCTTGGTACCAGCAAGACGTGGGTCAATTCGGAAGAGGGCATTTTTGGAAGCACCAACAAACGGCTGGGCGGAGGTCATTTGGGAGAATTTCTGCAAAATCGGTTAGTCAATAATAATCAGAGCTCTTCTTGTTCATATGTACTCACGTTCTCATGAGCGAAAGTCTCAACGGGAATGTCCTCGTGAATCTTCCACTCGTCAACAACCTTGCCGTACTCCAAATCCATGCGGTAGAGGGAGTTTGGATCCTCGTTATTCTGAAGGATCATGTTTGAATCTTCGGCGTGAAGCATGACCTTCTTAGGACTGAACAGCTTGCCACCAGGAGTTGCGACCTTTGAGATGGTAGTTGAGAACTCGAGATTGTTGTTGTCTGTGTGCTTGAAAACACCAATTTTGGAGCCGCGAACCACAAAGGACCGATCATGCTTGTAGCCGACCGCCAGTTGGGAGTTCACATTTCCATCCTCATCACGAGTGACAACATCCTCCTCTTCTTCGTCGCTGTCGTAGTGTTCGCTGCGCTGTCCGTCATCTTGGTCGGTTTCTTCGTCCTCTTCTTCCTCTTCCTCCTCTTCTTCAGGTTTATCTTCAGCGTCCTCCATAGTAAGATCTTGGAATGCATCCAGGACGTAATCACGCTCGTTCTCCTTGACCTTAGTCCATTTCACTTCGTTGAGCTGTTCCCACAGAGCCTGCATCAGACCTTCTTGGAAGCGCTCCTCTGCGGGTTGATCTTTGAATCGAAGCAGCCATGAGAAAGCTGCACCATCCTCAGCATAATGGTTGAAGATGAAGGACAGGTATTCGAAGTTGAAAACCGGGTTGATGTCTCCCACAACGGCCTGGCCCAGCCACTCCTTCTCCTTGCCAGTGATTTGTAGCCAATATTGCCAGTTCCCGATTTCTGACACAACAGCGGTCACCTCGGTGTCTTGCAGAACGAATGTTCCAGTGGAGAAGTCGAACAAGTGCAGTTCGGCTTTTTCCTGTGTAAGAACTTCTTTCACCTCGGGTTGAGCGGCAGAAGCTGGGGCTGTGGTAACCTCCTCATTGACACTAGCTGGCTTGACCTGGCCCTTAGACTGGGCATATTTCACGTCTTTCGCCATCTCAGCAGCGGTTTCCTCGGTGGTGAAAGAACGGTCACGAGAATGGGAAGTGGGCGAAGTGATGGGACTGGCTGAAGGGATGGGCTTCTCCTCCGTGTACGCAAATTCCTGTAGGTCCTGCTCGCTAGCCTTTTGAGCACTGCAGCGAAACTTGCGCTCGTATTGGCACTGCAGAGCGGCTAACTCAAAGGTGGCAACTTTTTCGGAGGGAACCGAAGCGTCGCAAATGAATTCGTAAAGGTCACCCTCGTCACCACTCAGGTCGTCCCAAGCCAAAATCTTGCTAGCTCCGTCACGAACCTCGGAGCGGAAGTGAAGAGTCTGGTCTAGCAGGAAAACCTTCTCGTCTTTGTCTAGGCTGTCGGCCGCACCCTGTTCGTCCTCGTCGTCCGCGAGTTCCTCTTCTCCTTCCTCGTAGGCTCTCTGGATGACAAGCTGATATTGAAAGTCTTGCCCAGTGCGTCGGATAGTAGCTGCCGCGTCCTTGAAGATGAGTTCGGAGTAACCCTTGGGAGACAAAGGTCGAACCAAATACAGCTGGCCCTGGGGAATTTCGATTATGGATTCTTTCGAAGTGTCACCGAAAATGAATTTGCTCACTAGAAAGTCAACCTGAGATTAGTACTTTCCAGAACGATCGTTGTGTTCGATATGAAGGTGGTATGGAGGGGTTTGGCGGGGCAGGCGCGCGTTGCTTACCGTTGCGGAGCATAAACATGGTTGCGAGGGGCAGCTGCGATTTAAGCAACAACAAAACAACGGATGGAAGTAGAGGTTAACAGGTAGGAAAAGTCCGGCAAGAGAGGCAATCAAAAGGGAAGAAAGCGAAAGAACCAAAGAGACTTAGGGCCACCGGAACAGGAGTGAGGCTTGAGAGAGACAAAAAAGAAAAAAGAAGGAAAGATAAGTGCCATTCACCAGAGAAATAATCGCCTCCGTCATCGAATGTGGCGTTGTGGCTGAGGGATTATGTCATCGCCCCGCGCCCATGACACCTGAGAATCAGGGCATCAATTTTCGTTCAGTTCTTGGAAATTGCATCGCTATTGGTCAGATGACAAAAGGTCCATGCTTGGTTTACTATAAAATTTGAATATGTGCATTGTCCACGGGTAACACCAACTGTGAGATTTGTATGTATATTTGTAAATAAAATGTTGAATTTCAGAATTCCAGAGTATGTTTTACCGCTGTACTGGGCATCGGCATTCAATCAAACCGCAACATATATATAAACATCATTCATTTTCGAAACATCAACAAGCCAGCATCCGGGCTAACTTAGCCCAAGGGTTCCCAGTATATTGAAACTCTGGATCAATTGTCAAAGACACAAGCCCCTAACCAGAGTTCCAATGCCGAGAAAGGCATCGTTTACGCCTGAGGGGCAAAACCAAGCTGGGGACCGCTGGCATCAAAAACAACATATTGGCTCTTCAGGAAGATATCACCAAAGATAGAGAAGCCAATACCCGAGTTAGACTGGATACCACCAATGCAAGAGCCGCCACCAACGGACGCATAGTTGATCAGACTGCCAGAGACGGTGGCGGTGTAGCTGCCAATGGTGACGCTGAAATCCGGGAGATCAGCTGAGCAGTCAAAGACATAGCCGCCCTCGGAGCTGCTGTACGAAGCACCGGAAACCTGATCATAGTAAGAGGAGACAGTGTCATCGGCAAGAAGCAGAAGAGTAGTGCCAGTGTCGGCAATACCGGAGAAACCGGCACCAGAAGCACTACCAGCGCTCCAGCCATCAACCGAGAAGCCCCAGTAGCCTTCCGAGGAATCAACATCGGTGTAGATGAGAGAACCAGTGTACTTGGAGGAGTCAGTGAAACCAAAGTCGAAGACACCGGGTTCGCCGTGCTTCAGGGCAACACCGAAGAGAGGCTCAGCCAGCTGAGACTGGGCGTTGGAGAACCAGGTCTTCTGAGCCTTGGGCGAGACGGTGTTGATTGAGTCAAAACCCAGACCCAGGAGGCCATCGTTGGTATCTTGGACAAATTCAGAGCTAATTTTCTTAGCGGCTTCGACAGCCTGGCTAGAGACAGTGATGCCACCAACAATGACCTTGTCCTTGTAAACATTGCCGCTAGCAGAGCTACCGTCACCGTAAGAGATGTCCCAAGTATAGCCGGACATCTGAGTGGCACTCGAGCCTGGAGTGTAGTAAGAGTGACCGGACCGTTCAGAAGATGGCAGCTCGGAAGAGAAGACCCAGCTATGAATTATCAGCTCATATCCCTTTTGAAAACAAGGCTAAAAGGCAGATTGATACTTACAGATCAGATGATCCAGTATCAAAGTCAAGCTGCAGGGTAGTGCCTCCCACATTGACAGGTGTCAGGTACTCCTCATCATCAGTGGAGGGAGTGTTTGTAGCCACACCGCTGGCAACGGCGGCGGCCTGGACATTGGATGGCACAGTTGCGCCAAACTTTGTAAGAGCACGAGCATACTGAGACGCAAAGTTGGTGGTCTTGGTAGCAGGACGGGCAACCTGCTTGACGGAGTATTTTCCCGCGGTGGGAGCAGCGCAGGCAATGGAAGCCAGGCCTGCAAGAGCCGGGATAACCTTGTTTACAATGACCATGATGGCGACTTGAAGAGAATTGGATTGAAGGATGATGTGATGTGGGTTGGATTGAAAGCACTTGAATGCCTGGCGACAAAGCCCCTTTTATAACTTTCTGTATACCTCAGGACTCGTACATCTCGTTATCAACATATCAAGATGCATGAAGGAATCCAAGCCCCCAATGGCGCCAACGAAGTTCGCTATCACCCGATTCACGGACGATGTAACTTATTCTAACCCGAATCCTCTAAATGCAGACTGGAAACCCTATGTTACGCCATCTTCACGGAGTCCATCGGTCAATTTCACACTAGAGATATTTACCAGGCAGCCGTGTTGGAGGGGAGCCAAAGAGAGCAAAGGACTCAAGATCAAAGGGTCTGGTTGAGCTGGTGGCGCACCATCAGGGACCGGAGTGGAACTGCGCTAGCATTTTAGGCCTGCGGAGAACTCGCTAAGACATAAAGGGTTCAACTAGAGAGAAAAATATCAAGGCGGCCTTGCTTATCCGCTTCTTATCAAGGCACATTAGGAATTACTCAAATTTGGTCCCAGGCGGAGCTTTCCGAACTATTTAGTCTTGCACGAGATCAGTAAAGAAAGCTTGGAGAAAGCTTAATGGTCAATCCCGAATCCTACGGCTTTCATACATCCTTGATAGTGAAGAAGAAACAATACTATTACCTAATACTTTCAAGTAAATCAGATAGAATATCCCAGTCACTTCAGTTCTAGAGCATTCGACGGTTTTGCCCCATAATGCAAGTTCTTTTGTTTCCGGGTGTAAATTCAGGGGGGATGAAAATAGTCTAGGGCACAAAAGAAATTGCCGACGGAGCTCCGAGACAAATCCAATCTACAACGTTCCGGTGTGGACCCTGCATTATTCTAATCTTCTAGCTTCGGGACCAATATATACCCGCTGGCGATATACGAAGTACTGATGATCCACATCTGATGTGACCCTGGACTAAAAAAGCCACCCCCGCTCTTATCGTCCAATTAACCGGATAGATTGCATCCACGAGATTCTTCAGGGGCCTACCCATCTTAGCCTTGCGAAGTTTATAACAGGAATTACATTGATAAGAACCTTGCCCTAGTAGAGGGGAATTGTTGATCGGAATGACGATCACTACAAATCTGGAATATTGACCCGGGAAATGCAGATCTTCCATCCTTTTGTTACTGAGCCCCGTGCGCTCCGGATACTACATTGTCATATACATAATCAAAAGGTCTTAAGGAATCAGGATCGTAAGCTCCGTGGATACAGCCATACATGTAAAGAAAAAGCAAATAAATGAGGCCTGTCGAATATTCATAATTCGCATTATTCTCTTCTACGGTACATTGTTGACTCTGAAATCCATTACGAAGTACATAATGTCATTCGTGCCAAGGCGCTTAGGGACGACATTTGTATGCCTGACTTGCCTGCTACAGGTCCTTTATCCAGTTAGATCAAGGACCATGAGACGATTAGTTCTATGTCCCGCGTATTTGTTACCTAAAGATGCGATTTGGCAGAAGTGGTGAGGCTGAACACAGGCCGGCCCGGTGGAAGGTGGAATTGTCCCTTCCGTTTGGCTCTCACCTAGTCAGACTGATGTTTCCATCCAATATTTATCTTCATGTCAGACCCGAATGACTATATTGTAGGCTGGATATGCGTGAACATATGCGAGTACGTTGCGGCCCAAGCCTTCCTCCACGGAGAACATGACGCGACCGCGTTGCTACGCCAGCACAACAAAAATGATTACACCTTGGGAAGGATTGGGAAACACAATTTCGTCATTTATGTATTCCCTATAGATTCCTACGGGCTTGCCTAGGCGGCCAGAGTGACCGAGGATATGCTCAACAAGATAATTGATGAAGCAAGGAGCTTTATTACTTTTGAGATGGGTTGCCAATCGACAGTTTGCTCGCTTCAGCCCGCCACAGCTTAGTGTGATGAACATGCGGCATCTGCAATCGTGCCTTGGCCAAATATAACGAGTTGATTTCCCCTGAAGGAAAATGGCGCATATGCAGACGTCGAATGGTGATCGGCGCGACTCGGTTTCTCTACATGGAACGCTCAGGCAGCACGAAGATGTGCGAGTCGATCCAGCAATGGCAAGACCACAACACAACAGCCAAAATAGCATACAAGGAAGCGAGAGGTCAACCATAGAGTTGTGGAAGTGTATTTGCTAGTGCCATCGCTATTCAATAATACAGGGCCGAACGTGACTCGGAATGGTTATGTAAGGGAAGGCTGTCCCCATTACGCACACGGGAGATTCACCACGAAGAGAGATTTGATATGTCTATACTATAAACAGATGAAGGACAAATATACTTCACTCGCATCCAGCACTTCTTGCGAGACGAAAATCTCGCCATATGTATGCAGTATAGTTTATAAAGTTTCTTTTGCTTCAGCAATAATGGTTCCTTCCAAAAAAGGCGTGCTCTTTCCTTGGGGTTGAGTAAATGTTATTCTTTCCGCCAATTGCTTTGTCGATTGTGTTTTATGTCTTGTAATTTGGTCTCCGTTTGATTGAAAACCGCACAATTCACCTTCGCAATGCCTTCGTCTGCGACAGAGAAGGGGTTCAAGATTGGAATTGAAATGGAAGTACTCTTATCACCAAAAGGACGCAGTTCGGAGACTTTCAAAGACCTGAGCGAATTCGCCGATTTCCTGGTCGAACATTGCAATGCAGCCCGCAAGCCTGCGCCCAAAGTTCACAACGACGTCGATGGGGTATATGGAGGCTCTCAAGCCAAATTCGAGTGGTCTCTGACCGATGATGGTTCAGTAAAGCCGAGCAAAGTTCACCAATGTATGTTGCTCTCCTGGTTTCCAGGTTTGGTAGCGTGCTGACCTTTACCAGGGCCGTTAGAGTTAGTTTCGCCAATTCTTAATTATGACGCACGAAGCCCATGGCGCGAGGAAGTTCGTACGATGTTCAATACAATCAGGCGTGCATGTATCATTGAATCCAACCAGACATGCGGTGTTCATGTCCACATTTCACCCCCCGGAGACTCTCGCTGGAGCCTCCCGACCCTCAAATCAGTTTGTCGCAGTATCCTATACTTTGACGGAGCTATAGAAGCAATGGTGCCAGAATGTCGCAGGCGGAATCAATATACGCTCAATAACCGACGCGGCAATGGTATTTTCATTGGAAAAGATATCTCGGGTTGCCTCAGGCTTGTAGAGAAATGCAAGCACCCAGTTGAAGTCGCCGACTTGATGAACGAGGGCGGTAAAAGATACTTTGCTTGGAACTTCACAAACCTATACTATGGAGGCTTGGCAACTATTGAGTTCAGGATGGCGCCCGGTGCATCTGATGAGACCATGTGTCTTCCATGGGTTGAATTTGTGGTGTGTTTTGCTCATGCCTCCAAGACGACATCATCGTACCGAGATTTACTTCAATACTCTCGAGATGTGCAAGGCCTGCGCCGGTTTCTACTGAGTCATGAAGTTTCTGGTCTCAATCGGACCATCCTTGATCATATTTTCAAGGGAAAGTCGGGATACATAGTTCCCCAAGCATCTCAAGAATTGACAGAAGCACAGCGTGCTGAGCTGGAGACCAGAATGCAGGAGCTCGGCAGACGGAATTGTATGATGAAGAAGTTTGGCTACCAGCTGTAGTGTATACCCGCCTCAATTGACAAACTTGCATTATTATGGGCAGTCTTATGAGCAGCTCGAGTTATACCTCATGAAGCCCTTTCTAGAATTTCTCCTTCTCTCCAAGTAGATCTTTCGCCAGTTATTAATCGTATGTTGATTTGCTGGACCGCAGCCTTTGAGTTGATTGCACATCCCGAGCTAAAATGCGGTGACAACTCCGAGTGCTTGGAATAAACGTGTCATCAGCAGGCTGATACCACGGGAAACCGAGTCGAACAAAGATTACTACGCTTGGATCGATCTTGTGGCTATAGATTGTATTTTGCAACAAAATTTGTTATCAATATGAAAAGCAATGCAAAAAAAAAAAAAGGGCACAGACGCAGAAATACAAAAAGAGAATCCGAGTCTGTCAACAAAGCCAGGGTATCAACCATCCACCAACGTACTGCGACAGCGAAAGCTTGAGCACCTGGATTCTCGACCATAACGAGAAGGGGGCAATAAGGGTATAAGTGAAGCACAATATCGATATAACGGGTTGTCGCCTAGGCAGGCTTCATTCGGGTAATCAAGGGTTGACTGGTTGTTTCAATCTTTACTCATGTATTTAGGTCTCCAGATTTAAGCTATCATCTCGCAACTCTTCAGGATATCCTCTCCAGTGGAAAGCAACACCTTCAACACCAGTCTCCCTGGTATCAATGAAATCGATAGAAATGGAGCCAACGTCGTAGTGATCCGCCATGTAGGCAACAAGCCGATCCCAATGTTCCCGGCAAAGGATTTCACAAGCAAAGCCATCAACTGGCTGGAAGGGCTCTCCATCAACAAGGGCAGAATTTCGTCCCCAATACTTGATTTCGTAACCAACCACTCTAGCTGGACGCATTCTTGGAGGGTCGGACAATTGCAGCACTCTGGTAAGTGTGAGCGGATCCATCAGTGAACCATAAAGGAAGAAATAGCCGCTCCTGAACGGCATTCGTGGCCAGCCTGACTCGGGAGGCTCAATAGAAGCTGGTAGATCCGACTTTGTATCGTCAGAAGCCTCGTAATCAAGAAATTTGCGGACCATGAGAGACGGTGGAGGAAGCGGTTCTCGATTCGCGCGCATTCTTGTGGCAAAAGAAGGGGAGAATCAAATGCAGGTCTGGAAGACGTCTGTATCTCTGTAGATTCAGGAAGGAAAGTTGAGATTGCAGCTGAGAAGAACTGGAGAGTATTTTAGTGCAATGGAGTATCAGGGCTGCATTTGATTATCTTACCGAGATCACGAAGACTTAATATTTGGGCATGCAGGGGACGTCTGCCCTGGTATTTGACCTGAAGGACTAATTTTAAGCTGTCATGATGATGGATGAGTATGCCTTTTGACGGTAATGATCATGGCCCTTATGTAAGCTGATTGTCAGTAACGTATTTCACCCCCAAGCGAGCCACCCACTCGGGCGGACCACCCAAAACATATAGTAAATGCGATAAATCACAACTTGATATTTCAATAACTAGAGCTTCTCTTATAGTCTCCACATGAAAGGATACTCATTAGACTACAATTTATATGCGTTATTGTTGAAATATCAAGTTGTAGTTTATCGCATTTACTATGTGTTTTGGGGTGGCCGCCCGAGTGGTGAAATATGTTGAAGTGGGGTGCTCAAAGGTAGAAGAATGGACAGACAGATACATACAGTATCTGGCCAAATAAGCTACGAACTTTCCATCACACGTTTCATCACAGTAGTAACTGTGCAATAAAAGTTTTATAACGGTGTAAGATTTAAGGATACGTATTGTGGCTGTCTCGTCAATAACGTTCTCAAACAACGGCCGGTACCTCGCATCTGCCAGTGTTTCCAATTGGATTCAGCTCTGGGATTTCGCGACCGGCAAATTTAAGGGAAATTCTGTTCTCTGGACGTTTTGCGCTTCCTGAACGCAAATATCAAAACCAAGTCGTTGTATTTTCGCATGATGATGCTCTTTTGGCTTCTTTGCCTGAAAGCCAACCATTGCATTATGGGATGTCAAGACAGGGTTCATATTACATATTCTCGAACGGCCTCACCACACTTCGATGGTTCTTTTCTTTGGCTAACGATCTTCCATTTATGACCCAAAGCCAGCAGCGTTCTATCGCGATGCTCAAATTATTGCAGCGCATTGGGAAGATTGTATCATCCGCCTCTGGAACACGTCTACAGGTGCACAGTACCAGACACTCTTACGGCATCCAGACCCGGTCACTTTGATGGACTTTTCTCCGGATCGGTGATTGCTAACCACTACCACATCTGATGGCGCAATCAGAATATGGGATATTAACAAGGAACAAGAGAAGAAATACTTGGAGGCAAGCACATGATTCATTTGATTAAGTTCTCCCAGGATTCATCATCCCTGAACACCAACCTGGTATGTTTCAAGATTGGGTCATCTTCTTCCAACATTACACCAGACACCTCTGCTTTCAACACGGAAATATTCATTGGGCAAACGAAAGATGAATGGGTAACTCTAGGTGGTGAACGGCTATTATGGCTTCCTCTAGAATATCGGCCGCGTTGCGCGCTTATGATGGGTAGTACTCTGATCATAGGACATGCTTCGGGTAACGTTTGGTTTATGGAATTCGACATAGAGAAAGCGAGATAGAGCCCCTATGTAGGGGAGGTTGTATCTTCTAATCCAGAGCAGTTATCTGACATAATTCTATTCGCAGAGTACGAGATGCCTCGGATCTTCTGATCTGCAAGTTCAATCAAAGCAAAACGAGCCCAGTAAAAGCTCGCTTTTCATCGTCAACCAAAACAGATTTGTCCGTTCCATGCAAGTCACAATGATAAATGCGACCGCCCAGGTCCGTCACGTAAATCGAGTTGCTCTTTTCATCAATCTTTAACCCGATAGCTTCATTGAAGTGACGATACAAAACCTCGTATTTCTTAATCGACGAGTTCTCAATTATTCGACCAGATGAATCGAGTTGGGCGCGATTCACCGAATTACCAAACGGGATCTCACCACGATCAGTCCAGTAAAGCGACTTTGAGATCTCTGAAATCTCAAGGTCAATAGGCTCTGGGAGTCCGTCGAGAATGCACTCCACATCACTTCTGTTGATACCAGATTCACCGAAAGGTGTCGAGATGTTGGCACAGAAAATACGCCCTTGTCCGCCTTTAGACGGGCCCTTTTGGGACCAGTAAAACTTACCCAGCTCTGCGTCAACAGCGATACCAACACACCAGTTGTGAATGTTCTTCTTAGGGTCTGTATCCTCAAGCTCACATGTCCACACGAGGGTCTCTAGCTCAGAGCCATCAAAGTTACAGCGGTACACGCGGCAGCCTTCCCGGTCACAGAAATACAGTTTCTTTGCCTCCTTGTCCAAAGCCAGTTGCTTTGGAGTGTTGATTGTACCAGGCGCAACAATAGTCTTTATCTCAGTCGTGTGCAGGTTGATTGAAAGCACGGTGCCGTCTTGCTTTCCTGGTATTCCCATGTTGGTCCAGAACGCGAGGCCACTGCTGGTGTCAACTGCCAGACCATCTGGAAGAGCCTGATTGACGGCTAGAGCCCGTTTGATTTGACCAGTGGTCGAGTATTCCAGGATAGAGCCAGACGACATCGTTGGCGAGACAGAGGAAAGACCAAGGTCCAAGACAAGGATACTAGGGGCTTTTGCTGCAGCCTCTTTGGCCACTGCGGGAGGGTAAAGACCACCAAGTTGACTCTTTGTGCCCAACTTCCCATCTTTGATGTATCTGGCATTCAAGAAATCCACGGTGTTTTCAGGACAAAGATCACGCTCCTTGACATAGTGAGATTCGATCAAGGCGACGGTGTCCAAGCCCACGTCTAAAAGCTGTTAAACCTGAACATATGTCACTGGCAAAGCGGAAAAACTCACCATCCATTGTCTTGCAAGGGGTCGCGCCTCCCTTCACGAACATTTGGTCCCACAAAGAGTCAATCTCTTCAGGGGTAGAGACGTCCTCTGCCAGAATAGTCAGGATCTCTCTCTTGACAGCAGCCCAAAGACGATTGAAGATGAGACCCGTCGACTCTTTCCGAGCAACGTAGGGCAATGTTCCTCCTTCTTTGCATCGGTCAACCATGAAGGGGAAAATCGACTCCTCAGTATGACCGTCTGTCATGAGCTCAACGACCATGTTACGTGGTGGCATGTAATAATGCATGTTCAGAATCCGAGATCGAGTGGCATCGGATACCCTGTCCAGCATTTCGGAGGACTTGTAGGAAGACGAGTTGGAGGCCAGGATGCAGTCACTTGGTGCAAATGCTTCCAGATGAGCAAAGGTGTCAACCTTGAGTTGTAGAACCTCCGGAACAGCTTCGATGACGAGCCAGGCGCCAGTGAGTGCTTCTTCAAGTTTCTCCAATGACTTCACAGTGCCTGGCGTTTGGCACGTCTTCTGGGTGTATAGGGCGATGTTTTCGTCAAAGTACGCGACACTTTCCTTTCGCTGCTGGAGGCTAGGATCTCGGATCCGGACATTGTAACCAGCCGAAGCCCATACACAAGCTAATGTATGTCATTAACAATCCGCTAAGAGCATATGTTGTTGAAAACTCACCTATTCGTCGTCCGAGCACACCGCCACCTAGAACTACGACGGCTCTGTTTCGGTAATCATTCGGGGGTTGCCAAGTGCTTGCCATTGCAAAGGTCCTGTATTTGAGGGAGTTGGATAGATTGAGAATTGGATGAAGCTTTGATGCCCCTTGAGTGATGAATCTTGCAGACAAATAAGACATGGTGCACGATTAATATAAGCGTCAATGCTAAATCACACGGATCACTTCGGTATTCTATCAAGTATGAATGGCACTAAAGAGGTCATGGGTACCCCGACTGAGCCGCGGAATGAATAACAGATGGCCCACCGTGTGGCGAGATGTAGAGAGTTCCCGCGGAAGCGCTCTTTGCTACCTCGGCAAGATATTGTAAGACGGGTCCACGAAGGTGCCAGAAGATCTGACCCGGCACTATCACGTATGTATTCTAATTCGTTTTCATGATGGTACAGTCAACTCTCACCTATTGTACACCCGCTCGTAGAACACTCCCGCTTATAGTACACAGTTCGCTTGGATGGACCCACTTTTCCTTGATTTTACATACGAAACTCCCGCTTTAGTACACTCACCCTTTATACACAACCTTTTGTCCCTTTTTTTTTCTGAGTCATCTACTTAGTCAGCTATATTTGATTCGTACCGCCTGAATCCCAATATAGCTAGCCCAGCAATTTCTGAAGTTCGGTCTGTGAGAAAACCTAGCTACGACTCACCAGTTTACTGGAGAGTGAGTGGGCAAGGGAGGATAGACTACGAGATTATTAAGGAGAAGAGGGGATGTAATTTTACTAAACTGCTAGTGCTGCTACAGTAAGTAATGGTCTTGTGTAAACTTAAGCGTGAGAACCTTAGCGAACTACTCTTCGGATAAGTTTCCCCGAGTCCCAGGCATTGATGGATCCTGAACTCGGGAACCTTTACCGCCAACACGGTCTTCCAGTCAATTACTAGTTCACTAACTAGTCAGGGACTTGCCCCCACAGTGGGGCGCGGCAGGGTAATTGATTGTCCGATTGTCAATAAATTACCTTTCCTACCCGTTATCTATCTTATGTTGACTTGGTAACTTTCAACCCCAATATCATGGAGACAATTCTTTCGCCTATGCAGTTATGGCCTGGTGGGGTTCCGTCCACTGTTCGCCTGCAACCCAATAGTCGTTTGGATGAATATCACCCAGAAGAAGAAATCAAAGGATGGTGCCAGTTTTTGAAGGTATAAGGCTTCTTAGTACTTGTGCAGATGAGAATTTATTAACATCCTACAGGAATCGTGGACTTCTCTTTCTGACCCAGAGGAAGATAGAGCCCAACGGCGGGATCTTATAGAAAAATGGGCGTGTGCAGATCAAAGCTTTCGTGATGTACGCCGTCCTATGTCCTTTGAACTTATGCAATGATTGGAGGATCTAACACGAAATGGGAACTTCCTAGTCTTTTTATTTGACTGCATCATTCTCGGAGGATTTGGATACCAGATTCAATGGTATAGACCAGTCTAAACTCTTCGTCTGCCTTGTCGATAAGCCCTACGATCCTGAGAACTACACTCGCATCACTAAGCTGCTGATCCTACTCTACATCCATCTCGCGCGCACGTCCAATCATCCATTAAGGTTCAACAATACCTCTAGACCGCAGATTCCGGCCTTTATACTAGACACTACTATGGTTGACCAGTATAAGCGAATCCTTATACCGGAGAACCTGCCTATGAGCTACTACCTCGAAAATGCCGACTTCAGCGCAATGGCCATGACCCGTACAGGCACTGTTATCTTTCCGTATCTTATATCATTATGTATTCTTTGTGATCGATAACCAGAGCTGTCGGGACGGGCTCGTTCGCATGCTCAATTTCAGCTCTAACGGTCAGATTATGCAAGAGGCGCGGATGCGCCCATGGCAAATCGGTCGTCTCACGATGCTCCATTCTTCCCTAGGCCATCAATGGGATGAGCTTTTCGATAGACCCGAAACTTCGCCCCGCTGGAATCAACCGTACGTGCTTATAGGCTTTGATATTATCCATCCTTTGTTCTCAGCCCTTCAATCGAACTTTCTTTCGCGGTACCTTAGACTAATAGGCGGAAACATGATAACAGCATCGATCTACAACTACCCATCTTGGAAATTATGGCGGTACTCAGTCAGCGTGGGGATGTGCCGCCGCTCAATGATTATACATCGGCTGAGTGGGCCGAGGACTTTGAGCGGTTTGCGCCGGAGTTCTTAGCCTATGAGCGTGAGGGCCGGGTGTCAGATTACGGCTGGGAACGGCTCATGGATGTGACATATGCTGATTATTCCCATATTCGCCATGCTCGACAGCTTGCCGCAGCCTTAGGTCGGAGTATGTAGAAAGGCAAGACTGAGGGTCATGAACATGGCAGGACGAGGTCTTTTCATTTTCTTGAAACCAGTGGCTGATACTTATTGGATTGTGGGTCAGATGATCACCTCCGTCTGTCATGAGGTCATTGCGTGCACGCCTTAGCTAGACCTTTCTCGACATTTGTTTCCCTACACCATAGTTATTATGCGGCATTCTGTTACTGTCAATGACTTGTCCTTGGTTTGCTCGGTACAGTAAACCTGCACAGACCCGAGTACACTGTTAGCGCCTCGATATTCTCATTTGAACGTCACGATCGACTTCGTCCGAGTATTGAGTCTGATGGTAGTAAGCAGGCTTAAGAAAATCGGCCAGTGGTTGCAGATAAAACTCATGACCGAACGTAGCCAGACCGACAGCAACGGCTCAACTAGAACAATAACAACATGGTCAGGTATGGACTTGCGTTGATACGTTTCTCGGTGCATGCTGGTCCCTCATCGTAGATCGTAGACAACGCCACGCCTGTGTCCACGTGGTGATCTGTCCGTGCGCGCGTTCTAGCTAGCCAAAAGCCTGGCTTTAACTTCATACCAGTGGCCGACTTTGGTATTTACGCTTAAGACCACGCAATGATTAGCCATTCCTAATTAGAATCTACTCTACTTGGCCACAAATTAGGATAGATACAGACACGTTGAATCGATGATATAGCATTATTTAGTAAAAACAAAATTTATCATATCCTAGTCCGAAAGCTCATTAGCGACGACGTATCCGCACAGTCATTCTACCTCTTACGTGGTGTTATGGATCTCTAAGGTCCTTAACTCTATTACTGCCCCTATGGCACTAAAGTAAAGGATACATTAAATAATATGATTCGCTAAGCATTTCCCTTAATTACCTAGCCTTAGTAGTCTAAGATAGCCAAAACTAAGCGGGAAAAGAAGTAGGATATTACTATTATTAAGACCCGTATAGCGACTATAGATAACGAAGTAGAGATTAAAGCGTTAAAAGCCAAGATTGATATCCCCTAGGAAGCCGCCGTTAAGATACGCCAATCGTTGCTCGACCTTAGTAAAGACCTTACTAGCTTAGTAGAGGAGCAAGGTTTAGCCGTAGCCGCTATCGTATTTAAGCTTAGCGACGACATCGAGAGCTTGGCTACCGCTAATTGATACTACATTCTGCATTTGTTATGTCACGCCGAGGACGGTGTAGGCGTTTCCAGGGGAGGGCACTTATGACGGTAATGACCCATATTTATTAGGTTATGTAGACTACAGGTTACATAACGCCACACTTGATCCATAGGCAGGAGATTTCCCCCTTCCCTACTATGATAGAGCTATTACTACTTCTACCATGCCTCGCATAGTAATAAGCACAAAAATAAAGGAATAGGCATTTGGATTCTAAATTGTGAGATTTATCTGTCATCTATAAATTTTCTCTAGGTAACGCAACTTGAAATCTAGACACTGTATGGAAAGTAGAAGGTCCATGTAATCAAACCGAAAAAAAAAACCACGAATGATACAAAGAAGGAATTGAGGATAGGCGCAAAGTGAAGTAGGAAATGAAGACAATCTATCACTCAGAAGCAAAATATCTGATCGGTCATCTTGGGGGCTGGGCCAGGGGCTTCAAAGCCGCGCTGGACTAAAGCCTTCTTACAGGCATTGATCATTCCCGGTGGTCCGCAGAGCATAATTTTCGTATCGACAGCTGGACCTGGCAATTTGTCGCTTATGACCTGAGGCGTAACAAATCCTTTTCCGTAAGCCCAATTCTGAGAGGGTCGATCCAGCATGTACCAGATTTTGACGTTGTTGTATCTTCGTGCAAACCTCTCCAGCTCATTGCGAAGGAGAATATCTTCTTCAGACTGGTTGGCATATATAAGACTGATCTCTGTAGTATCACGCTCATCCTCACAGATAGCACGGATGAGCTGGTACAACGGAGTAATGCCGGTTCCACCAGCGATCATGCCGATACGTCGACAGAGACCACGTTGGTATCTCATCGCACCCTTGGGCCCTCGGAAAGGCACTTTGTCACCCACAGTGAGGTTCGCAAGGTATTTTCCAGTGAGTAGACCATCCGGGTAGCACTTGATAACCAGTTGCAGAATACCAAGATCAAGGTTGTTCGATGTTGGTGTGTACGATCTGGAAATTGATTGTCCATTGACCATTGCTTTGATGGCCACGTGTTGTCCAATTGGAAGGCCGATAACGTCCTGCGGTTTTGGAAGCTGGAAAGTGAAGAGAAAAACGCCCGGTGAAAGGAGTGTTTTGGCGACAAGCGGAAGCTCTTTGAAGTCCTTGGGCGAGAGGAATCCCTTGACCTCGTGAGGATTGATCTCTGACCTTTTCCTGGCCTCGATGTACGGAGGGTACTGAGTGAATCCTGATTCGATTTCAGTGAACTGTGATAGCTTGACACCAATCAAACCTCCAGCACTTCCGGAAAAGACAAAGCCAGAGAATAGTCCATTCAGAAACCCATTTCGTGCCAGACTCAATCTCGGCACTGGAAGCCTGTGTACCCAAGCTGGCGCTAACTGTGGCAGCAGGGACCAAAATTTATCCAGGGGCAAATGACAACTTTTGTAGAGATAGAGCAGCGCTGCCAGCCCCGCGATTGAACCACTAGCGATGGAGATACTTCCAATAGTAATTCTGCTTGTACTACTAGTAGGACTGCTATCACTTGTGCTTGGCGCGATGTTGGTAGTTGCTTGCGGTAGCTCTTCTCGACTGGGAAGAGCAGGCTTCGGACGAGTAACATCTTGCGTACCCTCTAACCTACCGACGAGGTAGGTCTCCAATATGTCGTCAGCCTCTTCGGAGTGGCCAATCTCGTCGTACGCTTCCGTTGCATCGGTTCCTGCGACGTCGCAAAGAACATCCGGTCCGCCAGGATGGTCGCGGACGTACTCGGTGACATTATAGACTGTGCATTTCGTTAAAATATGTTACTTCGTCTTTGCCGTCTGGGATTTTTGAAATTTACCTTTTCCGTGTACGATGATCCATAGGTCCTTTTTGGTCTTGTGTTCCGCAACTTCAGCAGAAGTGTACTCTCTCAGGGACGTCATTCTGTCACGAGATCCAATTCCTGGGGATTGTACCCTGAAGTCGATTCAAAAAGGTGTGATGAATGAGTGAGGGTTCGGCGCAGAAGGCACAGTGTTCTTCAAAGAGTGTTACAGAAAGTCAAAACTGTCTCGTATTGAGGTGGAAATATAGTGATTCTTAATCCAACGGCTTTTCCAGCCACTGATTCAATATTGCTGTTCATTTGTATATCACAAGAACCATCTTTGATGCAACGTTTCTTCAAGCACCGAGGTAATGTCAGTATTTGGCCAACCGGAATGCTTTGTTTGGCCCGCTATAATCAGTACTCCCGAGGTCATCGACATCTCCGAATCCCGAAAAAGGACCCACGGCACCGCGTTCCGTGGCTCGAGCTCGGCATACCGAATGACATACACAATTGCGAGAGAATGATTTTCATCTTAAATACCTAGAATGACTCGGTGAGATATCTGTTCACTGAACAAACAATCATTTGCAATTTGTTCCATTTACATCATGCCTGTACAGGATTTTCATCTTTTGGGAGACCCTCTCTCTTCTGTGAGGATCATTGAAGTCAGGGAACAGTCAAACATTGATGAACTCAAAATTTTGATCGCAAATCAGTTCTCTATCGTGAGACCCAATGGTTAGCTCCCTTGAACCGCTTTCATAGATACAACTTAGCAAGGCAGACTGCTGATTGATTCAAACTAGGCATCGGTTTCCAAAGCAAAGACAGCAATCCCCTCATCGATGTCTCCGATATAATTGCTGCAAATGGCCCTATCGAAGTCATAATTGACGGATATGGGGTCCGTGATCCATCAACGCCTAGCTCATTGCCATATGTTGGCAATTACTTTGAAGTTTATCCCGACCACCTCGGCAATCACCAACGTCTCTTCGAGAAGCTTGGACCATTGATCAAGACCACTACTCTGGGAAGAACCATCTATCAAACCAATGATCCAGAGATCGCAGCTATTGCTTTCGCTGAGTCTGAATTCTTTACAAAGAAAATCAATTCCGCACACCCCCTTTCCGGGATCAAAACACCAGCTGCTGGAGTTTTCTTGGGAGACACCGATACACCGGAGTGGAGGATTGCGCACAAGTTTCTTCCGCCTGCACTTGGCCCAAAAGCTGTTCGTCACTATGCTCCCACAATGCAGAAAACAGTCGAGGATGCTTTTGCGGTATTTGATGAATTTGACGAGCAAGGCAAGGCTTGGAACGTCTATCAATATATGCTTAAACTTGGCTCCCAGGCGGTCGGAAAGCTCACTCTCGGTTTGGACTTTCAGCACTTCTCTTCCCCTGATGCTCCGATGCATGAAATGGTCCATCTGATTGCCGAGAATCTTGCTTTGAACAAGAAGGTCACCTCACGAGGCAATTGGTATCGAATGCTACCATTTGGAGACCCGCAAAAATTGAGGAGATGTATGACTCGCGTGGAAGAGATTGTCGATGAATCCATCAAACATGCTGCACGGGGAGGTGTTGAAGACCTGCCCCTTCAAGATGCTGCACTAAAAGCGTCGAATATGGTTGGTGAGTAACACATTACAGTAGGATTTTTATTAAGATATGTGATTGATATATAATTCCTAGACTACGCGATTCGCGCAACGGATAACAAGGGTGATAAACTGCCCAAGTCAAGTCTCGTGTGGGCTCTCGTGGTGGCGACTGGAGCTGGCTTTACCACGACCAGTTCCCTTCTGTCTTGGTTGATCTACGGACTCGTAACCTACCCCGGAATGCAAGAAAGATTGCTTCAAGAGCTGATTGACAACGGTATTGACGACAGTACTGAAATGACTTCTGAACTAACGGAGCGTCTTGATTTCCTCGACAAGTTCATCAAAGAAACACAACGCCGCCACAATCCGTCGTTCCAACCGGGTCGCACAGCCAAGAAAGACCTGATCCTGCCAGGTGGCTATAGGCTACCCAAAGACGCCGTCCTCATCGCAGCATTGCATCATATCCACAACAATCCCAACCTCTGGGACAATCCCAACACGTTTGATCCTGACCGATGGGATACGGATGCAGTCAAGTCCAGGCACAAGGCAGCCTATATCCCCTTTGCAGTCGGCCCCCGAATGTGCATTGGGTTCAATTTCGCCCTTCAAGAGGTCAAGGTTTTCCTTCCGAAACTGATTTATCGGTACAAATTTCATCGTGAAGGAGAATATCCGATCGAGTATGATCCCGAGTTTCAGCTGATTAGACCGAACAATCTCTATGTTCGTGCTGAGAGACGGGTCAAATGGCCACCAAAGACAGAGCAGGAATAGTAAAGTGGTGTTATCGTTAAGTTGTACCATGTATTCTACAATTCATCATTCATAGATCATTTGTTAGTTGAATTCAACCGCCATGTCAACTGTTGAGAAAAGTCTATAACTAAAAAATATTTTAAAGTAACAGCGCCACGCCGTACCTCAAGCATTGATATAGTAAAGTCGACCGTTCCAATCATAAAAAGGAGCCAAATTCGATCTTCAGCTCCCGTTCCCGCAGAAGCTTGCAGATGGCATCGACTTAATTCCCTTGAAATGCTGATATGGATGGTCTCGAAACTCTACCTGCCCCTCTTAATATGCAGACTACTGTGAAAGTGATATCAGATTGTTTGGGCCAATCATACAGGGGAAACCTTCGGGCAAAAGTCTTACGTCGGAAAACCTTGTCTCGCGAGGTCTGTGAGAAGTCTTGAAAATGGCAGCCAATGCTTTGACATTTTGATGACTTTTCGCAATTGATTGGGTAATATTTATCACGTCTTACTCGGCCTCAATATTCTCAGTCTAACACTACCACAATTGATAAAGATATCTAGTATATATAGCGGATTCGGATACTCATCGCGACAGCGAGGTGTATAGTCGGAGATATTTGAGAAGCATAGAATATGGCTCTTGGCTTATATTCTGTAGGGACTGCCATAGAAGCGAGGGACATAAGGAGTGGATGGACATCCGTCGTCTGACATCCCGCGACATGGGAAAAGGAGGATCTAGCCCAAGATAAGGCTGACGGTGAGTCATACATATTCCTGATAAAGTTCAATAGATTTTCCATAATTAAAAGATATACGAGGATTTTCACCTCGGTCAGGTCCTGCTAGCTCTGTCGTTGTATCCGACGTTTGCCGATCGAAGTCGCCACCCCCGTACTGACCCAGAACCTCCCGAGGTCGGCAGCTCTTCAAAGTCCAGATACTCCCCAGGTGTTCTTAGCCGAAATTTGAAACGGGATTTACATTATTTGCTGAAATTATGCCGCCGGCCGAAAAAGCCACTCACACGCGCCGTTACAGATCCGCAGTCGCATGTCAGGCCTGCCGCCAACGAAAGGTTCGATGCAGCTGGTCGATCACCGGTGTACCTTGCGCTGGATGTGCACAGGACGGCTCGCAATGTATCGTGGATAGAAAGGCCAAAAGGTGAGCGACTCCAAAGATACCTGCCGTAATTCATTAGTGTTGAGATCGCCGTCAGTGCCAAGACAGGAAGTCAAATAACAACTCATCATCAAGACCATTCTTCTGACTCTGCTCCCTTAAATTCAACAGTGGGAATCGACCATGAACCTGCCGTTGACATTGTTGATGAAAGTCCACAAATCGACTTGATGAGGATTGACTTGGGACAGTCCGCCCCTGAGTTCAACGACCTACAATATGAAGAAGGCGACCGCTCCGATAGGACAGCCAAAGCCTTGGGTCAACAACGCAGAGTTGGCGAAACTTACTTTTATACTGGTATGAACAATATCGTCTCCGTCATCTAGTTAGAGTCTCATCAGCCTTCAAAGATGATCGAATCGATCCCACCTCCGTCCACCATACTTGCTATACAGAGCAATCAGTACCGAAGTCCTTTCTGACCCCAACAGTCGTAACAGAGCTGTCAGATGAGGATCGCGACTTTCTTGCGAAAAAGGGCGTATATAGCCTACCCAAAAGTGAGACATGTGATGCCCTTGTTGCAGCATATTGTCTCTACGTTCACCCCATCGTGCCCGCCATTGAGGTAGATGATCTTCTGGTACATCACCGAGCTGGAAAGCTCCACGAATACAATCTTTGTCTTCTATGGAGTATTTTCTCAGCAGCAGCGAATGTATTTGCTCCAGACAACACACTGTTCATCGCTACTTGGAAAGGCTAATTCAATCAGTTCATTTCGAGTGACTCGTTCAAAGCAGAGGGGTATGCATTCAGAGTGGTTATGAAGAATACGTACTACTCACGCGCAAAAGTAAGGACCTGTCATTATCCTGATAACATCATCGGAGCCATCAGCGTCAGATTATTCCGTCGTTGAGTACTAACATCACTTCAGTGCATGTACAGGAATGGTAACGAGAGAAGCAAAATCGTTCTTTTGCAATCGTCTCTACTCCTGGGATTATACCATGCAGATATCGACGAATATAACCAACCTTGGTACTGGACAGGCATTGCAATAAGCTCCTGTCAAATCCTCGGTCTGGATCACAATAACGCGTCTTCAAAAAATAGCTCATCGATAACTGACCGGCAAAGGTCTTTCTGGCGCCGCCTTTGGTGGAGCTGCTTCTTCCGAGATCGCTGGCTTAGCCTTGCTATGGGCACGCATGCTCGAATTAAGCTCGAGGGCTGTGACACCCCATTCCCGTCACCGGATGACCTACTTTATGATGTTGTTGGTCTGCAAGAAGATACTGCTCGCGCTTATATGCCCGGTGACATGAAGCGATTAGCCAAGTATTGGGTAATGCTCATCTCACTGACTCGCCAATTGGGCGATGTGCTGGATATTAAGCACCAAAATCTTCGTCCCAGGTTATCCTGCCAAGAGATCAATGCTTTTGAGAAGCGATTAACACAATGTGATCTCCCCGATCAATATGAAGCAGGCTTAACGAGGGTTTCAAGATTCTATTCAAACCATGTCCACCTGCACTACCAGTTTGTTTCACCTGGCCGTTAATCAGCATCTGGCACCGTACTCACAGAAAGTTCCAGGGCTTTGATCATCACATTTTATTGTTCATTTGGCATTCAAAACCCGCTCGATCTTCAACTTACGGAAAATGGAGATTGGCAACATCGAATGAGGCTTAGGGCTAACGCTGCCGCGTGTCGAACAAATGAGATCTTGGGGACCCTTGTTCAGGAAAGGTTACTTCAATTTGCTGGGGCTATGACGTGAGTAAACCCTGACTAAAACTCTCTGTTAATAGACTGATAATTTTTCAAAGAGCTTCACTTCTCATTCCCGCCATGCAAACATACCTGCAGCAATGCAAATTTGGTAACGATCTTTCCAAGAGGGTGGGACTTAACAAACTTGAAGTCTGCATGCTTGTTATGGAAGAGCTCCAGGAAGTCTACGCAGTTGCCTCGATGTATCGCCGTCTCTTCACGAAAGCGATAGACCAGATATTCCCGGGATATCTGGCCCCAACGACGAAACCAAATACGGCTGACATCAACATTGTCCAGGAAGACGTTGTGCGAAAACAGGGTTCTAACGATGGTGTACTGTTTAGTGATGCAGAAGCTTTGGATTCGGATAGTGGTAATTTGATAAATCCACTAATGGAAGAAGTCTTGTTCAGGGGCTTCTGGGCGAATACAGAGTAGCATTGGAGGAAGTTCAAGATCCAAAGGATTACTACTCCTATCCTTTGTACATACTCAGAGCAGGCCAAACAGTCCCACATATCAGTCAGTTCTTGTAACTTCCAGTATCCCTATTCATAGGCTAACATCCACAACAAGAATTTTGGGAAGACCTTGTGCTGCCACCAACATAGACAGGTTTCTGGCAAGAGACATAGCAGCTGGATTGATCTTGTATACCGATTTAGGAGCTTTCTGGACGTATTAGGTCCCAACCAGTTCGGTGAAATCAGTTTTACTCTCTTGAGTGCTCACAAGGGGCTATAGCCACGTCTTGTTTGCGACAGGCAAGATGGGTCACGCCGCAGCCTGTTCTCCTGTTAGATAGATTCACAGCAGAGAGTTATACAGAACGACTATCATTGGTATTGGAGCTACAGGCAGAAATGCAAGGGCACAACACGAGGCACAAGTAGTGAGTATGGCCGATTGTGTAGAGTGCAATAAGGAAGTAGATTAATATATACGAGAGAGGAAAATAAGGAGTGCAGGGCTGGAGGTAATTGTTTCTATCAATGACATCAACAGATATTCACATTCGCGGTCACTAAGCGGATTCCAAATCGTGTCAAATCAGTGAAGCACGAATCTCATTTATCGACAAGAATGGTACACACGCTTCGTGGATGCACAATGGCTAAATACCGAGCAGTTTACTAACCACGATTACAAATCCACGAGGTGTTTCGAGGATAATGACAAAGCGGAACAGATGGCGTAGTCCAATGAGGAGTCACAGAATCATTTGCAAGCTTGACCACTGGGCTGAGGAACTGTAAATGGCCCCAATGACTATTTTCGAACACTGTCATGATGGACGATCCATCAGCAAAATAATCCGGGAAGACCCTCTTCCATCCATTCAATACGACCACGAGCAACTCTGAAACATATTGAGAAGGTTCCATGACTTCCCACTTGAAGACCTCATTGGTCTCGCGCACCACGTCCGGCGAATACAGTCCAATCTCAGGGCGAAGCGAAATTGCATCAGCGGCGACCAGGGAGCTCAGCACGCGATATGAACCTCCACTCCATGTACGGTCCCGAAGAGCCATTAGAGCTCCGAGGGCCCCAACTAGACCCGTGGTCATATCCGAGATTGGAAGAGGTGGTAGGACACTTGTCCCATCAGTATGGCCGAGGGATCTTCCGGTTACAAAGGAGGCACCGGAGGCGGCATCTCCAATTTGCTGCCAGCCAGGTCTCTCGTGATAAGGTCCATCTGGCCCATAGGCATTTTCTTCCACGTAGACAATACCCTTCCCTCTCTTGCCAGCTGTTTCCAAGAGATTGTTTAGACCGAAGCCCTTCCTCTCCAGTGAGCCCGGTCGGAAGCCCTGAATAAAAATGTCCACGTCTTGAACAAGCTCCCGTAGTCGCGCTACATCTTCATCAATGGTGAGGTCGAGATCGATGGTCCTGACTCCAGCATTCAATGTCAATTGCAAAGCCTATCGGGGCGGGAAGATCAGCTATTGTCATGGAATCCTGGTCGGGACACTTACATTAAGATCAGGAAGTTTGCTGCAGTTGACGCGAATGACATCAGCCCCAAGTGCAGCCAAGGTAGTACCAATGACCGGACCGGCAATGATTCGAACAAGCTCTAGAACTTTGATACCAGCTAACGGGCGTTTATCATCTGGAACGACCGGCAACGGGCTCACAGGTGTTCGAACAGCATGGGATTGGAGGGAATAGTTCACCAAGGGGTGGCTCTGGAGCCGCTTCCCCATAAGGGTCTTCCCCCATCCCTCGGGAGTGTGACAAATGCTTCCACAAAACCCGTTCTTGACCATCATCATCTCCAGCTCATCAGCTGAGAACTTCTGAGTTTGCTCGCGAATAACGCTATAAGCCTCAGCTGGAGACTTGCATTTTGTCGTAGGATCAACTCCGATTGCCTCAAGGACAGTATCCGCATGGAGCGATCCATGCAGTTGATACCAAACACCAGAAGTTTTGGTTGGATAAATGGCAGTCGTTCGGAGTCGAAGAGTACTATCAAAAACGCCCTTCTGGAAATCATGGTCGAAAATAGAAGCGGAGGCTTCGCCCTCATGGAGCCGCTCGCTCAAGTCGGATCCATTCAATTTAACAGTGAGAATGGATCCCAGCCAGATTGCGGCGTGGTCGGTATTGACAGTGACGCCTTGCTCTGCCAACTCTGGACTATCGCGTGTAGCTAACAGCTCATTGGCGACGACGCCGCACATAGCGTGAAGTGCAGCGGCCACGACCGGGGCCTTGAGAGGCCCAGGAATCATAGGTCTGTCATGACCCTCAAACTTGACTGAGTCCCACACGCGCGAGCTTTTCGTGAAGTTCGGCGTTGCATTCGCCAGGATTTCAAACACCCGGCGAGCGTCTTCGGGGACAGCAAGAAAGCTCTTGTCAACGAAGGTGCCCGGTCCGTAGATCTCCGGACTAGGAACAGTCTCATGAAATGCAGGCATTTTGGTATCAATTTGTGTACGTAAAATTGAGTGAAAGGAACAATAGTACACAATTCATCAATCGATCTGTTGGCCGATATAAATACATTCACAGCAGAGAACGCCCTGGGAAATGACGTCCGCCGGTTTTAACAAATAAAAGACTGCCGAGGATACTCTTCCACCGTTTTTGATGGTCATTCAACTGATACCCACCCGGTGAAATAAATGTCTCATAATAGCAGGGCGAAACTTTCGGCTTGCCGATGTGATAGGTCGGCAAAATCGGCGTTTCGATGCATTTGCTAACAATTGTCACATTGACATGGTAAGCGGCGAGGGATGAGGTGAGGCTGTGAGACGATCTCAGCCCCGCACCGAGGTTCCCAAACCATCGTTCCGATAAATCCAATAAGAAACACCAGGGGCAAATGTTGTTTACCCTCCGCCGGTCGCATACCGGACGGGTTGGTCTTGACTTACCTCGGGATTGCAAAGGTTAGTCAGCGAGGGTTTCCGAGGTTCTGTCGGAAAGATGAATGGCGATCAACAACGTGCATCGGCCCAGCCGTGGGAATTGCAATCGCATAAAAACAAAGACTTCATTGGCTACCTAGGCACATTCCAAGGTTGTTCCGAACACTGTTGCTCCCAAAAAAATGTATGCAGTTTTACCGGAATAGGCTAGACAAGCTTTGACGAGGCTTCAGGAGTTGATTGCTTCAATATGTATCTAGAGTTGAGAAAGACACCATAACATTCCACCAACATGAGTTCTACGGCGCAAGCTTAGCTAGGAAGATCGAATTCTTTGAATTCGTTGTAAGCCCAGATCTATTGTACTGCAAATTCTGCTTATTCGTGGACGTGAAACACGGGATTTCTACATACTCGATATTTGCCCCCAGGCCTTCTCATGAGATTCTGCTCGCACGGCACCAAGGCAAAGCATGACAAGGTACCGCGGACAATCCAGTAAAATCTTCTCAATTGGGGATCTGGAAGTCGCATCGGCGGGGAACGATCGTTGGTGAACCCGAGGTATGGGCTTATGCTTCTGGCAGACCGGCATCCACTTCCGAAGGGACACTAGACCTATAAATGTGCTCAGACGCGGCTACTCGAGCATCTCTGTATCACGAAAGCCTCTGATTATACTCTCTATCTAAATGGCACGCACTATCAAGACCGTTGGGGTTGTGGGAACTGGAGTCATCGGAGCTAGTTGGACTGCTTTGTTCCTCGCACATGGACTTCGCGTTCTAGTCTCCGACCCTGCCCCTGATGCGGAAGAGCGCTTAACAGGCTATTTAAAAGGTGTATGGCCTTCCCTTCAACAGCTAGGTCTACACCCAGAAGCATCGCTATCCAATTGCACGTTCGTCGGCGAGAATTTCGATGATCATTGTGGAAAGGTTGATTTCATTCAAGAGGTAAAATTCCAACTTGTCCTTGACTGATGCTAAATTATCCTGAACGAGGGCTGACCATATTATCAGAATGCACCAGAGAAATTGGACTTAAAGCGTCAGCTTTTTGCATCCTTGGATGCTAAGACGAAAAAAGACGTGATTATCGCTTCATCTTCGTCAGGAATTCCCTCCTCTCAATTCATCACTGGGTGCCAGAACCCTGAGCGTATCCTCATCGGCCATCCATTCAACCCTCCACATTTGGTATCAAACACTCAAGACGGCATAGAAGGATTTTGGAGCTTGCTGACAAAGACTAGATGCCTCTTGTCGAGGTTGTTCCTCACCCGCGTACCAGTCCTAAGGTCATCGCGACGGCCATCGAATTCTACAAGTCTCTTGGAAGATCGCCTGTTCATATCCACCAGGAAACTCCCGGCTTTGTTGCCAACCGCTTGCAGGTAGCTTTGGACAATGAGGCCTATAGCCTCGTGCAGAGAGGGATCATCTCTGCCGAGGACTGCGGTATGCATACTCTACCTTGGGCATTTATCCATTTCAATCGCTAACATTAGCTTCAAGACTTGTGTGTTACCACCGGTCCTGGACTTCGATGGGCATTTACAGGGCCTTACATGACTAAGGTTCTTGGTGGTGGTGGAGGTCCAGGGGGGTTCCGTCACCTTGTTACCCATTTGGGACCAGGTGCGCAGAAGTGGCTTGAAGATATGAGGGAGCATGCATACGTCCGAAATGATGCCAATATTGACAAGCTTGACAAGAGTGTGCAGGAGATGTTAGTCAACAACCACCCCAAGGACGTGGAACAGCAGCGAGATGAGGGTCTCATTGAGGTTATCAGGCGCAAGCGTGACTTCATTCCTAAATCATTCTGGGAAGCAGTCTGAGTCAGCACCTGCATGAGAACAGTCACACATACCAGTTTCTGCCCTCATATTTCGCTCCAGTTGATTTAAATTGTAAGCAATGAAACGAAAGATCGGTCACAAGATATTTCACAACCAAGAGACCTCAATAGAATTGACGCAATGTCATTTTCGCGACTCATGCAGTGCGCAGAATTTAGCTCAACGAATCCATTTCCAAGTGCAGCACCGACAGTCTTGCCGAACCGGTGCTCTCCGACTTTGGTATGGAGGGTTGTCAGCCGGAAACTACGCCGGTGGATCCGAGGCAAATCCTGAATCACCGGCTAGATGACGAGAGCTTTTAAAGAGGATATCAAGGCCCCGGCAAAGTATTTGGTAGAGACATCAAGCTGAATATCTTCCATTGAATGTATTGTATAAATTTGACCGTTTACTCAGATACCAGGTATCCCTTTCAATGTTGGTGCTGGTGTAATGTAATTAGCAGCACCTCTGATGTGGGACTATACATGCTCTGTTGGTGCCTGTGGGCCACAGATTCAGATGTCCGAACAAACTAATTTTCCATCCCACGCTGGGGCTGACAACAGCACATAATGTCCCGAGTTTTTTGGAGTGGGTCTCTAATTTGCATCTTGTAGTGGGGCCAGTCAGTGCTAAACTCGAAGATCTCCACTAGGTTACGCGGCTTGGCGTCCTTCGGAGAAGCTTGTCCTGATTGTGCTTAGTGAGGAACAACAGAGAAATCATTGCAGCCTGGAGTTAATGTGGTTTCAATACGGGGTGACTTTTGTTACCCCTATCATTCCTTCCCAGTTGATGCTATCCCACGTCTTCCAGAGTTCTTGCCAAACAATTCGGACAGTCAATGTTTTATATATCAGACAATCGAACATCCAACATGGACACAAAACCACTATTATCCTCTGTCAAACCCTCTGAAAGGCCAGCTGAAACTCCATCAGAAACCGTCGATAAGCCTAGCTTCCCCATAGCTAACACATCCATTGATAAGACCATACAGTACGTACCCTTGTTCAACTCGATCTTCCATACAAGAGTTAACTCTGTCCAAGTTATCTGAGAAAGATTTTCGAGCAACTTGCAATAATTGCCATATTATGTGACTACTTTCTAGAGGAGGATACAAAGGAAAAATATCTCCCGAGATCTTTTCAGCGCCTCTTCTACTGGGGGGTCATTATACCCACATGCGTTCTCCACATCATGCAGGTATACCGATATCGAGAACATTTTTAACACTGAAAAAAGTATAGGTAGCAGATGTATAGAAGCGAAAAGCTAAAATATCAATTATCTTATTGTTTCGACGCCTGATGCAATGGGTAATCCAACTACATAGTAAACGGTCCACAGGCGGAGATACGTGTTTCAGAATTTTGAGAACGGATGTCAAAGGTAGCATACGAATAGGAAAGGAATTGCAGGCTCATTGGCATATCAATTTCTAGAAGTCGTATACGGCACACGGAAAGCGACACTTAGCTCAAGTGGGTATCTAAGGTATCAGGTCCGTATTTTAGGTCGGCAGAAAGGTTGTCATACTAGTATACTTGAGCTATGTGTCGCTATCCGTCCACGGGTATGCCGTAGTACTTACTCTTTTAAACCTTTCATATTTTTTCCAAGTTTGCGTTTATGTTAGTTCTGCCCGATGTTCCGTCGATTCCTTCTTTTTTATTTTGTGAACAAGAAAACGAAAGATCGGTCACAAGATATATCATAACCAACAGGCATTATAAGAATTGAGCCAAGCTCATTTTCGCGACTCCTACAGTAATACCGAATTGACATGAGAAATGTCCCATTGCTTCTAGTAGACTCATCACTTGTCAAGGGCAAAGCGATCCAAAAACTTGAAAGTGCGAAGACCATCTTGAACACCGGTCACAAAGTCATCGGTGATTGAGTCCGCAGTATAGACGCCATCTCGATCAGTTGGAACCTGCGCAGCAAGCAGCGCAGCGAATCCATTTCCAAGTGCACCGACAGTCTTGCCGAATCGGAACGCATCATTGACAATATCCAATGGCCGACCTGCTGGGTACAGAGAAGTTCCAGTTGCAGCTGGGTTGAACAAAGCCGCAGCGCCATCGGCAATTATGACGGCATCGAAGTTGACCGCATCCGAGCTAGAGTAAGTCTGATTCACGCCATCTGCCTTGCGCTCGCCTACCACCACAACATCAACCCCAACTGACGCAAGATAGCTTTGTAACTGCGCACCCTGCGCAATCGATGATGAATTCTGGACAGAGGCAAGCAGTCCCACTTTCAGACCTTCTAACTTAAGCAATTTCTGACCAAAGGCTCCGACATTGGCCGTTGTATTGTCGTGGTAGTAGGTAGAGTCAGGCTCAGGAGCGTCAACTCCAATCGCCTCAGCGACACGCTTAGCAAGATCATTGCTGACCCGGTTTAACTCAAAGATCACGTTGCTTCGTACGATAGAGCTCTCTACATTCGCACTCTCGAAGCGCATGGCGTCCACGACGAATTGCTGCTCGGCAGGAACAAGGGAGTTCCAGAAGAGCCGGGGTTGCGACCAAACATCGGAGAATGTGGGACTGACATTGCGAACGAGCTTTCCGCCAACAGTGCGTCCGGGAGCTGTAAAGAAGCCGTTACCGACGGTTTGGTTGGCTTGCATGGGAGAGCCATTGTTGGGAGTGTTTGGCGTGTATGCGTCTTTGTTCAATGGAATGAACATTTGTGCTGAGAAGAAATTTCATTAGGATTGAAGACCAAAGTGGAGATAAATGAATGAGGGTAAATACCGGCTCCATCTCTGTTGTTGTTGTGAATTGGCACTCGAGGCCGGTTAATTGGCAGCTGTTCAAAGTTGGGGCCACCATGACGGTTCAATTGAGTGTCTAGGTAAGAGAAAAGGCGACCTTGAAGAAGAGGATCATCCGTGAAGTCGACTCCGCGCACAATATGCCCGGGTTGAAACTTTAATAGTTAACAAATGGACACTGATAGAGAATTCAATCTTTGACTTACCATAACCTGTTCAGTCTCGGCGAAATAATTTCTAGGATTTCTATTGAGCTGCATCTTCCCGAGCTTGGTGACGGGCACGTATTCTTCGGGTACGAATTTCGTCGGGTCAAGTAGATCGAATCCGAATCTCAGTTGATCTTCCTCATCCATGATTTGAACACCGAGCTATTGATGGTCAGTCTGGCAACACTAAGCATGAGTACCCTCAATCTTACCTCCCACTCAGGAAAACGGCCTGCCTCGATAGCGTCGAAGAGGTCTTCGCGGATATAATCCGTGTTCTTGCCAGAGACCTGCTGCGCCTCCTCCCATACGAAACTAGCCCTTCCTTGCAAGCTCTTCCAGTGGAACTTAACAAGCTTACTCTTGCCAGATTCAGTTACCAGACGATAGGTATGAACACCAAATCCATCGACATGGCGGAACGATCGAGGAATGCCGTGCCCTGCCATAGCCCATAGAAGAGTATGTAATGAACTTGGCTGCCGGCTGAAGAAATCCCAGGCCGAGTCATGAGCTGTAGCAGCCTGAGGAATTTCATTGTCGCCTCGGGGTTTGACAGCATGGATCAAATCCGGGAAGAGAATAGCATCCTGAATGAAGAACACGGGAATGTTATTACCGACAATATCTATCGTTGTGTTAGCTACAGGTCTGTAGAGGGGTATGAGTGTCTTGTATATACCGAAATTGCCTTCCTCGGTGTAAAAGCGGGTCGAAAAACCATGCACGTCACGAGCTGTATCGGAACTTCCACGACTGCCTGCCACCGTAGAGAACCGCACAAACATGGGAGTCTCTTTCTGCTCGGCGGACAAGAAGGAGGCAGCCGTGATGTTTGACCAATTGCCGTAAGACGTGAAGACTCCATGCGCGCCCGCACCGCGTGCGTGCACAGCGCGTTCGGGAACCTGTGAATAAGACGCGTAAGTAAGTGCAAATTCAACAATTCTGGTTGAGTAATCTACATACCCTTTCATGATCAAACCGCTGGATCTTCTGACGGAAGATGAAATCTTCGAGAAGGCTAGGGCCACGTTCTCCCACACTCAAACTGTTTTGATCTGCGATGGGACCTCCAACATCTGAGGTCATGTAGGCGTTCTGATCATTCAGGTAAAACTCCGACATGAACTCTTCAGTCTGCGCTGTAGCATCACTTTCATCTCGACGGGTCAGACCTGGCATCTCGCCTGTCATATATGGACAGGCAGCGTTGGTAATGCCCACAAGACATGTAAAGAAAGATAGACACTTCATCTTGTCACGAGATGCTCAAATTGGAGGTTGATGAAAGGCAGATGAATGACAATTGATAATTTAGGAAGCCGTTATTTATAGGTATAGATGAGACGTTGAGAAGACGGAAATGCTCCTCATGTCGCCTTTCTTCACGCCACTAGTCGGCTTGCTCGGATCGAAGCGACCAGTCATGACACCTGCATATGCATCGGAGATGCAAGGGCTAGACACCATCTAACTAATTAAGTCTTGATTAATAGTGTTAACATGACATGGAAACTTGGGTGGCACGACTTGAATACGATCTACGGTTGCGCAGTGGGTCTTCAGTCTAGCTCTCTAGAAACGACCATCATCTTACGATGCATCCCTATCTGGAAGGTCAGTAGACTATTCATGGTTTATGGGCCTCACTATTGACTCCGTGGTCCACAAATGAGTGCTTGATTATGGCTTATGAATTCTAGGGGCTCTCCTAAGAACATGCCATTAAAGCATCTAGCCATGTGTTCAATCGTGCCGTACCTGGAGGTCAATCAGAATACATTGGCTATTTAAAAGGCTAACTTCCTCAGGCATTGAGTCACATCAAATAAAGAAAATTAACAAATGTGGGCTTGAACTTTAATAGCATTAATCCATGGATGTCGTGACCGAGTTGGGAAGACACGGGTCCCCGGATTTATTGCTAAAAACGTAGTCTAAAACTATATCCGAACCTCAGAGATGACCTACGTAATGGTCTAGACTTTGCAAGCTTGAATAATCTGGCGACTTTGGATATTAGGTTACACGAAGTTAGGGCACATAGGCGGCAACATTCCGCAGTGGGCCACGGCAACAGCAGCGGTTTGCAGGTTTGCAGACTTGCTATACGAAGATGATTGTCTGACTCAGAATTAAACAGAAGCGATCATGAAGTTCGCAAATTTCAATACTTGGGCCGGCTCTGTGGAGGGAGCTAAAGCTTAGGAGTCTAGGCGTTTTGAACAAAATGACCATTTCCAATTAATCTGATGGCGTGCTAGGATACCATGCAACCAACTGGAAGCCCATTTTGACGGATCATTTACACATGAGCTTTCTGAGTATAATGTGTCAGGTGGATCAGAGTTTAATACCTGTCAGGTAGTTTACAAGTCCTACTATAGGCTTCCTATTTGGGAATAATTCGATATGAGGCGTTGAGGCTGGAGTTGCCACGGCTGCTTAGACTCAAGGTTCTTTTCATTGCTCTTGTGTAGTTTCTCTATAAATCTTCTGTCTTGCCACAAATACTGAACAATCTGGCCTGACTATCGATTGTTACCACTCCTCGTATCGTATTGGATAACCAGACATGCCAAAATAAGGCTATTTTGTCTTGACATGTAAAGAAGGGGATTTTAGCAAGATCAACGAGCCTAGCGCGACCATGCACATTGCCAGCCCACCGATCGTATATGAAACAGGGCGGCCAGCCCACCAAAAAAAGGTGCAGAACACAATAGGGCCTGTTGCACGCCCGGCCTGCCCCCAGCCTCGAAGGCGGCCCATCACCGCACCCCGATCAGTGTCATCCGCCTCTAAGCTGCAGAGGCCATTAAGACCGGTGACCACAGTAGCACTAGTTATAGCCAACAAGCCACTCACAACATAGAGCCCTGAGAATGATGATATGTGTGCTAGACTGAAGAACGACAGCGCACAGGTAATGATACCTAGTCTCACCATAAGAAGAGGTGGAAGTTTCCGCACAGCAGTCCCTTGAAGAATAGATGAGGTCAAGCCTATCAAGGAAAGAAGACGACCGTTCAAAGCAGCGGGGCTCATTTTCATCGGACCAGTTTGTAGAGTAGCGACCAGAAAAGGTAGGGAAAATTCCAGCCCAGAAAATGGCAATAGAAAAAAGAAGTAGATGGTACTGATAATGGCGGGATTGTTGGTACTTCTGCTAGGGATGGTAGGGGTACCCGATTTCGTCTTCGTTGCCGGCTTTTTACCAGATAAACCTTTGGCCTCGTCTACACGTTTCAGCGTAGTCAAGCGTGGATGGGTTTCTGGCAAGTAAGCCCAAAGGTAAACCGTCTCCAGGAAAACAAGAACGAACGATACCAGAGCTGCTGTAATAAAGGGGTTTGCCGTGACAATCTCCACCGAGCTCAGCGCGGCGCCGAGCATAGGGCCGAATGTGAAAGCAATGCTGAAGCATGCCCCGACAAGAGCCATCGACGCGCTGCGACTTGACTCGTCCGTGATGTCTGCAACAATGGAATTTGCCAGCTGCACATTGGCTTCACTGAGGCCGCCAACCACACGACTGGCCAAGAATGTGCGGAAGTCTGTTGCAGAGACCCAAAGAGCGACACTGAGTATATTGCCGAACATTGCAGTTAACAAAATGCGACGACGACCGTAACGATCAGACAGGTAACCAATGATGGGGGCAACAATAGCTTGAAGAAGGGAGAAGAGTGAGCCGAGGGCTCCACCAAGTAGAACAATGTCATAGTGTGAGTCGATAGGGTGAGCAAATGAATTCTTGTAGGCGTTGAGGTAGTGGAGAATGCGATTAAGAAGAGAGTTTGACGACGAATCCTGCGCGCGATAGAACGATAGTAGAGATGGGAAAAGCGGGAGAATGAAGGTAAAGGAAATCTAGGCCATTTGATAAATAAAACATTAGCTAGTCAGCCTGTGCATCATTGCCCATGTGAAAGGTGGGTTCTTAAAACGCACCAGATCCAAGAGCAGCGAGATAAACAACACTTTGAAGACCTGCTTACGCAGGACGTTATCAACGGGCATGTTGTTGTCTTTTCTTTATTGTGACTGTAATGTCTAAGTGTGAAATAGAATTTGCTCAGCAGGCCCAAAGTATACCATGCCCTATCGATGTTAAGAAAAAAAAGAATTTGAAGTTGAGAACCAGGGCCAAAGAGCCAAGTTATAAAGAAATTGAAGTAGATGCGGATTACGATAGTCACAGTGATTACCTGTCGCTGTCCCCTGGTGGCGTACCATTGAATATATCCCTACTATTCTGACGCCATCTTCATGAGGCAAATGACTTGTTTGGCCACTTCTGGTCCATGTACCTCGTCAAGAAGCAATTTTCTAACTCTAGTCAATTACCGAGTAAGATCCATCCGAGAGATGCCGTGGCGGCCGAGCTTCGCATCGCGGAGAGTCTTAAATCAGGTCCAGGGAACAGAATAGCATTTTGTGGATTTCTTGCCACTGTCTGTCATTCTTCAGCCACTAACTACGATCATTTTGTTGGCGTTATGTTAAAAAAGAACACAGGTGGTCCGGGGTCGTACGTTACCGTGGTACTACTGGCTGACAAGCGGAATAAATGCGCACTGGAGAACTTCCCGTTCAGCCTCAATTTGAAATTCGTTTCGGGATCTCTATAATGATTTCTCAATTACATATTATTTTCCAAGTGGAAAGCAGCCTTGGAGACCCTTAGTTTGTGATATGATCAGCCAACGCCTACTCAAACTCAAATAAGAAGGACATTCTCGTAGAACAAATCCTTTCGGCTTAATTTAGGAACAGAACCATTCGCCAGAATGAGACAATTGAAACTCAAATTTCGAGGATATGTCGTGCTTTGAAATCTAGAAAAACTAATTCACGCAAAGCTTCATTCCGAAAGCGGCCTACGCCCCATTCCTTCTCAAACTCAAAGGCAATATGCCCTTCACGTGTGAAGCAGTACACCTTCAGAGGATATTATAGCTGAAGATGACGGCACCAGCTTTTCCGCGGCTAGACACAAGACTTGATGACTATGTAGATGTTTCTAGATGTAAGGCCATGACATAGGGTTCCAAGCTTTTAGTTTTGATACCTCCATGGAGCATGATCCAAAATATTGACTGGAGTATTTAGTCTTGCCATAGGCCGTTGCTGATTCTCTTCGCCGGCTCCGAGACTCGGCCGGACTATGCACTGTCGACATAGTTTCGAGCGCTAAGCAACGGCCGCATATTAATAAGACCTTACTAAAGCCGACGCTAGCAAGTGAGTAGGACTCATAGGGCAAGGTGCTTTTTGTTGTCTTTCTATATAATCCTAGTCAAACATAGCCACAAAGGATTAGGTCATATGCAGATGGTAAACCCCGAAACGCGATGCACTTATATTGTGCGTTGAATCACACGGCTTCCGCAAACCCTAGACCATGTACAATATGGCTCTGACCCAGCTCGTCCTTAAATAACAGCACAATATTATCAACGGCCGACAGAAACTTCAAATATGAAATAACAGCTACGCAGTAGCGACGGTAGTCGCTGTCTCTAAGTAGTGTAGTACTGAGGTCTGTAACGTGCCTTTTTGAACCAGCAAATGTTGCGGTACGCAAGGTTGGCAGGCGTTCCGGCAGAGGGTCTCCGGTCTTAAGTGCCTGATCGATGACTCGCAAAACCAGCATGATCGCATTGATATTTTCTTCTTCCTGTATGCCAACTGTGCGGGCAAGGCGATCTTGCAAGGTGAGAGGAAGAGTGCTTTGGAGATTCAGCAGGCTCGCAAAGCTCTGATTGATGTCCTGGCACAGCTCCCGTGTGCGTTCAAGCGTCTGTTGACTAAATGGCCCCATCCTAGGCTCCAGCTTCAGCATGCCTATTGGTCCCTGCAGAGACAACAGGCTCTCTGTAATCTGTAGGGATATCTGATCTGTCTTTGAATTGGCCCACTCAGAATCCTCTCGGTTCCAACATGAGAGTAGAACTGCATAATTGTCAGACAATGTGCGTACAGAGCCTGATAAAGATTTGCGGACATGCTGGCTAGCTGAAGGCGGGCGTGGAAATATTTGAACGATCAGCGCAGCCAATATTCCAAGCAGGACTGTTACCACTCTTTTGTAGAATGCTTCGTATCCGTACCCAGGAAGGCCGTATGTTTCTATGTGCGTGGCATCGTAGCTGAAACCCACGACCAACACAAAAGATACACCGCTCATCACGGCCGTTCCTACTAGGGAGTGTGGGAAGAAAATTCGGCACCACACTAACGCTAGTGTCATGACAGCAGTGATAGCTGATAGGCCGTACGGGTTTCCGGGACCACTGCCTGAGCCAATGTACCAGGCTACCATGCCCAACACTCCCCCGATTATGGTTCCGGCAACACGACCGCAAAGTGAGAACACAAAGTCAGCCATGTAGACGAGTACGCAGATTTGGGCTGTGATGACCCCCCAAAGACCTTTTTCGCGATAGAAAAACCCAGCGGTATGTGGCAAGGAGCCTGGAATAGCTGTGGCAATGGTGACCACTACCATTCGCAGAGCATAAATGCCCGCTGGATCCGTCAGCCAATGATAGCTGTTACGGATAATCCGAGTAGTTAGTCTGAATTGCGGAGGATCTTTACGGCCGATGTTCGCCGTTTCTGGATTCAGATCGGTCCTAAAAAAGGACATGGACATCGGGATATCTCGGACTCCATTAAGGAGCCAGGATAGAGTATAACGTGGTCCATCAGGAAACCAAACACGCTCCACCGGGCGATCTTTTGTTAACTGTAGGACTTTTGTGAGAAGCTCTTCTCCGGCTTCGACGCATTGAAGAATACGTTCCTCGATTACCATTGCCAGTGCTAGACTGCGAAGGGAGTGAGGATACACGAACTCAGGAGACTTGAGGGACCCTTCTTCGCTAAATATATCCGCATGGCATTCAATCAATAAATCGGCAGTCTCATTGACTGCTTTGCTTTTTGCGAGCTTGAGTCGACTGAGGAGTGATTCCCCCTGAGTGAGAATCTGGTCAGGTTGTTCTGAAGATGTTGAAAGGCGCCAACGACGAGTGTTGATAAACCGGAAAGTCTCCTCGATGGTGCAAAGACACTCTGAGTACATCGGCAATATCCTGGTCATAGATCTATTCAGTGACTCTTTCGTTTGCGAGCGTAACAAGCCCAATTCAGGCGCCTCCCATGCAAGTGTCAGATCTTCGTCTCCTCGTAGTTTGTGATTATCTGCTGCAACTTTCTCTGAGATATCTTCGATTTTCGTCTTTTTTGACTGCGACCCATTGATTCTTTGCTCGAACTTTGCTCGAGCGATATGAAAGTCAAGCAGGGTCACATGGGCTGCCATAAACTGCCGCATAGGCTCATATAGACTTCGTATATCTTCTGTATTCCAGCGACAGCGAGAAATATCGACTGGTAAGAACGAGAGCATGGGCTGTATTGCTTTCAAGGCAGCGATGTTCTTCGCTTTTGTAGAATATAGCTGGCCAGGCTGTACAGACCCTCCCGCCAGTAAAGTTCGCGTGAACTGTAACGACGTCTGACACGTCTCAGCGATTTCCTCCATTTTTGACAATATGGAATAGGACGTGGATTGTGGGAAGAACAACAGACAACACGCGACACCCAGGCCAATTCCTATTGCACCAGGCAAAACCAGGACTTTACCTAATTCTCCAGTGAAGGAAGGCAGTGTTGGCCCGTACAGAAGGAAGAGATCCATGACAATATTACCGAAAACCTCTCCCGGGGCAAACTTCGGATTGGCAACTCGTAATCGGGCCATTGTGTAGACAAAGATGCAACTCATCACATAAAACACCACGGTGACCCGAGCATCCAGCATAAACCCTTCATGGATCAATTTTTCCGTTATCCAAGACACGCTTTTATCTGACCCCTGGGACTCCAACATTACTTGATGGTTCAATTTCTCGATCATAGCTCGAGTTTGGGAAGAGGGCCGAGCTGCCAGGGCTGCTTTCATTGTTATAAGCCCCCACGCCCACGCCAAGCACATGCCAAGCAACAGGAAGAAAGTATTCACAAGGTATGCGGAAAGAACTCCAGTGGGTGGTATGAGATACAGCATTAACGGGCCGAAAAAGGTGGCTACGCCAATGCTGTTCAATGACGGTTGGATAAACATCAAAATTGACGATATCCAGATGGCAACCCAGCAGCGCAGGACAATCTTCATATCTTCAACATTGAAATGGTCCAGCCACGCTGGCAGGGCAAGCCGTCGATGAGAGGATTGAGTCCCAGGCTCGGCATCACCATGAGTGGTTCTTGAATTGTCCTTAGTCATCTTAGAAAAGTATTCATGAACAATTCGACTATGAAATTGAGGATGATAACGGACTGGAAAACTTGACTATTATATGGAATGTCTTGTGCAAAGCGTTGCATTTCCCAGTAAGGGTCCAGAGATCGGCTCGGTCGGGGTCGATGTCATCCCGAGGAAGAGGCGAACCGCGGCAGCTTTGAATCATTCGCCACTTCTTAGCGCTGTAACTTTGAAGCGACTTGACAAGAACAGCACCATGAATTGGGTCAGTAAAAGGGCACATTTTGGATTAGGACCTCTCCCAGCCCAACAGCGTAACCCAGCCAAATTACCATCTCAAAAAAAATAACACACAATTTGACGGAAGCTAGCGGAGGATGTAGTAAGTCATGCCGGGGTTAGGTCCATCGTCATTAGTTCAAAATATCATGAATCAACCTTTGCGTGCACTCAACTTAAGATTATTTAGCGTTAGTTTTAGGATGAGAGAAGCAAACACTGATTGCCTGATTCTGATTACCTTTATGCCTTCTTCCCTTCGCTCCATTTCTTCCACTAAGGGCTTCCCATTTTTTTAGCAGGATATTTTGAGCTCAATAAAGGCACTCTCAATTTCACGGGTGGACCATCATTTAAAAATATGATCTACTGCGTTATCAGAGGATATTTCGGTACGCATGAAGGTGAAATACCAGCCTACAGAGGTAAAGAGAAATGGACACATTTGAATTTATGGGAAGCTTCTCGATTTAACTAACAAAAATTGGGTAACGGAACATACAAATAGCCTTCCGACTATATTAACCTCTTTCAATATTCTTCCCAATTGAAGTTGATGACCACTCGCCCTGCCACCTGCCCTTTGCGTAATTTTTCAACAGCCTCCGGGAGTCGATTAATCGGATAAACCTCACTGATTTGCTTGAGCAAACCACGCTTCGCAAATTCCAAAGCCGCTGCCGTGTCACTGCGGCTTCCCACCAAGGATCCCTTGATAGTTAGGTTCTTGAAAATGTAATCCTGGGGTTCAACGCCGAATATCATCGAGTCTTTCGTAGGTATTCCGATGCACATGATGACAGCTCCCACTCGCTGACCAACAAGGTCAAATGCTGTCTTATAGGCCGCAGGAGCAGTGATGAAGACCCCGTGGACACCAATATTATCAGCCAATCTAATCACAGCCTCTGCTGTATCGTCCGTGTCTCTGAAATCCACAAACGCCTCTGCTCCCATTTTGAGAGACAAGGATCGCTTCTCGCTACCCGTGTCCACAACGATGGGCCGCATTCCCATGGCCTTGGCTAGCTGCACGCCTTGTATTCCAACACCGCCTGCACCACCTGGGAAAACCACCCAGGAGCCCGCTTTCAGATTGGAGTCAATGAGGGCGCGATACATAGTGCTGGCGCTACACATAATAGGTGCGGCAATCTCGTCCGGGACCCCATCAGGGATTGGTGTCACATATCGAGCAGGAGAGACCAGATATTGCTGGTATGTGCCTAATCAAAGAACTCCAATTAGCGCATCTCAGCTGCCAGGTGATTATTGGACATACCAGCTGTCATCAAACCCGTGTGAGTTGCCGATTTGCAATAGGTCTCTTTGTTATCCCAGCATAGATGACATGAACCACACGTATTCATCAGTGGCTTAATGCCGGCTCGGTCTCCTGGCCTCAGATTCTTCACATTGGCACCAATTTTGACGACAATTCCCGCACCCTCATGACCGGGGGACCGAACACCAAACTTTGACATACGCGGCATGCCTATATCCCCTTTCATCACATGGATATCAGATGAGCATATACCGGTGAAGTTGAGGCGAACCAATACATCTTCAGGACCTGAAAGTAAAGAATGGTTATTCAGCAAAGATTTTCTAAGCAACAAGTCAACTTGAGGAGCCTCTCTACGTAGTCATACCTGGTTCGGGCACTGGTACCATCTGGACCTCAACACGGAAATTTGGGCCCTCATTGACAACGACACCAGCTTTGCAATGCGATGGTATTTTAAATTGTGGCTCTTCGTGCACTGGATTCATGATGAATTCTATAGAGGCCATCGATGGTGATCAATAGGATACTACGAACTAGTCACTCTTACACGGCTTATAGATCTTTCGGATTGCAGTAGCTTTGTCACGGTGGCAACCAACTACGGAAGCCAGCCGCTCGAACCAGAGCCCTCTTCTCGTCCTGAAACATCATCCCTGCCTTCCAGTAGCAAGAGATGGCATGATTGTGCTGGAAGACATGGGTACATCAGCTAAGCCACAATCCATGTTTTTTCTGCTGTATCTAAGTTTTCAGCCGAAAATCCGCGCTATTGCCGAGCTGCCGTATCGGCTATCATCTAGTTATGCTAGTGCCTAAACCGTCCTAAGCATTTATCAAATGTTTCGTGGTCAGCATACGTCGCAAAACCTTCCTATGTCAAGATTCGTCTACACATTCCCGTTTGAACACTCTATATGGATATTCTTATAAAGATTATCCCGTCTTCAAAACCCTACTCCTCATACTGAGAGGTGCTGCTGTCCGAATTTTATACTGGGAATTCCAAATAGGGAAGGCCGATTGGCCAATTTGCCCCTAATGCGACGGTGTGAACCTTGGTCAATAGAGTTCAAGTGGATCAACCGGGTCGTCGAAGATTAATCAATTTAAGTTCTAATTCATGGTGATCCCTTGTTTGATTATCCGTTCCAAGGTTCCAAGACCCACTATGACATTCTGGCCTTATACTGCTTTTGGATATATATTGTGACATGATATCTCGATTGGCCAGACTTTGCGATGTGGTCTCACATCGAGGAAATGGCCCGCAGTGTCGGTGGATCTGGCAGGTTCGCTTCCAAGGTTGAGATATTTAATCCTTGCGCGGAATTAAACCGCATACTAGGTATAACATCATTACCTGCCAACTCATAGTCATTGAATCATGGTTATGGAAATTTGGCCCTATAAAAGGCGGTCTCGCAATTTCTACTTGAAGAATATCAGACCATCGAACATTCGATTAGAATACACTCAAGCACTTGTAAACTTCAATCAATTGTCCACAATCATTACCAATGTCGAAGTCATTGACAGTCCTTGGATCTCTGGGACGCCCTGTGACAGGTGATCACTCTTCTATCTCTATATTGAATCGGAGCTAATCATTCACAGTGCCGACTGGGCTATTCATTCACAATGAGTTTGTGAATTCTTCAACGGGACTGACAATGTCGGTCGAGAATCCTTCCACCGGCGAACAACTGGGGACCGTCTCAGCCGCCGGGCCGGAGGATATAGATAAAGCTGTCGAATCTGCCAAAGCTGGGCTTGTGACCTGGACAAAAGTGTCAGCACCTCTGAAGGGTCGACTCCTTTTGAAATTGGCAGCTTTGATCGAGCGCGATTCGTATGACTTGGCGACTCTAGAGGCCGTCGACGCAGGCATCCTTTTCACTGATTCGATGGTCTTCAACATCCCGCAAGCCATAGCCTGTCTTCGTTACTACGCGGGCTGGTCCGATAAATTGGATGGCAAAGTCTTGAATATGGAAAATGGTATTGCCTACACACACAGAGAACCTCTTGGTGTTTGTGGCGCCATCGTGCCCTGGAATGCGCCTCTGTGAGTTTTCCTAATGAAATGTGCTCTTAATAAGTAGCTTACAGGGTTTAGGATGATCACTATCTGGAAGTTAGCTCCAGCATTAGCTACTGGAAACACGCTTGTGATCAAACCCTCAGAGCTATCTCCACTTTATGCACAGCGGCTCGCTGAGCTAATTAGGGAGGCCGGTTTCCCCGCTGGAGTGGTGAATATCGTGACCGGTGAGGGTTCCAAAGCAGGTCAACGCCTATCTGAACATCCAGATGTTCAGAAGATCGCATTTACAGGCGGTGATTTTGCCGGACGGAAGATTCTCGAAGCCTCCTCTCGAACAAACCTGAAAAAAGTCAGTTTGGAGCTAGGTGGTAAAGGGCCGTCTATTGTCTTTGATGACTGTGATCTCGAAAACGCCCTATACTGGACGCGGATTGGCATTACAACGAACAATGGCCAGATATGTGCCGCCGGATCTCGGATCTATGTCCACGCTTCGATTTATGAAAAATACCTCCACGCGTTTAAGAAGCTCGCGTTGAAACAGACTACCATCGCTGGAAATCCCCTTGAAACTTCTACTACCAAGGGTCCCCTAGTCAGTAAAGCTCAGTACCAAAGGGTGCTGGACTTTATTGAACATGGGCGAAAATCCGGGGCTACACTGCTTTTTGGTGGCGGGAAAATTGGTGACAAAGGATATTTTGTGCAAGATACTGCATTCGCTGACGTTGATGACAATGCAAGGATTATGCGAGAAGAGATTTTCGGTCCCGTTGCGGTTCGTATCCTCCTTTATATTCCTTCTTCTTCTCCAGTTCATGAATCATGCAGACTAACCCCGTGTCTATATCAATAGAGTATTGCGAAGTTTCATACCGAGGAGGAAGTCATCTTTAAAGCCAATGATAGTAACCATGGCTTGAGCGCTGCAATCTTCACGAATAATATTAACCGTGCACACCGGGTGACTAGGGCTCTTAAATCAGGCCAGGTGACTGTGAACGCATGGGCGATGCTGAGTGCTAATGTTCCATATGGCGGTGTCAAGGAAAGTGGGTTTGGAAGAGATATGGGCGAAGAGGCTCTTGAGGGATGGACAGCTGTGAAAGCGATCAAGTATCACATTTTCTCTTCCTAAGATGGTCAAATTATGGTATAAAAAAAAGGTAAAAAAGAAAAAAAAGAAAAAAGAACGAGAAGAAAAAAGAAGGAAAAAGACGAAAAAAAAGGACTGTCTTATCAGTCTCGTTTACTGGACATCAAAAGTTACACTACCTTCAATCGAATAAGATGCTTTTCCATGGCAAATAGTCGAAAATGGCCGAGTTCCATGGGTCAATGTTAAGACATTCTTCAGGTTCGCGCATCTAAGCGAAAGTAAGCAGGTTATACGGTAGATAGGACTTTAAAAGGTAGTGACTTCGAAACCACAGTATACGCATGTTCTAATTCGCTATCTAATCTTATCACGCCAATTGATCTATTAGATAGTATGCTTCGCCTAACTATGTCAATGCTCCTTGATTTACACAAACTTCAATCTCTTTAATCTCACTGCTAAGGCAGAGGCGTAGATTATTATTCATGATACCTATAAGCTAACTAGTACCTGGGTGGTACAACCAAGTGTAAATGAGTAGAACTTACTTTGTAGTTGGGAAAGATCTACGAACTAGCTCCTTGGTCTACGATGATACCATTGTCAATGTGCTACAGCATGTGCGACCTCAAGATGTAAGATATGAGGTTTGCTTTTTACTAAATTTTAGATTCTCTCTTTCTTTGGTCTCCCTTTGCACGAAACAACCGATCAAATTTCAAGACATCTTTCGGCATTATAACGAAGATTTAAACGTGATTGCCAGAGACTAAAATACATTTTGGCAGGAACACTGGGGAATGGCTGATTTAGACTAGCGTTTTTCAAGCTAAGGTTCAGGATTGAAATTCTAAGGGTGTAGAGATAGATCTAAGGTTTCCTATAATATACACAATACCTGATTTCGGTGAAGATCGAATGCTTGGTCGCGGGCTTTCAATGAGTTATTCTCACATTCAATGGCTCTGTTTTGGCGGTTTTATACATACACATGTATTCAATGACATTGTATTGTTAATGGGCGCACCGAGCATGTTCGATATATTGCTTTTGCGGGGGGAATAATTGGAAAACCTACTCCATCCAAGTCGACCGTGATAGAGATCACCATGTCAATCTTTGTGTTGATCACTCAGCAAGCAGTAAGAGCCGTCCTAGGCAAATTATTACGTAGTACAACCTTTCGCAAACACACACGGCTCCGTTGTTCCTTATGCTTATGCCCCATCTCAACGCAATGTTTTTTTTTTAATTCTTGCACTTCTCCGCCCTACAGTTACCCGTCCCACTATGATTACTTTATCATTAAAGTGGTTATATGGTTTCAATGAGAACATTTCAAATTTGGCATGTTGTGATAGGATGGTAAGGCGTAAAATTGAAGCGATTGAGAATATTTATGTTAGGATAGAGCCCAGGCACAAGGGATCAGCACATTCGTCATGAGAAGCTATATCCCGTTTCAGCTACACCACCAAGGAATGACCATCAATAGAGTTTCAAACATTACGTAGAAACTAGGTACTCTATGGCAGGCCTCTAGGTATAAAGGGGACGTACTTCTTCCCGGTCCTCTTAGAAATGCTAATCACTTCTATTCCGTTGTCAATTATTTACCTTCAGCTTAAAATCTGGACTAAACACGAAGCTCTTAAACATCCTCTTTATGGCTATATTTACGACCATAGCGATTGCAGCGCCTATCAAAGAGCCCAGTACTCACCTGACTCAACAAGAAGTCGAGAAAGTAAGTAGTTGATAGCCCTGATCAACACGATGGGATTTAGAAATACGAGGCTAATAGAGATTCTATATGGGTAGGCCGACAGGGATTACTATTACGAATGCCATTGTATTTTAGTAAACTATTAATTTCACTCTAAAAAAACAGACTCCAAAAAGCAGGGGCTGATTAAGATGGGATATCAATAGCAATTTTCGAAGTGCCAAAAGTGCGAAAAGTGCTAATTCGGCAACTCTGAACGATTCCTCCACGGACCTTACATGATTCAAATAATTAATCAGGCAAAAAGCTTTATTATCTGTGAATGGGTTGTTATGCGGGATCTACAACGAGGTGAAGGCAGGCAAGGTGTGATGCAGTGTGAAGTAGGGGGGGGGAGAGAGCTTTCCTTTCACTTCTTATAGAGAGAGAGAGAGAGAGAGAGAGAGAGAGAGTGTGTGTGTGTGTGTGTGTTACGCTCGCCCTAAACAAGTTAGTACATCAACGAGGCCACAATGCGAATCTATAATTAGCCCAGTGGACTACGGTTTGTAATGGCGCTCGCTAAATGATATGCAGCCTATCACAGTTGGATAAATACATGTTGATTTCCATGAAGAATATACTACTTTTCAGACGGACTTGTAGCCTCGCCGGGACCTGCGTTTTTGTTCCCAATTTCGACCTGTGAAATGGGATGAGATATTCTATTGGAGCTCACTAGTTGAACACCACAGTATTCCTACATCCGGCCTGGTGCAGTAATTGTAATTCAGAAGAACTGCTATCTCAAGTATTGAAGTACATTGCATCACCTCGCTTAATTCAAGTCAATATATGAGATGACGCTTCATTAGAGTCATACTATAAGTAATGAAAGGTAGCTTAACTGGTATCACTCTTTAATCACCTTCACATTCCAGCGTAGTCTACAGAGTATCGTGAGCAAGTAGGTACTTAGTTATGTACTGAATAATATTATTCTCTAAATCTTAAATACTGCGCTACTTTAAATGCGGTTAGTGAGGGTGTTCTACTAATTTCGTGGTGTTCAATTAATAAGCTCCATTCTATTACCCCAGGGGTGAGCAGTAATACGAAAAAGGAAGCCAGGAACCATGAAAGGAACCTTGGAATCCGGTATGTAGGCGCTTTTTATATACAATGGTAAATGTGATTTACCTTTCTAAAAATGGGCAGCCTGGAAATTGCTATTTGTATGAACAATGAATTGAGACCTCGGATCTCATAAAATTTCAGATGCTTTTACCTGCCTCATTTGCTGTACAATATTAAACATATTTCCAAGCCCGGATGGCGGTCTTCATGATTCCTCTTCCGCTTCCTCACATCCATCCTCGGCGGCAGCCTCAACCGCTGCGATCATATCCTCATCATTCTCATGTTCGTCTTCGTGGTCTTCCTCCGCCTCATCTCCATCTCCAGCCTCGTTAGATTCAGTGAGCAACTTTCCTCCCTTTCTCTGCGGCAAGACTTTCATGAACGCCTCACCCCAGTCACCCAACTCCAGCCACTTAAGCATAATATCCACGACATGGTTGGTCGTCAACACCGAACGAGATGCCATTTGGATGTAATCGCCGATAGGAAGCTTAGCCGTCTTGATACCCTTCGCCATGGCGCTTTTGTAGCAGACAGCCTTGTGTCGGTTCTTATCCACCAGTCCTCCAATAATATAAGTATCATAAGGCTTGAGCTCAGTCAAAGTATTGTCGCTGTCACTGCTGAGATAGATAATCTCTCCATCCTCGGGTTTAGCATCGGTCATGCTAGCAAAAGGGCCGGCAAACCTTCCACCCCGAGGAGGACCCATGAAGCCCTTCGCCATTTCAGCAGCGACCATGAAATCTTCCTGAATGATCTTGATCCCCTTCCAGTTTTTATGCGCCGGAAGCACGTTGTCGAATCGATCCTTGAGTAGTTTATCGAACGAGCTGAACATCAGATTGGACCGCCATTTTGCCCGTGTGTTCTCCGAGTATGAGCGTGTCAATTGCGATGACAGGGAGACGCGCTCCTTCGGGTTCATGAGTTCATCATAGCCGCAGTCAATGATAATTGTGAAGGGCAGCAGAGTCGACTTTCGGTGCTTAGCCCGGAGACCCTCCCAGCCCTTGCGCAACTCCTTCACGGCTTCCTCGCCACCTTTCGCCCGGGCTTCCTCAACCATCGCTTGTCGGCGCACTTTTTTGTCGGCCATCTTTTCTCTCCGTTGGAGCCGGCGCAGGTCGCGTTCATTCTCCCATTTCTGTCGCTTGAGGAGCTTCTTTAGTTGGTTTTTGGACATTTTTGGTGCGTCACCATCTGCGCCTTCAGTAGGTGCAGCTGCAGTAGCGCTTGATTCGGCATTGGCGTTTTGTGGCTCCGACGCTTCGGATTTCGCAGCTTCAATCGTAGACACGGCCGTGTTCGCGGGTTCTGGCGCAACTGGCACGGCACCAGTCATAGCAGGTCCAAGCTCCGAATGGGTAGTCTCGTCATCGTGTCCGAGCTTCGGCAATTTCCTTGGCCTCTCGTCGTCCGTCATGGTGTATTATGGGAGCAGTGGTTTCTTAATGTTCAACCAGAAAGAAAGAGTGGGCTGTCAGTTGTAGATCCCGAAGAGCGGATAAAAAAGCCCAACCCAGCACTCACTGACCAATCACCGCCTTCATAGCCCTCATTACTGTTCCCACTCACGTGACTACCGTCACTCGATCAACTTCTCCGTTTCTCGACTTTGAATCGATTGCTCTAACCCCAAATACCCCCACTCTCCCGCCATCATGCCTCAGGATATGCCCCCAACGGGGGGCTACGCCCACGTCCAGTACAAGGTATGCCATTGACGCAGCTTCACGTCCAATCCAGGCCCTGCCGAGCGATCGCAATCCCGCCCTTCACCCAGTCCAGGGTCCGGAACCCGCTAACACACTCTCTCGCTCGAATTATAGCGGAACCTCCCTGCCCGTGGCTTCAAGCCTTGGGTTTACATGGTTGGCATGCATGCGATCATGGCCTACGGTTTCTACAAGTACTTCCACGGTGTCCGTGAGCAACGGTACGTTTCGTTTCCGGGGACCGCGAGCTCCGCTTCCTTCTTTCGCACTTGACAGACACTCTAAATTCGCGTTTACGATTGAACCCCGGCTGCGAATTGATACTTGGATGCTTTCGGTTGGATATGAGGCTAATTGTTGATTTTCGGTGTAGTGAGCTTTCTCGCGAGAAGATGTGGTCCCGTCTGTACCTCACTCCCCTCCTCCAGGCTGAGGAGGACCGCGACCAGGTCCGCCGCTACTACGCCGATCAGGCTCGTGCTAAGGCGCTCGGTATTGAGGACAAGGTCTACAACTCTGAACGGTATGTTTTGATTGATTTGCAATCTACGGATGCTTTCTCGTCTTGTCCGGATCTATCGATTACTAACTTCTATGGCTATTTACAGCTTCATCCGTCCTACCTTTGCCATTACCCCCAGCAACATCACTCAATAAACGGAGCTACAGGCTTTGACTCGATTCATGCCTTTTGTGATTGAGCCCCTGCTTCTTTCGTACAGGGACTGGAGTTGGGATTGCGGATGATGCGGTCATGGTCGAAAGATCAGCCATCTGGAAGATGGGTCTTGTCTCGAGATGCTCGAGAAAAACACTGTAGATATACATTTCTAAGAAGGGTTTAGTTTGGTTTTGCAATATCATTTCTTCATGCGTTCTATGACTGAGAATGAAAGGTACCGACTACTGGAGCTCTGGATATTAAGAACTACACATACCATCCGTTGGCCTTAAGAACATTGTACAGTGCAAGTTGATATGTAATGTGCTGGAGCACGTTCATATTTTTAAGCCGTCTATGGGTATAGAGGCCAGTCTATAGAAATGGTTTCAAAGCGCCGCCACCGGGGTAATCCGTAAGATCGCAAGCGAATATAAGAAATGCGCAGAAAAGCTTAACAAATTGCGCTCAAGATGCAAGTCTCGAAACACCAGACTGCAATGGGATGATGCAACATACAAAGCTAAAGATGGCCTCGGCGCAACAGATCAGCATGGCGACATTAGAACAATATGGAATACTATGCACAAAGTCAGAGTACCATGTAGGGAAGTGTCATGGAGGAGTGAAAAGTTTGTGTCAAAGACGCATGCTACCCAGGGCTGGGAAACTGGAGCGAGGCATTATACCGAGACTGCTGCATTGTTGAACCAAGCTGGAGGCCGATCTGAGCTGTGTATTGTGGAGATCATACAATCACCATTCAGCTCGAGATAAGAGGCTGTGAAGATTGCTAAAAGCGCCGACGGACTGTAGAAAGCACTCTGGGCGATGCAATCTGGCAGCCGTCGGTCAATTTAGCCGAACATATCAGCCACTCCAGAAAGATCAGGCCCGTCATTGATATCAACGCGATGATTTGTCTGTTGAGTCTCCATCTCGTTGGTCATGTATCGCTCCTGAAGCGCACTACGGGCTTTCCGACGGTCCTCGCGTGAACCAAGAATTTTTCCTTGCTCAGCAATGCTAACACCTCGTAGAGACTCGAGAAGTTCAAGCACCAAGGCGCGTTGCTGACGAGGGGAAGGCGATCGATGAAGCTGGGCCTCTGTGTGTGAAAGCTTCTCCGGGGTGATGCCCGGTAATGTGAGGAAGATAGAGCGTGGGGTGCAGGTTTCCATTCCATACAAGACCCAGATCGACGCAATAAGCTGTGCCAAATCTTTCTGCATGTCGACGAAGTATGGTTCATGAACAGATGTGATGCAAGCCTTGAGAACATCCGAACAGATAAACTCGCGGATGGTCAGGGTAGTTTGACTGTTGTGGGGAGGAGCAAAGTCCGGCAGAATCGAGCGAATAACACGAGTGATGATGCTGCAGCATCGGGTATCTCGCATGCGGAGTGCGTGTGTACAGAAAAGCATGAGAGGTTCAAATATTTCCGGCGATGAGAGTACAAAATGGCGGATTGAATCTGAAATATCAGGAGTAGATTGCGGAGCGCTCGGGTCCGCCTCCGTTCGATCAGGATCTGAGGAATCAAACACGTTAGCATACCGAAGCTGACTTAGGGTCATGAAGAGACGACTGTTGAGATATTTACCTCCTCTCTGTGGATCGAACAAGCTGGCCACCATGATGACGGCAGAATAGGTCAATTGACGGAGCACGCTTTCGGACTTCATTTCATCAGTGAGATCTCCATCGGCGAATCCATTCTTCCTTGCTTCAATGATTTCCCACTCAGTTGTGATTTTACGATCAATGCTTCTAAACAAAGTGGAAAGCATAGGAGGGAGAAATTGGCTGCGGTACTGCACTGGGCAGTCGTCGATCAGGCAGCGCGAAATGTTGAGCAGGACTGAGTATTGATGAGAAGAGAGATGCTCTGCATCTTTGAAGAGAGCTTCGGACAAAGGCCCGGGGAGCTCCGCATATCCGTAGAACTGCTCGCGCATTCTGCTCATACTGAATAGCATAGAGTAACAGGATTCACGAACGGCTCTGATCTTTCCTCGAACAGACGATGCGAAGCCCTCAATGGTTGACTTTGAGGCGGTGATTCTAGCATAGAAGTCATCACGACTTCCACTGGAGATACCAGCTTGCCAAAAGCGGTCTGTCAAGATTCGCTCAACCACTGCTCGCATTTCATCACTCACTGTCCAATTTGACGGATTGTGGAAAGCATGAACATGATTGAGCAGAGGAAGGAGGGTCCGTAGAATTTGAGGTACCAAGTCATGCCACATATTGCAAGCCACTGCATATGCTGGAGCGGACTGCTTTAGCTTATCTGTGGACACCGCGAGCATTGTTTTGGTACCCCGTAGTGGGAGCATTTGGAACTTCTTGGTCATCTCCTCCTGGACAAGCTTTCCTTGGCTATCCAGAGGAGCCGATGACCAATCGGACAGCTTGTGTGCCTGCAAGGCCTGCATGTATGATCCAACATTTTCCAGCCCAAGCATTGAACAAAAGCCTTCAAACGATGAACTCATGCGACAAAACTCTTCATCTTGCCAAGCTTCTCGGATCGGTTCAAGGAAGGAAGCCAGGCGACTAAGACGTACATTCGGGTCGATATTGTTTGCGCGTTGCATGATGATAAGTAGGATAGAAGTGAGCTCCATCTGGAGCTTATCATCGACACGATTGGCCTGTGTGATCTCCCTGATCTTCGGTTCAAGCAAATCATAAAATGTGGAAAAGTAGTCGGCATAACGGATTGCAAGGCGGCGTAGCTCATGGCTAGCCAATCCGTGGAGTTCCTTGACAGCCTCAGAATAAGCAGGGAACTCGGAATGATCCTGGAGTCGGGTCATGAGGATATGCTCGAGCACTTTTAGAGCGAAGGCAGGGTGACTATCCAAGGCCCGGGAAGAAACATCAACCACCAACTTGATGACTCGCTGCTTCATTACGGGGTCCTCATAAGACCTCTGCATCAGACTTGAGGCCCAATTTTCGACGGCATATTCTAATTGACTGCGTTCTTGCTCATCCTCTTGTGGAGCTTTACCGTGAGCCTCAATCCATTTGTGATAGCCCTTAATAACCGCCTCCACCACTGCAAATTGAGCATCTGCGCGCATGAGCGGAATGGAAGATTTGTTGAAGGTCTCCATACTGAACGGCTGGGCACCATTGTAAAGATTGTCCAAATTGCCATCCACCCTGCTCAGGATCTCACTAATGGCCTCCTGGGGTCGCTTGAAAGTAATAGTTTCGATGATTGATGAACAGTAGCGGCGGTAATTTCCAACAAAGGCATGGCGTTCTGGAATCGTATCAATGTCTTCCACGAGAAATTGCACTGTTGGGTTTTCGGACTCGGTAGGAAGGGACTCCCAACGGATCAATCTCGCGGTACAAATGTTCAAAAGGTTAGGGGTCTGTGCCACGACAAAGTCCAATTTACCGATTTTGTTGATGGGCAGTAGCCTGGACCACAAATGCAAGACGGGAATTGACACAGTCAAACTCTCATGTTGCATGATGTTCACCATGAAATTGAAGAACGTCGGGAGATCCAAGTGGTGCATAGTTTCTCTCAATAGCCGGTCATCTTCTAAGCAGCCCGCAACATAAGAAACCATCTGATGATCCTGTTAGCCATTGCATCCATATCCCTTGTAGAACCCTTTTTACATACCTCGGAAAGCTTCTTAGAAATGAGATACTTGGGTTCATCGACGTCATCTGGGCCTACAATTGACCATTGATAGAGGTTTTGAAGAGTGCTGAGGTACTCGGGCTCGAAGAGAAGACAAACAAGGGCCTGAGATTCTTCATTGCCCATGTTGCTCCTACCATATAGCGCATGCAATGCCTCTATTCCGGCCTACCAGATATGTGGTCAGTCAAACAGCCTTCTGGATTTACACAAATCAATGGCTTTCTCACCAGCAATATCTGCTCATCCTGGCAAGTCAATGACCTGAAAACGGCGGGCACAACCTGTGAGGCCACAACTGCCTTGTAGATTGACCAGGAAAGTGCCGAACGCAAGGTCATCAGAGCTTTGACCGCTGCATCGCGAGCCTGGGGGGAGCTGGAAGAATTCTGGACGCAAGTGTCCAAAAACCCGCAAATCCGAACGAGCCAACCTTCCTCACCACAACGTTCCGCCGCGCATTTGCTTTTGTCTGGGTTAATTTGCTCAACAATCGCAACAGGGGTGAAAATTTCCACCAATGCACGATTGAGCTCAGATCCACGAAGCGATGAGACGGTATCCTCGCGGAAAAAAACATCCTCGGACAAGGTCTCCAAGACGGCGAGAACAAGCTCGTTGTGTACCAGCGACGAACCCCAAAACTTCACCAGCGCTTCATCCATGTCCACCCAATCCAAGGCCCAGCTCTTTTTGGCAGCCTCTGACCACAGCTGAGGAATCTTGTTGCGGAAATAGGCAGGATCTTCGGGGCGAATGTTTTCGGCGAGTTGGAGGATCATTGAGCGCACGTTCGCGGATTCTTCGTGGTTGGAGACGGTATTGGAGAAGGAAAGGTGACGAAGAACATGATCCAGCAAGGTCAACCCGAAGTATCGCACGACGTAGGCATGGTCAGCGCGTGAAGCAAGTAAAAAGCCGTTCCGGGATGCCGCGTCGCTATCTTTGAGAGATTCAACAAAAGTCAAGGCCTCTTTGCGAAGCTCGTTCGTAGACGCAGGGCTGTGGATCGCCTCGAGTGCTCGAATGATATCGGCCAGGCCGGCCTCCGACAACTCCTCAGCAGCCATCTTGTCACCGCGCAGAGATGTAAACGCGGTGGATAACGTACGGAAGTGGGGTTCTGTTTTTTGAGAGGCGTTCGAGGCAGAAAAAGACAAATCCTTGGCAGTCGTGATTGTTTGGGAATTGCTATTCTAGGTCAAAATGGCAAGCAACGCTACATGAGTCGAAGAAATGAGGCTTAAGGGAAGGTAGTATGGCCGTTGACCCGTCCGTGGGGATGCTTAGCAGTCGGACACAGCAGCAACGGCCATTCGAGGGTAACAATCGAATCTTCGCGGAGGGCCAAAGGTGGAAGGCGTGGTTCGGAGAGGGATTGTTGTAAGTCGCGAACAAAGGATGGGGTGGGGGGAAGGTGTTTTTGCGGCGGGTGAACGAGACTCCAGGTGATGCGGGAAGGAAGCCGGAAGTTTGGGAATTGCCGGAGAATTTTACCAACACATCCCCATAGTGATAAGCACACCGCTCCCCTCGAAAGATGCACCCTTAGATTCACTGAGACATCAAGGAGGTTTGTAGCTTCTAAACGGGCGTCGCCAATCTTTTTATATATTGCTTTTCCCTTTATCTATTGACTCGTCATAGCAATGCCCCTCAATCGTCACCGGTTGTTTATCTTATCTCCTGCACGCGATCCATGGGTTGGTATGCCTGTTTAGCGCCAACAGACGCGGAGGTGCATATTGTACCTGTCCAAGTTTATGGGAGAGATTGAGGGTTTCTTAACTTTCAATGCTGAACTTGAGAATGAACATACTCGGGTGGTGCACCTCAGATACTGTACTCGTTGGAATATATATAAGCAGTAGGAGTCTGGCCATGAATCTGTAGGCACAGGTATATATTGTATTGCATGGACGTGATAATGAATTGGACGACTAAAATAAAACGATAAATTCACATCATAAGGCATTGAGCTCGCTGGCACTGGTCGAAATATGTCATGTTTTCACAAGATTGATTTGCAACCTCTCCTGGCTGACGTTTGAGCCCTTCAATCTGGATATTCTGTTCCCCTCCAGCATGCCACCATCGGAGGCGCTGGATTTTGATACTCTGAATCTCGTAAAGATCGAACTCCCACTTCCCTCCACTCACCGAAACTACAGTTGCGGCCTCCGGAAAATGAAAATCAGGAAGATAGACCTCCGTTGGAGCATCGGATGCTGTGGCTTTCTTGGCTGTCAAAGACATAGTGAATCTGCAATTTTGAAGATCGAAGACGTGATTTTCCAGAGTCCCACTCACATAGATTGGACTTGGGCGAAGGAATGCTTCCGCTGCACGATAGCCCTTGGGTTGTGAGGGCTCCTCACTAGAAATCGACGGAGATACCAATGCACCCTTAAGATTGCGTGGCCCAACTCCAGACTCACCACCACTGCTATGACTTTCAGAGTAGGCAGGCGAATTTGAATTGAGAGAGCGGCTAGCGTTCCCTGCTGGGAGCTCCAAATCATCGTGGGAATAGATAGACAAATCCTCTCCATTCCACTGGTCTCCCCATTGATGATTGTTTTCGGTTTCATAAACCCAAAGCGTGAAACCGTTGGAAGTGCTACCTTCAAGAGCAAAGTGATTGGCATCCATTGCGCTCGTTTGGCTGCTATAATCCCCGGTTTGATATGCTTGTTTGTCATCCATGTCATATGGAATTCCAATTTCCGTGAAGACCATCGGATGATCTCCCATATAATTCAGGCTTTCGTCTCGAAGGAATTTGAGTTGATCGCGAAGACAATTACGAATAGCAGTTTCACCAAGTTTAACAGCAAAGGCTGGGGCCCAATATTTTCCTCGAAGAACACCGATAACATCGACATTGTAGAGTCGGTTCCTAGTATGATCAGACATGCGATAATTTTACAAGGGAATGGGAGTATTTGTGCTTACCAATGCTTCGTGATAAGAGTCAGACCATCATAGAAATGAACAGCATGGACCATGTTTGGGTCGTCATCAATCGTGCCTTTAAGGACTGGTGGGACCTCCATTACTGGCGGCTGACATAGCATGATGGCGTCCGGCCAGATATTGCGAATCGCATCTCTGTATGCGCGGTAATGGTGCAGAAAATATTTGTTGGTAAATTTCTCGTAGTCCAACTTCTCTCCTGTCATGGGTACTTTGGAGAAGTAGTCCTTCTGTAGCAGCGTGTCCGTCAACGGATCCCAAACTCCATGTTGCGCCCATATGCATTCACCGAGCTTCCAATCATCACCTCTCTGCCATCCATATTTAGTGTCATCATGGTCCACATCTAACCAAGCTTGCACGCCCTCTGGGTCAATTAGCTCTCTCCCTGTTTGGTGGGGTCCAAAGCCACCAAAAGCCCACGTTGTTTGCTCGCAAGCTCGTCCGGATCCAGTGAGAATCGCTTGGAAAGCTGTCGGTGATGTTCCAAGCTGTAGCTGTTGCTCGGGCGGAATTACAGAAATGTCTTGCACGCCAATCAAACCACGGTGGGGTTCATTCATACTTTCCCAACCGATAACCACATCGTGTTCGAGATCACCAGCTTCGTGAACCTTTTGAGCAAGGTATTTGCAAGCCGCGATAAAATGACTTTGAAGATAATCCTGGATGTTCATGCCGTCGATCATGGCCTTGGGTGCAAAATCTCGCCCCGCCCAAAAGAGCGTGAACATCGTTTGACACACCAGTCGAGTATAGTTCGTGCTCCAAATCATCTTTGGAAACTCGTCCGGGTTGTCAAATGTATTGTGAACAAGAGCTGCCTGAGTAATCTTGAAGTTCTTAGGATCGAACCCCGCTGCATAGAGGGTCCACATAGGCGCCCCAGAGCCCCCAGACAGCCTCGACCACTTGTTATGATCAGTCACATATCGTTTGTCCTTTTGATAAATTGAAACTTACCACATCCTGATGAGGGTCCATGAAGACATAAAACTCGTATTGTTTGGCTATTCTGAGGACCTCGATGGTGAATTTGATCCATTCATCATCATAGATGCCCGGACCGGCATGCTCGATGGCTTCCCAGGTGAAGATATACCTGATCGTGTTGTATCCCCACTTGCGCAGCCTTTTGAAATGAATATGTGAGTCCTTGAGAGAGAACGGTCTCCCGACAAACGATACATCATCTGCCTCAAAAAATTTTTGCGACTCAAACGACGGGATATCGGGAGTCTTGGGGTACTTGGCATCACCAGCCACGTTAATTCCCCTTAGTATAACCTCTCGACCCTGTGTGTCACGAAACGACTTCCCATCGATATGAAGGCGCAGGGAGCCCATCTTCACGATGAAAAGGACAAGACAAAAAGCCTGATTGGAGGCGTCAAATCAAATTTGACCAACTTCGCAGTCGGGCTTCTTCAAACTAGTACGTGGACCGGCTGACTGAAAACATAGCAGGTGAGCTCAGCTAGCTCCGGCATAGATCAGCGCTGAAAGCTGCGGTCGGGCAGACCTACCTGTGAGCATACCAAGCAAGAGGTACGGATATGTCCTCAATAAGGGGGGCCTTTTCAGCGAGCAGCTTTCGGCAAGTAGACTAGGCTCAAGGATAACGATGACAAGGTCACAAAGCAATAAGGGATCAAGGGAACAAGGGAACCAAGCGGTGAAGTTGAGGAGTTGATGATGGGGTACATTCCGATAAGTCCGATAAGGGGTGACGTATCGATAAGTACCAACGGCGCTAACCGATTCGCCCGCAAACTGCTCCACCAACACACTCGAACCTCCCCGCTCCTCCTATGAGCGCCCACTGACAATGTCGACCAAGGGCGCGCTTAAAGCCGTACGAGCTGCTATTGATGCAAAGCAGTGGGATGTTGCCGCCGAGAAGGCTCGCGACCTGCTGAAAGATGATGCGAAGAATTACAATGCGTATGTCACTTAAATCAACAAGGTTCAACATTTGACTATTGGAGCTCACAACTATCTCTCTTTCACAGAAACCTGTTCCTGGGCCTCGCAAGCGACAAATTGCGCAAAGTGGATGAGTCGGAAGCAGCATATCTAGCTGCAACTCGGATCAAGCCTGAAGACCGCGCTGCTTGGCAGGGTTTGATCGCTTTGTACGAGAAACAGGGCAGCCAGAAACTCGACGCCTACCACGATGCGGTTCTCAAATTCGGTCTGACACTTGTTGATCGGTATGTATATCTATTGAATATTTCTGATTGGACATAACAATGGGCTAATGGTATACAGTGATGAACCAGAACGTTGTCAAGATGTGGTTAACAATTACGCCAAGCTCGCTCGCAAGTCTGGCACCACAGCCCACCAGAAGAAGGCTCTGGAATTACAACTTCCGACTTCTCCATTGTACAGCTTCCTTGAGGGACGCCTTCTTCATCCGTCCTTAACCTACCTCCGCTTGATCGAGATCACCGAACCGGAAGAAAAGGAATACATCAACCGTGAAATCGGAGAGCGCAGAACCCGACTGGGAGCGCGGATAGACCAAGTTACAATGGAAGTTAAGAGGGAAGCGTTCAAGAGAAGCTCGCTGAATGAACTCTATGCCGGCCTGATTCACTGGACGAACGATGATGCAGTTCGACGCCAGTACGAAGAAAAGCTCCTCCAACGAACATACGATGAACTCGAGGTTGCTCCTATGAAATCAAAGAGGACGAAACGGAATGAGGTTATCAAAGCAGCAGACGGAATGGTTATCATCAAGCATCCTTTTGAACTTGCGTGGAAGATTGTGCTGGAGTGGAAGGATATTGACAACTATTCGGAATGGGATGTAGGCGTTGTGCGAGAGTTCATTGAATTCTTTCCCGAGACGGGGCTCGCTAAAGTGTTGAAAGGCTTTCTAGCGAGTGAGCTCTCGCCTTTTCCCCAGGAAAAGACAGCAGAACAAGACCAAGAGGCGTCCGCTTCCAAGGACCCCGAAAGTCCGGAAGAAAGTGACATGCCCGCTGATAGGTTGATCCTCATGGTAGAAGGCCTTGATTTGGCTCGTTCTTCAGTTATTGCGCACCGGATTATGGCCGATCTCTACCTGTCCATGGGGGAGCATCAGAGTGTGGTCGAGGTAGCTCGCAGGGGCCTGCTCAATGTTAAAGAGCTTGGTTTCCTCACCACCATGAACCTGACCAAGACAACTGATGCTTTGAACATCACACTCGCCAATTCTTTGATCCACTATCAGTCTCCTCGACACCATCCAGAGGCCAAAGCGATTTTCGAGGGAGTCCTCGAGAGAAACCCAACTTCCACAAGCTGTCTCTTGGGTATTGGACTTATTTCAAAGGTCGACGAGGATTTCCCAGAAGCTGTGGACTTCTTGCAGCGTGCCTTGTCGCGTGATGCATCGAACGTATTGATTCGCGGTGAACTTTCCTGGTGCAGGGCACTGACTGGTGACCTCGAGACGGGTCTTAATGGCCTCCAGGACGCATTAGAACGCCTCCAAGAGGAGAGAATCCCAAACCAGGACTTCAAAGGCGAGCTTCTCTATCGCATCGGTTACTGCCAGTGGGAGCTAGACCCGTCCCCGGCTGCCAGAAAAGACCGCAACGGGGCATACGCTAGCTTCCTTGCATCTATTAAAGCAAACATGAACTTTGCCCCGGCATACACGAGCCTAGGTTTCTTCTACGCCGACTATAAGCGTGACAAGACTAGAGCACGTCGGTGTTTCCACAAAGCATTTGAACTGTCGTCTTCAGAGATTGAGGCAGGAGAATGTCTTGCAAGAGGGTTCGCTGACCAAAAGGAATGGGACCTTGTTGAAGCTATTGCCCAGCGCGTAGTTGACTCAGGCCATGCCAAACCGGCTCCTGGGTCAAAACGGAAGGGCTACAGTTGGCCATATGCCGCACTTGGTACAGTGCAGATCAACAAGCAGCAATACGCTAAGAGTATCGTGTCATTCCAAGCCGCTTTGCGAATCGCACCTGGTGACTACCATTCCTGGGTGGGTCTGGCGGAGAGCTATCACCACTCTGGTCGATATGTCGCTGCGACCAAGGCTTTCGAACACGCGAAGGCATTGGAAGACACACTGTCAAGCGAAGAAAGTGAGCATATCTGGTTTGCGAGATACATGTTGGCCAATGTGAAACGCGAGCTTGGCGAGTACGACGCTGCCATTACCAGCTATGAGAATATTCTAAGCACAAGGCCCCATGATATTGGCAACTCAATTGCCTTACTTCAGACATTAGCAGAGAGTTCGTGGAAGAGTCTGAACACGGGCTTGTTCAACACTGCCGCGGAACTTGCGGCGAAAACCATTCACGTGGCTCACTCACTTGCAGAGGTTCGCAGTGATATTTTCAACTTGTGGAAAGCAGTAGGCGATGCCTGTGCCAATTTCTCTCACATCAAAAAGAAAACAGAGAAAATGCCTGTCTCTGCTTGCAAAGCTTTGTTGACTACTCAGCTTGATCCTGCGGCGCTGGATATCATGACTGAGCTTGATGGAATGGGCCAAGGATGGCTCGAGTCTAGCGAGACCGATGTTTCATCAGACACTTGCATCTACATGGCCATTCTTGCATACAAACGCGCAATCCATGTTTCTGCCAATGATCAACATGCCCAGGCTGTTGGATGGTACAATCTTGGTTGGGCTGAATTTCGTGCATACCGAAGTGTGAAGCCAGAGGCTGGAAACAACGGCAAGAGGCCCCGTAAGTTCCTCAAGACGGCAATGCGGTGTTTCAAAAGAGCAATTGAGCTTGAAGCCGGAAACTCAGAGTTTTGGAACTCGCTTGGTGTGGTCACGACAAGCTTGAGTCCCAAGGTTGCTCAGCATGCGTTCATCCGTAGCTTGCACTTGAACGACCGAAGCGCGCAAGTGTGGACCAATCTGGGTGCGCTCTATCTTCTACACAACGACATTCAACTCGCGAATGAGGCGTTCACTCGTGCCCAGTCTACTGATCCGGACTACTCCCAAGCATGGGTTGGCCAGGGATTCCTCGCACTTCTCTACGGGGATAAGAAGGAAGCACGTGGTCTCTTTGCACATGCATTTGACATCTCTGGCTCGTCCGATGTGCTTCCCAAGCGCCAATACTCCTTGACTCTGTTCGACCATCTTCTGTCGGACTCTTCTGCTTCCAACGAAGTGTCTCAATTAATCCAGCCGTTCTTTGCGCTTCATCAACTTTGCATCCAGGATCCCTTTGATCTGCCTTTCATGCATGTATCTGCTCTGCTGGCTGAGAGAATGGGCGAGGCAGCTGATGCTGAGTCTAGCCTGGAAGTTGTTTGCGCAGGCATGGAAGCTGAGTACGATGAATCGGAGTCTGTGTCCTCGTTGTCAAAGTTTGCGCAGGCCAATGCAGATTTCGCGCGCGTTCTTCTTGCACGCCACGAGTATGTACAAGCGATAGAGAAGGCTGAGACTGCGCTCTCACTCTCAGGCGAGGAAGATGCCAATCAGTTCGACTCTGAAGCTTGCACCAAGCTTCGCCTGTCAGCGCACTTGACTGCTGGTTTGGCGTACTACTTCACAAAGTCAATGGATAGCGCCATCGATATGTTCCGTGATGCTCTTCAGGAAGCTAACAACGCCCCTGATGTCGTTTGTCTCCTTGCTCAAGTTCTTTGGGCAAAGGGTGGACAGGAAGAAAGATCAGTTGCTCGCCAGCAGCTTTTCGACTGTATTGAGAGCCACCCAGACCATATCGGCGCCATCACCCTCCTCGGAGCCATTGCTCTGATGGATGAGGACAAGGATGTGATTGAAGCAGTTGAGTCTGATCTCCATAGTATGGTCACTCGCGATGACATCGATATCCATGACCGAGCCAAGCTTCTGAAGCTTCTGGCTGCGATTTCTGCGAAGGGATTGAACGAGGATGCTGTCCTTCCCGAAGACTTGCGACAGATCAAAGAAGCTACCGGAGCCATCATGTTGTCCCCTGGCCAGCCACAAGGCTGGTTGGAGCTATCTGCCGCGTCAACGTCTCCATACCCCGCCGAAATGGCCATCAATCGGGCTGTGCGTTGCGTGCCTCCTCATGGCAATCTCGACGCAACCGACCTTAGCCAAGCGTATGCCGAGACTGGCAAGGCTGGGGATGCTTTTAGATCAATCATGGTTGCACCGTGGAAACGTGATGGCTGGGAAGGTTTGGACTATGCCTTGACTACTTCAGCCTGATCAGTTTCAGTGGACAATTGCAGAGTCCAGTGACGGATATTGATTGTGAAGGATATGTCACATACCTTTTAGATATCATTAAAGCTTAGCACAAAAAAACACAGCATAGACTTTATGACATCCGCTCTGTAGAAAGCATTACCGTCGTCTCGTACCTCCATCCTATTGAGAGTCTTCCGCCTCCATAGACGCAATTCTCTCTAACAACCTCGACTTCCGCCCTTCCTTCCACGGCCTATCTAGCAGCTCGATCTTCCCACCAAGCAAAGTAGCGCACCCGGGGTCCAAGAGGATCATCCCTCTAGCAACTGTCGCACCTCGCAGCATAAGCTTCGCTCCAATGCCCAGCTTCTCGAGCGAAACGCCATCTATCCGCTGCATCTCAATAGCCACAGCCTTTGTCCCAGCCATATCTTGAAGGATCAACCGGTGCGGCCCAGAACCACTACTTCCCGACGCGGCAGGATTTGTCCCCGAACCATTGTTTGCTACTGCCTCAGCATCCTCACCCACAGATATCGTGCGCACAATCTCGCGTCCTCGAATAGCCTCACCGCGCTCCACGCGCTCAATTGCTTCGACCTGACTCCAGAGACTTGTACCTATGTCTTCGATGTCGAGGACTTGTACCGGGATTGGACCCTGAAGGCGTCTTTCTTGTATCTTCGGGTCAAAAATATCGATGGGAAACACGGAAGAAGGATTTCTGGAGAGTGATTCACGAAAATCAGAGCCGAGAACGCGAAATAGAGCTGTCTTGGTGAGTGCGGAGGCGGGGATGTTGCGCTGTGCGGTGGAGGAAGCTAGGAAGCTGCTGAGCCATGTCGGGGAAATACAAAGGCCCGTAGAGCTCTGGACTTGTGCGATAATCTGGTCAGCCATAGGCATGAGCAGTTCATACCGATAAAAAAGGTTATAAATGTTTTGTGGTAGACTTGATGAAAGAGAGTTGGAGTAAAAGTTGGAGCACCAAACAAAGAAGCACGGACCACCGCTTAAAGCCGTTGACCTGGTCTCTTGCGCGACTCCGCAGCTCTCCGCTACACCACTTCAAAACACCTAATCACACGATGTCTACGATATCTTCTCCGCGCCCGTCCATTGCGTCCTCGCGGGCAGTCTCCCCCGCCCCACCATCTTCCCGTCCATCTCTCGATACGCTGAACACGAACGTCGGCGGGGGCCTCAGTGCCTCCTCCACCCCATCCACCGCCCGCGCTATCTCACCGAACCCCCGACGGAACCGCTCAGCTTTGAGAGATTACTATAACCTTAAACCGCCCGGTGCCGACTCACCCAGTACTGGTTCTACCTCTCGATCTCGGAGTGTCCCCAGAAACACCGATGCCGGCGATATTTCGAACCCCACGGCTTTGAGCTCAGGGACAGAGCTCGACAATGCAGACTTCGATCCGCAGCGCTACGTGGACCATTTACTCTCGACCTCGTCACTATCGACAATTCTTAAAGCTGAAAATACCCTCGTGGGAGATATCCGTACTCTGGATGGAGAGCGCAAAGCGCTTGTCTACGATAACTACTCAAAATTGATTCGTGCAGTCGAGACAATTGGCAAGATGCGGAAGAGTATGGATGAACGAGGTGCACCTTTAACTATGACGAAGACTCTGGGACCGGCTATTGCGTTCGTGGCAGAGACGGCGGGGGGCCTTATAAAAGAGGGAGAGGAGCAGCGGAAGCGAATCAAAGAGGCGCGAGAGAACGAGCCAGTACCGGAGAAGATGGCTGAAAAGGAGACAGTGAAGTGGGTGCTTGCCGCTCCTGAGCGATTGGGCGCTTTCCTGGAACAAGGCCGACGTGACGATGCGGAGAAAGACTGGAAGGAGGTTCAGGAACTTCTTGATGCCTGGGGTCAGGTCAAGGGCGTTGCTGAGATCCGGGAGTCATGCGAGAAGGTTATGAGCCAGGGCCAAGATGATTGAGTCAGCTGCGGTGGAGGATCAGCCATAATACTCGTGGTTTGAAGTCTCTATGGCATTCTGTGCAATCGCTCTTTGAGCAACCACCAATCAGGCTTCGCGACTCATGTCGCCCAGCATGTAGATCGCCTGGTCAAGTACGTCCCTGGTTCATATATGAACTTGGCACGCAGTGCTTTCAGGCATTGCGCCACTCGGCCATACATGAGCAGAGATAATTTCATTTTATAGATACCCAAGCAATTGCATTAAATAGACCAGGCATATCATCATCTCTCATAAAGCTATATCATATCATTTTAAACACCATTGGAGAGTCCGCACTTCACTTCAGAAGGTCCCGACTCGAATACATACTCGCCTTGAGCCCATACTCATTCTTCGACGTGATTTCAAGCAACGTATACGCATCGCACTTGTAAAATATCGGCCCTTCCCTCGGCTCAAAGAGCCCATGATCCTGCAACATCAGCAACACCTCCTTCACATCCTTTTTATCCTCAAAATCAGGCGTGTAGACACATATCAAACGACTCTGCCCAGACCCAGACCCAGTATCCGCCGCAACCTTGGCATCTGCACGAATAGTCCCCTCATCCATAGCCGTAACAAGAGTCTTCCACGTAGAATCCACCTCGCTCGGTGACGGAAACAACATCCATTTCCCAACTATGACGCCGGTCTCACGCGCCAGCGCAAATATGTTCTTCTCCAGCTCACGACGAAGTGGTGTAAGTTTGCGCGTCAACGCAGCTGTAGTCTTCGCACCAGACTTGTCATGCGCAGCACGTAGTCCAGAAAGTGTGTCTTCAAATGCGCGGAGTAGCTCAGTACCCTTGCGGATAAACGTTGCCTCGTCGCGCGACTCGAGGTTTGTGGTCAGGTTTGCCTTTCCGCGTGCCCAAATCCACGGGTCCTTTCCTGGGAGTACTGTCCTGGATGGAGGTAGTCGGGCAAGGAAGCTGGTGACGGATTCATTTGCGCCGCGTTTGTTGAGTGGAAGCCGGCTGGGTGGATCATTTGTATCTTGGTCGGGCATGGCGGAGTCTGATGGCTCGCTTTTTGGGATTGGAGATGCTCGCAGTTTGTTTTGAATGGTTGATAGAAGCCTAGGATGGCATTCTGACCAGTATGGCTCGATGTCGTAGGTTGATACCTGCTCTTCTAGTCGTGCTTGCTCGTTCTCGTCGCCTGTGGATGGTTAGAGTTCTGGATCGTCATGAATTTGCCTTTGGTGTTTTCACCATAGAAGCTGGACTCATCTGAGAAGATCTCCGCCAGGTCTGGAGCTGTTGAGGTCATGATTCATAGGTTGTTGGCTGGTGTAGGTGCAACAAGATGTTGATAAGAGCTCGAGCTTATCGGTGTGGGGAAGTTAGGTCATCTGTGGGGCATCAACATATACTCCCGCTACCGTCTAAATAGTCCATAATGAGTCTCTTAGTAGTGTTTGGTTAAAAGTTGCAGGTCAATCGTTATGTAGAGGCAGAGTAGCACCTACTGTTACCTTCCATGCTGGACAATCACATGGAAGCTTTGTCACTCCCTACTCGCATCACACAGCAACCTGGATGTGGTTATTGAGGTGATCCTGTATCTGTTTTGTTCCGACGCTGGGTGGTTTCAAGCAAACCAACAAAAAGAAGCCCATACTATTCCATCTCTCAAAAAAGTCATTTAACTTGCAAACACGAGAGTAGAATCTTTTAGCGATGGGTTCCGTCAGCTGATAAGAAGCTGAGCCCCTCCTTGGGCTGACTTGGAACTTCCAACCTTGCAAACTAGGGAATTCGTGCTGCTATTGTAATGGCGCTTACTACACCCTCTAGGAGAACAATAATTATGGAATTCAGACTGAAAATAACCATGGCAATATAACTGCCGAGTTCCATCCTCCAGGTAAGGTCAAGAAGAACTGACAAGGACCGAGGCAGCTGACAGATGGGCGCTTCTTGCTAGTGCGACAGGAAACTCAGCCAGACCCTTTATCCACAGTCCCGTTTTTCCGTGATCCAGGATTCGTTACTCGGAAGGCACTTGATGAGATTCATGAGAAGAACTCTGTTCCGGGCTCAAGAATAGCGCTTGTCGGTCTTGGGGGTGTGGGGTTAGTGCAAAACAGCCAGTGAGATTTTTGTTCACTAACAAGTTTAAGGAAATCACAACTTGCTATCGAATACACCTATCAGGTCCGAGACCGGTCGCCATCAACATGGATTTTCTGGGTCCACGCCAGCAGTTCATCTCGATTTGAGCTAAGCTTCAGGGACATTGCATCCAGGGCCAGAATCCCTGGACGGGACGATCATGACGCCAAAATATACAGTGTGGTTGAAGATTGGCTTCAACACGAGAAGAGAGGAAAGTGGGTCATGCTTCTTGATAATCTGGATGATCATGAGCTCTTCCATACCAATGCAGCACAGGGTCAAGGTCCCAGTCATCATGCGACGCGACCATTGTTGGACTATATTCCCCGAAAACTAAATGGATCTGTCATCATGACGAGTCGCAGTCAAGACATTGCGCTCCGGTTTGTTCAAGATTCGAGCCTTATTCAAGTTGAACCAATGGAAAGATCAGAGGCAACCGAGCTTCTCATGCGAAAGATTGCCTTTTCAGACGAAGAATTTTCACAGCAGAACCAAGAAAGTTTGGAATTAATGGAAGAGCTCGAGTACATGCCTCTTACGATCATCCAAGCGGCCGCTTATATCAAACATTGAGCGTCTCGCTGTTCGGTATCACAATACCTCCAAATGTTCCGGCAGAGTGATCGTCACGCGACCAGTCTATTGAAATACGAGGCCGGGCGTCTTTATCGTGACTGGGAGGCGAAAAATGCTATATTAGTAACATGGCAGATCTCCTTCAACTTTATTCAACGAACAAGGCCGTCTGCAGCAGGCTTGCTTTCCTTGATGTGTTTCTTCGACCGGCATGGAATCTCAGAACATCTTCTTCGAAACTAAAATGGAAGAGAGCACGGCGATCCAACCCTTAAAAGGCCTGCGGGTGACTCTAGTGATGAGGGTATAGATACGATGATAGATTTTGATGCGGACCATGACTTTGAAGACGATGTTTTCGCCTTGAGGAGTTACTCATTCATTCACATCGAGGACAATAATTTATTTACAATGCATCGGCTAGTCCAGCTAGCGGCTCGAGTGTGGTTGGTGAGTCATGACCAAGGGGAGCACTGGAAGGAACATTTCATTATGAGGCTATCCAAGGAGTTCCCGGACGGAAACTATGAAAACTGGGTGAAGTGCCAGTCGCTTTTCCCACACGTGAAGGCAGCTCTATCACAGCGGCCAGAATCAGAGGTGTCTACCCTTGAATGGGCCTCTCTGCTTTATCGAGGCGCATGGTATGCATTCAAAAAAGGAAACATCACGGATATGCGCGAAATGGTGTGGAATTCAAGGAGACAAAGAATCAAAATAATGGGCAAAGAAGCAGACGAGTCCTTGTCCAGCACTTTGATGTTGGCAAATGCATACTGGCTCGAAGGGCGGTACAAAGATGCTGAGACGCTCGAGCTTCAGGTGGTTGAGATTCATACGGTGAAGTTTGGCGAGAACCACCGCCACACGCTGATCAGCATGTCAAACCTGGCAGCGACTTAAAATTACCAGGGGCGGATAAAAGAGGCCAAGGAACTCCAGATACAAGTATTGGAGACCCATAAGATAACACTCGGTGTGGATCATCCATCTACGCTAACGAGCATGGTCAATCTGGCGGCAACATATAGCGACCTAGGCCAATGGGAAGAGGCTAAGAAACTCAACATTCAAGTTTTGAAAGCCCGCAGGGCACGGCTAGGCGAGGATCATCCATCTACGCTACGAAGTTCGGGGCACCTGGCTTCAACATATCGGAAGCTTGGCCAATGGGAGGAGGCTGAGATATTAGAGGAGATGGTGATGGCAACTCTCACGGCAAAGCTCGGCGAGCATCATCCTGACACACTCACGAGTATGGATAATCTAGCTTTGACGTATCAATATCAAGGCAGATGGAAGGAGGCTGAGAATCTTGAAGCGCGGGTAATCGAGACTCGCAAGACTTTCTTTAGCGAAGAGCATCTTGATACTCTCACGAGTATGAGCATTTTAGCCTTGACATATCAAAATCAAGGACGGTGGAAAGAGGCAGAGGAGCTTGAAACGCGTGTTCTAGAGCTTCGCAAAGTGAAGCTCGGCGAATTTCATCCTGATACCCTAGCAAGCATGCAAAACCTAGAGTGTGCTTTTGGGGGCCAAGGTCGGGGTGAAGATGCTGAAAACCTTCTCATTCAAGTGTTTGAAGGTACCAAGTCGAATTTCGGAATGGAGCACCCCGACACTCTGACGATTGTGAATAATCTGGCGTCGACGTATAGCTCCCGGGGTCGGTGGGAGGAGGCCGAGAGGTATTTCCTACAAGTTATTAAATCAAGGCAGGCAACAATCGGCAAAAATAATCCATCTACGCTAGTGAGCATACAAAGTCTAGCGTCAATGTATAAGAACCAGGGCCAGTGGGAGAAAGCCGAGAAGCTCGAGATACATGTATCGAATGAAAGGCCTCAACCTTGACAAAGTCCCGCCATGGGAGTTGGGATATGGGGAGCACAAAGTTTGTTAGCGCGCCAATCAGCAACCATGGAGACGGTGAAAAATGATTCTGTTCCAGCTGAGGCACATGGTTTAGCATGGTACCAACGAGATTTCCCGCAACGAGGTACCAAATCAGCTTGAACTTCAATATGAAGCAAGGTATTATAGCTAGGACCAACGTCAAGAGGCGGAGTACTTTCATCTGGACAATTGTATGGCATGGAGGTTTAAGGGGTTGATCTCGACGAGGACCACTTTTAACACGTTGACGAGAAAAGAGAATGGAAAACCTGACTATGACCTGAAAAGCTTTGGGTCAAAAGTCCGATGCGCTCGGTCTAGGTATTACGGGAACTTTTAGCAATGCAGAAATGAGTCTTAGCTGTTTGTCGTCCAGGGGTCTTGTCAATTCCTGAAACTTCTTAAAGATGCGAATTGAGGTGCAAGTTGATATTGTTTAGGCATGCTGCTATGTGCTGGTTGAACGAACTTCCGCGAATTTTCTTCTCATCATATCCATGCTCGATATCTCGGATCTAAGTTCATATTTACAGTTGATAGTCATGTGAAAATTGGGTCTTAATTCCATAACAGGCCTTTTATGACATATTGTGCAGCAATGGGGACAGCCTACCCTTACACGTACCTAGTCACGTCCACCCCGTGCCATTGACACGCATCATCTATTGAATAGCGATAGCACTGGAAATCACACTTCCACAACTCTACGGGCGACCTCTAGCTTCATTGTATGCCACTTTGGTTGTTGTGTTGCGGTCTTGCCATTGCTGGATCGACCAGCGCATCTTCGTGCTACCCAGGGCATTCCATGTAGAGAAATCGAGTCGTACCGATCACCATTCGACGCCTGCAGATGCGCCATTTTTCTTCAGGGGGAATCAACCCATCATATCTTGGCCAAGTCATAATTGCCGATGCCGCATGTTCATCACACTGAGCTGTGGCGGGCTGAAGCTGAAGCTGAAGCGGGCAAACTATCGATTGGTGGAGGCTCCACAGATCTACAATTGCCATCGCATTGTGGATCTGCGAATGCCGCTGCAGAGCTGAAAACGCTCCAGTGATGCCTCAAAACAATCACTGTTAATACAACATGCAGTAAACAACAAACATCCATGTCGTATTAGTACCATTCGTTGCTTCAATGATTCATGGATGGATCATGCATCGTGGAATTTCGCAGATTTTGTCCCTAAATTTGGATTCGTCACGCTTAAAATCCCAATCGCTTCTTGCATGAACCATCATGCATGCAGCGTGACCGACCTTTCCTAAGCCAGAAATGATTTTCTGTACTTTTGTTCAACTATGACCCACGAGTGCTAACCTGCATGAACCTGTCGCAAGGGACGATGAAAGCTCGGGTTCAGCCCTGAAGGGTTTAGGTATAAATATGTTGTAAAGGCCCAAACCACATACTGTACTCCACTGTACAACCCGACTCCTTGTCCTTCAGAATCATCGGCACTATGCTCCAGCTACGCACTTTCCTGTGTCTGTTCGGCCTGCTTTCTCTTCGCCTAGTCTCCGCCTTGATCGTTCCACAGGCCCTCCTGAACGAGCAAGATGACCTCTACGAGCTTAATGATGATCTTTCCGTAAACACCACTGCCATCGCAGCCTACGATGTCAATGTTTCGGCTCTCGACGTCCGATCGTGTGAGAACTGGGATCCCACTGAATGGGACTACGATGTAGCGATCGTTGGCGGTGGCCCTGCTGGTTTGGCCGCGTCGATGTCTCTTGGTCGTGTAGCTCGCAAGTCCTTGATGTATGACTCAGAGAAGTACCGAAATGAGAGGACGCGTTACATGCACGATGTGCTTGGTCAAGATGGTACTCTTCCCTTCCCTAATCCCTGTACGAAAAGGCAGCTAACTGTAACCAGGCCAGGTCCCACTGAAGTTCCGCATTGCGGCTCGTGGCCAGATTGATGAACACTATAGCGATTACTCTTTCCGTGCAACCCGGGGTAGCAAAGTCACCGCCATCCAGCCACTTACAAAGGGTTTCCGCATCTACGATAGCAAAGGAGGCAAGATCCTCGCTCGAAAGGTGATCCTGGCTACCGGAATCACAGACGTCCTCCCAAACAAGCCCGGTTTCGCCGATGCATTCGGCAGAGGCTTATTCTGGTGCCCGTGGTGCGATGGATTTGACTACAAGGGACGGGCAATGGTGGTCATTGGAACGCCAGCCAAATTTGCCAGCGCCATTGGATCTGCGCTTAACTTGCGAAAATTGACGACCAATGTTATTATCATTGCCGGTGGCCCCCTCAGCGCGGCGGATAAGGCGGCTGCTGAGGAGAGATGGCCAGGGTGGGAGAATGTGCTCAAAAACACATACAAAATCCCTGTTCATCAAGTGGATGTTACCAAGATTGAGCGAACTGCTAAAGGAAATGAGCCTGGTGATGATGAGTACAAGCTTACTTTGACTGGATCGCCATCTTATATCACTACGCACGGAATTATGATCAGTACTGTTACCAAGCAGACCTCCAGCCTGCACAATCAATTACATCTGCAGATGGATGGGAACTCTATCAAGGTCCAGTCGAATATGGAGACCAGTGTCGGTGGAATTTACGCCGTCGGTGATGCCAATAATGATGGTAGTACCAACGCTTACCATGCTATGTGGAGTGCCAAGCGCGCTGTTGTGAATGCTCACGGTAAGTCTAAGTTCGCTTACTGATGTTCTGATCGATACTAACATAACTAGTCGCTATCTCCAAGGAGGAATACCTTGAAGCTGCGCCTCCTGCCATGGTGGCAACAGAGGGTGGTGACGAAGAGTTCTACCAACGCCAGATTGATGAACTCCACTGGATGATTGGCAACGATGTGGAAGAGCTCTACAAGGCCCTCGGTGGCTAAGGGGTTTCCCGCTTAACAGCAAAAGCACATCATAATGAGAAGCGTCAGACATCTTAAAATGGGATGGTAGATTTGGCCCATAGCATTATGAAGTCTTGATGAGACAAATCTATAGTTCGGTACAATTGATCATTGTTATTGCGATACGAAAAGTCCTAGAAAAACCATTCAACTTTTCATAGTCAATCTAAACATCGTATATATAATAGACTTGAAAGCAACATCTAAAGTTCGAGCCCTGCGCACAGAAGTGCAGAGGAAGTACCCGAAGGAATTCATTTAGTACTAGTGATCCCCGGCCATACCTGGTCCACAAACTGAATTAGATCCGTCTTCAATGCTTCGGGCTGCTCGATTGCCGCAAAATGACCGCCCTGATCATAGAACTTGTTAGTACTGATCAGTCGATTGTACCTTACTTTTATTCCCCATCATACCTTTGCATGTTCTCCCCAATAAACTAAGTTACCCGAAGTCTCAATCCAAGACCGCGGTAGGGGAGCAAGCTCTTGAGGGAATGATGAAAAGCCAAAAGGTTTCTTGATATACCACCGAGGATCATTCGGGGAAGGGATCGGCACGGGTGGAAAATTCTATCCCGTTAGACAATGCCCGGTATGCGTTATAATTTGAATAAGATCATACCTGACGATACGTATAAATTGACCGAGGGAATGTCTCAGTGAGCCAATACAGAGTGATTGACTCGAGGATGTGTTCTGGAGATAAAGGCTCGTCTACCCACTCCAAGAATTTCTCACCGATCCTGTAGAAGTTAGTGTGGGCAATGTCAATCCCTAAGGAGCTATTCTGACCACGCCAAGAGTGCAATTGGACTTGCCGAAAGAACATGGCCGATGGTGCTTGGTCGAGTACCATGCTCGGTCAGATATCCAGAGCCCAACGTTTTGAAGTTGTCGAATCGTTGAATACCGAGCTTCTCTTTATCGCTTAGGTGGTCGTCCGTCATACCTACCGGCCGTCCCATGAAACAAACATTGACTTTCGGGTGTGAGTATTCAACCTGCAAGTTTCTGCCCCATTGATCACTTACGATGCACGGCTTGAACAGTGTTAGCACAGAAAAAAAGATTGGATTCAACTTCAATGCTCACCTTTACAGCTTTCATAGTCCACAGCCAATTCTCTAGCAATACGACTGCCGATGTCACCACCCTGAGCGACGTAGCCGCTTTCGAATCCGATATTTTTCATCAATTGGTCTAGGACACGGGCAATATCCTGAGTTCCGAAATTCCGGTCTAGTGGTGGACCGGATGAAAAGGTGTATCCTGGTAGAGAAGGCACAATTAGATGGTATGGCAAGGTACTTGGTGTGTATTCCTTCTGGAATAACTCCAATATAGGGAGGAACTCCAGAAAGCTTCCTGTGAAAATGTGAGTATAATTCATCACCGTTACATTGACTCTGAATCTCACCTGGCCATCCATGACACAAGAGGATAGGAATTGCATCTTTCTTTTCTGAGAACAAGCCCACAAAATGAATGACCAGCCCCTCAATTTCAGTGGTCCATTGTGGAAAGCTGTTAATACGATCCTCAGATGCTTTCCTATAGTAGCAGATGTTTAGTTCTTCTCTGCATTATGTATAATTTAGATTCAAGATCGCTACCATTTGTAGGATCTCAGCCATTGATCCTTCATAGTGACCAACCAGTCAGTAGTGACTCCATATTTGGCGTCAATCTGCGAGTTCTCGTATGTGTGCGGGGCAAGCTTTGACAGCTCGATGAGTGTCTTTAGTTCGTCAAGTTGTGTCTTGGGAATCGAGACCGTGAACGGAGTGGGAGAGACCTTCGCGGAGGAAGGCAGAGTACCAAATGGCCGAGACATTGCTGTTATACTTAATCAAGTAAAGTATCATGTATTTGTGTATGGTTAATCAGTGAGGATGGCTGGATTTCCATTGCCGTGGGCTTACCCGTCATGTGATAAAGCGGGGTGCTCCGGATGATGTTGTCGGGACGATCTTTAGGTTTACCGATACAATACGCTTTTGAGGACATTTAGCGCCATTATCCAGAAATAAAGGAGCTACAAGTAAATTGTAGTCGCCGTTGTTATCCAGAAAGAGACTAGTGGAAGGCAACCCCCCACGGCAATTGTCGCGTGTGGGTCATGCTGCCTAGATTTGACTCATCCGCTAGCTTCTTACCAAAGTTTGAACCCAAAGCCCAATACTGTTTCGTATTTCGGCGACTTCGGACCTAAATCCCTGCCCTGATATGATGAATGTGTCCCAATGGTGCCCATGAACAAAGGTTCGTAAGTTCAACTTAGTCCACGAGGTCCAGTATTTACTGACTTTTTACCAAGGCTGTTCAACTTGCAACAAGCGCCGCTTCAAATGTGACCGCACACAGCCATCTTGCCAAAAATGCATTAAAAAGTGCCTCGAATGTCCTGGCTATGGATCCAAATTCCGGTGGGCCGGCGGTGCCGCTGTGCGCGGAGAATTGAAGGGTCTCCAGGCCCAAGCGACAGCAGAGTCTCTTCGAGCAAATGAGAATCTACTGAGCAGAGTTGTGGCACCGGACATTGAGTCACTGGGTGGGCTCTCATTGCAAGAGCTAGTTGAATACTATGACAAGACAATTGCCCCACGCATGGTCTGGTTCGACTCCGAAGACAACATTTACCGTCGCCATATTCTCCCCCTAGCACAGAAAAATAAAGTCGTTCGTCTTGCTATCGCTGCAGTCTCAGCTCAGCACGCGGCTTGCGGTCGAGGCGATCACAGTGTCCCCGAAGATGCACGCAATGAGGCAGTTACGATGATCACGAATTACATCACTGATGTCACAGATCGAGTTACCGGCGGACATGATGTTGAGTTTGGTCTAGATTTGGATGCTGCAGAATGGATACTAGCCTCGATGCTAGTACTTTCATGTTATGAAATGGCACACTCAGGTGCTGAAGCCGCAGAGTTTCACAGAAAAGCGGCTCGCTCTCTTGTGTCCACTCTGGCCACTACGGACCATTGCAAGAGCAAATTCTTCACTTCGATGAGAAACAAATTGGCGACATATGAGGTCTTCGGCTCCACAACGTCGTTTGATGTTCAAAGCATTCAAGATGCCGTGCTTTCGGACCCTGCAGATGAAATGCAGGGCAATGACGAGACAACTCTTTTTTCCGGGTATATCAACCTCATACACGAGGTCACCATGCTTGGGCGTCTTGTCACAGCGGCGTCTGAAGCAAGTCGTGACTGGAAAGCGGAATTTGGACTCGCGCGCGGAATCACCTTGATGGCGATTGGTCGACATCCCAGTATCAAAACACTCGCTCAAAGACGAGATCTTATCCGCCTTGTGGACATTCATTATAATGCCGCTCTTCTTTATGTTTCCAGGTGCCTCGGTCCTAGTGCCCTTGGACCCGGTGCCTTTGATCAAACAGAAATGGCTATGTCAGATCTATTACAGCAAATTCATGCGATGGAAGACATGGATTATTGGCTTCAAAATCTACCATGGCCTTTATTCATAGCTGGTGCGGAAAGCTACGGCAACCCTGCGAGGCAGATGGAAATATCTCGATTATACAGAAGAATCCCGTACGTCACTGGCCTTCGCCATTACCATGATGTACTGAGTTTCTTAGATACATTTTGGTCTGGTGCGCAGCCTGATTGGCAAGTTATGGCTCGGGATTGGGAGGCATCTGGTAGAAGGATATTAGCATATTAAACATTATATAGACTACTATAAACATCAATGCGAGGCTATGCATACAACTTAATTTATCCACCTGTTATCTGTGTTGCTGCCTCCTGCCTAAACGCCACTCGGGGATCCTTTCCGTTTTGGGTCATGCACAACAACATCATGGCACAGGCCTCTGTGATACTTCACATCTCCGCCAAGGTTAATCCAACGCTTTGTAAGGTTATCAGAACACATTAATCTGGTGTACACTTTCCTTAACGCGTGTCATCAGTAAAGGCCTTGCGGTTCACCCAAAATCCTACATCCACACCCCCTGTGCCTGGGCAGGTTCATGCTTATCGCCCAACTATGGCGTCACCGATAAAGACTGGATATTTTCAAACCCTTCAGACCATCAACAAGAATCAAGTCATTATTCGAGACAGGATATATGGTGAGCATATAATCACCGAGCCAGTCCTCGCCGAACTCCTCCAAAGCCCGGAGCTGTTCCGTCTGAAAGGCGTCTGTCAGCATGGAGTGACTGCCCTCCTCGGCTTGGGTCCGAAAGTGACCCGTTTTGAGCACTCAGTTGGTGCATTCCTGCTAGTCCGCAAAGTTGGAGCCACCGTGCTTGAACAAATCGCTGCCTTACTTCATGATATCAGTCATACCAGTCTGAGTCATGTTGTCGATTTTGCCCTCTCCAAGCCTGGAGAGGGGAGTTACCATGAGGTTCACAAGCACCGCTACTTAAAAAGAACGAACCTGGCTAAAATTCTAACCCATTACGATCTCGGATACGTGGAGGCCTTCGATGAAGATTTATTCCCGCTAGTCGAAAAGTCAGCTCCACAACTATGTGCCGATCGGCTCGACTATTCGCTTCGCGACGCGGTAGCTTTCAAAAAGCTTAGTCTCGAGAAAGCTCAGAAAGTTTACAAAACACTCAAAGCACATCCATCTGCCACTTCGTCTAGTCGTCTTCTCGTTCTCGATGATCCTCAGCTGGCGTTATCGCTTTCGCGATCATACTTAGCAACGGATCGAGATGTCTGGTCAAATCGTGCCCATGCAGACATGTATAAAAGAACAGGACGTATTATTCGAGACCTAGCCTCTTCTGGGCATGTGGACGACGATGCGCTGTGGAGTCTTTCTGATGAGGATTTCTGGGCATTGCTTCGTCGCAGCGCGACGCCGGAGGTTCTGGCTGAAATGGACAGGCTTGAGACGGAGGGTCTTCCTGATGAAAAGAATCTGCGGCTTCCGGCAGCGGCTAAGATTCGGACTATCGATCCGGATATTTGTCAGAGTATGGAAAAGGAGCCTTTGCCCTTATCGGTTGTTCTTCCAGAGTGGGGTGTGGAACGCCGGGAATACGTTTGCAGTCGCGAATTAACGCGGGAATAGTGGTCAATTTCAAGACTGACCAGTCTAGATACTATTTATGCTCCAATTTAAAATGGAAGAATCCATTGCCACTAGACGAGCGCAATGATGAATTACATTCCAACCATGATCCCAGCTCTTGTATCAACAACTAACCCCATATATCAATTTGCCTGTTTGAACTCCTCGCATATAGCATTACCGAATCTTGCGATTGCTTCCGTTATCTGGGGAAGCGAGGCGCTTGCAAATGTCACACGAAAGAACATATCACAATCCTGTGCACCACCCGCCCGAAATGTACTTCCCTTACAACACATGACGCCCATTTTCAATCCCTTGCAATAAATTCGATCCTCGACATCAAGCATCCTTTCAAATTCTGACTTGTAAGCGCTTGTAGCCATCGGGTGTGTTCGCCAATCGATTTTGATCCAATGGAACATGCCAGCCTTTGGTGTCTGCCAAGAACAGATATCTCCGGGCAGGTACCTCTCGCATGATTGGAGCATAACATTTAGGCGCTCGGTGTATTCGCTCTGCAGGTAAATGAGCCACTTGATGAGCCCCTCATGACCCCATACTTCATCCAAGAGTGTATGTACAGCCAGTTGAGAAAGCCCACTCGGGCAGACAACAGTAGCATCATGGAGAAAGAGAAAGCGAGAAATTATCTCGGCGGACCCCGTCATCCACGAGCATCTTAGTCCTGGGGCAAGAATTTTGGAAGTCGAGTCAAGGCGCAGGACTCGTCCGGACACGTCTAAAGAAAGGAACGATGGGACGAGTTCACGTAGAAATGAATCAACCACTTCTGCTTCAGGACAGGTCTGTTGGCTGCCATTTGTTGCGCTTGTATGGCCGCTAGAGCCAAGTCGCAGGAAGTAGTATGGGTCGTCTTCAATGATATACAGATCATGTCGCTCGGCAACAGTATAAATCTCCCTACGCCTTTCAAGGCTCTGTGTGACGCCTGTGGGGTTCTGACCCGTCGGGATCAGGTAAAGCAGGAATGGCTTTCTGGCTCCTCGTTCCGAAGAGTCCCATCCTGAAAGCAATTCATCAAGTTTGTTGGCCGATAGGCCTTGGTCATCCATCGGGACACCGACAGTACGGACGCCAAGGGGTCGTGCTGCTTCAAGGGTGGCAGAGTAAGTGTACTCTTCCGTGATGATGAAGTCGCCCCGTTCACAAAAAGTCCGAAAGACACAGTCAATAGCTGAAGTGGTTCCCGCAGTCAATGAGCATTGCCAGTTCGAATAAGGCGGATTATGCACAACATCAACATGCTCAGTCAAGAAGCGTATGAGCTGCTCAGACCCTGCGCTATGACCATAGTTGAGGGATACGGCGATGTCAAATGCGGAGTTCTTGTCTTGGATATCATATTTGCCAATCGCTCTAGAGCTTGGGTGTTTAGGATTTTCCAGGAACTCTGGTCCACTAGGAAACTCCATGGACATTCTGAGAAAAGGAAAGTACTCTGGGGAGGGTCTTCCAGTACCTAGACTAATGACATCACCGTTGAGCTCAGCGCCAGCGGCTTTCAGAGTTGCCGCACCACGAGATCTGGCTTCGAGATTCAGTCGGTGTTCAAAGGATTTGGCTGTTGGTTTTTGAGAACATCTTGAACTTTTGAACATTTCCGAAGTGGTGATAGGCGCAATTGCTCCAGCCAGTGGCTCTGACTTCTGTCTGTGAGCAGGAATATCGGAGAAAGAGAATTTGGAATCCATCTCAGGCGTATCAAGGGAAATAGGCAGTTCCTGGAGTAAAGTTGAGTTGATAAAGTTGTCTGGACTGTGGTGGGGTTTGGCTGGATATAAATCATCCACAAATCGGTCCTTCAAGCGCAGTCACTATCTATACAATCTTTCTGAAGTGGGTATATCATCCTCCTCAATGAGTCGATAGACCAATTATTCTGTATTCTCCATATCATTGCAGTGAAAACGACTAGAAAGTTGGAATTTCTCTGATTTGGTACCATTTTTGGTTAGACTCAGTGATTCTCTGATGAAGTACTGTTTTAAGTTAAGCTTAATCTACGAATCTCATATTTGGTACCCGATTGGGCCTAGCGTTGGATCCACTACCTACTTGTAAGTAGGTTGTAACTCAGAGTGGTCAGAGCGGGATTAAAACTCAAAACTAACCCAATCTGTGCTGGGGAGTGTTATCTTTGTTATAGAAAAACAACATAAAGCCAGGTGTGCCCGGCAAATTTGATGATCAAATAATTTTATTCCAATAATGACACCCAAAACAAGAATTCTGGTTGTTGGCGGTGGAGGCGTTGGCGCCATTGTTGCTTTGAATCTGCAATCCGGATGCCAGACGGAACTTACTCTAGTCCTAAGATCTAACTACACAGCCGTCCAACAGCATGGATTCAAAATACATTCATGCGATCATGGAAAGCTACTTAACTGGCGACCCTGGAAGAGTGAGTTCTACACTGATATCTGCCACAACAACACTAACACGAACACAGTTGTCAACACAATCCCAAGTATCTCCTGCGATGAAGATGCCTTCGACTTCGTGGTCGTCACGGCAAAGAATATACCGAATGCCCATGCAGACCTAGCTTCCCAGATCTCACCAGCCGTCACTCCAGGTATCACAACCATCGTTTTGATACAGAACGGACTGAATATTGAACGACCCTATTTCAATCTTTTCTCGAGAAACATTGTCTTGTCTGGAATCAGCATGATTGGATCCGAAGAAATTGAACCTGGATTTATCAAGCATTCATTCGCTGATCACCTCACAATCGGCTCTTTCCACAATCCTAATCTCGAAATGGCTAAAGAAGTCGAAGAGGCAGAAAGGTTTGTGAACATTTACTCAGCGGGAGGTAAAACTGTGTGCATGCACGATAAGAACGTTTTGTGGAACAGATGGAAAAAGCTGGTCTACAACTCAAGCAAAAATCCCATATGTGCTCTCACGGGGTTGGATGCGGGACAAATCAGATTGGCTGGTGATTCTATCTCTATATTGGTGCGCGATGCTATGCGCGAGGTTGAGGCTACAGCAAAGGCATCAGGGTATGAGCTTCCAGTGGACATTGTGGAATTCATGGCAACTGTCGACCCTGTCGAGGATCATTTTGCGCCGAGTATGCTTCAGGATGTTAGAAAGGTAATTGTCCTCGCTACCATGTTGTGTGAACGTTGCTAATTGGCGTCAGGGTAATTCGATTGAGTACGAATTTCTTCTTGGGGAGCCACTGAGGGAGGGGAAGAGGCTTGGGGTGGCAATGCCTGTTTTGTCTACATTATACGCGTTGTGCTCAGCTATTCAGTGGCGAATTGAAGCGGAGCGAGAGAGTCTGAAATCAGTGGAGTAGATTAGAACAAGAGCTCCGCTAACTGGTTTATCCCACGAGAGATTATCCACCTTCGGTATCAGTACTCTCAAAACGTTGAAAGTAATTGTAATCCATACACTGTGCATAGACATAATCCATGGTGGTTTCATCGCAGCTTTGGATATCGAGCATCTCAACAAAGCGAGCGGCATTAGGATAGCCACTTATGGCTGTCAAGAACTGGTGAAAGATCTGAATTGGTCGCTGTTTCTCGGTGGCAATCTCTAATGCTCGAAGGGTCAATTTAAAGCGTGACAAAAAGACAGCAGGCGTGTCACCGTTGTTGAATTTGACCGTCGTCCACAAGCTGTAAAGTATCCACGTGCGCCCCAAATTCGTTTTGGCGTAATGATTCTTGAGTACGACATAGACCTCTTGAAATCCCCACGAGGTGCTAACCACGGCAAGAGCAGTACTTGACAGACTCTTCTGAAGCAGAACATGGCCCACCATACAGAGGCGGTCGTACTCGAGACACTGAGGGCCAATATTATTCTTGAAATGGTTGACATGCGCGATTGTGAGGAATTTCTTCTGAATACCGCACATGAGACTAGTGGCAATCACCAGACCATCAATGGACATATCTGGGGAGGGCCTCTTGAGGGTCCCATTCAGGATGCATGGCAGGCGTTCATCAACTAGCGCGAGTCCAATTCTGAACGAGTCATTCCAGACGTTCCAGTCAACATCAAGAGAGAGTTTTGGCGAGACCACAAAGTCGAAGAGAGTAAAATCGTAGGTTCTGGGAGAGTTGTCTGACATCGTGAGGTCTGGGTTTTGGTGGTATGTGTGCGTCAAAGTTTGAGGAATAAAGACGTCAACAGTTCTGGTGAGTGGTCCCCAAAGGTAGACAAGAGAAATTGAAGAACATGTAGTGAAGTGAGTTACCAAAATGATTCCAGGGGCGTGTTATTTCAATATTGAAGAGAGAAAGAACTTGACCGCACCGGTGAGGTGGACTCATAAAGGTAAACGCTTGGAAAATCCATAGGAGTGGGACCAGGCTTCAACAACATTCAAATGGAGAATGTTGTGTGAGCTTCCATAAGGTCTTTGAAGCTTGGAAGGGCTTAGGTGAGGTAAGAAGTTCCAAGTAGCGCCCACCAGAATATTAGAGGACGAGGTGGACCTAATGAAAGTGAAAGTAATAGAAAGATAAATCAATCTATGAGATACGAACAAAGAAATGCGAGAATCAACCATTATATCCATAGTCATATTAATAACAAATAGTTATAGTGATAGCACTTCCGTAAGCCCTGGAGGAGCGTGACAGAAAGACTCGGGTGGCATAGTCTGGCCACACAATGTATGAAGTCTCCAGGCGCCTTGCTTGGTAATGAGTCAGATTTTTGTAGCTCGGAAATTTTTATCATAGACCTCATCATTTTGTTTTGCTGATCCATGTTTGGTCCAGTGAACGGAGATAAGAACAGGTATGGAATAAGCGAACATGCAAATAAATTCGATGTGAAGAACCCGCTCCTGCATATCTGAAAATAAGATACAAATCCGGCCCCCTGGGCCTGCGACACCCCGAAACGATCAACGATCAGCGCTAAATATATGATTTCTATCCAAATGAATGCTCGCTCTAAACCGAGATCTCCTTCTCTTTCAAAATCGTCTGGAACTTTGGCTTGGACTCAATGGGTGATTCAATATCCTCAACACCCGCGAGACACGGAAGCGTCTTCGACACACGAACAGTATCCAGGACACCATCAGATAGCGTGAAGATGTCATCTATCTCTTCAAGAGTCCGCCCTGATGTCTCCGGAAACAAGAAATAGATCATTGGGACCATGACGGCATTTAGCCCGGAAAAGATGAGAAAGTACTTTTGCCCCATTTTGTTGAAGGCGAGAGGTGTGACGTGGGCAATCAAGATGCTGAAGGCGCCCGCCACACTGATGCTAACGGAGTTGATGGTAGCGCGTAGATGGAGGGGCGCAACCTCCGTGGCATATAGGTATGGGATACCACCAAAGCCGACGATGTAGCTGAAATGGAAGAGGAAAAGGAAAAAGACGGCAGCATGTGCGGCCTTGATGTTGTCCACTTGGGATCCGAGGACGGCGATGCAGGCTAGGCATATGGCGTTTCCAATGGCGCTACCTATCATCAGCCCACGTCTTCCAACTCTCTCAATAACAGAGACACAAAGGACAGCGCCGCAGGGTCCAGCTAGCTGGTACACAGCTGCCAGAAGTCTTGCTGTTGACTCTTGAAGGTCGAGGTTGTTTTCGAAAATTGCAGTTGCTGTGGGAGCAAGTTAATGAACAGTTTCATAGTGAGTTTGATCTAATATAGACTTGAAGAGGAAACTTACTGTAATAGGTAGTGACTGTGGCTCCAGTCATTTGGAGAAAGAGCAATCCACCGACAGCGAGAAATGCTCGGTGGAAGACTCTCTGGGGTCCCATATGGAAAAGCTGTTTGAAATCTGTGTTTCCGCCTGCCAAACTCAAAGAAGCCTGCACTTCGCTGATCGTGCCTTCAATTTTCTCATCTTCAGCATCGACATCAGCCAGAGCGGCTAGGATATATCTGGCCTCTGCAATCCTGCTTTTCTGAATCAGCCAGCGAGGCGATTCGGGTAGAAGCAGTGCAAATATCAAAACAGCCCCAGACAAAACAACGGGGAATGCAAATGGGATCCGCCACGCAATGCTGTTTTTTGTCTTGAAAGACATTCCATAGTCGAAAAACAAAGCAGTTGCGCATCCCACGCCAGTAAATATACCCTTTGTGACAACATGGGAGCCACGCCGCTTGGCTGGGGCAGTCTCAGAGATCCATAAAGGAATTGTGGCCAATAGGATACCAGTCCCCATGCCCACAAGCATTCGCGACACGATGAGTTGTACCAATGAGTATGAAGAGGCGTTCAGAGCATACCCAATGATTTGAGTCGTTGCCCCGACCATCATGGTACGGCGACGGCCCAGCCAATCGCCCATCCAAATGCAGGCAAATGTTCCCAAGAAGGAACCAATGGCGAAGGCAGCCACAACGGTACCTTCCAAAGACGATGCATAGTCTTTGTTTTTGGCATGAACCACGTCGATCTCGGGAAATGTTTTGTTGAAGCTGGCCAAAGACAAAACTCCTCCAAGCGATGCGGTATTGTAGCCAACCGACATGATACCCGGCATCAACACCCCAATGATAGCTGCGACATTGAGGCGAGTGCCCCGAAGACCGAGAAATCGTGCCATCAGTGCGAAGTATGTGGATCAACAGCCAAGACTGTCGTTCCCCAGAAAGGATCAAGGGATCGGACTGATCGACTTTTGTACGCGCAATCAGGCAGTTTTAGCGTGGGTCAAAAGAAGCTTAAGTACACTCACTTCTTCAGCCTTCTTATTTATGGGCCAAGCTTTTCTAAAATTCAAATTTCGCACCTAATCACACCTACTCGGGATTCGGCTCTGGCAAGGTGTTGGTTTTCACATTCCATCCTTGTGTTATGCATTAAATTCCCGCACCGGAGGCGAATCTGCAGACTTGATAGCCACCAGGGTCGGGCTAGACCACCCAACACAGACAAAGTCATCTGCAAGGCCTTTACCATTCTTGTCAGTTGACTTGGAAACTGTGGGACCAATGAAGTCAATTTGACGTGAAGTTATAAAAGGGGGTGACTGTGATTGGTCGCGAGGAACTATGTACCCCAGGTACATAATAATGATAGACATGAGGATGCCTCGGCCGTTCCGGCGATATTGAGTAATCTTCGCCTAATAATAATTTCCGCCACCCCTGCGTGATCATGCAAAGAGCTTGGTCGAACACCTACTTGCATACCTCGCGTTTTGAAGGGGTCTGGACCTCGAGAGCTTGATTCGCAAGTGGATCATTCACCGCCCCACTCGGATACTTCCTATCATTTTTTCTCGAACGTTGAACCCATCCTAGAGGCACCGGGATATCGGAGGCATCAATGGTGCATCCAATCTAAATTCTACATTCGACAAAGTGCCAATTAGCTTCCAAACCTTGTACAGGACTGACCTGGTCCAATGACATAAATTTTCAAATTCAACCTGCCCCTCCTGTCATCAACATCCACGAGATAACTATAACCCTTGAGACCTTGAGACCTTGAGACAAGCCATAAATTCACAGATGGCTAGCATTCTCCAGCCCAAATCCCACACGACGGTCTTTCTAGACCAGCCGCCCAGCTGTCTCGAATTCTGTCCAGAGATCCGTGACCACTTCGTGGTGGGCACTTACCTCCTATCCGAGACCAAGAATGAGAGTGGAGAAATCCAACAGACCAAAACCGGAAGCTTGCAGTTGTGGAAATTAGAGCCGAGCACCAATGCACTGTAAGTAAAGCTTTCAAACTAGCTCACGGGGCTTTTACCCGGGGTAGCTCTAGACCTGACATCGGACAATTCAAGTTAATTCTCATTCTTTAGATCCTTGGTACATAGACTGGCACTCCCCTATGCAGTCTTTGATCTCCACTTCCACCCAAGGGAGAAAAACAAGTTTGCCATCGTGGGTAGTACAGGGCTAGCAGCCTTGTTCAGCGTCAATTCTTCCACGCTTGCCATAACTCAGATCTGGGAGAAGCAAATCCATGAAGACACGTCGATCCCAGCCCTGTTTCTGGCCTGGGCCCCTCAGGATTGGTTCCCTCGACCGGCATCTGATGGCTTTGCTGTTACGTTCTCGGATAGCCGGACGACTGTCTTTGGCACGGATGGAAATATCGTGGACGAGAGTGGGATTGAGGAATGGGGGTCATATGAAGCTCGTCAGATGATCGAGGTCTGGTTTGTTGCGCTGGCTGCAATCAAACAGGTTTCTGAGGAATCGAATGGAAACTTCGAGATTACCCCTTTCATGTTTACTGGCAATGACTTTGGTTCACTACATACCCGTCGCTTTGATAATCATAGCGGTCAGCCGGATGAGGACGATGAACCGCTCGCTTCTGTGTTGCTTGAACATGACGATCGGGCTCGTCACCATACGGCTGGTGTAACGTCTATCCTACCCCTTGATATTCCGATGGTAGACGGCGCGCCCATTGTTTTGACAGGGAGCTACGACGAGAGTCTGCGCGTGTACCACGCTACTTTTCGAGGTGAGGTCCTCGCCGAGCAGGGCCTCGGCGGCGGTGTATGGCGGTTGCAGTTACTGTCAACAACAGCAATCCCTGGTTCCGATGATAACTTGGAGCGGCATTTCGTTGTCCTCGCGAGCTGTATGCACGCTGGGACAAGAGTTGTACGGGTGACCCAAAAGAAGCAGGGACAGGGTCCAGTCGAATGGGATATCCAAATCCTGGCGGAGTTTACAGAGCATGAGAGTATGAATTACGCGAGCGATGTGTGGAAGGGCGCGTCGGAACATTCGGATGCATTGCAGGCATCGTCTGAGTTACTTTGCGTGTCAAGTAGCTTCTATGACCGTCGCGTGTGTGTATGGCGGATCAATGTATAGCGTGAGGAACATACGAGTTGGATCAAGAACCACTTGTTGGCTTCCTGTTTACACATGCACCACGCTCCAAACGATCAGATACGATCTTATCTCTAGACGTGTTGTCATAAAAACGCTAGATCAAATTACAATGCATGCACCCGGCGTACAAGCACTTGTGCACCCAAGGACCAGGACCAGACCAGAAAAACCAATGTAACCATTCATATCCATTGCAGAAACACCACCTTTGTGATGTTTCGTATTAAACAATTGTCTCCAACTCCCGGGCGTAGCCTAGTGTATTCTCGATCACAGTGCCACTGGCCACCAAGATGTCCTTCTCGGACCTGGTTGCCGCCTCGGGCTCAACAGGGAAGTATATCCGTCCATCGCGAAGAATCCATCCACGCTGCTGAGCAAACTCAATAACTGCGCCCTCCGACTCGAGGAACAGAAGGTTCTTGGCGTTGGAGATAGGGAGGGAGGGGTAGGCCTTCTCCGAGCAGTCTGCGATCTCGCTGCGAATAGTACCGATAAGAACCTGTGGCAGATTGGTTAGTGAATACGCCAAAAAAAAATATTCCCAGGGCATGCAGAAGCAAAGGATCGAGGCTTACATTGGAGAACAAGCCGAAATCTTCATCCGGCACGCGCTCGGACTTCGTCTCCCGCCACACCTTGTCATAGCTACCCTCCATCAAGTTCCGCTCAAGCTCAACGGGGTACTTGATGTAGGCATCATCCTCAATGCGGCCACCCTTCAAGCTAGCCTCTTCCACCAATCCCTCCAATACAGTATGGAAGTTGGCACTGTCACCACTGCTCAACAGGAGCAACAAGTACAATCCTGTGATCTTGCTGCGCTGGCTTGTGCTGAAATCGACTTGAGATGAGGGTTGTTCTGGTCCATTGACGTGTCGCTCGAGATCGTAAAATGGCTGCAGCTGTTGGTAATATCTTGTGAAGGTCTGGGCATCGGTTTGTCGGATCGAGACGAGGGCGCCAAGCTCAAGAACCTGCCGGGCAACAACGACAAGCTGAGGGGGTGTGGAGGGAGTCGGGATCAAGGCATTCTGGACGAGAAGGGCGCGCTTGGCTTTGCTGAGAAGACCGTTGGCAGCGTCGAGCTGTTTGCGCTCAAGAGCGTTCTGGAGCTCGGGGACAAGGGTGTTGAGGTCGGACATCATGGGTGTGAAGGATTTGAGAGGTCGATATTAGGGTATATTGAGGAATGAGGCCAGACAATCCAAAGGTGAGATTGTAAGGGCAAGCGAAACGATATGGAAAGCTGTGGATGATGCGAGTTGGCCGAGCACTTGATGACATGACGGAGCTGCCGTGGGCGGTCAATTTGGATACACGTGACCATCTACTAGCCAGTTGGTTTGATGTATTCGCAGACAAACTTTAATTTGTTCTGTAAACAACTATTTTGATTTATTACATTTCACTCTTCACTAATCAAGTTGACTCCTACTGGACCTCCTTCAGAGCAATGCCAGCTGTCTTAGTGTCGGGAAGAGTGGTGTTCCAAGCCCGGTTGCCGGATCCCACCCAACCGTCGCATTCCAACCAGCATTGTGGACAGGTGATCTTGCGCAACCTCGCGAACCACCATTTATAATATCTGTCAACCCACTTCTCCCTGTGGTATACAGCCAAGGATTGAGAAATCCCAATCGAGGTTTCCCGTGTATCAAACGTATTGCATTCAACTGGGATACTATACCAGCAATCACTGGTGCAGACGCGCTAGATAAACATCAGCACGGTCATACGCTGATCTGGTTCGAAGGTGTTCAGACCTGGTTCCTCCAACGGTCAAATACACACCATGGTCTCTGACCATGAAACGGCTTGCTTGGGCTGAAACGTCGGGAATACCTCTGCCAGCAGGATTGAACAATCCTTTCCATTTGTTACCATTTTTGTCCAGAAAACTTTGTACAACAGAATCTTGATAAGACGGTCGATCGAAGTAGTCTGAGAATCCGCCCCCAGAGAAGCTGATTCCCTGTTCTGGTGAGCTCCCAAACGTCCCACCGACAGAGGTAACGAATGGACAGGATGCGGGCCAATTGGGAATGAATTTGGTTCGGTAGCTCCCATCGTTACTTTCGCATGTTCCTCCAGGTCCAGAGTCACCACTACTAAAAATGACAGTGACGCCTCTGGCACCCAGCTGAGCAAATAGATTGCAGCTGGCTGTAGCATACGATTTTGGCACGCTCTGCTCTGATTCACCATATGACATGGTTATAACGGCGGGAAGTTCCTTGTCCGGGAGATTAACTAAATAGTGAAGCTGCTCGAGGTATGGTTCATTTGTTGAGATAGCTATTGGTTCTTCACCATCAGGGATCACGGGTCCTCGGCCACCAGTGGTGTAAAAGGTCACTAGTGCGCGGTAGGCTAGCGAAATGGTGTACTGGAGATCCAGGCTTGCCTCAACGCTGTTCTTGGGAGAGTCTTGGTCATTTTGCCCACCATTGATCGAGACCACGGTGAAGTTTGCGCCTGTTTTACCGGGTGCGTACACTTGCATGAAATGGAAGAAGTCGCTGTAGCGAGCATACTGCTCCAAGAATCCCGCTATACCCAGTCGATTCCGAACATCAGGTTTCGCTGTTATGTTACTAAGGCCGTATAGATCTCGCAGACAATCGGGCGTAACTACCGTCCCACATCCTGCAGCAAGGTCTTTTGCTGTGGTGACAACGTGCGACGCATTGCTAAATCCGTGCAAAGAATCGAGCCCCCCAAATCGAGTCGTTGGCTGAATCAACTGAATATATTCGTGAATCTCATTTGGTACTGAATATTCAAGAGCTCTGATGACCGTATCATCACTGTCTTTGTTCTTGTACAACAAGAATTTTGTCTTCAACATTCGCTCCGCTTGAGAAACTGTAGCTTGAAAGGCTATCCAGTTCCTGTCTAGCTCAATAGTGTCCGGGGAGATGTTTTCAGAATTCAACCAGGAAATAATTTGATTCGACACGTCGGGGGAAGGGCGTAGCAATTGTCTCACTTCTTCACGGCTCATATGCTGGCCATAGCTAGGATGGCCTGGTGTGGAAAGCTCAATGGCCTTTTGTTCGAATGCCACTATATCTGGTGACTCTACCGCCAGTCGAAATTTGATCAGAGCCAGAGGCGATGGCTTGTCACCTTGTATCCAAGCAGGTGGGGCATATTCTAGCTTCTCAATAATTTTGTGGCTGGAAATACCTGCCAAAGCTACTCTGATCCAGCACACGACAAATATTTGAAATGCAAATTTGGAAATCATCATTTCTACCTACATCCATGCAGGTATGGTCGTAGAGGCTTCAAAGAACGATGCAAAAGTTCTGTGCGTATTGCATTTCTAATTCGAGGCTTTTATAAGCCTGAGTCTCCCAGATGTTTGTTTGACAGATACTAGTAGGTCCTGTGAATGGGTCACACAGGGGGGTGGTGTGCTTGCACAATGGTCGCAGCCCTGGAGACTATAATTCATTGCCTGAAACCCTATCATTCTACGTGTACGAACTTACTATCTGAGACTTACTTTCTCCTCCTGAGCTCATGCAGCACTGCATGTAATCAACTCGCCAACCATTTCCATACAAAGTACACCTACACCATACGAGCCTACGATGTTCCCGTGTTTAGGGGTACACAAGTGGGTACCTACATGGATAGGTCCCAGAGGATCCACGAGTGCTACCTAAATACAACCCAACATTTGAATAGAGCAACCTCAGAATGAGTAGATACTCTTTGGTTCTAATGTTCTTGACCTATCATCGTAAATGAATTTTGCAAAGTGAGAGATAGGGTTCTATCTTAGAAACTGGGCGTTTTTAACGGTTATCCGTGCATTTATATTGCGGGGCCATACCATCATCAGAGCCAGGACAGTAGCAAGACCAGAGTAAATCCAGGGATATTCGGGGTCAAAATCCTGATCTGAGCAGCTGAAAATTCTAAAAGTATCTCATTACCTTGAAATGACCCAGGGTAGTCCAAGGTTGCCGGTCTAAGGTTAAAAATCGATGCCTTGTGGCCTGAGGATAGGGGCGGATCATCCGAAACTCCGAGATGCGGGATGATCGACGTCACGGAGAATGAGTGTCTGAGCTTGTGCAGCTGTCTCGCTCCCCACATTTACGGGCCCTAGTAATTTGACGGCAGCGTTGCAGAATTGATCGATCAGGTGTGTTTCTGTGGAGATTTGTTGTGTTGCGGATAGCACTCAGTCTGTCAAGCTTCAAGCTTTCCAACACAGACGAAGTGCGTGGAGATTGTGCATAGGTTGACAGGTCTCAGCTTGACAAGATCTGCACGAAGACTGATATCACTTCTGAACTCCATTTTGTCCTTCAAACCATACCACCAGCTCTATTATCCTGCCCCTTTCAAAGCAAATCAGCAGACAACCGCGGGGTGGCATGATTTGTCTGAGATCGAATCGACGTCATTCCTACTACAAGTACATTCCACATTCCGATTGATACATTCATCTTTCAATTTCCCCACCCCACAGCTTCCAACCGCATTGTTCCTACCCACCATGGCGGAGTCTGAAGTCCAACAAGTTCGCCGGCTTTCCGCCGATAATCAGATTATCTCGAAGTCTGATATCCCCTTAAAGGAACGATTCTTCCGGTACTTCCAACATGAAATCACCTGTATGTCCCCACCCTAAGCCCCGTTCATCTCCACATGTATACAAAGGCTTAAAACAACCTCCAGCCTTACAAAACTCCATGGACCGCCTCGTCGACACGTCCCTGGTAGGTGGGGAACGAGCTGATGCGACAGATCACTGTCTTGCCGGAATTGTGCGGCTCTCAAACGAAGTGAAAGATGCAGCTAGCTACATTCCAACTTACGACCAGAGAGTTTATGCTGAGGTACAAAGAGTAAATACGATGCAAGATTCGCGTAGCTGACCATTTCTTCCCAGGCCATCAAAGCTTTGCAGGACAAGTTGACCGAAATTCGTGCATCATTCGAGCCTCGTTCCAAATTCAGCTTTAAGACCAAGAAAAATGCTTCTGCTATCTCTTTGCATGATGCAGCGACTTTGGCTTCTCAGGGCCGGCGGAGTATCCCCGGATATCGCTCCCCAGGCGCATCCTCGGTCGGTTCTTCTGCCAACCATACCCCGAACTATCCTTCCACTCCTTTGAACGAGCCGGATAAACAGCATTGGGAAAGACCAGAGATTGCGCCCACCTCATTCCCGCCACTTTTCCCTGGCAATGACAAAGCTTCGCCCGATGCGAAGCCCCACTCGGGTTTCGCAGCCAGTGGCATCTCTTCTGTCTCGGTAGACAACCACCACAATCTTCACATTATGCTTCCGGCGTCGGGCTCAACTGCTAATGTTCCTGCCTCGATCACTTCTCTTCGACACTGCATCGTGGACATGTCCATTCCCACTGCGAATGGAAAGCCATATGCCAGTATGACTATAAGGGATGTCAAGCAAAGTCTTCTGCTCTGCAACCAGACCAATGGTCCGGCCCACATCACTGGCGTTGAGAACAGCATCATAGTAGTTACATGCCGCCAGTTCCGTATGCATCACTGCAAGGATGTCGACGTCTATCTCAGCTGCTCGAGCAACCCGATCATTGAGGACTGCTCGAATATTCGCTTTGGCCGGATTCCTAAAGCCCATGTATGTTTTGTTTTGGTGTTTTCAATCTGCTCTTCATATTTGCAGAGCTGATATGCTAACCTGGTTTTCTCCCCAGGCTCTCGATCATGACCGCCCGGATCACCAGGACCGGTGGAGTCAAGTGGAGGATTTCAAATGGATCAAACCCGAGCCTAGTCCCAACTGGAGCCTTCTAGACCCGAGCGACGCCATCCCAGAAGAAGTCTGGACAGAGATCGTTCCCGGCGGGCCGGGCTGGTCTCTTGACGATATCTTGCGAGCGATCAAGCTTGTTCAAGGATAGTTTCCGCCCTGCCTTTGTCTTCGGTATCTACCCTACGGGCCAAAAAAACAACACAGTAATCGATTACTTCAGTTGACTACCGTGATCGACTAACACGCCTCTTGTAATCTACTTTCACTAATTGCCATCGCGCATTCGTTTCATTCCTTCCATAACATTTTTATTGAATTTCTTTCTCTTTTGACACTTGTTGGTCTGATGCTACCAATTGACCGCGCTAATGGCAATATATGGGTTTCTATGTGATCTTCATGATGTACTCTTAGCAATACAAATGGTGCAATGACCATGCGATATACTCAGTAAACCCAGTGTATAATTGATCATCCTCATTATTATATCAGTGGTTACTCGCTAGGCATCATGTATATGTGGTCTGGGGGACTGTTGGTCGGAATTTGTGACGAATGAACTGCCCTAGCTGTCAGCAAATATTGATGAACCCCAATAAAACCGGTTATTCATAATGAGGTTCCAACTTAAGGGTCCACGACGTGCAGTCGCCGAATGAACTGCCTGATGGACTGCACGAGGTTGTGTCTCGGGTGGCCCCCGCTTCACCTTAGTGGAATCTCTTCCCCTCCTTAAACACCGTCCTCCGCGCCAGAACAGCGATTACTGGCACATACCTGATGATGACTGACAAAACCATGGACCTCGAGTTTCTCAAGGAGAAGAAAACGCTATCTGATTTGGACCTCAAATTATTTGCGATATTGAACGATGTTTTACAACCAGAAGTGAGTCTCTATGAGAGAGAAGCCGCAAAGAGAATTGATGAACTAGCACCGCTGGGGCATCAGTCTGAAGATGGAAATTCAAATGATGAAAGTATTGAAGACTTCCTTTGGTCATTATGGTCACTCGTCATTGAAGTCATTCAATTGGTACCCTGTGATCATCAAGGCCAGAACAGAATCACCTTGCTTGTGAAATCATTGAGCCAGAGATCTCGATGCAATTGCACGATATGGGGAGTAGGTAATCATCCCCTCGGGTATTCAAATCCCAGCTAAGCAGTGCAAACTCAGTCTGAGACTTCCCTATGGGAAGGCCTTCCTTTACTGGGTGCTTTTATGAGAGACAATTGGATATGTAAGTGTACACGCACCGATCCTATAAAGACACCTCCTGACTAGGCTACATCACGTCACAGCACCCACATACAACAGCGAAGTTCCAGAAGTTCAATCAGCTGAAAAGTGGGCAAACTTGAATTCCTTTGCAGCCAGATTATTTGGCGAAAGTCTTGCTCAGTGGAAAAACTTCGCAGTCTGGTCGTTAAATGCTGCACTAGAAGAAGAGATCCAAGACCAAAAGATTCTGATCTGCAATATCACAGTGGCACGAGAATGGATTACTCAAGCTGGAGAGCGGATATTCAGAGAAGCCAACGAGCATCCCTCCGATAAGGAGTGTCGCGTCATGAGCGCGGGCTCTCTCTACAACGGAAAAGCAGGGTTGAGTTTTGAGAGATGGGAATTCTGGAAGAAACGGTTCAGAGAAATCGGAAGACTGACCTCTGGTGATATCTCCAAGGTTTGTATCGCTATGGCGGACAAAATGGATGGCATTGGAGGTACACTGGATCAGAAGTAATGCAAATAACGTAGATATTGTCAAAATTCACAGTTGTTTGATACTGATTCTTTGTTACTTGGGCATTCATCTGCATGCTTCTATTAATTTACCCCTCATTGCCGAGACTCGAGTCCGGCGTGATGTCTGCAGGAGAAGACGCTGTTGCTCAAAAGTCAGTCGGCATCCGTAGCCTCCAACTAATTAACATCCGTTCCTATTAAAATTGAACCTTGAACACCAGGACCTGATTGTCCAGGTTGAAACCAGACGAGTCCTCGTATTGGAACTTTCCACCATTCATGTATCCTGGGGTAGTGTCAGCTAAATTCAAATATCCAAGACTCCTGATAACTTACCATCTTGGGTGATGAAGTCATTGTCACTCATACTGAACAGGAAGTACTCCTTCTTGCCCTTCCCATTGCCATTCTCTGGGTCAACAGGCATAAGTGAGAAACTCTCCCACTTCTCATTCAAGAGACCCTCATCCTGATCGCCACCATTGTGAAGTCCAAACTTCGCCAGCTCGGAGTTGACATTGTAATCCAGGAACGAGCAGTACTCAACCGGAGTAATACCCGACTTCAAAACACCTTTAGACGAAGCTATAGCTCCAGTAGCAGTATCGTAGTCTTCCAGACCCTTAATATCCGTGATAGTCTTGTTCTTCAGCACGGAGAGCACATCCGCATGCCTGTACACAGACCTCGATTCACTCTGCCCACGCCCAAAACCCGAGTCCCGCGACAAAACCAAAAAGTCTCCGGTAGGCAGCTGATGAATTTCCGATTGAGCAGCAACCTTCCACTCCTTGTCGGAATTCGTCTCCGTATAATCAAGATACTTGGGCAACATAACAACCCACTCATGAAGATACTTCGGCACACGACCCGAGATATCATAAGCAAGCAAACGCGCGGGTTGCTTATTCTGTTTCTTAGGCCCACCCTCTTGATCAAGCGCAGATTGCATCAGTGTATACAGCGTCTTCCCATCAGTCGAAATAGTCAGACCCTCAAGGCCCTGGTTATTCGCGCGACCAGTCACCGTGTCTTCGGGTTCAGGCACATCAGAAGGATCATAGATCGGGGCTGAATCCGAGCTGAAACTGACGGTGTCGTTGCGTCGGGGTAGAATTGCTTGCGGAGGCTGGATAGCGTACTCCATATGTCCCTTTGAGCTGAACTTGTAGACATATGGGCCGTACTCATCGGATATCCAGAAACCGCCGTCTGTGGCTAGGGCGAGACCTTCGGAATCTATTGTAATTCGGCGTCCGCCTGGGCCTTCGCCACCGTATCCGTCGCCGGTGTAGGTTGCTACTGGCATTCCGGGGAAGCCGTGGTAGGAGAAGTTGCCGGTGGCATCGGCGTCTAGGCTCGTTGTTGGTTGGCCATCTGGGCCATATAGAAGGATTGTGTCCAGGTATTTCAGGTTGACATTTGGCTTGGAGGGATTCTTGGCGGAGGCTTTGGGGGCTAGTTTCAAGATAATTTGAAACTTTTGGATGCGCGAGTGGTAATTGAGAGTACCATTAGTGTTCCTGAGGAAGTGTTAGCTTTTCTTATCTTAGTAGGTTAGATGAATAAGAATTGAGTCGTACCAGCCTCGATCTGGAATCGCGTAGAGTGTTCCGGAGTATACGTCATGCGATGTTTTGCGCCAGGATGATTTTTCAATGGCTATAGAGCTACCAATGCCTCCAATTGTATCACCATATTTGTCTGTGGCGTTTGAAGGAATAAACCCGTATCCTTGGAGGCCGGTGTACTGGTATGTTGTGGACCCGCACGTAGTCTGATTGACAATATGGTCGGAGGCTGCCGCGACGGCCGCCAGCAAGGTAATTGGCAAAGTCAATTTCATTGTGAGTTCATAAACCCAAGCTTGAATACTGTGAAGACATCTTTGGGGCGCAGGGCGCGGGAATCATTTATGTTCGCTCTTAAACTCCGAAGTCGCACGCGCAGTTCTTGGACATGATACACGCTAAAGTAGAGTGCGGAGAAAGCACCAGTGAACGTGCAAGGGAGATCGATCGTCATTCGCGCGGGGATCGTGCTGATTCCATCGCCAAGATCGGGCGTCGGTTATCAATCTATAGTGTCTGGGCAGGGAATATGATTATCCCTACCATGTTGGGAACGCATAGCCTCCCTTTGCTACGCGAGGAGGTTCTAAAGTTGTTGTCTCGTACGCGTATCTGACCATTGCCATGATTGCTTTTTTCATTATTTGTGCGATAAATTGATCATATATTTTTTTGAAGGTACAATTGAGATACTTATGAATCAGAACCGTTCCATGTCGTAGGAAGAGCGCGATAGTTGTTTGCGTACATCCCGAGATCCTGGAACACGGTATCATTGCCTGCACAGACGACGTTAGATGCGCAAAAAAGGGTAAACGTGATTCTGGAAGCTTACCCTTCAAATTTTCAACTCGGTGTTCATTTTCCTCGGCAAGTTTCTCCAGCTCTTGGCCAGGTTCTGGCTCATCGGGTTGCTTGACCCCCTCGGCTGTCGCGGCTTTGCCCCAATTGTTCGTTGCGCCCCCAATCATCAGGATCTGCGCATTGGGATAATCGATGAACTCTGGCTGCATGGGAACCCATCGGAGATCTCCGAATTTTTCGCGCACACTGCATGGTGATCAGCACAAACATTCCTGGCGTGGGACATATAAAACTTACGATTCAGGGTAATCTGCCTCCTTGGGCAATTGGCCAGAGGGTGGGCCGGGGAATTTTGGATTTTTCGACTGCACGATCCAGCTCCCGCGCTGGCAAAGGCCAAAGTTCTCTTGGACTTCACCTAGTTCGGCAGGAATGGTCAATTCGTAGGCAAGGTGAGATGCCCGTTTCGACGAAGTGATGGCGTAAACACCTTCGGCGTAGGGTCTGGCATCTTCTGTGGTGCGTTCGCCCCGAGTAGCAGTCTGATATGTACTGCTTGCAACGAAATTGTCCTGGAGATTTTTGACCGTTTGTCCTGCTTTCTCCACAAATGCCATGTCCCTTTCCTTGGCTGAGGTGGGGAACTTCTTCTTCGGGAGCATCAACAAGCGGCAATGGGCATCCTTGTCCATTGGACCTTGATTATTGTCCAGCTCGGCACCGAGGGGGGTAGGACGAAGCACGAAGAAACTGCGAGAGACGTCACCCATGCCATGCGGATCATCTACATTGACACGCGGCCGGAAGAAGAAGTAAATGATGCCTTTTTCCAAAATACTGGATGGGACAGCACTCTCTCTTTGTTCCGATTCATGGACCCCAGATTCCTTTTTTAATCCAGAATCGGCAGGCTCGTCAGTGGGATGTTGGGTTTCGGTGACACCGCCTGACATCCTCTGTTCAACAGGCTTTGTGTCAGACCTCCCACCCTTTGACGGGCCCGCTCTGTCCTCTACCTTCGGCTCTTCTTCGATCTCTCTCTGTTTGTTGGGCTCCGGTGGCTTTTCCTGCTGAGCTTTGCGCTTAGAGCCAGTGGATTCTTTTCCACTTCCACTGGCCCCCATCTGACCGGTGATGGCTTCCTTGGCCTTCTGGGCGGCCTGGCGTGACGATGCTCGAGCAACCATGATGTTACAGAATTTTGTCCCAAAAGCCACGAATAATGAATTGAAGGTAGGATTGCAGCGAGAGGTTGCTCACTTAAACCAGACAGACCACCACTTTGACATAATTCACAGGCGGGGAATAGGCTCAAGGCTGGAACCTCATGATATATAAATGACGTCATATTTGCTCACCGATTGCGCTGATCATTTTGTCCCTCACGAAGAGAGCCAATGAAAGATAGAATGCACCGATATTTAAAGGGCGTCAGTCAATATCCATGTCGTCGGCTATGGCGGACTCGTGCATTGCTTCAGCGCTGCTATCGGTTGACCACGGATCCGAGCTCGAGCTCCAATTATCCGCATCATCGCGGAAGTCATGCAAAGAAACCGATTGAGTAGCTTTCATAGAATCGTCTGTAGCTTTACTGCGTCTCCTTCGTCGCTTTGAACGTAGACCAGGCACCGGTAATGGCTCTTCGCCCTGTCCAGTCTTGAACGTTGAGCAAGGATAGTGCGACGAGTGATAACCTGCTCCGGGCATACTGCTTGGCTTGCGCTTCTGACCTCTTTTAGGAGCCGTCAAGGGCCTATAAATAATTTGTTTTGATGGATCATTGTCCAGGCCTTTCATGTATTCTATGAGCTCGCGTTGCCATCCTTCGAAATGGTCCGGTAGACTTGGCAACTCTAACCTTTGGACAGCAGGGTCAGGTTCATCATCCGGTTCCTCGATATCATACGGGTGGTGAACTTTGATAGTTGGCATGTCTGATGCCATGTTAAAGTCGTCGGTAGCCATAGGTGTTGATGGGTTAGACCCATTCAAGCTATGTCCGCTGTAGTCCGTTGGAGCGTCGAATATATCGTGAGCCGCAGAAGGGGAAGATCGTGTCGATTCAGTTGAGCCAAGTGGAACGTTGAATGATTCTAGATCGTCCATCTGAAGATCATCGGCCATTATATATGAACAGGTACTCGAGCAGGTGCCTAGATGTATAATTGGGCGCCACTGCACTCAGGTAGCATCACGTCACCAGTTGGTCAAGCGTCGCTATTAAAGTCATATGTCATAGAAGGCAAATAGTGTAATGATGTGCTGTATTAAAAAGAGCAAGGGTACCCAAGCCTATATTGGGAATAGGTGCAGATGATAAATAGAAATATCTCTGGTATGATCGTCGAATCGTATGTGTTCCAGATGTTTCCAGCAGCGGGGAGATGTAAAGTCCCGGTTCACCAATAACAAAGAGCCACCACGACCACCTAATGAGGAGTCTCATGGTGCAAGTGCTAGGGTCGAATCTAAATTAATCTATTCGAATCCAATCAACACGTTAATTAAACAAATTACAAGCTCCATGTTAAAAATAGTGCCTATTGTATAGATTCGATCTTAACACGGACCCTTTCCCCCTGACCGCTCACCGCCCGCGGGCATGATTGGCTGCCACGGTTCGCTTACACAATAAGTCCACGTTTAGTTTACCTTGCTACGCCTGCTACCGTAGAGCATAGGTATCCAACCACTGTTGCGCCTTGCCCTTTTGTTCCACTCTGGCAAGTGGATGCACTGGTTGACTTTTTGATTCCACCTCTTCTCGTGTGCGGAGCTTGCAACTGTTCGGTGCGGCTCCGGCCAGGTCTTTCAAGATGCAGTCATCCCCAAACATGCTCACCAAGGTAAACGCCCCTCGATATGCCCGACGCCAAAGCAACCACCTCAACCGTGCCCTGCTGTATCCGCTTGATTCAATTGCACTTACTGATCTTCATCTGTCGCGCAGTTTGAGTCCAAATCCTCCAGAGCCAAGGGGATTGCTTTCCACCCGACACGGTCAGTCGGTCCCGCGGGGACACCTACACACCTACAAGCTGGAGCATCTCCACTAACCTCCATACTAGGCCATGGATTCTCGTTTCCCTTCACTCCTCTACCATCCAGCTATGGGACTACCGCATGGGAACTCTCATTGACCGATTCGAAGAACACGATGGCCCAGTCCGCGGCGTTGATTTCCATCCAACTCAACCCCTGTTTGTGTCCGGAGGTGATGATTACAAGATCAAGGTCTGGAACTACCAGACCCGGAGATGTCTTTTCACATTGAATGGTCATTTGGATTACGTGCGCACAGTGTTCTTCCACCCTGAACTCCCCTGGATCCTGTCTGCCTCCGATGACCAGACCATTCGGATTTGGAATTGGCAGAACCGCTCTCTGAGTAAGTGGTGCTGGTTGTGTTCCATGGCCTAGGGCTCTACTAATGTTCCTGTCTCTTCTCAGTCTGCACCATGACCGGTCACAACCACTATGTTATGTGCGCTCAGTTCCACCCCACCGAAGACCTCATCGCCTCGGCCTCGCTCGATCAGTCTGTCCGTATCTGGGATATTTCCGGCCTGCGAAAGAAGCACTCCGCCCCGACGTCGATTTCCTTCGAAGATCAGATGGCGCGAGCCAACCCCAACCAGGCAGATATGTTCGGTAACACAGACGCCATTGTGAAGTTTGTTCTAGAGGGCCACGACCGCGGCGTGAACTGGGTGTCGTTCCACCCCACATTGCCATTGATCGTTTCAGCGGGCGATGACCGTCTGATCAAGCTTTGGCGAATGAGTGACACCAAGGCTTGGGAAGTTGACACCTGCCGCGGCCATTTCCAGAACGCCTCTGCCTGTTTGTTCCACCCGCACCAGGACCTCATTCTGTCCGTCGGCGAAGACAAGACCATTCGTGTTTGGGATCTTAACAAGCGAACCTCCGTTCAATCCTTCAAGCGCGACTCCGATCGGTTCTGGGTGATTGCTGCCCACCCCAAGATTAACCTGTTCGCCGCTGGCCACGATACTGGTGTTATGGTGTTCAAGCTGGAGCGTGAGCGGCCCGCCTCGGCCGTTTACCAAAACCAGCTGTTCTACATCACCAAGGAGAAGCATGTCAAGTCGTACGACTTCGCCAAGAATGTCGAGTCCTCTCCGATGCTTTCGTTGCGCAAGCTGGGCTCCCCGTGGATCCCCCCGCGCACCGTGTCCTACAACCCGGCCGAACGTGCCATCTTGGTCACATCTCCCGCCGACAGTGGAACTTACGAATTGATTCATCTCCCCCGTGATGCAACTGGTGCAGTCGAGCCCACCGACGTCAAGCGTGGCCAGGCTACATCCGCAGTCTTTGTCGCTCGTAACCGTTTTGCAGTCTTCAACCCTTCAAGCCAGCAGGTTGACATCAAGGACCTCAGCAACTCCACTACCAAGACTATCACGCCTCCCGCTGGCACAACTGATATCTACTTCGGTGGCACTGGTTGCCTCCTGTTTATCACCCCCACTACCGTCGTCCTCTTCGATATTCAGCAGAAGAAGCAACTTGCAGAAGTCACCGTCAGTGGTGTGAAGTACGTTGTTTGGTCAAACGACGGTCTTTACTGTGCTCTGCTTAGCAAACACAACGTTACGATTGTTACCAAGACCCTGGAACAAGTTAGCACTCTCCACGAGACCATTCGTATCAAGAGCGCAACCTGGGACGATGCTGGTGTCCTCATCTACTCGACTCTGAACCACATCAAGTACTCGCTATTGAATGGGTATGTATATGAAATAAATTTTTGGATACAATATGCTAATATTTCCTGACAGTGACAACGGAATCATTCGCACCCTCGATCAAACTGTCTACCTTGTTCGTGTCAAGGGACGTAACGTTTACTGCCTCGACCGCAATGCCCAACCCAGGATCCTCGAGATCGACCCTACTGAGTACCGTTTCAAGCTTTCCTTGGTTAAGCGGAACTACGATGAGATGTTGCAGATTATCAAGAACTCTAGCTTGGTTGGTCAGAGCATCATCTCTTACCTGCAAAAGAAGGGTTACCCAGAGATTGCTCTGCAGTTCGTCCAAGACCCGCAGACCCGCTTCGATCTGGCTCTTGAGTGTGGAAACCTGGAGGTTGCTATCGAGATGGCTCGCGAGCTGGACCGTCCCAACTTCTGGAGCCGCCTCGGTGCTGAGGCCTTGGCCCATGGTAACCACCAGGTTGTTGAGATGACATACCAGAAGCAACGAAACTTTGACAAGCTCTCCTTCCTCTACCTCGCTACTGGTGATGAAGAGAAGCTTTCTCGCATGGCTAAGATTGCTGAGCACCGTGGTGACTTCACTTCTCGTTTCCAGAACGCTATCTACCGTGGAGATGTTGAAGATCGCATCCAGATGTTCAAGGAGGTTGACCTGTACCCCCTGGCCTACCTTACTGCCAAGTCGCATGGCTTGACCGAAGAGGCTGAGTCTATTCTAGAGTCTTGCGGCTTGACTGAAGACCAGATTGGTCTGCCCTCTCTCGAAAACCCCCTCCAGACCCCTCGCCCTATTGTCCCTACCTTCAAGTCTAAGTGGCCTGTTAAGGCTGCCGGTCACTCTTCGTTCGAAAAGGCCCTCCTTGGAGAGGTTGGTGCTGACGAGGAGGCTACTGGTGATGCTCTGGAATTTGGCGAGGATGAAACAGAGGCTGTCCTTGCTAAAGATACCCTAGATGATGAGGAGGAAGATGCCTCTGGATGGGATATGGGTGATGATGTTAATGTTGAGGAGGATGTTGAGTTCGTCAATGTGGAAAGCGCCGAGGCTGGTGCAGGCAGTTCCGAGGCCGATCTGTGGGCTCGTAACTCTCCACTAGCAGCTGATCATGTTGCGGCCGGCTCCTTCGACACCGCCATGCAGCTTCTCAACCGACAGGTGGGTGCTGTGCAGTTTGCTCCTCTGAAGGATCGATTCCTTGAGGTCTACAAGGCCTCCAAGACCTACCTCCCTGCCAGCACCGGCCTGCCACCTCTGGTCAACTACGTCCGGAGAACCACCGAAGAGACAGATAGCCGCAAGGTCCTGCCCATCATTCCCCGTGATCTGGAGACCATTGCCAGCCTTGACCTTCAAGAAGGTTACGCTGCCATGCGGGCCAACAAGTTGGAAGAGGGCGTGAAGATTTTCAAGCGTATCCTGCACACACTCCTCGTCAACAGCGTCTCCTCTGAGGAAGAGGTCGAGCAAGCGAAGAAGATTATCTCCACTGCTCGGGAGTACATTCTCGCCATGTCCATTGAGCTTGAGCGTCGTTCCGTGCCTACTGATACTGAGGAGGGTCTCAAGCGCAGCCTCGAGCTGTCCGCTTACTTCACCATCCCTAAGCTGGAGGTTGCTCACCGTCAACTGGCATTGATGGCTGCCATGAAGCTATCATTTGCCAACAAGAACTTCAACTCCGCCTTGGGCTTCGCCAACCGTATGCTGGCTAACGGTGGCTCCGCCAAGCTTCTGGACCAGGCTCGCAGGATCAAGGCCCAGTGTGAGCGTAACCCGTCCGACGCCATCGACATTGAGTTCGACCAGTTCGCCGAGTTCGACATCTGTGCTGCTTCTTTCACTCCGATTTTCAGCGGTTCTCCTTGCGTGACCGACCTCTTCTCAGGGGCCAAGTACCACGAGCAGTACAAGGGCAGCGTCTGCCGGATATCCGAGGTCACCGAGATCGGCGCTCCGGCCAGTGGCCTGCGTCTATTCGTCCCCGGACTCTAAATGCAACATGACGAAGTTTGACGGTTCCCTCCTTCTTTTTTCTTCTTCACATGAAGGTACAAAATGGGTTTCTTTTCCATCTTCGTGTAGGAAAAGTTGTGTGTTTGGCGGCGCTTTTTTGGGAGACAAAATCTCCTGCTTTCACACCCTGTCTAGATTTGTACCCGGGATTATAATTGTTTAGCGGTTCAGTTTATGCGAATGTTTCTTTCAACTCCATCCTTGTAAAAATCCTAGCAAACATTTGAGTCAAAAGTAATAGTATACTATACAAATAAGATAGGGTCAATGTAAACTCTAAATGCATATCGTACAATGTGTGGAGATTTCCAACCACAAGAGCGGAGTGTTTAGCAAGAACACAATCCCCAGCACCCATCTATCTAGATCAAGTCTGAGTCAATAGTCAGACAATCTAATCACACCTCCCATCCTTCCACCCAGTCTTCCACCTCTCCTCCCAGAACCGACAATCAAACTCTTTCTTCCCAAGCTTCCTGTTAACCTCATTATGCGCCTCACACATCCACCACCCAAACTCCTTACGCCCACTCAACTTAGGCTGATTCCGTCCACTAGGATGCGCCATCCATGTCTTAAAATCATCCGCGCATACCCAGCACGGATACAGTCGCGAGAACAGCTTCAGGAAGCCCTGCATATCAGACTGCTGCTGCGTATCCGCTTTCTCGGGGTAGGTAGCTGCCATCGTGTGCAGGAGTGTCCAGGTTGAGCGGCCGAGTGCTTCGACATCTGGTGGGCAGTCTGCGGGGATGGGGGGCTCGGGGTGTGTGGCTGGGGCGGTGAGGGGGGTTGTGGGTGTTGTTGAAGTTGCTGGGGTTGTGCTTGCGGTGGTTGAAGAGGATGTGGGGGAGTCGGCTTTGGCTTGTTTTGTTAGGGCGCGCCATGAGGAGACGGAGGTGCAGGTTCGGCAGCTATTAGGTGATTTGTGAGTGGTTTGAATGGGAGAGTGTGGTACATTAGCATGTTGGATGGTGCTTCTTACGGTTTTCCATCTTTGTCTAGAACGACGCCTTTGGGTAAGGCCGAGTCGGTTTCTTGCGATTGTTTGGTGGTGGTGGTGGTGGTGGTGGCAGGCTTTTGATTGTAGAGGTGGGCATTTCCTCTGAGGGAGTTCAGCTGCTCTGGTGAGACCTCTGTCATGTTTGCGTGGATTGGAATTTTGGAGAGGGAAAGTTGTAAGTTTGATTTCTAATGCGGTTGGAGGCGGGATCGGCGGGTTTAGCGTTGGTCAGCATTCAGGTACGGCGATCTATGGAGCCACTTTATAGTTTGAACAACAAATCCTCTATTTGTTTCTGTTTTCTGTATCCTTACAGCCCATATTTGGTTCGATACTTCTGTTGCACTTCCATCTTTTGCCCCAAAAGCCACTGATTTAGAGGAGCCCGAAGACCAGACCATTTTGACATTTGGGACAGGTTGAAAACATTCCAACCAGTTCCTGGATCCAAAATCCTAGGATCGGCACCTGCTTTCAAAAGCACGTCCACAGTATCAAAATTTTGACGGTTACTGGCGGCGAAGACAGCCGTGGCACCGACCCGACCTCCCGGGGCATTAATGTCCAGATCCTTATCGAATTCGAGGATCATCTTGACAACAGAAGTCAAGCCATAAGAACTTGCATAATATAAAGGGTGCGTCTTTTCAATTATTGAAAATTGCACCGATGGCATCAGAACCTGCATCCAGGCACCAAAGTTTCCCTGGCGAGGAAGATGTCTCGTATCGAAGAACTTCTGCACCAGGCTCCGCTCTGCATCTCCCAGCTCAGCAGCCGCAGCGTATTTGGGCCACATGTATGTAGCATATGGGAGGGCTTTGTACGTTCTTGAACGCCGAGCTATCTGCCCTTTGCTTGTGTATCCGTCTTTGAAATTGTCGAGACATAGATATGTGATGCACTTTCGCATTATGATGGTGTTCGCAGTGGCAGGGTCCATGCTGAAATAGCTGACTCGTGAAGACTTGATCCAGTCGGACGTCAGGAAGTCCTTGATTGATGAATGGGCCAGAGCGACATAACCAGATTGATCACGGGTGATGAGGCCCTGGCAGATATCGAGAAGAATTTGTGCCGGGACTAGCATCATGTCTTCGTCTAGCGTTGTGCACTCTTCATCAAGAACAACCACTTCGTTGAGGACGTCCAGGGTGAGCATTTCGCTCATGAAGACGTGGTCTTGTGCAAAACTGGTCCAGAAAAGCGCCTCCCGAACAAAGGGTCTGTCCTCGGCAGATACCTGATCTAAGGTTTTCGCGTACATTTCGCGAAGCGTTCCAGGTAGGTTTCGGAGTGCTTCGCGCATTGACCTTGTTGTTCTCTGGGTGCATAGGTTGTCCATTGAAAGCTGCACCCAGCGGAACCTGCTCGACTGTTAGGCTAGGCACACACAACAAGGGAAACACTCAAAGCTCACGATCCATTAGCGTTATCCGACAAAGTCTTCTGGATTTCAGCTTTGAACTCGGGTTTCCGGTCCATCAATGCTACATTGGACTCCAGTCGGTGATTTATATAGGCTTTTATGTCACCCGACATCATTTGCGCGCTGATATTCAGCATTTCGGCGTCTCGTCGGGCCACCATCGTCGATGTAGTCGTTACTACAATGCGAATATTTGGGGCCAGATTGGCAAGTCTCAAAAGAGAAATTTCGATACGTCTTGTGTCGTGGCTTTCATTGATAGCATCCACTAGAATGACAACATTCGTCTTGCCAGAGGCATGTTTGATGATTGCATCTTCCAGAACAGTGATCTCAATGGTACGCTTGTGAGCCTGAGATTTGGGGATATCGTTGTAAATTGGTCGGATGTTGTCGAGTATGGAAGCATCTTCTCCCGAAAGCTGAGCCACCAATGATCCCAACACGTGAACGGGGATCTGAGAGGCCGAGTTACTCATGGTGCAGTAGAAGTATGCAAAGCTAAAAGTTGAATCTTGCGAAGCCATTGACACAAGTTCATCGACACACTGAGCACTACAAACCATTTAGTAAGTTCTTGCCAAATATAATGCGGTCTTGACGTGCGGCTTACAATAAGGTTGTCTTTCCGGTCCCAGCTACTACCTGATCAGTAAATCATCTTCAGAGTGGACGAGACCGTCATACATTTTCCCACAAGGAAGAAGATGTTCCTATCCCCATGCCGCAGCCAATGCTTAAGATGACCACCAATAAACCATTTTCCAGATGCAATATCATGTCCCTCACTCGCTCGCAGGTGCGAATTGGCCGGACTCACCGGAGCCATCCATTGAAAAAGCTCTTTATTAGCCATTTGGTTTCTTTCCTGCTCTCTTATCTTCAAATCCTCAGTCAAAGATCTGGCCAGGCTCCCAATTTCCCGCTGCATATCCCGCTCCACCGCAGCATGATCTGCAGTAAGAACCAGTATCAACCAAGACTTTACTCTTTCCAAACGAGTAAGATGAGCATTGATTTTTGCCTCCGTAAAAGGCCACTCAAGCTTCTGTTTCAAGCTTTTCAGCTTACTTTCAGCCGGCTCCAGATCTCTCAGGAGGGAATCAAGGAATTCTTTCGTTGTATGGAGAACCCTTTCCATGATATCTTCGTTGAAGGGAGTTGAGCCCTCTGACTCGATATGTTGGACCTTGGGGATATATGATGAAGACTGTGTTTGTAAATGGTCAAGAATACCCCTCAAGCCAAACAGTTCTTCGCTTAGTTTTCGCATTTCGGCTCTTGCCCCTTGTACTGCTTTGGCGTACTTGATCAGACGGGCTATTATGTGGCTGACGTCCACGATCAGGCCTGTGATGGATATGGGATCAGCCATGGCTGCACGGTATGCGACCAAAGCTGCAGGTTATTTTGGATTCAAGACGGCTTTCTGGGTTATACTTGTTTATTTTCAAAGGTTACTTTCATGACTAGGTAGTGCTTATTTTTCGCTAACCTCAAGCGGGGTAAGTCTTAGGGGATCCACTAAGGGTCCAGCGCCATGTCAGACTATTACGTCCTACCTAGACCTTGATTAATAGCAGGATGGCACTATTTTAGAACGAAGTGAATTTGCGAGGGGAATTAGTCATTAGCTATAGGAACCATGAACGTATTTGCTGGCCATGAAGTGTGTATATCCTGTCAAAAACCTTAAAATGAATGCATGCATATCTACGTATCTGCATCTTGTCCACTGTGCAACTTGAATGACTCAATGGAAAGCCCAGAGCCTCTCGGGCCACTGATAGTATTCGAAAGCACATCTGGATTAAATGACTGAAGGGTTTACATAGATATGCAGTTCTTGCGGCGCCCAGGTGGTCTTTTGTTGATGGGAAATACCTTCTAAGCACTTTAGATCCACTGGTATAGTTCCGGGGCTTGCAGGGGTCTTTGATGTTTTCGTTCGTTTCTACCTACCAAATAGATATTCATCCGCTCTTGTCTATCCTGCGTAGCCAGGAGTACAACTTAGAGGCCTCTATGTCCTGGATATGTGATAATACACGTTCCGTTCCATATATATATTTTCAACAGAATATGTTGTTGCACCAACGTTTGATCAAACCATCCTCAGCCTGTCCAGCCTGTACTCATATCTAAATATGACGTAAAATGGAACCTTAAGCATGAATTGAAAGAAAAAAATACCCTGGCAAATTTATTTATTTTGGACAACCTTGTTTGCTTGCAATAGAAAGTCACAGTGTTTTGACAGATAACGCGCTGATCGCCGATAAGCTTTGTCATCGATCCCAACTCCAACCTCAATCTAGGACCACGCGACTGGACGTGTCAAACCTTCTGCAATTCAAATAAATTGCATCGTCGCGGTTATAAAGGGCTCTTTTATACGGAAAAGTCGCCTTCATCCCATATAAGTCATCTTGAAAGCGAACCCTTTCGGCATACTGCAAACATCTGCGGTGTCTGTCGCGAATCGATATACCATGGGACCAAAATATAAGCTGTCAGACTCCGAGTCAGAGTCGGAGCCAGATGTTCCTACCGCTCCGTCCGATAAACAACTAGAGAAAGGCTTGCGCGATGAAGTTGCTGGGATATTCAAGTCTGGCAATATGGAGGAGTTGACCGTGAAACGAGTACGACTTGCGGCGGAGAAGAAGCTTGGCCTCGCAGAAGGATACTTCAAAACTACGGGTGATTGGAAGGCCCGAAGCGAGCAGATTATAAAGGCGGAAGTGGTAAGAGATTCATTGTTCAATTGGCATACGCAAATACTATCCTGGCCAGCACTAACATACGATCTCCATAATATAGGACGTGCAGGAAAGTGCTCAAAACGGCGAAACTGAGCCAACCAAAAAATCCCCGTCTCCTCCACCGCAACCGAAAAAGAAAGCACCGGCCAAGCGAACCAAGAGCGACAGTGCGCCCAAGCCGAGAAAGCGCCAAAAGACACAAACCCCTGTTTCGGAGGATGAGGCCACAGTGCCATCTGGTGACGAGAGTGAAGAAGAGGTCGCAAAGCCGAAGAAGCGTGCAACTGCACCCAAGAAAAAGCTGTCTCCCAAGCCTGCTACAGACGAGCCGGAAGATTCAGACGCTCAAGAACATTCCGATGCAGTAAAATCATCGGAAATTGTCAAAGACGACTCCGAAAGCGAGATGTCTGTGGTCCTGGACGAGGAACCCAAGCCCAAGCCCGCACGCAAGCGAAAGAGTACCGAGACAGCTCCTAAGAAGGAGAAGAAGCCTGCGCCCAAAGCCAAATCCAAAGACGAGGAGGATCCAGATCAAGCAGAGATCAAGCGGTTACAAGGATGGCTGGTTAAATGCGGCATCCGTAAGATGTGGTTCCGTGAGCTGGCGCCGTACGATACCGCAAAGGCAAAGATTAAGCATCTCAAGGGGATGCTAGAGGATGCCGGTATGACGGGCCGATACTCACAAGAGAAAGCCAACAAGATTCGCGATGAGCGCGAGCTCAAGGCAGATCTGGAAATGATCCAGCAAGGTGCGAAGCAATGGGGAAAAGGGAGCGGAGACGAAGGAGAAGAAGAGGGACCGCCTCAACGCCGTGCTGCTGCCCGAGGTCGACAGGCACTTGCATTTTTGGAGAGCGATGGCGAAGAGTCGGACTGATACGGCCTCTAAATGACTCTGTAATTGCAATGTATCAATAGTGTTTAGCCATATGTATTCATAATGACCAGTGCCGTGGGTATCCTTGTTTGACTGCTTCTTCCATGTCGCGTGTTTGTACTGCGTCACCGGCCGGCCTTGGGTCCACTCATGCGTTGAGCGGCCAAACTGAAGATCGCGACGGATGAAATGAAGAGAACCAAGTTATAGAACTGCCATCTCCGTTAGAAGTTGCCTATGATATGGACGTGATATAGGAGGAATGTACCGCTGTCCGGGAGTACTCGTTCTCCTCGACTTCTGTGCGCGCTTCGACGAAGAGACGCCGCAGGTTAGGAAGATTAGCCTGTAAGTACGTTAGACTTGACACATGCAGTATGTAAACAATTTACACTGACCATCTTGAGCACAGCTACAATAATAAGGTTGGGAGGAGAGAAATGGTGAAAGGAGGCCTAGACGTACAACGCCGAAGGTAAAGCGGACGGGAAGGTCCAGAGCCCGCCATTTGTGGACAACTTTTGATCGCCCAAACACCCTCTCACCTCTTTCTTTCGTCACTCCGCCGAAATTCCTCCAGCAACCCCATTCTCTCTCTTTTTCTTCTATTCGCACCTGAGTAGAGAGGGGGGAATGGTTTAAGACCCGTCTCCGATCGCCTTTTCCTTACTCCCGAAGTCGCGCGACCGGTGGAAGCTCGCAATTCCCCGCAGTCTCCCAACTATTCGACTCCTTACGACCCCCTACCTCCCCGATTCCATTGGCGGAAGCACGACAAAGTCGGAGCTGAAGCAAAACACACCACGCTATGGCTATGAACAAAATCCGCGGCGCCTTTGCGGTGCCTCGGAAAGGAGAGACGTTTGAATTGCGAGCTGGCCTTGTGTATGGAACCCCCTCTGAACATAGGTGGCTACTTAGCCAGGATGAATGACCGACCATGCTGACTGTTAGAATAGCTCCCAGTATGCCTATGAACGGTACGTTAGCTCGCCAGACTCGTGGATATAGTGAATGGTCCGAGGGAGATGGTGTGGCAATACTAACACTCCCACAGGAAAGAGTCTATCCAGAAGACAATTATGGCCATGACTCTAGGCAAGGACGTCTCGGCTCTTTTCCCCGATGTCCTGAAGAACATTGCAACCGCCGATTTGGAGCAGAAGAAGCTGGTTTACCTTTACCTCATGTGGGTCATCCCCAACACCTTAAGGGGAACCGCATATGCTGACCACTGGAATTGTATAGGAACTACGCCAAATCACACCCTGACCTTTGCATTCTCGCTGTCAACACATTCGTACAGGACTCGGAAGATCCTAACCCGCTAGTTCGAGCCCTCGCCATTCGCACAATGGGTTGTATTCGAGTGGAGAAGATGGTGGACTACATGGAGGAACCGCTGCGCAAGACCCTTCGCGACGAATCGCCGTATGTCCGCAAAACCGCCGCGATCTGTGTCGCCAAGCTTTTCGATCTGAACCCCAGCATGTGCCTTGAGAACGGATTCTTGGAGATGCTGCAGGAGATGATTGGTGATCCCAACCCGATGGTGGTGGCCAACTCGGTGACCGCACTTGCGGAAATCCACCACTCAGCCGTTGAACTTGGAGCTCTTCAGATCACAACCAACACACTACGAAAGATGCTTATGGCATTGAATGAGTGCACGGAATGGGGTCGCGTTACCATCCTCTCGACCCTAGCCGAGTACCGGGCAGCTGATGTGAAGGAGTCGGAGCACATTTGCGAGCGAGTCGCGCCTCAGTTCCAGCATGTGAACGCAAGTGTGGTTCTTGCGGCAGTCAAGGTTGTGTTCCTGCACATGAAGTATGTCGGCCCGGAGCTGGGAAAGACATATCTCAAGAAGATGGCCCCTCCTCTGGGTATGTTGCATTCACAATTCAATTCATCTTATACCGCGGACTAACAAATGATAGTGACATTGGTTTCTTCCGAACCCGAGGTGCAATATGTTGCGTTGAGAAACATCGATCTTTTGCTCCAGAAGCAGCCGGATATTTTGAACAAGGAATTGCGCGTATTCTTCTGCAAATACAATGACCCACCATATGTCAAATTCCAAAAATTGGAGATTATGGTGCGGATAGCAAACGATCGCAATGTCGACCAGCTCCTGGCAGAGTTGAAAGAATACGCCATGGAAGTCGACATGGACTTTGTGCGACGCGCCGTCAAGGCGATCGGCCAGGTTGCAATCAAGATCGAGAGCGCCAGTGAAAAGTGCGTGAACACGCTATTGGATTTAATCAACTTGAAGGTCAACTATGTCGTTCAGGAGGCCATTGTCGTCATCAGGGATATCTTCCGAAAGTACCCTGGTTACGAGGGCATTATCCCGACCCTGTGCCAGTGCATTGATGAGTTGGATGAGCCCAATGCCCGAGCAGCCTTGATCTGGATCGTTGGCGAGTATGCCGAGAAGATCAGCAACGCAGGTGATATCTTGGGTAGCTTTGTGGATGGATTCAACGAAGAGTTCTCTCAGACTCAACTACAAATCCTTACTGCAGTCGTCAAGCTCTTCCTTAAGCGGCCCGAGAAGGCCCAGGGATTGGTGCAGCGTGTTCTTCAGGCTGCCACCGCTGAGAACGATAATCCAGATGTCCGTGACAGAGCCTATATTTACTGGCGTCTCCTGTCCAACACCAGTGACCAGAACGCCACCAAAAGTATTGTTCTTTCCGACAAGCCACCTATTGTCACTACCATCCACTCATTACCGCCCGCTCTCCTCGAACAGCTCCTCCAGGAGCTTTCTACTCTATCATCTGTGTACCACAAGCCCCCAGAGCAATTTGTTGGACAAGGTCGCTTCGGTGCGGATGCCGTTCAGCGAGCCGCTATCGAGTACGTTAACCAAGCCCCCTACGAAGTCCGTTCATATATACTAATAGTTAATTTAGGGAACAACTCCAAAACGCTCGCGAGAACCCACTGGCAGCCGCAGCCGCAGCGGCTGTCAGTGGCACAACTCCTTCTGCGCAGGCGCAAAACAACGTCGAGAACCTGCTGGACATTGATTTCGACGGTGGTGCCCCGGCATCTGTGCAAAACAATGCTGGTGGCATGTCCGGCTTGGAGGGTCTAGCTGGCACCCCCGTCCGGGTGCAGTCCCCTGCAGTTGGAGCCCCGGCCCCTTCAGGCAACAACAACCTGGACGACTTGTTGGGAGTGTTCGGTGATTCAGGAGCATCACAGCCCTCATCGAGTGGTGCTAATGGTAGCGGAGCTGCTGGTGATTTGATGAATGGGTTCTCTGGCCTCGATCTGTCCGGTACCACCTCTCCGGCGAATGACAACCAGAAGAAGACCAATGAAGACATCTTGTCTCTCTTCTAGTTGTAGGGTATAGCGTTCCCAGCCAAGTTAGAGGCTGGTTGTTTTTTATATCCATGTTTCGCAAGCGAGGATCCGAGAAGAACGAGATAGAATGGTTTTTACATGTTTAATTTTTCTTCTTCTTATCTTTCTTGTCCTGCATTCCTAACCTATATGTATCGGATTATAAAAAGGTCATGTACACCTTTCTATTAAAAGGTCGACCCAACTGCCTCTTGCTACTTCCAAATATGTGATTCACTTGGATTGAACATAGCGGTATGTGTCAGCATATGATTTCTAGATCCTTCTAGGGTGGGTTTCATGAAATTAAACTTCTCACTCTGCACCTACTAATATAGGAAAGTCTCCGTCCACGGGTCGGGACCTAAAATCCGGTATTTCCGCTGCCAGCCGCGGTTGTCTCATCCCCAGGAAAACATTGTAAGATGCTTTTCTTCAAGCAGGGACTTCTATAGAAAACCTTGGAATTTGAAAAAAGCCCTTGTAGAGCCAGGCTAAATCAATTGAGTAATCAACATCTTCTCAACTCTCTTCCAATACAATACTCCATAGCAGCGATAAGAGCAGCATAAAAACACTCCAATCTTTACTACCCCAAAAACAAGATTCAACCTGCTTACCAATTCCTTTAATGAGAGCCGACTTTTCCATCAATTCAACGGAAGATGTGGGCCTCAGGGCCAATCCCGTTGCTGGTCGGACCCAGAAAAACTCGGCCGGCACAGATAAATGGGGCCTGTCTTCCGGAATTCCTCTTGAAAGATAAAGACTACAAAATAGACTCAGTTCTGCACAGTTCTAAACAGAAAAGCATCAATTTTGCAACAAAAATTACATCATGGCCACCGATTACAAGTTTGAGGGCTGGATGGGTCTTGACCCTAGCTCCGCCGAGGGCAATATGGTCTGGCAGGAGTTCGAGCCGAAAGAGTGGGAGGAAACCGATATCGATATCAAGATCTCGCATTGTGGTATCTGTGGTTCGGATTTGCATACTTTGCGCAGTGGTTGGGTATGTTTTTATTTCTATTCTCTTATCGAAATGCATACATGCATTATCCAGATTCCCCCTTTATACTAGAACCTTGGAAAAGTGTCAATCACTAACAATCCCAGCGTCCGGCCATGTACCCCTGCTGCGTCGGCCACGAGCTGGTAGGCAAAGCCGTCCGTGTGGGCTCCAAGGTGACAACCATCAAGCTCGGAGACCGCGTTGGCGTCGGAGCCCAAAGCGACTCTTGCCAGGGTCGTCAGGGCGACTGTGAAGAGTGCTCCATGGGCCTGGAGAACTACTGCTCCAAGAAAGTGATCGGCACATACAACAGCGAGCACTTCAACGGCGGAAAGTCTTACGGTGGATACGCGCTGTACAACCGTGTTCCCGCACACTTTGCCGTCAAGATCCCTGATTCCATTTCTTCTGCTGCTGCTGCGCCTATGCTTTGCGGTGGTGTTACGCTTTACAGCCCGCTGAAGCACAACAACTGCGGACCTGGCAAGACCGTTGGTATTATTGGTGTTGGAGGCCTGGGACACTTCGGTGTGTTATTTGCCAAGGCTATGGGTGCTGATCGGGTTGTTGCTATTTCGCGGAAGAGCGGAAAGGCAGAGGACTCGATTAAAATGGGAGCTGATATCTATATTGCTACTGACGAGGAGGAGGGGTGGGCAAGCAAGCATGCTAGAACTTTGGACTTGATTGTTTGCACTGTCTCGTCTACTAAGGTGAGTTGGGCGGATTATTCAGGTTTCGGGTGAATCAAGGACATTAACTGATTTTTCTAGATGCCTATGACTGATTACCTTGGTCTTCTTAAGACTGGTGGTACCATGGTTCAGGTTGGTTTGCCTGAGGATGGTGGTCTCTTTGCTCCTGTGCGGAGCTTGATGCGTCGTCTGAAGTTGGAGAGCTCCCTTGTTGGTAGCCCGAATGAGATTCGGGAGATGTTCCAATTGGTCGCGGATAAGGGTATTCAGCCTTGGATTCAGGAGATTCCAATGAAGGATGCTAACAAGGCCATTGTGGATATGGAGGAGGGTCTTGCGCGCTACCGTTACGTGCTGGTTAATGAGGAGTAAATGTCTATGCTGAATTGATGTGAAATGTATAGAGTGACATGAGTATAGAGTGACGAATAGAGTATAGAATGACGAGATGAAGCAATGTTCAGAAGCTAGAGCCCTACTTTTGTTAGTAGTAAAGAACATAAAATATTTGAGACAGGAACAGAACGTTCATTCTTAAAAGGTAACTTTTGATTATAATTTCGATCAAAATTAAGCAAAATTCCCTTCGTATGCAGGCCGCATAATCTAACAAGAATTAAGATACAACAAAAAGAAAGAAAAAAAAAATCCAAGCAAAAGCCATGTATTTATTACCATTACTTTATATCACGAGCTGACACAATAGTGTAAAACAAATTCTCGAAATGACCAAGCAACTCTTTTCCCCCAACCCTGTATGGGGGAGACCAAGCGGATCTACTATCGATGCACTGTAGCCAAGCAAGCAAAGCACAACATATCAATTTCCCGATTGCTTAACTCTCAGGTCCGCACCACGAAGACCGAAAGAGCCAAAGCAAATGGGCAGTCTTTTGAGGAAAGTGTGCAACTGGAGCCAGATGCAAACACTAACACTCACATACTCATAGCTGAATTTACAGCAGAGCGAAGAGACCGACAACACCAGCCAAGAGACCGGCAGCGGGCTTGATGCTGGAGGCGGCACCAGTGAAGGTGCCGGGGGCGCTGGTCTGCTCAGTGGTGGGCACGGAGGCAGATCCGGAGGGCACGGAGACAGCAGTGGCAGCGGGAGTCTCGGCAGCGGCAGATCCAGCAGGGACAGAGGCAGACTCAGCAGGGACAGCGGCAGTGGAAGCAGCCTGGGTCTCAGCGGGGACAGCGGCGGATCCAGCAGGGACGGAGGCAGACTCAGCGGGCACAGCAGCGGTTCCAGCAGGCACGGAGGCAGACTCAGCAGGGACAGCGGCAGTGGAAGCAGCCTGGGTCTCAGCGGGGACGGAGGCAGAGCCAGCGGGAACAGAGGCAGACTCAGCGGGCACGGAGGAAGCCTCAGCAGGGACGGAGGCAGACTCAGCGGGGACGGAAGAAGCCACAGCGGGGACGGTGGAAGCCTCAGCAGTGGAGACAGCGGGGACGACCGAGGAGCCGGGCACAACAACAGCAGAGGTAGTGGGGACCACAACGGCAGTGCCGGGAGCAGTGCCGGGAACAGTGGCGGGGATAGTAGCGTTGGCGAAGGTCATGGGCTTCTCCTCGCAAGCAGTGCAGACAGTGGTCTTGGTGAGAGTGATGGTGCTGGTCTCGGTGACAGGGACAGTGAAGGTCGAAGTACCAGAGGTAACAACCGACGAGGTCACTAGGAGTTTGTTAATTATAAGTTTAATTGAGAAGGGTTTAGTTTAGGATGCTTACCAGGGCAGGTGGTGGTGACGATGGTGATGGTCTTAGTGGTGCCAGGGATCACAGGAGTGTGAGGAGGCTTGGTGTGGTGGGTAGAGACCGAGGTAGGGGTGGTGGTGGGAGTGGTGCACGGGGTAGAGCTAGACTCCGGGGTAGAGCTGGGAGTAGTGGTGGGAGTGGTGCACGGGGTAGAGCTGGACTCCGGGGTGGGAGTAGTCGAGTAGGTGCACGGAGTGGTGGTGCTCGCCGGGGTGGTGGTGGTGCTTGCCGGGGTGGGAGTAGTGCTGGTGGAGCAGGGAGTGGTCCACGACTCGTGCTCGTCGGCAGGACGGCTCCAGCTGTTACCCCACGCCTCAACGTGACCAGCAGAGCTCTGGGCAGCAGCGGAGTGAGCCTCACCACGGACCTGCATGACACCAGCAAAGGCCGGGGTGGCAACGAGGCCAAGAAGAGCAATGGACTGGATCATTTCGAGAAATTGAAAAAGCTTGAGCTTGGAAAGATAAAACGAGTGAAGTTGATGAAGGGATGAGAAGAAAGTCGTTGAGGAGGGAGACACAAAGGGGTTTATATGCTCGACTCGAGGAACATCGCCCAAGTCATGACGGAGATGGCTGCCATGGTTGTGCTCAGGAGAGAAAACGTTGACCTGATCCACATCTGAGGGATTTATGGCCGAATGCAGGAACTGTGACTGCGAGCCGTGGCTAGCAGAGGCACTGATTGAATATCATAGGCCAAATATCATGGGGTAATGATACCTTGGTGTGGTCGACTTAGATGCAAACGTGACATGCTGTGGTTTCATCTTACTTGGTAGTGCAATAATTTCTCCACAGAAGCTCCCAATGCGGAAGTAAATCGAGGTCGAGTTCTGAGATCAAACTCAGTTGATGCGGAGTTGCGGCCAATAAAAGTAGCTTAGCACTTGATGAAGTCAAAAACAGTCTGTGAATCAGCATAATCGGTACACAAACCCACGACAAGAAGGTATCTAAATCAACACCGGCCTTGCTATAGTCGATTGAGGCCTCAATAATCACGTAATAAGCAGGGCTTGACAGTGCAAGCAGAAAGGCTAGGTTGTGTTAAAGCCGGAAACGGCAATATAGGACTTGCCACGCTGTGGACAACCACATGTGGGGGAGATCTAGTATTCACCAATCATAGATTGGAATCTCGCTTCGGCATGCGCACACTTACTTGACAGGCTCATTACGGAGATCCAAAACGGTCGTAAGGCTAGAGGCTCCAGTGCCAATGGGAGTGTTCACCTTGAAGCTGAGGAATGTAGATCATTGTAGGTGCAGTAGAGATGGCCCCTGCTGTGATTGGTTGTAGCCCAGTCAGGAATGTGAGGAATGCCTTGCAGTTCCCCAGAAAACGATCCTTTCACTCCATGGGGACAATAGATCAGATTTTTCTGATATCCACTGTTGATGTGACCCAGTGCCTCTTGGTCCACATTAATGAGATCTTGCCTTGACGCCGGATTTGATCCTGTCTCCACCATTTGAGAAGGAATCGGCCTATGAATGCGCTCTGCAGCCTTTGCATTTGCTGCACACGAATCAGTGGCAATGCACCAGATGCTACTCAGCGACGTTGGCTAACGAAGCCGTCTCGTCTTCGCTGAGAGTTTGAGCCAACTTGGGTAGTCTTGTCATCATCCAAGGTTTGTCATTAAGTAACAGGTACCTCTACGAGAAAAAGCTGCAAACGGTAGTGAGTCACTTGGTAGATGTGGAAAATTTCGGGGGCTTCCTTGTGAGTTGGATAATATCGACTTAGTCAATGTTCTTCATGAAGGCTCGGAGGATGTATGTAGATGCAGAGGTGGCATCCGGATTAGGCAAGATGACCAACACGTGACTAGGGTTAGGGCGCGCTTTCCTCGACGCGTCGCGCGTCCGGACTTTCCTGTTCGGGTTCGAGATCTCAAGTATCAACGACATCAATTATTTACATTATGCCTCACTCAGTAGCGACGATGGAACCCCCCGCCCAACCCGATAATGAAACCCTCCCCGATGCTCCAGAAGAGGCAAATGGGGTCAAATTAGAAGATATGTTCGACGATGATGATGACGAAGAGTTCCCTGCATCGAGCGCGCGGGACGTGAAGATGGAGAGTTCTCCAGCTCCTGCACCGGAACCGTAAGTTGATCAGATTCAATAAGGCTCTGTTCTGAGCTGATGAATAGAAAAGTGTACCAGCGCCATTCCAGTCGGGTGTGGACTCGGATGTCATGCTCGCCTTCTACCAACGCCTCTTCCCATTTCGCTATCTTTTCCAGTGGCTGAACCACGGAATTGTGCCTACTCGGGAGTTTGGCAACCGCGAATTCGCCCTGACCCTCCAAAATGACGCCTACCTCCGATACCAATCTTACCCCACCGCAGACTTGTGAGACCAGCTAAAATGCCCCTCGCGGTCAAAAGAAATTCAGCCTAACAAATCGAACGCTAGGTTCCGAAAAGACATCCTTAAAATGAACCCATCTCGTTTCGAAATCGGACCCGTTTACAGCACCAATCCTCGCGACCGCAAGACCCTACGAGGAGGCCAGATGAAACCAGTCTCGAAAGAACTGGTTTTCGATATCGATATGACAGATTACGACGACATCCGAACATGCTGCTCAGGCGCTAGTATCTGCGCCAAGTGCTGGGCATTTGTCACTATGGCAATCAAGGTGATTGATGCCGCCCTCCGGGAGGATTTCGGTTTCGAGCATATCCTATGGGTCTACTCGGGTCGTCGTGGTGCTCACGCCTGGGTTTGCGATCCGCGCGCCCGTAACATGCCCGATGACCGACGAAGGGCAATTGCTGGCTACCTCGAAATAGTTAAGGGAGGATCCTCAAGTGGCAAGAAAGTCAACCTAAAGCGACCTCTGCACCCGCATATCACTCGCAGTCTTGACATTCTCAAGAACCACTTCGGACAGACGACACTTATTGACCAAGATACGTTCACAAGCTCCGAACAGGCCGAAAAGCTTCTCAACCTGCTCCCGGATAAATCGCTGAATGACGCCTTGCGGAGGAAATGGAGCTCCTCCCCTGATCGTCCTAGCACCAGTAAATGGGCCGATATTGATGCATTGGCCAAAACTGGAAAGAGCAGCACATTGAATACCTCTACGCTGCGCGATGCTAAGCAAGACATCGTACTGGAATACACCTACCCACGTCTTGATGCCGAGGTTAGCAAGAAGATGATTCACTTGTTGAAGAGTCCATTTGTTATTCACCCTGGCACTGGCCGAATTTGCGTTCCAATCGATCCTAAGAAGGCTGATGAATTCGACCCCTTGTCTGTCCCGACTGTGCTGGGTCTCCTTGGGGAGATTGATGAATACGATGCCAAACATCCCGCTGGCACCGAGACTGAGATGCCTGATGCAAATGGCAGTGCAGCGAACGGTTCTGACATCAGAGGACCTCGCAAAATGCAGGACTATGAGAAGACTAGTCTGAAGCCCTACATCGATTTCTTCCGGTCGTTTATTGCGGGTCTAATCAAGGAAGAGCGGGCCGGCAAGCGAGAGCGTGATGAGACTGGACCGAAGATCAAAGCTGATCCGATGGAATTTTGAGTATCAGCTCGGGTCTGAACTACACTGTGAATTATGACTTTCATGTCCTGTCATTTTTAAGGCAAATTTGCACATGTCCCAGGTGACGTGAGCAGAGCTTTTTTTTTAGGCGTTTTGGTTGCATGATCCCCAAGCTGTCGATTTCTTTTCTTCTATAATCATATTTGCCATGGACTAAACATCATTTTAAAGACCATTTACGAGATTTGGTTGACATACCACTCAATTACGTTTCCAAGGATTGAGACCTACATTTTTACTTCACGCTCAAGCAACACGACCTTCCTGCGAGCCGGAGAAAATAGAAAAAGCTTGGAACTAGATGGCTTACAACGAGTGTAGTACGCAATGCAGTATCATGATCGGAGACTTATTCATTTATTTAATTTGTAGTTATTGGTACACGCCTGACAATGCGGAGTAGTGCCGCCATAGATCAGTTCAAGAGGGTTATTACAACGTAGACGAAAATGTCAAAAGTGAAAATTGGGATGCAGGCACATCACTTAAGCAGCAATGAACTTGCGAACGTTCTCCAACCAAGAAACGTACTCCTTCTGCTCCTTGAAAGCAATGTAGTCGGTAATCATGTTCTGGAACTCGACGTTAAGACCACGCTCCTCGAGGTAACGGCCCCAGAAGGACAGGAGCTCGGGGTCGAGATTCTCAGCGGGAGGACCGGAGTAGAGGCTCTGGCGAGTCCAGTCCTTCTCAGCAGTGTGAGCGTTGGCGATCTCGGCATCCTTGAAGTGGGAGATCTCCTCGATCTGCAGGTCACCGTCCTGGATGACAGCCTGAATCAAGAGGGCACCCTGGTTGGCCTTCTCAACGGCAATGTCAAGGCGGGCAGGGAAGGTAGGGGGGAGGATATCGTCCTCACCCTCAACGTCGCGGCCCTGGTTGTTGTACTCGGCCTCGTCACCAAGAGCGTCGTCGTGAAGGTCATCCATGGGGTCCTCGGAGAGGTTGTTAATGTCAGCGACGGTGAAAGTAACGCGGATACTGTTCAAGGCAGTGGTCATTAGTCAAGTGTCCATTTCCGATGATTCTAGATGGACGGGGTGACTTACGTCTCGTTGCCGAACTTCTTGGTCAGAACAACCTCCTGCTCGCCGGCAACATCCTTAACCTGCCACTCGCCAGCCTGGAGAGTGTAGTCGATGCTGGCCTTCTGCTCCTTAGCATCCTCAGCACCGGAGGCCTTCTCGTGCTTCACCTCCTCATCAAGCTTGGCAAGAAGCTCAACATCTCCTGTTGAAAGAAAAATCAAAACATTAGCTTTTTACTCGGAAGACTTCACCGGAGACATCGCATCAATCTCCGTGGATCAGTCATCATCTATATAACTTACCCTCAGCAGCGGGTTCCCGGAAGACGCTGGAAGTAGAGAAAGCGGCGTAGGCGGGCTTGGTGGCCTGCTTCCAGGGCTGGAGCAGAGCAGGCTTGGGGAGGACAGCCGGGCGCATCGAAGCGCGGGCAATGGAGCGGGAGAACCGCGGGACGGAACGAGAGAAAGCACGGAGGGAAAGCATTGTGAATGTGTGGATGGAATGGATGAAGGGGAGAAGCTGAAGAAGAAAAAGATGAGAGCTGCCGCGATGATGTTGCCAAGCCCGGGCCTTTTCTGGCTCCGCCTAAGTCTGGTTTGCAGATCTGCCGTTGTTTCCATTGGACGAGCTACGTACTAATCATGCAATTAAATCGTCCGGTAATTTTTAGCACTTTCCATATTCATTGAAATGTTTGAATTGATTTAAATGTCATAATTGGTATCAGCAAGTACTTTTCGCGAGAAAACAAGCGTCGATGCATATCCCATATTGCGCCAATCAAACCCCACTTGAAACAGTGAAGAAATGAAAAAGAATCGTCTAAAAATCATGAACATCAATCATGACATACCCTTGGGTGGGAAGCTAGAGGCCTGTTTTTCTCCACCAATGACCAAGCGAATGAACTTGGCTGAGCTGAGAGCCGTCCACTCTCCATTCCAGTGCTTCAACTTCAAAAATGCATCCTCGTCGCTAAGATCCGGCATCCAGAAACCGGTCTTGAATTCCTTCTCCTCCGTTTGTGTCCGTTGCGACAGAGCCTCCTCACGTCGAAGTGGTGGACGGCCTTTGCGCCTTTCCTGCTGAAGCTGTGCAAGCTCTTCGCTGTCGCGGTTAATGCACCTATTCACTGTTAGAATTTCATCTTTCCGAGTCCCACTGCGATAAGAGAACGTACTGGTTCACCAAGTCGGCCAACCCTTCATCATTCAAAGGCTCGTCGATATCTTGAACGGCATTATGGAAGTATTCAATGCGCTCCACTAGTAGAGAGTTAGAAAATCAATTGACCGAAACTGGGCTCCATTAATGCTCACTGTAAGGTTGGCGGGCCTTCATTACGGCTCCGGTATGGCGGATCAATCGGTCGTCCCGAGAACCGGCACGGCGTAAACGCCTGGCATCACGGCTGTTCTCATGAAGCGAGTCGATAACACCGCGCTTCTTGGAGATTTGTTTGTGTACTTTTTGAAGTGTGCGAGGCATGATTAAGGGCGTGGTGGGGATTATCGTAATAGCAACGAGATTAGATTTGATAATTATTTTTTTTGGCATGTGCAGAATCTGGCGGTGAAGATAGCACCACCGCCTTCCCTAAACCCTTCCAATCGCGTCTGCGCGTCGAGAGGGGAACAAACGTGAGCAAACATTCCACCAACCATGGCGGTATTTACTCGGTGATTCTGTATCGGTCCTTCCTCCTTACCATACTGCATATTGATTTTTTCGCGTTGAGCCTTTAACATTTCAAATCCGCATGTTATTGTTTATCATTTAACCCGAGGACCCGCTTGAGCCTCGACCCCGGTTTCCGCAATGGGTATCAAAGGTAAATTCGCTGGACCGAAGGGGTAAGGATGCTTCGAACGATTCTAATATTTCATAGGACTTCACGGTCTCCTGAAATCCATCCAAAAACCATGCCATCTTAAGAAGTTTGCCGGCCAGACTCTCGCGGTGGACGCCTATGGCTGGCTGCACCGTGGTACAGTTGCTTGTTCCGTGGATCTGGTCTTGGATAGGCCAACAAGGAAGTATGAACCAACCATCAGAGACATTCAACACTATGATGATATATTAATGCAAGAACAGACACATTGATTTTGTTCTTCATCGAGTCCGTATGCTCCTTTACTTCGGAGTAGTGCCTTACATGGTCTTCGATGGCGACGACCTTCCCAGCAAAGCGGCGACCGAAGCCGATCGACACCGTCGCCGACAAGAGAGCAAGGCCTTGGGATTGGAACTACAACGGAAGGGCAGAATCCCGGAGGCCTATCAGGAATTCCAAAAAGCCGTCGACGTTACGCCCTACATGGCTCGCCAATTGATTGAAGAACTAAAGAAAATGAACGTACAGTACGTGGTGGCTCCATATGAGGCTGATCCTCAGATGGTGTATCTCGAACAACAGGGAATTGTACATGGTATCATTTCCGAGGACTCGGATTTGTTAGTATTTGGAGCGAAACGCTTGCTGTCGAAACTGGATCAACATGGCGAGTGTATTGAACTCAACCGAGCAGATTTTACTGCTTGTCGAGAAGTGAGCCTGGTGGGATGGAGTGATGCCGATTTTCGTCGAATGTGCATTCTTAGCGGCTGTGACTATTTGGCCAATATTCCCAAGATGGGATTAAAGACGGCATACCGCAGCATTCGCAAGCACAAGACTGTGGAGAAAGCGCTGCGGATGCTTCAATTTGAAGGCCAGTTCAAGGTCCCAGCTGATTACCTTAAAGACTTCAAGCAGGCCGAAGATACTTTTCTCTATCAGCGTGTTTTCTGTCCCAAGGCAAAAAAGCTGATCCCTTTAACCACTCCCGACGAGGGAGTAGATCTTGAGGAAATGCCGTTTGTCGGAGCCGATGTGGACCCAGAAACTGCGGCTGGGGTCGCTTGCGGGGATCTAGACCCGACGACCAAGGAGCCCATTGAAATGAAACCGCTGGTTGCAGGTAAAGTGCCCATGGGTATTAGTCGCCGTCAGACATTGGGGTCGTCTTCAGAGCTGAAGCCTAGCAAGCCTATCAACACGTTCTTTACTCCGAAACGCAAACCTCTCGCCGAGTTGGATCCGAACAGCCTGACTCCATCACCGAGTCAGCAGAGACTGCTGGAGCGGAATGCGAACAACTCCTGGCAACCCAACTCAGTGCCCTTACGATCCAACACAGTTAGGGCAACTCCGGTTCGAGCCTTCTCTGACCAAGGTCTCAGCCCCATGGTTCGAAGCGTTGGGCGAAACACAATCTTGGCTCAGACTGCGCGGGCATCAAACCTGCAGCCGACCAAGAGACAGAGACTTTGCTCCGAAGCCGAGGATGACTCCCTTCCTGCTCGTCCAAGCGTCCAAAGTCGGTTCTTTGCTGCTACTACTACTGAACCAGTGAGCCCTAGTGGACAGAAAGTATCTCGGAGTAAAAAGGCACGCCAGTCCATGATGGACGTCTTTTCGGATGAAGTCGCGGAGGATATCTTCTCACGGATTTCCGATCCTGTTTTGAAGGCGAAGACTATGACAGACCAAGGGGATACCAATCCTGAGAATACCCCTTCGAAGGGAAAGAGCGAGGTGGAGGTCAAGGCTGTGGCCGTTCCTGATCCGAAGACTGACGATGATCAAGCCCCAATGGAGACTCCAGCGTCAGAGTCCGGGTTCTCGTCTGAGGACAACAAGTTCAACCAGGCTCTTGGGTATCATGTCCAACGACAGAACTCAACTATTTCCAAATTCACGTTTACATCTGGATCTAAACCTGCTTCCCCTGTTCAGCGCTCCCCTATGACCAGGATTCCGGTGATTCAGACCAGTCAAAGGGATGCATTTCTTTCGTCCCCTCGGACACCCATGATCGACTCTCGACACAAGAGCCCTCAACGGCAGCGTCTTACTCCGCTGCAGCGGATGGGTCAAGCGGCTCTTCACCGCTCACGTAGCATCAACTTTCCCACGTCGCTCAGACACGCGGATTCTTCAGAGTCTCAGTCGGATGAGACGCCAGTCACTACTGAGGCTAACACGCCCCAAGGTAGTGAGGATTTCATAATTCCGGACAGCGATGATTCGGAAGAAGAGATTGCTACCAGCTTTGGACAAACCCCGACGTTGGATTTAAAGCGGTTTTCGTTTGCCGCTAAATGAGTCGGGATTCGCATTCGGGCATCTATGCATTTTCAGGCACGGAGTCTTCTGTATGGAGTACTGGACGGACAAAGCCAGCTAGTATGTGGGGTGCATTTTCATGGATGGTATTCTTCTTTTCTTTTATGGAGCTTTCTTGTTCCTGGAGTGGAGCAAATGTCATTTTCATCAATATCTCATTTTTATCATTTCGGGAATCATTACCTCAAACATCTTCAATCATTGTGCCTCTGTATCCGTACTTGATTCATAGATATGGTAGATCGTCGAGTGGGGAGGCTGGGGAGAGTGGCGTCAGTGGACCCCAACTTACTACAAATATGATTTACGCTACTCTATATCCGGCTTAGCGCAGGAACACGGCGCCACCGAATCGGGCCAGATTAGGCAGAATAGCCCGAATAGTGAGGCGGTCAGATTTGGTTTCCATAGAAGCGGGAAGGTAAACAAAGACGGTTGGCCCAGCCTCCCAAATTCCCATACTCGTCTCCATCCCCAGCCTCCAAGGGACTTGAGAAATCAAGCCTGACGTGGTTTTCTTGAATTACAGCTACGATCTTTCTTACCCCCCTTCCATTCCTTCTGCACATTCTTCTTACAACTCCCCTGTGGTGACCACTGGTGGTAAAAGAAGCTCCCATTCTGACCATATTCGAGTCTTCTTCCTAGGTGCGATTCGAATCAAAAGACGAGCCCAACATTGTTTTGGTGCATTTTCTTGAGCCCGACTTTACGTCCGAAGTTTCTTCGATTCTTTCCCTCGCACCTCATCTTTCGCATTCTTTCTCCACATTCCAATCGTTCTTGACATCGGAATCTGTCAACGTCGACGGCTACTGAAGATCCTTGATTCGATCAAAGAAGCCAACCTTCCGTTCCAATTCAGGGGCCCAGGCTTTGACCCTGCATCCGTTTCAAGTGCTCCTTCTCGGAGATACGAGAAGCGAGTTAATTGACGTGAAAGAGGTGGGCCAGTTGCGGGCCATCGTTGGACGCAATGGCTACAAATTTCGCGGCAGGATGGGCTCGTATGTGACACCATGCCTCCAGATAGTTATCGGATCAAAGGCCAGTTCACTAACTTGATTCTAGGGTTCATTCCGATGATCGGGTACCACCATGTGTTGATGATTATCATTGCAGTTGCTATTATCTTATTATGTAAGTTGACCGAAGCCTATTATCAAAATGGGGAACTTGGAATGTTGTTGGAATGCTTCTAACAATTATTAGCACTTCTGTTGGCCGGATGTTCCTCCTCATCCCCACAAATCCCTGACATCTTCTTGATCTCCCTGTACTATGAGAGTTACAAGCCCAATTTCGCCCTGGCACAAGTCGATCCGGGTGTTACCACCGCTATGGCTAACATTGTGCACAACGCCGAGCTAGAGGTTCGAGTGGGATACTTCGGTATCTGCGTTCAACCTGACCATGGCTCATACATTTGCAACGCCAATGCCACCGCACTGGCTGAGATCGTCAATGTGGACCAGGACCCACTCAACTTGATCTGGGTCGCCTCAACATTCAAAGATGCGGTTGTGTTCCCATACTTACTGTAAGCTTCCCTCAAGCCATTCGAACAACAATCCAAGCTAATTGTGCCCCCAGTATCGTCGCTATTATTCTCGCCTTCATCTGTTTCATCCTTCTAGCCACATTCCCCGGCTGGCACGAAGAAGTCGGTGACTCCGGTTCCGATGTTGAGGTCAAGCCTTTCCCATCGCGGCCTGTCTCCCAAGCCGCGCTTGCACTCATCTTCATCTCCTCCGTATTCGTCCTCGTGTCCGTATTATGGCAGCACACGGCGTCTGTCGCAGCGAGTACTATCGCACAAGATATGGGCAACGGCAGCGTCAAGAGCGGAGTCGGGACTTCAGCCATGGTGCTGGGTTGGTTCGGCTTTGTTCTCATGGTCATCGTCACAGTTGGTCTTCTAGTCATGATTCTCAGTATCCGAATGATTCGGAAATTGACAGATGACGAAGAATGAGTGTTGATCATGTGCTTTTTTTTCTTGCGTCTGCTTTTGCCTTTTTTGATTTTACGCCACAATTATCTTGATATCCGACTACACACTACCTGTTATATCCGACACGACACGCATGGAAAATGATTAATATGTACGAGCACACGGCAATGGCTCGAGGCTTTTACGGAATGGAATACGACTTTAGGGTCATGGGAAATGGAAATGGAAATGGGATTTGAACAATTTGGGACTCGCGAACATATGAGGATCTGGATCCTCTCTACACATCACCTTTGGCACTGAGAACACTCAGTCCCCGGGGGTCCTGGCCAGTTCAATGTCATCAAATTACTTCTTGTACAGCTTTGCAGCCGGCGTTATGGGTTCTTCTTACGCCTTTGTGATTTGTTTTCCCGGCGTTCTCTTTTTTGTATAAAACATGTTTCTGAGGCATAAATCTTGCTGCACACTGCTTGATTTGAACTGCTTTCTTGCATACATTTTGAAAGCCAAAGGCTTGAACACTAGATAGTTGAACCTGAACAATGAACAACCCATACCTCTCTACCTACTGTTGTCCCACGTAATCACACTCAAAGGCTACCTTTCTGTCTCTTAAGACATATCCTAGCTCTGTATATCTTCTCCAGTGCAGTCACTCGTGCTTCCAAGGTTCTCATGGCTACCCAGCTGTCGGCATATTGTCACGTGACCCGCGGCCTACAAGTCAATTCGGCCAATTCCTTCGGGATTCAGGCCATTGCAAAGAGCAATAAGCCCGCAACCGAATACGAATACTGAGTTCATCAAAGTATAAACCTGGAAATGGCGGGATTTCGCCTTCGGCAAGTCATAATCTAGCCTAGATATGGTTAGTGGCGTTTGGTGTTCAATGCTCCTACAACAACCGGACGGCGCCCACGTGCGCCTCTAGTCCTATCGGCTAATGTGTTGCAGCGAGCTATGCCTCGCTATGCAATGTTTATTCAAGCCACACGCCCACGTGTCGTCAACTCAACGCAGTCGAAATTACTATCTACTCAAAGTGCTCGTCACTAATCAGCGATCAGTTGTAAGGATGCAACCTCAATTGATTGGATATGGATAGAACAGGCAACTGGCCACCACGACATGCATCATGGCATACAGCCCATCACGGCATTGGATGGCATCGACCGGCATCGACCGGCATTGGCTCCACCGTCACGTTAGCAAGGAGAACTTGGTTCTGGAAAGAGATACCCCACATTATCAATCTATCAGTCTCATCCAATAGGAAGCCGCCTCACCACCATGTGCCTGTCAAGCATCCTTTTTTCAACATTCATTTCGGCAAATTATCGCCTGACCCATGGCGAGACATCAAATCGGCTATTCAATACCCCGTACGCGTATCCGTTTATGCATGCATAGTCAAGGCGAAGCGTTGCGGGAAGTATACCTAGCAGTCGAATAGATATGAAACATTTACTATAAAGTTCCACACATACCTCTCTCTGAAGGGTCGTCTTCGATCATTGTCTCGCCTTCTCAACATGTTGAACCTTGTGACATCCGGTTTGGCCCTTGCCTCCGTGGCCTCCGCTAGCTGGAGCGGACTCCCCAAATTCGGCGAGAAGCAATTCTCCCAGTCCTTCAACGATGGATACAACCTGTTGAAGCACATGGGCAGTTTCGCGCCTTACTCCGATCGCGCTTCGTACGGTGTGGACCGAAACACCCCTGAGGGATGTGAGGTTGACCAGGTGCATATGCTGATGCGTCATGGTGAGCGTTACCCAGACGCTATCTTCGCTGAGGGTTATGTCGAGGTGTTGGACAAGATGCGGAACTCCAAGGTCAAGACCTGGAAGGGAGACCTCGCTTTCTTCAACGACTGGACCTACTACGTCGATGATGCTGGTCTTTACTCTCAGGAATCGACCACTGGCCCGTACGCCGGTCTGCTCGACGCCTTCACCCGCGGTAGCGAGTACCGTCTTCGCTATGGTCACCTTTGGGATAGCGAGACTGTTATCCCCATCTTCAGCTCTGGATATGAGCGTGTCATTGAGACTGCTCGGTACTTCGGTCAGGGTTTCTTTGGATACAACTACTCCACCAGTGCTGCTATTAACATCATTCCCGAGGCTGCTTCTCAGGGAGCTGATAGTTTGACCCCGTCTTGCACGGCTGATTCCAACTACTACACCTGCTATGCGGACCGGTTCTACGCAACCTTGCCCCCCTTGGAAGTTGCTGCTAAGCGTTTCAACTCTCAGAACCCTGGATTGAACCTCACTGCAAGTGATGTCCTCCAATTGATGGGTAAATTTCCGTATGATCCTTGTTTCCGGCTACAATACTAATGTTTATCACTCCTCCAGAGACTGCCGCTTTTGAGCTCAATGTCCGTGCTTCTACCCCTTGGGCCGATGCATTCACTCTCGATGAGTGGGTGGCCTATGGCTACATCTGGGATTTGGCCTACTACTACTGCTTCGGGTATGTCTCCCTAAGTTTCTTGAGGGACCATGACTAACCATATGTTCTATAGAGCTGGTAGCGAGTACCAAACTGCCGCGGGCCAGGTTTATGCCAATGCCACTCGTGTCCTAATGCAGTCCGGCCCCAAGGCTGGAAAGATGTTCTGGAGCTTGTGAGTTCCCCATAAGATTCTACTTCAGACACCTGTTCTAACAGCCACCCAGTGCCCACGATGCCGATATCACTCCCGTCATTGCCGCCCTAGATATTGACGTTCCCGAGCACAAGCTCCCCAACAACACCATTCCCTTCCCCAACCCCTACCGTGTGGCCGATATCGTGCCCATGGGCGGTCACCTTACCCTGGAGCGTATGACTTGCAACGCTACCACTGTGAGCAAGGCTGGTGTCTACGTCCGTGCCATCCTCAACGAGGCTGTTGTGCCTTACTCCAATTGCCAGAGCGGACCCGGTTACTCCTGCCCTCTTGCCAAGTTCTCTGCTATCGTTGACAAGGCTCCCAAGTACGACGAGAAGTGCGAGACCCCGTCCTCGTACCCTCAATACCTGAGTTTCTTCTGGAACTACAACACTACCAACGAGTACAACTACCAGTCTGGTGATATTGCTTACCAGCTGACTGATACCGACGTTTGAGTTGTTTTGTTTAGCTCTCTACTAAGAAAGTGGTCGTTTGTTATTTATAGGATGGATGTGTATGATCAATAATTTAGGGGTTAATAGAGCATAGAGCTTACCTTGCCCGGGTGAATATAAAATGCAACAGAATATTTATCCATACAATTACTTCCTACATATTTGTTCTTACTATCACACTAGCCGCTAGACCCGCCGCTTTACCCGAATCCGTCCCTATCGGTCCAAGGTTCGGTATACTTTTAGGCTGAAATCATTGGTTCTAGCATGAATACTTAGGAAAATCAAAAGTCTTTCACGACCACTAATTTACATACTGCAGTGCAGACTAAGCAATTCTATATATTTGTAGTAGCCTAGTTAGGACAGGAAGAATATTTACTCCGCCCCGTTCGGCTCGCTTAGCCAAACCCCACAAATACCATTTCAGCGGCCTTGTCCATCATTCTCTCCTCACCCATTCAGAGGACAGAGCGAATACATCATAGGAGCCTAGCTAGCACTATGGTGGCTCGAGTCAGACTGGAAAGCGGTGCTCGTTGGACTAGATGTCCAATAGACAGTTAGGCTACGAGCCGATGAATACCCCCCGATCAAATGACGGCGTGGAAGCCTTCCTGAAAACCAGGGCAGGATTAAAACGCATCGAGGCTAATGTGCCAGATGCGGGCAAGACTCAGGGGACCCCTGTGAAAGTCTTGTTGCTTATAACCGCAGTGCAACGATAGAACCCATAAGTCACTACAAATGTATGATCGAATATGATCGGTAGTGCAGGGGCAAGTTCATCGTGTATATGCCACGGAGCAATGAACCAAGCTATAAGTCACTACAAAGGAATCAGAAGAGCAGTATGATTGTTAGTGCAGAAAGAAAGTCTTCGTCAAGATTACGAAGCGTCTAGAGAATCCTGAAGCCACAAAGATAGCGCTGGGAACCTAGAAAAGTCCATAGGACGTATGAACATGCATAAAATCCTACATGCAGCTCGAAGAGCGCCTAGGGATTCCTGAAGGCATGCAAAAAATGCTGGAACCCTAGAGTCCACAGGACAGAAAGATACAGGCAGATCGCCTATGTATTGCTCAGAGCGTCTAGAAAATCGAAAAGGCATGACAAAAATGCTGAAGACCTAGAAAATTCATCCAAGATGATGATGGCCAGGCAGAGACCTGCATGTAGCTCAGCACAGAGACACCTGAACTTAAAACCCATCCAAGATATGATGGTCAGGCAGAGAGCCTGTAGCTCACAGAGCTCAAAAACCATCGAAATGAAGATGGTCAGGCAAAGAGGCCTGATGTAGCTCAGCACAGAAACACCTGAGTTGAAAATCCATCCAAGATATGATGGTCAGGCAGAGAGGCCTGCGTGTTAGCTCAGCACGGAAATCCATCGAAGATAAGATGGTCAGGCAGAAAGCCTTTAGCTCAGCGCAGAAACACCTGAGTTGAAAAATCCATCCAAGATATGATGGTCAGGCAAAGAGCTTGTGGCTCAGAGAGCTGGAAAATCCATCGAGTATCAAGATGGCCAGGCAGAGGCCTGAGTGTAGCTCAGAAGGCACCATGAAGTTGGCCACTACACGATAGAACGCGAACGCACAGAAGATCATTAGCGTCCCGGGGCCTGACAAGCAGAGACCGGATCAGTGCCGAACGCTGGCGCAGATGGTGGTCCGGAACACCTCTGCGCCCGAGCAGTGCAAGAGCAGCATCTGCGGGAAAAGCGGCACTGAATGTGAACCTCAGTATTCCAGGGCAAATTGTATCAGAAGCAAGTTGCTCTGTAGATATTCTACCCAAGGTTGGAGCTGAGCGGAGCAGGAGAGTGTGACGGTACGCCTGTTGAAGAGAACCGAATTGGACTCCTCAGGTTTAATTAAAGGACAAAAGCTCCTGATAATCAGCATTAGTTGTTGATGCAACGAAAGTCTTCGTGTAGGTCACTAGGCCACGGAGCAAATGAACCCATAAGACACTACGAATCGTTAATCGACAGTGCAGGAAGTAAGTCTTCGTCAAAGTCACGGAGCAACGAGAGCTAGGCTGATGTGCCTAAGCGACCCACGATCGCATGGCGACGTGGAAGATCCCCCTAAAGTATAGGGCAGAACAAAGTCATCCAGGCTGGTGTGCCGGATGCGAAGGCCCCTGAAGTAGAAGAAGTCTTCGTATATGTCACGAAGCACCCAGAGAATGCGCGATCATTGGGTCCCTGGCGATGGGCTCACACCTTGACACCAGTCGCTGAATTCCTTCCAGGTGAATTTTCGCTCTGGGTCCTTCTTCTCTAGTTCTTTAACGTGTCTTCTCCACTGTACTCTCAACCTGCCTTCGAGGTGCGTGGACGCTAGGAGCACCCGTCTATGCCCCTGCTTGAGGTAGGCGAGATGCTGTCCGAAGTGAATATCGAGTCCGCTTTCGAACAGATCCCATTCTTCAATGCTATTAGCAGAGAACGTTTTGGTATGCTTTGGCGCCGCTGGCACTTTCTCCTCGTGGTCTACCGGCTTGGGGTTGTTGTACGTTGCGTCTGCGTCTGGCATCGGCACGTCACCCTGTTACTGGTCTTGTTGTGGAGGTTTACTGATAGTGGGTTCTAGAGTGGGGTTCTAGACCTAATTGGCATGGTCATTTGACGCTGTGCCATCGATCGTCCTCTTTCGCGGGCATTGCGTGCGTTTTCTCGCTCCGCGGCCTCTGCTTCGAGTTCGTCTTATTCTCTCTGAGCTTGTGCTGCCTCTTTCTGGTATTTTAGAAGGGGTTTGATCTCTTCTAGCTTCCTGGCTGGTATAGCATTCTTCAGGACATGTTCCGTGATCTCTTTCGAGTTTTCCACGGCTTCTTGTATAGATTGTTCATTGGTGTACTTCATCATGGTGGCGTCCTCTGTCGGTTGTGCTTGCTTGAATAGCCTTAAGGTTCACATATTCCGGAACAAGGTTCGTGTTGGGGGCTTTTCCTCCCGGGGTCGTGCCCTCGGTCGAGGATTTCTGCGCTCCCGGGTGGAGGAATTCCTCCCCCCAATTGCCTCTCGTTACTCTTCTATGGGGTTACCAGGTTCTTCGTGTCTCGCTGCGCAGTTCCGCGTTTGTACGACATTTCGTTCTTCGAGGGTCCTCGTGTTATCAGTCCTGTCCGGGTTGAGAAGTGATTATAATGTTAGGGCTAAGGTCCTAGGGGATTGGATTGGATAAGAGTGATGACACGAGCAGCGTGGAAGAAGAGCCAGATGAAAACGCCACCAATGTATAGAAGCAATACAGAAAGACAGAGAATGCGTGAAGCCTTATCGAACGTCCATAATACAAGAGGCCCCGGAGTTCCAGCATGTCCTGCTGTTCGAGTAAGGCCTCTATGTGCTTTCTGTATCTCCGTATCCCTTTTAGATATCAGTGGCCATAAAGCCTACATTAACCATGGGGCACCTGGGCAATTGACATTTGTTTAGTCTAATTTTTGTAACCCCGTAATTCGTACATGATTTCTTGCCAAGTTTTTCTGCTCGTAAACCTCGTATTCCGCAGTATATACATGTTTTTGGCATACCATGTCAAATCTTTTACCAAACAAGCTGTGGAGATCTTTGATGTACCAAGTTGATATCTGAGTCTTGAGCATAATAAGTGGCAAGACTGATGATGAGTGCTTGAGAAGGATTTTCTGCTATGAACATTCTAGCAAGAAGTTTCAACTAAACCTGGTTTGCAACCCGCCACAGAAATGGAGGCAGATAATATTTGAACGACCTCGGGAGAACAATTTCACATGCTCAATGCAGGTCCGCTCATCCAAAGATGTTATTTCAGGCATTTAAATTTATTTCTAGTCTAATCTGCAGGTATTCTTTCCCGAGGTCAAAAGTAGCTGATCCCACCCACCATAATTGAACTAATTCATGACGTCACGCCGAGAACATCTCCGTCCCGACGGAAGTTGAGCTTCCGCTTAACAATAGTTCAACGTTGATAATCCGGGGTATCAGTAAATCCTAATGGCCATGGCGCTTTTTACTGGGTTTTACTGGGTCTACTCTCCTGTCCAGACAGGTCCATTTCGGGACTATTGCCACAATTCGGGGTTACGGCTTTACGGTTCCACCCACGGATAAAAGTCTTATGTCATTTAGTATGAGATCCAAAGAATTATAAAGTATATAAAATTCGATCAATCCCTTGGAAGAATCCCTCATATAAACTATAATTATAACATTAATATTACTTTAATTCTCCCTCCGCCGAGCAACCACCTGTTTTGGACCCAACTTTGTCCAAGTCATAGCTCGAGTCCGCAGGACCGAAGCTTCACTATGGAGACCTTGCGCGACACTGCATTCGGCAAGCTGGTTCGCTTAGCCACTCGGTACAAATTAATGCAGTATCCAGAAGAGAAAGATACTTCTCTTTGGACCGAGTATTTGAAGACGGAATTGAAAGATGAGGCAGCACCCTCAATGACAGAGACCGAACATGGAGACGTCGAAGATCTGGAGGCTTTAGGTATCTATACCGTCATGTCTCAGGCCTCCACCCGGTCCCGACGGATCTCTTCTGCTTCTACTATTGGAGGTGCAAACCAGTCTATCGTGATCAGTTGGCGAGGGGACGATGATCCGGAGGTAAGTCGGAACCAATTCCTCGTCAGAAAGAAACATGAGTTACTAACTGGCTGGTATAGAACCCACAAAATTGGAGCATAAAGAAGAAGTCTTTTGTCAGCACCTTGATCTGCTTTTTGACATTCGCCATCTACGTTGGCTCTGCAATTTATACGCCCGGTGTTCCCGGTGTTGAAGAGCAATTCGGAGTTAGCAGTGTCGCTGCCTTACTTGGACTAACATTATTCGTCCTTGGCTATGGACTTGGTTCGTCAATGCACCCATCCTTCCACCATTCCCAATCAAATTAATCCCCAATCTAACAATCCCAGGACCAATGATTTGGTCACCCTTATCCGAAATTCCCCAGATAGGCCGAAGTCCAACATACGTCCTAACACTCTTCGTGTTCGTATTCTTCAACTTCGGCGTCATCTACGCCAAAAACTTCGGCATGCTTTTAGCATTTCGATTCCTTACCGGCTTCATCGGTTCACCGGCTCTAGCAACCGGTGCCGCATCCATGGGTGATATGTGGAGCCCTAAGATGCGCGACTACATGATTGCAGTCTGGGGCATGTTCGCAATTTCAGCGCCAGTCTTAGGCCCGATGCTGGGAGGCTTTGCTGCCGCGGCCAAGGGATGGACATGGACGATCTGGCAATTAGTGTGGGCATCGGGCCTTGCATTTGTCCTACTGTTCTTCGGACTTCCGGAGACATTTGCGCCGAATATTCTTGCCAGGCGTGCAAGGCGGGTTCGTCGTATTACGGGGAATTCGCAATATATGTCCGAGTCGGAGATTGAAATTAAGGAGATTAAACCGGTGGTATGTGTCGACCTCATTGCTTATTAGTACGTACAGTGTTATTGAGATATGTGCTGACAATCCCAGGACCTCATTTTCGAATCCCTAGTCCGTCCCTTTCAACTCTGTTTTCTTGAACCCATCGTGTTCCTCTTGAATCTCTACATCGCCCTCATATATGGTATTCTCTACACCTGGTTCGAAGCTTTCCCAATCGTCTTCTCTGAGATCCACGGCTTCAATTCCGGCGAAAGCGGTCTAGCCTTCATGGGTATTCTTGTCTCAACGGTCTGCATCACGATCCCGGCGTACTTCTACTGGAAATGGAAGTATCAATCACGCCACGTCGACGCAAATGGAAACCTCCCACCAGAATGGCAGATGCCACCGGCCATTGTGGGCGCATTTGCACTGCCGATTTCACTCTTCTGGTTTGGTTGGACAGGTAACTTTGCTAGTGTGCATTGGATTGTGCCGATTATTGGTTCGATGTTCTTTGCTCTCGGGGGTTGTTTGATCTTTAATTCCATCTTTTGTTACCTTGCGCATGCTTATCCACGATATGCGGCGAGTGTGCTTGCAGGGAATGATTTCATGCGGTCTTCGTTTGGGGCTGGGTTTCCGCTTTTTGCTTCGGCTATGTTTCATAATCTGGGAGTGGGATGGGCTTGTACTTTGTTGGGATGCTTGACTATAGTCTTTATGCCGTTTCCTTTTATTCTGTTCTACATGGGGAGGAGGATTCGGATGGCAAGCAAGTATGCGCGGCATGACATTTGATGTTGCATTTGTGTCCTTGGCGAGATAATCCTATACCCCGAGTTATATTGAACAAATTAAAAGCATGATCTTGCTAATGAGAAGTCCGACAGTACCTCCTTAATTGTACGTTCTTTTGTTGAAGGCTCAACTTCCTATCAAACGGCAGTGATACACGAAAGAAAACAATGTAAGAGAAATAACAATTGTTGTAGGATTGACAGATGATTAGCCTGAACTTAATAATCACCAGCTCATATCGATACTTGGATATCCAGAAAAACGCCGTTTCGATGCAGTGAAATATCATGAGCAAGGCATCAATGTTCGTAGCCAACAAGAATAGACAGATACTAGTGGCAAATCACGACATCAATAACCATACTTTCAGTAGTCCATCGGATATCCATTGTTGCTGTTGCTGCCACCCTTATTTTCCTGCGATCCATCGTAACCATTGCTGTAGTCATCTAGTGACTTGTAATAAGGGTTTGAGCCGGCATCGCGGCCACCACGGCCCCGACCCCGACCACCGCGTGAAGCGTTGCCACGACCTCTTCCATTACCACGCCCTCGGCCACGGTAAGAGCCTCGACGAGAGTTATTATCATCGTACTGATTCCGGTTCTCCCCGGTAGGTCGTGAATACGGGTGGTAGCCATGAGAGTGAGAGGATGTCTCGTGGCTTGGGTTATGAGTATGCTGCTGCTGAGGAATATCTTCATAATGATCCTGAGGATAGCGTTTCTTAGGGTGTTTAGGCGCGTTTGGAGCCCCTCCTCTCTCGTCATCTTCGACACGAAGTATGACTTTTTCTCCGACAGTTGTGTCGAATCTCAAGGCTTTGTTGGATGGAACAGGCTGCCAGTTCGCGATTCTGGATGCTTCGACTGGACGGGCACCTTTACGAACGGCCAGGACAATCAGAGGGTCTGGGTTCTCAGAGAAATACTGTTCGGTTGACGGGATTGGTGCGACACGAGCTGCGAAAACTCTATTCTCGAGCACTGCCGTTCCAGTAATCTGCCAAGTTACTTTCTTTCCGAGACCACCAACTTTGTCCAGGATGGAGTGTGGGGCCGGGCGAGGAGTGATCAGAATATTGTTAGCCATGTACTTGATATCATTCGACTCGGCAAGTCCATTGGGAAGAAGTGGGTTCAGCACTTCATCGATCATGCGTTTGGAATCCTCTTGCGAAATGAGATAACCCGTGTATATGATTGTACGCTTGATGCGCATGTAGCGCCGAGTTGAAAATGCCTTGTATCTTCCTAGAGATGGATTGCGGACAGCAAGGTTATGCGAATTGATCATGCGCTGCACTTCAGCAGCTTCTGTTACTGGATCAAGTGTGGTAGCGGACTCGATTACCTGGAGAATCTCGGCATTGATGGGCTTCCGGGGAGCGTACTGCCCAGATTGTAGCTTCCTGTTCAGGTCTTCAAAATGATCGCGGAACCCTTTGACACTGGAATCAAATCAATACAGGAAAGCTCGTTTCGCTAAAAGTGGTCAAGGACTTACTGCTTGGGCCGGTCCTCATACACCCGTATTTCATCGGCATGTTCATACGTGAGAACGAGGTCTTCGAGAAATGCGTGTTTGAATGCTGCAGTCGAGGCAAAGTGTTGCCCATTGGGGCCAACTTCGGGTTTCAGGCCAACCAAGTCAAAATCCAGCTTCTGGGTTGCCACCATACGCTTAATGAGCTCTCCAAAGCCAGCTTCACTCCGTCCTGTCAAGAGTACTGTGACAGCATCCTTCTGCTCCATGCTGAGCTTGACCAGGTGGAGCTAGTAGTGGTTAGTAAAACAATTCATTTGTCCTGGCGCAATCCGTAGCCTCACAATATTCTCATTCCACCAACCCTTCCAAGCTCGCGCCTCCTCTTCTTCCAACCCTTTCCCTGTGGCGGAGAGAATATTGGGATCATGCCACCATCCGCCATTGGCGAAATGTGTTTCTGATTGTAGGTGACCGATAGTGCTTCCATGCCAAAGTTGTGGGTTCGGTAGCGGACTGAGGAATACTGGGAAGGCCAAGAGTCAGTATTCCGAGTCGCATGAAAATAGACGAAGAGCCACTCACGGGTATTATCGAAGTCGTAAACATGAATTGCCTTTATTTGCGAAACAGCTGTGACAGGAACGGGATTAGCTCGAGTGTTTACATGAGTCAGGAAGATGTTCTCGCACCTGGCAACTCCTTGTTCGCGACTGACCACCGCTTCAGTGATGTCAAAGTGTGTTGATGAGGCTGCGATCCAGCCATGGTGTTGTAAGACATGTTGGGTCCCGCTTTGCCGTAGCGCGCGAGATTCTCGGAGACAACAGCTTTAGCGGAACGCATCTGAAGTGATAGGAAAAGCGAGGAGATATCTGAATCAATTAGTGCATTTCAGAGATAGACAGAGTTCCCGAGAACGTCGCGATCGCAGGTATTGGCAGTGTCTTCCCAACTATGAACGAAGATAAATTGAGCAATAGCAGCTTAGAAGTGAGATTGGAAGCTGTGACTGCGCCGTTTTTTCTGCCGGCGAGGAGCGGGCGGTGGGGTCGCGATAAGCTCACCGTCCACGATTGGGTCGCTGATTGATCTCAGGTTTACTCTCCATGGCAGACGATGGGGACCTGCAACAGGAGATCCTCCAGAAAACTCTTCGAGAGGTCAAAGATGAGGAAAATGAAGGCGATCCCTGCGTGATCTGTTTAGAATCTATCACCGAAGCCAGCATCGCCAAGCCATGCAACCATACCAACTTTGACTTCTTATGCCTAGTCAGCTGGCTAGAGCAACAGCCGAACTGCCCTTTATGTGAGGGTACTCACTGCATGCTACTTATTGAGTGTGACTGATGGTGATACAGGTAAGACTCAGCTCACTGAGGTACAATATGATCTCGAAGCCCCGCAAGGTCCCAAAACATACAAGGTACCTCTCCACGATCGATCCGGAAAACCACCCGGAGGTTCTGGCCCAGGCCGTGGTGGGTTTACCGGGGCTCGAGGAGCAAGGCATCGGCGTCAAAGGCCCCATATACAACAACAACCAGCCTCCCAGGACCCACTCGCGACACGGCGCAACGTTTACCGTAACAAACTATACTCCCTCCGCGTGGGTTCAAATCGGTTATCACAATATAGTGAAGTGACACCAGAACACTTCAACCGAGATGAGTCGCTGGTATCGCGTGCACGGAAGTGGATCCGAAGAGAACTTCAAGTCTTTACATTTTTGAATCCAGAGGCGGAGACCGACGAAGACCGTGGCCGAGGTCGAGTTCCTCGCCCTGGAACTCAACGACTCGAGGACCGAAGAGCCAACAATGCCGAGTTCCTGCTCGAATACGTAATTGCGATCCTGCGCACCGTTGACATCAAGGGTAGCGCTGGTCAAGCCGAGGAGCTGCTGCGGGACTTCATTGGACGGGATAATGCTCGTTTGTTCTTGCATGAACTCCTAGCGTGGCTTAGAAGCCCCTATGTCTCCTTAGAAGATTGGGATCGCCATGTGCAGTATCCGAGGCTGCCACAAAGCTCTAGTAACCGGGGTGATCCAGGGTCCAATCGTCGGGATCGTCCAGCTCGCGGTCGAAGTGCTTCCCCGGCTCGAGAAGCTGATAGAAGTTTGTTTGATCGGGTTACAAGACCTGAGACTGGACCAGCTACAATGCCTAGAGAGTCACGTCCGCGATCTCGGCCGTACAGCCGTCAATCTAGACCACCGCGACACCTCCTTGATCGATATATTCCAGACTAAAGGGATATTCTCATATCAGAACCACTGTACTATAGAATTAGAACCATTAATGTGAATATGATAATCGCAAAATTTCTTCACTTGGGTTACAACTGAATATGAATGCGATATAGTGATTGAATTGCTAGATGATATTATGTATGCTTAATATTGATGCAGTCGTTATGTCATTAACAATGAAACAAGTGTATAGCCTCATCGCCTACGGAACCGCCCGCCACCACCACGAGCCCCTCCCCTATTCCTGATCTTCAATGATCGATAGTTCGCATGGGCCTGAGGGTTAATCTTGCGGTCCCGAGGCTTCTTCTCTTTCTCGGGTTCTTCTGGCTTTGCCGCAGGTTTAGCTGGAGGTTCCATGGCAGTTGGCTTAGCCATCAAACCCGCTTCTTTAATGCGCTCCGAGAAGCTCTTCGGTCGAGGTGGATGTTTAGCCTTCTCCCCATATTCGGGGTCACCGTCCGAGTCCACGTCAGTGTCACCCTCGTAGTCGGATCCGGGTTCTGAAATGGAATGCAGAGAGGCAACATCATCATGTCCATCTTCGTCCCCAATAATGTTTGGAACTTCCCTAGGGACTTCAGGGATTTGTGTCTCCGGGACCGCAGCCAATTCGTCATCGCTCTCTTCGTACAAATCCGGATAAAGCTCCTCTTGTTTCTTTGGCTTGGAAATGGCTGGTCGGATGTTGACTCTCCTCGTAGTCCGCTTCTGACCCTTCTTTTTATAAGGTTGTTGCTTGTCCGCTACGGGGCCTTGGCTCTCAGGGACCTCGAAGTGGAAACCTTCTTGCTCTTCCTCGATCTCGCGGAGCATTTCCCACTCGTCTTCGTCGCGCTCCTCTTCCATTTCCCGAAGACCTTTGACCAGATGTGACAGGCCCCGTCCCGCAAACTGGCGCGGTCTCCTAGATGCAATGGGACTGAGACCTGGTCCCTCATTTGTAGTGGGCGCAGGATACCGTCCGGAGTTAGAGCGACGGAGAAAAGAGGGTGTTCCCGACGGGTTTGAGTGCTGGGAACCTGCAGCCTCGGTTTCCGGGGGTTGTTTTGTGCAATGTTGTTGTCCTCGGCCTCGACCATGGCCGCATAGCGCATCGTTGTAGGGGTTGCAAAGAGATTCGCGAGGTAGAATTGCTTAGTTGAGGAGGCTGGTGTCCGTGAGAGTCTTGATGTTTCCTCCTCTTCTTCTTCTGGCGCCTCCGCAATAGTATCAAAAAGTTTCGGCTTAGAGGGTGTTCGGAATCCTGCCGCTAACACATCCTTTTGTCTCTTTGCTGACGGGGTTGCCTGGCTCCCACCAGACTCGGATAGCATGTCAAACAACCCGAGAGCCTTTCCATCGCGCTGTGGTGTAGGTCCAATGGCAGGTTTCAGAGGCGAAGGTGCTGGTAAGCTCTCTCGGTGTGTACTGGGACTGAACAATCGACGAAAGGTCGATGGTGAGTCGTAAGGGTCTAGTTGGGAAGGATGAGCCTGCGTGTTGCGATTGTGGGACGGGGTAGCAAATAGGCCCCTGCTCGACTTGCGTGGAGTCGTCTCAATATTTGTGCGCGATAGTCCGTTGGGGGAGGCATGTTTTCGCTTTCTTGAGGAGTCGGCGGCTTCTTGTTGGCGGTTCTCGCGTCGGGTAAGTGCAGCCTCGAGATTTTTGAGTCGCCCATACTCCTTGTACTTTGCAGCTAGAATGACAGATAGTTGGGTCAGTGGCCGGTTCAGTTTGAATTGAAAAATTGTGTTTTGTCAAGTCTCGCGCCTAATCAAACGTACCAATATCGGGTCTTTGTTTGATATCCTCCCGACCGGCCTTTTTCCCATCATGCGTTATTGCAAACTCTTTCTCCCATATTTTCAACTCTGCCCGAACAGCCACAGCTTGCGCTGCGACTTCGTCGCGAGATTTAAGGGCTTGGTCAGCCATTGTTGTGAGAATGTGGCGCTCCCAGACACGGAAGAGAGTTGATGATACGCGGAACGCGAAACCAAATCAATTAACGCGGTGACGTCGCGTGCTCGGCCCGCTACTAACAACCTATCCATATTTACTTCCGAGCACCCCACTATTGCCAATGGAGATAAAATGTCTCACAGGCTATGACCGGTAGCCAATAGACAATAATAGCGGAACTAAACATATCAAGAAATAGGAGATCTCGGTGCTGATTGCAGTGGTTCATGGAAGAAAGGTTGGTCTCTTGTTATACATTATTGTATGGAATAAAGCGTGAGCACGGTATCTCATTCATTTACTCCAAGCCTGTGACGAAGTTCGCCAGACTGATGTCATATTCAAACGCACCTTATCATGGAAAGTATTCAATCTTGGCAACAAGAATTAAAGCCAATTGCAGAACTTTGAAAGGAGCTTTGAGAGCAAGACTTCGTACACAATGAGATTGCTCTTATCTCTACATTGATCAATAATTGTACCTATGGGTATTCGGACACAGAAAAATTATCAACACAAATAGTACTTAATTGGCCGTGCCGCGTACGTAGATTACTTGTGTAGAACAATATATATGGCGCACTACAATCATATGTCGACTTATCAGCAACTACAGGAACAACAAATCAATTTATACATCAGTTTCATCAGTTTCAGGCGAAGAGGAAATGTGACCAGAGCGAAATAAATTGCATCTGAGAGGAACGAGCTGTCTTTAATCAATCCTAATCTTATTGCGCTTATACCTACTAAAAAGTAACCTGAAATTGAGATGTGACTGCCAGGTGCAGGATCATGACTGACATCAACTATAAAGATCACCAAATGAGCGTATAAGACGTAATTATGTAACATAAAATGGATGGCACAGCATTTCTGATTGGATGCTTCTGCAATGGCTGTGAGGTGCCGACCAGTAAAAGTACCGAAAACCGAAAGAAAGTTGACCAGCTTCAAGGGAAGCTAATTCTGATTTGTCCGTCTGGTTCTCTGCTAGAGAGCATACTTCCAATCAGGGTCAAGGACACCATGTTGTTAATCCCTATTGTTCCAGATTAACAAGAACTCGCTGTATAAATATGAGGAGGAACATCTTACGGGATATTGGTCGCAAAAATCTTTGCTAACTTCTGTGTCGCATCTATTGCTATAATGGCTGAAGCATGCCCCAGAACAATCTTCGCATCCAGCCCCTTTTTGTTGCTCATGCGGGCTAGCAAGGCCCAAGCTAGCGAGGGCAAGAAAGAAAACAGCGGCGAACAGCTTCATATTAGATGATGGGTTGAAGTGGAAGATAATATAAAATTGTTTCCAATGTAAGCTATTGAAAGCGGGTATTAGAAGTAGAGATAGAGGAGGTTCGAAGGCGAGGGAAGGGCACTTGAATATTGTCGAAATTTGCAAAAGATGTCATGTCATGAAGACAAATATGGCAACGTGCCTCAAAGCTTTACCGACTGATTGGTCGAGACTAGATTCTTGGATTACTGTAGCCAAGCGGATCGACTGTCTATAGAGACCTATCATCACTCATGTTACTCAATAGTATATGCAGTATGTCTGTGCTGTACTGTGCGTTTGTAAAGTCTGAAGTTACACTCGTTCTAGAGAAGAGACCTCTTTGGAACGATCCATTACTGACAATGAATCGATTCTGCAAGTCGAATGCATAATGCATTCTGACTAATTCCACCTTTTTTTCATGCAGCAAGGGACCGCCAATTTGTGTACTACAGTAATATGTTTATCATACTAGACCTAGAGGAATTTATGACGTTATAGGCAACACTAAATATATTGAAGAAGACCAAGATGCAAGGTTGATGAAAAAGTCATTTGATGCATTTGATTCTTAGGGTTACCCTCCAGGGCTGTCGGGATGGGTAAGGCCCACGCTATCGAGGAAAACAAACAGACAGCGGTGAAGAGCTTTATGTGCAATGGTCGGTATTCTGAAATGGTAGCTAACATGGAAATCTGTTAAACTCAAGGTAGAATTGGGGACACGAGGTCCAGGAAACGAGGGGAGGGCGCTGGATAATGTCGAGATTTCCATGAACTAGAGACATGAAATCATAGAGGCTGTATATATAGTACAGAGAAAGGCTTCAATATGCCTTATATGTGACTATAGTGGCCGATGATCTAATACTAGAAGAATACTGTCAATCACGCCAGGGCTGTAGCTAAGTGGACTTATAGTGTATAGAAACCCATAGTTATCCAAGCATCTCAACAATAAATGCAGCATATTTATATTTTACTATGTACGTACTAGTTGACTTATAGGGTCGCACAAGCTCAAAAGAATATTTTTCTGTGGAATAAATATCATTGGAGATTCATCGATTCTATATATTGATCTAGATTCCTACGACTCCCGATCTGGATCTATCGGAGGGGTTCAATGATTCGTAGGTAGCACTGCATACGGCGACAGAGACCAAGATGGAAGGGGGTGGAAAAGGCATCTTGTCTAGTTCTTATAATCTCCCTGGAGGTGACAACGAGGCAATCCTTCACTATGACATAAATTTTGGACCTTGGGAAGTTTTGGGCACCTTCAACCTCATTTTGAACATGTTTCTTTTTTCCTTTCTGTCTGGGCCTCCACTGACCCATGCTGCCTTAAGAGAAGCACCCATGTTAAATCCTGAGTAGACTCTCCAAAATAAGGTGCTGACTTGTGACTAATTTAATTGAATCCGAGAAATAATGTGGCTAGGTAAATAACACTGGGGCAAGGAAATGTGTAGTTAACCCTTTTTGTAGCCGCCAATCTAAAGTACATCTCGTACTCTTGTACGTGCAATCACGCAATAAAATCCCATCAAATCCGATCTAACAATATGCATTAAGAAAATCTCGTGGGTATTAAGCCATAGTTGGCTTTTCAGCTTTAGCTTTCCTCGCTGGAAAGCCGATAAAACACCAGCAGACAGAAAAAGTAATTTGGTAATTTCACCCTCACCAACTCGTCAATCCCCGCACACGGTCAAATCCACCCCGCAGCTGAGACTCAGGATGAACTACCTTGCCTTGAAGCAAAGTGTACTTCACCAGACCTTCGCAATGCTCAGGCCGTACCCGCGCCAGCCAAATCATCTGCTGATCTTTCTTACGGTAAACAAGCACATTGGCTGAAAACTTGTGGCCCCCAACATGGGAGACGAAGAAGATCCCTGCACCACCCGGTCGCGAGTCATCAGCATCGCGGTCCAGCCCAAGAGGACGAAGGTGACGCTCAAGTTCACGCTTGATAAGAGGAGCTGTGATTCCACAGCGCGCATCTCGTCGGCGGTGCGAACATAGTAAGATCACGTAGTCTAGTTCACATGGGCGGGCGGTCATTCCGGATGCCGAAACGGCACTGGATCCATTCTTTTCATCGGTGGGATTATCGATAAATCGATGAACTAAATCGGGTACGTCTGCTTGGGATACAGAGTCCACAAAGGTGAATGATGGCAGGATGAGCACTGTAGTGGGGTTTGTTGGGTCTTGCTCTCCCGAGTGATCTGGGGTTGTCAGATTGGAAGCGGAGACCATAATGCGCTGAGAAATATTAGCTTTAGTACTTTTGAGATGATCGAGTATCACGTACGCCTAGTTTAGATTTTGCCGATGACTGGTCAAATGCCTCCATGAGGGATCCATGTTCTTGCCCGACCTTCTCCTTCCAGTCAGATCGGCCTGTCGCCACGAGGACATGGGCCTGAACTTCTTTGATCTGGCCGTAAAGAGGTCTCAAAGTTTCGATCTTCACTTTTGAAGGGTACTCGATAGTGCAATCTGCGCAGTCTTTCAAGCAGTCGGGGCCATCCTGCGCGGGATCCACTTTGGGAAACAGATACTCCGGTGTGCGACCAAAGGACAGAATTGATTTCAACATAGTGATGGGATTGGTAAGATGAACAGAAGGTAAGAGTGAGTTTGTGATATGGGCGTAGGGTTCAAGAGAATAAGTAAAGCGAGAGAAATCTGTTGATCGTTATTGTTGCCTACAGTGTAGTTATATTCTCTAAGTCCTTTGAGTATCTCCGAGCGCGTTCGCTCCGAACCGTTAAGCCCGACGCAACTCCGAATTGATCCCTATTACATGACCCGAAGGACAAACTGAGTGTCCGCGCCAATCATTTGCTCAAGATTTACGTGCTACTGTCTTTTTCCTCCCCACCTGCAGTATAATCCTGGGGATATAACTTTACAGTCAGATAAGTAAACATAGTCAAATCAGTTTGCCTTATTTCCATTCCTTGAGAAAGGAAAGTTTCCAAAAGCTTCTCCTATGATGATTATTGGAATAAGGAATAGGATCACAAATAGTGGGTACGAGAAAGGACACCCCGGAGAATAAAGAATTGTTTATTTTCACGAGGGAGCGCACTCGCGTTAGTCACGTGACCTCGACTGCGTTATAAGATCTTGCGTGCAATGGGGCTCACTCGAAAGTGGACTGCCAAGATGATCTGGTGGCTAATGGGGCTTGCTATCAAGGCAACTAGATCCTGAGTCTTACTCCAACTGGTTGAACATCTGAAATAAAAAGGAAAGAAAACCATCCCTCTCCCCCTTTAGGTAATCAGACCGGCGCACCACTTGCAACATCAGGTAATCTCGTCTTGCCCTGGCAGAACTTTCTTGGGTCAAGGCTTGCAAACATGCTACTGATGTTAATAGAAACATATCAATCTCCGTGTTCCGATGTATCCACTGATGTACACAATCAAGAGGCCAAGTCATTCTCTGGCCGCGTTAGCGTGGTCGGACACACTTACCGCATCGGGTAACTGCTAGGGTGGGCCTTACCACGTAAGCCGGAGCAAGTCATCCCTCTAACTCTTCAAGTGAAGTGTCTGGGGGTGCTTTTTATCTGTGCAATCACCATTCAATAGCCCAGAATGGAAGAAGTACATGACTTTGGTGCACAGCCAGACCGGCCGCGCAAAAGGCGCCGTCGCACCATGGCATGCACCCAATGCCGCAGTCGCAAATTGCGTTGCGACCGGGAGTATCCCACCTGTGGTCGCTGTCTGAAGAGCAGAGCGCCCACCAAGTGCACCTACGAAGATGGCTTCTTATGGCAGCAGCCCACCACAGTATCAACCACTGCATTTGCTTCGGACCGAGGATCCACTCTAGGAATGCCCCAGACAGATCAGAATCTCCAGACGCCCCCGGACTCGGGTTTAGGGGCGCCGTCGATTCGGTCGGAAGCACTCGTTTCGACAACCCTGCCCGACTCGGGCCCAACGCCCTCTGATGGCCCACGCCATCCTCGCAAACATCATGGTAGGGAGCGCCGAGACTGTTTCTTGGAAACTGTTCTCGGAGCGCCTAAAGCTGCGGTTAATCAGGAACCTTATGTGAATACGGGCCTCCTGCAACGCCCAAAACGTGTGCTGCCTGAACTCGAGGCGGCCTCTTCGTCGCAGGTTGACAGTGAGAATTTCAATGGAATTGGTTCCGATAATTCCCTGACTCCGTCCCATCAGTTGGACCTTCAGCCTCGTATTATGATGAGGGGTCGCGAGACCAAAACTCGCTTCAGTGGCTCGGGAATCTATGCCAATTTGGTGGCACAGGTATGTAGTCTTGACACCTGTCAATTGAGTTTACAATCACGATGCCCTTTAATTACTGACAAGGTTCTCTAGTTCTCTGACATCAGGTCTTTCGCAGAGGAAATTCGTCTGTCGAACCCGATTTTGTCGCGGGTTCGCCCGGATCTGGAACGAGTCAAGCGAGGACTATGGAAGAGACGACCACTCAATGAGCCATTCCCGGACCCAACTACAGTATCTTTGATCTCCTTACTCCCAAAAAAAGCTGTCGCCGATGAGCTCATCAGTCTGTACCTGACCTACATCGAATCGACACAACGGATCATTCACGTCCCGACTTTCCTTCGAGATGTCGAGGAGTTTTGGGCTAGCTACGACAACCCATCCATTCATTCCGCTGCATTTGTCGCTCAACTCCTGTTGATCCTTGCATGTGCGTGGAATTTTGCCGATGTGGCCAGTCTCCAGGAGAAATCTTCGACGCCTCTTAAATGCTATACCGCCGTGGTGTGGGTTTTGCATGCCGAGAAATGGATTGTCAATGCTCGTATCAAGCGACCTGAGATTAATACTCTACGGTTATACATCTTGCTGATAACCGCACAAAACTCATTCGGCATGAAACGCAGTCAGGCGTGGCTAGCCACCAGCCAGATGGTCAAGTCGGCCATGATGTCAGGGTACCACCGCGATCCGAGCAAGTATGCCCGTATATCTACCTTCAACAAAGAGATGCGCCGGCGCGTCTGGATGACGATCGTGGAGCTGGATCTTCAGGTCGCTATTGACCGCGGTATGCCGCCAACCGTTCAGGCTTCTGACTATGACACCCTTCCTCCATTGAACATCAATGATGATGAGCTCCATGAAACTACCATCGAAGCCCCGGAGGAGCATCCTCTCAGCGATGCTACTGATTGTTCTTATCAAACTGCACTTGGCCAGTCCCTTCCTGTTCGCCTGAAAGCGTGTTCACTCATGCATTCACCGAGACTCAGCTGTCGATACGAAGAAATCCAACGCCTCGATTGGGAGTTGACACGACACTTCTCCCAGATCCCCACATGGTATTTGGCTGAAGCCAGCGACCCTGTCACGCAGCAAAAGGTGATTTTGTGGAAGGCCTCGATTGAGACCAAGCTGGCGCATAGCCTGCTCTCTGTTCACACACCTTTTGCCATCGAGGCCCGTCACGAGCCACTATTTGCTCCATCTGCGCGGTCGCGGTTGGATGCAGCCATGATGATCTTGTCCACGCAACGTCGACTGCACGAGACCTCGCCCTTATTATCACTATGCGTTCTTGGAGAATGGACGCTTCACGCATTTATTTCCATCTGCCAAGTGTTGCACTCCTTGAATTCTCCCGTTGGTAAGACCCCCCTCAATGGACCTATATTTACATCCGATGTATCGCGGTACTGATATTTCCTTTAGCTAGTGCCGCCTACTCCTCATCCTCCACCTTCCAACTCGGCAGCTTACCAGGCTTCCCCGACTCTCTCATGTCGCTCGTCGAGGCCGCTCTCATCGCCCTAGAAGTACGGTTCCTGTTGGTGGTCAAGGGTGCCAAGGACTATTTCTTCCTATCGACAATCGGCGCATTAGTGAAGGCGAAGCTTTGGCCGGCCCAAGCGATGATGTATAAGCAGCAAGTCGTGGAGCGAGTTCTGTCGTTCGCCCAAACGCTATTTCAACGACACGCGACCTGCGAGCATCTTGGGTCTCCGGGTATGGGTAACTTCAAGGACAACCAGGTAGTCGCCTTCCTCGCAACTCCCGGCATGCCACCGGCCATGACCTCGGATTTCAATGGCATCCTTCCACCGCCCAACCTTGGCGTTACGGTAAGTCGATCATTTTCTGCGGATCGGAGTTCTTAATACTAATTTGAATTTCTTCCCAATAGCCTCCTGGAGACTTTGATCCCTTTTTGGATGTGTTCGATTGGGATGATCTGACCGGAATGGCGATGTAACGTGGTGCAGTGTACGATAATGACGATTTGGGTGGATCTGTATTTGCTTATCAATTTATATCCCATTTATTATGTTCCAAGTCAATCTCGCATTCGATGATAATTGAGTGAATCATTGCTAGGTTTCCAAGCTCGTGAAGATCTCTCGTCATGGTTCGTCATGGTCATGCCTTAAAACACGATCAGGGGGAGCTCTCGGGCCATGGTTCCACAGTGAGATCATGATGATCGGAGTGACGATCAGATCAACCTGCAAGGCTGCAAGGGCAAAGAAAGTTGCAAATCTCCATAGTGACTGCGATCAGGCCCAGGAAAATCATACACTAGGATCACTAGTTTGTGGAATAATTATAGCGAGAGCCTTGCGGTTGAAGATTATGTCGGGTGGAGACAAGGCTTATCACGGTACTTTTGGCGCCAATGTGGAGCCGTGAATATGGAAGCCTGATGTAACGCAAGCGAGTTCAAAAGCCGTGAAGTAAGACCGGCAAAAAAAAAAGCTATCAAATCTTTAATTAATTCAGCGACCGCGGAGAGATAACGAGATTTTCTCCGTGAATAATGAAAAGGGGATAAGGATGAGCAAGTCAGAACTCTTCAAACCCAATCGCTACAATCGGCCCAATCACCACTGGCCACTTCAATGCCCCTGCGTGATGCGACCGAGGCCTGTGACAGGCTGTGCTCACTGCCACCAATTTAGGAGACCCTTGGTGGGGTAAACACGGGACAGTACCTTAGCGGTACTTGGCATTCACAACTATGATGCATAGCTAAGGAAGTACTGGGCCTGTACAGGCCCCCAAAACTGGCAGCCTAACAGGACAGACTTTCTGCCCCTAAAACGCTTGGCTTCTGTTTAGCCTCGATCGACGCGGGCGGGACCCTGTGGATTGGAACAATTGAAAGGCTCTAGACAAGGCTAGATGGCTGTGTTTTTTTCTTGGTTTTTTCCTTTTAGGCCCTTACTTAATGCCATGTGCCCTCCCTGACGTTTTTCACTTTTACTTGTTTTTACTACTTACTTCAATTCTTGTCTCCCCATTTATCTTTCGTTAAGCGCTTTGCTTCTTGACTGCTGTAACAAAAGCGCAGCATGCGCTCGTCGCCCCGATAACACTTGACACCTTCTTCCACGGCCAAAAGCCTACACAATTCTTTGCGCTTAGCGCAGTGTTAAATCGCTCTATCAACCAAACAATCATCACAACGCGAGCATTGTACATATTACGACTCGAAAAGCAAAAGTGGAAAAAGCGCGACAAAGCCTTTCGCGGCGCAATAAAATATTTCCAAAAACCACTATGCACAGCACCTGGCTGCTTACCAGTCTAAGCCTGCTGCTTACTCCGCTAGTGGCGGCGACTCCATCATCACAACCAGCACACGCAGTTTCCCAGGTCTACGACACAACAGACAGAATTCCACTGCCAAATATAGGCCACATAGCCGCTCACGACCCCAACATCCTCCTTTGGGAAGATTGGTACTACCTCTTCCAAGGCGGAGTAGGCATTCTAGTTCACCGCGCGCAAAATCTCTCCGGACCCTGGGACGATGTAGGCACAGTCCTCTCCGGCCCGTCGGTAATCCACACACAAAACCGGACCCGACCTTGGGCTCCGACAACAATTCACGCAAATGGTACATTCTACTGCTACTACACACTAAGCGAGCACGGGTCCCGGAGCAGCGCAATCGGAGTCGCGACAACAACATCTTTGGGCAAAAGCCAAGACTGGACAGATCACGGCGCGATTATCCATACAGGCAATGGTAATGGCTCAGATATCTATCCGTTCAACGTCTCAAACGCCATCGATGCATCATTCATCACAGATAACAGCACCGGGCAGAGCTATCTGAACTACGGTAGCTTCTGGACGGATATTTGGCAGGTGCCTCTTTCGGATGATTTACTTTCCCTTAAGGATCCAACGAATCCAGATGCTGTGCATTTGACGTACTTGCCCGAGCAGAAACAGAGGCCCGAGGAGGGGTCTTGGATGAGTTTTCGTGATGGGTATTATTATGCTTGGTTCAGTCATGGAAAGTGCTGTCGGTTTCATAAGGGGTTTCCCGGCCGTGGAAAGGAGTATGAGATTAGGGTTGGAAGGTCGACTAACGTTCGTGGACCTTTTGAGGATAAGGATGGGATCAAGTTGCTTGATGGGGGTGGAACGGTGATTTATGCTTCGAATCACGGTGTTGTTTATGCTCCTGGTGGATTGGGGGTCCTGCCTGGGAACGATTCTACGGCTACGCCGGATATTCTTTATTATCATTATTTGAACACGACTATTGGGTTTACTGATGAGGTGAGTTTTGACCATTTCCAGTTCGATGGATCTATTTGCGTGGACTGTTGCTGATCACTTCTATAGGATGCTCATTTGGGCTGGAATTACCTCAAGTATGAGGATGGGTGGCCTGTCGTGATTGAAGGGAATGATATTGGCAACGCTACTACCTCGAATGCGGGATCGGTTATTTCTGCTCCAGGCGGGTTTGCGTTGACGATGGCTATGAGTATGTGCTACCTCCAAACACCTTGCATTCTTGAAACCCTACTAACAGGAACCATTAGGTTTGTGGCTGTACATTTGATTATAGTAGATACCCTAGCTTGTCATTTTGTACTGTGGATAGACTTCTTTTCAGCGATTGCACCAGCATTTAGATGGCGTTTGGTTGGGTCTGAGCCATGGGACCTGTCACTTACGAGCATTAGAATACTATCATACATATGCTTTGTTGTCTTCGAATGATTCGATCACCATTTCATGGGTCCCATCCTCCATCAACATTATAGACTTGTCCAGTCGTATAAGACGCAGCATCACTCAACAGAAACACTACCGTCTGCGCTACCTCTTCAGGAGTTCCAACACGAGGAATAACACTAGGCGGTACATGAGTACCACCTTGAATAACAGCAGCCTGGTCCAAAAGGGGTGTTTGGATAGATCCACTGACCAAAGAAATTAGTATTCCCCCCACAGATCAACAGCTTAGGGTCAACTCACGGCGCAACAGCATTGACCCGAATCTCAGGCCCAACCTCCTTCGCAACAGATCTCGTCAACCCCACAACCCCATGCTTAGTCGTCGAATATGCCGCATGCAACGGGAACCCCCTTACACCTTGAATACTCGACGCATTAACAATACTCCCCTTCCCACCAGGCGCAGACTCCATGATCGCTCTGAGCTCCGCTCGGAGACAATACATCATGCCAGAAAGATTCACCCGCACCAACATATCCCACTCATCATCTTCCATGTCGACGAACCGGCCTACACCGTGGTTCTTCCCAATAGCACCGGCCATATTAGCTGCGCCGTCGAGGCGTCCGAATCGCTCTACTGTTGCGCCGGCCCAGGCTTTCACGGCTGTTGCGGAGGTGATATCGAGGACGGTGGTCATAAGTCTGTCTGACTTAGTGTCTGAGGTGAGGGTGTGCACTGCCGTGTCGAGGGTCGTTGCAGAGAGATCAGCTAGAGAGAGGGATGCGCCTAGTGCATAAAGCTGTTTTGCGACTGCGAGGCCTATGCCACCGAGGCCTGTGATGACATAGACTTTGTCTTTGACGGAGTCCATTATTACTTTTGCAATCGTATACAATGGTACGTTTGCCGAAGACTGTGTTTGATCGTTGGATTTGGTCGGTTGAAATGTCTGTATGCATACAGAAGCCTCTGTGTTTCCAAGGTTGAAAAGACTAATGCTGTCTGTGCTACGGATAGACCCCGCAACTGCCATGCAACGGACATTGTCGGAGCAACTCCGTGAACCTATTATTAATTGATTCTTGCTGGGGATTAAGGTGGAGCTGTCTGACGGGGTAACCTACCCCATGTGTGCGGCCCCAGCCGCCCCACTCACATGAAGGTTATCTGGAGAAGACCAGGAGGGATGAATCTGGTCATGTTGTAGGTCGCTAATCGGTTTTCGGAATAATGAATTGGCCGCGTGGCCTAATGGTGAAGGTATCCGCCTCCTATTGCAACGTTGAAAGACGTGTGTGACAGCGGGAGATTGCCGGTTCGAGTCCGGCCGTGGTCGTTCTATATTTTTGGTCTTTTTTTGTTTGCCACTTTTGCTTCGCTTTATATTTTCATTCATATCTTTTGCTTCTTTCTAAATGTTGGGAATTAGTTTGAAGCTGTTTTTTCTTCCTCTCTTCATCTCTCTCACCCTACATTTATCTCACTGATTTGATGATCAGGTAAACAGTCATCGAAGGCCCATCCATCCCAATACCTCTTTCATATTTAGTCGTTCCAATCAATGCATGTCAAGCCAAACTGGCTTTATGACTCGCAACAAAATTTCTCTCGTCGCCTCATGGATGAAAATATTAAGTCTACCAACTCTAGGTGAACTTTTTCAAAGTTCGTTGGTTGGCACGATGGTATATTGGGGCCACAAATGTGTATGGGTGATGATACCCGAAAAGTATGGATTTTGGGCTAAGGACTGGACAGGCTTGAAAACGCAAGATGCCAAACCTGCAGATGTCGTGAACATTATTACAGAAAGGCATGGTGATCGGCATCTTGGTGCGAAGACAGTACAGGGCCTTATCATTAGTTGTTCACCCAGCAGATTGGCCACTTGCGCTCGGGGTACAAGACGCCGATGGGTACGATTGCCAGCAACCTTCTTGTTCTTATACATGACTAGCCCGAACCTCTTACTCTTCGATTATAATGCGTATGCATCTGTGGCTGCGATATTGCATCGTGCCAACAAACGAACCTTGGAGATTTGATATTCTACATGTTCACCATTACAACAAAATCCCAAATATCAAAAGGGTATCTTAACGAAAAACAAAACAGATCCTACCCTGCTACAGTATCATCCCTGAAATCATCAATCCGCTAACCAATAACACAGCCCACGCACTCATTGACCCCGAAACCAACGATCCAACCCCCGAGTCCTTCACAACCCCTCCATAAGCAATAATTTTAGAATTCAGGCAATATGTCACATCAATTGCCTGTTTCTCTGAATTGGAGGTGCATATCGCCGTACAAGACTCCGGATTCGAGAAAAGCCACACCTTTGAGTGACAGCACTCCTGCAAAAGGACATGCATATCATCATCCGGGTTATGCGTCTGGTAAAGCGGGACCTGCGCGTAGAATTTTGGTGCGTCAGGTATTGAGGGTACGAAGTCGCGGTATGGGTAGCATTCTGAGGGTTGTTTTGTGTTTGCGGGGCCCATCGAGGCCATGTTGGTCGGTCTTGCACTTGAGACGACGAGGCCGATCGGATGTGATCGGATGATCAAGCTTGGAGTGGGTCGGAGATTTTGTTCGGGGAGATCGGCATGGAAAGAGAAAGCGGCTGAAGCTTTCGCAGGTTGTAGGTGAGCTCGGAGGGGCCAAGTAGCGACAGAATGGATGTGGTAATTGGATTAAATTGAAGGATCAATTAAGGAGGAAATAAGAAATAAGTGCCCGTGGGGTTCCTGTGTTAGGCTCAGGGTCTTACAGCTCCATCTCGCGCTTCCCGTATAGGGGAAATGCCAAGGCGCTACTGCTTATGGGTTGAAGCCACAACAAAAGCACCTAACCAATTGGACAGCTTCATTCCGAGGTTCGGTTCTTGATTTCGATATAGAGCCTGAGGTGCACGTGGTGCGAATTCTCAATCAGAATGATATGATACATCATTATCACTAATTGGACTGGTTTTCCTCGTGATACACAAAGCCGATATTCCCCTCTTATCAAGTAAGAAAATTTTACACCATTACTATACTCTATCGGATATATTCAAAAGAACAAATGTTTATATACACATGCATGTCGGCGTAGTCTAGAGTTTTGCCTCCCGATTAGCCCGCTTCCACATCTTCTTCCTACGCTCATGTCCAGCATCAAAATCATCCACCCATTTCTGCTCAAACGGTGGCAAACGCCGACCAGGCACACCTTCACCGGGCTCCCCCGCAATTCGGCGCAGACCTTCAAAATACGCCCTGAAATCTGGATTGACCACCGTAAATGCCGGCCCATCACCTTTCTGCGCGATCCGGTCCGTCTCCCAATTCTCTTGCTCGCTTACTGGAGGCAGCGTGCCCCTGCCTGCAAGGATACGTGCTGCTGCAACAGCCTGCCACTCGAATACCTTGAAGGTCAGACCTGCGCCGACGGCTCCAATGAAGATGAGGCTGGGGTCGTGGCGGTAGAAGACATGTTGGTATAAATCTGGGACACGGTTACTGCGTGTTGACACCTGTGGGAGGAAAGGCAGTGTCCAGGTGAAGCCTGTTCCGAAGATGATGTGGTCGACGTCGCTGACGGAGGTGCCGTCTTCGAAATGCACGGTCCGGTCTTGGGTTGTGATGTGTGAGATTGGGGCTCGGCGTTGGATCTTTGGGTGTTTGAAGGCTTCGTCGCCGAAGTAGACGTTGTAGCGGCCGCGGACTACGGCGAGGATTGGGGTTTGTGCGCTGTCGATTAGACTGACTGCTGTGTCTGCGGCTGATACTGATGCGCCGACTGTGATGACTTTCTGCGCGGGTGTTAGTGGCTTTACTGACTTGATAGTAGGTCGGATTGCGACACTATGTTACATACCTTTCCTTGATAGGTCTCCGGTCCTCGGTAGTGCTTAGTATGTTCGACACTACGGGGGTATGCCTTTGCGAACTCTTCCAAGCCGGGAATGGCAGGGATATATGGCACTGCATAATGGCCAGAAGCGACCACCACCGCATCGAAGACCTCAGTCCACCAGTAATCCGACGGACTTCCATTATGAAGCTCTCTACGGCGCAAAGTCAGGGTCCACTTCTGGGTGTTTGAATCTTTGATCGCCTGCTCAACGGTCGTGTTGTATTCAACAAGACCACCGTGACCTTTCTTAATTAAGAGGTCCTCAATATACTGCCGAATGACAGTATGATGCCGGAATGGCGTCTCCGGACCGTGGCGGTCAATCGACCACTGAGACCGAATAGTGGGGATCGGCTCTTGAGAGTAAGACATGACCCCCGCATCCACGTTTGTCTCCAGTCCGGGGTAGACAGGGGAGTCAGTGTAACGATCCTGAGTTACTGCCGGGGTTCGACATGGCAGCTGCTCCGGAATCTTCAATGGAGCATCTGCAGTACGGGCTGCTAACCCGTCAAAGTCGAGTTGCCGTGGAGGCTCATCATCTCTCGAGACCCTGTCATACTGTCAGCATACATGAATTATTGCCTTGTACAGCGGGGTGACGAACCAACATCCGCCAGCCTTTTCCTGGCGCTCAAACACGCGGACCACATCAAATGCCTTCTCTTGCATCAAAGCATCAACAGCAATAGCACCAGATGGCCCGGCGCCGATAACGGCCACACTTTTGACAGCTAAAACCATGCTGATTTAGGCTCGGATTTTGAATATACGAATAATTCTGCCCCAAGAGTTGACGATCTCTCAATTAAGATGACTTCCAATCTCTCGGCCGAGCAATGCAACTTCGATGTGTTGCAGGGGTCGTTGAACTGGAGGTAGAGTTAGACTATGTCACGCCATCGAGGTTTCTCTTGCGCAAGATCCAATCCATTCGCCGAGATTAGGTCTCCGGCGTCCACAATTGGTCCCGGATGTCGGTCCGCGAAGGCAATATTGAAAAACTGACCAATTATTATGGATTTTGCACTGTTATTATCAGAAATTTTTAAATGCCGAGTTCTTTGATCTAAAATTTCAATCCCCGAGCCGTATGGGGTCTTGTCGGCCGTGCTTTTCATTGGCCGTGGATTTGTGGGTCAGGAACTGTATTGTGATTGGTCTCCCCGCTTAAATGTTTGCCCAGCGGCAAACAGCCCCCAAACGCCCAAACAAACCCACTGTTGGCTGCCTGTTGGCTGCCAACAGCAGACATTCGGTACGTTGGTAATTACCGACCTCAAATAGATCGGTCATTCTACCATAATCATGGCCGTTGTTCAAGATCGTGATAAGCTATGCTCCCCATGCAGTCGTATTCCCCCCATCAAGGATATCATTCTTGGATCCGATGAGATGTGGGGCAATTTTCAAGAGTTCAAGTCGTCCGCTCTAAATGGCTGCCCTCTTTGTAGTTATCTTTATAACGAAAAACGAAGAGAATGGGATTCCCTTGAAGTGGAAAAGAACCTCTATCCTGGAGAGCCCATCTCGCTGCAGTGGAATGGACCACTACCCATTCGACCGCCACCTGTGAATGAAGAACAAAGTCTGATCTTGGAGTGTACATGGGGAACCCAGTATAACATTGATTATTCAATTTATGTTGACGCGGGTAAGAGTTGCTCCGCAGATCTCATGTGCCTTTTTGTATCAAAGAACTTATCATATGCAGATGAGCCAATATCAAAAACTGTCCCTTTTAGAAAGATTGATCCTGACCCTATGTCGGACCAGGTCATTGCTAATATCAATGGATGGATTGAGTCTTGCTCCCGCGGTCATTCTTCTTGTCAGCCTACTGAGGACGCATTGCTACCTCGATTCGTGATCGAAGTTCATGGCAGCGACGAGACAAAACCAAGCTTGCGGCTTGTTGAAAATGGAAAGAAGATGGCGCGTTATATCACATTAAGCTATGTGTGGGGTATAAGGCCCCAACCAGTGCAACTCGTGAAGGAAAACATGGCAGAACTGAAAGACTCCATCGACTATGACAAATTACCCAGCACGATACAGGACGCCATACGTGTAGCCCGGCGCCTCGGTGTACAATACGTATGGGTTGATGCCCTTTGCATCGTTCAAGATGATGATGATATCAAGAAACAACAGATCGGCCAGATGCAAAACATTTACGGCAACTCCTATATGACTCTACAGGCAGCAAATGTCGCCACTGTCAAGGAGAGCTTCTTGAAAGTCCGAAATTCTCCAACCCCTTTCAAGCTTCGATACGACGAATCTAGCCACATTTATCTGAGAGGATACACGCCAGATCGCATGCCTGGCGGATCAGCCCGACAAAGAGCCTGGGTCTTCCAAGAGTCCATACTACCAAATCGACTACTAGTCTATGGAGAACATCAACTTGTCTTCCAATGCAGAGAGGGAATACAATATGAATGCGGATTCCGCGCCAACCAGGTGAAATACCGTTCCTCTGCGACACCATCATTCTTACGGCCTGGAAACTGGCTCAACTATTTAGGTAAAAGACTGATTCAACCAATCCCCCCTCCTGATCGCCGATTGGATTTCCTATCAGCATGGTATTCGGCCCTCGATGACGGGTATACAACCCGAGTGCTCACCTTCCCAAGCGACCGACTGCCCGCAGTCAGCGGCGTCGCTCACCGTCTTCAAAAAGAAATCGGAGGACGATACGTAGCAGGCCTTTGGGAGTCTGATCTACCCTGGGGTCTGATATGGGAACCAAAAAACACAGCTATCTACCCCTCTGCAATTAAACCAGCAGTATGGCGGATGAGTAGACCGGCCAATCCTTGTGCCCCGTCATGGTCCTGGGCAGCCATGGATGGGTCTACGAAACACCCATTCTGGGCACGACATAATGATACAAGGGAACATGACTCGCCAATTGCAACGGCATGCATGGAGTCGCTGCAGGTGAATATGGCAGGAGAGATCGTCAACAGCGATGGAATGCTGCGGATCGGTGCCCCACTCATTTACACGGCTGTGATTTGCAAGACGGATTCTAGACACAAGGGTTTACGGCAATACAGACTCATGCCGAGTGGTAAGCCTCGTGGAGGCTCTGACCCGTTTTTGGTGTGGGATGGTCCTGGAAGGGAATCCCGTGAATCAGTGGACTCTGATCTAGATGTGGACAGAAGCTCTAGGAATGATGAGCGGCCGATTGCTGTCGCTTTATTTGACGTTGAAGATGAGCAGAAACTTTACTCTGGTGTATGGTGCCTACTCATTTGTCGCTCTTCGGCATTGATGCTGGAGTGCGTTGATCAAGAGAAGAAAATATATCGACGGTTAGGAATAGCTCGTGTCAGGCCCGAATTCTGGCCTTTCTCATTGTCAGAGCAGATCTGGACTGAGATTTCGTTAAGCTAGAAAGATGAATGATAATGAAGTATCGTACATCCATAGGTCTTTCACGCGATATTGTATTCTATCCCATCATGATACTACTAGGAGCATTGTATGTATTCTACCTCGGCCCTGGGGATATGCTCCCCTTGCATATTTTTGTACTTTGTGCATACCAGCTATAGTTTATGAGAATACCTTTCTGAAACCCCAATTTTAAATGGTGTGATATCGCGGATCCCTTAATAGATCGCTTCTGGCCCCTGCATTCGATCTCTTCGGAAGTGCCATCCACATTCCAACAAAAGACTTCCTTTTACCACGATTGGCTAGCACATTCCCTCAGAACAGATCATCCAATGACACAGCCTCAAAAGTCGATCTGGCATTTTGAATACCAGGATGTCGGAAGACAAAACATTTGGAACTTTTGTTAACCCCTTGTTCTGTCCTTGCAAGTTGACCTTGAGGTTTGCTAAGCGAAGAAAAAATGAATGAAGTATGTGAGCTTCGGCGTTACAATGTGAGGTTTAAGATTCATGAATACTGCAAATGTACTTTTGTTTTCATTTTTATTGTTATTATCTACCGTGGAATGCTAAGATTCCTTCTGAAAGTCTAAACATATTAGAACGAAACAAACCTCAAGGTTGCAATTTATGAACCTAGCGGAGTCTCTCGCGGCCGCGATGTTTACAGATGGCTCATGCTTATCTTCATCCGATATTGCGTGTCTTTGGATCGGCAGTGGCTCTAATCATTCTCATAATATGTTTATTTGCCGGTAGCACACCCGGGGTTTTATCCGATGCTGAAATCTTCAGAGTGCGTGAAAAAGTCATACATTGAACGGGATCGCAAACTAACAACTATACCGATAGGTTGAGCTCACAAGTTTACCAAGCGAAGATGTTCCAAATTTCATCAACGTCTATCTCATGTCCTACTGTGTGGGACATCAGCGGCAATACATCGATGGAAGTACCAATGAGACCTTTACTCAAACAAACATGAGCGACTGCTCCGCCCGCAGTGTTTCATTTCACTTTACCCCATTTGAAGCCATTGAGGAAGCCTTGGGAACTTCCGTTGGACCAGATTGGCCGGGCTGGTCGGCTGCACTAGGCGACGATGACTTTGAGGAGCTAAAGACCGCAAGTCGAACGATGACAATATTCTTCATTCTCGGCACAACTCTTGTCGTCATTTCAATGGGCATACGCGTCACAGCCCACCACTTCAGGCGGCGCTTTGCCAGTTATCGCATCCCAGATTCGAAGGCGACGATCTTGCCTGGACACCCAGATTATTCGATCCGAGGCAATCTCAACACACCTCCCTCATACTTAGAACTTGCAACATTAGTGGTACGCCACAGCTATATACTCGGGAAGGTCCTCAAAGCTAACATAATCAAAAGCTTAGCACCGTATTCCTTCTGATTGCGTCAATAATCACCTCCGCGGTTGCTATGAAGTACATCACGTTGATACGCCAAAGTGACGATGCCGATGTTTCAGCACGGCACAACAACACCTTTCTCGGAATGGCATGGAGCACGACTCTTATTCAAGCCCTTCTTACTATTCACAAAGTGGCCGCCCTTGTGCGATATGAGACGCATGGTTCTCGTTATGATTCGGATGGGTACTCTCTAACCCGAGATACTAGCAATAAGGGAGCCTTTACTCGGATGGAATAATAGGTTTGCCACAGTTTGTATGATTCCAAATACGCTACAATCATTAGACTGTCATTTTCTTTCTGGGTTCACTTCGGGTCGATTGCAGGTTGGCATCAGACATATCAAACTTCATTAATGTAGAATATAATTGCGCAAGCTAGATAATAGAAATAAAAGTCCTGCGTTAGCTTTCTGATAATTCAAGTTTAAAAGTGGTGATGAGGACCAAGACTGCCTAAATGTGTGAGAAGGTCTACTGCTTGTTTGGCTCGTCAACTGCTTTCAAAAGCTTTATCTTATTCTGGATACCAACAGTAGGTATGCTCCTACCTGGACAGGGAATATCGAAGCCCTTTGACACAAGATTTTTCAGAAGGAGTGTTGTACTTCCAAATCGGAACTAGAATGAGGCAAAGTTGTTGCAGATTCATAGGAGCTGGCCCCGGGGGTTGCCGTCGTTTCGGGCCGCAGGGTTCATATTCTGTCGAGGCAAAGTCGTTTAGCATGACCTCACACTAATTTTGCAAATATAGAACAGCTAGGCATTGAAATTGGCACTGAAATTGACGATCAGTGGACCCCGGATGACCTACGAGAGTTCGTGCTGGGATTATGCAGCTTAATGTAGAGAATATCGACGTGTGATACTGGCCCCCAAGCATGAAATCTTTGGGGTGGCGATACTGTAGGAACCGACTGGGTCCAAGGCGTCCGACAGATTATGTGCTGTAAATCACAGGCTAATTGGCTTTATACGTGATAGTGCAGAGTATTTTTAAGCAAATTGAATACTTGCCCATAGTAGGTTCTATCGACGAAGAAAAAAAAAAAATGTCCAAAGAATAATGTGCACCAAAGCTCCTGGGTCAAGATAGTGCCCCCACCCGGATGGGGCCAACAACATCACTTGAATCATCGTAATACTCTTTTAGGGGTCCAATGAATCTCTGACCTCATTTTCTATGCCGATACCTTCTTCATTGAAGCTTCGTGAGCAGTATTGCCCCACCTCCTTCCGTACGCCACCCAGCAACAAGCAATCACACCCGTCGAAGCCACACATGGCGACAAATCATGTTTCAACTGATTGATCAACCTAGCATCTTGCGATAATAGGACCTGCAGCTTCCAACACTGCTTGTCAACGCCCCAATTACCTGTTTAGTTGTGATTACCTGTTCAGTCATCATTCGGCCACCATGTAGCCTTCGCAACTAATGGTATAAAGCAGCTCAAGATAACCAGTCTCCTAATGATCATTCACAACAATCAGATCCAATCCAATCCAACAATCCAAATCCCAGTTCTCGCAGTCTATTTGCCCCAAAAACTCTCACAACCAAACATTCAAAATGCAGTTCTTCTACCTCGTCACCCTCGGCCTCATGAGCACCGCTTACGCCCTAAACCCCCAAGCCAACGCGGCCCGCGCCATGCCAATCGAGGAACTAGGCCCTATCGAGAAACATGATTATATCATGCCAAAGGTTGCCCCCGGCTCTGGAGCCTTCAAATCTGCCCGGGCCTACGACCACGCAACTCCCTCTATGACTCCCGTGGCAAGCCCTTCGTCCACCATCCCTACCTCGACTCCCGTCGCATCGGCCTTCCCCACTGAGATCCGTGTCGCCAAGGAGCCCATTCCTGTTCGCGCAGCTGTCAGACAGTACTACCAGGACTACCGCCAATGGCAGGCTGCTACTGGCCAGGAAAAGACAAGGCTCCAGGCTAAGGTCCAGGATGATCTTCTGTCTATTCGGAGCATTAAGGCTGCTGTTGAGCGTAAGAAGGCTAGTGCCAGTGCCAGTGCTAGCGCTTCTGCTAGTGCCACCCCGACTCCCAAGCGCCGTTAAGCATTGGCGATAAATGACTGGGTATTTCGACTATGAATTGGACTTAGATTTGATAGACGGTTAGACGGTTATAGCTTTTATGCATCAGAGCTGGTCTCTTGTGTTTGAATTTTTGTTTGTCTGATTTCATTTGATAGCTGGTTCAAGGGACATCTGGATGTCATGGTGCATGTAGACTTTCAGCAATTCAAGCCCTTCATTATTCCCAAAAATTTCCAACAAATTGTATAAAGTGGGAGGTATGAATTATACATTGTAGTCTGTTGCAATCACTGCTTCTCGAGGAAAACAACCTTGCTACCGTAATCGGTATCAAAGGGGAATTGTAATCCAATGTTCATCAACGTCGCACCAGAGTACGTCCCCTTCCCTTCCACACTATACATAGCCTCAGGAGCCAATCCTTGCATCTTAATCCAAGGAATAGAATGATCCACTCGGGGGTTAAGCTGGAAATAGAAAAGTACAGCCTGAGTCCCATCCTCCGAGATAAATAGAACAGCAGGCCAATTCGAGTCTTCAGGCAAGCTCAAGCGGTACATATCACCCTTCAAAACAAGGGGATTAACCTTTTCAGAAAGCGCAATCAGCCCCGGCAGAGCAGCCTTGTCTGCTTCGGGCGTGGTAGCAGGGTCAAGTTCCAAACCGAATGATCCACCCATCATTGCGACGTGTCCGCGGAAGGCGACAGGTAATGTCCGGCCGGTTTGTTGATTTGGAACGGCAGATAGATGGGCACCCATGGCGCTGGGTGGGTATGCGAGGGATGTTCCCGTCTGGATGGTGATACGCTCGATAGCATCCGTGTCGTCCGACGCCCAGATTTGAGGGAAGAATTGTAGAACACCTGGGTCAAAGCGACCTCCACCGGAGGCACAGCCTTCCCAAAGAACATCGGGGAACTGGGTGGTGAGATTTGTGAAGACTTTGTAGATTCCGAGCATGTATGCGTGGTCGGTGGAGGGAGAAGGCATCTCATGAATGCCCCTGTTGTTGTCCCATTTGACGTATGAGATATTTGCGGTGTTGAGGATGTTGGATACGGACTCGATTACGAATTCCTGGACCTCTGGGAGAGCCAAATTGAGTACCAATTGGTTTCGTCGCTGTGTGCGTGGGTATGGTCCTGCGTGAAGAGCCCAGTCCGGGTGTTCGCGATAGAGGCTGGAGTTCGGGTTGACCATTTCAGGCTCCATCCAGATTCCAAAGCGCAAGTTGGTCGAGGTATTGCCGGATTTGAGATCTGTGATGTTACTCACGGTATCTGCTAGACCATCAGGGAACCGCCGAGGGTTGGGCACCCAGTCGCCAAGGCCTTCAGTGTCTGAAGTACGAGCATATTTGTCACCGAACCAACCATCGTCCAGAACAAACATTCTGACGCCCAACTCGGCTGACTCTTGTGCTAGATGATAGATGCTGGTCGCGTTATAATCAAAGCCAAGTCCTTCCCAACTGTTCAGAAGAGGTGGCCGATCGTCGGTCGCAAACTTGCTTTTGATAAGGTGGTTGCGGTAGAGGCGATGCAGGGAGCGGGACATGCCACCAACTCCGTTGCTGGAATAGACAGCGACGCACTCTGGGGAGTTCAGAGTTTCGCCCCGGGCTAACGGCCATGATAGCTGACCGGGATTGAATCCAAGCATGGCGCGCGTGAAGCCCTGAGAGCCCTTTTCCACATCCACCGAGAACGACCCGGAGTACACGAGCGAGAAACCCCATGCCTCACCGGAAGATTCAGTAGTGGCTGGGTCTACGAGGGCAAGGAACGGGTTGTGCAAGTGTGAGGCATAGCCCGTTGAGCTTCCAAAGCTGATCCCCAGAAGTATTAGCATGGTGATGTGGCTTCAGAGATCAGGATACATACCCTTGGCTACCATATTCGACCGATCTCCGTTCACGATGGGCTTCTCGTGCCCAGTCACCTCTCAAGCTAATCATATCGAGATCCTCGTAAGGGAAGTCCACACTGATACTAGCGAGAGACTCGACGGTAATATTGCCCTTGCCTTTGTTCGTAACACTGGCACTCCGCACAATCGCATCATATTTGGGAAAGATTGAGTATGATAAGGCCGCAGCGACATCACTATACTGGTCATATAGATTCACCACGAGCGTAGTGACGTCTTCCTCAGTTCCAAATGTCGACGGTAGACCAGGCAAAGCAGGCTTTCCTTGCTTGATCTCATGGGACTGATACTGGAAATCCGACACGGTGTATCCTTCCGTTTGCCGGACGCGAATCGCTGGCATACGGAAATCCCCTCGACCTTGGTCCGGAAATTCTCTGCGGATGCGGCCTGGTACTCCAACCCAGCCGTTCACTGCGCTCACAATCTCCGTGGGGATGGGACCCGTCACGCTGCCACCAAAATGGTCTGATAATAGATCTCCTGTACTATTGTCCACACGGAACCGGTAAGAAACATTGTCGCCATTCAGTGCGAATGTAGTACCGTCAACAACAATTGCTATACCACAGAATTAGTATAAGCACTGGGAAGCCAGGCGCTTAGCTCACCATCTGTACTTGTAGACTGAGCTGTTGCCAAAGAGCAATGACCAAGCAGCGAGACCAAGCTGGCCACCGCTACTGATCTACTAAGTTGGAACATATTAGCTGCTCGCTCTTTCATAGGAAATTGAGAAGAATAACAAGACAAAAGCCAAATGGACCCTGGATAGCGGCTTACCTTTATACGAGGAATGCAAGGAGTCGCGCCGACGAAGCTCCGCGACATGGGCCAATCGAGACCTCGACATGTTGTCACCGTCGCATAATGCACTGTACTTCTCGTCAGGCCCTCCACGCGGGGTGTAGCTTTGCCGGGGGAAAGCCGAAGATCTGCAGGGAAAAGCGCGTCCTAGCGGCGGGTTTGAGCGCGTCTGATTCGTCCCACGGATCCCGCCGTGCCAAGACTTGGAGAAGCACAATCCGCTGTGGACTTCAGATGAGGGATTAATATTTCCATAATTGGGTGGATGGATGAAGATCAGCGTAGAACGAGGCGGAAACAACCGCCTCTATCGACTGCTGTTCAACATCGACCAATTTCTGGTAAACCTTCTTCCACGTCGTAGAAGAGGAAAGCCAAGAGAGAATATCCGAAAATGCCCCGCTGTGGAGTCCCCGCATTCTCTTCTGCAATTTCAGGCGTCCCTCAATCCCTGCTATTGTCAGCAGGGTTTGAAGGGAAAAATGAGACAAGCTAAGGCTTGCGTAGCTTGCCGGTAAGACGGAAGAGGCGTTTGGTGGCAATATGGTTGTTTTTCTAATGCTGTATTACACCCAGGGAACGCCGACGAAAATGTGAGATCAGTGCACCCGGTTTCTCATGCAGGAACTGTCTCAAACGCGGATTGACCTGCAGCAGTAGCGAATTTCCATCGAAATTCCAGGACCAATGCGGACAGTCCTCTTCTTTTACTGATGAAGCTACACCTCGATCTACACCAAGTAGGAAATGCTTCTTGCCTGCTCAACCTCTTTGCGTCGAGCTAGTGCGGCTTTATTTCAATCACGTGCATGATCAATTTCATACACTCTTTCATGAACCAAGCTTTCTGGAAGACCTTGAAAATGGCACTGCTCCACCAGTGCTATTGTTTGGGATGATGGCCCTTTCAGCAAGGTAAGTTGGCCGAGAACTAGCGCGATCAGATCCAATATCTGACTGTGAATAGGTTCTCAACAAATCCATATTTCTCTGGTAGAGATCCACGAGAAAGAGGAAGAGTATACGCCAAAGAATGTGACAATCTGCTTGACTGGAACGATGTCTCGATCACGACTATACACGCCTGCGTCTTACTCGGTGCAATCGCCATTACGGATGGCAAACCTGCCTCGGAATCAATACACTATGCAGTTGCTTGCCGAATAGCACAGCTCCTTGATCTTCCCAACTGCCAAGCCTCAAACAAAGTGGATCAAGAGGTGAATATTCGGAGTCCGTTTGTCCCTTTATCATCCCTTGCTTGAATATTAGCTGACGAAGAGCAGCTTGGTGGACACTGAGTATGATTGATGTCTGGTCCTCTACCGGCGTGCGGTTACCAAGGCTTCTCGCTCCAAAACCCGATGTCCCTTTACCAATGGAAGAAGCGACCCTTTTGCGTCTTATACGAAGCGACAAGTTTGACGTCCAAGTTCAACCGGAAAGAAGATCGTCCCTTCTTGCAGAAATGGTTCGCTTGAATCGTATCCTCCAACAAATAAACGACTTCAATATTCGTGCCTCGGAGTACCAACTAGACTCCGTGTCCATCAGAAGTGATGTCGAGAATTTATCCAAACAACTTGACACTTGGCTCAAAGAACTTCCCGACCATATACGGGACACACGCACAAACATGGTTAATTATGCAGAGCAGGGACTTGGTCGCATGTTCGTCGCTATCTACCTGGGATACTATCACTACGGCCAGATGCTCTTCTACCGCTTTCTACACGAGGACTCACGGGTATTTGATACTAGCACTCGGTTTTACGCCAATAAATGCAAGCAGCATGCAGGTAGTCTCTGTGATATACTCTATGCGTCTGAAGAGATTCCAGGGTGTGACGTCAAGTATAACATGATTGGGCATGTGGTCGTGATCGCATCGACAGTGCAAATCCACAGTCTCCTGTTCGAAGGCGAAGACGCAAATGTTACTCTAGCTAAAATGCGACTGGAGAAGAATTTCTGCATCATAATACATCTCCGCCAGCTCTGGCCGACTTTGGATGTCTGTATGGATCGTCTAATGGCTTTTCACCAAGCATGCAGAGACTCAGCCGATACGAGTTTCTGCATGGACAGATGGATGGTGAGATTCTTAGTTGAATTCGCAAGTCCTGTCAACGATAAAGCTTCTTCAGCGCATGATCAAAATATCTGGTCACTTTCTGAATTAGGTATTGACCGGACCAGCCAAAAGCTAAATAAAAACTAATGCGTCATATCCCTCGTCGCCGTTCTCTTGTGCAACCTCCCCAACCAGGAATTAGCTGTCCAGATTCGAATTCTCTTACCAAAGAGAACGAATACAATGACCATCAAATTATTCGCCAGTAGAACGCCTCCGAATATCCCAGAAATAACAACCGCATACCCTCTGTTCAAGATCCAGTCTAGTAGATAAGATCCCATACCAAATGAGATAGCTTGCTTGCCGAGGTTCATAGCAATAAGCATTTCGGACGTATTGGCGTAGTAAGAATCCACAGCATAGGCGAGCGTGAACGTAAAATAGAAGTACGAGCCAACCATATTCATGGCAACACCGGCAAAATATCCTATCCAGTGCAGATTCCGTTGGGCTGTGAACCCGTATACTATCAGTCCTGCGGGCGGAAGTAGCATGACTGGGAATAGGGCTGGGAGACGCATTTCTGCTTCGCGAATTCCGTTGTTGCGTTTCGTTCGATATGCGGCTAGTCGGTCGGAGCTTGAGGTAAATGGGAGGGCGATGAGGTAGCCGATGAATGAGGCTATTGCTATGAGGCCAGAATTTGTCTATGGTGGGTTAACAACTTGTTGATTTGACTTGGAGGTCTGGAACTCACATCGCTCCAGTTATATGGTGGCTCTACTATCTTGATTGGGAAGGTGTAGTTGAAAGCGAGGGCTCCGAGGCCAATGTAAAGGCCTGAAGTTGTGGTCAGCAAGAGGTCTCTTTCAGTGTAGCTGCATAGGTGCCTACCATAACTAGCAATCACCCAGAAGACAGCGGGAACAAGAAAGTAGGTGAAAGAGCGCAGCATCGTCATGAAGAATTCTGCGTCTGGGTCGATAGCGCTCCATGGAGCGAGTGTTGATAAAAAGCTCTTCCGGAGAGGGAAGCTGATCGATGTTACATCTTCCTGATCTTCCGTTGGATTAACCACTTTCTCTCCGTTCTTAGCTTCCAACGATTGAGATGAATCATGAGACGAGGTTGGCTGAATGACTCGATGATAAGATGATTCTTCAACAAAGAAAAATGCCATGATGAGAAGCGCAGCAGCAAATGCAGCTTCAACATAGAAGAATAGCCGCCAGGAATACCCACCTGCAAGCATATAGCCAGCATATAATGGGCCTGTTGATCCGAGGCAGAGACAAACTTGACATTGTTAGTTTCTTCTCGAATTTGACCCATTGATAACCTACTAGTGTAGTAGCCCAACTTCTTGCCCCGTTCATGGATAAAGAAGATATCATTTACCAACTGCACTGGTAGACTCTCACAGACGCCACTATGGTAGGTTAAAAATTGTATGAAAGATAGATCTGGCTAAGATGTACCTCCCGAATCCATGGAAAATGCGAGCAACCATAAGGCCACTATAGGTGGTACAACGTGAGGCACCGATTAGACCAGCCAAAAACTATAGCATATCAGCACAAATGGCTTCCAAATTCAGCTTTGTACTTACAATCACCATTGAAAGGAGTGTGACTGGACGGCGACCGAATTTGAGGTACATTGGCACCAGAAGAAGTGAGCCTAAGAACAATCAGCAAAGCTAGTCACAGTCCTTAAAACCATAGTACGATATACCGAAGCCGAAGGCCAGGTTTGCATAGGATATGAGCCCGGAAGCTTCTGCCGATGAGATCCCAAATTCCTCACTGTATATGGTGATATAGACCGAGGGTCCAGTCAGTGCACTATTACCCAGGAACGAATAGATCGCAACGATGACGAGGATGGTATTCTTCTTCCACGTAGGCCACTATTTTTCGAGAGGTATTAGCATAGAAATGGATGCAAAGATTGACATGCTAAGCATCATTCACACTTACTTGAAGTGGATCATTGGGATCCTCAGCAGGTACAGGATACAGCGCTTGTCCATACGCCGTATCATCACCTTCTGCGGCGCTGAGGTCAACAGTTCCTGGTATCTCGCCTTCATGCGCATGGCTTCGTAATTGTCAGTCTGTGTGGAGCTATTGGTAAGAATATAAATTACCTGTGCACTAGGTGCGGCCTTCTAGCCGACTCTGCATCGCTCTTCTGCATTAGTAACTCGCTGGACTGAATGTGAATGGATTGGCTGTAGCCTGATGTTCAATGGAGAAATAAGAGATCCTGGTCATTCTTCAATAGTCCGCGAGATCGAGAGATGGCAAGATGGCAACAGGGTTTTCCCCGCATTTCTCCACATTCTCCTTCTCTAAGGACCCCTAGCCCCACAACATGAGCGATCATTAACAAGATGCCGAGAGTCCAATTAAATGCCAAGCAGTGGGGAAGTAAAGCAAGATTGAGGAAAAGCATTAGAAAATTCAATTTAGACTGAATAATACCAGCTCAGCATAACCAAGTAGACAGTCCTCAGGTAAAAACATCAGTAGCATATCTCTCCTTCGTCCGCAACTGATCAAAGAACTTCTCGGCAACGACATCCTCCTCAAGCTCTGCATCAGGACTAAGCGTCTCACCAGTCTCCTTAGCCTTGGCAATCTTCTCCCTCCGCTTCTGAATAAAGATCCCCTTACAAACATCCATCACAGCGGACCCAACCCCAGTACTGCCACAAACATAAATATTAGCACCCGCTTCAAACAGTTCAGTAAGCTCTTCGCTATGTTCTCGCATCAGATCCTGAACATGTTGTCCCTTTGACCCGTCAGATGGACGACTATACGCCCACCGGATATCAACAGCGCCGATCTTAGCCCATTCTGCCAGTTCGGCAGCATGGATGTCATCTTGGCCTTGTGTTCGGCAGCCCGTGTATAAGATCGCTTTCGCGGGTTGATCAGGACTGTTTCGGCCTCGGATACGTTCTGCGCGATCCATTACGAAGCCGCGGAATGGTGCGAGTCCTGTGCCTGCGCACGCCATTATCATGGGTGTTTGGAGGTCTGCGGGTGGTTTGAAGCCTGAGTGGGATGGTCGGACGGAGATGTGTGCTCTTTCACCAATTTGGAGTTCGGATAGATAGTTCGACGCGACGCCCAGGTATTGTTCTGCTTCTACTTCTGTGCTGGGCTCCGAGGTGCCGGAGAGCGCGGGGGCATTTAGGACGGAGAAGGTGATTGTGCACTCTTCTGGATTTGGCAGTGGAGATGAGGAGATGGAGTACTGTCGAACGCGCATGGGGGGAAGCATGGCGAGGAAATCGCCGATTGGCAGCTTGATGGCTGAGTAGCGCATGAGTAGGTCCAGGGGACTGACGCGCTTCTTGACAATTTCAGAAGTGAAGCGTTTAGGGCTGGAAGCGATGTAGCGGAGTTCAGCTTGGATTTCTGCGTCTTCGACTGCGGCGTCGGCGAGGAGATTCAAGTCACGTTTTGAAGCGGGCTGCGATAGCTCGACGTATGTTGAGAGGAGATCGAAGGCGGAGATTGGTGTGTCCAGGGGGATGGATGGTGGTGCTGCGCTCTTGGATGGCTTTTGGATGCGGAGCATTGCGTCCCATGGTAGATCGAAACGACGGATTGCTCGACGGACCACTGAGGTTGGGTTCACGGGTAGAATGGCCAGGTAGTCACCGCATTGGTAGGTCATATCGGTTGGGAGCTTGAATTTGACCAGTCTCTTCATGGGCACGCCGGGTTGTGTCAAGAGTTGGTTCTCTAGCACGAAACCCTCTTCCAACTGAAGGCCTAGAGTCGATGCGCGCATTCCCGATGACACCTCCACTTGGAGGGATGATTTAGGCTTGGCTGTCTTGTCTTGGCCTCCGCCATACTTGGCGGTGATCGCTGGCCAGAACGCTGTTTCGCCCCAGCCATCGAAATCTGTGAACATGTCCGAGTTGGCTGCGTCGGCAAGTCCAATTTCACATAGCCTGTTTCCTCCATTCTCCTGGATCAGCTCATTCACTGCCTTTGGAATCCGGTGGAAAGTAGCCGCCCAGTCATCTGTGTTCAATGTTAGTGAAGCTCAGCGAGCACAGGAGTATGACTTACGATGACCACAACCAAAGACCGCATAGTTAACACCATCCAAGCTGCTCCCCTTAAGCTCACTCAGCCACTCAAAGAAGTGGGCCGCATTGTCAGGCGGCTGGCCCTCATATGAAGCAGTGATGAAGACAACAGGCTCACTCGTTGGAATGCTCTGCATAGCAGAGTCCAAAGAGTTAGTCGAAGCGGCGAATCCATACTCCGCAGCATCATCGGCAAGCCTGCGTGCAAACGCTTCACAAGTGCCGGTATTACTTCCATAGAAGATGTGCATATTCTTAAGCTCAGCACCCACAGGAACGGGCTTATGCTTCTTCTCCCGATCCCCAAGGTCAGACGCCTTCGCCACATCAGGGGTACCGCTCAGTCTCATACTAAGATGCGTTGGATCAAGCCCACCCCGCAACGATGCCTTCATTTCAAAATCTTTAGGCTTGATGGTGAGAGTCTGCTTGATACGCAAGTCATAGCTGGGATTAGCCATCTGGAAGTTGAAGTTCTGCAACAAGATCGCGACGACGAGGAGAGCCTCTTGCCAGGCAAATGGCCGTCCGATACAGCCTCGCATACCATTCCCGAATGGCTTCCATGCGTTCTTGGGCAGTTTGTCAAAATGCTCGTCTAGCATTCGTTCGGGTCGGAACTCCTCTGCGTCGGGGCCCCATACTTTTGGATCGCGTTGCATCTTTCCAGCCATCATGACGATGGGCTCGTCTTTGTTTAGGACATATTTTCCGCCGCCGAGTGTGACCGGATCCTCCTTGTTCTTGGTCGGGTGGGCATGGAGACCGATGAAAGGTGCTGTCGGTCTCAGTCGGAGTGTTTCACGCATCACGGCTGTGATATAGGGGAGTTTTGACATGTCGTCCACTGTAATCTTGCGCTGTCCGATGACCTGATCGACTTCCTCTTGGGCTTTCTTGTATGCATGTGGGGTTTTGAGCAAATAGTAGAACAGGAATGATAGCATGCCGGAAGTGGTTTCGTGACCTATACTGGTAAGCATTATCCTTGTCGCCCATTAATATGGAGGGGTATTTACCGGCAATAAGGAATGTGATCATATTGTCGACAATCGAGTCGTCTGTCAGACCATTCCCGGTCTGAGGATCACGGCCTAGAATCATAGCATTAAGAAGATCTTTTTTATCTTCGGGGTTGTTTTTCCGATCCTCCACAAGCTCCTGTGAAAGGTTGCGCAGGTAATCAATATCTGCCCAGTACTTTGCGTTTTCACTTGTGGGCAAATTGTTTAGCAGAGCTGGACGACGAGCTCGGGCGCCTGATCCAGCAAGCAAGCCCACCATAGCCTCCACGAAAGGATGCATCTCATCGCGGTAGAAGGAGTTGAATCGCGTTCCCATGGCACAAAGCGCAATAGTATCCAGTGTCAGACGGGTAAAGTCATCGGCGACCGCGATCGCGGCATTGGGGCCTTGTCGAGCCCACTTCATTACCAGCTGAGTCGCGATATCGTACATGTCTATGCGCGCCATCAGTATCGAAGTGGGTATATTGAGGTCTCTCGTTTTGATAGCTCTCACCATCGAACATTCCGCGAATTGCCAATGGCCCAAATGCGGGGATTAGGACTCGGTGTGCAGCGCCCCAGTTCGTGTCTTCGCCGGGGACATCAGCTGTAAAAAGACCGTCGTGTGTGCCGTTTCGGATTTCTTTCAGTCCGCCTGAGACTACCTTTGCGAATCGTTCTTCGTCACATACTTCATTGACTAGCTCGTAGGAGCTGATGAATACGCGCGGGGAACCAAAAGTGGTGAGTCGGTAGATCGGGCCTTGAAGCAGTAGGAATCGTGTTAGCTCATTTCATATCAGATAGATGAATCAATGCGAAATTAGTATGTACCGTAGTTATCAGCCATCAGCTCAATACTCTTCATTGGCACCTCGGCCTCAATGTCATAGATGTTACCCAAAAGCGGGACCCCCTTGGGTCCCGGGATGGGAACCTCTTTGGAGCTCATAGTGGAAGGTTATGAACGACGTTAGATGAAAATTGGAAAGTTAGAGGACCAGGCTGCCATTATAAAGAAACCCAGCAAATGTAAGACGGGGTTAGGATGCCCAAATCCGATGAGGTAATAGCACCGCCCCGCGATCAGCAATGAAGCCTACAACGCGGTCAGCAATGAAGCTTGCATGTACCTCCCGTTTAACCTTCCACAAAGACGCCATGCACTGCATAAGCAACCTTGAGGGTATCATGATTTGTCCGACATCCCGATTGATTCTATACATAATCAATTGTACATTGTAGTATTCTCTAACGGGGCACAAACGCCGCGCCACGGACTCGGAATTGGTTAAACATTCCTGCCCGTGGGAGGATCCACCCTTGAACCTCGGCAGCTCGCTGAGCCAATCAATTTTGGCTCGATCGACACAACGTGAGTAATTTGTCTCAGCGATTGGTCTTGGAAAGGCAATTTGCGATCGGACGCGGGAGCGTCGATCGGGCCGACCGATGGAACCTGATTTATTTACACGTTAGTTTGTCTCAACATCAGATAGGAATGAGGTCATACGTTTCAAGGTTGCAAGTGGCGGAGAGCTTGGATGAGGCTAATTTTAGAATGCATAGCTTCATGTAAGGGTAGCAAAATCCAAAATCCCTCCCTGGTTGTCCGTTAGCAACAAACACCTTGCGTATTATATTGCGTGACTGTTTGGAAAGAAGAGGTCAAGGTCATTGGGAAGAAACAATGTCTTGGAAAAATATGTACAGATAATGTATATGAACGAATGGCCTAAACGGGACAAAGGTAGGAGGCAGGCAATACCAGCTTATAAACGCCGGCGGATTTGAACCGGAAATTGTGAAAAAGCGACCAAAGAACGGATATCAACAAGCGGGGAAGTTAGGCGCAGGAACCGGGAGCTAAGGCGAAAGGAAATGGTCATTAAAGGTTCCATGGCCATCGCAGACGCCCACGGAAGGGACACGAGAGTCTCGTAAGGAATCAAGTCATGGTGGTGTCTGAGAGACCGACAGCACAGGAAAAACAGATTCGCGGAACCTGTTCGAAGCGATCGAACAAAAAGGAATAGATATCAAGCGGCGAGTCGAGTATAGGAAGTAAAAGGATATCCTTTAGCCGACTTTATTGTAGCCACTCTTTCTCCATTCACTTTGTTTCCATTCATTCTGGTAGTTGAGCATTTCAGTGCGCTGGTCGGCAAATTTGGTGTCGTCCAGAGCTTGTGCGAGACGGCCCTGGCGACGTTGGCGTATACACCACCACATGAATGCACCGACGCAGGCCGCGCCGACTACACCGCATGAGACGTAAATGCCGATATGGGCTCCTTCGCCAAGGTCATCCCATTTCTCGGCCAGTGTCTCCTTGGCCTTCTTGTTGAGTTCGGTGACAGTGGTAGAGTTACCCCTAGAATATAGTTAGTTATGGTCGAATGGAGCTCATGTACGGAGTACTTACGAGACCACCTCGATACTTTGCCAATCACCCGAGTGGTTGCCGTACTTGTACTCCTTGCCGGAATGGAAATCCTTCACACGAACGCGCTGGACGGTCATGGTGAATGGGGCATCATCCCAATCGACCAGACCACCACCCCATTCGATCGTACCCAAGGACTCGCTTTCCTCACCGGAAGGCCAAATACCGATCTTAACTTGACAAGGAGTCTGTGGGTAGTTCTTGCCGCCAAGTGTCAGGGACTCGGAGTAGTTGACTGTGCGAACCAGGACGTCATCCAGCCACCATTCCAGTCTATCATGATCCCAATAGGTGGTGTAGTTATGGAACTCAGTATCGGCGTTCGACATGCCCACACTAGTGCCGCGATCGTATCCAGTAGTGTTGCCCTTGCCGAAGAAGTCGGTCTGCACGAGCGATGTATTATATCCGAGCCATTCCCAGTCGATTTCGTCGAGGTCGTCAGATTCGAGGACGACACTACTGATGATACCCGCACCCTTGGCCATCTTGACCCATGACTCAACGACGCCGAAGAAGATATAGAAGTTGGACTGCAATAGGAGAGACGATCCATTAGTCTCGAGGGTGAATTCGGCTCCTTCGTCGGTATACTTGAGCGCGCCATCAGTCATGTTCCAGATAGTGGCGTCGAGCGTCTCGTTGAACCACCATGTATGCTCAGTGCCGAGAGCAGAGTCGGCAGGACATGTAGTATTGAGCGGATCACATGTAGTGGACGTTTGGGCAGCTGCATAACCAGCCAGGGCGGCCACAGCGGCGAGAGCGAATGTGTTTCTCATTGTGAAAGGACGTTCCGGTCTCTTCCTTTCTTTAAATCAATAGCAGATATTGGGCTAAACAGGTGGTTCCACGGAAAACAGATAGAATGAATGAATGGACGAGATCAAGATCTCGGAAGCCCTATCTCCAAAGGAATGGATGTGCGGTATACGCGCACGAAATGATCGTATGTGGAAGACACGAGTAAGAAGATTAAGAGAGAAGCATGGGAAGGAAATGGGGGGAAACACGCCAAATGTGGGTTCGTCGCATTACGGCTAGCGCTGGGGCAAATAGTAAAAAGCAATTAAATTTGTTCATTTGTGCTTTCACAGTAAGGGGAGGAACTGCAAGATTATGTCGAGACTAAACCGCAGCAGGTTTAACCCCAGCGGCCCCGTGCCTGAAGCTAAACTCAATTAAGGGATTCTAAGCTTGTTTAGGCTGCGAGTCACCGCCACTGCAGAACAATAGGTTGTCATTGGTCATTCAGACCCGATAAGACCGGGATCCACGGTTAAGTGCAGAATCAGAAGACACGGTCCTCTGATTTGCTTGACTTGGCAAATCACTACCCTATACAAGCAGCCCAAGCTATACCAAGCATCTCGTATCTCGTAATCTTTACGGATAGTGTACAGATCGGCAAATGTCAAAGAACGAAAACTAAGCTATTCCTAGTCTAGAACCCGCACACATGCTCTTTCCCCTTATATTCAATATGGCGTTCTAAGACATCTGCTAGGCAGCAAACATAAGAACCCTTTTGCGCTGGCCCCCTATACAAGTCTATTTTGAGTATCAAGTGTACGGAGTACCGAGCTCAATTTTTTTCCCTCACGAACCGAGTCATCCGGACAGGCTCCGCACTTTCAACCCACAAATACCACCGTCAACAAGCTAAGTCGACCCTGTGGAGATCCTTTCATGTCCGCTCAGACCTAATTTGGTCCGAAATGACCGGTTCCCACAAGCGAGCTGGGGCGACTCGAAAAGGGGTGCCACTCTTGCGCCGTCATTCGCCAATTCCATGCAGGATGAGCTGGGCGAAGCTTTGAGGCGTCGCGCCGGCCCTTGGCCGTTACGTGGACATCTCACTAGTGTCATTTCTGGCTGGAATCAAGATTGGACAGATCGTTTGGTTGGCTACGGCAAGTTGGTTTAACCCCTGATCCGAAGTTCGTCCATGTTTTTTTTGTCCCTTCCAGGGCAAATGAGGGTCTTGAAGGGATTACGGCCCCGGGACCCCGAGATGCCGGACTTTTGTTATGTCAGCGGTCAAGTTTTTCTTTTGCGGAGACCAGTCCGTTCTCAGCAGTTTAAGCCGAAATCACGCCCCAAAAATGAAACGTGCATTTAATTGATTTCATTTGCTTTGATTTGCATATATATCATGAGTCATGTAATTGGTCCATATAGTCTTGAATCGTGCATGTCGTGCATCTCGTATCCGTTCATATTATCTCCCTTTTCCCTTCTCCATGAACCTGCATCCATGGATAGACATTACCCCCCTGTGCCCCACACATAATATTGTTCCAATTTCCCGATCTGAATCGGTCACTTGATCAGCTCAGATACACTTTAGCTGGTCGTCGGACATCATCGCGATATCGTCGTGTAGTACTGCGCGAAACCCTGGGTTTTTCAACCACATCAACGTAGGATCCTGTGCTCCTTCTCCGGCTTCCCCGGGATCGAGTGCTAGGGGGACGATAGCCGACGTCCGGTTCGCTGCTGGTCCACACCCCAGGCATTCGGCAAAGTCGCCACAGCCACAACAGGAGTAGGGTTCCGGCCATGGTTCCGAGCACGATACCGGCAATGCCGCCCGAAGAAATTGTACTCGGGCATCCATCGGTTGCTCGTGCGGCGAGCTTCATATCAATCGGGGCCTTAAAACAATTATCAGTTATCATTCCATGTTTTGCCGTAGAGCCGTGGTACTGGGAGTTCGGATCCGTTCTTTGGCGTCCCATGGGTCTGCTATGCACTAACCATCTTGAATGTTGACACTTCTTCAAGCGGAATACTATTCTTTTTTCTATTTTCGTCAAGCTTCGAAGGTCACTAATGACAAGCTTGATGCTAAGAAGATAGTATGCGGTGGGTCTGCAATCGATCGCCAAGCTCAACGAAATGCCAAATGTCAATGAACCACCGACCGAAACGAAGGTAATAAAGAAAAATCCAACAAATCCAGGATAAATCCGAGATGGACCGTATCTCTTATAAACTCCTCATCGCGGATCAATCAATCTCACTTCCAACCTCCTCATTTCATCCCGCTCTGACGTCAAGAAAACGTCGGCCTTGGCGGCCTGGAAGAGCAGCGATCTACATCACCAAGGGTACAAACCTGTAACCCTGTCGCAAAGTCTCGTATTTGACAACAGCTATTGGCCACCAACTCAAAGAAAAACTCAATTCTCTCAATCCTGTTTCCTGGCCCCGAATTGACACTGGCAAACCTGGACGGGTCAATTCCCGAGGAATCGGTACATGTGAAATCTTACGATTCATGCATGTGGCTCGGATGGTCCGGGTTACCTATCGAATGCGGGGCATGTACTTTTATGCTTCAGGATCGAAAAATGACGCACATCGCACAGTGAATCTATTGTGATAAGCTGCCTCTACAGTATGCATGCCCCGCCAAGCGCACGCCCTTCTCGCAATGATTCAGCTAGCCGGGTCGAGGTCTGGCTATTTCAATTCCACATGTCCAGGTGAAGGCGGCACATCTCCACTTTCCCACATCTTCGCATCCTGACCTAAATCGAACTCGATTCTTCCGCCGTTGGTCATGATATCTTCGTGCTCGAACCAGTTTTTGGTCCACTTTTCCCCGTTGATCTTCACGCTCTGCACGTAAAATCCGTCTTCCAACCCGGTCGCGGAGATGCGGAGCGTTTTGTTCCCGTTAATAGTCATGTTTAGATCTGGGAACCAGGGTGAAGAAAGTAGGTATACGGGCTGTGTGACGATGGGGTAGATACCAAGCATTTGCCACAAAAGCCAGGAATTCATGGCTCCTGCGTCGCTGTTGCCGGGTATGCCGTAAGCGGCGTCTTTGAAGCTGTTATTGGTTAAGTATGAGTCGCTGTATTGGAGCTTACTGCGGGACTTACTATTCGTTAGCGAGGCTGCGTGACTGTGCAACACTCTTGTGTTGCTTATTGATATAGTTGTACAGGTAGGGTGTAGCGAAATCGGGCTCGTTTCTTTCGATTGGTTAGTGAATATAACGAAATAAACTCACTTTAACGTACCCGATGTTCATCAACGTGGTAATGCCAGCTCCGTTGTCACCAAGATCTTGGATAGCCATGTTTGGTTTGAACTAGACAACACTATTAGTGATCAACCACAACCTCACAACCTAAATCATCTTACCATCATGTCAAGCCTCGAATCAAACGTCTCCGATCCTCCCATAAACTCAATCAAACTCTCAACATCATGAGGAATAACGAACGAATATTCTATCGAGTCTCCGTCAGCTTCTCTTCCAGTTCACCATCCACAGCCTGTAATACATACCCCACGGAACAGCCTCATAAGTATACGAAGACCACTCACACCCCCCACACAACCTCGGATCATAATCCGTACTATTGAAAGTCCCATCTGAGAACTTGGGCGCCAAAAACCCCGTGAAGTTCAGACTCTCCACACTCTTATCCCAAATATTCTGCCACCCCGCCGACCGGTTCAAATACTTCTGCACATCACTAGGCATCTCCCCCTTAGCAACCTGACTAAGCGCAAAATCATTCAAACTATACTCAACCGTCCGCGAAATGCTGCGCGTGTTGCGGTCCTCCGATACATAGCCAAGCTCTTTCCAGTCGTCTAGTGCGCCACGACCTTCTTTTGTACTGGCGGTGAAATCCGTAGGGTCGAATGTGTTGTATGGTGTAACTTCTGCGTCTTTAAGCATTGCTGCGTAGCCGTCTGTCCAGTTTATTGAGCCGCGGAGGCCTTTCACGTAGGCGTCTGCTAGAACGTTGTCGGCGTCTGAGCCGCCTTGGACGAGGCCGTTCCAGTTTCCGGAGCGGCCGTCTGGCATGTAACCCTGGTGTCTGTGTGTGTGGTCAGCTGAGATTTATTGGGGACTGATTGTTGGCTAGGGCTGGTTGGTATTTGTACCTCCAGATGTCGATCAGAGCTCGGATCATGGACTCGTAGTACTCTGGTTGGAAGATGTGATAGAAGCTGACCGTGCAGCGGAAGATATCCCCTGTAGAATTCATGGTTAGTATGACCAATATAATCGGGAAAGAGATTTCCGTCCACATACACATGGTGTAGAAGTCATCCCAGAATGGCTCACCAGAATCCCATAAAGGATTCTCGCCGGACCGGTCGGATGGCATCAAGTGCATGAAGTATAGAGAACTATACAGCAGCCTGACATGTGTCATGTTCGCCGAATCATCCAATGGAACCTGAATCTTGTTGAATACATCCTTATTCCACTCTTTGACCCCGTCAGCTACAGTGTCATTCAACGTCCAAGATGGAATCTCTTTTTCGATGTAGGAGCGTGCTCTTGCGGTAGAGATTGAGGAAATTCCCACGCGGGAGACAACACTTGAAGCCGACCCGGAACTCCAGCTCATCAATGCACCGATGCGGTTGTTCATTGGTCCCGAGTTGGCTTTTTTGGTCTGATTCCCGTATGTCGGTTGGCTTATTCCACCATTCGCCAGGTTTTGATACTTGGGAATTGGGTCTGTGTTTACGCCGGAAAATGTGCGTGCCTGGTCTGGAGTCTCGAAAAACTCCCCATAGAAGAAGACTGTAAATGGAGCACCTGTTGTCTGTCAGTATTTATCTCTTGATATTGGGTTGGTGGCTTGCCGTTATTCCATCCGCCGATGTAGGTTCCATATCCACTATATGATTTCCCGTCATCTTCGATTTCAATCTCCCCACCAACATAAAATTGACTTCCGGAGTCACCTGGTGATCCAGGTAGATACTGAAGATATTAGCTATGCCTCAAGCTGAGCCGGTCTCCATGACCTACATGAGACACATCAACAAGAACATGCTTCTCCCCATCCGGGAACGAATACTCCATAATTCCAGCATGACGCGAAGCAGATAACTCAACAGTCACCCCACTTTCCAGTCGAGTCTTATAATATCCCACACTAGCTTCATCATCTCCAATCTAGCGGTATCATCATGTCAGTCCAAGCCGAGAATATTTGAGCGAATCCGCTACTCACCCTCGGCTGACTATAAGTCTGATTGTCAAGGATATTGACCGGCGCCTCAACCGACGTCAACGGCATCTGGGCAATCAGTCCATACTTGGGTGCGCCCCCAGTCCCACTCTCATGCATCATACTAATACCCGTAACGTTTCCATCGGGCGTCCATCCTCCATTCAAAATAGCAGTCGTCCAATTCGCAGCCGTCGAGTCTATGCCCACCTTCGCAACACCAAACGGCCGTGCACCGCCCACAAAAATATCGCCTCCGCCGGCCCCTGTTCCATCTGGACCTTCAGAGCCGATGAACACATTCACGTATTGTGAGAGGTCGACCGTGGCTTTGGCGGTGCTGGTTAGTAGGATTAGACCCAACGAAGGGGCTAAGCTGTGATTCCACCGCATTTATGGCGATAGTGAAGAGTGTGACAAGCTTGAAGTCTGATTTCACTATGGGGTCATATACTGCAAGGTGTGTTCAATAGATAAAATATTGTATGTACTGCGCCTCCTCAATTCTTATACATTCCCCGGCAGGAGAGAACCCCGATCCGATCCCTTCGGTGTAACGTCCGTCAACTTGGGTTCCCTTGTGTCTCCGTGTATTGGAGATGCGGATTGGCAGGATCATTTTGTTTTCCGTTAGTTTCTTTGCTTTACCCCGCATCCTGCATTGTATGGGCGGCATATATTGGAATCGGGAATCCGTGCTCCGTGGTTGAGTACCAAGACATGTTCGATCGGCAAACAAAATGTAACACGGGGTGCCTGGGGGCTAATGATTGAAGTTTGGAAATTGAGAAGTGGGACTGGTTGAAGCTTGTTCGGTGATCTGTGCGAGTAAAGTTGGGGTAAATTCTTCAGGCTTTTTTTACCCTATTACCCGTTTAAGAGTACGGACTCCAGGCTGTGGTCCCGGGGTCTGGATAAACAGACCCCTAGGTTTCTCTTTCGATCAATTCAGCGATTGCTTAGGCCAAGTACGTATTCTCGTCTTGGGGTTGGTTCACGACTCTCACAGCATCCACAATCCCAAGCGCGACTAAGTCTGGGCTCAATCTCGGAACTACTAGGTCAGTTCGAGTGATTGGTCGAAAATGAGTTTTAATATGTATATAGAAGAAAAATCGCAAAATTAATATAGAACAAAAAGAGTTTATTCAAAGATCCAGATACTCCAAGCCCATGATATCATCAAAACGAGCAGGCAACCCTATCCAGCCAGGTACCATCCAAGGATGCGGAGGAAAACACAAAGAAACCATGCAATATTGACCCTTTATCATTACCGGCCCTCAATGTAGTCTCTGTTCTCGATTGTAACACTCTTGGTCATATGGTTGACCTTGTAAACTCCGACAAGCCTAGAAGCAAGTTCGAACTGTAGATTGTGTTAGCTCAAAATTCATCCCGAGGCTAGCATCGGCAACTTACCATGTTGTTTCTCAAAGAAATGACAATGAACTGAGCATTCTTTGTTCGCTCTTTGATATAAGAAGCAACGATAGAAACCTGTAGTACCCCTATTAGCGTCGATACAGTAAACAACACGAATGAGATACCCACATTTCGGAAATCCAAGGCAGCATCAATCTCGTCCATAACGTAAAGTGGGGTAGGCTTGTAATGGTGAAGCGCAAACACAAGGGCCAAACTGGATAGTGTCTTCTCACCACCAGACAGGTTTCCAATGTTCTTCCAACTCTTCTTTGGTGGCATGACAGAGAAAAGAATACCCTCTGAGAAAGGATCCAGTGAGTCAACAAGCTCCAGCTCGGCATTACCACCCATGGTGATCATCTGGTACATCTCCTTCAGACGAAGAGAAATGATACCGAATCCTTCCATGAAACCATTCAAACGAGCGGACCGAAGACCGTCAAGGCGAGCCTTTGCGCCGTCCCGGGATGCCAAAGCCGTGGCCAAGTCTGCAGAACGCGATTCATGCTCAGCAGCGCGGCGACGGTACTCTTCGATGACAGCCAGATCAACAGAGGCGTTCTGAACCTTCTCTTCCAATGCTACAATGACTGCTTTCAATGACTCCTTGTTCATCGCGTCCAACTCGTCCTTGGTGTACATCTGGAGTTCAGTAGATTCTTGCTCTTCACCCAAGTCACTGACGTTCTGCAAGGAAAGCTTCGCAAGCTTCTCTTCCCAGTAACGACTGCGCTTTTGGTTTTCTGAGAGAGCCTTTTGGTTCTCCTCCAGCTTGTTGCGCATTTCGATCTCAGTGGCCCGTGTCGCGTTGAGCTCGGCCACCTTCTCGTCGAGTTCATCCTTCAGAGCCTTAAGCTCTTCCTTCTTCGTCTCAAGGGCCTTTTAAAAAGTTAGCATCGCAGTCCTGGCCTTGTCATGATATCGGGTTTGCTCACCAATTCAGCCTCGTCGGCCTTTTGTCTCCAGCCAGAAGCATCATTTGCTTGTTTTTCAACATCCTCCTCTAGCTTTTCCAAGTCTTCAGCGATTTGGTTGAGCTCCTTTTCTGCTCCATCACGAGCCTTGGAGTGCTTTGTGATAAGCTTCTCGTTCTTAGACTTTTGTACTTCGGCATTGGAAATTTCATCGGCCAACAAGCCAATTTGTTCCTTCAAGCCATCAACCTTGGCTCTCTGTCCACGAAGACGCACACCACCGACTTCCATGATCTTGTTTTGTAAGGTCTGGATCTCTTCCTCGATACCACTCTTCTGACTGTTCAGATCTTCGATCTCGTCATTAATGGCTTCGATTTGCTTTTCGAGAGTAGTCGCCTGTGTGGCATCGGTCTTGGATGGTTTGTGCTCCGCACTAATCTCTTTCACTCGTCGCTGAGCATCTGCAAGGCTGCGCTTAGAACTGTCGATCTCGATCAGGATCTTCTGAATCTTGGTCTCGACCCGCGGGATCTCGTCAGACTTCTCACGAATCTGAGATTCAACATTTCTCTGCTTTTCCGAGAAGGCTTGGAATTTACGTTCCAACTCCTCGAGGTCTGCTTCCAGGCGGGTGACCTGTTCCTTGGTGGTATCTGCGACTTGCTTTGAGGACATACCACCCCGTGCGACACGAGTACCACCACCACTCATTGTTCCAGACACGTCAATGAGTTGTCCATCCAATGTGACTACACGCCAACGTCGAGCACCATAAGCGATACGGTTTGCTTGTTCAAGGTCCTTGGCAACCAATGTGTTCTGCATGACACTGTAAAAAGCTGGTGCAAACTTCGGGTCCTTGGGCTGAACAAGGTCAAAGAGCCGGGGAACGCTTTCCGGTGTGTAAATGGAGGACATATCACGGCGAGGCAAACGGTCCAGGAGAATGAAGTTGGCGCGACCAAGGTTGTTCTTGCGCAGATAATCGATACAGTGTTGGCCGACCTCCACGGTCTCCACGACCATATTGTCGAGAGCTGGGCAGGCGGTAGAAATGGCGACATCATACTTCTCATCGATAGTACCCAAGTTACCCAGACGGCCGTGAAATCCATCAATGCGACCAGATTCCTTGAGTCGCATCAATCCTGTCAAAACACTTCCACGGTTCTGGGTACTTGCAAGGCTGACTCGTGCTTCGTCTGCCTTCTGACGAGCACTTGAGACATGCGAACGAACCTCGGGTTCACGGGCGACGTACTTTTTCAGGTCGTGCTTCAGCTTCTCCACCTCGCCTTCCAGGGTTTCCTTTTGAGCTTGACGTTCCTCAAGATCGGTTTGCTTGCTCTGCAACGTCTCCTCGATGGAGGCGATCTTGCCATGTGCTTCCTCGAGCAGAACGGCACCAGCATTGCTCCGCTCGCGAAGAATATCCAGCTCACTCTGGGCGACAGCGACGGCAGATTGCTTCTTGTTGATCTTCTCGTTCCAAGGCTCGAGAGACTTCTGTTTCGTGGCGATTTGGTCAGAGAGGCCTTGAGTCTTTCCTTTGAGACTTTCACGAATAGAGTTCAGCTCTTCCTCCTCTGACTTCATCTCCTTTTCGAACTCAGTAGTCTCTCTAGTCTTTTTCTCGATGTCGTCACTGAACTTTTCGACCAAACTCTGACACTCAGAAGCAGCCAGACGGCTTGTTTGCATGGTCTTTTCGAGCTTCTTCTGCTTGCCAACCAAGAATTTTTTCTTCTCCTCGAATTTGACTGATTCCTTGTCGTACTTGGCCATTTCCTTTAGCAAGCCCTGCGCTTCTTTCTCCATGGTCTCGTATTCCCGGACTCCACGCTTGTAGGCTTTCTCAAGTTCCTTGATGCCCGATTCGTTTCCTTCGTGCTTCTCGAGCTCCATGTTTAAGAGCTCCTGCATCTGGAGGATTGCTTCCTCGGTGACGCGGACATTATCTGCACACTCATCGATGTAGATCTGGTAGAGCGCTGATTGCTTTTCAGATAACTCGTTTTCGTCTCGAATGTACGCCAGAGCCTTGTTCTTCTTGTCCTCGAGCGCAGTCTTCTCTTTCTCGACGTGTTGCACTCGATTGTTCTTCTCCGCGCACACGTCGTTCATAGACTCCAACTCGGTGGCTGCCTCGTCGATCGGAGTCTTGTACTTTGAAGTTCCAATGATGTCTTCCAGATATTCGAGAAGACCTTCGTCATGCTCGCCGGTGGCTTTCGCTTTCATCTGGGCAATGGACTCGACTTCACCTTGTAAGATCAAGAACCGCTTGTGATCAAGATCAATGCCGCGGTCACGGAGGAAGGTGGTGACCGCAGTAAAGTTTGTCTCCTTTTTGTTCATGTAGTATTTGCTGCTGTTGTTCTTGAATGCGCGTCGAGAAATAACCAAGTGGGAATCTGGGATGACTTCGTGGCCGCCGTCTGGCAGGTCGAGAACTTGCTCGAAGTGGACCTCTACTTCGCAGAAAGGTAGGTTGGGGTGCTGAGCTGAATTGTGAATCAAGGCCGAGATTTTGCCCTGTCGCATCTTGCTAGCACGGAAGCCAAACACAAAAAGAAGGGAATCAATAACGTTGGACTTTCCCGATCCGTTTGGTCCAACCACGGATGAGAAGGATGCATGGAATGGACCAACAATCTGCTGTCCAGCATAACTCTTGAAGTTGGTCAAAATCAAATTCTGGATGATCATCCGAGGCTTGGCCTCTGCAGGCTCCTCCGGGGCTGGAGCAGCCACATTTCTCGATTTCATGACTATATCCATAGGCTTTTCCAATACTGTAGAGTTGGGATTGATGTAAGAGACCTGGGATTTGGGCTCTTCCGGCTGTTTCGATGGGGACTGGTTGACGGCGGATTCGGTAATGTCGGACAGAGGCGGTACACTTTCCCGATGAGCTCGCGCTTCAGGTTCTGGCGATGCGGATGGCTCTGGAGTGGGAAGTGAGCCCTTGACCGACATAGACGTAGTTGAGCCACGGCTCTTGCGGGGATGAGACATACTATGTCTTTTCAATGCCGCCTGGTTGGACGGCGAATTGGGATCCGCGTCCACAGCCTCAATACTCTTTCTCTTCAATGCTGCGTTATTGGAAGGAGATTCGGGATCAGCCTCCACAGATACCAGGCTGGCTCCTTCATCATTTTCGTCGTTTTCGTCCGTGTCGGTGACCTGCGATGCGTCTGAGTCGTCTGCCACCGATGGCCGAGATTTGCGCGCCGGCCGCGCAGTAGAGGGCGTCGATGGCTCAGCCTTGACATGGCTCCGCGACACTCGTTTTGTCTTCCTGGGGACTGGGGTGTAATCCTCCTCTTCCTCTTCCTCATCGTCATCATCATGCGTCGAAGCCGTGGGTGTCACATTGCCAGCATCCTCTGATTCGGACGTCTCTTCGATAGCGTAACTCCTGCGGGAAGCTGAGCGGCGAGAGGGCCGACCCTGTGTAAGTGAAGCCATTATGCGCAAGTCAGTTGAAGCGCTTGCTTCATGGGCGCGCGGGGATGGCGGGGGAAAGATGATGAAAGATAGACGCAGCAAGCTGCGGGAACCTTAAGAAAGTGGGTTGTTTACCTCCCGCCCAAATAGGGATAGCTTCATGGTTCTGCCACAACACAACTCTCACCGCCAGGATTTTACCGCGACATTACCAAATTCATTACCAAGATTACACCGCTTTGCTACGGAGCACTTCATTCACATACTCTATTTCTACAATACCCCAAGCTCCCAATCATGGCGCAGTGGGAGGATTTTAACCAGATTTTTGCTTTCAACAAGAAATATCATTATGATGCTAAGGTAGTCGAGCTGATCAACTCCAATCGCCGTGCGCTAGAGAACCATCTCTTCGCCGATCGGCTGTTGGCACTGGTTGGTATCAAAGGAGGTACGAACAACTTGGTAGCCCTGTCGTGATTCCTGTCACTGACCACAAAGCTCTATATAGTGACCAAAGTCTATCCTCCAAAGACCAACGCCGACTTGCGCTCACTTATTGATCACATCGTCTCCTCTGAATTGGATATCCATCACAAGCAAGCCTTGATCTATTACATTCTCAAGGACTGTCGAGCTGCGCCAGATGCAGCTGGCCAATTTGCACGCTCATGTCACTTGCCCGAGAAATACCGTCTTTTTATTGAAGGTCTATGGCATATGGATCGTCTTGAATTTCGGGTATGTTCCCCCGCCGGAGCTGCATAGCTATCGCTAACATGCAACAGCGCGCAATCGAGTACTTGGCCGAACCTTCCCTCATTCCCACCTTTCCCGACGAGATTCTCTATGTCCTCACTCTCTCCCAACTCCCTAAACACGACAATGGTCTTGCGATCGCATACTACCTGAATGCTGCACCGCCTCTTGCAACCGAAAAGGTGCAAAGATCCTTCTACGAGACCCTCTGTCGCTCAAGTATCACTGAAGCATTATTCTTCTCACGGAAATATGATGAAATCAAGCGTCGCAATTACTTTGTGCAGCTGGTTGAGTTCATTCACAAAACTGCAGCTGGTCAAACACGCAGTAAGCGTGCGATGGAATTGGTTGGGCTGCCGCTAGATGAAGATGAGGAGGAATGGTTTGAGGAGGCTTTGCTCCGTGGGAGTGCCAGCACACTCCCCGGTGCCAAAGATACTTTGATGATGCGGCGATTGGCAACAGGCAGAGTTGACGGTCTGTCGGCAGAGCTGGAAGCATTGGGCGGGAAAAAGGTGGACGGACTTAACTGGGATGATCTACGCCAAAGCATGCGGTACACACAAACGGGTGGTAACCTCTTGGAATGATTTTAATGATAGCAAAATGGACAATTTAAAGGAGTTCGGGCTTAAAAATAGAATCTATTGTTTTCTTTCTGGAGAGTGCACTGGCTCCAAGGGGGCCTGACACCTGTGTATACCTAATGAAGCCATTTCAAGGTACCCGTGACACATGCCACGTCCAGTCTTGTCTACATTGGTGGCCCAACAGTCTTGTATTCTCTAATGCATGATCTCGGGAGTTCCTGTCCTTTCCCAAGCTTGGGTTTCAACTACCTAGGTAAGTATGCTTGCCATGACTCCGGATTGCCCAAGTGCAGGTGGACTTCGGAGGTATATATATCCTGACCTCGGGAGTCCCTGGGGCCGCTATCAAAATGTGCTGCTCAGGTGGCTGGGTACCCTTTGAATTACTCAGGTTACTCTGTATCTCAGTAATTAGTTTATTGCAAAGTAATTCCGCAACATTTGAAGTGATTTGACTAGACTTTGTATGAATTCAAAGTTCATTTCATCTCATATATCGAGTCGAGGGGCCGATAACCGATAAGGCACTCGATAAGAGATCAACTTCACAATTCGCGGAAAACAGCTTCAGTTTCTATCATACGCGTTGTACTCTTCCTCTACAGCTTGCAATACATCTTTCAGCTCACTCAATACTGGTTGATTGATTCAGATTACTTTCACATCAACTTACAGCGAAATAGACCTGCAATTGCCTGTCCACTGCGTCGCCTTGAATTGGGGCTATCACAACCGCGCCAAAGCAGCCCTGAAGTGTCAATGCGGTCATAGTCCAGAATGACCATCTGCGCTTTCTTCCAGCAGGGTCGCTGCAAATTTGGTGGTAAGTAAGGACTGATAAGAATCTGGCTTAATGGCTAATAATTGTTCAGACCGCTGCAAGTTCGAGCACCCTGGCCGCAATACAAACGGTTCGTCGGGGAACCGGTTTGGTGCTCTCGCCGCTGGTGGCTTTGGTAGTAAGTGAATTTGCTGCTAAAATGGCAGCATGCAAACATTCATAAATGGATTTGCTATCTCAAACTTCCCCTTTCATTGCGTTTCCACATTGATTTTGTCCCCTATTCTCTCTGCACATCCCAGCAACCCCGAATCATCTATGTCTCCTCCAGAAATGATGCTTCAACCATCAACTTCCCGCAAACCCATAATTCCCCTTGGAACATCCACTCGAATCAAATTTCCCTCCAAGAAGGGCTCAGGCGCTAACTCGCAACGTGTGGTAGATCAAGGCTCGCGACAGACCCAACAATCAACAGAGTAAGTACTCAAAGCCAAGTATTCACAATGACTTAGCGACTAACTTGATATAAGTTACAACTTGAATGCCAGCGACATTAAGCTCGACCTGACTGTTGGTAAAGGTCGCCCAGAATGGATATTCTCTGCATACGCACCTTTGCGAGACCTTCCACGGCAGCTATTCGGTGGTCCCCAACGAGAGCAGAGCATGGAAGAGATGCGACTTCGCCACTACCAAGCAGCAGCAGCAGGCAACATGAATCAGGCTATGCAGGAGGCCGAGGCTCTGTATGCGGAATCAGCGAAACAGATGGAATTGGCGTTGAGTGATATCAACGGCGCCATCCAGTACATCACTGATGGAGCTAAAGAACATCCGAACCGAATCGACATCGTCAATGGCAACACTGACTCCAATGCGAACCAGGTATCACCTGCTTTCGGCCAATCATCCACCCCCGCTCCCACCAATGCATTCGGAGGTAGTTCTTCATCGACAACCTTTGGCCAACCATCAGCATTCGGAGGCAATTCCTCATCGACAGCCTTTGGCCAGCCATCAACACTCGGAGGCAATTCCTCATCGACAGCCTTTGGCCAGCCATCAACACTCGGAGGTAATTCCTCATCGCAAGCCTTCGGCCAACCATCAGCTTTCGGGCAAACTGCTTCCCTCGGCCAGCCGTCTGCCTTCGGACAACCATCCAGCCTTGGCCAAAAGCCATCTCCCTTCGGTCAACCCTCAGCCATGGGAGGACAGGGTGCCTTCGGAAAGCCGGCATTCGGCCAGCCAGCACAACCTGGCAACACCCAGCCTGCGTTCGGTCAATCAGGATTTGGCCAGCCGTCGGGCCCAGCACCCTTCGGTGGTGCTGCAGCATCTCCGTTCGGCACGGTCAACCAGAACGCCAACCCCTCTGCATTCGGACAGCCGCCAGCCCAGCAACCTGCTACAGCCGCAAATCCTTCACCATTCGGTCAGGTAGCCACACAACAAGCCGCTGCGCCATCTGGGTTTGGCCAGCCATCAGGCACAAGTGGCTTTGGCCAGCCTTCCCAAAATCCAACACCATTCGGTCAACCCCAGCAGGCTAATCCAAATCCGTTTGGCCAACCACCCGCCGCGGCAAACCCATTTGGAGCCCCGCAAGCTGCTCCTGCTCCCTTTGGTCAGCCTGCAGCTCCTCAAGGGTTACCGGTAGCAAATGTCGATGCTGGCCCGCCTGCATTCATGCAAATCGATGACCCTAATGAGTTGAACCCGCTGCCACGACTGCAGGGTGAAACCAGACGTGATCCTGGCTCTAATAGGCTCACTGCATGGAAAGGCCGACCCGTGCGATACGTTAACAATTACCCTTGCTATGAACACCCGCAAGACCCCAAGACTCTGGTTCGTATTAATTTCCCTGATGGACCGCCTGATGCAGCTACTCTACGTGATTCTCAAGGGAAAGAAGATGAGTATACACCAGAGGTCATTGAGATGTATCAATTCTTCCTTGCGAATGGATACTTCAAGGATGGCATTATTCCGGCGGTGCCACCCAAGAGAGAATGGATCAGTTTTGATTTCTGAGCTTGTTATTGATTTCCTCCATTGATATTATCGGGGAACTCGAGACGCTTCTTCTTTTTCTTTCTTTTCTCTTTGTTTGTTTTCAAGGTGCATATCCATGACTTGCCGGCTTCTGTCATTTGATTCTTATGGGTACAAACTTGGTTTCAGTGTTTAGGTACCTCCTGCAAAATGGCGTGTTCGGTGTTCCAAGGCATCATTTTATTACGCTTACCACGGTATGATTACTTTACAATTCTACAATTTCAGATCCAGGATCTGCAGGCACAAAGTTCTTTCTCAAGATGTTTCCATTTTTTTGTATTTCAGGTAAAGCGGGTATCCACCACGAAGTCCTTCTCAGGCTCAAAAGCGGACAACCAACTGTTCCGCAACCAAAGACTCGATATGACAGAGCAGCCGGTCCAAAAACCCTCCCTGATCCATTGCAAGAACTACTTAGGGTAGTGCATTTAAGCAGCAATGGTAACCTCGACCTCAACACCGGCCTCGATGTTGATGATGATCTGCTTGACGGTCTCGGTGGGGGCGAGCAGGCTGTGACAGGATCAGTAAATGTTCACCATGGTAACCAATACAGCGCACGGAGACGCCGCACGCCGTAGGTATTTAGATATATCCGGAAAAACTCACTCAATCAGGCGCTTGTGGATGCGCATCTCGAACTTGTCCCAAGTCTTGGAACCCTCACCGTTGGGGGTCTTACGGGTGGAGATGTTCAGGGTCTTGGTGGGCAGACGGACGGGGCCCTTGACCTGGAGGGACTTGGAGCGAGCACGGTCGATCAGCTCCTGGCAGACCTTCTCGAGGGAGGCAACCTTGCGGGAGGTGAGGGTGATGCGGATCTTGTGGACCTTCTATAAGGGGCATTAGCAATTGCACACAGACATGAATAGGTATGATAGCCAAATGTTAAAAAGGAGAGAGAGGGTTTTCCGCCGGCGCATTGCACAATGTACTTTGCGACGGCGAGGAAGGTGGTGGCGGCACATAGATAGTGGGAGATGATAGAGGATGAGATTTCACGTACAGGGCCCTCGCCGAACTCCTTCTCAGGCTTCTGGAAAGACATCTTGAGATTTTTGTGGTTGTTGAAAGAAGCTAATTGCCAATCAAGACCTGAACTGCTGGGCTCGGTAATGTGATGATGGCCGATGGAGATTGTGGGTGTGGAGCGAGAAATGTGAACATTTTTAGTGGGAAAACGCTTCGTGCTTCGGCTATCGCAACGCTAGTCCCGATCGGGTATGCTGCTGACTCATCCACGTCGGGGACCAAATGCAGTTCTATCTACACGACGTAGCTTATTTGATGGTCACTTTGTTTGTTAGCTATCCTGTTTTCTTTTTTCTATTCACTCTTTATCGGAGCCGAATTCCTTTTTTCTCTTCATTTTCTTTTTAGCGCATCCTAAAATGACGGGGTTCCCACCATTGGCCCCGGTACCCTCCCCCGCAGTCCGGAGGAGCATCCCATCTAATGACTGGGAAGCATGCCTGGATGCATGGATGATGCTGCTGAGCATCCGTCTGAATGCCAATGATCAGAAATTTCAGCTTGCTGCTGCCGATGATCTTCCGGCTGTCTCGTTTCTGGAGTCTTTCTATCAACATGTCGCAGCAGGGGACCAGGGTCTGCAGTCTGGACCCAAAGCTCGAAAGCTTCGGAAACTTTGCTTTCTAACTACAAGGCGTTATATCTTGACTCTTTCAAATCCTCCAGCTGAACTCTTTGATTGGAGACTTCTTGGTAATATGTGCTGCTGTTATTCGTCGAGCACGGCATTGAAGACATCTTTATCAGAAGCATGGAACTTGCATCATGACAAGATATCATCTAGCATAGAGAAAGCCAAATCCTCTATTATGGATCAACTGTCTTCAGCAAGCACTTCGTCAGTAGCCGATACCATCACAGACATTCGACGATTGACAATATTGGCTTCGGTATTACCATCTTGCGGTCAGGTCTTGATGGCAGGCTCCGACTATCTGGACACACTTGCAGAAAGCTACCAGTCACCAAAAGCTCGAAATGAGCTTCGCAAGATTCTTGTCGCCAATCTCTATGTGGGCCTAGTCTCATTATTGAAAGAATCCTCAACCAACTTGTCGTTACTACTGGACCAGCTGTTCAGCCTAAAGTCCGCCGCAGGAGTAGGCACAACCCAAATGAAAAACGAGGCTACAATCCTTTCAGATCTCATATGTAGCTCTGACTTGCTACAAAGGCTTGAGAAGTATCTCAACAGCCACCCCCAAAAAAGAGGAGAAGACCTCCTCTCCAGTCTTCGCGTTTATCAGATAGAGTCAAAACACAAGCACCACCGGTACCAAAGACGTAAGAAGGTGGACAAGGGAAAAGGTCCATCTTCTGGTCTACAGATTCAAGATGACGAGCTTCATGCACACAAGATGTCCCTTGTCCTGCAGGTCCAAGACCTCTTCCCAGACTTGGGCTCCGCCTTCGTGCTAAGGCTCTTAGATGTCTACAACGACAACCCCGAAGAAGTGATTGCCCACCTCCTGGACGACTCACTTTCCCCAGAGCTCCAAGGCTTGGATAGATCCGAGCAACTCGCACCCCTAGCGGAACCAGAGCACGACCACTTAGCACCTCGCCCAACACCTCCAGCAATGTACTCGCCACCGCTGCACTCAATACCTGAACGCAGGAACGTCTTCGATGAAGACGTCGACATCGCAGAACTAAGCCTCTCAGGGGAGTCCAAGGGCAAACTACGCTTCGGCCGCGCAGACCCTGATCTCACCGCAGATGAAGTCCTAGCAGACCGAAGTCAACACGCAACCAACAAAGCAGCCATTCTATCCGCACTGGCAGCATTCGACTCAGACGAAGACGAGCGCGACGACACATACGACGTCGCAGACGTCGGCGGCACAGTCGATGCCGTAACAGCCGGTGTCGATGCAGACGCCGACACCGAGGCGCGAAACCAGCGTGCAACCACAGATAATCTCGACATGATACTTCTCCGCGCTTACAAGGCCAACCCGGCGCTCTTCTCCCGTGACGCTGTAACGCGTCGCTCGCAGCCTCGCGCACAGCTAAAGCGTGAGACTAACATGGTGGACGAGGCTATCGAGGGCTGGGCTGTTATGCTGGTCCGGGATCCAAAACGTCTCACCAAACTTGAAAACCGACTTGCTGATGAGTTGGGTGGTTCCACTGGTGGATCGCTGAACCAGCCGACTCTCTCTTCTACGTCATATCGGAAGCCGCGTACTGGGGATGATGAAGACTCTACCGAGGGGGAGTCGTCTGGTCCTTCGGGTCGTGGGGGACACGCACATGATAGAGGTAGAGGTGGACGTGGTCGTGGAAGAGGTGGAAGAGGTGGACGGGGTGGTGGACCATCTCAACCTGGGGGCGAAGGGCAGCAGAGTACACCGGCAGCAAACAGGAGGAAGGAGGAGAACAAAGCCAGCAGGGCTAATCATAATAGGCGCCAGCAGCGGGCAAAGAAGATTGCGCGTGGAGGCGGCTTGCCGGGATGAATGTCAATACAGACTATCTGACATCAAACGCAATCTATGCAAATACTAGAAATACCAAATGGTCATGCTACAAGGTTTGGCTAGCATCTACTGTAGGGGTTCAGTGTTCATCGAGACATAAGCTCCCTATTCAGGTGAGAAGTCCGGGTAGTCTAATACTATGGAGATGTACAGCAATGTTGCAGAAAAAATCGGAAATATCAATTCGCTCGTGGGTACATAAGATCTAGAAACAAACGGCACAAGGAAAGTCATGATCACATTAGTGGTGGTGCGAAAAGACGCCCTCTGTCGCAATTGACTTGCGGCACTCCTCCATAAGGCGAACCTGCTTCGCCACGTCACCGAGCCGGCCGATGACCTCCTTGTTTCCATCATAAAAAGTAAAGATGGCGTAAGGGATACCAGTCTCCTTGCAGAACTCCAGAACGTACTTCTGAGCATGGCGCAGATTGTGGCGGGGCATGCGAGGGTACAGGTGGTGGATGGCCTGGAACTGCAGACCACCGTGGAAGAAGTCCAGCCAGGTAGGACAATCAACATCCATAGTTGTTCGCAACATCTTCTGGGGGAATGATTCATGAACACCCATGTCAGCGGTAGACATAGCGAAATGAGAGAGCGTGATTTGGACGTGCAGAGGCGAGGACACGACGTGAGAAACCAACAAGAAGACTAGTCGACTTTGCCAGTCGGGGATGGTCTTGTACATAACGCCGTAGACGAACCAATACCAAAAGAAAGCCTGGCCAGCAAACTCAAGCCATATATGCCACCAGGCTGGTCCTTTTCGCGGGGCTTGGCCCTTCAACAAGTACTCGTAACTTAATCGGTAGAGGTTGAAGCGGGCCAACATCATAATAGGGTAGTAACTATAGTTCTGGACTTTGACCATAATCTTAGAGAACGCATCGAAAGTCATGTTGCGGTCATAGTAAGTGCTGTTAAGGCTGTCGAGGAAGCGGTGTGAGATGGCAAAGAAGGGAATGTGCTCGATATCTGGGTCATGCTCCGGCTCATTGGTGACGATATGGTGGACATTGTGACTCCGTTTCCACCAGCCCAGACTCAATCCACCCATGAAATCAGCAATGATGATTCCAATCACCGTGTCCACGTGGAAATTGTGGGTGATACCCATATGGCCAGCATCATGGGCAGTGAACACAAGCTGGTGCCAGAAGCACCCGAGGAAAAATGCAGAAGTCGCCCACCAACCAAGACGAAGAAATACGTAGGCTAGAGTGGCGAAGAGAGTGTACCGACAACACTCGATGAAGTAACAGAAGTAATTGCAGTTGAATAGTCCATCGTCCTGCATGCGCACGTACAGCTCGCGGTATTTCCGTCTGATGCTTTCTTGGTTTGCCTGGTCTAACGAGGGATATTTTGCGGTATCGAACACAATTTCCTCACGTGTTCGAGCATCGAGGAAAGCTGGCCTGTGCTGCGAAGCTGTCTCTGCCTCCGCCGGCGTGGAAGCGTCGGTGTCTGTGCCTCGTGAGGACTTATTTCGGCGGGTTACAGATTTGGAGTCGACGGCATCGAAGATCGGAGAAGGTGGAACGGAACCATCTTGGCTCGAATTGTCCTGACTTGTCATATCCTCCTCGCTCGAGCACGAATCTTCAGTGCATAGGCGGAACTTGCCGCCTTGAATCGGGGGGAGAAAGTTTGTCCAGACCCCTTCGACTCGACCGATCTGATAGGCGGGCATGCGCTCTCGGGCTTCTTTTGAATGCAAACTAGAGGGAAGCCATACAATTAGCAAAGGTCGGGAACAAAGATTTGAAGTCGGAGCCATACGCATTGATTTCATCTGTCGCGTCCCTACCGACCATGTGTTTGATCGGCTTTTCACCGCCAGGGTGAAATTTGAGGAAAGCATCTACCTTGAGAACAGAGTTCTCGTAGATTATGACATGTTTCCCTTCCGCAATCAAGCCCTCAATGTACCGGCGACTCAACAGAGTGTCCTTCCGGGACGGTCGGGGAGCGGGTTTCTCCATCGTGGGAAGATGCGGTGAGTTGGAGAAGAGTGCGGGGAAGTTCGGTCGGGGGAAAAGACGGGAATGATATATGAGAAGTTCAATACATCGTATGATCGTCACAGCCGCTCGAAGTATGCATCTGAAACAGAAAAAAAAAAAAGGTTGGGAAGGCAACAATGTATCAAGGAGGTGGATCAACAAGCGGGGAGGGATCAACCGCGGTCTTTCCACGGAACTCCCGTGATTACAATTACAGAGGCAGCAACTTGAACCTTGGAACACTTCATAATCGCACGAAATGGATCAGGTACATTCCTCCAGGCTTAAGAAGATCTATGCCAGTCTGACCTGTTTAGAAATCACTGTCATCGCTAGTCGAGACATGGCTCCAGTGGGACCAGGTAAATAGCTGATGACTATGCTCGTGGCGGCGTGGCCTGACCATCAACCTAACGGGTATCCCGGATATAGGATCCCAGGACTCGCGCAGAAATAGAGCACCTTCGGGATACCAATGACGAGACCGCACTGGAGTTATGCCTACGGAACCGTACGTGGGGCTATACTTATAGTAATCTTGAGTCGAAAAGCTGACTGTGGTTTCTAGGCATTGAATTTGGCACGGCAGGCTTACGAGGCCGTATGGCGGCGGGGTTCTCCTGCATGAATTCCTTGATAGTTATTCAAGCTTCTCAGGGATTGGCCAAGTATATCCGAACTCAACGGCCTGAGATTGCCGCTAACGGCGTTGTCATTGGATATGATGCGCGCCATAACTCTCGCAGATTCGCTGAGCTTGCTGCCAATGCCTTCATTGCATTGCAGATCCCCGTCTACTTCTTTTCCCAATGCTCGCCTACCCCAATGGTTCCTTTTGGTATCAACCAATTCAAAGCCGCGGCGGGTATAATGGTTACCGCGAGCCATGTACGTCAAGAAAAGAGTACCCGAATAACAGCAATACTAACAAATGACCTGGAAGAATCCGCCTCAAGACAACGGTATGTGTCTTTATGTCATCTCCAATGAAATACTGCTGATTTTTATTTAGGTTACAAGGTGTAAGGACCTCTTTATTATCGTTCCCAGGTACCTACTCTGTTGTATGAGCTGACTTCGCCCTGCTCAGTTATTCTAGCAATGGTGCCCAAATCAATCGACCCGAAGACGGAGAAATAGCACAGTCTATTCGTGATAGCCTTGAGCCGTGGCCGGGTGCATGGGATGAACTGCAGCCTGGCAAATACTTGCATGCCGACGCCTACGAAAATATCATTCTTTCCTACAGGGCGCGGGTCAAAGAACACGCGGTTAGTAGACACCAGGGTTCCAGATCATAAAGCTGACTATTGAAAAGCTTTCGACAATTCCAGGCTGGAAAGATCTCAGCTCATTTGTTTATACGCCTCTTCATGGCGTTGGAGGTCTAGTACTTCCAGACGTTTGCAAATCGCTGGCGGTACACGACTTCTTATCTGTTCCTCTTCAGTCAGTACCGGATCCTGAGTTCCCCACGGTCAAATTTCCCAACCCCGAAGAAGCCGGGGCTCTTGATCTTGCCATACAAACCGCGGATCAAGAAGGGAGAACTCTGATCATTGCCAATGACCCCGATGCAGATCGGTTTGCAGCGGCGGAGAAGGTGAAGTTAGTGTCTCATTTAATCCTCATAGATAAGCCTTGGCTTACATGAATAGTGGCGAATGGTTTCTCTTCACTGGTAACCACATGGGCGTTCTTTTGGGATCTCATGTCCTTGATTCCTTGAACAGCGAAGGTCTGTCACAGGCTACATTGTTGACGACAACCGTATCCAGTGGCATGCTGGAAAAAATGGCCAAGTCCAAAGGAGCTCAGTTCCAAGAGACATTGACTGGTTTCAAATGGATGGGCAATGTTGCCCGAGACCTTGAACGCACTGGAAAGACCGTGCCGTTTGCCTACGAGGAAGCCCTTGGTTACATGTTCCCTTCAGTCTGCTATGATAAGGATGGTATTACAGCTGCTGCCGTCTTTTTAGTGGCATATGCCAAATGGAGATCTCAAGGGTTGACCGCGCAGGCGAAACTTCAGCAGCTGTTCGGGAAATTCGGTCACCACGAGACATTGAACAACTACTTTCGTTCCCCTAGCCCACATCTGACGGTTGAGCTGTTTCGTGGCATTCGAAGTGGCCCCTTCCTCGCCAGCAAGACTTTGGGCCCCTTCAAGATCCTCCGTTGGAGAGACCTGACACAAGGATTTGACTCCGCCTCTTCGGATAATAAACCCGATCTGCCTGAAGATTCCACCAGTCAGATGCTGACCCTATGGCTGGATGGAGGGGTGCGCTTCACCATTAGAGGCTCGGGTACAGAACCGAAGGTCAAATGTAAGTTCCATCCCCTTCAATTGTACCATTGCCCTGTATAGCCGCATATATTGAACCGGGCTGACATGCGCCACTAGTCTACATTGAGAGCTGTGGCGCCTCTCGTGACAACGCCGTGAAGGCTGTATGTGAAACCTTCCTCACAATCCTGACAGAATGGGTCCAGAAATACACCCCTTCCATGAACCACAGCAGCCGGCTTCCCACCTCGTCAGGTCACATCCTTGATATGGAGAAGCAATGACAATATGTGGATTCCTTGGGAGTAGAGAATTCTGAGACTTGACTCTTCAATTATGTTTCATGTACAATTCGAGACCAAGTAGCTAAGATTTTCATGTGAGGCAAATATTGAACAAAGAGGGCACTGCCTAGGTGCCCAGGTGTCACTTGGGTCTGCAGGTCCCCGTCTACTTACAGCACCTTACCACCTGAATTTGGTTTACTACTGGACACTTGGGCATCCAACGAAATGCAAACTGCATTTAGTGTTACACGAGCCTGGAACGGTCTCAGTTGTTGAGTTCAATCAAAGAGATGAGCATGACCCAAGGAAGCATATATCAAAGGCCTTTTTCCTGAACCAACCCCATATCTACACGCGTCACATTTGACAAGTACGACCTCGTAGAGTTGATCACCGAGCCTTTCGTCTAAGTTTACGTTATGTTTCATCCACTTCAGGGTCATCATATCCCAGGAAGCGTGCATCATACCCACCATATCCTGCCGGAGATTCTGCCCCACCGCTGTCAACATGACCTCTTCCATGGACATGCTAGGACTATCAACACAAGCGATGGTTCCCATACACTTTGTGAGCATCGATTCGCAGATCTTGCTGTAGGGCAAACTGAAAAGCATCGGCACCCTCGCCAGCTCAATCCCCAAGATAAGGATCGTCACCCTGCCCAACGCGAGCACGCCAACCATGAACAGTACGTGCAAGATCCTGCTTGAATGATCTTACAATTAATTTAATTGTCTCTAATCACTTGAAAACCAAAAGGAACGCCGATGTTCAACCCAAACCACCAAAGGCAGGCTGCCCCTTTCATAACACCAATCCGACACATGCACTGCGACATGCCCATGCAAATCCTCCCCATACACATCCAGGCTCGACAAATGAACATGAGCAGCACCAAAACTCGCCTATATATCACGGCAACCACGTCATCCCGCCTGGGGCCAGGCGGCATATGATACCGCTAGCCCCAACGAGGCAGAACCAGCATCATTACCACCATGCACATGAACCAGCTCCAGTGGAGCCTCAGGTTCATCATCTATATCAGCATATGTATTTTGCTCATGGTGCACTTGATCCTGAACCCCTCTACCATGACCCCGAGGAAAACCCTGACCTTGAAGAGAGTCCTCGCGATCGCAACAAACCTCGCCTGCGTATTCGTGAAGAAGATTTGCTGTGGGGATATGGGCCTCCTTTGCCTATGCTGACTGTACATCGTCGAAAAATGGATCAAAGGAGAAGGAAGACTTGACTAAGGGGTGTTGTGTTGCCTCCGTCTACATTGTTAATCAACGGTGTCTGGGTGCAAAATACATATGTAAGCATGGATTTTCGGGTGTTGTGCTATTACGTCTGTTGATTAAAGAATAAAAATGTGAAAAACGATAAAGCCAAGGCCATGGGAAGAAATAAAGGATATTCAAAAATTTGATTTGAATTACAAAAAGGTGTTGGATGCACCTACCTACACCTGGGCACGGGTGAGAAAAGAAGCAAAAATTAATGTTTGGAAAAAGACCAAAATGAATCTCCGATAGGGGGAATCGAACCCCCGGCTGTCGTGTGAGAGACGACGATGTTAGCCACTACACCATATCGGAGGGGGACTACGAATTACTCTCTTAGGTTTAGTCTCATTATTTTTGGTTTAGCGCCACCGGTCTCCGTGCGTGCCTGTGCGTGGTTGTATACAGCCCCCCAATTCCCCCTCCCACCTGGCATCTCAATTTCTCTTTTCTCGCCCCCTCATCCCCCTGCACGTCGCAATTGAGGCATTTTTGCTATTGATTCGGATCACCGAACCCCGTTATTTTACGTCGCCGTTGGGCCTCGTCCACTACGAGCCCGTAGTGCACTCCCTCTCATGCTCTCAATCGTGGGACTGGTCGTTATCGCTGGGGCTATGTTTTTCCCTCATTAAACCCGGTCAAATCGGCGATCCTTGGAAAAATGAGTTATGAGTGCTTCCTGTTGTCCGGATGTACGGGTCTAACGCCGGTATTACGAATCGGTTATCTAGCGATCAGCCAGTCAGAAGTTGGACTTGCGCACGGTCGGCGAGTATGGCTTGGAATCTGCCTTGGGAGACAGAAATGCTGAGAGTGCCCTGAGATTAAAACTGATATAGCCCAGATAACTACGCTTGGCGAACCTTGATCGACGCGCTCACTTTTATAAGCACTGATACCTTCGGATAATACATAATATCTATGTATGTCTATTTGTAAAATATATCCCGTGGTCATTGTCGCCCTTACTAGATTCACGGATACCTGATATCAGGTCAGGAGTGTTACGTTAGTGGATACGAATAGTGCAGCTGCCTGCGTATCAGTTCAAGTTTCATTTTCTTCACTAGGTTCTAAACGATTGGCAGATAGAGCAGGACCAGTCCAGTGGCAATGAAACTAGGCGTAGGCGGATATACAGTTTCCTTCCCGAAATAGAACTACTCTATGCGGTGGTGGAATAGAAGAGCTCAATCAACGTTGTTTGCTCTTTGACCTCGGTTGTAGAGTGCGGATTTGCTACGAGTCACAAATCGCAAACCTCCATGAAAGGATCTCTCTGCTTAGATCAGAAGATTGTAAGATACCATGCTGGTTTTGGTTGCTCTTTACAGTATGTCTTGGGGTATCCCGTAAATCAAGATAAAGCCATTCCGACAGATCGGCGCCGGGCGATCTGAATCTCCGCCTAACTTGTCGACCCACGTCATTCCGCTATTAACAAAGTACTTTGTATTTCGTTTCGTTCTCTCGAAATAGTTCGTGGCTCGACGGGTGTACGACTCTTCAGATGAGGGACATCATCGGTCGGGGATAGATTGATTGGAAGACTCGATAAATTCAACGAAAAACTCACCGATCTTACTCTGCCGCGTGTTCAATTGAGATCGTCTTCTCCCGACCTTCAAAGGAGGCATCGTAACAAACCTCTTCATTTGGAGCTAGCAGACTCATGGACATTCGCGCGGAGCAAGGGGTTTAAACTGGTGGTGTGGGAAATTGGGTGGCTAGCAATCTCTTCAAAGCCTCCTTTTGAGCTACTTGAATTAGTTTTTTTTTTTTTTTTTTTTTTTTTTGGTCTGCCTTGGTAGTGCAAAAGATACTCATGGCTGATTTTGTTGTTCATGAGCACCTTCAACATTCTCAACTGAAAACTGAGCCCTCCACAAAAGCGCGCAGGTATGGAAGTTTCATGTTGAACGGGCGGATGAGAATAGATTCCTTCGCGGTCCTATTGATTTCATACTAGGCCATAGTCAGGCGCCCACTCTTCAGACCCTCTTCATCAACTAACAAATATGGGCCAGGATATGCATAATAGAGTACAGTGCCAGTATGCGTAAGATAAATAGACGTGAAGTCTGCAGTTTCAAGGTGGGCCCAGCATAGATAATCCTCCACTGAGCGATTAGCAGTGCTAGTGGTTGCTGGATTAAAAATAACCTCTGATGGTATGTAATTGGTGTGTAGACAGTGTCCAACATCGATACCATAGTTATACAGAAGTATAAGAAATTTCACCCATCGCGCGTGATTCATGGGATTGGACTTGTCAACAGGCGTAAGACAATTCAGCCCTTGACAATTAGTCGGTTAAAGAGTTTCATAAACACGTTCTAATGCTTCAGCTGGATATCGAAGACCTTTATCAGGTTCATTTCGAGATTTTGGCACTTCTGTACCTGGTAGTCCGACGGGAGCACGTATTTGATACGACTAGGGGAGAATAGTCAGTTTAGAAGACTTTGAAAGATTTAAGAAGTTGGATTCACAGCACGAAATTCCTGCGTAGCTGAAGCCCACTTCTCAACCAGTTGCCGCCGGTGCTTTAGCTCATATCCCACGTCCGAGGTAGCGCCTGCATCTACTACAGAAACCCAACTCTCTTGTACAAAGAGTAGCCAGCCCTTGACCTCCTCTTTGGCATAATCGTGAGACAAGTCTGTTTCTGGGTGTGGTTGGATTGAAGAGGGTACTCCTCCTGGCCAGTGCTGAGCGGATTTAGACGATGGCGGCATGGTGTGATAAATTGTATTTGGGGTCCAAAGGCTTGTAGGGGTCTATGCAATAAATGATTCAATTAAATAAGGACGTGGAAGAGAAACCTTCGCCAACCGCAAGCTTGACTACCTAGTGGGGCCTTTAACTTTGTTGGGACCCTGAAGCCGAACCGAAAATCGTAAGGGATCTTTTGTGGGGAATGAACGGCTGGGGCGGAATTAAATTTGCTCAAGAAACTAGTGCCTGAATTTTCCCTGAGTACAGTAAACATTTTAACGATCAGAAACAAGATATGAAAAATTTTCAATCTAAGCGATGGCTCTAATCTAGATCAGGACTAAGTCAACAGACGCTAGTATAAGCTAAACTAGTCTTTGCTGCTAGGTTCCAGGCATGGCCCCCCGTCGAAACTTTCAGCCTACTGGACCCTATCCGCTGCCTCACTGGATTTTCCTCATCGCCTCTCTCTCCACCTCACGGCGTTCTTATGGGTGTACGGTCACTTTCAAGCCCCAGACGACGTTGTTCAAGAGAGCCCAGGATCCCGAGGCAAAGGCCGTGTCTATATGATTGATGGGTATAGTTGAATGGTGCTAACAGGGGGTAGGGGTGGACGTCACTGATGAGAACTTGAACAACCCAATCGCGCTTTTTACGGAAGACGGGAAGGGATATCTTGACCACGCAGCGCGCGATCTCGAGGGAATGATGGAAGAGCTGAAGCTTGAGACCGATGAAGAGAAGTAGGCAATGATCACACCCGTACCCCACGCAAGCTATTTGCAAGAACACAAAAATTCCTACCATCATCACTACTGATCTTTTCGGGTCGCGTGTTAAACAATGGTACGCGTTTTCAATGATTAAAGCTCATCATTGCTCGGTTTCTTATGCAGGAACTATCTGCACATGTGTCTCCGGTGGGTATGGGCTCTACGGCTATATCTTTGTGTCAAAAGTACTGGAGTTTGAGACGAAATTGGAACCTCCAGCCACGGTAGCTAGCCCAAATATGACGAGTTCAGCTTGAGGGGCCTTGAAATTTGACCAGCTATTGAATCTCCTTGTCCATGTCTTCTTCTCGCTTAACTAGTTGCTCGCTTTGTACTGTAGTATATACATGCCTCTTTCCCTTTGTAGAAGGACTAAATATGATAATTGTTAAATGTCCTCGGAATTATAGCTAAGTTAGGCTGTAATCAAACGAGTCGAAATATTTAGTCTATGTTGAATCATTTCCGAGCTTAACGCAATGTTAGCAACGTACTTGGCCATGTCTATAGGGGCTCACAGTGTTTATGTGATAAACATCCATATGTGCACACATTGCTATGAGCTAAATGATGGGTCTAATGGCGGGTTCCCTATCCGCTGGTCTATATATCACATTGAATATAAGCTGTTCGCTAGGAAGGGTGGTGGTATAAAACTCTGTGTTTCTTGTATCTCTTGAAAGGTAAAGAGGTAAGAGGGCAGAGGTAGACCCATAGATCTATGTTCTTTCAGAGGGAATATGTTGCCTCTTCAGATCACATGTGCATTAACTAGTTAATGGTTTCTGAAAAGGAACCTCGCTATCCCGATACAAAACTGATTGGCGAGGTAATATCCAACTGGGCGTTTTTATAAAATCAGAAGCTTCCTGGGAACCTCTATTTTCCGAGTCCGCGTAGAGCAACTGCGGCTATAATTTTGCTTTTTGTGGTCGTCAGGATTACTTGCAGTTGTCTGCATAAAGTCCGGAAATATCACACCATACTTTTCACTCGACCTATAAGGGATTGGTGTATGTTTGGTGAGCTGCATTTCAGATAGCCACACTCCGTTGCCTATTATTCTACTCGGTCTTTGTTATCAAGAGTCTTAGAGCTCCGCACTTTGAGTACGAGAGCAAACCAATTTCAAATCCAGAAAATCTACTAACTGCACCGTATGATAGGTTATAAAATGTTGCTCATGTAAATGATCGCAGTATAATTTTAGGGAGCTTTATTCAAATGAATGACAACTCCAATTCTCTCCATACCCAGATTTTGTGGAGACCACTAAGCTAACTCTGACATCTGGTTCAGACAGGTCTCCGTCTCCAATCACGCACGTCCGTATGTATCCCAAGGGCTTGAAACATTTAAAGCCCTTAAAAGACCGCCGTGTAGCTAAGAAGGATAGCATCCCTCCTAGAAATCCCAACTATATATATCAATACACACTTGGAACATTTGATTACATAGTCTGGGTGGTGGTACGTGAGAATATTGACGCATTCATAACGATTTGAGCCTTGCAGTGAATGTTGAATATAGCCAGCATGGAATTTTGTAAGTATTGTAAGCAGGAAGATCATACATACTTCAAAGGACATCTGCGTGCACATGTGTGGACAGGGTAGATCTATATGTGAATCAAGGCGACTGGGACATGTATTTTAACATTGAATCAACCCTAGTACTATGTGATAGAATGGGCGGTTCTTGAATGTTCTTATGACACAATCCCTGTACATACTTACATATACATAGGTATTAAATCCACATTTTATAGAGTGGCATCACTTGATTGTCACATGTGCACATGTGGAATCTTTGGCCGAACAGGCACTCAAGTGCTAGACATTGATTGGTTCCAACTTTTAAATTCTATGAGTGCTAAAAGAGAAAATGAGCCTGTATACATCGCTCTAGAGCTTTCAAAATTGGAATCTTGCAGGTCGACCGGATTAAAACCGAGAGTTCGATGTAAATGTAGCGTAGGTGACACCTGATCAGCGAGGCGGTAGAAGATGGAATTACAACACCCCCCACCCCCGCCCTTCCCCAAATGAAACCCTTCCCCAAATGAAACCCCTAAAGTATCATATGAACATTTGAAAGGTTGCGTATAGGCATAGATAGGCCGTGGATTCGGGAGTCTCAAGCTAGTAGACTGTTCCAGTTACCAAACATTGTGGCGACGCCGAGTCCACCATATGTGATCTCTCCAGAAATTCTAGTAGTGAAGACCTTAAGTCCAATGAATTTAGAACTGACACTACTACGGTAGTAACCGAGACTATGACTGTGACGAGTATAGCTGAAAATGCATGCCGGCTTAAAGGCGAGATCGCCTGTCAAACTACATTCAGCCCGACAAGCGTACCTACCTATCTCATGGACCCTGCACTAACGCAGGAGTCTACGGCTCTGCCTGTTCCTGCCTTGGAATTCGCAAGACCACCAGCACAGCAGCAACTCCAACAATCACACTCTCAGTGACTTCCACCACGACCACGACAGTGACTACAAACCCAGCCGCCTGCGCTACCCCGGGGACCTGCTTCACCTATGTGTCAACTCCCTGTGGCCCGGGTGGCCTCCAGGAGTGCGAGTGCGGCAGTGATGTAAACGGAGACAGTGTCCGCTTCTTGGATACTTTATGTGGTGCTTTTTGTGCAACAAATGCGGATTGTGGCAACGGTTTTAGATGCTTGACTGGCGGTTGTTGCCCTGGTACTACCTGTGTTCAAAAAATGCCAGGCGGTTGTAGCTAATCTGACAAACGAGGTGCTGATAGTAGTCCAGGCATAAATCTGTCTTTGCGGAAGTAGCTTGAAGCGGCATGAGATGGGGATTTCAAGTTCGGGGCCCTTATGAAATTCAAATGTTGATGATCGCTCAGTATGACCTACATCTCCAATGAATGAATACAGGTTCTCGAGTTCTGTAGACTTTGAGGCTGTTTCTATTGTTCTGATTGGTTGTTGGAAAGGGGAGGCGAAGCCGTAGAGAACGCTGGGGGGGAGAAGGAGGAAGGAGGAGCTCTGGAACAACAAAAGGGGACGGGAACAGCAGCAGAACCCACACCACCTGGGAGGTGGAAAGGGACCGTGTCGCGAGGTCCGATAGATGACATGTTCCCTTTCCACCTCCCTTCATAGCAGAAACAGGAATAACAGTACTTAATGACTCCACAAATTCAACAAAGACCTCAATATTGCTTACTATACCGCGTTTTTAATTAAGATAGTGTAATCCTCACGTTGGAAGGTATCAAACGACTCTTCATTTGAAGCTAGTACTTAGTACTGTTAGTAGCGAGGGTACCGTTGGTTAGGATAATCTCGAGGCCGGAGCCTAGGTTCTTGAACTTAGTGTTATTAGTGGTACATAGGGATATAGAATTAGATACTATAAGCCTTAGTGTAGTTAATCTTATTAGTAACGATGTTGATGGGAGACTGGAACTTACCCTTGGTATAGGCGCTGTTACTATCGTCTAGGCTGTACCAGTTAAGAGGACCACCCTTGTTAGTATAGTTGTAGTAGTTGATGTCGACGGTACCGTCAGCAGCACGGGGATCGTCCCGCGGATCAGGGCTTATCTTGATTTACAGTTTCTTGGCGTACGAAAGATGAGATACTGTGTAGAGAGACTTGATGAATTTAAAAAGGCACTTGAATTTTCTTCATTTTATCATTCAATTCACATCGTCTGCTCCCTGTCTTGATATCATCATAATGATTTGAATGGACTCATAGGGTTCGGCCAGGAGGAAGAGGAACGAATGAATATCGGGGGTGTGAGAAAATGGGGTCCAGCACCCTATTCATAACCTGCTTCGTGATTTTGCCGATACTGTTTGGTGCGACGAGGCTACTTAGGGGATACTCGCCCCCGCGACCCTCAGCCTCGAGAGCCAAGTAGCCCGGGGCATAGAGCTCAACATCACTGGTCCACTGCTCTCGGTCACAGAGTTCCATTGAGTTGGGGAGCTGGTTCGCTTCCTTGGCTTGGCAGAGAAGATCGACGAATGGTAGGTCCATGTCAAGTCTCATATTCGTTAATTTGCTGGGCTGACTTGGTAGGTCAAAGGGTACTCACGGGGTGTTTTGGTGTCCATAAGCACCCCTGCAATGCTTGACACTGTCAAAACTAGACCAATTCTCGAAGGCGTTCAGGTATGGCATTTTCATATTAAACGGGCGGATTTCAACGGACTCTCTCACGTCCCCGTTAGTTTCAAAGGTGACAATTGTCAGGCGCCCGCTTTCCAGGCCTAGTTCATCAACCATCATATATGGTCCTAGATTACCAAGATAGAGTACTTTGCCAGTATGTGTGAGGAAGATAGACTTGAAAGTTGCAGTCTCAAGATCCGCCCAGGGTAGGTAGTCCTCTACTGAAGGATCGGTAGTGGTTTCGGGGTTGAGGGTAGCCTCCAGTGGAATGTGGCCATTGATTAGACAATGCCCGACCTCAATGTCATAGTCGTACATCAGAATCGCGAATTTGACTAATCGCGCCCGATTCTCAGGATGTTTCTCATCAACAGGGGCGAGACAAATCAGGCCGTTGGTTTCGCATGGCTGTGAAGTTTCATAGAGACCTTCCAATGATTCCGCTGGGTATCGAAGGCCTTCAATGTGATCATTCTTCCTTGGCCCCTCCGTACCTGGAAGACCCACAGGTGCACGCGATTGGTACGCCTGGATGAGGGAAAAGAAGAAGTTAGCGTAATGGACGGAGATTTGACGGAGTTGGACCGAAGTGAATTTACATCACGAAACTCCTGTGTAGCTGAAGCCCATTTTTCTACGAGTTCCCGTCGGTGATTTAACTCATAGTTCTCATCGGAGGAACCTGCATTCGCTGCAGTAACCCAGTTTTCCTACCTTCATGTAAGCACGGAATTTGAGAGGCCAATGCAGATGGTATCACGATTTATACCTGTACAAAAAGTAGCCAGCCCTTAACTTCCTCTTTAATCTCATCCCAAGACAGATCTGGATCTGGGTGTGGTTGGATGCAAGTGGGGATGCCCCCTGGCCAGTGTTGAACGGATCTCGGCATCGTGGGTGAGTTAGCGTAGGGGTCTAAGGGTCCAAAGGGCACTGGTGACGGATTATTAATATTCCGGATCTATCCCAACCTGCGACTAGCTTGTTTCCATGTTGTGGCTCGGAGCGAACGCGAAAAGTGTACGTAGTTGCACCAGTTTCGGGACGCACTGTAATGATCCTGGAAATTTAACCCTAGGCTGGCGGGTACGTCGGCTGGAGCTGCTGGACACCTGTTTAGCCTACCTTAGTGATAGTATCTATCTAAGTATTACTCTGAAACTTGGCGAATGCGCACCGACCTACCAAGTTACTGGCTCCTGGTGTTTATCTCCGGCAAGCTTTAAGTCAAGAACCCGATATCCCGTTTCCGTTTTTCTAATACAATATGTTGACAATAATCACAATAATGCGGACCGTTGCAAAGATCCTATTCCCCTGTCTGGTGATTTCAGTCACATTGCTCGCGTGTTGGCAGCTTCTCCCCCATCCACTCCAAACAACAATACAAGTACGCACCCAAACACTAGCACAAGAGCAACAACCACAGATGGAGAGATTCGATTGTGTGCAACATGAACCTGAAAGCCGCTTCTGGCTAACCTATGGCTCCGGCCCTGGGGTGATGGTCTTCGGGTACCCCTCCGAGGGTGGTGTCTATATCCTGCGTGGCTGTTTCGGCGTAGAGCTGGACTTTCTTGGGCTCGACCGGTTTAATGACACCGAACGCCCATCCAAGTTAGATCCCGATTGGCAAGCGAAAGAGGATGCACACTGCGACAGGAGTCAGTTACCATTCTCCTTTCCCCTTACTTTCTTTTTTTAATTTTTTATTGCATGTCTAATGTCTAAAAGTGCGTCGCCTCGGCGCTACCTGGTGGCGAAGAGAATCCGATGAATTTTTGGAGCGTGAACTAAAGCACCCAAAGTCTACGGATGGCTATCTCCGAGTGGGCTGGCCGGCTGCAGGTGGTGTATGGGTATTACACACGACATTAGATAACGCAGGAGATATAGGGGCAGCGCGGATCCACAACGCGCATAATATGGAGGAACGGTGCAGGTGGATCAAAAAGCTGGGAGGTGTCTTCTACGCTGACCCCAAGGACTGCCCCCATCTTGATCTTCCTTGACCTTTTTTTCTTTAAGAACCATGGGGTTCAGCCAACAGCTAGCTAAATCGACGGTTCTCTCTTCGGTAATTGTCCGCCGCTAGACATGGATTCGAACGAGTGGAAAAATGCATGATAAAAACTAAGCACTGTTCGGCGAGCAGCTAATTTCTGTAGCCTTGTTGATGGCGTGATAGCTTCTGCACTTTGTCTTGTACTGGTATTGATTTTTATTCTAGTGGATTGTTGAGGGGTGGCCATGTCGGCGGGGCGATAGCGGGCGGGGGCAACTAGTAGTAAATACTACAGTTACTGCGCTATCCTCATGTGGCTTAACAAGGGTCCAAATATCATGTTTTCAGGGTCTAGTACACAAGCTCCCTTTTCTCTCTTTTTCGACCCCTCTCACCAGTCATTTTGAATTCCTTGGCGTAATCTCGCTAAAAGGCTTTACGGTCAGATGTCGGACCGCCCAGAAAATTTAGCATGGATACCCATAAAAGTGGATTGCTTCGGTGTATCTCGCCGCAAAGCTAAAGAGATACCGTAGAGAAATCACGCATTCCGCCCCCTCCGAAACGGATGAGCGAGCAAATGGGGTGTAAGACAGCAACTATTGGGCCCTGGTGGATTGAACATTGCGGTGCTCGACGCTATCATTTAGTCTTGAGAAGTTTCATAATGTCGCTTAGAGTTTACCCCTGCAATGCGCATAGAGCTGTTGAGATATCAGGCGTTTGCAAAAGCATCTAAACGAGAGATCTAACTATGCATCTATGTGCTGTTATGCCATTTGTTGCAGACTAATACGAAGCCAGACAAAGCCACTGTAATGGCACCTGCAATGAAGAACAAGATGAAGTACTTGGATTTGTCGTACACTGTCTTAGGGCTCTCCGAAACTGCTCAACGCTAGACTGGTCATTTAGTCCCCTTTCGACACCGCCACAAATACTACCTCAAAGGCTGCAATTTCTTTTCTATCTACCTAGCGTCGGAATGTTGGCGAAGATGTGACCCTTTACGGAAGGGCAAGATGGTGTAGCTGAGACCATGGAGGCGACTGGGCCTTTAGGAAAGAGATATAAAAGATAAAAGAGCCGTTGTCTCGTAGTTGTCTGTTTTCACACCTCTCCCCTCGCTCACATCGGCGACAATGAATCGATTTGCAGTGCTTGCCATGGTGGTAGCCTTGCAGGTCATCCACCAGGCAAATGCGAAAGCTGTGTTTGCACATTTCATGGTACCTCCGTCCAGTCTGAACTTTCCTGTTGAAATGAGCGAGAAGGACACTAATTCTATTCAAGGTCACAAACTCTGGGAATTACACTGCTTCCGACTGGCAGTCCGACATCGGACTGGCCATGGATGCCCACATCGATGCATTTGCCCTCAACATGGCATGGGAAGACGACACCAATAACCCTTCCGTGGAGATGGCTTTCACTGCTGCCAATGTGATGGGATTCAAACTGTTCTTCTCATTTGACTATGCTGGTAATGGACCTTGGGACCAAGATGTTGTAACCAGCATGATCCAGCAATATAGCTCTAACTCTGCATACTTCCAGTATAATGGGAGGCCTTTTGTGTCCACATTTGAAGGACCTGGCAATGCAGATGACTGGGTAACAATTAAGGCAGAGACAAATTGCTTCTTCATGCCGGACTGGTCTTCTGTCGGTGCTATGCCAGCCGTGGGATTGGCAAATGGCGTTGCTGATGGATTGTTCAGCTGGTCAGCGTGGCCATGGGGAAATCAGACTATGGATACCTACACTGATGCCTCATATATACAATATTTGGATGGGAAACCATATATGATGGCCATTTCTCCCTGGTTCTATACCAATCTACCAGGATATAACAAGAACTGGCTTTGGAAGGGTGATAGTCTCTGGTTTGATCGCTGGCAAGAGCTTTTCGGTCTCGACCCAATGCCAGAATTCGTTGAAATCATTTCCTGGAATGATTATGGTGAATCCCATTATATTGGCCCGATTCATGACAATGCTATGGCTGCCTTCGATATCGGTGAAGCTCCATACAACTATGTGCTAGGTTATCCACATGACGCCTGGCGCGACCAGCTTGCTTTTTTGATCGATCTGTATAAAACTGGAAGTGCATCAATGGGAAGTGATAAAGTTACCTTCTGGTATCGCCCTAACCCAGTATCTTCTTGTAGTTCTGCGAACACAACAGTCAACACCGCCTCTCAATTGCAAATTGAATTCGAACCAGCTGATGCATTGGAAGACCGGATCTTTGTCATGGCATTATTCGGTGACGGCAACGCTGCGGTGTATGTCAATGATCAAGCCGTGGAGTGGGACTTTGAGCCGCAGACCGACGTTATAGGGGATGGTGATATTGGAGCTGGTATCTGGTTTGGCAGCGTCGCTGCATTCCCTGGCAATGTTATGGTCACTTTGTTTGTCGGCGAGGAATCGACTAGCAGTGTTCATAATTTGGAAATAACCTCTACGTGCGATGAAGGCTTCAACAACTACAATGCGTGGGTAGGAAGCCTTGGAGGGCCGCCTGGCCTCTCCTCTACGACAATCAACATAGCAGACCAGGTATGTGTGAAAGGGAAGGGTGCCTACGATTTCAATGACCTTTGCAACTTTACTTGCTCCTACGGGTATTGCCCTGTCGGCGCATGTACCTGCGAGCAGATGGGCGTTGCCCACACCAAGCCCAACGCGACGGGAACACTGGGCTACCCAGCAGAAGGGAGAGATGCCAACTATGCGGGTCTATGCAGCTTTGCCTGTAACTATGGCTATTGTCCGTCCAAGACGTGTGACACGACAGAACATTATGCGAGAGAAAGTGGAAGCAATACAATATGGTACGTAGTGTAATATTGGGTAGCGATAAGGAGAAGAAGAAGATCTACGAGAGGTGAAGCCTAAGTGGTGGGATAGAAGGCACTAGTCCCAAAGGGGACATCAACAAACGACCCATGCCGGTGCCAACAGTCTCGGACTTCCTGCCGCCGGCCTGTGTTGCTGGTACTGGACCCGGTCCAGTCTCCGGATTATGTTCGTACGCTTGCAGCTATGGATATTGTCCCATCAATCTATGTTCCTGTACACAAACAGGGGCTCTCGTGCAGCCGCCCGGCCAGACAGAGGGTCCTGGTATGGCAGGCTCCGGCTATCCCGACACCTTTGACAACCTCTGTGACTTTGCCTGCAGCCGAGGCTACTGTCCACCTGGAACCTGCATATCGGAGGCGGAGCAGGATATTACGGAGGCGGAGCAGGAGATGACGGAGGCGATTGCCACGACAGGTTATAATATTTCCGACTTCGCTGACTTTAATCTTACCATCCTGGGGACGGCGCTGATTGGCAATGACGGGTGCACCGCCCTCCAGAAACAGCAGATCAGATCGGGCTGGGTGCAGTCCTGGAAGATCATGAATTACATTTATAAGGTGGCCAAAGCTGGCATCGACTTCAACGAGGCCGCTGCTGTCGAGTACCTGGGGCCACCATCGATGAATCAGGACCAGTGGAGCAAGTACAAGGCTATATATCTGAACCTTGCCACCATTCAGCCCGGCTGGATCGACCTGTTCGCCTGGAAGATTGCGGTCCGGTGCGATGACCCGTACTTACAATGCTCATGCGGGAGAGACGTCAACACCATTGCCTACACAGTGCAGAATGACCCCAAACACGGGGTCGCATCCATCAGCTTTTGCCCGCGGTACTTCTCGTTACAAACGCTAAATGACGCGATGCACTGGGCAGACACCACGAAGAATGATCCTAGTCTATACGCCGACCTGATTAACTACTACAACAATCAGGCCCTGGTGTGGATTCATGAATTGCTACACATCGACTGGGTGTCGACGGCCTCGAGCAGTGGAGATATTCACCATGTCACTGACATCAAGGTGGGATACGAGCGAGGGGAGAAAAAAATAATGACGTACTACAAAGCCTACGGGCCGTGGGCGTGCAAAGCACTGGCGCGCTTGGGATGGGCCACAGGCGCATGGACCATTTTAAACGCCGACAGTCTGACCTTGTATGCCTTCGCCAAGTACGTCCAGAACGCTCTTGGCAACATCTACCCGCACCTCCCCTTGGCGCCACCGCCCCCAAAAAACGCGGAAATTCCTTTCCAGATCGACGACCTTTTCACACTCTATAACAATGGCACCGGTGAACCGGCCTCGAACACCACCCTCGACAACGACTTGGAGTGGAGTCTAAGTCAGGGGGTCTGCGCCGCTGCCGACGATGAGGATGGCGATGAGGCCGCCAGTGCCGTGATGACGACTATGACCACCTGGCCTGTTGAGACAGACTACCCTTCGGACTATCTATCCAGTTGGTCATCGTGGGCCGGGCTGACGCCCACAACCACAGCGGCAACGGCCACGGCAACCGCACTTGGACTATGAGCATCTACAGCGAGGTAAATTGTTGTCTGCACAGCATATGACAACAGCAGCTGCGACAACGATGGGAAGGGGGATGCTTACACGGTAATGAAGGCTGCCATAACTACAGCGCAGACGACCAAGATATAGAGAATTGGATAGCCTTGAAGTGCGGCCTTTAACTTGAAAATTGTTTGCATGTATTGAAGATACTTAGCTGTCTTCTTTGCCTGTAGCATTCGGCTCTATTTAATAATGTGATGGTTGGCAGTAATTACACCAGCTGGTGTAGGACATTTTGAGTACTTGGGTGTGGTTCTACAGTGGTGTCTATACATGTGTTTTGGGGAGTATATACCAATAGATTTGTTGTTCGCAGTGTGACCCCGGTGCTATCGTCACCTTTGCTGCGGTTGTTTACAGCCTTCTGTCCCTGCACACCATTGGTTAACCCTAGCTCAGGGAGTGGTTGAAATAACAGCTTCCATCTCATCTTAAATAGCTTTAGTCTCATCTTTAGAACGTATAAAAGTGCTGTTTTTGGAGCAATTCTGAATCGTTTGATATGAAATCGAGATCTCATTGTCACATATCTCGACCTAGGGCGCTGCCGAGAGCACATTTTCAGCTTCTTCTACTTCAATGAGTCTCCACGACGCGAAATCCGGCACTAACAACCCTTTTATGCCTCACGACTATAGGAAATTCCCACAATCTTTCCCGGGGCATGGGCTAGACCCCGAAAGCTCCCCTGAAACTCGATATATCCCCCAGATCACCAGAAGACCCCAGGATCATCCAATCAGTAGCGAAGATCAATGGCAGCTCCCGTTTCAAGGTCACGGAGTTGACTAGGCGAGGACATATGTGTGTAGTATGCACTGGAGTTGCAAGATAGTATGTAGAATAAGACAAAGACTAATCCTTGAGAAACAGACTGATTCCTCAAGTGCACTGATTAAATACACAAGAGAGTGGGACAGACCTCTCTCTGATCAAGTCGTACAGTTGAGTTTCGGTTAGGGATCGGGATGGCTCAGACACCTCATCGTCCTAGTTCATCACTCTGCCCTGATTTCCCGATTAGGCCATAACAGCTACCGGCGACTCGGGAAGAAGTCCAAAAAGGCTTAGCTAGTATAGCCGGGGCACGCAGCCAACTGGTCACCTACGATGACGAGGGCTTCGCCCCATTCCGAGTATAATAACAATTTCTCTCTCTCTCTCTCTCTCTCTCTCCAGAAAAGAGGGAGTTCAGCATATTTAAGCACCACAAAGCTAATGAATAACAATCAATCTTCAGTGAATTTTACCTAAATTTAGCAATCGAAAAGCCATGGCCCATGATAAAGCTGCCGAGCTTTAATTAGTTACGCACAAACGATCAGGACAATCTTGCCCTAAACCCAGTTAGACATATCGCACTAGCCCTGATAAGATCAATAAAACTGACTATACGGAAAGACCACGATTTATCCCCCACAGCACCACACACAACCATGGTCTTTCCGCTGTCACCCTGGATTACACCATATCGGATTTTTGAGTGACAATTCTATCATATATGATTATATAATCTAAGAACTAAATTTGGGCATTGAGTCTAGCGCCATGTTCTGGTGTTCTAGTCATGCATCCACTGAGAAGTTGACCAATGAAAGATATATCATTAGCGCCGGGACTAGTCCATTCTGAGACCCGACCTACGTGGCCACCCGGTGTCGATTGCAAAGTGGTGCCTAAAGAATCACACAAAGGTATAGAATATCCGAATCTCTTGCAAGATTTGCCGAAATCAGTTCATCATGAATGAGAATGCTCGCGAGCTTTCTCATTCAGACTATACGGTTGGCTGGATATGCGCCTTGCCGGGGACTGAGTTGGTAGCCGCTGGTGCCATGTTGGATGAAGAGCACACCGTTCTTCAAGCAGCTGATCCAAATGATATCAATTCTTACCTCTTTGGTAGGATTGGAGATCATAACGTGGTGATTGCTTGTCTACCTGTAGAGCAAACAGGGAAGGTTTCCGCTGCTACTGTAGCAAAAGATATGGTACGCAGCTTCCCAGCTATTAGATTCGGATTGATGGTTGGCATTGGAGGCGGTGCACCATTCTATGGAGCGCCGAACGAAGGGACTACTGATGTTGATGAATCTGATGAATCTGAAGATGAGGGCATGGACAAAATCCAAGACATCAGATTAGGGGATGTGGTGATAAGTCAACATTCAAAGTCTTCAGAGGCCGTCTTACAATATGACTTTGGAAAATCTGTACAGGGTCAAGAATTCATTCGTGCCGGGGGTCAGCTAAACAAGCCCCCAGGAATTGTCTTGAACGCGATATCTATGCTAAAGGGTCAGCATGCGCGGAAAGGCCATAAAATCTGCGACCTGCTTTCCGAAATGCTGGCAAACAATCCGCGGATGAGAAAGAACTTCAAGCACCCCGGATCTGCAAAAGATCATTTATTCAAATCTGAAATTTGTCATGTACCTGGGAAGAAATGCGAGTCATGCCAGGGCCCTGATGGTGCAAATCTTGTGAAACGGAAACAGCGTTTGAGCGAAGAACCCCAAATACACTACGGAACGATTGGATCTGCAGATCAAGTGATGAAAGATGCTCTTTTGAGGGACAAATGGTCTCAAACAGAGAAAATTAAATGCTTCGAAATGGAAGCTGCGGGTAAGTTTGACGGATTCATTGCCTTGATTTGTACCAGCCTCATTGTCTTCCTTCTCACTTTCGACTAGGGCTCATGGATACGCTTCCATGTCTTGTGATCAGAGGTATCTGTGACTATGCTGATTCACACAAGAACAAGGTTTGGCAACCATATGCTGCTGCTGTGGCGGCTGCCTACGCAAAGGAGCTTTTGCACAAAATTGCAGGACAAGGTGTCCTCCATTTGCCACCAGTTGATAAAGGTACCTATTATTAATTTGCCACCATACGTTAGAGGAATATCATTGTGATCCATTTGGTTTTCTCATTTATTATCTCTTTCTGAAAAACATTGGGGTTTTCCTTTCACTATGATGCAAGGAAATCCGCAAAGAAGCCAACGCTGACTTTTTATCGGCTAGCGATGTTCAAGGTTCTACGAAAGCTTGAACAGCTTGAATTGCGGCAAGTATCAGATAGAGAGACGGCCTGTCTTCAAGCCTTTCGCACTACAGACTATGAATACCAAAAAGATTTCAACCCAGACAAAGAAGACGGAACGTGTAGTTGGTGTCATCAAAGTCCAATTTTCCAGAACTGGCAAGAGAATCACTTGTCTTGTCTATTGTGGATCACAGCTGATCCAGGCTGTGGCAAATCTGTTCTCTGCAAGGACCTTGTCGACAAACGCCTGTTTGGCCTTGAGTCTAGCGACACGACCATTTGCTATTTCTTCTTCAAGGACACGTCAGCTGAGACTCGGAGCCCTGCAAATGCCGTGGCTGCCTTTTTACATCAAGTCCTGAAATCTAAAAATGGTTGGAAAGCCATGAGGCATGCACTACCAGCTTATCTTGAAAATGCAGAGAAGGTATGCCAGAGTCTCGATGTCATGTGGACAATCCTGAAAGACATATCCCAAGATCCAGAATGTGGGAGAATAATACTTGTCTTGGATGCATTGGATGAGTGCGAGGCCAAAGATCAAAAGAGCTTTATCAGGCGACTCAAAGGTTTGGAATGTGATGTGAAATCTCAAGCTCCAACGCACCATTTGAAAGTCGTTGTGACCAGCCGTCCATATTTCAACCTCGAAAATGAGTTCTCTGAGCTCACGAAGAGTAATCTCAGGGTGCGATTGCCAGGTGAAAAGCTTTCCACACAACTTCAATCTGAGATGAATTACGTTGTGCATGCTCGAATGTCCAGACTAGGCTCTCGGATTGTGAAGGACACTACAAGAGAAGAACTTCTTCGTGGGATACTGGCAACTGAGAATCGAACATACCTGTGGCTGGATTTGGTATTCAAAATTATTGAACAGATGCCGCGAATAGACCGACAAACAGTCAAGGCCCTCTTAGGGAACTTACCACAAACTGTCGATGATGTCTATAATTCGATTCTTCTCAAAGCCCCGAACCAAGTCCAGGCCAAAAGACTACTACAGATCATTGTAGCGGCGACCCGGCCGCTTCGACTCCGTGAAGTCGGTGTTGCATTGGCTATCACGGAAGAAACTGAGTGCTACGAAGATCTAGAGCTGCAAAGCGGCGAACAACTTGCGACATCCGTCCGGAATATCTGTGGACTCTTCGTCCATATAGTAGATGAGACTGTATTTCTGATCCATCAATCTGCCAAAGAATTCTTGATATCGCTCTCCGAAGAAGTTACAACCATTTGGCCCAGCTGGAAATACTCTATTTCCGTTTCCGACTCGGCTTTACTACTTACTTCGATCTGCATCCGCTTTATATATCTCAAAGAGCTCGGGAAGAAGAAAGCGCCCCCAATCAGAGAGGCTGAGGAGTTGGCTTCTAGTTATGACTTTCTTGACTACTCCGCAAATAGCTGGGCCGTGCACTTTGGTCATATGACGATTCAAGATCGCCATCACTTCTCCCCTCAGGCTATGGATTTATGTTCTGTGGAAACAGACCGATACATGGACTGGGAGATTGCTGTTCGGAGAGTTGGACGCTCTGTCCACCCTTTCCCTTTGCATATCGCGTCATATCTAGGGCTGGACATGGTTGTTCGAACACTACTTGCTTCCCCTGGCGTTGATGTTAATTCCAAGACTGACGATAATCGAACTCCCATCTTTTGTGCTGTCGATAATGGCCACGAGGGGATTGTGAAGATTCTTCTTGCCATACCTGGGATTGACATCAACATGCCTAGCAGCAATGGCAATACTCCCCTTTCTATGGCTATAATTCTAGCCCATAAGGGTATTGTTAAGCTTCTTCTTGCTGCTCCTAGTATTGAAATCAACTCACTCGATGAAAACGGCTATCCACCTCTACATCTCGCAATATATCAAGGTGATGAGAGTATTGTGAAGCTTCTTCTTAATACCCCTGGTATTGACATCAATATGACTAATAGAGGTGGTTTCCACCCTCTATTTCTCGCTAGCTTTCAAGGCAACGAGGGTATTGTGAAGCTCCTTCTTACTGCTCCTGGTTTTGAAATCAATTCACTCAATGAAAAAGGCCATTCACTCCTATGTCTCGCAATATACCAAGGCCACGAGGGTATTTTGAAGCTCCTTCTTGATAATCCTGGTATTGACATTAATATAGCTGATGGAGATGGTAAAACACCCCTATATTATGCAATAAACCAAGGCTACGAGGATACTGTGAAGCTCCTCCTTAATAACCCTGGTATTGACATCAATATGACTAGTAGAGGTGGCTTTTCACCTCTCTCTCTCGCTAGCTCTCAAGGCCACGAGGGTATTGTGAAGCTCCTTCTTACTACCCCTGGTATTGATATCAATATGGCTAATGGAGGTGGTAAAACACCCCTATCTTATGCTATATACCAAGGCCACGAGGATATTGTGAAGCTCCTTCTTACTGCTCCTGGTATTGATATCAATATGGCTGATGGAGGTGGTAATCCACCCCTATCTTATGCAATACTCCAAGGCCACGAGGGTATTGTGAAGCTTCTTCTTGCTACTCCTGGCATTGATGTCAATATTGCTAATAGGGATGGCTTCCAACCCCTATCTCTCGCTAGCCTCAAAGGCCACGAGGGTATTTTGAAGAAGCTTCTTACTGCTCCTGGTATTGATATCAACATGGCTGGTAGGGATGGCTTCCAGCCCCTATCTCTCGCTAGCTCTAGAGGCCATGAGGGTATCGTGAAGCTTCTTCTTACTGCTCCTGGTATTGATATTAATATAGCCGATGGAGATGGTAACACGCCCCTAACTTACGCAATACACCAAGGCCACGAGGGTATTGTGAAGCTTCTGCTTACTGCTCCTGGTATCGATATCAATATCGCTGGAAGACATAGCGCTCCTCCTCTATCTCTCGCTAGCTTTAAAGGCCACGAGGGTATAGTAAAGCTTCTTCTTGCTGCTCCTGGTGTTGATATCAATATGGTTGGTAGGGAAGGCTTCCAACCTCTATTTCTTGCTAGCTTTCAAGGCCATGAGGGTACTGTGAAGCTTCTTTCTGATGCTCTTCGTATTGATATTAACTCCGATGAGGTACAGGACTGCTACACACCGTGATGGCCAGAGCCCTGTGCGGATAACACATATCCGATACCCAAAACGCTATTTTTTTTTCAACAGACTTACGAAGTGAGATCACGCATAACGCATGGGTTAGAAGATATGATGTCTTACGGAGGAGGAAAGTCTTAGCTATGACTGGAGTGGCCCGTGGGTGTTCTTTGTCGCCATTTCTGCGGGTCAAGCTCATTTCATGCTTTCAAAGAACCTGAGTGGGACTTTCAGCAATCCATGATTTAGAAAACTAGCCATTGTACGCTGTTACACCGTATAATGTAGAGACCTAGTTTTGCTGAGTGAAGGAGTACACAAAAACATTGAATTGCTTACCTTGATAAGCTGGGTTAAATCTTACATTAGCATCTTCTTTTCTGGACGTACTAGCGACTAGGATAATCACAGGATAATGGAGCTTTGGACCCGACCATACAAGAGATAGCTTAGTTGCCCTCTCATTCATTATATAGTGGTAGGAACCCCTCCCTTTCCCCGTACTTAGGAAGTTAAGACGGAAAGACCACGATTGCCCTTCACAACACCACATACAACCATGGTGTCTCCGCTTTCCCCCTGTATTACACCATATTGGAAGGGGACAGCGGATTCCTCCATTAGATCTAATATGACCCGATTTGGCTTAGCGTCATGTGTCTTTACATCTCGCCGTGCGTTGTGGTATATAGTACCCCGTCTTTCCTCCTCAACGACTCTCTTCAGAAATTTCTTTTTCTTCTTCGGCCCCCTACTCCATATGACGCATTTTTGCTGTTGATCCACAGCACCGAACTCCTAAGCTCCGCCACCTTTTGCCCTATGACCACTCTTCGTGACTTCCTCGCCCTCCCTACTCCCTAAGCTGATCAGGTTCTGGCAGACTTAGATAGCAAGGCAGACTTTTTTCACTATCTAATACAGGAAAAGTCTAATCACTCAAACGGTCGTGATAACAATTTAAAGGCCTGATTACGATTACTCATTAGTACGGATGTTGCTTATCAGGTGACGGACTTAATTCCGCAGGAAGAGAAGTATTGATAGGTCCTTATTATGGAGACTTAGGGGTCTACAAAAGTCCACCCGATTCCTCCATCCAATTATAGGCTACCAAACATGCTAAATGTAGCTTATCATCCTTATTAATTTTTGTCACGCGCAGGGCCCGGAGGTGAAGTAGTTGTTGGCCCGCCACAGTAGTTTTATCGCATCCGAGTTGTTCAGCTTAATCGAGAACAAGTCCGCTCTCTCTGCAAATGAATCCAGCTAAGTCCGCTCTCTCTACAAATGAATCCAGCTTTTCCTACATTAGATCTACGTCTCGATCATATCGATTGGTCGTAAATCATTCAGACCATTTTTATGGCCAATGCGACTGCTTTATTACGGCTCGTGATAATTATAGGGCCATTCGAGCTTTTGAGGTTGTACCTTAGCGGTGGCTGCGTCGAGGTAAGGTTCTGGGCGTTTGCTTGGGCGTTCGTACAGTAACGTAATACTCAGCCTATCAGCAACAAATTTCCACTCAACGCTTCATAGCACCCTTGTTCGAATATTACACGCACCCATATCAATACTCCTTAGTGGAAAACTTACACTCCTTTATAACAATGATGATACTGAACTGCTCGATCTATGGTCCCTCGCATGCTCTCACTCCTGATTACCTAGGCCGCGAGATCACCTAGTCTCGTGAACATAACTGGTGATTGTTCACCTTTCTGGCATCAACATCCATCCGACAAGCAGAGCTTTGATGCTACTTTTGAATATGCAGATAGAAGTGCGTGGAAAGAACAATCAGCGGAACGTATGTAATATCAGATCGAGTAAGGGGTAAAATTGAACAATCAAGATGGTGTCAAGGATACAAAGAAGGATCGGACTCAACCGATAGATCGTTTCGAGAACACATACAAGGGGCTAGTAATATTCTACGACAGAAATTATCCCGTAGCTGATGGGTGAGAATAGATAACACTAGCCTGAGAGAGTCCCTGCAGAGTCAAGGCTCTTCTAATGGCTAAATCTAAGAAAATAAACTCATTTCTCTTTCCTCTTTTTCGCCTTCAACAGCCCCCTAACCGCAATGATCCTCGTGGCCTAATGGAGCGGATACACTAACCATCACAAAGGCCTCCGCGTCTCGAATAGAAAGGAAACATTGAAAATGTCAGATATCAACTCAAGAATCGAGCCGCCAAAGCACCGAAAATGAGGAGCGGCAGGAGAAAATACGTAATCGTCGCAAAAATGGAGGAAATTTGAACTAACTGAGTCGCTATGCTGTATATCTCTACCAAGACCTTTATATTGGCGTGAAAGGCAGGGGTTCTTTCTGCAAATATAGTATCCACCATCAAAGAGCAAAGAATGAACACAGGCGTCCCAAGACCCGTTGAGATGAGAACACCATCAGATAAAACCTTGCTCGTCTTGCCGAAAGGATCATGGTCTGCCATCCAGAAGATCACCATGAAAGTAAACCTGAATGAATGTCTAAAGATCAGATCCGGTATTTTGGGGTGAGAGATCCAATCATTGTTGGGGTCGTTGGGGTCTGTGGTGGTTTGGTCGCCAGAGACAGATTGCGTCTCATCTTGTGTATGCTTCTCATCTTGTGTATGCGTCTCATCTCCTATGCGAGTATTAGACATCTCAGTTGACCCTAGATAATAACCACCAGATTTGACTCACCTTCCTTGAGATACTCGATGACTGTGATGAGCGGTGCGGCCAGTAACACCACAGCAGCAACTTGGCCAAACGACCAATCATTGAAACCAGTTAACGAAGCCTCGAGGCCCATCTTTTCCGGTCGATATATTGTGCCTATTACTCGGGCAATACCGAATGCAAAGGCAATAATTAACCAGGCGACCTAAAGTCAAGTCAGAAAACATAGACTGTAATCAACACACGTACGATAATATCTGACCTCTGTAGTAACGGAATCCCACATATCCACGAGCACCAAACAAGTGAGGTAGACAGACAAGAGGGGAAGGTAGCAGAGTGTCAGTTTCAGACTCCGTGGCGAGCGAGACGCCTGGCTCCAGTTATATACAATCCGTAACAACCTTCGTATGTGGCCTGAAACGAAGGTTCTGGCTCGCCCAATAACACCAACTGAAAGCGTATCGTAGAGGTTAATGACCCTCGAGGCAAATCCAAAAACTATCAAAATGATCGAGTGAGACATCGAGAAGAACGCGGAATTTTTCCTTGGCCGAGCACGCATATGGCAGATTGCAGGGTCACTGAGAGTCGGGTGATCTCTATTATCTGCGTCAAAGACCCAGTGATAGTTTCCGGTGAGACTAAGACCCACGATCAACAGGATTACTAATGAACCCACTACTAGTAGCCTTATTGCCCGCTCGGTAGGGTGGTTATGCAGATGGTTACGTAGAAGCGTTAAGCAGGATAACTGAGTCAGGCAGGAAAGCCAGGCCAGTTGGACGATGACTTGCCAATGATAAGTTGCCAGGCCGCATTTGAGCTGCACAAGACCACTGATCAGGAGTGAGAACCCTGTCACGATTTGCATGTCGCTCATTGCTCGTATGCACTGTTCTTAGAGGTTTTCTTTTCAATTACTTCCTGATTAACCGATTCGATCTCAAATAAGAATTAACCTACCTTGATCAGGAATTTTGCAAATTTTTCGCTCGTGCCAATTTCAACGGAAGGGCGTGGGAATAATACGAATGGGTACGTTGTTAACGAGACTTTGTCCACCGGGTTGGGTCGAAACGAAGTTGGAGTTCGACCATTCATTTGAAACGCGTCGCGGATTGGATCATACACGGCGATGTAGTGGAGGGCAACGATAACAACAGCGAAGCCGGCAGTCACGACATTGTTGATAATTACCTAAAAATGTGAGATACACCCGTGGTCAATTAGAGAAAAAAGGAGATACTCCTACCCCAATCCCAGTGATATCGCTATTTATAGATAAGGCGGGGGTGGGAGCCGAGCAGTCAAAGTGGCAGGAAGACATAGCGCGGCCGAATAGCGTCGATCAGACCTTCCCTTTCCGTAGATATATCAGTGTGTTTCTCTATTGTAGACTTCTGTTGGGCTAGTACATACCCTTGGCGAGGTTGTTAGGTTGAAGTTGTCGAGGTAGACATCCAGGGATTATCCTCGCTTACGCACGTGACAGTGAGAATGACTGAGATTGATAGAAAGAATTATTTACGTCTTAGCCGAATATGGATTAGGGTGGCCTCGGATACGGGCTGAGAAGCAAAAGAGTAGTGGCCATGGGGGAATTCGTTTTCGAAATCTACTGTATTTGGATTATGGCAGGCAAAGAAACAATGCGACCTGGAATATCATATGGACGGCAAAACAAGATTCGAAAGAAAATCGGTAGCTGGTGAGGCTTGAAGTACCTAGCTAGCGAGACCATTATGGCATAGCTCAATATTTTTGCCACTGGATTTGTGCACGTCCCAGGCAAGACTGAACATCTAAGGATTCGTATCCTCATAGCGGCGGTGTGAGTACATACCAGTTGAAGATATCGGTTGGATGACCCCTAAAAATTTGGCGGTTCTAAGATAGCGACTATAACAAAAATCGATAGTCACTTGAATGATATCTGTTCTTTGTCAATGGGGCAACGGTACGGACTAGCGTACAATATCTTCACATGAATGCCCAAGTGGGGCTAGCGTTGCATTCTATTGAGCAGGATACCTCGGAAATTGAATATTCGGAGATAAAGGTACTCGCTGACTACAATTACTGGAGAGACGCAGGGTAAGGATAGTTTCGGGAAAATAGGACCTGAAAAACGGGCCGACGGACAAATGAAGCGCGGGGAGGAGGAAGACAGGGTTCCGAGGAGAATCAGTGGCAACAGCACAGTGTTTAGAAACCTTGAAAGCCCCTATATAGGCTCTCAAAAAGAAAGTCGCTCTGGATAGAGCTTAAGGATTTGAAAGGGGATCTATAGGCTAACGAATCTATACCACGAGCGATGTGTATATATAGAATGGACTCATCAGGATATGGAGAGATATACTAGGGCCGAGTGCCTTAAAACCAGGAATATAGGTAGTTAGGTCGTCTAATGGTCTATAGTGGTTTCCGTAGGCGGGGTCCAAACCGGTGTAGAAGCGCATATGTAGGGATCAGTCCTAAGCTGCATATTATGCCCTGCGCTATAAAAGTCCAGGTCCATCCTAAATCCCATTTTCAGTGTCTACTCAGTAGAAAAAAGTGAGGGTCAATGCGTACCTGATACCTCTACCCAGAGGCTAATGAACCACGGGTTGATAAAAGCCGATAACTTGCCTAGGTCAGTCCATTACCCTCGTCTGAAAACACATGTGTGACACTTACATTGATAACCACCGAGTAAAACATGATCACCTCCATCGCAAATTCGGGATAATTGTCGACAATATACGTGGAGAGCACTGTATTTCCAACCTGTGTGCCCGCAGCATCTAACCAACGGTTAATGAACGGTCTGCGAAACCCCGAAGCCCCGGATCAGTACTCACACAGGAAGAAAGCCACTTGGCCCGTCATCCAGTGCCAATCTTTATCGACCGAAATGCCCCAGAGAATGAGACCCACTGATGACACTACTGCAGCCGGATACCCGAGCCAGAGCCTCATCTCTGGAATGCGTTGCGAATCGTTCTTGCGAGCTAATCGAGCAACGAGCCAATCACTGAGGCGACCAGAGCAGAAAGCCTCAGCAAACACGAGTCCCAGGAGGAGTCCAATGAAAAGGAGACCTTGCACTTGAACGCTGCGGCTCTCGTAGGCCAGTGGCTCCATCGTCATGATCGAGCAGATCCTAATAGGTTAGAGGGGTTGTCGATGCGGTCTGGACTTACACTTACCACCAATACTGGAAAAATACATAGCAGCAGATACTTATCGATATCGTGGGATACGCCCATAATTTGCAGAATACTAAAACTGCGTCCCAAGGCTTGGGGTGTCTGACTCCTGGGATGTGTCTCAAATGCTATTATCGTCAGAGAGTAGAGCGTTCCATAGGGTAAAAGTTCTTACCAGATAACCCAAGCTTTTCGTCCGTTTAATGTCGGAAATAGCATCATATTTTGTACCCACGGATAATTCCTGTCCTTCATATTCTGCTTCATACTCCAACACCACCGCACGTGGATAGTGGGTCTCTGGGAGGAAGAGACATTCGCAGATAAGCAAGACCCCGAAGAGGATAGTAACATGATAACTAATCCAATACTGAGAAACGGAAGCCAAGAAGCCACCCACTGCAAACAGTCAGTAAAATCCGCTGACTTGTGTCCTCATACGTACCCACGGCTCCAAGCACTGTCCCAAAGTTAGCAGACATGGCCCATAATCCCACTCGAAAGCCCCTCTCATGCTCGAAAGACAAATCATTGATAACCGTTAAACCAATATTTGCAGATGGACCGGCGCCTAATCCCTGAAAGAACCGTGCAGCCATATACCCCGAAAGAGAGTTTCCATGCAGCGAGGTGCACCCGCTCGCCACAACAGCAACAGCAGTGCTGGCAATCAACACTATACGACGTCCATATGTCTCAGCCAATGACGAAGTAATAAGCGGACCGATAGCAAGACCGAGACATGGCACTGCAAAGGACCAAGTCACTTTTGTATAGGTCGTGTCGAATTGGACTTCGAGTTCGGTGAAGGATGGGACTGGCGCGGTCGTGAAATAGGTAAGTAGGCAGTAGGCAAAGCATGCAATCATGATACAGGTATATTTCTGAACAAAACTCCAATTCAAAGGATCCAGGGGGTCTTCTGTCACTGCTGGATAAAGAGGGCTCCCAGATGGACTCAGTCGGATGGGTTTAGTCTGACCGGCCTCGGTCGTGGCCGGCGACTCTTCAGTCTCGGGATATTTGGTGAGTGACATGAGAGTTGTGCACGTATAAGACAGTGGAGAAGTTAGACCAATACGAAGCTTTTTGAGCAGAGAACAGCATTCTTATTTATTTAACTAGGAGCTTTGTGTAATAATCCTGCTTATCTCTCTAATGCCATACTTTCCCTACTCTTGGTTGTGATAGCAGCCGCGATAACGAGATCGTGCTGGTGCATAGGGCCTCGGACGATCTTCCCGTTAAAAAGTGGCTGCCATCTCCTCAAGCTTCCTATTTCGTGAAAGCGCCAAGTGTTATTGGTAGTTCTAAGCCAGTAATCGCGTTTCGCTCATCTTCCCCGCACCCCTCATCGCTAGCGATAGTTATTGGCTAGCACTAGTGGATTAGTAGGTTCTCTATCGTGACTATCCTGCTTATCTCCCATATACCATAATTTCCCTACCCCTGTTTATGATAGCAGGCCCGATACTGAGACTGTGCTAACGCATAGGGTCATAGATCATCCTCTCATTGAAACTAGTGGCAGCCGTTTCCTCAGGCTTTCCTATGTCGTGAAGCCCCTGGTGTCATCAGTAGCCTCAAGCCAGTCATCGCGTTCTGTTCTTCCCCGAATCCTCGATCGCTAGCGACAGTTATCGGCTAATACTAACGGATTGGCGGGCTCTCTGTCGGGGCTAAGAGACGAACGTATTTCACAAGCGAGCGAGCCACCCGGTCGGCTGGGCCACCCCATCAACTTTTATTGATTTACACTATTATCATTAAATAAAACAACATAAGAATTGAATATCTAAGCTATCTATCTAAACCTAAACAATTGTGTCAGCGTCATACGCCAGTCGAGGATCAGAGGAGAAAAGAAGAAGCATAAGCTGCTACAGCTTGCTGCTACCAGAAAGAACGAACAGACAGCACAATATGTGTATTGTGATGTGGTTGACGAGAGAAGAAAGAAGAAGAGGGAGAAACCCTGATCTATCTACAGGGACAGACATGGTCTTTGAAATCTAATATATGACAAGTCAGACAATGGAGATATCTGAATAACTATTTATCCGCTATGTGAAAAGTAGTTCAGGTCCTCCATACATTGCTTCCTTTTCGGTCTGATTGTACTTCTGCCACAGAAGCACTGCCAAAGAGCTTACTTCGATCAACATGACCAAAACACTGGCCTCTTTCGTGCCGCTTGACTGCGCGGTCATTACTACTGTTTGTTTGAAAAATATAATATTTTGTGTTCATGAGGATATGTTTAATCGAGCTTAAGGAACGTAGATTTGCGCATCGTTGGCTCGCCTTTGTCGGTCTATGAGATTGGCTCGATATCAGCACCTCGATCAAGCAGAATCTCTACCACTGCTCTCTGGCCTTTAGCCAGGGCTGCCAGTAGTGCGGTTCCATGTCGCCCACCTTGGGCATCGACGTCGGCACCTCGATCAAGAAGGATATGCACCACCTTCTCGTGCCCATATGCGGATGCGAACTGAAGAGCATTGCCGTATACCCCACCTTGCGCATTTACGTCGGCACCTTTATCAAGCAGCATCTGTACCAAGTTTTCATGGCCGTAAGATGATGCAACGTCGAGCGCGGTCCCACCATTCAGACCTGAAACATTTATATCAACGCCTAGATCAAGCAAGGTCTGCACTATCTCCTCACTGTTTTTAACGCATGCGGCCTGGAGTGCAGTGCCAAATGTCCCTCCATGAGCCTTCGGATCAGCACCGTGGCTGAGCAATTTCTGCACTATTTTCGTAAAGCCATTGTATGACGCGGCCTGGAGTGCAGTGCCAAATGTTCCACTTTGTGCATTCACATCAGCACCTCGATCAAGCAGGCTTTGAACCATATCCTCTTGGCCTCCATTTGCTGCTGCTTGGAGCGAATCGCCATAAAGCTCGCTTTCAAAATGTATATCAGCACCTTGATCTATCAGCATCTGCAGTATATTCTCGTGGCCTGAAAAGGCTGCTGCTACAAGCGCATTCGTATATGCTCCACCTCGACTATGTATATCGGCGCCATAGTCAAGGAGTATATGTACCACTTTCTCATGGCCCTTAAATGCAGCGGCCTGTAGTGCGCTACCAAAGTGTCCGCATTGAGAGTTCACACCAGCACCGTTATCCAGCAGTAATCGCACCAACTCTTCATGACCTTTGGAGGACGCAACCTGGAGCGCGTTCCCATCTCGTCCAGTTTGACGGTTTACGTCGGCACCATGATCAAGCAAGATCTGAACCACCTTACTATGGCCTTCAAACACTGCGGCCTGGAGCGCATCCCAGCTGCTGCCATATAGTCCATCTTTAGCGTTTATATCAGCACCATGATCAAGGAGATCCTGCACTATCTTCTCATGGCCTTTGCGTGAGGCCGCTGCAAGCGCGTGCCAGTATTTTTCACCTGGATCATTGGCGTCCGCACCATTATCAAGGAGGATGTGCACTACTTCCTTATGGCCGTGAGTCGACGCCATTAGAAGAGCATTACCATCTCGCCCACCTCGGCAATTAATGTCGGCACCATAATCGATCAGAACCTGCACCACATTTAGATGACCTTTTGACGATGCGTCGAGAATTGGGTTGGTGTTTCCCACTCGAAGGTTTACCTCGGCGCCTCGGTCGAGCAGAATCTTTACCACCTTTTCATGTCCATTAGATGCGGCCGCTTGAAGTGCGTTGTTCCATTTTCCACCCGTCGCATGAACAGCATCTGATATGCTTGCTTCATTTCCTAGGTTCGCCAGAAGGGGACTTAAGACATCATGTAGCCCAAGAAGGGCTATGTAGTATAAAGGCAGCGGTATATCCTCGACTGCACGCTTAAAGTCCACAGATGTGTTCCATGGACGATCTAAATCGTGTAGGCGTGCCCATGTTATAAAAGAATCTGTCTTCCCCGTAAAGAGTCTCAGAACTAGGCCTTGGGAAGGGCTGCCATAATGATGAAACCATTGCATAGCGGCAAAATGCGCCAAAGGAAACTCTTCGAGCTTCGCCATATCCAATACTCCTTCTGAGAGCATTGGATCTAAGAGGTACACAAGGAGGATCTGAGCCATTTCTGTGTTGGCCTGTTCTTTTCGAATTGCGAATTTCGCTGCTTCCGATTTCACAACACGTTCTGATTCGAGATACTCCTGGACGGAGAAGTGGGCTATGCGAGCAATTCGGACCTCTAGTCCTGTGTCGTCCTCAACCGCCGAGAGCTCTATTAGACCGCGACAGACTTCGACAAGGTCATCTTCTTGTTCATATATTCGACCGTGGTCAAGGCGCGGTGGGTCCTCCAGATCCACAGCATGCGCATGGATCAGCTCCTTTATAGTGAGTGGTCGATTGGAAATACAAAGAACGGTCAGAAACCGCCGCACGTCTTCGATATGCTCTTCGTCAATGCTGCATAGAATTCGCTGATATGTTCCATCTAGATCGCGGGGCAGAGAGATTAAGCATTCGTCAAGCTGATTCCGGTTTCGAGCCCGTTTAAGCGCCAGGAACTGACACTCTATGTATCTGAATCTGTTACTTGATCAGTCAAAGCCTTATCAGCTCCCTTGTTATCGTAACTTACACTCCCTGTGCCTTTTCTGTCAATCTATCTTGGATCTCACTATGGCGCTCCTTCCACTTCTGAAGTTTTGGGTCGTTGTTGAGCTGATAGGAAACATAACTGACGATGTCCTTGTCTATCTCAACATTCTTCATCGAGATATCTTGGTCGCCGGAGATTTCCAATGATTGACGAATGTCAATCTCATCACGGCTAGTTATTAAAAGGTGTAGACCGGGCAAACCCCACTGCTGCATCGCCTTTATCGCACTTAAGACGTTGTCCCTCTTGTTATCACGAGGACATTCGTCTAACGCATCAATCAAGAGATAAGTTTCGCTGGACTGAGATATGATTTTTCGAAGGCAATCAAGTAGCGCATTCACTGGAGGACTACTTGGTTTGTACAATGCGTGCATTTGTTCCAAACTCTCTTGACCATGCTGAAGTTGTGCCGATAGCTGTACCAATAAAGCACGCAACATTCCGGAAATATCTTGCTTTGACTCGTCATTGAATGAAAAGTAGAAATATCCAACACCAAGCGTAACACCGGAACCGTTATGCCGATTGTGTTTCTCACGGAGCATATATTCAATTGCCGTCGAGCATAGGACTGATTTCCCAGATCCGGCAAAACCATTGATCCAAAGGAAAGAGTTGCGCTTCACTAGCCAATTCTGGAAGCTGCCACTCTGGATAAACCATAGCCCTGTGCCCGTGTGCCGCTTAGGGGATATAATATGATGATCGATTGCCGCATCTGGGGCATGAAGCCATTCACAGATCGTAGACGATACCTGAATCGCCGCTGTGCGTTCGACAAGTAATTTGAGGTCAGAAATCCTGTTGTCAACCTGATTCTGGTTCTTCAGCTGCAGCACGTTCAACGCAAGAGATAAGCGATCCTGAATCTCTTCAATATCTTCTTCAAGCTTTTGTAGAGTACTTTTCCGGAACGGATAAGTTGCCTGGCGTCCGAAAAATTTGATACGGTCCGTGTAACCTGCAGCTGAGGCTTTCCGAAATTTCTGGCACTCAGCCTGCAGCTCCTTGATAATATTATGGCAGCCTTGCGTGGATTTCTCGATTTCTTGAAGTAGTGCATCGGTCTGAGGCTGGTGATCTTGGAGAGCACCTTCAAGGGACCTGAAAATAGCCAGGAGGCTCTCCAAACTCTGCGTGATTTTGGCTATATCACCAGTCTTGTTCTTGAATGCAGAATAGAAATCGACCAGAGACTGGGTGACTTGAATGCCGAGCGATAAAAGCCCCGCAACGCCGGATGCGATGGAAAGCGGGTCTACCATACTGATGAATAACCCGAAGACTGAGTACCTCAGCGATGGAGAGTCCGAATAGACGAACGAGCATATGTAGGGAACGAGAGCCAGGCTGTGATGAAGCGGGGTGTGGCTCGCCTGGTGCCAAGCTACTGGAGCTGTGAGTAAGCAGCCAGCTTTCCTTGGCTACGGAAGGAAGGCTCAGTAATTACTTCACCAGGACATTTTAGCCGAGCGGGCATAGAATATTCGCGCATCAACGGGGCTTGGGTGCCCTGGAAGTGGCCTACTCACCTTGGTAAACCACCGGAGTTCTCAAAGTAGCAGTATTCATTCACGACGACGCAACTTATGACAACAATTTCTAGCGAAATTGCAAATTTAGCTATCAAACACTCATCGTGCATGGGAAAGCTGACATGCTGCCAACAGCTATGCAGATCAGGATAATCGCGCGCCAACTCAGCTAGTGTACGGAAACGCCTCGATTGTCAGCACCAAGCAAAACTGTGGTGTTTTCGTCCCCCCCCTTGGATTACACCATATCGGCAGGTGATAGAGAATTACGCTGAGCCCTCTTATGGTCTAAGTCTTGTGTCCTACACGTCAATGTGTACGCTGGTAATTATATAGTAAATCTAGAAAGAGAACCAATCAATTTAGGATAGCCTTGAAACCTTTGAAGATCAGGAGTGTTTCAATGAAATTAAAGTAGCTTATAAATTCGAGTTGATGCCGTGTTTATGATTTAGCTTGATTTGAGAGCCTATACGATCTCCGGTGATTAATGTCTTGACTAGGACTAGTAACTCTCCTTCCTACCACTACTAAGGATTTGCCTCTCGAAAATACCCTTCGTCCTTTCGTAAATCTACTATATATAGCTTTCTTCTTGCTACCAGTTCATATTATAGCCCGTACACCTATGACCCTATTTGCGGTATGCCATCCAATGACCGATATCTAAAGGTAGGCCACGTTTCTCCCCTATCAATAGCTTCTTAAGATTGCCTCGGGTTTCTCCCTGTATAAAATCGGCCCGCTATAGATCAATTACAGTGTAATATTTTTACCCCTATGTTATACATGCAACATAAAGCAAATTAGATTGGTTCACCATTCAATGCTACATGCTATACACAGCCTTAACCGAAAGCATGAAGAGCTCCAATGAAGCTTAAATACACCTTCCTCTACTCAAACAAACGTGGCAATGACTGAAAGAAAGACAGGCGACAGAGCTGAAGCAGTGAGGATGGCTGCACTGGTTTTCTGGTTCCATTTTCCTTGACTGTTTGCTCCCTGGCTCCATAGAGTTGCCTTCATGCTCCGCAGAGTCCAGAGCATCCGCACTTGCTAAAGCGGCGTCTAACTCGACACACAGGTCGTCCCCAGTTATTGCTAATACCTCCCCGTCCATGGTTTTCAGGTAATATCCTCCGTTCTCAGGGTTGAGGACCGTTTCAGGGTTATTGTGAACCATGTCATTCAGATTTTGCCTGTCCTGTAGTACAATAGCCCCAAATGGCGGATCCGAGTTGTAGCGAGTTGTGTTTGCAGCCATAATAGTTATATAGATAGAAAAAAAAGCAAAAATCCACGGCAGTGGTCTCATTGCTCACTTCTTCACGATTCTCTGCAAGTGGTGTGTTATTGTCAACTCTTTTCAATCTTTCTAGTACTCTCATGTAGAAAATTTCATTGATGCAAAACATAGCTTACTGCGGAGATCCGAGGTTGCTAGGACAGATGCCAAACGTTGAGGTAAAAAGTAGGCGGTTTATGTTTTTGTTTTGTTCCCTGGAAAAAGCCGAATTATTTGAAAGGAACATAAGGCTATATATAGGTACAGCGAGAAGATCCAACTGACTACAACCTTGCAAGTCCGCTTGGTGCTTTTTGTAGATATCGTCGGAATGGATTCCGAAGATGCGGCTTCGCTCATGTGACGGTACTATGATGTATGATTAAAAAGCCGGTCAATGTAACCTTACAACCAGTTGTTGCTCCAATAATAACAGTGGTGCGACAAATAAGGAATTGTAGTGCTTGACTTGTTGCATTACGTCGCACTTGGCTGATCACTTAAAGTCTTGCAAATCAGACACTAAGAAACAGATTTTCATATAGATAGACAGGGGGCATGGCTTCGCTGTCCAACAATATGCAGCTGCACCTTGGCTAGAGCAGCCATTTTCTCCTCCACCATTCCAAAGCACTGTCGTACAAAAAGCTCCGTGAGATTTAGAGTTGCCGTTACTGGACTTGTACACACCTCAGTGCACCCTGCCGGATAACTTGGCGGCATATTAAAGTTCCATAAACTCTAGCTTACATTTCGATCTTATTGATTGGCATAGAGCTTTTCACTTGCTACGTTCTCCTAATAAGAGGACTTTAAAGCTGACCGATGCAGTTAATAGATCGATGTGTATATTCCATGCAAATGGCATGTGAGCTGATCCAGTCCATCAGGAGTGTTTTGAGCCAGGGTATTACACTTAACACATACTGGTGTTTGGAAAATTGATCCATTGAGTGCGCATTTTGCTTGTGCAATAGTGACGGATCTCGGCCAGTTGTTACCGCAAAATCAATACCCTCATTGGGACGCAAAACACTTAGTATCAATAGAACGCTGTTATATCTTTAAGATTAAGGGCTATCATGCCAAATTTCTGAACTATGTACGTTGTCAAGGCCTCTCATTATGCTGTCAAAGAAAGCCGTATCAACACCCTGGAATGCCCAGTCGTCCATCCCCGCAGTGAGCTCAGGATCCTGATTGCCATGCACGAGGGTCTCAGAAACAGTATCCTGATATCGAGAGGTGAGTTGTACATGCTGACCATTAAGACTGTCAACAGAGTTGTGTTCCGCTTCCGTCATTGACCTAAAAAATGCATTTCCATCTAAGCGACCAGAGCCAAGATCACGCACTGTAGCTCCTGAGCTCTCGGTGTTATGCATACCAACCATCGGAACGTATGGTTGGCCATTACTTGAAAAAGGTGCTTCGTTAGCCATTTCCTTAGATATAACGTCCTGACGGGCAATCCTAACGATGCCAAAATACGGTATTTGCACCCGAACAACGCCGTTGACATTTTCACCTGACTTCAACGCTGCAGTTTCTGGCGTCTGAACGCTGACGCTCTCCATACTGACGCCATCTACTGTTTCGGAATTGATGGCCAGCAACTTCTGTAACAAATCCGCACTTTGGGCACTCAAAGTATCTCCGTTAACCCGAATGATTTGCTCCATGTTCACCTGCGCCTGCTCTATCATGGCACGATCACTAAGATATTGGTGCGCTAAGAGGTTGCTGGTTTGTGGAAAGCGGTGGCTGTCGAGATGCGCCAGAAGTAATGTAATGGCAGCCACGAGTGCGAAGAAATCGACTGTCCGACAGCAGAATTTATTCCTGGTGTAGCCCCGAAACATGATAAATCGGGAGAGAATCTCCCTTGAAGCATTCACGCAGGTCATTTTGGGATATTCGTACCTCCGTTCAAGTGATGAACGAAGCATGTAAGGCAGGTGGAGCTGATTGAGCAAGTTATAATGATACAGCTGGTTGAACAGCCGTCCCATATCCAAAAAGAGAGCCAGTGGATCATCCGTGACACTGTCTAGGTTTGGCATAAGCCACCATTTGCTAGGCATGCTTCTACCCGCTTTCTGTAGCTCCAAATCGAGGTTTTGAGTCAGGACAAAGTCATTAGCACATGGGTCAGATTCGTTGCGTTCCAATATGCGAGACGCGAGAGTACAGTGCATGCGCTCGAGACGGCCCATAGAGGTGTCATCTCTGAATGCTGTGCCAGTGGCCATACTCTGGTCGAAGAAGCCTTGCGTAAGGCCTAGCATGAGACACAAGTTACGGTCGAGGGAGATAATTCGAAACCACATGAATTGTGGATGTGCTTTCGTTTCGTGGTCAAGAACCTTGTATTTTGCTCGAGTTGGACTTTGATGGAGGTTCATCATTTGTGCAATAGCCATAGCCCTTCGGTTCGCTATCCAAGCTCGTCGTAGACTTCCACCATTATGATAGTACATGCTTTCAATCATAACACACTCCAGTCCTTCAATGCTGCCAAAAAACTCATCGCTTGTCGTGACCAAAGTAATAGCAGTTCTTGCTAATCTATCCATCAGTGTAGAGAGTGGTTCCGGCAGGCCATTTATTGCTCGAAGGGAATCAGGGTCGAGATGCTGCAGGAAAGTAGCAAAGTAAAGCATGTGTCTTGCGATCAACACTGGATGCGAACTCGCACTAGGGACTTCGAGTAAACTGTCTGACGACTTGAGGCCGCTCTGCTCGAGGACAGCATATGGAGCGTTCAGCACCTCAGAGAAAATAATGTCACTTCTACGGCGGGTATTGTATATCATCTCGATTACTCGTCGTGACGGCAAGGACTCGTGCAATCTTTGAGAGAGCTTTTCATATCTCCCTACTGCTTCAGCCGGGCCATTATCCTGATGAAATTAGTGTTCATTCGAACATTAGATTTCAAAAACATACAGACGTACATTCGAAGGCTTGGGTAAAGACAAGAAAAGTGAAGAGTCTTGGTCTATTGATGCACTAGTAGGGATTCCCCGATCTGGAGGTTTAGGGAATGCACTTGTTGCAGGTTCCCCTACTTCCCCATGACGGTCCACTTTCCTGATTAGTTGCTCAACCAAGGCCTCAACCCTCGCAACACGATCTTTATCTTTACCGTGCTTGTGGTGTCGTCCCTTCTTCTCGAGTTTTCCTGCGTTCTCTCTTCCGTCAACCAACTCAAACTCCTGGCTCACGCATCTCGATCCTCGCCGCTGGCAGCCAATGCATACGGCTTCGGCATCGGCTGGAGAGCTGGGGTCTGCATTAACACATCTCATCTTACGCTGTTTGCACTCCCAACAACTCTTGGTCCCTTTGCGGATCTTCCTCCGCTTCGCCTCTGATTCGGCAATGATCCCGTAGTCCATATCGACGCCGATGCATAGACTCAGTCAGTCAATCAGTCATTCAGCCTGGGCTTTTCTGCTGCGGAGGCCGGAAAAGATGATGGAAGCTGGACAGAGCAATCCCAAGATCGGATCGCCGGCCGGGGTATGCTCGGGGATAGCTGACTCAGCGGATGTCATTCGTCCGCCGCGACACGCAACATGCGGCGGACGAAAGCCCTTCTGTGTTTGAAACAACATCACATCTTGTATTTAGCATAGGATATGAAACAGGAAAAAAAATTATATCTGGTCATATTGCAAGCAATGACTGGCAACCTTGATATAGCATCCGTGGTTAGGACAAATCGGGGCTAAAGTGATATATCTCCACATTTGTACTACACATCCATGAATAGTACGTTCCAAGGTTGTTGAAATAGTTACTACCTCCAGAACAAATTATTCGCTAGCTTTAAAATGGGCCGTGTTCAGATTGTGATCATTCCGCAGAAAGTGACGGCGGAACAGGTACAAGGTGTAATTCTTGTTACTACTAATTCCTCCGTCCGGACGAACGCCTGGAAAAAGCTCCGCCGAGGACAGTCTCGAATACGGCAGGCATTTGTCATACATGCTTTGAATAAGTGCTTGAAACCTCGCCTCCATGTGAAAACTACTGTTATTTAACTCAATTTGTCCTGTTGTGTTGACATAATTCCTTCGAAATCACAGCTCGGTAACATTCCATTGCAAAATTAGCAGAAATGAGCTCAGGATTCGACCTGGAAAAGGAGCGAAAGACTGCACAATCGAGCGCCCAGTCGTCAATAACCAACGCTCCTCATGCGGCCGAATTAGAGAGCGAGAATCGCAATGCTGCGAATGACAAAGAGACTTCTAGCCTACCGGGAAAGGTAGATGCGGAAGAACAGAACCAGGACGACGAAGCACAGTATCCTCATGGTCTCAAGTTAGTCATAATCATCGTGGCTCTTGGTATGAGTATCTTCTTGGTTGCCCTCGACATGGTATGTCTCACAATCCCTCCATGGGGAAAGGAGTCTCTCTCAAAGTGCCATCATAATCTAATGATATTAAACAAATAGACAATTGTAGCGACGGCTATTCCAAAGATCACCGATCAATTTCACAGCCTTGATGATGCCAGTTGGTATGGTTCGGCATTCTTGATGACTACTGGAGGCTTCCAGTCAACCTGGGGAAAAATATACAAATATTTCCCGCTAAAGATCTCGTTTCTGCTTGCGGTTTTCATTTTCGAGCTTGGAAGCTTAATTTGTGGTGTGGCTCCAAGTTCTGTGGCACTGATTGTTGGTCGTGCAATTGCTGGAGTTGGTGCAGCTGGTATTGGGAGTGGGGTTTTCATTATCGTCGCTTTCATCGCCAGTCCAAAAAGGCGACCATTCTTCACCGGTATTATTGGCATGTCTTACGGGATAGCATCGGTCGTTGGCCCCCTTGTTGGGGGTGTATTCGCCGACAAAGTAACTTGGAGGTGGTGTGAGTATTTCTGCTGTTGACTCGATCAACTAAAGTACTTATCACCAGACGCTGGACTTCGCTAATTTTGATTTTTTTCATCTAGGCTTTTACGTCAATTTGCCCATTGGAGGCCTCGCAGCCACTTCCATTGTTTTCGCCTTTCACACACCCGACAGCCTCTCGATAACCAAAGCTACATTGAAGGAAAGGATCCTGCAGATAGATCCCATCGGAACGATCCTTCTGATCTGTACCATTACTTCATACATCTTACCACTCCAATTTGGTGGACAGACAAAGTCATGGGGCTCCAGTACTGTCATTGGTCTTCTTGTCGGCTTTCCTCTCATGACTATCGCCTATATTATGTGGGAATGGTTCCAAGGAGAACGGGCCGCCTTTCCGCCGCGCTTGATGTCGAACCGCCTCATCCTTGTGAACTCAATCGACGCATTTCTTTTCGCAGGTTCGTACTTTATCATAGTCTATTACCTGCCTTACTATTTCCAGAGTGTCCAAAACGTCAGTTCTACTATTTCTGGTGTACGAAACCTTCCTTTGATTATCTCGACGTCGTTGGCTATCATTGTATCTGGTGGCACCACCACCAAAACTGGTCATACTGCTCCTCTTATGGTTGTCGGTGGGGTCCTTGCAACCATCGGCTCGGGGCTGTTATACTCGCTGGACATCAGTACAAACACTGGCAAATGGATTGGATACCAAATCGTGGGCGGAGTTGGATGGGGATTGGCCTACCAGGTTCCCCTCAATGCGGTGCATGGCGCAGTGGGTCCCAGTGACATTGCAACCGTGACGGCTGTCATTGTCTGTAAGTAGTTTTGCTTACAGCCTCTTCTCTATTCTATTCGATGTGCTAACAAACCTCATATCTCAGTTTTCCAAACTGTCGGGGGTGCGATTTTCGTGGCTGCAGCACAAGCTGGGCTCGTCAACCAAATTATCATCAAACTTAATGCAACCGCACCGAACATCAACTCAGCCTTAGTGGTCTCGACTGGTGCAAGCGAGCTGCGAAACGTTTTCACATCTGACCAGATGTCTGCTATATTGCCTGCTTACATGTCAGGTCTTAAGGCCGCTTACGCTATTTCGATCGCTGCGGCCGGAATCGCTTTCTGTCTCAGCCCCTTCAACAGCTTCAAGAAAATTGACGCCCATGCAGCAGCTGAAGGCTCCGAGAGTGCCCCTAAGAGTGCGGCTGTGTAATCGCCCTGCTGTTGTCGAAGTCTCCCTACCTTGTGTGGCATTTTTAGACCCGTGTTTGAGGTGCCCTTGGCTCATGTATGGGGATGGACTTAGTTGCTCTAGACTTTACATTTTTCTTTCCGGACTCGAACTTATGTAATGTGCAGTAGGATTTCCCTTACGGCTTTGATATAGTTGAAATGATGTGACCGTCTTGTACGAGCTACCAGATGATCTATTTTCGCTCCCAATCTTACCTGGAGGTGCTAGTCGAATGGGAAGCCCTAGTTGAACGGGAGGAGGACCTATAAAAACTGGATGATCTACTATAGGCTTTTGTAATGAGAAAGTATATATACTATATATTGGAGACTATAGAATGACCATTGGTTGGCAAGGCCCTCCAAAAGCTTCGATGATGTTCAATATTGATTTGGTGAGCGGAACGGGACTCGATCTACATATAAGGTTTTAACGGAGCTCTAATGAGAGTTTACCAACATCAAGTTTCCTGAAATAAGATACATCGTTTGTTGGATGAAAGCAAAATATGCAAAGCAAGGACGGAAGAATCAAGAAAAGTATTGCTACATGATGAGCTTTACTTGGTAAATAGCCCAGGCGGAGGAGGAAGGCTTTCAAAGATCCTATATCCTTGGTAAAGCCCTGAAGACAAAGTGTCATGATTGGAAGATCGTTTAGAAAGAAAGCTAGCATGACAACAGACAAGTCGAAATTAGAGTCAACTACAGAACGATGTTTCAACATTAACGCTATATCCATCACAACAAAGGATAGATAGTGAAAGAGAACGGCATGGCATATGATTGTTTTCATACCTCGGGAACAACTCTTCTATTGTCAGAACAATTGAATGATGTGTTTGTGGTATCTAAGCCCTTGCCTATAAGCTGAAACAACCCCGAATCCGATCTCAGTCACGTTAACATATACTGTATTCTCCTCAATACCAAGCTACTCTAAATCACATGTACCTCCAACTTTGCAGTTGAGTTTAACCTTGAAAGTTTGCTTTAGAGTAAAAGTGTTCGAAAAGACAGCACTCCTCGCCCAATCTCAGCTCCAAGGTTCAACCTGGCATTTGCAAATATGCATCATTATACTACACAACCTTTCATATTGTCCAATATCTTGCATAAAGCCTCGCATCATGACTCAAAAAAAGCTTACCAAACACAAAGGACATGCCAAGAAATTGGATGCCCCGTCGCAAATACATTCGAACATCTCGGAAGTCTAAAACAAAATACATTATGTAACGAGTTCAAAAAGACCCAGATGGACATGCCAATTGAGACCCATATAAACCGGGGTAAGAAGTGTAATCCTGATTTTAACACTGCGAAAAAATTTGATGGAACTTTGTGACCTTATTATCTGTTCTTGATTATGACATGCTTGGTAAAATTCGTAATAGACGTGGCCGGGTTTACAAAGAGATACTGCGAATGAAAGGCTCAAGAACAAACAAGGAAGAGAAAAAATGGGAGTGAAGAGGTGAACAAAGTGAGAATTCGTCGAGATGCCTCCCTGTTGATGATGATTATTTTGACATTTAGACTGGCGCAAGGCGCAAGGAGCAGTACAAGCACTGGTTCATCGTCTGGTACAGCAAGTCAAGTTCAAATGTAAATTGAATTCATTGAGCACTATTTCAAACCCAATCTCTTCGTGGGTGCCCTTGAACAGTATGACCATAAAGTTCATGAAACTTCAAAGAATGATGCCCCAAGTGTGTAAAGCGTGCTCTTTCACCTTGTAAACGATAATCCACCTGGAGTGGTTCATTGAAGCGTTAATCCTATATTAATTCCCGAGGTCATCAAGCGGGACGATCTTGGAATGTGCTGAAGTCACACACAAACATTCGAATGACTAAGAGACTGACTAACTTGAGCATTTAGTCAAACATGTTTCGGTTATACATAAGGCCGTTGCCGGGTATATATATCTTTGAATGTGTAAATGCCCCTTCCTGACACTTAGACATGTCAACGATCTATCCTTACCGCTCTCGACGTTTTTATAAATATAAATATACATCTAATCCTCACACTCCATTCTACTTTCAGCAATATGTTCTTCAGCACCCAAAAGTTAGAGAATCGGGTAACAAGAGGAACCAGGAGTAAAACCATTAGAGGACGCTGTAAGGTGAGTTTGGAGATCTGTGTATCCAGATAGACATTGTATTGATGAGATCATCTCCAAAGGTCGCTTTCACGGTTTCTAGAATTTCCTTCTCTCGGTCTTTCTGCTTCCTCCTCCTTCACCTTTAATTATGCCTCTTCCACCTACCTAAATTCCTCAACCCAATTTCACTGTATTCCTTGCCGTGGAAATGGCGGAGTGAGTCTTGTGATTCCATCCCCTTGAAGAGCATCGCACTGATAAGAAAGAAAAGCAGAATACCTGAAATCCTTACTGGTGTTACAGACCTCTCACCCGGCCCATGGGCGGACTTCATGTTCTAGAAGCCGTGTCCGTTCTCCGTTGCAGTAACAGACAGCAATAGCTTGCGAGGAGAGATCCCGCTGGTGTTACTGAGTATGCCAGCTGTGAACGAACCGACAATCCGAAATGCCTCACGACTCAGCTGCAATGAAAAACAATAATCCTCGAAGATAAACCAGAGAGTCGCGAATGTGGAGGCAATCTTTATGTACACAGTCGGGGTGGCCATTACCGATAAGACACTCCAATGTAACCATTACCGACAGGGTAATGACCCTTTCGAATACTGTGTTCGACTCCCTGGCTTCAAGAAATGCGCAAATTGCCACTGGGATAAACAGGCACCTCGCTCTTCATTCAATGAAAACCCCCGGCCGCCAAAAAAGTCCCGCCGAAACAAGAGATCGCCTATCTAGATACAAGGATGGTGGCTTTCCAGAGCCAACTTGCAGCCATACACGCGAATCGCCAGGATCCTTGGATCCGAACGCTGAGCCTTCCGCAAAATTAAGCGACGAGATCGAATTCCTTTTGCCGGCGTGGTACCATACATCAAGCTATCAATGTTTGCGCCCCACCACCGGAGATATTGCTAAGCTGCAAGACGATTTTGATGGTGTTTGCAGGAGCATCGTGCGCTTATGGACAGAACGCTAGCTTTCAAGTAAAGTAACTTCGGTTTTGGATTTGGATCTCGCTTTTCAGCCATGCAGGGACCAAGTACATGATTTAATCTGTTGGTCGCTTTCAGTATCATCTAGCCTACTTATCAACAAGTGCTTGAAGCCTTAATTTGTTATTCAAATACTGGTCACTTTTTAAGACCAATCACTGCCAGGTTACGCGGACTGTAACCATAGTCAAACACTGGCTCGACCCAGCATTCTTTGACGGAATCCTGCTCCCGGAGATATTGCCACCGATCCACAACAATCATGGACTCCACAAGCTGAGCGCTGAATGCCATTAAGCTCCACACGATACTTATATGTTTTCTTGTGTGAATGTACTGAGCCTCATAGTGCTCAATGTCTTCATCCGTCATGGTAGCAATGCGGTCCTGTATCTTGGAACCATAAACCGGGTCTCCGCTCATCTTGACCGTAGCCGCACGAATATATGCATTAAAGGACTTGTATGCAGATTTAGGTACCGATCCGATGATAAATGCGTTGGCCTTAGACTCCGAATGGGATCCATCAGAGGGAGGGTCCTCTGGCGCTAGGGGCTTAGGAAGAACGCCTCGATCAACGAGGATACGCTGAAGAAGAGCGCGGAAATAATGACGAGTAAACGAGACTTCACTGTCTTTCTGCGTCCAGTTGTGTGGAGCTTGCACGGCCAATGCACGTGCTGTGATATTGAGTCTGATACCTGTCGTTGTTCCAGGACTTCGGTAGTCTTCGTAGTATTTGGAGATAGGAAACCCGTGTGGGTCGTATGATGAGCCAGTCTCCTCAAGTCGAGGGTGCAGGGATTGAAGGATAGGTAGTTGATTTGTGGCTGGACCGAGGCGTTCGGTCAATAGATTGTAGCAGCAGCCGATCATAGCAACTGCCACGACCGAGGGATTGAGAATGAGGGATTTAAGGCCATGGTGAACAAGGTTTCCGCAAGAGTGAAGAGAAACGACCATTACTCTGGCATTAACATCTTTCTTCTCTGCCCCCTCTGGGGTACCATCCGAGGACGGGTTGGTGACGTGTTCAATAACGGGCTCTAGGTAGCCATCTTGAATATCATGTTCGATATAGCTGAGAGTACCGCGATTATCGATCTCTGGCTTCCGCAGTTTTTCTCGGGGTGTCCCTTTTGTCAGAGAACCTAGCAGCTCGTCAGGGTCAAGGCTAATCTCGCCTAGCATATTGGAGATAGTAGCATCCTCCGAAACCCGTGAGCCATCTAGTGATGGTTGGGGCATATTAATTGTCCCAAATGTATTCTTTTCTGTAATTCCGTCGCAGCCTTCGCCTGAAATCCTGTTCTTGGGGATGTGAAGAGCCTTAGGGTCATTCGCTAACTTGGCGCGAACATCCATTCCCTTGGCACCTGTGATGTACTCATGTTTGCGCTCGATTGCGATGATATGCTTATGATAAGGGGAGCTGACGAGGGTGCGTCCCAGGTAGTTCTGTCCAGATCCAAAATCCACAATATGAGAAACTGGTTTCCCTTGGTTCTCATGAACAGTGTCTGATAGGGATGCAACATATTGTGAAAAGCATTCCACCTCGTGCACCTTTTTTCTATTCATGCGCATAGCAACTTGCTTTGGAAGATCAATCTTCTTCGAAGGTGAGGTAAATGAGCCTTGTTGTAGTAACAATCGACGAACATTGAAAATGTAGTCTAAGAGGCTTTGAGGAGGGAAAGCTCCGCCTTTCCAAGTCCGACTGCTGTGATCTACATCGGCACCCGGAGGCCGTTGTAAGTGATCAAGGTCCTCCCTTAGGAGCAGCTGAATGATATTTTCAATATCATGATGGTCGAAGAAAGACCTCCAATTTTCTGGCAGTAGTGTTGTATAGACGTCAGGCTCGCGGGTCAGAAAGTCGACCATATGCACGCCACCGCACAAATTCATAAAAAGCACCGACGTGGTAGAGAATAAGAGCAGCTCTTCAATATAAGCATCGGGACTCTCCCATGCCTCAGCAATGGGCAGGGGGCGACTGGAAGCCATGCAAAATGCGTCTAGTCAATAGTAAATAACCCCACGAGGATTTTTCAGGGCGAAAATCCATTTAGGCTTTTTTTATGGAGATTTTTAATTACAAGGACCCAAACAATTGATAGTTGGATCAGCGCTATGCCGAACTGGGACTAGTATAGAAGTTGTAATTCAAAAGAGTTCTGCCTGGTTTTTTCGGTATCCAGTAAGTACAGGAGTGTACGTTTAATTTGAAACCCTTGGGTCAATTACTTAATCTTCTGCTATAGATTTCTACAAGTATTAACCTCACATCAATTTGTGTATCTAATACTTGCAATGAAGACAATGTGCACACCAATCAGCCTTGAAACACATAAAATGACGGAATTTTCGTGTTATTGTTCCTGAACTTTCCAGGGTGACCAAAATTTGGCATCTGAATTTGGTAGATACATGGCAGTCCATTGCATGTTTCAAACTTTACGTACGCTATGATACACATCATACACTTGAGTATAAGGCTTCATACTGAAAGCGAAGTCTATGTTCGGGTTATTGATATGATTACTGGGTACCTGTGCCTGCATAAAAAGATACCTTATGTGTTGAGTTGAATCGACCTGTAAGCGAGGAACATATTCTTGAATGCCGAAGAAACGAGGCAAATTTCCTCTGTAATACATTTACCGGGCTATCCTAATTCGGTCTAGCGCAGACCCAACTATCAAAATTTTCGGTCCTGTAAACGACCTCCATTTTATCACGTTATCGTGTTATCGCAGTGGTCGAACAAACCGCTCCATACCGCCATCAGCTCGAACGTTTAATCAGCAAAGGTTCAGCCTGCTTTCAAGCATAGCAGAAATTGACTACCTTGGAGAACTTTTGATACAGATGAAATTCACAGGCTCACAGAGTCGCTACTAGCTCACCTTTCTGGCCTAAGTGCCCGAGAATAAATATGGATTGCTCCAAAACATTTTAGCTCTTCGCCTATAACGACAAGTCTTCGTTCAAATATCGCTTTGTAGTTTTGAAGACCTGCCTATAGCCCACTCGCCTTTCCCCTGATTCTGGCTCGGACCAACCGACAACACAGAGTAGTTGCGAGAGCACGTTCAGCTCGAAGGAGAAAGCATTGCTGAACAAACACGCGAATGCCCAAGCGGTTGGCTACTTCCGCTGCGAAGGCTGGCATCCTGGAAACACATAGAGACATCCTACTGAAATATGGGAAGATCTATACATGGGAGGGTAGCAAGAGCTGGCAAGTACAAGTGCGAAGGTGATGGCATTCATTTATCACCATCAATGTTCTCATATTGACCGTTCTTATAATTTGGGGTTTCCCAGTTCTCAGCAGCACAATACGTTATTGATCCTGATTGGTCAGATTTAGGCAAGGCCGTCGGCAAAAGTGTTAATGGCCTTCGTCATGACCTTGTCCAGAGAGGACTTGGTATCCTTTAAACTGTCACCGCAGCTGGGAGCGAGGTCGGCGATAAGGGTGTATGCGATTGTCTGCGATCATGTGAGTAAATAAATAGGTCATTTTTGACAAGTTATTGCGGAAACATACATCAGTGGTACCCTCGAGACCTCGCAGCACCGCCGCTATTGGGTAGGCAATGCCAACTGCCTCCAGTACTCCATGCTTACCGATGGTAATCTTGAGTGTGTCGGTCAAGACCGATGCGTACTAAATGTCGTGAGTCTCCTTTTGTTTTCACTGGGTGACTTGAACGGATGACTTACGGTGACGAAAGAGTTGCAAGCTGCCTGCTGCTGGTCTGTAGAAAGCGCTTGCGCATCCTGAGCCTGACTGTAGCCCTTGTTCTCTGATTTCACCAGACTGTGGTAACCATCGACCAATTCCTAGTCCGGGTTAGCGAATGCTATTGATGACATAATGCTTTGCATGCTTAATATTAGCTCACCTGTCCGGTCTGAAAGCCATTCAGAAGCTCGATTGACTTGGCAGTTAGACCAATATCATGGGCTAGGGCGCTGTAGCCATCGAGAGAGGTCGCAACATCCAAGGAGAGAGCGGTGCCTGCGACGGCGAGGAGACCGATCAGGTTGCTGAGCTTGAACTGCATCTTGATTGGTATGCTTGAGAAGCTGCGGAGATATTGATTGAGAGTTTGGAAAACTTTGGCAGGGGCTTTCCAAGGTACTTATAAGGCCTGGCGAGGAAGGCTAATCAGTATTGTTATCACCCCAATATTGTTTAGTCAGTCAGGTAAATACGCGTAGAAAAGGGGATTGAACCTCTTGTTGAGTTCAATAGCTGAGGGTTTAATGGGGCATGGACTCCATAGCCTACAAAAACTTGTCGATCGTACCCTCTAGGTGACGGGCTGGCTTGGAAACCTGTCTACTGTAATCCATGACGGAAATTGTCCGGGCAATCTTCAAAGGCAGGTGGAGAGCAAAGATGGCGATCATCTCATCTCAGCTCGTCGCAATGATCAACTAATCGATCGATCGATCCCTTCTCAATAGTTGTGGACCCCGGGATTTGAAGTTCTTCAGCGCAGGGACCAATCAATGGTTCTAGTTAGAGCTTGGCGTGTATTGCTCCGCACAGTAGGCAGTTCCCGGAGAAAGGTGGAGAGGCAAGGTGAAGATCATCTCTGCTCGTGGTGACATAATTTATCGATCGGTCGATCCCTTGATAGGGTCTCACTAATAGGGGAAACCGAGCAAGTCCGTACTTTAGCGCGATGATCTATTGACAATTCGACTAATTTGGGTTAACATAGTGGATACGCCCCACTCTCTATTGGTTAGATTCCCCCTATAGGTCTCCATGAAATCGCCGACCATGTCTTTTCTTGATTTTTCTTCAGCTCTGCCACAATTAGGGTTGTCAACTATGTTTCACTTGCTTACTGCGATCATCCGGGGTTATGAGAGGTCATAAATCTCCCAACTATTCAACGCATGGGTATTTGCAGGATGTCTCAAGCTTTGGAGGCACGTGAGTCGTCGCATTTGGTCTCTTCATGGCCAGTGTAAATCGCGCTGCACCCCTCCATCTTACCACCGTACCATCTTAATATTATTATAATTTTGCGCGGCGGAGTCTTGGCCGGAAGTTCAGAAAGTTCAGAAGCGGTTGTGTAAGTGGAAAGACCGGCGATTTGATTGGGGACGCGTGCCAAAACTGCTTTTCAACTATTCAGCTCAAGGCCAAGAAACCTTGCTGAAACTCCTCGGCCAAATTTGTGTTCGAAAGGGCATCCAATGATATTTTTGCTGAGGCTTGAAATTGCAATTCTTCTTAGTAGAGCTATCGCCAACTGGTACAGCGAAGTCCTAGCAAGCGATCTAAGGGCCAGCGTTCAACAATCACATTCAGTCAGGAGTCACAGCAGTCGGTTTGATTCACCAAGAGTCAAGTCATGAAACTGAGGTCAAGTTGACTCGAAATAATGTAGTAATGGCTTTGTCAGGCTAAGGGTTTCTAAAATCATGAGACGATGTCTTGTATATTTTGAAGTTGGCTACGAAATTTCTTTGACTCATTTGCATCTTGCCCCAATCTCACTGAGTGGATTGAGCTGACAAAGAGAGTTAATAGGAGGTTTGGGCGTTCAATCCGACTGCGTGGTTTACGTCTTCTTCCATATTGATATCGTAGCTTGTATTGGGATCGGATTTCCACGACAAACTTGGATCCTAAGGAACTCTACAATGAAACTCAGATCCGAGGACAAGCAGTGGGAGCACAATCTCAAAAGTTTGCGCTGTTCGTTGAATTTATCGCCCATTCCGGTCCGCAGGTATAGCCGCCGAGTAGGTACATATATAAATAAAAATTCGTTTCTCTACTTAGCGCTCGGGATTTAACATATTCCTCTGTAGGCCCTCGGGATTCAGGTAGACTAAACAAAATTGCAGATAAGCGAATCGAATCCCCAAGGCTGTTCGAAATCTAAGCAAAGAGGCCTTGGGGAACAGAAAAGTGACCTATATTGGCTTGGTCCATGAAGGCTTACTGAAATCAGGCAGGCACTTGACCATACCAGGAGGTTCAGTCTGCCATGGAATCAACTCATCTCCTGAAGCAGCCACCGTTGCGTTGACATGGTCGGCCACATAGCCCCGAACTGCCTTGGTGCCCCTGGCCTCGTAATCGCTGTACGCAACATTGACCGTCGGCACCGCCATAATCTTGCCCATGCCCATGCGCCACAAGTCCTTTGCCAATAATGCCGGCTCCCCAGCATAGCACTCGTCCTCTTCGGAAGCCCTGAACTTGAGCTTTCTCTGCAGGAACGGTGCCGCATCAATGGTGGCCATCCCTCCCCAGCAGGAGTAAACCTGCAACGGAAGAAAGGCCTCATAGCGCTTCTTGCTCGGTGGATCGTCGAAGAAAAGGAAGTCTTTGTAGTCCCACTTGTCCCGAGGAATATCGAAGAAGGTATTACCCGCCAGAGAGCGAGAGACCCAGCTATCGTAGAAGCAATTACCACTGTCCTGCCAGTCAAAGGCACACGTCATGTGAGCCGACTGGGTAACGTGCTGAAACAGTAGCTCAAGGATATCTTCCGGGCACAATGCAACGTCATTTATGAAGATAATGATGGAGTCTTTGGCATATTGTTTGCGCTCTGCCCTGGATCCACACATAAGTGGCGCCAGCGCCATATTTCGTAGCCTTGACAGTGCCTCAATTCGGTCCACGCCTTTCGCTTTGGGATTTGCCCCATCCACTTCGAGATGGAACTCCGCTCCAAGCTTTTCGACAGAATATTTCAGCGCATTAAGGATGTCCCATGTGCCGTCGTCTGAACGGCCCTCAACGATTGATAAGACGCAGTATTCTGGCCCAAGGAAAACCATTGCTTCGATAATGCTACCCATGAGTCGGGGTAAAACGCCAATGGCTTGGTAAAGATCCAGTGCAAAGAAGTATCGCTTCTTCCCATTACGTGTGTAGTCCGGTACGAGGAGTATATCATATCGCGATCCGATGGTGTGGGGACACTGAAGCTGATTAAAGGTGGAGTTGTCGCCGGGGTTGACGATCGCATTGATGTATGTCTGGATTTCTTCGGTCCGAATCCTTTGGGGTCGATCGAGAGCATGTTCCTTGGACGTAACGTTTGGTTTGACACAATAATGCCCAGCCGTATGGGTATTGAACAACGTATCTGCCGATAATTTGAGACCTTTCTCTCGCAATTTCCCAGCCAGTTTTGCAGTATTCAGCCAGTCCTCCCTAAGACTTTGGAACTCGGCCGATCTGAGGGACAATAAGCCCAATATGAAGACGACACCCAGGAACAGGCCGTAGGTTCGTCTCGACTTCATCGAATCTAGCCGCCAGAGAGGGCGGGGGAACGACTTCTTCCGGTGATGCAAAGGCAGCCGTACGACGCGAATGCAAGGGCAGCAGATAAAAGAAGAGAAATCAGTGGCTCGCAGTTGTATTGTGGGGAGCGGCAAGGAGGAAGCAGGGGACCTACGGAAAGTGAAGCTCAAGTGAAGGACGGAAAGTTACTAGTTCTAAAATGCATGAAAACAAATATCGTGTGGTATGAACCAGAGTACCTCGTTGCTGAATATCAGAACCTTTTTTTATCTACCACCAAGCAAAATGCCTTCCTGCTTTGAGTCAGCAGTGGTTCCTGAGTTAAAGCTAAAAACACCACCATCGTAACGTGGTCGAACTGAGGCATCCGACGACAGCAGCCCGACAAAAAAGGTTTTTTTTGTAGATCAATACCAAGCCATCATCAATAATGTATCTAGCTGAAAATGGCGGTTCTTGAGCATTCCTGTGCCATTTGGTCAAACATGCTCTTGCGGAATGTGAAGGCGCCAAGCCCTCTAGACAACAAAGGTCTGCCACTCTAGAGGTCTAATGGATGCCGTGATGACTCCGCGCAAACAACTGCCACCTTTATAGCCAGTTGCAGCTTCCATCAAGTTGTAGGAACGAAGAAATCCAACCATGTGCTTATAAAGAGGAGTAAAGGGAGCCTCTACTGCTGATCATGGGTACATCATGTGACCTGGGTCGGTTCCACCGTCATGATGACTAATCGTGCCTGAAAGCCTGTGCATATGTAACTATATCATGAATGATTGGAGAAAGGTCACACAGTTGAGACGTCCAAGTAAAAGTCATAGAAGGAGAGGCTTGTAGTATGCCCTAGGATTTGAGAGCTGCGACCTTGGAATTTCATCACCAAAGACTGAAGTCACCTCCCGCTGGCGTTTTCTTCCAGTGAAAGTCGAGTGCCTACTGAGAATCGCTACCAGCGCTATCTTTAGGTCATTTGAAATTGGACGAGTTGCCGCATCGGTGGCATTTAGGCTATTTGTGTGGTAGGTTGGAAGATATCAGAAAAAAATTACAAATTGAGAGTGGCCCCCATGCAGCTTGGAAACAGGGCTTGTGTCAAGACTCAAAATACGTGAGCTCCTGTCACGTAATGCTTATTCTCCATGTGTGTTATATAGCCAGTGCCTCTATGTAGGCTTCAAAACACGACCCAGCCCTTGTACGTGAGATTTCGATATCTTCTTTCCATTTCTAATCTGCGTTACGGAATTTCAAGTCCACCGTGACGCTCGTTGATACATTGCTTATCATTTTTCTCTCCACCACACTTTACTTGAACCCCATATTGGAGCCAAGTTTCGGTATGCGTATACAAAACAAAATCATTATCTCAATCCTGTCCTCGAATAATTGCCGATACTGGTGGGAGTTTCTCCAACGCTAGTGAATTATTTATTAGTGAAGCTAAGAGAGCGACATCTAACATTAATGAAACATGTAATTAGGCACATGGCCTGCCGGGCTATTCCTCGGCCTCGAGACACCGGTATGTCTCCAAGGCTGCCATGATATTAGAACAGCTCAATGAGAAGCTCTCTGAATGCCTTTGGGTCCAACTTTTTCACTTGAGCGATCTCGAAACGCTTCATTTTGATATGGTGATCAATCATGGGTCGACCAATGATAGTAGCCAAAGACCCAGTGTCTGCTTCCAAGATTGCTAAAGAATCCTCAAGGCATTGTGGCATCGGGTCGCTGCAATCTGAAGCTTGATTTTCTGGAACCCCCAGATCCGGCCAGATCAGTGGCTCGTTGCCTGCCAAGCCCAAAAGTCCGGCTCCCAAGATTGCTGCTAAGGTGGAGTACATGTTGGCAGTGACATCAATGCATCGGATTTCCCAGTGACTAGATTTAACCTTCCGAATAGGAACAAGTCGAGAGTCTGTTCCCCAGGCGACTGAGAATCCAGCCTCGTTTGGCTTGAGTCGTTGGTAAGATACTTCCAGCGGCAGGCAGAAGCCACAAAGACCAGGAAGACGCTTGAGGATACCCGCAAGGAACGAATCTTCAAGAAGAGGACTGGCGGGCTGAAGCGAAAGATGCATATGCTGGCCATTAGCTAGGGGCTCAGAATTGACCGGCTTTGGAGACATGGTGACCGTGTATCCGTGGCGGAAGAATATGTCTTTAAGGTAATCGTGTACCAGTAATAACTGATCAATCGCTTGGGTTGGTGGAAGTGGCCCTAGGACAATTTCATATTGCCCTCGGACTCCCTCTGTGTGCACAGCCAGAATCTCCACTCCCTGAGCGCGTAGCTGACGAACACATTGCTCCACATATTGATAACAAGGATCACGTAGACCGGCAACAGAAAATAGACCAAAACCTTCACTACATCGAACCATTGCGTCCGAGGATGCGCACGATTTCATCACAGTAAACTCCACCTCAAAGCCCACGAGGAAATCCAGTCCCCAGGTATCCCTTGCCTCTCGCAACACCGAAGTCAACGCCTGCCGTGGACATAGGTCACTACGAATTGAGGAATGTTGTTCGTAGTCCAGGGCGCACATCACCAATGCAGTTTCAGGGTGAGAAGCTACACGAAGAGATGACCAGTCCGGAATTGCCCAGTACATGCCTCGGGGTGGTGCTCGATGCAGAATGATATTGTTGACGGTGCAGTCGATCGCGATCCCAGCGGCCTGAAAAGGCTTTCCTTCGTCGATTAAAGCAATAACGGACTCAAAGAGAAGTACACGAGTCCGGAGAACCCCTGAGTAGTCCTGCCATTGCAAACGAATGAAGGTGATTTCAGGGTGATCATTTCGGAATTGCCTGAGAGCCTGAGTTGGGCATGCGAGTTTGTTCATCATGATGGGCTTATTCGATAATGCCAAAATCTTGAAAGGTAATTCAGAAAGTCAACGGACTGAGGGATTTAAATGTGAAACAGACAGTGACCTAAGACTAATCATGCACTAGCTCTATTCAGACACTATACTGTGATCACGTCCTATACGGGGATAGTTCCAGATCTGAGCTGAACTCCATGAACACTATAGCCCCACTCAATTCAGCGCCTTATATATCTCGCGCCGCAGAAATCGTCACGTGCTTTCACACATGATTATCTGAGCACCCGTAGGCTGTAGGCTATGCTTCCATCTGTCATTTTTGCTTTCTTGAATCTTGCTTCAATAATACCAAGAGATCAATACGTATTACTCTTGCTATGCCGATCATTTGAGTGGCGTTCACAGTGCCTTTTGTCACTGAGATCTGATTTTCCCAAATGTTTCTTCTCGGCTACTGAACTGACCCACTGTGGACGTACTTTATATACGCCAAGTGGCTTGAATATACCGATGCACTATATGTATTTTACCTACTTGCTTGATAACTCAGCAGTGGATTGTTTATATAATATATCTATCTTCAATGTTAATGAGTGTAGTGATGAACAATATAATAGGACGTCTGGACTCATGTATGTCTTAAATGATCGTTCGATCGAGCAACCCAAGCGAGGAACTGGTGGAGCTGCCTACCGTCTCGGAACAGTAAGATCTGCGATATGGCGGTGGGCTCTTCAGCTGATCTCAGAGCCAATCTGGCGCGCGATCGCAGAGTGGAGTCTCCCGACATCTTGGAGCGGCTGGGCCTGCAATGAGTCGATAGGTTCTTCAGCTCAGCCGCCCCACTACGAGCCGTCTTTATCCATAAATGCTCGTGTTTACATCGTCTCCTATTTACTGGCCGTCAAAAGCCTCCACCACACAAGTCGATACCACAAGCGCCACTTACGTTGTAGGGGAATTAGGAGTATGGTGACATCCATATGTCAGATATAGTCAAAGTTTGCACTAGCGAAAGTAGTTTCCAATTTCGGGATGGCGTTTCACGCAAAAGGCCCAGCCCAGTCTCCCTGTGGTGTTGGTCTTCTGCTTGGATCGTCGTCCTGCAATTTCTTCTCCATAGCCAGCCAGTAGTCCTATTATTGAACCGACCGAGGATCTCTAGAAAGCCACACGAGGAGAAACCAACTCTCAATCTATACAGCTATGATGAGCACCAAGCAGTTCTTGGGTCTCAATGGCTCGAGGCTGCAGGTAGCTATCGGTATCATAGCTGGCCTGGACTTCCTGCTTTTTGGCTATGACCAGGGTGTCACTGGAGGCTTGCTCACGCTTGAGTCATTTGTCAAATACTTCCCAGCAATAGACACGACTGATTCGCATATGTATGGTTGGTCTGCCGCGGAGAAGAGCAGCCAATCAACGCGACAAGGCATTACTGTCGCTGCATATAACCTAGGTTGTTTTGCGGGTTCGATCCCCACAATTTGGATTGGCAACAGGATTGGACGGCGCAAAGCCATCTTCCTTGGTTCTTTCATTATTTGTATCGGGGCCATCTTGCAGTGTACCTCCTATGGCCTTGCACAGCTCGTCGTTGGTCGACTGGTGACCGGATTCGGTAAGAGTTATAGGCTGTTAGACTTTCGAACGAATATAATAGGCTGAGATGAATTGAAAATTAGGAAATGGTATCAATACTTCTACTGTGCCCACTTGGCAATCTGAATGCTGCAGGTCTCACCGTCGTGGCCAAATGGTCATGATAGAGGGCGCTATGGCTACTTGTGGTGTCACCATTAGTTACTGGGTTGACTTCGGCCTCATGTTTGCTGATCCCAATGAAGTTGCCTGGCGATTTCCTATTTCATTTCAGATAGTCTTCGCAGTTATCATTCTCGCCTTTGTCATGTTTCTGCCAGAATCTCCGCGCTGGCTTATTTTTAAGGGTCGTGAAGATGAAGCCCGTGAGGTTCTCAAGTCCTTATTGGGCGATGATACTACAGAGCAACTTGTGGACGTTGAATTCACCAACATCAAAGCAACCGTGTTGGAAATGTCTAAGGGCTCATTCCGGGACATGTTCACTATGAATGAGGACCGTCATTTCCATCGCACTATATTGGCATACGTGAATCAGATGTTCCAGCAAATCAGCGGTATCAACCTTATCACATACTATATTCCTACTCTGCTGGAGAATCAGATCGGATTGACTAGCACTGTGTCTCGACTGATCTCCGCTTGTAATGGAACGGAATATTTTATGGCTTCTGTGGTTGCTATATTCACTATTGAGAAATTCGGTCGCCGGACACATATGATCTTCGGCTCAATTGGAATGTCGCTCTCTATGGTGGTTCTAGCCATCTCTAATAGAATTTGCACATCCAATACAGGTAATGACATTGGACAAAAGGCAGGCATTGTACAAACTGTCTTTCTTTTCGTTTTTAATACTTTCTTTGGGATTGGGTGGCTTGGTATGACTTGGTTATACCCTGCAGAGATTGTCCCATTGAAGATTCGTGCCCCTGCAAACGCTCTATCCACTTCTTCTAATTGGATTTGGAACTTCATGGTTGTTATGATTACCCCAATTGCCTTCAACAACATTGGATATAAGACATATGTTGTCTTCGCTATCATGTGAGTCGGCCAATCTAGAAATTCTCGTACCTGTTGCTGACTCTTCACAGCAATGCGTTCATTGTCCCATTCGTCTATTTCTTCTTCCCAGAAACCACGTCTCGCTCATTGGAAGAGATGGATCGCATCTTCCGAAAGACAAGTACCGTCTTCGATGTTGTGACAGTCGCCCGTGAAGAACCCCATGCATATGGTCCGAAAGGCGAGCTTCTTTACACCTTGGAATATATTGCGGACAATTCAGATATTACGAGGGTCGATGGACCGCATTTCCGAGACCAGATTGCGAACGTATAGTCCTCAGAATATTTAAATTCGAGGTTCTTGTTGGGTCGCGATGTGGGTTCCCCGAGATAAATACAGCGCTTGCAAACCCTGGAGTTTTCCCATCTGTTCATCTCTACTCTGTCCATATCTATTGATTGTTCTCATTACCTTCCTTCAATCCTTTGATTTCCACAGGGCCAAAACTGTTTACTCGGCCATAAGATGAGACTTTGTACTTATCTCTCGGACATCTTGATCCCCCAACTTTTGCGGATCCGCTGAAGCCACTCATCGACCGGTATAATCTCGTCACCAACCTTGACGTTACCCTCACCGATGGTTTGATGGGCGACTCTGTCATAGGCCGGAACATGCAGCATTTCATGGTCCTTACTGCAAATTTTTATCACAAGGGTCCCATCGCGTATACTGTTCAAGCACCTTCGGTCAAATTCCATGTAGTTACACTCCTTACAGACATAGATATCGTCTGCGAACGTCCATGCGGTACCGCAGGAACCGTCACAGACGTCATTCAAGAGCCCTTCGAGCATTTTCTCAGTTGTGGCACTTGCAGTGGAGTTGTCGGGGCTCTCGGTCACATTAACTGGGGCTATCAATGACCAAGCGGCGAGCGCGTCGGCTTCCTGGCCTGCAGACATGAAGTACATTGCGAGTCCATTGTATCCCTGCCAGTCGTTGAGGGGATCGTCATCAGACAGCAGATCGAGACTCAGCTTCACGTGGCTACGCAGTGTATTTTTTGCAGCCTGATCATCTCCCTGTAGCGTGTGATATCGAGCGAGGAGTCGCGCACCATGCGTCCCAAAGAACTGCCTCGTAGGATTCTCTGTGCCCTCAAATGCGGCGATGTTTTCTAGGTGTTCCAGGTAAACCGCAGCAGTTTCTGGATCCTGTCGGGCTTTCTCTGAACAAACGATAGCAAGCTGTGAACGAACCTCAGCTTGTTTATCTGTGATGAGAGAATCGTCGGCTCCATCTATTGACAGGATGTACAGCCACTGGTTGATAGCGAACTCAAGGCGGTCGGTGTTTCGAGCTTTGTTGTTGTAGCACAGAAGTGCGAGTTGATGCATGAGATATATCTGACAGATTTTTCCAGCCCACTCGTCTGAGGCATTGCCACTCTTTCTTGCCTGCGCGACTAGTGCCTTGGCATCGGTGATAGCTGTTTCGTAGCCTTTGAAAATTATGTTGAATTCCAGCTCGTCGGAAGCAGAAGCATGAAGAGCTTCATGGTATTCATCTCGATGGTAATGTACATGGAACGTCGAGGTCTGCCTATCGAAGGGGTTTGTTCCGTCTGTAGAATCTTTCAGCGACTGGAGGAACTCGAGCAGACGTTGGTAATTCTTTTGCTCGTGCAGCACCATAATAAGTGCAAGAGTAGTATCATAGTCGTTGGGAGTGTCTTGTAGTAGCTTCTCATATATCATCAAAGTCGTTTCGGTTCGGCCAACTTCTTTGTTCCAGTCCGCTAGATCGCGATCCATACTGGCCAGCTCCTCTTTGAGCTCATCAGGACTCCCAATCTCTCCGGTCTCAATTGCCTCCTTCGCAGCCGCCAAAATGTCGATGGCGACGGCATATTCCCCTTGGTTGGCATAACAATCCGATAGTCCCCACTGCGAGAACCAGTTGTTTTGCATGAGTGTGGAGGTGAATTTGAATTGTTCAATTGCCTCGTCGTATTTGCCGTAGTCTCGTAAAGTTCGAGCCAAGTTACGGCTCTCCTCATAGCTCAAAGAGTCTATTTTGTTCCGCTCCTGGGCCCATTTCGCAGCCTCTAAGATCTGGGTAGCCTGGATCTCTTCCATAAGTGGCTCGTGGGTTAATCTTTCGACCTCGGCGTTTTTGCGGTTCTCAATCTAAGAACAAAAGTCAGCTATTAGTTACTTTCACGAACTCTGTGGGCATTCGGCACGCACCTTTGTGATATAACCTTGCACAGCATCAAAATAGAATGCAACGTTATCCGCGCCAGACTGAAGCCACCAGCGGGCAAGAAATCTGCCAATGTGCTCAAGTACATCTGCATCAAGCTCAGATTTTGAATTCAAACTCTTGACCCACTTGCTCTGCTCCTCGGAAATGTTTTTGGTGACGGCAGAGTCCCGCAACCATTTCAATGTGACTTCCGTCAATTCATCATCATAAATCCAGCAGCCCCTTAGCCAGGCATTGTTGAAGCTCCACCATCGCTCAATGACCTCTCCATCGGCAAAGACTCTCACTAGGTACGGGCCTAGAGCGATTTTGCGATGCGGTTGTATTAATGAAGGGTCGGCTTGCTTGAGATGCTCGCCGAAAAAAGCCACCGCGTATGGAAGCAAAGGGTCAAGGTTTGGCGATGACTTCGAGCAAATGACCTCCAGACATCCGGATACCAACGTCAGGTGTGCCATTTCTGTGTCGACTCCGACTCGCACGGTCCTCCCCTTGATCTTCCGCTGGAAGAAGTCATCAAACCCGAACCTGGTGAACAGAGTAGGATCACAGACAGACTCCAAAAATCGGCGCACGATTCTCACCTCGGCCTCACTAACATCGCCCACGGTTCCTTGGTTTTCATCGTCTTTTCTGTCTTCGGAATCAAGCTTGGCCATCAAGAACTCCTTTATCGAATCAGAGACAAGATGAACGCGTGCGCCAGCGATGTGAAACAGAGAAGAATATTGATTTCGTATCTTCTCCGCGAGGGGTCGAAGGGAAGGCTCACGCGATCTGAGGAAAAGTACTGCCTCCAGCTCCTCAAGACTGAGGGGGCGGAACGAAAATACGACCCATGTGAGAAGGTCGTTGAGATCGGAGATATCCTCATCACTGAGCGTCTCAGTGAGTAAGTCAATCTTTCTTACAATAGTGTCGGATCGATTTTCTCCAGATCGCGCCAAAATTTCACGAATTTCACCAGGGCGTTGTTTGCCACTAATCTCGTCTAAGAGAAGTCCGACATTGACAAAGTCACCTTTGGTTTTCTTCGTGAGCGTTTCTAGGATCTCGCTGCGCAGAGCTACCACTTGATCTGACGATCCAATAAGGATCTCCATCTTGCCCATACGCTCCCTGACGAAGCAAAGCATATCTTCAAGATTCTTCGACGCCACATCAATTATTGAGATGCCCTCACCAAGTTGACTCTTGACCATTTCCATCGTCTCCTTTCGGCCAGTCAGAAGAACGCGCAGTTTAAATCGAGGCCAAGATGAGGCCTGCCAGTCCTCAAGAACCAACATGAATTCCTTGAGGTGATGCTTGTCCATGTGATCAATTCCATCCAATAGGAGAAAGAAGGTCGAGTCGCTCTTGAATGACTTGCTGAATAGCTGCTCGCAAATGGTCTTGATCCGGTTGGCACCAACTGTTGTGACCGAGCCTAGATCTTTGCGATACACCATGTCCACTTTAGCAATCTGCCATGCAAGGACTTCCAAAGCCTTGACTAGTGATGGGTTTTTATTCTCTTGTTGATCGAACATATAGTAGGAAGCTGTAGTGCAAGTCATATCCTCCGCTACTTCAGCGTAAACATCTTGCAAATGCTTAATGATGGCTGCAAAAAGGAATGACTTGCCATAGCCCTCATCCCCACTGAGTCCCAGAATCGAACACCGCGACTGCGATCCTCGGGTATTTACCCACGAGGTATACACAGGGTCGCGTTGAAGCCACTCTCCACTACCCTGTACTTGTTCGGTCAAATGGCGTTTGTAAATTGCTTGAATGCCCTTGTATGTCTCGCTAGGGCGGTCAATATTCGTATCAATGCTGCTTAGAAGTCGCTGTGCTGTATTGTCGGCGTCTCTCTTCTTCTCGAAGGTGAGGAGTTTATCAACGGAAGTGGTGACCTTCCTGGTTCTCTCTCGGGTTTCGACAATGGCTTGTTCGCTGGTCTTCTGCGATTCGAATCCCAAGGTCGCGCGCATTTGAGACTCGCGTTCAACAAGTGAAGCCAGTTGAGCTAGCTGGCCGCTAACACCTTCGTCGCCATCAAATGAGAAGACTTTCAGGGCAGTCAGGATCTTGTTGCCCTTGAGAACCTTGATAGAAAGAGCACAAATGTCTACAAAACATAATAACTCCTCGTTGATGATCTTACGAAGGGAGATATCAACGGCGTTTGGTGGCAAGCGCATGTAGATCTTGCAGCGCTCCAATACATCGGAGATCCGCCGAAAGAGCTCGGCTAGACTACTAAATATTCGTTTGTATTTAGCTCCGGTATCGATAAGATACGAAATCGCGTTGAAGCAAAGACTACTGGGTGCAAAGACCTGATTGCCATCATTAATAAGAGGCTGATTTCCACACTCATGAAAGTACTCACCATGCTGGCACCTTGAGCGGCTATACCCCCTAGCACAGTAATGAATTTCAGTGTTTTGCCTATGACATCTTTAGCAGCTCTGTACTTGTTGTTTTTCTCGTCGTCTGCATCTTGTTTCGTCCGTATCTGGTCAAGAACTTCGTCGACAGTGAATTTTGGAGACTTGGTGATATCGACGTGAGCAGTCTGCGCAAAGGCCCCACAAGCCCGATTCCATGCATCTTGGATGTTATAATCGTCCATGGATTCAGCGGACATGTAGACGATACAGTGAGGTTTTTTCTCAGCTGGGTATGGCGCGAAGATGGGTTATTTTATTTTTTTTGGTGTCGTTTAATTGCACTACAAAGGAACCTCGTATCTGCAGCGGGGCATCATAGTATTTATACTTCAAATCGAGCAGAGACATTGTTGCCTAAGAAGAAAGCGGCTGAGGGTTGAAAGCCGTAAGCAGGGGGCGTGGCGCCTTTTCACCAATGGCGATAGAGTAAGCTCTGACATGGCGGTGCTAGCTTGAGGGTTAGCCCGTACCTGCGGTAAAATTGGGCCCTCGGATTCCCCTGTTGGCTGCAAAAACTGTGCGCGAGTCACTCGGTTTGTAGTGTGCCAAGCCGCTAACCCTTTTTAGCCTTTCTGCTTATGGGGTCCCTCGCGCATCACGTGCAATTCAGACGGAGCTTTCTGGTTGAACATCACATAGCACTCCCTCACTGACCACGTTCAAAGTAGCGCAATGTTCAAGACTCAGGGAGTAATTTTACTGAGTACATACCAGGGTACCTATTTGCCCACGCTACTCCGTAGGCTACACTGGAATGTGAAAGTGATTAAAGAGTGGTACTCACTGAGCCACTTTTTCTTACCTGTATAATGCGTCCAATGAAGCGTTATCTCGTACATTAACGTGAAATAAGTGAGTTAATGCAATGTCATTTGATATTTGAGATGACATTTTTCTGATTTGCAATCACAGTGCAACTTTAAACGTGCTTAGTGAGGGTAATTTATTTATCGCGCTCCTTTCCTACTACCCAAGTGACCCACTTGCTTTAGCCTGCTTTTGTTATTTAAGAGGTCAGAGGTCAGTCGGCGAATAACGTAATCTACACCTTGGTACGAGTGTACCCCAAGCGCAATGCGCATTCCGACACACTGTAGTAGGTAAGCTTGACACATCACAGCTTTCTAGCACATCGACCATGAGCTTGTCCAATTTCATGAATTATGAGTAACTTTTGATAATAACTCAAAGATCTCATGATGTGGGTAAAGTACAGTACACATAACAGATGGATTTCACATTTTGTTCTCTTACTCACCTGAAGCCTACTTACATATATTTCCTTTTAAATTGAACTGTAAACCGAAGTACTTTGAATAATCTCAGACGATATATTTTGCGGACAAGACAACGAAAAATTTGTCGCACTAAGGCATAATTTTTCTTTCATGTCCTACTCGCTACATATTCAGGTACTGGCAGCATAAAGTTCAACCCTAAGTTAACTAGTTGCTCCTGAAAGTTTACATAAGCGACCTACCCAAAGGTTCGAGCCCCTGGCTCCAATATGTACAACATAACATGACGTTTATGCATACATCGCCATAATGGATCGACCTATACACATGGAAGACATCGGAAGGGGGCCAATTGCTGTTTGGCAATGATCGCCCAAGTACGAACGGTATCGCCATCCATGGATCCATTATATATGTGGACCCTGCCTTCCCGATTCCTTGAAATAGCTATATTTAAGCAGTCTCAGCAGTTTGAATGATCCAATTTCTCCTGTATATCAACATCTAATAACAGCGCCCTGGCATCATTTGAGATCACGACATGAAATTCGAATATTAGGCGCTGGGAAATCCAAAAGCGGCATCGATCCAACAACCAGACCTCAAGATATTGACAGAGGAAAGCAGCGGAAGCGTGACCACACATCACTTCCAAAAGAAGCAAGGAGCACGAAATTCCGTTCACAAACCATGGCAACGCGGTATCCTCATCCACCCCCGGGGCCGGCGTATGCCTTCTGAGACCAAGAGCACGCAGGGAAAGGTATATAAGGAGCCAAAAGACCTCATTCATATAGAGCTTCATTCAGACAGCTTTTCGCTTCCTTTCAATCACTGCCTGCGAAGATCGAGTCTTTCAAGTCCGAATTCATAACTCCAAGATATACCTATCAATCCAGTCATATCCCACACTGTCACGATGCTTTTTGTGCCTAAGATTGCATTGATGCTTGCCGCATATGGATCTATCGCTTCCGCCTACCAGCTTACCGCTTGTACTGACACGCAGTGCAGCGAGAACTGCAAGGTCATTACGAACGACGATGTTTCCTCTACCAGCTCCTGCAATGATTTTGGTTTCTTCGTTAAGAGTATCGAGTGGTGGGATACTCTCAACACTTTCAATGGATGGGCATCAGCTGGATGTAGTGGTGGACCGGGAGATGAAGATGTCTGGATCACCGATCACCGATGGAAATAAGAAAGGGCAATGCTATGACATTACCGATTCGGATCTCGCAAAGGACGGTATTCAGTGCTGGGAGGTCAACAATAGTGGTGAATAAGTAAAGAAGGTAATTTAACCAGTACATAAGTTATCTTGAAAGTGACTTTGCTAATATTGGGTAATTCTTCCGCTCGGTACAGATGTCAAGATTTGACTATCTCTAGCGCCTTTGATATTGAAAATTTGAACCTGGGTGTTTTCGGAGCACTTCGGAATCTTCCGAGATACGTATCTGCGTGTATTTAAAACTTAGTTCCAGGCTTGAGTTTAGCTATCTGTCCTTCAGCCGTGGCCCAGCCTCTACGCTAGTGTGGCGCCTGAATATTGTCAATGCTTGAATAACTCTTCTTAGAAACCTCTTTGTCAAACATACAAGCGTACTATATATAGCGTCAAATATTCAGTGTTTATGATTACAATGATACGCCGCTAACTCAATAAAACAGTGGTAGAGCTCGCTGTATCAACATTATCGAAGGCTGGAACTTACGATTGGGTGAACAGCCTCCACTCAATAGCATACTGGTAAGGACTTGGCTTTTTCATTCGCTCCATGAGTTTAACTTCCTTTCCTCGCACTCGGCCAAGGATTGAGCTAATTTCTAACACATATCTGTTCTATGCTTGCCTTTGGCAACGGATTGTTGCTAGTATTCATACCGGCCTCGAAGTGTACCGACCACTTCCCAATAACCAACGTCACATGCCTACCACTATGGGTGCTCTTTAGTACATGATGAGTGGTTATTCTCTGGATGCAGGGTGATAGTAAATGCATTGGAAATAGTACATACGATGGGGTGTATCAGGGTATAACTCAACATCACCCGTACCTTCATTTTATCGGAGGCTAGACTTTTGACTAAATCCATACCCCACGATATCACCCAACTTATACTCTCCTCTTTTACCAAAAATCCACCGCATGTGTATTACATATGATGTGTCTTGAAAAAGGGATCGACTTGATAATCATTGAAAGCCTAATGCCCCAGACAATTGCAACGTAATTAGAATGCTGATACATCTTATAGCCACAAATTGCAGAAGCCAATAAAGCACATTCAAAGGTTGCATCATAGCTTTGGCATAGATTTTGCACACACCCACTTCATTAGTCGATCCCCTTGTACCCCTTCCATAATCCTCGGCTCAAATGCAATGCTCACTTCCCAAGGTGCACCCTCAAACCGGATTGGCATAATCCAGCCAACACCCGGAATCCGATTCTCCGGTAGATCAACATTTCTCACTCGCCCCAGTGATGATCCAAAATCAAGTCCATATAATGATAAACGTCGAATACTACTCACAGAAATGTCCCCAGGTCGTGCATATGATGCCCAGTCATTGCTTGCGCACCGCTGCGATATTTCGCCTTTCACGTATGGCCCGGTAATTTTCTGCGTAGTTTCATGTGTTTGACGGGCGAGGTTTGCAAGAATCACGACATCGTCTGGGCTCACATCTTCCGTAAACATGGAGTCTCCATTCGATTGGGCCAGGGAAGCCAAAATGGCATCAAGCTCAGTAAAGATTTGAACGCCAAGAACTGCATTACCCATGTACGATAAGGGGAGTTGCAAAAGATTGCGGACGTCAACCCCAATCGCAAGACATGACTTCTCTGGGATAGTGTCTTTATCCGAGTGGCTTTCAGTGGATAGAGACCTATATCGTGATCGTAAAAAGCATAGCCACATCAGGGATGATACGATCACATTCTTTGATAGGACAACATTGGTATCTGATTGACGCCGCAGTAAGGCATTGCACACATTCTGTAGGGATTCAACCCTTGCCGCATCTAGAGTGAAAACCCTCGAGATTGGTAATCCTGGCGTTGTATTTGGCGTCCCATTGACATCGTCATAGTTTTCTCCGAAGAGCGCATGCTGCTCCTGTTGAAAATTCGAGTCCAGCATGGCTTCAAATATTGTTCGCCGGGCTTGTGCTTCCTTACAAGGGTCGGTTAATAGAGCGGTAAGGTCTGGGTTTCGACAACATTCGGCGAGACACTTCATTGCATTGCAAAAACCGAAGCCGTCCAAGGCCATGTGGTAGAAGCTAAAACATATAATGACTCCGTCGTGCATAACATTGGCTTGAGCCCTGAAGATTGGGATTTGGTCTCTCATGGCCATTGCGGTTTCAATTGGGACAAATTCATCGGTCATCATTATATCTCGTGAGAAGATGGGACCTGGCTTCATGGGGGAAATCGACATATTGTGAGATTTGGTCTTGAAGAGTGGATGTTCACGTAGAAACTCTGCCGTTGCGGGCTGAACTTCTCGCACGTTTTCTTTGCTTTCCAACTGGCGAGAGAGGGCGACATTGCCGGCAAGAAAGGGTAGAAGCGAGATGAGGCGTCGGATCCCAATGTCCAGAGCCAGAACAGCCTCATGTGGGCTATCAGGGTGAAATGTGAAGCAAGGTGAAAGATGGATGGGGCCAGTCATGTGGTCCAAAGGGCTAAGCACATACGGATCAAATACGGGGGGAAAGACATGTTGGCACCGGTCATAGAGAAAGCCCTCCAGTAATTGGTGTAGATGAATGAAAGAACAGTAGTGTTTTTATAATGACAGATCGATCTTGAGGGAGGGGAAATAATCCAAATGTCGGTGAAGCAGTGTGTTCGATACATCTGAATGCATATCGCGAGAAGTGGAGCGATCGCCACGCCACATTTCGGAAGCCCCAAGGCTAGGGCAATCGCTAAGATATCTTTTTGCAAATGTTTTTGAATATTATCGCAGGCCATTGCCCAGGTGATATCTATATTGGGTTCATGTTTTGATAAACTGATCCGCCTGTCCACTGCCCTTGAACAACACTGTCATAGACGTGAGTACTCAATTGCAGTACGTGACCATTCTCAGTACTAGAGTTGGGTCCACTTTAGCGCCTCAAATTGACTCGTTGCAGAGTCTTGTTACATAACGAGCAATACATGCACCCAACGTTGTATAAATGTCGGCCACAGACTGTACTACCGCTCTAGCAATTGGGTTAGTAATATGGTTTGCAGATCGCTGAATTACTTGAGGTACGGAATGCTATATGCCAAAGTCAGACAATGAGCAAGCTTCAACCAGCCAATTGGTTCAAACAATGAAGGAACTGGCTTGCCGAATTGTAACCTTGGAAGTTGTAAAGTTATGTTAGAATTGTTGATCAAGCGATCGACGATAAATATATGACACCAGATGCGATGCCATGGATTTTCGGCCTATGTAAAGGCGAGACTCAGAAGGAGGTATATAGTATATACGAGCGTCATTTTATCGGACGCGAGGTGGCCTCATACAAAATTGAGCAAAGAAGGTGTGTGCGAATGCGCACGAACAGTGAGCCCTTTCAGAGCCTAAGGCTATTATTGCCCTAGTATTAAGGTGTCAAGATACAGATAGGGCGATAGTAACTCCGGTCCGGTGGGTTGGGCAGCCGACATACAAACTAAGCAAACAGATGAGTCAGCCGCAAAAAAGTTGACTGGAACGAGGCGGGGCAAAAAAGTTACAAATCCGATCTTGCATCACTTCACCTTTGTGAGTCTTCGAATTTTAGTGGATTCGCGGTTTGAGTCCTGAAATTCAAGATGTCGATGGATTTGGACGCCCCCGTCTACATGACGGGACTGCAGGAAGATACCGTTACTGCCACGTGAGTTTCTTATCGCTAAACTTTTTTTGATTGCGATTTTTTGCTGCCGTGCCGGTTCCTAATATGTCTTAGGATTCTTTGCTGCAACTGTGGTGCGCCTATCGATGGAACCACATCGGCTGGCGCTCTATGCCAGGATTGTTTGAGACTGAATGTCGACGTTTCTCAAGGGTAAGACTTGGAGTCCGCTCAATAACCCCGCATGTGGACACAATACTGACTTATGCGCCCGGAAACGTAGTATCCAGCGTGAGGGAACCCTTCACTGTTGCAGAGATTGTGAGAGATGGCTCCAGCCCCCCAACAGCTGGGTCGTCGCGAACCCCGAATCGAAGGAATTACTTGCGGTCTGTCTGCGACGTCTTCGTGGCTTGTCGAAAGTCCGTATCATCGACGCCAGTTTCATTTGGACCGAGCCTCACTCTCGTCGAGTGAAGGTCAAGATCACAATTCAACAGGAGGCTTTCCAGGGAACAATCATTCAGCAGACATTCGAGGTGGAATATGTGGTTGCATCCCAGCAGTGTGATGGTATGCGAAATATTTATCTTTTCCCTGGAAACGCAGATTGACTAATGTTTTTTTTCTTTCTCTTCAGACTGCAAGAAGTCGTATACCCACAACACATGGCGCGCTGCTGTCCAGGTTCGGCAGAAGGTCCCCCACAAGCGTACTTTCCTGTACCTGGAGCAACTTATCTTGAAGAATGGCGCCCACAAGGATACAGTCAACATCAAGGAGGCAAAGGATGGCCTTGATTTCTACTTCGCCCAGCGAAATCACGCTGAAAAGATGGTCGACTTCCTCTCTTCCGTCGTCCCTTGCAAGACCAAGAAGTCCCAGGAGCTTATTTCTATGGATATTCACACCAGCACGAAGTCTTACAAATTCACATTCTCCGTTGAGATTATCCCCATCTGCAAGGACGACCTTGTCGCACTTCCTATCAAGCTCGCCCGTCAAATCGGAAACATTTCGCCCCTTACTCTGTGCTACCGCGTCGGTACTTCCATCAACCTTTTAGACCCGACTACTCTCCAAACATCCGACGTTCCCACAGGAAATTACTGGCGGAATCCGTTCAAGAACCTCGCCGATGTGACCGAGCTCAAGGAATTCATCGTCATGGATATCGACCTTACCGGTCAGTCAAGTGGTAAATTCCATCTGGCTGAGGCCACCGTCGCTCGCGCTTCGGACCTGGGGTCGAACGATATTACATACTTTACCCGCACACACCTGGGTGGTGTCCTGCACGTCGGTGACTCCGTGCTCGGTTACCATCTCAGCGGTACTTTGTTCAACAACGATAACTACGAGGCCCTCGAGGCGAGCTCGCAATACAGCTCAATCCTTCCCGATGTTGTGCTTGTCAAGAAGCACTACGCCCGCAAGAAGAAGCCCAAGAACCGTGCCTGGCGTCTCAAGCGCATGGCCCGCGAGTACGAGGCTGACGAGGCGTCTGGTGTTGCCCAGAAGACTCGTCGTGAGCAGAATGATGCCAACCGTCTCGAGGAGGACTATGAGACATTCTTGCGTGATGTCGAAGAAGACCCCGAATTACGGAATACTTTGGATCTTTACAAGGTTCGTAAGGAGCGCCAGGCTGGTGATGCTATGGATGAGGATGAGGACAATGAGAGTGAGGACGAAGTGCCAGAAATCAACATGGAAGAGCTGCTTGATGACTTTGATGAGCTGAATATGGATGGAGAATGATCCTTCTCTGAGTGATATCCCTGATGATCATGGCTGGCGTTTGTTCTCTTCAATGCGTTTTAAGACAACGAAAAAAAGTTTTTGAAATCGATATAAGCTACTAAGTACATAGCATACAATGAACACAGCTTTCATTGCCGAACACTTGGAGCAAATGGAAATGTAGAGAAGGTAGCAGTCTATAAGTAGAAAAGAGACAAACACTATATCTACAAAATAATAGTTTCGATTTGCTTTTTGAACAAGCTCTACTGGGCGAATTTGAACCATCACAAGCATAAACAGTTCTCAATAAATTTCTGTCTAAGCAAAGAAAACATGGGCATTCTAGTAAAAGTCGGTCCAAGCAAAAGACAGACAACCGGAAACACATCAAGAAAACGCTTCATTCATCATATTCTCCAACGTTCAACCTGAAAGATAGAGGAAATCTTCAGTATTGATTACAGGGTAACAACAACCTTCTGCGCAGATGTGCCCTTGGCCTGCAGATCTATAGCAGCCTGGACATTCTCCAGTCCCGATCCAGCAATGAGAGGACTGGGGGCAGGGATGAAGCTACCAGCCGCCAGAGCCTTGGGCAAGAAGTCCTCATAAACAGCCTTACCAACATGGTTATCCTTAATGGTCGTACCGAAGACACTCTTAACAGTGATATCCTCTGGGGGCTGGAATCCACCCTTGACAGTAGAGACAAACTTGTTACCCTCAGCCCTAGCAAGGACATCGACGGTCAGGGGGGTAGCGGCGAATCCAATACAGTCCATAGCGCCAGCCAGTGTCTTTCCCTCAAGAGCCTTGACCACGTCATCAACAACGGTAGGGCTGTTGTAATCAAAGGCTTGGGTTGCGCCAAGCTTCTTGACGTACTCGAAGTTCTTGGGCGAGGCCGTGGTGAAGACCTCGTATCCAGCCGCAACGCCAAGCTGAATGGCGTTGCTGCCAACACTGCCTGCACCACCCCAGATCAGGAGTGCTTGGCCGGTGGCTTTGCGGGGCTCCGTGGGGAGCTGAAGCTTGAGGAACTCATCTTGGAAGAGACCGGAAGCAGCAGTGGAAAGACCAAGCGGAAGGACGGCGGCATCTTCGTAGGAGATATTCTTGGGGAGCTCGCTGGCCATGTTGGTTTGGAGGATGGTGTAGGCCTGGAAAGCGTTGTCTTGGGTGCGCTTGGTGGCCATACCGACAGCGTGTCCGACAACACGGTCACCGGCTTTAAAGCGGGTGACGTTGGGGCCCACGGCGACGACTTCACCGGCGACGTCCTGGCCGAGAATGGTCGGGTAGTTCATGGGCCACCAGGCCTTGCTCTGCAGACTTCCGTCGACTGGGTTGATGGCCACGGCATGATTCTTGACAAGGAGCTCATTGGCCTCGGGCGTGTAGGCTGGGGCCTCCTTGACCTGGAAGGGGTGAGCCTTGGCCTCGGTGAGCCATGCAGCGGAGTTTGAGGCCATTGCGAAGGTTTTGGATTGGGAATTGGCTTTGGTGGCTTGGGGAAGCTGAGATCTTCTCGTGAATCGTGAGAGGAAGCTTGGCAGAGAAAAACGGCTCATATATTTTGAGTCGAGTGTGGTTGGAATTGTTTGTTTGCTTGTTTGCGATTGTGGTAATGGAAGATGAGGATTTGTTTGGATGATGAGAGTAGATTGAGCAGGTTCATGACCTCTATATATATGGTGGAATGTCTATGATCGCCATATCTTCCCTGTCCGGTAAAAGAAAGACCGGAGTAGTAGTTGTTGGCTGCTAAAATCTTATCTCCGAAGGTTGACAAAGTGACTTACTCCGACACAAGGGCAATAGGCGCAAGCCTAACCAGATGCGGCTAGCGCCAGCGGGTGCCCGGCGATCGCAAGGCTAACCGAATCGGGACAAGATGCGGTCCATGCGGACTGTGAGGCAACAATAAGATACCATTGACCGGATCAAGCTAGTCTTGAGCGTAGGTCGCCTTGAATGTGTTTAAACCGCAGCCCTCATGCGCCACGTGTATTTTGGCAATTCTGTGCGGTGGCGGCGAAATGGTAGATACCAAGCTCATCCTTCAGCACCGAGTATCCGACATTTAACCTCCCTAGTTTGGTCAAGGTCTCTATATACGTCTAAGCGACTTGCAAGGTCATACATCTAGTGATTAAGCCAGATTGAATTGGGTCTATAGCAGAGTACATATCACCGTTCAATTTTGGCAGCGAAGGTGACATAAAGACTACGGGGTACGCTGGGGCGGTGACGGAATAATTGGGCTTTCAAAATACCATGCATTGAAATGATATACGAGCTATCCCTCCAATCACAGACTATGGAGATAATCCCCAAAACATTCGTCCACAAATGGCTCCAAGCTGGACAAAGTTCAAATTATAACAGCTGAGAATCACATGGGCTTGCTGACGAAAACTTTCATGGGTGTCACAACAGTCTCGTCCAGATTCCACACCCCTAGCTTGGCATAGGGATCATTGCGAACCATCTCCCACACCTCTTCCTCGGTACTGGCCTTGCAAAGATGGATGCTTCCAGTGATCTTAGTCATGCCATCCTCGAGGCTTGTCGGCTGAGAGGAGTAAATCGGACCCCCAAAGGCAATCTTGCCGGATTCAAAGTGCGGCTTGTTGTGGGAAAGGTGAAGAGGCCGATTTTCAAGTCTGGTTTTGAGGGCGTTGGTGTGGTCAGGGAGACGGACGAGGAAGTCGTTCTCTTGAGACATTTTGGAAATGATTTGATTGTAGTAGATTGATAAGGAGGGTGACGGAGGAGAGTAGCTGGCTTTGGCAATTTGGATTTCAGATACGAAGGGCTGGAGAACAAGGAGGAGAAAGGCAATTGATATTTGGATCTCACGGATCACTTTATCTGGTGCATTGTATATGAACCTTCAACTATATGATTCTACATGTCAAAAGATTGTTCGGACGTTCTCGAACATTAGATACTCCGATGCGCCATCTAGAAGATTTAGTTCTATGGGCTTACCAACAGAATTAGAGTGGTAGAATACGAACCAGAAGCGCCGCCAAGTATCCGGTGCGGAGTTTCTCGCTTCCCCGTGGCTGCTGGCTGATGATTTCTTGGCACATCAGCCAGCGGACATACTCATCACCGAGCATGAAGATCACCGAGAGTCTGAGCTCGGAGACTGGGCGACTTGATCTGTTGTCTGAATCTCAAGGCTCAGTGTAGATCATGGTGATCATGACTAATGACTCTCCAATTGTATAAGATGGCCATTAACCTCGAACCATGGAGGACAGTATAACCAGAAGAAATCATCATTTCGATATAATCAATCTAAGTTTCAAAGACACAATATGGGCAGCGTCGGAACAATCCCTACCGTTGATATTAGCGCCTGGCTTGACCCCAATAGCACGGAAGAGGGCCGCCAAAATGTAGTTGACGCAATGCGCAACGCATGCACAACCTATGGCTTCTTTAGCCTGGTCGGACATGGTGTCACACCAGAAGAGCAAGAACAGGCGCTAAAATGTGCCAAGCTATTCTTTACCCTTTCCGAGGAAGACAAGATGGATGTCTGCATCGCCAAGTCCAAGGGAAGATCCTTCAGAGGGTATGAACCGCCAGGTATCCAGGTCCACCAAGAAGGCCTGCTTCCGGATACGAAAGAGGTAAGTGTCCAAAATTCCATCTCCTATGAGCAAGACTAAGACACTAAGATTCTACAAGTGCTTCATTATCGGCCATGAGGTTCCCGAAGACGATCCAGACTGTGGTACATTCTCCACCGGCCCGAATCTTTGGCCCAAGTCTTTGCCCGAAGCAGACTTCCGCAACCCGATCATGGACTACCAGGCTCGTATGGTGGAGCTTGTAAAAGTGCTGTTGAAGATCCTCGCTCGCGGTCTACCACAGGAATGGAATTGTCCGCCCGATGTCTTGGACGCATTGGCTGAGAACAATCCATCTATCCCGATGAGACTACTGCACTATGGGCCGCAGCCAATCAGGGACGAGAGACAATTTGGAGGTAGGTCATGTTTACCCTATACATCGAGGGATTTCATTACTGACGGGTTTAGTCGGCGACCACACTGACTTCGGCTGCGTCACTATACTACTTCAGGAGATGGGTACCGAAGGCCTGGAGGTCTGGTACCCACCCACAGAGACTTGGATCCCCGTTCCTCCCAAAGAGCATGCGTACGTGATCAACATGGGTGACATGATGCAGAAGTACACGGGCGGATACTATCGGAGCGCCCGGCACCGGGTTCTCACTTTTACCAAGAATCACCGATACAGTGTTCCGTTTTTCTTGAACGGTCAGTTGAAGCTTAAGTGCACTACCCTTGATGGATCTGGATCTGAGACTATTGTTGGAGAGCATATTCGCGGGAGGCTGGTTGAGACCATGGGGAAGGCTGGCGAGAAGCTGAAGTAGACGTTTAGATATTTCTTTACCGAAGGTCTAACTTCGTGATCGTGTCATTCCTTTCCATATTTAGATAAGTTTTATGTGAAGATTGAGGTTGAATAAATTGAAGCTTTTTGCTTGTCTACATATAATTGGTACACGATACACCTTCTATAATTGAGTTATTGGATGCTTTTAGATGATAAGAGATTGGACTACAGGGATTGTTAAGACCATCGGTGATTATAAAAAGCCGAAACACGGTAGCTGCCACCCTCGTGCTATTCATGATCATTTAGAATTCGCAGCCTCACGTCCGAAGTGAACGTTCCTTCGTACGTCGCGGGCTAGCCAGGGCGATGACGATTTGGGGCGTTAGTTCGGGGCTGGGTTTCCATGCAAAGCTGAGCAGGCATTATTCAATTCCAAGAAGCGTGGAAATGACTATGTTATCTTCCTGGAGGCCTGACCCGGCCCCAGGGTGGAGCTGATTTGGAAATCGTTGCGCGTCCTCGGCCTCACGAAGCAATTGTGCAGACACTCTAACAGAGGCAAGCGTTGCGCTGATCGACGACTTGATCGTGCAAAAATGCGGGCCGCATGCAAGCCACCTAGAATATCTTGTTGCGTAAAAGCCATGTGGTGGAATGGGGGGAAGGGAACCGAGTCAGACCAATCAAAGACCAACCAGTCACTGGCGGGGGCAATGTGATCGTATTTTACTGAATTCATGGGCATTCTAATTCTTCAGCTCTTGGCCCGTTATCAAAAGTCTCACTCATGCAAGCCATCAACGCCATGAGACACGTATTTCATCCGCTGTAAAGTTAGATTACGAGTGTATGTAAGTTTCGGTATTCAATACTAGCGGTTCGTTACGAAAACCCCAGCCCACTGCAGATCATTTGTTTCGTAACATTTTCACTTCTCATCTCAGCAACGGTTGAAGATACCCGAGGTCATGCATCTATTGGCTGACGGAATGGCCCCATTGTTACATCATATGAATATTCTACTCAATATCATGTGATGCCTACAAGACTGTGGGTTACCCACATAACTTCAACCCACTCAGCCCCAGTCGCTCGCCAACACGAATTACAACGGATTAGTGAGATTCGAATGTCAAAAGTTCATCAGTGGGGCGTCTTAGTGTTACACAATCCTTGTGGATCAAACCTTTGCAGCGTCTCGCCTATTTTCGTAATATTCAACTTAGGGGCATACGAGGCTGACCCATGGACAGTGCTGATAGGCCTTCCATAGTTCATATGGTCTTCGACAAACTATACTAACTTAGAAATACGTGGATCTCATGGCGGCCACTTATGCGAAGCGCTTCCATGTGGCATATCCGAAACCATCCTGAACTCAGTATTATACTCCTGTCAGCATCCAATGTAGAAATCCAGCTCGGAAAGCCTTCCTTGGCTATCCTCTGGGGCTTATTTGATTAATTTATCTACTCCATTGTTGCCTCGTGGGGTGTCAATAATTGCCAGACTTTTAACATCGCTCAATCTCACTTCAAGCCTCAGAAAACGATTCAACATCATTGTTTTCACAGCTATCAGAGATCTGAACCACATTAGTCCTGTGGATCTTCCCTGTCATAATGTCCCAATCAACCCACAGCCGAGAGAAATCCCCACAGTCCAGACCGCAACATAAACCCGGTCTAGCCTGCGAAGAATGCCGAAGGCGGAAGCTCCGCTGCGATCGCCGCCAGCCCAAATGTGGTCTGTGTGAATCGTCTGGTGTAGAATGCCAGATCACCGCTCGACCACCTCGTGGACCCAAACGTGGGTATCTTAAGGTCCTGCAAGATCGCATTGGTGAGTACATCTCGTTTTGCAGAGGATGTCTTTAAGAAGCTAACTTTTTGTCTTGTGAAGCCAATCTAGAGGGACTCCTGCAGCAAAACAATACCACAGCAAACCCACCAAGCGACGGGGGCTCTTTTGAAAATCTGCTATTGGAGGAGCCGATTGATCTGCCACTATGGGAATTCCCAATCAACATGGATGAAGATAATCCTTTACTTGAAGCCTGCGCCCGAGCCAAGTCATCGCATTCATCTGGTGAATCCTCAGTAGAAGGAATGGCCGGCACCCCGGTCTCTTCAATGCTGGCCCTCGATCCCACACTGTCTCTTAACCCATGGAATCCCTTTGAATTTGACACTAAGATATCAGACTTAATGCAAGCCGACCTGTAAGTCTCTCGGCCTACCAATCTTCCTTCCAGTATGCTAACAGACCCTCAGTGATCAGCTCTATTTCGACCGAATCCACAACTTCATGCCTATCCTCCACCCAGGCCGGTACTTCGCTTCACGAAAACAACAGATAAGGACAGATGGCCAATGGTGCCTACAATATGCCATGTGGACACTTGCAGCTTCGGTATCAGCACACTACCAAAATGTCGGAGACTCCCTATATCAACATACCCGCCGGTCGCTCGAGACGTTGGATTCGAAAAACACGAAGCTTGAATCCATGGACCTCGAACAAGTACAGGCTTGGCTTCTGCTTGCCATACACGAATTCATGTGTATAGACTTTCGGCGAGGATGGATGAGCGCTGGTCGAGCCTTCCGACTGATCCAACTAAGCTGGCGACATGGCACCGACGGCCCAGACCAGGCTCAAGGTGACTGGATCGAATCGGAGCAGAAGCGAAGAACATTCTGGATGGCCTATTGTTTGGATAGATTTGTGAGCATGCGAATAGGGTCCCCGCTGACATTCAGTGAAACAGTAAGCAGCCTCCTTCGTCTTCCCCGAAATTTCAGTCATCAGAGTCTAATGTTGAACTCTAGATTGCCATTCGACTTCCATGTCCCGAGAACAATTTTCAAAATGATCAGCCTATTGTCATGGGCTTTCTCTCCGAGACTCTTGTCGCCGCTAGCCCAACTGTGGTATCTGCATTTACCGAGTGTATCATTGTTGCAACAATTAGTGGCCATACACTATCTCATCGCCACCAATATCCTATTCGAGACATAGGTTTCAACGCCCTGGAAGCGTTTTGGGCCCAGCATCAGTGGATTAAAGTTATCCACAACCAGTGGATGGAGTCATTCTCGTCAAAATACCCTGCCGACATGCAGCAGAGCGACCCTATGCTCCTTTTTATTGGGCTGATGTATCGAATTATCACTCTGCATCTATATCAGACTACCGCGTGTATGATCCCTGCAGCCGATGAGGAGCAGCGTGATGTTGTCATAGAAAATAGAACACGCGCATCATTGGCAGCCAAAGAGATCGTTGGCCTGATCAATCAACTATCCCATCTCAACTCATTCAAGGTTAGTCTGCCGCCTAATACATTCTCCAAGCTCTACTAACAAACATAGCTTCACCCTCTCACCCCCATACCCCTTTCACTTTGTGTGGAGTTCTTTGTCTCGAATAACGAGCCTGGCGACGGTTTTGCCAAAGAGCTACAGGATATTATTCAAGCCATCAGTTGCCTGAAGAACTTCAATAACATTGGAAAGGGAATATCTCATTTGTTCGAAGAACGCGGTGCCGCAGCGGGTATACCAGCCATTGTCCAATAGATTATTGTTTCTTTTTGTAATACCTCGATACTATAGAAACGGAGTGTCGGGCTGGCAGATGTTGTGTTTACATGGTTGTGCTTCACTGCGTTGTTACATATTTAAGTCTACGATCACCTTCAGAAGAAATGAAACGAATTATGATGTCGATGCGTTCTGCGTACTACTCAAGAACTCTCTCACTTGAGATGAATAAAAGCCTCAGAAGCAATGGAGGCTTATAAATCGCTACACCTAGGGCCTTCGAAAGTAGGCAGACCAAACACTTGAATACGAAGCCACAGAGCCAGCGTATCTTACAAGAGCTTACCATGTTGGATATGCATTGTTCGAGAGTTTATTTTGCTTGATACCACAAGTGCAGCTGAAAATACATAATTCAAATGACACGAGCCCGCTCCACCTGGACAAGGCTGATTGACGGAATCTTAAACAGCCTACTGAAAAGAAAACAAAAACGAACGACAAAAGTCTAAAAATCGAATTGGAAAATAGCTCAGCCAACCATCTCCAGCCGAGCCTGGGCTCTCGCCTCCCTCGCTTCCTTGGCTACCTGAGCTCGTTTACTCACACACGGGCTATCGGGCTGCAGCGCATGCAGATCATGCGCCTCCAAACAGGCCTGTGTACTGAGCAGCACAGCATCTGAAGTCCGGATACGCATTTCCTCCTCATATCTATCTACAGCAATCTGCAAAGTATTGTTCGTGTCCACAGAATGCCACGCAGAAATTATATTCCTGCTTAGCACAGCCGCATCGGCGACGCCGTGGTTGAACGCTTCGCCACGGTAAGATGTCATAGCATGGGCGCCATCACCCGCGACCGTGATACGGCCGTTGTGGTTATCCCAGGGCATGGGTACCCAGTCGACGAGCTTGATATGCAGGACTCTCGTGTCATCTGGGAGGGACATGACCGCGTCACGAAGACGAGGATCGAAATTTTGCGCATTGCGTTTGAACACTGCTAGCCGCTCCTCATCTGTCTCGGGGACGTTATCGGCTTCGCTCTTATGTAGCCACGACTGAATCAATTGGCCCTCATAGTATGGGTTTTCCGTCCCGAGACTTCCATTGATGGTAGGACTAGACACGAGGGAGAACCACATATACACACCAGACTCTGGATGCGTCCCCTGGAAAAGGAGAGGATCAATGGTGCGAACTGGCGCAAACTCTTCAGGCGTCATTGTTATAGTCGCGCCGACGCTGTTAACGGGAAGCGGATTGAGGCCGCCGAGTCGCTCGCCAAGAAGAAGACGACGGGTTTTACTATTGCGCCCGTCTGTGCCGACCAGCAAACATCCCTTTGTAGATGTCCCGTCCGTGAAGGTGACTTCAACGCCATCATTATGCACGTCGAATCCCGCGAGCCCCTTGTTGTAGCGGATGTCAATTCCTTCGCCAAGTAAATTGCCAAGTAGGCGGCGGTTGACACGGTGACGCTTCGTTGGGGGTATAACGTATTTTGGGTTTCCGGTCGCTAGATCGATGAAGCAGAAGCGGCGACTGTCGTCCAGGGTTGGGTCCACTTGAATGGACTCCAGGCGATTGAAGAGCTCCTTGGGGAGGCACTCTTCGAGGGCACCGAGTGCCCAATGTACTGTTAGAGCCCACCCACGGCCCTTTTCAGTATCATATGAAGTGTCGCGCTCGTAAATTTCGTAGGGGATGTCGGCTTTTTTGAGGGCTTGGGCTAGGGTCAAGCCGACCATGCCGGCGCCCATGATAATAACGGGGAGAGTGGGAGGTACGCGCGTCATTTCTGAATGCAATTGATGTGAACGCGAAATTTGGAAAATATTTATCTAATCAGTTTTCATGGAGCTTTATCATCACGATCATCTTATAAACATATTTATTGTTATACGTCGATTGAGTTTTTGGAGATCGGGGGGTCAGAAACTCCGAGGGAGTCGGGATAAGCTATGAATGGTCGGACATACAACCATCAGACCCTGTTGGGTATACCCCGACCCAATTAATCTTACTACTGATGGCATTACCTTGACCTAAATCGGAGTTACCAGCAGTGACCCCACTCGGCAGATTGTCCGTCCACGCTGATCCATTCTATCTTCCCACGCTCTATAAATACACGATGAATTTACATTGTTCGGGGTCAAATCTACAGATCAATTCAATTCACATTATAACAGGCAGTCGAAATTTCTATTATCTTTCAACCATACTACAGTGAGTCAGCCAGCTACATCTGACCTGACTCATCATTTGACCACAACTAGATCTTCTCTTTCCACCTGCACATAAACAACATGGCTACCCCTCAACTCTACGACTGGCTCGTCCAGACCCCAGCCAACTCCGAAGACCTCGAAAATCGCATCAATACCCGCCCTGCCCATCTCGAGCATAATAAGCCGCTCATCGAGGCTGGAGTCCTTGTCTGGGGTGGTCCCGCGCTCGCGACACACCCACAGACCGCCGAAGACGATCTCCTGATTACTGGTAGTGTGATGTGTATTCGGGCTGAAAGTGAGGATGCTGTGCGGACTATCATTCGCAATGATCCTTATGCCAAGGTTGGATTCTGGGATGCAGAGGGTGCCGTGGTGACGCCTATGCGATGTGTTGTCCGAAGGCCACTGTGAATTTAGCTCTTAGTGAATCTTTCAGTCGAGTCCATAGTTTGGAATAAATAGACTTGCATATTTTTAACTCGCCCTTCTTTGAATGACTCACTCTGTGGGCTTTATTTCGCTGATTATCCAATTATCAATACTGCTCCATTCGAAAGAGGACCCCTCAAATATTCTTGTGTTGCTTTTATCGCAGAGGACAGCCTTGCATCTATAGATCTGGCTCGCTCGTTCGACTTCAACAACACAACCAGGAGATAGCTCTGAAATCTAAACATCACTCGTCAAATGTCTCTTTTTAAAGATTTGTGAATCTGAAAGACCTTTGATCTGTTCATTGTCATTCCACTAGTCCATTTGAAGCGACCAAATGCATTCGCTGAAAGCCATATAGTCCAATTAACTCTAATTTTTGATAACGAAAAAGAAATCGTGTTTCATAATTTGAAGCAAGACATACTTCCTTTGTCTGACTCTCCACCTTTAGCGATGCTCATTCCACCCTGCTTGTTTAAGCCTTCACCCCGACTCTAAATCCATACAATGCCACGCGCACTCCAGCATACATGAACCCAGCCACAAGGGCACTAACTCCTCCAAATATCCACACCCCGTGCCAATTCGTATTTCCAGAATGAGCCAAGATCGCACCTCCAGCAGGTCCACCAGCCAGAACGCCAAGACCGATCATGCCGAATCCCATACCAATGCGAGTTCCAATCTTGGACTTGTCCTTCGTCAGTGCAACGAAGCATAGAGGAGGAAGACCAATCAGTGCACCGCTAAAGAAACCTGACAACACTGCGATGACGATGAGTCCAGCTTGTGTCGTCACGGCTAGCATGCACAGAATAAGTATGCCAACCAGGATGCAGCATGGAGCGATAAGGTTGAAAGAACCCGTCTTATCCGCCAACGCATTGGGCACAGTCCGACCGAAAAAAGAGCCTGCGTTGAGGATGGGCAGGATGTAGAAGCTCATACTTGTATCGGTGATACCGGTCGCACCACCAAAGTAGGAGATATAAAAGAGCAGCACGAAAAGGCCCATGAACGCGATCAGCGATGTGAGAACAAAGGTCATATAAGGCACATCCGTAAAAGCGGACCAGTCAACCAGACTACGGGCGCGTGGCGGCTTGACACGCTGACGCATAACCGCGATGGGGATCAGAAGCGTGCCCAATGCAATGAAGCCAATGACTCGAACAGCCCAACCGAAACCAAGCGGCCCGATGAGTTGATTCAGTACGATCGGGTAGATGATTCCACCGAGGGAGGAACCTGAGACAGCAAGTCCAAGCGCCATACCCAGTCGTGAGCTAAAATATGTCGGTAGAACGGATACACACGGCACAAAGAGGCACCCAGCGCCAATGCCAACGCAGAAACCTTGGGCTAATAACACCTCGCCGTATGTTTTGCAAAGACTCAGCATCATGTGCCCGAAGACAATTCCGAAGCTACCAATTATCAGGAGCAAACGGAGGTTTCCGCGGTCGTAGATTGGACCAGTGATAAATCCGACCATGAGTAGCATTGTAGCTTGAATTGCGCCGATCCATGAAATATCGGATGATGAGCGTGTGAATAGTGCGCCTGATTCGTAGTAGGTTTGGAAAACACCGAATGCATTCAAGATTCCCCAAGTGTTGAAGAAGAGCATGAAGCCACCGGCGACATGCAGCCAAGCGACGAGTCCACCATTTGGTGGAGGAGGCCCCATCATAGGAGGACCCTTTGGCGGTTCTTTTGGCAAGTCATCGCTCTGGGGCGTTAATGGTATCTCAAGGGTGGACGTCCCTGAATTCTGACCTAGAGTCAAAGATGATCGATAGCGGTCTGGTGTCTCAGTACTCATGTTGTCAAAAGAAGTATGTTTTGTGTGTGTTCGAGTACCAAGGCCGGATGTAAGATTAAATAGCGACTTGTTCGCGTGGTGATGTATAGATCTTTGAATCGGAGCGGAGTTAACCGGACGGCCCGTCCCGATGGGGAAAGAACGCTTAACTCCGAGTCCCGTTTCTGGCAGCTACACTAGTCCGGATAAAGCTAGCGTTGAGCACGTTGTTTAGGCCTGTTTTCCTTGTGATTCGGATTATCTACTGATCATCAAGCCTCTTTCATCATGAAGTGAGAATCTCCTCGTAAGTTGGGAAACGCCGAATGTAGAAAGACCTGACCAATTATGACAGAGTTTGGCAAATTTACCTCAGCTTCGGCCAGCCCGTTCTTGGCTCAAGGCTGATTCTCAGGAATAGTTGAGAATAGATATTCCACGTGGAATAAAGACTCCGAGATAACGTGGGCAAGAACCAATTATGTTCCACTGATATGCGATTCCACGGGTACTTGCATAGAATAGAAGAGGGAGAAAAGAGGCTCTGGAACATCTATAGATAGTCTAGATCTCTGAAAAGCCTTATGGAAAGGCAAGATTTTGACTTATACACATTTCTCTCCTCAAGCCTACTGTCACTCTAGTCTCGCAATAGACATGACAATACAAGATTCCACGTTAAAACTACCTCGCATCATATGCCTCCACGGAGGTGGCACAAATGCGCGAATCTTCCGCATGCAATGTCGCGTCTTAGAAAGCACTCTCCGATCAACGTTCCGCCTCGTCTACGTCGAAGCACCTTTTCATTCACAGCCCGGCTCAGACGTGACCTCTGTATACAAGAATCATGGCCCGTTTAAGTCCTGGCTACGCATCACATCCTCGGACATCGCCCATGAACCACGCCACATTATAGAGTCTATAAACACAGCCATCGCAACAGCAATGTATACAGACACGCAGTCTGGGGCGACGGGCGAATGGGTCGCATTACTGGGCTTTAGCCAAGGTGCCAAGCTAGCTGCGAGCATTCTCTTTGCACAACAGTCAATGCAGCGGCGCGCAGGTCCAGACGCTGTCATCTGGCCGAATTTTCGATTTGCGATTTTGTTGGCCGGCAGGGGGCCTTTGGTCTGGCTGCTACCTGAGAAAAACGGCATTGCTTCATCTATATCTGCTGGTCTTGTTGATGCGGCTAGTCCTTCTATTGGAGGTCATGAGCCTGATATTCCGATGCATTCAGATGAGCATATCTTGCGAATTCCTACGGTACATGTTCACGGGCTGAGGGATCCGGGGCTAAGGAGCCATCGGGCGCTTCTGAGTAACTATTTTGAAGAAGATTTGGTATCTGTGGTGGAGTGGGAGGGTGATCATAGAATACCAATCAAGCGGAAGGATGTTGATGCTGTTGTACAGGAAATTTACAGTTTGGCGAAAGTTACTGGTGTACTAGACACATGGTGATCGGGCCTCTTTCTGATTTGATGTCAGCTGGGCTTTCATACAAGGCTTGCGGTGGCGTGTGGCGTTTTGTGAAGAAATTTGGGACTGCCAGACTGTGAATCTTACACGTGGTATTTACACAGATAGATGCAGATTTTGAGCAGAAGATATAGCCTCCATTGTCCACTTTCTCCACCTTGAAATCCTTACCAATTAGATCGTACAAAGCCGACCGGACTCCGTGAACAATACACGTGGCTGACACATGTTGTCTTAAGTACCCGAGTTTACGGTCTGGACAGCCCCCAGCTGCAGGGTCTGCTGCAGGTGTTATTGGCTGATGGGAAAGTTTGATTTCGCAGGTAGTAGAAACTTTAAATATACTTTGATTCAGTACCCACCTAGGCAGCTGTGTTCACATGCATATACGGGTTTTACCTTGGTCGAAAGCAGCAGCGTCGCTTAGTATGGCGCTTTCTTAATGCTTCCAAGGCTGATGTATCTGTTTGGAATAGCATGTATTCTATTTTGAGAGGAAATTGCGACAACAAAGATCTGGTTTTACCTCAAGTGAAGAGCTATGTGATTTTCAGTTTATGAACTTCAGCCGTACGGACATGAGTTTGTTTATCATTGATTCAGCTTACGACAGGGGGATGAAGTGGTAACGAGGAGAGGGTGAGTAAGATGCTGACCAGGGGAACTGCATATCAGCAAATTGAGGGTAATCTACCATTCACTCTTTAAATCAGTCACCATAACCAGGCGGCATTAGTGCAGTTGGGAACACTGTTGACGCTGAGATGGCACGCTAGGAATATGGCATCGCCTCGCGTTATTCAAATTAGGATAGACACGAACAATTACATCCTGGGTAGGAGCAAGCGATGACTCAGTGGGTATCACTCCTGGGCTACCTTCACATCCAGGATAGTGGGCGGAGTAATGTGAGCGATTAGATACTGCATATATACTCGATAATATTATTCTACATCGAATACCACACCTTACCTAGCATCGTTAACGTGGTGTTCCGGTCCACCAATCTTTGTGGTGTTCAATCATAGTGTTCTCCTCACCACATTCTTTGAAGTCTCTGTAAGGTAGAATGAATTCTTGGATGATTTGAAGTTATTGGCATGGATGAACCATTGAAAGGTACAAATTTGCGTAAATGGGATTTAATTACATGAACAGGATCTTTCAAAACGAGTCTAAAATTAGCCCAATCAATGCGATAAAGTATACATCAACTTCCACGTGTCCTCGCACATGCGCGTCTTAGCCTGGATCTTATTTCGCAGCAGCCAAGATATCCGGTAGCATATTAGCGGTATTATTCCAAACTTGACTGGATCCAGGCACAAATAGTGTTCCAGTATACCACGTGTTCAGATGGCCCTGGAGGGCATACATATCACGATAAAATCCATTCCTGATATCCTCTACCTCAGCCGCAAGATGGAAAGGTCCGAAATCGGAGAAAGCAAGAAACTGGGGCTCAGGGCGAGTGGTAGCACCCGTGACCTTCTGAAGCATTTTGATAGCCTGACGGGCCTCCTTTTCAATCCGCTTCTGGCTGACTGGAGTCACGCTATTGTACCAGTAGTAAAGAAGTCCATCAACCGAGGACGGATTAAAGGAGACCACGGAGGGGATATCGGCGATGTTGTAGGTGTTGTTGGTAGCGTAGTTCTTGTAACTGGTTCCACTGGCAAGACCAGTATTGCTAATAACACCACCGTAGTAGGGCAATCCGTAAATCTTTGAGAGAATCCTGTTCTCGCGGGTATCTAGACCAAAGCTCTTCATATTCTTGGTTGTCGGGGGAATGCCAACAATAAGCTGCTTGGCAACTATGAGCTTTTTGCCTTTCGGAGTTTTCACGACGAGGCGCACGGGGTGACTGCCGGTAAAGTTGCGATTACCCGAGATGACAGTTGAGTTCATAAGGATATCCGCGCTGAGCTCAGTGAGCGCGTTGCGATATAACTCCGAATTGTCGCGGTTGGCATTGCGCACGGCTGCACCATTATCCTCATGCAGCATGAGGTCGTTGAGGTCATTGAACACGTACAAGGCCGGAATATCTAGCAAATGGCCAGGCACGGCAGGGCGGGCCAAGGTTGACATTGCCGAGTCTTGCAGGTTATACTTGGCGACGTAGTCCACCCAGGGTAGCAGGAGATCCTCGGGGACAGGGTTAGGCAGCTCAATTCCGTTATTAAGATACGGATATTTTGCCAGCTCGTCAAGGTAGTCCTGGTGGAGAGAGCCAGTGGTGAGGTTGAGTATGGTACCCGCTTTGAAGTCAGAATAAACAGGGTTCCCGAAGGAAGAAAATGCCACATCAGCGAGAGGTGTGTTGAGGCGCTTGAAAAAATCGCGCACAACAGTGTCATTGTCATAGAGTTGAACACCGAAGTCGACCGAGCCCCCACTTATGGGGTCTTCGTAGGTCATCGCATGACCACCCAGACGGTCTGTCTTCTCAACCATGACAAATGATTTGCCTTGGTCCTTCAAAGCAATAGCAGCGTAAGTGCCAGCTGCACCACCACCAACAATGGCGAAGTCACGCGTGATGACATCGCGTGCAGCAAAAGAGGATGGCTCAAAGCTCTTTGCTGAGGGGGCAGCCAAGGCCGGAAGAGCAAAGCAGATGCTGCCCAATGGAGTAAATGGTTTCATTATTGGAGGAGAAGTCGAGTTTTGAATTGTTGTAAGTCAAGCTGCAAACTCACTGCATTGACAATGATAGACTGCATGGATCTCACGTTCAATATATACCCCCATCTGCGCCCAGCTAAAATAGTAACTCATCGTGATGGCTCGCCACGAGAACGCCCGGCATTCCGACGGAGAAACTGTGGACCTGCTTCGGGCGACGCTATGCGCGACGAATCCTGCGAGGCCAACTCGAGAAACATCGTGAGATTTGGCCACTGAGGCTTAGCGTGAAGATCAAAATCCCGTAAAGGTCTTGGGCAAGATCAAAACAAGCTTGGCATGGAAGATGGAACGGTAACGTTAAAACATACCGCGTAATACCGGTACAAACACGGTTTTTCAGAACACGAGGCGGGCGCTACTGTACAGTAAGCGGCACTAAGATAGCCTTGCGGCCACTATGGGGCCGCCCCTCGACTAGCCTCAATTGGGTTAGCGTTGAGCGGCCGCCTAAAACCCCGCCGATCCCCGTTCTTTGTTCGGGCCCTCAGTCACCCGTACAGTTGCAAGGACACTTTGCCTCACGTTGCGGAGAAACGAAATCTTTGCATTCCTGTATATGCAAAAGAAAGTTTAGTGGCGTCATATACGAATCTCGGAAGAACCCCGGCTGAATGGTTTACTTCGGCCCTTCCAAGGGGTGTGAGACCTGCAAGGGCAGACGGAAGAAGGTCAGTCGATCCCTGCTAGTGCTTTTGCTTTGACGTGGTTCCTGCAATAGACAGCTCATACGATACAATCAATCCTAACATGTCTACAGTGCGATGAGACCCGTCCGGTATGAGCCAACGAATCACATTGCATACTTGCATTCCCTGTGGCACAACGTGGCTGCCGGTCATGAGTGCTGCCGCCAATAAACATAGCACTAACTTCTGCAGTCTTGCTTGAGATGCCTCAAAGCAGGCCGCACATGTCGAGGTTACGAAGATACTGGAAGCGTCATCTTTCGCCAGCATGAAAATCAAAGTGACAGCCAACCCCAGTCTAAGCCGGCTTTCAAGTCGATGGCCCGCAAATGTAGCTTGGCTGCTCGAGAACCGGTCCCAGGAACTGACTTCCTCCCCGACGATGGTCCCCCAAAGGAAGTAACACAAAACAGAATCAAAGAACTGGCGCTACAGGCCTTTTTTTATGACTATACTGACGTCTCTGTGAACTCTTCCATATCGGGAGGCTTTTTGGGTGGCCTGGAGCCGATCGTGCAAGATTTAGGACTAGACTCACACGTGGCAAACGCATGCAAAGCTGCTGCTTTCGCCAGTAATGGGTTAAAGCTGCGTCGACAGTTCCTGATACAGCAGGCCGAAACCTTGTACCACGAGCTGCTGGGATATCTCGCCAGTTCCATGCAGGCCCCGGCTGCAAGCAGTCACGAGACCCTAATTATTGCAATACTGCTGGGGCTCTATCAGGTATTTTTCACCTCCAATTTCTATGTATTTGACGATATGACAAGCTGACACGTCGCAGATGGTGGTGGCTGAAGAGGCTAACCCAGGCCACCATACAGCCCATGCTGGAGGCGTGGCTGCAATCCTGCAGATTGAAAACAATCCCTTAGAGCTCGTGCAGGCTGTTTTGTCTGGTCATCCATTGGTTCTTAATGGGAAAAAGGTAAGACTATTTCGTCCGTCTTCTGTATTATGATCTAATCTCTCGCAGAATAATGCTCGGTCTGCACGTGGCACAAGCGGTGTTGATCAGAGTTTATATAATCTGTTGATTAAACTGAACCCCATCTGGAACCGCACGGAGGCTCTCCTCGCCGGCCCACCCGCTCCACTTTTCTTTGAGGACGTTTTTGCCTTGAAGTTGGAAGCGATCGCGCTAAATCACGATCTTGACATCTGGCAGCAGAATCAAAGTCAAGAGTTCAGGCCAACTACAGTGGATCCAGGACTTCCGCCAAGGCCCAATCCCGGGGCAGGTTACAGGCACGGTCGGATTGATATGTACATCGATCTCTATGTCGCTGCCTTGTGGAACTTTTCCCGTATCGCACGATGTTTACTCATCACCCTGATCATGCGGTTGTCGGGTGTGCTCGATGATGGAGTTAATCATGATGCGGATCATCAGGAGGCTTTGCGCCTTGTAGAAGATATGATCGCATCCATTCCTTACCATTTATCGGAAGATCTGCAAGTATTTTTGCGTGAGCGACACGATCACACCAAAATCACCAACGCTGGGCGACCGGTAGGTGGCCTTTTACTTATGCACTCCATTTATATTGCGTCACATCTCCAGATTTTCCCACTGGAGATGCGTGAATATTTCAAAACATGCCTAGTCTGGATTGGACGGAGGATGGGAATTGGACAGGCTGCTTTCTTAGCACAGGTATGTTTTTCTCCTCATTATCTACTATACTTACATTGCCGGTCCTGACCCATGCTAGGCCCCCCAAATAGACAACCAATACTTTTCCGGTGGATGCCTGATCGTATTAGCAGGACTACTCATCTAGAGTCACAGTTCAAAGGAAGAGAATCATCTGTGAAGAGTATTTGAAGGTTGTGTCACATTTATATAACTATAACTAAAGCAACGCGTTCATGTCAAATTCCAAGATTCAGTGCACCCGACCTTGGATATGTTAAACTTCACTACCCGATCCGTCCGATAACAGCACATTCTCCCTATAACCTTGAATGGTATCATCAACCATACCCTCGTAGTCAAAATACCAAATCTTGTGCGATCGATCCTTCAGCTCCTCAAAGCAAGTCTGCGCTTTCACCCACTTATCCTTCTCCGCCCACTCAGGCTGATGATAGAAATCACAAGCCCGCCGACTACTATTGACCAGCCACTGGCTGCGAGTGCGTCGCACAGTATCAAACGTCTCAAAAGCTGTTATCAGCGCATGTTGCTTTACTGCTGGGTCCTCCTGTATCGTCCGGTTCACCTCCTTGAACAAGGTGGTAAGACACAGACTATCCTCGATACCCATACACGCTCCAGCTCCATGATGTGGGCTGGATGCATGTGCAGCATCTCCCGCAAGGCAGATTCTTCCCTTGCTATAGTATGGTGCTGGATACTGCCACAGATCGAAAATGGCCCATTTGTCTAGTTTTTCTGGGAAGAGGTCGATGACATTGTGGACGCATGGACTCCACCCAGCGAACGCTGCGATAAGATCTGCTTTTTCGCCTACCGCGACTGTCTTTTCTTCTTCCCATTCTTCTGGATCGGAGATAAAGGCTGCTGCATTGACGAACTTTCTGTTTGCGACGGGGTAGTGGATTAGGTGCGCGTTTGGGCCGACGTGATAGTGCTGGTTGTTGGCCTTGTACTCGCCCAATGCTTTGATAGCGTCTTCCATGGGAATAAGGGTGCGGTAGGCGACTTTGTGTGTGTATCCGGGTTGACTGGCTGGATGATTCTCTCCAAGGAGTAGGGAGCGGACCCGGGATTTAATCCCATCACAACCGATGACTGAATAATTATTGGCTTAGCGATCGCGCTCGGACGATGGCAAGAGGTTCAGAAACATACCGGCGTCAGCCTCCTCCACACTCCCATCCGCAAATATCAGGCGAATCTTCCCTTCGCATGTCTCATCCACAGTTTCCAGTCTCTTCCGACACTCAATCACGTTTGGAGGGATGATCTTCACCAACGACTCGAGGAACCGATCGCGTCTGCAACCCTCGAACCCTTTATACCCTGCATCAAGTCTATACAGCATGCGCTGATAGTGCGGTTCATCTTTCTTCTGCAGCTTATTGTACCCGTCGAGCCAGCGGAGGTAGTCGTTGGGATCCGTCTCATCGCCTTTAGAAGTAGGAACCGCTCCACTAGAGCGCAGAGCTGTAACGATTTCCGGATCGATTTGCTCCATGCACTTGACCGCGTTTGCTGTGAATGCGATTCCGGCGCCGATCTCACGAAAGCCTTTTGCTTGTTCGTATACCTTCACTTTGATGTTCTGGCCGAGGAGACCGACAGCGAGGACAAGACCGACTATTCCACCGCCGACGATAGCCACCGAGACGGATTCATTTTCTTCTGAGATTTGGCCTGGCATATCGGGCTTGCTTCTTTATTTTGAAATTGTGTTGAGTCTATGAAGATTTTGGCTTAGATCAAATTGTATCTAAGGGCTCCGGGCACTTGGGAAACAAGATATACCTAAAAAGATAGTGTTGGGCTACTGAGGTCTCTAACTTATCATAACCCAATCCCGCCCATCATTTTATCACCTAAGATACGGTCAATAGTAGACGGAGTAATTGGTGCCCGTCGGATTTGAGCAACGCAAACAACAGGGTACGGGAAGTATGGACTTAGTCTCGGAGCAACCTTCGAGCCTCGCACGCTGCATGCACATGGCGAACCATCCATCAGCTCCACGACTATGATTACAACATGAAAGCTGAAGATAGAAGCCAATCAAGATAAAAGTTATTATCATTATTAACCTACTAATTAGTTTTTGGGCTGTCTGCGGAGAAACCAATTCAGATCTAAGCCCCCAGCCGCAGCGGAATTTCCCATCCGCGCTCGGAGTTTTCTGCAGGTTCAGCCTTAAATTTCTCCTTTCCACGAAATAATCAGTAAAACCCAACGAATCAGTTCGTTCTAGTTCTAATCTGAAACAATGATCCACTTGTTGCCGAGTTAGGCTATCACTCGTGAAATCTCCCGGACTCGTGGCAGCTGCAGAATTCATGCATATGCGCTTACCATGTGGCTATTGCCTCGTGTGGTTACTATTCTCGTACATGGTTCTTCGGACAATGGTAATACACATTGTTTGACTTTCGGATTCGCCGACGTCTCGGGACATCTTGTCGGGCTCTAAAGCTCTTCTATTTTCATTAGATGACAGTTCTAGATTTTCAACATAAACATGCATTGATATATAATATGATCCCACCCGCGAGTTGAGTTTGACAAACAATTCTGCACCGCGTTTCAACAGCAACATCGACGTGCAACCCCTCAAGATCTTCCAATAGACAAATCTCGTTCCAAGTTCGTGCTTCGCACTCGAATATCTCAAACGCGTACTACCTTGATCATACCTACCCGCTCGTCAACCTTTCGATCTTCACCTTCCGAGGTTTATACCGATCTTACTTCAAAATAGAACTTCACATTCCAAATATCTGGCGTACCTAAACTCAATATGGTTGAACTTCGAGATCTCACCAACAGCCAGCTTTCTGGTCCTGCCGTTTTCTTATTCGGTCCTCTCGCGTTGTCCTTCAACAGCGATTCATTTGCTCAGCTGCGCAAATCCATCGTCGAGAATGAGGGCCACAAATGGGCCGTCGATACCATCATTAGTCTACCCCAATATTGGAAGACTATTGTCGCAGCCATTCCTGGCCTTGAGACTGCAACCGAGTTGGAGAAGCTGGAAAACCTCAAGGAGGCCTTCTCCACCGGGCAGTCTCTGAAGACTCAATTCCCGTTGCCGAATACTCTTTTGATTCCTCTTGTTGTTATCCTGCATCTCACGCAATATGCATCATTCATCAAGCACAATAATGCTGAATTGGATAATGGCGTTGATGTTTTTGCTTTGTCCAAAGACGGCCAGGAAACACTCGGTCTCTGCACTGGGCTGTTGAGTTCTCTGGCCGTCTCGTCCGCTCGAAACAAGGCAGAGTTTGAGAAATACTCCGCCGTTGCTGTTCGTCTCGGTCTGCTCATTGGCATGGTGGTTGATGCACAGGATGCCGCCACAGATTTTGGCCCATCCAAATCCCTTACTGCGGCTTGGAACTCCGCTGAGAAGGCCGAGGAAACGCAACGTATCCTGAAGGGCTTCCCTCATGTGAGTAAAGCCCTCTCAAACAAGTCTCTACCTTCACTAACCTTCCCAGACTTACGTGTCCGTAAACTATGATGAGGATCGCGCTACTATTACCACATTAGCATCGAGTATCTCCGAAATTCAGCTGCAGCTACGAGCTTGTGGCGTCATCACAGCAGAAGTCGGGCTGTATGGACGGTTCCATGCTGACGACCACCGCGACCTTCTCTCGGAAATCTTGAAGTTCTGCGACTTTCACTTCGACTTCCGGTTCCCACCTGCGTCTGAGCTGATCATCCCGACTCGATCTAATGCCGGGGGAGCGTTAATCACAGACGGTTCACTGCACCACCACGCTTTGCGCTCTATTCTACTAGAGCCACCCAAATGGTTCGACACTTTCACAGCTCTCTGTGGAAGCACATTGAGCAACAACGATGTAAAAGTCATCTCGTTTGGCCCCGAGCGCTCCGTACCACCCTCCATTTTGCGTGGACTTGGTCAACGTGTCATCAACTTCGTGGATTTCGAGAAGTCTCAACAGAAGCAGCGCAATTTCACCTCGAACGACATTGCTGTTGTCGGTATGTCATGCAAGGTGGCCGGTGCCGACAATCTCGAGGAATTCTGGGATCTTCTGTGCACAGGCAAATCGCAACACAAAGAGGTTCCTAAAGAGCGATTCGGGTTTGAGACTCCTTTTCGCGATGTCGATTCGAAGAGAAAGTGGTTCGGGAATTTCATCAACGGCCATGATGAGTTTGACCACAAGTTCTTCAAAAGAAGTCCTCGAGAGAGCGCTACTATGGATCCTCAGCAGCGTCACTTTTTGCAGATTGCTTACCAGTCCGTTGAACAGTCGGGATACTTTCATAATGCTAGCCAAGACAAGCATATTGGGTGCTATGTCGGTGTCTGCGCGTGTGACTACGAAAGTAACATCGCTTGTCACGCACCTAACGCCTTCTCAGCTACTGGCAATCTTCAAGGATTCATTGCGGGCAAGGTCAGCCATTTATTCGGATGGACTGGGCCAGGCTTGACAGTTGATACTGCCTGCTCTTCCTCTGCTGTCGCTGTTCACTCCGCATGCAAGGCTATTCTCAGTGGAGAATGCACTGCTGCTCTGGCTGGTGGTACACACGTTATGACGAATCCGCTGTGGTTCCAGAATCTCTCCGGGGCTTCATTCCTGAGCACAACTGGTCAATGCAAGCCCTTCGATGCGAAAGCAGACGGCTACTGCCGTGGCGAGGGTATCGCTTCAGTTTTCCTGAAGAAGTTGTCTGCAGCCATCGACGATGGTGATCAGATCTTGGGTGTCATCGCCGCATCTGCAGTCCAGCAGAACGAAAACTGTACTCCAATTTTCGTCCCAAACATACCATCTCTTTCAGACTTGTTCCGCAAGGTCACGAAACAAGCTGGTCTTCAACCTAGCGATATCTCGGTTGTTGAGGCTCATGGAACTGGAACAGCCGTTGGTGATCCTGCCGAGTATGGAAGCATTCGCTCTGTGTTAGGTGGCTCTGTTCGGACGAAGCCTCTCACTCTCAGCTCTGTCAAGGGCCTGGTTGGTCACACTGAGTGCACTTCAGGCATTGTCTCGATGATCAAGGTTCTGCTTATGATTCAGAAGGGAATGATCCCGCCACAGGCCAGCTTCAGCGCCATCAATTCTGCGATCGGCGCCACCCCTGGGGACAAGATCAGCATTCCAACCAGTGTGCAGACCTGGAATGCAGACTTCCGAGCAGCGCTCATTAACAATTATGGCGCTTCTGGATCTAATGCATCATTGGTTATCACTCAGCCGCCTGCTGCTCGGGCGAGATCCACTATTGAAGCAGGCCAGGCTGGTGTTGCATACCCCTTCCGATTCTGCGGTCTCGATGATCCGAGCCTTCGTCGTTATACTGTGGCTTTCAGGAAGTTTATCAGCCATCCAGATGCATCGATCAAGGATTTTTCCCTTTCAAATGTTGCTTTCAACCTGAACCGCCAGAGCAACCGTCAGCTTGAGCGTACTCTGATCTTCAGCGCTCAGTCTTTGGCTGACCTACAGGAGAAGCTTGTTTCATACGAAAATGGCAGCCCAAGTATGGTGTCGCTGCCATCTCCAAATGCACGACCGACTGTCTTGTGCTTTGGTGGCCAGGTCTCCACATTCGTCGGATTAGACCGAGCAGTGTATGAACGGGTCGCTGTCTTCCGGAAACACCTAGACACAGTGAATGCTGTTGCTCGCTCCTTAGGTGCTAGCAGCATCTATCCAAACATCTTCTCCCGAACGGCTATTTCAGACACTGTTCAGCTTCAGGTTGTTTTGTTTGCTACGCAGTATGCCTGTGCTCGTAGCTGGATTGACTCGGGTGTCGAGCCAGTTGCAGTGGTCGGTCACAGCTTCGGAGAGCTTACTGCACTTTGCATTTCACAGATCTTGTCCTTGGAGGATACAATCAAGATGATCATTTACAGAGCAACCCTTATTCGAGATTCTTGGGGCAGTGACAAGGGCGCGATGGTGGCAGTGGAAGGTGACTTGGTTGAGGTTGAAAAGCTGGTCAGCGAATCAAACAAGGCCTGCGATGGCATCGAGCCTGCCAGCATTGCATGTTATAATGGGCCAAGAAGCTTCACTCTTGCGGGCCCTACGGCTGCTATTGATGTAATTGCGCAGAAATTATCTCTTCCTTCTTTCTCGGCCATGAAACACAAGAGACTGAATGTCTCAAACGCTTTTCATTCTGTCTTGCTTGATCCTCTTCTTGATCGCCTTGAGCAGAGTGCCCAGCAGCTCACATTCCGCCACGCTATTATTCCGATGGAGAGAGCAACTGAGGTCCACACTGGAGAGAAGTTGAATGCCAAGTTCGTGCCTGAGCACATCCGCTCCCCGGTGTTCTTTAACCACGCTCTCCAAAGGCTAGCAAAGAAGTACCCGGAATGTGTATTCTTGGAAGCTGGATCGAACTCCACCATTACCAACATGGCAAGCCGAGCTCTCGGTAACCCTAGCAGCTCACACTTCCAAGCGATCAACATTACCAGCGACAATGCCTGGAACAACTTGACCTCCGCTACTCTGAGTCTGTGGAAAGCAGGCGTTAGCACACAATTCTGGGCTCATCAATCTACTCAGACGAAGGAACATTCCCCCCTTCTGCTTCCTCCGTATCAGTTTGAGGGAGCGCACCACTGGACAGAGCTGAAATCGCCATTGAAGATGATAAAGGCACCGGCTTCGCAAAAGGTGGAGTTAGAAGTTAACAAGCTTCCGGACACTCTCCTAACATTTGTTGGCTACGAAGACACTGCCAAGCATGTCGCAAAGTTCCGGGTAAACACCATGATCCCTAAATACGAGAAGCTTATCGAAGGTCACGTCATTGCTCAGACAGCACCTATCTGCCCTGCCACTATCCAGCTTGAGTTGGCTATAGAGGCAGTTCGGATTCTCAGGCCAGATTTGGCTGGTTCTGGGCTGGAGCCTCAAATCCATGCTGTAGAGAACCAGTCTCCTGTCTGTATCAACCCGTCCCGTGCTGTATGGATTGAGCTCACTGCACACGACAACACCCAAAGCCCCTCTTGGGAGTTCCATGTCTTCAGCGATGATTTGCAACGTGGTGGCGTTTCCAAGACAATGCACACGACTGGTATGATCGCCTTCCGATCAGTTGAGGACTCAGCCTTCAAGCTTGAGTTCGCTCGGTACGAGCGTCATTTCAGCCACCAGCGCTGTGTCGATATGCTACAAAGCGGTGATGTCGACGAAATCCTCCGCAGTCACAATATTTACAAGATGTTCTCGGGTGTCGTTGATTATGCCGAGGAGTACCGTGGAGTCCAAAAGCTTGTCAGTAAGGGAGCGCAGTCAGCTGGCTATGTGGTCAAGAAGTACAACCCAGAGACATGGCTTGATGGCCACTTGGCAGACAGCTTTTGTCAGGTTGGTGGGGTATATGTCAACTGTATGGCTAATCAAGTACCTACCGATATGTTCATTGCCAATGGCATCGAGCAATGGATCCGATCACCCAAGATTCGTCAAAGTGACCCAAGACCAGAGGCCTACCATGTGCTGGCTACACACCATAGCCCTTCGAACCAGTCCTTCCTAACGGATGTGTTTGTTTTCAATTCCGACGATGGTTCCCTGGTCGAGGTCATTCTTGGAATCAGCTATGTCAGAGTTTCCAAAGCCTCAATGAGTAAGCTTCTGACTCGCCTCACTATTCGGGACGGTCAGTCCGCTCCTGTCAGCCTGAAAGCTCCAGTGGAGCGACCTACGCTGGATCTTTTTGCGGTCCAACCAAATGTTAAAATTGCTCCTCCATTGAACACGGCAGTCCAGGAGCCAAAGTCCCCCAAGCCAGCCAAGGTCGAAGCTCTACCTCCCAAGGTTGATGTGGTACCCAGAGTCAAGGCCATCCTTGCTGATCTGTCTGGTCTGGAGCTCCACGAGATCAAGGATGACAGCGAGCTTGCCGAGCTCGGTATCGACTCCCTAATGGGTATGGAGATGGCACACGAGATTGAAGCTGAATTCAATATCGAGCTTCCGGAGAGTGAACTCATGAAGATTGTCGACATGCCGTCCTTGATCAATTGCGTGAAAAGTTTTGTCTGTGGCGCGCCAAGCACCGACGCAACTGAGCAGGAATTGGATGAGAGCGATGGAAGATCATCTCACGATACTGCGCCAAGCACTCCAGTTGATCCTGGCGATCTAGACAAGTCGCTTGATGACCTCAAATCTACCGCTGGCTTAAATCTGCCATTTGCCACTGTGATGGAAGCTTTTAACGAGACAAAGAGCCTGACCGATAAAAGGATTGCCGAACACGGTCAAACCAATTATGTCGACACTGTTTTACCCGCACAAACAGAGATGTGCGTGGCACTCACACTAGAGGCATTCGAGCAGCTCGGTGTTAGGTTCGGTACAGCCAAGCCTGGTCAGAGGTTCGCACGAATTTCGCACCCGAAGGAACATTCCCGCTTGGTTAGCTACCTCTACCAGATGCTAGAGGATGCTGCAGGTCTTATCAACGTGGATGGCGAAACTATCACCCGCACGGCAGCCCCAGCTCCGACAAAGTCCAGCAAGGAGCTATTGGCCGATCTGCTTTGTCGCTTCCCGGATCAGAGCACTGCTGATAAGCTCACCTTCTATACTGGATCCCATCTTGCGGAGGTCTTGCGTGGTGAGACAGATGGCATCAAGCTCATCTTCGGTACCTCTGAAGGTCGGGAGTTGGTTTCCGGTCTTTATGCAGAATGGCCTATTAATCGTCTGATGTACAAGCAGATGGAGGACTTCCTTGGTCGACTGGCCTCCAAGCTTGACGTCAACGATGGTCCCATCAAAATTCTCGAGATGGGTGCCGGTACTGGTGGTACAACGCGCTGGTTGCTGCCACTTCTGGCTTCACTAAACTTACCAGTTGAGTATACTTTCACCGACCTGGCTCCTTCCTTTGTTGCAGCAGCGAGGAAGAAGTTCGGAAAGCAGTACCCTTTTATGAAGTTTCGAACCCATGACATTGAGAAGGTTCCAGCCGACGATCTCATCGGCACACAACACATTATCCTCGCCAGCAACGCTGTTCATGCGACACACAGCCTGAGCGTATCAGCTAAGAACATTCGCAAGGCGCTCCGCCCTGATGGGTTCCTCATGATGATCGAGATGACCGGCACTTTGTACTGGGTGGATATTATCTTTGGCCTCTTTGAGGGCTGGTGGTACTTTGACGATGGCCGCACACACGCTGTCACTCACGAATCTCGATGGGAGAAAGATCTCCAAGCTGTCGGATACGGTCATGTTGACTGGACTGACGGCGACCGTCCGGAAAACAAGCTCGAGCGGCTGATTGTGGCCTTTGCCTCGGGCGACAGGTATGAACGACTTGAAACCCCCCGACTGGTAAAGGGTCCATCAGCTGACCTTGTAGCACGGCAAGAAGTTGTTGATCGTTATATTTGCGATATGACCGCCGGTTTCGACGATGCTGTTAACGATTCTTCGATATCATTTTCTGGCGGTCAATCCAGTTATCCTAGTGGCCGGTGTGTTCTGGTGACGGGCGCCACGGGCAGTTTGGGATGCCATCTCGTTGCGAAGTTTGCGTCCTTGCCAGACGTGACTCAAGTTATCTGTCTCAATCGGCGGAGTCGACAGGATGCGGAGTCGCGCCAGACCCAGTCTCTTCTCAAGAAGGGTATCGTTCTCCCAACAGAGGCTGCTCACAAGCTCTGTGTCTTCGAGACGGACATGTCCAAACCACAATTAGGCCTATCGAGTGATGAGTATGAAAGCCTCGTCCGAAAGGTTACACATGTTGTGCACAATGCATGGCTCATGAATGCCAAGTGGCCGATCAAGAACTTTGAGCCACAGTTGCGAATCATGCGCAATCTGCTCGATTTCGCCCGAGATATCTCTATCATTCGACCCCCGGGCACAAAAGTCACGTTCCAGTTCATCTCTTCAATCGCGACCGTCGGCCATTGGCCCCTTTGGACCGGACGTCCAAGCGTTCCTGAAGAACGCATGACAATTGACTCTGTACTTCCGACTGGCTATGGTGACGCGAAGTACATCTGCGAGTTAATGCTTGATGAGACTCTCCATCGCCACCCAGACCGGTTCCGAGCGATGGCTGTCCGCCTCGGTCAAGTCGCTGGCTCCAGCACAAGCGGCTACTGGAATCCAACTGAGCACCTCCCGTTTGTGATCAAGTCCTCTCAGACTCTGAAGGCTCTTCCTGACTTCGATGGCCTTCTCTCCTGGACTCCAGTGAATGCTGTTGCAAGCACGCTTGTTGATTTGGCTTCGCTGCCGGAGAATGAGACGTTGTACCCAATTTATCACATCGATAACCCCATTCGCCAGGCATGGAAGGAGATGATCCCTTGTTTGGCCGAGACGCTGTCTATTCCGTCGACTGGTGTAATCCCCTTTGATGACTGGGTGCAGCGCGTCAAGGATCATCCGCGACAGGTGGAGGGTCCAGAAGGCGAGAATCCGGCGATCTTGTTGATTGACTTTTTAGATGCCAATTTCCTGCGCATGTCTTGTGGTGGATTATTGCTGGAAACGAAGAAGGCACGTGAGCACTCTCCCTCACTGGCAAATCTGGGCCCAGTTAGTGATGAAGTGACGATGTTATTTGTTGAAAGTTGGAAGAAAATGGGGTTTTTGGTTTGAGTTCTCATTGTTGGCTTAGTTTGCTTTTCTCAATGTTGTTTTTTTTTATATTTCTGCCTGCAAATTATAGAGTTCGGATTAGAACAGGATGCAGCAATAAGATTCTTTCTCAATTTATGCACAAGTTAAGGGTCTCCAAAAATCCGCGTAAGCTCACTAAGTGAATTAATCATAGTCAGGCGGCACGTTTTCGGGGCATCGATCCATCAGATCTCCATATGTATTTCATTATATTCTAAAAGAGAAACTATCGAGGTTACTAATTGGAAAAGTGAGGGAATCACGTGTAGGAATATTTTTCCTTGCTTTCTCTTGTTTGATTTGTTTTGTTTTGTTTTGTTTTGTTTGGATTCTCAGTGTAAGTCAATTTTTGGAATGTCACCCTGAGTCAAATTGCTTGGTAAAGGGTACCTGTATCAAAAGCGCCTTCTACACGAATTTCACTTCTTAGGGTCAAAATTTTAGTTGCAGACCCTTTTTAAAAAATTATCAAATATATTTGTAGAGATATGATAGGTGAAACCCCGTAGATCCCTCTTCGCTGTGTGCATCCATGATTGTACACAACCGTCCTATACCGTACATCATGCCCAGCTCGCAGTTTCCCTTCATGTATAAATCTACACGTCTTGTGTTCCCTTGATGTTGGTAACTGCAACTCCATCCTACATCACGTGTTAGTATCGGGGCTCGTGTGAAAATTGAAGGATAATTAGAAGACATACCCTTCCGAAATCAGTGTCAAATTCAGAAACAACGGTCTCATACACCAGGCTTGCATTTGGGTTCAGTGAACCAACATCAGACTTGGCGATAATATCCTTCTTTTGCTCTGGAGTCGCATGTACCCATTCCAAATATTTCGGCGCACCAGGCATAATCACATTATCCGCCAAAAGCAAAGACTTGCCCGGAGTCAACACCTTCAACCCCTCTAGCAACCATAAATCCGGCAAATATAAATCCTGCCAATGATCCATGAAAATTAACTCCACCAAATCAATCTCCTTCTTCTCCAGAATCAGCTCTTCCAGCACCTCGTTGCTAGAGCCAACAACAATTCGCACAACATCGCGTAGTCCAGCCAAATCCACCAGCTGGTTCGCAACAGCTGCCATTTCGGGATTCTTCTCGATGCTCAGGTACTGCTTTCCTCCATTCTTGCGGATCGCATCGCCGAATAGAATGGCAGAATAACCCACGTAGCCGCCAAGCTCGATCATCACGGATGGCTTACGCTTAGCAATAATGTCGGTGATGAAAGCGCCTTTGGTTAGGCCGACGTTCATGAGCTGGCTGAACTGGTTATGGTAATCATCAATTGCCGCGAGGACTTTATCTGGGTGTCCGCGAATCTGCTTGACATCCTTCCGAGCGAAGACATAGTGAAGAAGGTCGACCTCGCGTCCGTCCTATTCGCTGTTAGTTATAAGGCCAGGTTTGGGCGGGGGAGAGCCGTAAGCTTACCAGGGCCCATTTCAGGGCGGGGGGAGAGTTTGGCTTCGACGACATATTGGTGGCGTTGATGAGTAATGTAAACAGGTATGCAAAGAATTATCTGATCTTGATCTCTTGATCTACTTCGAATTTGATCCCTCTGTCTATCATTTATACATTCCCATTCACCGATTATTTACTTCGGACTTTGCGACGCACGGCCCAAAACGGGAATGCCCGAACCTTACGCCTAATTCGGTAACTCGAGATATCATTGTCCGAATCATTTTGAGGCTCGGATTTAAGGAATCTGACAGGGATCGACATAAGCGCTCAAGGCTAACTCAAATCAGTTCAAATTTGGGTTCGGCAAGCAGCCGTGAATTTGTCTGTTGTTTTTCTACGTTGTCCAATTTCTACTTTTCATGACATTGTGCACAGGCCATGGTATAGCCATGGGTCCTCCTCCACTACGTTCTAGGTTACATTTGTTTCCGACCGATGAGAATTTTTTTTTAGGATGCTTGGGTATACTTCGAGTCTCTCAGGTGGGAAAGTCGTAAAAGAATTGTGGTTCTCAATAAGATGACGGTGCCAGGGTAAGTCGATCTGCTCAAAATATATCTTACAAGTAGGGGGGTTTGGCATCAACAAATTTACAACCTTAGCATTTCAACGAACTCCAGGGCTACCGGATCTCAGCCACCTGCGCAACATTTGTAAGTTGAAAGTTCCGATTTAGTACTCCCAACCAGGTCCGCTGCAGATCAGGATGCTTCATATAATTATCTGGGCAGTCTTGATGATTCCTACTTGTTGTGATTTTGGCTGTGGAACCCGGAAAAGTCTCGAGATATTTAAAATATTCAAAAGCCAACATTGGGATGTTTATGTATACACACGTATATTTAACTTCATTCTAAAACTATTGTGAAATAATAGGGGAATAAAACCCATCAATTCTGAAAGTTCACAAAATCGATGGCATAATTGTTTAAAAAGCGAGGCAATAAGTGCCGACGAAAAGAAAAGCAGTTGGACTGATGCCAATCCAATTTCCTTCGTCCAATCATGCACGAGTATTATCCCCACCACGGCAGCCTTAGTCAATATGGGGCTGTACTGCCTATCCTGTCCGCTTACGGCAGGAAGGGTGTTGGCGCCAAGCACTCCCCCAAAACTTAACAATCTTCCGCTTTCATTTAGTCAAGCTTCGAGCCTCTGGAATTTAGTTCCGAATAGCCTAGGAAATAACAGCGGGACAACGCATAATGACATGTTTTCCTTGGCCAAGTTTTTTGGGAGCTGTCCCTGAATTGCTCTGCCAAGCGGGGCTCAAGGCAAACTGCGCAACACCCACTCCGTCAAAGCTCCTTGACCAACCCGGGGCCATTATCTCGTGCGGGTCCGGTATTTCCTTGATTTTCAACCAATGAGATCCGTGGCTTTGATCAGGATCCCACATGGCCGGAAGCGGACCCACGTTCAACTTACAACATAGTGCCGTGTCATTGGTGCTGGCCCCCAACCCTTCCCCGGTCAGGGTTTAACGGGACTGGCCAAAAGCATAGAGGACGAACTCGTTATCTTTTGCCTTCCAACCATGTTCATCCCCCTTTATCTGCGAAGAAGCTGGTAGTCCCTATTCTCTCCGGCTTCTTCAGCCATGCTGTTGCCCAAGTTGAGCCTGAAGGCCCGTCTTACCCTTCTGGCCGTTTTTTCTTTCGTTTTTCTACTCATCGTGGGCCGGTTGTATCGCGTAACCGACTACCCACTCAGCATTATCACCGGTGATAGCAAGAGCGATGTCCCAAAACCAGAACCGAACGAGGAATCGACGATAATCTACCAAGACCCTACGATATTGAAGAGCTATGATGACCCAAATGCCGTTCCCCACCCGATAGATCACTTGATCCGCGATGCCGATACGAAATGGGCAGATTTACGCGCGAAGCAGGTCTACAACCTGACCCAGGTCGCGGAGCAGTACCGCCAGCGCCGCGGACGTCACCCACCCCCGGGTTTCGATAAATGGTACGAATTTGCGAAATCCAAAAAGGCTATCTTCATCGAAGATTTGTTTGATCAACTTTACGATGACGTGAGTCCGTACTGGGGGCTGGATCCAAAAGAAATGCGCCGGCAGGCTTCTGGATTTGACCCGCGCATCGTTGTTCGAGATCACAAGCTCTCATCCGTCGGCCGTACGGGTGTCAACTGGCTCGAGGTCTGGATGAATATGATGAAAGAATTTGTGAAATTCTTACCCGACATGGATATCCCCCTCAACGGAATGGACGAGTCTCGGATCATTATTCCTTGGGAGAAACTCACCGAGTATCGCGAGCAGGATTTCGCTCGTCGCAAACCTATCGACCCTAGTAATACTACCGATCAGTACATGCAGCTTCCCGCCTTTGATCCAGAAGCGCTCCCTGAGTCCTGGGGCCCAGCCTGGGAAGGACCAGGTCGACCCTTCTGGGATATCATGCGCGATGCTTGTCCGCCTGAAAGCCCCGGCCGCAACTCCAACATCCCACACCTGGACTTTGCGAACCCACCCCGAGAATTCTTCAACTACAGAAACTTCTCGAAGACTGGCTATGTGGAGGACTTTGAGAAATCTAAGGATCCTTGCTGGAGAGCAGAGCTACAGGGAATGCACGGCAGTTTCATCGAACCTGTTTCCCTTTCCACATCCCACGAATTATTCCCGCTTTTTGGAGGATCGAAGTTGACAGTCAACAACGAGATCCTCATCCCACCAGCAATGTACTACTTCGACAACCCTATGTATTCAGGAGGATTCAAAAACAAGGGCGGCGCTTGGTCAAAAAAGAAAGACACCATCTTTTGGCGTGGAATTGCCAGCGGTGGCCGCGCCCGCGAAGACACATGGACAGGATACCAACGCCAACGATTCGTATCCATGCTCAATGGCACAACCATTTCCAAAACAAACGGATCCTCCTCACACGGAATAAACTTCCGCCAACCAGACTACCAATACTACAATGTCTGGGCAGGCATCGATGGCACACTCCCAGAGTTCCTCGACGAACATTGCGATCTAGGCTTCCTCGACCTAAAATGCTTCCCACCTGAAGACGGGTTCCACTGCTCATACCAAGACCCGTACTTCAGCATCGTCGAGGCCATGCCCATGAAGGAGCAATATGCCTACAAATACCTGCCCGATATCGACGGAAACTCGTTCAGTGGTCGATACCGTGCCTTCTTGCTGTCCACTTCCTTGCCCATCAAGGCTACAGTTTACAAGGAGTGGCACGATTCTCGCTTGATCCCTTGGGCGCACTTCGTCCCCTTGGACTCGCTGTACATGGATATCTATGGCATTCTCCAATACTTCATTGGGTACAAAGGACATAATGGCCATGATAGACAGGCAGAGAAGATTGCGATGAATGGGAAGCGTTGGGCTGAGGAGGTCCTACGATTGGAAGATATGGAAATCTATGTCTTCCGATTGTTGTTGGAATATGGTCGTTTGATGGACGATAACCGTGATACCCTTGCCTTTGTGGATGATCTATAAGCTTAATTTGAATCTCTACATAATGTGTACATAATGAATGACTTCTGCATCTCGCCAAAATTTGAACTACGTGCTATTAGAATATGTCCAATTGGTTCTAGGTTAGGGCTTCGCGTATGGAAACACGCCGCCTCGAAGGGCTTGTCGTTCAACTTGGAAGCTTCCAAGGTTTGGAAGCTTTGGTAGATTCTACCACAAACCCTATACCTGCGTAAGGTTTATGTATAACCCAGATATGGTCGATTATCCCATGGATCTATCATGTTTCGACACAGTCCTGATAATTGATACTCCGGACCTTGTTTACGATGATCAACAGGCCTTTACTTGAGATGAAAATCAACAAATTTACGTCTATTTGACTTGAAGTTGGAAAATTTTTCATGGGATCTTGTACTATTCGTAGTAATGGTCGCTGCGGGCGTACCAAAGCACGATAGCCATTCCGAATGATAGTTTAAATGTTTATCATACATCATGCATCGTAGAGTGAACCGGGAACACGTCATGAATCATAGGGGAAGAGGAAGAAAGGCAAATCACGCATGGCAGCTTAAGAGAAGAATTTCTGGGCGGCCTTGCGGTCCTTAGCCTCACGGTCCTTGACAGCCTTCTTGACCTTGTTGATCTCGTTGGTGATAGCCACATCATTGGGGGCGAGCTTAAGTGCCGCCTGAAGATCCTTAAGGGCCGAATCCTCCTCCTTCTGGCCGATCAAGGCAACAGCGCGACGGTAGTACGCCTTGGCCTTGTCGGCATCCTTAGCCTTAGCGGCATCAGCGATCTGGAGAGCGTACCCAGCCCACTTCTGGGCGTCGTTGAAGTTCGCAACCTTGTTAGCTAGCAGAGATGAGTTGGAGTGCAAGGTGAATCGAAGAGACTTCATCTGCTCGGCCACCTCCTTGTTCTCATCGTCCTCACCGGTTTCGGGGAACTCATTCAAGTATCGTAGACCCTTCTGGTATTTCTCGATACCCAGCTGAAGATCGCCGCTCTTGAATGCAGTGTTACCGAAACCCTTCAGGTCCGACGCAATCTTGAACGCGAGAGGCGCGGTAAGCTCTTCGGCCTGGTGGTCCTCGGGGAAGTCCTCGTATGGGTCGCCGGTGGCATCCTGAACGCGCTTGTGGGCATTCTCGTAGTCCTCGCCCTTGAGCTCCCCACAGTTCACAACAGTGACATCGGTCTTTGGCTTATCGGAAGCAGTCGCCATGTTCTCAATCTTGCGAACAATGCTCTTGCCATTGATCACCTCACCGAACACAACGTGCTTGTTATCGAGATGAGGGGTAGCCACGGTGGTCACGAAGAACTGGCTGCCGTTGGTGCCGGGGCCGGAGTTGGCCATGGAAAGCAGGAAGGGACGGTCATGCTTCAATTCAAAGTTTTCATCGGGGAACTTCTCTCCGTAGATGGACTCGCCGCCGGTACCGTTGAAAGCAGTAAAGTCACCACCCTGAATCATGAACTGCTTGATCACACGGTGGAAAATTGAGCCTTTCCGTCAACTTGTTAGCTGGTTGTTGCCTGCCATTGCCATTGCGGGGTCGTGGGGTCTAAAACAAACCTTTGTATGTCAATGGCTTGCCCTGTTGGCCGATTCCCTTCTCTCCGGTACAGAGGGCACGGAAGTTATCGGCGGTCTTAGGAACAACTGGTCGTGGGAGGTTAGCTATATGCTATGTGGCTGCGCGCAAATTTGTTCGGGGTCGTACCATCGTCAAACTGTGAAAGGCGCCGAGTTAGCTCCAAGTGCTCACTTATGACCAAACGAAGATCCTACCAATTCAAATGCAATGCGACCGGCCTCCTGCTGGCCAATCTTGATATCAAAGAAAACACGGGAGCGCTCTGATAGCTAGGTTAGTTACGGGTCAAATTCCTGCAAGTTTGCGGGCGGGACGATCGGAGAACGACGACCCCGCATTGGGACACATACGAGAGGTCGCCATGGCTGAATGTTTCCCAAGCGATGAGAGACTCAAGTGAGAGAGGAATGAGAAGAAAAAAAGTGGAGATAAAGATTGGGGGAAAAGTGGAAAGGAAGATCTTTGGAGTGAAGGAGAGAAGAGAAGGAAAGGAAGCTGTTAATTAGTGGGGAAGATTTGTTGCGGTTTCTTCAGGAAGCTTCCATATCAACCCATACTCCAATGCTATAATGCCTCATGACGGGTATATGCTAATATAATAATATGTACATGACCATGATTCCATAAATTAGTTTCATCCTTCTATGCCTTCTTTATTGTAGCAACTCTGGGGGTATCTTGAATTCAAATGTACGATTGATCGGCTCGTCCCCCTCCCCGCTCTCGTCGTTCGTGTCAGCCTTGGGCTCTTTAGGCTCCTTCTTCGGTAGATTGGTATTGATCTCAATAGTGACCTGTAAAACGAAATCATTAGCACGCAGACCCCTAGTGACGCGAAATGGACAAAAGCCGGGAAGGCAATATATACCGCCGCGTCTTCACTGCGGTAGTCAACACCCACTGGCCCATCGTTTTTTAATTCGACCTCCATCATCGCCTGGAAGACACCATTTTTCACTCGTTCAGGTTTATAGGAGGAGCTCATTTTGTTGTAGAAGTGATCGTAGACCTTGCGGGCAATCTCGGGCTTGGCTGCATCGTGGAAGTCAGGTTTGTTGCCTTTCTTCATCTTACCATAGAGGGTAAACTGTGAGACTAGATACGAGACAGTATTAGCAGTGCAATGATCCGCGCATGGATTGGAGACACATACCACAGAGGACCTCGCCCTCTATGTCCTGCACGTTCTTCTTCCACTGTAAGGGTGGTTAGGACTTGGATCGCAGAATCAAATTTGGATTCATGGGTGCCAACCGGTTTGCCATCTTCATCTGGCCAGAATTTTGCCTTGAGCACCTTATTCACGAGATTCTCCGCTTCCTTCTCGGTATCATCGTGACCAATCCCTGCAAAAACCAGAAGTCCGCGGCCAATAGACGAGATCAATTCTTCATCAACGGTCACCGAGGCCGATTTGACTCTTTGGATAACAACTAGGAAAGGATTAGCAGGGAAACAAGGGCTAGTGGAAGAAGTTCATTGTGCGCACTCTTCATTTTGAATTGGTGGGGAGGAAGGAATCTAAGTTCTATACCAGATTAGCCTAATTAATCTTGAAGGGACGCGCCACAGAACCACTTCACCGCACCTTCCTCTTGTCAAAGATTGTGTCGCCTGTTGATTTCAAGCTCAAGCGTCTTTGTCTAGCTGTTTTTATTATGTTCGCCTTTGATTTAAGATTCAAGTCGTTCGCTTCTCCCCCAGCTTTCACCCTGCCCGTTGCCACCGCCTAACTATATGGCCAGTACTTACCGCCTACCTAGATAGGTAATACTGGAAGCTTTGCAAGTGAGAGCAAATGCATCTCTAACCCACTTCGACTCCGCTTTCTCCCTTGTTGTCACAATCAGGGAACCCCCCGACAAACTAGACTTATCTTCGCTTGACCATTGTGCATTGACGAGCCCGTCGGCCGAGCTTGCACTCTGAATCTACCCCCACTGTATCGCCTACCCCGGTCCAGTCCGCACACTCCGGCGCGCCATGGCGTCCCGCAAAACGCAACAAGAGATTGAGAAGACCTTCAAGAGAGTTGCTGAAGGGATTCAAACATTTGAGAGCATTTACGAGAAGATTCGCTCCGCCACAAATCCCACCCAGCGCGATAAACAAGAAGAGAACTTGAAACGCGAGATCAAGAAGCTCCAAAGGTTTCGGGATCAGATCAAGTCATGGGCGGCAGGCAATGAAGTCAAGGACAAAGCTCCATTATTGGAGCAGCGAAAAGCGATTGAAACAGTAGGTGATCATTGTTCCAGCTGGAGCATTGAAACTCGAGGCCCTGGCGGCTAATGACTCGAACAGTGCATGGAGCAATTCAAGGCGGTCGAGAAGGAGATGAAGACAAAAGCCTACTCCAAAGAAGGGTTATCAGCCGCGCAACGACTCGATCCGCGAGAAAAGGAAAAGGTGGAAGCTGCCGATTTCCTTTCTACCATGGTGGATGAGCTTGGACAGAAAATCGAGGCCATGGAGGCAGAAGAGGAGACATTACATGCGCAAATGAAGAAGGGCAAGAAGGATATGTCCAAGGCCAATCGAATGGCTGACCTTTCGCGAGTGACCGAGCGACATAAGTGGCATATCAACAAGCTTGAATTCCTCATGCGGTCCTTGCAAAATGGCAATTTGGAAGTGACCCAAGTGATGGACCTAAAAGAGAGCATTACTTACTATGTTGAGGAGGGTGGTAATGTCGATTACTCCGGGGAAGACGAGACACTCTACGACGACTTGAACATTGGTGAAGAGGTGGAGGCTCAATTTGGAATGGGCAACGAGAACGATCGGGTATCATCGCAAGATGCCCAGTCCATTCAAGATGAGGAGCCGGAGCCAAAACCTAAGCCGAAGGCAGAACCCCCGACGACTCGAAGACCATCAACACAGATGAAATCCCCGCTTCCTGTTCTCGCTACTCTCTCTTCTACTTCCTCCAGTGCCACCCCTGGCATGAAACCTGCACCACTCCCCACTCGCCTCCCTGGAGAGACGTTGAAGTATGCTTCGGCTGCGGCTGCTGCGGCTGCTAGTGACAAGAGTGGAGTTGGGATTCTACCACTTCCCCCACCACCTGGTGCCAGCCCAGCCTTCTCGGCTGCTCTTCCCATCTCGAAGGCATCGTCCGTTGCCTCCCCTAGTGTTGCCCATGTGCAGCCTGCTTCCAGAGCGCCTAGTGCTGCCATTCCCACACCCTTGTCAGAAGAGCCCGCTTTCGCTACCCGATCTAAGACCCCCGGTGGAACAGGTGTATCCGGTACCTCATCACCAGCCCCAGCCGCTCAGGCAGAACCTTCCAAAGAGCCCACAACGAACGGCAAGGTCACACAGGATGGTGAGAGCAATGAGTCAATATACCACTTGCCTCCGGGTCTTCAAGATTTGGTACAATCCTTCGAGGTGACCAAGCAGCGTTCGTCGAATGACCCTTCGCCTGCTGTTCAAAGACTTTTGGCCGCGTCCCTCCAAAATTGCCCTGAGGCTGGAGATGCGGAAAAACCTCGTCATTACAAGCCCCAAAATCCTTACAACACTCCCCTGTATTACCCGCAGGAACCTCTCCCCATCTTTGACGACCCCCGTCTGTATGATACTGGCCGCATCGACACTGATACCCTCTTTTACCTCTTCTACTACCGCCAAGGATCTTATCAGCAATATCTGGCAGCCAAGGCCCTTAAGAACCAAAGTTGGCGCTTCCATAAGCAGTACCAAACGTGGTTCCAGCGACACGAGGAGCCGAAGAACATCACCGAGGAGTTCGAGCAGGGCACCTACCGTTTCTTCGACTATGAGAGTACCTGGTATGTTCACGTCTCCCGATGATCTTAATACGGATGTTCCACTTTTAGAAGTAGCACGTGCTGACTATTTGCCCGACAGGATGAACCGGCGCAAGGCTGACTTCAAGTTTGTGTACAAATATCTCGAGGACGAATTATGATGCGTCTTTGTATGACAAGGCGTAGCAACCTGGATCTACGAAACCCCTACCTCCCGCGCTATGGCCAAATAACAAGTGTACTTTTTTCATCCCCGGAAAAAAATCCCCGATAGATGTGTCATGGGGTTGGGACCTGGGCAGGTTTTGGTGTTCCTGATTTGTTTCCGTTATATGTTTTTGTTTTTATTGTTTTCCAATGATGCCAGGACACGGCATCGGGCAATGAGTACAATGAATGGGTCTCCGGGAAACGGGAGTTCAGTGCTGTTTTGAGTTATCCCCAGCTGTTCGCGAATGAAACGAGACTTTCCAGTCATTGCGGCTTTTTACAGGATCCGGGGAAGTGTAGGCACCCCGATTCCTCAGTATGTGTACAGTAGGTACCTACAGCAGTCTGGACCAACCTGAGGCTCCGGACAAAAGTACCTGTAGCTTTCGTCCAATGGATATGACTTCATTTTACCTAAGAGTGCCCGACATCCCGGATATGCATGCAGCTCGAGTCTACCGCCCACTTGGACCCAATGAAACGTGATGCCTCGGTACGAGAAAACAACAAGTCACTCCCTATCACTGGAACCTGGATAGGTACCAATCCCGTTTGTACGTGGGTCATAATCCACAAACATGCATGAAGCAACTTCGCTAGCCAACCTTCCAACGTGCCGACCAGTCACAGGGGCTGTGAACCCCAAAGTTGCCAAGCCGCCTCACCTGTAGCCTGTAGGAACCAGGTGCATCTCATTCCCCGCTAGTACTTCTCAGGTCAGCTTGGCGCGCTAACCCGTTAGTGGATGCGGGATTTTTGGTTTTCTAGAAGGACTGGGATCAGAGAACAGGGGCTGTGCGGACGGGTCCCGGGATTATTATTATATCATGTCGATCTGTTCACTCCCCGGATTGGAAACCTGTAAAGTAGCCCTGCCGTGCTTGGCTTGGCGATCGTTTGCGATTCCCTAGATCGGTATGACTTCATTTCGGCACGCCATACCCGAGGGTAAATAGAACGTGATCTACTGTATACGTAGGGAATAGATGGGTTTTGTTTATTTTTTTTCCCCCTGGTCTTCAAGGCAAGAGTGTGAAACTGATAAGTCATGTACAAAATATGTTTGACATTCCAATGAAATAATCTGCACTGCAGTCATCTGTCCCGTAGCGCCACAGCAGCCATCCTGAAACGAGGAAAAAGACGAAAAAAGCAGACGGAGGGGGCCAGCAAGGATGCCACGACGCTAGAAGTCTTCCAGAAGCACACTAAGACCTAAACGGAGAAGATCAGCCTTCCCCTCCAGTACTTTCGGAGGCAAAAAAAACAAGAGAAGAGGGTCGAGCGTAATGCGCTGCATCGTCTGACCGCTAAACCGATTTCCTTGGTCATTTAGGCCCTGTGCGATTCCCAGTACAGGCTTATCGGGGCCATTACAGTCCTTGCTGGCATTATAATTGGTTCATCCAAGCCACTTCGCCAATCACGGTTCGACTCTCGGGCCTCGCCGCTAGAAGGCTTGTGGAAGAGACGTGGAATGTTCTTTTCGGTCAGCACTGGGACTGAAAGGCAGACTAATGCAACCCGTTCGAGGATCCACGAGTGTTTGCAGAAATTCCCGCACTGATCTCCCTTCAATGACGCTGCTTGAGAGCGGGGGGCTGTGTGGAACTCCACCACTCGCGGTGCGTTATTCGAGGCTTGAAGCCATTCAGAAGCCATTCAGGCCGGACCGAGTTGTCTGCTTCTAGGATTTGGACAAGTTCGTGTTGATTTTCGAGGCATTTTTAGCGCTTAGCTTGCGATACATAATTTGTTTAAATGAAAGTAGATTTCCCCTTGATTGACGTATTTTCTGATTACTTTTCTTTTGATCTTCAAGTCCATCGCCCCCAAACAATAACGTATTTTCTGGCATTTCGAAGGATTCGTCTCACAATGGTCGGTCAAACCCTAGTCACTAGTCCACCCCCTGCGCTTTCATGACTTATTTAATCATTTAATGATTTTTTACTTTTCACTTTTCTTTTTGGGATTTATGACATTTTAAGAATTAAAATCTGATTTCTTTTTATTTAGACTGCCATTCCACCTTCAAACCCACTTCCTATCTTCGCCTTTTCTCCCTCTCGCGATATGCAGTCCTCCTACTCATCTTCCTATTCATCATCCTACTCATCCTCTCCCGGCGGTATGGATTTCTTCTTTCGCGGTCCGTCTGCCTACGACAACCTGTGCGATGTCGACGGCAGCTCATTTACGACCCCGGATTTTGCGCCGGAGTTTGTCTCGGAGCCTTATAGTTACTCCTTCACAAGTGCGCCAAACGCGCCTGCACCATACATTTATGGTTCTATGAATGAAATCCCCGTCTACGATACTTCACTCATGGCAACCGGACTACCCAGTAGTCCTGCCGCGAGTAGCTGTGGAAGCTCATATGGAAGCTTCAACATGCACGAGGAAGTTGTCCCAATGCCCAGTTTCCCTCTTGCTCCAGAGGATTCGGGTCCCGAGTCCCCACCCGCTCCATCCAAGTAAGCCCACTCCCACTATACATTGTCGCATGCCACAACGCATCATGCAACACATCATGAACTCGGTCGCTAATCTTTCTTTTGTGAAGACCAGCTAAGCCCTTCGGTTGCGACGATTGCGGAAAGGCTTTCACACGCTTTGCGGACTTGAAGCGTCACCAATCCAGCGTCCACTACCCTGTATTCCGCAACTGCCCTGTCGAGCACTGCTCCCGCAAAGGTGCCAATGGATTCCCTCGTCAGGATCACCTGGTTGAACACTTGCGTTCATACCACCATCTCGATGTGCCGAAACGGCGGGCCTTGAAACGCTCCGCCAAGGATATGGCTTGACGGTGCTAGCCTTGTGCGACAGCCTCGTGCATCACCCCTTATTCCCCATCTCATCCCTTGCTTCAACCCCGATCTCCGATCCATTTCCACGCGATACGCTACACGCTACACACCATTTACCGATTTAACGATTCCATGATGCCCATTATCCCCCATTTGCTTTTTCTGTTTTTCCGTTAGGCTTCCATTGGCGGCGCTATACCTGATTCCACCATCGCATGTGCGATTCTGTTTGTTTTAGTCCACGCTTGTTCTATAGACTACTGTCCATTTTTGGTTTCGTTTGTACAAGACACGAGCTTGTTCTTTATTCCCTTCCAGTTTTACATGTTTTTGGTTTTTGGGTTTGGATGCACCAATAGACGACAGGGATTATAGGCGATAGACAGTTCCTTTTCCCTGGTTGGGATACCAGTTCCCACATTTGACAAGATTCATAGCGACGATCGCGATGGTCACATAACTTCATTGCATGAGAAATCAAATCATTCGGCAAAGTCCGTATAAATTCAGTCTTCCCTCTATTTCCGTTTTGCTTTTTCCTCTCGTTTTCACCCAGGTCTAGGCCACAAGGAACGACACAATCCAATGGTTCCAGTAACTTTGGAACCAGTAGGGTATCATGGCACCACCCCGAATCCACAAACAAATGACTCGCGACTGCCGTACGACCTCAAACAGACACTACTGCACTAGCCCATAAGTAGTATTTGCACACCCGGATCTACCGAAGACCAATCTAAGCGCACCCTCCTATAGGTTAGATGAAAAGCAATTTATGCATCCCGATTTCAGGAACCTGCGACCATACCGCTTGTGGAAAGCAATCGCACCAATCAGCCGGGTCGATTTCGATCACAAAAAGCAAACAAAGAAAAACTCGTTAGCCAAACCCACATATTGGCGCTCGAGATCTCGAATTCTTCTCTCGCAGGTTCGGACTTGCCTCTCCGAAAAGGGGCTTTATTAGATTTAGGTACAACCCCAGGTATCCGAATATCTGACTTGCTTTCTCTGGTGTCCTGCTTTTTCTGTATGTAGAAACTTCACGATATAGTTGACTGTAAATAGAAAATGTAGAATCGTGTTGGCAAAGAGGAAGACAAAGAGAGATTTGGTGAATGTAGCGGCGAGTCGTACCATTTCCCCTATCAAGGAAACTTTACTGATATCATTATTCTGCCACAGTATTGCATAAAAGGTTGACCGGGGGGTTTGTCGATCGCATCGCATCCTCCACACCGGTAATACTCCACTCAGCTGCCAAGACGATTTACGTCGTTAAGCGTAGTGTTTTTCTTTCTTGCGTCACTGCGCATGAACAAATGATATCGCATAGATTACTTAGTAGGGAAATATTGAGCCAAATACCCACTAGGAGATTCCAAGTGTCCTGTATCACGGCGTACTAATTTTACAACGGGATCTGCACATCTCAACGCGGTCTCAGACCCCATCCTCTGTTTTGGATTTCCTAAACAAGTGGGGTTGGGTCTTTCCACCATAATTAAATCACAAGGTGAATGAATGCCTGTTCCGATGTCACCAATTATGGCAGGTGCGATGTGGATACCCGCGGACCCAAATTGCCATTAGAGGCCAATATCTGTCGACTTATCCGCCTGTCGCGCGTAGTGCCGTATCGCGTATATAAAAATGGCCCCCATCGCCACTTGACCCCTGTGGCGACGAGGCTCCAGGTTTCTAAGTAGAGAACACTTTAAAATGATCACGGTGATGATAATTTTGGGATGACAGAGATTTCTGCTCCTGCCGTTTACGAACAGGGTTCAGGTCTTGTCAGGCAGCGAAGCCGTTTCGTGTAGGTGGATCTAGTGCTGTTCTCGTGCTCTTTTTGGTATAACTTATGGATACACAGAATAAGATTTACGCGTGGGTCTAGAAGTATGGAATGGGACCGGAAGAAAACGGATTGCAGGGCCAGGTGGCTCCATATTGGGTGCGTACTAAACCAAATAATTTACACAGATACACTAATTCTGCACTCTTCACTGCCATTTGACCCAGCAAAAGATTGCCTATAGTAAGCCACAAACTTGAGATCGCAAATGGTATCTTGAATGTCGCTTTTTGCGATTGACCAAATTATAGCGAACACTAGATTGACTGAAGCCGCCAAAGCAAAGACTTGAAAGTTGACCGTTCTTCAATACCAGTCTTCTTGGAAATTCATACCCCATCCGATAGTTCCCGATGACATGATGCACTGAGGTGGCCCAACCTCTTTGACCCACGCTTCGAATGAAGATGACTGAATTAAAAGTCAACCGTATCATACTGAGTGCTTCTTATCATAGTTACGACTGCTAGTTCTCTCAATGCTAGTGACTATATCAATTCACGTCGCAATGGATACCTTCTCTGGATAACTGAATCGCGTAGCTGAAGAAGAACTGGATCAGTTTCGACCTATTTCTCATCTGAAAAGAGACGAGTGATCTTGAAATGTACGGTACGATGCGACAAAGCTCCCGACTAATACGAACGAAATCTTTTAGAACACGAATTCACGTTTTCATAATGAATATGTTGTTAGGACTAAGTGACTAGCCACGTAAGGTTTCATCCAAAAGTTCCGTATCTTGCTCATTAGAGGAAAGCAAGTGGCGTCTTGAGTCATTGTACAAGGTGACTCGACGAGGCAGTAGGATCACCCTATTCGTCCGGCTGATCAGTAGTCTGACCTCCCTTCCGACCTGCTTCCTTGGCTCTCTCGTCCCCGGGCTTGAAGCTTCCACTGGAAGCGTGACCTCCCTTAGACGCAATATCCCTCTTCAAAAAAGTTTTAGTTATTGAATGTCATATAATAAACAATCTCACTAACCTGCTTATCGGCATCCATCGAAGCAAATCCGCCCTGGTGGCTAGACTGCCCACCCTTCTGAGCGATATTCTGGACCTCTTCATGAGGTCGGTTGGCGAAGTTACCAGGGTTGGAGTTGTCAGACATGGTGGCACGTGTTAAGTATGTTGGTATTATGCTGAAAATTATGAGATTGTGTGGAAGCTGTGGAGTGTAAAGCTGGGGAAGACACTGCGTATTTATGTGTTCGACCCGAGTTATGAGAGGTCATAATGGAGCTTGGTTTCACCTTGACTTCGAATCTTCCCCGGACGCTAATGAGATCACACTGACCATTCTCTGACGAAGTCAACCTGCTCTTGTGAAGACAATAACAATGCCAGGTTTGCTGGTCTCGTGTTCAAAGCTTAATAGTTGGATGTCATTATTATGATTCTTTAGAGTCTATGATGAAGCCTTACCGATCGATGGATGAAAAGCAAGGAGAAAGACAGAAATCATGGAATGAGTATGCATAATGAGATTGAATACTGTAAATTGAGCAGGTTTACTCGAGTTGTAATTCTCTATTTTATTGGTCGAAATTCCGGCCCGCCTACCCGTAAGCAGGTAAAGGTGATCGATCGCCCCACACTGGGAGCTCGGTAGGCTTGATCAACCATGGGTGCGTCCCCACTACTACGTCTAGAATACGTGAGCTAAAAAGCAAATCGATTGATTCCGATCGATCGTTCAGATAGCCCCCAGTAGTCGTCATTTAGGATAATAGCTAACCAAGATCGCAACGCCAACTTAAAAGTAAGAATGTCTAATATCTGCACGATTATCCCAACATTACTTGGTTTTTCGGTCATCCTGAAGCTTAATTGCAATGCCAATTTAGAGGTCACGTATTCAGACCAATCTACAATCTTTCGACGTTGTTTACTATGGAACATCACGAACTGATTTTCGTAATATTGGTATCATTCCATTGCGCGATATAGAAGCTGATATGTATATTACCTCCTAACTACCTTTATAGAATAACAATATTGAAATTCTCTATGACCAAGGAAACATAGTCAAAGCATGAATTTATTGGAATTAGATATTTTTGGTTCCATTTATAAACGAGTGACTCGTAGAGACTAATAGAAAAAGAAAAATTGCAAATCAGTCGGCAGCCGGCAGATCATCCTCGTCTGGTCCTTCGTTATATTTATTCGAAGTCTGAGGCTTCGCATGGCGGAGGCGATCTCCCCTCAAAATGTTGGACTTGTCAAGTGCCTCGTTTTCATCCTCCTCTACTCTCCATTAATGGCTTGACTCCTTGCATGGTGATCAAAAGTGATGTTCAAACATACCGAGCTGTTGATCTGAGTTGGAGTATGGAGGTTGCATGGGGTCTTCAATTTGCGCATTGTCTCCTTGGACAGGAACTTGATCTCTCAAGCTTGGATTGGTCTCGTTCGCATAGGAGTTGTCTGTGAAATCTCCGGTTACAGGCGAGGAATCGTTGTTCTCCTCGTATTGATCCTCTGCAATTCTTTCGGCGCGGTTCGACATTTTGAGTTGTGATGTAGTGTTACCAGAAATTTAAAGTGCATATATAAGTCGGATGATTTGGGAGACGTCTGAAGATTATATATACCGCTTTATGGAATTATAGACCTGGTTTTGACACCAGAAATTACGTAGTCGAAGCTCTTTTGCGGTAATTATTGTAGCTGTATTGCCTTCCTGACGCATGAGATACGTAATATGAAGCTGGTGGCAACCACATATCGAGATAGATCTGTCTGGAATAGACTTTGCCAAGCGAAATGGTAAAACAAGCTAATAGCGAGTGCAAGGCAAGCATTACCTTAGGCATTAACAAAATATAATCCTGTTTGAAGCTATCCAAAAACCTGTCTTGGACATCGAGGCCTTTTCCGGCTTGGATCCTCGTAGCGAAAACGAAAACAAGAGGATGAAATGGAATGCTACCCTGCATTGATGATACCGTACTCAATTTACCCAAAATACAGGACATCGATCAGCGATTTGCGTTTGAAAATCGGCCAGTCGACATTGGTCCCGCTCATTACATAGCCATCGAAGTCTACGTAGCAATCAATCTAGCTGCGCTGCACATTAGCATAGCTCAGCTAGGATTACGGTCACACTGGGCCAGCTGCCTTATGCAGCGAGCGAAATACTATTAGTTGCCCCCCATATTTCGATGCCTCCTTCAATGCAGCCCCAACCACCATATTCAACGCGATAGACGGCATGGCCCGTTCTAACCACTCAGACGGTCCATACTCTTGAAAATGGCCGAATAGTGTCCATGGTTGAATCGGCCATAGCTGACGATTTGGCGGCAAGCAAACAGTACGCCGCGAGATTAAATAAGCACCTAGAGCCTGATGGTTTACATTTCTGAAGTTATGTGCATTAGTCAGCTTGGTAAAGGGTGCTTAAACAGTCGATACGACAGGGCCCGTCATGATCTGGTACTTCTTTTCATTTATATTATTCGGCTTCGGGCATCCACGTCTCCACTCATGGTTGTTCGATACGAGGAGTCCTCGCGAGACTTCACCCACAGGATCCAAATCGGGTATTCAAGCCAGGAGCCTCTGCTATCTATCTTTTGAAACAGCTACAACAACCCAAGTGACACCTTTTTGACGTGGATCTAGTCATGGTTACGGACAAATTGCTCTCCTTTCTCTACCTTTTTTTCCACCTAATACCTTTATCTACCAAGTAACGAAATTAGACTTGCTTTCTGGGACTGCTCATAGCAGCTATATTCAATATCAAAGGAGAATTGTCCGTGTAAGACTCTGAAATTGAGTTCAGATCCCGCATGGTATATAGCTTTTAAGCTGACCTCCCTCGCACTTTGAGATATCTGCGCGGTTCGCTTTTAGGTGAATGGGGCATTGCCTGCGATCGGCACGAGAAGTTGGATGATGTGCTCGTTGAAGGGTGCTTCCAACAATTTCAGATAAGAGGTCCTCGAAGGAAAGCCCATTTATCTTCGCCGATGCTGGCAATGGTGAATGGCCTGGAAGAAGGCCAGCAATGGGATTCACCTGAAGGAACCCATGAGCCATTTTGTATTTCGATATGATGAGGGTTATTGTAGTACTCACCTCCAACACGTTCGGGATGGACCCTTGTTCATCTGAACTGAAGCGGATGTCGACACGCCCACTATCCCGGCACTTGAATACTTTCCAAGTGTCTAAAGCAACCTGACAGGCAGCTTTGATTTGAGGTTCGTTCATGTCATGCGAGTCATTGTATACTAACATCTTACCTCCCTTACTGGACTTGCTGTGTACGCAAGCGAAGTCCAGCGACGGATTTGAGCGGTAAGCATTGTCGTTGCTATGATTGGGAAACGTTTGCCAGATATGTTCTCTGATGCCAATAACCCGGCTATGTGCTCCAGTTCCCAGTATGCTCACCGTGAATTCCCTGCCCGACAAGAATGATTCCACAAGAACATCTTGGTCTGGGAATTTGGAACCTATTTCCTGTACTGCTAGGTCCAGTTCCGCTGAATCATTCACTTTGTTGAAACTATCGATTCCTTTCGAGGATCCTTCGCTGACCGGCTTGATAAATAGTGGATAAGCCGGCAGTGCCGCGCAAGATTCAGAAATGTTCGCCTTCCCCTCCAGCATGGAAATCAAGGCAAAAGGTGCGTTAGGAATCTTGTAACGGTCTAGGATAGTCTGTTGTCATGTTTTAGTTAGCCTGCGCGGAGGGTGTTTTGGTTTTGTCAAGGCACCTTTGTGATAGCTTTGTTCTGGCATAATGTCATTGTCGCGGCATCACTGAATGTATAAGGAATTTGATACGCTTCCAAGATCGCCGGGACCTGTGCCTCTCTTGCAGATCCATAGACGCCTTGTGACATATTGAAAACCAGATCCCAGCTCTTGTGCTTCCCCGCCGCTAGTAGCTGGACCAGGGATTGTATGCCAGGTACCCGCGTGACATGGTAGCCCAGACTCTCCAGTGTAGTCAAGACAGCATCAATTTCACCTTCATGTGGGAGCGCCGCGCACTGCTCTTCCGAATAACCGAGCTGTAGATAGGTCGACTTTTCTTCGGCGACCAGAGCTATGTTGAGGCAAGGGATGTTCGCTTCACCCATCATGTGACCGAGAACTAACCAAGGTAAAGTATATTGCTGCTGGAACAACTCGCTGGAATATGATATTAACTGAGTACGGTCACTACTGGAATTATGATGGTAAATTGCGATCGAGTGGAATTTATTAAGCCCATAGCCTGCTATGTTGATGGCGTGCTTGGGTGGTATCCAGAGTAGCCTGGAAACGTCATGACTTGGAATTCTTGTTTTATCTCACATCCCATTATTACACTGTTTATGTCATACTGTGTCGACGTGACGTGAATACTGACTGATATGTGAAGTTTTTTGGGGGGGAAATTAACTCGGTGAAAATATTGGCATGTCATTTCCAGAATGTGATGGACAAGTCAGTACCTGTTCCCATCGACCCGGCCCTTCCGATCCAGTCGGGAGTCCGTATTTGGGATTCCCCTAGTGTAACCTTTCTCAATAATGCTCCTAAACAATAAATTCACGCAGAGCTTCGAGTGGTACTGCTATCAAAAAGCCCCAATTCCACCTTTCGTTATCGCTTTCTCTCTCTCGACGGGAACAACCTTGAGAAGTATTGATCCAAACCAGCCGTGTCCTCCATACTGCCTATCCATGCGACGTGCTGATCCGGCCGACACAGTACGAGACATCCTGAGCCGCCCTTATCAATGCCGTATCCATTGTAAGCTTGGTCCTGATCATCAGCAAACGTTTTCCAGTAATCCCAACCCATTACATCATCAAACGGGTGGAACAGTTCTGGAAGATCAAGCAGATTGACTGCGCCCCTAGGGCATGACTGTATGAGAAGCAATTCCACGTTAGGGCAGCTCCATTCCGGACTTTGTATGCGTTGTAGGTGGGTGAGGTGAGAGTGTTCGCTGAAGTAGTCCGCAAAATCGGTCAAAGCTTTCATCCTCGCGGGCTGGCGTAGATCACCCGGAAACACCAGAATTCTCCACCATCCGTCACTCGTCAGCTTCTGTGCCAGATGCAAAGGCACTCCATCGCACATTTGAACGACGAGGAAAGACGGTAAACGCATGCCAAGCTCGATGTTCCTAGCAACGTCTAAATCATCGCCTTTCTTTGTCTTGGCGATCAAGGTGCTATGACTATAGGTCACGTCGACTCCGGCCATAAATCCAGCATACTTCTCGCGGACTTCGTAAATTCCGCTTGAGGTATCGTTTTCCTCTTTCTCATATGCTTGCACCAGACGTTCATCCAGATCCATAAGCTTTTCGGCGACCGGACGCCGTTCACTGTCATATGTTTCTAGTATAGAAGGGTCTGCGCCATTTGCAATAACTGCACCCAATTTCCATATTAGATTATATGAATCTTGAATGGATACATTCATGCCCTGCCCTCCCTTTGGGGAGTGGGTATGGGCGGCATCGCCAGTGAGAAAAACACTTGAAAGTTTATAAGTGAATGTCCTGCATATTATAAGGGCCTACTGCTTACCGCGCATGTGGTCTGTATTGCCTTACAAGGCCTCGACCTATCTATAATTCCATTATTAGCATGAAGTTCTTAAGTTTAGACGGGTAGCCTTACTGAATAGATTGACCACCAGTCACACCGGTTATACGTCAGTCTATACGGCTTCATTAAGCTCTCGGCTATTTCTACCATAGCTGTGGGAGAACTGCTGGGGTGTTGTATGACTTTTTCTCTCAGCTCCCCTTCAAGCTGAATATAAAATCGAACTATTCTGTTCTCTCTGGGTACGGTCATGATACTTCCATGAGGTTGAGAGTCTATTGAGCAGGATTGACGGATATCAGCTGGAATGAGTGGTCAGTTGAAGCCTCCATGCGCAGGGGGAACAACACAAACGGAAATCAGTTATGGGCACTATGTCTAGTACACCCCAGGATGAATCTTCTGACACTGAATCAGTCTGGATATCTAGCTGGTCCCTGACCCAGCTGTGCGCGCCATCGCATGCAATGAGATAGCGCGCATGTATGGTTTCTTTCCATGCCAAATCACCAGATTAGCCCAACTTCAAAGTCACTTTTCTTCAGTCAAGAGTTCACGCGATAAATACATACCGTATGTTCCCGCACACCTGACTCCCACAACGACCGGAAACTGTTCTCCTTCGTCAACATCGGCAGGAGAGAGATGCAAATGTTCAGCCACACTGTGCCTCTCCACTTGAACGTCCTTGTCATCTAGATGGTCAAGAAAAACTTGCTCCACGGCCCCTTGGTTGAGCAGTATTTGCCCAAATCTCGACCTTTGTTCAGTGCTCTGTTCGTATGTCCTACGTCGCTCTATTTTGCCCGTTTCGTTATTGGTTGACTAAACGTCAGCGACGAACAAATAGTCCAAATTTAGGCCTAGTACTTACCCAATGAGACATGTCGACATTGTGGATTCCCTGCTTCAATATCGAATCGACGATGCCAAAGCTCTCTAGTATCTCTAGAGACCTACTTTGTAACCCATCGGCATGGCCAGTTTCCGTCCGACCTTTCTTTTGGTCAATAATCCGAGTTGACATTCTGTATTGCGCTGCCCAGCATGCAGCCGTGAGGCCTGCTGGCCCCGCTCCAATGATTAATAGATCAACATAAGAGGTAGAAGAGCCCATTGTAAATTTCGACGGTGTGCATTCACACTACTCCATAGTGAGTTACGAGTATCTCAGCGTCGGCCGCTCCAGGTCTGCCAGAGACCATTCCAGAATTTAGCAACGTCATAATGACCCAAACTTGTTGAATCCTGAATCTGTGGGGAAATATCCAGGTAATATATGCCTTGATTTTCGTGGGGAGAAACTCTGAAGTCTTTAACAATTTCTGACATCATAGTGAGCGACTATCCGATACCGAACACAGCCAGATTACAGTATGTGGCAGCAAAATGGACCCATATTCTGCAGAAATACATATATTAATCCCATCACTTTCTAGAACTCTTGACATTGTTCATAGCATCGCTCAATTTGGTATTCACTTCGCCAACAAACACAATGATGAAGAGTGTCATTTCATCTACTCGCGCTATGCGGCGCACGCAACTTCTGAATACATCCAGTAAGATCTATCGACCGTGATTTAGCCAAGTCGCATGTTTTGCTAATTAATACAGAATTGGCTTCCACATCGAGGCCATTCAGCATTTCCACCTCGCTCGAGCAATCTTCCGGCATGAAAAATCCAGTTTCCAGCTCACCGGAATCACAACACGTCAATGCTTCCCGAGGTCTGGAAGATCGGGCGGATGACACTGCCGATACGCGATCCGTGCAGTCTCCAGTAACTAAGCGCGATCCATTGGAGAAAGACAGCGAAGCACACGCGGGGGAGGAACAAACATCGACAGACGCACAGATCAAAAATGACCCTAAAAAGCCTGCGGAAGCAAAAAGAAAGAATGTTGAAAAGGCAGGTCAAAAACCCATGGGACCTGAGGATCATCAATAGGTCGCTCGATCTTTACTCTCCAGTTTGTCATGTGTGTAAAATGGGTCTTTGTTAGTTTGATCTTAAACAACAAAAATCAATACGATGCATATCTCTTTGTCATGACGATACTATCCAATATTGTGTCGATCGTAGTACGCCAAGTTGGCGATATAAATCTCTAGCACTTGTACGATTGAAGCCATTTTCACGTTCAAAAGAATGGACAAGGATCTCATCTGAAGAGAAGGAACGTGCATTCAATGAATTTCCAAGGTTTCCAAGGTTGTTGATACACAGAAATGTAAACGTCACAACGACCTGGATAATAAGATGGAACCGTCGGTAAGCTGACGAGATTATGGCAAGACAAATATAAGCGTCGTTTTCTCAGCCATACCTCAAAGCCTTATCATTACGACTTCAGACCCCCTTGCACTTCAAATTCTATCGATTGGACGCAAATTATACAGTAAATACTGTTCTAAGGAAAACACTGATTGAGAACCTGCAACCGCGTCCTGTCCCAGCAGGATCATAGCTTTTTATTCAGCGAATTGAATGACACTTCGCGATCTTGTCCTTTAGCTTATCTAAATAAAAGATTCCAAATGCCTCTTTTTGCACGTCAACAACAGATACATGCATCACCTAAACTGTACAGACACGGTCACCATAGTCGTATATATCATGCAGACAACCCCCATGATGAATATCAAAACATCTCCTCCTTTTGCCCACTGTGAACTCGCGATACCTTTCCAATGCAGATACGCCGGATAAACAAAGATCAACGGAACACATAAAACGGACCCAACCAAAGCCACGAACTGATCCAAGTTCTGGGCGCCCAGTGCTGCGATTAAACCACAGAGAAAAACAATACCTGTTCTGAACATGTTCTTCTTCCACTTTGTAAGGCGGCTTCGCCGACCAGAGGCGCGGTCAAATATATTCTCCTCCATGATCCGCAAAGCAGGGAAAAGCTGCACCGGGGTGCCCACAAGCACGGCTAGCGAGAAGGATAACCGGACAAAGTTGACCAACACATCAGACTGAGGGAAGTTGTCCATGAGATTGATCATTGTCTGAGTGCCAAATGCCCCGTATGATAAAATCCCGACGGAAGCAAAAAGAAAGGTTATAAGGGCCATGACACTGTAGAGGATGCGATCAAAATGATCGGGTTGTGCCATCGAAGATTGTATGGGAAGGATCAGGCCTATTCCCTCAAACATGAATATAGCCGACCCGATCGTCAGGGTATATGTATTGTTGTCGAAAAGGGTGACCGTGGGCTCGAAACCACGGCCGGAGATCGTCGAAATATCGTAGTAGTAAATGTATCCAATGGCGAAAAAGATGAAGACATCCGCAGCTAATGCCACTAGCCCGAGTCGAGAGATTTTGCGGATCAACGAAAGAGGCACAAGGATCACTAACTGCAGGGCGACGATTGCGTAAATGGACGGCGATATATGGTAGGCTGCCACGCCCTTCACAAATGAACGCATGTTCTCCGCAGTAAAAGCAATACCAGCGCACACGAATCCAAGCTGCGTAGTTACGACCGAAACGCGAATAATTGTGCGAAGATGGCGCCCGCCAATAGATTCTCCAATATCGCCGTACCCGCCGCCATACCGTCGCCGGCATTCCAGCAGCAAGTGGAAAGAAATGGACGCCATGATTGAAACCGTGAGAAGAGCGATGGGTGAAAAGAGTATGCCACCGTTGCGGAATGCCTTTGGGAGGAAAACGATGCCTGTTCCTATGAAGGCTTTGAGGAGTGTGAAGAAAGTTTTCAGGTCCGAGGCATCCCCTGGAGCTGGAGTGCTTTTACGCCCGGCAAGCAATGGTCTTCTTTCCGGGTCTACTTCACGCCCTGGCATTCCACCACTCTCGGCATCTGTCTCCTCTTCCGACTCGTTCAGGTCCTCACCAGCGAAGCTGCCGTATAATTCTAAATACTTCACGAAACTACTCGGCGCAAATCCGTTACCGAAAGCACGCTCATTCCGCCATATGAACTGCCGGCGGAAAGCTCCCGGTTCATTGCGGATAGGAACATCAACATCGATGTCGTTGTCTGTTTCCAGCCTTGGGGGGTGCGAAAATGTTGCTGCGCGCTGATCCAATCCGGCGCGCTTCGAGCGAGCTTCAATGCGATAGAGGTCACGATGAACATCACCTCCTAGCAGTTTGAGAGACGATTGTTGGTTGTCATCGTCATCTGCAGTTGACCCAGCCCCCGCATCAACGACGCCGTCAGGAGCCCCGGTAAATCGAGGGTCCAGATGCTTCGAGATGACTTCTGCTTCCTCCTCCTCGCGAGGGTTGTCTAGGCCTCGAGGATCAGCCATTGCGTGCGTGCTGGTATATTTTCACTCAATGTTTCTTTTTGACTCGTGGTGGGACGTCGCTAACGGGCATTCGTTTTGAAGTGAAGGTGGGAAACTCAGCCACCACAACCGGGATTTCAAAAATGACGTCATATACATCACTAGAGCCAGAAATGGCCAACAAACTTTAGCTAAGTCTATCAAGCTTGGAGATGCATGGACGTCCACCTTACCTCTTTCTAGTTACTGTTGGCCTTGCGGTTGACGATGTCCGTATTCTCCGTTCTAACAAATCTACTCGTCAACTTGAACTCATCGACAAAAGTTTTAGACCCAGTCGTAATAAGGGCATGGTTCTGCCGCTGTCATAATCACTTTTACAGTATAAGACCCGCTTTTCAGGTGATTACAGTCAACGTACATCTGAGCCTCTTATGAGCGGGCTAATATGCAAATGACGGGCACAAAAACCAGAGGCTGGTATTTCTCCCGAGACCACGCAAGATCCGTGCACATCCCACGACTGTCACAGGGCCAATTCATCGGATAGTGAGTTACTTCTGAATTGACAGACTGGATGTCGTCCTCTATTTTGTGGGGTCTGTCTATAATTTCTGACTTTATATAGCCGAAGAAAATCATAGGCGAACGACTCTCCGTCACTTGTCTAATATCCGCCGCGACTCCATATGACACGGAAAAAGGGTTTGTTAAACTTGCTTGATATGACAAGAATATTTTGGAAACCTCTATGATGGAGGCCTGCTCGTTTTCTTCATTTGGTGGCAACTCAAATTTTGCCTTTGCTAAAAGTGCCTTTAACTAACCATCAAACTCCATTCCTTCCCAGGTCCGCCAGCTCTAGACCTTAGAAAAGTACATAGCATCAAATCACTTTTTTCCACTCAAGTCCTCAAAATCCGTAAAACAAATCCCCCTCGCCTTCCCCGCATCATCAAACACAACACCCTCGTCCTTCAACCTTGTCCTCTTTTCATCCCGAAAAGACCCATCACTAACATGCTTGACAGCCATCCCCTCCCCCTTATACCCACCCAAGCTCCCCCCGGCCGCAAGAACACGATGACAGGGTACCTCTGGTGCAAACGGGTTCGTGCGCATGGCATTTCCTACCGCTCGCGCGCTAGAGTTGAGATATGTTGCCATGGCGGAGTAGGTGGTCCAGCGCCCGGCAGGGACGGAGAGTAGGACGCGGTAGACGCGGCGGCGGTAGGGAGTCAAGGTCGGGTGGAGGGATATGCGGCGGAGATACTTTTGGGTTTCAAGGTTGGTTTTGGATGTGGTTTTAGTTTTTAGTGGATTTGTTTGGTGGTCTTTGGACTGTGGGGTTGTTGTGCCTGGGGCCTCCGGGGTTATTATTGTAGTGCTCGTCATTGTGGCCTTAGCTTCGGCTGTGAGCTTCCAGTAGGGAATAACTTGGGTGGTGTTCGAAATCAAGTTTATATGCAGTAGCTTGGATTGCTTTGGTTGCTTTGGAACTGTTCCTGGTCATGTCAGTTGCTTATTTTAATGATTGGAATGGACGCGATATGACGCGTTGACGCGTCGGGATGTTTACCAAAATAATAGCCACGTGGACTTATGCCACGAAGTTTTTTTGTTAGTAGGAGAGATGAACTATATTGGAAAGTTGATCGAGAAATTGGGAACTATAACCTTTTTAAGGGTGTGAGGTTGAAGTAGAGCTGTAGCCTGAAAACGTTGTTCTCAAAGTGACCAATCAGGCCCGCTCCCCACAGTTCGAATTAAAAGGTTCTGAATTCTGAATTACCCCGATTTGTAATCCACTGTGATTTCTTCAAGCTTCCAAATTCTGGAGGCATTCGTGTCCTTTATTGTGACTCATGAGCTTCGTTATGCCCTATACCCCTGGTAGCATTGAAACCTTGGTATTTCCTTTACCGGAAAACGGACTTCATTGAGTATAGTTATAGACGAATGATCTGTAGCGCAAGTATTTGGATCGGCTACTTATTGAAACTAAGATGAGATTGGTATCTACATATCTACATCTACTGATGCTTGTACCTAGATGATGCATCAACCAAGTCATGCGTTATCAACATGCTCGGCAGAAGAAGCATTTCCCTCACCCTTTGGTGCGGCAAGCAACACCTTTCCTGTCTCCGGGTCTACACTGCCCTTGCGACTAACCGCTGAGACCATGCCCGGATTCTCGGCCTTCAAACGAGCAAAGGTCTTCTCCGCGTCCCAGGTCCATGGTGTCTTAGCCGCAAACAACAGGTCCATATCTTCCAGTGTACGTTGGTTACTCTCGGGGTACAGAGCCCAAACCATTGGGATGGTGATGACGTTACTCGCGGCAAAAACGTAAAGCGTCTTCTCGCCGATAGCACTGAACATTACAGGACACAGAAGAGTCTATGGGAGAATTTTGATTAGCACTTATTCACCGAAAGGCAACGTTTAGGTGTTGAACTCACCAGCCATCCGTTTCCAATACTCCAGCCAACGACTCCCCAGGCGTTTCCGCGAGCACGCACAGCTAAGGGGAAAATCTCAGCAGGGTAAAGCCAAGGCACTGTTAACCAGGTCGCTCCAAAAGTCGATGTGAAAATAAAGATCATCGAAGCTGCAGCTGCGCCATATGAGGATGCGCTGCCCGCATCACCGGCTGCCTTGGCGTTGATGGCGAGGCGGGAGAAACCACCGGCCAAGAACATCGCAATGCCTTGAACGACCGAGCCCCAGTACAGGGTCCATCGGCGACCGATACGGTCCAAAGTGAAGACACAGACAAGTGTAGCAAACTGAAAAGAAGAGAACATCAATATTCTGACGAAGCAATTCTACCTTGATTCTGGTTACAACATACCATGTAGAAGACATTGTTCAAACCACTAATCCACTGACTCTTTGTCGAGTCAAATCCTGCGATGCTGAAGATTGTTGGAGCATAGACAGTCACACCTGCGATACCAACCCATTCTTGCATGATCTGAAGCCAGATGACGAGTTGGACGCGGCGACCGATGTGTAAATCACCAGATTTATAACCGAAAAGCATCGAAAGGTACGAGTTGCCGTGAACCACTGTCTTCTCCATTTCTGCGATGGCCTGAATGTCGAGGAATTCGGCCTCGGCGCGAACGCGGTCCTCGGAGCTACTTCCACGAAGCCGCTGGAGAATGTACCGAGCTTCTTCCTCTCGACCGACTTTGACCAGCCAGCGAGGGGACTCAGGGAAGAACCAGACGGCACAGAAAAGCACCAAGAGGAATATGATTTGGAAACCGATGGGGAATCTCCAGCGGAAAGGAGACCGTCCTTCATCAATGAATGACAGGCCACTAAGAGCGAAGTTAGATGATGCGAGGCCACATAGACACGATATTGAACCTACAACTCCAACCAATAGGCGAGAACTACGCCGAAGATATTTAGAGTAAACTCAATCGCAATAAATTGTCCTCTCGAAGTATGCTCGGCCGTCTCCGTAGCCCAGACAGGGACGATAGCGTTTAAAATACCGGTGCCGATTCCGTTGACAAAACGCGCTATAGAGTCTTAGCTTCAGTTAATGTCGCTGCTGCTGACTGTATCTACTTACCACAAATCATCCAATCATGGTTTTGGGCCGAGCACTGCAGGCTCGCACCCACGATCGCCCAAACAGCACCAGCTGCAATAGACTTGATTCTGCCCATCCGATCTCCCAACCAGCCACCGAACAAACCACCAAATAGTGTTCCCAAGTAATACACGGCCACAATTCCACCTTGTAGCAAGGAATTAGTAACCACGACGGTCGCCTCGCCATCTTCCATTTTTGTGTACCCAAATTTCATCAGTTTGACATAGTCCTCAGCGTTGTTCACGCCCGACATCATTCCTTGGTCATATCCGAAGAAAAGAATCGACAAAGCGGCGATACAGTTGATTGCGATAAGAAGCTGTCGCTTCTCCAATTTGTGGACGACATTCCACGATGGGATTCTGTCAGACATTCTGAGCGGTTTGTTAACTCAACGGGTTCGAATCTGTACCACGCACAACCAGTGCGGCGTCGCGAAAGAGTATAAAAACGAATCTAGAAATATAATAGCAGCCGAATCCAGTTTATAAAACGCAAACCAACAGAAAGTCTAGCCCCGCGGGTAAATTCAAACACAACTTCCGTTGTCGCGCGACATCATAATGGGTCCTCGGGCCTTTTAAACACAAAGCCAAGTCCCATTCCGGTCTGAGCTGCGAATGGTAAGAAACTTCCCCACGGGGATCGGCCGAATTTGATCCCAGGAAAGCAAGGAGCGGCGTCAAATATGGTTACATCCCGGCGGCACACGGTAACAAACAGGAACAATGTCATGCGGTGGACTCCAAAATGTTTGATTCCCCACAGTCTGGAGAAAAAAACCGGGTCTGGACATTGGATCCGGCATGGGGAGGAGAACGTGCGGTATGGCGGGGCTGGTTGGCTATTAGCCGGCTAGAATTGAAATCGGCAATCCGAAGGCACGAATGGAACGGTCTTGACTCAGACAATGGTACTACGTATCGCTGCAAATCGCCGGGATGAAAGGGTCAAGGCTGGCAGTCTTCCGCCGAGCGGCCAATAGGAGTGGGGTTGGTCCCGCCAGGAGTTCAGGACGGAGAAAGAGCGACCCCATGCGGAGAACTCCAGACTTTCGTCCTGACTCGGCAAGCCGCTTAGATCGCCGAAATGGAAACTTGGCTGTAACTGTTATTTCATATTTGTTCGCGAGGCTATTACATGTTTGAAGCGTTCTGATTCACACTATTTCAACCTCGCTAATTTTGACCTCGTCGTTCTGGTTACATTCTTGGTGGTGAGATATGGTGACTATGTCGGAGTTCCCCCGAGCCCAAATCCTCACATACGTCAACTCCGGGTCCACCCACAAAGCCAGTGTCTTGGCAATCTTAAAGAAAGATTTACATCACATCAAGATTTGATTGGCAATAGTTCTCGCACACGTATCTTATAAGGTTCCAGGGAGCTGGGCGCGGGCCTCTAGCTCGTATGATAAGACCGTGCGTCTCCAAAGGGGCGTTCCTGGGGGTGCTCCGCCAGAGACTTTGAACACTCAAGAAATCCTTCATGATGTTTAATTTTCTCGAGATGTTTCATTTCTAACCACTGACCAGGACATATTCTCCCTTCGACCACGTACGTTCTTTCCTCTGATTCAATCTATAGAGGCCGGCTTTCTTCATCAAGCAAGGACTGCGAATAAGTCTGCAACGCGAAGACCTTTCACGGCTTCCTGCTGACTTCCGGCCTAACAGGTCCTTCAATTCTTGAGAATTCAGCTCAAATATAGCCAGAGGACTTACACTGGGACGGTTCCTCTTCATACGGGCTATAAATTCGTCTAGAACAGGTATTTATCTCCAAATTCGATTCGCTTCCCTACTTCCAAATATATTTTCAATTTTGCAGAACGTAGACTGACGAGAAGATACGCTTAGGTATATTCTTGTTCGGCACCTGGGCACTGGCTCAAAGCTCCATCAAGTCTTACAACCTTTTTTCCGTCGGTTTTCATTCCTTTATATTCTATGACACTTTCAGATAGTCGAGTTTAGTATTTATATCTGGAAAGCTCAACGCCATTTGGAAGTTAAATAAGACTATACATTCACATTCTACTGAGCTATTAAACCGCGCCTTCGCCCCCACCCTCTTCGCTACGGTATCGGAGTCTTCGCAGTAGGACACGGGTGACGGATTCAATGCCAGACTTGACATCAGTGAAGATTAAATTCCACTTTTCTATACAAGACAGACTGTCCTGGACCTATTATCGTGATTTAGGCCTTGTGCTAAGCCGCAAAAAGAAAATGGAGCGAGTGTCCGCTAGACTGTGCAACGACTCATCCAGTGAACGTTGAAAACCAGCGGGGCTTGCGGCCGTGTCGCGAAATCACAGGGCACGTTTGCCACGTTTATTATGTAATCACTCTAATCAGTGGAATATGCGGCCGCTATGTGTTTTAGATCCACACATTGCACAACTTTGACCCTTGAAGAACCATTCTTTGGGCCTGAATGAGGGAAGATGCGAACTGAAATTTAGACGTTAGCAATTAGTATTTAGGCTGTATGTTGATGCTGTGCTATCACTTGCGGAGATTACCGTTGTTTCGATTTTTATCGGTGTTTAGAGAGAAGGTCCGGTCACCGTTCATCTTTTGGGGAAAGTGGAGAGTCTTCTGCTTCTGATTTCACGAGTTTTCAATTAAATGGAGATGACTGCAAGCGGTGAGGTATATCGCATTGGCACCATTGGCCAGATTTGCGGCCGCTCAGGCGGGCCGGCTTTCTATAACAAGAACTACCATGCGGCCGCATGCAAAGGCCATGCAATCTGCCTACACCATCTGAGCATCGAGAATCTATAAAGACACGCTGTAAACCCCCCAAGCTTTTCAATTTGTAGACACCCATCTTCTAATCTCATCCTACTTGAACGATTTCATAAGTTCTATCATTGAATTTTCCACACACCTCACCATGTCGAAAGTTTGGCTTATCACTGGGTCCTCTCGTGGCCTTGGCCTTTCCATCGCCGAAGCTGCTCTCAACAGCGGAGACGCTGTCATCGCTACTGCTCGTAAGCCTGAGCAGCTTGCTGATCTTGTCGAGAAATATGGCAACGACCGCGTCCTTCCAGTCGCTCTCGACGTGACAAACAACGACCAAGTCCTCCAAGCTGTGAAGTCTGGACATGAGAAATTTGGCCGCATCGATGTCGTCGTCAACAACGCAGGGTATGCCAATACAGCATCCATCGAGGATATTGATATCGACGACTTCCGCGCCCAGGTTGACGCCAACCTCATGGGCGTCGTCTACGTCTCTAAAGCTGTGCTTCCTATCCTTCGCCAACAGAAATCAGGCCATATCATCCAGATTTCTTCCGTTGGTGGACGTATCGGTATTCCAGGCCTTTCCGCTTACCAGTGTGCTAAATGGGCTGTTGGTGGATTCTCCACGGTATTGGCTCAGGAGGTGGCCCCCTTTGGAATTAAGGTTACGGTTCTTGAGCCTGGTGGTGTCCGAACCGATTGGGCTGGCTCATCTATGCAGATTCCCCCTGTCCGCGAACCCTACCAGCAGACAGTTGGTATCTTTGCCAAGTTCCTTCGTCAGTTATCTGGAACAGAGATGTCTATGCCAAGCAAAGTCGCCGACATTGTGCTTAAAGTTTTGGATGAAAAAGAGCCTCCTCTTCGTCTTCTTGTTGGCCCTGATGCGGTGGAACATGCTGGGAAGGCTGCTGAGACACTCAGTGCCTCTGACAAGAAGTGGCAAGAGCTGAGCTTTTCGTCAGCTTAGATCAACACATATTGATCAACCTTTCAGGTGCCTGTCTAGCTACTAAATTTAGTGTATAAATCATTCTGTCTAGTTCAAAAATGGAAATTTTCCAATGTTGTAGATCTTGGGTGGCCACAGCTTTGGAAGCCCTAACGGCCCTTAGTTAATGATCTTAGGAGTACATTGCATGTTCTTTGGCCCCGCTTGCGTTCCAAGGTTGTATCTAGCGATCCATGTACGTATATATATCTTTTGCCTGGGCAATGCATCAATTCATTGGGTCCGGGTATGGATGGGTATAATTTCCATTTGCCACCCTTACAAATCAACCGAGCAATGTGAAGATGGTGAGTCACAGGGAAGGGTTTCGAGTTAACAGGACAATAGCTACAGAGTAGTTGTAGGACCATATCAGCCTTGGAGCCTTGAGGTGGCCAGACCGCCGAAGGTAGCCGGGGAGGCGGAGCCGGCAAACCTGAGCCAAACCATTGAAAGTCCGCGGATATTAGATCACCTGGGGAATGGGAGTCAACCAACGCTAAAATCAGCGCTAGCCATCGACATCTTCCCGGGGTAAGATCTGGCCGGGTGGGTGGAGGGCGGAAAAGGTCTTCAAACTTCCCGTCATAGCTGGCTTATTTCGTGGTCATAAATGGAGGACATGATCGCGATGATTTCCGCATGAACTACAAGCGATATTTCCTGCTCCCTTTCTTGGACTTCAATACCTTCACCAAGTCTTATATGCTTTCCGCGAGACAGTCAACAATATTTAAATCGGCATCGTCATCCGGCAAAGTGGCCACCACCTTACCGAGTCGACCCGACCTGCTTACATAACCCTGGCGGCCAATCTCAAAATACCGCAAAAGCTCAGTCCTCTCTTCCCGTAACTTCAAAAGCACCTCCCCTTTTGCGCAACCTTGCCATCCTCCCTCCAGGTCATTTTCCGTGGAGGCTTTATTTGTTATCTTGAATAATCCTTTCTTTAATTCCGACAATCGCAATGTTCCGCGCTGTTCTGCCCCGTGCTGCGCCGCGGGCAAGCCTCCGCGCTTGCGGCCCTAAGGCTGTCCCTTCTACCTTCATCGCCACTCCTATGCTCTTTGTTGGCGGCTCAAAACGTGGCTACGCCGCTGAGTCTGGTATGTTTTTACCTAATTCTACACGATAAACACATCGGAGGCCTTTCCTCCGCTTCCCGGATGCGATTGCTGATTTCCCGGCTCTCCGGACAACAGGGGACCACGATCTCGTTATCATCGGTGGTGGTGTTGCCGGTTACGTTGCTGCCATTAAGGCTGGCCAGGAGGGTTTGAAGGTATGAATACGAGCTTATTCTCACGCCAGCTTCTCCATCCTGTGGAGGAGCGTGGCCGATCGCCGATCAATTTACCCCGATCTATGTACTAACTGAACACTTTGACAGACTGTTTGTATCGAGAAGCGCGGAAAGCTCGGTGGTACTTGCCTGAACGTTGGCTGTATCCCCTCCAAGTCCCTCCTCAACAACTCCCACCTTTACCACCAGATCCTCCACGACACCAAGAAGCGCGGTATCGAGGTTGGCGATGTCAAGCTCAACCTCACTCAGATGCTCAAGGCCAAGGAAACCTCCGTTGAGGGCCTGACCAAGGGTGTTGAGTTCTTGCTGAAGAAGAACGGCGTCGACTACGTCAAGGGAGCCGGCTCCTTCGTTGATGCCAACACCATCAAGGTCGATTTGCTCGATGGTGGTGAGCAGACCATCCGCGGCAAGAACATCCTTATTGCCACCGGTTCCGAGGCCTCTCCCTTCCCCGGCCTGAACATTGATGAGAAGCGCATCATTACCAGCACTGGTGCTCTTGAGCTCCAGGAGGTTCCCAAGAAGATGGTTGTCATCGGTGGTGGTATCATTGGTCTCGAGATGGTATGACACCTTTCATGTCCCAATCTGCTGGGCTCTACAGCAAGCACAATTCTAAACTAACGTTATGATACATAGGCTTCCGTCTGGTCCCGTCTCGGTGCTGAGGTTACCGTTGTTGAGTTCCTTGGCCAGATCGGTGGCCCCGGTATGGACGCTGAGATCGCCAAGCAGGCCCAGAAGATCCTCGGCAAGCAGGGCATCAAGTTCAAGACCAACACCAAGGTTACCAAGGGTGATGACAGCGGTGCTACCGTCAGCCTGAGCCTTGAGGCTTCCAAGGGTGGCAAGGAGGAGACCCTCGATGCGGATGTTGTCCTCGTCGCCATTGGTCGTCGCCCCTACACCGAGGGTCTTAACATCGAGAACGTTGGTATCGACAAGGATGACCGTGGCCGTCTCGTCATCGACCAGGAGTTCCGCACCAAGGTTCCTCACATCCGTGTCGTTGGTGACGTGACTTTCGGCCCCATGCTGGCCCACAAGGCCGAGGAGGAGGCCGTCGCTGTCGTCGAGTACATCAAGAAGGGCCACGGCCACGTTAACTACGCCGCCATCCCCTCCGTTATGTACACCCACCCCGAGGTCGCCTGGGTCGGCCAGAACGAGGGTGAGGTCAAGGCCTCCGGTGTCAAGTACAACGTCGGCACTTTCCCCTTCAGCGCCAACTCCCGTGCCAAGACCAACCTCGACACCGAGGGTGTTGTCAAGTTCATCGCTGATGCCGAGACTGACCGCATTCTGGGTGTCCACATCATTGGACCCGGTGCCGGCGAGATGATCGCCGAGGCCACCCTTGCTATCGAGTACGGTGCTTCCAGCGAGGACATCGCCCGCACATGTCACGCTCACCCCACTCTCTCTGAGGCCTTCAAGGAGGCTGCTATGGCCACCTACTCCAAGCCTATCCACTTCTAGACGCGATGCGGTACCTTGATATCCTCTGAACCCATGTACTACTTTTTTCGTCCCTTAGTCTAGCTCGGCTAGCAAACTACATGTAGCATTTCATGTAATCATTTCTTATGTTTCTTGTTTTTTCTTCTAAACAAAATATAGAATTCTTCCAGCGGAACCCTTTGTTTACCTAATGCAAATTGAAGCTTTTAAGACTTCAGCTTCACCTGCGGCCCGAAAAGGACGGTGGGGCAACTCGGTGTCCATAAGGACTTTTTAGAAATGGAATCCGGTGTAAACCAATAAGCCAATCAAAGAAGAAAGTGGGCCTTCCAAGTTCAAACTCCAGACCTCTAAAATCTAAATGGCTTCAGTATCATTTTAAAAGTGCTCAATATATGATGCTGTTGCTTCTATTTCTCTACTTGCAGGACTGTTCCAATATGATCGAATCCAATATGATCGATTGATTGAAGAAGTTTATGGGCTTACACGTTCATCAACTTCAACATTTCTGAGACTATCGGGATCAAGTCCCAAATCAACGGGTATTCAACCCAGCCTCAGCCAAGAACTTCTCATATCTTCCCTTACATTGTCGGCGCCACGATTTCCCCCATATTATCATCGGAATCCCCATCAAAACAGCAAGGACAACCAAAATACCGAAAAACGTGAATGCCCATCCGTAGTTAGTGGCGTCTATGAAGGGCTGGACAGAATATGAAATGGCGAAATTTATCAAGGAAGAGCAAACTGCTAGTACGACGACGAGTTCGCCGGAGATCTGTGGAAGCGATTAGTTGAGCGGAGCTGAGGAATTAGACGCGCACGCATGCACAGGAACGACCTACTCCATCAAAACACTCCATTGCATATGCTGTTGCCATACTTGTCAACGAAACTTGTTGAGCAATCAAGCAGCATAGCGCCACCGCAATAGCCATCCAGTGATCACCATTTGTCGCAGCCCAGCCGTACGTAAAGTAGCCGATGGCGCCAAAGATGAAAGGGAATATATATGTCCAGAGACGCATTTCTGGCTCTTTGTATCCGTTGTTTCGTCTTGCGAGGATCAAGACGACCCAATCTGATAGCCAACCGACCCCCATGCTAGTCATAGTCAGTTAGAAATAATCATGCGAAAGTAGTATCGGGGCTGAGGTCGTACCCGAGTATATTTCCAACAAGGGCGGCTAGGAAGATCAAGCCGGCAGATCCGGCACTCCAATTATATGGGGCTTCCGTCATTATCTCTGAGATAGTGTTGAATGTCACAATGCCCGCAGTACACCCAAAGGCAAACTGAATCCCGGCGAGTACAATATTGGGAAAGGCGAAGAGGTAGAATGGGCGACGGAAGTATTGGAACCAGGTTGTGTGGTCGTCTGCGAAATAATGTACTAAGGAAATCTTCTGCAAGTAAGTTCTGGTGGTAATATCTTCTCCTAGGCTGTTACTGTCGACTTCTGAGATTGGGGACTCAAGCCCAGTTTTTTTCTCAGGCTCAACATCATCCCCTCTACTTTCCATTGGAACTGATCGCTCGTGACGTGGGATGTTGAATCGATACCTTGGAAACATGGTATCGTCAAATGTGAAAATAAAAAGGATAATCAAAACACCCTTTTGAAGTTAGTTTATGATCTTATGAGGTCGAGGCAATCTTACGCATGCAATGGCCACGATAGGAGCGCACCAACGCCAGCCAACTCCATCCGAGATGTATCCACCCAATATAAGTCCCAAGATAGACCCGAGCTGTTGAAAGAATATGTAAATTGCAACCATGCGACCTCTTTCATGCGTGAAAAATACGTCAAAGATCTAAGAAGGATAAGTATGGTTGCCAGATGGCCCGCATTGATAGTACTCACCGTAAGTTGAATCAGTGCCTGGTAGGCCGCAGTACCTACACCCTGCAGTGCCGACACAATAAAATATTGAGCGACCCCGTGGTACAAGCCTCCCCATATACTGCCCCCACAAAGGATCAACAAACTCAAAATAAACACGATCTTGCGACCGAATTTCATCGCTGACGGGATCCATATGATATTGAAGAATCCCAGAAGCAGATAATTGAGTGCAGATCCTCCGTTCATGTTATTGATACTGACTCCAGTGTCATCGGAAATCAGAGTCCAGCTTGCACCGGTGTTGTTTTCGCCAAATGAGAACACGCAAGCATAGGCTGATATCAAGAAGAGAGACCATAGTTTCTTTGCCCGCGACCAGTTCTGTATTCTGCGATTAGGAACTGCTCTCTGAGGTTATACATGGGCAGCTTACTAGTGGGTCTGCTGGGGAATTTGATGGTTGAGGTATTAGAACAATATCTTGTTGGCCTGCATGAGCTGCGTTTTGTAGTGCATGTGATGCTGCAGGGCTCGTTAGTCAGAGTCTTATATCCATATGAATGCTTTAGATTTGTATCATACCATCCACCAGATAAACCGTGCCAGGAACATCAGTGAAGAGGTCATTCTCAGAGCTAGCCATTTTGACAGTTGTCGTGATTCATTTCATGAAAAAGCTGGCAAGATGCTCGGTTATATAGAAGCCATTATACTCCCGGTCCCTCGTTGTGGCATTAGTGACAAAATTGACGATTGGTTTGATTGGGCGGCACAAGCCGACTGGCTTGCGATCAACATTTTGATCGCGGAATAGATAACGTGTGTCGTGAGGGGTAACGATTCATGGAAGCTCCAAGCGACAGTATTAACCGGGAAATTGATACTATTGGACTCAGTGATTGCCGACCCGAGGCATGATAAGAAGGTTGAAGATGAGAGAGCATGGGAATGTTATTTTCCCCGGGTTTTTGGCGGTTGGAAGGTCCACGCGATCGACTTGATAAGCGGCGGTACAGTAAGCGGGCGGAACTCCGCTAGCTTAAATTGGTGGAGGCGGCTGCTGTGTTGACCTTCCACTTTATCCCAATTTCTTCTTGTCGTATCTACAAGCCAAGTGGAAAATAAAAACACAATGTCGTCAATTCCCCTCAGCCATACCTCTTCAATTTTAATCGTTGGTGCCGGAACCTGGGGCTGCTCGACCGCTCTGCATTTAGTCCGTCGAGGATATACAAATGTCACGGTCTTGGATCCTTACCCGGTGCCATCAGCAATTGCGGCTGGGAATGACGTGAATAAGATCATGGAGCACAAGGAGCTGAAAGGTGAGACGGATGTTTTATCTTCATCCAATATTCCCTTTGACAATCCGTAGACTAATGGCTTCCAGGCACGAACCCGGACGCTAGAAGCCTCGCTTTCACAACCTGCACTCGAGCAGCGTTGAAAGGCTGGAAGACTGATCCTGTTTTTCAGCCATACTTCCACGAGACAGGTTTTATTGTGTCGGGACATACCCCGGCTCTCATCCAGCACATCAAGGAAGACGAGATCGAGCCCTCCGATGCTGAGTTCGTGTCACTCGAAACGGCGGAGGACTTTCGCAAAACAATGCCATCAGGAGTTCTGACAGGGGACTTCCCCGGCTGGAAGGGATGGCTTAGCAAGAGTGGGGCAGGTTGGATTCACGCCCAGAAAGCAATGATCTCTGCATACACGGAAGCTCAACGCCTAGGGGCAAAGTTCATAACGGGCACACCATCAGGAAAGGCTGTATGTTTGCTGTATGAGAATGGGGATGTGGTGGGAGCCCAGACAGAGGACGGAACAAGCCATATGGCAGACCACACTATTTTGGCTGCGGGTGCTGGGAGTGACCGTCTTCTGGATTTCAAGAAACAATTACGTCCTACTGCCTGGACTTTGTGTCATATAAGAATGACACCGGAAGAAGCGAAGAGTTATCGGAACCTCCCAGTTCTTTTCAACATTGCAAAGGGATTCTTCATGGAGCCGGATGAAGATAAGCATGAGCTTAAAATCTGCGATGAACATCCTGGATATTGCAACTTCATTCAGGATCAATCGCATGGTGGCGAGATGCGTAGCATACCATTTGCAAGGCATCAGATTCCACTCAAGGCAGAGGCCCGAGTTAGAGACTTCTTGAAAGATACGATGCCCCATCTCGCTGATAGACCTTTTTCCTTTGCGAGAATTTGCTGGGATGCCGATACACCCGATCGCGCATTCTTGATTGATCGTCATCCTGAGCACCCTTCGCTCCTTGTCGCCGTGGGAGGTTCCGGCAATGGGGCGATGCAGATGCCTACCATTGGCGGTTTTATCTCTGATGCTTTGGAAGGGAGCTTACAAAAAGAGTTGAAGCACGTTGTACGATGGCGCCCAGAAACAGCAGTGGATCGCGATTGGCACTCTACACAGAATCGTTTCGGAGGACCAGACGAAATCATGGACTTTCATAAATTGAACGACAATGAGTGGACTCAGATACAAGAGAGTGAGCAGAGCAAGCTATAGGTAAAATATCCACAAATATCAAGAATTGTGAAAAGCAATCATTCCATGAGTGCTAGCTAGCACGCAGAATTTACTCGCTAGCAAATGCGCAGACTCCCATGTCTTTCTTCGAAACCTCAGCCTCGGGTCTGATATCAAAATCAAATATATCCATCGGAACACCGATGGTAGTACAGGCATTGGGTATGTCAACAATACCAGCAATATGTCCTTGCACAGGGGCACAGCTCAGCAGCAAGTAGATCTGATAATCGTTGTACCCGAATCGTCGAAGGTATTCAATGACACGCAAGCAGGTCTGCCGATAGGCCACCGTGGCATCCAGGTAATGCTGCTTGCCATTCTCATCGACTGAGAATCCCTCAAAAGTGAGATAGCGTCCGGGGCCGAATTGAGGCTCAACAGGTCCGGCGTGGAAAATAGGCGACTTCATATCCAACTTCGCCATGCCATCCTTGATTACAGAGAACTTCAATGTGATCACACCTGCCATCTCGATTGCGCCACAAAATGAGATCTCACCATCTCCCTGGGAGAAGTGGAGATCTCCAACAGAGAACTTTGCGCCCGAGACATGAACGGGAAGATACACCTTGGAGCCCCGGGAGAGGTTTTTGATATCGCAGTTACCTCCGTGTTCAGGACGACCCTAATTAATAAATCAGCCTTTCGTTCAAATGTTGGAAGACCAGATATGACATACTGGGATTGTTCGTGCTCCCTCCCGCGCAACCTTTTCCTTAATATCCTCAGAAGCACTACCGGCATGGGTGTTCGTGGGGTTTGGTGGCTGTGCAACGATACGATCCTCAATTGTGTTCGCAGAAATCAGCTCGCCCTCGCGACGGTTCCATTCAGCAAGAACCTCCGCTGAAGGCGCACATCCCATAATTCCAGGATGGATCAGACCCGCGAATCGGACATGCGGAATGTGTCGCGAGGAGCAGAATATTCCTTCAAAATCCCAAATCGCTTTCGCCCTGCCATATAATGAATGAGAAGTTGTGCATCAGGTAAGGAAGGCAAACATACGCTTTCGGATACAGCTCATCCAAGAAACCACCGCCATTATGTCTATCGAAGATACCAGTAAAGCCCCAAGGTTGCTCCTGGAAGGGCTGGACGTCTTGAATCTCAACCACTAAGACATCGCCTGGTTCCGCAGTCTCGATGTCGAACGGACCGGAGAGATAGTGAATCTCAGTTAGGTCAACATTCTTCACGTCATCAGCTGAGTCGTTATTCTTAATTTGTCCTCCAGTCCAGTCCAGACACTCGATTTTGACGATTTCATTATTGGCGATCTTTCCACAAGCCGGAACTGTTAAAAAGTAGAAGGTCAGCGACGGAAATTTAGGCAAGTTTTGACATCAACCCACTATCGGGGTGCCATCGGTTCTAGAAAAGCATTAGTTCATGAGTTGCAATCTATATGGGGAGGAGTCGTACGTGTAACCCAGGCTGCTCGCGGGCATGTTTCTCTAGGTCGACCTTCAAGGCAGTGCGGATCCCCGTGATACCCATGTTTATCAGTTATGTTTGAGGGGTGTGAGATGTGGTGTCTTGGATGAAAGGCCCGGGTTTGAAATGAGTTTTCGACTGTTTGAAGACTGAATGAAAGAGCAAAAGTGTTGATGGAAGTGGGATACGAGGTGAAGATAAGGGAGTGCTTCTCCGCATTGGGGTAAAGTGTAATCATCCTATCAATGCCTTATCTTCTCCAATTTTAGTGTTCAATGCCGACCCGTTATAACCTTGAGATATGTGGCATTTTTATTGGTTTGTCAAGGTTTTAAGTAAGCTTCTCGTGCATGTGCAACGATAACTAAGTACAGGTAAGTTAGCTGGTTTGAGTAACGGTGCCTAAACAATGAGGCAGCTTTCCATCTAGCCGCGGCCATTTAGCCACAACCGTTTAGCCGCGACCTTTCAGCCACTATACTTCAATTGTTCTTATCAAGCCGATCTCGGATATGATGGCGATAAGCAGGTGGAGCCATTTGGTATGTACCTCGATTGAAGTAGATGGTAAGGACTGGACTCGAAAGGTACAGGAAATTGGCCGCCGTTATCGGCCATGATTTGTCTCTCGACCTTATCAGGATCAAGCAAGGTAGGTCCAGTATCAAATATCCAACGCCAAGGAGCATTTCAGGGCTTAACAAATTGATCGACTTGTCTTTCTAGCAGCAGCTATGTTCATAAACTCGCCTTCCCATGTGGTGTTCACTTAATTTGATTGTTCGAGGTCGAGACTGGAGTAAAACGGCTCTTCGACCTAAACATTCAGTTGAATCAGTGCAAAGTGTAACACTCATGCCCGACTACTTCTCACTTATGGACCTGTTTGATGAAATACCCGCAGGCGAAGATGAGGAGAAAATAACTCTCTTACCGAGGTGAAGGCTATCGGGTTTTTTAGAGGTGGTATTTCACGGTGTTAACTTTCAAAGGCTGTGAAGTCTACGGAATATATCAGCCCCGGCATTGGGCCACCTATTCCCTGTTCCTCGTAATTATATGCAGGCGGGTCCTGGGTCATTCATTCGTCCCTTCTCCACTTAAACAAGCAAAGTGGTCTAAGAGTACTCCGTACCTGGGCGTGGAATGGAGCCTTTGAGGACGCTAGTTAAAATAAGAATTACAATAAGGAACGAACCCATGGAAGTAAACAAGGCTCTTCCCACTCCGACGTTAGTGAAGCTTAAATCAGCGCCCGCTGCAAACCATTTGCCAGATGGGTAAGGCGCCCAATCTGTTTGCGCGGTTTGGGGTGTTTGCATGTGTAGTTGTTCCTATGGAAGGCCGAAGAATGCGTGGAAGCTTCCGACCGTATAAATAAGCTCAGGCCAGACCTTCAGTTTGTACGGAGTATAGTCGCGCTGGTCAGCGCAACGTATACGTAGTCGTCAGTGGCACAGGCCGCCTAGGCCGCCTAGGCCGACTAGGCCCCCTCTTCCCGGGTCGAGATCAGGTGTTGAAAGACCAATAGTGGGTTTTGGCAATGGTCGGCGGTGTTGGAAGCGGAGCAAATTGACTGAAATGTTCGAGATTCCGTGGATTGTGCCTATTTAAGGTACAGGCGTGTCTCAATGCCAGGCAACTACTACTTAGTTATACCTTTCAGCATCACGCCACTCGCCTTGCTCCGATTAGCCTACCGTCCTCGATGATGTGGCCCCCGTGAGGATCTTCAATCGGTTACCAACAACGGAAGGCTGCCAAGGGCCAATGCCAAGACAGAAGACGTAGTTTGGTGGGGCGGCTTCACGACTCGACCGCAGAAAACCCTTCCAACCCCACAAGAACCAGCCCCCTTGGGGTGCAATACATGCGTGAGACAAGTACCGTAAAGGCCCCTCAGGGCTGAACAGGGTTCTGGAGGCCGAAATTCTATTTTGGTGCTTCTACGGGGGTGATCCAACGCGTCATGGCTCAAGACACAACCTCACATCGTGGATTATTGCGTAGTATTACTTGCGGAGCCCGGGCATCCCGAAATAACCAATAATGGCATTGAAAGGGTCGCACCTCAGGATAAAAGGAAGAACCAGGTTTTGGAGTCAGGATTTATGAATTAGGGTGGAATGAGACTGATTCCGGCGATTAAATTTGCGAGTTGGCCCGGCTGTTCCCGCACTTCCTCACGTTTTTTATGCATGCAGCACCACATTCGCGGGATCAAGCCCAATCCATGGGCCGCGCGTTCCTATTCATCCGATGATTGAATTATTCCCCATGCCAAGATGTGCCGAAGGCTTGTTTCATTCGTTTACGGTAATTTTGGTATCCGATCTTCGCCCCTGCAACCGTCTCGACACGTAAGCCCTCTTGCGTCGAGTTTCAAGTTTTGGACGTATAACACTTGATACTTCCATCATGTTTCTTCCCCTCAATTGCATGGGACACCACTATTGTGCACCATGATTCGATTCAGCTCTTCGCAAAGGTCCTTCACCGCGGCCATTTTCTTGCTGCTGTTATTATGTGGGTTGGTCTACCACCAGAAATCGGATCAGAGCTCGTTTAGTATTTCGGGGTCAAAAGGTAACTCGAAGAATGTTCCGATCGGAGATTGCTCTGTCGATCTTGAATACTTAAGATCCCTGGGTTTTAATCATTCGGTGGAATATGCTCGATGGAATATTCGGGTTACCGAGTCGAAGAAATTTACGGAATTCTCGGAAAGCCTTGATGTTCCCGTCCCCGAGTTCAATCGCCTTGAGCTTGATACAGAGACCACTGTCGACACCCTTCCGGCAGGGCAATGTCCCCGGACGGTGAAGATTGAGGCACCCAAGCGGAAAGCCCCGGTGGACGCATCCCATTTGATGTTTGGTGTTGCGACTACCATTGATCGATTGGACAATTCTTTAGAAGCCATCTCACGATGGGCTGGTGGCACCAAAGCGCGCGTCATCGCTTTAGTTGAGAGCGATGCAAGCCTCAATATAACCCAGGTCATGGAACACGCGACAGAGCTGGACGTGACTCTTCAAATTCTGGAAAACGATGAAGAATTTTTGGATCGTTATTACAGACTCACCCGAATCATAAATGAACTACGCGATGAGTCGACACAGTGGGCTGTCATAATTGATGACGACACTTTCTTCCCCAACATGGAAGGCCTGGTCGCCCAACTCGCCACCTACGACGAAACTAAGCCATACTACATTGGAGCACCAACTGAAAACATGCAACAAATGGCTTCTTTCACTTATATGGGATACGGAGGCGCCGGAGTCTTCCTCTCAATTCCCCTGCTGCAGGAAATCGACGCCTACTTTGATGACTGCTTCGAGTTTAAAGACCACGGTGACAAGCGGGTGTCAAAATGCATCTACAGACACACCACTACCAAGCTCACTTGGGATCGACACCTCTTCCAACTCGATCTTAACCCGGATGGATCCGGATTTTACGAAGCGGGTCGCCAATTACCCCTATCCGTGCACCACTGGAAATCCGCAGACTGGTTCCCTGTCAACATCGTCGGCATGAGCCAGATCGCCGACATCTGCGGCCACGATTGCCAGCTGCAGCGCTGGAGAATCACAGACGACTGGTACTTTATTAATGGATTTTCGCTTGTCCGTTACTCAGAACCACAAACACCAGAGGACTTGGCCTCCATGGAACAGACTTGGTCATATTTCGGTTGGACTGAAGATGATTCCTACGAGTACAGCCTAGGGCCTCTACGTCCTCGAGACAACGGAAAATTGTCTTACCGCTTGTTGGATGCGGTTTCTTCAAACAAGCAGGTCCGACAGATTTACCTTCGCCAGGAAGATGAGTGGTTCTACGACGAGGAAGAGCCGGAGAACCCGCAATTGCTGGAGGTTGTCTGGACATTGTCATAATCCTGTTATTGACTGGTTTAGATTTGTTGTTAGTCACGAACACGCGCAGACTGGGAGAGTGAGACCGGCAGGTTCGGCCCTTTTCCAGCTGCTACGAATGCATCTAGTACATTTCCCGTACTACATACAGCTACATACAGCTACATAAAGCTGCCATATTAGGAGTTGGAAAAAAATTTAATAAACAACCGGAAATCTGTTTTTACTCTTGCTTTACGTAGAACTGGTCATCAAGGACTTTCGAGCATTCTTGGACATGGTTTGAGGTTGAGAATCAAGTCACTATCTATAGAATGTGGGAATGCGTCGGAGCCTGAAGATCAGGTGACCACCAGGTCCATATAGATCAGCGCTTTGTTCCTCTTGTTTTCCTTCTTCTCTTCTCAATACCAAACCAATACCAACATATTGATTCGTTTGTTCGTTCTTTTCTCTTGTAGCAGCGAGCTCTATGCGGCCAGATCGGAAGGTTGAATCTTTCATAATAGTAGCAAAATAGCGGAGATAGTGGGTGGGCCTTAATATCAAGAGCTCATGCCAACTGGCTATGTAGAAGTGGGGGGGAATGCGGGGGAATCTGATGCGGGGCCTACATTTGATAGAATTCAGAAATCTGAGTGGCATTATGGGCTACCTATTCAAAGCTGTTTGAGCCTTGTAGGTCAGGTGACTGAACCTTGGTTGAAAACTAAGTACATACAACATTAAAGCATGTATCGGAATCCCTTCTGCAGCCGACGTGCCGCCGCGATGTCAATCCCTTCATAGTCAGCCGTAACTTGAAGCCGCCGAAGTTCCTTCTCGGTGAGCTGCACTTCCCCACTCTCATTCTCCAGACGCTCTTGTCTCTTGTTCAGCATCCGCAGATTGAAATACATAAACACGGCCGACAGACCACCCAATGCTTGTAACGCAATACATATGCCCAGAGCAACCGGGTAATGGGACCCTTGTGAATCAAAATATGTATATGGTGTCCAGATAGTTGCTGAGTTGCCAATCGAGTTGATGAAAGCGTAAGCAGCAGCACGTTTAGCAGGAGGTCGCGGCAACGCATTCGCAATCCAAGAATACAATGTTCCGTTCTGCGCAAAGGTGAAGTTCATCAAAAACAACGAGAAATACCTCGGCCCGAAAGAATCAGTCGTCATGAAAATGATAAATCCAACAATAGTGATGGGGACTGGGTAGATGAAAAACCAAAAACGAACACCGAGTTTATCGGAAAGCCAGCTGTGAAACACACTGTAGAATACCATGAACACGTATGGTGGTGCGACGAGCAACAACGAAATAGTCTTGCTGTATCCTAGCGTTTCTGCTAGCGTCGGGAAGAAATATTGGAAGCTTCCACCTCCAGCAATGCACATGTAGGCAAATGCGAACACGTAGGTCTTCGGGTCTGTCATGGCCATTTTCAATCCCTTGAGTTGGCTCATACCTGCGCTTCCCTCCTCATCGACGTCAGCCTCCGCTGCTTCGATTGCCAGTCTGCGGGTAGCGACGGCTCGCATTTCAGGTGAGAGGAGGCGCCATGTATCAGGGAAATCTGGTAGGATGAAGCATATGACAACACCGATGAAGCAAGTGATTGAGCCTTCAATAATGTACAGCCACTGCCAGGCCCCCATACCTCTTTTGCCGGCTAGTCCATTGAGGATGCCGGCGGCGATTAGATTACCGAAGGCACCGCTGATTAAGGAGCCCGAGTAGAAAATGCTCATTCGGAAAGCTAGCTCGGAGCGGGTGTACCATTTCGATAGGTAGAAAAGAACTCCGGCGAAGAAAGGCGCCTCTATGATACATGTAAGTTTGAATGTTGTCTTGAAGTGTTCGGGAGAAACCTACCGACCAATCCTAAAATGAATCGGCATGCAACTATCCCGCCGTAACTTGTCACTTGACTGGTGCAGGCGGAGACGAGGCCCCATGCTGCCACAAAGAAGCCAAGATAGAGAGACGGACGGCCCATGTAGTTGAGTAGTAGGTTCGATGGAACTTGCATGAGGATGTAGGCAACAAACAGGATGGAGAGTCCGGTTTGGTATTGTTGACCATCAAGATGAAGATCCTCTGTAAGCCCTTGAAGTTTGGCAGCGGCATAGTTGTTTCTTGTATAAGGAAAGGACGTTAATATCATCGTTGAAAAGACCACACAGGTCGCAATCGTGCGCGAAAATATTGAGTCATCCTAATTTGTTCAACTTACCGATCAATATAATTCATCAAGTACACCAAGATCACAAGTGGCATAATCAGAAGATCAATGCGCCGGCGCAATTTCTTCTCAAGCACCTTTTCTTCTGGGGTCAGCTCAGCAAGATGCACTGTTTCTTCATGTGACATCTCCGCCTTCTCGCCCATCACTTCAACATCTGAAATTGTGTGTTCGCCGTGTTCCATGATTGACAGTCAGTGGAAAAGGCACTGCAATTCCATTCCATATTCTCACCGACCGCGAGATATCTCCGCCATTTTGTAGTCAACCCATCGCAGCATTTCGTTGATGGACCTCTCAAACAGACTTCCCGTGTCAAGCTGGGAAATGCAGATCGTCGCGTCTGGGGTAACGCGGGGAACGCGGGGACACATGTAAACAGATATATCGAAATGGCCAATAAAATGTCTGTTATGATCCATTGGTATGCAGTGGGATCAGGCCAAGAGAAGCGACTATGCATGAAAGGGTTTCGAAATGCAGTAAGCAACTCTGTGCCCGCAATTCCCCCACACGGTACCCCCACAAGGTCAAAGCTTCTTTGTCTTGGCCAAACCTATACAGCTCTTAATTGGAGGAAAATCTTGACTTGAGAACATCATTGCGGACTCTTTTCCACTTTTCCATATCCGTGTCTTTTTACAACGGATTTGAGTACGTTCACTGATGATGATGGCATGCCTGGTATCAGAGACTCGGACTATGAGGATACTTTAATGTAGAACGCGCAACCCACGGACTTTGATATATGGATTTGGCCTTGGGTGTGTACTCAAATATTTACATCAAGCTCCTCTGTACAAGTTATTTACTTAATTTCAATCCTGCGGTTGTCTTATTTCTGCATTGATTAACAGGAGTCATGGGCGGAGGGCAATTGCTCATGCTGGTGCACTTGCACAGGCCATCGGTGCGGACAGGCAGCAAATTATGGCGACGCTCAAATGCTTGCCGTTCGAATTACTGCAGGGTTCAGTCTGGATGCGAATGTCCACATTTCGATAACAAAACAGATTCACTGATTACAAGGCCAAGTTGGTTGTATCGATTGTCATTATGTGGCAGACGGAGACCAATTCAAGCCACATCAGAGGACTAATGGTTTCTGGTTTGACAATTCTCGGTTTGGAAATTGAGGCATGCCCTCAACCGCATATTGTGCAGCTAGATTCAAGTTTTGATGGACGTATTCATTGCGTTGTGCGAGAATGAAATCGCTAATCGACCCAGTAGCTAGCTATGTGTGACACTTACCCTTGAAACGGAACTGCCTAACATCCTTGACATGGTGATGCTACTAGCACTGCGTGGTGCTAACTCATAAAATAACCTATTCAATCCCTTCGGATTCTCTTGACAACCGAAGGCTGGTACTCTTCCGCTGGTGCAGGCCTCTTCTGCTTCTGCAAGTGTAACGGCCCCATTGGCGTCTCTAGCTGTGATGGAACTCTTATTGACCCATTACCACCTCTGTCAGGCATGTGAGAGAGGAAAAATTTGGCATACGCAGCTGCTGTAGCAGCGGCGTATTCCTGCCACAACTTGTTCTTATGCGAGTCAGAATAATCGCAGATACCACGGATGACGAGGCAGTCAGTAGTTGTTCTCACGACTCCAGCTGCCTCCATCTCGAGGCAGATCACGTCCTCTTTGCCCAGACGGTCCCGGTGGCTTGCATCCCGGACGACCTGATTGCCAGATGCTATGAGACCATAGAAAACGTGTGGGCCTTTATGGAGTCGATCTTGCCGCTCTATTACGAGGGTGCAATTATGACAATCCGACCGGCCTTTTCGATGAAGATACTCCGAGATAAATAGTGTGTCCCTATCAGCGCCTGGGTATTCATATTCTTGCCTTCTTGAGGCAATCAAACCAAGATCGTCGAGCAGTGGGTTGGAGGCTGAGTTGAAAGTGACGAAGCAATCAGACTGAATCTTCGTAATGACTGCTCGCAGGAATGAGGGTGGCTTTTGTTTCTCTCCCGTCCTCTGAAACTCGGAATCCGAAATCAGCTTTCCCATGTCGACCTGTATTACGCCCGTGCCAACGACTATGTCACCGAGGCGAATATCTTGAGTCGCAGAAGGGACTCCGCCTCCAATACCGACTAACAGACAGAATTTGACTCGCGGAAAGGTCCGGATCAAATGAGAGGCGACATTGGTGGCGGAATTTGTGCCATAGTCATCGTGTGGAAGGCCAGCAGCAACCACATTGAATTTTTTGATCCGGCCAAGGCAATAGCAGTTTGGATCGTTCTCATCTTTTTCGAGGTCGGGATGAGGTAAATCGAACAAGGCGCGCACGGCAAAAAGTTCTTTCGATAGTGCACAAACAATTCCTACTTCATAGTCCTCATGAGTGAGACCATCAGACTGTGATCCTAATGGAGGCGTTTCTTCAGAGTTCCCATCGTTTGTGGTAGGGTGCACCATGCTTGTTCCAAGTCCCGAATCGGGGAAATCGTCAGGTTCCGAGTCATCTGAAGACGTAAAGGTCTCTTCATGCATGGGGAATCCGATGTCACTCCAGGACCATGGCAGGTCCTTGTTGTAGCCGAAAACCAGTGCACCACTCCCCCCACTTTTCACTTGAGCTCGACTTAGCTTGGGTTGCCTTGGCATCCTCTTTTTGAATTGTGCAGGCAATATGACTTGTGCTAATTCGCATTGTTGTGTACTGTGCGGGTCGACAGTGCATTCGCAAGCTTGAGGTACACTTTCTGCTTTGTACCAGATCAATTGATTGGTCAGCCTCACCGGGCTGCTGGTTGGATCTCCATATCGATCAATGATGTTTGCAAGATCTCCATCACTGATAGCAAGGTAGGACTTTCCTTCAGGTAATTTGTTCCAATGCGGGCAAGAGTTGCTAGTGGGAACCGGTTGAATAATTTCACCAAATCCGCTCCCAAACAATGTAATCGCTCGAATGGCTCTGGCCAAATCAACCCAGCTTTTTGCTTTGGTTCGTAACTTACAATGTCGAGGATACAGGGGGTCTTCATTCGTCGCCAAATCTTTGAAATCCCACCCTTCAAGGTTGCCCCGAGGCATACTCCATAGTTCTTCGCTGCCTCCTCTCATGACCTCTGCTTGATGATCCATCATTTTCTCAAGCATGCTATACAGACGGTCGACTCTATGTCGAATTCGGACAGCTGGAATCATTGCTTCCCCCGGTTCACCCTCCTGTGCATCGTAGAGTTCCAGACATAGGTTATCGGGGTTCAACAATACTTCCATCGCAGAATGAGGAGTAAATGACTTCTCGGGGCCCCTGATGCTTGCCACATCTAGCCGGAATATAGAACAAAGTGAATCAGTCCTGTTAGAATGGACTGAAGCCAGAAGAAGATGCAACAGAGCGCAGGCTCCATTCACTAGCCAACCCCGTTTTGCTCCCACATCCCACATCACAACGTACTGTTTGTTGATCCAATACAGCTTTTCAAAGTAGCCGCTCCGTGTAATTCTAAATGGAACATCTTTGTTGCCGTAAATGACTTCATCACCACCAGTGATTGGCTTGCCTGCTGAAATAACGGTGTTGGCAAAGCTGCATTGAGACGACGGGGACCGTAGCCGAGACCTTTCAATAGAGTAGCCGGCCTCACTTGACCCTGTTCATTAGTCAGATGAGTGGGCTTTTTCTCGAGAAAATAAAAGAATAACCATCACATACCAGCGTAGCATTTTGCGTCTAAGCACCAACCGAGAATGTGACGACTGGTTCCTAATGCAGACAGTGTGATATTTTCCGCATGACCTTCAATGCCATCCAGGTAAGAGATGCGCTCCCCTTTAGCGTTGTATAGGAGGTGCCATGTGATTTGATCTTCATCCCGCATGTACTCTGTGGGTAATAGGAGAGTAGAGAACCCCTTTATGAAAATCTTACCGTTGAAGACCTCTGCATTCTCTGCGTGGACTAGACCTGCTAAGAGGTTGAGTGGAATCTCGAGCCCAGTTCCATGTCTGGACCGACGCGCAATTGGAAACCCCTTCACCACGATTGGGTTTCGAAACAAGTGATGCCAGCACTGTCCTACGGAAGAAGGACTATCATCCTTTTCAGCTTCAAGCCGGAAATCAATAACGAATGAAGCTTTTGTGATCAATGAAGCCTGCTGGGTTGATATTGAGATGCTCTCAACGGTAGTGCTGCTGATAAATGGTGTGCAGTACGATAACTTAGAGTCATGGAGAGACGAACGGAGAGCCGAAGCCAGCCATGCAAGTTGTTCTCCAATCTCTGCAATTGATTCGTTTATGCCAGTAACTTTGGCAAAGAATTTGTTCCCATCTATCCATGCTCCAATTTGGGTCTTATCTGGAAAAGTGTCTGGAAGACGTCCATGGGCTGTCAGCACTGATCATAAAAAGGCTGGGAAAGGCTGAAGTTACATCTGTATTCGCAGCCCTGTTCACTGATAAGTGTGGCTTCAACTATATGAATAATTTTGGCTCCGTACGAATGCCACGTCTGATGAATATATTGCAAAGAAGTCATCGCTTGGGCATCGATGCGTGACCCTGTAATTGTGATCATCTTTCCGAGATAACCATCGTTGTCTTGGTCATATCCCTGCTCTGTGACGAAGGCTACAGGATTCCAGTTGATAGTGAATGTTGTCTGGTATATCTTTGGATGATCATGTTGACCCGTTGTCCAAATTAATGGTATAAATTCCAGAATTTGTGCGCGAATAGCATCCTGGGCATTGGGGTCCGCTGGATTCAAGGCAATCTCCCTCTGAATGCTTCCAAGTAACCATTTGTACGCTTGGCTATTAGAAATGAACTTCCTGTAGATCGCTATTTCAGGGATCTTTTTGTCACCATCTTCCCCTGGGACGTTGCCGGAGGTCTCTAGTCCAGTGTCTGCCTCGTTTTGTTCATTTTCAAGGTCGCTATTCGCATTTTCCTGGGTGTGATACCACAGTTTTATGCGATCATTCAACCCCATTCTATTGTCACCATTTGCTGGAACTGGAGAGCCCCCCTGACTTTCCATGTATTTTGATCTCAAGGTATTCGCAATATTGCTATAAGATGCTTATATCAGTGAAGCCCTGGAAGTTACATTATAGACTGGAGAGTGACTAACTGCCTGTATCGAATGATGAATATCATGATGTCCCTATGCATTTGAGTTGAGCCGAAATGACCAAGCCTGAGCGCAAACCCTTTCAGAAGACGTGGAAGAACATTATGGATTCTTTCCAATATTTCATCAGTAGGTCGCGCCAATCGGACATTATTGAACAAATCATCACTCAAGTGGGAGATATAAATTTGCTGCTTGTCTGGGGAAGTGCCATGCTCTTTCGTGTAGATAGCCGGGGTATTTTCGTTGTTGTCGTCGTTCGCATTCTGCAGGCTAGACTTTCCGTGGAGTGGCACAAGTCCTTCATCTTCAAACACTATACTTTGAGAATCGTTGCAGGGATTCTGGTGATGTTGCCGACGAGGACGCATTGTGTCGTTTGCAATTTTATCATGAGAAATAGATTCATCTCCAGGGTCTGTCAATGGTATACTGGAACTCACACCATCCACTCCATCAGAGATATCCCATGATGAGTATGTCAAATCTGCCGGTAATATAGTGGAGCCCACTTCATCCATCCCTCCATGTATGTAGGGATCCACCCAGCCAAACATGTTGTTTGTAGAATGAAAGGCGTCTCTAGAGCCTGTCGGTGGCCTAGTGAGACCCATTTCGTCCAACCAGGGGAACTCGTAGTACCTTGAATCAGATATTTCTCTAGGATCTGGCTGTGGCACAGCGGAACTCACTTCATCCGTCTCAGCAGATGTGTTGTATGTAGTAGATCCATACCCCGAGTCTGTCGATAGCATAGTAGGGCCCACTTCATTCATCCCCCCAAATGAGCTGCATTCAGATATAGATGGGTATGCCGAGTATGTCGATAGCATAGGGGGAACTATGTGATTACTCCTAAGGAGCATTTCGTCAAACAACATGGAGGAACCTGAAGCAGACCCACTAGGCGCGATAGATGGTCTATGGATGCTGTCTGCAACAAGTGTATCTAGCATGGGCAAAGGAGCAGTTTAGTTATGATCAATCCGAAATACAAAAAGGAAGATAATACACTTGGACATTTTTGCGTGTATCCATTCCCTTTCGGATATTCTCACCATTTTTCTCGCAATTATCCTCAAAGAGCACAATCGAAGGCGATGTCGGAGAATTCGGGGGCACTTTATTGCTCAGGCCATAATCGGTTGCTACACAAATCGAAGAAGATTTAGCAATCACTCTCAACAGGACAAGGACCGGGATTTGAAACTCAAGATTCTCTCACCAAGTGATGACTCAGTTTCTCGTGCTGTAGGCACATCTATAATCGCATCATGTGAGATCTTGAGAAGGAGCTCTTTAGCATAAGCTGTTGCCGCTGCCGCTGCATATCCTTGCCAACACCGATTCTTGTGTGAATCAGCGTAGTCGCTGATGCCACGAATGAATAGACATGGAAAGCCACTCATGTGTCTCGCTGCTCCCGTCTCTACACAACATACTCCTGAATCTTGAGCCAGTTTGTCTCGTAGCTTGCCATCTTTCAACACGTCGTTCAGGAACGCGATCGGCCCAAAATGAACTGCTGGTTTCTTCGAATCATCAAAGTCCCGTGGAGGTCGCGAGATGATTTTAGAGCGATCACAACCGACACATCTATCGGATATCGGACCCACGTGATTGTAGTCTGCTTGGTATAAACAGTCATCCTCTTCAGTGGGGCGCAAATAGCTTTCGTGAGCCCCGGAAGCTATTCTTCTGTACTCAATATCAGAAATAAAATCAATCACACGATTTTCGTCCAATTTATGTGTTGCTTTGAGCTCCTCGACGGCAGTCCTTAGAAAGCGAAGTGGCTGAGTTTGTAGAACAAATCGACCATCGTCTGATACTTCATCAAGATCGTACTGGATCACGCCTCCAAGCCATTCTGATGGCTCAGCGATTACAACATCGCCAAGTCGAATATCTCGATCACTGCTTGGTATTCCTCCACCGATGCCGACGAATAAAATAAACTGGACGGAGGGAAAGCTACTCATCAGGTCTCTGGCAACCTCTGTAGATGTTCTCAGATCATATCGACCGATCCGCGGAAACGCGATAGCAATGCTATGTCCTGCGATACTTCCAAGCACGTAGGTGTTTTGATCCGTCGGGGATTGGGGCAAGGGTGGATGTATTTCGTGTGGTACCAGCTGCGCAGCTCGCATCTCCATTGGTACGGAGTATATCCATCCGACCGTGTAATCGTTATGGGACCGTGGGATCCAGGTTGTCATGATGAATTTTATTGTGATGGCTTCATTGAAACGAAGTAATGGTTCGTCGATTCGTGAACAAATATGATAGAAACAAAGTTATTGTAAACCTGAGGAGCGGGGTTAAGGGCGTGCGGCTGATAATCTCATACGAGGCAACCTTGTAACACTATTGGGTAATGTAAAGCCTCATCAGCCTACGCGTATTCCAAATATCTTCCGCTATCAATATATCTATGTTTTGAAATTCATTCGGATCTGCACATCAGTCCATGCCTCTGAACCTTTCATATATGTGTATATTTCGCCTCCCACTCAATCTCTGTTGTTATTGATTTGTCAGGTAACCCATATGCCACTAAGGGTTAATTATATATGATTTTACATTGCTTCTAAAGGTCTGGCTACTAAATGGGCACCATGACATACGTTTCCGTGCTAAACGTTTTTTTAGTGGAAGCTCAAGTATCAGTACCTAGTGAAGTGGGGAACTGTCTGCGAACCAGCTTGCCACTGCGAACCAATCCACTCTTGAGATCTAGTAATTTTTTATTATAGCTACTTAGGATTCTATTAGGGGTCTTGAGGTATTTTTATTATTTAGTCTATAAATCTTTATATAATTAGTTAAATTAAGTAGTTATGAAGTTTCTAATTTTATAAGTACTAGTAATATCTAGAGTCTATTCGTTTCTAATCGTAAGATAGAATAGCTTATAATAGAACGTACCGCTCCATAGGAGAATATCCGTGATAGAAAGGCCCTTCGCGGGTTCCTTATCTCTAAGCGTTTCACCGGCTTTGTCATTTATAAATACAGATGGACATAATGTGATAGAACTAGGGGTCGTTTCATATTGGGTAGCTCCCAGATGACTATTGCTCACAGTGCAGTAAGTTTTCCCTCTATAATTAATATCGAAGAGGTACTGCCTCATGTCATCCGACCAATACGGTACCTGATTATTCCGTACACTCCGGCCATTTTTTTGCACCGTCCAAAGCATTTCCTGATAAGACGGAATATTCTCAATTGACACTGGGCTCAAGTGGTCCCTGGATCAACGGCCCCATTGGAAAAAGCCAACGAGCGCACTGCAGGATCAAACAAGGCCTTGATGATACTTTGGTACATCCTTGGACGAACAAAACAAGCAAGAGATATCGAATTACAAAAAACACTCAGTACCGGAGTTGATCAAAGCCACATATTAGCCTGCAAGAATACTTACACGATCGCTGTCGTATCGTTGATTAGCATCCCCGGGGATATTGATGCTATTGACAACCTGAGTGGGCATCTATTGAGTTGCAGGAGTGCAAAGAACAATCGATTTGCCAGTGCCAAATGATCATCGACTGAAAATCAGTATTTGCATGAATATGAATAAACGTTCAAGTCGGTATTCGACTCTGACCACATACTAGCAAGACTTCAGTTCGATTGTCACACACACATTCCATCTCGGATCTTTATCCGTGTTTTCTGCTAAGACCAATCAACGTCGGTTTCTTATCCGGGCAACATCCAGTCTAATTTAGACAACGTAATGGTGAAAGGGGCGCTTTGGAAGCCACTGTAGAGGTTATTTGAATGCCTGTCTTCTTTCAAAATGGAGAATAACTCCATATCGCTGGCGGATAGCCCAAGTGCGAGCGGAAAAGGATGTTGTATGCATTTCCGGATTTCTAAAAATCCCCCGCCGGATATCCGGAAAAGGGCCTTCGCAGTTCTCGGAGTGACGCCGATTTGGAGTCGCTGATCGTTCAATCACATATAAAAGAATCTCCAATTCCGCAACTGCGGGGAATGAATTAATTCAGATTATCCGCAATGGCTACCACGACAGAAACGACGACGGTCACCGTGACGCCGTCGCAGACCGAAGACCTTGCCACTCGCCTATTTAACGGCGCCCTTCATGCCGGGTATCCTCCGATCGAACAATTTATGACACTTGATGGGCTTCTCAAGGATCATGCTGCGCAGCCAGATCAAGCGAAGAGACCATTGGTTAGCTATCCGGTGCGAAAAGCAGACGACTTTGAGGAACACACGGCAGGGGATCTGGACAAGTATACCGATCTCGCGGCTCGCTATTATATTGAGAAAGGGCTCCCACCTGCGGTAAGATGGAAGATTACATGAATTCTCGCGGTAAGCTAATGCCTTTGTAGGATCCGAGTCTCGAGAAAGCGCCAGTGGTTGCTTTGCTTGCTGGCTCCAGCTTCGAGGTCATTTTGACCTTTTTCGCATTGAATCGCCTGGGATATGCTGTTCTCTTTCTGTCGACTCGACTTACAGCCCCGGCTTATGCTCGGCTATTGAGCATGGTAGAGTGCAGTCAAATGATCATCGCCAAGCAATATAATCAGACCGTGTTGGACATTTGCACCGAACGCCCTGGCTGTACCAGCTTTCCTATCTTGCAGCGAGATGACTGGTTCAACCGTCCTGCCGTTCTTCCTCGGTTCCAGCGCCCAAATATGGAACCAATGCGCGAAAGCAAGAAGATGGCCTGGATCTTGCATTCATCTGGAAGCACGGGCTTTCCGAAACCTATTTTCCTAACCAATTACCAGTGTCTGGCCAATTTCCGGAAGAGCTTCGGCCTGCGTCTGTTCAATATCAGTCCCTTATTTCATTCACATGCCCTGATGGAGCTTGGCCGAGCTTTCTATACGAGGGCATCAGCATACCTTGGAAACCACTCTCTCGCCATCACTTATCAGAACCTGGTCGACGCTTTGAAGGTGGCCAAGCCGCAGCAAATCAGCGCGGTACCCTATGTCATCAAACTTCTGGCAGAAAGGCAGGAAGGTATCAAAGCTCTGGCTAGTCCTCAGTTGGTACTGTACGGTGGTTCGAGTTGCCCGGATGATCTCGGAGATCGGCTAGTAGCACAAGGTGTCAACCTCGTTGCCAACTATGGTGCAACAGAGACTGGCCAGATTATGACTTCTTTCCGATCCGACGGTGATACCGAATGGCAGTATATGCGCCTGCATCGGCCTGTCGCTGATTATACTCTGATGGATGAAATATCGCCTGGTGTCTTTGAGTGCGTTGCTTTAGATGGATTGCCAAGCAAAGGACCCTCCAACTCGAAGCCCCCGTTCAGTGAAAAGAACCCAGAAAACAGTTTCCGAACTGCGGATCTTTTCGCACGCCATCCAGATCCTAAGAAAAGCAATTACTATAAGTACATCTCTCGACTGGATGACCGAATTACCCTCGTGAATGGTGAAAAGGTCCTTCCGATTCCAATTGAGGGCCGTGTTCGAGAGGAGGAGTTTGTGGGAGAGTGTGTCGTGTTTGGATACCAGCGAACCGTACCAGGAGCTTTGATCTTCCGTGCCCCTGGAAAGGCAACCCATTTGAGTAATGACGAATTCTTGGAAACCATCTGGCCAGCGGTGGAGGCGGCAAATGCTCGTGCGGAGACGTTCTCGCGGATTCCGAAAGAGCTAGTCGTCATCAAGGGGGCGGATGTGACATATGCAAGAACGGACAAAGGAACATGCATCCGCGCTCAAGTCTATCAGCAATTTGAGGAGGACATTCAGCGAGCTTATGCAGGATTTGAAGGCAGTGGACAGAAGAAGGGAACTCTTGCACTTAGCACCTCTGAATTGGAAACCTGGCTCCTATCCAGATTCAAGGACGACTTGGATGTATCTCTTGAAGGTCCTGACACTGACATATTCTCTGCTGGTATTGACAGCTTGCAAACCACACGGATATGGAGATGTATTGTCCGTGACCTCGACCTTGGAGATCAGGGTGATTCTTTGTCTCAAAACATTGTTTTCGAGAAGGGAACCATCGGCGCTCTTGCGAGGCACTTGTTCAAGTTGAGGACAGGTCAAGAGTTTGAAGAGGAAGATGAGATGCAAATCATGCGTGAAATGATCGACCGGTATTCCTCTTTTACTCACCATACCCCGATCATCCAACACCAGCCAAGTACAGAAGTTGTCGTAGTTACAGGTGGAACCGGGAATCTAGGTGTCTTCATCATTGCCGAACTGCTCAAGCGACCTACTGTCTCTGAGGTATGGGTACTTGTACGTGCACCGGGCCAAGCAGCTGCAGGTGCTCGTCTCTGGAAAGCGTTGGCCGAACGCAAAGTTTCGCTCACGGATTCGGAAGCTGCAAAACTTCGTGCCGTGCCCAGTGACCTTTCCCAAGCGAACCTTGGTCTGGACGGCTTTGTCATTGAACACCTGCTATCATCTGCAACAAGTATCATCCACAGTGCGTGGGCCGTCAATTTCAATCTCGGTGTGCGATCCTTTGAGCAACAGCACATCCGCGGCACGTACAACCTCATCAACTTCTGTTTGCGCTCGAAGCTTCCAGTTCCTGCTCGATTCTTCTTTTGCTCCAGCGTCAGTGCCGCGAGCAATACCCCCAAGCCAGCATCCATTCGTGAGGCCATGATCGAAGATCTTTCGCATGCGCAGAGTATGGGATACGGAAGATCAAAGCTCGTCACCGAGCATATAACGCATAACGCTATGCGCCAAACTGGCATGCATGCTAGGGTCTTGAGAATTGGTCAATTGGGTGGCGATACTAGGAACGCTCAATGGAATGATACGGAAGCTGTGGCTCTCATGTTCCGCAGCGCACTGACAACTGGTGCACTCCCTGAATTGAATGAGAGACCAACTTGGCTCCCTGTTGACCAATGCGCCCAAGCAATCACAGAAATTGCCCTTGATGCCTCCAGTCTTCCTTCAGAGAGTGACTTGGTCTATCACTTGGTCAACCCACACGCATTCAGCTGGAAGGATGATTTGCTTCCGGCTTTGAAGCAAGGCTCTGGTTTACCACAGTTTGAGGTTGTGTCACCACAAGAGTGGCTCCAGAGGTTAATAAATAGTGATCAGGATCCAGAAATAAATCCAAGCATTAAGCTTTTGGACTTCTGGAAGTCTAAGTATGGTGGTGATGATCCCCAAGCACCGATTGGAGGTCTTTCATTTGAGACAAAATGCACTACACGAGACTGTCCATCTCTGGCTCTTGTGAAAGATCCAGTGACTGATGGTCTAATAAAGAGGTATATCGCCTCTTGGATGAAGAAGTGGACAAGTCAATAGAATTTCAACGCGTGTCAAGAGATGTACTAGTACAATTTCAACAAAATAAATATATTAACACAACCGAAGTCCAAGCCTTTGCCTATACATAATAGTGAAGAAAGTCTTCTTCATTGTCCAAACCACGATACCGATTCCCATGCCCTTTCAAAAAGGTTGTCATATGATGCTCACGATATCCATCACCACGCTTGCCTGTCATGAACAGCCCGGGTGGTCTAGTGGTATGATTCGCGCTTAGGGCAGCAACTCCTAAGCACTCCTGCGCGAGGTCCCGTGTTCGATCCACGGCTCGGGCCTGTTATGTTTTTGTCTTTACCCATATCATAGCATGTCCCTATAAGGCTGCAGCCTTATTTTCCAGGGCGTTAATTAATGAATGCAACAACAACAATTTCCACGCTCAACCAATCACTTCCACTTTCTGGTTTCACTCTTTTCCGATGCCCTGAGGGATCTCGTCCGAGACCTAACACATCCTGTCTCAATTAAATCATTCCTTGGTGTATTCTTGAAGCGCCTCAGCCCGATCTTATCCGATTCAGCCAAATTTGATGCTTATTATAACAGAGGGCTGGGTGCCTAGAAAATGAAAGGCTCCTTGACCAGGGAAAATTATTTAGATCACCCTTGACATTGCAGCCTCTCGGAAGCACGCAAGCAGCCATTGAAGCCGAGAAATTCAAGCTATCTGCCTCAACAACATAGCACGTGCAGGCCACAATACGGTAGGTTGAGTATGAGTGAACGATGTGGCGAAGGCCTTAGCCTGGCCATAAGCCTTCCTTAGGTCTCCTATTGAATGTGGACGGATTCCAAGGTTCTTATGATGAGAAAAGTCGTGAGCTTAGTCGTGACTTAAAGGGTGCAAAAAAGAACATATTATAGGATGGCGACTGATACAAAAACCCCGATTGTTTACCTCGGCCCCACATACGATGATCATTGTCAATCTCCGCCTAGCGTACCAGTTAAACTTCGCTCAAAGCCTATTAACAACTCAAGCTGAAATCAGCTGCTTCAAAACTCTCATTCCATAAACATACTTATGTTCGCATAATATTGCGCAAGGGTTGAGTGGGGTATTTGTTTAAGCGGGGTAAATGTCACTAAAGACATTTTGGCCCCCATACGCGTCGTCATGTCCCCCAATCAACGTGCGAATATGAAAAGCATTACTCAGCTCTGCATCTTCTGTTAAAGTGCTGATATTTACACCTGCAGACTGCGAAGTCGGTGATCTAAACATCAGAGACCTGTCTTCCATCAAGGGAAGATGTTGGACACTTCTAAGCTTCTAACTCTGGGGTTCGCATTCGCAGTGGGATATGTTGTCTACAAGGACCGCAAGGGCGACCCGCGTGAACCACCAGTGGTGACGAGCGCGATTCCGCTGATCGGACATCTACTCGGGCTCATATTTTCCGGTTTTGGTTATTTCACTAAGCTGGCGTAAGTAATTTCATGATTGTATGCAGAGATAAAGCTAAGGTCTCGATAGGAAGAGCAATCGAGACAAGCCAATCTTCACTGCGAATATGGTTTTCAATAAGACGTACATCGTTACGTCGCCGGATCTTATGCAGGTAGCTCAACGTCACACTAAAACTCTGAAATTTGACCCATTGGTGACTTTTGGCCTACGCAACGTTGCAGGGATCCAAAATGAGAAGATCCTTCATTTACTGCGTGAGAAAGAGTCCGGTGGCGGGGGTTTAGTTCAGAAGATCATGCATGACATGGCTCCAAAGCTACTGGGGAAGCCGTTGGACACAATGAATCTATGCATGACCCGGTTACTACTCCCTCACCTTGATCGGCTGGCGGAGGCTCCTACCGTCGACTTATACGGGTGGTGTCGCGATGTCATTATGGATGCAAGCACCCAGTCTTTGTACGGCCCACTGAATCCATATGCGGATGCTGAAGTCTCAAAAGCATTTTGGTAAGTTCACATGTTATTTAGACACAAAGTCCACCCGCTAACATAATCCACATAGGGAGTTTGAGACAAATATAGCCCCCTTGGCCTTTAACACTCTGCCATGGCTGACAGCACGCAAGGCATGGAAGGGCCGCAACAGAGTCTGCGAAGCCATTATAAAGTACATTGAGAACGATGGTCCACGGCAGGGATCTGAGCTTGCTATCATGCGACACAAGACATTGATGGAAGCCGGATTCTCCATGGACGAGTACGCGAAAATGGAAATAACATTGATCATGGCCTTCGTATCGAATACCGTTCCCTCCGCATTCTGGGTACTTTTTGATCTATACAGCCGTCCCCAGTTGCGTAGCGAAATCCGTGAGGAACTGAAAGCCAATGCGCTTTCTGTTGCGGCGGATGGGACTCACAATATTGATATTGGGGCTATGAGAGAAAAATGCCCGCTGCTCTTGTCTACCTTTCAGGAAGTGTTGCGCACGCGTACAACGACATGCTCTACACGTATTGTGTTGAAGGACACATTGGTCGCCGACAAATACCTCTTGAAAGCTGGGAATATGCTTAATATCCCTGCCGATGCCATGGGATATAACCCTAATGTGTGGGGTGCGTACTCAGCCGTGTTTGATGCGCGGAGATTTATGAAGCCGGTAGTCTCCGAGGACATAGGTGAGACGAAGGAGAATCGACGTCCTGGGCGGTTCATGACCTTTGGTATTTCCCCTGTCATTTGTCCTGGTCGGCATTTTGCCAGTTCGGAGATTCTTGGCTTGGTTGCCGCGATGATTTTGCGGTATGACGTTGAGCCCGTCAGTGGAGGCTGGAAGGAGCCCCCGAAAAACCAGTCAGCCCTTGTTTCTATTATGGGAGCAATCAAAGGCGAGTATCCTGTAAGTGTGACAAGAAGAAAAGAGTTCGAAGGCGTCAAATGGGGATTTCAGGTTGAAGAGGGCCAAGGACAGTTCCCATTGGTAATCGGGTAATCAGGGGATTCAATTCGAAGTGACGATGTTTGAAATGGCAAAGCACATTGGTGAATGGTTAAGCTCATGTAATGTAAGTGTATAGGGGCATATGTACACCAAAAGGGAAAATAAGCTCAGAAATAGCCATTGCTATCAATGTGAGATACAGCCACCGAGAAACGCCAGAAAATGCAAATGGAACAAAGCCGTAAATGGGTTGGGAGAACATCAATTTCCCATAGGCCCAGACTCGGTCATAAAACCATAACATATTAATATAAGTTCTATGCCTTAACAGCCTTGGTGGCCCCACCCTTGGCCTTTGTCTTGCGCTTGCGATCCCGCTTCTTCATTCCGGTCATACCAGACTTGCACAGCTCAGCATAGCGAGTGTAGAATGCTTCAAGCTCTTCCGGCTTGACCACTGTCGAGAATTTAACTTTCGAGGAAGTATTCTTGGTGATCTTGCCAGCCTTGTCGGCCGATTTAGGGTTTGGCGCACTGGTGTTTCCGTCTGTGATGCGGATGAGGGTTGAAGGTGGGGAATTGGATGCGGAGTCAACGAGGGGTTTTTGGGTCAGAGTAACAGATCCCCGTGCCTTTTCTGATGTCTTTGAGAGCAGGTTTGTGAGAGATGAGAAGAACTGGCGGTGACGGTGTTGTTAGCGGAGCTCTACGTGATGGTCGCGTGGCCTAATGGCCGAATTTTCAACATCAGACCAAACGGAAATGCTAGACATACCTCATCGTGGCTCAGAGGAGGGGCCATTGTGAATGGGAATATTAAGGTTCAAGACAATTAAGCTGCGATATCGTGTCGAGACCACGCAACATTAATGTCGTGGGGGAAGAAACTCCGCTGTGGGTTGGAGGCGTGCCGCCTTACGATTTGGCAGGCAGAAAAAAAAGTAAGTCTACCGCCCGGCGGTCTCTTTCTCAAGGTTAAACCTGCAGGCTATTTTCTCTCACAAAACAGTCAAGATGAGACGCCCACGCCCACAGCACAATACAACGTGTCTGCCTCGTGACCTACGGTCCGAGCTGGGCATTCGCGATCGTTATGGAGAGAAGAAGCGCCGGTTGAACGGACCTGCCTCACGCAAAGATCGTCGACAAGCCGAACGCAACGAAAAGAAGTCGAAACCACAAGCGAAAACCTGGAAGCAGTACCCTCGCCAAGGGGATAAGTCTGCTGAGGATGATGCGGGCTTCGGTACGGACCAAGAAGATGACCGGAAGCCGAGCGACAATGGTCAGAAAGCGCTGAAGGGAAAAATTGCGGCAGCCCCAAATTCGAAAACGAATATGAAGAAATCTAAAGAAGACGAGGACGAAGCTTCAATGGATGAATTCGGCACGATTGATGATTTGGACGAGGATGATGAGGATGATGAGGATGACGAGGGCGACGATTTCTCGGACGTCGATGAACCCGAGGACATAGATAGGCCTCATGTCTCGTCCGGAGTTAAATCCAAATTAGCGGAGGATGATGCTGAGATTGCCTTTTTGGAGAAGAAACTTGGTCTCAAGAAGGGCAAGAGTTCCAAGAAGTTTGAAGACGATGGGTTAGATGACCTGCTGGGTGACCTGGGGGAGGCATCAGAGGATGACAGCAAAAAGAGGAAACGAGAAGCCGACGAGTGGCTCCAGAGCAAGCGGAAGAAGGCTCAGAAGCTCCAAGCTCAGGAAGAGGAGGAAGACGACAGTGAAATGGAGAGCGACGAAGACGAGGATGATCTTGATGAGCAAATGTTCGGGAGTGATGATGATGAAGATGAAGATGATGAATTTGATGGTTTTGACGAGGAGAAGGCTCCTCCGAAGAAACGAGAGAACCCATACGTCGCGCCAACTCCCAAGACCGAAAGCTCCCAGCCTCAGAAATACGTTCCTCCTTCATTACGAGGCCTATCCGACCCGGAAACAGAGTCTCTAAATCGACTAAAGCGTCAAGCTCAGGGACAGCTGAACAAGCTGTCCGAGGCCAACCTGATCTCCATCGTGTCTGAGTTTGAGAAGCTGTATCGCGACTACCCCAGAAAGAACGTCACGTCTACAGTGCTTGATCTCTTGATGGGCCTTATTTGTGAACGAGCCGCTCTGCAGGACACATTTATGGTCCTTCATGCCGGTTTCATCGCAGCTCTTTACAAGCTCCTGGGAACAGACTTCGGTGCCGATATTGTGGAGAGAATTGTGAAGACGTTGGATGCCAATGGTGATGAGCGGGGAACTTTCCAAGGCAAAGAGATCGTCAACTTGGTATCTCTTTTGGCACAACTTTACAACTTCCACGTTATCGGAAGCCCTTTGATGTTCGACTATATCCGTTCCTTCCTAGAGGAACTTACGGAAAACAATACCGAACTTCTACTCAAGGTCATTCGCATCTCTGGGCCTCAACTTCGTCAAGACGATCCTACGTCCCTCAAGGACATCGTTCTTCTTGTTCAGCCAGCCGTAGCTAAGATTGGCGAGAGCAACCTTTCGGTTCGCACAAAGTTCATGATCGAGACCATTACCGACCTGAAGAACAACCGTGTCAAGAATGCCATCGGTGCCAGTATCACCAGCGAGCACATCACTAAAATGCGCAAGATCTTGGGATCTTTGAACAACTCTCGCACTATCCGTGCTTCGGAACCCATGAACATCACCCGCGCGGATATCCACGATGCTTCCAAGAAGGGCAAATGGTGGCTTGCCGGTGCAAGCTGGAAGGAAGACCCACTGGTATCTGCTCGGAAAGAATTGACTGATACCCCTATGAAAGACGCGGAATCGGAGGAAGACAGCGATGCCGAGCCTGACTTCGGCGAGCTCGCAAAGGCTCACCGCATGAACACTGATGTCCGCCGTTCGATTTTCGTGGCTATCATGTCTGCCAACGACAAACAAGATGCGTTTGTACGACTCAACAAACTTCGATTAAAACGTGTGCAAGAGTTCGAAATCCCGCGTGTTTTACTGCACTGTTCAATGGAGGAGAATGAGTACAACCATTACTACACTTTGATCGCAAGGGGAATTTGTGGTGCTGAGAAAGGGCAACGGCGCATGAAGGTCTCCTTCATGTTTGCCCTTTGGAACATCTTCAAGAGGATGGGCGAAAAGGGAGATATGGATGACGAGGAAGCAGACTTCGACCCGGAGGACGAGAATACCGCCGTCAGCTTGAAGGCTGTGATCAATCTTGCTAAGATGTATGGTATGCTGATTGCAGATGGTAAACTGACACTGAGCGTGCTGAAGACCCTCAACTTTGCCTACCTGCAGCCAAAGACCAAGATGTTTGTTGAGGTGTTGATCATCACTATCATCCAACAATCCCAGAAGAGCAAGAAGAGCCAGAAAAAGAAGTCTGGCTCAGAGGAACCAATCAAGGATGAAGAGTCCCTGATGCAAATTTTCATGCGCGTTCAAGAAACACCGCACGTTGCAAAGGGACTGATCTTCTTCATTCGCAAAGTAGTCGCAAAGACTGATCTTCTGGCTGAGGAGAAGGAACAAAAGATGATTCGCTGGGGTTGCAATGTGGCCGTGGACGCCCTCAAGGCGATTCGCGATTAATGACGCCTCATTGGCCTGTACATGAAGATCCTGTTTTCCGGCGGTTGATTTTGTATCTAAAATATACCCATCATTGACATACCAAAAGTCGCATCATGTAAAAATGAATTTCATTGCACATCACTCGTTGGAACATTAAGTATAGATCTGTAAATATACAACTCAAGTGGCTTCCTCCACCAGGTCCCATTCCATAGCTATCAGCCAGCATTTCCTACCATTTTCGGGTACATCGACTTGCGAGTAGGCAGTCTCCAAGTCAGCCTCGGTTGTGGAAATCTGGGGATCATGGAGGTCGATATTCCAAGCTAAACCTCGATGAAACCCCAGCAAATCACCCCGCTGGATCTGAACCGGAATGGAGCGTGACGAAGACCGCGGCTTGGATTTAGGAGGTCCAAGAGCTAGGATATTGAGGACATTAGAATCCTCTTCTTTGTCCCTGGAGACATTCACAGTCTCTGCTGTAATAAAAGCCAAGGGACCGGAGCTACTAAGCATTGCGTGGCTGACACTGACAACCCGCACAGCCACAAGATACCGACTTAATGCGCCGGACGAACCGGCTTCGGAGTCAGTATTCAACAACCGACTATGCAGAGCCTGTTCCCGCTTAGATCCAGTCTCAAGGATCCAGCTTCGTACATCCGCTGCCATGCCGCCAGGGACGTAGCTCGTGGCACCTGCGCGAGCTTTTCCACGACGACGCAGAGTACGCGAAGAAGGCGAAAATGGTGCAGGGATATCTTCCTTCTTCGAATTTGGAGATGGAGATCGGGGAAGCACAAACGTCGGTTTGCGCTTTTCGAGAGGCGTTGAGGTTGGTTGTGACTGTGCCGGTGTTTCGGTTCCTAGTACAGGCTGGCTACTTGGTGGTTTCTTGGCTGAGAGCACGAATCGGGGTTTACTCCGGAAGGGGGTGCTGGTAGGTCCTGGTGTCCATCTGACGGGTCTTGGTGGCATCCTTGGAGTGGCTTCCGGGTTGGGATTTTGTGTCGCTGCGCGCGGACGAGAATGAGACGCAGGCGATGCAGGCGTTTCTGGGGCTGCGAATTGACCTGGTCCCTCTGGCGAAGAGGATGTCTGATCGATGCCTCCATGCAGTTTCTGGGCGAGAGAGGGTTGTTCTGAGACGCGTCGACGTTTGTGACTATCTTCTACAGTCGCGAACAGAGCCTCGTACTCGGGGTCCAGGGGTCCCGGTGTCGCGGGGGGTTTGGGTGGACTACTGTCGATAACATCATCCACCAGTTCTGTTCCTCTCTTGTGTGTGCTTGTGCTCCGGGGGAGCTCATCTTCGTCGCAGTCTTCGATCACGTCTCTCTTCCAACGCGGTGGGATGGCATTGCGCTGTGATGCCGGATTGCTCCCCACAGGGGCAGTAGATGGAGGGTAATCATCATCTACTATTTCGAGGTCATTCTTGCCGTTCTGGGGGTTGCTTTGCGATAGGAGGAAGCGGGGGGAGTTCGCGAATTGCGGGCCACTCCGGCGCGTGGACGGTTGGCGGCGGGATAGGCGGAATGGCGAGGGGGTCTGCAAGTGGATTGAATCAGTAGGTGATAAACTGATATGATATATTTAATTCTTACACCTGGCAAAGGCATTTATCTTTGAGCGCTCAATGGTAGGATCTGCATGGCGCAACGCGGGCGCGTTGAGGTAAGAGGCGGAAATTGAAAATTGGAGATTGGAGATTGGAGGTGTTGCGACCAGGCTTCCATGGAACCTGAGTCTCCTCAAGGTATGATTAGAAAATATCTTTTCTGACGCCAAACGTAGTCTTTTGCACTATCTGAATCCTTGTTCCTCTGTATTGAAACAGGTATACAATACACGCTCTTAAATTGGTCATCTATACGAACTTACGAACTACCACAAGCCCGCATGCGCATGCTGCAGTCACCTTAGCTTAACGACCCCAGACCATCCTTGAACCATTATAGGTAGAGTAGTACTATGACTTCTTCAGATTTCACATAATATAGCAATTGACCACAGTTCCAATCATCAAAGCCCATTTCAATTGGGCAAACTATGTTTTTCCAGCGCTTGTGGTGGAGCCACCAACGACAGGTTTTAATTAGTTACGATATCATCAAGTATAAATTAGTGTCTTGTGGACTCTCCTTGATAACCCAGCTTGGGGCATGCAATCTATCTGACAGTTAAATCTTCTTTTGTATCGCGTTGGTCGCGATATCCCATATCCCTTCAGTGATCAGCCCTAGATAAGCCCAAGATAATTTTCACCCTGCCAATATGGGTCCGCCCCATATTGGTATAGACATTGACGCTATCGCTAAGCGAGGCGGCTCTATATCAAATCTAGGCTAGTTCCGGAACAACCAGGGACTAAGGGACTAGTAGGGGCAATTGTGCAATAGGGGCAGAGTTTTCAAGTGTTAGTCACAGTAGATCGCGTTATCATAAAATTTGACCTCAGAACACTTTTGAGTGATCTCTCTGCAAATACCTTTCATAAAAACTCCTTTACTGTTTCTATATACCACTTCCATTGTCGAGACCCGATGATTTACAGTATATTGAAGAGTGCCCGTGCATCTTTAATCTTAGGGCTGTTAGGCAGTCCTGGTGAGTGAGATGTCGAACTTGAATCGAAATTCAAACCTAACATTAGCTAGGTATTTCTGCTGCCAGCTGTAACTCGGTGGCAATCACATCGGTGGCTGATGCAGACACTCTACGTGGAAATTGCCAAACCGTCAACGGCACTGTCACAATCGGCCCTTTCGCCGAAAGCAAAACAACACTGTACATCAACCTTGACGGGATTGAAGTGATTGAGGGATCCCTGCAAGTCTATGAGAACAATTTCAAGAATAAGTCCGTCGCTTCCGGGCCATTCGCACTCTCCAGTTCGACCCTTGGAGAGGTTCAAGGGTCTGTGGACTTCGGTAGAGGCCCAAACACGTTATGGAATCTCACTCTACCGAACTTGACCACAGTTCATAATAAGTTCATAATCGACGATTCCCCAGTCACCTACCTCGACATCACCGCCTTGGAATCCGTATCCTCGTTCACACTCGCAACGAAGAATCTCACCACGCTCCAACACACCAAATTCACCAATTTGACAAATCTTTCGATTTCCTCAAATCGCATCGGCTCTCTAGACAGCTTCTTCAATAACCCCATTGATATATCTGACTCGCAAGCTGTCGGCCCATTTCCAAATGTGGATGGTATAACTGTCGGGTTCACATCCGGCTACGTGGGTATCTATGCAGCTGTCAATGTGACACTTGGGGGACCGACAACAACCGAAATGAATCTCAGTGACCTTTATCTCGGTCAAAATATTACCGCTCTCAATCGTAGCCCCGAGCTAGAATTGCTCACAGCTACAGAGTTGAAGCTAGAAGACACGACTATGACTCGCTTGGATGTTGAATTCGACGATCTCAGAATCTTGGGCGTGGGCTCTAGTTCATACAGTACCCTCGAGGAGATCCGGTTGCCGTCTCGTGCTGTTAATTGGACTGGAGGTTTCAACTTTATCTCCGAGTTTTCACCAAATCTCAATCTGTCTTCGCAGTATGGTACTGATGATGATGGAAATCGGGTCCAGACGTGGTATTGGCCGACCAACGTTTCTGTTGTTGTTATCACTGATACCATTGTGGATAATGCGTTCTTGTATGATTTTCCCTTCTCCAGATGAAAACTGTTGAGTGCTAATATGGGTTTTGCAGTGATACTTTCGTTGCTCAGCAGATGAAGTCTCTTAATAACACATCGACGTTGGAGGAGTTCATCATTTATCCTGGTGTTGGTTCAAATTTTAGTTGCACTCCTTTTGACACGCTTCGCGATATGAATCGCCTGCCAAGTGGGGCGCAAGCGTACGCTTGTGAGAGCCGGACAACTACAAGTACTGCTAGTAGTGTCTATTCAATTCGTGTATTCAGCCTGACCTGCATCGCTAGTGTGGTGGCTTGCTTAATTTTATTGTAAACTACTTATCCACAAGTGGTCAATTGGACGATCTCTTGTTGAATTGTTTCAAATTTGGCTTTTCCAGCCGCACAATCGTAATGGACCTTGTAGATTCATATCGCTTATTCAAGCTTTGTACAAGAAGCAATATTCTCCAGTAGCCCTTGGAAAACAGTCTATGTTCTCTTAATAAAATGAACCCAGGCCTGTATACCGTGGAAAATCAAGTCATTCCACGCATGCAACAATGTGTAACTTTTTATGCGAGCTTAGTCTCACGCGGTGTGCCCTCCCTGTATATTGAATGACTCTTAGTACAGTTCATTATAGAAAGCCAACATTGAACATATCGTCATAAATTCTCATTTCTGCGGAAACTGTGGATATACATGGCAGAGAAGAAAGAAAAAGGATATACAGGCCAAGAGGTGAAAGCCAGTAGTTTCACATGCGCCAATAACATAAAAAGTGGCGACTAGACCAAAAAGACAACTTTATAAGCAAGGAAGAGCACGCTTACATCTGCGAGAAGTACTCATCGAACTTCTCCTCAGTAACCTTAGTGCAGTCGAAGCCGTAGATCTCCTTCTGGACATCGGCATCGGCCCACTTGTCGGGCACGGGACCCTTACCGCCCTGAGCCTTGAGAGCGGCGAACTGGCGATCACGCTCCTCCTTAGCGGCACCGTCACCCAAGTGCAGAGCACGACCAGAGGCAGCGGCCATCTCGACCAGGGTCTCGGCACGAACCTTGCGGACCTTCTCGTAAACACGGAGAGCCTTGTTAATGGACTCGGGAGTGGTATCGGGGAGGCGGGAGAGAGCAACGGCGAGAACGGCACCGTCCTCGATAGCCTGGGCGGCACCCTGAGCCAAGTGAGGGAGGGTAGGGTGGCAGGCATCACCAACGAGAGCGACCTGCTCGTGGACCCAGGTAGGGAGAGGGTCGTGAACACGCAGCTTCCACTCGCAGACCTCGCCCTCGGGGACGTAGTCGAGGAGACGCTTAACCATAGGGCAGAAGTCGGCAAAGACCTCCATCATGGCGGACTTGGAACCCTTGGTTGTGTAAGTGGCGTTTGTGGCCTCGGCGAAGTTCTTATCGGGCTGGGTGGTGGACAGGTTGTAGATAGTGTTGTTGGAGACGGCGTAGGCGATGATGTGACGCTTCTCACCGATCCAGCGGGTGACGGTGGTGCTGTTAATCAATTCCAGGAGCTCGGGATCATCCTTGATTTGCTCCTTGTGGATCATAATACGGTAGGCGGCTTGGTGGGTGTCCTTGACTCCGGCGGTGATGCCCAGGAGCTTCACCATGGCGTTGCGGGTCTCACTCTTAATTCCGTCGGCTCCGAGGAGGACATCACAAGTGACCTTGTAGGGCTCGCCGCCGTCGCGGGGGGTGGCGGTGAATGATGGGCGAGGACCGAACGAGTCGACCTCTGATGCGGTGGTAGCGAAGTGGAACTTAATGGCGGACTCCTTCTGGCAGCCCTGGTACAGGCCGTTGGCCAAGGAGGAGCGGTGGCCAACCATGTGACGGTATCCGTAGGTATCCTTGATATAACCCAGCTCGACGTGGGCAAGCTCGCTGTTATCGGCACCAACTATGTACAGAATCGTTGTTAATTACCGCAATTCCTTATTTTATAATTGAGGGGTATAGGATTCTGAGTAGAAACTTACCACGGACACGGGTATCTCCAATGTTCACAGCCTCGTCCTCAATGCCCTTCCAGACACCAAGGTTGTCCAGAACACGGGCCATGTTAGGCGCAAGCTGGATACCAGCGCCGACGAAACCGAGGTCGTGCGCATTCTCATAGACATCAATGTTCTTAAAACCGCGCTGAGCCAGAGCAAGGGCAGTGGTAAGACCACCCATGCCAGCGCCCAGAATGGCGACTTGCAAATCCTGAGGAGACTTGGCCATTATGTCGGATATAAGCGGGAAGTATATTGGAATGGCGGGGATGATGTTGCGGGGAGAAGCAACAAAAAGTAGAGAATGAGAAGAGTAGAGGGGGAATTAAGAAAAAATGAAAAAGTCGAAAGAAAGTTGCGAATGGACGATTCTTAAATTTCCATCCAAACTCTCACCGAGGCCCTTTAGCCGTCGCATTCGTGCTTCTACGTGACGAGGGCGGATGAGATTTTTCCCGCTTCTCCCACGCTCCCCACACGCCCGCTATGGAGGGGCAGACGGACGCGCGCTTTACTGGATCTTGCTCATCAGCCTGCTTGGACTTTATCCGCCACGGCGTTCATGGGCCGCACATGGCCATACAGGGAGCCATACACGGGAGAAACAATATCAGCTTGGGATAAAAGTGTTTGAGATTGGGATTTCCCATAACGGTCGGCCTTCCTCCAGCCAATCAGCATCTAAAAACTCCAACCACTTTGCATCAATTCAACTAGAATCAGCCATCTCTCATGTTTTGTAATACTAAGAAGACATGAAATTAGAAAGAAATGTGTATAACAATAGAAATACAATTCTAACCATAGCATAAATTGCCCACTTGTACCCTAGGTGGTTTGTATTCCGCATCACTGCGGATCCTTGCCCCGCCATAAGCCCCAGACCTTCCCCACATGCCTTCTCCGGACTCTGCGGCCGGAGGTGCACGGAGTAAGTCTGGTTCATGTGCTGCTGAGAAACTGCCGAGTGCCCCCAGGCTTTTGCCACGCTTTAAGGTTGGTGTGCTAAGCCATGACTCTGGTAGGGCTTATTCCCATGGCACTAATGCACCTTCTCTAAAAGTATATCCCGCGTGCCCGCATTTTAATTCAGATCTTATGGAAACCCGCCACGTCTTCGTGCTCCGCTCCATCCAACCCCTCCAAGACTGTTTGCAAGGTTTTTAGTACAGCGTCAGAATGATGCATTGCCATTGTACATGACGCTCTTGTGGTTTGCATTAGGAACCATGTACGCAAGGATCCAGAGGGAGACAGCCGGACGCCGATCGTGAGGCACCATATAAGCGCCCCCGGCAAAAGGTTCCAGAATCCTTCCAGATCTGTGTTCTCCAAGAGGCTCTTGAGGTCAAGAAGAACACGAGATAGAACAGCTAAATCATCAAGCGCGCCCGCGCTGCACCAGTCCAAGATTTGAATTGTCTGAAGCAAGGCTGAAATTCTGGCGTCATATGGTGGATAATCTCTATCTCCAAGCGCCGTCATTGGTTGCCAGTTGCGAGCCAACCATGGGGGGGAAAGGTAACAACTTCGATCCACGGCCGCATAACGGTCAGAATGCCCAAACTTCATAACAGAGTGATGAAGATCACCAAGTATAGCAACCATTGCTGAATTTTCTCGTGTAATATAATTGTTTTGATCGATCCCCAAACTGAAAATGCTCATTCCCAGTGAGGAAGTTGGGAGACTCAGGCCTTCAGAACGCGGCATGGTCGTAATTTCAAGAGCCCATGTCAACTTTTCGATACTAATCAGTGCATGTTAGTCATTTCAATAGACAGAGACTCAGAATGCCGGTCATACAGTAGCAGACTGTTCTTCAAATGTCCATCAAATCCCAGATTTTGCACACCTCCGCGAGCATCTATGATTGTCCGGATACCATGATAATCCAAGTGAAAGGCATGTTCATCTCCGATCAGCTATTATTGTAAGATGTCAGTTTGCGGCACTCCTCATTTACGAATTCTCCACAAAGTCCATACATCAAAGAGCAATATTGCGATCAAGGCTGCAATATTCATGTCACTTAAAGCGACCGCTCGATCCTCTAGTGACTGAGAAATCAACCGCCGTGTAATGTGGCATTGCTGAGATGTCAGGTCACTGATATGCCCCTTGGTAGAAATATCATCCCATGCTGAAGCATTCAATATCTTAGAGCTCATAAGAGCTGGATGGGATACAGCTGCACTGATCACCGTGGCGAAGAAAGGGTGTATCTTGTGACTGTATCTTACATATTGGTACATGACTAGATATTCTCGTCAGACCTCAAAATCTGCCTAACGGGATTGGAAGCGACATTGATCCTGAACTCACATCGTTGCATTCTTCTGTAGCCTGTTGGTGATGATGGCAGGGGTGGAGAGTCGAGAGTGATATGAAGCTCTCGAGGCAAATTCTCAGGAGCATTCCGTAGCCTCATTGCATCTATCTGTTGAAGATGTATGCGTGTTCTGGTTTTGTTCTGCCTGATTCGATGCTGATGGTGTTTTTTTGCGATATGCGATCGTATCTCGCTGAGACGCTTACCTTGTCCTTCTTGGGGGTTACCGGTGACCACCACGAAGATGGATCCGCGCTCTATCTCTGACATTTTTGCCTTATCGCGTGAGCTTTACTTAAAGCAGTAGTTGCACTAGGGTAGTGTAAAGATGAAAGAGTAGCTTCGGGTTTGAGCTTGACATTGCCCAAGTGTAGATAGGGACCCACTCTTTCCAGCCTTGGACTTAGTGCATCTTCCTGATCAGGTATAGCGTTTCAATGCTTCTTGCTGACTGGCTACATTTACGAGTGAGAATGAGATGCTTACATCTTGTATAGCTGCAGGGCTTTCCGAAGTTGAGTCTTATCGAGAAGAGCTTAAAAGGGACTTCCATCCACAAATAGAATTGTAATTGAGAAAAATCATTCTGGTTGCCACAAATTTATCATCCATGTCACTAGATTAGCTTTCCACGGCTCTTTCACTGTATCGACATACTGTATACGTCTTTGACCTCAGCAATGGCATCATCCGCAAATTTCGGGCCTCAGACAGTATGGCTTGGTAAGGCAATATTATCTATGCGAGTACTTACTATATAAAATTATTCAAGTCCTAACACTCAAGTATACAGTGACTGGCTGCTCATCCGGCCTGGGAAAGTCCCTCGCACGGGCCATCTACAACGCCGGTCACCGTATCATAGCAACCGCTCGAGACATCGCGTCGCTCTCCTATCTACCAGACAGTTCGACCGTGCTCAAAATCAAGCTAGATGTGACAAGTCAAGATGATATATTCACAGCGTTTACCAAAGGGCTGGACACTTTCCAAGAGATCAACGTCGTGATCAACAATGCCGGATACGGCTTGATGGGAGATGTGGAAGCCATCTCCGACTCTGACGCCCGTCATCAACTCGAAACCAATTTCTGGGGTCCAGTTCACATAACCCAAGAAGCTCTTCGCGTCTTTCGAGAGGTAAACCCAAAAGGGCAGGGCGGTACTATTGTCCAGGTCTCCTCGATTGGTGGATCTCTGACTGCGCCCGGTCATTCTTTTTATCATGCGAGGTTTGTGACAAACTCCTCAGTGCCCTATATGACCTGAACTGACTTATAATGGTCATAAGCAAATTCGCGCTGGAAGGGTTCACCAAGTCCGTTGCAAAGGAGCTTCGTCCGGAGTGGAATATAAACATGTTGATTGTTGCCCCTGGGGGCGTGCGGACGAACTTTGCTACGTCAAGTTTGGGAGCACCGCCCCGACACCCGGCGTATGATTTACCGGATGGATCATTTAGCCAATTGGTTGATTATATCAAAGCGCAAGACACCTGGAGCGATCCGGATAGCTGTGCTAAAGTGCTTTTTGATGTTGTGGTTGGACAGCGTGAGCGACCGTTGCCCACTCGTTTGTTGATGGGGGCCGAGACTATCCCATACACAAAAGGTGAGATCAAGCAGATTTTGGAAGAGATAGATGAGTGGGAAGGGGAGACTGCGTGCTGTTCATTGGCTCCTTAAAGTAGTGGAAATCAGATTTAGACAATTAGCGTGCAGTCCGGATGTGAAGCTGTAGAGCTATCAAAGTTCCAAGGTTGGCAGTTCGGAGCTCTTTGGGACTTTAGACGATAACAACTGGCAGTTATTCTGATCCGAAGGTTCTTACGTCAATAATGTTGAATGTGGGCTGTGGTTATTCGAAGTGGTGCTACGAAAGACAAATGAATCTCCATAAGAATATATATCGATCTACCTATCCGGTCTGATAAGCAATCAACCATTCCAAGGTTATTGTAAGCAGGGACCAAGGTTGTGTAGCATTGAGTAAACAAGAAAGACAAAAACAAATAGAAATTTATTTCAGTTGGAAATAAAAGGTAAATTCATGATAAAACCATATTGTCGTGACAACGAAATCCGACCTTCTTATCTCTCCGACTTATCTCCGCATCGCGTGCTTCCCCTCACAGGCAACACTGTTGATCTTTTAAATCTCACTGCGAGTTCAATTACCCACACCTACATCTAATACCCACTTCAATGCTGAAATCTATTCTAATACTCCTCCTGGGCACAGCCCACGCTGCCAGGGCGGCCGACACGCAAGTGGTCTTCGCTCCTGAGTCCGAAACTCCCCAGCCGAGCAAGCTTGAGCACGCTGTTGACAACGCAATTCTTGCCGCTTTGGAAGTGCATTCAGACCCAGTTGCGGCGCTTATCTCTTTGGATCCCGAGAATGAATTGCTTCTTGCTCAACCACGTCTCCTACGTGTCCTGGGTGATGACTCTGAGCCACAATGGATGACTGAAGGAGACAAGCTGCGCCTCCGTAGACAAGGCAAGAACTTTATGGATATTACCGACCATGAAGAATTTTATGCAGAGCAGATACATACTTTGACTGCTGGCAAGCCACGTGAGTCCTTTTCGTGTGATTCTCTAGCAAATTAGGCTTGACTGACATGCGCAGACCTCCCTGAGTTGGTTCATGAAAGCCTTATCCGGCCTCTGTTCTCAAAGGTTAATCAGCCGCGTATGGTTGATGTTCTCCACCATATGACCGGTTACTATAATCGATACTATGGAGATATTCATGGTGAATTGAGCTCCGAGTGGCTCCACGAACACATTGCTGAGGTATTTCATCTTAACTCTTTTGTTAAGAACAGGATGGACTGACATAGGTTGAAAACAAAGATTATCGCCAAATCTCCATTCCGTACCCATATCTCGCTCGAGTATTTCACCCACCCTTTCCCACAGTCATCGATCATCGCTCGTTTCGAGCCAAAGGTTCGCAATGCTTCTGCGCCATTGACCATCCTTGGTGCGCACCAGGACTCGGCCAATTATCTCTTTCCTCTCCTGCCAGCCCCTGGAGCGGATGACGACTGCTCAGGTACGGTGAGTATTCTGGAGGCATTCCGGATTCTGGCTGAGAGCGGCTACACGCCTATGAATGGTCCGGTCGAGTTCCACTGGTACGCAGCCGAAGAGGGTGGCTTGCTGGGCAGTCAGCACCTTGCCAGGTACAAGAAGGAACAGAACACAGTGATCGGAGCGATGATGGAGTTTGTAAGTAAACCCCTTGTGGAACTCGTCATCGGCACTGGAATCAGGGTTAATGTTAGCTGTCGGTGTATAGGACATGACGGCGTTCATTGCCCGCAATGCGACCGAGACTATCGGATTTATTTCGACTCAGGCTGATGCGGCTCTTACCAACTGGACCGTGAGCCTGAGCGAGAAATATATCTCGATCCCCGCGGAGATTTATGATTTGGGACCGTATGTCAACCGCCATTTAGCTCAGGGGTCATAAGTACTGACAAAACAGGTCCGCTGGCTCTGATTACATGTCGTACACACAACTCAACTACCCCGCTGCTTTTGCCTCGGAGGGCAATCCTTTAGCGGGGGGTCGTTTCCCTGGTGAGTATGATCCCTATGTTCATTCTTCCCGTGACACCATGTGGGTGAATGATGAAGCTGGGTACTTCTCTGTCGATGTAAGTCACCTTCCCCTTATGGATAGGGGTAGAATACTGAAGCGCAGGGACAGCACATGGCGCGATTCACCGAACTAGCGATAGCCTTTGTGGTGGAACAGGCAGGTTGGAACAACGCATGGCGGTAAATGAAATTAGGGACCCTGGTAAAGGTCAAGCTTCAAAGCTTGCTTCTCGGAATAAGATTTGCGCCCCCACTATCTAGAGGCCCTAGATCCGTATGCAGGTTCCCATGTGAATAGTGTCTAAATACGAGCCGGGCTACTGTTATCTAAACCTTTATACTCTGTTTGGTGCAGTCTCTTCTTATGGATGTGAGGAAGCTTATTCAACGCCATACTTCCCGTGGTTTGGAATGTTTGAGTTTTTCCCCGCGCGGGCAAACTCTACCAAACTCTCTTTGTTTTGTTGACAGTTGAGGATTTTCAGGGGAAGGAGGCTCCCGTAAAACTCTCCACCCGGTAGTGGGTTTAAGCTCCTTTTGTTTCACCTTCAACGTCACTTCGTGTTCCCTGCTTTTATCAGGGAACCCCTGAACGGTTCGTCCGGAGCCAATCTATCTTATTCGGGAAAAAGCCCTCCAAAACAGATTATCGACTACGTCAGGCTCTAGTGAAATTGACCCCTGGCCTATGATGCAATCAGGCTCAGACATGTTAAATTCCTGAATCCTACACCTCGGGTTTGCGACCAAAAGGCGGCTCCACAGCCCGGGGAAACTCTTCAGGCCCCACCAGCGGCACTATTTGATGATAGCAACAATACTAACTCCCTTAGCCCACATTGAAATTACAATCGCCGCCTATTCGCCCCGGCTTGTGGGTCCGCTAAGTATGGTCAGTCGGTATGCAGATCTTTGGCATCCTAAGCACCATAGCTCCACCCGTCATTGGCAGAAATTTAGAAATATACGGGTTCAAGAACGTGCCGCTGTCGATCTTGGAACCGAACAGGCTTTACCTTCAACCCAGTGCTGTGGTGTGCTTGGGCCTAAGCACTCGAATCACTGCCCCAACGCGGCATTTTCAGAACCATGTGGCGAATCCGTGGCAGTATCAAAATTCTTGACTGGCTGCATACACTTTCAATAGCCTCGACAACCTCAAAAACTGGCCAACCAAAACAATAATGCTAGCTAAAATATGACTTAAATTATTAATCGATGGCGTGTTCTGTCTCCATTGAAAAAGTCTACCCCCCAAGTTTGGGTCCCGAGCGGAGTAAGACGTTGATCTACGGTGGCTAATGAAGATTATCCTCCTGCGAAGTTTAAGGTGGGCTCAGGTTTCCCTATGGGCCCCATCCCCTCTGATAGTCGGTTTTATCTCCACTAACATTACATGTGGGTCATCTGTCTTTGCTTTGACAGGATGCCTTGTCTTGGGTCTATTCCCCTTTGAATCATTTGGAACCTCGAGGATACCGCCATCCTCGGGACCTACGTGATGTGGAGCAGCACTGCTTCCTCGACGTCAATCTCCTGGACAATGGACAGAACAGAGTTCATTTCCCCTGAGCATGGGCTCGATGTATAAAGGGCAGGTCATGTCAATTGACTTTTATCTCTTTCTCTAACCCAAGAAGCCTTTGCATCTCGTTCTTACTACAGTCATTCTTTTTTCCGGTTTATACCGTCCATTCATTACAGCTTTTCCAAGCACAGTCACTCCCTACCATCAAAATGAAGGCCACCTTTGCTCTCTCTGCCCTCCTGGCTACCGTTGCCGTGGCTCTGCCCACCCCTACCAGCATGGTCCCTGGTGCCGCTTCCAGCGCTGTTAGCATGGTCAGCAAGACCGTCCACAGCGTCCTGACTGTCACCAACCAGCAGACCGGCAAGAACATGCTGGTTGAGCTTGAGCAGGGCTTCGCTAGCCAGCTCACTGGCCTTAACCTCGGAAACCCCACCAGCTCTGTCGGAACCATCGTTCAGACTGCTTCCTCCCTGTCGGAGCTCCAGAGCCTCACCTCCGGTCTCACCGGCCTCACCTTCGTCACCAGCACTGGCGAGTACGTCCTTGTTCAGCTCGACAGCACCGTCGAGGGTCTCCTGGCCACCCTTGGTCTCTCTGCCGTCGGCGACGTTGTCGGCACTGTCGTCTCCACCCTCGAGAGTGTTGCCTCCAACGCCAAGCGCTCCGAGCTCAACAACGTCCTTTCCATCACCGGCCTGAACAACGAGCCCATCCTCGTCAAGGCTGAGTCCACCCTCACCGATGCTCTCTCCCCCGTCCAGGGTACCGTCGGCACCGTTGTTGCCTCCGTCCCCGAGGTTTCCGACCTCGCTTCCAAGGCCTCCGAGCTTGGCCTCCCCACCAACGAGCTTTTCGGTGTTGCCAGCGCTGACGGTGCCTCTGTCTTGCTTGTCCGTGTCGAGTCCCTTGCCGGTGGCCTCACCTCCACTGTCACTGGCCTTCTGTCCGGCCTCGGTCTTGGTGACCTGACCAGCACTGTTGGCACCGTTGTCAGCTCCGCTCAGGGTGTTACCTCTCTGTAAATAATGCGCCCTTGAAGGGACTTGATCATTCGCTTCTATGGGACCTCTGTTGATGCACCTCGAAAGTTGAGCCATTGCCGCTTTCGGGTGCATACAAACGACTGCACATGAGGAGTTCCCGTTTCTTTTATGTCATATACACTATTCAATTGTACCTATTATACGCGGAAGCGTGAATTCAATCCTCAGCATGTGAAAAGCATTTGACATTCTCTAAATAATAAACAAAATAGGTATCAAGGTATCTCAACGACAGTGGTATAAGAGATAAGAAAGGAAAAGCAAAGAAAAGAAAGCTAATGCGCTATCAATGAGGGCCGTGACCACCCCAGTAGTTCTCTCCATCACGATCATAAGGACTCAAAGCATCCTTGCACTGAGGCTTCTCATAATCGCCGACCGAGCCCATAGGCCAGATAGGCACCACACAAATCTCACTATCCAGGCATCCACGGCACTTCTTCCAAGCCGTCCAGTCAAGCTTGATCATAAGCTGTGCAATCAGCTCCTTGGCAGCAGCGAGATTCTCCTCCTCAACAGCCTCCAACAAGGTATGGCAAATACTAAACGCAACACCATGCACAGCGCGAGCAGGAAGAGTAGGCGCATCCTGGTACTGGAAAGGAATGAACTGCGCCGCGCACCGCTCAGACTCCATAGTAATGTTTCGCTCACTGTAATCCACAAACGGAGCAACAAGCATAGTAACCTGCGCGCGCAGCTCCTCCATCGTCTCCATCCGATCCGAGACGAAGTACGACAACTCATCGGCATACCGGGTGATGACCATATCAGTGGTAGCTTGCCAGTCCCAAGAGAACTCACGCGCGTCATGGGTCAAGATCGTCTCTGTAAGTTCCTTGCGGATGGGGTCCAGCTTGGAAGACTCGAGGTGGTTCAAGCGAGGAAGTGTTAAGCTCTCGGGGAACAGGTCGAGATCGTGCGAGAGAGCAGTCACGAAGTTGTCATAGTCAATGTGCACTCTGCGTCCACCGATACCCTCGTAACGAGATGCAACGGCGCGGGCCCAGCGGGATGAGTCTGGTCCTCCGGGACCACCGCCAGGACCACCAGGACCACCAGGGCCGCCACCAGGACCCTTTGATGGCCCACCTGCATCACGACCGCCGGGGCCCTTCTCTCCGCGCTCCTGAGATTGAGTCTGAATGATTCTCAGAGGAGTCAAATCCCGTGCGAAAGAGCAAAGAATAACCTCGAAACCAGCCTCCATACGGAGAACACCATCGATGCGACCTGCCCATTCGTCTTCGGCCATCTCGCAAGCACGCAGTGCGCGGTCCCGCTCACCCCGAGGCCCGGGTCCTTCACTTTCGCCGTCACCGAGACTATTGTTGAAAAGCAGGATATCTTGAGAATCGAGCGTGCCCTTCTCCGTCTTGCCAGCGGACATGCCATCGATATACAGCAGACGAAGGTTCTTAGCTGCGGCATAAGTGTGGAGGTAGCCGTGGGCATCAGTATCAGCATTCTCCATGGGTGGGGGACCATCCTCTAGACGACGACGCAGTTCGTCGTGGTTAGGTCCCTCGTGGGGCTTGTCGTCGCCATCTCGATCACGGGGTGGACCACGGTTGCCATGCGGGCGTGCAAAGACAAGCGCATGCTCAGGTTCGAATGCCAGCCACTCAGTACCGTTCACAGGAACAGACATGGAAGTTCCATGGTAAAGTTGTGTTCCGGCCGGGACAGTGGCCAAGAAGAAAGAGACGCCGTTGTGGTGAAGTGATGATCCCCACTGGCGCATAGAGTCGTGGATGACGTTGAAAATGTGGTTGGCATTCTTGAGGACTGGGTCTGTGTCGGATGCCGGTACCGGTGTTGGAGAACTGGCTGATAGGCCCAGGAGCGAGCATAACGCGAGCAGGGTGTGGTGGGGACGCATTTTTTCTTGTTGGATGAGGATTATCCCCTCCCCTTGACCTTCCCTTCGGTATTCAACTGTTGTTCTGTGAGTTGTTGATGAGTTTTCGATGTGGACATTGACTCGGAGGAAGAAGGGAAGAAAAACGTTAGCGCCGACATAGTGGCGGCCGTTTGAATAATATCTGATGGCGCTCGGCGTTAGGGTTGATTCGGACGATAAGACGCGTAATCACCAGCGCAGATATCCACTTTTCGCCTTGTGAGTGCTTAGTCCCGTCTTAGTTCGATTAGAGTGCGTATGTTCACTGGGTGAATATTTGACTGGGCTTACGACGATTCTAGGCAGAAATAATTGCATACGGGAAATAGATGTCGTCGTGCCTTGAAACCTTATATAGATCTATACAGTTGGCTCGAGTATGACCGCACGTGACTTTCATCATTCTCGGCACTTCAATTTTGAGAACTGCCAAACTTGACACCGAGAACACATCGAAAGTTTGAAAGTTGCATATTGTTTGTGATATCAGATAGGGTCCGTCACTTACCTATCCCCAATGCCCAAAGTGGCAAAATACAGCATAGTAGGCGATCAAAACAATTTTCAAAATTGATACTATACCAAGGAGTGTTAGCAAGACTCTACTTGACTCATTTTAGCTCATGAACAGTACGATCGATGGTTCGCGAGTCGAATCTCAGATATATTAAACTATTTAGACCCTTAGGTGGATATTTCAATCTGTTTCTAGATTGACCAGTTGATGTGACCGGAATGGCTAACCTGAATCAGGTTCATTGGTGGCCAAGCGGGCCGAGACCAACGACCGGAGGGCAGAGAACAAGGATTGGGCGTTTTTTTTATGACGACATCCACCAGTTTCATCGGTTTATAATACCAAAATTTCTCCACGATCCAGACTTTGGGCCTTTTTTTGAGATTTCCCCTCTTTTTTCATCCATCTCTTGTGCGGAGTGTTGCTAACCAACCCTTAATACGATGGATGATCCTCTCTGCTGTTTAAATTGATCCAGTACCGCCCGCGTCCCCACTTCATCTGCCAGAGACTCCGAAGTCGCCACGATGAGTGCGCAACAGGAGGATCGCGAAGGCGACTTGCGCGCTCGGGAGTTGTTCCATTACTTCCAACCAGACAATCCGGCTTTGATGCCAAACGGACAGCGCAGCAATCGACCGTGCGAAAACCCGACTATCGAAAAACAAAGTCCAAATCTGGTGTTAACGGCCTTGGCGCAGTTGGCCGCATTGAAATTGGGCGTTCAGCGCGCAGTCATCAGGTACGCCTTTTCCTTACCGCCGTGCGCCGAGACGGAATATGTCATTCGCGCCCTATCTCCAATACCCTCAGTCTCCCTCGTTGCATTCGCCACATAGCGCAAACCCTGGATCCGCTGTTAAAGACAGTTACTAACCAAGCGATTCTCTAGCTTGATCGACCGGGAGACACTCTACGTGGTAGCAGAAGGATCACGGTCACTTAATTTGGCAAACAATGGTCAATATGACGAAGATGGCGACGGGCTCTGGGTGGGCTGTTCACGTGGACCAGTTGCGGGCACGTTGTGTGAGGTAAATCCTACGCGCGTAGAAATGTCTGTTTTTGGATGTATAGCCTTATGAGGTCTATATTGATGGCACTGACGCTGACACTGTTATTTGTACAGAAAACTATCACCCTAACGCCCCCGCAAGGGAAGCAGCATGCATTCTTCGTTGTAGAGGATTTGAAGGAAGATCCGACCTTCTGCAATCTAAGTTGTGTCGTACAAGAACCACACTTTCGATTCTATGCCGGCACTCCACTGAAAACCCCCAATGGGACCAACATTGGTAGTCTATACGTGATCGATCCTCGACCCGCTCAAAGTTTGACCGATTCTGAAAGAGACACACTTGGGAATATTGCCGATGCGGTGATGGAGTATCTGGAGACTTCTCGTCAGTCTTTGGAGTCAAATAGGTTGACTAAGTTATTGGCTGGCTTAAATGCTTTTGTGCAAGGCGATCCCTCATCGCCTACACCACGCACTCAACAAATTTCAGACGCCAAGACCGAAGATTTTAAATCCAGGGCCAAAAGCAGAAGCCCACCACCCCTTTCGACCACTCCTCCAAGTACTAATTATATTCCTGATGAGGTTATTTCTGTCAGCATTCCATCTTCACCTCGCAATCGGCCACAACGATCACCACGATCGAAGACAGAGACGCGCCCAGAGAAGAACGACAACAGAACACAGCGGACATTCCAATTTGCTGCTAACGTAATGCGAGAAAGCTTGGATTTGGGCTCGAATGGTGGTGTGGTCATCGCCAGCACTGGCGACGATCTCGAGCAGGATTCTGATCTTTCAGACGGGGAAAAGGAGAAAAAGCTGGCCAAGATTTGGGCGGTGTCCGATACCGATCACCAGCGTCTTGAAAACAAAGAAGAAACCGATTTACATCCAGCATCACAGATGGAATCGAGATTTGTACGCCGAATGATACGGCATCACACACGCGGTGGAATGTGGTATTTGCATGATCATGGAGTAATTTCTTCGTCTGACGACGACGGAACTAGCTCAGGGAGCACGAAAGATACTCGGAACTCCTCGCAACCTCAACTTTCAGTGCACCCAGAGTCACTCAGGTTACTTCGGGAGAAGGATCTCCAGTTGATCAGGACGTATTTCCCCAATGCAACGAGGGTTATCTTCACTCCTCTCTGGGACTCTCTCAATTCGCGATGGTTCGGTGGTGCTTTCTGCTGGAGTCGAGCTGAGACTCGAGTGTTCAGTGCACATGTCGATCTAGGTGGACTCTTCGGATTTGCCTCATCCTTAATGGTCGAGCACAGCCGTATTCAAAGTCAAGAATCGGCGAAGCAGAAGGGTGATTTTATTAGTACCATGTCGTGAGTGCCGATGCCCTTCCCCTCGTTTCGCTTTGCTATTGCTAACCAACACGACTTCTATAGACACGAACTACGAAGTCCTCTGCACGGAATTTTAGCATCCAACGAGTTACTCTGCGAGCACGTCAACTCGGAATTTGCTAAGCGGCTTCTTGATACTATACGTGCTTGTGGCCAAACTCTATTGGAAACTTTTGAGCAAATCTTAGATTTCACCAAGATTAACTCTTTTGAGAGGGAGCCAACGAAACCTCGCTCGCCCCAGGAACGCACTCACCGTGCTCAACCGCAATCATTTCACATAGTAAAGCAAGTCGATGTCCTTGTAGTCATCGAAGAGGCCGTCGAAAGCGTCTGCTCTGGGCAGCTGCTTTCAAGCATCATGAATGGAGGCGGTACGACTGTCCGACGATGGCAACTGGATCCAATGGAGGATAACAACAGAGAATGGCAAGCTCCCGACGGCAAGCAAGTGGACGTTTTTCTCGAAGCTGCCCCTCAGAATTGGGTCTATGTGTTGGAGCCTGGTGCTTTAAGGCGCGTCGTCATGAACGTATTCGGAAACGCGTTGAAGTACACAGAAACCGGGTCGGTCTCGATCCACATTGAGGCCCAAACGTCGAAGAACGACAATCCCGCGCTCCTGTTGACAGTGTCCGATACGGGCAAGGGTATTTCACATGATTACCTGCGTTCAAATGTCTTTACACCTTTTTCACAAGAAAACCCTATGTCACCGGGAGCGGGACTTGGACTCTCACTCGTTCGAGGTATCCTTCGTTCGCTGGGTGGAACCATTGCGATCAAAAGTCAATATGGCGTTGGTACTGTGGTGAAAATGACGTTTCCCCTTACATATACTCAACAGTACAAGTTTTCTGATACACAGCTTTCTGTCTCGCGATCATCATCACCTGCTGTTTCATCCATCGATTGTGTCACTGCAAAGCTGAAAGGAAGAAACGCATTCTTTTACCCTGGTGAAGACTTTCAAGCGAGCAAACCTTCATCATCCAGTATGATCAAGCAATATCTGATCAACTGGTTCGGTATGGCAAATGGAGAGCAGGCTGTTCCTACAGCGGCCGATCTGGTGGTCGTTGACGAGCGTCACATAGACCAACTCCCCACTGCATATCATCAATCCATACTATTGGTATTGTCTCACCGAGGTCCTAGCTTATGGTCAACCGCTACTGCAGCAAAAAGACAACTCATCAACGCAACATGGTTGACTCTCCCAAGTGGGCCTCACCAACTAGCCAGGACACTTTTGGACTCTCTTCGAAACTTTGATTCAAAGGAACCCAATGCGTTCAATATCCCTGTGAAACATGATCAGAGTGATGAATTTTTGAAACCAAATTCAAATGACTCGCAACCGGAAATGGATCTTCTCCCGCCAACTGAGGTACCACTCACATCAATGACCTCGACTCCATTGGTTCTGTCTTCTACCACAGAAAAGGTAAACACAGAACCTGTTATCACAGTACTCGATTTGCCAGTCCACCCCAAGAAGGAAATACAGGATACCCAAGCCTCCCCGCCAAGCGAACCAAAAGACGCCCCTCGAATTCTCCTGGTAGAGGACAACGCAATTAACCTCGCACTCCTGAAAAAGTACATTTCAAAAGTACCGACACAAGTCCTGGACTGCGCTATGAATGGTGAAAAGGCTGTTGAACTGGTGCAGAAAACGTCACAGGGCTATGATTATATCTTCATGGGTGAGTCAGTCCTCAAATCTCTTTCGAAATATCGAGTGCTAACAGTCAATCAAATGCAGATATTTCTATGCCTGTTATGGACGGATTTGAAGCAACAATGGCGATTCGATCCATTGAAACAAAGCGAGGCACATTATTTCCTGCGCATATAATCGCGCTTACTGGCCTGGGGTCGGATGAACATATCAGGAAAGCTTTTGCGGCTGGTGTCAATGTTTTCCTTCGGAAGCCGGCTTCCTTGAAGGATATACTAGCTGTGGTGAAGAAATGAGGGATGATTAGATAACTGTACATAGATGAATCATGCAATATACAATGACTGATGTCGGATGATAACAGATAATTCATGCGACCATCCTGCTGGCAGAAACTGAGAAATATCATCTCAAGTTTGAATTGCCAATTTATAGTTTGACGAATTGTAAGGACTGTAGTCTCGGTGTTGATGTCAGTCCGATCTTCTCATTCACATTTTAACCTATTACCTCACTTGTGAAACAGACAGGCCTGGGGATCCCATGATGGGGTAGGTCCATCCCCTTGCTTCACCGCGGGGTAACATTTTGCAATTACGACTGAAGTTGGTCATACGCAAGTGCATCACATCTGCATTGTGGCTTTCCAAGGTTTAGCTGGTTTAGATACGCAGAAAATCAATTTCTGTCTCACGAGCTCACAGAAAGTCAAGAGGTGGAATTTATCCCAAGCTTATGGTTCTAGATCCTTCACGTCAGAAAGTTCAGTTCCAGGAACATCACTTTGTTCAAGAGACCTAGATCTAGAATACACGTAGACGTAGGTCTTCCAAGATTTGACGTGGCTTGCGGATCCCATGGAACAGGTCATCTTCACATCTCACCGATACTTAGTTTAGCGCCCACATGTCGATCGGTGAGAACCTCCAATCCACGCACTATTATTTCCAACAATCATATGTTTTTCCACATGAAGCTTCATGCAGATCTGCATTTCGTGTTCAGATGTGCAGAGTGGGGAATTCCTGCGCATCTTACGGTACTCGCGGCTTGATCCCCGAGATGATGTGGCCAATCACCGACTAGTCGCGATCTGGACGGTGTAGCGGTGGGGCTAGCTGAGCTGTGATCGACAAGTAGGTCTCCCTCTACTCCTGAATACATCTTTTTGATCTGCCTCTCAACCTCTTCAATTCATTCAAGGACATAGTTTCGGTTGTCATAATGCAGACTCGGTGGACAAGGCGGCCGATATACGCCCGGCAGACTCAACAGACTACACTGGGAAAGTCTGTTGAGGGAAACCTTTCAATTCAGAAGACGAAAGAAAGCAATTATGAATTCATCCTCGATTCCTCTCGTCCGGCCTTTATCCTTCACTTACCAGATGAAGTCCTGAGGCTAATCCTCGAATTTGCTATAACGGAAACGGATTCATGGCACAAAGAGTCGCCTTACAACAAGGCTTTAATACCAGCTCTAGCTTATACATGCCATCGGTTTAGCAGGATTATCATTTCTTTCAACTACCACACCTTACACATGGCATTCCCCCGGCGAAGGATCTACCCAGTATGCAAAACAAGAAAATTGATCCAGACTCTCGAGGCAAATCCTTCCCTGGGCCGGTTCTGTCAGAGCCTATCGCTTCACATATCCGACGTCTGCCCAACTCGTGTCAAAACCGATTCTGAGTGCCTTGATGAGATTATCCCCGAGTTGAAAAATGTCAAGTATCTTACGGTCCATGGAGGCTTTGAACCAGGCTCCAAGAGTCACACTTGGAACATCATACAGCGGTGTTCAAAGTACATGCCACGGCTCGAGCAGGTTCTTCTAGCAAGAGAGGCCTTCACAGGTCCAGGTTTCGCCGACATTCTACAAAATTTGCAAATACCCATGCTTCAAGAATTATATATCCACGGCAGCTCCGAATCAAACACCGAAGCTTCGTCAAGCACAGTGGAAGTGGCCAAGGTTAGTAGTGAAGCCGATCATGTCAAATTCTTTCCATTAATCGACTTCATAGCCCGTCAAAGCTTCAGATGTAACGAAACTTCATCTATCCGACTTCAAAGACACATCAGCAACAATGAACACACTCATCCACTGGCCAAAATCTCTCTTCGAATTCTCTATTGAGAACATCCACAGCGACCCAGACCACAGAGACTCGCACCCAAACTACCTGGACCTGCCTCTACTCCGCAAGATGCTTGAGGAACACAAAGACACCCTGACCACTCTCAGCATCGGACCATTATCCCTTTCTGGCAGGGGAAAACTTGCCAACCTATCCGACCTCTCGGCTCTGCACACCCTTTCTCTGTCGCGGTGGCAATTAGGTGGAGAACTCGATATTTCATCTGACGTTGCATCCCAACTCCTAGGACCCAGTCTCGAGCTGTTTGTTTGGGACTTTACTATCTACGACCAGAATTCACAAAAGTGGTCTGATTTCGGAACACGGGAATCATTGTGGATCATGAATCTAGCTCAGAAAGTCGTTGAGAGACGCTCGCCACTAAAGGAAATCAGGATACAATTCGCGCCGGAGTTGCCGACTCCCGATGATGAGGATTATCCGTGGGATTTTATGGATGATCTGGATATTCAGTTCCGGTCGCAGGGTGTTACTTTCACGTATAACGAGCCTGCGATGTCGAAGGAGGCTTTCTTGAATCGGTCCAAGCCCACCGAGTGATTGGATTCGCTTTTACTCACAATTTCTAATTTAGTGAGTCATATATACTTAGAAATGTAATCTCTAGAATATTTATTATCCATCAATGTCCGTGTTTTACCTACATTACTTCGAAAATCCACAACCATGGGTGGATCCAATTGCGGAGAGATTAGATTAGATCTAGAACACCACGCCACTCGTCATACCACTTCACCGCAACACCTCCCAACATGTCCACGCGCCACCTCCTCAACAACGCCAGATCCATATCCTCAACAACCTCACCGAATCGTACACTCCTCCTAACCTTCGACGCCTTCGATACCCTCTTCCACCCCCGTGAGCCCGTCCCAAACCAATACGCGTCAACGGCGCACAAATTCGGCCTCTCGCGTACAGCAATCACACCCCAGAAGCTCAAAGCCGCGTTTAAAACCACTTTCCGCGAGCAGGCATCCCGGTATCCCAATTATGGTCGTGCAGATGTCCTGCGCGGCCGGTATGGGGGGCCGAAGCAGTGGTGGGAGGAGGTGATTCGGGGGAGTTTTAAGAGGACGTTAGCTGGGACGGAGTCGCGTGGTGCGAGAGATGTTACCTCGAGTACCGATTTCAATGCCGATACCGAGCTCCCAGACGGCTTTGTAGAAGCTCTGATTGAGCTATTCGCGGGTGCGGAGGGGTATACATTGTACGACGATGTCGTGCCTTTCTTTACACGGATGCGTGAGCTCAAAGCTACGCCAATGAAAGGCCGCTTTGACCGGGTCATCGTGGGAGTTGTTTCAAACTCCGATGATCGGGTTCCTGCTGTTCTGAAGGCGCTTGGGTTAAGGGTCGGTGACCTACGGGCTGATCAAGATTTGTCAAGTGGAGAGCTCCCCGGTTTTGAACAGCGGAAGGTCCGGGATATGGACTCTTGTCTGAACAACCTGTCGGAATCCGATGTGGATTTTGTTGTTACCAGCTATGAGGCTGGTGAGGAGAAACCGAACCGATTAATATTCGATGTTGCGGAGCGACAGGCGAAATTGTTAGTTCCGCTGGGGGTTAGCTCTGGAAGCTGGACCCGAGTGCATGTTGGTGATGACTATGCGAAGGATTATAGAGGCGCGCTCGATGCGGGGTGGCAGAGTTATTTACTTCGTCGAGGAGATGGAGATGGAGAGGAGCGGGATGCTCGCAGTATCTCTTCGTTGACGGATTTGATAAACGAGCTGGAAATCGACTAAGGTCGATCACTTACATCTGTATACATTATATTAACATTAAACCCTAGTCACAGTCCGATCTCTAATCAGTCTATGAATCAACCAGCAATTCTCTCCAAATGCAGCCTTTCCCCTTCGATAGGCTGAACAGATTCCAACACACTATCAGCTCCATTCCATCTAGAAACCTGCACCCAAACCCGGTCATCCTCCTCATCCTTCTTCCCCTTGATCACATCCTCGTTCGCCCCCTCTCTCGTCTCTGATACATCCCATCCTCCAGCCTCATCTTCCTCCCTCCACCGCGCCGGCTCCTTGCCATAAGCCACAGTAACATGCTCCCCAGTCGGCAGCGAATTAATATCAATATCAACCTTTAGCAACATCTTATGCTGCACAAACTCGAACATCCGATCAAGGTATTTCTCAGCGTACTTTTCATGCGCCTCATCGTTGAGTTCTTGTGACTGGTAGCCCGTTATCATAAAAAGTCGTGCTGGGTCGGCAGTATCTTGGTAGAAAGCGTGCATTGGCGGTGTATCCGGCTCCCGGTTCGTATATGATGAGCAAAATTCCAGGGTCTCGGTCATGAGGTGCTGGAACTCGGGACTTTTGATGGAGTCGGGGTCCTTGAAAGTGCATAGCCAGAACTTAGTTATTGGTGGCATTTTGGGCTTGGGGAAGTATTTTGGGAACCCTGGAGAAAAACGTGGTCTGGAATATGTGTGTCAAAGGTCAAAATGTCTCCTGTGGGCGCGGGGCTACGCGGGGTTTATTTGATGGGGCAAAGGAGTACGCAATATGCGTGACAATTCCCTGTTCTGTGATTTGACTTGACGTGGGTTTTATGGGGGCCAAAAATCAACTTTAAGACGCAATTGAATGGCGGAATGAAATCCAGTTTCTATATACGAAGTGAGATCATACCAATGCCCAATTTAGGTAAAGGATCAGCATGCTTCGTACCTTATAGCGCTCTCATCGTGACTCATCTCCACTTCAACATAATAAACATAACCGAAGTTAATATAATAACTATAACTAAAGACATCCAAATACCATCCATAACCAAACATCTCTTAAACAGCCTCAAAATGCCAAAAACATCAACCTTCTACTTCCCCACCCACGATATCTCCAACGATAGAATAAAGCTCACCCCATTCAACCCAGACCACCACGGCCCAACATTCATACACCATGCATCTAAAGCCCCAGAAATATTCTCGCACATGAGCATTAACCCCTGGAACTCACTTTCTGACCTCCAATCCGCCTTCTACGACAGCCACGACAGACATATCCTTTCATACGCAAATCCCGAATCATTCGCCTACGCCATAATAGACAAAACAAAGCCTCCGTCATCCGATGATGCGGAAGGAGAACTAGCAGGAACGATTAGCTACATCAAGACATCTCCAACGCATCTCAGCACAGAACTTGGGTTTGTGGTTGTTCTGCCGCCTTACCAGAGAAGTCATGTCGCGGCTAATGCGGTGGGACTGCTTTTGCTGAATGCTTTTGCGGCGAAAGAGGAGGCGGGTTTGGATTGGGGAGGGTGCATTATATGGCTAGTACTATGAATCCGGGTAGTGTGCGGTTGGCGGAGAAGATGGAGTTTGAGAGGATTGGGGTTACGAAGTGGCATATGAGATTTAATAAGGGTGCGATCAATGGTAAGGTGGGGCATGGCAGGGGTTTACCTCCTGGTAGTGATCCTGAGGATCTGTGGAGGGATACGGTCGAGCTAAGTCTTTCTTGGGAGGATTGGTTGGGTGGTGGGGAGGAGAAGGCGAGGTCGGTTATGGATCGATAAAATAGGGGAGTGAGATATGCGTAGATGTGAAGACTAGAAGGGATTTGTAGTAGAACGGTGCGTTTGGTTTAAGTGCTTATAATTTATGTGGAAGTTTCACTTGTCCCTAGCTACAGGCCGTGCATTTCATATGCTCAGTAGCTCCCCATTCATGCCAGTAATCAAGTATAACGCCGAGACCCCATAGCCCAAACTCCGAATGATCTTTGAGTAAAGAAATGTTTCCCCCAATGCCAATGTACATTCATGCATGAACAAGTTCATAGAAAAGCTTGAGTCAAGCTACTGAACCACTTAATCCCACTGACCATTCCCAGCCAGTGCACCCAATCCTCCACCAGCATGCTTGTTCAACAGCTTCGCAACGTTAGAGCTGCCATTGCGCTGCTTCACACGGAGCTGTCTCTCGCGCTCCTTCTCACGTGCAGCAGTGTAAGAGTTGACTGCACCGCCCTTCTTAGGACCAGAGGCAGCCGGTTTAGAAACACGATTGGACGTAGTCGACGAGTTGGAAGACGAGGATGAGCCTGTGGAGACACGATGCAGGAGTCTTGGAGGTCGGAAGCCGATGGGTCCATCGTTGCTCCCACCGGTCTGGAAGGCAAGCTTCGAGTTGCCTGATCCCGTGCTTGCGGTGGCAGAGTTGGAGGAGGCCTGGCGAAGCAGAGCAAGACGATCAACAACAGGACCGCGAGTGCGGCGCGGGTGGCTGGGCTTCGCGAACTCCTCCCGAGGTTGTGAGTTTGCATCGTCCGAATGAGCTGCGTCGTCGGCACCGGATACATTGGAGTCATCGCCCTCGGTAGGTTCGTCCTCGTCGACGGAGGCATCCTCGTGGAAAGAGTCGTACTCTGGTGTCTCAGTCAAGAAAGACAGACTCTCGCGGATCTCGGCCAATGTAGCAGGCTTCTTCGACATGGCGCTAGCAGGAGTGCGGCGAAGATTGGGCGGGGGGCGATTGGTAGCGTCCACGGCAGATGGCTCGAGGGGCCGCTTGCGTTTGTTAATGTCATTTGCAGCACCATCTTGCTGTTCCTCTGTGGCCGTGCTTTGAGATTCATTTTGAGATCCGCTGTCCTTCTCTTCTAGGAACTCCAGCTCAAAGTCATCATCGACATCACGGTCTTCAAGAGCTCTGAAGAATGCCGCTTTCTTGGGGTTCTCTGCAAGTTCACCGATCTTGTCATCAGCGAGTAGAGCTTTGCGCATCTTCGCAAACTCGCGCTGCTTTTCGCGCCGGCGTGCCAGATGTTCGTCATCTGAGTCGTCCAAATCAAAGTCATCATCGCCTCCTCCACGGCGACGGCGCAAGGCTCCAGTAGTGATATCTTTAAGCAACTTGGCAACATCCTTTTCATCACGGTTACGGTCATGGACACTGTACACGAGTCAATAAATTGGTATGGGATTTACAGGAAAGGATTAGACTTACGCATTGAGCGCAGCAAGCTCTTTCTCGTCTACGGTCTCACCACTGTTGTCGTTGATCATTTGCTTGTCGTACGCATTCTCCTCATCATCGCTGTCATCGCTAGCGCCACCAAGACCGGCATATTCATCCTCGGATTCCTCAGCGGCTTCATCGATGACGTTCTTCGCCTTGCTGTTCTTCTTGTCGTATGCAACAGTCGGTTTCTTCGCCGACTTCTTCATAACGTTGAAAGCATTGGGGTCAATCTCAAAGCCTCCTTCGTTGGTTTCTTCCTCCTCTTCCTCCACCATTGACAAGTCAGCCGCACGTCCGCGTCGAAGCTGTTTTTTCTTTCGCTCAACAAGGGGCGACTGGCTTGAGCCCACGAGGACAGTATCCACGGTCGAGACTGGAGGGGTTCCTCTGAATCGCTTATTCGGGTCAAACGGAGAGAATACAAAACCTTCATCCTGGGTGGGATCAGGAAGCTGTGAGAACTGGGAGAACGCCGGCCCGGCCGGAGACTCTGATACGCGAGTGACATTTTGCTGATAGTTGGCCATGAAGTCAGGCTCGTCATGTTGTTCCTGGCTATCTCGAACAAGAATCTCAGAATCTTCATGGCGAAGTCTAGGAACAGGTTGTCCCGGGTCTGGAAGAGAGAATGGAATTGTGGCAGAAGCTGGCTGACTTGTATCATCATTGTCATCTGCCAATGTGCCAGCAAATGCCTGGGTGAGACCCATGGACATATTGGGAGATTCCATGCCTAGGAAGCGCGGGCGCTCTGCGGACTGAGCTGCATTCGATGGTGCTCGGACAGGTGTAGATGGTACCTGCTGTTGAGCCTCCTCTTCGTCCTCGTCATCGCTGACAACGCGGGTTGGTCGCTTGCGCCGTGTTCCGGGCACTTGCTCCTCGACATCAGAAGGCAAAGCCTCGCTCTCGCCATCGGAGGACTCGTCTCCATCGTCCGCTTCCTGTTCAATGAGACCCTCGTTGCCATTCAAACTCCGAGCATCTTCATCTTCATCGCCAGACTCTTGAGCCTCCTCTTCAGAACCAGATAATGCGTAGTCATTATCCTCCTCGTCATCAGAATCCTCTCCATTCTTCCTGGCCGCTCTTTCTAATCGTTTGATCTCGTTAGCTTCCCGACGAGCCTTCTCCACCAAGTCCTCCATATCATCCTCCATGGCTGCACGCTCTTCGGCGGTCTCAATTACCACACCCTTGGCCCTGAGTTCTTCAATGCGCTCCTGTCGCTCTTTGGCAGCTTGTTGACGTGCTCTGTATAGCAAATCGGCGGAGAGCTCTGACGACGTCATGGACGTTGATTTCCGAGTCGGGGATGTCAAATGAGCAAGAGCCTTGAGCCGGATCATGGAGGCAGATTCCTGCATTCTTTGCGCTGGGAGATTCTCAAAGGCGGCAATGCTACGGGACTTGGCAGCTGAGGTGACCACCTCAAGGTCGTCGCTATCTGAGCCGTCTTGTTGGTGTTTAGCGATTTCCTGTCTCGACAGAAGAACACGGACAGGTCGTCGAGTAAGCTTGAACGGTTCTTTCTTCGCTGCGGGATGGCTAGGTAGAACTAGAGCTTCTTTGAGTGCCATCGACTCCTCAGGAGCAGCGGCTTTCTCCACGGTCGGCTGGGCAGCAGCAGACGCAGTCGCCTCTGTTTCATTAGACTCGGATTGGCTTTGGACTGTAGCAGCTTGTGGCTTCTCCAAATCAGAAGGTCCAAGAACAGGGGAAGTATGAGGTGTATCGCGTTTCTTATGCGCTTCCGCATCAGATGATTGCTGCGAGCCAGCGGTAGACGAAGAATTGGCCTGCGCGGGCTCCGGAGCAGGTGCTTCAGGCTGTCCAAAGTTGAATCTGGCAAAGAAGCTTTCTTTAGTAATCTTCTTCTTGGTCTGAGCCTGGTGGGCAAGTTGCATATTCCGGCTCATGCGTTGAGTCTCTTGTCTCATCTCATCCAAAGCCTTCTTACTGGCCTTGCGGGGTTGACGGGCTTTCTGAGAAAGCTTATGGGCTGAGGTCGGGTTCTCGGCTTCACTTTCCTCTCCGGAGACCATATCAGAGCTGAATTTCTCCATTTGGGCTTTTCTAGCAGCCTTCTTCTCCTCTTCGATCTTCTCTCGCTCCTCACGCTCCTTGCGTTTTTGAGCGACGAGGGCAAGGAATCTTGAATTTCCTTTGGTGGGCTGTTCGGTCTCCCCATCTGCATCATCGCTCTGGTCTTGCTCATCAGCCGCGGCAGTTGGCGAGGAAACGAACAGGGGTGAATATGAGCGAGCGCGGGGTGTTGAGTTCCGGGACCGGTCTTCGGCGTCTGGGGATTGTCGTTTGGCTGCGTTTTTGTTCCTCCTCCTGGGTGCAGCGGCAGGAAGATCATCCTCGCTGGATTCAGCTTCGACTTCGGCTTCAGGTGCGGGGCTTTCATTCTGGGGTTTGGGTTTTTTTGCTAGTTCTCTCTCCGTCTGGAGAGCCTTGGACAGTCGAGCAAACGCTGAGTCCTCCTTTTCTTTGGTTGCACCACCCTGCATACGGGCTGCCATCCGACCCTTCGGCTGAACAATGTTGTCCTCATCGTCTGAGTCGGTGGAGCTGTCGTTTGATTGATTTAATTTTGTCTCGGTGGCAGTGATATTCTTGGACCCGAAGTCCAGCTTCGAGATTGTGTTCTTAGGGCGAGTAATTTCCAAGTCAGATTCTGAGTCGCTGCCAAATTGAGCCATCATGGCCTTGATTTTTTGGCCTGGGGTGAGCATGTTAGGCGAATTTCCCGGCGACGCGGAACGCGTCGACCGCGGTGTAGATGCGGTGGACATTTTAGTATTTGTGTGTGAATGGGTATTGGGTATCTTGAAGAGTGATTATTATGAGAAGATATGGGTCATTATGGATCGATTGGAACAGTGAGGAGGGTTGAAGGGTCGGATGTGCGGGTCCTTGAGCAAGGGCGATGTGCATAGTCCGGACGCGATGCGCGCGTGCTTCGCGTTGCTAGGCTAACCACGTGACTCTTATCTTATCGGCCAGGCACACTGTACAGTGGTGTATAGTAAAGTGCAGCTTCAAATGCTTCAGACAAATCTCATTTACAATATTGCAGGTGGGTTCCATTTTGAATATTATGCTTCTCGTACTCCATTTGAATTTTGCTCATAAAATACAGGTTTCCCGTGAAATTTTCGAAATTTGAAGAGACGCCGCGCCGATTCCCTAGTCAATAGTAAAAGCAAAACCCAACCCCCATCCACCGCTAGATACTCTAATGTGTACAAAAAATAGCTGACCTGAAGTCTCGTGTCATCTCCATCTTGACACGCACCACTTGCCACATTTCAGAAGAATATGTATTTGAAAATAAAAGCGAACACGACGATCTAGATATCAATGTCGATGTCCATATCCAGAGCCGCAATGTTCTCATCGTCAGTGTTGCGGTAGCTGATCATGAAAGCGCCCTTCTTCTTCGGGGTGAGGCCATGGTTAGGGGTTGAAACCTTAGAAGTATCTGTAGCAGGCTTGATATTCTTGATGTCGACGGCAGCAGCTTCTTCAGTCTTCGGCGCATCCTGAGGTTTATCAGAAACGTCGTGGTGGGTCTTGGCCACAGTGCGAACACGCATAAATGGATCAGCAACGGCCTCACCACGAGCCACAGCGGCGGCAGCCTTTCGAGCCGCCTTACGCTCATCCAGTTGAGCACGGCGCACATTCTCGTAGTTGAGCTTCTGGTTGCGAATATTGATGAGGTGAACACGCTCGGCTTCACTGAGTGCCTTTTCAGCAACCGGTTTGTTCATGGTAGTACCCCACGAAAGGTTGGGTTTGACGATGGCGTCAAGTTCTTTCTGCAACTTTTCGATTTCTTCTTCGGTGCCATTGGCCTTGGCAAAGACCAGTTCCTTCTCCAAATCGAAACGTTTGCGGACATTCCTCTTCTCATCCAAGGCACCTTGGCGACGAAGCTTCTCAGACAACTCCTCGGCAGTGAAACGGTGGTTGATCAGACGGTTGATATCGGCGACCTTGCCAGCCAGTTTGGTCTGAGTGGCCATCTTTATATCTTCAATGGCCATGGTCTTTCGGTAACGGCTATACTCGGCCTATTGAATTGTTAGCCACGAGAGATCACTCTCAGGTCATAGATTTACCTACCTCGGTAATTGCAGAGTCCGAGCAGGCGATGAAGGGGAAATCTCGCACAGCCTTGCCGTGAGCCAGCTTGGCGTACTGATCAGTGACAAAGGGACGGCCATTCGCTCCCTCGATGGCGTAGGGCTTGCCTTGGTTGAATCCTGGTACACGAATTTAGAATTTGAGACAAAAGTCATAAGAGCTGAGAAACAAACCTTCAATCAAGCAAAGACGGTAATCGTTCTGGCCAGTCTCGTTATTGGGTCCGATATTTACGCGAGCGTAGCAGCCGGTTATGGCCTGCTCAAATCCAGGGTAGAAGCAGACCTGTGCAAAATTGGTGCGGCCAACACGAGCACGGTTGATGTCCCGAAGCTCGGCAGGAGGGTCATCCTTAGGGATCGAAGGAGAACGGCCAACACGGTCGTCCAGTTCAAGGTCACTTTCAGCTTCACCATCCTCGTCAGACACTTCGGAGCCAGGAGTTCGAGATCGACGACGGGAAGATGTGGGGTCACGGCGACGCAGCTCATCACGCTTTCCCTTCTGCTCACGCTGGCGCTTGTAAGCATCGATGGCGGCGGATGTCTCTCCGACCTTTCGGCCACCAAGGGTAGTCTTCTGGCGAGAACTCTTGCGCTGGTTTTCATCGAGACCTGCTGAGCCGGCCTTGCGCTTAGCCTGCTTGGCAGCAGCACGCTTTTCCTCACGCTCGCGAGAGGCTAGCAGGCGACGCAAGGCAAGATCTTGGTTGTGGCGATCGACCTGTTGGGCACGCTCAGATAGCAGCTCCTCACGCTGGATCTCGGGCATTCCCATTATCTCTTGCTTTTCCTTTGAGGAGTAGTACAGCTTGTCATAGGGGAATATTGGGCGGTCTTCTTCATCGGAGCCAGCCCCAGCTTCCGAATCAGACTCGGACATGGGGGCTGACTGGAGGGAGTTGTGGGACTCGGCATCGGACCTGGATGATTCCAATGATATCAGTGATCAGTCCAACAGCGATATGGAAGAGGTGGGCTTACACTTCGCCATCTTCTTCATCGTCGTCTCTCGCGGCTTTTCGAGGCCGGCGAATCGCCTTCGCCGTTCCTTTGCGACCCATCGGAGAGTGACGTGGAGAATGAGAGGAAGTTGAGTGCGATGGAGAGTCATTTCTGTCCTCCGGGGGAGGGGACTGTTCCTCATCTGAGCCACCAGCCAGAGCCAGGAGCTCGTCATCCAAATCGTCCGCCATAGTGATCAGTTACCCCAACAGGCACTTTTTTAACCAAGAATCCCAATATCAGACAATATTTTGCGAATCGGCGTCCCAGTTGACCCTATAATCAAACAAGGGTGTGATTTTCGTAGGCAAAGCACTCCTTACCAGGAGGCGCAAAAGATCGAAGAAAGCCCTGGGATCCCCGGCACCAAAGTCACCAAAGACCTGTATACCAGCCGAGATAAGTGAGTTCAGCACCAACAAGGCACACTATACAAAAAGCGACAGAAGAGAGAGCGGTAATAGGATGAGTGTTTGACAACGCGTAGATTGTCCGTCGCAAAGTTGGCCTTTGTCGTTCATGACGTCCGGGTGCCAAGACTCCAAGCGCGCGCCTGCGCCAAGACACGCTGGCGCTCTTCGGCATCTTCACTTTCCGGCGATCACGAATTCACCTTTACTGCAATTCCACAAACTACTATAATCCACAATGGAATCCCTACCTGCACTACGAAGATCTGCTCTAGCACAGTGTAGACGCCAGTCCCGAACCACGTCCCCAATCTACCTCGACTTTCTCGCTCCGATAGCTCTACGAGCTCAACGCCGAAATGCGTCCACCACTAGTCCATCCGGCAGCTCCAAGCCCCGATACACCCTCAGCAAAGAGCAGCGCGAGTACCTCGATAGCTCGCTTCGAGTAAATCAAGCCGGTGAGCTCGCCGCCACCCTCATCTACACCGCCCAAACCCCGCAGATCGTCCGATCGCATCCGCATCTACGGCCTTTGATGAAGCACATGTACGACCAAGAAGCAGGGCACTTGAAGACATTCAACAAGCTTGTCGCACAACATCAAGTTCGACCCACTGCCATGTATCCTCTCTGGGAGGTTGCGGCGACATTTCTGGGCTGGTCAACCGCCGCGCTGGGTCGCGAAGCTGCGATGGCATGCACCGAGGCCGTGGAGACGGAAATTGGTTCCCATTACAATGATCAGGTTCGGGAGATCTTGTCATGGGAGGCTGATGCGGAGCAGCGAGGGGAGGAATTGGATGATGAGTTGAAGGAAATGCTGGCCACATTCCGGAGGATTCGAGATGAAGAACTGGAGCATTTGGATCATGCGGTAGCTCATGATTCTAAGGAAGCTAAGCCGTATGACCCACTGGTGGATGTGATTCGTTTTGGTTGCCGAGCTGCTATCAAGATCAGTGAGAAGGTATGAGGAAGTCTCATGGGTGGTAGGGAGTTTTTGAAGCCAAATTTCTTGTTATATATATTGTGCCATAGTTAGCATGTAAATTAGATGTACAACAACCTTCAATGTTGAAAGCCTTTACGCAAACCCCATTTGATAACCTTGGAAGAGCATTATGTCAATAATTTTGGTTTGATCTATCTATATAGATAGTACTTGGACACCATTGTGGTCTTTCCCCATGTTTTGGTGGCACATCATATATGTATCCGCTCCTCTTCGCCTGCAGAGGTATCATTGATCGGGTGGCCACCGCTCTATAATGTTTAGTCATAAATCGCATTCCATCTCACCAGAAACCATTGTTTACTTGGAGCTGGTAACGTGGTCCAGGAAGCCCTGTGAAAACCGCACGACCTGCTGGTAAACCTCCTCAAATCCATTTGCACCTCCATAGTACGGGTCCTGTACTACCTCACCCCCTCCCACACGAGCATGCAGCTTCCCACCAGGACCGAAGTCACCAAAGAGCCGAACCTCGGCGACCTGAGCCTCCACACCGCGCTCCCCAATTGCAGCCTCGGTCGCTGCCCGAGTAGTCTTCGCCCCAGACTTGGCATTTGCCTTGCGCTGCAACATCATGATCACCGACTCTCTCTCACTGAGCAGATCCCGCAGATTGGACTTGTCCATCGCTAGCAGATAATCAAAGTGTAGGAAATCCTCCTTGGTGACCTTCCGGGCAGCATGCGAGTAGTTGGTTATGTTGTGCCGGCGGAGGGTGGACATGGTGCGGCTGTCTGAGGGCTCCCCGCTGTGATATGCGCCCGTACCGGCGGAGTCAATTTCGCCAATGGCGGGATGTGACTCAGCGAGGTTTCGGAAAACACCTTCGGCCATAGGAGAACGGCCTGACATCATGGTGTTAGTACGACGACGGGAGGCGCAGGGCGTAGCGGGGAAAAGGCGGGGCAGTGCAAGACGTACAAATGTTTCCTAGGCAGACAAATAGAACGCTCACGGGGCGTTGGTCTGTAGAAGCCATGACAATGTGTGGATTAAAAGATGTGCGAGGGAAGAAAGTGGTTGAGTTAGGTTGATGAGTGACAAGATATTCCTTATCAAATTATCGATAGGATAAGAGAGTCTTGCCTTAGGTTCTGCTATGCAATAAGTACAGTATATAGTTCAATGACGTCTGCAGATATCAAAGTGCGTGATATTTTCTTATCGCAGATGGAGATAAGTCAATCTATTCATAGGTGAATATTCATCTGCCTGGCATCTAAAATTAAATCTAAAAAAAGAAAGAAATCTTTCACGCCACATGAGGCGCAGATGGATTAACCATGGTGGCTTGTGGCTGAAGACTCCATAATGTAAAGCGCGCGTGCCTCTCGTTGGCCCAGTGATGACTGTGAGCATCAGGCCCACTTTTACTTTCCCAAGTACTTCGCATGCAATCCACGGATCTTGTGTTTCAGAACCTCAGGGCACATCTGTTCTTTATATTTTCACACATACCTTTGTCTCAGTTATCCGTTACAGTGCCTGAAGTTGCAGCATTCTTTGTTATTCTCCGAAGTCTCGCTCTCGCTTCTATTTATCACATACGATTTGATCCACTAAGCGGGTCCAGCGCATGCACACTGATTCGCCTGCCAACCTCGTCATCTGTGATCGCCCGCTTCGTAAACACCAAACAAGAGCGGGCAGCTCTTCTTCATTTCTTCATTCCTCTTTGACTTCACTTTGGGCATCGTGCGACAAACTCATCCTCCTGGGAACCCCCTGTTCATTACCCCATTCGTGGCATCGCTAAGAAATCTACTATTCTGAAACGGCGCCGAGAGTTTGAGCCGTCGGTCAGACTAGTAATTCTAGTCAACCTCTCTAACCACTGACGTTGGTCCTTTCCCACCCGCGCTCCTGGCGCAATCTCCAGTCAACCACTCCCTGAGCTTGCACTCTAAGAGGTGGGCTCAATTTTAGCTGAACCCAAATTTCCACTCTTGGTACCCGTGCAATGTCCTACAACCGACTTGGTTAGTTCCCCGAGCTCTTTCTTCTCTCTCCCCGTGAAACAAACTTTAGCCAACCTTGCACTATCCTGCTGGACATTGATGGTGCATGCTTGCGGTGTTGCGACCAAAGAAACATAGCTTTTGCGACTCGAACGCCGTGCTCAGGAGCATTGGACACCACAAACTAACATGCGCACGCCAGATCCCTTTGGGGACGAGCATCATGCTCCCCTGACGAATCCGTCTCAGGTGAACCCCTATGACAATCGCACTCCGTCGCCAGGTCACCACTTGGACGCCTACCAGCTGCACGATAATCCATATGCGCCCCAAGGGCACTTGCCCATGCCCTCGAGCGATCGCCTGGCTGAACAACCAACTGTAAGCTATGCGCGCAGGCCCAACAATCCCTAGAAACCACCACTGACAGTCTTGGGTCAATAGTACTCCGTGGAAAATGTACACAATTCCTACGGCCACCATGAAGCCTACGAGACCCACGAAGGTGGCCATCCCTATGGTTACAACGACTACGCTGTCGACCCAGAAGCCCACCATGACGCCTACTATACCCAACCTTACGAACCCACACATACACCCCATGAAGATTATGACTTAGGCCAGTACCCTGAAGGCGGCCAAACCCCGTTCGACGACCACGCTCCCCTAGTAACAGGAGACAACCCCTTCGGACCGGACCCTTATGACCCAGAGCTCCAGGATGAGCCTCGGCCAACCCCTAGTCCCGCTCCCATTCGCCGTTGGAAGACCGTGAAAGAAGTGCAATTGTTCAACGGAAACTTGGTCCTTGATTGTCCGATTGCGCCTAAATTGCTCAGCCAAATCCCCCACGCCGAAGCACCAGGCCGTGATGAGTTCACCCACATGCGTTACTCGGCCGCCACCTGCGACCCTGCAGACTTCTTCGAAGAGCGATTCACTCTTCGTCAGAAGCTGTTCGCGAAGCCTCGCCACACCGAGCTTTTCATCGTGGTTACTATGTACAACGAGGACGACTTCCTGTTTGCGCGTACAATGTCCGGTGTATTTAAAAACATTGATCACATGTGCTCACGAACAAGTAGTAAAACATGGGGTAAAGATGCATGGAAGAAGATTGTGGTCTGTGTGATCAGTGATGGTCGTGCCAAGATCAACCCTCGTACCCGTGCGGTGCTGGCCGGTTTGGGTGTGTACCAGGATGGCATCGCCAAGCAGCAGGTCAACGGCAAGGACGTGACTGCTCACATCTACGAATATACCACTCAAATTGGTTTGGAGGTCAAGGGTACCCAAGTCCATCTCAAGCCTCGCCAGGGTCCTCCGGTGCAGATCATTTTCTGTTTGAAGGAAAAGAATCAAAAGAAGATCAATTCCCATCGCTGGTTCTTCCAGGCATTCGGCCGACTGCTGGATCCTAATATTTGCGTGCTTTTGGATGCTGGTACCAAACCGGGTAAAGACTCGATTTATCACCTATGGAAGGCATTCGATTTGGATCCCATGTGTGGTGGTGCTTGTGGTGAGATCAAGGTTATGTTGTCTCACGGCAAGAAATTGCTGAATCCCCTTGTGGCTGGCCAGAACTTCGAGTACAAGCTCAGTAACATTCTTGATAAGCCCCTCGAGTCTGCGTTTGGTTTCATTACTGTGTTGCCTGGTGCCTTCTCCGCTTACCGGTTTGTTGCCTTGCAAAATGACAAGAACGGCCAGGGACCCCTGGAACGATACTTTGCCGGTGAGAAGATGCACGGTGCCAACGCCGGTATTTTCACTGCCAACATGTATCTTGCCGAGGATCGAATTTTGTGTTTCGAAATTGTCTCGAAGCGCAAGTGCCGTTGGCTCTTGCGTTATGTTAAGAATTCAACCGGTGAGACTGACGTACCTGACCGAATGGCCGAGTTCATTCTACAACGGCGTCGTTGGTTGAACGGTTCTTTCTTCGCGGCTGTGTATGCCATTGCGCACTTCTACCAGATTGGTCGTAGTGACCACAGCTTCATGCGCAAGTTCGCCTTGTTCATTGAGTTCATCTACCAAACGATTGCTATGATCTTTGCTTGGTTCGGTATCGGTAATTTCTTCTTGGTTTTCCACATCTTAACGACATATCTCGGCGACGACGACCTTCTGGGAACAGCTGGTAAGGTTTTGGGTATTGTCTTCGAGTGGCTATATCTTGCGACTCTCGTTACATGTTTCGTCCTGGCTCTTGGTAATCGGCCCGGTGGGTCCAACAAGTTCTATATGACAATGGTCTACTTCTGGATTTGCATCATGATATACTTGTCATTCGCAGCTGTCTTTGTCACTGTCAAGTCGATTGAAACTGAAGTGGCCGAAAACAGCTTCACAGTCAGCCAGCTTTTCACCAACAAAACCTTCTTCTCGATCATCGTTTCCCTCGGCTCAACCTATGTCATGTGGTTTGTCGCGTCGTTTATGTTCTTGGACCCGTGGCATATGTTCACATCGTTCATCCAATACATCCTGCTCACTCCCACCTACATCAACGTCCTCAACATCTACGCCTTCTGCAACACCCACGATATCACGTGGGGTACAAAGGGTGACGATAAGGCCGAAAAGCTGCCCTCCGCAACCCTTAAGCCCGGTGGCAAGGTTGATGTCAACATTCCCCAAGATGACGGCGACCTGAACGCGCAATATGAAGCTGAACTCGCAAAATTCGCCATGAAGCCACCGAAGGAGGTCCAGGTCATCTCGGACGAAGATCGCCAGGCGGACTACTACAAGGGCTTCCGTAGTGCAGTCGTGTTAGCCTGGGTATTCTGCAACTTCGCTCTTGGTGCCGTTGTTCTCAGTGCTGCCGGCCTGGAGACGTTCGACACTACTAGTTCTACCGATGGTACCAGCACGGACGAGACGCAGAACGAGCGATCCCTGATCTACATGGAGGTTGTTCTGTGGTCTGTTGCTGGGCTTTCGATGTTCAAATTCCTGGGTGCAACGTGGTATTTGATTGTTCGGATGGTGAGTCCCCTCTTTCCCCGTTACTTACTCAGTTTCTTTTTAATTAACATGACTAACTCATTCCTAGTTCCGAGGTGTCTGATTTTATTTCTAAACCATGTGTTTCATTCAGCCTTTCCGCTTCGATCTTGTGTTTCAATATATCCCACCACGTTGAACTTGATTGCTTCTGAACCTGAACCTCTTACCACGGCAGGCCCGGTCTGGTATTGAATGGATAGGGTGACATGTGTGACGACTTTTCACGGCAGTGCTTTCTGTTTTTATTTCCTGCCCTGATGTGATTGATGTAGTATGTATGGTGTATTTGTTATTTCTTTCAATGATGTCATATCTACCTTTGAGTCTATGCATGTGTTTAAGCATGGCATGAAGGAATCTTTCTCATTGTACCTGTATATATGAGTTGGGTTCATATTTTCTATTGTTCCATTTGAGGCGAGTGATGTTGGTGTTGATTTACATGAATAAATTAGACTCGTCCTGTCACCTTTGTCTTCTTAATAGATGCTTCCCTGCTTCATCCGAGGTCTGATGAAGAAGCTGTTAGGTACTAATTGACCATCTTACTGAAAGTTCGACAAAACTACCTCGTCTCTGGCTAATATATGCTTGGCGATGCATGATTCTAGTTCATCTCAATGATAGCATGTAAAATACTTTTGAATAGCTCCATCAACCCCCTATGTCTATATTCCAAAAGGGCTTGAATTTTTGACGTGATTTCAGCCAGGTCGAATGTTCTTCAATACCTCAGAGATCATCAGCTGGTATTTTCTCTGAAATGAGATTACTGCATGACACCAGATGGGTAAGTAAGATGTCTATTTAATAATACGTGGGGATCGATTCACAAGCTTCATCTGGATTAAACTGTGAGAAGAGCTGTTTCTATATAGCCAAAACGAGGTTGACTCAACTCGCCTTATTCACTCGCTGAGGAGTAGAGACATCATTCGTATCGCCTCCGCTGTAGTTCGATTTTGAGTTGATTCTTACTTTTCTTACCCATTTCTCGTGCCGGGCGCAGCCACGTCGATTGATCTGACGCCAAGGGTCTGCCCCTCCTTCAGCTGGTAGACCTGCAACTCTCTTCTGCACAGACTGCAAGTACCGCAAGTTACTCTTATCATGGCATCGACCCAAACTTTTGGCAAGAACCACGGGGGGTTCCAGGTTGGGAATAACTTTGGTCAAATTGATAATGTCAACATCAACACAGGTATGTTCAGAAGCTGAACCTGACAAGTTTGACTTTCTAAAGCTCACTATTCTACAAGTATATTCAGATGATGACGTGGATCGATTATGCCTGCGCACCTTACGATGCCCCGATTCATTCGCTGTCAAGAACCGCCTGAAGGGCACCAAGGATAAGTTGGTTCACGCATCGATCGAATGGATTTTCCGAGACCCACGTTACATCGGTTGGCAAGATGGAGAGGAAACTGGTCTACTCTGGATCAAGGGCGGTGCTGGAAAAGGCAAAACCATGATGTCGATCGGTCTTATTGAGCGGCTTCTACTTGCACGTAATGGTCCCTGTGTGGTCACGTACTTTTTTTGTCAAGACGCCGACCACGAGCTTAACACCTTAGAATCGGTCATCAAGGGTCTGATTTTACAGCTGCTTAATCAAGAAGAGAGGCTCAAGGTATCCCTGCGAAATCGCTGGGATACAGTGAATGGTCGCTTCGAAAAGGACGTTTCCTCTTGGGAAGCACTGTGGAACATCCTGTTGGAGATGTTAAACAACTGCAAGTGCCAGAGAGTGTACGTGCTTGTGGATGCACTTGACGAGTGTCGAGATAGTGGCATGGCCGATTTTCTCAAGCTCATCGTCCGAACCGGCCTTGATCAAGTTTCCAAAATCAAATGGCTGTTGACAAGTCGGCCATTGGAGAGTGCCCAGCGCGAACTCCTGGTCGGAAATGATCAAGAACAGGTTATCCTGGAGCTACAATCACAACAGTTCTCTGAAGCCATCAGAACCTACATCGCGTCTAAAGTGGCTGAGCTGAATCGTCGCCACAGATATCAAGAAGAATTGCGAAAGAAGATCGAAACGACCCTTAATGATAGATCAGAGGGCACCTATCTGTGGGTTAGCCTAGCTTGCAAGAGACTCGAAAATGTGCATCGCAATGAGGCATTAGCTGCCATTCAGCAATTGCCACCAGGCTTGCATTCCATCTATCATCGGATGTACACCCAACTCGGTATAGGGGACATAGTCGACAGAAAGAGATGCATGGAGCTACTCAATGTGATGATGCTAGCATATCAACCCCTACAGGTAGTGGAAGTGGAAAGCCTCACAGGTTTCACTGACGAGTACTCGGAAATTGAAGATCTAGTTGGTAAATGTGCGTCATTTATCACTATGCGTGGAACCTTCATTGAGTTTATTCATCAGTCCGCTCGAGACTTCTTGGCAGAAGAGAAAAGGCAATCCGATCTTCTCAACTCGCATGAGCATTTTGGTCATGGTGAATTAGCTCTTCGTTGTCTATCATCTCTATGTGAACGGCTCAAGGTCAACATTTGCGACCTGCCGCGACCTGATTCAACCAGAAAGTCAATACAAGAGTCAAAGAACAAACAATCGACTGCACTACTGTCAAGAACAAAATATGCAGCATTGTTTTGGCCTCAACACCTCGAGAGCGGCAAGCAATCCAGGATCGTACAAAATGCGCTCGGTGAGCGTGGACTTGCCGATGAATTCCTTCGAACTAGGTTATTGGAGTGGTTGGAATGCCTCAGCCTGCTGGATGAGCTACAAGGGGCTTTAAAAGGCCTTCAAGCGATAAGGGATACAGCGGGGGTAAGATTTTTACGAATTGAAGACAGAGGGTCATTGTCTAATTTTAAGACTGATTGCGCTTAGAGTGCGTCTCCCGTGGCAATACTTACACAGGATGCTACACGATTCCTTTTGCGACACTACCATACCATAACGAATTGGCCGTTACAGATTTACAGCTCTGGGATCATCTTCAGTCCTGAAAAAAGCATTGTGAGGGGGGCAAATATGGAAAAAATCCCCATCTGGATTAAGAACGTTCCACGAATGGAGAGCGTTTGGTCATCACTGATATCAACCCTTTTTGGACCTGCACCTGAAGTTGCTGATCTGGTATTTTCACCCGACGGCAAATCCTTCGCGTCGGGATCGAGTAATAATGTCATTGGCCTATGGAACGCCACAACAGGTGACCTTTTGAGGATATTCGAAGCATCCTCATCGATTTTTGTAGTTGCGTTTGCTCCTGATGGTAAAACCATCGCCTCAGGGTGTAGAGATGGATATATCAGGCTATGGGACACCACAACGGGGGCCAGTCATCATCATGTCAAAGCTCATTGGTATCCTATCCATGCTATAGCCTTTACACCTGACGGGAACCATATCGCCTCGGCATCTAAAGGTGATTCTATCAGGCTATGGGATTTGACAACAGTGACAATACGTGACCTTCATACCACGTTCGTGAGCGACTTAGGTGGCTTTCCTACTACTATGACATTTTCACCAGGCGGCAAATACATCGCCATAGGCTTCGGAGACGAGACCATCAATCTATGGGATACCTTCACAGGTGACCTACTGAAGACGTTGAAAGATGGCCCCTGGCAAGCTTTACCAGAGGCGATCATTACCTTGGCAATCTCTCCCAATGGCAGACTACTTGCCTCCGGAACTATCTCTGGCACTATTCATATATGGGATACCTTCACAGGTGACCGACAGACGCCGCTAAGACCGAGAAACCAGAAGAAGATTACTGCTATATCATTCTCCCCCAATGGTGAAATCATTGCCTTGGGGTATGACGATGGAATTATCAAGCTATTAAACATTATGACGGGTGACATTCAAAAAACTTTCAGCGGTCATTTAGATTTTATAAATGCTACAACCTTTTCACCTGATGGAAAAAATATCATTTCCGCGTCAAGAGATATGTCTATCAAGCTATGGGACGCCACGACAGGTGACTTTGAGCAGAGGCTAGAAGCACATCGATATAATACTACTGCAGCATCCTCTTCCGCAGATGGGCTCATCACCTCAGGGGGTATCGGAAATGATACTAAGCTATACCACACTGCGTCTATAGAAGGTCACTCACGAGAGGTTGCCAATGTGATGTTTTCACCCGACGGCAAGCAAATTGCATCAGCATCTGACGATGCTACCATCAATTTATGGAATGCCACGACCGGCGAGGTTCAAAAAACATTGAAAGACCTTACAGATGGGGTTTTCTCTTTAGCCTTCTCGCCCAGCGGCAAATACATCGCCTCGGGATCTCTCGATGAGACTGTCAAGCTATGGGACACCAGGACGGGTGTCATTCAGGAAACTTTCAGAGGTCATTCAGATGCTATCTATTCTGTAGCCTTCTCACCTGATGGAAAGCAAATTGCCTCGGGGTCTTGGGATAAGACCGTTAAACTATGGGATTGCGCAACAGGTAATCTTCAAAAGACATTTGAGGGCCATACGGATGGGGTTCATATTTTGGCCTTTTCACCTGATGGCAAGTTCATTGCTTCGGGGGGCGACAATTCTAGTGGTTTGGGCAACAACCCGAGGAGTATTAAGCTTTGGAACATTTCGACAGGTGATCTTCAAAGGACGCTCAAAAGCGATTCAAATTGCTCTTTGGCTGCTTTGACCTTTTCCCCAGACTGTTCATACATCGCTTCCGCGTCCGTTTTCTACCACGCCGGCTTTAAAAGCAGCTCAACCATCAACATTTGGGCCATTGCTCGAGTGCTGAACGGCACAGAGTCTTTTAGCACAAGGTTCAGTCGGAATTTTAGACTTCGTCCTTCCGAAAAGTTCAATATACAGGGACCAGTTCGCACCTTGGAATTTTCAACAGATGGAAAAATCCTCAAGACAGACATCGGTGCCATCAGGCTGAAGGCTTACCATACAGATGGAGATAGTAGCTCACTGGAGTTTCCAGATAGTCTTGGAGTTGAAGGACAGTGGATTAAATATGGAGATTTGCGCATACTTCGGCTCCCTTCTGATTTCAAGCCAGTGCTTTGCGATGTTCGGGACGACCGAGTTGCCATTGGATTCGAGAATGGTCGAGTTTTGGGATTCATCATTGACTGTGTGCGCCTGAAAGCACTTTATAAATAATTGCATGTAATATTGATATCTTTGAAGAGCAATATCGACTTGATAATGTGAAGCTCTCTGGAAATGCACCCTGGAACGTCCACGTAATTCATTGGATAACCATAAGGAGTAATAAAAAGGATTGATCCCCGGGGCTCGGAGGCGAGGGGTGGACGGTCGTATTCGCGTCATCAAAAGTCTCGTAAGTAGACTCTAAACAGTGGATCTCTGTAGCTAATAGCTGCAGATCTCCTAGTGCTTAAGAAGCAATGTACCAGAAGGATTATCAGCTCTTGCTCGATTGCAGTCCGATCGGCCAAGAGTCTAACACTAAGGCAAGTATTGATATCCTGAATGTTGAGGATGCTTGTTGAATTAATCGAAGAATACGACACATAATAGAGATGCTCAACAAGCAGATGGGGTGTTTAATTTCAAAAATTTAAAATTGGGTTGAATTCAGCTGTATCTAGACGGTTTGGTTCTTTGAGTGCACACATAATGCGATCCCACCCAAAACCAGAATCAACCCCAACCAAGTCTGCTTTGCAATCACTTTGCGCTCAACGTACCACTCGCCCAGAACGGTGAACAAGAACGCACTCGAGTTGGCAAGCGGAACAGTCAGAGACAGTTCTAAGAAAATATCAGCAAAAGCACAGCTTACCCGTAAAGGAGTTCAAACATACCATGCTTTCCGACCAAAAGGAAAAACCAAATACTCCCCGTCAAATTAATGACCAAAGGAATAGAATAAGCCGGCGTCCGGAGAAGGTTAATGACCGTCCAGAAAATCGAAACAATCTTCCTCTTGACCCAAGAGCCCGACGAAGTCCGACGCTTCCACACAGGCACAGGCCCAGGCGCATTATCAATATCTGCCTCGCCCTCTAACTCTGCATTTAACTGTGCTGCGCTCCCATCGCCTTCCTCCTCCGCCCGTTGCTGACTCCCACTTCGTCTCCGCACACCCTCATTCTGTCCCTGCTCTTCCGTCGCAAGCAATTCCTGCTCTTCTTCGCCTTCACCTTGTGACCGTGATCTTCCGCGTGTTGTGTCAGACCCAGAGGCTTGTCTTTCTTGTCGTGCGTTGAAGTCTGCCGCGGCGCGCCGGATAAAGGGGGTTGTGAAGCCCCATGCTACGCCGACTAGAAGGAAGGAGAGGACATAGCTGAAGACCGAGGGGGCGGGTTCGGCGGGGATGCTTGCGTCGGGATCCATTTTGGTTTAAGGTCCGAAGTTGTTGGTAGGTTGGTGCTACGGGAGTAGTTGTTGCGGTTCATAGCTACCGTTCCGGGTGTGATTACAGGTGGTCCGTGCATTTGATTAGATTGGTGATACGCGTTGTAGCTTTTTATTCTTATTTTCGGCCAAACTTTACTTTGGACTTTGAATGAGGCTGCTTTCTTCTGTCAAACTAATGCTTAGCTGGCTAATGGGTTGTTATTGGTAGTAAAGATAAAGTGTCCGAGATTCTGAGTCTGCAGGTGTACAGTACAACATAAACCACGTTTCGGGTGTAACAAGGCCAAATTAGAGATCTCAGAATAGTGTGTGTAGTTTGAGCACTCGGCTATGGTAGAGTGTTATTCCAACACCATGTGACCTTTACTAAGTGGTATATCAACAGCTGTTAGTACTGGGTTTATTTCTATATGAGTGATGTCACGCGTTCAGGTTGCTATCATTACAATTGATTCTTCCTAGAAGTCGAAGCGACCGAGAAATAATCTGTTTCACCTCCACCGCATGGTCGCTCCTTTGCGATGAATGTGCCCCCATAATGCTTATATCTTCCTCAATGTCATGCAGCATTTCCCCCAGCCGCATAGTAGCATGACGCAAAGCCTCGCGTGACACAACCGTCATTTCATAGTCATCTAGCTGCATGCTCCCTAAATGTGCCGTTGGCTTAGTAACAGATAGCGCGAGCTTCATGTCCACTGAGCTATCACTACTCCTGTTGCTAGTTCCGAGTGGATTGTTCGATCGATCTTAGTCACTCTTATTAGTCCATGCTTATATAAGTTAATTGGATCAATCCGCCTTGGTTACACACATACCTCCAGCCCAACCATGAGGCTCCTCGATCTCATCCCATCCTCCAAGTATGGACTCAGCAGCTACTTCGTACAGCATGAGAATCTGCACCACAGCGTCTGTCATTGTTTGTAGCATGCGCGCATCCAGATGTGCATCTGTCATGTGGCAGCCATGCAATAGTTCCCATTGTTCAACCAAGTCCGTTCCAAGTGAAAGGACTTCATCTAGAGACATGCTGTGTAGGTCTGATGAAGATCTAGTGTGAAGTTTTGGGAAACGAGTGAGTGTTTGGGCTGTCCGTGCAAGACAATCGCAAGGTGGTTGGGATTGGAGGCTCTGCATGATTGGAGGTGTTCAATTCTGGAAGGCGCTCATGTGCTTACGATAGCGTGCTGCCAGGTTGTGACAAATATCAAATCGTGTATTGAGGGCACGCCACCATATAAGGTCGCACAACCAGTATGTGGTGCCGGTTCTGGCTGTTTGGGGGCCGGGAAATTACAATCTTGGAAGCTAGAGTAGGGATCGAACGGGAGTTGATGAGGCGATTCCGTAAACACAAATATAAACATAATCATGTGCACAAAAGAAAGAAAGAAGACGAAAGAAAGAGCGAAGGGAAGAAAGAAAACAATTGCTTCTGCACAAAGCAATAAGCAGCCCGATTCACTCATGTAGGTCATCGAAATACTAATCACCCGTCGGGTACTTTTTCCTAATTGGCTGGGTACTTTAATGTCCAACCAATGACATCTAAAAGACCCGATGCGCGTCTCTGGTAGTCTAATCTATGTAATAAATGAGAGGGAAAACAGTTTCAGAGCCCACGAATGCGAATTTGAGAATATAGGACCTTGTTACTCAGTAATATAGAAATACGTCAGTCCATTGGGTCGGCAAGAAGCTAGACGGACGTAAATGATCGTTGGAAATCGCACCGTGATTTAATGCAGCAAACAAGGCCATGTGAAAGTACAGTGTGCCTTCAAATATACATGTACACAATATTATAAAGTCAGAATGGATCATTATTCATAGATATAAAGATATACTAGACGGGTGGACACCAGACCAGCAATATCGAGTAGCAGGCTAAGCTCCTACTCCGCCAATTCTATTCTTCCTTGTAAAGACTCCACGCGGTGGAGAAGGTCTTCGGTAATCTGTTTCACAGATCCTTGTACGATGCCGCTCCCGCGTCCGACGAAGGTCTTCACATCGACTAACATAGCAAAAACTTTCCGAAGTCGACGCCGTAAGATCTGCTTCATGGCTCGTGATTTGGCCTCGCCGCCCACTCTGAGCTTCCCCAAGAACAGATCACAATTTGCCTCAGGGATGGGACAACTGATGTTTCGATCGAAGATGCCACGAATAGAGCGCTCGAAGCGAGCAGCGGATTGTTGCGCTGATAAACTCCTCACCCCGCCGGGAGGAACGAAATCGGGGTTTACTGACCATGCGGATCGAAAGTCGCGCTCTCTCTCACGGGCTAATATTGCTGCTCGGCGAAAGAGATCCTCTAGAATGGAAATCACACATTCTGCGAGCAATATCAATGACATGAGGCTAGAGGGTCGTGAAGAAACACATCCTTTGTCTTCGGGGTTATTGCTACCACATTCAAATAGTTGCTCTTTTAAAAGGCGAGTGTCTCGCTCGGCTATCAGCACCACATCGATCGTCAGGGGTTTGTCCTTTGTGCCACGAGAGTGTTCGAGCCAGGCGAGACGATGGAGAATGGTCAAATAGCATTGACCCTGACATGGGCCATCAGACCCCGAGGGTGATCGGGTAGTGTTCCTTGTACTAACGCCACCATTATGACTCATCTGTTTGTTGGATATTGGGGATGAAGAGGACCTGGTATAAAATGGGATTTGAAGTTCAGTAGAATCCCTAGACGCTCCGTCCACTCTTGAATTGTGTCTCGTGGACTGAAACTTTCCAGTGCAACTGGCGGTGTCAGTTGAGTTGCTGTTTGAAAGCTCTAAAGGCTCCGTTTGAGAGTTTTGGTGACTGAGGCGGCGTCCCATAGCTATTTCTGAGTAATCGGGACAAGGTAAACATCCATTGAGCGCATGCGAGGTAGACGTATCAGCGAACGAGGAAGTATTTTGCTTCATTGGCCAAGTGCCGCTTCCTAGATCTAGTCTCTTCTTCTTGAACTCATTTGGAATTGTTCTAGATGGAGCAACGATAGGTGGTTGACGGAACGAGAAAGAAGATTGGCAATCGGCGGATGACTGTACTTCCTCCGCTAATGCATCTCGGCAGCTATTGCAAGAGCTGCCTTTTGCGGAGGCTATTATGGAGAAACTTGCAGAACTCGCCAATCGGTCATTTGTGCCAAATGCGAATGGGGTATCATGTACAGAACCAACCAAAGACAATGAAACTGGGGTAGTTGAATTGGGCCATTGGCTCCCAAAATACTCATCTTCCGTGTCTAGGGGAATCGACTCTTCTGCTTGGGCAAATTGAGCATCCGAATTCACACTCGGAGCACCCTGGGATGAAGCAGCTCGCTTTTTGGGTCGCCCCATCCGACGCAGTGGGCTGTAAACACAACGAAGCCCGTTCTTCACGCACCGGTGGCACTCTGGCTTGTCTTGACTGCATTTGACCTTTGAGGATTGACAGATGTCACACGACGTGCGCAGTCGCGCCCGGGAAGACATATTTGGTTCTCAATAACAGCTCCAGGCGACGTGCAATGACCCTCGGTAGGAATTCTCATATCATTAATTAACACGTGGATATTGACAGTAATGTTTTTCAGCCACAGATATCTTATCTTTGCTCAGGGGCTACCTTGCTGAAAGGACTCCTGAAAGGATCCAAGATTACTGACTGCGCAAAGACTGAAAGAGCTGACAAACGAATGAACGCTAGAACGCTCTGGATCACCTGACCTCCAGACACTCCGAATCGTCTTGTTTAGGGCATCTTTGAATCGTTCCACTCAGTCATCTTATATTGGAATAGGCCCAGTCAGTTATGTGAGAACGAAGGTAGCTATAGTGAAGTTTGACTGATATCCTCGTCTAATGCTAATAATGAATCCGCTGGTCAAGCTCCACACGCGGGACCAGCCGAAGAGTTGACCCACCAGGGATCCTTGGTATATCCACACACGATCGTGAAATTTTGGCCTCGCGGTAAAATGCAGGATACATCATTGCCTTATCAAGTGGACTTTATCAGAGAACAAAGAAAGTGCAGGTCTATCATCAATACTTCCTGGTTATAAGCGGGCGATATGTGTTGCCCCGCAATGAGTCCAATCGGGCACTTTTCCTTCTGTATAGAAAATCATCGGGTACTTTTTCTTCTACCGTAGCTCAAAGATCTGTACCTATTTGGAATCTAGCTCCTTGCGACTACATTTATTTCTATCATCTTTCTGGCTCAATCCTGCCGGCTGGTATTACTTGTACATCGCTATATTCACTCAAACATCATGTCGGAGACAAACTCGAATCTTGTCACAGACACCAAAGAACACAGAAACGATTCAAGATCCGAGTCCCGTGATGGGCCAGTGCCGGTCAGGTACCCATCTGGGCCAGTCTTGGTCATTATTGTCATCGCGTTGATGCTCAGCATGTTTCTGGTAAGTTCACAATATACTCTGGGATACGAATGGCCAGCTAACTTTAGGGCTTACAGGTGGCGCTTGATATGGCAAGTACCTGAATCGCGAAAAATTGCAGAACGCCTTTCTAATTCCACATGAAGAGTATCATCTCCACCGCGATACCAAAGATTACGGTCCAATTCAAGAGCATGGACGATATTGGATGGTACGGCAGTGCCTTCTTTTTGACTCTCGCCGCTTTCCAGTCAGCCTGGGGCCATATTTACCAGGGGTTCTCCTTGCGCGTCTCTTTTCTGACTGCCATTGCTATATTTGAAGTGGGAAGCCTGGTTTGCGCTTTGGCGCCAAACAGTATGGCATTGATTATTGGACGGGCCATCCAGGGTATGGGGGGAGCTGGTCTCACTGGCGGATGCTACACCATTGCAGCCTTTGTTGCACCCCCAGAGAAAGTCCCGATACTCATTGGTTTACTTGGATCTACATTCAGTATAGCGAGTATTGCAGGGCCTCTGCTAGGAGGTGCCTTTTCGCAGCACCTTACTTGGCGTTGGTGCTTTTACATCAACCTCCCGATCGGTGGTGTGGCTGCCGGGGTCTTGTTTTTCTTCTTCCGCACCCCTGAGCAGGCTAAGTCCGGACTTGCAAGATCACTGAAAGAGAAACTGAAACAGTTCGACTATATTGGTCTGGCAGTCTTGCTGACAGGTTTGATTTGCTTCTTCCTCGCGCTTCAGTGGGGAGGCGTGACAAAACCGTGGAGCGACGGCTCTGTCATTGCTTGTCTTGTTCTCTGGGTTATCCTGACTGCGGCCTTTGTGATTATCGAGTGGTGGCAGGAAGACCGGGCTCTGGTGGCTCTGCGCATATTGAAGAGTAGGAGTATCGGCACTTGCTGTGCCTTCATATTTTTGTGAGTCTTGCTCTCCTTGGAGCCATTAACACTCCTTGAAAACAGCATCTGATGAAGCCAGCCTCAATGCCGCCAACTTTTCTCTGATCTATAACCTGCCAATCTACTTTCAGGCTATCAATGGAGACTCTCCTATGACAAGCGGGATTAAAAGCATTCCAACCATTCTCTCAACTTGTTAGTTCCGATTACTCCACCTTGGTATTCAGTACTAATGGACAGAAAGCCATCGCAACTTTCATATCATCTGCCATTGTCACCAAAATCAGATACTATCAGCCATTCTTGCTGGCCGGCAGTATACTTGCGACTATCGGCGCTGGCTTGATATACACTTTCAATCTGTATTCCGGTCTAGGCTCTATTATCGGATATCAAATTATATATGGCACAGGGACCGGGCTTTCAGTTCAGATCCCCGTCATTGTAGCAGGATCATTGAGCTCAACAGAGGACCAGCCCATTACCATGGCAACTGTTTTATGTATGTATAAATGCGTTTCTTCCAAATCCTCATTGCGAGCTGACTGACCCATCCACAGTCTTCCAATTCATATCCGCTGCCTACGGCGTCGGCTCCACAGATTCTATCATGAACAATCTACTTGTGCAAAGTATTCCAAGATACATGAAGGGAGTCAGTCCCGAGGATGTCATCAATGCCGGGTCAAGTGGGCTCCAAGATGTCTTCTCGGGCTCAGAACTCCTTGGTGCGCGACGCTCCTATCTCAATGGCTTACACGGCAGTTGGGCTATGGGAGTTGCACTCTTTGGTATAACATTCCTTTGTGCCCTTATTTCGAAGCAGGGAAGCAGAATTCCGCGACCGGGTAATAGGAAAGAAGACCAAGGTACCTCTGTTCCTATGGCCTAGGCCCACTGGTTGGAGATAATTTGCCACATGCATATGTTCTTATTAGTGTGCCGGGTCAGTCGGACCCGATATATTTGATTTACATTCTCACAAAAGTACTGTAGCAGTACAAATTCAAATACATCCAAGCATTTTGAAATATGGCCTATGGAGTCCTGACCTGATACGTACCATCCATTCCCTTCGCGTGCTGATCATACGCATCCGCCATCGGATAATCATATCCCTTGCGTCTCAGCCGTCCAATCTGGATCTGGATCATGGAAAGCAACTCGGGGAATACGATTTCACGATCCACCGGCTCGTCCAAAAGCTGCGTACCCACCATGACGATATAATCGGTGCATCTTTCGGCTGTAAGCTTGTTAGTATTTATCCATTGTGTCAGCCTCCTGCTTAATGAGGTTTTTGATGCGTTTCTTGATATCTTTCAATTTTGAAAAGTTTCCACTCTATGTCGTTCATTTGTGGTGTTGAATAGGTGTAACGGGAGTGTTCTTAAGGTGAGTAGAATTGTTCTTTGAGGGGACTGAATGAGTTTATATGATCGAATCTCTCGTCTGGAACTTGTTGTCTATTAATGGTTTGTCTTGTGATAATCTGGATCGAAGGTATTTGTGTCGAATATTCAAAGGTCTTATTGTATTAACAATGATTGATCGAGTCAAACAAGAACTCGACGGAGAAGAAATATTTAAAATGACTATGGACAAAAAGAAATGTAAATAAAATGACGGTAAACGAACAGAGAAAGAAAATAGAGGTTGACGATGGCAGTCAGAATATGCGCAATGAATAATGCAAAGTGCAAGAAATAACACAAGAAAAGAATTGAAAGAATGTAACAGGAGTCTCGAATTAGTCACTCGACTTCTTTGATGGGATGAAACGCGCAAGGCTCTTCTTGATGCCTTCCATGTTCCAACGCTTGACCCGGAATAGGTAGTAGGTCATGACGGCAATGAAAATATTGAAAACAATATAAGCCCACACAATACCGTAGTTCCTCCAGCGCTGGCTATAGTAGATACCAGATTGAGCAACATACTGATCGGCAACAGTGACGGAGCAGTATTCGCAACTGGAAGTCGCAGCCTTGTTAATCAATTGACCCCCAGCGGCAGTAGCGTACTCCTTCAGATACTCCCAGCAAGTCTGGCCAGAAGGAGGATCGAAAATGGCTAGTTCGTCGTTGGAACATACGACCTCGCGCCCGTGTACTTGGGTACTAGCCATAGCGCTGGTCCAGTAGGTGAATGGTGAGACACGGTACATGAAGATCCAGAAGCCAGGAAGAGCGGATGGCGGCTGCATCACACCACAGAAGGTGAGTGACATGGCGAAGAGTAGAACGACGATTGCACTGGCGGTCTGAGCGTCGGGGAGAGCGGCGATGGCCATCTGTCCGAATGTGCCGGCATAGATAAAGAATTGGACACATAGAAGGAGAACGGTACCCTGGGTCAGGGAGCTTGGAATGCCAACAACAGCGTAGAAGTAGCAACCAAAGATGAGGATACCGGTGATAATCATGTAGGGAATTTCTACAATGACTTGGGCGATTAGGAAGGCTTTCCAAGAGTATGCCTTGCTGGGGCGCTCGCGGACCTCGTAAAGCGATCTTTGAGCAACGAACAGGGGCATCAGCTGTTGGACAAGCGAGGTGAAGATAGTGCACAGCATGAACACCGAGTAGATGATAGTTTGCATTCCCTGCAAGGACGTCTTGGCTTGGTAGAAGGAGAACCCAATAAACAAACCAGCAGCAATACCCAGCCCCCACTTGGAAATAATGTAGGAGGGCATGCGCCAATACTGCTGGAAGACTCGGTAGGTGACCTGGTACAGCTGGAACCAGAACGGCATGGCAAACTCAGTGAGACCTTCAGGTGAATTTTCAACGGGGACTTTCTCCTGCTGCTCCTTGTGGATGCGATCAAGTTCAACTTGAACCTCCTGACTTTCCTTGCTTCCTTTCCAAACATCGAACCAGTTTTCACCTTGGGGATTGCAGCCAGCGTTCACAACGTCAAGCATATACTCGGCAGGGTTCTCGCTATCTCCGCAGGCGCGCGCTCCATGGACCTCGAAATAGTCCAGGAGGGTCCGCGACTGTTCACCGATCGGGCCGAAGTAGACTGTTTTTCCACCTCGAGCCAAAAACAGGAGCTGGTCAAATTCTTGGAAAAGGATGGCGCTGGGCTGGTGGATGGTGCAAAGGACGGCTTGACCGTGCTCAGAAAGACGACGAAGGAAGGAAACAATGGACCAAGAGCTCTGTGAATCAAGACCACTTTATCCAAGTTAGCAAAAAGATCAGCTGGGGGATAAGGAGAGAGCTTACCTAGTGGGCTCATCGAGGAAAAGAAGTAGCTTGGGCTTAGCAGCCAGCTCGACACCAATGGTCAGAAGCTTACGCTGCTCAACGTTCAATCCCTCACCAGGGATACCGACGATAGCTTCGGCAAATTCTTCCATACGAAGCATGCGAATGACATCTTCAACATAGTCGTACTTCTCCTGAATAGAGACACTAGCCGGCTGACGTAAAAGAGCACTGAAACGCAAAGACTCACGAACTGTGGCGGTTTCAAGGTGGAGATCTTGCTGCTGGACGTAGCCAGTCTTACGCTGGAAACTCTGATCCAATTCACGGCCATTGACAAGCATATCACCAGTCACAACACCGACCGAAGTGCGGTGAGCTAGCACATCCAAGAGAGTGGTCTTACCAGCTCCACTGACACCCATGAGAGCAGTCAGAGTTCCCGGCTTAACCCAACCGGCAACATTGTCCAAAAGTCTGCGGGGTTCGCCCTTGATCTCAATATCGTAGCAAACATCCCGCCAGGTGAAAACATCTGTCTGAGGCTGGATGGCTCCCATTTCCTGGGCACCTTCTTCTTCAGGGGTTTTTTGCGCGGCGACTTCATTGGTGGCCTCGGCATCGGACTTGCCTTTCTTGCCACGGCGCAGGTGTGCAGGCTCGTGGCCACGACGGAACACCAAAGCCTCAGCTGTGCTGGTAGTAGATGAATTAAGCTCACAGGCGATGAAGTAGATGGCCATGAAGCCAATCAAAAATGCACACATGATTCCAAAGTTCCTCCAAACGTGGGAGAATTTGTATCGATAGTTCAGCCAGATATAACGGTCACCGTTCACAGTCAATTCACCTGCTACTGATCCGGCTGTGCTGCAAGAAAACGCATCACCGGAAAAGTCAGCGTAAGATGGGACGAAGGACGAGCAGGGGAAATCGCGCCCGTGGAACTCGTTCGCAATCAAAATCTCGAAAGCGTAATAGATTGGGTTCAGATAATGGATCCACTCGAACCAGGGGTGCATGGATGGGACCGGCAGCACAAAGCCTGTGTAGACGACAAGGGCTAGAATCATGACACCAGCCAATCCCATTGCTTGGGAGACTGTTTTCGTGACAGCTGCCAATGTTCGGAATACCGCACTCATGACGAAAGTGATCATGAAAGTGATGAGGAAATAGAGGAAAAAGTTACCCGGCTTTCGCTGAAGACCGACGAGGAAGTACAAGATGATGTTGAAACAGACTGCAAGAGCAAATTTCACTGGTATGTCGGCAATGACACCAGCAATGGCCTCGGTAAACGGATGGTAGAAAGCATATGAATTATGCTTTTCAATGATCGGTCGCTGCGCATAAAGAGCGTTGATTTCAGACATAGCGGTCAAGGCGTTGAGAAGGACTGCAAAGAATAGTGCCGCACTTTTTGAAGTAAAGCCAGCAGTAGCATCGGGGGAGTCGTAGAAGGTGGAACCAATGATAAGAGCCATGATGATGTTACTGACCACGGTAGACACAGTCGACGCCGCATCATTCCATAGCCGTTGGTAAGCACGGGTAGTATTGAGCTTGATCTGCATGGGCACACTGATGATGTATGGCGACTTAGGACGAGTGTGCTTAGCTTGGTTGCCTCGCTTCTTCTCGTGAAACGCAACAACAGCCTCAGCATCGTCCGTTGTAGGGTATTGCTCTTCGTATGCATCAATATCAGACCGAAGCTGCTTGTACTCCGAAGACTTAAGCCATGCAGCCTCGAACTCCTCAGGTGTACGGGGGACTTGAGATTCCATACCGGGATTCGCTTGACGCTCGTCAGGGTTGGTGATCGAGGTCAGGAAGTCACCAGTGGTTTGTCTCGGAGGGCAATACCATCCTTGCTTCTCAAAGTACTCCTTTGCGGCATTCGCCGGTCCAAAGAATACTTGGTGACCCCCGTAAAGAACGACAACTTTGTCGAACCGGTCATAGATACTCTGACTTGCCTGGTAAGCTGCCACAGCATGGGCAGAACCAGTAAGGTCCGAGAGTAAACGAAGGGACTCCACGAATTTCAAAGCCGTGGCTGAATCCAATCCACGAGTGGAGTTATCCCAAGCAGCCAAAGGTGACGCAGAGAGTGCCATCTCGGCAATACTGACACGCTTTCGCTCTCCGCCCGAAACACCACGGATGAAGTCATCTCCAACACGGGTATTATAAGTGTGGCTCAGACCAAAGACCGCCATCACGATCTGCGCCATATATTTAGCGAATTCGCCGCGGGTCATTCCCTGGAATCGGTGGGATGGGGTTCGTGTTGCGGCAGCGTGCTCTAAAGTCTGGCCGACAGTGAGGTGAGGGAAATGGCGATCAACCTAGGTGGTTCATGTAGTCAGTAAATGTTGTATACCAAAGGAGATCATTTCATGGGCGTACTTCTTGATTGTAGACCATTTCACCCTTGAACTCCTTTATCATGCGGCGTTGGGGAATACCTGACTAGACTCAGTAACCAGTTTTAGGAGTAGAATCAGTAGAGAGTTCCTTACCGTTGTAATTGATAACACTGCCCTCGCCCATCTCCAAACCATGCAGCTCACCCATAATTGACTTCAGCATAGTACTGCAGCCCGCTCCAGGGCGACCGAGCACAAGCAAAAGCTCTCCGCTCTTGAGAATACCATTAAAGTTCTTGAGGATGCGCTTTTTCGGGGACTTGTGGAAAGCCTCTCCAATTCGGAGGGGTGCCGTTAACATGGAAGAGACTGTGTCCTGGAACTGTAGCTCCGACCCAGATCCATAAATGTTTAGGTCTTTGAACACAACGCCCATTCTTTGGCCCCGTTCACGGCCCACATCTCGCATGGCAGCGATAATCCATTTTCGCAGGTCGAATTTCCCAGATTGAGGGTTCAGGGTAGGATCTTGGTCTGCGAGCGAGGCTAGACGGTGGGTAGGTCCGGAGGTAGATTGTCGTCGAGACTGCTGGGTTGCTATACGGGTAAGGGTTTCGACTTCACTCGGTTCGATCAAGCCAATTGGCTCATAAGTAGTTTCGGAATTTTCATCCTCATACTCGATTTCTGGAGCCAATTCCTTATTAGGCTTTTCTTCCTCTCTAGAAGGGGAAGACATGACTGCCTGGTATTTCGGTAGTCTGCCAAAACGAAAAGCGAATGTACTAGTGCCAAGTTCAAGAACACAATAATAGGAGGGGAGAATCTGAGTATTTATTTGAATATTGACCGGGTCACTCGGCCTCGGAACAACTTTAACGGTGCAAATTGGGACCTGGTAAACCTTAATCACATGGTATAAACTACCTAGTGGTGACGCTTATGACCCGTGGACTAACGGTTAGGCACCCAGTTCGGAAGTCATATGGAGATTGTGGATCTCTCGGCGCCCGGAATTAGATCAAAGACGGAGGGTTGGAGTCCAGGTTGCAAAGATTTGAATGCTGATTGGTCCCGGGCCTTCTCAGATCCGGGAATTGTGGATCATCATGTCTTCCGTGTTCTCATAGCTTCGTCGATCTCTGCGGCTCGTCCGGTCTCCGCTGACTCATCGGATCTGCCAGACCCCGATCCCTAGATCGATCGGCTCGGATATGGCTATAATTTTATGAAACACGAATGGAGTTGATAAGGATAAATAGAAGGGGAAAGAATCATGCAGAAAGGACATTGGTTAGGGCTGTCTGTAAATGGCGTATCCCGGTTCAAGTAGCAGGGATCAGCCATTGTGGACCTCGAGAATTGGTTCATAGGAATCTCGAGGACCACAATTGCCAATCAGTCAATCGATGTCCTCTATCCATCCCGGGGTAAGTGTTGAGCACCATCAGGGGTCAAAGTAACACAAAGTCAATGCATATTTACACCCGTGGATGTGGTGCTCCCAATGTCATGTACCTAGGGCTGTTCCAAGGTTCACTATGTACCATGACACCTTACTCTTGGACTAGGCCTTTGTCTTTAAGCCCCTATCGCAGATGTCTCTAAGTTAATCCACTTATATTATACTGCTTACGTACTCGATTCAGTCATAACTCAAGTGCCTATTCCAATCCCCTTGTGAAACCGAGGCTAAAGGAATTTCCATGAAATTTCTGACATGCCAAGTACAACCCGTATGAGCTGCGGAACCTGCCAATATCTCGAAGTCCGGGTTGATTTTCAACCCTTCTGACGTAACAATTGTGCGAGAACTGTGGATCCGCTTATACACTTGGTCACAGATTGCCAGTCCATCGCCAGTCAACTCCGCAGAAGTAATCGACTACCTCCTAGGATCTACTGATGAATAAAGTACAAATACCGCAGAAATAGGCTCCGATAACTTCTTCGCCTATTAGCTCGGCAGTTGATCAGCGTCTGCCGGTCTTTCAACACGGAAGGGCTCGACCCTGACCCACAATCCGAATGCCGTTCCAGACCCCAACACCCGTGCATTCTACGGCATTCGGAGTTCCTCCCCGGGACAGCAGTCTTCTCGGGAATGGATATTATTAATAAGCGGAAGCGGACGAATACTGAAACCCTACACGAATGCCTATCGCAAAGCCAAATCATCCATGTACGGTAGTGATACCAGGTACTTGCTATTTTGTCGGTTCCCACGTCGACGCGTAATTTATGTTGGGGGGATATCTTCCGAGATATATGATGACTTTCATGCTCCATCCGACCTGTGTAGAGAGATCCGATATACGTAAATCAAACAGTATCATGCTGGACCAAGATAAATTCTTTTGCATCAAGAGTATGTAATTCCTACTTAGAGGGATGATAAACTTGTTAACTTGAATCTCTGGCGCCAAGTCTTCATCTGCAAGTCTTGCCCTCGGTTGCATTGGCAACATCGAGTAAAGATAAGAACGAATTAAGACACTGCATGGCTAGCCCCTTGTTCCAAAAGTTCGCCTGCATCCACCTCCTGCATAATCTTGACTCCGGAACTAGTCCCGATCCGCATCGCACCAGCCTTGAGCATGCGCAAGCAGTCGTCTGCAGTCTTAATACCTCCACTCGCTTTGACCAGACAACCATTGAAGCACACCTCAGCCACAAGGTGCATCACCTGAACATTCTGGACATCAGCCCCGGCCCCACAAAATCCAGTACTAGTTTTAATGAAATCCACCTTAGCCGTGCACGCAATGATAGCGGCGGCAATAAGCTGGTCTCTACTGAGCTGGGACGTCTCCAAGATAGCCTTTAGTTTCGTCGGTGGCGGGGCCGCACTACGCACGGCCATTATGTCGTTGTAAACAGCTGTGTAGCCCCCGTCTTTGAGCAGAGGATAGTTGATGACCATATCCAGCTCAGTCGCTCCATGTTGAACGGCTTCAATGGCCTCCTTCACCTTTACCTCGGTGTCATGTGTGCCTTCTGGGAAGCCTACCACGGAAGCTACCCCAACGGCGGTGCCTTTGAGGTTGGCGGAAGCGCGGGCGACATAGTTTGGTCGAACGCAAACTGTAGCAAAGTTGTGCGCTTTGGCTTCAGCACAGAGAATATCAATCTGCTCCGGCTCGGCGGACTCAGATAGGAGAGTGTGGTCAATCAGTTGTGGGATGTTCAGCGGAATTTGTAGTTTCGGTATTGATCTCTCAGGAATGCGCTCTTTCAGAAGAGATATCAAGGCATCCCAGTCCGGATCATTTAATGGGATGGTCGACATGCTGGCTTGACAGCGGTCTTCTCGTTTGAATATCCACGCCTCCGGAGTGTTGCACTTTGGTCTGGAGGGGCAGGAGAGGGGGTGCCGTCACGTGAGGACATTAGAGGCTCATCATCATGACGAGGCGTTGATTCATTATTGACACGATGTGATGCGAGCACATGTGGTGTTGAAGCTGTTGTCTGCGGAAAGCTGCTGTCGGTTGATAGACATGGTAATGTACCTCTCGTCCATCTTATCTTCTTATCAGAAGTCTGGTCGACGAAAGACCTTTGATACTGTACACCATGCATAAGACATGGCAGTTAAAATAGTATGAATCACAAAATTTAAATGATACCCTGGATGTTCATTCAATATCACAGAAGCATTTATGTTTCTAGGCACCAACAGCCAAAGTCAATCATGAGTTCCAGAAGTTCACTTCTTGAACCATCTTTTATCACCGATTTCTCGCCGCAAATTTGTGGCTCTCATCGACAACTGCCGCACTCTGGTCCTCGAACATCATCCACGCGCCCAATGCGTCTTCCAGGCCCACCTGGGCCGCCGCCGCCACCACCACCTCCACCTCCACCAGAGCCATAAGAACCGGAGCTTCCACCAAATGGCTTACGGGATCCAGATGGGGTCTTCGGCCGGTGGATATTAAACGACGAGTTCTGCGCGGCAGTGTGCGGATCCAGCTGGAATGGAATGGAGCAGTCAGCATTCCGAAGCATCAAAAACAGGCAAAGGAGGACGGTGAAAGACAAGCGAGAGCACGATAACATAGCAGGACCAGGGTTTTCGTACCGAGAAAAAGCTCACTAGGTACAGGCCGAAAAAGAGGTAGACGCTCTCGAAGAATCGCGAAACGCGAACTGAGAATGGCGGGCTGTTGGTGTTAGATTGGGTTAGCGCGGAGTCTTTTGTAACTACCAGCCATATATGGTGGGATCATTCACCTCGATAGCGCTTGGCCATTTGAGAAATAAGTCGTTTGTGGCTTCTGGGGAGACATGGTTGGTGATATTGGATGGTTGAAGTTGATGAGGTGGAGTTGGAGTTGGAGATAATCGTGGCGCGATAAGGCTAGGCCCGCTTGTGTAGCCTCGGCCAGTAAGCAAGGCCAACTTCTATGGTATCCCCATCTACGTTCCCTTGAATGCTACGCAACTCTAGATGTATTATTTAATTACATTCTAGCATCATTCCACTTGTCCATGTATATTCAGGCCATCTCCTAGCAAGCTCACTGTTGTATACGTATGGTGTGGGGCATTTTCGCGCATCCAATCACAAAACCTTGAAAATCAGCCGGTAAAGAGGACAACTGAAACTGGAACATAGTGTATGCGACTTTACAACTCCAAATACCGAAATTTCATGTGTATAACCATGTCCAGCTTTGAAGGCTCCAGAGGGGCCAGAGATCTGAGTAGGTCAAAATGACTTGGTGACTCGACTACTAATGGCGTGGTCCCCGCATTCTGCACACAAGCAAGTATACTAGTTCTTCCCCGCTCTACTTTCGAACCCCCCACGCTGTTGTGGTATCCACTTGTATGCAAAGACGCACTGAAGTGCCTGATCTAATACGTAGGTGGTAGTCTATTCTCCACTGGTAATCTATTTCCTCCACAAATCACAGCCACAATCCGGAGGTTGCAGAAGATCATCGCCCTCTCCTGGCTCCCAAGAGGGCAATTCTCCTGCAGAATGCAGTTTTTCACGCAAAGTAATAAAACTATGAAACCTTGCTAACTCAAATGTGGCCTTCATTTGCCGATGGGCCGCTATTTCTTCTCCGGCGGAGAACTAAGTCGAGTCTAGTATAGCTTGAAGAGAGAAGATAAACATGTATTTAAGCAATGTTGCCCAATTTAAGGGGAATTACTCAAGCTTGAGGTCCATAAAATCGATCATACGCTGTTCTCAAGGGCTGCTATAATGATACCTTTCTTGTTGTCTCCGTTAGCCGTGGCATGGCTCGCAGGTCAAGCCTCGGCTATTGACTTGACGGTATCAAAGACGGGTGGGAACTCCTCCAGCCCCCTGCTCTATGGCATTATGTTTGAAGTAGACCAATCCGACCCTATATATGTTGTATTTTCGCTCATTATCATTTTAGGACATCAATAACTCAGGTGAAAACATTGTAACCGATTTTCAGATTATAGATTATTAATAAGGAGTAGGCGACGGTGGTATTCATGGCCAATTACTACGCAACAATGGCTTCCAAGGTGATGACCCAGGCCTTACTGCATACTCTGCGGTAGGAGACGTGAGCATCTCTCAGGATACCTCTAACCCTCTCAGCACCGCCATCACCTCCTCGCTGAAGGTGACCGTGCCTTCTGGCACCACGGGATACGTTGGCTTTTCTAATTACGGATACGATGGAGTTCCTGTTCTTGATACAACTTACACAAACTACTTCTGGATGAAGGGAGATTACTCCGGTATCATTAACCTCAGATTGGTTGGAAACTCTACCGGTACTGTTTACGCCGATCACAACATCACTGTTGATAGCAGTGCTTCGGAGTTCACTTATTATGATACTTCTTTTACCTCTACTGAGTCTTCGGATGCGGATAATGCGTGGCAGCTGCGATTTGATGGCTCGAGTGTTGCAGGGAGCTCTTTGAACTTTGGCTTGGTGCAGCTGTTTCCTCCCACTTATAATTCGCGGTAAGAATCCGGATGGCACCTGCTTCTTTTTCTTCTGTCAAAGCTTTGCTAATTTCTCTAATTGAAAACCACAGAGAAAATGGATTGCGGAATGATGTGGCTAGCTTCCTTGCGGAAGTCAAGCCATCTTTCCTTCGCTTTCCTGGGGGAAATAATCTGTAAGTGGTGATATCACAGCAAGCCATACTCGTTGGATTCTGAGTCAGTGACCTTACAGTGAGGGCGAGACTCCGAGCGATCGCTGGAAGTGGAATGAGACGATTGGAGCACTTGTTGATCGTCCAGGTCGTGAAGGTATAGTGGTTGATTATACTATGGTGAACAGACACTCACTTGGAGTAATTTTTAGGTGACTGGGGCTACCCAAACACTGATGCCCTCGGTGAGTCATTCATTTGACTTGAGCTACGTACGACTCTGACTTTCATCTAGGGCTGGATGAGTACATGTATTGGTGTATAGACATGGGAATGGAGCCTCTACTTGCCGTCTGGTCTGGCCTTACCCTTGATAATAGCGCGATTTCAGGATCTGAACTCGATCCTTATGTCGATGACATTCTAAATGAACTCGAGGTAAGTCCACTTATACAAACTTGCGATCGTTCTCTCACCATTTCCTGTACAGTATTGCCTCGGCTCCACTGACACTACATACGGTGCTCTTCGGGCCAAAAACGGCCGTACCGATCCCTGGCCTTTGAAATACATCGAAGTAGGGAATGAGGACAACGTCTACTCAAATGGTTGCGCCACCTATGCAAGTCGGTTCACGCAGATCTATGATGCTGTTCATGCCGAGTATCCCAACTTGACCATTATTGCATCTACCACTGACACTTCATGTCTACCATCAACCATACCTGACGGGGTTATCACTGATATTCACTACTATCTCTCGCCTGATGGGTTCATCGATCTCTTTAATGAGTGGGACAACTGGTCTCGCGACTGGCCTATTTTTGTCGGCGAGTATGCCAGCACGACTGGTAATGATGGGAGCACCACATACTGGTCAAATATGCAAGGGAGCTGCAGCGAGGCGGTCTATATGATCGGAATGGAGCGAAACAGCGACATTGTCAAAATGGCTAGCTTTGCTCCCTTGTTGGAACATTATGATATGGCCGAGTGGTCGGTAAGTCTTTAATCCGTGGGTTACGTACAATGATAGTTGCAAGTGTTGACCATAGAAAGCCCGACCTGTTTGGCCTCGACTCCAGTCCTGATTCCATCACCGGCTCAACATCCTACTACGTCCAGAAGATGTTCTCCACCAATCGTGGCTCCACCATTCTGCCCGTCACTTCAGATTCAGCCTTTGGTCCTGTCTATTGGGTTGCTTCTGTGTCTGACTCGGGTTTTGGATCAATTACAGAGAATGTCACCATCAATATCGAAGGAGCTACAGCTGGTTCGCTCGAATTGCTCTCTGGGGGTGAATTAGTGAGCAACTACCCTCATGATGTATCAATCACCACATCTACAACGAGTGTCTCTGGATCGGGAAGTTTTCAGGTTGATATGCCAGCTTGGGCCGTTGCTGTGTTGGCAGTGTCGTGAGGTGGTATCGCCACATTTTGAGCCATAAGTTTCCAATTGTGGAAGGGTTTAGAGCAAGCGTTGGGGACGTCAATAGGTGACAACTTCTATCAAACCTGGAGTGCGTTCGCCTCATGTCCCTGTTACTATATACAGTGTTCGCCTGGGTAATACTCGTATTTAAGCAGGTAGTTTGAATTGGCAAGCAAATTTTCTTTGGCTTCACTGGTCACTATCTTCTTCATACCATACCATATTCCATGCTTTATCCAGTTCATTTGGGGTTATCAAGCGCGTGATGGAATCGCCAACCTCCTCAATATCTGTCAGATTGACGAGGCGGAAGATTCGGCTAAGATAGACTTGACGGTCAGACCAGGAGAGAAAAGCGTTGGTTGTCTTCCAGACGGCGAGATTCGCAACAATATGCAACGTTACAACACCAAGGGAATAAATAAACACCCCGAAATGTCCTTCAGCAAGGGCAAACATGATGAAGAAATAACTCTCCGATATTGGCCTGTTGTTCTGGTCACTGATGATCGAGGCCGTCGATACCTCTCCGATGAGAATTTGTGCATTCTCGTTTAGAACTGACGATTGAGACCAATGGCAGATGTAAAATGAATCTACGGAAAATATTGGTATAGATTGGAGCCCGAGATCAATGGGTTGATTGCCAGAGAAAAGGCAAAGTCGAAGAAAACCAGCATCGAACCTTGGCCTTCCCCGTATCCTGCAATGATGGCGAAATGGGGGGATCCGGGATGCCCATCCCCAAGTGTGGTGGAAAGTCACGAAGAAGACATATTATAATCTCTCCCCAACTGACAGCAATAATGACCTGGCTGCATCAAAGCCACCCGCATAATTGAATGAAGAGTATCACGTTCAAGACGCACGTTCCAATGCTAGTGCTAGTGAGGGGGCAGGTGCCTCTGGCAGTCTCGACGGTACTCGGGCTTCGTCTGCTGACAACGAACTCAAGTCGACCACAGGCACTTTAAATATTTCCCCAGACTTAGAGGTTTCCTCGAACAATGAAAGCGATATCGAGCTGCTAAATGCGTTGGAAGCTGTGGTTTCTAAAATTTGGGAGAAATGGATATGTTTACTGAGGAACACCGCTCTATTGTCACGACTTCCGAGGAGAAACTCAATCATGACATCGAAACCCGTCTACAGCAGCTCAAAGACAAGATGCAGACAGTGTTCATTGCCTAAGAAAATGCGAATAGGAAAGGCCGCTGTTTCCCGTCGCCGATGTCTCGTTCTTCCAAGGCGACGCTGAGATCCTGTTCCCTCGTTACCTTGAGCGAAAAAATCACTCTTGAACCTTCTATCCACCAATGATGGATTTGGCCCAGATTGTGCTTTCTCGGCAGGCATCCGGCGCTCACCTTCGGAGGCACCAAGACGGGCACCTGGCTCGTTGACAAGGATACTGGGGAGAAACCGTGTTTTTGACCTGCTTGTTCAATCATATATTCCATTGAGAGAGTTTTGTCAAAGTTCTAGGCCAGAGGGATCGAATTGACAAATTGATGCTATGAGAAATACAAGATCAACTCTCCACAACATTGTAGTTGGGGAATCACGTGCCGGAGCTTCCAGCTCAAGGGCGGAACAGCCACTGCCAAAGCTCCAACATCATCACCGTCTGGCATCTTTCTACCTCTTTTCCACACATTACTAATTTGCCTCGTTGCATTATCGTATAACCCAACTCACTCTTTCCTCCCTTTCTTCGACCCCTAGAACCACCAATCACCTACTCGTCCACTGTCGTCATCATGTCCGTCCTGAAGCCCGAGAAGGACTTCTCGAAGGACGCCGACAAGCTGATCCCGGAAACTGAAGCTCTCGCTAAGGTACACCTCAAATTCATTGTTTGATGCTGAAAAGTAAGCTAATGCCATTTGCAGACCGATGTTCAGGGTGCGATCGATAAGCTGTTGGTGCTGGAGAAGCAAGCACGACAGGTATGTTTCCCCGTTCCCCGGCGTTCAGATCATCCAGATCCATGCTAACACGCATTACTCTGAAAATAGGCTTCCGATCTTGCTACTACATCGCGCCTCTTGATTACCATCGTCACCATTAGCAAGAACTCCGGCGACTGGGCGCTCCTTAACGACCAAGTGCTCCTGCTCTCAAAGAAACATGCTCAACTCAAGCAGGCTACAACGCGCATGGTACAGGAGGTGATGAAGTTCTTGGATGATACCCCGAACATGGATGTCAAGCTGTCTGTCATCGAAACACTGCGCACAGTCACTGAGGGAAAGGTAAGTTTGAGTGGTCCGACTATCGCTGGGGCATCACTGACCTATCCATAGATCTTCGTCGAAGTCGAGCGAGCCCGTGTCACACGAATCCTTTCGAATATCAAGAAATCGCAAGGTGATCTCAATGCGGCGGCAGACATTTTGTGCGAGCTGCAGGTGGAGACATTTGGATCGATGACAAGACGGGAGAAGACCGAATTCATTTTGGAGCAGGTTGCTTTGTGTATTGAGCGTGGCGACTGGACGCAGGCTTCGATCCTGATCCGCAAGATCAACAAGCGTTATTTCAACCGCAAACCGAAGAAGAGCGCTGAGGAGATTGAGGAGCTCAAGAAGCAGGCGGAAGAGCGAGAGAAGACCCGTGGGCCGGATGAGCCACCGATGGAGGTGAATGATGATGTGACCGATCTCAAGCTGCGCTACTACGACCAGCAGATCGTTCTGGCCAACCATGACTACAAGTACCTTGATGTTTGCAAGCACTACCGAGAAGTTTTGGACACCGAGGCCGTCGAGAACAACCCGGAGCAGCTGCGCGCGGTAAGCTCATGGATTTATGAGATAAAACACAAGAGTATATGGCTAACGTGAATTCTCCAGTCTCTCGCACGCATCGTCTATTATATCGTCCTTTCCCCCTACGACAACGAGCAGTCAGACCTGCTGCACCGCATTCAACAAGATTCGCGACTATCACAGGTTCCCGAGGAAGCTCGTCTTGTCAAGCTGTTCACCATCCCCGAGCTCATGCGCTGGCCCATGGTCGCCGAGCAGTTCGGCCCCCACCTGTGTGGCACCGATGTGTTCGATGCTGAGCCCAAACAGTCCACTGAGAACCAGGCCAACCGAAGATGGCAGGATCTGCGCAAGCGTGTCATCGAGCATAACGTGCGGGTAGTGGCCAAATACTACACTCGCATCCAGATGGGCCGACTCACCCAGCTTTTGGACCTGACTGAGGAAGAGACGGAGAAGTACATTAGCGACCTGGTCACCTCGAAGACTATCTACGCTAAGATTGACCGGCCCGCACGACTAGTCAACTTTGCCAAACCTCGTGACGCGGATGATGTCCTGAACGAGTGGAGCAGTGACATGAAGAGCCTACTTGGTCTTTTGGAGCGCATCGATCATCTCATCACCAAGGAGGAGATGATGGCTCGCATCCTGCCGACTCGTGGTGAGAAGCCCAAGGCTCGTTAATTCTGATTCTTGACGGGCTTTTGGAAGTTTGATGCGGGAATTTCTGCCTATGTGTAAAATATCTCGCCGGTAGACCCTTTATGAATAAACCACTGCGTTAGTGGCAATGTCTATGTATTACTTCCCAGTATATGAACTTCTATGCCATGTCATTGGTGCATCCATCACACTGGCCTTGAGATTAAATATGGTAACATGCTTCAGAGAGGTCAATGGCCTTCATCTCAATTCAGGGACCTGCACAAGGTAAACTAAAGCTGGATTAGTGAAGTTCTTCGAAGTCAAATTAGGTAGGACAGCACCTGGGCGATCGAATCGTCCGAATTATTGGGCATACCTATGGGTTCATCAAACAAGCCAGATGGTTCATGGAGCTTTAAGGTTTACATGCATCCACTGAAGACGAATAGCTACTCTATACCGACTCGTATTCATGGGAGCGAAGGCCAGGGAATGGCCCGGGCGTATGCACACCTCGCTATAGAAGGACTTTAGCTGGTGTACACTTATAACAGCGGTGGCAGCTCAGGTAAGAAAGTGCCACCCGCCAAGGCGCCAAGGCCCGCAGACGGCAAGGGAAACAGTATCCGTATCGGTTTCCTTGGCCTGCGTCCCCCCGCCAAAGGAAATACGATCCGTATCGGTCCATATCGGTGCCTACCTCGAACTATATCCGTTGATTCAAGATCGAATAAGATGCCCCAAACAATTAATCTTGGATATATCTCTACAATACGATTCAAATGATGCAAGTACCAGAAATGATACAAGTTCTATCCTTAAACAGCTGGCTGCTGAATATAGAGATCGACCGAGGCCTTCGTTGTGTTTTCAGTAGTTTTCAGTACGAGGATATCAGTGAGTTAGTGACGTGCTTTTTATCTCTATCCAGATCTCTATCCAGATCAAGTCTCGAGCAGAAGTCGTATAGCATATTTCATGGGCCCTAGCAAGTAAGGTCAACGGTCAACCATAGCTCCCCCCAATTCGAAGACATAAAAAGCCCTAAATATCCCTAGAGCACCAATCTTAGTTCCGCTCATCACACCTTTCCTAATGCAAACTTGATCGTGATTCATAACACGCACATACTTATCAATACCATCATGAATTTGAAGCTAGTAGTAATAGTTTTCCTCGCTACGATTGCCTCAAATGTCGCTGCGGCAGCCGTATCAGTCCACTCGGTACCTCTCACACAGACGAACCGCGAATGTAATGATGTTCCCAATAGCGCTGTCAAAACCCAGCCTTTCGGTTTCGTCGTTTTTGTTAAAGCGATAAACCAACTAGTCGCAACTGCCGCGCTGCAAGGAGCAAGTCCCAACACAGAGTACAATGCCCGCCTGATCCAGCTCAAGGATGGCGCGGCTGTGAGCTGCGGGCCTTGTACATCTGGTGGTGCAACATTGAAAACGGACAAGAACGGTTTTGGAACTGTGCAAGTACAAAATGTAGTTAGTGCCGGTGCAACGGCGTCGTGGTTTGTCCTGAACAAAAAGACCGACTGCAACAGCTTTTATGATACTGCTCCGCAAGCGTTTTGATTTGGAATTCATTGTAAGAGAGTTCTAGTGGTTTTTATTATCTTGCATGCGATGATATCTACTCTTTTTCGTGGGGTTCAATTGATAGTGGTACTGTTGGCGTCTTCAAAAGTCTATTCAGCAGAGTAAGGAACCAAAAAATGAATATCCAGAGGAGATATTGAGAATTTTCCTCTACAGATTGAAATGATTGGCCACAGTGGCTTACAGGAAACATAGAAGAGTCAAGGCTACATACACCAGGCGAAAACTCCAGTACCGAGTAAACCCACATATGCATTTCCATGTGCAAAGAACTTCAATTTGGTTGCTCTAGTTGCTCTAGTTACTTCAAGATAGTCCGCTTGCAATTTGAAGCATATATTCTTCCGAGCTTAACATCAATGACAGCCACTACCCAGGTCCTTGGAAGCTCATAGAAAGTCGAGATGTACCTGTGGGAATGCTTCTTCTAGCGGACTAGTAATTTCAATCTATCAACCTTGGATTGCACGGGCATGGAAGTGCCTACCAGCCTCCTTCACCCTGCGTCTCTCCTTTGTTAATTGGACTTCTCCGGTGAGAATTACTTACACTGTCAAACATGAGACCCCAATGACTTAGATATCAGTGAATAGGACGCTCAAAATGGCGTCATAATTAGCCGCTTTGTGCGCTCAAATTACCTTCTAGCGTTATGGTATAGAAATTTCTTCATTGTAGATCATTGATATATCAAAAGTCTATTTAGGCCGTATCAGTATCAAATACACCCAAATCTCCTCTGGACACACTGAGTACATTTACACCACCTGCCAACAAAATGCATTTTCTGCCAAAGCCCAGCAAGCATATTCTGTTGCTGAGCATCACAGTCCTGAAACGCCCCAAGGCCGACACTCCGGAAGGCGATAGAGGCATCCATGACATCCGCAGATCTATCCATATGAACAGCCTTGTCATCTCCAACATTCACAAGAGTCAGTCTGCCGATCTGAACAATCAGCATGCGCAGGATATTAGCCAAGACATTGGGGGCTGTGAACACAAGATTCTGGTCTGTCTGGATCATTTCACTAGTGTCTAGGAGCACGCTGATAATGCAGTTAACTCTAGGGCGGTAGCAGAGGGGTATGCTGGGGCTGTCAACGATTTCGGACACTAGAAAGTTTTTGCCCATGTGTCCTGCCATTGCGAGGAGTTTCCCGCTGAGGGTGTAGCTGTCTATCTTAGGGCTGGTGTAAAGGCCCATCTCCCAGTTTGTTAGTGATTTGATGTATCCACCGCGGATTTGGGGGATTATATGGTGAATATGATTGGGAATTTCAGTGGACATGGTTGCGTGATTGGTATTTACTTGTACCTTATGAAAGGTTTGGAGGATTTCAAGTATGTGAAATAGATGATGTGATACTGATATTAGATATTAGTTGGAAGAAGGACTCGGTCTTTATATTCGAGCCTTTGAGGAGAATAAAGCACAATGGCTTGGTCTGAGTCGATCAGAAACGCATTGTTCAAGATTCTTTCTCTATATACAATGCAACAAGTACTTAGGGCGCGCGCAATGCGCGCGCCTATAGTTCTTTCTTAAGAGAAGGACTTTTTGAGACCTATAAGCTATTTGATATTCCTGTATAGTCTAGTTGGTGAAACCTACTTAGTCTAACATGTCATCCTGATCTGAAGATATCTGCTCATCCTTTTTCTTAGACTTCTGGCTTCTCTTTCGCTTTTTAGACGACTTGCTGTCCTTCTCCCTCTTATATTGCATAGTGTCAGAGCCTAAAGAAGTTAAGTCAGTCAACTAAATAAAAAGTGTAAGATATATCCTCTAATATATTAAAAATAAACTTAATCAACTTAATCAACTCCATTGGATCAAATAAATAAAATAATCTAAACCATTAAATATAAAGTAAGTACAAAGTAAGAATATAACTACCTAGAGCTCTATACGAAGACGCTTACTCTTCTATGTACTATTATAGGAAGTAGATAACGAACCTTCTTTATTTACTATATCTAGCGCTTTAAGTAGCTCTATAGTCTATGATCCTAACAGTATTATAGGCGACACGTTATAGAAACGACCTATAGGGATAGCTAGTGAAGGTTAGATAACGCCGCTACTTCGATCCTTCTATCTTAGAAGCCTCTTTTTAATAGACTATGGGGTTATCTTAGCTTATATTTCTATGCCTATAGCTACTATAGTAGGGTTACCTCTAGCTAGTAGAAAGCTATAGTTAGTTACCACTATATAGATAACCTAGGTACCCTTAATAGGGTAGAAGCTAATAAACTTACTAGAAGCGAATATCTACCTCCCTAGATAGGGTATAGGGGCCTTTATAAAGCGACTAACCTCTAGTAAAGCTATAGCGATATAGAAAGTTAAATACTAGGGGGAGATATTTTCTTCTAATATATAGTAGATATTCTAGCGTAAGATAAAGATATAGTAGCCGCTAGGGTCTCTTATCTTACTAGTCACTAAGCCTATAGTATTAAGCTTTAGGGACTATATTAGAGGTAGGTAGTTATAGTAAGTATCTAGAGACTATAGGTCGCTAGGTTCCCTAAGTAGAAAAAGGTAAGTTATTAACTAATAATCAAATCTAAGAATATACACTATAATTAACTCTACCTAAATAAATAGTTATAGAGCCTCTCTAGTCTTCTCCTTAGTAATTAAGGAACTAAGTATAATAATTACCTACTTAGGAAGTAGCTCCTATATAAGGCTATTCTAAAAGTAAACTTAATAGGGAATTTCCTCTAGAATAATAAGGTACATTAGACCTCTATACTTAGGCCTATTAGCGTATATATCTATCTTAATAAGCTTCTTATATAGAGACTATACTAGGGCATTATTATTAATAAGTATTAATATATTAATATCTATATAGGTACTGGTTTCCTAGTCTAATATAGTAGGATAAGGAGAATAGGAAGGGATATAGGCCTAAAGATAAGAAAGAGAAAGTATAGATAAAGTATTAAGAAATAAAGAAGTTACTATACTTATAGGGGACCTAAGACTACGAACTTTAGAGTAAATTAACTAAAGTAAGAGCTAATAGGATTGAACCTCGGCGTAATCTAGCTATATTTAACCAAAGCATGAATTTAAAAAGTAGGACTTTAGTGAAAATCAACTAAGGCTAGAGCTAATAGAATCAAGCCTTAGAGTATTATATCTATATTTAACTAAAGCACGAATTTAAAAGTGGAACTTTAGAGTAATTTAACTATATATTTACTAAAGAAAATAATATGTATAAGAGTTTTCTTTACTAATTAGTAGATTTTACAGGAGTTCATAGAGATAAAGGATATTAATTAGGGGAAATAATTCAATTTAGCTAAGATTATATATATAATTTAACTAAAGTTCTACCTTTAACTACGTAATTCCACTAAGGTTATTTACTTTATTTAACCAAAGCTTAGAGTTTAATCGCGTAATTCTACTAAGGTTATTACTTAGGATTTAATACTCTTAGAAGTATATAATTATAAGATTTAAAACTCTTAGTTATTCTAGAGGAAATACCTTTAATACTTCCTTATAAACCATATTATATACCTTTTTCCCTATATTATACTTAGCTAGTAGCACTTTAATATTCTTAGTATCTATAGTACGTGAAAACGCTATATAAAGCTGCCTATGACCAAAACACTACATAAATATATATCTATTAGTTAGATCTTATTTAAAAGACGAATCTAAAACATACCTAACTACGTAGATTAATTCTAATATATATAAGGGACTGCCCTTAGGCCTTATTAATTATTATAGTAAAAGCTAATTAAATTAGGAATTAGCGCCGCGTTAAGGTAAAAGAGAGCTCTAAGGGATTTATTGATAAGCTAAATAGATAAAGTAGGTGATATAGTTATCGATGGTAAGCTAGATTAGATAGCTAGACTTTAATATATTAGGTAGTATAGCGACGGACCGTATACTAGATACTATTATATAGACTATTTATAGGATCTATATTATAGATTAGTATCACTAGCGCACTAACTTTAAGATGTAGATAAGTAAGGGGAAGGCTAGTAGTTATAATACTATTTAGAAACTCTAGAGTTATCTTATATGACTTAGCTAATATATTCCCCTCTTTAGACTAAATAGAGTTACTTAAGTAGAGTATATTAGTATCCCTAGGTAATTAATTAAGTAATATATTATTTAAATCATGAATATATGCGTTCTTTAGAGTTAAGATAGCACGTCTATAGAAGAAATCAGGGTTAGAAGGTACTATAAGTATCTCCTATTCTAGATATATATCTTTAATAAACCTATAGAGATCGCTTAATAAATCGATATATAAAGGTAGATCAATTCCCTCTATCTTATAAAGCTCTCTCTTATAAGATATAACCCGAAGCTATTCTATAAGCTTACGATTCTCTTTACTAGAATCCTCTTATAGGCGTATATTCTAATAGAGATAAAGGTAGCGTAGTATACTCTAGATATTTGCGTTTTATAGATAGGTATTAATAGTATTAGTAGAATTCCCGTATTTTATAATAGGTAATATCTACTAAAAGTCACCGCTAAGAATAATTAGTAGGCCTCTAAATAGAGTATTAGATTCACGAATATCCTATAGATTTCGATTAACGATATTAAAATGCTCCTGGTTTATTATTAGTATCTTATCCTAGATAACTAAGCTTGCTCTTTATAGAAGCTTAGTATCCTAAGTCTACCTTAAGATATTACCTTACTAGCTAGACTTAGGGTCTAATAGAAGCTAGAAACGACGATATACTATATAGCCACTAGGGAGAAGTAGTGTAGTAATACTAGTAGATATAATATATAATACTATTAGCCCTTAGCTTCGAAGCTTAGTATATAGTAGATAATAAAGAAAGGTCTTTCTAGTCCCCCCTAGACTATATAAGAAGAAATATATATAAGATAGATCCTTAAGGATAGCGGGTAGTATAATATTAAACGCCTTCTATTGATTATGATTTAGTTAAGTACGTATCTTAGCCGCCTTTATTGCTTACTCTCGTGGGTTATATACTAACTCTTCTTAAATTAGACGATTAGTAGGCTTACCCTAAGGTAACTAAGGCTATAGGAGGTGGAAATACTCTAAAGATATATTTTCCTCGCGGAGATCCTTACTAATTAAGTATAGACTATAATTATACTCTAGATAAGGAAAGTTATATAGAAATGGTAAATTTTAACGCCGAATCTATTATAATAAATTATTATATAACTACTTATAGAACTTATCCTATATCCTAGAACCATCTTTAATCTTATAGGATACTAAGATATTAATGAAGGTTTGCTATAATATCTATCTAGTATAAAGCGAAGTGGCCTCTTAGAAGTATAACTCCTACTTATAATTATCCTAAAAAAGATACTGGCTATAGTAGGCATCTTTAAATATTAAGTAGATTACTACCTACTAACTATCTTACGTCACTAGTTAAGGCTCACTAATAGGAATATTACCTAGTAATAGAGGCACTATAAGAAGATCCTAGTAATTAGTTAGTCCTTAAATAATAGAAAGTAAATAGCGAAGGTAGAATACCTCTCCCTATATATAATTAATTAGATATATATACCTAATCTAGGAATAACCGCCTCGCGCTTAATAACGCTAAGAGTTTTTTTACTAGGTAAGATACTTAGGCGTATCCTAGTATATTAATAAAGTAATATCCTTTATCTCCTTATTATCGCGATTGACCTTATTAAATTTAAAGAATTTGAGTAAGGGTGATATAGCTACCAAAAATGACTCTTAGTAGAGCTCTAGAGTTAGAGCTAGATCGAATTATACCTAGTGCTTATCTAGAAGGTAAATAACTAAAGCCATAATTGAGGGATAGATGCTATAAATATGAAATAAAAATATCCGCTAATATACCTTAGATACGCTAAGATACCAGCTATTTATAAACTAATAAATTTTATTAGAGTTAAATTCTATAGTCATATAATCAGCACCCTTATAGATATATTTATAGATATATCTAATAGCTTTAATAGTGCTATAGATCTTAATATTAATATAAGCCTAGTACTTATAGGTAAGATAAGGGTTATATAGAACTACCTACTTATTACTAATAATTATCTTCTGGCCTTTCTAGCCTAGATAGTTAATCTTAACTTTAGTATTATCTCTTTACTAATAGAGAGGATAACCATTATTATCTATAGATATTTTATTATATAGCTCCTTAGGGAACCCCTTAGAGCATTTCTAAATACTATTAACTTCTTCTATATATAGTAAATTAGGGTTATGCTCGCTATATAGTTAGTGAATCATACGACCCTTAATGATATTATAAAGAGATTAGCTATCTTTCCCATTAATATTAGAGAACTTAGTTAATATAACTTTATTCACTATATCTAGGGTATTATAGGGAAAGTCCCTTAGCTAAAGAAGTATATATATATATAGTATACCTCTTTTTTAGAATTCAATAATATATATCTAAGCGTAGTATAGTCCAAAAGCGCTATTAGGGCCTATAAGATTATAAAGGAACTCTTTAAGCTTAGCATAGAAGATATATATAACTAAGTCTAGATATTACCACTAAGTTTAAATTAGCTAGCTAAAGGCGTTAATGAATAATTCCTAGGTGATTTCGTCCTAGTATGGATTACTAGTAAATATAATAAATAAACATGGCTTCCTATACTTACGAACAATAGCCATAGAGTCTTAATACCGCTACTATATATACTAGGGGCTTCCCTTTACTATTAATAGTAAGATAGTCTATATTCTAATCTTATTAAGTAGTACTCCCTTAGTATAGGCCTATACGAGTTTTAAGTACGACTTAGCACGTAGCTTTCCTTAGTTAAAATAAATATAATCTATATTCTTTATATTATTAATAAGGAGAGCATTAATAATCCACTACTAGAAAAGAGTCGCACTACGCTATAGAATATTAAAGTTATCCGCATATATATAGAGGCGAGCATAGAAGATTATAATTAGAGTAATATTTATCCTTTACTATACTTTTCTACCTTTTATTATACTAGTAAGAGATATACTACAAGGATAGCTAATACCACTAGTGGGCTAGAAGAGGGGATAAGCTAATAGGAAGTAGAGAGGATGCTCTAGATAGATAAACAATAGTTCACGGTCTCTATTAGGATCTAAAATAAAGTTAATACTATATAAAGGTATAGAATCGCCACTAGAAATAGACCCTATATTAGATCTAGTATTAGATCTAGCTTTAGACCTAGTATTAAGTCTAGAAGGTATATCTAATAATAGTATATCTATACTATTAAAGATAGAATTTAGGTCGATATTATAGGAAGGTCGCTTTTTAAGGTAGATCTGAATATCATAATATCCTAGCTAGGTATACTTATAATTAATCTTTAGTAAGAAGGCTATAACCTTAAGTTTAGTAGGTAGATTATATAGTCTTCTACCTACACGATTCTTTACTAATTTAAGCTAGAATAAAGTCAGTAGAAACCCTTTAGAAGAAGTAAGATATATAGATTCATACCTATAGAGTAATATATAAATAATCATTTAGGCCATAGTAGCTCTTAAGGATATAACCAGCCCGATTAAATACCTTAGAATAAGGGTTTAGATCATCTATTAATTTCTCTAAGTATCGTAAAAGCTTAGGGCATTTCTAGAGTAAAGGGGTATTTAAAAGACGTTGATTATATATAGCCTCCCTATCTATAAAATAAAGCTATATATAGAATAGAAGATTTCCCTATAATAGGCTAATTAAATAGTATATTAGTCCCTGGATTTAAAATATATAGCTTTGCTCCTAAGAGTATAGACGTGGATCAGGGCGGCCACTACTAGATATAAACGCTAAAGCACTATTTAAAAGCTAGATAAATTAATAGAAATAATTAGTATTTCTAGTATTAGTACTAAAGAGACTCTTTAATAGTAGTAGTAGATTAGAGAGACAAATATTAGGAACACTATCTATCTAGTAATAATTCTCCTATATTAGCTTATCGCTACTTTAAGGATGAACCTTATATTTCTAATACTAGGCATAGTAGTATAGATATATAGTATCTATTCACCTAATATTAAAGGGAAGCTAAGGGCTAAGTAAAGACCTCTATATATGTAGGACCTAAGATTTAGTAGTCTAGGCTTCACGAATATATATTCTATAGTATATTCTAGGTATAGTATAAGTATAGCTTACCTAATAGCCTATATAGTATTTCTATAGAATATTAAGACTATTAAGTATGGCCCTAGGGGATATCTCTAATTAATAATAGTATTAGAATTTAGGGAAAAGGGAATAAAAGGAAAGGGTTCTTACCTTAGGTAAGGGGAGAAGGCCTAGCTAGTAGCGGTTATATAGCCTTTAAGGCATTAATATAGACTTAATACCTTACTACCCTCTACTAAATAGAAAGGGCCTTAGTATATCCCTAATAATAGCGAGTCTAAATAAATTCTGATTTGCTAGTAGTAATAGCAGCCATGTATATAGAGCACTTTAGAGCTCTTCTAGTAGAGCCTTCTTATAAAGGAATATAGTATATATAACGATAGTAAAAAGATATAGCTTAATCTATATCCTATAAGGAAAGAGATCTAACCTTAATTATATTCTATAAGTAAATTACCTCTTTAAAAGAGGGTAGAAGGACTAACCTAGGAAAGTAGACTATTTAGATCTATGTTTATCTCCTAAGTAGTAGGTAGGGTAAGGAGCTAAGGAGAAGGTCGCTATTTATATTAATTATATATTATATCTTAACGATTAGCATAAAGATAACTAGCATAGAGCTAGTAATAGCGAATATTATATATATATAGTAGAGTACTATTACTAACCACTAATATATAGCTAGTATATTAAGGGGAGGAAGAAGTTATTAGTACTATATAGCTATAGCGATAGTAGTAAGAGATAGAGGATAGAGGTATTATAGAGATACTTAGAGAAGTTAAGGAATAAGAAGATAGAGAGGGAAGGAGCTTACCTTTTATAATTTAACCGCGCGTACTTTTATAAACTTAGTTAAATTATAATATTAGTAACTTCGAAGTTCGAGGGTAAGTATAGTAGATATAGTGGAGATATGGTTAAAAATAACTAAGATTAAGGAAGAAGAGCGACTCTAAAACTTAGTTAAATATAGAACTTAGGAAGAAACTCAGTAGATAATCTACTATCTATAACTACCTTACTCTATAGAACTATTGTTACTAACTACCTAACCTTCCTCTACCTTTATTCTTTACTTATATATGCCTTTAACCCTTACTAAATCTAATAAAGCGTACTCTACTATTTTAATCATAGTCTATCTAGGTAATCCCTATTATAGATAATATAGTATAGTAAGATTATACTTAACGTGCCCTCTAAGTAACACGAAAATATATATAGGGGTTATAGGATTCATCTCTATAACATAACTAGGAGTTATAAAGACTAACTAAGGAGTTCATAGATACAATAATAGAACTCCTTTATAAGGCTAAGCTTAATTCTTCTTAATAAAGGGTATTTCGCTTAGTAGAGTATACTAGTACGCCTATCAATACACCATTATTTTAGTCCTTATAAAAGCGATCAAAGTCTAGGTCTAAGTCGAATAAACCCTAACCTAATTAATTATATATCTAGTACTTCTACTATTAGAAGTTATACATCAAGTCCAATAAAAAGGTTCCTAAATATAAACAGCCAGAAGGGAAAAGGCAAAAGAAGTATTATCACTACTCTTTACTACGCAGTCCTTATTATATAATAAGTAAAAGGATACTAAGCCCGAAGTCTTATAACTAATATATATATTATATTTAATTAGATACTAAATAAGCGTATAGAAGGGCTTTTAGCCTATAAGAAAGAGATCGATAATATCTTAGGGCCTATTCTAGATGACCTTAAGGAACGCTTTCGTATCCTATATAAAGACACCATAGAGGATTTCAAAGAAGACCCTATTAAGGAGGAAAATAAGATATAGAAGCGGCAACATTAATAATATATAGTCCATCGGGAGCTAGGTATAGGAAGAGCAGTAAAACGCCCCTAATAGGCCCCTAGGAAGTTAAATATGGAGGCAGAGATGGATAGAGTACAGACCAAGTATAATAGAGGAGATAGAGAAGGGAGAGAAACAGAGGAGATTATAAATAATAAAGATAAGCTAGGTCAGCATAATTAGGAAGTTTATATTCATGTGTTAGATATATATCTCTTTAAAAAATACGAGTATAGAGGATTTCCGCGTACTACATCACAAAACCAGCCACACCACTATAAATATTCGTCCTAACTTATTCAAAATTCTAGCAAGTCTAATCTATAGGCATCCGACAACATTTACAAAATAATATATGAAAATATCATAACATTTAATCACATACAGGCCTACAGAGTAACTCCCAGTTTTGATGGGGTAAGGGGTCCGATTCTGCCCTCCCGCACCGCCTTTACCCACCAATCATATATCGAGAAAGTGGTAAGAGTGGAGTGTGAATAACTTGAGCAAACTCCCTTCTTTCATATACATATATGATAAAGCCAAGTATGCATTTCCGAGTACAAAGAACCTATTATTAGTGCCAGAAAATTGAAGTCGAGTTCAATAAAACAAAGACTCGACCTGAGACTCGAAGAAAGCCCTTTGTATATGCAAATAGACAACAACATCTATGTCTCAGTCAAAGAAGCAAAAGTGACGCTCAGAAGCAAATCATCTAGTGAAGTAGCAAATGCCGGTTATATATGCAAAAACAGGCGTCTAAAACGGCACAACCATATCATTAACATCCTCTTCCTCAAGCGAAGTACCATTCGCATTGCTCTTCTCCTCCTGCTTGCGAATAAACTGCACAGCAGCATCCAGATAAGGCCGCTGGCTCGGCAAGAAGTGACCACCAGGGTGCCAAACGACCGAGCCGTCCTTCTCCGGATTACCAACACAAGCATGAATCAAAGTGCGACTCCTCGTCTCATCCACAACTGCGTCCAGGGACCCCAGAACATGCAACACAGGCGTCTGAATAGCCGGATGCTCATAGAACCCTCGATACCGAGCTCCAGGCGCCCGGAATCCACTATAACACACCGCGAACTTCAAAGGCGGATGCGAGAACCCGGCCGCATCGGAAAATGACGCAGGATAGGGTAGCCCCTCTCCGCCCTTTTCGAAATGCGCGAATGCATCTTTCCGTCCTGGCTCCAATAGCGCAGCCACCATGCCGGCCAATGCAGCGCCCTGCGAGAACCCGATGACGCCGTCAAAAGGTCCTTCTTCGGTGAGGGTCTTGGCTACCGTGGCTAGACCATCCTCGATACCGGAGTATAGGGGTGGGTTTGCGGAGTTGGAGCGGCGCCACCAGCCGTACGCTTCGATTGTTTCCTCCGGCTCGACGCTGGATGCGTTGGACGGCTCGTAGCCTGGGATATCGCTGGGTTTGAGGTGAATAGGGCCGGTGGGGTAGCTGGCTGATACATCGTGTAACGGGAAAGCCTTTTGGATATGTTTGATCAGGGCACGGCTCTTTGCGTGGAAAAGGTTACCGGACTGCGTGTAGCCGTGCAGCATGAGGATTTTGAGGGGCTGTCGCGCCGCGGTGGCCGATTTTGTAGCCATTGAGAGTGTGGAATGAGTGGACTGGGTTATTCAATTGGAATGAAGTACTAAAGCGATCTCAGTCTATGTTGCGGATCTATGCGATTAGATGTATCGATTGGATTAAGAAGGAAGTCGAAGTCCGAAGGATTTATCCGATTGGAAGACCGATAAGATAAGGCGGGGGTCATCGTAAAAACGCTCATCGGTCCCTGAATTGTATTTCGTCACATCAACAAACCATATTCCGTCTTTACATCCACACATCTGCACATCAAAAATTCCGTCCCAAGATTCTCCAAAATGGCCTCTTCAATCGACCCTGTCCAGCTCGATCAGAAGATGGCGGAGCTGATTGAGTACGTCTTACCTTCCCGCCAACTTAATATACACTGTCGTCATCGTCATTCCCCGGGCAATTTCACATCATGAAAACCAAAATCGAGCCCCCCTCCATGTGATCATGGAGTCATGAGAATCATGAAGTGAAAAATGACCAGATAATATTCATATCAGATCTCATATAGCGCCTTCGAGTCACACCCCCAAGTGCAACCGCCAAACCCCCACCCAACAGCCTTCTTTCTCCTCGACTTCGTTCGCAATTCTCACAGAATGCTGAAGACTGTTGACGCCGCCAAGTACGCTGCAGGCGACAGCAGCGCTCAGGAAACCGTCAAGGAAGTCGTCGGCCGCAACCAGTTCGCCAACCTGCTGCTCAACGATTCGTCCGGCAAATTGTCGCTTATGACCGGCGGCGACCCGTCGAACCCAGTCGACTTCGGTCCTGACATCAAGGCCAAGGCTGACGCTCTGAACTAAACGGGCAAATGACCGACTCACTTGCCTCAGAGTTGGGCCTTGTTTTCTTAAGCTACGTTTCAATTTGATTTTGCGCCTTTTGCCTTGTGTGTCCTTGCTTTGCTTGCATGGTTATATTGGACATTTGGATATGATACTGTGAAAATTTCGGATGTTCTTAGCAAGCGGGATATTTTTTTATTTTTATTTTTGGGATCGAGTTGTATTCGGACTCGGTCACTTGATCAAAGGGAGAATATCTGTCTCTCTTATGGTCGAGGTTTCGGTTATGATGGCCTTTGTGCGATTTATTTTGTCATCTTCTCTTCGGTGAATCTGTCATTCGTTTTATATGTACTATCAGAAGAAGAAAAAAACGTCATAACCTTTGAATTCGCTTAGTCTGTAAATTTCCAAACTATCAATATTTTATATCGACCACCAAGATATATAATTGGAATCAATCCGGGACTTCAGCATGACCTCGGGATGGGAATAAAACAATTTCACCCTCCCATTAAGCCTTCCAGCCTCCGCCAAAAGCAAACAAATGAATTATCCAATCTCGTGGCGCATCGCAGACCCCGAACATGCATGAAAGGTGATGTCATCCATCGTTCCTGGCACTAAGAGCGATCGACAGCCAAAATTGTACGTGCACGGCTACGTAGCCAGCCGTAGCCATAGCGGGAGTGGAGTCAGAATTTGTTTCTGCATCAATCCAGCTCCAGTCATAATCTCCAGTGTCTTCCCCCACGGCTGGGTGCTGTGATCGGGTAGGATCGGCTGCATATATATATGACGTTTGAATCATCGTAGTACATCATGAGTCGGTGCGATTTTACCTAAGAGGTTCTGGTCTTGGTGTTAGCTCTGGCGGCAAAGGTGGGGCGGGGCTTTAGGGTTAGTGAACTAGTCTGAGAAATGGGGGCTCGGTGTGGAATGGGGAATGCGTGGCTTGGTCTTGGTCTAAGCCTTGGTCTTAGCTTTACATAAACGGTGAGTGGTGTTGATGATATGGTGTAGATCGTGACGTTTTTTTCCTACGAATTGGCGGACTTTAACTTGGAGGTGCACAAGTGTATACTATATGCTACTTTATGTGGAGAGACTTGTTTCATGTCGATCGAGGGTGTATCGGATGCGGGATGAAGATGGCAGGTCTACAAGTGGGTAGGTCCAAGAGGTCGTGTGTGATACTGTGTGGGGTTTGTGGCAGGATGTCTTAGACAACCATGTTGTATCCGGGGTCAATGAGGCTGGGCCAGACTCAGGAGGCTCAACTACACTACAAGCCAGTTTACTCTACTTTCCAGATCGCTGTGGGTACAAGGTATAACTCATTGAGTAGATACACTTATGCAACAGAAACAATAAACCAGAAATCAAATCAGAACACGGCACAAGTCAAGCAAGGTGCCTTTTGTGCCAGATATCCGGAACTCCCTTAGCTGGATGCTGCGTATTGCTTTTTTTTGTCGTTTTTTGTCGAATGCTTTTGGGGGTTGGCGAGGTATTCCATCTTCTATCTGTCATCATTCGCAATAACAAAAACAACACGCTGTGATTTTTAAGGAAGCCGGAAACATCACAGCGGAAAAATAGCAAGGATAACGGTTAAACCAAGAGACACGACGGATCAAGCCACATTCGATATCCCATTTTTGGAGAAGGAAGAGTAATAGGTGTAGAGGGAAAAAAGGAAGTACGTTTGGAATCGTATCATATCATTGCCTCCTCAATAGAAGTAACCCCACGGGCTCAAACGGAATCGAATGTTCGACCGGGGATCGTTCATTGAGAAAAGGAGTTGATTTGGTATGTGACATTTTTCACGGCGGTCTCTCGTCGAACCGAACCGAAGTAGTGCAAGGTCCAAAAACCCAGATGTGGTATTTTCATCCCCATTGCTCCATGCTATTCCCCACTGTGCGTTTCAACAAGACAAAATAAGAAAAGAAGTTATTTCATAGCGTCTCGTTTACTTGCGGCGGAACGAGCAGCCCTCGGTCAGACGGGCCTTGCCACCGGTGGGCTGGCACAGAACGGTGGAGCAGCCGGCGCAGATGACAACGGTCTGGGCGTGGGAGAAGACGGTGGTGATGGTGAAGCAGCCGGGGCACTTAACGTCCATGAAGAACGAGCGGGGCTGGGGCACAAGGGTCTGTCCAGATGAATCTGTGTTAGCGTCCTGCAATAATTCGACTCTTTCGGATGATGTAGGTGTCGTTCGATTGAATAGGCTCTTGTGGCTTCGGAGGTTCGATGTTTCCAGTTTGTTGTTCCCAAATCCATCATCACCCCGTGGGCCACAATACCCATTTCCGAATCGAGAAGTGTTCGTGTGCGTGTCGAGGATTCCAGGGAATCATACCTTAAGCTTGTGCTTGCGGGCCTCAGCCTGAGGGGTGGGGTTGAGGAGGTCGATCGCGAGAACCTGGATGGAGATGCATGATTAGCAAGGCCGAAAGTGAAGATTTTGATGGATATGTTGATTCTGGCCGAGGCTCAGAGCCTTCTGGTGCGGGATGGGCTGGGAAGTCGAAATCGAGAGGGGAAAATTTCAGATCGAGCGAGAGCGAGCGCTTACCATCTTGGCGATTAAAGATCAGCGAGGGGGTTGATGAATGGCGCTGATGGCGATGACCTTGTGTGATACTGAAGGAACCCAGGAGAAGTCTGAAGGGATTTGTCGAACGGGCCCGTCTAGGGTTTAACCCTCGCTAATTTGACCAATTTGGGGGAATTTCATGTGCGGCTTCCGCCAATCACACCGCCTGTTTACGTCCACCCAATGTGCGTCCATGGTTTTGCCACCTCTGGATACATTAGGTAAGCAATTTGTGTCTCGAGCGGGTAAGCAGTCAAGTGCGTCTTTGCTTTTGTATACATCCAAGCTTCCCGCCAATGAAAACGTCTCACATTACACTCATATTTCTATGCACTCGGAACAACCGATGTTTAAAGTTATGTACTTGTTGAAATCAAAATCATTACCTCCTCAGATGTTCTTCTCGTCTATCGAAACCCTGGAGTCGCAACACAAGCGACATTCCCCGCATTTTCGCCAAACGGATGAGCTATACCGGTCGTGGTGATCAAGGTTGAGCTATGCTGCACGAATCCGACAAACTCTCGAAACGACTGCACATGAACCGGCAGGGTTCAAAGCGTCTTTTTCAACGCACCCTCCACCTGTGCCTTTGTCGCAGATCCGTTCTTGCGGTCTGTCTCCTCGACGTATGGGTACTTGATAGTCAGGCACCAGATGTCGATGTAGTCGCAGATGGTGGTGATCACATCGAACTGGAGGAAATCAGCAATGCGCTCGGTGAAAGATCAACAGGGATATAAGAACACTTACCACGAAGCTTCCATAGACGCCAACCGCCAGACCGAGGCATCCGAATACGAACATCGTCTGTCCATGACCTTCACCAAGTACAGGCTCAGACCAAAGACCGAACAGTGGGCCAGCACTGTCCAGCACACCGAGAGCCAGCGGCCAGAGCAGGATGTTCTGGTAGGGGAAACCGGACTGCACCAGGTGACCAACGATAATGCGACCGACGGAATAAGCATTGATCAGACCAATGTACAATCCAAACACAACGGTGTAGTTCTCCAATACAGCCGGGTTCAGGTACAGGTAAGCGGGGACAAGTGTCCAGATCGCCACCAAGGGCAGGAGGCCACACAGCGGCGCAATGGGGTCCTGACCACGCTGGCGACGCACCTGCATCACGTGCAAAATACTCGAACCGATGGCAAAGAGAAGCATAATCGCGCCGTACACCAGGTACCACTGCGTAAAAGGCATCTCATAAATCTGTTGCGAGATGAAGCTGGGCTTGGACACGCCGATTGTCTCCAACATCGGCTGGTGCCAGAAGCTACCACCACCCATGTAGGCAGTGAAGGCGTAGACGGTGCAGAGGGTGAGAACACCCTCGACAGGGCCGGAGATGACGCCCAGAGTCAAGACCTGAGTGTAGTATTCGTCCCAGGTCTGCACGTAGAAAGTCATGGTTGATCCAAACAGACTCAAGATCGTGACCCAGGACTGTCCGAGGTTCATAGCCGCCGCAAAGATCAAAACGCCCAGGCCGGTGTTGCATGCATCGACACCTATTGCAAATCAGATATTGTCCAACAACCCAACCATATGTAAACCTACTGTGATCAAACAGTTCCCCCAATGGTCCACTCTGCCTGGTTCTCCGTCTGCGCAAATACATCAGCAATGCCCAGTCCATATATATTCAAGATCACATACGCCTGCATGCCATCTACGGCATCAAAAGTCTGGTACAAGAACAGACCCAGAGCGCAGCTCGCATAGACCCATGGCGGACAATCCGTGTCCAAGTTGGGATTGTACCACATCACAGTGATGAAATTAATGACCACAAACATGAATCCGGTCAGGGTAATCTAGCACAAAGATTAATCACCACTCTTAAAATCTCCATTTGGACCCCAAAAGCATTGCAAACAATCAAAATAGATCCCGATGTAACTTCAAGAAGGAGGGAGGTACACTCACGGCATTGGGACTGTATAGCGCAAATAGAAGAACCGGTTAGCTAGACTGTAAAAGAACCAACAAGTCCTCCCGACTGTCAAGACTATGATTTAGAGCTTCCAAATGAGGCTCCATAGCCCAGTCCAGCAGGACAAGAACGGGAACCAAAAAAGAAAGAAAAAAAAAAAAAAAAAAAAAACTCACGCCATGCCCATAGGGAAACACCCAATCACACATTTATTATAGAACGGCTTGAGGATGTACCGACTAATAAGCGAGTGATCGATTCCAGCATACTTGTAGTTTCGCAAATTAGGCAGATGATGTTGGCGAATGTAAACCATCTCTGCAACGTGATGCGCCTAGCCTGGCCGCGTCCGTTTTGTGTATCGTGAAAAATCCGAAAGACAGGTTGCTTTTCCCTGTGCATGCACTGAGAAGCTGTAAGGAAGAATATTCGTTTCGTTTCGTTTCGTTGCAGGCTGCTTCTCGTCCCGAGTCCCACTATATGTATGTCCCTTTAAACCGGTGATGGCGCACGATCGACTCTATCGATTTAGGTTGAGGAGGAAAGAGGAGAAGGGCGTAGGTGCGTGTTGACGCGCTCGGACTGGAAGAGAGGTGGAGGATTGGCGTCGCGAAAGAAAAGTCGGAGAAGAAAAGGGCGGAAGGTTTTATGGGTCTTCCCGCTGGGACGGAGAAAAGACCGGGTGGAAAGTGTCAAGATCGGCGACGGGTTTTGGTTGGGAATAGCACGGAGTGGCCACTTGGTGTTATTTTTCTTTCAAGTAAATTTTTATTTATCTAATATTTCTGCCTCCTTTTTCCTTCCGCCTTAGATAGGACTATTAGACTCTAACTTAGACTATATAACTACGTACTATGTTTGTTGGGGTCGAGATTTGCGGTGTTTGTTTACTTTTCGATTGCATTCTCTCAACCAAAGCCCCACATGCACTCGTGGTCTAGTATTTCCGCGGTGAAAAAGATGCCAATGAGATGCATATGGCGATCTTCTTTATAAGTGGGGGGTTTACCCGAGGCCACTGGACTTCGGTTATATCAGGCACGAGCATAGCCGATTGGTAAACATTATATGTAAAAGACTCAATTTTAACAAGATCTAATGAAAATGGGTAATGAAGTTTCCATTTGTTTTGGTATAAGTGATGCGCCATGCCTAGATACACGATACAGAGTGATGCAGTTCCTTGTCTCCATCACGAACTTCCAGTAAATCATACTCATGCGAGTACAGAATGATCGATAGAATACTGATTCTGCATGGAATAAGTCTGTGGCAGAACCCTTGCAGGGTAAGGATTCAAGGTTTAGGAGAAAACGGGTAAGGTGGAGTGGGTTCTGCTTTGTGGCCCCAAAGCAAAAGGACGAAAAGCCCACTTAACCGACAGGGCTCCAGGGCATGGGAACCAAAATCCGACTTTGCATCGACTGGATGAGAGGAACGGTCTTGTGGACAGTCTCAGCCCATCCTTCAACACCCCACGATTGCTCGCGTCGGATCTTGCGCTCTTCCAAGTTGGCAAACTGCCACAGGTGGTGGACGGTGTTCAAATCTCCAATCTGGACAAACCATGCGCCCACACCCTCCATGACCTCTCGTCGGGCTGAAAGACCCCGACGCCAGTGAGTCTCCCACTCAAGCAGGTTGCCTGGGTGCAGGGTATAGGATCGAAGTTCGAACAATCCGCCAAGACGGCGGGGCGGGGTGGTGGGCCAGAATGAGAACTCTTGCATGAGAGAGGTTTTCTTGCTCTTGATCAAGCTCTTGAGCTTGCGGTCAAAGTCGCGGAATTCGGGGTGCTCGGAGATATTGTGCAGAGAGGCGTGGTAGCCCTCGTAGCGCTGGTATTCCCAGATGTGAACTGAGAGGAAAAGAAAACACCAAAACGGTCAGCTATTTGGGGATATAGAGGTTACAAAGTAAAAAGAGAAGAAAGAGTTTACCAAAAGTGTCATTGTCACCAACTTGCGTGCGCCAGCTTCCCACTAGGTTGACTCGGTTCTCTTCCGTTCCAGCCATACGAGGGTACCACTGGCCCACGAGATCGACATACTCATCGACCTTATCGGGCTTCACGTCGTGGAAAACGACCGAATGAACGTACTTGCCGCGAGCCAGCACCTGCGAAAAAGAACGCTCGATATCCTTATCGAAATGCTGGCCTTCCTTAGTTCCGTAGATAAGCGATGACAGGGGCCCACGCTTGCTGGAGCTTTCCTGCGCTTCTTCGTCTCCTAGATAACGGTGCATGGCGAGTGAGCCTAGTGCCTTATGATCCAGAGCATCGGCCGCGTCAAAGGCTGGGCGAATTCGTTCAAAGGTGCTCGCATTGCTCACATGCGGAGCAGTGGGAGCGGACTCACGGGTAAGAGGGGAAGAGGCAGAAGCATTGACAGACTGACTCTCTTGCTGTTCCTTTCTCTTGCGAGCCTCTTCGAGGTTCTCGCGAAACTCCTTCTGCCGCCGGCTGAACTCCGCAGCGGAGTCAGCTGTTACGTCTCTGATGGAGGGGGAGCGAAAGGCCACGGCGGAAGAGGTGAAAGGCCGCACCAGCGAGGTTGCTGGGCGGAGAAATCGCGGGCCCAGCATGATTTGGTATGAGGTTCTTGGGTATTTGTGGATTTATGCGGAGAGGAAGACAAACGCGAAACGAGCCAGGGGGGAAGTTGTGGGCGCGTTGGGTTTGAAAGTGGGGAGAGAAGTGGTAGGGATCAAGGGGTGTTCTTTCAAGGAGAGTAGTTACACATGTATACGATGGAGGGGACAAAAGGAGAAGTAATAAGTGGGTGGAAGGAATTGGAGGGGAAGGAGAGAGGGGAAGTTGAAGACGGAGAGCGAGAGGTCTGGAGCAAAGGAAGAGGAGAAGACACGCGAGAGATGCCCCGGAGAGTATGAGCGTATCAGCGTCGACGGAAAACCCGGGGAAGGCAGCAGAACGCTCGTATTTTACCGGTTTGACTAGGGAGAATGATTATTCCGCTGACCTTGGGCTGCAGATTGATTCGATCGGAGGCAAATCTTGTGAGCAACGGACGTATGAGAGAGCTGGAGTTGGTGCGGGGAAAGGTGAGCTCTATCATGACTCCGGTTTAGTGGTTTAGTTCGGTTTTAGTCTTGGTACGGTCCCACCTTGGGCGTTTACGGGTGGGTAATGATGACATGGGGTATTAAATAAGATGGTACCACATACCTGTTAGACTGTCTAGATCGATTCTATCTACTTTGGATGGTGGTAATTTACTGACTGATCTACTGTTCTCAGGCTGAGACTCTTGTCATCTTTTTCTTTGTTTTGATTTACCGTAATTCAGGTGCTAGGTAACGGGTGATCGTCGGAGCCCTGAAGCCATTATGACGAAGATGTCCCCACATTCTTTCCAGCAGAAATTCCCCCCTATGATGATCATAAGATGCTGCTTCACATTACACCGGCAATACTCCATGGCGATTCTAAAATTCCGTATGTTTCTAAGTTACTGCAGCCTACTATAGATGCAAAAAAAATATGCTTCGGTTAGGCGCGGGTATTCGTACCACACGAACCACTTCAGACACCATGGGTCATTCTACTATGACGTCGCCTATTGCTACCCTTAGGCAAGTCCGGCAGATCGACAGGGATATCCTGCAGGATGCTTTCTTAATATCGGACTCAGATCTGTTAGGTGATAAGAGCTTTGTGGTGTTACTACAACGCCTTCTCCTACAAAAAATAACCACAGGAGATATTTTCATTCGAGATATCAAGCTTTTGCGGCTGGGGCTTCCACGTGTTTTCTCGGCCAAGGACTGGGAAATAAATCATGGGAAATAACCATCTTGTATGTATATGAGGTTCTTCAAAGGCGAAACGCGATTAGATCCAGTAAAAAATTATATAGATGTGTAAAAGCGGTGGTAAAGGTAAGAAAGCCAACCTCGCTGAAATGCTTCGACGACCAGAGGCGGAACCATGCAAAAGGTATCACCCCAGACGCGGGAGTTGAGATCCGCTGTGTCCAGGGGAGTGACAAAAGGGGAAAGTGAAAAGAAGAGAAATAGTCGTGTCACAGGCCGACATCAATCAAGGCCTACATGCAAAGGGGAATCAACGAACTCGTGGGATGGAAAAAGGGCAGTCAAAAATGAAAACGAAAGGACGCAGTAGAGTTGTGGTGTGCCAATTCACCAGATATTTATAGGATGACACATTTAGGGCCAGAGCCACCGCCTCCAACAGGCTTGACGTCCAGGGCAACCTTGGCAGCTTCATAGAAGCTCTCACGAATCCCGCGATTTTGCACCGCAGAACACTCTGCACTCGATTCATCAGCCATGTCTCTCTCCATACAGTAAACCGTACGACTTACCCAAGTATTTGACCGCACCGATTTCCTTCGCCTTTGCCAATCCCTGATCGAAAGTGATGGCGCTAGGGTTGTCGTTCATTTCATCATCCTTCCTCAAATCGCACTTCAGTGCCGTGAGCACAACCTTCACACCGGGGCAGTTCTCGTTAATTTCAGCGATCCACTTCGACCCGACGTTCTCGAACGAGTCGCTGCTGTCGATCTGTATACACCCGTGTCAGCGTTTCCCATTCTTTCTATCCCATGCACAATTGGCCCAGTTCTCAATGCTTACACTGAAACAAAGCATCAGCACGTGGGTATCCTCATAGGACAGTGCGCGCAACCGGTCGAATTCCTCCTGTCCAGCTGTGTCCCATAGCGAGAGCTCCATATGTACGTTGTCAACGAAGATATCTAAAGGCGCATATAAGTATTCGGTCGGAGGATGTGTATTTAAACTTGGAGGATATTACCGTGAACGTAGTTCTCTAAAAGCGCATTGTCAGCAAGGGTATCAATTGCAGGGATCTTCAGTGCTTACCAAAGACTGTTGGTTCGCTGTGCGCGCAAATCAATCGCTGTTAGAATCTTGTATCCATGGTTCTAATCTCAGGAGAAAATTCTTACTAGACAGTCGGGAAGAATCTAGTTCCCAGAGCAATGTTAGCTTTCATGTCCAGGGTCTCGGAGGGGAAGCTCGGAGAGGGGGAGAGGGGGAAGGATGGCGCACCCTCTTGTAAAGACGTTCAGCGCAGAAGTCTTGCCACAGGCACCATCACCTCTATAAAGCTGTTAGCGCTCTGTTCGAGTCCGGGACGCTTCGAGGCTTTGAACTGACAGCAGCACCATCTTGCGTTGGACAACCTTTTGACGACCGCATAGCTCCATGGTGAATTAAAGGGGTTGAGGCGTGGATGTTCCTTCGCAACGGTAAAGTAGTCGAGCAAATATAAGTAAATATTCCAAATGAAACCCAAATGAAATAATTAGAGCCAAGTCGTGCTGAGGTAAAGCGCGTGGTGAATTGTGGAGGAGGAGGAATTCCAGCACTGCCCGAGTCGATGACATCGCGCCCTGAAAAGGATCGGCGAATAAGGTACCACTTTCCCCCTTCTGGTCCGCCCCTCGGCTCAGAAACCTCCATTGTCACGACGCTAGCTGACAGTCTTTGACTTCGGACATTGTCTTGCCGTATGAATCAATTCAATGGGGGATTAAACCAGTTGAGAGTGGGCACCAATCGGTGGATCGCATTGCGCTGCGATAGCTCTCAAGACTGGATGGATTTGGAATTAGCATGCAGGTGAGTGTGTCGAGGTTAGTTGGATGAAAATCTACCTGCATGGACTGTCTGAGCGAAAAAGAATGGAGATGAGAGTATTATTTAGAGTATTTGAATTTCTAGTTATCGGCATTTGAAGTGCTCCATAGCCAAGAACCGATCACTGAGTAAACAATTTCCTATAGGCAGCACTAAAGATATATTTTTTCCCAGTTTGAAATGGTACAATCAATGGAGGACCTCGTTGGCCAAGTATATGTAAACGTAGAAATCATGTTTATTGTCTTTTTTCTTCTTTGTCTCAACTCACAAGTGCTGGGTTTGACGTAGTTATGGATCGTTGACCAGTTAGCGAGTTGGGCGGGGAGCTGCGATAGTGAAGGCGGCCGCAGCTCTCACTACCTATCTGCCGCTTCAAGCTCCTTCAGCACCCCACGACCAGCTTTCCTCCCCATCTCTCTCTTCCACTTCATTCTTACTCTCCGTTTGTGACAATATTGAGGTCCCACCAACTTCGTCATAATGTCGGACGACGATGATTTTATGCAAGACTCTGGAGATGAGGAGTGCGTGCCCCTGCTCCACTTTGAACTTCACGGACCCGAGCTGACGATGCGATTCACAGTTATGATTTCGACTACGAAGGCTCCGGCGACGACGATGAAGCCGGTGATATCGGAATCGAAAACAAATATTATAATGCCAAGCAGATGAAGGTGGACAACCCGGAAGAAGCGGTGGATGAGTTCTTGGGCATACCGCCGATGGAAATGGACAAAAGCGACTGGTTCGTGATGAGGCTCTGGACCTCGCTTGCATATCGTACTAAAACTTTGACCTAGGGGATTTAAAGGACTAAAGCAAGCTATCAAATTAGAATTCAAACTCGGACGATACAGCGATGTAGGTGTCTCAACCTCGGCCAAAACAGTCGATGTTGGCTAACGAGTGTGAATTTACTAGGCTGTCGAACACTATCGCGAACTCCTTACTTATGTCAAGTCCGCCGTCACTCGAAACTACTCCGAAAAGTCCATCAATAATATGCTCGACTACATCGAGAAGGGATCTGACGATGGCCAGGCGTACCAATGCATGGAGGAGTTCTACTCTTTGACACTTGAATCATTTCAGAATACCAACAACGAGCGACTGTGGCTGAAGACAAACATTAAATTGGCTCGATTATGGCTCGAGCGCAAGGAATATGGTCAGCTCAGCAAGAAAGTGCGGGAGTTGCATCGGGCATGTCAGAAGGACGATGGGTCGGACGATTCCAGCAAAGGCACCTACCTGCTCGAGCTGTTTGCTCTAGAGATTCAAATGTACGCGGAAACGAAGAACAATAAACGCCTGAAGGCGCTCTATCAGCGAGCCCTCCGAGTACGGTCCGCCGTGCCCCATCCGAAGATTATGGGTATCATCCGAGAATGTGGTGGCAAGATGCATATGAGCGAGGAGAATTGGGAAGAGGCACAGAGCGATTTCTTCGAGTCGTTTCGAAACTACGATGAGGCGGGTTCGATCCAACGGATCCAGGTCCTCAAGTACCTGGTTCTGACTACCATGCTCATGAAGTCAACCATCAACCCGTTCGATTCACAAGAGACCAAGCCATACAAGAATGACCCTCGGATCTCGGTGATGACCGACTTGGTGGACGCCTATCAGCGTGATGACATCCATGTCTACGAGGCCGTGCTGAGCCAGAATCCCGATGTCCTGGCCGACCCGTTCATTGCCGAGAATATCGACGAGGTCAGCCGCAATATGCGTACCAAAGCCGTGCTCAAGCTGATTGCCCCTTACACTCGTTTCTCCCTCCAATTTATTTCCAAGCATGTCAGGATCGCTGTTCCCGAGGTCCTGGATATCCTAGGCTTCCTCATTCTCAATAAGCAGCTGGATGCCAACATTGACCAATCAAATGGAACCGTGGTCGTGTCAAATCCCAGCGACGTGGAACGAATCCGTGCCTTGCGAGAGTGGAGCTCGTCCCTGCGCACCCTCTGGCAGACAGCTCTCAACGGGGAGGGGCTCCGTGCGGACGATACCCACGGGGCTGCGGGCGCTATGTTCGCCTCCGGGTTCGGCGACGAGTCTCCTATGGGAATGCGACCACTCAATCCGCGCAGCAGACGGGACTTACGCAAAACGCCCGGAGTTAAACAAACAGCGTCCTAAGTAGGACTTGCGCCCTTAGACTGTTATCTAGGTTCTCTCTTTGTTTTGCATTTTTTATGTTTATTCGGAGCGAACTGCACGTGCTGGCTACTTGCGGTCACCTCATTGCTTTTGGCGGTTGAGCCGCGCACAAACAAAGAAAGAAAAAACATCAACGGTGGACCTAGACCAGGCCTATTCGCATGGACGACGTCCACGTGCAAGATGGAATCTCACACCGTTTCTTTGTTAGCTGCGGCAGGTCCTCCGGGTCCCACGCGGTATCGGGTCCTGGCAGTTGAGCGGTCTATACGTTTCTTTTGCTTGAATCAAGGCCCCTTCAAGCTGAAGTCTCGCCCCGCAATTTAGAGTTGATATGACAGAAGACGCTAAAATGATGATAAGATGAAAGTTTTTGTTTTTTAATTGCTATGCTATAATTTTGTACTGTTGTACCTTTGGTACATCTTCCCGCCCCCACAAAATGTACTAAGTACCTCGGCCCCTTTCAATCGGTGTAGCCTTTTTGTCCCCTCTTGGTTTAGATCCATTAGCTTGGTCTTTTGTCTCGGTACATGGGAGAAAAAAGTACGGCCGAGACGCAAGCGCTGAGGAAAAGTGACCCGTGTCCCATGTCCCGGAAATGGGGTCGTTAGCCCGCCACTGGCTTTTCTACCTCCGGTGAGTCTGTTTTTCCAGAGGAATTGTCCTATAGGCGGGCAGTTGCCTGCCAATGGTTGGACAATTGGCAATCGTAAGCCGCCCATGCATTTCAGAAGAGGAATAGAGTCCGGCGATATGACGCACGAACATAGAGCTCTAGACATCTCTATATTATTTGAAACTGTATCGAGATTCGTACCAGTACTTTTCTCTTATCTTTGAGTTCGTGATTGTGCTTAGGCACTCGATCTAGTGCGCAGGTACGAAGGGTCTTCATTTGCTTAAAATGAGGTATAATCTACCTGATTCAAGAGTCGGAGCTTGGTTGAAGCCCTCGGGATTCGACTGGCCAAACCCCGCGGTTTTCAACTATGCTGCTCTAGGGAAAGATGCACTCGGGTCCGCACAAGCACCCACACTGCCGCACTGACGACAGACATCCATGACCATAACAGCGTGATCAAAGGAAGATTATTATAAAAAAAAGCAGGCATTTGGTTCTGCGCCCCGGGGTGATAGGGCCTGGTGTGCGGCTGGCTTGGACTTGCATGGAGTAGCGTCCAAGACAGCAAGCTGGAGTCCATGCACGTCCCCGTTGGGATTACCACGGCTACAACATCCTCCACCTATCAGTGGCATATGAGCTACGAGTCGGGTGATAGGGAAAAGCTACACCCACTTCAGACCTTGTTTGAACGAAGTCAAAAAGGGCCATGGCGGCTCATACGAGATCGTCATGGAGTAGGAGGAAATCCCAAATTTGTCACTGTGCAAGGTCTAAGCGACAGAAGAGGGGGGCCAAAAGTCTCGAGAAAAAGAAATCATCATCTCGCACAGTGCATCGGGAGGGACCAATCTGCCGGTCCATAGGTGCATGGGGCACGATCACCCGCGAATCACGGCGGGGCTCATCACGATGGGAATCGCGATCAAACAAAGCTCCAAGTTACGTGTTTTCAACCCCCGCTTTCATCGGATCAACCGCCATCGTGAGAGCGGTCTTTCTTTCCTACTTTTCTTCGAAAGTTTTGTAGATCTACCTCGGTATTTTTGGAATCTATCTGTTATATTAATAGTGAATAGTTCGTCGCCGGAAAATAATGCCGTTTACATCCGATTCGTCTGAGATAGAGCCCAGTTCTGATCATTGGGCCTGTTCGGGCTGAAGGCGTAGGGGGAGTACGGAAGATGTACTGTAACATGGGTCCCCTGTCTTGAAGCTAGCTTACGAACTGCGCGCGCTTGGGTTGATTTATCTTTCCTTTTTCTGCTTTAGTAATGTTTAATATCCTATCAAATAGATCCACTAGGGGTAGCAACTCGCGTTAAGAGATCACACGAAGTGGAAAGCCAAGTGTTAGGTCATGTACGTGTCCCGCCTTTTGATTCCGCAGCTTCATGGGCACGGTGCACCGTTACTTCATACTTATGTCGGTTTCGATCGAACTTATTTTTTTTCCTTTCCTCCTTCTTCCTTTTTTTTTTACTTGTATGTGAAATACTTATCCCTTGATATAGGTGATAAGGTGGTGTCTTCCCCTCCTTTTCACAACTTTAGCATTCCCCCACTCAAGCCCAAACCTTTTTACTTTTTTCCTTCATTGTCGGCCAGAGATCATCGTCCTTCCCTTCCGTCTTTTATTGCCGAGAGAAGAAAAAAAAAGAAAATCATCTGATCTTTCTATCAATTTGGAAGAAACGGAGCTGCAGGCAAAGTTGCAGATACAGCCAAAACAAAACAAACCAAAACACCAAACACAAATCAACCCACACAACCTTCTCTCTTCCACTTCTTCTCCTCTTTCTATCCCTGACCTTTTCGTCATCCCCCCCTCCCACAACCGAAATCCCCTCCATGATTAGATCATCTGCATCGTGAGAATTACAAAAGGTCTGAGCTCTCCTTTCCCCGATCGCCCTATCGCGACCTTTTCTTTTGTGATATAGTTTTTTCTTTGCTTTTCTTTTCTTTTCACGTGTTCCCTTCAATCTCATTACCACTATTTTTCTTCTCACTCCGATCGGGAGAGAAGTGTTCTGGCTCGGTTCACCACGGCAATCATCTCCAATCCCCCGCGCGCTTCCCTGTTACTTTGGTCAGAAAGTGGAGTGGTGTGGTTCGAGCGCCCTCCACGACAAAGAACAAGAAGACTGGAAGATCAGCTCGGCCCGCTATCAGACCCATTGTCACCGTCGGGGAAGCTGGTCCAAGCCGAGACCCCTTGACATCATTGAACTTTCTTTCCACCAGATTGATCATTAAACCTTCTCTCCACCAGATTGTCCTGTTGTTCGCCTATTCTGTTCTACTTGACTTCAAGTGCTCGAATCTAGGCCTTTCATCACATTGTGTTTATATTTTTGTTATATTGTCACTGGCCCAATCAGATCACCAAAGACCCTCGCGGTCTAGCACACTCCCCACCATCTCACTGAATGAATAGCATATGCTTGGAATTATTGCTAAATGAACAATAGTTTAATTTATTCAAAACTATCGAGTTCAAGTGCCGTGTCGCACAGAGAAATCAAAGCACTACCGTGTTTCGCCCAATCAAGAAATCTTCAAGGGAAATGTCAACGTACAAGGTCTGTGTTCCCCGTCATCGGCTTCGCTCCTCCCTGGTCATTCGCCTTTGGCTTTCGATCCCCTGCATTTCAATTATGATCTAACTTATTCCCACAGATATCCACATGATAATATAGATCTCGACTTCTGATTTCGGCATTTCTCTCTCGGTCTCTTCCGGTGCTTACCCCAACTTCTCTCAACGTATGCGATGTCCGTATCAACAATACCCTGGAACCATTTTGGTCCTCACCACTTTTACCCGGAGAAACAAAAGGCCAATATTTATTACCAGAACATCCTTCCGTCAACTTTTCTTCCTCCCCGAGGTCACTCACGACCTGTTTATCCTGGCCCCAACATGAGTCACTCTTCCAATATGAATGCACTTTCCCCCGATGAGATGGAGCGATTCCAGAAGCTGTCCAATGAATTTGAGGCAGATGTTCCGGTAGGACAATATGAATCCATCGAACTGAGCGCGGTGGTTAATAAAGCGCATAGGGACCGCTTGTCTCGCCTAAGCAATCGAGCCATAGTATTGCCATGGAATATGCCAATGCGGACCCGACCTTTGCAACAAAAACAAACGTGCGTGTCACGACTGTCTTGTCGGGTACTTACAAGCTGACCTTTGCATCAGGCTCTTTCAATCTCTCATCCCATGACCCGTGTCATGAAAGGAGATGGAAACTGTGGCTGGAGAGGTAAGTGTTCCGACTCGGTTGCTTGAGTAGTCTCTAACGGCTTTTCCAGCGGTGGCTTTCGGGTATTTCGAGACTCTTTTCAACCTTCGAGATACTTTGCGTGTGCAGCGAGAGCGCGAGAGAATCAAGTCCCTCAGTACTTTGCTAGATCAGGTCGGCCAGCAGGAAGAGCTATATGAAATCTTCGTGGACGCTACAGAGGAGGTCTTCGCGCAAACCTTGGCCGCCATTCAAAATGTTGAGCAGGATGAGACTTTCTTGGTGAATGCGTTCAACGATGACTACGGCTCAAGTGCGGTCATCACACACTTCAGGGTTAGTTCACCACTTCTGTTCGAAGAGGCGCATCGAATTAATTTGAACTTCGCAGTTGTTGACGAGCGCGTGGATGAAATTAAATCCTCTGAGATACCAAGCCTTTTTGTCTCTGCCGTTAGACTCATACTGTGGCTCACGGATAGAGACCGTCCGGACGGAGATTGATGAAGTTGGACTGCAAGCCTTAGTCGATGGCGTCATTGAAGGAGCCGGCTTCGGGGTTGAGATTCTATATCTTGATCGGAGCGAGGGCGATGCCGTGACACCACACCAGCTATCCCCGATCCGTCCCAGCGAGGCCACAATCCGCTTGCTGTATCGACCGTGAGTAACGTATTAGCTTTTAGCAAACCCCCTATCTAACTTGCTTCGCAGTGGCCATTATGATCTCCTCTACCGAGCCGAATTGCCTGCCGTAAACATGGCACCTGTGGTCAACTTCCAGTACGGAATGACTACTAGTTATACCCCTTGGGACCAAGGCGCTCTCTCCTTCGACATCAGCCCACACTTGATGTCGATCCCAAACCTCACAGCGGACCCAGCATTCGGTGGTATGGGAGGTCCAATGTCCCCCATGCAGAGCCATAGCCATGCACCAATGCCTCCAGTCTCTCCGGCCCCACTCAGCTCATACCGAGTCTCGCCCCCGCAGGAGATGTACCAGTCCCCCATGCAGAGCCATGCACCAATGCCTCCGGTCTCATCACCTCCGCCCGTCCTGCCATCTGCCCCGCCGCCGATGACTGTCTTGCCCAGCCGGTCATCAGACGGGCCTCAGATCCGCTTGAACCCCTTAGTCATGAAGCCCAATTTGAGTCACTCGTTACCAGTGACTACCCCGTTCAAAAAGTAAGCATCACTTCCTATTGTTATGGACGCGATTATTAACTTATTCAGTAGCTCGCCGTACAACCAGGCCCACTTCCAAAACTCGGACTTCGAACCTATACATTATGCACCGAATGAACATCGGCGATGATAAAACGAAACGAAACCTTCCGATGAGCTCGGGTCTATGGTTTATCCACATAGTCAGAGTAACATTATTGCTTCTTGTCCAAGCAAGGACTTAGCGCGTATCTCTTCATTTTCATTTTCATGACTCATTTCACTATACGCATTTGAATATTTTGTTGGAGTCCATTTCATTCGTCATATTTTTCCCACGGGCACTCCTGGAATCGTTCATATTGATATATTGTCTCATGAAACGGATTCCCGGCTACATCAGCCTCTCAATCTCGATGTCTCCAGTCTCTTCCGAGTATTCCTGGGTTCTCCCTATGTCCTGTGACTTATCTTCTTAGCGTGGTGCAACGCGTGCATGGTTCGAGCGTTCATTTTACGCTTTATTTCTTCCTATCTTTCAGATTGCCATGGTCTTATCAATCTCTTATGATCTTACAATCTTTAGTCCTTTCTTTACATCCATCAAAGTCTAGATTCGGGTACAGCATCTCTCGACGGAAATCAATCCATCTATTATGTTATTTGATAAAACGTGAATCGTATCATAGCTTTGATCCATACGGGGCCATAAACAAGCTATCTATCTCCTACCTACCCCTAACTAGTAATAAGAGCCAACGAGACTATGTACATACGATCCAATTTTGTTCGCAAATCACGTCCCAACAACAGAGGCTTCCTCGTCCGCCGCCTCCATAATCACATCAACCATCGCATCTAGCCCACGATCCCGTGCTTCCGAATCCAGATACCCAGCTCCCACAAGTCGACCTAGAGCATCACCGACCCAGTTCTGACCATTCCAGTCTGTGTCTCCATCTCCATCTCGTATGAGCGTTTCGGAGACTGTAGATCTGAGGGCTGATATCGGTATTGAACTGGGGAGTGTAGATACGGGAATTACTCGTGCGAGATCTAAGCACGCAGCAAATAATTTTGTTAGTGGCTTTTCCCTTAGGTGTATAGCCCGGTAAAGAGCTTTGGAAATTTGCGGGGAATTGTGTTGATATCTATCTTACTGTTAGATGCAACAGGTGTCCCCCAGTTTTTGCGTTCGGAGAAACTCATGAATCCCGGTGATCCTATTACCTCCATTAAGGAGGACTTGATATACTCCGCATCTGCACCCGTCTGTGTATGATTCGTTCCTGCTTCTGCTTCTGGCTCGAACTCAAAAAATAATGATGTATGCCGGTATCGGGCGTAGTCGAGTGGTGAGGCGACGAAGACGAGGATGGAGAGTCTGGGCATTTGGCTGTGCAGGACGAGTAGAGAGGTAAGTTGGGATATAGTTTGAATATGAAATGGCGTAGGTATTCGTGCTCTATTGAAGAAATAAATCTATCAGGATCCTTGCGAGTTTTCCTTTTCGTCCTGGTCAAGTGGGCTTCGGGATGACGTAGTGAGGCTTATCGTGGCATTCGATTTTTTTCTAGAATTAATTAAACTGTGGAGTCTGACCCTTGTTCTTAGCTGTATCTTGGGCTGTACTAGATCGTTTTCAGCACATGAAGGGGTTTTAATTGGAGGTTAGGTATGGCGTGCATCTGAAGATCGATTGCAAGGATTGCTTGAGATAAGCATAACATGACTGACGCCGTATCTAATGGAAAGACAGGCAATGCATATATACATCTGCATACGATTTTTCTAGTTTATATCTACAATCATATGGGAGGAAGTTCTAGAAGAGGAAAATGGTCCAACTGAGTACGTGATGCCAAAGCCTTCACTATATGCACGAACCATGACATCATTCCCCGCAGACCCACCGCCTCGGCCCGCCACCTAAAACATCCTTGCACAACCCAATTACAGACCTCCATAACTCAGCACCAGCACAGCAGTACACAATGGCACCCTCGCACCGACCCCTCTTCGGAGGTTCCCGGTAAGATCAACCCACCCTCCACACTATCACAATGCATTCACTAATTGCTTAACTGTTACTAGAGCCTGGAACCCCTCAGACTGGACCACGTCCGACGACCGCGTCCGCGGCGGCTCCTCAATCTCAACCCTAATCTGCTCCCCATCCTCCCTGACAGCAATCTTTTCGGGAAACCTAGACATCAAAACATTAGGCGGCGCAGGTTTCGCCTCCCAACGCACATCAGGCGAAGACCGAACCTGGGATCTATCGGACTTTGACGGGATCGAACTTGTCCTTGATGGGCGTCTCATGGACGGGAAGTTCTATACTCTTACGCTGAAGGATGAAATCCTTCCTAAGAGGTCTGATGGACGGGAACAAAGTACTGTTAGTTGGGAATTTGATTTCAAAGCTACGGAGGAAAAGCTTTTCGTGAGGTTTTCGGATTTGAGACCGACGTATCGGGGACGGGAAAAGAAGGATGTTGAGCCGCTGAATTTGAAGAATATCAAGAGGTTTGGGATTATGATGAGGAGGTATGTGCTTCGCTTTCTTTTCTTGGCTTGGGAGGGTGGTGTTAACACTTTTTAGTTTCTTTGGTGATCAGGAAGGTCCTTTTGAGTTGGGGATTGTTTCTATCTCTGGGTTGCGTCTTGATAAGCATTTGGCTCAAGCTGGATCGGTTCATAGTGATGAGGAGGATGAGGATGATGAGGTTTTTGATGAGAAGGATGTTGCTTGGGGACGGAAAAGGCGTTCTGGATGGTTCTCGTGGTTGAGATCTTGTCTTGGATGAAGGTCTTGAGTCATCATCTTGGACTACTTACGTAGTCTATTTATTTCGGTATAAAAAGTCAACAAACAGATTTCGGGTTTCTGAATCCAGAACAACTCTCACCTCTCAACCATCAAGATCCTTAATCTTCCTCAACTGAATAAGTTCTACACTGTATTTTATCATTTATAAGAATGTCAGGTCAGGATCCACGAGTAGTGTTAGGGCTGGCGGCAGTGTTGGTAGGGGTGGCAATGCTGCTGAAAGAAGAGGAAAATCAACCAATCAAAGGCCAACACTGGGTTGGTAAAGATGGTGCTAAGCCTACAAAATGGGTGTACGTACTGGAATTTCTTAGGGAATACCAAAAATTACTAATATTTACTTAGTGCTGCGAAAAAGATCTGCTCCTGCCCAGCTCCTAGACATGCCGCAGAAAGGTGGCCTGTGAACGGAGCAGAAATAGTAAGACCTGATTATGTCTACTATTTCTGCCATACTAATAGATCTATAGTCGATTACATCATGTGCTAACGAGTGCCCCTACTGCGGATATGCAGTCCGTGGTGGAGGTAGCAAAGGTGCTGTTATCCGGAAGCATATCAAGAAACTCCATATCGTATGTCTGGTCTTCGTGGCACGGAGATAATATGACTAATAATGACAGGCAAACCAAGCGGATGTATTTGGTTCACTCACAGTTGCGGCCGGAAAAGGGCGTCCTAATAGTGAATTGCAAACTCTCTGCTATGGAGATTAATCATAAATTGGTTGTTTCTTGCAAAAATCGCCAAAAAGGTTGGTTCGCCATAACCATCCACCAATTATCGTATCCATTCTGACTTCCTGTACATCAAAGCGCTATGCTAAATACTATTGTTCTTGCGTTGGAAAGTGCACCCAATCTGAAAAGTCCATTCCTCCAGGACTGGGCATTGGCTGATTTGCTTGGAAAAAACTACCCGGGAAGCCCTGCTCGTTGAAAAGTTGTTCTGGGAAAGGCATGAAGCCTTGAGCAAGTGGTTGGTAGGGCTGTTGCTGTGGGTTGGGAGGGAGACCGGACATCACACTTGCTGGGCCCAAGAGGCGATCGATGACTTCGGAGCATCGTGAGGCGAAGCGATTGTTGCCGAAAGATGGGTGAGTGAGGAGTGCTTTGGTTGTTTCAATGTCTTGGAGCCAGGTTGGAGCATCTGGGTTGGAGGGGTCTGTCATGAGGAAGACGAGGGGAATAAGTCCAGCTTGGAAAAGGAAGTAGCTGCGAGATGTTAGTTGGTATTTCGACAATACTTGGTAGAATAGGAGACATACAGCATATACCATGCGCCTATCCTTGTGCATATATGGTTGTCCATGTACTCCGAGATGGACGCGATGGTCAGACGTGCGTTCTGCAGGCAACGGATTCGACACTCTGTTTCGCAAGGATCTTCGGTGCCTGGGTCGGAACTGGTTGATGACCCATCTGAGCTACCACCATGCGGTGCCCACCGCCGAGCTGCCCAGCGGAGCAGGATTGGACGGTATATCAAGATTATAAGGTTCCAATTTCGCCATAAAAGCCTGTTGCGAACAAGAGCGAGGTTGTCTGGGTCGGGTTGAGTTGGCTGTACAGTAAGAGGTTGTAGAGGATAATGATGGTAAGCCGGTAAACTGTTGTACCATTCTTCCATGGGTTTCTGTAGATTCAATGTTTCTTCTGGGGTGACGCTGGGGCTAGAGATCAAACGTTGATAGACACTGTTTGTGAGCAGATGGAAACGGGCTTGTGCAATCAAGCCGGAGTAGAGTGTTGGGCCGGGAGATTCAGAGGGAAGTGACGTTGTTGCTGGAGTCAAAGCCTGGGTAAAAGATTAGTTTTAGTGCTCTGCTTAGGTCTAAAAGAATCACATACATCATCGTGGATGTTCATGACTTGCTTCGCGTCCATCACACACTCCTCTGGAAGCAAGATTGGTCTTCCAAAAGTCTTGGCGGCACCGCTATCAAAAATGAAGACACCCCACCAGAGTCTGCGGCGAATTTCACGCTGAAGCAGACTGATCTTCCAGCCGGGGAATTCTTTGTGGAGCCCCAAACTCATGGCCATCCGAACAGCTAGACCAAGATAGTTCCAGCCTGTGTTGGGCTTGTTTCGTTTCTGGGCGTAGTTACTCAGCAACAACAGCGCTTGCACAAGGGTCAAATTGCCCGTCTCGAATACGGATGCTTGTTGTAAGAATCCTCTTGCTTCTTGATAGAAGGTGACATCAAGATCAGAGCTGTCATCGCCAATACTCCATGCGCCAAGAGCTAGAATGGTGTTGAGGAGGATTTGCCAAGCATTTCCATGGGGGCGCAAGGATGGCTCGTTAAATTGGGCCCGAAATGTCGGTTCATGAACGAATGGATAGCTTGTGTGGTAGTTGAGGAAATATGCATCAATAAATGCTTGTTCAATGAGACCAGATGGTGCACTCTCCAAGAGCTGAGCTTTGAGTGGAATACCTCCAGACCTCGCTGAGCGGACGGGAATGTTCAAATCGAATCCATGGTCAAAAAGAGCTCTTAATGGCACGACACTGGATGAGGCGCCTAGTATAGAGAGTCAGTAGGCCGTATAATAAATCATATATTTGCTAGGTTCATACCAAAATATCCAGCTCCCTCAGGCTTGATGGACAGTGCCGCCATGCCATCTGTTAAGTCGCCAAGCGTTAGTTCTTTCTCTGCCCAGTCAAAGCCATCAGCCTGTAGTGGTAGGGCTTCTGGGGGCGGCTCGGCCCGTTCAGCTTCAAGTTTTGCTGGAGTCGAATGCCTTGAAGATGATTTAGATGATGGTGCTTTCGGTGTGTCTTGATTTTGCAGAAGAGAGCGGAGAGTTGCATCCAGGTCTCCTCCGGGAAACAGTCTGCTTAGTGCGGTTTCAAATGAATGCAGCCGGTCTTCAACATATGTCAAATGCCTATGCTTGTTAGACTCATGATTTCGTTGTTTTTTGGGCGAGTGAGATATCATACTGTCGAGTCAGGGGACTTCTGGAAACTTTTGGACTGTACTTGCACTCCTTGTTCAGCTGCCGGCATTGCAGACAGATCGGCCGCTCTTTTGAGCACTGTGATTGAATGAGTGATACAATCTTTTTGACCAACAGCATATCCGCTCTGCATTACTTACTCTTGATTTCCGGAGGCGACATTCATCGCACTAAGTAACTGTCAGTTTCCGTTGCAGCTTTGCATAGCCAATGATACATACAGCGAATGAATGGGAATCACGGGTACTAGCCATGTTTATTAGGGCAAGTCAGTCTGCCTATATCTAGTGTCCAATGCGCTCTTATCATGACACACAAAGAGAGTCATCTTGGTAAAAAGTCAGCTATATCCTGGCCAATCGGTATGGCGTGACAGCTAGCATGCAGCAGACGTGGGGTTGCCGCGATAGTATAGTATCTCCGGGAGGCAAACCAAGCACCGGGATATATAAAGGAACATGATACATTGATTTGCACAAGTGTGAAACTTACGATAGGCGCTAGGGCAATCATCGATCCACTCCGGCCGGACAGGTTATAGGATGGATGAGATGCCGCATTCAAATGCTCCCCTCGATGGTGGGGAAATGGGTCATGTGATGCGCAAAAAAAATACGCCATTTCTGCCTGAGGCAAATACCGTTTTGGCTCGTACTTTTGTTGACTTTTCTTTGAATATTGAACTTGAAAATAAAGGAATGGTTTATTCAGGAACAGGGATAATAAACACAGCTCAAGGCTCACTATTGATGTGTATATTACCAATTATGGTACATATGAGAATTAAAGGTGTCAAATCTTTCAAAGTATATATCTCGAGCGCATAGTCCCTCCACCCTATTTGTCACAACATAGAATACATAAAACATTTGACATTAGCCATTTATGTTGAAGCCAATAAGCCGATATTCTATGATAGTGTAGCTTCCCCCTCACAAGTAACAAGAATGAACAGATATCAAGTTCCAGTGCCCTGTTTGCTCGTTGGAATCTTCTTGGCGTTGATGCAGATGGATGCGGATACGGTGGGCCAATCACAACCGTCATACAATTTTTCTCTCTTCACCATTATCAACATCAGTCTCAGATCCAGCCTGCTTGCACGAGACATTAAAGCAGGAAATTTGGTCAAGGAACACCTGGGTACATATAGTATCGGAAATCAAGCCAGGAATTAAAGCCAGAGAGGAGCTTGAGGCGTCGCCATGCCGTCTCAACCCCCACTACCACCCCTCCTCACCTCATATCTATCATCTCAGCCAGAGTCATCACTGACGCTGATATCGTCTATTCTTGGCGCGACATCCAATTGGCTGGTCCTGAGGTATCTCTACTCAGCACTCAGCACCTCAAATAGCTCCAATGTCGCCATAGGCTTTGACGAGTCGCACAACGGCGCAAAGAAGAAGGTCGTTCTTGTGAGCTTCCTGCGGGGCTGGGAATTCTGGAGAGCAGAGGCTAAGCGATTGGTATGTCTGAGAAAATCGTTCTTTCATGATGATAGCATTGTTTATATGTTATGTCCTCCGGACCGAACATGTCACCTTTCTTAATTCCATCTAAACCGGCTCCTACGTCATTTTATACATGGCTGATATTGATTACTTCTCCAGGGCTTGGATCTTGCACGACTGTCAGACAAGAAGCAATTTGCTTTTGTGGATGGACTGTCTGAGCTATTTTGTCCCCCACAAACAGCAAATGCTGCTCCCAGTCCTTCTCCCATCAATGCGGGCTTCCCTGCACGCACAACAATCCCTCTTCGGGGTCCGCCAGGAGCTGTGCCTGGAAGAGCACCAGTTTCCGCCTTACCTGCACCCAGAAACGACAATGTGGCACGCAGCCCAGCCGAGCTAGGCGTTGCGAAGAAACTGCATTTCTCTGGACGTGGCACCGCAGCCCTGGATGCCCTAGAGAAGGACATACTCGCCGTCATTGAGCAACTAAAGGCCGCCAGTGATGAAAGCGAAGAAGTGCTCCTCATTATCGACCAACCGGACTTCCTTCTCGCGGCCACAGGTGCAAGTATGGGGATTGGAGCCACGGAAATGAGCGAGTGGGTCATGGGTCTACAGCAGGTGAGTCTCGATCTGGTTGACTCTTATCTGATAAAAATTAAAACGGCTGACTCGTGGATAGACCGTTCATGCTACAGCACTAACAGTTGCGGCTGATTCCCCGCTGATCCACAATGCGGCTGCTTCTGGGAACCAGCAATCTACGCCAGTGGAGGGGGAACATGCAGCTTTTGCTATTGGATTGGCGCATAGGGCAAGTTCGGTTATGCAGCTCCGGACTCTAGAGACTGGAGCCGCAAGGGATGTGAGTGGAGTGTTGAGAATCAGCCGGGGTGGTGGGTTGAGTGGTGCGAATGGCCTGGACGAGAAGGAGTTGCTGTACTATATTCAGCGGGATGGCGGTGTCAAGGTGTTTGGGCGTGGAGAATCCTGAGATCTGTAGATAGATACCCAATTCAAATGCCCAGGACCCAAGACTGGGCAGTTTAGTAGAATGGAGACGGTCGTGCCGTAAAAGAAACCAGAGATGTTAGGAAGAGAGATCTTCACATTTGTATCTGTCACGACATGGGGATATTTGCCAGCCATAAACGAGAAAGAAAAAAGGAAATTCATGCATGTTTTCCCTTGAATTTTATGCCACTTCTCCTCGAAACACATTCCACGTAATTTTTGTCTTCCCGCCTCTTTTTTATGGGACGGGATAGACGATCGCACACACCAACTCCACGGGAAAGCGTTAATATTCCGGAATTGCCATTTTGCATTTCGAGTAATCTATCTCGTAATGCTAGGCCATGTCATGCCAGGTTATCACCCCTCATTCCTTTTCCAGCCTCTCCGAGAACGAAAAACGCGACGCCGAATCGGACAACGGGAAATCTAGTGAGCCTCGGGACCCTTGGAGCCCTTGGGGACACCAGTCTGGAAGCCGTTAAGGAAGCGGCGGTGGACAGTGCGCAGGGAGCGCATGCGGCCGGAGCCGGTGGTCTTGCGGCGCTTGGCCTTCTCACCCCAGTTGTCTGTTCGAAGAAAAAAAGTTCGTAAGCCGGATTGTTCTAACAATTGCGTGCATCTTGATATCAAGTCCAAGGACAATGCCCTTCTTCCCATATCCGTATTCATAACACCATATCTCAGGAGGGGTCATGCGTACACTTGCGGGTCTTAGCGGAAGGGTAGCCACAGTTAGCACAGGTGGACTTCTGGATGTGGAAGGACCGCTGGCCTAGAAAGTCGCGAAAACATCAACGGTCAGCTAATTGCTCTGATTCACAATAGCCGACAATCCAGTCCCCTTGGGTATCCATCATCGTTCAACTCCATCACTGGTTGTAAAGAGAATTTTGCGATTTCGGGCCCGGGTAATGAATTGTCGACGAGTTTTGAGGGAGGTGTAAATACGTACCACAACGACGGCACAGAGTGTGCGTCTTGTTGTGGCGCTTTCCGAAGCTCGAGGTACCCTTGGCTGTTGTGGTTGTTAGTTTCGACGATTTCGAGATTGCGGAGATTCAGATTCGCGGTGCGAGGTTTCGGCATGGGACGTACTCATTTTGAATTAGGGAACTGTGATGCAAGAAACGTTAGTAAACCAGGCGAGGAGTTAAATTGGTTCGCAAAAGAACAATATGTGGACGTACCTGGCGATTCCGTTGGAGGGCTGTTGTCGGTGTCGTCGTCGCTAGGCGTATCAAATCTTCCCGCTGGGTGAAGTGTCGGCTAAGCGAGGTGTGGGTTGCACATCACGGGACCCAGGGCACAAGCCCTGAGTCTCGTGAGTCGATGTCACATGACACAAACACTGGACCGTGCACTAGTGAATCATGTGATTTCATTACGATAGTTAGTTGGGCGGGGCCTGGCTTAGTCATTGGGCTTATAACACGATCTGCTGTTCCACTGTGGGTACTCCAATCGTCTAAGATGCTACGCGATCAGCTCCCAATCCTTTTCGAATCAGCCTTGGGAGATACCTATTATTTCTGTCGCTCTTCCGTAGGAAAATTGAAGAATCAACAGAGGAAGAGGACCGAATTCGAAAAAGAGGGGGTTTCATATTCGACTGCATCACGCCTCCCATATTTTTACGCCACTGACAAACGCAGCTTCTTGATGTGTCTTGTCACCTGAATTTGCTGCAATTATTATGACCAATTTGGAACCAAATTATGGTTATGACAGGCTCAGTGGCCAAATGAAACAAGTTTGAAATAATTGGAATGATCGAAAACCCATTGAAAAAGATTACCCAAGCAAAGCAACGAGCAGACGCCCACAATCACCCTCAACCTCGCTCCGCACGCGAGAGACAAGATCTTTCCCGAACTTATGGCGATACGCAAGCTTAACCTGGTTCATATGAGGACGGTTCCAATGTAGACGAACAATACGGCTAACCAGAAGCTCATCTGCGCTACCAATACAGGAGTTGATCAGACAAGCATCGCGCATTACCGGATCAGTTGCGCTACGGAGTATGTGAACTAGCGCATCCTCCAAGTGCCCCGAAAAGCACTCTTTAATATGCTTCTCCAGAGAGAGATGGTAGCGTTCTTGGAAGGCGTGGTTGATAGCCCGCAGTTCTGCATCTGACGAGCGGGCAAAGATCGCGCAGATCTCTGTAGCATCGTTCACCACACGACCAGCGGTAGTCTCATGTATGGCACGAGCACTAGATTCAATAGTCTGGTGGTTGATAGGGGCATGTTCGTCTTGTCTGTTTCCACGCAATACAGCGGTGAACAGGTCCGCTGTCTTCATCGATAGATCATCCTTGACATCCTGCACAAGGGAGCGATGGAAGCTGTGCTCATAGGCAGTCTTGATCGCATGGATATCCGCGTTACTCCGGCCTAGGAGCACATCATTTAAGATCCACTCCTTGGTGCCGACACCCTTGACCGCTTCGCGCGTACTGTTGGCGTCATATTGTAGTGGGCCATCTACAATAGCTAGGAGGCCCTCTTCGAAGTGTCCAGAAGTCTCGGACTCGATATCCTTGTGGAGGTCGCGCCGATGCCCCTTCGAATATGCTGCGCGCACGGCAGCCATTTGCAGCGGATCAAGTGGGGCGAGCACCATGATTAGCGTTTTGTCGTCTGTGCCGAAGCCCTTCATGGCTCTGCGCAAGGAGTCTGCTTCTCGCGTATAGTCGCCCATTGCGATGGCATTTGGGTCATAGCCCAGGGATGGCAATTGTGGTTGCTGCGGATGTGCGTATTGTGGAGCATGACCGGGCGCATTTGACGCCGGCATTGGCGGCGGAGCGTATGCATGAGCGCCTAGGTTAGGCCCAGATTGGGGATACTGGCCCTGCGGAGCGTATGGCTGCTGTCCATAAGGAACGTGCTGAGGCTGGTGGTAGCCTTGCTGCGGGGCATTTAGATTAGGATTGTAGCCGCCAGGCTGAGGAGGAGGATGTTGCTGCTGCGGGGCACCTGGACCATGAACATAGCCGCTAGGCTGGGGAGGAGGATACTGCTGCTGCGGGGCACTTGGATTAGGATTGTAGCCGCCAGGCTGAGGAGGAGGGTATTGCTGCTGCGGGGCACCCGGACCCTGAACATAGCCGCCAGACTGGGCAGGTGGATACTGCTGCTGCGGGGCACCTGGACTAGGCATGTAGCCTCCAGACTGAGGATACTGATGCTGCGGCTGTTGCCCATATTGAGGTTGAGGGTGCTGCTGGAAGCCCTGACCCTGGAAAGATTGGCCTTGCCCGTGGGGCGGATACGGAGGCTCTGCATGTAGTGTTAGTATGCAAAGTTTGGGTTCAAAATCATTGTAGAAAGACTCACGTTGGGGTGGGTTGTACGACATGGCTGGACTCTGGAGATGGCTCAATACCAGCAATGACAGCCCTAGCTTTATATACAGTAAACACGGCCTAAATACTAGGCCTATCAAGTCGTGGCTGTGCAAGCCTCAACCATTCGCAAAGCGATACCCAGGTGTCAGATTATCGCATTTGAGGTCCAAGCGCGCTGCGCCACACCCAAGTTACCTCGCTTGACTGAAAGTCCGCTAGACTAGCTAGGCGAACACAAGAGCAGTTATTAGCTTTGACTAGCTAACTAACTTGGTCATGATAAGCCCCTACTAATTTCTCTTACCTACATCTTACCATGATGCCACTTGAAAAGTCAAAGAATCCAGCATACTGCGCAGTGGATAGAGTTTAAAGGTTGGGGTAATGTAGTAGATCGAGCGTTGCGCGATGTCCGTGGAATTTTTACTCGCCTCAGACTCGATTGCTGAGTCTGAGGTAGTATTTCGGTTTTCGAAAGCTTCAGCACAGGACTCCTACAGGATGGAAGAGATCATAAAAAGATTATAGACTGGATTATCATTTATCCATTTTAATGCAGGATATTCAAGGGGTATTTGGAACGTGTAATAATAAAACGGCCATGCAAATTGATAGAATCACTCGTTGTCGACGTAGTTTGCCATCGGATCCTGGGCGGCCAGTCGGCTACGCTTGTAGGACTCCAGTTCCTCCTCAGTGATTCCGGATTTCATTTCCTCCAGTGTCCGCTTCTTCACATTGGCTGTCTCATCATCCTTTTGACGATCGCTGGCAGGTTCAGGCTCACGAGAGTGATCTGGGCCCTCGGCAGACTCTTCCTCATTGCCATCATTGTCACGTAGCATGAGCATATTGCCCTCCTCTTCCCAGGCCTTCTTACCGTCCTCGCCCGTGCAATAACTGTTCTTGACTGTAGAGAAACAGCATGAATATCCCCATTTGAATTCGTACCACCAGCTGCCAAAGACGGAGGTGTGATTGTTGATCTTGACATCCTCTGGGTATTTCGATTTGGTAGCTTTCTTTGGGGCGCCTTTGATGGCACCTGATTCGTCGTACTCCACAAAACGCTCGTTCTCAACCACCATAGTGTCCCGCAGCGGGGTCTGTTGGAGATGCTCGCTGCCTCCGTATTTCTCCAGAAGTGCCTTCCGCGAGGCCTCCCGTTTCTTCTCTGATTCCTCCTTCTCCTTCTTCCGGAGGAACTCTCCGCTTGTTGGGTTGGCTTGAAGATGAATTGGAGTCGAACCCTTCTCTTGCGATTCCCACGCGTATTTCTGAGCCTTCTCAAATTCGGCAGCATCACCAGAAGCACGGATGAAGTTTTCCTCCGCAACCAGCGCCGAGGCTTGATCTTCTTGCGCACCCATGTCTACCATCCGGCGAGTCTTCGGATCGTACTTGGCGGAATCTAGATCGAGGTTCAAAAGGTATTTAGCGGTATCTTCTCGGATACGCAAGTTGCGGGTAGCTGTGTTTTGTTGGCGGCCCATGTCGGATTCCTCGGTGTAGCGAACATCTTCATCGGCGTTGTCCCCATCATCCTCCATCAGCTTTTTTAGATCGGCTCCTTCTTTGGCTGCCTTTTTGATTGCTTCCATCTCTTCGTACTCGTTCACAATGTTTTGGTACTCGCTGGCGTCGTATCCGTTCCATCTGTCTCGCTTCGCGTCCCAGCCCATATTGACATCCTGGACGAGCTCGTCTGCCTGAATGTCTTTGCCCGTCCAGCGAGCACCCTGTTTTCGCGGTCGACTGAGGCATTCTTTGGTCTTGTGTGTCATAGCGCCGCAGTTTTCGCATGCGCCTTTTCGGTATTTTGTCGCAGCAGGCCCGGTGCGCTTTCCGCGGTCATACCATTTTGACTGATCGGCACTTGTCTTTTGCAGACGTTGATGCTCCAAGTAATCGTTTCCAGTCTCCTCGTCGATGTAGAACGGCTTCTTCGAAATGAAAGATGGAATGTACTCGTTGCGTTCCTTGGACGCCACATCGGCGGGTTTTCGTGACATGGCGAAGTAGGCCTCGTTTGGGCGATGAGCTCGATTGTGCACTGTATCGGGGATATATGGGAAGAGAAAGCCCTGTGTAATTCTAGCGCTGTAAGTTTGAGGACGAAAGTGAGGTCGAGATAAGACCAAGAAGTTGTCGATAGGAAGCTGGAGATTGAAGAGCCATCACGTGACTGATCTCTAGGGACCCACCAGTCGACATGCATGGGCGATCCATGTACAAACTAGTCCTGAAACACGAACTCGTAGAAAATTATTCCAGCATGTTCTGTGTTAGTTTAGTGGAACGCGATCGGTCATCTAGTGCCCTAGACCTTGCTTTTCGCATATTAGATGCAAGGTTCATTGTCAAAGCTCGATCTAAGTTATGTCCATATTACCTAAGCGGCATAACGCGCGCCGAGAGGAGCGCGTCAAGAATTTAGAACTCAAAGAAGATTCCAAAAAAACCCACAGCCCTCATTTCATGGCTTAGTCCTTGCTAGTGCTCTTGCGCAATGTCGCCTATGGCCTTGGTAACACAAAATCGGCCAGATGGACCCCTTTCGTGTGCGGCTCAACTGCATCGACCATTACCAAGCTGCCGCGTCGGAGCTGGACCCTCCACTGCCATTTCGAGATGGTGCATCTGCGAAAAATTATCGGCCTAGGGTGCCTGTGATTCGAGTATTTGGTGCGACAGAAACCGGTCAACGAATATGCGTTCATGTTCATGGCGCATTCCCGTACCTGTACATCGAGTACAATGGGTCTCTGGAGACTGAGGCGGGTATGTAACTCGGAACACTAATTTGATTGGTCTTGACTGGTCTCGCCATTAATCGAATACTAAGTATGTGTGTAGTGAACTCGGCGATTCAGACACTTCATCTCTCGATCGATCATGCCTTGGCTGTCAGTTATCGTCGCAATGCATATGACCAGAAGACCGCATACGTCGCACACATCACCCTCATCAAAGGAATGCCTTTCTATGGATACCATGTGGGCTACCGGTTCTTCTTCAAGATTTACCTTCTCAACCCCTTCTACATCACCCGTCTTGCCGATCTCCTCCATCAAGGCGCAGTGATGAAACGGCCGTTACAACCATATGAAAGCCATATGCAATTCGTGCCGCAGTGGATGTGCGATTACAACCTGTACGGTTGTAACTATATGGACTGCTCAAAAGTCAAGTTTCGAGCTCCAGTACCAGAGTATTTGGAGCTGAATAACCTAGAACATCGTTGGCATGACCGCTCAATTGATCCCGAGAGCATTTCCGATGACCCCGCTCTTGGAAAACAGAGCCACTGCCCCCTAGAGGCAGACATTTGTGTGCAGGATATTCTGAACCGACTTGATATCAAGGAACGTCCTTTGCATCATGACTTCACAGAGATGCTACATCCGGTTGCCTTCAATGAGCGACTTGTCCCCAGCGTAGCAGGGCTATGGCAAGACGAAACGAAGAGACGCAAGAAACGAATGGGGATAGTTGACCCAAGCAGTAGCCCATTTGGGCCGGAAGATTTAATCTCTATGTCTGCGGACCCCAGAAACAAGTCCAAAGGAGGATGGATCCATGAAGATGAGTTTCGTGAGATGGCAGACCAAATCGCAGCAGAGGAGAGGCACAGAGATAACGAGACAGATACGTGTTTCGATACGTTCCTGACCACAGAGAAACATGTCGCCAATATCAAAACAGCCTTGAGCAGCGTTGAGGATTTCTTTCCGCAGAGATTTGATGAATCTACTCTCCACAACCAAGCCTCAAAACCCGATGAGCCGCCCCGAATAGCTGTGAATGAGGAGATCGCTTTGTCATCTCAACTGAAGAACTTCCCAGAATACGACCAAGCCGATAGCGCCCTTGAAATCGGACTCGAAGCAAGGAATATGGAGACAAAGGGAATCGCGCTGGAAGAAAGCTTCTACGATGGCGTTTTTGATGATGTCGATGTAGAAGAGCCTACAAACCATGAAATTCCTCATACAGGGTTGGACCTGCAGATCAATCGGGATCCAACCAAGAACTCTTCACCATCGGCTTCAGAGGAATACCAGGAAGCCGATTTGAAAGCAGCCAATGAAAGCCAAAGGATTCTCAAGCGAGGATCTGAAGAGTTCGTCTCTCCTGACCGAACACCTGCCAAAAAACCGAGATTCTGGAGCACCTACAAACCATCAAAACCATCAAGCAAGCCAGTCAATAGGGAAAAACCCGAAGACGAAGAATGTACAGAAACTCCGGTTGAGCCTAGGTCTCTATCGTCCCAGCCAAAACTATCCTCTTCCCAGAGAACAATCCGTGCCAAAGTGCAAAATTCTAATACCCGACTTAATTATCCCGTTGTGAAGGATCCCAATGATCCTTTAACTATTCTTCGATTCAGTCAAAGCCAGAATGATTCTCAATCTTCGAAGAAAGCATCGCAGTCCCCCCAGCGCATGCCAAGCTCATTGCCATCTGGCTCCCCTGCAGGCAACTCAGGCAATAATAACGAGGCAGCGTCTTCTTCATTAACAGACTCTTCCTCTACAGTGGTGGGAATCCCTGCACTAGATCCACGCGTCTCTGAACTAAAGGAAACTCTTGCCGATTCTTTCAATTTCTTGCCGGGCAATGCCTTGCGTCTTTTTAAACTCGCGGGCCCAAGTAGCAACGAGGTCACCTCCACCATTGATGCTTATGGCCGTCCTTCAGTCGTCTATCAAAAGGCATACTATAGCGATGAGACCGACGTGCCTGAAAGGCCCCGACAATATGCAGGGCGGGATTTTCGTTTGGAAAGCAATACAATCCACTTCCTCCCGGAGTTCGACCCCACGGGAAGCCTACCTGCAATGTTCGGGGAGCAATGTTCGATTACTCTAGACCAAGAGCAGCAAGAAACAGCTGATAGCCAGCTACGAGAATCGTGCACCATCAGAGAATGGGAATTTGCGCCTGTTCCACCTAGTCGATCGGAAGTTATTGATTGGTTTGAGCAATTCGAACGGTCTCATTATGTCACACCAATAACCCCCAGTCTTCAACCGAACCCTAAGCATGAATTGCTGTCGCAAATTGAAGGTCCAACACAGAATCCTCATGGCTTCAAATACTCCCAAAAAAGCAAGAAGACCAGCGTGGAGCACCAAGCCCAGTACATGAACACAATGAGCTTAGAGGTGCATGTGAATACTCGTGGACATCTATCGGCCAATCCCGCAGAAGACGAGATTTCTTGTATCTTTTGGTGTGTTCAGTCCGAAGACGCGGAAATCGAAGTCAACAGCCACATTCCTGGTGTCCATGTTGGGATCGTCTATCAGGGTGAGGGCGAGAGGCCGGAGGCCAAGGTCTCCAAAGCACTTAAGATTGAAATGGAGTGTGAGCCAACAGAGCTTGACCTGATCAATCGCCTCATTGATATTGTCCGCGAACATGACCCGGACATCATTACTGGATACGAAGTACACAACGGTTCCTGGGGTTATGTTATTGAGCGTGCTCGGAAAAAGTATGACTTTGAGCTTTGCGACGAAATCTCGAGGGTGAAAGCCCAGGCACATGGAAAGTTCGGCAAAGAAGATGACCGGTGGGGACATGGTCATACTTCGTCAATCAAAGTGACTGGCCGACATATGATCAATATCTGGCGTGCAATGAGCGGCGAGCTTAACCTGCTGAAATATACCATGGAAAACGTGGTGTTTCACCTGCTGCACCGCCGAATTCCACATTACTCTCACGAAGACTTGACACGATGGTATCGAAGCGGAAAACCTCGAGACATCCTTAAAGTCCTCGAATACTTTACCTCCCGAGTGCAAATGAATCTTGAAATCCTGGAAGCCAATGAGTTGATACCGCGCACCAGTGAGCAAGCTCGACTTCTTGGAATAGACTTTTCATCTGTCTATTATCGGGGATCCCAATTCAAAGTAGAATCTTTGATGTTTCGAATTGCCAAGCCGGAAAATTACCTACTTGTTTCGCCGAGTAGAAGGCAAGTCGGACAGCAGAATGCTCTCGAGTGTCTGCCACTTGTAATGGAGCCGCAGAGTGACTTTTACACAAGTCCACTCGTAGTACTTGATTTCCAGTCGCTATACCCTAGCGTGATGATCGCATACAATTACTGCTACTCGACATTCTTAGGCAGGGCAGCCTCCTGGCGTGGCCGAGACAAGATGGGGTTCTTAGACTACGAACGACAGCCACGGCTACTGGAACTGCTCAAAGACAAGATCAACATTTCGCCAAATGGCATGATGTACGCAAAGCAGGAAGTACGGCAGTCCCTGCTAGCAAAGATGCTAACAGAAATCCTCGAGACTCGAGTGATGGTCAAATCTGGCATGAAGGCCGATAAAGAAGACAGGAACCTACAGCGCCTTCTCAACAATCGTCAACTAGCTCTCAAGCTGATTGCGAACGTGACATATGGCTACACATCCGCTTCATTCTCCGGCAGAATGCCCTGCTCCGAGATCGCAGACAGCATTGTCCAGTCTGGTCGTGAAACATTGGAAAAAGCCATTGCGTTCATTCATTCAGTGGAAAGATGGGGCGCCGAGGTAGTGTACGGCGACACGGACAGTCTCTTCGTCTACCTGAAGGGCCGAACACGCGACCAAGCTTTCAACATCGGCGAAGAAATCGCCAAAGCAATAACAGACATGAACCCCCGTCCAATCAAACTCAAGTTCGAAAAGGTGTACCACCCCTGCATCCTTCTCGCCAAAAAGCGCTATGTCGGCTTCAAATATGAACACCGCAACCAGACGGAACCCGAATTCGATGCCAAGGGCATCGAAACCGTACGCCGTGACGGCACCCCCGCCGAACAGAAGATAGAAGAAAAAGCCCTCAAGATCCTCTTCCGCACCGCAGACCTGAGTCAAGTAAAATCCTACTTCCAGCGTCAATGCACAAAGATTATGCAGGGCCGGGTCTCCATCCAGGATTTCTGTTTCGCCAAGGAGGTCAAACTAGGCTCATACAGTGAACGCGGTACTCTCCCCGCCGGCGCTATGATCAGCACAAAGCGGATGATCGACGATCCTCGCCTGGAACCACAGACCGGCGAACGTGTTCCCTATGTTGTGATTACTGGCGCACCAGGTTCGCGATTAGTAGATCGTTGCGTGGGACCCGAAACGCTCCTACAGGATGCACAGCTTGACCTCGATGCTGAGTACTACATCACCAAGAACATCATCCCGCCACTAGAGCGCATTTTCAATCTCGTTGGTGCGAACGTTCGTCAATGGTACGATGAGATGCCTAAGGTCCAGCGCATCCGACGCGTTGAGGCCTCCAAGGAAACGAAGGTCATGAAACGAACGCTAGAATCATACATGCGCTCCTCGTCGTGTGTTATATGCAGAGCAAAACTCGTCGACGCTACTGGTTCACTATGCACAGAATGTCTACAGCAACCGCATCTTACTCTCTTGGGCGTTATTTCAAGACTGCAGCGTGCAGAGAAGCGGGTTGTTGATCTTGAGGCTGTGTGTCGATCTTGTATGGGTGTTTCTGCTATCGACGAAGTTAGCTGTGATAGTTTGGACTGTCCTGTTTTCTATTCCCGGACGCGCGATGTGGCTAGTTGGCACCATTCGAAGGCTGTATTAGAGCCGGTGGTCGATTTATTGGAGAAGAAGGGGGACGAGGGATTGGATTGGTGATTATTGTATTGATACAAGCAACCTTTCCCAAGGCTTCCATAAGCAATTTCTCCCATAAGCAACGTTCATAAGCATTTCCATAAGCATCTCCATAAGCATTTCCATATCTGGGAGCTAGTTCTTTTCAGGGTTGTTTTCCTTTCCTCATTCAATTTTTTATGAATATCAATCATTGCCGATCAAGCGAAGCAGATCATCAAGAGCGCTTGATTCCACGCTCCCATTCACCTCAACAATTTCGACAATATCTCTAGCCTCGTAACCTTCGCCGCCCCCTTCACCGGCCACGCGGGATTTTGTATCAGTGGACAGTTCGGCCTCCTCTTTGCTTTCGTGGAGTCCGCCAAGATGAAAACCCGGTTTTAACCCAAGTACTTGAGGATTTACATCCACTACAGGTTCAATGTAATGAGCTTGGGGATTGTTCGCTGGAGGTGCAGTCTGCGGAGAAACCGAGCCAACCGAATCCGATTCTGTGGCCATCCCGGTAGTGAGGCTTTTCAATCCAGCAAGGAGCATTTGCACCTCCGCCTGGGTATAAATCTTTTTACTGGTCTGCGGCAACTCGGCATTAGGAACCTCATCCGCGACTGGCATCTTGTAATTGCCCATCGCTATCTTTCCAAGAAACTCGTGGAATATCCATGGGAAACTGATGAGCGGTAGCTGTATCTGACCACCTCCCTCGCTGCCAAGGTCGTCTGTATCGTCATAGTCGTTGAGAACCGGATTTGCCTGGGCTTGCAGTGCGTATGTCATCTCTTCGTGCGTCACACGGTAAAGGGCTACAACCAACGGGGCGCTTTCTTCGAACGTGCGTCCACCGACCTTTTCGTAGCATGTCTGCCGGAAGCCCTCGCGCAGAGATCCAGCCACACGACCTAGGTCTTCATGGATCTTGTAGTCACGGCAGAGGCAGTTATGGGACATGACAAAGGTGGACCAGACTTCAAATTCAGTCTTGATGTCATACTGAGCCATAATGCGACGAACTGCGGTATCGTAATTCACCTTGAGATCTGCTGCGAATTCGAGGTATTGCTCGCTGGCGGGAACGAGCCCACAATCCAGGATTCGGGCATCGAACGGTAGGTTGAGGGTTGGTGTGAAATCTTTAGTCTCCACTGCATCGTAAATCTGACCAAGAATTTTGATCGAGTGGTAGATCTGTTCTGGGCGTTTGTGCTTCTTCTCCATGAAATGCGGCCATTGGCGAGGCTCCAAATCGCGGCCCATGTTTGCGACGCTTCCAGTCTTGACGTAGTCAACAGCATCAGAATGCAATTTTGCAAGCTGCTGACATTTTTGTTCGAGGATACCACGAGGAAGCTTATCAGCATGGGCCATATGAGCATGTGCAATTCGAGGTAGACTGTCATTTTTCATGTATGTCACGAAGAAAGATGTGATCTCGTCAACAGTAACATCGTGACTCAGATCTGGCGCTTTGTTACTAGTGTATTTCATCGGTGCCATGAACCAGTTCTGAGGGATAAGGTCTTGATCCCATAGTACCATGTAGTCATCACCGTCAAGATCTCCACCGGAGCACATGCTAGCGAGGTCTCGATCACCAGTCTTTGGTAAAACCACCACGTCGTAAAGATGTCTCAGCTCTGGCTTATCAACCGCATTCACAACACGAATATCACCCGCATGGAGAGAGGGATTTCGAGCCAATATGCAGAGCCCCTTGATGACCTCAGGCTTACAGCCATCTAAGCGGCAGACTTGCATAAATATCTCAGGGATGGCAGCAATCCTCTCTTCATATGATGCAGTTCGAATACTAGTACCTTGATTGAACTGGCCCTTCAGCACTCCCTGTTCATCCATGCAGCCGAAAAGATTTGCACCTTGATCAATCACAATATGAGCCTTCTCCTTGATATTCTTCAGATGCCACGCTTTCCACAGCTGAAGCATCGAAGTGACAAATGGCTCATTTGTCTGCATGAATCCTTCCTTCACCATTCGAGCTAGACTGATGGTGATATGGTTAGGATCAACGAACCTATGAAGTTGGCGAATTGCAGGCTCTACCTGACTCATGGCTAAGTTCAAGTCCTCGAGCATGATGTTGAGCTTTTGGTGAAACACTCTATCCGGGATCCTGAGAGCGGATAATGCGAGAATCATTTGCCGATTCAATGTTGCGGGATAGTACCGTGACCACCGAATAATCTCGAGTCCAGCTGCCTCGGCTTCAAATTTGAGCTGACTTGGGCGGATGTGGATCTCCTTAGGCCGAGGGTCCGAAGAAATAACCAGCAGGCCTTTGCAGCCTCCAAGGCGAAATTGGAATGCAGAGGGCGGCTTACCGGTCCGCGTTTGAATATCGAGGTCAGTCACGGTCATCTCTGCAAGGAACTTGGAGATTTTGCCGACTCCATCAGAAAATGTAAAGCCATTACGGACGACTTCCTGGCACATTCTAATGTCAACTCGACAGCCAGAGACAGGGCGAGTAGTGGAGAAACACTGACCCAACCGTGCAGCACATTTTGCGATGTTCCGAATATGGTTGAATTGGCCCATCCAAGCCCGAATATGAGCGGCTGTCAGGTTTGGCGTAGGTGCAAAGAAATAGGCACCATGTTCGCGGAACTGGGAGTTTCCGAAAGCCAAGAACTCATAATGACGATCTCCAATTGTGATGCCCCTTGTCAAGGTTCTCTTGACCCGAGTGAAAGTTTCGTCATTGCTATCGTTAAAGCTGGAATGAATTCTACCTTGGGTCACCTCGTCTGTAAATCGAACCCGAAGGAAACGCTCCGCAAATTCAATGTACCGACGAGTGACACGGTTGGAAGTATCCACCGTCGGCGTGCTGTAGTAAATGGTTGTCGGTGTCACCCTGGCGGTGCGCATGTAGCAACAATGCTTGTTAAGCTTGATCTTTGGCTTGCGGAACTGGAGAGTGAAAATTTCCATGGGGTCGAGATATCTCTTCTTGCTTGTCGCCACATGCTCCAGAAGAAACTTAGCATCGGTCTCTTCGAGGTTCACGAGTTTCAAGAGAAATCTTTTGGTCACTGCGAACTCCGAAAAGTACCTGTTTGAGAGGCATACTTCAAGCTGATAGCGGACAGGGAATGGCAAGTGAACAAAATCCTGATCATACAAATTTTCGAGCACAGACATACCATGGGTCAATTCTGTGTGGTCAATCCATTGCCAAACTGCTTGGGGACGCACATTTGACCCCGTAATGTTGCTTCCATCATTGATGACGATGTTGTGATCTTTCAAAATCTCATGAATGACCTTCAGATTATCAACATCGTCTGGGGAGAACGTAATCTTGAATACATTCCACCGACCTGCAAAGGACAAAGCTAGTTAGCTTGGCAAACATCGGGTTGGATTTACGCGACTAACCCGTGTCAATGATCTGGCCGGACTTGCGCAGGTTGGTAGTGATGTTTGCCTGGGACAAAGGGTTGTGAACCACAGAAGTCTGCCGATACCATGTATCGGAAGCTCTCCATATAATCTCTGAGTTAAATACGGTCGTGGAAGCTTGCCGGTGAAAGACTGCAGGAGCGTCGAGAACAATAAGATACGATTGCTCGCTGGTGTCGTCGTTCCTGGTCTCCCAAATTTTGGAGAGCTCGAAAAACTTGACCCGGATCCGAAACAACGAAGGAGCTGCCGCGTTACTTTGGTGTTTTGACTTAGATTGACGAATTTTCACGTCAAAAAGGATACTCAGCGCTCGGTTTCTGACGTCAACGACGGCTTTCAGGGAGTCTGAGTTATCAAATGTGCGCATTGGAAAGAAGGTCTTTTCATCTGGGCAGACTCCGATATCCAAATTGGTGAGATTGAGTCCCTAAAATGAAGATTGAAATGTCAGAAGCTTGATTAGCATTCTAGGGATGGATTGGGACTGACAATCTCCGTTGGGTAGAGTACTCCCTCACGAACAGGGCTGGGAACCCACGGGTCATAAGAATTCAGTTCGATATTGAGTTGGAGGTAGCAGGTCAGGCCGCTGCGCAACTTTAGGGGATAGGTCTGGTCCAACCAGAAATCTCTGGTAGGAGGAGGTCTGTATTGCAGTCAGCAAATGTTTCCAATTACCTGGGATCTAAGTGGCTAGCAAATGGGACCGACGTGATACATACTTGAAGCGAATTCGCCCACGGCTTGATCGGTTGCCGTTGCGGTCTTCGAAAATGTCAATGGAGAAGATGTTGCCCTCCTCCGAAAAGGCCTCCCACAAAATCTTAGTGTTGGCCTCCCTAGGTAGATCTGAGATGCCCACAGCCACCGACTCCCAGTTCTTCCATGTTAGCCACACCGGTGGAGGTGGAGAAGCAGGAGAGCGGCGTGGATACATGGCTGACAGTGGGGTGTCATAGATATATGAGAGGTCTGTGAAAACTTGAGAACTCGAAAAGTGGATGGTGGTTGGGTTGAGAGGGTAGACGGGCTGTGAAGGCAGCTGAGCTGGGAAAATATATGGTTGAAAGGAACAAGGTTGAAAGGTAGATATGTGAATGTGATCCTAAATAGGGTTGGTCAGGAACATGTAACAGGCAAACAATTAACAGGTGGAGACGAGATAAAGGAAGACCGCTTCTGTCTCAGAACATTCACGAGTCTTCATGCTACAAATGTAGTTGAAATTGGCTTCCATATTCTACACAGAGCAATTCACCGAAGACCTGACGGCAAACCATTACTGTGAGAAATGGTCGTGGCCCAAGACCAGTTTCATTATGAATAAAGCTCTCTTTTACTGCTCCTGGCGAGGAAATCTTTCATTAGAGATAGTGCGGTACCACTCACTGGATACATGATGCCCAACGCATCCATATATCTGCACTTGTGTGTAAGTGCTTCAGAGCCTATCTTAACACCGCAAGTCGGAACCAGAATCATCAGAAAGCCGTCAAGCTGTATAGTTGTGTTTCTGCGTAAAAAGAAAACCTCTTTATCATTGAAGATGTCAAGACATCATAGCCATTTCTTTCAGATTCACTCCTTGAACCTCTGTCTTCCGTATCCTCACCAACCCTCCCAAAAACTGTGATCGTTCTTTGATGTCTTCGCTGATCCCCTCGTCCTGCTCATCAGGATGTGTCAATATAACTCCCTTCTCTCCCATCTCCTCGTGTGACTTCTTCACGAGCTCGTAGTTGGACTCTGAACAAAGAATCGCGTTTTCAACTACCATACCCATGTGTCCACATCGATATAAAGGATACGGATTCGACAGCAGCTCAGCCGAAACATGAAATTTCTGCGACTCTGACAGCAAAAATGACGCCAATTCGCCATTAATACAGGCCTGATGTAGGCCCATCTCGTCCCCACCCCGGGCGAAGAATTCCGCGTACATTCCTCGAAGAGCCATTCGCTCCAGCGGTGTCTGACAATTGCAAAACCCATAATCTAAAGCGGCAGCTTGCATCGGTTCTGCGGTCGGCAGTCGAGTAAAGCGCTTTAATTCCCAAACACTCTGATACCAGGTTCCAACATCTTTCATGAGAGTTCCGAAATTGCGCAATTTTGCGATGCCGTGCCCAAGGCCGTACTTGTCAAACAGACCGACCATATCAGACTGTTCCATGGCCTTCCAAAATTCTTGAAATTTGCACTTGCCGATAAGTACCTTGTAGAGGTCCGCTAGCATCGTAATACCATCATAGTCTCGAGCCGTGCAGAAGCCAAGAAAAATCCAGTTGTCTTCCTCTGCATCTGGGACGAATCCATTTAGCATTTGATAGAAGAATGTGTATGCCTCGATTTTCTCTCGCGGCTCCCACTGATGGAGAGGAATCTTGCGATCTCCTGACTCGACTAAATGCAATAGCGACTTGAAACTCTCGCCCATGTCAAGTACTGCGCCGGAGGCGAAGCCATCCTGCTGATGTAACCAACGGATTTCTCGTTGAAGCGTGGGAGAAGGTATCTGGGAGCCGCGGAAGAGGAGGAACTCTTTCAGTTTGTTGCTTCGCCATGCCTCCCGAAGCTCATCTTCTGTGACTTTAAAGCTGTTCACTAGCTGGCAATATATTTGGAAAAGCCTTTGTCGGTCGTAGGCGGATGCGAAGTATCGGAAGCCAAAGGCCTTTGTCACAGGTTCATCTGTTGGAAACTCCTCCCGTTGGCACGCCAGAATAAAGTCGTCTGCCTCGTCCAAGGGTCGTCCGAGCCTACAGGTATACTTGTGCTGGAGCCAATGCAGAGTTCGGCATTTTTTGCTACAGTATAATGCCGCGTCACATTCTGTGCAGGGCGTCAGTGGGTCTGTTGTCGTACGACATTGGGCGCAAGACTGGGGACCATTCAACTCTGGAGGTTGTGTCTCGTCCCTTTCTGGAACATGCGATATATCAGGAAAGTTCGTGTGACTTTGTTTGGCTCTGCAGCAGAATTAGTGTCTGCTAGTATTGGATACTAAGCCTCGCACCTGCCAGCCATTGCTCTTGAGTTGCAGGTTGACAACCACTCCGCTTGCCTTGCCTGGATTCTAGGATCTGGGATATGGCGATTGAATGGGGACCATGTCGCTGCTCTTGGTGCTACTGGAGTTGAGATAGTTGACTCATTGACCGCATCGATATGCTGGTCATCATCCACAGCACACTCATGCCGCAGCACATCATGAAGGTTCTGAACCGCGAGATCTAGTTTTTCTTGATGTAAGGACGGGACAATCAGAGAGCTGGGTAGCGTCCATTGGGAATAAACCTTGCCATGATTGTTGCGCGCTCGAAAGAGACCCAAGCTCTGCAGAATGTGGCCACACATAAAACATGTTTTCTTGCTGATACCGAGATATGGAAAAGTTTGAGCCACGCTGTTTTTGCTAATAAGATGAGTAACCATTCCCATTTCGGCATGGATCCATTTCTTCTTTCGGAGTACCACATCCAAATTCTTTTGGTTCGCTTTGGTTAATGATTGGGTGCGTAGCGAGATGCTCGGTGGAACTCGCTTTGCCTTAGCTCCGGGGACAAGCGTAAACTTTATACAATGGAAGCCTTCGATCTCGCGCGCTGCTTCCCAAAAGGTGGTGCAGGCGTATCGAGGTCGACAAAGAAAGCCCAGCTCACGATTTAGTCGTTTGGCTTGCTTTGCTGTAAATAGTTGGTTGATTCCAGAGTAGAAATTTGTGCTGTAGCAAAGATCGTCGATAATTTCCACTAGGGTTGTTGAAGCAATCTCTCCTGAAAGAAATGCCTTTAAACATGCAATCAGGATTCGCATTTCTTTCTTCTTTTTTATCAGAGCGAGGAGCTTTGATGCATGATAATTAAGACGCGGAGTATAGTATTCACTGAGCATTGCTTGGAGTCCTGTTATGGACTCCGTGTTGAGGAATTCTGATATCGATTGTAGGTCAGACTTGGAGGGAACGGGTTGATACTCGTCAATAAAAATTCCAAGCATACCTCTTTTTGCGACTAGTTCTAGCTGCACCGCAATCTCCGCTAGGAGTTTGATGTCCTTTTCCTCCCATGTAGCATTCCTCACTGCTAGAATATTCACCTTGTCAACAGTCACCTGCATAGCTGCACAAGTTACATAGTGCGCTTCCTTCTTGTAGCAGAGTATTTCAGCCAGCCGATCGAGAAATCGCATCTTAACCGACTGCGTACCCTCCACCGTCAAAGAAGCGGCAATGCTCGTCGAGGGCTCTTCATCGCCGTCCATCTCATCATCGTCTGAGCTTTCCGCGTAGTCCACCTCTCCGTCCTCACTTGTCTCCAAGGGAGCACGTTGTTGATGCTTGACTTGACAGATTGCAGCTAGGGTTGTGACTTCGGATTCTATTTCTGCTGTGAGATGCCAAGCACTAGTCTCGTGGCTAGGTACATGGGAAGATGGATGGAGAAGTTCAACGCGTTCCATTGTGTCGTATTCTGTGAGTCGTATAAAGGTATCCGGTTCATCATCAATTCACTTTGAAGACAGGATACAGATGCTAGGTGTAAGTACCCCCCCCTCGGGCAGAGGCGTTGGTGGGGAATTGGGGAGCAATCGGGCTTTATGCATGGAAAGACATCGAAAGAAAGCCGCGTTGGCTTGCGTGGCCTGGCTGGAAGCTGACTACATATGGGACGACATGTCATGTGAGTGCATGGCGCATGGACAAGTTTTGATACCATCTCGAAGGTAGCCTTGTAAAGACGGCTAGCGCACTTTTTTGTATCACATTCCCATAATTTTGCATAATCCCGCTGTTGGGCCAAAAAAGCACGGAATTTTGCGGCAGGGAAATATGTGCGTAAATGTAGCCTAGCCGCGCATTGGCCGATATCCCGAGTCATGAACCGTTATATTTGCTGATCGGAGTTATCTGCAGTCTAGTTATATCAAGCCTACCCAATTTTATCATCGCCTTGGCCTTAGGGTTTGGGAGAGTCCCTGTGAGTAATACAGGGAAGCCAATCTTGAATTTAGCAGTGAACATAAAGAACCCCGCTTTCTTCCCTCCAAGGCTATCTTTCCTTCGAGTGTAAGCACGAGTATAGAATTGAATTAATATTAGAGATTATGTACAGGGCCCATGAGGTTAATGGATCTACACTATCTGGATGTACTAGACTGACCAGTCATTTCCAACAACAGTATTTGGTGAAGGAGACTTGCTTCTTGGCTCGGCGCAAAAAGCAAGGGTAGGTAGTATTGAGAAAGACGGCTTTTTACTTGAAGAGTCCGCTAAGTTGACTTCAAGAAGGATATTTGTACCACAAGAACATATAAGAACATAATCATTTTGAGAAGGCTGATTATTCATCCACTAAACTCATTGCTGACCGATTTGGTCATTCGATCCAGAAAAGGCCGTGCTGCTGAAAAGAAAGTCCTTCGAGAACTCCAAATCCATATCCAAATCAATACCCTGCAGATGGTTCGCAGAGTATTGGCCCTGTTTAGAAGCCTGGCTCGACTGCAATTTGCGGGGACTATTACAGTCCCTTGGTCCAAGGGGTTGACGAGCACATTGTTTAATAGAGTCCGGACAGCTCTGTTTAGAAGACCCGTTAGCGGGAGTCTTGGGTGGTTGCAGGATTCCCTGATTTATTGAGAGCCGATTGGCCTTTGGCCGTTTGGGGCTGGGACCCAGGACATTAGAAGCCAGTCCATCGAAGGACTCAGCTAGCTGGCTCTCGTCATCGTCATATGCAGACTCGCGCACATTTTTTGAGTGTCTTCGCTCTGTACTTTCAGCTCCTTGATCTTGGGTAGAAACAGGTGGTTCCATTGGTTTAGCTGTGAATCCCATGACGTTCATGAGTCTGCCGATGTGTTGCTGTGCCTCGGAAAATTCGCGAGCTTTGCTGGCTCGCTCGTCTCGAAGAGATTGAATCTAAGTAATGGTGAGTAAAAGGATCGATATCGATCAGGTGAATGGAAACTAACCTTCTTCTCTAACAAGTGGATACGTTTGTCTTTTGAGTGGTGTTCCTTAGACGCATTTTGAGCGGCGAGCTGCATTGCCGTATGCAGTCGACCGATCTCCTCCTTGTGGGCTTGGACCTGTTTTTTGTTGTGAGTATAATATCAATGACTGATAGGGGAAAGGCCTACCTCTGATGTGGCTCTCGAAAGCTCTATTTCATGTTCTTGTTTCGTGGCTTCTAGTTTAAGCCGCAACTCTTCTTCTGCTCCTTCCAATGCAAAGCAGAGCTTCTTGGATTCCATATTCTGCTCATCGATCTAGTTCATGTAAGTATATGCTCCCTTTTGTGATACATGGGTGATATTACCATTATTTTCATGTTGTCGATCTCCATCTGCATGTTTTCAGTCTCCGCCAAAAGACGTTGGATTTCATGCTCTTTCTCGCAGCAAAGAGCCTTGTTGTCTTCAAACAAAGCATTAGTTTCCGCAAGCTCCCTAAGCAAAGAGACGGATTTCTGATTTGATGTGGCTTGTTCTCTGGAATATTCTTCCAAGGCCTGCTGCATTTGCCGAACCTCAGACTGGAGGTGCTTGAGCTTTTCCTGTTGCTCTTCGAGCTGATCGTCTTTCTCAGTGCAAGTTGCAAGCAAGTCTAATTCTCGATCTCGGGCGCTTTCTTGTTCTCGGTGGGTTAATTCCGTGGAACGAAGTCGCTGCTCCTCAAGTTCCTGCCGTGCAGAGTTGAGAGCAGCAGACAATTCTTGAATACGGACAAAAGAGTTTTCTTGTTCACGGTGGAGAGCTTCTTCAGAGAGGCGTCGCTGCTGATCGAGCTCTTGCCGTGCACATTCCAGAGCGGCAGACATCTCTTCGGCACGGACACAAGCGTTTTCAGCTTGTCCCTCGAGACGAGCAAAACTTTGCTGAAGATCCGAAATACCATTAAACGAATGTTCCAGTTGCTTTTCCAGATCCTGATTCTGTTGTTTGAGCTGTTTGGCTTCCAAAATGTGACGGTCGCGCTCTTCTTCTGCGAAACGCAAAGGTCTTTCGACATCATAACAGCGACGTTCCAAATCGATACAAGTATCCTCGATCTTCTTCACCATGCTCGCGCTGGTACTTTGGGCATTTTGCATCAATGCCTCATTGATACCAGATCGCCAATCCCGAACTGGATACTCCGTTGTTGAAAAGTCCTGTCTGTTCCTCAATGATACTGAACATCGGAAATTCCTCAGATCAGACGTGGAGAATGGACAGGCATCGCCAGTGAATGTCTTCCCAGCATGCTCAATGAAAGACTTCAAAACGAGAATCTCTCTGTTATTCCCACCCTTTGAAAGCACAGCAGCAAAATAAACATCGAACAGATTGATCAGAAGCTGGTTCTGCAGTCCAGTCTTAGCACAAGAGCAAGCTTCTAGTCCCTGGCACTGAGTAGGGTTAGGCTTGGCTGGAAAATTGCCAAGCAAACCGAGGATGGAATTTTTAGTAGAAACCGAGTCCAGAAGAGCATCAATTAACACTGGGGATTGGGATCTCTGAAAACCTGCAAGAATCAAATTGGCTAAGTGCAGATCAGACAGTGAGTTCCGACCGGGTAGATCACCCTCTTGGACAACTTCAAAAATGAATCTTAGGAGATGATAGACGGCTGATTTCTCAGAGCACTAATAAAGTCAGAAAAATTGCTAAGAAACAGAAACAGATCTACTCACAGCCAGCGATTCCGCCATACGTTGAATAAGATGTGGTGGCATGACCCCCATCACGCCTCTACTCCCCTTTGATATAAGAACATGCAATCCAAGTTCTCGAATATGACAAGGAAGATGTGCTGCAGGGAGAAGAGATAACAAAAAGGCAAGTCCCTAAGGTCAAGTTAGCCAGTGTCAATATTAAATGGATAGAAACTATATTACCATCATCTGGATCTCCCGATCCAGCCCATCTCGAGCAACCTTTTCACACAGCTTAGCAACCTTGGACGAGTTTCCAGCTATCCAAGCCTGTTTCTGCTCCGGCTCAATAGCTTCGGCAATACAAATGGCCAGGCGAATACTTTCAGCTGCTTGCGGCGGTGTCAAGTTGTTACAGTTCGACGAGCAGGCAAGAATGACCCGGAGAACGACCAAGTCCAATGTTTTGAGACCACGCTTTGGTCCGAAGAAGTGCCGAATATTAAGAAGCCACGATGGGTCTCCTGGTCCGTGTTTATTAGTAAACCCATCATTTCGAATCGATGCAATGCGTGCAAATGTTGCGAGACACAAGAGGTTGCCCATATGGTCATCCAGGTTGCGCAGAGTTTTCGTGAACTCCACCTGCATATTAGACATGACCTCAGTCGGAACATCATACCGAAGGAGTGAGCACCCTTGAAGTCCATTCATCAAGGTATGTAATGGTGCGATCGTATCTGCGCTTGGGTCGCGGGCCATAGCGGAGACAAGACATGTGATAAGGTTGGCAAGTCGAGCAGGGGGCACAAGCCCTGCTGGCAAGGGATTGGAGAGCAAAGAGATGCATGCCAGCTGATACTGCTTTCATGTCAGTTTCTTGCCCAAATGATACTGTCATGTTAAGAAATCGATTCACCTCAGATTCACCACCATCAACAGCTTTTTCTAGAAGAGCATCCAGAATTACTGGATGACGGAGTAAGACAGCATTTCTGAAGGTGATATCGGAAGCTAAACGCCATTAGTACAGTCTTCTCGATATAAGACCAAAGGTTTTGGTCCTTACCAAAGGTAGAAAGTAGTGGAAGAGCGATTCGCGACCGCGACAGACTTTCTACCAGTACATCGGCCAACAATCCAATTTGGCAAGGCTTTTGAAGCGCCCAACAATTGATTGTCGAGGAACTCCTACTCTGGACCAGCTCATATAGATCCTATTTGGGCATGGCATCAGCTAATATCCCGCTACTCGGTCACGGTCGCCTAACCTGCAGCGATGGGGCGTAGGGAGCAGTCACGATCCGCTCGATCTCTTCCACCGTATGCGTCAAATCTTGAGACATTTGAACAGTGTCTGCATTCGCAGATGATACCTAGGTAAGTAGATCTCTTGAGCGTTGTCGGCGCGCGGGTCGCGGATTGAAAGAACCGTGTTGATGTGGTTGCCCGGTCAACGGGTATGACGCTGATTAGCCAATCAACGCGCTCCATTTCTATATGTACGGAGTGTTCTACGAAGAGTAGTCACTAATTACCCCGTCAAGCACTTGCTTAAAGACTTACTAATTAGATTTGCTATGGTCATCCTGTGGATGTACACCCCCACACTCCCCCACGCCGTATACCGGTAGAACGGAAAGAACTGCATGATTCGGCGGAAGTCCGAAGCGGGGAAATCCAATTCGCGGTTAGTAGCACACATCATAGAACTCGCATATGTCGCAAGCATTAGCCGAACTTGAGGCATTCGGCGGAATTCTAGCGCGGCAATTAGGCTCATTTCTTGTTCCTGAAATTTCCTTTTCCTCTTTACACCTCGAAAACTAAGAGATATCCATCATGAGAGCGACCTTCAAAGTCCCTCGGGGCTTCTCCACTCCCCGCATACCCCATTGCCGACCCCGGATCTCCCAATCACACCTCCAGTCCAGAGGGCGTCGAGCAAATAGCTCAATTTCTGAGACCAGTAGCACCCAAAAAAGCTCTTCGAGATCTGGGTCATCCCCGAAGCCGCCTTTCTGGACTCCCGCGCGAGCACTTCTTGTCTCCGCATTTGCTGCGGGGTTGGGTTACGGCTTTGCCTCGTACAACCAGGCACCACAACCGGCAACCAAAGCGCAGTATGGATCATTGAAAGAGTTTGAGAAGGTACTACGACAAAAAATATCTTTTTTTTTTTTTCTTTCGGTGCGCTGACTGGCAATCAATAGGCAATCGCGGAATTGAGAGCGAAGCTAGGCGAGGATGCCATTAGCACCGATGAAGGCGACCTTCAATCGCACGGATACTCAGAGTGGTCAACTCTCAATGCCGATCGTCTTCCGGTCGCGATCGCATACCCGACATCGACCGAGCAGGTCTCGGAGATTGCAAAAGTCTGCAATAAGTACCGAATGCCCATGATCCCTTACTCTGGCGGTTCTAGTCTGGAGGCCAATTTCTCCGCGCCATACGGCGGAATGACCATCGATTTCGCTATGATGAATAAAATCTTGACGATCCACGAAGATGATCTAGATATCGTTGTGCAGCCTTCTATCCAGTGGATGGACCTGAATGAGGAGATCAAGCATACGGGTCTGTTCTTCCCTGTGGATCCCGGTCCATCTGCCATGATTGGTGGGATGGTTGGTACCAACTGCAGTGGAACAAACGCGGTGCGATACGGGACCATGAAGGACTGGGTAATCAATCTCACTGTTGTTCTCGCCGATGGCCGGATTATCAAGACTCGCAGACGACCACGGAAGACATCCGCTGGGTATAATCTCACCGGCATGTTTGTCGGCTCGGAGGGAACGTTGGGAATTGTGACGGAGGCCACATTGAAGTTGACTCCTATTCCTGAACAAACCCGAGTCGGGGTGGTAGCCTTCCCCACTATCCGGGACTGTGCTGCTACTGCGATGCAGTTGATCAAAAAGAATATTCCCGTGCAATGTATGGAGATCTTGGATGATGTGCAAATGGATGTGATTAATCGCGCGGGTGGGACTGGGCGCTCGTGGAATGTTGCTCCTACGCTTTTCTTCAAGTTCTCTGGGACTAAGGCTGGTGTCGCTGACAGTGTCGATCTAACGACGATACTCGCTAAGAGCAACAATGCTTCATCTGTTGAGTTTGCCAAAGATGAGAAAGAAGCTCATGATCTTTGGTCGGCGCGTAAGCAGTCGCTTTGGAGTATGATGTCGCTTCGTCCGGAAGGCTCTGATGTCTGGTCGACGGATGTGGCTGTGCCTATATCCAGATTACCTGAGATCATCGGTAAGTGCAAGCCTTCTACATTTGAGGTCAAGTGGTATATACTGACAGTTAAAGAAATCTCTAAAAAGGAACTGGTCGACCTTGGTCTGTTTGCCAGTATCCTGGGACACATTGGCGACGGAAACTTCCACGCTAGTATCATGTTCGATCGTCAAGACCCAGATCAGAAGGAACGGGTTGAGAAAGTGGTTCACGATATGGTAGATCGCGCTCTCGAGATGGAGGGCTCATGCACGGTACAGTATCTGTCCATCCACAATTAGACACTTGAAACTAATACTCTTTGCAGGGTGAACATGGTGTTGGTCTTGGTAAAAAGGGATCACTGAAGAAGGAACTCGGAGAGGACACCATTGATATAATGCGTGGGATCAAGCGATCCCTTGACCCACATTGGCTCCTAAACCCTGGTAAAATTTTTGATTTGGAGAGGGATCCTTGAAAATGAGCTGAGAGATCAATAAAATTTCCAGCCTCCATCGAAAATGTACTCAAATGCCTCGGTTATTGCACATAGGATGAATAAAATAGAATACATCTGGTGAATTCCATGTAAATGATCAGCACTGTCGACAAGTTTCACTAAGGCATGGGTGAGACTGACTACAATGCCAAGATTCCGGCTTTGAGGCCGAGCTGCATCCTTCATACTCGCCGAGGTCGGAGAGCAAGCCATGCAAGGGAAGATCATGTGGAGAAGGGCAATTTGACTCCGCATAATTGAAATCACATCCCTCGGCCTGAACCTTCCCCACGTTTTCAATTTCTTCAATAACAACTGAGATTCTACTTGATGAAATGGAGTTCAAATTGCCTGAGAATGATACTACATCAGCCCATATTGAGCTTCATGAAAAGCTTCCAGTCAAACAATGTCAAAATGCCGTGCTAGAAGTGGCACCATCAGAATACAACAGAATCTTACGAAAAGTCGACTGTCGAGTGATCCCTATCTTAGCTACTTTATACCTCTTGAGCTTTTTGGACCGAGGTAAGATAATTCGGCCTCATTTTGGAATTAAAAGTGTACTCACCTGGTGGGTTAGGTAGCATCGGAAATGCAAAGATCCAAGGAATGGCTACTGACTTGGGACTGGTCGGCAACCAATATAACTGGTGAGTCCAAATTATCATCACAACTGGACACGGTTTTACTAACCTAGTCCCAGGTGTCTTACAGTATTCTTTTTTCCATATTCGTTCACTGAGCCCGTTTGCAATCTTTTGCTGGTCCGATTGAAGCCTAGTATTTGGCTTCCATCTATAATGGTTGCATGGGGTATGATATGTGGTCCAAGCTAAAAGCCTTCAACTAAGACTTTTCAGGGATTGTGATGACTTTGACTGGGATTGTTCGAAATTACTCTGGTCTTCTAGCGGCAAGATTCTTTCTTGGTGAGTGAGATGACCTTTGATTTGAGGTATCTTTCTAATGTCTTTGATTTTCTGTAGGACTTGCCGAGGCAGGTCTGTGTAAGTCACTCTATACCCAGCCTTTGGAACACCCTATTTTTACCATAGAGTCTAACCCATGTCTTTGCAGTTCCTGGTCTGGCTTTCTACATCTCCCTCTGGTATCCACGTGCAAATGCTCAATTTAGACTTGCTCTGATATTCGCATCTGCTTCAATGGCTGGTGCATTTTCTGGTCTTCTAGCTTATCTTATCAGCATGATGGATGGTGTTGGTGGTCTAGAGGGCTGGCGATGGATGTATGTTTCCACTATGCTTACATAGTAACATGGATATTCTAACTCTCGGCAGTTTTATCCTTGAGGGAATCTTGACTGTCCTTGTTGCAGCTGTTTCGTACCTCTTTGTCTGGGATGAGCCAGCTACTGCAACATTCCTCACCGAAGACGAGAAGAAAGTTATTCTAGATGCTTTGAGGTATCCACAAACTGAGACCTCCACAAATGCTCAACTCGGAAGTGAACATTCTTTCAAGTGGAAGCATGTTACCGATGCGATTCTAGACTGGCAGGTGTGTTCTCTTCTATTCCCCCATACCAAGCGTAATTACCACTGACGAGGTATATCAAGACATGGTTTCATTGTATTGGGTATTGGGGAGTTGTAAGTAAAGAGGCTCAGCGTGCTTTCGCTGAATTGACAATTTGTGATAGGCCGTAGCAGTGTATGCGCTATCACTGTTCCTTCCCACCATCATCAGTGGACTCGGCTATTCAGCCGCCATTGCTCAACTCTTGACAATTCCGATTTACGCAGCCGCCACGATATCCTGTATCCTAGTCGGCTATTTTGCAGATAAAACCGGACAGCGGAGTTTCTTCACTTTTGCCTGCTATACTGCTACAGTTGTCGGATATCTCATCGCTGTTGTCCCGCCCACATTCTTACCTGGCTTGACATACGCAGGATGCTTTATTGCTGCATGTGGAATTTATCCAGGTATATGCGATCACTGACACATTATATCATTGCGCTAACTACATAAATCATCTAGCTATCCCTGGTCTACTGGCCTTGTCTTCAAATAACTGGGCACCTAATGCGAAGCGAGCCGTTGGTATGGCTATTCAAATGGGTTTCGGCACAATGGGTGGAGCTGCGGCATCAAACTTTTACCGGAGCACAGATGCTCCAAGGTATCGTTTGGGGCACGCTTTGGTGCTCGCATTCGCTGGATTGGGGCTAGCCACTATGGTATTATACTACGTTATATGTCGCAGAGTAAACGCTAAGAGGGAAGCGGAAGCTGATAGCGTTTATCAGTATACTTCGGACCAGTTGGTTGATATGGGTGACAAGGCACCAAGTTTCAGGTATAAGCTCTAAAAGGATTGATATGGTAAATGTCTCTGAGGTCATGTTATAGATTAATTGTGAGAAGATTACAAGTCAATGACATGTTGCCTCTTCAAATTTAAGGTTCTCATCTCGTGGCTTTCATTTAAGGTTTGGGTTGACAGAACTTGGCGTGTGTAACCTTGGTATAGTCGTACTTCCACAATATATTCATAACTGCATCAAAAGCCGCCCAGGTAATAATTAAGCATCGTTTAAGCCTTTACCTTCACAATCTCCTGCAAAAGCTCTGCCAGACGTTCCGGCATACTCAAAAATGGCGAGTGCGAACTTGGGAGACGGTAGGTGTTCTCCGGACCACCCATCTTGGAAGCAAATAGCTCTTGGAAAGAAGGAGGCAGTGCATGATCTTGCTCACACACAATATAGGCGCAAGGAATGTCTCTCCAGGGCTCATATGTTGACTCGCCGGAAAACACTGCACGGGAAGTGTGTAGTGACATCTCGTTCCACTTTTCTTGCTTTTCAAGGGAAAGATCTTGCCAGCCAATCGCTCCAGCACCATCTGCGAGGACGTAATCGCCCTGTTGACCGTTAATATCGTTTCCCGAAATATTTTAGCTTGCACAATCTGTATTCCCACATACCTCAACCTTCATCCAGGGCAGATAATTTCCACCCAGCATACCCAGCAAGCTTTGTCCCTTGTCAATGGCAAATGCGGCGAGGTATACAACTTTGATGACCCCACCAATTTTGCCTTCCTTCACACGGGCTTCTTTGCTCAGCCCTTCAACCGCACATGAGGTGACGACTCCACCGTAGGAGTGACCCACAACAACCAGTTCTTGACCTTTATCTGCGAGCTTCACCAACACCTCGCGGAGTGATGCAACATCATCAGACAATGTCTTGATAGGTGGCTCAGCACCAATTGAAGGGTGAGCGGGGCAGGCCGAAGGAAACCCGAGGACATCCAGGCGGGAGCGGGTGGCATCAAAGGTAGCCGGGATAATCCAAGCACCCAGCGAGAAGACAAATGTTGGGTTACTCATATTGAGATAATAGATTTGATTTTGAAGTCAAGAGGTAAGTTACAAAAATAAAAATAATAATACTTGAGGGCAACGGACCATATTTCAGTAGCGGCGTACTAGCGTGGCCATCTACGGGTTGAGGGGGAATTCCGGATATACATGTACCGAGTGAAGTTTTAGCGTCAATCTATGGATTGCGTGTTCTTGGCGTTCAGGGCGTCCAGGCAGACGGACCAGGAAATGGCCCGGGTGTTTCGAGAGGGAGCGCTAATTTTGAAGCGATAGTGGAACTAAGCCCTTTTTGAGCCGCCTATGGGTCCGGTGGCTAATGCCACAACTGAAATCGATCAATGATCATAGATCCGGAGAAGCGGACGGACGCTTCGGATCTTAGTGTGGATTTGTGCCTATCATAAATCGGTTGGTGAACCGACCAGGAATTAGTTCTTACTCGGCCCCCTGTTAGCGTCCTAGGTCTTGGGATAGCACCATCACATTGTCCAATCTGCGATTTCCTTTTCACAGGGGTTTGCCCAGACTTATTGGTGCCTTTCCCCGAATGCTGTCAAAAAAAAAAACCTTGAAATGCAATGACGTCTGACTACGATGAGCAGAGTACTCAGTCAAAGCAGCGTGTCACAACAATTGTGTTGGCCGTCTTGGCCATCGTCTTTTTGTGTCTACGACTGCTGGCTCGGCGAGTGAAAAATATCCATCTGGGGCCTGATGATGTGACCCTGATTGTGGGACTCGTAAGCCTCCCCCTCTTGCAAACAATGATTTCAGGAGATAGGATCTAATGTCGCTTTAGGTCTTGGTTTTGGTTGTTGCTGGGGTCAATCTTGCTTGTATGTTTCCGTTGAGTGCCATTGCATACTTTTGGGCTAACAATACTCACAGGTGTTGAATATGGCATGGGCCGACACACTAGCACCATCCCTGCCGATAGGGAGGGAACATTCTTCAAGGTGTGAATCAGAAATGCATTCCAACTCTGTCGCTGTTTGCTATGTCTCTAATATCTTCTTTCCACAGCTCGTCTATGCTTTCGAGCCCCTCTATATCACTACGGCCGGCATCATAAAAATCTCAGTACTACTTATGTACCATCGAATCTTTCCCGTTCGCTATGTAAAATTTGGTGGATTAATTCTTGCCGCCATCACTCTTGCTTGGGTTATCTCAATCGACCTCTTGGCTATCTTCCAGTGCACCCCGATCGCCAAGGCCTACGACCGCACACTACCAGGCCACTGCATCAGCCTTAAAGGCGCGCTCATTGGTAACGGCGTGCCAAACTTCGTGACGGACATATTCATTTTAGCCTTGCCCTCAAAGCTCATTTGGGGTTTACAAGCAAGTGTGTGGCAGCGCGTATCGGTTATCGCGGTGTTCTTGACCGGAAGTTTGTATGTGTTACCCAAAGAGTCAAGCTTTTCACCAGCTACCTACGCAGTGAAGCCTTAATTAGAAGCCTACTGACAGTATCCTTAGTGTCGTGTTTGCGAGCATCTATCGCTTCACCCTAATCTTTTCCTTCGAAATGACAGATGTTGCCTGGACACTCGCCGATGCGCAAACGTGGTGTGTTGTCGAAGTCGCAGCCGGAGTCATTTCAGCCTGTCTACCCACAACCGCTCCACTAGTCAAGATATGCACCAGGAGCCTTGTATCCACCGCTAAATCACTATCCAAGTCCAATCTGACTCAGTCAGGGAGCCGAGTGTTTTCACGGAACGCGGCAACCTCGCGTTCTATTAATGTTGAAAATAGTATCACTATTGATACAGACGATGCTCATGCTCATCGTGCTAGTAGTGCGAGCTTTGCATTAGAGAATATGAGCCCCCTGAGCAGCTCACATCTGAAAGGCAAAGGGTGGACGATGATAACCGCCGCTGAGCGTGAAAGTGACTCGAACTGACGATGGAATTATGGGCAGTTGGCTGTGTTTAATGGAGAGATATGAAAACTACTAATTTCAACAATTACAGCGTTATTCATAGAGATGACGTCTATAAAATGCATAATTACTTGATGGAAGATGTCTGATTCTAATCCTTAGAATAAGTTACTCATGCGTGTCTCGTGAGGCTTTTGTGATTGTATTTCTTTTTGTCTTAAGCCACTAACCTACCTTCTTTTTGTCTCTTTGATTTTTCTTTTTCCCCTCATGCAGAGGCATCGTATTGAATGGCATTCTGATGGACATGACTTGAAGCCCTGAGTTGGTTACTTATAGCAGCCATGGATTCGTGATTGGCTGATGCGTTTATATGCCACTGTCTTAGAAATTGACAAGGTAATACAGCTAGAAGACAACCAGACATACCATCTTAGGTCATCCCTTACAAGATTGGAATTGCTGATCCCGGGATTAGCAAACAAAGGAAGTAGGTTGATAGCAGACGTCAGACTATAAATATGTTTTATTGCTCTTCCAAGTTACTTATTCAAACAACCTAAGGCAACCCCAGAAAAAGCAGCACTAACACTCAACTCTTGACATTCACTCAACTCTTCCCCAACTCGCACTTCACAATGACATCCTCGTTCAAGAACGTCGCCATTGTTGGTGTATGTAGATACATATCCTATTGTTAGACGAAAAATTCCCTAATCAACTCTATCTAGGCCAGCGGATCCATTGACAACATTCTGCTTGACGGTCTCTTTGCGTCTTCGCAATTCAACATTACCGTCGTCTCGCGACTCTCGCCCAATAAACTCAAGCCATTGTTTCCTCAAAATGTCGCCTTTCTCAAGGCTGATTTATCGAACGTTGGCCTTGAGGCTGCTTTCAAGAATCAAGATTTCGTGATCTCGACTGTCGGGTCCGTGGGATTCAGGCAGCATAAAAAGGTGGTTGATGCTGCTGTGCGTGCTGGTGTCAAATGGTTCATTCTCTCCAACCTCCCAAACGACACTCTCGATTACCCGATCCCGGGGCTGTTTCATTTTTTCAGGGAGAAGACAGTCTTGGTCTACTACCTCCAGAATAAGGAGGCGGAAGATCTGAGCTGGACTGCCATCGCAGCGTCTGGTCTATTTGACTGTGTAAGTTATGCATATTGGTTTGTCCTAACTGAGCTGGTGGTTTGATGATAACTTTTCTATCGCCAGGGCCTTCGAAATAAATTTCTTGAATTCGATGTTGCAAACCGTACTGCCACGATCTGGAATGGTGGTGACAATGACTGTGAAATCACTTACGAAAAAGAGCCCACGCAGTCGGTTATCTCTATCTTACAGCATCCAGAAGAAGCCCGCAACAGGTGCTACTATGTCCACTCTGTGGAGATCACTCAACCAGAGATGCTCGCAGTCGTGGAAAAGGCGCAGGAAGCCAAGTGGACGATCGTTGACACCACGACGGACACACAAGTCGGCGAGGCATCTATGAAGCTGGAAAATGGTGATGCTAGTAGTGCTTTTGCATTAATTCGAGCTACTGCTACTGCTTATGGAAACACGCCTGACCTCGATGCAAAGTCAAGGTATGCCAGAGTGAAGGCGGCAGATGAGCTCAACAGATTCTTGGACTGGAGAACCGCAGGAACAAGAAGACGGTTTAGCAATTCTTATCGGAACCGATGTACTTGATGTAAAGGTCAATTTACAAAAATAATCTTCGAATGAGACATTTAAGAGCATTTCCGGAGAATGGCCACCAACTCCGTAGAATGGGGCCGGGTAGCGTCGAGGAACCAATCGGGGAGAAGAAGATGAAGGATTCAGGGCGGCTTACTCATCGCGGGGTTGGCGATATCGCATTCGGATCAGTTCGCCACATTTTAACCTCAACAACACGCAATTGGTAAGTACAAATGAGTTCTTATTATTTGAAGTCTATGGCTTTGGTATCCTGCACGTTTTATGGCTTCTATGAAGTGATTGGGGCCTTCCTTGCCTTGTATCCGATCCAATCCACTATGCGGGGCACTGGACAGCGCCTTGACTCACATCTCCGTGGCCCATGGTCACGATTAGATACGGAATGGATCTGGCTTTCCACTATTGCAATTTCTTGAATTCTCTATCTTTGGCTCTGTTAATCTGACTGTTTTCAAGATCATCCCACCTCTCCTACATATATCTGGCTCAAGATGACCACCCCATACCCCAAGAAGAAGTGCGGTATGTTTTCTTCCATAATGACTCAATGACCTCATTTATATCAATTCTGACATCTACTAGGTGTTCTCGGTGCCACCGGTTCTGTCGGTCAGCGTTTTATCCTCCTGCTCGCCGACCACCCCTTCCTCGAACTCCACGCCCTCGGTGCCTCAGAGCGCTCCGCTGGCAAGAAGTACAAAGATGCCGTGCGGTGGAAGCAGTCATCTCCCATGTCGGAGAAGCTCAGCAACCTCATTGTGCGTGACTGCAGAGCCAAGGACTTTGCGGACTGTGACCTTGTCTTCTCCGGTTTGAACAGCGACATTGCTGGCGAGACTGGTAAGCTTTCCTGGCAACATACCTAGGCTATAGAACAGCACTGATGGTCTCAACAGAAATGGAATTCATGAAGGCTGAGATCCCCGTCTTCTCCAACGCAAAGAACTACCGCAAGGACCCCATCGTTCCCCTCGTCGTCCCCACCGTGAACCCTGACCACATGGACCTGATTCCCCACCAGCGCAAGCACTTCGGCCTCAAGAAGGGTTTCCTGATCTGCAACTCTAACTGTGCTGTCATTGGAGTTGTCATTCCTTTCGCCGCCCTCCAGGCCAAGTTCGGCCTCGTCGAGGAGGTTGAGGTCTTCACTGAGCAGGCTACCTCCGGAGCTGGCTACCCCGGTGTGCCCAGCATGGACATCATCGACAACGTTATTCCCTATATTAGCGGCGAGGAGGACAAGTTGGAGAACGAGGCTCAGAAGATTCTGGGTGGCTTGAACGCTGAATCTACCGGCTTCAACGAGCAGGCCGGACTCCGCATTGGCGCCACCTGCACTCGCGTTGGTGTCACTGACGGCCACATGGCATTCGTGTCGCTGCGTTTCAAGAACCGCGACTCTATCCCCACCGCAGAGCAGGTCATGCAGGCTCTGCGCGACTACAAGTCTGAGGCCCAGAAGCTGGGCGCACCCTCCGCACCTGCGGACGCGATTAAGGTGTTCGATGAGCCCGATCGCCCGCAACCCCGCCTGGACCGTGACATCTCCGGCGGATACACTGTTAGCGTTGGACGCGTTCGCGAGGGCGCAAAGGGCGGCTTCTTCGACATTCGGTTTGCTGCCCTCTCACACAACACAGTTATTGGCGCCGCCGGATCATCGATCCTGAACGCCGAGGTGGCTGTCATCAAGGGTTACATCTAAAAATTGTAGATATGAAAAGTGGGATTTTTAGCGATGTTCAGTTATACCTAAATACACAGCCTCAAAGATAAAAGATTCGATAGAAAGAATAGACTTGAAAAGTCTTCATTGTTTTTATCTAATAATTCGCAATTATTACTTTCGATCTGCGTGATATGAAAAGTTAAAAGTCAAAATCAATTACATTTCCTAATCGGGAAGGTGGGTCTTGTTGACATAATCAGGTAACGGCGACCTGTTGTGGACTAGCGTGTCTAGGGCTCAAACCCACACGCACTAAGCGAAATCTCCTTGATCCTCAACGCGACTTGAATTCTCTAGTGATTGCGATACTCCGTCAACTCACCTCCCCATCTCGACAAATCCATCAAAATGGGCCGCGGACCGTAAGTGTCATGATGCCTCTCTCTTTCAGCCTATGCAACAATTCTTGGACTCGACTCTCGACTGCTCGCGTGCATTCCTTGTCGCTTGTCGAACCTTGAAATTCTGCATATCATGAATGAAGAAAATTCAACATACTAACACAATGGCTCTCTAGTAAGAAGCACCAGAAGCGCCTTAGTGCGCCCTCGCACTGGCTCCTGGACAAAATGTCCGGAACCTATGCGCCCAAGGCCTCCCCCGGTCCCCACAAGCTCCGGGACTGCCTTCCTCTGATTGTCTTCATCCGCAACCGGTACGACCTCGAACCTCATCCACAACAATTGCAACTGGGAAACTAACGTGCGTGTCGAATAGTCTCAAGTACGCCCTGAACGGTCGTGAGGTCAAGGCCATCATGATGCAGCGTCTGGTCAAGGTTGACGGCAAGGTCCGCACCGACACCACCTTCCCCGCTGGCTTCATGGATGTCATCTCCCTCGAGAAGACCGGCGAGCACTTCCGCCTCATCTACGATACCAAGGGTCGCTTCACCGTCCACCGCATCCAGGCTGAGGAGGCTGAGTTCAAGCTCTGCAAGGTCAAGCGTGTTCAGCTTGGCAAGGGCGGGATCCCATTCTTGGTTACGCACGATGCGCGAACGTGAGTTCTACTCCAAGTTCCGTGTCATTCAGTCGTTGGACCATGATTTGGTTGATCGGTTGAGGACAAACGAACAACCTGTTCCATATTGGATACAGTAAGCCCCATTTCAAAAAGAACAAAGGTTTGCTAACTTGTGACTCGCAGCATCCGCTACCCTGACCCCGCTATCAAGGTCAACGACACCGTCAAGGTCGAGATTGCCACTGGCAAGATCGCCGACTTCGTCAAGTTCGACTCCGGTGTTGTCTGCATGGTCACTGGTGGTCGTAACATGGGTCGTGTTGGTGTCGTCACTCACCGTGAGCGCCACGATGGTGGTTTCAACATCGTCCACGTTAAGGACGCTATTGACAACACCTTCGCTACCCGCGAGTCCAACGTCTTCGTCATCGGCCAGGAGAAGCCCTGGATCTCCCTGCCCAAGGGCAAGGGTGTCAAGGTATGTTTACAATCTGGAAACTTTTTCAATATGAATATAAGCTAACATGTTCACTAGCTCTCCATTGCTGAGGAGCGTGACCGCCGCCGCGCCCACGCTATTGCCAACTAAATGTCTTCTGACATTGGCAAGAAGTGTTCCGGTGTAACAAAAAAACATTAACCAAAACTGTAGCTTGGAAACGGCGTCTTGTCTGCTTTGTGGACTTGAATGATGCATCGTTCCGTAGTTTCAACCATAGCAAACAAAGCACTCGTTCCGAGTGATATGATACCTATTTAACGTTACCTTTTCTCAAATGACTTAATGATCGTACTACTTATTTCCTCGCCTTCTCAAACTCTTCCACATTGAATGTTCTTTTGCCTGGCCATTGAACCTCTTCACCTTGTCCCATGTAAACTCTTGGAATCGAGATATGAGTACGGCGCCCACCAACATTTGAATCTTGCTACGGTTACCAATGCAGGGCTTAGAGTGGCCTCTTTCTCCCCCAACTCAATTCGCTCAGCTATGAACTATTTTAAACCGGCCCAGGTACCCAGCCGTAGAAGTTACATTGAAGCTGAACTATGGAGCATCATCTACAACCTTACCCACACGTGCAGACACGAATGTCCAGTAAAGACTCGATTCCACAGCGCAATATGTACTTCCAAGGTTTGATTTGTCCATATGAACTATTCTAAGAACCAACTACCGCCCAATCTTTACAAGCTTATTATCCAGAGCTCGGCACTCCCGAGGCCTAAGCGCACCTGGAAATATATATCAAAACACACGGGAAACACGGGGAAGAAAGTTCCAGCTCAGCGCCAACCGTCAATTGGCCACTTCAAGTGGACAGAAGAGCCATAAAGTAAATCAGGAGATATTCCCACATCGGTCGATCTGCGACATTTGCCGAAGGCGTTATATAACCGGAGATGAGCGGCATCGACGCGCAGAGGATCGCCCCTCCTAGCGATGGATCACCAACACTCAACGACTGGTCCACAATATAGCTTCGCTAAGCCATCCTCCGAGAATCAGTGGGTCTTTGTGATGCAGCGACAAAAATTCCCCCGATGTGGGGAACGCACAAAGGCGCTATGTGTGGTCCGGCGTAATCCGTGGCCCAAGGCTCGCAAGCCCAGGCGCCAGAACTAGAGGAGGGGGAAGCGGAAACAATTTCCTGCGCAATTAGAGCAATGAAGCGATATATGCAATATGAACCTGTTCATCCACAAATAGTTGGTAGGGGCTACACTAAAAAGGTAGTTAGTGTTGACCGGTCTCCCGTGGTCGCAGAAGGGACCCTCTTCGATCGTGGCCGATCGACGTATTAGAGGACCGCTCACATGTGGGATCCCAGATACTACTGATCAGCAATTTCCACTCGACTCAGTTATTTCAGAAAGAGAAGAGTGTAATGCTCCAGATCACGGACCACCTCTAACCACATTCAGGCTTAGTTGGCTTATAATCGTGAGGCACAGGGGGTACAGTTGATGCGATGCCGATGCCAACCCCTCCCACTTTCTCCCTACATCTCGCAGATAGAATTTCTTCGTGCTCGAGCATCTGCCACTAATGATCTGATACATCCAATTTTACCCCAATCTTTCTCCACAGGAAAAAAAAAATCCGATATCAATTGCCACAGAACCGGAATATGCACAGCATAGCACCAGTGGATTCCTGGCGATGCAACATGGATAAAAGTTGATTACGTTGTAGCACTATCGTGTATGCAGTTCTAGTGCTTGAGGATCATACTTACGTGGATCCTGTGTAAGTGGCGGGATTTATGCACCTGCAGACAATGGGTTCCAGGAATTCAGACTTTCGCTTCCCGTATGCGATGCAGAAGGCTGCGGCAAAACGTATGGAGCTCACGGTCGTGTAGGTTTGCTCTGGCCCCCGCCACGGTGGAAGGTGATCCCTGGCTTAATGGGCGTCGGTGCATTGTTGGCTGCACCATATAACTCGATCGACCACTAACGAAGGTACTTCAGTGATGTAATCACATGAACAACTCATCGGGCTCTACTTATTTTACGGTCCGGCATGGAGAGATAGCGCGTTAGATGCCCATGCCATTGCTAAAGTACTAGCGAACACTGCGCAAAAGGCGGGTCTAGAACGCGTTCGCTTCGGAAATGACGAGCGGCGCTACTCCTGGCTGTGAGTACGAATATCGAACTTTTGAAATTCTGGATTTTCCTTTTTTCCTGAAGATCAAAAGCTGCATCATGAACTGATCTCAGAATATAGAGATTGATATAGTTGTCGAACAATGCTCAAGATCCACCCCAAATTCTGGGACATGTGGATCTACCGAGATCCCGTTTCCAGTCCCTTGGCCCTGGGTTCACCACAACGTCGAATTTCTGAGTTGAAAAAATCTCACGTGGCAACAGAGTTCAATGACGTTCCTGCGTTATCCTGTATCTTCCCATGGCGCTTGCTAGCGGCTTCGTTTTCGTTCTTGTTAGCGGGGCCATGCGCGTACGCCTCCCTAATACAAAAGGCAGGGAATAGTGTGTTTATCAGATTTTTGAATTAATTTACTTAGGTGTCCTTACAGGGGTTGATGCCATTCCAGCGGTGAGTCTTTAAGGACCTTCCCAAACATTCCTAGTGTCAAGGATTCAAGGATGTTTCCAGGTTATATCTTGTGGGCCCAGATACTCTAAAGTTGAGGCCTTCGGGTATGAATAGCGATGATCAGCGCTTCAGGGGAACAAACTTTAGGGCAACACGACCACTCGTTTTTTTTGGGTTCAATATTTCCCCAGGCTGGGTATATCAAGGATTTGAATTCTGGAGTCCATATTGATTTCACTTTCCAGTTTCCAGCGGTGTAGGTGTTATACTCTGCAGACCGCAACACTGGTCGAGGGACCAAAAAGAGGGGGTGGAGAAAGTATTGGGGTACTCCCGAAACCTACAGTGATTGGGGTTAATGTCCTTGATTGGTCACAGGGGAATGTCTGTACTGTAGAAACCCAAGGGAACGGTATTTGATTTGGAGGTTCTCCACTTTGTGACGCCCTCGCTGCATTTATCAATGGTTCTCGATTTGTATTTCATCATGATCATCGCTCGAAGCCCCTCGCTAAGGTTTAGTGTCTTTACGTTGGTTCCACTTGTTGCATATGAAATCATGGAACTTCGAATTTAGTCTCGATTTGGGATAACAATCATCTCATAAAAATGCAAATCAACTCATAAACCCAATGTTCCTGATGGTTCAGGGAGAACAAAGAAAGATAACCCTTGATAGTTAGTCGCCACTAACTCATGCCGGACTACACTACATCGTAGGTTTGCTTTTCTCCTCCAAATCAATTCCTTGTAAAAAGAACCATCTTCCAGAAGGTTTGATGGTTGACCGCTTCCCAACCGATTTCTCTATCGACCAGATAAGGTATGAACCGTTTCCTTAGTATGACATATCATGAATCGGACTGGGCTGCAACGGGTGCTCGGCATGAAATAATATTTTTAAAAAATTAAATAATTCACGGGATCCATTCGGTAACGAGCAGAAAGGTCCGCAGCTGTTACAGGGACCATTCTTTACAGTGGATCCTAGCCGATCTAAGCATACGTGTTTCTCGATGGTTAATCATTACCCCCTTTTTCCATCTATCGGGACTACCAGCAGGATGGATTAGCGCCCCCGTTTTCAATACGCCCATCTGCCGTGCCCCCCATTATAACTCTCCCTCGTGATGAATCCAACGTGGCGGGAACGTCAGGGATAAGAAGTTATTAAGGAAACCAATTACCCGGGTCTCCGAATATCCCGGAGCGTTTAATCCATTTTGCATCCACTCCATTCCTGTTTCCGCCACGTCTGAAACCCTGGCCTATACTTGGAATTTTCTATATTATTTGTGCCCTAGTCCATCATATTTCCATTTTTCCATTTTTCAATTTTCCGGTTTTTTTTTTATTTTTCAGTCGATTTTTATTTTCTTTTTCTTCTCGTATCCAGTCGACTCGATTGAGCGAGGCTATCTTGCGCAAGCCTCGCGTCACATGTACTTGTGTTGTGCCTCATAAGACCCCTGGCCCAGGTGCTGAGGTATTCGCATAAATGCAGTCTATGGGCACGGAAGACTCGGTCTTCCATCCGCCTAGATCAAGACTATACACCGGAAAGATTTCCCCAACGCACTGGCCCGACATGGCGACTCCTCTAGGAACGCAGATGATGGCACCAGTCGGAATGCACTCTTACCATTCACTCTTCGTGGTCAGCTCAGAAGTTCCCCGTCATGTCTTCACCTACCGGTGGTGGGAAGACGAAGCTACAACCGTGCTGTGGGCCTTCAACATTCCAGAGATCTGCATGGTGATCCGCTATGCCCTATTCCGGGATGAAAACCTCCCGCGCAGTGCGCTTCTGAGCCGTAACTATGAAACGGTCGATTCATTTTTGGTGGCGTTGTCTGATATCAGAGAGCATCAGTACCTCTCTGCTTTATCACATTTGCAGAGGGTGGAGGAGGTTTTGCGCCGGTCGAGAATACCTGTTGTCAAATCAATTGCTTGGAGCTGGTTCCCGCCGAGAGAACCGACTGACCCGAGGATAATTGCTAGTGCCATCGATATTGAGAGCCATTGCCAGTTTATGAGGATGGAGTTTGAGGAGATCGTTCGCGCTGCGCTGGGCTATCCTGCTCCGTCTGTAGAGTGGTTTCTACAGCAACATACTTCCCTCTATGTTCATCTCTTGGATCATCTGAAGGTATACCCAGAACAAATCTCGGTTTACCTAGAAGTGGAGAAGGTGTGTGTCTATTTTCCATTTGTCTTCCATCAAGCGTTGCCTAAACTAAAGCTTTGTGCTGTAGTATTTGCGGGGACGAAGTCCTTTCGCTTACCGTGCTGTGGTGCAATGTTTGCATACGCTTCTACCGGAGACAGCATTCAATGTTCGCATACCGAATACACCCGACTTAGAGTTCATTGCTGGTCCGATCCAGAACATGTTCAAAGATCAGCCTCCTAAATTGACGACAATCCTGAAGATGTTGTCTGTTTTGTCCGTTCGCTTTCGTGCACAATACAGCCAAACCCCGAAAATGGATTGGCACACTCCATTCGACACGACATGTCTGTTTTTGGAGGACCATCTGAGTGCGACATCTCCAAAGGATCTTGCGCATACCTTGGCTATTACCGATGAAGTAGACTTTTCACGACTTTCACGACAAAACATTCTCAATGGCGACGGTATGGCGAAAGAATTAATGGAAAACTGGCACACTATCAGCATGTCAGTTTGGGAGTGCTGCTGTGCATTACCAGACATGTTCGAGTCTTTACAAGAATGTGCACAGGCAAGTTCATCTAAAACAAAACGAAGAGATGCAGATCTAACAAAAAGAATTCAGACACTTTTCATCAAAAAGGACTACTATTCTTTAACTGCCATTCTCGAGGGTTTACAACGATTCTCCATCTCTACTGCTCGATCCCGCGGCTTGAACAGCAACCTTGGGGGTATGCTCGTTCTAGACGCTCCTATCCTACCGGAGGCTATTCATCTCATCAACCCGGTCCACAATTACGCCGCTTATCATCAACATTTCCTCGAGGATCCGGGTACCCCCTTTTTGTTCGCTCATTTCCGGGAATACCAGCAGCACGGTGAGACCGCTATTCAGCCGCTTTTCGACTATCTACAGGGCCTAGTTTCAAAAGCATTGTAATCGGCGCCACGATCGGCAATCGGCAGCACGCTGATGGCTAAATCGGGCGAGCAAAAAAGAAAAAGACGATGTGTGACGTGCATGGAATGTAGGTGATCATGCTACTCATGGGACTGGAGAGTATTTCAAATGTTTGCGATAATGGCAGGTTATGGTACACCCTCTTGGAATGATTTCATTACTAGGAAGGCTTCATCTTGATCTTGACTTGGGAAACAAAGATCGACGAATTCTTGTTAGATTGCTTTATGCATTGTACTCTGGGTCTGTCATTTGGTCATGTGTATGTATTTGCTATCGTTATACCCATGCTAGCTTAAGTAGCATCCGCAGGACGGGGGCGTCGGGCGTTGCATGAATCTGGAAAGACGGGATCTTTTTTAGGAGGCTTTTCCCTTGATTTGCTGATATCATGTGTATGTTTTGAGTTTTGGGCTTATTTCCTCTTGCTCTATAACAAGCCTCCTTATGAATCGTGACCATAATTGGGCTCGGCACGCTGCGCTCCAAATCTAGATCGATCCAATAATATCCATATTCTATGCAGACCTCCTGGCCATAGGTCAATAATTGTTTGGCCTTTCTTTCTGGGCTAAAGTGCCGCTACAAATCAAATCGGATCCATCGATCCCGGGACGTCGGCCTTTAGCGTCGAATCAGATCACTTATAGCTCCCGAGCCAGCGTCATGCGACACGCATGAAACGAGACAAATGCCGAAGTGTCGAATATAGGACAATTTAATACAGCGCGCAATAGGCCGGCTCCTAGTCCTCCGATTCAACCCGCATAAAGTCAAAAAGTCATCACCTAGCGATAACAACGAGCCAACGGTCGGATTCATCGTTGGGTGGATTCACTCTTTCTTCCCCGCAATCTTCGGCGCCTTGGCTTGTCCAAAGACACCCATGAAGTAAAGCACTCGGTTCACGAACAGGAACGCGGTAGCTCCGATATTTCCCCATGTTAGCGCATTCCAACCACCGACATCCACAAACGCATCCCAGCCCATCGCGATGTATGTGGCGTACACATGGCCGATATCGGCGATCGCCAGAGCAATCAGGTAGTTTCGAAGAACCTTGGGCTCCGTAGTTGCGTGCAGCACGCCAACTCCGACGAGGAAAAGGAGGTTGTAGAGGTTGCCTAGTTGGTAGGCAAGTGCTACACTGCTGGGATGTTGGAAAGTTGGGGCCGGGACATGGGGTGTTTGGCCGTAGATGAAGCCGTTGAGATCGAAAATGGGGCTGAGACTGCCCGCGACTCTATCATTGGGAGCGGGCGTTCGGTTAGTTCTTTGTTGTTGTGCTGATTGTCGGGTTCAGGGGGTTGTACAAGGAGATGGGCTCAACAATGCCGAAGATGATGTGGGGCCATGTTGGGAAGATGGTAGGCATTTTGGAAATGTGCGAACTGGAGAATATGTTCGCCTTGGTTTTGGTTGGAGCTGGGTTTTGGATGGTTGAGGGAGGATGTGGGCCGCTGATTAAATGGTGCTGTGGGAGAGGGCGTGCTTTGGGTAGCTCAATATCACAGTACTAAAGGTCAATTTCGATGTGAAAGAGTAGAATTGGGGAAAAGGTCCCAAGATATTCGCGAATCGAGAGTAGCTGAAGATCGATCGAGCTCTCCGCGTTAACGTGGATCTGCTGACGTAGATTGCGCTAGTGGTCTTTATTTTCACCCTAATGTTATCGCTCCTTATCGAAGCTTCACGCTTCAACTCTTTCGTCTTATTCATCATTCATTCCGAGTCATCTAGTTGTGCACTATGGCTAGCCCGATGGCTTGCAATTCAATAGCTGAGATCCATTAACAAAGTGATTGATGAAAGAGTATGGATTCTAGTGGAGGTTTACGGCCCCTGGATGAATCATTACTTCGCGAACTTCCCCAACTTTCCCTGCGTATCGCTCCGCTGCGGGAACCTGTCTCATCTCGTACGCTCAGCATTCCATCTCCCCTGGAGCCAAATGCAAGTGGATCCAGGGATTCCAACGCCATCTCAAAATCTACTTCGACCGGTGGAAATGCCCCCACAAACTCGAAAGCGGGTCTGCCAACAGTGACCGAGTTTCTCAATGCTGCACGAACTAAAAAGGCCGAGTCTGCCACAGACCCTCAATCAAATGTGGAGCCACCACCCAAGCCGATTCTCCCCGCATTTGTGAATCTGCGTGCGCTGGAACGTTTCCCATTCTCTTCTTCTTTTGACGACGACGCCCTTCACGGCACACGCAAGCGCCGCCGCTTAGACCTACCCGAATCGTTTAGCGAGCACCTGCAGCTTCCAATCCCACAGGCACAGAAAGAGCAACGTCCTCCTCCCTTTGGTCCTTTTGCTATCTTGAATGGATTGAATGAACCTCCGCCCAATGCTGCTCTCCTTCCTCCTATCGAAGCAGGCTCGATCCCTCAGCTCTTGACGAAACCGTCTCGGGAAGATGCTGCGGTCGATCCTGGTATAGTCTCCGCCAATGGCAACCTTTCAGAGGGCCAACCCATAGAGCGGAGAGAAGCGAGAATCGAGGAGCTGCTCGGCGTGACCCTTGATGACCACAATGATGATGTACATGATCATGAAGACGAACGAATTACTCCATCCGAAAATCCAATCATTAAGTCTGTCGTCTCTGATGCAAAAGTGCAAATCTCGAATGAGATAACCTCGACTCCTGCCACGGGTGACCGTTTGTCCCCCAAGACTCGTGGCAGATCTCGTAGGAATGTGAGGAAATGGACCGAGGAAGAGACAAATGATCTCCTCCGGGGTGTGGTGAAGTGCGGTATTGGTAATTGGACAGCGATATTGGCACAGCCAGAACTCAAGTTCAACATGCGAACAGCTTCTAATCTGAAGGACCGGTATGGATTCATGAAATCGCCCCACTATCTTCTCCTGATACTCATTTTAAAATAAAGATTCCGGGCCTATTGTCCATGGGCATATCGGTAAGTGGATCGCAACAAAAGGCCCTATCTTATTTACTAATGTTAAACAGCGCGTCTGATCCAAATGAAGCAACCAAGGCATTGCGTGATAAGCTAGCCAATGACCTTCTCAAATCTCAAGCCGAAGCATCTGACGAACCCTACGGCAATATTCGCCTCCCGATCCATTCACCTACAAATGTGGGATCTGCACCGAGCCCTGGGGCGGGAAATCCAGACACGAGCGCCCACAAGCCAGCAACCTTGAGCGTACCATTTGTTAAGCCCGAGAATAATCTAGGAAGTGGCACCCCGACTCCTCAACAGTCGCCCCCACCCACGGGCACAGAAGCTTCCAGCAAATCCAAGACAAGCCTTGAATCTCTCGGCATCCCAGAGCCATTCGTTTCAGTCAAATCAAAACGTCGCTCGCGCCGGCCATTCACCACCGCGGAAGACGAAGCCCTTCTCAAAGGCTACGCCGTTCACGGCTTCCAATGGACCCTCATTCAACAGGACAAGAGGCTCAACCTCAGTCACCGCAGAGCTACCGATCTCCGCGACCGCTTCCGTACGAAATTCCCACACGCTTATCGAGACGGAGGCTCTGTCAATGGCAAAGCTTTGATTCCGCCAAAGCTGGAAACTGCCAACAGCGATCCTGGACCAGTTACTCGAGATCGCCCTGCCAGCACTGAGTCTACTCCCACGAAAGCTCCTCCAATAGTTCACCGGCACTCTGATCCGCATATTCATAGTCGACAGACGTCTACCGCTTCGCATACCAATGCGGGCACCGGCCCATTTGACCCATCCTTTTTACCGCCCCCGCAGGGCTTCCTTGAGTCTTCCGGGAATGCACTTTCATTCTCGTTAGATGAGAACCCTGCCGGGCCATCTTCGCCCTGGGAGGATAACACGCTTGCTCCTATGATCTGGGATGACCTGGGCTAAAGAATTCTGGGAAGAAAAAGAAAAAAAGAAGAAAAAAAGAAGAGCAAAAACAACACAAAAGTATTGATTTGTTTCCTATCTGGTTTTGATTCGTTTGCGAACTCCATCGCATTTCGGCATTTCGGGTGTTTTGATTTTTGGTTTTGACTTTTTTGATTTTTTCTTTCTATATCCCGCAGTACACGATGGCTTCTCCTTTTTTCACGCGCAACTTCCAAAATTAGACAACCAATCTATTGTCAATCAATATGTTCTCTATCTATTTGGCTAGACTCTACCTAGTGTTTGTGCCCGGACTGGTTCCTGTGTATGAGAAGGAGCCAAGAGTAAGGTAAAAGTAAAGTTTACGTAGTTCTAAGACAAAGAAAATGACCATGGATTTGCTCTGAGACCTTGCGCAAGCAAACTCGTTCCTTTCCAGGATGTGCTAGATGTTTATACCATCCTGGTGCTTTCTCTGGGAAATCTCCTGGACCACGTCCTCATCATAACAGTGCTGTACTTTGTGGTTTTACTAGTAATACCGTGAGAATCCTAGCGTGGCTCTACGCGACCTTTGACCCGTAATGTCCAACTGCAAAGTCAGGCTTGCGTCCGATCTCTTAGTATCCTTGAGCTCCAAGACCGGGCTGATAACCTGGCTGCGCTCGAGGGCCGAGGCTGGAGGCAGATCAGAGAGGGAAAAGAGAAAGAGAAGCACACGCATTTGTCAATAGGTAGGGGTCATCAATAACGATATGAAGATGACAGAATAGTATTCTATTCTGTGTATGTCCAAAAGCAAACGAGAACAAAAATCAAAAAGTGCTGATCTGTTCCTGAAGCTGGTTACCTGCTCTGATAACCCCCGCAGCGCAAAACCATGTCAACCACTAACCTCGAGATACATGAAGAGAATATCTGCTAGGTCTGCTGTAAACCCCAGAATTGCCCAATCCGTAGTCTCTTCCAAAGCAGCCTCTGTTTGCTAATCCGAACTTGGCCTGCGAGTGATGCCCATGAGACCCCTATGCTTCTCAACTTGTCGTCTGGCAGTGCTACAATGAATGTATCTACCGCTTTTCCTCGTTCGTAATAGATGTCAAGTTGAAATCGTTCCGCACAGCAATCTACCAAATGTCATGGATTATCCAGCCACTTGGTTGTGGATTATGACTGCTGCGCTTAGCTAGCAGCATCGCAGCGTTGTCGTTGTCAAGACGTACCTCGATAGGTTGTAATTTACCTCCATGTCAGTCAGGCAAGATAGACCATTTAGCGAGCTCCCAGAGCAACAGTGCATCTCTTGTCCTGGGGTAGACAATGGCCTCATCCCGTCGAGTCGTGACTTGTGTCGTGAAGCATATCGAGCGACTCGTCGAAAGATGTGAGAGACGTTTTATGTTTGTTATCGAACGTCTTCATCCTGAAGTATATTTTAAATGTTGTATATTCAACTTGAGAAAAAGCAAGGGGGGGTTTGAGAGTATCGGGTAGTTAAGGTAGCAGTCTGGACATTATTAATAATGATTCGATAGTGAGAATAAGTAGTACTTACCCCGTTTGACGTAATTTCCGTAGACGTATCTGATGCAGTCATGCTTGGAGATGGAGGACGATGAGATCTCAATCTAAGTTTTTCAATGACCCGGTCTGTGTCACGGCCTCTTTGGCCTCTTGGAGGATCATGACCGGGACACAAACGTATTTTTGTCTGCCGTGAGTACGCCCCAGTACGACTTATTTATCTCGCCGCAGCAGGACTCGTATATGTTGCCTCGCCACCTTTGATGAATATCTCCTTGCAGCCTTTCCAGCACATTGTCCACCATAACTTCGGCGGATCGGTACATGCGCCGAGGAGGCCTGGCGAAACCTTTGGTGATGACTGTAGCTGCCACCGCCCTTATAGACTCCAGCAAAGAATGTTAAAGATATAATATGCAATATATTATATATGATATATGATGTATTATATGCTTGTGATATGTAGGAAGGAGAGAGGTCTATCTGACAGAGGCACGCTTTTATACGTGATTGTGGCGTCATGTGCCTAGATGATTACAGGCCAAACAATTGCCATCATGCATCTTCAAGTGAATGCTAAATACCCAAATGAAGTCTCTGATGTGTCATCGGAGGTCAAGTTGAGACTTGAGATTCATGATTGGCAGATCAATGCAAACCCGAAGACTTGCCAAGCCAAGCTTCGGCTAATCAATATCATGCAGCTTAGTTTTCATGATTTCAACGTTCCTAGAACAAAAACAGCAAAACAAGCCAAGGAACTTTAGTAAAGAGATCAAATAATCAAATGATAATTGGATATCAAGAACATTCAAGTGCCAAAAATAGAGACCATCACATAACGTACACCTGTCTACTACTGCTTTTTCGCCTTAGGACATAGACATGGACAGTCGCGTCGCCGAAGAAAGACAATGCAGTCGCGGCCGAGCACACGATGCTGATGAGAATAATAGCAGAATGGCAAAAAACTCATCCTGGAAATCAAAGGCAAAAACAAAATTTTGGCTAAAGCCCATAGCGCTCAATTTGCTTCGTGGATGGAACAAAACAAGAAAAAAAGGAATTAAGACTCAACCCCCAGAATCCACCTCAAACCTATATACAAGGCGAGCCTACCAATCTACCACGCATTGCGGTCCCAGTTCGGATCTAAAACAACTGAGAGTTAGCAAGTCTCCCATGAAATAAATTTCAACCATGACCATAGCCATAGCGACAGAGAAAGTGATCGGAATAACCCACCCTGTATGAAACTAGCCAACACCTTGCTCCCCGTCTGCAAAAGCGGGTGTCCCGCCACAATCTGCAGGAACCGCTGAAGCCCCTCACGGCGGTGCTCAATGACGTCGTCACTGAACCGGTTCGTGAATACCTTGCCGGGCAGCGGGGGAATAGTAACCCGCGTGCTCTCGCGCTCGAGGATATCGCGGAAGTACTCAAAGTCGGAGTAGCGGCGGCGCACGACCGAGTGCTTCAGCTTGAACGCGGGTATGTTGGTCCGGCAGACGATTTCGTACGAAGTGTACATGTTCCGAGATGTGCCATGGGTTTGGGGATTGCGGACCTATAGATTAACAAGGAGAATATGTTAGTGAACTGGCAATCCATTTCTATCTTGCGGCGTGGAATTCAGGACGGGTACGCATTTGGGCTGGACTGGGCTGCATTGGCATTGTGGGGTGCGGTGCTGATGGCACGCGACATGGGGTACATGTCTTGCTTTGGCCTTGGAGTGACAAGGGTGGTGGGGTTACGTACCTCGATCTCAAGGAAGTTCTCCGGTGGTCCGTAGATCTCCTCGAAGGTCTGCTGGCGGGACTCTGGGACGTGCTGCATGGTGGGGCTATTTGAGAGAGGAGACCGGGGCTTTTTCTAAGGGAAACAAATGCCCGGGTGGGTATCGGGTTTCAGGAAGGTTAATGGGCTTTAGAGCAAATTGACTTACGTCTCCGCACGGAAAGGCAAGCGAGAGAAGCGGGGGATGTGATAAGGGAAAATGGTTGATCCGCGCTTATCGCTTATCGCTTCTATCTATCTTGACAGGAGCTTAGCTTCTCTTTAAACAAAACTTAAGACATGGATTATTTCAATTACTTCATCCTGCGAATTAGACAGACTCAAAAATCATTGAAAGTCGCGGAAATACAAGTCTGGCCCCATCAATATTTCAGAAATATTTAGGTTTTCATTCATAAACACTCATCGGGTTGAGACTTGCGTTCCAGCCTATAGATCACAATTTGGAAGCCATAGCCTGACCCTGAGATCACTTTTCGCTAAAATCGAATCGATTATGTTGGTAGAGCGATCGCTCGCCTTAGATTTCACTTGTCACAGTATCCTCAATCAAGAGCCTTGACAATGGCACCGGGGCAGCGCCTAGATATTGGAAGTCATTAGCCCAGCCAGCGTTCCAAGATCACAATAATGGGCAGCAGCTGGTGACTGAGCTTGTCTTCTGAAACCAACATATCCTAGCATTGAAAATCCACCCCACACGGATTGCCTCAAAAGGACGCAAAATTCTGGCCAATGCAAACATAAAGTCAATTTTTAGCCCAGCTGTAAAAGTGTTTCATGTTGAATAGCAGAACCGAATGAGCCTCTGGGGGATCACTTTCCGGGCGATGTAAAGAATTGGTAAACAGTTCACTCGAACAGACAGGGCATTGGACTCCTGAGCAGTAAAGAACTCGTTTTGAAAGGAGGCAATGGTAGAACGGATTGATTTGTCCATCATTCTCTGGTGGCGGGCTTGCATTTTGATCGAAGCTCGCAACGAGAACACCGCACGTGTAATTCAATTTTTGCAGTCCCAAGACCTCGGCACATTTTATCATAGAGTACCGAGAAGCTCTTCAGTTTACCCAGAGTGGTTCACAGGTCCTAGGTACACGTCCTCCACGCCCGCATGGATTTGTTTTTGAGCGAGAGAGCCCCATAAGAATTAGTATATACTGGGCCTCCAGGCCATATAATCTCCATTTGAAGTGTGTCCGTCTTGTACGAGGGTCTGGAGACTGAGCAGTGTTGTGACCTGCGAGGTCTTGATGGAACTGATAGCATACTTATTGTGTGGTGCCTCAGAACCTTTCGGGAGGTATAGATGTGGATAAAGCGTATGTACTTGCAAACCAGTGAATATAGAGGTGAGTGAAGTCCTGGAGCACCGGTTGCGTGAATAAATATAAAGGCACCTGGGTAGTGTACAGTTGATTGAGAGAATGATGTCGAAGTGGATGATGATAAATCTGAGGCAAACAAGGAACAGGCATGCAAACGAAAGTCTTAGAAGCGAATTCAGTCAAGCCTCTGGGCTGTCAGTTTCAAAGACACATGCTGGATTCTAATAGTTCGCTAGGATAGAGCTTTCCCTCATCTTTGTTATCTTTTGTTCTCGACATACATTTGAATTTGACATTCTATTTCTTCCAGCTCTAGTCCAGCTAAGAAATGACAAGACGAATACTTCAACATTTACCGAAAAAGATTCTGAGGAAAGTACCTCCAAAAATTGCTCGGTGATTCTAAGACGATCTAGATTAAATTCATCATATTAATATTGATACAAAACTTAAACCGCATTGCTCCCCCTCAGCTGATCATAGGAGGGAAGTCCCGGTCCCTCAGAATGATTCTTAAAATGGGCTGCTTCCGGTTCCCTAATGTAAGGCGGCGGAGGTGTCGAAGCCCTGGTAATCTGTTCAGCACGAGGAGCCGAAGGCCGAGGATGAGCTCGCGGCGGAGGGCGACCTCTATTAGGCTCGCAAGCTGACAATCTATTCTCCCCACGATAAGGATTGTTCTCCCTGTCACGAATGATTCCCTTCAGAAAACAGATAATCACAACCAACGCTATACCAACACCAGCACATATACCCATTATTGCTTGCCAGGAGATTCCGTTCGTAGGCTGATGATATCCGCCGTATCGTTTGGAAAGGTGATTGATCGTACTTCTGAGACTGGCATGAGCTCCGTGAGGCTTATAGGGCACTAAAGTGGATTTATTGAGTGTCTTCAGGTTGCACCATTTCTGGGACTTTGAGAGTACAGCTAAATGATCATCGATTAGCAGGAGTAAAGTTTGGGCTGGAAGGCATGGAACTCACACTCGACAGTCCCAGAGCTTGCATCTTTCATGCAGTGGATTACTTGATTGAGAAATGATGTGTCTTTGAACCATGCGGCACTGTTTGTGTCACACGGTGGGGTGTAATCAATATCTTGAATACATGATAACTGCATATTGTTAGATTAGTCAAGGTCAAGTATGAAGTTTTGGTATAATATTTCACATACAGCACGATCATTAACGTCGTTTGATTTGTGAGTCAGTAGACGAAAAGGACTATCTGCTGCAGCAGATAGAATAGTTCCTGCTATAGCAAGCAGTAAGAGCCTCATGGTGAAGGGAATGATCGACGTTCAGTATAGTAAGCTCGAGAGAGATCCCTGATATTTTCCATTCTTCTAGAAACAGGGATTTGTTTCCACTATTTAAATTCCCAGGAACTGAGCGAGGCACAGAGCCTCTGAGGCATTTCAATGTGGCTGTGGGGATAATAACTCAACCTTGTTGATTGGCGCGCACGGACGGCTCACCGGCACGGGCAACGCAGAGAATAACCCAGACTATTTTCAACTTACATTGGACCCATAACATTGACACATAAGGACACTCAAATATTATTCTAGGATTTAATACCGAATTGAAGCCTGAACCTCGTGACATTGAAGCCTCCAAGGCTGTTTCTCAGTGTTTTGGGCTGTGCCGACTTCCGGCTCTTTGGTCCTCAGGCTTACAGCCTTGTCAAATACTGTGGGTCCCTAAGCCCGAACCAATACTATCGTCATCTTTCCTTCCACCCCCAAGAGCTTGGCGCCATTCCGATTCGAATACGCGATTGAATATACTGGTCCTATTGGTCAGTTTTCCGGGCGAGCGCCCCAAGGGTATCCTGGGGCCCTTTTGGGGAAGGCCAAGTTTGTCTCACGTGTCTGTATATGTCATAAAGGCTGGCTGTCGGACTCGAGAAACGCCTTGCCCATGGTGGCTGGATAATTAGCTAGAATAGCAACGGGGCGCTTGCTCGGCGAGAACCCCAAAGTTCGTATTTATCTCAAATGGTCTTGGAATAAATTAATGCGCCCAGGGGTATAGGGATTGTCTTTATGAGACTGATAAGTCCAAGCGTTTACTAATACTATTCATTGTTGACATTCGTGGTCGTCGTGACGAATATTGGAGTCGGCGATATTGTTCGAGAGGTAGACACTGTGATACTACTCGAATCGTGAGTAATTCAAAGGCAAAATGAAGGATTTAGCTCCCAGTAAGAGATATGTTCTCTTTCGGACTGATCATAATATGTCACGGGAATGGATTTGGGATTACCTAGTAAATACGTAGGCTATTATGTATTCACGAGTACATCCACGGTATATCCGCGGAAGGAGTTATTTAGAAACTTTCTAACCCACCCCTTCTCTTTGCCTCGCCATCACTGCCCACATTCTTGAGTACATCGACACAGGACCTTCTAACTACGGAGTACTATGACATATGAAAATGGGCAAGTATCTGATGTCATTTGAGGACAACAGTTGTCTGACAACATTGGCTAACCTTGCTTATAGAGGGATGTCAGTGTCCAGACTGTGAGACTTCACCTATTTCAGCTGTCGAAGATGCGATGTCGTCCACTACCATTGATGATGAAAGATGCACTACCCCCACTTCTAGTGATACATGTGACAATTCTGATAAATCACATTTGACTCGGCGCTACCTGGACTGCCCTTGGAAAGGCAGAACATTCATTATCCGCGATTCTGTCACACATCTTGTGATCGGGCTTCAAAAGGGCAATATTGAACTTGTGCCCGATTATCACAAGCGGTGGTGTGGTGTCTACTGGACATGCGTTGAATCTGAAAATATGGCCATGGGGTTTCAAAATGTGATCTCCGGCACCTTTCTAGGGCAACGCGATAGCTATCGTCAGGAACCTGTTATTGCGGACAAAAAATACCACGAGGACAATGAGGCATTTTGTGTGCGACAACATCCTTCTGGTGGCTATATCATCCTCAAAAAAAAGGGAGGTGGATTTTTACCGATGCGGATAGGGTCGGGTAACACGCTCCAGGTCGGTCCTAATCGAGATGAAGTTACAATATGGGAGTTTATTCGAGTTGACAATGATGTTTGAACTTTTATTGCTCTCCAATCATTGCTTGATGTCATGAGGATGAGCCACATGGGGATCATAATCTACCTAATATCTATGGATGTTAAGAAAAGGGTTATACTCGGAGGATGATAAGCAATTCTCATAGACTTTTCTTGGCTCCTTTGAACTGTCTAGGTGACTGAATGTGGGAAGTGTTTCTCAATGGCCCACCTCACTCAAATATTGCTTTGAGGGACATCCCGCCCACTATATTACAAAGAAAATCCTAGACAGTAGTTCTTCTTTTAAGCCCCATTCCCCCCATGGAAATAACTGACAAGCAATGTGAGCTTTCTAAGGTCTACAATGGCGTTGAAATTATAATTTTACCTTCCAGTCACAGCAAAACCAAAGCGTCATTTTCGACTAACGGTGAAACCAATCTAATATTACAACCTGTTGACTACTATTCTATGTATTGCTGACCCAGTCTATTATTGCACAGGAGATTGGCAGATAATCTCAAAATTTGAAACAACCATGCGCGAGAATTCCGCGTCCATCAGCCTTTTGTCTCCTGCACCCCGTTTCCTTTGGAGCATGCTTATCAGCTCAACCAACCGCCCATCGACTGCACGCCGGGAGGTCTCAAGGTCCTCAATGCTTGCTAGAGGAGAAACCTTCAGTCAGTATCTGTTCGTGCTTCAAAAATAGGGCACTTACCTGGAGTTGATTCTTGTGATGTCCTTTCTCCCTCCTGACCATTTGGTTTGGAAGGACTAGAGCCATGGCTTTCTATTCCTTTCAGGCTCCTCACTCCGTAGCTTGCCGTTTCACCCATATAATAAACGGCTGATTCAATGTTAGCGCATCATTATTGTGGTCAGGGGCGAAGGGGTTGCAGGCTTACTCTTGAATGGTAGAGCTGCAATTTTCCCGCAGAATACTGCTGAACTGAAGCCTATGGTCTTAGCCACTTTGATGGCTATATCTCCTTTTGTCTTTTCGATTTTGACCTTTCCATTCGTGGTATTAGCGGCATCGTTACCCTGTAAGCCTCAGTCATTAGAAGTGAAACCTGTGGGTTTGAAAAGAATTTCCTTACCTCACGCCACTTATAGGCATCTGAGATGTGCGAAACTGTCGGTTTGACGATGGCCTTCATCAAGCTTTTGCTGACAGATTTCACTTCGTCAAAAGCTGACAATTCTTCTTCCTGTACCTCTTGTTCACTTTCGGTATTGTATGTCTGACGTTTGATTCTAGTTGCAATTTTTGTCAGAAACTGATCCTTGAATGAAATCGAAGATATCGAAACATACAACTCCAATCCGGATATTCTCATCGCTTTCACCCTCATCAGAATGGCCACTGCTACAGCTGACAACTTTATTGATGGCCTGGTTCTCATTTGGTATATCGCAGGGTCGGTTTTTGTGACACAGCATCTGAAGTTATCCCATTTCAGATGAGAGTGAAAAGAGCTGACTGCATTTTCGATGGCATTCTCCTGCTGAATCTGCAGACTTATGCGCTGTACAGCTTCTCTCGTCTCGGGTCGCAAACAATAGCGCACTGCTTCGACCAAGGTTTCGGTAGAGCAGTCGTTCTCTTGAATAGGTTCTGGACCTATGCAAGACCTGTGGATAGCTGAGGACCAGAAAGGTTGGCTGGGACTAATGTTAGTCACAATACCAATTGGCAATGTAAGCCAGTATCACTCACTCTCGAAGAAGGGGAAACGAGACCATCGGCTTGCCATAACGGATTGCTGTCGATATTGTCGGAACATTACCATGCGTAAAGACAATGGAGACACGGGGTATGAGCCAATCTATCAAGGTTGTGAGCTATCCAGCTGATGAGAGTTTGCAAACATTGCTCACTGACCGGTTGGGACATTATCTAATATGAAAATCTTTGAAGACTCCGATATGCCGCTGACTGGGTGGAAGCTGCTTGGTAAGAGGAATGCAAAACCGTATCTGTCGGAGGCCTCTCTGAGATATCGCACAAATCTTTCTGAGTTTCCAAGCAGAGTAATATCTAATGAGATAAAGATAGGTGCCGGTGTAGAGTCGAGAAAGTGTACCAGCTCGTCCGAGGGCATGAAGGTAGAATGGGTCTCTAGGTTGACGTAGCCGGAGACATCTAGAGCAAATCTGCGATTAGTGGAGTAGGTGCTGAGGTAATCTTCTGCTACTTACCGATAGTATCGTTCCAGTCTGCTGGCTTTGGAAGGAAGTCAGATGACCAGAGATATGTGTGAGGGATATTCAGTTGCCTTAAAAGCGCCCCTCCGCCAGTGGGGACTCCAGGGAGGCCAAGAATCCCTTGCCGGAAATGATCAACAACATGAGAGACCCTATGGTTCGTTTAGCCTGAGAGCATGCGTGTGTAGTAGAACGTCGACTTACTCATGCCATAATGATTCCTCAATCAACAAAAACGAGAAGTAATTTTGCATGTCACGGTCAATACAGTCATCTACCTGGATCTGTGCTAGAGGATTGGCAAATTCTCTAGTAGGCGTCCAAGGTGTAGTCGACATGATGTGAAGAGGGATCGACAAGCGCTCAGCACAATGAATGTGGGCATGGGCAAAAGGCGTTGCAATAATAGCATCAGCAAAAAATGGTCTATCTTTCCACAAACCAGGATGGGTACAGGCAATCCAACATGCTTTCAAGGTATCAATCAGGATTTTGTTGTTCTTCATGACTTCAGCCTTCTTGGCATTGGCTAAGCGAGGCATAAACGCTGAATCAATTTTCTAAAGAGTGTGAGTGATCAGTGTGTACCCTCTAACTTTTTTATACTGGCAATCACTTACAGCCATTGGATGCTCTGGATCACTACTGACTGAGAAAAACTCTAGTCCGGCTTTTTTCACAAGAGTATGAAAGATCGAATGTGTCGCGACTCGAACTCGGTGACCATGTCTGCTAAGTCCCTGACCAACCAAAATACAAGATTTAACATCATCTGTACACATGTTATATTAGCGGTAGACCCTTGTGTGACTGCGGGGGAAAGGTATACCCACCTCTACTTCCCACAAGCATGAGAATAATATCTAGCCTCATCCTATTGGTCTCGTATGGGACCTCGCCATTGCCTCCGCTCTCTTCATTATCGGATACTCTTGGTGGCTTTGTCACAATTTCGATCATCTGTGGACGCTGAGTGGGGAGAGAATACCCCTGGAGTATAGCGGAGGTCCGGCTCCCTGCACTCAGATCGATACTGAAGCGTCCATTGTCTGTATTGAATATTTAGCAGAGCTCAGTATTTGAACCGGACACCCTGTTATTGGTACCTTCGAAGGCTGCCAGCTCATGCAGCTCATTGTGCATTATCGGTGGAGGAAGTGGTGCATCAGTGAATAAGGAGCTATACGTCGGTGGTAGCTCATCACCCTCAAAATCATCGTCTGTCAAACGATCATCATCGAGCTGTCGAAGGATTTCTTTTTCAGACATCCTGGGTTGATTTCGGTCGCAGAAGCGGATAGTCTTGACAACAGATGCTGAGTTGGTTAGTGGTAAAACTCGAAGAACATAGGCTCATCTCATACCAAATTTATAATATAAGCATTGTTAGGCAACTCAGTTATGAAAAAGAAAATGGGTTTGAATGCTTAAAATATCCAGGCTGGGGCCTCGTGGAATCAGGGGTGGGTTTCTACTTGCACGATAAGTGGGGTTTCGGGTTCGTATTCGGCTTCCCGAGATCATTCCTAGTCCTGCCTGGCGATCTGTAGTGGAAATATACCTGAACAATGAGCGCCATCAATCGACACTATCTCTGATGGTCTAGAATTAGCAACTTATCACAGGTGCCTAAATCCATCTCATTCTTCGAACTTGAGATAGATTAATGTTGTTGGAATGAGATTAACGACTTGACACGACCAAACAATGTACTATAAGACTCTGGAAGACCATGCTACACTTTCCTTACAAAAGCTCACACTCACTTTTATTCTTCTCTTCAAACCAATATTTCAACAAACCACATCCATCTATACATCTTTTTTTATTTTTTTATTTTTCTGCAATTTCTCCCATTATTCACTTTGTTCCAAAAGTCGACCTCGAAAACCTACTATGGCTTACGTTCTTTACAATTATACACCATCCCTAGCCGCAGCAGTTGTGTTTGTCATCCTATTTGTGATAGTGACATTAATTCATATCATTTTGGCATGCAAAACAAAAGCGAAGTTTCTCATCGCTTTCATCTTTGGCGGTTGTTTAGAGGCCATCGGTTATGCAGCAAGGGCTGTCAACGCGCATGATGCTCCGACCTACACTGTCACTCTATACGCAATGCAAAGCCTTTTCATCTTGCTAGCTCCATCATTATTCGCTGCATCAATCTACATGATCCTAGGTCGGATCATTCGGTTGACCAATGGTGATTCCAGGTCTCTCATTCGAGGAACGCGATTGACCAAAATTTTCGTTTGCGGTGATGTTTTGGCGTTCCTTATCCAATCTGGAGGTATGATTGGGACATATTACCTTTCCCCAAGACCTCTTGTCATCCAGCTTTGCTAACACTTTTCTCGTCAAGGCGGTGCAATCATGTCAAGTGCAAAAACTGCGAGCAAGATCAAGCTTGCTGAAGATATCATTATTGTCGGACTTGTCGTTCAAATCCTTTTCTTTGGCTTCTTTGTCATAGTCTCTGTTGTATTTCACTGGCGGATGTCAAGCAACCCTACCTCTGCAGCGCTTGGAACCTCGGTCAATTGGCAACGTTACCTCATCGTGCTATACTCTGCCAGCTTTTTCATCATGATTCGTTGCATTTATCGGGTGATCGAGTATATTCAAGGATCGACCGGGAGTCTACAGAGTCACGAGTACTTCGCATACATCTTCGATGCCACGTTGATGGTTTTGGTCATGGTTATTTTTGTTATCTTTCATCCTGGCCAGATCTCTGAAAGGGGAGAAACAAAATTGGATGAGACAGAGCTCATGTACGAAAGGTCAGCTTAAGTATTCACATATAGACAGTGCGCGCGCTTTCGGAGTCGAAATCCATTATACCAGCGTTCGTTCCTATCGTTTATACCTAGTATTCGCCAATTGAAATCATCGGCATACCACAGAAGACTTGCTTTTTTTTTGGTACACAGCAGAATAATGGACTTGGATGCCTCTACGGTAGAGGTTAGTAAAAGGGTGCAGCTCTTAGTCATGAAAGAACGATAAGTATCAGGGCACTAGTGAACCTTTGCTCATTCCTGGTAACTAGGAGGTATGATACGGATTACATTGAGCTATAGGGACTAGAAGTGCATAGTAATAACATATTCGCTAAGTCAAATACATGTGCTTTGATTACTGGCGAGGATGAATAGCGGTGACAGATGCATGGGCAGTGTCACCAAAACTTCATGTAAAGATAATTGTAGAATATATGCGAGGGAGCTACCGGAGTTTAGTTGGATTTTACAGACATCTACGGCGATTGTCCACTGAAAAACATTGAGGAAGGCTTGGTCCGATGCGAATGCCAAGGCCGAATACGAATACCGCGGGAGAAGTCCGTGCTTTCGCGGGGGTGACTAATCTTTATTGGGATCTGAGCCTCATTTTTAGCGGTGAGTTTGTCGTATTCGGGTCTCGCGTTCGCGTTTGTTCTGGCAGGCCTGAGTTTCTAGGCCATAAATCTTGTATATAACTCAAAACAGATCGACCAGGGATTTTGGGGGTTCTGGAAACCGAAAAGCTTGTTCCTAGGATTATTTTAAGGAAATGCGAGCAGTAGCGGAAAAGCCTTTCAAAGCAATGTAGACTGGTCTCCACAATAATGAGACCGTGACCAATCTCATCGGTATTCAGCCCAAAGGTCGAAAGTAATTGGCAGCGAGGAAGGGTAGCGTTGGCGGGCTGTGGACACTCTAGTTGAGGAATTATCATCGGATTTTCATGTCAGTCTTTGTGAATAGAGACGACTCTATGAAACCTTCAGCTTCTACCATCCTACTTTTAGGTATATTTTATGCTCCAGATTCCGAGGTCAAGAAAAGAAAATGGCTCGATTGTAAAGTCATGTACCGGCAACAGATATATAATCACCAATCTTTGTTAAAGCTTCACCTTGGAAGACCTGCTAGGACCCACAATGAAAATATTCATATCTAAAGACCAAGCTTGAACCCACCCCAGCTAAGAGTGGAGAACACTCCAGCTGGATCGTAGGTGGATCTGATCTTTCTCATGCGGGCGACATTCTCTACGGGGAAGCCCGCATAAGGATCTTGCCACTCACCAGCATCGCCCATATAGACAAACTCGGAAGCAATCCCTAGCTGCTTGTTGATACTGTGGAGGTGCTCAGCTAGCTGACGTGACCATGCCTCCACGCGAATATCATCTTGGGCTAGGTCCCAGCCGGTGCTGAATTGCCAGACTGCAGAAAAGTAGTTAGACAGTGTTATCAAAAGTTCAACTTTAGTCTTTGTCAGACTCACTTATGAGAGGCTCTTCCTCGAGACCCCAGACGTTACCAACACCGTTGGTCTTGGCCACGCGGGCCGAAGAGGGGGAGACATAATTGATGACAAAAGTCGGGTAAAGACCTTTGACATCGGAAATCGTGTCAACGGCAGCCTTCCATGCCTTGTAGATCGAGTAGAGGACCTTAGCGTCGGGCTTCATGGACTTGTGAGAGAATTGAACACTAGAAACTTCGTTAGCGATTGACGAACCCGTAGCTATGAAGTCTACTTACCGGAACATCTGTTTGGGGGAGTCAAGGGCATTAGCCCACGTCTTGATGGTGGTGACATTGTTGATTCTCGCCTCAGCGGGAATCTTGGTGAAGTTGGCGAATTGGGAGGGGGGTTGCTGACACCAGCCTGAACACCAAGGACAGACCCCTGTATCACCTTTGTGGTCATGTTGTATGCAATGGTCGCAATCATACCCGCCGCAATGGGGTCCTCGTCATCTAGCTTGGCTGACTCACAGATGGCAGAGAGGAACTGGGGGAGGTGAGTCTCGCTGAAGACCTGAATGGTTGTGCTGACCTCCGGGACAGCGAAAGTTTTCAGCTCAAAGCGCGTAACAATACCAAAGTTGTTTGCGCCGCCCTTCAAAGCCCAAAAAAGATCGCTGTGTGAAGTCTTGTTTGCGGTGACCTGGGTGCCATTTCCAAGAACAACATCATAGCTGACCACGTTGTCCATAGCATATCCGTACTTGTTGTTAAAGTAATGAAAACCACCGATCAGAGTCAGACCAGGGACGCCGATGGTCTTCATACGACCACCAACACAAGCGCGTCCATAGGGCTCGAGTGCCGAATACACCTGATACCAATTTAGACCGGGGCCGACTTCCACGGTGTCAGTCTTCACATCAACGGTACTGAGGTTCGACAAAGCGATTAGAACACCGGCATCGATGTTGTTCGCTCCAGGGTACTATTGGGAACTAAGCTTGGTCCTAATGAATAATTCAGCAGACTATAACTCACGTTCATGTGGCCTCCACCACGGACAGCAAAGTTCGCCTGGCATTCATTGATGATCTTGACTGCTTGCGAGACTTCGGCAGCAGTATTGGGCACGAAAACACAGGCAGGGGAAAGATTCGCCCGGATATCCCAGATGTAGTCGACCGTTTGAGTGGTGTAGTTTTTCGAGCCCGGAAGAATCACACTCTTGGGCATAGAATGAGAAAGCTTCGTACAAGCACACAAGGCTCCCTGGGGAATTTCAAGGATGCCAGAAGAGGTACTCAAGGAGCTCGATAGGGTAGCTGAGGCACGTGCGCCTGAATTGGCATAGGCCAAGCCCGAAAAGAACAAGCCGGCAAAAAAAAGAGGAAGATGCATCTTAAGAATGATACAGACTGAATGAAAGCCAATCTGTATTTATTGCTATTCAATAAAACTGGAAGACGATGCCTTCTTATACTAATTCTTCAGTGTCAAGGCTTTCCCATAGCGGTTCTAAAAGAGCTCCACTATTGTCCAAGTCGACACCATTTTGTTCCTCATGATGATTACAGCTTGTATTCGGGTTCGAACCAAGGATTGCGTCTTGGAAGTTCCAACTCATGTGTAATCCACCTAGGATAAGTGAGGTCTTGGTTCAGGCAGAAATATTAGACAACGGGCCATATAGCTAGGCAACTGTGTATTAGTGTATATTGATAGCAATCGACCATTATAGACGAAACTGGGGTTCTCTGTGTCCACTCTCCAGGATATTTGCCGATTATCAGATCGATACCGAACCCGAACACGAACCCGAGTACTTCTAAGCCTTATCCGAGTTCGCATCCCGGGCCAATCAGAAGCCGAGTCCACTGTCAATTCGGATTCTCATCTTCTCATCCTGGCCTTGGCAACCTTTACCTCATCTAGCTGATCTGCTGAACGGAACTTCGCGAAGCTCAGATCTCATGCCAAGACAATCTTAACTCGGTAGCCTAAAGAATTTGACAAGTTCTAAAGGTTCGATCCTGGTTCCACACCTAGATCGAACACCCAAAATAGCTTTCAATCTTCAATTAAGAGTCGATCTAGACCTCGGATTCCAACCCGAGTACGCACAGACAAACCGTCGTTATCAAAGCACTAGATTTTTCACCTAGCATCCTTATTGCAACAATCCATCATGAAGGTATATAAACTGCTAGATTTCTCGAGATACATTGACTCTTTCCCAATCAACTCAACAGTTCAAATCCAACAAATTTGCTCCTTCTATCATTCTTTGAACAGAATTTACTTCACTTCACTGCACTTCGCTCAGTATTAAGCATCGAAGCCATGGCCGACTCCACATACATCCTGTACAACTACAACCCTTCGGGGGTTGCAGCGATCATCTTCATTGCTCTGTTTGGATTAACAACATTGGCGCACATTTTCCAAATGATCCGGTCCCGAACTTGGTTTTTCATTCCTTTCGTTATCGGTGGAATCTGTAAGCATATTTTCATCCAGTCATAATGTCCAAAACTAATCCATTCACAGTTGAAATCGGTGGTTATGCCGGTCGCTATGTCAACTCCCAACAAAGCCCTGACTGGACGACTATGCCATACGCCATACAATCACTCTTACTCCTGATCGCGCCCGCCTTCTTCGCCGCCTCCATCTACATGATCCTAGGCCGCTGCATGATCGCCACTGGTCACGATTCGCTCTCTGTCATCCCTGTCAAGTGGCTGACCAAGATTTTTGTCGGCGGCGACGTGATTTCATTCCTTACACAATGCGCTGGAGGTGGTGTCCTTTCCTCTGCAAAGAGCAATTCCAACGTCAGTCTTGGTGAAAACATTATCATCGTCGGTCTTTTTATCCAGATTGCCTTCTTTGGATTCTTCATTGTGACTGCTGGCATCTTTCACTACCGCCTTCGGACCTGCTGCGATTATGGTGCCAAGGCTGCGATCCCGATCGGTTGGAAGAAGTGTCTCTACGTTCTCTACACTGCCAGTGTCCTTATTTTGATTCGGTCTATCTTCCGTGCTATTGAGTACATCACCGGTAGTACTGGCCCGCTTATGTCGACTGAGGTGTATCTCTATGTATTTGATGCTGCTCTGATGTTTTTGACTATGATGACGTTCAACATCTTCACTCCCAAGTCGCTGGTGACTCCCCGGCCTGCTCTGCCAGACATTGAGACTGCTACCAATTCGGAGATGGCTGGCGGCTCTGCAGGCACCAATGAAAAATGAGAGAAACACAGATGATGAACATGAAGATTGAATTGGTACGATTTAGAGGACAAGGCGCACATGGGTACTTTTTGGCTTAGCATTTGGGGGAATTTGTGATTGTTAACTTGTTCAGAAAGAAAATATTATATTTCAATTTCAATTTCGTGATTCTTGAATCTTTGTTTGGGCATTTCAACGAGTCATTCAAATTTCAGACGCCTCCTGAAAGCATTTTTGGGACCATGACTTCTTGAAGAAAACTTTTTCTCGATATCAAAGACTCAATAATCATCCAATGAGGGCTTCATTAATGTGTGCAGATGTAGCCTGTACATCAGTGGTAAGAGTAAACATATGACATGGGGGTAACTGAACAGCTGACTAGCTGATCAGTGCATTGTTAATAGCCAGCAGCCTGTCTGTTCCCACTCCATCTAACTCAGTAGTACAAACTCATGATCTACACCTTTAGCTGAGACCCAGAGAATCAGCCTTTCCTCAATTGCTTTCTTGATATCTTCCCTTCTCCTTGACCGTGCCTCTCATGCCTGACGATACCACCCGAGACAACAAAAGGATTTTGGTTCTGGAATGCCTTGACACGGCTGAGACATTTAGGCTCGACATAACTTTGATATCAAGATCCCAACAATTGCTGAATCGCTTCTAGTATGTAGCTAATTGACTTCCCGCTATAGTACCAGAAGAGCTTAATACTTGATAGCGGTTGTGTCCTATTGACATGAAAGACTTTACCCCTGTCTGTAACTTTCTGGACGACCTTTCACTTATCAAGCTCATTTGCGTCGCCATCGTCCGAATTCGAATTCCAATATGAGCATTCTATTCCCTTCGCCGCCGACATTCTATAGGCTTTTATCTCTTCTTCTTGGGAATAAATATCCAGTCCATGCTCTTTATAAGCATTAATAATCTCGCCCTTTTTGGTCGTCTTTCCGCCAATAGATTGACTCCGGGATGGCCTCGCGCATTGGATTACTTGCCGGGTATATAAAACCAGACCCAATTGATCTAGCATTTTGTAGAATGCGTTTTGATGGAGATCTTTCCTGAAACGGATATCAGTCGGCTTGTCTGTTGACCAGCATAGTCGTGTAGACTTGAACTTTCCATATCGAAAGGTCGAATCAAATAGCAAAATATCAAAGAGTCTTCCCATTCGAAGGCCCTCGTCTCCGTGTGCTTGCTTCTTCGGGTTTGCCTGGATACACCGTGTCAGCCGAAAAATGACAATGTTAGATGGATCGCAAAACTAACGGGAATACTAATGCGGGGAGCGCTATCACCCCCCTTGTTATGATCGATATGAAAAAGACCGAGCTCTAAAATCGGAGGTTGTTGTACCAGCATCATGCGCCAGCTAGCACCTTTCCGGACAAATCGATCCAAACTTGCGAGATCTTTGGTCATCGCGCAATCGGAAAAACTAAAACCACGATGGTCTTGGTCGCCGTTGGCAGGAAAAATGGTAGGGAAGGACTCTGCTAGTAGCGAGCTGTGTACAGTTTCTCCCACGCCCCATTCGGATTCCTTTATTGGGGTGAAGAAGAGAGCTTTTTGAATTGATGGTGACTTGGTGATCAAATAACGCCAGCCTCGACAGACCCGTTGGCAAGACGTCAAAAGAGTGCGCATGTCTGTGTGAAACAGAATCATCTCTAGAACCTCCGGTGTTTTTAAGGCTGGAGGAGTCAAATTTGAAGCAGTGAATGCCTTGCTGGCCTTTGATCTCGCGATCGGTGTCATTTTGCATCAAGGCAATATCTAAGTGATATAGGTAGTAGAGCTTCACTGAGTGATGACAGTAATAACGGAAAGGTGCTTCCGTCAGCACAAAAAACCTGCTACCAGAGACTGTAGCGCGAAGTGTGTGGAGTAGCTTTGGCCCCCAAAATGAACGAGTAGGACCGAAGATGCTGCCTTAGGCACACTGGTAGAAGATGAAGAGGATCATACGGGTGCACCAATGAGTTAATCATAGATCTGAACTTGCTAAAAGGCCTTCAAATGAAGACTTGTCTCAACGAACATATAATTAAACTGTCTGGTAGTCGTTCTTGGCTGAGTTCATCCGTACTGGCTGGTGACATTGATTTCCGGAATGACTAGATCAATTCAACAATTTATTAAGATTTTGACTACTATAGAGTGGTGGAAGATGAAGCCAAGATTAGACCACAGACCAGAGCGGTGTGACCAACACAACGTATATATGAGGGATTCAATATAGAAGGGGAAGGGCACATCAGCACTTTGGGGGCTTGCACCATATTGAGGTGGAAAATAGGCGTTCAGGGCATTTGGTTGAAGGTACCGAAGGGACTGGAGATAATATGGGTAAGAGATCTTCCTATTCCTACGCACCGCGAGCTCCACAGAAGGAGACTGCTGAAATTGATGATCTTTTTTCTTCGACAATCGACAAAAAAGCGCCTAGGACGCGCGCGCGAATAGCAGGCGTTTTGATGCTTTCCCGAAAATTTTCCACTCAACACGAACATGGAGGGCGCGTACAAGAATGCCTTCGAGTAAGATTAATCAAACCATGTGATAAGTAGTATCCCGGACATAACCCGATATGGATGCTTGGAAGCTCATTTGCACGGTAATTCGCCCCGCGCCGTTCTCCCCCGCCGCACCACAGTTTGGTCAGCCGCCCCGCCCCATCGAACGACCTTGACAGCGATCCGCATCAACCTGGCGCCTATATTCTAGCCCTCATTGGGTATATATTTCCTGTCTTTGAATTTAAAGGTCTGGCAACAAGCTCAGTAACTTATCTTCGCAGCTAAAGTTGTCTTGTTCTGACTTTGCAAACACAATCATGGCTGAACCAGTGGGGCTAGCCTCCGGATTAATTGCCTTGGCATCGTTCGCTTTCCAATGCAGCGTTTCGCTCTACGAGACTGTGAACAGCTTCCGCTCTCATCCAAAGCGCGTGCGTGAACTCCTCGAAGAGTTGGAAGCTTTAAGTTCCGTATTAGCTCCACTCGTCGAATTAGTAAATTCGACCTCTGACATTGATCTCTCGGTATTGGATCTACCGCTATTGCGATGTGGCAATGCCTGCAAGGAGTTCCAGGAGGAGTTACTCCGATGTGCGTCAGGTTCAAACAGTAATCGGACTAGCTTCCGGGGCTGGGCCAGATTGACGTACATGGGTGACAATATGGACGATTTCCGCAACTTACTGTCGGGATACAAAGCCACAATCAATATTGCCTTGACCGATGCAACTCTGTAAGTCACTTTTGAACCATAACAGCGCCTTTACCATGCAGTAATCTTTTATCTTGCGATTCGTCCTAACCCTTCACCAGACGTCAATCTGCGATCGCTGCTGAAAGCATTAAGGAATACGAAAATCTCATTCAGGATGCCAAGGACGACCTTGAAGCTCGACTCGAAAGTATTGATAAAAAGTTGGAGCACCTAGTTGTCAATGATGCGGCTCAACCCGGACCAGATGCGGCTGAGCTGCAGTCGCTCAGGGACGAGCGCCTTAGCACGGAGAAATGCCTCCAGATTTGTGCGCAGCTGTCGAGCCATATCGATCAGATTCAACTTATGTCTGACGAGACGGATGCATCTCGTGGGTCAACCGGGGCAGATCCATCTCCCGAGACACTCACAAATGAGGGCCTGCAAGAATGCAAACAAAGCTTGACTGCGACAGCTGCCAAGTTGGAAAAGCATATGCGAGATGTCATGGACCGGCTACTGGCGAAATCAAAAACAACCGTCTCGTCTGACGAAGAAGCTCAGGACCTGTCTAGACTACGCGATGAATGGGAAACCGCCCGGCAATGCTTGGATATATGCTCCCGGGCGGATAGTCACCTAAAGGAGAACGTCAGTGTGATCGAAAATTATGGCTCTGGCGACGCTTTGCAGTTCATGGTCTCCGCGGACGGGAAGGTGCTGCACGGGAAGAACCGGGGTGTGGGTTGGAGGAGCAGGCAAGTGGGAGGCTACTTGAGCAATGAGTCTATCCAGCAGCTATCACGAGACCTTACAACCATGCACACAAGTCATTTGAGGGGCGAAACCCCTTTTCCGAAGGCCGATGTCACACCCAGTGCAGAGGATGGGATAGGGGGTGAAATGAAAGCAGAATTTCAAGAACGATTCGGACGAGGCTTCACCCTTAAACCGGTAGCTTCGCCCAAAGCACAAATATAGTCCGTGGGAACAAGATGCGACTGAACAGAAACTCTGAGGAGATGAATATTTCGGTTCATGCTTCTGAATTTGGTCATTTATTTTGTTCTTAGCGCTTTACTTTTGTCTTTTATTTATTTCACCATAAATTCACTTGGATATAACAGTACTGTATGGTGATACCATCCTGGAGAAATCCTTGTTTGACTTACGTGGGGTAGTGGAAAGACCTTGGGGGTAATTGCGAATCAATTATGTGCCTCATAATTGAGTGATGAGATTGACTGATGTTGCTGGGCTTTGGATAAGCTTTACTAGTGGTCAGATTCTGTCTAGGCACGCTAAACAACAGTGTGATCTATTAAGCATGCGTTGGACCTGGAAATATAGTCATGCCAGGCGGGAATTTAGAATCTGTTCCCCGGGACCATTCCACCATAATTAATCGCAGACTACATGTAAAGTGCCACAATGACAATATGATTCATTGACGAGGAGTTCGAGCCCGCCGTGGTTCACAATGGCATTCACATCAACAATGTTTCCGATGAATGCCGTCTGGAACCATACTCTTTGACCCCACAACTTTGTTAGGAAACTTAGTGAATTTAAGAACATGATGACAACTGGGTTGTGCGACCGCCTATACAATGACAATGTTGCCAGGAGTAAGCAGAAGGTTAACAATGACGATACAGAAAGCATATACAATTATCTATAATATTCAGAATAGTTACCGACGGAATTAAGCCGATTTAAAGCCGGGGGCGATGACATAACCCAAATAAATGACATAACCGGAAGCAGCGGTGACTATCGCCATAACCCGCTATCGATAAGCCCTTCTCCTCATCAAACCACGCCATGAGCCACAGATCACCCTCAGATGAGCCCGGGGAAGAATCATTTCGTCACCCTGCACAGGAATGGCTTGAAGAAGACGATGAACTAGACATGGATTACCACTCAGCCTTGGAAGGACAGACCGAGGAGGATGAGGAGGACGAAGATTGGGAAGACGATGATGACGGGATGGGCCTCGGCATTGCAGATGGTGCGGATCCTCCCTGATTGTAGTCAACTACAGCAGCAGGTTCCCCAACTAACTTCGTGGCAGAAAACCCACGTATCAATATCGGGAGCATCCAGATCGAGTTAACGGCAGACGACCCACCGGAAGGCGAGGAAACGGATAATGCGGGCCGTCGTCGACACGGTAGGCTCATTGATGAAGGTTTAGATGATTTGAGGGTTTTCACTAACTAATGTATAGTTCCAGCCTCACGATTAATCGAATTGCTCGCATCTAGCGGCCTGCGGCATATTCTCCACTCCAACGGATTCACAACAACAAATTTATCCGAGAACTTCGAGGTCGACGATGAGGATGAGGATGACGATGACTTTGATTATCCAGGTCCACTCAGACAACGACTACGGCATTGGCGGGCTGGGCGAACCGATCAGTTCCCGAAAGTGCCTAGCGACGAGGGCACCGAACTAATGGGTGAGGGCCACTTCGGAACAGATCCGCACTACGTGGATCGCATCAAGAAACGCAAGAAGGTGCTTGCAACACACCTCATGTGGAGAGAGCTTGGTATTGACCCTTATGGAGTGCGCAAGAGGGCGAATAGGTCACTTTCTCAGGTAAGGCTAGATGGGCGGTCTAGCGCGGTATAATGGCTAAATACTAACATGACGATTTAGCACATGATCCCTGGCTCTGCGGCAGATAAGATCATCCATTATGACTCCAGAAGCTACTCGGGCCAGTTCTCAGACGATGGAAATTTCTTTTTCTGTTGTGCACAGGACTTCAAAGTCCGGATGTATGACACGTCTAACCCGTATGAGTGGAAATATTACAAGACTGTCGACTATCCGTTTGGCCAGTGGACTATCACTGATGCTACACTAAGTCCTGATAATCACCACCTAGTCTATAGTTCAATACGCAGTCAGGCCTACCTGGCGTCGACAGACCCAGACGATGATTCCGATCCAACTGTCCTGGACTTCTCCCTACCACCTGGTCAGCGACGGCGACGAAGCTGGGGCAGTTCGCATTTCGGTGTATGTACAAACACGGTCTGTACCTATCACTGTTTACTAATTGGACTCCTAGATATGGTCTCTTAGATTTTCCGGAGATGGACGTGAAGTGGTTGCAGGCACATCGGAGAACTCAGTCATTGTTTATGATCTTGAGACTAAACAACCAGTCCTCAACCTTCGTGATCGCCATCAAGATCATGTCAACGCTGTTTGCTTCGGAGATACATCATCACCACATATTCTCTATTCCGGTTCTGACGACACGACACTGCGAGTCTGGGATCGACGTTCAATGGGCGATGGCCGCGAAGCCGGCGTGTTCATGGGTCACACCGAGGGTCTAACATACGTCGATAGCAAAGGCGACGGCCGATATGTTCTTTCCAACGGCAAAGACCAGACTATGAAACTTTGGGACCTGCGGAAGATGATGACAACAGCCAAATTCGATACCATTGATCCAAACGACTACACAACCGGCTTCGATTACCGCTTCCAACCATATCCGGACGACTACTATGAGCCGCATGAGCATGATTGTTCGGTTGTCACGTTCCGCGGCCACCGTGTCCTGAAGACGCTCATTCGTTGCCATTTCTCGCCACCCGGTAGCACGAACTCACGCTACGTGTACACTGGCAGTGAGGATGGTAAGATTTACGTATACAATATGGATGCCACGCTGGCCGGGACCGTCGATGTTGCGGCAGCGACGACTAATTCCAGGCCCCGCGAGCCAGATGTTTTCGCAACGGCATATGAGATGAGCGGGGAGATGTTATGGAGGACATGCGTTCGGGATGCAAGTTGGCACCCGAATGCTCCAGTCCTTGCAGGTAAGCAATGTTCTCCATACTCATGGATATGGAATGATCTGACTTTCATTCAATAGCAACCTCGTGGAATGGATGGGGTCTGTCAAGCGGTACCTGTACTGTACATTCATGGAATGACGGCGCAGAAAATGACGAGGGAGACCCGCCGATTGGGCAGAGCTACGATGACAAGCTTCGTGATGTGCCCGAGTTCAATCGCTACCGGGAAAATGCCCCAGCTCCTCGTTCTAGACGACCACTGCGCAGCCGGCCTGTGCACCGAGTTGATGAGGACGATGATGATGCATGGTGATCTATTGGGTTCAAGATCGTTTCATTTATGCGTTTCATTTATGTTTATGGAGGCAAAAACCGGGTCCACTGGGGATTATCCGTATACCGTTTCGCATCAACTGTAGGTAATTATGATTTAACGAACATGCATATACGTTTCTTTGGAGCTGGTTTTTGTAAACAATAAGTGGAAGAAAATGGGTATGGGGGGTCGTCAATTAAATCGAGAAACAGACCCCTATTGGTACAAAAACAGTGTAGAATGTGGTATCTCAAGGGCGATGAAGCACTTCCTCCCATCGCATCCCAAAAAAAAGTATGGCAGCCAGATGACAGCCGGCAAGACAAAGTAGAACGAGGACCCTCGCCCACTGAAGGGTTTTGGGGCCTCTGCAGAATGCCCCTGATCCTCCTAGTGTATCAAAGAAATCGCGTGGTTTTCGGATCGTTTTAACAGGTATTCATCTCCGGGAACTCGGGCTTCTCCTGAAGCCCGAGCTCGTCGCAGCACAAGTCGTTGTAAGGTTGATAGAATTATGCGATTATGCGCCACCGACCAGGACCTGGTTCACGGGGATGTGAACTATGAGAGAAGGAAGGTTAGTCCGACTATTCCTATCGAGAAATTCCAATGCTATCATGTTCGTCCAGTAGTAACACTCACTCAGCTTGACGAAGTATCCAATGGCACCCTAAAAGGACTCAGTTAGCGTGCTGTCATGATCGCAGATTTGAGGAATCGGGGGGAGTGGAATCAAGACATACCATAACCAGGAAGCCCATGCCGACGGCTTGGCTGATCTTGATGAATTCACGCTTGTCGGCTGGAGCCAAAGTCAGCAATTCTGTGGACGATCATGGGGGAACCTGGGGAAGACATACGCTTGGTGCAGCGGCGCACGAACAGGGATCCCTCACGGACAAAGTCCTTGGGGATGTCAGCAAGTTCTTGGAAGGTGTCAGACATTGTGGATGGAATTGGGGGGTAAGGAAAGAAAGGAAAGAAAGGAAGGAGAGAAGAAGATAAGGAACGGGAGTTAGTGATAGTTGGCGTGATCTCCTGCCATTTGGCCTGAACTCGGGGGGACCGGATTATCTAATCCGCCGGATCCGAGATCCCCAGCTTCACAAGCTCCTTCTTCCTTCAGACTTGATCTTGAAAAACAGAAGTAGGACCGCTTCCCTTTCTCATTGGTTATATCCTGCAGCTGTTCTCTCTGTGCGGCTGGTCTGTGGCAGATTCCCTTTTTTTCACTTCTGATTCTCTCTGTATCGTGAGCTCACTCTGTACGCGCCTGATCGGCTGGCTGTTCTTCTCGGCAACTGGGGTTTTTGTATTGTACGTATGGTCGCGTCTATTTCTATTTCTTTCTGTTCCTTTTGCGCGCCTTGGCCTTTCATCTCTACACTCCCATTGCCACCCGGTCTTGGGGCTCTCTGAACCTGTCGCGATTCTTGTTGTTTGTGGTTGAATGCTGGTCCATTCTCCATGCTAATAAATGGCCTGTATTGACAGACATGTACTCTCCTTGATCGAAGCAGAAGAAAAGAACAAGAAAGGAAGCAAGGGCCTGTGTATTATCCAACCTCTCACTTAACCGAAATCGAATCTTTGCTCTGAAGCCTGCTGTGTCCATCCATCAGGACTCCCTAGTCACAATGGCAACCGAAGATGATAACTTCGATATTGACATCTACGGAGATGGCGGTGGCTACAATGCGAATGAACAGGGCGATGATTCGGAGCTGGTGTTAGATGCCCCAGAGACTACACAGGCACAGCCCTCAGGAAACGACGCCACTACCTCTGAAGATGCCAAACCCCAAGTTGACGCCCAACCTCCTGCCTCGTCAACCAACGGTGACCACACAATGGTTCAGCAAGTGAAGTCTGAGCCGGATGCGCCTGCACCGCCGCATGGTGTCAAGCGCAAGGAATATGACGACCGACCCTCCGATCCCGATGCAACAACCGCCTTGCTCGTTTCCGATCTCTCCTGGTGGACAACAGACGACGATATCCGTGGCTGGGTGAACCAGGCAGGCAGTGAAGATGAGCTAAAGGATGTGACATTCAGTGAACACAAAGTTAATGGAAAGAGCAAAGGGTAAGCCATCGCAAACATCTCCTGTCACTTCCATCACGCCCAGACATCCCACCGAAAGCCCTTATCACAAACTAACCGCATCATCAACAGTCAAGCTTTCGTGGAATTCACCACCTCCCAAGCTGCCACAGCCACCAAGCACAAGCTCGAGAGCCTCGCCGCCTCAGGTCGTAAATACATGGTCAATTACACCAACCCACACGCCAACCCCTTCCGCACCTTACCGAAGGACGCTCCCATGCGCAAAGATAACCCCCGCGGCGGCGGTATGACCGGTGGCTTCAACTCCGGCAACCAGAACATGAACTTCAACAGCGGCGGCAACATGAATATGGGTGGTGGTGGCTACCGCGGCCGTGGCGGATACAACAACCGTGGCATGGGTGGAAACATGGGTAACTTCAACAACCGCGGCAACTTCAACAACATGGGCGGTGGCTTCCAAGGTGGCGCTGGTCCCACTGGTCCCGGCATGATGGGCGGCTTCCAGGGCAATGCCATGGGAGGCATGCAGAACTATGGCTTCAATAACCGCGGCGGTATGATGAATAACATGCGCGGTGGGCCTGGTGGCATGCGCGGTGGTCGCGGAGGTAATATGAATGGCAACAATATGATGGGAATGCCTGGCATGAATCCTATGGCCGGTGGTATGGGTATGAACCCCATGGCCGGAGGTATGAACCCGATGATGGGTGGAATGGGTGGAAACATGGGTATGCAGGGTAAGTAAGAAAAAGGACTTTTGATGTGCTTTCTGAAGTTTTTCATCTGGTCTTCTATTGTCATTCCCCGAGTTCCAGGGTCAAGCATCTTATTGACTTGTTTTAGGCCAAGGCTTCCAAGGACCAAACCCGGCTTTTAACCAAGGCTTCTTCAATAATCAAGGTGCTGGTGGCGGAGATGCATCGTGGAATCCCCACGGCGCAAAGCGAAGTCGTCAGGAGTAGTAATCCTGTCCTTCTATCCGCCATCTCACCTTGACATTTTATCATCATTGACTTCAACTGGCTACGAATACCACCAGTTCTCGCGTTTTTCTTGCTTGTTTTATTTTCACGGCATATTTGGTTAAGGTTTAAGCTTCGTTTCGTTTCTTTTCGCTCTACGACATCCAGTCATCGAAGTTCCCTCCATTGTGTTCAATTTCTTACCGTGAAAAGGGAAGGGGACAACGACTGCAGATTCTCAACTCATTTTCTTTTATGTCTCATTTTGCCAAACTACTATCTTCTTTTCGTGTATTAGATGCAATTCAAGGGTGTGTTCTATTCATTTGTTGTACTTTATATATGGCGAATTTGCTGGTCGGAGCAGAATTGTACGGATCTGGATCATTGGTCGGTGTATCATGTTATTAATGCTGTTTATTGCAACTCGAATCAGTGTTAAAATGCTGATGTCAAAAGGTCTGTGCCGAGCTACATCGAATATTCCTTGCAAATTATGGGATTTATGAACAATTACTAGCAGGGGTGCTACGCTATGATAGATGTCATAGATGCGGTGTGGGCTCATCCCTGTTCATTTCAAGTAGAATTAACCTCACCGGAGTCGAAGTCGGTCTAGAACATCTGGTGGAGTCAGTATAGAAAGCTCTACGGTTAAATACGCCAGTCAGCGGGGCTATGCAGGACATCTTGCACAGCCTCACAGATGATCTCACGAACTGACTCGCGTCTATGATTACGGCCCCCGGGGCCGGCACGAACCCTTATTCAATACGAAGTACAGGGGTTCGCAAACTGGCGGTCAAGGTTACGGTTAGGCCCTGGACGCTAGGCGGGCTGTGCAATATTGAAGCAATGCCAAGGACATGTACGTAGGTGGTAAAGAAGGCACCGAGGCTTCGCAGTATGGTACTTTTGGACATGTAAGATGACGAACGAAGCTGGAAGCTGGAGTATGACGATGTTGTAGAAGCAAAAATGAGCGGACGACTAGTCCAAGGAGTTTAATGAAATGAAGCGTCACTAAGATCAAGTAAATCACAGAATTGCATCGAATATTCAAACGCGTAAATCGAGTCAGTAGATCGTCACACGTTAATAAGAACAGGTATGTTTCAACGGGGTAATATGCTCCAGCGAAGAGGTAAGAATGAAGTCGGAAGAAAAGCAATATAACAATAGACAAGAAATAGTCAAAGTAACGCCAATCCCAAATGAAAGTCGAAACAGCCAAGTCAATCTAACCAACGAGAGTATCTGCAAGAGTAAAATCGTCGTACGTTCTCGTACGGTAAGTCCAATATATGCCAGTAAACAAATTAAATGCCGAGGTATCGGAAGATTAGACACAAAAGAAACTCGTGAAGAAGGATGTAAGGGTGTAAAAGGTTTCGTGATGCATCTAGAGTAAAGTCGTGATGCACGTGTAATCAGCGTCCGGCAGCCTCGATTCGGGACCGGCTCAAAGCAAAGATGACATAGATAATGTATCTAAAAAATAATTCAAAGACACGGACAGGGTCGGTGATATGGCCGGATCGTTCGATATCGGCGAGTCCATCGGTCCAGTTGGAAAGATTGTCGAGGCAAGTGTGGAGATCCAGATCTAATGAAAATTCAAATTCAGTCTCTTGAATGTCGAAATCGTATGTATCGACAAGAGATAGGCTTTGCATGTCGTCGACGAGGTCGTCGGAGTTAGGGTCGTTTGAATGTGGGATTTCTTCGGTATCATCATCGGGGAATTGGGACCCCGAGAACAGGTCCGACGTGTTGTGATTATCCTCTTTTGGTTCATTGGGGAACAATGTATTTGGATCGATTCTCTCGAATGGCACCAGAGCTAGCTCCGAAACGGAGGAAGCTTCGGCGACAGAAGAGGTAACGGACTCAGCGTCAGAGAAGAGGCCATCGTACTCGGACTCGGACATGTCAGATTCATCAACAGCGACAGTCTCTTCCTTTGTCTTGACGGGCCTCATGGGCGCAGAGCCATACAAGCTAGTTTTGAGGACTAGTTCAATCTCCTTCGCGTCTTGCTTGCTCTTCTTATTGCCCGATCTCGCCACAGAGGAACGCAGCTTGAGTAATTTGACAACCACCCTAATACGCGTCCTTAGGGGATGCCCGACGCGATCTCCGGGGAGGATCGTGAGCGTCATGTCGAGGAGTTTCCCAGGGACCAACTCGATGCGGGCGTTGCTTGTGTAGGTAGGCCCAGCGGTCTTCGTTCGACAGGGGCAGCGACATAACAGTGGACTGATAGCCTCTAGTTTAGCCATAGGAAGATTGATCTGCGGGGGTTCGGTTTCGGATATGGTTTGCGATGTTATTTGATCTGTCAAAGTCAGCATCACTGGATAGATAGGACGAAAAACGCGGTGTCCCGTGAAAGTCGTCGTACCAATTGCTCCAGACCCAACTCCATACTCCAATGCCATAGCCTCTGAGGGCACCTTGATCATTCTTCCCATTGGGACTCGCATGGGAAGGCAGCTGAGCCAGGTACCTCCGAGACTCGCATTCGAGGATTTACATCCGGTTGAAAGCATATCCTCTTCGCTCAAATCGTGCACGTACGTTATCATTGCCACATTAGCGGTAAAGTTATTGTAGGGGTCTCGAAGATGACCTTGAGGGTTTCCAGTGGGGTGACCGTAGCTCCCGGGAGGCCATGGTACTCGGTGGTTGGTATTTCCAAAGGGTCTTGGAACCTGAGGCCTGTTTAAATGGCCCATTTGCGGCTGGTTGGGAACGAAGTTGACCAGAGGGTTTATACTTCTCTGAGTCGGGCCAGTATGTCGAACTACTTGGGAGCTTAATGCGCTTGCCTGAATCCTCATGGCATCATCACACTCATGGCACGGTTCACCCGAAATAAGTCTCTTTGCACACCATGTACAGCCATTGATCTTGTGATTACATTTCTGGCAAATCCGATCCTCTAGAGGCTCGGCCCTGGCTTGTTTGTGTCGCTTCAGTAAGCGATTTTGTTGCAGCCCGGGCTGTTGAGCCTCCCAAGGAAGATCCGAATGACCCTGGAAAGATGCGCGGCGCTTTTGACTGGTGTCATGATAGGCATCTGACTGAGATGGGATCAGGCTGTTGGTATCCGATGAAGAACGTTGCATACCGTGGGCATTTTGATTGGGGTTCTGGCTATAGTTTTGCATCGAGCTGAGCGACCCAAAGTCATGGGCCGAAGAACCAGCACAGTAACTGTAGTCATGGCTGAAAGAATTGCCTGCACCCTCCATCCCAAACCCAGGAAGACCCGAGTCATAGCCAGCAGCTGGGCCTTCGCCATTGCCATGATCATCATCACTCGATGACCCCTCATCGGAGGTTTCGTTGTCGGTGCCACAATGGTAAATGAAGCACTTGTAAAATTCTTTCCAATTGCTGACCGGTAGAGAACAAATGAAGCATAATAGAGGGCATGCACGGGGTTGGGTGTACAGCGCAAGCTGCTCGTTGCTTGGTTTCCACTGGTGCCTCATCAGACAGTGATCTCTAGCCTTGTCTTTTCTGCGAGAAATCTCTTCACAATCTGGCTCAGGGCAGCTAATGCTAACGCATGGGTAATGTTGGTCCTCAATGTGCCTTTGCAGGGCTCCCACGGTACCAAATTCAGTGTCACATTCACAGCATTGAAAAGGCTTCTTCTTGACCTTCCCTTTGAGCTCTCGCTTAGCCGCAAGTGGTTTTGATATCCTGTTCCTGGAGTCCTTCTTCGAGTTGTTCTTCGGCTTGGTTTTTGGTTTGGTCTTCGGTTTGGTCTTCGGTATGGTCTTGGGTTTGGTCTTTGTCTCAGCAATCCTTGAACGTAATTGTTCAACGCAATACAGCACCCGGTCCCGGTCTTGCTTGATTTGCTTGAAGAGGGCTTCTGTATTCGGCTCATGGAGCTCAGCATTCAGACAGCCCACCTCCATGCGAAGCTTTTCTAGCCCAGGAGACCCAGTCCGGGTATCGTATCCAGCTATACTGAACAACGGTGCCTGCCAATGAGCAGACATCCCCCCAGCCGACAGCCGCTGCATTTCTCGGTCAAGGGTTGCATGGTCCATTGTTTGTTGGCTAATCTGCCCGTGCGCTTCACCGATGTGGCTTAGCGCCCCGATGTTTAACTCTGGAGAGACTGGTTGAGGATCGTGGCGGACCGTAATGCCAGAGGAGGTTCCATGTTCGGGGGTTGCACTGGTCAAGCTCGTTCCAGCGGTCTGACTCGCGGGGTAGGAAGAACCGTGTGATGCCTTGATGATTTTCAGCCTCTATCCATTTACTTTCGTCTGATGTGTCAAAGGGTTCCATTGGATCAAAGGCGGCAACATGAAGTCTGGACGGAACATTCGAGCACAGACCGACTTACCGTCATTGTATTGGATTGTGTATGACTAAAAGGTCCTCCAAAATTATTTGGCATGCCACCTCCAAGGTTGAGTGATCGTCCGGTAGCTTCCTGGTCGTCTCCAAACGATGCGCGCTTTAGATACTCGTCAAACATATTCTGGTCTTGGCGGGCCATGTTGGAGGAATAAAGGATCAGAAAGGTAGAAGAGAACCAAAGTGCAAAAGTGGTCGACCACTGAGCCGACCAAGTAATGATTGAAGTCAATCAAGAGTAAAATGGACAAGAAGGGGGCGCAAAGGTGCAGAAGAGAGATAAGGTGCAGTGGCTTCTTATAACTAAAGAGGGTGGATCCACTTCGCCCGGGTGATTTGCACAGAACCGACGAAACTTAGTGGAAGTACAAGCTCTTGCGGAGAGTCGTCAGAGTATTATAGCTTCCGTAGTGGGGTGGAGGGGCCACCTACAGGGAAAGAACCGACTTTAACTAAACAGACTGCTTAGAAGAAGAGATTTTTTTAAAAAAAAAAAAACCAAACAAAGAATAAAGAATAAAAAAGGAAAAGAATAAAAAGAAAAAAGAAAACAGAACAATAAAACAATAAAACAAATACCAGAAAGGGCATAAGCCGCTTGCCTGACGGTTGCCGTATACAAAGAACAAGGCAGAGTTCGAGAAAAAAAAGTGGAGTCGGGCTGCCTGAACACTCAGGGATTCCAATCAAACGATCAACCGGAGCTCCGCCCACGACACTGGAAATGAATCATACAACTGGTTCCAGGCGAAGCGGTGAGCACGTATCACCAATCAAGTGGTTTAGAGCCCATTTCAGCCTCATGTTTGCCGCGTAAAGAGCCGTAATTTCTCTTTTTTTTTTTTTTTCTTCCTCTTTTTAAAAAAGATTCCCCAAAAATGAATCTCGGCGTTAGACATCAACCTCTTTCCAAAGCTTGGGCAGCTATTCACTCATGCTTGGTACATCAAGATACTAAAACACCCCGTCATTTACCCTGGGAAGTACCGGAATAGTTCTTATTTGATGATCTTATAGGACCCAGCCACCTCATTCCCATCCGTCTAATTGTAAATCAGATGGCCGTTATTGCCGAGGATGATAAGTTTATCTTAATGACGTTCTCTGTCTTTGGCTATAACCTACCTTTCGAGCCCTTCGAGTTCCGTGATTCGAGTCATACATAAACCTGCATGGAAGCCAAAAGTTCGGTTACAAGAGTACGATGAGACACCAACCACGAAACAATAAGCAGATACACCGAATCCGACTAGACTTACTCATTAAGAGTTTTCAAGGCGAAAGGTACAGGGATAGAACTGTGACTGACGTTATTGGGTTCTAAAGGCTCTGGATTGGACTAAACAATAATTGCGGGGTCCACTAACCCAAGGGTCCGAGCTACGCAGATGAGGCAAGAAGACTGGCGCTGGTCTGAACTGATGCTTTCAATTAACCCAACTTCCTAGGATTGGACAAAGTTCTTTCATTAAAGCATCATGATTGAAGTTCATTGGATCCAAGTCTTGACCCGAGGACTTCTGATTTCCGACCCGTGAATAACCTATCTTTCCCCGCGAAACCCACCCGAACAACCGGAAAAATAAAAACAAAAACAAACGAAACGCTAAAGATTAAACTAAATGAAACAAAACAAGGGAAAGTGGAAAGTGGGATCACAATATAGACGGGGAAGAGCTATTACATCATGGAAAAGTGGACCTCCCCGCTATGGAGAACGCTAGGCGCACTGCGTGTCCCAAGTGTCGCGACCCAAGAACCAGATCTGCGAACGCACTTAAACTACTATAGTATACCCTAAAAATGCATGCATCATGCAGTCGAAATCTGCCATTTCTACCACACAATCGGGCACTGCTCAACGATCGCTCCAGCGTCCGTCTTTTGCACGCTCATGCACCGGCCCCCACCTACATTTCCGGGGCGTCTCGGCATGACCGGGGAATTTAGGATTCGAACCCGTAATGACGCACTCAAGCGCTCCTTGCATGAGGCATAGAGATAATGCAAATCCATAGATTTTACGGATCGATCGGGGGGATAGGCATGGACTCACCCGCATCGGAACCCGGAGCAGAATCCGCGATATCTACCCTTCAGTTAAGACTGTGATTGCAAAAGTGAGGCGGGGGACCATACAGAGCCATGGGTTAAGGGAAGTGAGACAAGGTCAGAACCAAGGCCTCGATAAGCGAAGCACAGCCGGCCGAGATGGAAGCTCCCCGGACACGAACCCCAGACCCCATCTTTGACGGCGGCAACGCGGATGTGCACACCGGTCGAAGAATTCGGAAGATCCGGTGATTATGAAACGGCTTGGGCCCTAGTGTCGGGTCGCAGGGTGGTTGTATGGATGTGGAGAAAGTAGCCTATGACGAGGTAGATCGAATGGTTGGAACGTTAAGCTTTAGATTTATTCCATTTAATTGTATTTATTTTTGTTTTTTGTCGCCCTACAGTGGAACCAATCATTGTCCGTATATATAGACTTGACCATGCTGACGAAGACTTTATTTGTTGATGGCTTGGCTTTTCTTCACCGGGTTCCTTAGTGGGAAGACTTGCTCAGCCCTGGGGGATTTACTGCTGGTCAAACGTGGGGTTGGGTAAATGACATGTGCTCAGTGTGATCCCATGATATCCGTTGCATGTGTACGCATGCATTGGTGATCGCTGGGGTTTGTTGAGCCTCTACTGTGCTGTGCTGGCGTTGCCCACTCGATAACAGCATTTGCCAAGACTGGATGTGCCAGTGCTACTCTACGGCAGATACGGGACTGTTGACCACATTTGGCGTTTACTAGCAGTACCCACTTATCCGCTAAGAAGGTTTGAAGAAACGAGAAAAAGAAAAAGAAGAAGCAAAAAGCTGGTTTTCAGCCTTGTGGATTCCAAGTTCTTGACTACTGTGGACTCTCGCCTGGTAGCACAGACTGTCTCAGATCACGATCCCGATCAAAGGTCTCAGTTCAGAGATCCACTATGCGTTCTACGACACCAAATCCTAAGTGGGTCGGCATCGCAGACTTGTTTAGTAGGAAACTTTCTTTTCCTCAGATCTCCAGACCCACTCGGCGGGTCCGTTCCGTGGATCGAGTGCGGGAAAGCAACGATGTGACAGGAAAATCGGTAAGACTCAAGGCAAATGCAGATGACAAGGCAGTAGAAGCTCAAATTCCTACAAAAGGGGAGAAAAGGGGGAGTGATTGGGCGGGGTACCTATTGCCCCTGGGAATGCCGTAAAGTTTAACAAGGCACATGGCAATGCAGTCAGCAGAATAATATTTTTTTCCGATAGTTACACAGAATAAAAGAAACAAAGGTATAGAGAAACAAAGCGAACAACAAAGAAGTAAAGAATAAACATGAAACAGCAACAGAAACAGAAACTCCCCCGTAGGTATCATAACTCTAATTGCCCCTCTATGGCCAAGTTTTCCTTGGAACCTTGGAAGTTCCCTAACCATGTGCGCCCGTATGTCAGAAGGATGGGGGCTAAGCACCGATCTGACTAGCCCTGAAACTAAAAATCATTTATGCGCCTGCAATCAAGTCCACATATGCATGAACTCGTAAACAATCACTCCAATCACAGTCCTCACTTGGTCACCTCTAACGGCGATTGGCAGGAGACCATGGCTGGGAGGAGCGAGGGGCATTGAGATAGGCCTCAAGGGAAGCGGAGCTGCCGCTGGCGGGTCTAGTGTCGGGGAAGGTGGTAGCGTTGCGCGAGCTGCCGGAGAGTCCGGAGAGATCGGAGAGAAAATCGGCTCCGGATGGGAAGGTCGGAGCGTTGGCAGCCCACGAGCCCATTCCGGTAAGGTCCATTTTCATGCTGGACTTCTTTGCGCTGGGAGAGAAAACAATCCCGTTAGTATGGTATTACATGATCAATGACGTATAGGGAAGCTGGTGTGGCTTAGCCATGGAATTGAGGGTAGCTCACGTTGATTGAGACATGTTGCGAGAGAGATGAAACGAGCTTGCGTGGAGGTTTGGAACGGAGTGAGTTGAGCTTTAATTAGAGTAAATCGTCAGTGGAGAGCGCAATTTGCTAGATCCAGGACTTACCTACTATGAAATGTACTCAAGTCGAAGCCCTTGGGAATGTGTTGAGATAATACCTTCATGGGATCAGGTTCCCCTCTTATTTATATCCAGAAGTGACGACAGAATCAACCTTGAGCATAGCCATAACCTCGCCGCGAAGGCGACGCCCGGGTGCGATAGCATTTGAACCCAGGATAAATTATCATGAAAAGTACGGGGTGAGGATCACCCGAGTGGGTCGGGTCGTTGATCTGCAATCTCTATCGTGGAGCTTAGGGTTAAGAAATTCTAGAAAAACGGATTTTTGGCCTGTGCTTTCCGTACCTGTGTTGCCTAGTTGTGCCTTGGGGGTGATAGATCGGAAAGTATAATCAATTACTAGAATATAAAATATAAAATAAGGATTTAAAGAAAACATAATAAAAAAGCAACAAAACAATAAGGAAAAGGAAAAGGAAATTAAATTAACGGGCTAGCAGGGTAGTCAGGGCAAATCGCTGCAGGGGGAATTAGTGGGCCATCTCCAGGGTCCGGCCTGTTGAGTGGCACAATGACGCTGCACTCTTGGAAACTAAACTCCTGCTCCGTGACTCCGTATATAGTAACTTCTCATTTCCTGTTCCGTTTTGCAGAAAAAAAACCATGAAAGTCACCCGATCGGCCTCTCGCAGGATCGTATCCAGGCACAGCAGCGCCCAACGAAGTATCGGTGTGGACCCATAGCGTAGAGGGGGGCCATTGAGGGTCTTGAGTGGCCCCGTACCTTAAGTACCGAGCGGGTACCCAGATAGAGTGCAGATCGCGACGTATGTATGTGTATCTCGGAAGTAGCCTTTGCATCCGCCGGAGGACCCGGTATACTGGTTCTATTGTATGCTTGCAGTGATTCCCGACATTTTGGTATCACTCTGGATGCTTTTTCCTGAAGATCGATCCCACTAACTAAAGACTGAGTACTACAGAAGATCGTTTTAATCGTACTGCAGTGGGGCACGCTATGTAATCCCCCGAATTACTGGTATTGTTGTACGCACACTCTCCCATTTGACGTACAGTAGTCCACTTCCTAAAGTTTACTTCTTTCACCCCATTTCGTTTTTCCCCGGGGGTCTATATTCTCCCAATCACTTTACCAGGGAGAAGATCATGCACGTCGACGCTACCTGGGCACTGGGTTAAGGTAAAATGGGCGGCGAGATAGGCAGTGAAAACACGTAGTTACCAGTTAGGAAGGCAGGGAAATTAGGGCGGATTTTCTTACTTCCTCCACCGCCACTTCCCATCAAGTCTCGAGGTCCAAGGAAAGATGAAACATAGGGATTGTGGGCATGCCAGCTCACTAACAAGGGTTCGACATTAGCGCCAAATTTGGTCAGCTGGCGCGCTAGTTCCAGACAAGGCGGTCTCGTGAGATGATATCAGTGATAACAGTTGAGGATCGAGAGACTGAGATATTGGGCTCCGGAGTCCCGCATCCTAGCGTTTGGAAGGGCGAATCAAGACTAGAACTCTGACACGATGATGAGAAATCAATATGCGTCCAGTCAGAGAATGAAGTGGGCGCGCGTCAGGGTTGAGATTTGGAATTATGACTATTGGGCGGGTCCACATGCCTCGTCGAATGGTGACCTTAGGAAAGGATTCGCATCCACCGTAGGCGAAATGAGATGGAGTTTCTCTTACCGTGTATTCAGGGCATGACGACACTGACGGAGTAGGTTCTGGAATGGGATGCGATACAGATTCATCATATACCGGACAAGGTCATATTGCACAGCCTCTACGTAATCAACCTTGACTGCACTAGCACGAGCAATAGCCCTAGGATTCTGGGATCTCGCTGGGATTGTTGGAATTGGCAATTGCTCCGTACCTTTTCCACTGTTTTTCTGCAGATCCAGAGTTTCTTTCCTTTTTCCTGGCTCTACAGTAGCCGAACGCTTTGTCCCCTTTCGTTTCTTACCGTACTAGCTCATTGCTTTTTTCCAGGCTGACAACATTCCTGTATGTGATTGAGGACCCAAAAAAATCGGCAATGAGTCAACAGGAAATCAAATCTCAAAATAGCCTTATGGCACTGGCTCCGGCAACAAGAATTCCAGACCGACACCGACTTTCTCTTGTCCAGTCTTATCGAGGGCACAGACATCTCGATGGCATTCTAAAGAAAGCCGAATGTGAATGCACGGTACTGGTTCAAGTACGTCTACCCAAAAAAACTCAATCCCACACGTCCAATGTAGGCTTCACGCTAAGAACCTGCCAGTCACCAACGAGCCGGGATCTTGCCAAGTGGCGACTATCACGAGAGGGAAATACCGTTCGCTCCTCGGTTGGTCAGGATCCTTGTCTAGCTGGCACTTTTTCTCCAAAATTGCGAGCTAGACAGGGGGGTCTGGCGGTTTAACGGCCCATCCACGATTCTGGTCCATTCCAATCCATTCTGCTGGAATTGGTTGGGCTTTTGGTCGCTGCATGCAACGTGTTTCAGGTATCTATAGACTGAGGCTCAAACTCAAACTTGTGTAGATATTCGCCACCATCACAACACTGATCCGAAGATCCAGAAATACCCCGTACTGTATCAGTACAGAGTAGGAAATCAACGCCGAAGCCAGTGACGTTGGACGCACTTTCCCCTCTTTTCCCTTTTTTCCCACTTTCCCTCTTTGCCCTGTTCAGGCTAGACCAAGGCACTGTGGCTGAAGCACACTAGCCACACCGCAACTTCACCAAGCGAACCAAAAACCAGCCAATCTGGAAGCTGAGGTATAACCCGCGACTTTACTCTTTGCACCTGAGCTATGACGTCCAGTATACGTGTCGAGTTTCCTCCGATCTCCCCTGGTAGTCTAGACCCGGGGCGCGCCCAGGCATCGAACATGTGGCGCAGCAGGCGTTCCTGTTGGTCGTGAGCCCTGTTCCCTGTCCCGAGACTCATAGATCTAGCTTTAGCTTTCAATGCCGGTGAGGGGGTTTTTTGTCTCATCAACAAATACGATTGGATTCAATGCGTCCAATAATCGTTTTGTTCTGTGTCCTGTGTTCTCACTCCAGTCCGGATTAAAATCCGACCTTTTGCACCCGTGGCAGTGCCGGACTGGCAAAAGTTCAAATCCCGATGGATGACCTATCGACACATTTGAGATCGATCATCGCCTCGGTTAAGCTCGGTGATCGATGCAATGCAACGCACCCTGAAGCCTGCGCTTGGTTTGAGGCTTAGTGGGGTCAAGATGTCAGGCGACGGAGCGGGTCGGGGACTTGGCGGATGCGACGGGGACGCGAGTGCGCGAGGGCGCGAGGACGAGATGACGCGATACGTGATGTCCTAGTCTGGGAATGCCAATGCCAATACTGTACCAGTCCGCGTAATCGTATTGTTATCGTACTCGCATACAGGATACCTCTGATAGAATCAATGAGCACAGAAACCGTTTGATTGTATGATGAGGTGTATCCATGTAGACATAGTCATATAGACTCCAACAAGAACTCATCATACTGAAACTGTAGGTAGAAGTCAACCTTCCATGCCAATGCAATTCACGTAAATCGTATTCTTCGTACTCGTATACAAGTCATCTCTTTATACAGACAAGCAATGAAAACAACCATCCTTTTGAATAGTGTGTAGATATCCTGGATCCATAGACTCCACAGGATCTCATCGCACCGTAGCTGTAACAGTGTCAAGCAGATGAACTATGCACAAGCTCAATACAGAACTCTCCCCATTCACCCCCATTGCTCGACGTCAAAATCTCCTCCGCAATCGCCTCCTCGATGCGCTCGCCATACCGTCTCCGATAATCGATCTTAACCTGCTCAAAGTGTCTCGGCTCCCAGTGTAGTCGGACAAGACGCGAGATCAGGAGTTCGGAGCGCTCGCGGCCGGGTTTCGATTCGCGGAGTGCTTGGTGGAGGAGGAGGGCGTCACGCATGGGACGGTTTATGGCTCCGTTTAGGATGTGGGCTAGTGTTTCGCCCTAGGAGGTGTCAGTGATGAAGTGAATAAGGAAGGGCATGAAGGAAGGATGTGACTTACGACCAGGTTCTGAGACTTGGCGATCATCGCTCGTGCAAAGTTTTGTCCATAGATAGCTTCGTAGGCGCGCAGAACCTCTCGTAGATGTGAGTCGCTTCGTAGAACGATGATGTGGATCATGGCTGTCTCGCCTCCATCACGGGAGACGAGCGCACGATGCAAGTCTGAGACATCTTGCCGAACGAGTCGCGAATCCAGTGGTTCCCGATCATCCTGTCGCTTCTCTTCCAGTGCGAGGAGAACCGCGACACGGAATTTATCTGCCTTTAGCTCGGAGCGCATACACCGTTCCAAACTATTATCGTACCGCGAATCCTTGAAACAATTTTTGATCTCGCGGATGGCAGCGTTCGAGCGACCGATCAGGGACTCGATGAGAAGCTCACGCCGTGAAGTCCCGGCTTGGTAGTAGCAGTTTGCCCAGAAAGCTTCTGATTCCCAGCGGCCCAGTGCGGTCGCGTAGGCTACCTTGCCGAAGGAGGAGTTGCCGAGTTTGAGGCGGAGGTGTTTAGCGAGGTTAATACCTTTGCCGTGGGTCTTGACACGGGCTTTGTATTCCTGGCGAAGGAGCAGGATCTCGTCGCTTGTCAACCGGGGGAGTGTTTGGATGATGGTTTTGTTGTCGATGCTGCGAGTATGGTTTAGGGCTGATTGCATTGCGTCTGCATCTGCGCCGGCATCATAGAAGGAGACACGCTTTCGTCCGGTCGTGGGTGAGATTACAACGAGTGAGTCGCCGCCTGCATTTAGGGAGGAGATGGAGTCGTGGGGGGAGTGGCTGATAGTCGGGCGGCTTCGACGCTTTTCATCTCTGCGGTCGGAAGAGCGCTCGATCCGGATCGTTTCTTTGCTGCTGCTGGTTCTATGACGGCCTTCGCGTTCACGGTCGAGATCTTTGTCATTTGTTGATGATTTTGTGCGGGTGTGTTTTCTTCGTCGGCGTGTTTCTGAGCTGGAGGTTTCGCCGTCCAGTGGTTCGAGGTCGGAGATGTCGTCGTCACGCACGGAGGGAATGACGATTGGAGAGGGCATGGGTGACATCGACTGGTAGGTTCCATGATATGGCTCGAGTAGAGGACTCGCGGGTGGATGGCTTCCAACCATAGCGGTCCCAGCTACGGCAAGATTATTTGCTGAAGACACGGACAGACTGTGCGGGCGAGTCCGTCCACCACCAGGCGTGATCTCCATATATTGTTTCTGGGGAGCTGCTCGAGGCGAGGGCGGTGGTGGCGGCTTGTCTGAGAACTGAGGCTCATGACTATACTTGTATGGATAGATTGACTGCACAGGTTGCGATGCAGAACGGTCATGCTGAGGTCCTCGAGGGTAACCCGCCGGCGTCGCCAGCGTAGCAAACTGTGCCTCGGGCGAAACGGTATATGTCGGCTTCGGCGCCGCTTTTGAAGTATACTTCACGTTCGGATCAACCTGCGCATACTGGTAAGGCGTCGGATGGGCATATCCCTGAGGATGACCAGCATCACTCGCAGAAGCCGTGCGATAGTGCGAAGGCGTATAGGCTCCAGTCGAATAGGGAGCTTGCGGCTGCGAGGAAGGGTTCGAATACTGCGGCGTGGGAAAACTCGGTGCCATCGTCGAAGGCACATTCCCATACGTCGAAGACGAAGGAAAAGCACCGGGCATCCCTCCAGCCTGCGATGTAGGCGGCACAAAGCCTGGACGCTCACACTCAGGCACATCAGCCCAGTCCGTCCTGGTACTGGGACGCTGAGGCAACGGGGGCGCAGAGAACGTCCCCGTCTGCTGCGCATATTGGAATTTACCCGGTCGCGCATAACTAGGATGACTACCGGGCGTATCACCATACGCAAGATCATCATCAACCGAGTCATCATCAGAGCTCTCGTCTCGCCGATGGCTCCGCCCTCCATTGCGACCACTCGGCAAAGGAGATGGAATTGATGTCCGACTCACATGCTCGCGCGGCTGCATAGTCCTCATATCGCGCTCATCACCCGAATGCTCATAGCGATCGCGCTCGCGCTCCTCCCGTCTTCGCCGCTCCCGACGTCTAGCGCTATCATCCGAATCATCGCGCCGAACGGGACTTCTAGCAGGACTTCTAGGCGCATTCCTCGAGTCTCGCTCCTCTCCGCGGAGCCGACTCTCCTTCATCAACCTATACTGGCGGTCGATCTCCGCCTCGTCAAGATCATAATTGCGACTTGAACCGGACGGTTTCGCAATTTCGACTGCGGGAGAGCGCGAGCGTGGCCGTGACGTATCAACGGACAAGTTCAGATCCGACGTGCGGGTATCGCGAGATCTGGAGCGTTCTCGGCGACCGGGTGATTTAGAGCGGGTACGCGACCGGTGGTCGTCAACTTGGAGCGACATGGTTCCAGGGTCCGTTACTTTGTGGTGGGGCTTTGCGCCAAATTTGGAGATGTGTTTGTCGTAGCAAGTATATAATCAACCTGCCGAACCGTGGTTCGGGGGTTGGTTATTATGGTTGGCTTGGAGAACTGAGGAAGAAGAACTTGGACGAGGTGAGAATGTCCCGCTTAGGGGATTTTGGTACCGCACAAGAAGCCGTTGCAATGAGTTTAGTCGATCAGTGCGAGGGGAAATACGGGGGATCCACACGGTTCCTTAGCGGGCCTCCAGCTTCAGCCTTGTCACTACCAAGAGTTGACCAAGAAATGAAGCCTTTTCAACCGGGACAAAAGAGAGCTTAGAAATTAATGAAGAAGATAAATGGAAACTGGAAGTGCGAGGAATGATCTGGATTCAACTCGTATTCCCAGTGATAGTCCCTTGTTCGCATGGCAAACTCCGGTCTGACATGCTGATTCTTGCAGAAAGAGGGCGCATGGTGCCGCTAAGAATGAGCTCTTATTGGTTCCAACGCAGGCGCTGGCTTGAGATCGCCCGGCGCTTCAGCCGCAGCTCACAAGCCTGTAACCTGTTCGCTGGGTCATAGGGCCTATGCGCCAAGCGATAGGTTGCGAATGCAACTGGGCGGATATGTGAAATTTACGATATGAGGAAATGGGCCTACTGTAGGTAGACTCTTTGGAGTGGGGCATACTATTGCCCAATAACATTGAAGTTATCATTCCCCGGAATGATAACTTTGTGATTGCGCTTCCTTCCCCTGTGAATATACAGAAGCCTATAGCTACAGTACGCGTGGACGGTGGACCCAGTGAACAGTGAATATCATAGCAAACACATAGAAAGTGGAATACAGACACTCGAGGTGACACATTTTGTGTTGAGAAGGAAAATGCAGCAGCAGAAGGGAAGACAAAAAAAAACCTCGTCGAGGTGAGAAAGGGGGGTATGTGCGGAATAGCAAGCTATGCGAACAGGAGAAGAAAAGAAAAGAAACAGAACATTGCGACAGGTTTAACGCGTACGACGACCATCATGACCAGGTCCCATGCGACCACCGTAGGATTTGGTAGGCATGGGCGCAGGCTGTCCATTACGGTTGAGGCGGTTGGTTCTCCAGCGCTCATACCAGATCACACGACTGGCCTCGCGCAGCTCCGATCGCCATTCAGTAAACACCGAGTCCTTCAGTCGGACAAAGTCACAATGTTCCGAGTTGTATGGGTCGGCGAAACCCCAAGGGAATCGGCGACCGACCGGTTCTTCCCCGGAAGCGAGGGAGTGTGGGTCCGGGGACAAGATCGAGAATGGCACGTGGGGATTGGCAGGACCATCTGATCCGATGGACTTGCTCTCGCTGCGCTGGGATGGCGTGCGCTCCAAATTGGTCTCCACCTTGGCCTCGGAAGGTTCTGCGGATTCGGGATCGATGATTTCGGGCTCCGTGGGGTCGCTCTCTTGTATCGACTCCTCATCACCACTCTCAGACGAGCTATACTCTTCCTGGTCTTCCAAGGTCAAGATCTCCAGAGGATCGATGTTGGCTTTCTTGAGACTGCTCCAGACGGCCTTGCGCAGGTAGCCCATGTGAGCGGAGGTGATGGTGTCCGCCTTGCTGATGACGGGCACAATAGTGGTCTTGCCCAGGATGGTGCGCAGCACCTGCAAATCGAGATTCTGATCCAAGACGCCCAGCACGGGGGTGTCGGTAGCCTTGGAGGTAGCATTGGCAAAACGTTCAGCAGCGGCAATGTTCTCATCGAGGCGAACGGGGTCCAGCAGCAGGAAAGTGCAGTGAATGTGAGTGTCGCGAGCTCCCGGAGAGCGCACCACCTTCATCTCCTCCGCGAGGGTCTCCTCAAACTTGCTCTCAAGGAAACCAGTCACGGCTTTCATCTGCAGATCCACAATGTTGCGCTCGAGGCCGGTGGAGTCCCACAGGGTCAAGCCGACGCGCTCCCCGTCGATTTCGGTTTCAAGATACTGCGACGTGAAGCCTTCGTAGGCGGATGTCTGGCGTTCCAGCTCCTCCAGTTCTTCAGGAGTGCGAATAGGGTGCTTGTGTGCTGGCATGGTGAGTGCCTTGCGAAGAAAATTGAGGAACTCGGTTTTGCCGGAGTTACGAGCGCCAACCACCAGGATGCTGTACTATATTAAATTCGGTCCTTACAATTATGATTGATGCGACTTACTTGTAAGAAGTGGGATCCTTGCGGCGACGGACCCGACGAGGGCTGTTGACAGTGCTGACAGCGCTGCTGGCGTAGCTGTAGCGACCCCGGTGGGTCATGCTTTCGGAACGGGCATACGGATCCATAGAGTCCGTGGGCGATTGAACGGGTGGTGCCGCAAAGCCAGAATTAGGACGAGGCAAGGCGGGCTCTGCCTTAATGGTATCACGTTCTTCGCCTCCAAATGTCTCTAGCTGAGGGGCGGGGGAGAAATCCGGCAGGCGAGGGGCTATTTTTGGGGCGTACGACTCGCGCTGACGGCGCATCTCCTCTTCCATCATTTGGGATTTCGTCATCTTTTTGCGACTTCCAGATGCTTTGCGTTGTTCACCGAGAGGTTCGGTGGATTTAGAGCGACGAAGAAAACCGAGCGAGGTACGACGAGCGTTGAGAGTTTGATCCGTGATGGAAGGCACGGCATCAGAGGGCGCGCGCGAGGAAGTTGGAGTTGACATTTTAAGCGCGTGATTTTTTTTTTTAATTTTGTTTCTTGTTTGGTTTTCTCTTTATCTTTCAACAAGTTTCACCTGCAGTTATTCTTGCTAAACGGATAATAATCTGCAGCCATAACATCAATCAGTCCACTTTACTTCATCACCTACTCGGGTACGACATCTGCCCCTCATCTGCAGGGTACGCAATGGAATGTTCCCACTCACATATCCGACTTTTGTCACCTTGCGACCTTGCTATTGGGCTCAGACCAATGATTCAATGGTTCGAGACTGGGAGACTTTCAATGGCGCGGGGTTTTGAAGCAGTGCGACTTGAGACCCAGAAAGACAGAAACGAGAGACTGCGACAGCAGCAAAGTGAAGGGAAAAGAGACGGATCAAAGGTGATTCAATGGCAACAAGCTCTCAACCAGTGTGAGTTGTTACTCTGTCCGCTGTTCGTCGCTACTGGAGTGACGGGCCAGGGGAAGTCGGAATTGAAATTCGGGGGAGGGGAACCCGTTTAATGTGAACGAGAGATGGATTGAAATTGAGAACCAGCCTGCTCACAGCGTCCGACTACTGCGGCGCATTAAGTGGAAAAGGGAGAAACGAAAGGAAAGGAGTGGGTGGAAGAAAGGAAGAAAATCTCGTGGAGGAGATCTTTCTTATGGCCCGGGTCAGGCTAATGATTTACAGGGTTTTAGATACGTTGGCTTTTCTGGTATACGGATTCATTTGATTCGGGAGAAATGACAGATGTGAACTGTCTGATCTTACTTGATGTGCCGGCACTTTTTGCGACCATCTGTTTACTCTATTCCCCTCCATGGGGAAGCAATTGGGCTGATACACGGGTATCATGATGATTCAGGGGTAAAAAAGTGTCGAGTCACGGTCCAGAGCCCAGCAAAAGCCTTCCCCCACTTAGAGCTCTTGTGTGGATTGCTAGGATGCGGTTCGTTCCACGCGGCGGGCGGCTAATGCCCGACGGGGAAGTCTTGGTGTCGATGAATTTGTGACTGAAGGGCTATGGAGTCAATTTGGATTGTTATATCAATTGGCTCCCTTTCTGTATTCTTTCAGTGATACTGAGTAGAATAAAGATCAACGTTGATCTGTCCAATTAAAGGTGAAAACCCGGATTGCCACGAGTTACCCCTGAAAGGCTGATCTGGCACGTGCACCAGGGGCCGTTGGACTTCTCCACCTGCAACTGTCTGAGACTATCTCTGTATCTCAATCTCTCCCGGCAATGAACGTTGGAATTGATTCCATTGAAAGGGGCTGTTTGTTGTGAGTAAACCGGGGGAACCGGACACGGAGACCGCGGGTCGCATCCACGGGTCACTACTCGTTCCAAATTTCCGCAAAATTTGGGCGAGCTGAGCTGAGCTCCACACTATGTAATGAGAGATTCTAGTAGTAGCACTTTCAGAAAGATCCATTTGCTATATGTAGTATCTGCAGTAGCCAAATAACTCTATCTTGATCAGGATGGACCAGAGAAGCATCACGGAGAAAATAAATTAAATCGCCTCGAGGTACCACACAGATCGTTATTAGGCTCGCAGCATGCACGATCCAACCACGCGAGCTCGATCCCAACGTAGTGGGGCACCAAACCCACAAAACGGTCCTGCTGCTGGGACGCGTCTAAGCTAAATAACCTATTGAATCACGAACCCTGGGTCAGGTCTACACGAAAATAAGGTCAAAACACAGCCCCTATTGATAGGACTCGAATCTGTCTTCCTGGACTTTTGTAGCTGTGAATCGAAAAGAGAGAGAAAAACACTTCTCGTATTCGGTCACGAAAAGAAAAATATGTGCACGTTCCTTGTGGGTCCACGCGTGGGGCGGTTCATCGCGTGCAGGACTTGCTTCTTTTATCTAGCTTCCTATCATTGACCTCAAGAAATTACGTGTAATCAGCATATCCTCTGATTTAACCAAGCCTCTATACCCTTAATACAGATATATAACAGCGACACAGAAATCCAGCTTGCACTAGGTCCTCATATTATACTCCGCCTCAGCCTCCGCCCAAATCCTAAACGGCAACACAATACAAGGCGTCGAAGGACAAACATGAGTCCGATCAAGAGTCTTAAATTTCGGCCCGTTCGGTCCAGCAACATACTTCGCTTCTCCAAAAATCGATGGCTCCCCCACAGGCTGTGCATCACCCCATTGACCATTGAAATTTAGCCAGGGGACTGGGTACGACGCTGAGGTATCTGAAGCAAACGTCGCGGTTGCGGGGTCGTAGGTATAAGCGTATGCGTTTAGCGTTGGGTCCCAGAGAACACCTTTATCAGTATAATCGAGTAGTAAGCCAGCCGGGAGGTTTAAGCCGGGGATTGTGTGGTCATGTTGTCTATGCCGCCATTCAGTAGTGCCAACAGCTAGGTAGCGTAATCTAGGCTATACATACCCTACAATGGCGTAGTTAGCGTGCGTCCCATTAGCAGAGAATGCGTAAGGTCGTAGGCCGTCTTTCTCGAGGGCGTTGTAGGTGAATGCCTGGCCGCTGGCGTGTTGGCTGAACCAAACTGCTTGTGGTGTACCGTTGACGAAGCGGATCATGTTGTGCTCCCTATTACTGTGAGCGCGGATATAATAGATGCTACGCGGTTTTATTACCAATCACCGATGTGGTCGCCAAATTCTAAGCCTAGGACTTTATCACCTTTGTTATATCTGGATTGTACATATGGTCAGTGGACGCTTTTTCCTTTGGACCAAGCACTTACGCATAAAAGTAGAAGTAGAAAGCATCTACCTTCCCAGCGCCATGATTTACAACAACAATGGCGCATCCTGTCGCGTTACCGGTCCGCCCGTTGCTGTCTGGTGTGATACCATCCCACCATGATGGTTGAGGTGTCTGAGCGATACCTCCAGAGGTCGTCAAGTAGACACTTGTATTGCCTAGATCATTAAGCTTATCCAGGTTTTCCAACGTTAATGGAGACGGCGCGCCTGCTACAGCAGTCCAGTTGACCTCGGGAGTGGTATTGTCGAGTTGCGCTTGCAGGTCGCTTGGCCGGTATGGGTCTGTGCTGTATAACCAAACTAGTGGAGCTATGGGATATTAGATGAAGAGTATATAGTATCGCGGGATTATTTACCGTGTGTATACACATATTGCGGGATATCAGATGTTGCCCTAGTCTGGAAGGATGCGATGGTAGGTTTGACCAAAGGCAGAGCCGCAACGGCGAGTGCCGTGAGTTTCATTACCAGGCGCATCGTATTGCTCTCAATGAGGTACCCTATATTCCCCTCTGATACAAGACTCGAGCGATCCAATGCTCTTAGTCTGAGCCGATCAGCATTATATTCTCATCACTAGAAGATGCATCACTCACTATAGTTGAATATTCCAGGTACCGAAGAAAAAACAGGCATCAGTATACACTGCCTATGAACAGCCTCCACCGTTGACAGGGTGCAGCAGTCACTTATAAGGTATAATCAGAGGCGCCCGTACAGCCTGTACAACAGCAGATCACAAAAAATACATCGTATGCCGAGAACCCAAAATCATCATGAGCTATAGGTCATATTCACGAGATCGACGTGATCGACCGGTGGAAGTGGGGAGGAATGAACATTGATGGGGACTCGATAAATACCCTAGAATGTTACATGCATGAAATTGAGGCAATAAATCGGCAGCCAGGAGCCAGGCGGGGTGTTCCGAGCTTCTGATTCGATATGGTTTAGCATAACCCCGGCTTTTTAGTGGAGGGTGCGTGACTCGTGCCTTGTGCTCTGACGGGGTCATCTGATAAGCTCATCACGACTACCTCGTAATTCCAGCTGGGAACCCATGCAGAAGTCATAAGTGTTCGAATCTAGTATAGACTTAATGAGGAGTTAGCTGTACGTGCAGGTCCCTACAGTAAGATCCACCAATCGCGTGTCGAAGATGCGTCAGCTACTGCATTCTAACGATCCCACAGGCTACGTAAAGACCGGGAAGTCCCTGATGATTTAGGTGCATACACACCTCTTCAATGTAGATGTGGTTTCGCATGAATCACATCAGTCATTCATCCCTGAAATCCTCTGGGGGAACTAATTTGGCAAGCCACGCTATCCATCACAACCTCCCCTGCTTGTCTTTTTCCGCCTCTTCTTCCCTCCTTTCCTTCTCCTTCCACAGCTTGAACAACCTCAAGTCCAACGGAATTCGATCCCCTAACCACGTCGCCCGCTGCGTATGATTCCGCTCTTCCTCCGCCCCCTCCGACCGACCCGCCTCTATATCCGTATTCGGGTGGATCAGTGCACTCAGCTGGCCCCGGTTAATAATCAGCCAGGGAATAAAAGCTCCGAACTGTGCTGGTGTGAACACGTTTACTTCGAACATGGCGACGGGGTGCGGGCCAACGGGTTGGTCGAAGAATTTATAAATGCGGAGTTCGGGGACTGGGAAGGTTAGTTGTGTGTGGATCCACCCGTTTCCTGCTGGGTTTCTTACATTCGCGTCGAATTCTTTCGTGGAGGGCCTTGGCGTAGGCTACTTGGTCTGGATTTGTCTGGAGGTGAATTAGTTTTAGATTGTTTTTTTTTTCCGATGACCGATGTAGGGTGGTGAATCCAGAGTTGTGTTTACCTGGAAGTGGTAGATGTGCACGTCGAACCCGCCGCGTCGGCCTTTGCTCACTGGGTCTGGAAATTCTTCGTAGGCTTTGCTTAGGACGCCGGTTTCGGGATTCTTCAGAGATTTCCCATCTTCGTTGCGCTCGCTGATTTTATATTAATACCGAGGCTCATGATGCAGTGGATCGCGGAATCCGAGTGATCATGATGTTTGACTTACTCGGTCAGTGGCTTCAAGTCCCCATAGCCCTCCAACGGCGATGGATATGAGTAAGCGAATTGATCTGTCATTTCGGGGGCTGTCTTTCCGTATTCCAAACTAAGTTCCTCAACCTTGGAAGGTAAAAAATTGGTGGTATAAATTGTCGTGAAAAGAATGGGTGGTCTTGTGCCCCGCGGCTTGCTATATATATTGCGCAAAGATGCCTGTGTCCAACGTCGGATATTCGGCCTCGAAAAGGATTGGACCCCGAGATCTTATCAATCAGCACAAGCTCTGTTTGCTGAGAAATACTAAGCAAAATAAGTCTAAATTAGTCGATAATGATGACTGATGTCGTCAATTTGGCTGTATCGGCACTATCGGCAAATTTCCGCACTTACAAAGCCGCGGAACGGGCGGGTCAGTTGCTGCCATAGGATTCAGGAACAAATGTTGAAGAACGCTACATAAACTCTCTTCTCCACTTTTCAAGACTGACATGTTAGAACATCAATGCTATGGCCCAAGCTGCTACAGCTCAAGCCCCTTGGCTCAACGTCCCCCTCCCAAAAACTGACTGACGTCGAGAGTTGACATTTTCATACTTCCATCACTTCCCTCAGCTAGCATCTGCATCTGCATCATACCCGCCCCCGGCTGTCCTCCTGGACCACTCCCGTAGATCTGCTCACCAAGCATACGCAGCTGCATAGGCATCTTTGGATCCCCATATTGTTGAATAATATCCGATTTCTCAACAGCGTGGTCCACATTGTAGTCATTGTGCTGCCCAGAAGCAAAGGCTACACATGCCTGGGACTTGGCAGGAGACCACCACTCAGGCAACAGTTCCCTTTTACCCTCAACTAGTCGCAAGAATCGTCGGAAGCCTGGTACGCCACTAGACACACCGCTGTAGATGCTATCCGAGGCCACGTCTCCTTCAAGGCTGTATTTATCCTCCATGCGAAGACGGTATGTGTCGATAAGAAGCTTGTAAACGTCCTGTTCAGGGCGGCCGTGAAGCCATTTCTTCGCGTGAAGTTGGTGGAATGGTTTGTCCATTTTGAAGTCGAGAGCTTGCGTGCCGGTATCGCTGCCACTAGTGTTGCTTCCGGCGGGTTGGGTCTCGGCTGCTGCTTGGGCGAGTCTTGCGCAATCCTTCTTGTGATGCTTCCAGTCTGCTTTCTGGCAGTCGCGAGAGCAGTAGCGTGCAGACTTGCACTTGCTGCATTGCTTGAGCGAGTCTAGCTCGGCCCTGCTCTTATTGCAGTTGAGGCAATTGTCGTCGGTGGGGGTCACGTCGGCCATTGTTTTGACGGTAGATGAAGTTTGAGGGTGACAAGAGTGTACAAAGCATTGGGAATACCAATCGAGTCTTAATACTCCATAAAAGGATGAAGAGCGGGGCAATGCTGTGTGAAGGACATGGGTAGGTGTACAGTATTTGGTCACCTAACTACGCAAACAAAGCTCCCCTGCTTGGCTAGTCAGGCCGTTTGGAAATAACCAAATACCCCCTATGGCCAACTACAATCTAGATTATTGGAATTTATACCGTTAGTGACGGTTTGTTTTACGGTTACTATAGTGATAAACTTTAGCGTGTGATGAAGACTTCGTACGTTAGGTGGCCAGATACCGTAGATGAGTGTAGACGACGCGCGGTGGGTCATCATTTATGATACATCTAGTTCTACCAACCAATGAGACACCAATTCACAAAGAGATCAGGATGTAGCGCACAAGGGTATGTTTGACTCGCAATACAAACAATCCAGTAAGAAGAAGCTACGTCTAAGCCTATACGCGATGCGACAATGCAATTTCAGGCAGCCTGTGCCGTCCAAGCTGATCGAAACTTTCAAACGAAATGAGTATTTAGGCGAAAGTGGACTTGAGAGAATGAAAATGTAATTAACAAAGATAATACCTATAATAAGCTCTATGAATTGATCATGTTTGTCCCAATCTGCCACAAATGCTGATGTGAACCCAAAACGCCTAAACCCCGTCCTGATTAGGACCAAGCAGCTCGAACATCAATATGACCGTCATCATTCACGAACTTCCCCCGATCCCACTCTCTACCCTCGCCCTTCTTGGACCAGCGCACATCCTCAGGCTGACGCTCCCCGCTCACACCAGTGGAAGCAGATTCAGTCTTCCACCGATCAATAGTCTCCTCTCCGATCCCAGCTGCTCGCAGCCTCTCTTCGCCCTTCTGTCTCCAGCGCGCGCGGTCGCGCAATGCCTCCATAGCTGTATCCCAGTCATCCTCGCCAGTCATGAGGCCTGATACAGGGCGACGGGAGGATTGTTTTGTGGTGCCTTCGTGGTCATCGTCTGGTTGGACATCGAGTGTGGGATCGTAGTCCAATGCGAAGTGTTTATCGATATTGCTGGCGTTGACTTTGTAGGCCCCACGGCCTCGTGAGCGAATGGGTGCCTCTTTGGCTGGAAGTGGCCCGACGAGATCTTCTAGAGGATCTGAATCGTCTGATTCGGTAGGTCGTAAGGTTGGGGACGAAGGGTATTTACGCTGGCGGTTCACAGATGGTTCGGGTGGAGAGAGCCGGTGTTGGCGAGAGGATTTATCATCGTATTCTCGAGACCGTCGGTCCCGTTCACGCGGTGTTCGGTGTGAATGGGATGATCGGCGTGGGGACTCGGATCGACGAGAACGTTCACTGCGGTGGGATCTAGATGTGCGCTCCTTGCGTGGGGACCGACTGCGGGACCTCGAGTAGGATTTATCTCTATCTCGCCGGTCTTTGCGGGAGGAATGGTGTCTGTGGCGTTCTCGTCGCCGCTCGGTGTGGTCCCGATCGGCCTCTCTAGATTTGCCTCTATCCTCTTCCCTCCGCCGCCGCCGTGACCGGTCTCTGTCAGTGGATGCAGATCGACTACGACGTCGTCGTCGCTCCTCGCGGTCTTCCCCGCGTGGCCTCTCCGAGTCTCGTGCGTGAGATGGGCCTTGCCCCCGGGATGAGCGAGCTGTAGATTTTGAAGCGGCCGCAGACTGCTCTTTCAGTTGGCGCATGCGCTCCCTAGCTTCCCTCTCTTCTTTGCGCTTGAGAGCGGTATTGTGGTTATCGGTCTCTTTGATTAGATGGCGAAGGAATCGAGTGTTTGGCTTGGGAGCGTTGCTTGCAGTTCTGGAGTTCAGTCAGTTTTGTACCAGACAAAGGTAATTGAGGTATTACACTTTGGAAAGTACCTACTTGCGGGGCATGTATGCGCCTAAACCTTCGGTCGAGTACTTCTGAGAGCTGTCCCGCGCCTCTTTGGCAAGGACCTCGGCGACATAATAGTCATCCATGTTGACAAGCGGATGAAAGCAGCAGTGTGACACAAAGGATACCACGTTCAGAAAATCGATATGAGAATTAAATGGGAGGATTAGATCAAGACTACCGTGCCATCATGGGCAGCAGGCTTGTAGTCTGTCTGGGCACCTTGTGTCGCATAATGTGGAGAAAGAAGCATGGCAATTGCACTTTCCAGATCAACGATTGGCCGCTCACCGCCTTCTTATCGCGATAAGCTAAAGATAAACAACGCCCTTGCGATTGAGACGCTAAAGACATCCCACTATTCCGATTTCACAGCACCATACTCCCGAATAAGGACACTATCCATCTGAAAATGACAGACAATGTCTCAGAAGCATTGGCACTTCTTCGCCAACTTCAACAGGAGCAAGGTGATTTGAAGCAGAGCCTCAGTATCATCCGTATCGCAGAACCGATCTCAGACGCCGGCGACGCGTACTTTTCGCCATCAAAACGAGGATCGGATGTCTCATTGTCGAACCTGAATGATCCGACTCCTGCTTCGCTCGAGGCTGACTTGACCCACTACAAGGTCTGCTACCAGCTTTTTGAACTCTATTGACCAGGATCGCGTTCGCTAACTTCTCGGCGTTCTACAGGAACTTTTTTCCAAGCTGCGATTCTCCTACCTCGAGCAAGTCACCAAAGAAAAATTCCTCCGTGCGATCGTGGGCGATCCACCTCTCGTCGTAGGGCACAATGAAAATGTGGAGTTGGAGACACAACTAGCGGAGGTGAAGGCGGAGCTCAAGGCACGAAAAGAAGAAGCCCGCATGATGATTGAAGAGATGGAGAAGATAAGCCGTAATTTGGCCAGCCGTAAGTCATTATTATTGCCATCGCACAGAAGAGGCTGTTAACAGTGCGTTCGCGACAGGCTACAAGAACGTCCAACTCCAAGAAGCGCAGCTCGCAAGTTTGCCGGAGTCAATTGAGAACCTCGAGGGCACTATTGCGGGCCTTCGCGCAAAGCAAGTCGCCAATATGGATACGTCAGATCCTCGATCGTCCCAAAACCTGCCTCTCCCTGCCACTATGGAATTGCTTTCTGATCGCGAGGCGGAATTGGCGGCGCTTAATCGCCAGATCGCTGCTGTCCAGAATTCTTTGCCTCGCAAGACTCGAGAAGCCGAGGCGATTCAGCGGGAATGTTCGGTGCTTGAGCGGAGGAAAATCGAGGCCGTCACACAGGCACGCGAAGCGAGACGGAAGAAGCAGGAGGGTGAGACCGATGGTACAGAAGAAATGGGTCGGTGGTACCGCAGTGCAGAGGAGACATTGAAGGAGATGGTGGGTGTGGAAGGATGAACATGCTCCGACATTAATTGACGATGATATGACCGAATGATAAGGGTCTGGGCACCTGGGATGGCGTTTAGGACTAAACTGTACTTTTACACTGGAAGCCTGGTAGGCTGAATACATGAATGGATTACGTGGTATGGAAAGATTCGGGTTCGAATGGAAGCCATTTTTCAGGCTGGTGTTTTATTCATTCGATTCGCATGATCATACAACATAAAGCGCTAGATGCTGCAGCCATCAGGACCCCCAGAATTTTGATCTGCCCAAAGCGAAACCCGACCGGACGCCCCGTATTCATTTTTAGGTGCTAATTTACTCCTCATCCTCCTCAGCCTCCTCACCGTCACCACCAGCGGCGGCAGCGGCCTTCTTGCGGCGAACACGGCCGGGACGGCCGCCACCGAAGGGCGAGGTGAGAGCGAAGTCGATGTGCTTCTGGGAGTCAAGGCGGACCATGAAGGAGGGAACGTTGACGATCTGCTTGCCGACACGGATGTGGCGCTGCTTGATCAGGACACGGGCGTGGTGGATGGACTTGGCGAGGCCAAGCTTGTACACGCAGGTCTGGAGACGGCGCTCAAGGAAATCCTCAACCTTAAGGGCAAGGACGTAATCGAGCTTCATGCGGGACTCGTCGAGGACACCGATGCGCACAAGACGGCGAATCAGGGCGTTACCCTCGAACAGACGCTTGGGGTCCTTCTCATCGAGAGTGAGCAGCTCACTAGCGAGGTGTTAGCCATTGTATTCCATTCCGCGATCCAATTGTTCCTCCACATACCGAGCAGCACGACGAATCTTGGACAGGGTAAGCTGGACACGCCAAACCTCACGCTTGTTGCGGAGGCCGTACTCGCCGACAACCTTCAGTTCCGAGTCACTAGAAAAAGGTTAGTTGGAACGTCACGACATAAACAGAAGCACGCTTCTGATCAGTGGCCGGAGAGTACTAACAGACGGGCCGACTCGAAGGCTGCAATGGGGTAAGCGATGGGACTTAGAGATTTGGTGGGATAATCGAAATTTCACTTACGGCGACGGGGGACCTTGTAGGTCTTGGAGTAAACGCGACTATAATGCCGACGGTTAGAATAATGCGAAAATGCATCTCCGATTGTATCGGTATACTCACGGGGCCATGGTTGCTGAGTTGTCGCGAAGTTGAGCACACTACGAGGAAACGTCCAAAGTTCGAAAAGCAGAAGTTCAACTCCGTTATCGCTTATTCCGCACTAACCCGAATCAGGTTATAGTGGTTTCCCGAGGGCTTAGGGCTAGCTTGGTCACGGATCCCACGGACCCGCAAATCACATGATCGCGCACAATTAATCGGGTCTTACGCTTCAATCTTGATCAAAGGCCCGCTGTCGCCAATTCTCAACACCAAAACCAAACACCAACACCGTCGCCATGCCTCACTCGTACGGTCTGCGTGCCGGCACCCGGGTACGTCGCCATAATCTCATTGCTAGCATTTCTACGACTGGACGATTTACGACCTTGTCGGAGGAGGAATGAAAAACGGGCAAAGAACGACCATACTGACGAGATGAACAGTATGCCTTCAGCCGCTCCTTCAAGGAGCACGGTATGATCCGTCTGTCTACCTACATGAAGACCTACCGGTACGATCGACTCCAAACTCGAAACTTATGTGAAAATTCCAAGAAATGGAGGTTCTGACAATTTTTACAGTGTTGGCGATATTGTCGACATCAAGGTTAACGGTGCCGTCCAGAAGGGGTCAGTACAATGCGAAAATTCCCCTTTCCTGCGTTCGCCCAATTGCATGCAATGAGCAACATTAATTCCCACCAAAACAATCCGACATACACACATTTGCCCTTTGATGGAATACAATAACTGAGACTTTGAACAGTATGCCCCACAAGGTTTACCACGGTAAGACCGGTGTCGTCTACAACGTCACCAAGTCCTCCATCGGTGTCCTCCTCTACAAGCGCGTCGACAACCGCTACCTCGAGAAGCGCATCAGCGTCCGCATTGAGCACGTCCAGCACTCCCGCTCCCGCGAGGAGTTCATCAACCGTGTCAAGGAGAACGCCCTCAAGAAGCGTGAGGCCAAGGAGAAGGGTATCCACGTTCACCTGAAGCGCCAGGCTGTTGGTCCCCGTGACGGCCACCTGGTCTCCCAGGCCGGTAACGCCCCCGAGACCGTTGTCCCCATCGCCTACGACACCCACATTTAAGGGACTCGCATGGAAAATGGGTCTTTGGGTTCGGTGCGCGTGGTTATTCGGTGTTATTTGAGAACTGGGTTTACGTCGCTTTTTCACGCCGCAGTGGCTGGAACTGGACTTGGGCTGCATGAGACGACGCGTGATGGGTCTCATGCCCTGGCACATCTCAGGCCTGTGCATAGATTCCCCTGAATGAAACAAAAATCAAAAATTTCCGAGTTCATCTGAATCCTACGATTTATGAATTTTTTTTCAGAGAGCTGCATTCACTGTCTTCTAAGGTTGTTTGCAAATCTTCTATGTAGTCCGCCCAGGCTCTAATATGGCCCAGGCCTTTAGGTAGCCCTGCAGGTTACAGCAATACCTAGTACCTTGAAACGTTGAATATCATGATTCAAATCAATCAAGCTGGGCGTATGTCACTTTTCCAGTAGCTACCCGTGGACGTCTACAAATGTCCCACTGAGTTCTTTTTAACTTGGTTCAATGTTCTTCACCGTAGATATTTGAATTAATGGATTTGTCGAGCAACTTCATGTCGGCCATTTTTTTTTTCCATGAAAGCCCCCGAGTTCAAAATCTGATATATATATATAGAATCTCGAGATAAGGTCTGCCTTCCAGAGATATGCACATGTATAATGGAAGCAGTAAGCCAGAGGACTATTTAAAAAAGCCATACGCAATGCTTTTATATACGCCTTTATTACATATATATATCCACGTGCGCAAGGTCATTGAAGGTTGCACTAGGCACCGGGGTCCCTTCCACCTGGCAGTCTCCCCAGATAGGCATACTAGAGTATCCACGCATGCATATTTGTACTTGTGGCTTACTGGATTTTGCTTGTGCAACTCTGCGCTGCTCAAGGTCCTTTGGGAGTCCACACATTGCCCAACCCACCGGCCCATGTCCGAGTCCTTCTGGCACTAAGCACTACGGTATCAGATTGAGAGAAATTGATCAGACAGGTAACGATTACACCATCGGCCTAATATCGGTTTAATGTGTAATCTTTGATCTAGAAGATGAAGGTCGGTTCCCAGAAAGTTGCGCAAACCCCTTCCATACTATCCCGCCAATGACAACGTGCATCGATGTGCAGATCCAATCCCGACCTGCTGGAAAATATCCACGTTTGAGGCACGGTGTGCGTATGACAGCCGAGATGACCGGGAAAGGGGCACTGGGTTGTGTTTTGAAACTAGTTTACGAAGTAATAGCTCATTGTACATATACTTCGTGGTGCATTCAAGACAGCGTAAAGTCAACTAGTTCAGGGCTCGGACCTTCACTTCAGTTGAGTAATATAATTTATCTCCACTCAAAGTGTTACTGTGATATCGCCTTAATATTTTAGCGGCGGTGAGGTCTTTTACATCGTACGCGAGGTTTGCATGGCTGCATGTCTGACACCGATTCCCGGAGCAGTACATTTAAGAACTAGTCAGTAGGTCTGTGAGCTGCGCACGGTCCTACCATCCATAGACAATTACCGACCGTGGGAATTTTCCTGAAGAAATCTGATGATCATTGGGGGAGGTGACAGCGTATTGTGTGGACAGTCGACCTCCATGAATAATATGTTACATTCGCTTCCAAGGTTAGTCTCCCTCAATCTTGTATGTCCTCCAATCAACTACACCGAACACCCACCCCGGAAATTTCTCTTCAGAGGATGACAGATAATGGAAGGTTCATTTCCCCTGAGAGAAAATCCGACGTATCACAATTTGATTCTCAGCAAGGGACCGGTACCTTGGATGTGGGGCGCAGATCGGGTAACCGGTACTTGGCTCACACGACCACCTCAAACTTTGGACGAAGTACCTGATACTTTTTGGCACTTGGTGAGATCGGGATCGCATCAAGGAGCTGACGCGTACAGCCCTATTCTCCTGCAAGGGGAGTCTCTCTGATTTGAACACTGCTATAAGCCATGAGGGGCCATAATCTGTGTACCGCTGCAGGTCCCCGAAGGATCGTCTCATCTTCAGTTTTCCATGTCGCGCTTGTATCCAGCTTGTATTCCGGCTCCACGAGATTACTCAGGATCCGCTCTGCTGATCAACCCCCGCAGATTTGTCGGGCACTAATATCGATAGTCTGAATGATATTGCCAAGCAGAAGATTTGCACCAAGCCGACTGCCGAGGGAAGTCGTGCGCATGATTCCATCACGCCCACCTGGCACCTTCCCCACGATGTATCGCTTGCCCTATGGACAACGCCACAACGCGCAAAATAAATCTTGCACTCATCCGTCATCTTGAGCCATGCACTCGCTCGTTCACTCTTTTTGACCGCATCACACTCGTTTTCTCCACATCTTTATTTGCGCCATCCCGTGTGCTCTGTCACCTGCAAGTTGTTCAGCCAAAGGCTAAAATACGCTGTCCTTACTCGCCGACGCCACTGGCGTCGATCTCGCATGGGCCGCTGCTTGTTCCATGCGACCTGGGATATTACTTTCGTTGACCGCATTTTACTCGCTCGGAGTTAGTCCAGTTAGTCCCAATCCAAGTGAATCCCCTCCGAGAAGGGTCTCCACGGGCATGATCCCCCCTATCCTACCCCTGCACGGCAATGGGTCCCTACCAACCCCTCACATCACGTCTTTTCATCCCTTGCCATATGGTCGATGAGGCCGCATGAGATCTCATTGTTCGGGCACTGACGGAGATCAGCCGACTTGCGCGCTCGGAACTTTCGACCCATGCAGGTCTGCTGCTCGGTGAAATAACCCCATCGCATTAGATTGTTTTTTTCTTTTGGCTGTAGAGCGGAGCATACTGGCATGCGGGCCTGAGACGGACCTATAAGGTTCCCCTTTTTTGTCTTGCTCGGCTGGCAGCTCGACTATAAAAATGTCCCTGGCATTCCAGTAAACACAGCGTCGATCCTTTCTGCAACCTGCTCTCCACTGTGCTCGTGCAGCTTGCTTCGGAGCTTCCTATTGTTTTGCTCCTGTTTACATTTGTTTTCACTCCTTTCGACAAATAAATATCAGAGCTCAAGCTCCTGGGTTGATCACTTTGATCCCGTCCAATCCTTTTTCGACATTTGCTGGCACAATGCAGCTGTATAATCTCGGCCTTTTAGTCGGGTCCCTTGTGGCCTCTGTCGGTGCGACATCCACCTTCTCGCCTGCTCGCCCCCCAGCTGTACCTTTGGCTGTGAAGTCACCATACCTCAGCACCTGGTTAGATGTTGGTAGCGATGGTGGTGATGGTGGATATCTAGCTGGCGAGTGGCCGAAGTTCTGGGAGTAAGTTTGGGCTCTGCAGTGGTGCTTGAAACATAACTTAACTGTGTTACGCGAATAGGAACCAGATCACTGGATGGTGCGGCTTGGTTCGTGTTGACGGAATAGCCTATACCTGGATGGGCCTGCCTGGATCGACGACTGTCAACCAAACTGCGCTGGAGTATACTTCTACAAAGAGCATCTTCACCATGAATGTTGCTGATGCGGTGGAAATGAACATTACCTTCATGTCACCAATTACGCCTGATGATTTTACACGCCAATCCCTTGTCTTCTCTTACCTTAACGTTGAAGTGTCATCCCTTGATGGCAAGGCTCATGAGGTGCAGGTTTACGCCGATATTTCTGCTGGTAAGCTCCCAGCCTGAGAGACTTCAATTGCAATTGGCATAAACTGACATGTGCAGAATGGGTATCGGGCGACCGGAGCACAATTGCTCAATGGGAGTATGGCACAACTGGCGATGTCGCATACCACAAGGTCTATCGTCAGACTCAGCTTGCATTCTCTGAGGTTAACCAGCAGGGCGAGTGGGGCAACTGGTACTGGGCTACCGATGTTGCTGATGGCACTACTCATCAATCTGGCGAGGATACCGTTGTTCGTGCCCAGTTCTCGTCCAATGGTACCCTCACCAATGGCGTTGATACCAACTACCGCGCTATCCAGGATGACTGGCCAGTATTTGCATTTGCATCCGACCTAGGCTCCGTGTCCTCGTCTCCTGTCAGCACGCTTTTCTCCATTGGTCTCACCCAAGACGAGGCAGTGCAGTATGAGGGTGCCTCTGCCTACGCTCCTCTGCAGTCCTTGTGGAAGGCATACTTTGACACCGAGTTGGAGGCTTTGTCTTACTTCCACAAGGACTTCAGCGAGGCAAGCACCCTGTGCAGCACGTTCGACAACCAGGTGGCTGCGGACTCAACTGCTCTCGGCGGCACCGACTATCTCGCACTCACTTCTCTGTCGGCGCGGCAAATGTTAGGTGCTACTCAACTCTGTGGAACAGAAGACGCGATGTACCTGTTCATGAAGGAAATCTCGTCCGATGGAAATCTCAACACCGTTGATGTCATGTTCCCAGCTTACCCATTTTTACTCTACACCAACCCAGAGTTCCTCAAATTGATTATGGCTCCGCTGTATGAGAACCAAGAAGCTGGAAAGTACCCCAACGACTGGGCTATGCATGACATGGGCTCCAACTACCCAAATGCTACCGGCCACAATGATGGCAACGACGAGAAGATGCCTTTGGAGGAGTGTGGAAACATGGTTATCATGACCCTGGCGTACGCGCAGAAGGCCAAGGACACGGATTACTTGTCCAAGCACTACGGCTTGCTTAGCCAGTGGACTGAGTACCTTGTCGCCGAGGCGCTGTACCCGGCAAACCAAATCTCAACGGATGACTTTGCTGGATCGCTAGCGTAAGTACAAGACGCTTCTGTTTCAACCATACCTCAGGGACTGACTATGATTAGAAACCAAACCAACTTGGCTTTGAAGGGTATGATTGCCATTGAGGCTATGGCTGTCATTGCCAACGAGACGGGCCACACCGCCGACGCCGCCAACTATTCCAGCATCGCCCATGACTACATTACCAAGTGGCAGACCCTGGGCATCAACCATGATGCCTCCCCGCCCCATGCCACTTTGAGCTACGGCAACGCGAGCAGCCACGGTAAGTCAAGTTCTAAACTTGAAAACTCCATTCACTCATTATCTTTAGGCCTTCTGTACAACCTCTACGCTGACGCCCAGCTGGGCCTGGGTCTCGTGCCGCAGTCTGTTTACCAGATGCAGAGCAACTTCTACCCTACCGTGTTTAATACATATGGTATTCCTCTTGACACTCGCCACACCTACACCAAGAGTAAGCCTATTTCAGTTTTTCTTTGCTGCCGGATGCTAACTTGAATATAGGCGACTGGCAATCATTCGTCGCAGCTATCGCGTCAACCAGTACCCGATCCCAGATCTTTGACCACCTATTTGCCTGGATCAACAGCACCCCAACTAACAAGGCACTGACCGACCTATACGACACCCTCACTGGAGAGTACGTCACCCCTGAAAACAATCCTTGTTACAAAAACTAACAAGACACAGCTACACCTCTGCAAACTTCTTCGCTCGACCCGTAGTAGGCGGCCACTTCGCGCCCCTCCTGGTCACCGCGTAAAAGACCCAACTTTCGCTTCTTGTGCATTTATTTATATGTTATTTTTTCTCCCTAATGTCGAACCTCTCCTGGCATCCGCTTATCATCAATCGGTGGTTAGATGGATTGTCGGGAGTCCTGATTTGGTCAATCTGGAAAGGTCGACGACGCGCTGGACGTCATCCGCTCGTTTTCCATTGGCATATCACGCCCTTGTTGAGGCGTGTAATATCCTTTTTTGCATGCATCCCTTGATACCCATCCATAGAACCGTCTGTGTGCTGACGGTCATGTGCGTTGGTTTGTGTGCAGGTCCATTGGGCCTGGATTTTCTTGTTTATACATATTCAATTATACCTTTTGATGAAGTTTTCTTTCGTTCGTAGATAAGATGATTGAAGTGCTGCAGGGTAGTATGTGGTTTCATGGGATATGATGATGGTATTGAGATTTCCAAGTAGCCAAATCAGGCCGGCCTTCAGTGACACGCTCTTTAATGCAGAAGCTCAGAGCGCTATAGACCTCGCGAATTAAAGACCTGTAGAGTTTTAGCGGGAAGCTTTCAAGGACAAAGTACTAGTGCATTTAAGACTCGTACTGTCTTGTATAATGTCACATTGCAATAAGTCTAACCAGATTGCATTTTCTTTTCTTCACCCGATACTTATGTTCACTACATACATTCGTAAGATCATCAACATCAATCGGAGCTTAGCTCCACAAACTAAATACAGATTCACCTATATTCACCAGCCAACAATGACTCTACGATTTCCAAAAGCACCTTACTCCGAATTTTGATCCCATCCATCGAAGGAGCGAATCAGATCTAGACAGAGCCAGTTAGCAAAGACACCCAACAGAAAGAAAATTTGGACCCAAACATGTTGCTCACATACCATAGTAAAGCATAATACCCTCCAAATGCGCATCCAAATGCATGCGCTCATCAACAGTATGGATGTTAGCCGATCCACCAGCCCGCGACGGACTCCAACGATAGATATTCTCCGATAGATCCCAATAGAACCGAGTATCAGTATTTCCAGTCATGATATCGCCCGAAACAACAACAGTCGGGTTAGATGCCTCCTCAGACTTGAGCAAAGGATTCGGGTGCGACTCGAAAACGCTGCGTGCCACGCCTGAGAAGCGCGCCCAAGTCTTCGAGGTTAGGGGGTCAGTAGGCGAGATCGGCGCAGGCACTAGAGGGTCACTCAGAGGCGAGAGGGAGAGGGTACGGTCTCCAGCGACGACATCGGGCATGGTGGCAATCTCAGCGTTGGGGAAATCGATTGTCAGCGAGACATTGTGCTTGGCCGCGATGGGAGTAATAAGGCGGACGGCGCGCTCGAGGACCAGATCGGGAGTTTGGTGTAGTGCGACACGGTAGTTGACTACGGCCGAGATCTTCTCTGGTAGAGCGTTAGTCTTCACGCCGCCGTGAATGAGATCGGCTGCCTGAGATGTCTGGAGCGTATAGCGGACTGCAGGGCCACGGGACTGTGCGACAGATTCGGCTAGAGCGGCGGCGTCGCCTGCGGCCAGTTTAGTCGAAAGCCAAGACTCGACGTGCGAAGGTGAGTAACGGGCTTGACAAGCTAGCATTCCGAATGAGGGGTGGGACTCGTCCAGCCAAGCTGTGAACAGATCCTGACGCTCGAACTCGTAAATAATCTCGGCCATGATACCGATACCAGTATGTGCGGGTGGAACGGAGCTGTGCCCGCCTGGAACGGCGAGTTCCATTACCAAGTCTAGGCTACCCTTTTCGCCGACGCCGGGTAGAGCGTAGAGGACTTCGCCGTCATCGGCGGTGGAACCGAGACTTTGGAGTCCCATACCACCTTCATCGAGGATGAACTCGAAGCTGTCTTTGCCGTATTTCTCTTCTAGGACTGGCGCGATTGAGCCCGCGCCTAGCCAGCCGTGGGACTCTTCGTCGTACCCGAACGCGAAGAGGATTGTGCGGGTTGGACGCCAGTCCTGTGCGAGCAGGTCTTCTAGTGTGGACATAAGTCCGATAAGGACGTTCTTGCAGTCGCTTGAGCCGCGGCCCCAGATCCATTCGCCGTCGAAGTAGCCTGAGAAGGGTGGGTGGGTCCAGTCGGATGGGTCGTCGATTGGGACTACATCTTGGTGGGCCATGAAGAGGATTGGTTTGCGGGTTGTATCTTTGCCTTGGAAGGTGAAGACTAACCCGAGGCGGTTGATGTGGTCGACCTCGGCATGGGCGTGGCTGGAGCATTGTTAGTTGTCAATTCAATTCTGTGACCTGCATACTTGGCATTTCAACTTTATTAGTTTATATTAAGACTTACACTAGGGGAAACATCTCCTGTAACAACTTCTGAAACTCCACTACCGGCTCAAAAGCCTCGCTGTACGGGTCTGTGTCATAGTCTCCGACCGTTGTGGGGACCTGCACGGCCCGCGAGAGCCTAATCGCCTGACGGGCACGGAAAGCATCATCTTCGAGGAAGATCATTGCAGAGTGCAGGCCGTCATTTGGGCTTGCAACCTTCTCCGCCTGGGGACAGGTCTCTCGGGTAGAGGGGTTAGCTGCATTGTGGGTCTCGAGGATCTGCTGGGCTGGGATGTTCAAGGCCAGAGTGGATGGCAGAGATGCCAAGCTGAGCAGTGTGATCGCCTTCATTGTGACTGATATACTCGAGGCTTGCGAGTTTGCAGATGAATCTGCAAGAGCGAATGTTATATATGCAATTGCGCCATGGTCGCTATCTTATCTTCCCCTCACACGGAGGATGCCGATTTTTGCCTGATTTGGCAGTTGTTTGAGGGTTTTGCCGACTCATCGGCAATGTTTATCGTGTAGATAGATCATGTTGATAGAATCAATTAAGGATGGAATTGATCTGGAATAGGTCAGTAAGTGTTGCAGATCAAGTGCTAAGAAGTAGTAAATACTCATTTGGGCGGTGTTTACCCTTCTCCCGTCAAGCGCCAAAACCAGGGTTCGGTTCCTGATTCTCGGGTGGAACCGAAGCTAAACACAGGTACGGAGTACAAAATCACAATCGATACTTGTGATCTGCTGAATGCTTCCTTTCTTAATGCTCTCTTCTTCAACGTCATGCGTCCTCCACCACAGCCGATCCCTATAAAGGGGTGAAAGGGGGCGCCTCAAAAATGCACACAAATACTTCCAAAAATCCCCACAAATGGGGCTCCAAATGGATCCGAACCGAAAATGTGGCAAACCACTCGCGAGCCTTCACTTTTCCTCGCTTGACTCGTTCGTTGAAAGACGTGACGCACCCACTCCGGGGACGACGATCCCACGATGATCACGCCCTGCGCCAATAAGGCGCCACACAGAGTTCAATAGACCCTCTTACCTAGTGTTTCAGAGCAAATCGTTCTTGATTCACGTCATCGTTTTCGTTTCATGATCCATAAAGAATGGGTCCACGGGTTCCTAGGGAACTTGGGTGTCAGACCCTTTAAAAGTGAGACATTGGCGACTGTAGAGCTTCTTTTTCCTCTTCAAATTTTATCTCTCTTTTTTCTCACTTCCTCACTCTCTATCGGTTTTGTTTCGCTGGTCGTTGCATGCTTCTCTCGTTTCATACGTGCATTCCGCATACTTCATAACTTTCGCTATACAAGCCACACACACAAACACCTTCTTTGGTAACCTTTGTCTATCTGGATTATTCCCCGTACTCCTGCACAATGTACCAAACGCTCCTCGCTTCTCTTGCCCTCGTCCCGCTTGTGGCGGCTGCCTCCAGCTCCCTCGGTTGTTACTCCTCCGTCCCCAACCTCAAAGATGTCAAGCAGTACACTTTTCAGTCGCACGGATATTGTCTCGATCAATGCCTTGAAGCTGGTTTCCGCATTGCGGCTTTGAAGGACGGTATCACCTGTGGTTGTAGCAATTCTATCCCGCTATCCTCCGCCAAGCTTGACGACGACAAATGTGATCAGTACTGCGCAGGTTACGCTAGGGATAAATGTAAGTTGCTGCCTAAAATCCCATCTTTAACAAGGAACATTCCAAATAGGTTCTAATCTCATCTCATATAGGTGGCGGTATCAATGTCTACACTGTTCTCACCACCGGCGACTATGATTATGACTCCGACTCCAACTCGACTGTCCCCACCAGCACGGGTCGCAACATCGTCGCTCCCACTGTGAACCCTTCTTCTATTCCGACCAATATTCTTACTGCCCCTTCCTCCGTGGGAAAGGCGGGTATCACTGCCCTACCCTCCGCTGCGAAGTCTAATGTCGCTTCTGTTGGTACTACGGCTGTTACTTCTACCGTGACGCCTTCTGCGACACCTAATGCTGCTGCTGATACATTGCGCGCTGGATTTATGGCTGGTGTGCTTGTCGCTGGCTTGGGCTTGTTGCTGTAAGTGTATCATCGGATTAGTTCTTTTTTTGTCATTGCTGTTACTGTACTGTACTGCATATTACAACGAAACCTGTACCTCCTGGTCCTACTGGTAGGATAGTGGGCTTAATTGGTGAAGCTGTTACATTCAACCGGACTCGCGGGCGGGTTCCGAGTTTGCTCAGTTTTGTCTGGATTGGGTTTGTGGATGTCTTCAGGCCTTTTGTGCTGGGACTAACTTCTCTGGGCTTTATACCTTACATTCATTTGATATCCTGTACATGGGGATCTTTAGATTAGACTTAGTCTTCCGAATGGACTTCGATATCCTTCGATCATCATTCCAAGCATATAAAGATGCGTGATTTCCAGGGTTGTAGGCAGGTTGTACCTATAGATAGAAGGCGATGGCCTTGGAAATATTAAGCTTGATAGACGGGTATCCTCTCAATGGTATTATCATGAAGTATATACACGCGAAAACTGGAAAGTATAGGTCGTGGAGTAGTAGAAACACAAAGCCAGCCTAAATTAATACCGCGGGTAAAATCCTTCTCCACCGTGGGTATCATGAACGCTAAGGAGCAACAAAAATCACAAGTAAACCACCACCGCCAAGGATATAATTGGAAAGCCCTGCGAGAGGAGCTCTGAGACCTATTAGTACGACACCTTGGAAGCTTTCGAGAGACCCGGAGGAAGAGGTTGTCCGGCCCTGTAACACCAAAAGTTATTAGCTTCAAGCACAAAAGCCCGGTGAAGGGAGTAACATACTTCGTCATACGCCTCTTCAAAACACGTGCCCGATCTTTGATATCCACCTGACTACGCTGCCTCAGCGCGAAGACAGGGCCACCGTCGCGTTCAGGACATATACTGTCTTCTCGGAGGATCGTGGCCCAGGAGGTACCATGGATGGCCATCAATTGGAGCAGTCGGTCATCTTCCGCTTGGGACCATTTGCCCCCTTTACCAGGAAGTTGTCGTCCAGTGACATTTCGGGCTGCCCAGGAAGACTCTACGGGAGCTTGGGCGGATGAGGGAGATGCCGCTCGCGGCACAGGAACTACTGAAGTCCTTGGCAGAGGCGGTGGCGGCATAGAGGAGGAGAGTGCAGTAGATTGCCGAAACGAAGACTGAGATACAGGAACAGCTTGACTTGATGCCATGAGTTGCTGCTGAAGTTGTTGATCTGCTTCGGAAGCACTGTCGCCGGTGTAACGTTCCTCGCGCGCGGGGACCCGTTTCTTTGGCGGTGGTTTTGCGGCTCTTTTCTCGTCGACATTGGCGGTACGTGCATCTTGCTCGAATTCATCGCCGGATTCTTCATCATCTGTTTCCTCGCGAGGACGCTTCTTGGAGTTCAGCTCCTTGGTTTGAGCTGGTTGTCGTTCTACACTCTGACTCTCGGCATCGTCATCGATGGGGGACACTCTTATGGCGCTCCTCTGCCGATCGAAGATGGTCCGTTGCGGTGTCTGCACACTCTGTCCCTCTCCGATTTTTTGGGATGTTTGATCGTTTTCGTGCTCATCGCCTGTCAAGGGTGGCGCTCGAAGGCGACTTGGGCCTGGGGTATCAAACTGGTGGCTGGGGTTGTAGCTCACTTGCCTGGTTCTGGCAGAACGAGGAGGAGTGGTTGATTCATCTGGATTGCCGCTGAGATCAAAAAAGTCGTTCGTAGAATCATGGGTATAATCGTCACCATGTTGGTCTTCTGTGGTGTCCTCATTCCTGGCGGAATTTAGAGCTGCAAGTCGCGGTTCCGGACGGAACGAACTTGACGTGACGCTACTCAGGCGTTGTTTGAGACGAGCTACATTGTCCATGTTTAGGTATTGACTTTTGACAGACTTTCTTCGATGGGAATGTGAAGCTGTTGGCTGTTTGCCTAGGCTAGGCTGCCCAACGGACGGTTGAGGTGAGCCGGAAAGCGTAGTTTCTGTAGCAAATGATCTTTGCTGTGCCGACTGCGAGGTTTGTCGAATCGGCTCATCCCTCACGGGGCTGGGCTGCCCAGTAGACCTTTGAGGTGAGCCTGAGAACGTACTTTCTGTGGCAAATGATCTTTGCTGTGCGGACTGCGAAGTTTGTCGAACGGACTGACCCTTCAGAGGACTCTGATCGTCTAGTAAAGAAACTTGCAATGACGATTCATCAGCGTTGGAAATGCTTGACTCCTGCTCCACATTTTCCTCATCCGGGGTCGATTCACCCTTGATCTTCCTTTCGAGAAGATCATGAACATCATCAAAATTTGCCTGAACTTTCAAGTCACGTCTGATTTCTTTATCCCGAGCGTGAAGGAAACGGGCGGTGCGCACAGAGAACCGTTGCCAGGAGAAAGCAGCTCTCAGACCCTTCGCATTGGGAGCACCATCATCATCAAAAAGGTCCAGTTCCAGTTCCCCGATACGATCGAGGACAGTATCGTGATACCGGTCGGGAAGACACTCGTTCTCATCCTTGAAGGCCGCCACCAGATCAAAGCCACGAAGCCAACGAGAATCCAATTCACCGCCCTCGTGTCTGGATTCGTCATAAAAGATCGATCGGAGCAGTTGGTTTGGCTCGAAACCTTTCTCAGTCTGACGTCGCTCAAACTCCATGATGAAATACTGGGTGCGAATCTCAAGCGCAAGCTCCCAGGCAGCCTTTTCAGCCGTACTCGACCCGATTGGGTTGGACTCACGGCCCTTAGTGAAATGATCCAGGAACGGAGCAGGGAACTGGCTGTTGAGACTTTCGACCACCTGTTTCGCTGATTCCGAATCGGCAGTGGATAGCAGGACCTCGAAGGCTAAACGGGCGCAGTTCGCGCTGTGTAAAGTCGGGGACGGACTCCATGGCTGATAGTCCCCTCCTGCGGCGATGGAGGGAATCAAACTTCGGATACGAGAGACATCAACGAAAGGCAGATCGCCATACTGCTTCATCCTCTCAACAAGCTTTTTGCAGTGCGATTTGAGCCGCTTGTTTTCTTTGCTTCCGAGGCCAGCCACCCGCATGCGCTTCGCTGCGTTCACGATCCCGATCGGAATTGATTGATTAGAGACTAACAAGTTCATCAAACTGGAGGCTGCTTGCTGAAGATCGGGGAGCTCGTCAAGCATGGTAATAGGGTCGTCAGAGGCCTCATCATCATCGTCTGAGTCGAGGTCATCTGCCTCTAGGAACGTGGTGCCAGAGATATTGCCGTTCTCTTCTGTAGGCTCAGGTGTCCCTGATATCTCCGGCGAGCCATTTTTGGAAATAGATGTCTGTCGTGAAGAGATTGGTGTGTCTTCAGTGACAGTATTTAATTCTGAATAGGTCAGTATGGCACACGAGCTCTTTGACCTGTTCGCTTGAAGAAAAGGGTTGACATGGAAGTGATTCAAGGTATTCTTGAAAACAAGATTTAAAACATATATAAGAAAATTTCTTGGTAAGTGCGCATAGCGTTTGACATGGTGCATGTATGTACTGTATAGTTCGAATGCATAAAGTGCATCGCACAGTGGTCACAATGAAAAGGCGGTGGGAAAAGATATATAAAAAAAGGGGAACTTACCATTAGCAACAGCCTTGCCTGTCCTAATGTTTCTCGTGCCCTTCAAAGTGACCTTCTGATAACTCGGACCTTCATTCTGGCTCTGGCTCCGGGTTACTCGACGAGGCGGCGTGGGTCCGACCGGACCAGCCCCTGCCATCTTGGGCGGTGAGGTGATATCACGCGTCGTTTGTTTTGGTTTTTTGGTCGGGCCAGATCGTGTAAATAGTCCGACCGAGCAAAGGACTCTCACAAAAATAAGATATAGAGGTCACTAGGATGCCATTTCAAGACCGTTGACGCGAAGTTGAGTCGGAAGGGAAGTGTGATGATAAGGAGAGTGCGACCGGGGTGGAGGATTTAGGGTAAAGTTTTCGGAAATACTTCCACCCTAAAGTTTTTCCGGAATAGGCTTAGTCGACCCTAACCACCCTAACCATCGAAAGTACCCTAACCATGTAAAGTCACATGACTATGCGTAAAGACATGAGAGACCACCGAGCTCGAAGTTTAGTGACTTACTAGACCAACAATTCCAAAGCTCAGCAACATGATTCTGAAAGTGAATCTGGTCGTTACGTAGACCAGGTACGATATTATTTCATTAAACAGTATATGACAAACCGTTCCAACTTTTACATCAAGATGCACCGCCCAAAGCTCGCAAACAAGAAAAACCGGGAGCATATCTTGCACCCATGCAACCCATTAGTATAGCGCCTCTATGAGATAAATAATGCCAAAGAGGAGGAAGGCCGCAGCACCACCCAAAGTCACTGTATAATTGTTAGTTGAAGCACACAATGAACATCAAACTGAGTAACTTACCAACACGTATGCTAACCTTACCAGCAATCGCACGTCCACCAATGACGGCGGCAGCAGTGCAAATACCGTGGCCGGCTGTTGCTCCAATTGTCACCCACCAGTAATCCTGGCCAGCTGCCATCGCGATGGTGGCGATCTGGCTACGGTCACCCCACTCTCCGAGGAAAGTCATGACGAATGTCTGCACCCACGCTGGGCTGAGGAGAAGAGAGAAAAGATTGCTCATTCCGACCAGTAAGTCGTTCCAGCGACGCTGAGGGCGAGGAGATGAGCCGCGAGAAGAAGACGAGGAGATGCTCTCCGGGGGTGAGGGCAGGCGGTTGCGGGAGCCACGCGACTTGGGGACACGACCAGCTTCCAGGGAGTGGGGAGTGACCGATGAGCGACGGCGGCCCATGCGCATCTGTTCCTGCTCCTTCTCTTCAAGTTCCATTTCGACTTCCCGCATCTCCTCGCCGACGCCCTCATCTGGGTCCATCTCCCGGCCTTCCTTGAACATCTTCGCACCGAAGATCAGGAATAGGATCGCTGCCATAAACTTGGTGAGGGTCTTGGGGATCAAGGTAGGAACGGCATGGCCAAGGACAGCAGAGAGAACGGTCATGGTGGCCAAGGCGCAGAATGCTGACGAGAAGACTACCAGACGGGGGTGGCGCATTGCCATCAGGGCTGCGACGAGGAAGGTTTTGTCACCGATCTCAGACACAAGAATCATGGTGAACGAGAACATCAGAGAGTGGAGCCCATCGCTCTCCTCGGGGGTGCCTGGTGCCTTTGCGGACGATGAACTGGGGTGTGAGCTTGAGCCGCCGGACCCATGTTGAATAGACAGGGGGTCGTCCTTGGCCTGGGAGGGGGATTTGGGGTGAGGGATGTCGTGCGGCTTCTCGGGCAGGTCGGCGGGTTTCTAGGGATCGCGTCAACATTGCTACTTGTCATTTTGTCCAGAAATTAGAAGTCCTACCTCCAGCATGCCAAGCGTTCCTGCGCCTTCTGCGGCCCGGCTACCGCTTGTAGCATCTTCGCTGTCCGAGGGCAGCTTCTGCTTCTCGCTCGGTGGCAACGGCAGCGCTTCCTTGGGGCTGTCGGGGATCTTGGCAGCATTGTAAAGATTGTCCTTGCCCTTCTCCGTCACTCCTCCCTCCGTACCACGTGTACCTTCTTGAGGACCTGCGCGGTGCGGGTCATCCATCACGCCACCATTGGAATGCGGGATCATTTTGCCGTCTTCGGTGCTGAGATGGTCGGAAGACGGGATCTTGGAATCGTATTTCGTTGAGACTAGGTCTACATCATCGCTCCCCTTGCTACTCTTGCGGTCTCTCTCGGCGCTGGTTTCTACCCACGGACCGGCGTGAGGTCGACCATCCTTGCCGTCCACTGGGACGTCCGGCGACCCATGGATAGCATTGGTGGATGCAACTGAGTCCGCATCAATGTATCGGGCATCGAGGGTGGATGCTCCACGCGAAGGGTGAGCAGATGGCTCACTGATCGATCTGGTGTTGGTTGCGGCCGTTGAGAGCGCGGGAAGGAGGAGAAGGAGTAATGACGGAGACTGGATCTTCATCTTGGCTGGCGGAGATTACCGCGGAAATGAGTGACTGATTTTTCGAGTTGCTTGAGCGCGAGTGATATGGTAAATGCAAAGCAGTCGAGTTGGCTGCAGGAAATAAGTTTGCAGATGCGGTGGTAGGACGCCAAGAGACACGGTGTCTCGTGGGGGCGCGAGCAAGACGAATTGAGTAATTGGAAAGGAACAACGACAGGGAGGCAAATGTATATAATAAAAAATTAAGACCAATTCTCCCGAAGAAAGAGCATAAGTCAAGCGAATGCAGATGGACACGACGGAAATGTTGTTCTGTTGCTTCTTTCTGCAAAGGGGGCCCACGTGACCCCCCACCCGCAAGCGGAGATTATATGAGCGCGCGCTGATTCGATGTCGCGTTCTATTTACATCTTCGACAAGTCTAGATCTTCACCTAATAACTCAAGATGCACCACACTGACTATCCCACTTTTGCAAGTGATTTTTGGAACGAGTAACACTAAATAATATTCATGTTTCACCACAACTGATGAAATGAATAAACTTTTCCAGGACGGATGCAGCAAATGGATATTGGGCAGTATATTTGGAACCAGGGAGCCCAACCTGGCGAGTATGTACCTATACTCACTCTCCCTCCAGCTTCGGTGCTTAGTATATCAATGTAGAGCCCCGCCTGCCGCGGTGGAAGCCTGAAGGGCTTGTTTGAAAGTGATGTTAGAACTGAGGTCAAGATCATCCATCACCGAAGAAAAGACGGAAGAACAATCTATTCTCGCATTATATAGATAATTTTCGATAAAAAAAAAACCGAGTAAAGATAGGAAGTCTAAAAAGCACTGCCACTCTTCAGAGCACCGGGGAAATCATTTTGAAGCGCCTCCCAGAAAGGCTTGCCACCAATCTGAAGGTCCTCAAATGCCGGGCAAGTAAGGTTAAGCAAGGGAACAGCAAGTAGATTAGTCACCCACTCCAGCGGCTCGGCAATGGTCTTATATAAACCATCAAGCGCATTGGGACTACCAAATTTGAGCACTTCAAATACGAAGCACAGCAAGTTGTTACCCTCCAAGAGTGTTGTCAGATTGAGAACACCACCCGTTAGGTCAGCTGGGTCAATACCAGTGAAGCTGTTAACGGTGCCAGTGTTTCCTCCAATGCTGCACACTGTCAGTTTCGCAGGCCGAGGAAGACGGCAACATAGGGCGGGTTCTTACCTTCCGAGTTGGGGGTATTTCAAGATCCAGTCAATAGTATCCAGATTGAGTTGGATAAGGCCATAGTCAACAGGAGTCTTGTACCAGTTTTCAGGGATCCTCTCCCATCCTTCACGGTATGTCAGATTGCCTTCTTCACCGTAGATGCCGTAGAAGTTGCGGATATGGCTTTTGGCTGGGAGAAAGTCAGCACACCAATCTTACAAAAGCCTTTTTCCGTCCAGTTCATTGTATCACTTACTCAAAACACCCTCGGGATTCTCGCGAGAATGGTTTCGGAACATCCGCGCAGAGAATATATAACCCGCATTACGAGCAATAAGGCCGGTGACAGGCCCATAGTAGAAGTTGGGGTTGGTTTGGACGCTCTCGTCAAACCGGATCGCTGCACGCTTGGCCATGAGATCCATATCGAAGGTGCCGTTGCTTGCCATGTCGTACCAAGACATGAACTTGTCCATGTTCAGCTTGTGGTTGTTTCCGGTGACGTAAAGGTCGTCACGAGTATTGGAGGAATCCGCTTCGATGAAGTTGTGGGAGCCATCGAGACCGAGAGGTGTGCCTATAATAATTAAGTTATTGCCGAGGGCGAACAAGTTGATACGGGGTATTCTGACCCAAGATACCTCCAAGGTTATCAAGTAAATTGTTGACACCGGGATCGACACCTCCAATGGAGAAGCTGGGGTCCAGGGAGATTGCGTCACCAGTCCAGACAGTGCCCATGATTGCAAGGACAGTTGCTAAGTCAACACCCATGCCATAGACTGATCATGTATTAGTTAATGATTTAAGAAACTAGAGATTAACAGAGGCGTACCTTCATTGATCGCAGTGATGACATTTCCAAACTTGGGCATGATTAATTTTGCATCTTCTAAGTGACCATGAATGACTTACCGATACTACACCCTTCCGTGGGATGTACCCGTGATTTGCCAGAGCATTAAGTCCAGGACAGGGACCGCGCTGGTCACCGTTTTCAAAATCGGGAGGGTGGAATGCATGCTCTCCAGTGACTGTACTCGATTGTTAGCACGGAGCCTTACAAAGAGCATTGCTTCACATACTGTCCACAGGCGAGTCCATAGTCGAGAAAAGGAATCGCTTGTCATGCTGCACCTTGGGCTGAGGCTCATCACCGGAAAAAGGACAGCGCTTGTGCAGGCTTCTATGGACTTGGTCGCCGTGGCTTCCTAAATCCGGGAAACCGAATACAAGAGTAGAGAGTGACAATGAGCAGAGTAACTGCCTTGCACCAAAGAAATGCATATTGGAAGATTGAATCTAAATCCCAATCAAAGGTTCAATTGCAAAGTTTGAAAATTGAATGAATGACGATGTACTGACTCGGGATGAAGAAACAGAAGAAACAACCCAGAAAAACCGACCCAGAAAAAAAGTCACGAATAAGAATCACCCGAAAAAGACATGCTGATGTATTGCTGCCCCCTGAGAGGATCTTCGGTGCATGAACCTCGAGCCCATGCGTAAATTCCGCCAAATAGAGCGTGTATAAATGGTCAGCAAGAACCTAGAACGGCATAAATCAGATGCCCCACATAAGAATGGCCTCAATCCGTCCGGTATTGTCTTTCGTCCAAAACTCGTCGTCCAAAAGTGGACCAATATTTGAAGATCCTGTTACAGGCTGTCGAAGCTATCTGGAAAAATCTTGAAGCGAGAGTGGACAGTCTTTTTAGTGCTAGGAAACGTTGTATTGAGTGTAGTAGCTCTTCCAAACCGATCCCTTCCAAATGGAGGAAATATCTGCCGTGCCCCCCGTAGTCTCGGATCGAACCTAGACAATGACAGCGCTGATCTAAGTGACTGGCAATTTAAAGGGGGAACGTTAAAAAACATAAAACACCGGACAAGCGCCTCTTTTCTTAGAGCGGAAGGAGAGTAGTCAAATGAGTGGAGAAAACGTTGATGGATTAAAGTTTGAGCCAAACTCCAGCACAACCACCGGGTCTTTCCCGCGTGGCGGAGCTCTACTTCTCGCTTGTCGCGAAATGCCGACTTTATTGTGGGACGAAGGGTCAAAGTCCTGAGTGCAGATCAGCGGCTTGTCAGTCCCTTACGGCTGGAAAGTGGAGCCGCGTCTAGCGTAGTCCGTCTGCTCGCTTGTTTATTGGCATCCTCAAGCCGCAGTAGGGAGGGCCTAGAAGCTGAGCAGAAGGTGGATTAGGGTCTCGTATCAATGTAGATCTCAATAACACGCATATGGATGCTTGAGAGATACCAATTGGGTCTTGTACATATCTTGTGGCGCCTCAGGAGCCGTCGAGTGGATGTGTGTCTATCTGTATGTTTAACTGGGTTCTTCGGGAAAATGAGCTGAGAAAATGAGCTGGTCCATCAATGCCGCTATTTGTAGTGATCGACAGAAATGAATTGTTGCCACCCCCAGTGTATGGTGAGGAGAAATAATGCCTGACAGGGGGTTGAAGAGGGGAATTTTAGGTCCAAAATCTACATCCTATTAAGTCAATCGAGTTACATCGATCGAAATGTTTCGGCTACCACGTTCTTTAATTTGAAACCCCTCCTGGCTTGCAACATTCACGGTCTCGATCTCTCGGACACTCTCCACGCTCCTTCTCACGAATGCAAACCGCAATCACATCAAAAATATGCGTGTTCTGGGTGTAGTAGCCCTGGTGGCTACTTTTCTCACAACTACTGTCGTTGCAGAATCAGCACAGGCACAACTAGCGGCCATACTACCTACTTGTGCGGTAAGAGACGTCTCGCCGCGTTTTTGATATGAAATGAGATCTGATACTGTTAAAGCTGGAATGCATGGCCATGTCCATGACGCATACATCGTGTGCCGCCACAGATCAGACGTGTCTGTGCATGGATACGAACTATAGCGCCATCCTCGAAGAATGTGTCATGACTAGTTGCACAATCCGTCAATCTCTGAGTAAGTAAGCCCTGAAGTTGCAACCAGGAATCAATGCTAACAATCATAGCAACGAAAAATGTCACAGAAACTGCATGCGGGGCTCCTATCCGTGATCGAACGGATATTGTATTCTATACTGGAGTCATAGGCGGTGTAATTGCTTTCATCATCTTTTTCCTTCGCATGGTTGCTCGACTAAGGTGCTGCGGCGGGATGTTTGGCTGGGATGATTTTACTATGATGCTGACAATGGTATGTGGACTTCTTTCTGCTAGATCTTGAAGTCATTCTAACACGTTACAGTGCTTGGTTATTCCACTCTCAGCACTCTCTGGCGTCTGTACGTAAGCTTCAGTGCCTTCGCAAAGCGTTTATTTGACTAATTATCGTACATAGTGGCCGACACCGGCTTAGGACGAGATATGTGGACGCTCCCTTTCGAAAACATCACCAAGATCCTCTACGTTAGTATGCTCAACATGGATTCATTCTTCACGTCTGACCCGTATCATACACAGATTTACTTCTGGGATGAATTGATCTATCTCAGCATCCTACCGATGACCAAAATATCGATCTGCTGCTTCTACCTCCGAATTTTCCCCGACCGCCAATTCCGAATTGTGACATATTGTGTGATAGGACTGAACGTGGCATATTTGATCGCCTTTGTATTGATCTCAGTGTTCCAATGCTGGCCACTACCCTACGCATGGCTCCACTGGGATGGCGAGGGTAATTACAAGTGCAACCATATCAACGCACAAGGATGGTCTGCAGCTGCTATTAACATGATACTCGATATACTGGTCATGGCGCTTCCACTACGACAACTCTATCACCTCAATCTTTCAACCAGGAAGAAGGTGTACGTTATGTGCATGTTTGGCTTGGGTCTCTTGTAAGTGTTTCTCAATACTTGATTCACCTGGAAAAATGATTGACCTAGACCCTAGCGTCACCCTCGTTAGCATTTTACGACTGAAGTCGCTGATTAACTTTGCTTCGACCACTAACCTGACATGTAAGTATTCATCGAAACCTCCTCTCAATTGCCATAGCTGATTGTCAAAGGGGATTATGTGGCCATCGGATACTGGAGTACCATTGAATGCGACGTTGGTATTATCTGCGCATGCTTACCCGCAATCCGATCCTTACTTCGCCGCGTGGCTCCAACGCTCTTTGGCGACACCGAAAATGTCAAATCATATGGCTTGAGCTCTTACCAGTCTCGTGGGGCTGGATCGCGGTTTGAAGGACCAATCTATGTTCATCATGATATCCATGTTCATAGCAAGAGCGATACTCGCCAATTCTACCCTCTGGATGATTTGGCAAACTCCAGCGAGGCACGGCTCAACTGCAAAGCATAGGGCCTAAAAAGTCAGATTGCTACTTTGAAGAGTGGCAGTTCATTTGTATCATTCCTTACATTCATTTGTTTCATATATTCTTTTTTCAAGTTCTTATTATTTAGTTAAACCATGTCGATATTTTACCTTTCCCATTGCCGGCAAAAATGACAGTATATTGAAAACTCAGTTCTCTCTCGATGGACTACTTATGGTATATCTTTACAACAGAAGCTTAATTTTGAATAATAAATACGAGATAAAAGTTCGAGATATGCCCATTAAAACTTGACCAAACTTTGGAATACGGAAGTGGAAAGCAGAGAGCATGACCCACCACCAGAGCCCCGCACCATTTCCGTGAGCGCCCCCACTTGAAGTGCCGAGTTAACCCCGTTGAACCCCTGCATGACCTCGACCTAAATTGAGAAAATTCATTTATGAGACCCTTGAAAGGACGTGCAAAGTTTCCCCTAATCTAACGACTGTTTACTCTTTGGACCGGATTGCAAAGTCTGGATGACAGCGGGCTCGGGCGTTTTCGCTTAACGGTACGAAAAGCCACTGTCCCCACAAAACCCCAACAGGCCAAAGGGTATGTGATTTCACAAAAAGGAATAGCTTCAGATTATTCACACGGCATAATAGAGCCTTAAAAGGACTAGCCCCGCCGTTAAATTGGTGGCGTTGGGTCCCGTGTGATCAGCACGTCAAACGGTCCAAAGCAGAGACTAGCCATTTCAACAAGGGTCCTCGGACCCAGCGAGGCTTGATATGCCCCACAGAAAGGGGAGGTAGTCGTTCATCCGGTAGTGAGGCAGTAAAAAGTCGGTTATCTATATGTTATCGACCGGTATGTGGGCTTGGGTCGACACGGGACAGACCCAGTGCTTTGGTAGGAACTCGGAGCTACTGGTGAGCAAGCTTGTCTAGATGTCGTATTGTGGGACTGTTTTGCAAAACGGTCAATATAGGGGTGCGTAGGTGGGAGAGCTCCGAAGACGAAAGTACTGTCGATCAATACTTGTGGAACGTGGGAACGAATATAGTAACATCGTCGGGAATTACGGTATAGAAGACCCCTGTGTGTGCATTATAATAGATGGACAAGACATCGCAAGTCGTTGTCATTCCTTGATCCCAGTCACTCTTTCTTTCTTTTTCTTGCTCTTAGTGCACTTTGTGTGTTGATTTTGCTTTTCTTTTTTAGTAATTATTCAGTCTTTTGTTTCCTTCCACCATGCGTATCCCAGCAGTGCTTGGGGTACTCTCCGCTCTTTCTCTTGCATTCGCCTCGTAAGTGCAGAAGATCCCTCCGACCTCCGGGACAGGATTTTGATAATACAGGCACTGACACAAGCCGCAGTGACTACAAACCAGGTCATCGATCCCATGATGCACACAAGCGGGCTTTGAACGGAACCAATACCACAACAACAACCAACACTACGGAATACGATTATGTAGTGGTTGGCTCCGGCCCTGGAGGTGGACCCCTCGCGGCTCGACTGGCCCTTGCTGGCTACAAGGTCCTTCTCCTCGATGCTGGTGATGACCAGGGAAATGCCACTAGGCAAATGGTACCTGCTCTCCAGCTTCAGTCTACAGAATATGAGCCGATGAGATGGGATTACTTTGTCAATCACTACTCCAACTTGACCCGCCAGGAAGAGGATTCTAAGATGACATACCGCACTCCATCTGGGGATCTTCATGTCGGTAGTGGTGCGCCGAATGGATCTGATCCTTTAGGAATCCTGTACCCTCGTGCTGGTACTCTGGGCGGTTGCTCTGCTCATAATGCCATGATGTAAGTTTGCATTCAAGATTATCATTTCAATAAGTTGCTGTTTGCTAATCAATTCCTTCAGTACCATTTTACCTTTCGACAATGACTGGGAGAACATGGCAGCTCTGACCGGCAACGAATCTTGGTCCGCTTCCAACATGCGTGGGTACTTTGAGAAATTGGAGCGCAACAGATACCTGCCTAGCAGTCTTGTTGGCCACGGATTTGATGGCTGGCTCACCACAAGTCTTACGGACCTGCGTCTGGTAATCGAGGACCAAAAGCTCCTGTCATTAATCTTAGCTGGTGCAACCGCTGCAGGTACAAGTCTTTTGGGCAAAATCATCGATACAGTTACAGGCCTCGCAGGAGTTCTTCTGCGTGATATGAACAACGATAGTCCCTTGCATGATTACCAAACTGGTCCATTCCAGGTTCCCCTGGCCGTGGATGTGCCCGAATACAAGCGCACCGGACCTCGGGATTTCCTTTTGCAAACCGCCAATGCCGTCAACAATGATGGTTCTCGGAAATATCACTTGGATATCCAGCTAAACACACTTGTCACAAATGTGAAGTTCGATACCACCGGTACCAAGCCTCGGGCTATTGGAGTAGACTACCTACAGGGACAAAGTCTCTACCGTGCGGATCCTCGTGCCTCGATGAAGTCCGGTGGCAAGCCTGGCAGCGTGAATGCAGCCCGTGAAGTGATTCTGTCTGCAGGCACATTCAACACTCCCCAGCTACTGAAGCTGAGTGGAATCGGTCCCAAGGAAGAACTTACCAAGTTCGGAATCAAGACGCTGGTCGATCTACCCGGTGTGGGTGCCAATCTCCAGGATCGGTACGAAGTGGGAACAATCGGCAAATCACCAACTGACTTTGTGCTCACCGAGAAATGTACATTTATGTACACTATGCCTGATCCATGCTTGGAGCAATGGGAAAATGATCCCTTGTGGAAGGGCACTTACAGCACCAACGGTATTGCCATTGCAATCCTTAGAAAGTCATCTGTCGCCGATGACGAGCCCGATCTTTTCATTTCAGGTGCACCCGTGAACTTCCCCGGCTATTACCCCGGCTACGCCTACGAAGGTCTGAAGGATGCTCAGCACTGGACTTGGATCACGTTGAAGGCCCGCAGCCGCAACAACGCAGGAACCGTCCAGTTGCGATCCATTGATCCCCAGGATACTCCCCTCATCAACTTTAACTCGTTCGATACTGGCGTGACTACAAATGGAGCTGATGATAAAGACCTTCAGGCTGTCTACGAGGCCGTGGAATTCTCTCGCACGATCTTCGAAGACCTCATTCCCCTTGATGGAAGCTTCGACGAAGTCTGGCCTGGCCCCAATGTCACCAGCGAGTCTGACGTGAAGAACTTCATCAAGCAGGAGGCATGGGGTCACCATGCTTGTTGCACCGCTGCTATTGGAGAGGATGGTGATCCTGATGCTGTTTTGGATGCGGATTTCCGTGTTCGTGGTATTGATAGTCTGCGTGTTGTGGATGCGTCGATTTTCCCTAAAATTCCGGGTTACTACATTGCTCTGCCTATTTACATGGTCAGTGAGAAGGCTGCTGAAGTCATTATTGCCGATGCTGTATAGTCATGACTTCGTTTCCATTTCTTCTATATTTCAGAGCCTTCTGTGAAGAGCTTTTGTGTCTGTCTTACTCTTGTCATTCTACATTTCTCCTATTTCAAAATAAAGATAGACAATAACAGAAACTATACCGTTAGTGGCTTAAGTATGTTCAAATTTGAACTGATTTTTTGTTAGATCGAAGCATGCATTTAGAAAGGCGGATATACCTATTCCTTTGGTCGGCAGCCCCCCAGGTAATGCATGAATGACGTCGAGGCAAGGATATTTGCACAGTTTGACTATGAGGATAGTAAAGTTGGAGGCACAGGTATAAGGAAAAGCAGAGTGAGGACTGAAGATAAAGGTGTGTTTTCAATGTCAACAAACTTACACTTACACCCTGATCATTCACTTCACTTGTTGGTATTTCCCACCAACTGTCACGTCCCTACTTCAACACTTCATTTTGTCTTCGAATTATCTCACGACTCTTGGGATCCATCAATCATTCTTCACACTTCAGAGGGAGAGGATAAATCCCTCTTCCCTCTGAACTTACCTCCTTCCCACTCATCAACTGCCTCGTTTTCCTCGAATCCTACCAAGCACCCTGAGGAGCCCAAACAAGGGCTCAAAGGACCAATAATGACTCCCGAAGAGGTCGGAAGGCAGCGCAAGGCTCCGTCGGCTACATCCCCTTACCAAAGGGTTATCCCAACAGTCATCCTTGCCCTCAAAGCACTCATCGACAACAACATCGCGGTCGTGGAGTATGGAGCCCAGATTCAATACAGACATGGAGACAAAAGATATCTCATGGTACGTGAGACGAAACCCTCGGATCGAATGTTGTTATTAACGAGATCACGTAGAATCCAGAATGGGTAATCCCCGATGACCAGCTCCCCTTCGCATCGCAGATCCTCCTCGAGGCCGACTACCCCCGCATCTACCCCAATCCACGACCCTGGGTAGGATATCGGGACAATCAATGCTGGGCTCACTACATCGGTGCCCCGTCGGCAAACCTCAATTATGGTATCGTCTACCTTGTACCAATGTCATTGGTTGGCTTCTCCCTCGAGGAGACCATGAGAGTCAAACCGACATTCGACAATGTCCTTCAAATCCTCACTCCCAAACCGGCCCCTTACATGCGTTCTTTGATCCAGATGCTTCGAGGATTTCCAGTCAACGATGTTCGTCGATACCGTGTGCAGATGGATCTCATAAGCTTTGTGTGCAAAGGTCTCTTGCAAGCATCCATGGAGGGTCTGCCTTACTACATTCCTCGGGACGAGCAGTTCAAGAAGAGGGCTCTTGATGCGGTAAAGATTGCGAGGACTTGGGACTGGGGACCTGTGGATCCAATTCTTGCTCACCTCGTACACCGTATTATCTGTGAGCCTCAGTACATCTGGGATCTTACGGCTGATTCGGCGGTCCCGCCACTCCCGACTCTTGCGTGATTGATATGGTCTGCGATTTTCGGGAAGAATCCGTAAGAGTTTTTTTATCAATGTTACCTAGCAGAATTTAGTATGAAAAATGACATGATTGATCTATTATGATTGTCTGAACAGTAGCGGTTGTTTATCAATCGCATTAAAAAGGACCGTAGGACGCGCTTGGTCACATTGAGACTGGATGACAGACTGGCACGTTCTTGCTGTCTTGAGAATTCCTAACAACTTTGATTCGGGCGCCTAGTAGCAGCTATGACCAGCGCAAACGCATTAAAGTCACCAAAAAGAAGTGCAAAACTCACCGACGGACACAAATGACATGGAGGATCTGCTCGAATGGTCTCTAAATTTTCACAGCCAATGACCTCATTTTGGGCGTGCCTACAATGATTACGAGGCTTATCAGTCCGCTTTTATTCATCTATGGACTGCAATTATCAAGCCAGTATCGCTTGAAGCAAGAGACATGGGGCCGAGTATAGCGGTAATTCTCGATGCCGCACGAGTCAAATGGATGTACTGTCTCTAGCTGCAAATGACGGTTTCCTACACTAGACTTGATAGGGTTATATGGCACGCACTAAATAGGAATGGCGCGAGGATGGATGCTCCAAAGGAGCTTAGTGGCATCCAACTTTGGATCCGCATTTCTGGAAAGCTTCCCAAAGTATGACCGGCGTAATCTATAGAACAAAACTGTCACGTTTATTCTCTTCCTTTCTAAACCTCTCCCAATTCTCAATATTCTTCTCACACATACTTTTGTCCTACTTCCACTAAATCCTTACTCAGATAGATTTGAACTTACAAAAGCTCTGATATAGGTAACTTTTCACTGCAATGCAGCTTCCAATCATGTCTCGTATGTTCTTCATCTTTGAAGCTCAAACCTTTATTGTCACTAAGATCCGCAATATAGACATCCATATGCCTCGTCACGAGGACTTTCTTCCCTACTCAATTATAGATGAGCAGGAGACACGCAGCAACTGCTCCGTGGGGTCGCTTCAGCGCCCTTCAGACTCGAATATAGTTGGTGAGGAAGGAAAGGGAACACTGAGCCGCCTCCAGTGTTGGTTTATCGCTATTTTTACCCTGATCGTGGCATTTGTTGTTGGGGCTTTAATCTACGGGATATGTACCTACAGAAATTCGGCCACCCTCATTCATAGCGCAAATGTCGCTAATGTCACGAACGTCCGCCGTGATGAGATACCAGTCGCCACCATCTTGCCGCTACCACCTGTAGATGTATCTTCCGGCGAGATCTTGCCTGATGCTGATGTTACATCCGATATTGAACTTGCTTCTAATGTTGATACATCTGATGCTGACCTTGATAACCCTACGACAAATTTGAAGCCCCCAGGCAAAGGCAGTTGCGAGTATGATGCTCATTGCAACTGGGGCCAAGTCTGTCACAGGAGACGGTGCGCTGTTGGATGTCGCAGTCACAAAGACTGCCTTCCTCGTTACAACTGTCAGCGTATTGGTAAGGGCGGAAGGCGGAAGTTCTGTCTTATCCAGGATGGAGTTACTTGTCAGGAATATTTGGGTCCTTGCCTGACGGATGACGATTGTTGCTCTGGTAGTTGTCAGCAATGGAGAGGAGGAAAGATCTGTGGGCTGTTGCTGGGTTGAGGTAAGGAGACTACGTATGGGTATCTGCGTTTAATTTTCTTTGCGTTGTGTTTTGGTCTACAATTCTTTTTCTTTGATTCTGGATTTGTGACTTTGTGACGTTTGTTATTTTCGTGGTGTATTTTGAGGTCCGGAAGCAAGTGTTATCTTGTTGTATGTATTGATATAGTGATTTCGGAATCGACTTGAGTCTATATGAAGCTGTTCTTTCGTTGCAGTTCTGACATGCATCGAAGGGAACATCTGATGTATGTACAACGTAAACAAAAATTAATGAATAACCACAGGTATAAAGAAAGTATCTATTGCTCAAGAATCAGGAACACCATCAGCGACCTGGTGTCCGGTGGTGTAGTTACCGAAGCATGCCTTCTGGTACTGAGCATTTTTCTTCAGCGTAGGCACACCACGTAGGAAATTCTCAACAGGGCAGAAGCCCTGGCTGGCATCCTCACAGCCCACAAGGCCGTCGAGTGGCAGAGGGGCATTATTCAACACGAAGCGAATATAGCTCGTGGCATTCTTGCCGGATTTGACAGTAGGATTGTTAAGCAGAACAGGTCCCAGATCGTTGAAAGATGTGTTGCTAGGACAAGTCCAGATTTCAGACATCAGGCGGGCGCCGAATGGTGTCATTTGACTAAGAGAAAAGTTTCGTTTGGGCGCATGGTCGATGTCAGCCGGGAGACCGTGAGGACCAAACTTGAAGTAATCAAGGCCGAGTGCATTGATCACGGACAGAATAATATCGTCATGAGACATGTCCATGTAGAAAGGCTGACCAAATGGGAATTGGGCAAGATTGTTATCGTAGGTGTAGTTGATGCTAGTATCGCTGGAGGTGATGAGCTTTTGCTGAAGGCGAGCAGCAAGTTCCAAAACGTAGCCTATGCCTTGAGCACGGCCACTGGGAGAGCCGTAGGCATAGTCTCCGTAGTATTGGATGTCAACGTTGTATGCAAAGTCCTTCCACTCTTGCTCAGTGAAGAGAGAACAAAAGTATGAGCCGCCAAGGCTGGTGTATTCGTAAGCACACATATTCTGCATAGCCAGAATGTCGGCAGCAGTGACGTTGAAATCGCTAGGGAAGTAAGACGCGAGACGAGAACGAGCGTCCTTCGTATACCGTTCAATAAAGATTGCAGCAGAGTCGTCGCTGTCATATTTCATCAATATCCATAACTTGTGAAGAAAGAAGAAAGTTACTCACCCTTCACTCATGTCACCTGTGCAAGCTTCATAGGAAGCCAAAGTGTTGTTGAAACCAGACTCCTCAGGAATAATGACGAGGTCATACTGGCTGTAAGAGCTATTGGCGCCAGTGTTGCCAAAGAAGCCGTCTTGCCGACATTAGCGTGCCACTCGATGCCCTAGTTCAACTGAGAATTACTCACCGAGCCACCACCGAGCGCTCTCGAGGATACGCGCCTGTGATGTAGTACGGAAGACCGGCTTTGCGCGGGCGGTACCGTTAGAATACACATTCAAGGATGAGCTCCAAGCAGCCACATTCTCCCGCCCAGCGCGGTACAACAGTCGACCATAGTTGATCCAAAAGCTCGCTCCGGATGTGGCCTCAGTTGCTGCACCACTCTCCATCAATAAATCATCTCCAAGAACATATTCCCAGTCTTTGAGGAATTTGAGAGGGCCTGTGCCCACAGTCTTTCCTGGGTGGGCCTTGCTGTAATTGCTGACCTTGGCTGCGAAATCCTCCATGCCTTCACCATCCAGTGGGTAGCTGGTAGGGAAACGCTGGGCATGGCGATGTAGAACGTGCACCTGGGACAGTTCACATCCTTCAGGCACTCCCTTGGGCATGCTGAAACCATCTGCATCTCTATAGGGGCTCAAATTGGCCCAGCTCCTGGTCATGTCAAATCCAGAGGCATATGTAGAGCCTGTTGGAGCAGATGCAGTGGCGGAACTGGAAGTCGCGGTCGCGGTCGCGGTGGCAGCAATGCTGGCCAGCGTGATTCCAAGATTCTTCATGGTTGCTTTGGGTAAATGTGGAACCTCCGGGATTGTGGGGGTAATTGGTTGTTTGTTTCCCTTGGACGTGTCCCCTTCCAGCGACGTCTACCAATTGATCGCAACAGGCAATGTGAAAGCAGTACCAACTACGCGATGAGAACCTTGGAATGTTTTACTAAAATTCCGGACATTAAACCCCGAGTATCTTCCGAACTCAATTACCTTTCGGGTGATTGTTGTTCCACTCTATGTTCGGAACGTTGTCTCGTGTCTTCCCTTTTTTGGGGGAAGATCGACAGAACGAATAGACTGGCTTATGCAGATCACTTCAAAACCTTGAAGAAACCCCTTTCCTTGATCTATGGAGCACGCGTTTCAGTTTATTCTTCAAGCTCAGAGAGTGATATGTGGAAGAGCAGATAATACAGTCGTACTCTAGAAGCAAGATTTCGTAAGTGATTATAATAGTTGTAAATATAGAATATAGCCTTCGTCGAATGGATTGCTTATCCAAAAAATTAAATTTTAAGTGAAAAAATGAGCTAGGGCAGTAGACCGTTAGTGTGATGTACGACACGCTAATTTTCAAGTAAAAAATAGACTAGGCAAGAAGTGGGAATAACAACGTATGAAAGAATCCTTATAGAATGATTCTGGAAGATAAGCAGATGGGAAATCCCCTAGATCCCCTTAAATTGAGTTCGGTGGGAATTAGTAGGGAAATCGGGCGGGGTCCGAGTCCTGTGCGCCAACACCAGGTTTCACACCTCGCAAATCAGGCACCAGGATTCTCAACATAGGATCCTTTTAGCTGAAAAAGTTGTTGATATTTACAAGAGCCGTTCATAGAACCATCTTCTTGAGTATGTATTGGCAGTAATCAAAACCAACAGAAATTGCTTTTTGACTCCCAATTAAGCATACCACTGACCAGATAGTGGTTGCAGATCATTGCGAGCAGCGCGGCACTGGGACCCACAGGCGCTGTTGACGCACAGGAATTTCCTCATGCTTACCCTGCCCACTCTTCTGCTCAGTGGGCGAACGAAATGACCTTTGATGGAACTCGGGAATGCTGGGGTATTGAGAAATGCACGTGATACGGGGCAGTGCGGTTTCTGGGAAGGTGCTTGTTTCTTGGCGATCCGAAGTCTGCGGTCGTTGACCAGTGCTCGACTTGGGAAGCAGTTCAGTATATCCATCCTCACGAATAGACATTGTGATCATTGGGGACGACTGGGTGAGCTTCGGCTTATATGTTCAAGGCTGCGTATTGAATATTCATTGGTGCGTATGGGAGAAGCATAACCAGGTATGGATGCAGATACAGTAGTACTGTACTAGGTTGCAGATCTGGGGTCCGCGGATTATTACACGCTTATCAAAGGCTGGAAAGGCATGTTTGTTCTGGGAATACTTGGAATACGTAATTTGGAATATTGCAAACAAAATCGTTATGATTTACCGCGAATTAATTCCGATTGCCCATACTGCTGAGGTTGGAAATGTACATATATCCGTAACTCCGCCAGCACAACTCCAATACAATCAATTCACTTCTCCCTATCGCTTCCGTTTTTGCCTTTCAAGAAACCGCTCCACAGGAAATCAAAAAATTTCGCACCATAATATGGGGTCTTCTATCACTACGTTGCCTTCCCCAGCTATCTCGCCTAAGCGAACTGCCCTTCGCCCAACGCGGCCATCGATATTCAAGCGCCGAGTATCTAAAGCCTGCGAAGAATGTCGACGACGCAAAGCAAAATGTGACGGTCGCACTCTCTGTACACCATGTACAGAAAGGGGCTTGTACTGCTGCTTTTACCGTGAAAAGGCCCGCGATCGGACGAATCCACGAAGCAGAACCGTTGACTCCCTCGAAACAGGGATACAATATCGTGATTCGTCCTCGGTGCCTACCAAGCCTCCAGACATGATTGAACATACATCTTCACAATCACCCAGCCGAATTTATCAGATCCATTATGGCGCATCATCAAATATCTCGTTTCTCAATCACCTCTATCGCTCTTTCGAGTCTCTTTTGGGTGGAAATAGACCCATCCGCCTACTCAATGACTTCTCCAAGACTTTAGGTCAGGTCGGGGCTGAGAATATTGAGAGCACTATGGCACTGAAGACTTGCAACAAGCCAGTGTTACTGGGAGATGAGTTATCCCTCTCGTTAGCTATAGAAATTTTGGAACACTTCCTCGCACTGCACCAAGTCTTGATCCCTGTTCTGTGTCCACAGGCTCTACGAAATGATCTATGCGCGTTTTACGACCCAGGGTCAAGCTACACATTGAGCAATTTCCGACGAAGAACATTGCTACTCGTTCTGGCCACTGCCTCTCTGACCACCAAGCACCATAAAGTGGTGGATGGGCTCATTTCTCAATATTACAATTTGACCGGACCTTCTGATGATAACTTAACGATGCAATCGATAGAAGTCGATTGCCTCCTGATAAGTTCTCCCTACCCGTCATTCAGATGCCACTAACATGTTAAGGGACACGCATGTTACTACACGGAGAAAGGACTTTATAGCAATGCATATCTAACGTTAGGTTCGGCGACCAGGAAGGTATTTTCTGTGGGTCTGCACAGGGATCCGCCGCAAGGGTCAAGGCCAGACTTGGAGATGGAGCAACAAAGGAAGCTCGTTTGGATCCTTTACAATCTCGAAAGGTAACATTATGTCGTCCTTTGCATCCCAATTTAGGAGCATGTAAATGTTGAACCATGAAAATAGTTGGCTTTGTGTTCATCTAGGGCGTCCGAGCTCTTTCACTGGTGTCCAAATCGCCATTCCCTCGCCAAATGATGCTTTTCTTCTAGCCCGAGTCAAGCTTTCCGAGCTCATGAACAAATGTTCTAAGGAGATCTACATTCCAAGCAGAGGCTCTTTGCTGTCGATGTGGAGAGCTGCAGAGTCGCTGATATGTGAGCTGCATGATTACGAAGACAACATAATTGCTACTCTTGGTTTTGGCCTTCATCATCGCTCGCAACTTGGTGAGCTGGATGTTCAACAAACCATTTTGACCACCTGTTCGTGGCCCATTCTCCTGTGAAGCCCTTCAAGCAATCTTTTAACCTGGCCGCAGTGTATTTACATACCATCACTCTTGTCTTTCGACCATTCGCCATTTTCAGTGGAAAGCTGAAGGCCCAGCGAGTCTGTTCTGAATCTAGTGATGCCGGTACTTGTGCCAGTCAGCCTTGGCTAGATGAAGTGTGCGAATACGCGCTCAATGCCACCAAGCGGCTCATTGATTATCTTTCACTTGCAATGTCTTCCAACCAGATTATCAAGGTAAATGATCATGGAGTCTTAGAAACGTTTTCGAGGCCCAATTTGACCTTTTCTATATTTATTAGAACATGCGATATACTCACGTCTTTTTGGAGAACTGCTGCGCCCTTCTCAGTTACGATATTTTGCATAATCATCGGAAAGTGCCAACGAACGTTCCTTTCATTACCAAAAGCCTTGCCTGCCTATCACAAATGAGACCTGGAGACTCTATTCAGCAGACAATCACAGCCTTTCAGGACCTTCTCGTAAGCATCGATCCGGATGGCGCATGGTGTGATTCAGACTCGAATGATTGGGTCTCCGTCAACGCCTGTAATGGAAGGATCGCAGATCGGGCATCTCCCATTATTCATGACCCATCCACCTGGCATCATACGGATGAGAGCATCGAAGTATTGAATGACGCTGTACGTCGCGTTATCTCTTGAAAATTAAATACAACCACTGCAGTTGGGTAATAAATCACACTATATTGAGTTGACTTTTTGGAAAATAATTTGTCTGCTAAATATTGCCATCATCTCCAGAACGATTAGAACAATATAATATTCGCGAGACTATTGAAAGATTAGTCTCTTAATCAAATATACCACCATCATTTTCTGCTGTAGGCTTTCAAGACCGGAACCAGCATTTGATATTACATCCTGAAATATAGTCTCCCTCCTTGTATTCCAATACCGCAGGGTACGGCTTCGCCATGAGGCATTTTGGTCAATGGCCTTATGATGGAGTTTGGCTGTGTTGGTCTGCTGTATAAAATCTGCAGGTCTTATTTGTGATAGGTATGCGAGACTGACGTGGCATTCACAAATAAATTTCTATTAGTACGCCATATAATTAATATACAGGATGGCGAGTTTGAGATTCTGTCCGTAATGTATGGTAATTAATGTATATTAATTTCCAATCAAAACCGTTGGAACGAACCCATCCGTGGTTCCATGGTCTATATCCCCGGAATTAGAATTATGGATGTATATCCGTCTTGCGGATAGCCGGATATTTAATATTTCAGATGAAAGATTGCAAACAGCACCGGAAACTATGGAGTTGCCACTAGGGTGGATCACTGCAGGTCATCTTGATTCACAAGAAGTTCAATCTCGAATCTAGATGCATGTTCCATGAGCACGCTAAACCAATTAAGGTGACAACGGGTGGACCCAAGATTTGAAGTTCCGTATCACGTGATACGGAACCTTCCTTGGCTAGTAATGTAGATCTGTTTTGAGCGTAGATAGCATAGATGTAGGTAAACTTGTGGAGTTTCCGTGTCTACTTCCGTTCTTTTCCTGCCGATGTCCGCTTTTCAGGCCCTCAAAGACTCCATACTAATCTTTATAATGAGTATCATCCCTGCTGCTGAATGTACAAATTATTGTCTTCACTGTTCAACTGACACTCTGTTGCCATGGAGCATTCATCCGACAAATCAGACAAATCCTCTCACAGCATCGGCCTACAGCAGTCCCACCATGGAAGTGCAACTACTTTCAACGACGACTCTTCTGCTGAGCCTGCCTTGGACAAGACAGATGTGTTAGATTCGGTCATTGATGCGAAGGCCCCGAAAACCGGAGAGTGGGCGCTTGCCCACAAGGTGCACCGCTTGCGTGAGCGAGAGATCGAAGCTGGACTAAAGAGTCGGGAATTGGGTGTCACTTGGCGAAATTTGAATGTGGAGGTTCCTGCAGCTGATTCGGCCATCAATCACAATGCCATTTCCCAGTTCGACTTTATGCAACACCTCCGAGCACTCCGCCACAAACCTCCCCAGAAGAAAATTCTTATCAACAGCCATGGATGCGTCAAGCCTGGTGAAATGCTGTTAGTTCTGGGGCGTCCCGGATCTGGTTGCACGACTTTGCTGAAACTTCTTGCAAACCGCCGCGGCGCCTACACTATCGACGGGGATGTGCACTTCGGGACAATGGATCATAAAGAAGCCGAAGCATACCGAAGCCAAATTGTGATGAACACCGAAGAGGAGATTTTCTTCCCCACCTTGACAGTCGGTGACACGATGGACTTTGCAACAAAGAACAAGGTCCCGCTCAACCGGCCTTCGGATTTACCCACAGCAGAGGATTACAGAGTGGATATGAAAGAATTCCTCCTCGAATCTTTGGGAATCTCTCATACATCGAATACGAAAGTCGGGAATGAGTACGTACGGGGTGTATCTGGCGGTGAAAGAAAGCGTGTCTCCATTATGGAATGTATGGCCGCCCGCGGCTCAGTGTGCTGCTGGGATAACAGCACCCGTGGCTTGGATGCGAGCTCAGCACTCGACTGGGCAAAATGTATCCGCTCGTTGACTAATACCCTTGGACTGGCAACCATCGTTACCCTCTACCAGGCAGGCAATGGAATCTATGATTTATTTGACAAGGTCTTGGTGTTGGACGAGGGCGAGGAGATCTACTATGGTCCTATGGCTGAGGCCCGGCCCTTCATTGAAAGCGTTGGCTTTGTGTGCCGTGAAGGTGCAAACGTGGCAGACTACCTCACTGGTGTTACGGTGCCTACTGAGCGTGAAATTCAACCCGGTCATGAAAATTCCTATCCTAGGACTGCCCGTGAGATTCGCAATCATTACGAAGCCTCGCCCATTTTTCAACAGATGATTCAACAAGAGGAAGAATACCCGACCTTAGCTGCCACTAAGCAACGCACTGAAGCTTTCCAGGAGACCATTGCTTTAGAGAAGCACAAATCTCTTCAAACCGGCAGTGTTTTCACCGTTAGTCTCTACCACCAAGTTCTCGCCTGCATTGTCCGGCAATACCAGATCATCTGGAACGACAAAGCCACATTTGGGATTCAGCAGATATCATCCCTTATTCAAGCACTAATTGTCGGATCCTTGTTTTACAATGCTCCAGAGACCAGCTCAGGGCTATTCCTCAAGTCCGGATCCATGTTTTTTGCTATCCTCTACAACGGAATTTTGACTCCCATGTCCCAAGTGGTTGATTCTTTCACCGGTCGTCCCGTTCTGATCAAGCACAAACACTTTGCATTCTTTCACCCTGCCGCATTCTGTTTCGCCCAGATTGTTCTCGACGTTCCTATCATCTTGTTCCAGATTTCTATCTTTTCGTTGGTGCTGTACTTTATGACAGGGCTTGTTATGAATGCCGCCAACTTCTTCACCTACTGGATTGTACTATTCGCCGCCTCTATGTGTCTGACCCAAATGTTCCGCGGAATTGGAGCTCTCTTCTCAACCTTCGATGGCGCGTCTAAGATCTCAGGTTTCCTTGCCACCGTCTTAGTCGTTTATGCGGGTTATATGATCGAGAGGCCTCAGATGCATATGTGGTTTGGATGGATCTTCTACGTCAATCCTATGGCTTATGCCTTTGAGGCCCTTGCTTCAAATGAACTTCACGGCAAGATCATCCCCTGCGCCAACGCCAACCTGATCCCGAATGGTATTGGATACAATAATTCCAGCTATCAGGCATGTTCAGGTGTTCCAGGTGCCTCACCTGGTGCCACTTTTGTCACAGGTGACCAATACCTCTCTGCCATGGCCTACTCCCACTCTCATATATGGCGAAACTTTGGTATTCTATGGGCCTTCTGGGCTTTCAATGTTTTCATCACTGTGGTATCTACCATCTTTTGGAGCGATAGCTCCGAATCTGGAGCTTCGATGCTCATTCCTTACGAAAAACGACACCATCATGCTCGAGTAGTAGACGAGGAATCGCAAAGTGGTCCTCAGGGAGCCATCAAGTCAGACGAAAAGAACAAAGGTCCTGGGAATTTGGAACGAAATTCCTCAATATTCACCTGGAAAAATCTAACATACACGGTCAAAACACCCACAGGAGATCGAGTTCTTTTGGACAATGTTTATGGCTGGGTTCAACCTGGATCCCTGACGGCTCTCATGGGATCCAGTGGAGCCGGGAAAACCACCTTGCTAGATGTTCTTGCGCAGCGCAAGACTGAAGGCACAATCCGGGGATCTATTCTAGTTGACGGCCGTCCTCTTCCTCTCTCATTTCAGCGATCTTCTGGGTACTGCGAACAACTTGATGTCCACGAGCCACATGCCACAGTTAGGGAAGCTCTCGAATTCTCGGCTTTACTAAGACAACCAAAGGAGGTCTCAAAGTCAGAGAAGCTAGCGTACGTTGAAACCATCATTGACCTGCTCGAGCTTCATGACATTTCGGATACCTTGATTGGACAAGTTGGCGCCGGACTGAGCATTGAGCAACGGAAACGAGTGACTATTGGAGTCGAGCTGGTTTCGAAGCCTAAGATTTTGATATTCCTTGACGAACCGACGTCTGGCCTGGACGGACAGTCTGCTTTCAATACTGTCCGATTTTTGCGAAGACTTGCCGACCATGGACAAGCGGTACTAGTCACGATTCATCAGCCCTCCGCGCAACTCTTTTCGCAATTCGACAATCTCCTTCTACTTGCGAAAGGTGGAAAGATGGTTTACTTTGGTGAGATTGGTCAAGATGGTTCCTGCATCAAGGATTATTTTGGAAAACTAGGAGCAAAATGCCCCGCCGGGGTGAACCCAGCAGAATTCATGATCGACGTTGTCTCTAGCCATGTCCTTCCTGGGATCGAATGGCATCAGAACTGGCTAGAGTCTCCACAGCACACAAAAATGGCTGCTTATCTTGATAGCCTTGTTGCCGATGCAGCTGCCAAGCCGCCTGGCTTTGACGACGACAACAATGAATTCGCTACCGCCCTCTGGACGCAAACGAAGTTAGTCACACAAAGGATGAGCATATCTTTATACAGAAACACCCCCTACGTCAACAACAAGTTCATCCTGCACATAATTCTGGGTCTTTTCAACGGTTTCACCTTTTGGGACATCGGAGACACACTCGGTGATTTACAACTACGGCTTTTCGCTATTTACAATATTCTATTCATTTCGCCTGGTGTCATCACTCAACTGCAACCCCTTTTCATTGAGCGTCGCGAAATTTACGATGCTCGTGAGAAAAAGAGTCGCATTTACTCATGGAAAGCATTCGTTACTGGCCTTATCATTTCGGAATTTCCTTACCTCTGTATCTGTGGTGTCTTATACTTCGCTTGCTTCTACTACACAGCTGGGTTCCCAAAGGCATCAACTCGCTCTGGAGGAACGTTCTTTGTTATCTGGCTGTACGAATTCATCTATACTGGACTAGGTCAGGCAATTGCTGCTTACGCACCAAACGCCACATTCGCTGCTTTAGCAAATCCGTTGATCCTCGGTACCATCGTTGCTTGCTGTGGTATGCTCATTCCTTACAGTGAAATCACGGTCTTCTGGCGATACTGGCTTTACTATCTCAACCCGTTCACTTACGTCAGTGGCTCTCTTCTTGTCTTTAGCACATTTGGCGTGGATGTCAAATGTGCAGACAGCGAGTTCGCCGTCTTTGACCCGCCTAGCGGCCAAACTTGTGATACCTACCTCAGCTCTTATCTACAAGGCTCAGGATCTCGTACAAACCTTGTCAATCCCACGGCCACACAGAATTGTCGGGTCTGCGAGTACAGAACTGGAGATGACTACTTGTACTCTCTGAACATTAAGGATTATTACTATGGCTGGCGTGATGCGGCAATTTGTGTGATATTTGTTCTCAGCTCTTACGGCATGGTCTACCTGATGATGAAAGCCAGAACAAAGGCTTCCAAGAAGGCCGAGTAGGTTTCTCTGACATGAGAGTGAATGGCGCGCCTTCTATCCTCTCACTTTCTTTTTTTTTTTTACCCTTGCCCTTTCCTTATGTCTCGCATTTATTCCTACTTTACCTTCGTTTTCGATTTTCTTTTGATATTCAGATTGCGTTTTCTGTCATACATTCTCTATCGTGCTATCATTCATGTAAATGCTTTCCCTTCTTTCATATTTTTGTTGTCAATATTGCTTTGCCATGGCGGGAGATATAGTATCCGAGAGTTACTTTATCGGCTATAAATTGAATTTCACAGCCTCATAATATATGCAACACAGCCTACATTCAATTTGAAATAAGATATACTAAACATCCTTGCTCTTCGCTATTATCATGGCAGAAGGGATCAAAAAGTAAATTCTCGAATAGAATACCTTTTCGGCCACCAAACATGCCGAAGGAAATTTTGTGCTTACTATAATGAAGACTTCGGCTTCATACAGAAATTGTACATAAATTTTAATTCATCTTGCTCTATGACTCGCTTCCATACTCACTCCATGATAATTGTGGAATTCTGCCTCTCAGTGAGGTCAAAAAATGTACAATTGATTCGCGAGTGCTGGTAAGGAGTCATACCCACACATTGTTCTTGCATTTTCATATGTATAGATATTGTTATCGCCAAAGTATAATTACAAAACTATGTAGTCATCATTGTCGCCGCGTTTGCTATTGCTATCTAAAATTTGAGAGTTTTTCTGCCGTGAGTTGAATCCCTAACATCAATTGCATTTTGAGTGAGAATAGTTGACAGTAATTCGGGTCAAATGTATTAAATCAATTAACCGAATCCAATGACCTTGCATATCTCTAGAAACTCAGCTCATCATTTATATCCATGTTGATATGGTTATCGTTCTGCAACGATGGTGTTCTCCCTCTAATGCTTGATATGGCACACTCTGCAGCATCAATCAAATCTTTCAGAAATGACTCCAAGTGATCTCTATGAAGACGCTCTTCTGCCTCGGTATCATGCGTTGACATGTGACGCATGAGGTCTGGGACGTCTTTCAGGAGCTCGTAGTCATGGACAGCAGATGGGAGAGCGGGGTTGTCAATGATGTTGCATGATATAGTAACGGATGCAGTGAGGAGGTAGAAAATGATCAGCCTGGTGAATATTGACTTCTGTGTTATTCTCAATACAATCAGATCATGGGGGTAGATGCACTCACCAGAAGCTACCTTCGTTCGTAATATGATATGCAGCCTGCAGATACCTCAATGCCGAACGACTAGCCTCAACTGCGAGAGCAATGCTAGTGGCGATGCTAGTGGCAATGGCAGACTCTATGCCATCAGAGCTCATACCGATTCGCAGACATCTGTTACTAGCTCGATGAATGGCTGTGACACAGTAAAGATAGTCAAGTCGAAGGATCAGAGTACGTATGTCAATACTTCCCGGGTCCACTTCCATGCCATAGGAGAAAGAGAGGCTCGGGCGATAATTCTGAGGGACAGCCAGACGCCATGTCTCCAAAGAATTATCAAGATTCTGAATATCCATAAGAAGTTCAATATTAGATTTCCGCAAGGCAGCCATTGAGTGGAGCGACTCATATGCTCGTGACTTGATCTGGCTCAGTTTTATATCAGTAGGAAACATGACAGACGGATGAAATTTATCGAATGGAAGTTCGATTGCGAACTCTTTCGAAATTCTCTCCATGTATAGTAGCGAGACATTGAGATCGCAATGACTGTCAATAAGAGCAGGCGGTTGGTGGGCCCGAAAACACAGGTCTTTATCAATAGTATAGCAAGCCCAGAATAAGTTTCGCAGATGCGTCCGAACACAACCCGCGGAAGTATGCTGCTCCTGGTTGAAAGACTGCGTAGACCATTCATCATGGGCTCTCAGATAGAAGACAAAATGCGCTGCTATTGAGTTTGTTACTGCAGCAGATTTCAACCTGCCGCTAAAAAACTGCGACAACAACTATATTCACCACTTGTGTAAGCTTGCGATCAGAAGCCGTAAAGTAGTTGACAATGTTGATAAGTGAAAGAAATAGAGGATTGTGGGGCCATACCAGAAACACGCAGGCCTGGAAACCATCAAGAGTCGCTGCTTCGGTGATTGTAAGTAAAATTTGCTGAAGAAGAGCATTATAGTAATTGAACTTTGACGTGGAGCACAATCGGATACCGAAGGGTATCAAATAGGAGAAAATGGAAAAGGCGATAACACATGCTTTGGCGCTCATTATGTGAGATGGTTCATGGTCAATTGAATCATAAGCCACCCTCACAGTTTCTTCGAATAGATATGGATCGAGAATTGGGAATGTTGCCCGTATCATCGATCTCATGTACAAGCGCGCACATCTTTCCACGAGTGCTCGATCTGGCAAAACAATAGCGTCCATCATATCAGACTCGGTATGATTTCTCAATGACGGCAAGAGAGGCAATGGCGAAAAGCTTCTTTGGCCAAAGCGATCTCTGCACAACCTCTCTGTTGAGACAAGTTGACCGGTCTTAAAACGAGACCACTCCTGGTGCAACGCCGAGGAGTCAGAGATGCGCATCAATGAGCAGACGGGCAGGGTTGGCTGCGAGTAATCATGCATCTCACTATCCTCGCACTCTGTGGTGCTGGACATGCTTTCACTGCGAGGACTCAAATCCCCTTTGGTGATAGGTAAGTTAGAACCAGTCCACAAGCAAAAGAGTACAAGCCTCACGTGATTCAGTCTGAGGAGTTGAGGCCTGTAGTGCTCGCCGACGCCGTATGTCCTCCCTTTTGTAGACGCATGGGGTCTTGTAGTGTTCGCACCAGAAGCAATTTGGCACAGTCGCATTGCATTTGATCTGAGTGAATTCAGTGAGTGGATCCCAAGAAGTGAAACTATGAGATGGATACCTTGCGTTTCCAACAAGAGTCACAAGCCGAGATCTTTTGGCCCCGTCGACCACGGCGGACAGTCATACTTTCTCCACTAGCTTGCTCCAGAGTGATCACTGGTAAGTGAATCGGAATGAATAATGGGTGTGTTTGTCCACCCTTGATTTGGAAGACTCTGCACCAAATAACTTAGTGGTTCCTGATAAGTGGATCGGTAACTTGCGTTGAAGTTCAGCTCATGGCAAATCCCCCGACTGCAAAGGATCAATCCGCAGACCATGTTTCTAAGGCGGGATTTTCGCTCTCCCTGAAGTCTAAAATCACTAGTGCTATGTGGCAATATCTTGACCCAAATTCTGGTAGGTAATCTTATTCCTTTCTCAATGGTGATTTGTTCATTAAATCACGTGGCAATCGTCAAATTGAACTGTATTTTGTTGCTGTGAACTCGGATATATCTTTTCGGACTTAGGCAGACTTGGTAAACTTAGTTCCCGGGCCAAATGCGAAACCTCCAAGAAAACCAACCTCATATCATACCAAACATAGTTTTGGGTATCGTGGGTACAAATGCCTGTCATACTATCGAATTGGCAGTAGTAATAAGTTTCAAGATTCGGTTTTCGGACTTTAACAAGCGGAGGTCACCTGTGAAGGTTGACCCAGAAAGGTTTGTCACTTCCGGGTAGTTGAGTGGATAAGATGTAACCCACCAATCGGGCTGCAAGTGACCCAATTATCATTACATCCTTATATCCGTCCAAGTCGAGCCAACTGGTCAGGCTAAGCCACGGATAAGCGGCATTTTCAGACAAGTGTACTCCGTGCATATGGTGAACCAAAAAATGATTGACACGGATGTAATGGATGCTTATAAGGTCTTGGTTGATTGGTTCGAAGTAGACAGACGGGCCCCGGATGTTCTCCGATTGTAACAACCCACCCATTTTGCCCCCGAACTTTACTTGCACATGATGAGGCGAAGCCGTATATCCGGACATTCTCTTTTTTCACATCAGGGTCATTCACGACACCAATGAGACCGGGGTAGACGCACGCTTTGCATGCCGAACTCAAGGTGGAAAACAGTAGGTTAAGCTCTCGTTTCACAGACTTGGAGATCGATTTCATTACCCATCATCCTATACCAGCATTTTCGGCAATTTGAATTCTATCTATTTCACTTGTAATTGAATCCCCGTACATCCGGTCATAGGGTGTGGAGAACAGGGCTTCCCGTCCGCTCAGCCGTACTAAAGCCACGTACTAAACGCGGCCAATTCTCAATGTGCCCTAGGCTTTAAAACGGCGTCGGCTTTTGCCTTAGGATGAGTGTAGGTGATATAGGTGAGAATTCTAAAGACTAGGGTGAGAGAGGTGAGAACGCGGTGAGAGCAGGCGAGAATTCTCACCCCAAGGTGGACAGACACTACACTCCCACTTTGGTGGCTATTATAGACCAGGGCCAGAATCGTAACCCGGTCGTTTTCGCGTGATCCAAAAGCGCCACTCTTATTATTTATACTAGCTAGCTCATAGGACCCGCCAATACTACCGAGGCCTATATACCGCTAAGACTTAGGGGCCATCTTGACCGAGGGCTCGAAGAGGAAGTGGTATTAGAAACAGACTTAGAAACAACGGAGATAATGAAGCTTTCTTTTTTGGACTATTAATCACGTCCTAGATTCTCACATAGTTACACATGTAAATTATATAATATTTTCACTTTATTATTGTACGATCTCTACATGGCTACAAGCCCCGCCTATACCCTTTCGGATCCCCGGCTTTCCTCTATTGTTGTCGCTCAACCAAGGACAGATACTAGACAAGTCACAAGACCAAATTAGTACTATGAAGGATGAAAATTTATTTTGATGTGGAAGAAAAATTCGATTCTATCGAAGCCTTTTCTATATTCCAAAGAGTAATTATATGTGAACCCATCAAGGGTGTATGTGCTGCTACTGAAGACCTTTAGGTAAGGAATCTGGCCCGAACCCTTGAATGCGCCTTTTCAGCTCCTCGCCCCTGATGACTTCCGTGGCCTTTTTGGTCTTGTCATTTGATTCTTCGTGTTCATTTCCCGTGGCGCTGAATGGTGAGACGGGGTCGATTACACCGACCTGAAAAACTTTCACCGCATCGAATAGAATCTCGGACGCATCACTGGGAGGGTGTGGGAAAGCAACATCCCCAGCAACTTCGTCGTTGTCGTGGCTCTTCTGACATTCGGAGATTATAAAAGAAGCGATACTTTGTATCGGGTCAAAGCTCATGTATGTCTCAACCTTTTCTGGATTGCCCAGCCAGAATGGTCTTTTGCTTCCGACGGTTTGTTCATTCGAAATATGGCCAACTGAATATCTCTCCATTTGTGTATTGATGATACCGTCAAGATTTTTTTCAATACCAGTCCAACGCTTGGCGCGAAAGCGTGGCTGTAAGGTAAAGAAGACATACTCATATGCCTTCTTAGAGCTTGGCGACTCTGATGAAGGTAGATAAACCCCCATCGCTCCCGTTTTTGATGTTTTTGTGTCCTTTCCAGTGATGAGAATAATGATAGGAGATGAGTTGTAGTCTAGGACCCTAGCCAAGCTCGTGGATGTGAAATCATTGAGCGTATCCTCGCGATCATCAGCTTTGGTCCAGAAATGAAGTTTTCTAACAATGAGTTGCCTGTCTTTGTCCTCAATTTCGAGCCATTTCGATATTGTTTTATAGGGTAATAACAAAAGAAGCGCACCGATCAGATGGCTTGAAGTGTCATTGACTGAGTAACAATTCAATCTATCAGTCATTGATACCAAGGGCTGGAATAACGCTTCCCAAAGTTGATGGAAGCATATCCAAAATCTGGGCTGTACAATGTTAGCTAACTGAGTGGCTTAGTATCGTCAAAAGAGCTGGTGCATACGAATTCTTTCATCACTTTGGAAATTATATTGTGGGTGAGTTTCTCCTGTGGTCTCCCAAATTGCTCTGTCACTTTATCTGCCAGGTCATCTTGAATAGGGTCAAATGAGTAAATGGCGGAAGGCTGGAAGCGTGTTCTCCGCCTGCGCTCATGCACTTTCAATTGGAGTAATAACCTCATCAGTTTTGTCAGATCTTCAATTAAAGGAAGGCCCTGCACTTTGGTAACAGGACCGAGAAGCCTGGAAGCAGTCTCTTTCAACCAGTCTTCTCTCGGTGGCCTCAACTCTTGGTAGGGCTGTACCATGGCCAAAACATTGGTGATTTCTTCCATACTCTCCTTGTATGCATGCTTGTGGTCGCTTGGTTTCTCGTCTCGAGCCCTCCAGATGCTGATACTTCTAAATACCCGCGTAAAGTTGGAGACGTATATAGTGCTCCAGTCTTTGGTATATAGTATTTCGTCGTTCATCACACCTAGCCGGTCCACACCTCTCATGCTAAGAAGGAACACGGCACGCTGAAAGGCTTCCCAGTCAATGCTCTCACCTGACATTGACTCTGAGAAGGGATGGAATGCGTAGAAGGTGAAGACCCCCCAAAGGATCAAATCACCGTGTAACATGGAGGAATTGGTGTCTTCTAAGTACTTTCGAAAACAGCCTTGTGTCCAGTCTGGTGTAGTCAGTCCTTGTTAGTCTGTAAAACGGTCAGGGTGGTCCATCAAATAAACCCACATTTTTCACCATCAATATCCGCGTGGCAGTAGCAGTCAAAAATGGATCTCAAATGGCTGGTTTCAACTCGTCGAGTGATAGTTTGCTTGAGAGACAATAGGAGATCTCTGAGGACAATATCTAAGTCATAGCAAGTCATCAGAAATTTATAAGGCCATGGCATCGTGGGTGAAAATTTGGGATTTCAGATAACCTTTTGTAGCGTCTTTGAGATACTGCTCAACCTTTTGATCGTGTGGTTCCCACATGAGCTTATCGTGCCAATTGCCTAACGCATCAAGCGGTAACCCAATCAAGCGCAGCATGACAGTCAAGATGCACTTGTATACAAGGGCTATTCGAGAGGAAAAGGGGGTACAATTAAGCAGATATGTTTTTTGGATGACTATATTGAATGTTGCCTGGCGAAGATGCGGCTCAGCCACTCCGGTAAATGCCACGTTTCCAGAAAGGGCTTAGTCCGGGCTAGCAGACCTCACATAGAAATTTCATGAGCATATATCTGTTTTATTGTGCAAATAAAAAACAAAGCATCCAAGCTGTATTGACTAAGCTTCTTTCTCATAATTACGACCCTTGCCCTGCCTCAATTCGACTTCCTGATTTGACATACAAATGACCGGGACCTAAAATGGGGCAGTATTGACCCCCAAAACCACACTTAGACGCTAAAAATACCCCAGATAAATTGAAGGGTGGCCTTGCGGGCAGTTATAGAAATCTTTCCGGACTTTGTGATCGGTGGCTATATTACCACTTTCTGTTAAGTCTGTGAAAGTGGTAAACGTGCCAGTTCTGATTCAGAAAAATCTCACGCCTATTGACAGCGCTCCTTCAATAACTTTACCAATCTGAACCCACTGTCGAGGAGACGATTAATCAATCAAATAAAGTACAAATCTCTCGAACATACAATATGACAGGTCCATCGCCCTTCGGGATTGCGTACACACACGAAATCTTATCTTTAGTAAGCAGACGACATGCGGTCCTGAATTGTTCAAAGGTCATTTCCCAACACTTACTCAAGATGTTCCCTCATCTATCTTTGTTTTAGGAAATCGTGAAGCAGCCGATATTGGCTCACCGAGAGCGTTTGTCCTTACAGAGAATACGAAAGAGTCGCTTGATTAATGCGCCGAGGATTCATCCACGCAGCCCCCAATTGTACCATTCACATCCCATTCTTCAGATTAATTAGCCCAATTTCTGTTTGAGAACGAGGAGGAAAATAATATCGCCGTAGCTGTATACCTTGTTGCCGATGATGACCGCGCAGAATGGGACAATATTGTTGTTGGTGGAGCTTAAGATACTAAAACAAGATGATCTGGATAAACAGAATGATCAGTCATTTGCCATTATGGTTTTTGTGTTGCCGCGAAACCCGTGATAGCGAAGCAATTGCTGTTTCGGTTGCTTATAAGGTTGTGGTTGAATTACTGAGCTTGGTGGATGAAGATGGAGTGTGCAGAGGCGGGGACAGACCACCCCAAAGAAGGGAGGCAAGGCACCAAAGAAGATGCTGTCAGGATGAATATGACATAATGGCCCCTGAAACTCAAGCAGCATAGCTTAGCTTTAGTCAAAGAACCCATACAGCGACTCAAGGCGGGCGGATGACTAACATGGCCAATTGTTGACCTGGCAGAAAGTTTGAAACCCCGAATACGAGATGAAGGCGGTCAGTATACCGCGAATCAGGCCAAAGTCAGGCCACATTCGGGCCCAAACAGCGTGCGTGTAAGCTTCAGGCGACTTTTAGTCGTCGTAAATGGTGCCGTCAAATAGGCTGACCTAGTGCAGCAAGCCACTCAGTGAAAAAATACCAGCGATAGGTAGTAAGGTTGTCATACCTTGACATTTCCAATCCTTGCACCCCCTTCGTGAGCCAGATCGACCAAACCTCTAGATTCAGCGCCTCTCGGAAGCAGCCCTACAACAGTATTTGCCTATAGCTTATCTCTTTTGGTAACCCACCGGGACCGCGAGATCCTGTTGGTTCTTCATCTATTCTTAGCACACTGTCAACCTGTGTCATTGGCGAAGAGGACTTCGACCGAGTTCGGCCCTCATACCCCACCCCAAGCGTAAGAAACAACCAAAAACCCTATTTTTATGCTTATATAAACCAATAAATATCAAACTCGATTGCGTGTTGATGCAAAAACTCATGAGTCCCTAGCCAAATTTGAAAGTCGATGTATCCCTTGGTCTCTACCCCATAGGAGAAATATGCCACGGTGCTTGAATAGATAAAATTCGCAGCTAAAGAATGCTGGTGGCCATAGGAGAGAATAGCGTCCCAGGGAGATTGCACAACGCAAGGACCGGAACTACCAACTTCGAAAGTTTCTTTGGATAACGCCCCCTATCGCAGGGAACAATCTATCTCTAACCTCTACGGAGTACTGTGGCGGGTCAATTATGTGGGGCGCGCTATCCATTGCCAGCCACTAATGATGAGTTTCCGCTGGCTTTCGTTTGAGAAAGCTTACCCAAGCAGGGAAAGCCGATGTATCTTTAAATTCTCTGATTGCCAGATGAAACAGATCCCCGTACCTGACAGCAAAAGAGCGGCGCAAATACTGCATACAGAAAAATCTTCCGTTTGGACTCGGCTATGTATCCCCCCATAGCTTCGTAAACGTAATTATGTCTGGAATAAGAATTCCTTTCTCTTTCCAAATTCCTTCCATGTTTCCCTTGATTGATTAATCGGTCTTTGCCATTGAAGGCATCATGGGATTTATCTGGGGAAGAGAACTTTCGGCTGAGCGCATAGCATACTTAGCGCAATCACGGATTCCTGAAATCATCGCTTGCAATGTTGTTTTGCTCGCGTTCGCAACCGGCGGCTTGCTGGTCCGATTGTTTGTCCGAGTTCGATATCTTACTGGGATAAATCTGGATGATGTGGTTTGTGTGACTAGTTGGGTGCGCTATCTGTTTGTGATCCATCCGTATTGGTAACTAATTCATGCTCTAGGTATTCACCTTCATTCTGTGCTTCACTGCGATGTTAAGTATGTTTCCCGCAACGGCAGCGCGACCAGCTTTATACGCGATGCTAAATCTCACTCAGTGACAAAATATGGGTTCGGCAAACACATCGGAACTGTGGCGAAAATGAGCGATCGAGCCATGTTTCTTAAGGTATGACCATGAAGTTGCTATTGCGTAGATATTTCACACCGAAACTTCTCTAACTAAGCAATTTCCATTATAGCTCGATTTTGTTACAATGCTCGCCTATGTTCTCGCCCTCGGTACCATAAAAATGTCATTTTGCCTCCTATACCTACATATTTTTCCAGGGCATAAATTCCGCATTGCCTGTTGGTGGCTTCTCGCAATCGTTGTGGCGCAGACTATCGCGGAGACTCTCGTTGTGCTCTTCCAATGCACGCCTGTCCATAAGGCCTGGGATGCCACAGGTTTTGTGGAAGGTACCTGCGTCGATTCGACCGCCTTTTACTATGCGAACTTTGGGATCAAGTTGGCTAGTGATCTGGCCCTATTTCTTATGCCAATTCCAAAGGTAGTTGGGCTTAGGATGTCAGTGGGCAAGCGGGCAGGCTTGGTGGTGATGTTTGGCTTGGGTCTTCTGTAAGTCTATATCTGCGGCCCTTTCGATACTGAAAGGCTCCATACTTACCAAACTTATTAGAGTATGCGTGACAAGCATTATTCGGATCAGTTATTTGAATAGCTTCAAAGTGGATCATACTTGTAGGTCAAAGCCAGAAAAATTTTCTCTAAAATACTGGCGATGGAGTCCTGACTGACAAATCATATCTGAATTTCAGGGTCAATGGTCAACGCCATGAACTGGTCCTGCGTGGAAGTCGCTGTCGCCATTTTCATCGCATGCATTCCTTCTTTCAACACCTTGATCGTGTTTCGCTTCCCAGGATTACAAAGATTATTGGGTCTTCCCAGCAACAAGAGTGACAGGCAAAGCAAGTCAAAGACTTACGGTAGTTCGAGTCGTCGAGTGTACAATAACATGTCAACCGACGAACACGACGGGCTCAAGCTGGATCCAATGACGGGCCAGATTCATGCAGACGTGGAACCCAGCTTCAATTGCTCCCAGGAACATATAATACATGTTGGAATGCAGGAGACGACCAATGTCAAAGTAAATGATAGGAGTGTTTGATGCCAAGTGGTATCGAGAATCGATGCAACAATGGCCTGTTGGTTATTCTTCATGACGGAAAATTTGATATCCGCAATTCTATTTTTTTTGGTGCGTGGCAGAGGTATCTAATGTTGAATCTCAATGTATGTGCATAGTGTTTGGATAATAATTGATCTGCCTTATCTGGCGCTGTTCAGCAAACTCTTCGTCAACATGGCCGAACCTGTCACGCGAATGTTTCTGGGACCGCCTCCCAATACAAATATAACCCTCGGTAAGTGGTCATACCGTAGGTGCTCTTCTTCGGATTGGGCCACAGATTACGGTGTTTGGATCGTATGCCTGACCCCCCGCCCGTTCAACCCATGCTCTCTTATGCTTTCCCGTGCAATATTCTAGCTCATCATTAGTTGCTTGACATGTTGAGCCATATGCGCCGGCGCTTCACTTTCTGGGGTGTTAATTATATTACACGTCGCCTTTCGTTGCAGTTCTCTTGCGTTAAGATATATATATAACCGCCTGGGTATGTACCTCGCGACAACATGTTTTCAAGGGCCTAGTGAGGTTCCTGAATCTTTTGTGTCAAGTCTAGAACGAGAAGATAAACCTCAAATGTGCACGGTGTTACTTCTCCCTTCACCTTGTCGTGTGATGCCAAACTTGGAAAGTTATGCTCAAGCCGTGGACCATTTGTAATAATAGTATCCAAACTTGAGATGTCAAAGAGAATATGACGATTGTCAGTATTTAAACCAGTACATACGACCATAGGGTGTGGAGAACAGGGCTTCCCGTCCGCTCAGCCGTACTTAAGCCACACGCCGGTTAGTTAGTAGTATGGTGGGTGACCACATGCGAATCCTGACTGTTGTATGTTTTTTATTTTTTTTATTTACTAGGTTCTGGAATATAATATCTATCGACTGTGGTATATTGTGACCGAAACTTGTCGGTTTGCTGCAGCTGGAGCACGAATACCCCCTGCATGCGTTCAGAGAGAAAAGGTTGTGGTAGATACATATAACCATCGCCTTGCTGGCTTTCTCGGATGGAAGCCGATTCATGCCACGCTAGACCAGGCTCGTGCACATCTTGCAACCAAGATCCCTGACAGCCTTTAGTATGCCCTGCATCTCTTGTTCATCACACATGGCCTGGAATGTCCAGCATGCAAGGGTGGAGCGAAGTCTACACATAGCTGTGAGCTACGCGAGGCGTTTCGCGATTAGATTTCGACAAAAGCCCAGTAGCCCCGTGTAGTATTGTTGAGCAGGTGACTAACAGCTACCATATGTTTACGTTTCCATAGCGAAACCATGTTGCCTTCCAAACCAAACCACATCACACCACTCTTGTACATGTTCCTGGTTCCCACGGTCTAGACCCGTATATACATTTACCCGTCCCAAAACGCCGAAAAACAAGATTGCACCACAATGATTCCTGTCAGTCGAAGAATACGCATAACGATTGTCGTTGACTGTGTTGTTGATAGTTCGTGAGGATGTATCTTTTCAACCTTTGCAACTAATAAACCGGGCGCACTGAATTGAATTCACGATGAGTAGACTCTTCAACCGCGTCTTCCTCAGCAGGAAATCAAGAGTCAATATTTAGTAGGCTTGATGCTTTGATACATATCGAGAGCAACCAATCTCCAATCAAAAGAAGCAAACCAATCCAACGTTTGACGTGAGCTTTCGGCGTCCTCGGCTACTTCATAATGCATGGAGCCCCACAGGATCGATTAAGCCTGTTAAACTAGTCTGAATGATCGCGCTCCTATGTCTGATTGACAGACTAACGTGTGTAGGTCTGTAGACATTATTTTTTAGTACGCGATAGTGCGCCTTCTCCAATTCAGACTAAATCGGGTACAAAGGGTGATACACAGCTACATAATGAAGATACATCCCCGAAGGCATGGCTATATTTTGGAGGTGGGACCAGAATACTAGGTGCCGTATTGACGGTTACAGTACTTCCGGAGCTTTTCACATTGCATTCATATCCGAAATCCGAAATTCGAAATCCGAAATCCGGGTGAATACTCCAAACTTACTAAGCTGCCGAACTCTAGATTCTTGAGAAGCTCTATGAAAGGGAGTTTTGGGGAGAGAGGGGAGCTATATAAAACCAGTATCGCATGGCTCTAGATTGATTCGATTGTTGTCTACGCCTTCGCTGTATACTTGGCGCATCTCCACCACCATGAACCGCATCGAAAAGGTGCTGTCGCGAGTGACAGCAAAGCCCTACACCGCATCCGCACTTGAACCTAATCAGACTCCGAATCTAGACCAGAATGGACTACTTGCATTCTCACCAGGCGATATAGAAAACCCAAAGAATTGGTCACTAGGAAGACGGTGGTATATTACTATTGTGTCTGTGTCGATGGTCACAAACGCCACTTTTGCCTCTTCTGCTCCTTCTGGGTGTACCACAGTATGTTTGCTTTAATAATTCAACAGTCATTTACTAACCTCTGGCTATAGAGCATTGCCAATGAGTTCAACATTTCAGACACGGCTGCACAGCTGACCATCACTCTGTTTCTCCTTGGTTACTGCGCCGGGCCTTTGATTTTTGCGCCTCTTTCTGAGTTCTACGGCCGACGATGGATCTTCTACTCATCCTTTCTCGCTTACATTGTCTTCAACTTTTTATGCGCCTTTGCACCGAATTTTGGTTCTCTCCTGGTCGGTCGATTTCTAGCCGGCACTTGTGTCAGTAGTGCTCTGTCCAACTCACCAGGCGTCCTGGCAGACATCTGGAGTCCAGTTGAGCGTGGCAATGCAATGGCAATCTTCTCTTGCGCCACAAATATTGGCCCAGCCCTAGGCCCTATTGTGGCGGGCTTTCTTGAGTTGAAGAAAGATTGGAGGTGGAGCTTCTATGTTCTCCTATGGATGGGAGGACTCACCGCAGTCTTTATGTTTACGATTCCAGAAACATTACCAAACGCGATCTTAAGCCAAAAGGCGAGAAGAATCCGCAGTGAAAAGATACCCGGATTTGAAAATGTGCAGGCGCCTGCGGAAGTGTCCAACCAATCCCTATCGACCATCTTCAAGATTGCCCTCATTCGACCATGGATCATCTTGTTTGACCCAATCTCTTTCTTCATTGCCATATACATGAGCTTCGTCTACACGCTGCTATATATGCTATTCACAATCTATCCAATCGTCTTTCAAGAAAAGCGGGGCTGGAACGCCGGTGTTGGTGAACTACCTTTGCTAGGAAGTGTCATCGGGCCCTGTCTCGGCGGTGTGATAGTTTTTCTAAATTCAAACCGGAATCGCCGGCGAGTCGAAGCAGGCCATGAACTTCTGCCTGAAGACCGACTACCGCTAGCAATGATAGGCGGCATTGGATTTGCGGTGACAATGTTTTGGTTCGCGTGGACGGGAGAATATAACTCGGTGCATTGGATTGCACCCGTACTGGCAGGTGTATTCCTCACGGGTTCGATCATGCTCATATTTGTCACTTGCCTCAATTATCTCACAGACACCTACAAGGTGTTCGCAGCAAGTGCAGTAGCGGCAAACACCGTGGTCCGCTCTGCTGCGGCTGCAGCCGCGCCCCTCTTCACTCAGCAGATGTTCAACGCGCTTGGTGTCGGTGGAGGCGGGTCTCTAATTGGGGGGGTCGCAGCCGTTTTAGCTGTGATACCATTTATGTTCTACAAGTACGGTGCGAAAATTCGCAGCAAATCGAGCTTCGCGCCCACGCCACAACCTGCATCCTTAACGGACATCGAGAAGGTACCGGCTAGAGAAAACGACGTAAAGGGAACAATTTCTTGAGACCGGAGGATAAATAGGAGTGGCCTCTTTCAATAGTTCCATGTGGATCTGTGGATCTCTCGAAAAGTTCTACTAAAGTTTCTTTTATATAAAAGAGAGGTTCCAAGTAGTTATTTGCAGTTGGAAAATGTTAATAGATACTGAGTACATATGGGTTAATCGATGTATATTATCGTGTCTTCGTTTTGATAGTCTTTTTAGTCAACCCTCTTGAACATTTCTTCCATTCACGTAGGTAAGCCCTAAGAGGCGACGCAATAGCCTTTTACGTAGAAGCTTAAGACATAATTCAATCTTGAAGCATTGTAGTGACGAAAAGCGAGTGTTCGAGTCTCGTTTATATTGAATCTTTTTTGAAAGAGACTATGATTTCAAAAGTTACAGACACTAACTCTCACCAGAAGAATAGACAGATTATCGTGAAGGGAATACCTTCTCAGTGGTCCTAGTCAGGGTACATCCCTAACAAGAACTTGCGATTTCCGGGTTTTACTGAACAAATGGGGAGTGGAATTTGATAAAGATACTAATGACGCTGCTGCTTAGCCTAACACATTTACATCATTCCGAGGCTTGATTACTTATCACTACTACCCATATTTGCTCGCAAATAAAATGTCATTCATTCAAATATGACACAGGAAGTCCGACATCCTGTATTAATTGGTGAGGGATTAAAATTTATAACCAATTCAGACGTCTTGTACCTGCGGGAGTCGCCCGGTCCCGTGTGAATACATCTATGCGAGAGAAAGTGGAAGCAATATAATATGGTACGTAGTGTAATATTAGGTAGCGACAAGGAGAAGAAGAGGATCTACGAAGATAAAGCCTAAGTGGTGGGATAGAAGGCACTAGTCCCAATTAGGACGTTAACACCCTCCATACCTAATATACTAGTCAAAGGCAAATCCTCTCCTTAACCAGAAGTTACGTATATATAGAGAAGCTTAGAAAATAAGTGCGAAAAACTAAGTATATAAAAGGCGGTCTAGGCTATTATAAAGTTACTAGAATAGGTAATAACGAGCTATAGTGGATAGTAAAAAATAAGGTAAAAGGGGTATTATAGTAGCGCTATAGAACGCTATAAAATAGTAAAAAAACTAGGAAATAGTTAAATAGGTATAGAAGTATAGAAATAAGGAGATTAAATTAAGCTAACTAAGTAAGTTAACTAAGCTATAAAGCTTGTTAAATCTACTAGCTTAATAAAGCGATAGAATAAGATAGTTAGTAGTAGCTTAGTAAGGCTATTTATAGGCATATTCTCTATTAGTATATATATAAAGTAGTAGTTACTAGCTTTAATCTAAGCTCGCTAAAAGTAGAACTTAATATCTATGTACTTAGAGTATATATAATTCTCTAGATTAAAGATAAGTACTATAGTATCTTAATTATTAGCGAAGATATTAATAGGCTTACTAAATAAGTAAAGATTAGATATACTAAAGAGCTCTATAAGCTCTATAAGAAGTAAAATAAGCTATATAAGCTCTTATATAGTATAACTTTAATCTATATATTCTACCTTTATAGATAATAAAATAATAGATATCTACTTCTTTAATTACTAGCTAATAGTAGCGCTAGTAAGCTTAAAGAGATATTCTAAGATAGAAAGGTAGGTCTTAGTATATAGACCTATTTAGTTAGAGTCTATAAAACTATATAGAAAAGTAATATATTCTAATAATAGTAAGATAGATAAGTAGGATATAACTAGATCCTTAGATCTAGAGAGATATCTTTATATTTTCTATATTACTATATTATACTATAGATCTAGATTTTAAGTATATCTCGTGAGCTTAGTTATTATATAAGCTATATTAATATATATATTAATAAGTAGCTAGATAAGATAATCTATATACTCTTAAAAAGCTCTAATCTTAAGTAGTATAGCTTATAATTTATACTTAGTTAATATAACCTTATTATTATATAGCTTAGTATATAACTTAATTATATTATATCTAAAGTAGTAGAGATAAGCTTTAATATATATATACTAACTTAGATAGATTCTCTTATTAAAATTATATAGAATCTATATACTTAGGAATTCTATAGCTAGACCTTTATCTATAATATTAAAGTAATATAATAGTATAGTTTTAAAGGCCTTAATAGTAGCTTCTAATAGAGATAATACTAGTATATTATCTATATATATAAGTAAAAAGATATTATTCTTAATAAATAAGTAATAGTCTAATATATCCTATATAAAGCCTTTAATAAGTAGAATATCTTATATAAGATTAAACTACTCTCTTAGTAATTACTTAAGACTATATAGAGTCTTCTATAATAGGCTATATATATTAGAATAGTTAATATTAAAGGGTTTAGGAAGCTCTATATAGAGGGCCTCCTTAAGCTTAGTATATAAAAAAGTAGCTATAATATCTATATAGTAGAGATACTATTAGTAATAAGCTATAATAGCGATAAAAACCTTAAATATTATAGACTTAATAATAGAGATATAAATATCTCTAAATTCTATAATTCTCTATCTAAAGCCTTTAACTATAAGATATATATTATATATATTATCTAACTTAATCTTAAATACCTATTTTATAGATAAAAGCTTTATATATACTTTCTTAGGTACTATATACTATATACTATTATAGATATAGTTTTAGAACTCTTTATAAGTAATAGCCCTCTATTTTTCCTACTCTAGATAGCTTATAGCTTCTTTCTAGATAGAAGATTTAAAACTATATCTTAATATAGTAATTATAGTAGTAAAAAGTATAGGAAGATACTCTATAATAGTAAGTATATATACTAGGTCTATATTAAGAGGCGCTAATAGTATATATATATATATATAGTAATTAGGTAAGCCTAGAATTCTAAGTTAAGTAGATAATTTAGAGATCTTTAAGCTCTATCTAAGTAATATAGTAATATATTCTTATTAAGTAATATATTCTTATTAACTATATCCTTTATTAATCTAATATCCTAAGTATTATTATAAGTAACTATCTTATTACTATTTTATATCTCTATAGTAATATCCCCTATATTACTCTAGAACTTCTAGTTATTATTTATAAGCTATTTTAGTAGTATAAAGAAGGGGTTAATTAATAGTATTAGTTCTAGCGCGATAGCTAGGCCTTTTAGGGATAGGAATAGAGAAGATATAGGATATAAGTTCTTAATAAACTTAAGTAGTATATATTACTTAGGGATAGGTATATTAATAGTAATATCCTATAAGCTATCTTAGTAAAGAGATAGTATATTATCTAACTAAGGAATATCCTATAGGGTATTCTTATTAAAGACTATATATTATAAGTAGATAAGAGATCTAGTCTTTATATTATATAGTAAGTAATTTCTATACTTATTATACCTAAGTAGATATACTTTATATATATAAAGATATAGCTTAGTAGGGTATAGAGATTTATTAAGGAGATACTAGTATTAGTAGCTAAGCGCTTAAAGTATAGAAATATTAGATTTTTAGCTAAATAAAGCTTTATATAGTATACGCTTAATCTTATTATACTAAAGATAGTTATAGATATAATTAATACCCTAAATAATCTTACTCTAGAGATACTTAGGTAATTAGTGCTCTATTATAACTACTATAAATAGCTCTATAAACTACTAGTTCTTAATCTTAGTAATACTATTAAGCTATAGGGTATATAGAGGTATAGGATCCTATATAACCCTATACTTAGTAAGATAATTAATAAGTAGTATATACTCTAATATATTATTACTATATATCTAATATATAATTATATTAAGCTATATATATAGAAAAGCTTTAACTTACTTATAGTAGTTAAGAACCTTATCTTATAATATTAATAGATATAGCTAGATAAAGTAAGAAGCGTTATCTATAATAGTTAAGAAATAGTATTAATAATATATACTTCTAATAGATATAGAACCCTAGATATTTATATATAGTAGCTCGCTAAGGGTAGATTTAATATACTTATTCTTCCTAAATAGAAATATATATTCTTTACCCTTAATATAGGGTATATAGTAATCTAGTATAATAGTTCTAGTCTTTAAAGTAATACTATTAGTATATTTAATAATATTTTTAACTTAATATTTACTAGTATATACTATTCTCTAGTAGATAAGCTTAAGAGGGATAGGAGTTACTCTATCTATTAGTTTTATAGTACTATAATATATACCTATAGATAGGAAGAGAGATAGGGGTATCTCTATAGTTATATATAATAAGACTATATTTAAGGAGCTAATATTTAACTAAAAATAGGTATCTTCTAGCTAGATATATTCTATTAGTTCTAGCGAACCTTTATATATTAATATAGTATATAGAATATTAAATTATAATAAGATTCCCTAGCTTAGTAAGCTAGAGATAGATATTAGAGAAGCTATAAGAGCTAGGGTATAGTAAACCTTATATAATATAAGTAAATTAGTAGACCTATTTTTAGTAGTTAGATCTAGTAGAATATCTCTATATCCTTCTATCTAGAAGATATTACTAGTAGTAGTCTATATAGATATATACTAGTAGATATAATTAATATATAATAACTAGTATAGTATTATATATACTATAGTACCTAAGTCTAGTATCTACCTAAGTAGATTTTCTATAGCGTTAGTAGTAGCTAACTACTCTTAATATATAACTATAGTATTTATCTACTAATATCTAGTAATTAGATTAAAGATTACTAGCTTAATAAGGGTCTTAGTAGTAGAAGTTATAATAGTAGTAGTAATAATAGCTCGCTATTTTATAGTAGTTACTTTCTTAACTTCTTTTAGTAACTTATACTATAAAGAATAGTAATTACTAAATTAACTATAGTAGAAGTACTAGACTATTTAATAGTCTACCTCTAGAATTTTATTCTTCTTAGTATTAGGTTCTAACCCTCTATAACTATAATCTCTATCTCTATATCCTTAGTAACTACCTCTAGCGCCTTATAGAGTTCTAT